TTGAAACATATGGTATTGCCCTAATCCCTATTCGGAAGGCGGTTGGAGAGGGTATTAGTCATGAAGAAGGGGTGAAAGTACCACGCTAACATTATCATTGACACCGACCATCGTATCTGGAAGCCGCTGTCCGTGGTGATTTAGATTTGTAGCCCTGAAAATAAGTCCGCCAGCTACAGCAGCTACCAAGGGAGCTCCCCACTTTTTGTGCTGCATTGTACCTCCACGATGAGGGGGCCCGCTTTACTTATCGCCGGGAAAATTTCTTATTTGCAGCACGGAGAGTTGAGCATTCTCCGTGCTATCGCAACTAACTATACCCCTATTTTTATACAATGACAGATTTTGAATTGAAATGCATACGTCGCCAGCAAGAGGCCAACCTCAGTATACTGTCAATATCGTATTCGTCCCCAGAATTGCGCGAGACATAATCCCTTGGCAGACGTGGATACTGGTATTTTCGCGCTAAACGGCGAGAATCCCCCAGAAATGATCATAACTCAATTCGATAAATTTCTCGCACGGGGTCGCCAGGGGACGAAGCGTCAGGATCATCATTATTGCGTATTGCAAGGCACTCTATTATAGCACTGAATGAGTATCAGAAGAGGCAGGACGGTAATAGCAAATGTAGAAGACGCAATGGACGCTGGTGCTCTTCCCGCGTTGTCTGTCCAATTTCTCTAACCCGCCGGATTAAGGAGATTCGGCCCACATTTGACGACGGAGTTAAGGTAGCTGTACACTTTCGTCTCGCAGCCCTCACCGGAAGAAGATGATGGATGATGGGGGCGGTTATTATTAGGAGGGGGAATGGTGGTGGAGGATACCCTCGCAATCTTATTAGGTTCTACAGTAGGAGGCTAATCTATTTACAGTAGAATAAGAGATGGGAAAGCGGATCATGGAGAGAAACAAACCCCCTGGACCTGGATTGCTTGCTTGCGACGTGCTTTCTACAAAGTAGACCGATTCGTAGAATAGCTATTTTCAAGTTTGGTTCAAGCTGTTCCAGGAACAAGATGCTTTTGAAAAGCACATGGATACATACACAGTATGTATCCAGTCCAGTTCAATGTAAATGAGAAAGCCCTCGGTCTGGACTGCTTCAGCTCTCTTTAATTCGTTCAAATGTCTGTTTCCATGTTGTAGAGCTTCGGCCCCCTTTTGCGGTTTCAATTATTGTTCGATTACCCGGAATTGGCTGGTCCAGCCTGGCATGGCACGTCAGCCGCGGAAAGCGCCGGGGTATACCAACTCGGGTAGCCCGAGCTACTACTTTGCAGCAATCAGCATGTGCGGGCGTTCATGGTTAATTCTCCGTAGTTTCGGAGTATGAGGGTAATTGCGGAGGTAGCCACGTCGTAGATATGTACGTCGACCTCAGGATTGCAGATACGAAAGCGAGCGAGGATGGTGTTCCGCTAGATGCGAGATGCGACCGTGGCAAGCCTGATTTATCAGGCATACAATTCTCCGTAGACAGCAGAGTTTTTTCAACATGGAATCGATGTACCATTGACTAACAAGCTCAATATGATAACTATGTCACGATAACCCACGCCATCATATTACGAGCCTCCGCTTCTATGGACGGCTCGTGCACGATGCCAATCTAGAGTCTAAAACCCGGGCGTCTGGACCTTAGCCCCCTCCTCTCTTTCTGGTCTGGGGATAGTAGGTACAGTACTTAATACTTAGTACTTTGGGTCAGGATCGCAAATCTATGAAAATGGACTGGGCTGAAGTCGAAACCGAATTGCTGGTTCTAAGATGATACAATTGTCGATTGTCAACCGGTAAAAAGTAAACCGGGGTGCATTTTGCATGGATGATACTCTTGGGCTGATTCCTGTTGGGTGGTGGTGTAGTTTTGAGTTGAGCTGGCCCTGCGGGATTGGATGGATGGGCCAATCGTCGCGCATGCAGGATGCAGGAAGCTTGGAGGTTGCGATCGAACGTTTGCTCTTGGATGCACGGAGTATTTTCGTATGTACTTTGGGAGGAGGATCCCCGGAACCGATCATTGAGGGCTGCGTTGTATGTATGTACATGGATATTCCGGGATCGCGATAGGTTGTTCGTTAGGTGGTTGTGTTGGAATGGCTTCTGCGAACCGGGATTATTCCCTGTTGGCGTTGGTCATGAAGCGTGGATGGATCATGGGGAGGCAGATGATCATCACATTTGGACAGTACAATATACTGAGTATACACTACACTACTATGGATGGTATGATGATGATGTCTTTTTCCCAGCCTTCTCTATTTTGGCTATTATCATCACGGTTTTGACGGAGTACGTAGGTGTATGGCAACACCTCGGCCAACTTCCATCATCCTAAGCAGACCATCTCAAATAGGAACGACCTCCCGTGCTGGGGCTAATCCAGTGTATCACAATCTATGGTGTCACGGCGACAGCCAACCGAGCAAAACACGCCCTGTCTCTCTCGCGCCAGCGAGCTAGTCACTCCCCCAGTGACAGAGTAAGTTAGTAGTCATATCACTCTCTCCAGTCCTACAAGTAGGTAGTTAGGGCCGATTGTCAATGGATCCCCCCAAAAACGAGCAAGACCCAATAAGGACGGTATTCAGTCGCCGGGCGTCGATCCGCACAGGCGATGAAATCATCGCGGACACGCCGGGCCGTTCTGATTCGATGCATGCCCGGTCCTTCGAGACTAGCCGGGCTTTAGTGGGCGGAGACTTGACCGGTCGCGTCGGCCAGTCACGGAGGCCGAAATTAAATGACGCTTCTGGGGACTGGGCCTTGGTGAAGTTGGGGCCTCTTGGGCTCGTGGAGAGTAACGATCGTCCATGGTTGGTGAGATGATACGAAGGGGGCAGCTGGAGCGAGGGTGGGTTGTGGTGTTAAGCCCCGCGGGGATGTGTCGATAAGTTCGATTTTGCTGGGTGCTATCTTAGTTCTCGTGGGAGAGACAGTAGTCAGCCCAGTGACATAATGATAATCTAAAGAGGATAGGATACTGAACTGATCGGTGTTCCTGAATAATACAGATGGCTACGTACGTATACAGTGTATGGATTGTATGGGTTGTATGGTATTGACAGTTTAACCTCGATAGCTACAGTATGAGGGTAAGAGAGTATTTCTGAATACCTTCCAGCATTGGCATACATATCTGAATAGTCTTGGCTGCTTCCGGTGCCCCTTGCTAACTGTACGATTCCTTTTGGTGGATTTAGTTGGGATGAGATCGATTGTTACGTTGCCCGAGAAAAAATTTATCGATGCCGTCATGAAGAAAAATTTTTCTTTCCCGTGTTGTTGCTCGAATTGACCTTGTTCCATGTCCGGATGCAGTCTGGTACCAGGGGCAAAATGTGAGTGTCAATATACGGGATCGGGATGTATAAGGGCGACTCGAGCGGTAGCATGGAAAAAGAGGCAAGGCTAGTTCAGTTCGGACCATCTCGCTGAAAAGAGAAAGATGCTCCTGTAAGGGTGATCCTTCACTACTACATAGTTAACCACAATAGTAACTACTAAGCGCCTAAGACTACTCCGTAACTATCGTCACATCGTGAGGAGTAGTGATACTCCGTAGTTAGTAGTAGTTTTGGCAGGGGGAGACTATGTATGTACTATGTACAGTAGTATGGTGTTTTGAATTCTTCGCAAATTCTCCGGTGTCGCATAGCTGGGCATATCATAACACAAACATCCGACATACGTACTGTACTTCATACGATAAACTCGGGTAGAGCGGGCTCAAAAATTTTTATTCTTTGGAATTGCATTAGCAGTGCCAAATTCTCTAGTTTGTTCTTGTCATTGTCTTGGGGAAAGTCTCGGGAAAAGAGTAACGATGGAAATTACCCCCCTCATCTGTCTTCTTCTCTTCTCCCACGCACTCCCAGACGAAAATCGCGCATAGTCAAGCTGAGAGCAGCTTGGGGCACCGCACTCGGTAAGGCGATGTAAGGCCAGGAAATCGGTGCGTATCGCCCAAGATGGAGTGATACAGATGGATACAGATGGTGCAGAATATACATACAATACAGGAAATTACAGTAGAAGGGAGTGCAAGTTGGCCGTGTCTTGACTGTATTAACCATACCAATTCCATACCGAGGCCATGTGTGGAGTGCCACTCGGCACTGGTCTGCCGGTCGCAACGCGGGTGAGAAGAGTTTTCTCGGTCTCGTCGCGGTGCTTTTTCGTGTATTGACATCGTATTGAAGGTGTTATGCATGTATGGACTATACTATATGGGGTAACTCACTCCACCCGAATAACCCAATCAGACCTCCTGTTAGTGTCCGTGGCTGCTCTCGGCCAGTTCTCCCGGAGCTTGCACGACTCGTGCCGAACCCGTTGGACTGGCGAGTCGAGGAGAATTGAAACACAGAAGAGATGATCCTCCAGAGTCGATAGCTAGCTTCTACTAGTTTGATTGTACAAAGTTTGGAGTTTAGTCTTGGCTTAATAGCAAGGGAGGAAGATCAAAAGGAAACCATACTGGAGAAACTGTGCTGTATGTATTGGTTACATGCTTTTTCCCCAGCAACCAGATGTCCTCCATAGTAACCAGTCCCTAGTGTGTATCACTCCGTACCGATGCTCGTATTTTATTCTGTTATTCCTTGATTTTTCATATTATTTAATTATTTTTTATTATTTGCCTTTTTTTACCTTTCAGATTTTTTTTCTTGGACTAACTTGAATTATTTCCTAATTTAAATCTTTTTTTTTATTTCCCTCACACTACTTGCTCAGTTGCTACTTGCTGGCCCATTATCCACACTCCCCGTTCCCTCTCAACTCTCGCGCGCCTCTTTCCCACCCTCCTAGTCCCCAGGTAATTATAAAGTAGTCCACTCCCTCTCATCCACCCTTCTCCTTTCCTCCCCTTCTCTTTTCCCATAGGACTATTCCGTCTCACGCCATACCTGCCATTGTGTGTTGGTGTTTTTGCATTCGCTCATATCGTTGGGTTCCGAAAGGCTTTGTGAGCCGAAGCAGCAGCAACAATGGCGGAGCGGAGGATCTCCTATGCTCCCGATGTCGAAAACGGTGACCGTCACCGTGACACCGATGTGAACGACGGCAACCTCGATGAGTACTCGGCTCTCAACCGCTACATCTCGACTGCCCGCGATGGCCGCCGTGGTTCTACCTCCAGTGCTGGCGCGCTCAGCACCCAGGAGAAGAAGAAGCCTTTCTGGAAGTTCTGGGCCAAGCAGGGTGATGGTGTTGAGGAAGGCTGGCAATGCCCCGATGAGTGGCTCGAGACCGATCTTCGCTCCGGTCTGAGCTCCAGCGACATTGAGCCTCGCCGCAAGAAGTGCGGCTGGAACGAGCTGGTTACCGAGAAGACCAACATCTTCATCCAGTTCATTGGTTACTTCCGTGGTCCTATTCTCTATGGTAAGTGATGCATTGATCCCTGGGATTGCCCTGTTGAGGGTAATTGGACGCGTCAAATGGCCATTTTCTAACGCGTAATTTTCTACTCTCACAGTTATGGAACTTGCTGTCCTCCTCGCCGCTGGTCTGCGTGACTGGATTGATTTGGGTGTCATCTGTGGTATTCTGCTCCTCAACGCCCTGGTCGGTTGGTACCAGGAGAAGCAGGCTGCCGACGTCGTTGCCTCTCTCAAGGGTGACATTGCTATGCGCGCTATTGTTGTTCGTAACGGTCAGGAGGAGGAAATCCTGGCCCGCGAGCTCGTTACTGGTGATATCGTCGTCGTCGAAGAGGGTCACGTTATCCCCGCCGATGTCCGCCTGATCTGTGACTACTCCAAGCCTGAGATGTTCGACGCCTACAAGGAGTACCTCGTTACTTCCCAGGATGACACCCTCAAGGAGAAGGAGGATGAGGAAGATGAGGACAGCCGTGAGATTCACCAGGGTGTCTCTCTGATTGCTTGCGATCAGTCCGCCATCACTGGTGAGTCCCTCGCCGTCGACAAGTACATGGCCGACACTTGCTACTACACCACCGGTTGCAAGCGCGGCAAGGCCTACGGTATCGTCACTGCCACTGCCCGCCAGTCCTTCGTCGGTAAGACCGCTGCTCTCGTTCAGGGTGCCAAGGACTCTGGTCACTTCAAGGCTGTCATGGACAACATCGGTACTTCCCTCCTCGTTCTCGTCATGTTCTGGATTCTCGCTGCCTGGATTGGTGGTTTCTTCCGTCACCTGAAGATCGCTACCCCCGAGGAGTCTGACAACAATCTGCTTCACTACACCCTGATTCTGCTCATTATCGGTGTCCCCGTCGGTCTTCCCGTCGTTACCACCACCACCCTCGCCGTCGGTGCCGCCTACCTCGCTGAGCAGAAGGCTATCGTCCAGAAGCTCACTGCCATTGAGTCCCTCGCTGGTGTCGACATTCTGTGCTCTGACAAGACTGGTACCCTCACTGCTAACCAGCTTTCCATCCGTGAGCCCTACGTCGCCGAGGGTGTTGATGTCAACTGGATGATGGCTGTCGCCGCTATTGCCTCGTCTCACAACGTCAAGAACCTTGACCCCATTGACAAGGTCACTATCCTTACTCTCCGCCGCTACCCCAAGGCCCGTGAAATTCTCGCTCGTAACTGGATTACCGAGAAGTACTCTCCTTTCGACCCCGTCTCCAAGCGTATCACCACTGTCTGCACTTGCGACGGTGTCCGCTACATTTGCGCCAAGGGTGCCCCCAAGGCTATCCTTAACATGTCTGAGTGCTCCGAAGAGGAGGCCAAGCTCTACCGTGACAAGGCTGCCGAGTTCGCTCGCCGTGGTTTCCGTTCCCTCGGTGTCGCCGTCCAGAAGGAGGGTGAGCCCTGGCAGCTTCTGGGCATGTACCCCATGTTCGACCCCCTCGTGAGGATACCGCCCACACCATCGCTGAGGCCCAGGTTCTTGGTCTGTCCGTCAAGATGTTGACTGGTGACGCCATCGCTATCGCTAAGGAGACTTGCAAGATGCTTGCTCTCGGTACCAAGGTTTACGACTCTGAGCGTCTGATCCACGGTGGTCTCGCCGGCTCTGCCCAGCACGACCTCGTCGAGAAGGCTGATGGTTTCGCTGAGGTCTTCCCCGAACACAAGTACCAGGTCGTCGAGATGCTCCAGCAGCGTGGTCACTTGACTGCCATGACTGGTGACGGTGTCAACGACGCTCCCTCTCTCAAGAAGGCTGACTGCGGTATCGCTGTCGAGGGTTCCACCGAGGCTGCCCAGGCTGCCGCTGATATCGTCTTCCTTGCCCCCGGTCTGTCTACCATTGTCGATGCCATTAAGCTGGCCCGTCAGATCTTCCAGCGCATGAAGGCCTACATCCAGTACCGTATCGCTCTTTGCCTGCACCTCGAGATCTACCTTGTTACCTCCATGATCATCATCGACGAGACCATCCGCTCTGACCTGATTGTCTTCATTGCCCTGTTCGCCGATCTTGCCACCATTGCCGTCGCTTACGATAACGCTCACTTCGAGGCCCGCCCCGTCGAGTGGCAGTTGCCTAAGATTTGGGTTATCTCCGTCGTTCTTGGAATCCTGCTCGCCGCCGCTACCTGGATCATCCGTGCCTCTCTCTTCCTGACCAACGGTGGTATCATCCAGAACTTCGGCTCTCCCCAGGAGATTCTCTTCCTTGAGGTTGCCCTGACCGAGAACTGGCTCATCTTCGTTACCCGTGGTGGCAAGACCTGGCCCTCGTGGCAGCTGGTCATCGCCATCTTCGTTGTCGATGTCCTCGCTACCCTGTTCTGTGTCTTCGGCTGGTTGTCTGGTGACTACACCCAGACCCACCCCCACGACCCTGCCACCTTCTCCATCAACGGTGATGTCGACATTGTCACCGTCGTTGTCATCTGGGCCTACTCCATTGGTGTCACTGTCATCATCGCCGTGGTCTACTACATCCTGACCATCATCCCCGCTCTTGACAACCTTGGCCGCAAGACCCGCTCCAAGGCTGATACCAAGATCGAGAACATGATCGCTCACCTGTCCAAGCTGGCCATTGAGCACGAGGTTGACTCTGAGGGCAAGTCCCGCTACACCCTTGGTGCCCGCGCCGAGGAGGTCGAGGAGGACGAGTAAAGGATGTGCGCTTTGCACAATACCTTATTACCCGTTGTCAGACGGTTAATCTTTCCTGACTCGCTCCTGGTCCGAGGTCAATAATTTTTTTCCCTTATTTCTTATTTTCCCAATCCATTTTTCTCCCTGTCGTGCCTCTTGGTCTATTCCTACCACGCGGATACTGTCATCTTTCCCTGTCTCGACCATCTTTGGACATGCATACCGTGGGAAAAAAAAGGCTGGGTCTCTCTTGTCTTTTTTTTCTTTTCCCTTTTTTTACCCCAGTATTATAGACTTTTGTGTTTTTACCCCTTGATATCTGTTTGGCTTTCGAGTTGATAGATCTCAAGTTTTCTTTCTCTACGTGTATGTATGTCGTTAATAGTGGTACTTAGTCAAGTCATCGAGGGATTCTAATGATTACTGCGCATTGTAAAATCTTGAATTCGTAGCTTTGTCTTGTAGATACTTGTCAGTTTGACAGACTTTCAATTGTTCTGACATCGATTGTCCTTGATCCTTTCTTCCCCTTACGCCCGTAGTCCTCAGTCACCCGGATCATGTCCACCCACCCACATGCACTAAGGTTAAACACACCCGTCTCTGCCTCAAGTCTCACGTACCAGTCGCATGAACCATGAAAGCCATAATGTAAGAAATCTCTTTATGCTCTAGAAAGACTAATCTAGACCGCATACACCCATCAATTCAACCAGGCCACTCTCTACTTTGCATAAACAGTCTCCCAATCAATCCACTGCACATCCCCAAACACACCCTCCTGATTCTGGAAAACCTTCCTAGGCTCACTATACGGCTCAAACCCATCCCTATCCAAAACAGTAGTAACATTACCCGCCGCCCGTCCCGTCGCATTAAACCCCGGTCCAGAGACCCGATACTCCGCCATAAGCGTAACATTCTTCTCATACCTCGCCACGCCCGAGACTATCCAGTCAATGTACCCACTAGCCTTGATACTGGCGTCCTCGTACGTCCTCGCAAAGATGGACCGGTGCTGCGAGTTCCAAGGTCGACCGAGCGCGCAGGCGCCGACGATACTGGGGGCGACGGAGGTGTTTGCGGCGCGGACGTTGCTGTCCACAATGTAGACGCCGTATTTGTTGGTGAAGGTTGTGTTTGTGCCTTTCCAGGCGGTTATGCCGCCGCCGCAGCCGCGGAGGAGGACGTCGGAGGATTGGATCCAGGCTGTGCCGAAGCCGTAGAGGAAGTCGGTTTGGCCGGCTAGGATGGATTTGTAGAAGTAGGCGTTGCCGAGTTTGCCGACGTAGACCTGTAGAGGGAGGGTTAGGATTGATTGATATGAGGATTGGGTGGATTGTGTTGCTTTGGTGAGTGGCTTGGATTTACGTACCGTGTCCTGGTAGGAATAGAAACCGCAGTAGTAGAAGCCACCATTGGCACGGCTGAAGCTCAGTGCGTGGGCGGGTCCATCGCTATACTCAGCCCAGGTATTGGTGAAATCTATGTTGTATGCACGGAAGTTCTTGTTGCCAAAGGGCGTATCATCCGGCACCGGGAAGCCCGTCGTGCCAGAGCCGGTCAGACTGGCGTTGAGGGTGGGAGAGACAACAAGGACACTCGAGTACACATTGTCCACGCTCTTGCCGGTATTATCCTTGTTTGCGGCCGCCCAGGTGATAGTCACCTTGTTCTTAGTAGCGTCTGTAGAAGCATCGGTCTGACCGAGTAGAGTGATTGGACCCGCACGGGTAACATTCACTTGCTCCTTGTATGTACCAGCGAGGATGAGGATAGTCTGAGTAGAAGTATCATTTGGCAGAGACTCAATGGCAGCCTGGATAGTGGTAAAATCGGCATGCTTGTCCGAGGCCGAGACCTTGATAGTCCCCTTTGGACAGTGATTGCCTGTTGCCTGGCACTCCTGGCGGGAGACGTGATTGAGAGCGACACTGTGGACGCTAGCAGCGTGCCACAAGAGCGCGAAGACAGCTGTAATGTACAAGCGAAGCATGGCGGGCCAACTTCCTGCTATGCGGGGGATCCACTAGCAGAAGACGCGTCTCCAGGAGAAAAGACATGGCTCCTTTTATACCTCCTGCAAGGTCATTGCTTCTCGCCAATGGCTTGGGAAATGCCATCAATGGCACTGACGGAAAATCTCCTGGTCCATATTGTTCCTGACGAGGCTATTCCGGAAATGGTAGAGATGTCCGCTCGTAGATTGGCATTTGTCCTTCAGGATCTCCGCAAAAGTCTCCATGAAGCTGGGGTCACGTCGAAGCTTGACTTTCCCCGCATGGTGGAAAATCTTGCTGGGGAAGATGTGGAGGGAGATTGGGGAACGGAGAATTGGGCTTCCACCTGTAGGAGTGCGGGGTGGATGAAGCTAGCGGGATGTTCAAGTTGCAGGGGGGTTGGGGGAGAATGAAGATATGGGGAAGTTGTGGCCGCGTAGTTATCAACAAAGGACAATATTCTATTATTGCGAGGCTGGGTTTACGCTGAATCTACCGTTGTATTCTAATATCTGAGGTACCTAGTGCAATGTGGGAAATCTTGAGCATGAAGGGTTCTACTGTAAGCTTTCTGTTAGTCGCTTAAGGAACTCGCCGATAAAAGCCCTCCTTTTAATATTCAGAGAGAGCTTTTGAAGGAATATTTGAAGGAACTTCTAATTTAAAGCTAGAAGTTAAAAGACCCCTAAAAAGACCTTACGTGTTTAAGGGCGAACTTGTGTACAATGCTAGTTCAAAGACTAGCAACGGTGCAGATTCAGCGAAGGTAATTACAATCCATAGATAGTAAGTACATTATATGAATGATAGTAGTACACACAAGCACGAGGCTCGGAGAAATGCTATGTGCAGCAATCGTAAATACAATTGATGCAACCATAGATGAAAACGAAACAGGTCTCAAATGATACGCTGAGATGCCACAAAATGGGTATCAGTAAAGACAGCCAGAAATCAAAATGGGGTATCGTATGGTCGCTGAACAAATGGCAGGTATCACTTTTCGCTAGTAGTAATTCATCGGCGTCCATTCTTGTCCTGGGTAGGACGTGGGGGACATGATGATCTCCTCGCTGGAGTCATCGTGTGTAACTGCGAGCTCGACGGGCTCGGGGGTCTCATTGACCAATCGGGCATCGCCGCGGTGCGGATGCGTCGACATGACGGAGACGTTGGAGACGTCGTTGGATAGATTGGGACTTGGGTCGGGCTGAGGTTGAGCCTTGGGTGACTTCGGTGGCACGGGTGGCTGGACTTCTTCATGATCACGTTCTTCGGGTGAAGGTCGCTCTTCGATCTGGCTCACGTCGGTCAGTGGAACTGACTGACCGCTATTACTAGAGTCAGATCCCCCGATGGGTGATAATGGGGTTGGGGAAAGCATAGGCTGGCTCTTTGTGCGGGTGTGCTGAACAGGCGCGGAGGGTTCTCCAGACTGCATTGACGAGTAGAACCTGCCAGATAGCATGGAAGGGGTTGCAACGATGGGCGGGAGGGGCATGCTTTGCCGGTGGTGAGCATCGCGAGCGGGAGGGGACGATTCGACAGAGGAGAATGAAGACCTGGAGACTGGCGGAGGTGGGAGGTCTTTGCCGACAGGGTCGTTGGTTGGATGACCGTTGTGTGCGAGCCAGTCATGAACATGGGAGTTCACAGGAGCTGATGGCATGGTTTTTGCCGGAGCGGGTCTAGCGAAACCAACATCGGGGGTCTCGGGGGTCTCGGGGGTCTTGCTCTGTACAGGCTGGGGTTCTTGTTGGCGACCAAAGAAGCCCTGCAATTGGTTAGAAAGAGTCTTTAAAGAATACCACGACGATTGAGTATCACATACGCTGATCCTACTAAAGCCCCTCTTCTTCTGGCCGCCTTCCCTCTGGTGCGATTCAATCTGCGCGCCTCGTGTTTGAAGCCCCTGGAGTTCTTTCGAGAATCCCTCTCCAAGTCCAGAGAGGGCATTGCCCATCGACGCACGGCGTCGTCTTCCGAAAATTTTCAATTTGTCCATCTTGGAATCACCAGATGCAGCGCGCTCAGACATTTCATTGGCCGGAGTATTTGGGCGCGTCCCCTTGCTGTTATTGCTCTGCCGACCAAAGCTACCAAAGCTCAACATGCTGCTTCGAGTACCCGGCGAGTATCTCACTTCATTCCGGAGCGGGCTTTGTACACCTGGTGTGGATGGAGGGAGGCCGCTGATTGACCTGCGCTTTGATTCCAAAATTTCCGCAGAACTGGGGGGTCGCGGTGGATAAGCTGAGCCAAAGCCTGGTGCAACATCGTGGAGCGAGGGCAGAGTGATTTCGGATACTTGAGCTCTGGAGCCAGGTTGGTTGTACACGTGTGTCTCTGACATATCGTCCCGGGCCGATTTCACCGGTTGTTGAAATGGCGAAGGTGGTGTATCAACCTCTCCCTCTGAAGGTTGGCTAGAGTTGTTCTCATCAATTCCGAGGGTAGAGACAGATGGTTGCCGTGGGGTGAATCTTGACTCTGGGGGAACAAGGTCTTTTGAAGGAATGTCTCTGGATGGTAAATCTTTGGGAGGAAGGTTTGGTGGATCTTCCTTTGGTGGTGAAACATCCTTGGGAGGCACCTCTGGTGGACTTTCCTTCACAGGCAGGTCCTCGGCTGAGAGGTCGACGGATAAGCGTTCCTCTTTTGAGAAAAAAAGCTCGACATCTTCAGATACGGGGCGAATTGACGGAATCATAGGCTCAAATGCTGGAATACTTAGCCGTAATGGTTCATTCAAATTCGACACAGTGGGAAGTGCAATAGCCTGGCTAGCATTGTCCGGCAAGCTCTTCTCGCTTGGCCCTGCACTCGTCGGGATGCAAGTTGCGCAAATGCTTGTGTTCTCCTTCAAGACGTCTTTTGGCTGGTGCTGTGGGTCATCGGATTGGAGAGCAACAGTTGCACTTGGGCTCAAACGAGGCTCGAATGTCGGTGCCTGTTGTGGACGGGGTTCGGTGGGTGAGAGGCCGAGAGCCGAAATCATTTCCTGTTCAAAGTCGGATGCAAACTCCGACTGGCCAGTGAATCCACCACTCTTACGGCGATCAACATCCAAAGGTGAGGAGTGCTTCTTAGCAGCTTGATCACTCGATATTCCGCTGACCTTGTCTGTAGATCGTAGATAGTCCACTGGCGCATTGGATTTGAAACGCTTGCCTGCACGCTCATCATCGGCAGAGCCTTTTAGAGACGAAGCGGGGTCCATCGCAGGGGCAGCAGAGAAATTGTCGTTCCGGTTGGACTTGAAGATAGGAAGGCTTCCAAAGACAACAGATCTGCGTTGGGAGAACTTATCCTGGGAGGATTCCCAGTTACCAGACTCCGATAGTGAAGAGAATTGCAATTGCAAACTCCTGCGAGAAGCAGAAGGAGTCGATTGGTCAACCTACAAACATTACCAAAATCAGAGCCAGCACAAAAAATAAAAACCATGAAATTGGGAATGAGGAGTGAAAAGCCGAAAAAAGAGAGATGAGCCAAATGCATCAATCGTGTCGCATTCTAGAGTCCATTGCCAGAGCGATGGGAACTACATCGTGGTATCCAAAAATGACAAGGAGACATGAAGTATAGAAGGAGGGATATAGACTGTAATGCTGGCTTCCAGCGCGCTGCCCCAAGACGAAATGAAAGGATGACACCCCATCCAAATAGGGAATTAGAATAAAAAAGGAAATGAGATCACGTATCTACCTTGTCTCCGCTGGGCCTGAATTTGCTCCTGCCCTTGGCGAATAAGCCCTTGGCAGCTTCGCCTGCCTTTCCACTGAATGTGCCAGCTGTGTGAAGGAGGTCCTTGCCGCGCTGCTCGACATTTTGCCGAGTCACAATAGTTCCGATGTGACCAGACGGACGCCTAGCATGGCCAGCGCCGGCTGGAGCACCATCCTCCTTGGAGGCAAGACTGCCAAGAGATGCAAGCTTGGGGAACTTTCTGGTCGTGGGGGATGTGCGTGGGAACCCAGAAGATAGGGTCTGACTTGAATGAACAAGGTCGGCATGCTCTGGATGAGCATGCACGGTAAATTCGAGCCAAGCGTTGAGACCCGTGTCCAAAGTCGCGAATTGATCTCGGGTCTGATCAAAGGCTCGTATGCGCTCCACAGAAGATGTCTTATTGAGAATATCGCGGAAGCCTTGTAGCTTTTTCTCGTCGACCTTTGATAGTCCAACTGGTAAAGTCACTTCCCTTTCAGGTAAATGACCACCAGTGGGGTCCACAATTTCCTCCGGTGGAGAGATGGTTTGTGGGATTGGAGGCACGATTGAAAGTCTGGGCTTCTCGACACGCTGAGTGTCGTCGAAAATTTCCCCAGAACTCGTTGACTGGTTTCTTGACATGCTCTCCGCCATGGGCTCAGGAGTATCAGCGAAAGCCTCAGGCTTCTGGGCAGCTAGCGCTGTGGTCAAGGAAGGGACTACGGTCTCGGTTGCAGGAACTGGCGCCGCAGGCTCCTCAGCTGACGAGGCCGACTCCCACGAGAAACGCCGTCCGAGTCGAGGCCGCTTTGGCTCAGCGTCAGCCAATGGGACCGTCTCTGCAGGCGTTTGCGCAGATGCGTATGGGTCCTGAGCAGCCAAAGGGTGTGTGCTAGACCAATCTGGGTGAGACTCAGAGACTAGTGGCCTCGGGACTTCATTAGGGCCTGGTCCAGTCGAACTATCCCAGTACTTCTCATAATTCTGCGGGATAGACCCTTCTGGATTTGGCTGAGGCTCCGGCTCCTGTGAATTCTCCCGGCTCAGCGACCGCATGATCTCTTCTCGCAACCGATCGTTGTCGGTATCCTGCGGCGAATGGCTTGCACTTCCAGGAATGATCGTAGGAATCTCGCCTCGATAGCCTTCAGATGCGACTGTGCCATTGCTACCGAATTTGAGAGGTGCAACGAAAGCGTCGGCTGGCGTAGTCGACGGGATTGATGCGCCCTGAGCGCCTGGGGCATCGACTGGCCTTTCTGGCGACCCAGACTGGCCTGGAGAGACCGATGACACCTCTGCTTGACCTGCCGAGGGAAGCTGATTGTCCATGATTACAGGTCTTTTCGAAGGGCTGTTGTCACCATCAGGAAGGCTCAAATCACGTCGATGACCAGGCTTGAAGAATGGGGCCTGCTCCGGCGCGTTGGTAGGAGTGCTGGTTTCCGCAGGCTCTTCGGGAATTGTGGGCGTTTTGTCGTCCTGAGTGTTACGGTGACTGATGATTGGACTAATCACAGATGTCCCGTCGCTGTTTGACCGCACTACACTGCCGGCAGTGGAGTTGGGAGTCTCTGGAACGTCGAAAGCTTGGTGAACCACCGATGTGAAGCCCTGAGACGCCTGGGAGTCTTGAGAGGCCTGAGAAGGATTGTGATGTAAGGAAGCATCTGAGGATTCGGTGCTTGGATTTTGCTGGAAGCTGGGGTCAGTGGGACCGAGGAATTCGGCACCAAATCCTGACATCCTTTTCAATTCCGGCAGCGCAATGGAGGGGTTTTGAGTCGTCTGCGGGGAGGCGCCCAAATTCCCGGGTATGGTACCATTACCACCAGTCACGATAGGTTGAGTAGGAGTAGGACTGGACTGAATAGAGCTCTGAGGCTCTGCTGGACGACCGGAACTCGCTGCTTCACCCTGTGGTGTTCGCTCCTCCCGCATGCGCTTGTAAATATCGGCAGGTCTGATGAAAGGCAGCGACTTCTGATCGCCAACACTGGGCGTCGGCTTGGTTTCAGTAGTGGGACCTGCGGGGGGCTCATCAGTCCGAGGTCCAAGTCCTGGCAAGCGCGTGGAGCTCAAGTCGGAGGTGCTGCCCGTCTTGTGCGTGGCGTAGGGAGGCGCCGGTGCCGCCGGTGGCTCTTCCTCTTCTTCGTCATCATCATCACCCCAGTCGCCACCGTCGTATGAATACTGCTTCGCTTGAACCCAACGCTGGGTCTTTTGGCGATTGACGTTCCGTTCAAAGGAAGGGGGAACTCTGCCCGTACTTCCTGGCGTGAGGGGACTGTTCGCGGGGGAAGGACTGAATAGATGTGTTTGTCTTAGAGCTTGTGTGACGAGGTACGAGTAATGGAATATCGGACCGTTTACTTACACATTCTGGACCCCCCGGCCATGCCATGGAGGATTGTGGTCCGCCATCAGTAGAACAGCGTCGAGTGGTGTGAACAAGCAGACCTAAGCCTCTTGCATCGGTTGCTGCCTGGCTACCTCGTAGGATTCCCGCGTCGCGGTCGTTATTATGCAAGGTTGACGACCCTCAGATGCTTTTCTAAGCCGGTGTAGGCTGGAGGGGACCGCCGGGTATTTCAGGGAGGACGGCGTGGCGCGAGCAACGTTGCAAATGCTAATCCGGATGCCGATCAGATCAGATGGGCAAGATGGATGCGGGCGGCAAACAAGATTGATGTACAAAGGCCGAGGATGACGTGTATCCACCCAATCTGGGCAATATGAACAAAGACGACTGGAGGTCGAGAGGGGAAGTGTGAAAGAAGAAGAATAGCAATGATCGATACAATTAAAGCTCTAAACTTTCGTGATTCAAGGCTCGTCTTTTCCCCTGATTTCCAGTCTGGGGTTACTTTTACAGTCTGCCCGATCTAATTTTGGATGCGGCGGTGCTGCTGACGTAACGACACAGCCACGATCATCACGTGATAACCATCGAATTCGCCGCGGGTTGATTGACGAACGTGTTTCAATTTAGGTAGCTCGCAGCAAGGAACAAGTAACGGTCGTGGTGTTTTTATTCTGAATTCTTCACTGATGTGAAGGCTGCCCTGGCATCTGTTTGCTTGACCCCCGCCATCCCCTGGATATCTCTCCATCCAACGACTCTGCCGCAACCGGACACGTCTACGCCTCCCCCTTATCGATTAGAGGTTGCCAAACACCGGCCAAGTCCACACTGACCCACGCCTCCTCTAATCTCCGAAGACAACGGTTTCTTTGATTCACTCGGTCATCCTTCTCTACATCACTCTCTCAAAATGACCGGGCCGTCCATTCAAGATCGCACGAGCGAGTTCAGCGCCATCCTCGGCCATGCCCAAAAACGACTAGGCGGCTCGAAAGTTGGCACTCAGCGACAGGCGCTCCTGACGGACGCTCAAAGGCGACAGGCCAATGGGTCGCCCTCTGGTGCGCAGGATCGCAAGGCAGGCAGATCCGAGTTTGCGCGACGGGCGCGGGATATCGGAAAGGGCATTACTGGAACGACCGCGAAATTGCAGCGTTTGGCAGAGTGTGAGTTGCTTGGCCTGGAAAGCCGAACCGCTCAAGCGCTTCGGTCAGATCCCCGAGTGAATAGAGACTAATTTTCGGGGATATAGTGGCGAAGCGCAAGACGCTTTTCGATGACCGACCTGTCGAGATTTCCGAATTGACATATGTGATCAAGCAAGACCTCGCCGCGCTGAACCAGCAGATCGCCTCCTTATCTGCGTTGACCCAAGCGCAACATCCCAAGTCGAGCCGGTCCAAGACAGACCAAGAAGGAGAACATAATGACAATGTGAGTAGGATATTCGCTATCAAGAGCGCACGGACTAAATGCTGACTGGTTACGTCCCAGGTCGTTGTTATGTTGCAGGGAAAACTCGCGGACGTCGGATCTTCTTTCAAGGATGTTCTTGAAGTCCGTACAAAGAATATTCAGGCCTCTCGCACACGAACCGAGAACTTTGTCTCCTCTGTCTCCTCCAAATCACAAAGCGCTCTTGACTCTCAACGCTCCGATTCACCTCTTTACAACACCTCGGGCCGCCGAACCCCCCAACCAGGGTATCAAGGAAACTCGTCTGACCTTTTGACTTTGGATCCTTCAAACCCCTCACCTTTGGGGCAGTCAATGCAATCAGATCAGCAACTCCTAGTGATGGAGGAGGCACAATCTAGCAATTCTTATGTCCAGGCCCGTGGAGAGGCTATCGAAGCTATTGAGCGAACTATCAGTGAACTCGGTGGCATCTTCGGCCAGTTGGCGCAGATGGTCAGCGAACAGTCCGAGATGATTCAACGCATCGACGCGAACACCGAGGATGTTGTGGACAACGTCCAAGGCGCTCAGCGAGAACTCATGAAATATTGGACCCGCGTATCTGGCAATCGCTGGCTTATTGCCAAGATGTTTGGTATCCTGATGGTGAGTTCAATCGTATAGGTACTAGTCAAGTGACGCACATTACTAACTCTTCCCTAGATTTTCTTCCTTCTTTGGGTTTTGATCTCTTGATCAACTGACTCGCCAAACCTTTCCTTTCGATATTGTATTATAATACCTCGCTGTTTGTGGTCTCTCGGACGTACAACAGCTCCTCTGCATGCCCCACGCTCACCCATGCGTGCCGTCTTTTTCTTTATCCTTGGCTAGACTGGGATGTCTGATACACTCGTTCTTCCCTTCCATTTCCTTATCTCTCTGTCCTGGGACTGTGTCCTTATGAAGAGCAACTCAAGTAAATAAGCACTGTGTACTAATTGAATCAACACGAATAAACAATTCTATCATTATGAGCCAAATAGTTTGTATGGGCGCAGGTCGTCAGAAAACTTGCCGTACTCTTAGAAAGGTCTATTCAAGGTGTTCGCAGACATGGTCCTCAACGACCCGCAGATAATCCGCAAGACCTATGCAGAGGTTTGTCAAGAAGATCTTTGGAAGGAACTTTTGAGAAATGCAGGTCTTTACTAACCTCCATACGTACTACTGTATGGGTTCCATGGTTGTTGAGCATCGGCAACCTCCGACCACTAAACCCCACTCGTCCGGCCGTCGGCTTTTCGGATTCCGAGAGAGATTAGGAACCTGGCATCACCAGATAGACTCATTTCCAACATGGACTCAGCAAGGCTACGGACAATACTCGCAAGCAAGAGACAGGGTTCCCGTGCTATCAACAGCAAGAGGCTATTCATTGTGGTTCATTATAGGCTCGGAAGCCGATCGCCGAACAATGGCCTCCAATATGCCCGCTGTAAGTCCACCACCCTCGGCCCCCACGCTTCCCAGACAAGCACAACTAACCAAGGAGTAGTGCGACTTATGTCACACGAGAAAGGTCAGGCTCAGCTCGTGGCTCCACTGATGAGTTCATGCTAAAGGAGTATATTTCGTTGTTCAGGTTAAATGCGATCGTCAGGATCCATGTATGAATTGTGTCGATGCAAAGGCGGAATGTCTTCGCACTCGTCAAGCTAGAGTCCATCGTCCACGAGTTTCTCGGTGCGTATCGCCCAAAGAAGCATCGAGAATAGATAACCAACAAATAACCCAACAGTCTTGATGCATTAGCTGAGAGACTTGCCAAGTTGGAAAAGTCAAACACAGCTGAAACCGCAACATCTGCGTCGCCTCCATCAAGTACTGCGAATCATGGTGGCACCTCGACTGCGCCATCGTCTCCGCAATCAACTTATTTCGATGCAGCTAGGGCATCTGTCAAGAGAAAATTCTACGCGCCTGTATCTCATGAAATAAGTCCCTCTGATCAACAAGACAGAAAGCGTCGAGTCTCACAGAGTATTCACACGCAAAGCCATGCTGAACACCACTCTCCAGAGTCAACCCGGCACGCCAGTGAGGCGAGAGAGTACATCGAAAATGAGCTGCAATGTAATCCAGCTCTCTCTCAGGACAGACGGACTGCATTAGAAATGGCGCGCAGGTTTGTCGGACAACTGTCTAACCCAGGCTTGCATCGTCAAGAAACTGTTGCCTGCGAAGAGCTGGATGTTGAGGTTAATCTGGCACGTCCAAATCTCACACCAGAGCTGCTATACATGATGCTACCTGGTGGGTACTATTCCAAGAAGGAACATGGAAAATCAAATACTCATTGCAGCAGGGCCTGATAAGAAAACCAACTCGCAGGGAACGATCGTCTGGCCAGATCATATCTCTGATAAGACCCTGGAAAGAATGGGGTTGGCTATCATGGAACGCAGTGAGAGCGAACAAGTGCTTCAACTCTATCGGATTAGTGTGTGGATCAAAGCCTTCTCTTGCATTTCAAAATTGGCACCTTTGATATCTAGCGAGCGCTTGAAGGCTCATTTCAGGACATTGAAGAAACAATACGAGGCTGGAGCGATTGAAGAACTCAATTCAATTCCGCTAACAGCTTCTCCAAGTCTACCATTGCTCCAGGCCCTTCTATCTGGCGTAAGTCGGTATCAATAGCATCGGAAGTTTCCGGCCCAATACTAACACATGATAGAAACGGTTGATGCAGTATCTGGGCAACATGTCGCGTTGTTGGATGTTCACTGCTCTGGCATCCAAGGTCATTATCGCCTTGAACTATCATAATATAACTGACACCGTGCCCCGGAATGATGTGGAAGAAGAGATACACGCCTGTGTATACACATGCTACTATTTCGACAAAACACTCAGTCTGCTTCTCCTGCGGCCACCATCGTTGCCTGAGCTGAAGGTAGAGCCCGCGCGATTGATACATTTGGACCCTGAAATGCCTACCACGGCGATGATTACTGGAATCGTCGAATTCGCACATCTAAAAAATACTTTGCCGAATATCCTGCTCGACACGAAAGAGATGGGTGGTATAGAAAAAGCTAATGCTCTGTCTGATCTTGTGGCTCGCGCTCATGCAATTCACTCTAATCTGCAAGTGGTAGGTCGGTCGATCTAACAACGAGTCCAAGCCGTCGCTAATCTACTCTTCCACAGCACCGAAGCCGTCAGGAATTGGAGTTTCCTGCCTCTTGGGGAATCTTGAGACGCGAGTGGCTATCTGTGGACTTCAACTACTATTCTATCCTGACTACCATCATCCGTGCACGGTCATCAGTGCTTAAGTCTCGCTTGGTATGCGAAGAATGCCTTTATGCAGCGCGTAAGGCGCTGACTACGCTTCGAGCTTTGCAAGAAGCATTCTCCGGCCATGCAATGTCTATGGATTCATATCCATATTTCCTCACCTGGTCAGTAACTAGTCATCACGTGAAAATATCCCCGGATGGTGAACTGACTTTAATCCTAGGACAATGTTACTCGTCCCCCTCTCGCCCTTCTTCGTCCTCTTCTGTAATGTCGTTGCGACATCAGATCATAGAGATTACGAAATGATAAGGACAATCACAGACGACCTACGGCAATTCGCCAAAGCAAATGCGTCCATCGGCAAGCTTTGCGCATTATTCGCGAAGTTCCTTGATCTATGTGCGCCTTTGATCAAGTCCAACCCTCCTGCCGGCGCATCTGAGCAATTCAACGCCTCTCAAAATGGAAATATTCCTATCGAGCGGCGATTCCCTGGCCAGCTGAAATCTGCCTATCCAGATGTGCTACAACAAGATGTTCGTCAGGTTCACAACGCGCTTCCAAGTCCACTGCCTAGCAGCGAGACGTTTGGTGTGCCTCCGTCTGTGGAGGGGTGGGATGATAGTTTGATTTGGGAGTTGTTTGATAATCAGCCATCGCTGGGATGGGCGGATTCGGAGTTGTGGAATGCAATGACGCAGCTGTAGATACCAGATTACCGTACTATGGAGGCTGAGAGAGACATGATTCTTATAATATGTTCATATTCTTGTTTAGACATGAAATGCCACTTAGTAGCCTACTGAAGGTAAAAACATTACCGAAGTTTTTTTGGAAGAGTCATGTACGGGTACCATTACAATGCGCTTAGAGTGAATTCCCATAAGGGCTCCGATGAGAATACAGTTACTAAAGGGAGAAGCAGGGATCGTGGAGCACAATGTGGACTATGTTAAAACTAATGATCCGCCTATCACACTTCCATACTTCACTTGGACACAGCTAGTCCTGATTTAGCAATGTATGACTGGTCGGTGAAATGCCCCGACGCTCAATCCGATTAGCACCGAAGCGTCTTTTGAATCGCAAGCATTCGTAAAATTTTCTTGCCACCGAAGTACAATTCCCCCATTAGAGATTCCCGCCAAAATGTTCAGCCTTTTCCGAAGAAACAGAAAAGCGATAAAAGTGTTGCAGAAAGAGAGCTTGCAGATTTGAAAACGTGGAGAAAGGCCCAGAAAGAGCTCTTTGACCGATACATCAAAGCCAAACGTGATGACAGGTGGCTGAAGTGGGCTCAATCAATCATCGAAATTCATATCCAGCTAGCCAAGACCGTTCAACGTGAACAATTCCTCGAGGAAAAACCACCAGCTTCGAACAAAGGGATGGGGACATTGTACCCTAGAGTGCGCTTGTTGTAATCGGTTTCGTGGGTTCAAATCTGACCCCTGAAGAGGAGAGACTTTTTCAGCCTGATTTTGATTTTGAGAACCGGAAGAACAGTCCTCACAGCCATATATGCTCAAAGCTTCTATGTTGTCCTTAGAATAAGGTGCTGTTGAATCGCTTGGCTTGATTTTCTTGAGTTTATGTATGTAGCAAAGTGGCTCAACTCTAATTATCTTTTCATTCTTTCGATCATTATGCGAAATGGTTCCCCTTTTCAAGCTACGGAAGGTGGCCTAAGTGTAGAGCAAGAGTCACGGTGGCCAGAGACATTGTATTTTTTTTCTTAATGCTTTCACTCCATTGTAAGTTCGAGTAATTGATAAGGTGGATTCCAAGGGTCGACACCATCGTGGGGCTGGTGGCTTTCTGTGCTGGCGATCCTTTGGGGCTCGTGGCCTGAGGAACTAGGCACAAAGCATCTTGCCATTGATGCCTGCAACCTCAGGTCTCAACATCCTTTGAGCATCGCGCGCCGCAGGACATCTCGTGTCATCCACAAAGCAGACGAGGAAAACATTTCACCTTGATGTGCATGCGATTGCTTTTGATTCTCTCTAGATGAAGTAATCATCTCTCTTTGACATCCTGATGCAGCGATGGCTCAATTTCGCGACGATTCCGCAGACACTTCCCGGACGCCCCTGGACTTGCCGTCGGGTTCATTGAAACCCTACTCCTGCGTAGTCTGCCACAGGAGGAAAGTCAAATGTGATCGCAAAGAAACTTGCTCAAATTGTGCCAAGGCAAATGTTGAGTGTATCTACCGTCCCCCGCCACCCCCGCGGCGTCGCAAGAGGGAGCGCGATGGGAGCAGAGGCGCATCCCAAGAACGCGAAAAGTCAGTTCGAAGAAACAGCAGAGAGGCCTCTTTGGGAGGCAATACATGGCAACACCCATCCCCAGCCAGGAACTTATCAAATGGTGCCGAACTAAACCAAAGCGGATCCGGGAGGATGATCATGAGGGAAGGCAACTCAGTGTACCTTGATAAGTTAGTGACCTTGTGGCCCACCCACTGGAAGCACTTGACTAACACGGACATGCACAGTACTCTTTGGACGAGTGTGAGCCATGAGGTTTGTTACTCTCGCACTTTTCGCATCTCCATTTCGTTTCTAATCTTGGTTTATAGCTCCCAGATGCCGCAGAAGTCCTGGGTGATGCAGCAGATGATAACAGCGACAATGCATCTCAAGACGAAGAGGATGTTTCATCTATGCTTCTGAGCCACGGGACAAGAGAAAGCCTGGCTGAATTGCACCCTGACCCTCTACACATATTCAAGCTATGGCAGACGTTTCTCGAGAGAGTCAGCCCGTTGACGAAGATCGTCCACGCCCCAACTGTTCAGCAGCAGATCCTAGAAGCTATGAGCGATCTGAAACAAATCAGCAAAGAATTTGAGACATTGATGTTTTCTATCTATTGCATTGCCTTGACATCTCTACAGGCTGGAGATGTCGAAAAGGCATTCGGCGAGAGCAAAAAGAAGCTTCTCTCAAGATGCCGGCGCGGAGCACAGCAGGCCTTTAGAAATGCTGCGTTCCTCCGTACATCCAATACGGTGGTTCTCCAGGCTTTCATATTATACCTGGTGAGTTGTATTATTCCTTTAACACCCTGCATATACTGATTGTGTCCTGCCAGTTGTCAATGCGAGCATTCTCAGATCCACATACGATCTGGTCTTTGAGCGGCATTGCATTACGAATGGCACAGAGAATCGGTATTCATCGAGATGGCTCCGGTTATGGGCTTTCAATCTTTGAAACTGAGATGCGACGCCGCATTTGGTTCCAACTCATGATTCTAGACGCAACGTCAGCACAAGCTTGCGGGGTCGCTGCGGGTTCATTCGTGGACACAGCCGACACCAAACCGCCGATGAACGCGAACGACAGCGACCTTGATCCGCGCATGACAGAGCCTGCATGTGAAAAAGAGGGCCCATCTGAGATGATCTTCTGTCTCGCTCGCAGTGAGTTTGGGAAATGGCTCCGTCGCTGGAATGCTGATACCAGCGGCTCGGGTTCTCCGTGGGCTTTCCTGTCATCTTCGAAAATGTCGTTGAGTGAGAAGGATAAGGCTATTGATGAACTGGAGGATATCATGGAACAGAAGTTCCTGAGGTATTGTGATCAGTCAATCCCTCTCCATTTTGCTACCACGATGATGGTACGCTCGGCTAGTCATTATACCAGACTGATGGCACATCATCCTCGCCAATATCACGGCTCGGGTACTCGAATACCCCAGTCTGAGAAGGATGTCATCTTTGGGCATTGCTTGAAGATGGCAGAGTACGCCGACTATGCTCAAACAAACCCCGATGTCCAGCGCTTTTCATGGCACATGGTCAATCACATGCCATGGGATGCTATAATCTTTATGTTGTCCGAGATGCGAAACAGAACCGACCCACAGGAAAAAGATAAAGTCTGGGAAATTATTGGCAGTATCTATGGCCGTCATATCCGACAGATGGGTAAAAGAACACAGATGCCTCTGCATAAGGCCCTCGAAAACCTGTTTGTCAAGGCGTGGAGAGCCTACGTTGATGAGTGTAACCAGCACGGCCGCACACCAAGACCTTGTCCGACAGTGGTGAGTAGCCTATTGAGCGCTTCCAATGGCTCCACAGAAACAAAGATTGCCGAAGAAAATGTCCGAATGGATGCGAATAGTACTCCCATTCCAGAAGAGCAGCCAGGTCAAGATGCCTCAAATGTCCCATTCGCCACTGAAAATGAAAGTATGGACTTCCTACTTGGTGATAGCCCGATGGACTGGAGCGAATGGGACCACCTCTTGAATCAGTTCCAAGAATCGCTGGTGGACGACATGACGTTGATGCCGGGGTCTGTGTGATTTGTGGTAAGGCGACCAATTTTCGGACAAATAACGGGTATTATCGGGTGGTTTAGGCCAGACCAATGAATTATTTGATGGTAAACTTGCTGTCTCACGACAAGGATAAGCGTTGCACTGGGACAGTTAGACACACTTTGAGCTGAGCGACAATATCGGGCTGATGAGACTCGCGCCGATCGGCGGGAACTTGTCCGATCTTTGTCCCTGTTCGATTCGGGGTCGGTGGTTAGGCCGCCCGAACACGAGTTGAACACGCAGACATTGTAGCCTATTTCTTACAACGTCCTCGCTGCTGTCGACGATATGTGTCCTGTAAAATTTCTATACATGTCTCCTTGACATCCTGTCCAACTTTAACGTCTTGCTGTATCTCCTCTCGAAGATCTTATCTGATCGCGCTTGACAACATCCACCTTTGTCTTGCCAAAACTCAACAAATGCCCGAAACAGAGGTCTTGATCGCAGGAGCAGGGCCAAGTGGCCTTGTTCTTGCTCTTTGGCTTCATGTTCAGGGTGTCAAAATCCGCATTATCGACCAGGCAGAGGGCCCCGCGCCCAACTCGCGAGCGCTCGCTGTGCATGCCCGGATTCTGGAGCTATACCGCCAACTCGATCTAGCCGATGAACTGATAGAATGTGGATATCAGTTACCTGCTACCAATGTATGGGTCAACGGTTCTCACAGGGCTCATATAAATTTGCGACAATTTGGCACGGAGTTGACACCCTATCCTTACCTGCTTACTTTTCCACAAGACGAGCATGAACACGTACTTGAGAAGCGACTGAACTCATTTGGTATATTCGTCGAGAGGAAAAAGAAACTTCAAAAGTTCGTGGATAATGGCTCCAGTATCACGGCAACTCTAGAATCTGCCAATGGAGACGAGTCTACCTGCGAAGCTGCCTATATTGTTGGATGTGACGGCGCTCACTCGGTGGTTCGACATGGCATCGAGGCAAAATACGAAGGTGACACTTACGTGCCGCTCTTCTATATTGCAGATATTGTGGCCGAAAAGTACTCGAGCCCTCTTTTTAACGGCGAAGCTCATTTGACCTTTGTCGACGAGACTTTCAATTTGATTCTACCCTACGTCGAAGAACGCCATGTTCGATTGATAGGAACGACAATTCCCAAGACCGCTGGGAATCAACAGACCGATACCTCGGAGCCTCACCACGAAGTTACATTCGAAGATGTGCTTCCGGAAATAAAGAAAACGACGAAAATCGAAATACAAAAGGTCAACTGGTTCTCCACCTATCGCAGCCATCACCGCGTGGCAGAGAAGTTCCGCAGCAACAGGGCTTTCCTTGTCGGAGACGCTGCTCATATCCACAGTCCAGTGGGTGGCCAAGGCATGAACACTGGCATCATGGATGCTATAAACTTGGCATGGAAACTCGCGACAGCGATAAAACAGCCCTCAATGACAGAAGAAGCAAAGAATGCCCTTCTGGATACCTATGAGCCTGAGCGTCGGTCATTCGCGCTAGATGTGGTCGGGGCAACAGACCACGGCTTCACAATTCTCACCAGTCCGGGATTTTTCCCCCATATTTTGCGCGCTTGGGTCATTCCCTATCTTATCCCAATCGTGACCCGATTTCAGGCTGTCCGCAGTCAGATTTTCCGACGTGGATCCCAGCTTGTCTGCTCCTACAGAGGTAACAACATGCTCAATCAAACAACGCAAGGCTCGGAAACGGTACAGCCTGGCGATCGTTTGCCATGGGTAACTACTGAGCAAAGCGATAATTTTTCGACACTTCACGATATCTGCTGGCAGATCCACGTGTATGGCGATTCTCGGACTGAGCTGGAGGAATGGTGCAAAACGAAGCACATTCAGTTAAATATCTTTGAGTGGAACGACAAGCATGGCAATAATGGATTCAAGAAAGGTGCTGCATATTTGCTGCGACCGGATCAATACATTGCTGGGATATTCGAAGGCAATGATCTTGGGTCCCAGTTGGATGAGTATTTCTCAACGAGAGGGTTGCTGTGCTAGGCATGCCCTGCCTGGCTGTTATTCCTGCATACGGTTTTCCTTCAATTTTTGTTATGATAATTCTCTTCTCCTTATTCAATTTCAGATAAGAATTGCAAAAATGGGCTGAGACTACTCGCACGACGACTTGTGCTTGGATGGCCATGTTCAGGGTTCCGGTGGCCGTGGTCATGGCCTCGATGGCCGGATCCATGTCACCAAGGCTAGGCCACGAGATGTCAGCAAATCTAGTTTCAACAGTAATCTTATCCTCAGCTTACGGAATTCCATTGCTCGGCTTCGCCTTCTGCCTCTTGATGAAATAGTACATCCCACCACTTAGGATGAAGCTAAACGCGAGGAAAATCACCACCCGAAGGCCTGGTGGCAGCTTTGCCAGGTTGTCGATAGCGGAGGCCTCGGTGGAAGAGGGGGAGCCTCTGAAGGGGCCGTAGAGGGCACGGGGACGCGAACAGTGCTGATGGTGGTCATAGTGGTGATCCTTTACTCGATGGTGACTGAATGAGAATGTTGTTAAGAGGAGGAACATCAAAGGCCCTGTTAACACCACGACATACTCTCTACCCATTAGGTTCATGCCTGCCAAATTTGTACTATGTATACGTCTGGGTGTGACTTTCTATTCCGTCTATAGCTTCCTATTCCGCGGATATAGTCCCGTAGACTTATAGAATTACCTCGCTCGGCGTAGCCTTCTACCTCTTTATAAAACAATACATCCCACTACTTAGGCAGAAGCCTAATATAAGGGGAAACCACGACCTAAAGGCCCGTTAGTAGCCTTACTAGGTTATCGATGGCGGAGCCTCGGAGGCCTTAGTAGGAGAGGGAGGATCCTCCGAAGGGGGCCGTAGTGGGCATAGAGATGCGGAAAGTGCTAATAGTAGTCATAGTGGTAATTACGGAGGTTTTATCTGCATGTGCCTCCGGGCCGTGTTTTGGTGTTTCGGATCCGAAGATCCGGATTTCGGACCGTCTTCGGAGATAGCAACAGGAATGGATGGCTTGTTCAGGCACTATGATGATGTCCGACAGAAAATAGGCAGGAAAGTATCTATAAATGCTTTGAAGTTCCCATCAACTTTGCAATATAGAAACAAACGAACTCCTACAAACAAATCCCCACCAACCAAGACAAAACAATCAATCCGACAGTCTATTTCATCAAACTCACTATACAATGGCATCAAACAACGTTGCAATCATCGGTGCAGGCCTTTCAGGCCTCGCATTAGCACTTTCACTGCACAAACAGTCCATTCCATGTACCATCTATGAGGCCCGCTCAGCCTCCCTTGATATCGGTGGCGCCATAATGCTCTCCCCCAATGCTCTGCGTATTCTCGATGCACTCGGTATCTACGAAAAGATCAAGCCTCGGGGTTTCGAATTCACCAACCTCCATTTCTACACCGACAAGCCACTCGACTCTTATGAGTTTGGAAATCGAGAGAAATACCAATACGACGCACTGCGAATCTACCGGTATGAGCTGATCGATGCACTTCTGACTGCGGTCAAAGAGAAGGGCATTCCAATCGAGTACGGCAAGAAATTCACTAGAATTCTGACTGAGTCCGAGACCGAAGTCACCTGGGAGTTTGAAGATGGAAAGACCGGTCAAGCAGCCTGCCTTGTCGGAGCGGACGGGATTCATTCGCGAGTCCGAAATTATTTGTATCCAAATCTGGAGCCGCAATTCACCAATGCGGTGGGCGTTACTGCTGCCGTTCCGACAAGTCAACTCAAGGGTACGGATGCATACGAAATGCCCGTGACAATCATGAACCCCAAACACGGCGCCTTTGTTATCGCGAAGCAACTCCCGGATGGATCTGAAGTCCTGATTGGGAAACAAAAGCGCGCTGCTGAGCTGGGCCGCGAAGGATGGAATAAGCTCTTGAACGACAAGCAGTGGTGTGTGGATTTCCTGCGAGAGGGATCAGAGACTTTCCCCGAGATTGTGCAGTCGTCTGTTTCCAACATTCCATTGGACAGAATCAATCTTTGGCCGTTTTATGTGGTCCCCAAGCTTGATACTTGGGCGTCCAAGCACTCCCGAGTGGTGATCCTTGGTGATGCGGCGCATGCAATTCCCCCGACAGCTGGGCAGGGTATCAACCAGGCTTTCGAGGATGTGTATATCTACGCCTTGATTCTTTCCAAGTGCCAACAGCACAACTTGGAGCAGGGGCTGAAGGTGTGGCAGAAGGGTCGCCAGGAAAGAGTTGACCTGGTTCTCGACCTGAATGCCCAGATTGATGCGCGGAGAATGCCGAAGAATCCCATGTCCGCCCCTTTAGACTTGGATGCTCAGCCATTTGACCTGGCCTGGTTGTATAGCCCTAACTTTGACGAGATGGCAGAGAGCTGGCTGGCAGGAGTTGGTATTGAGTGATTTCATGTTATTGGTTGTACAAACTTGCTTTGATGGAATAATCGTGAATCCGTTGATGCTGTGCTCAGATCCCAAAATTATGTTGTTACAACACCTATTTATGCATTCCCGTGATTCCCGTAACTTCATTGCCCACCCTAGATTGCTTCACTTGTCACGCATACTGCCCGCAGTTTCATCATAACAAGCTTTCAGAACAGCCAGTGAGTTTCGCTTTTGCCGAGCCCTCCAGCCTTCTCACAACAGACGAGGGCAGTAGTGCAGTTCGCCATCGAAAAACTCAATCCGACTTTGGTTCCTCCCGGTTACTTGAAGAGACGACAATATGGGGTGCTGTATGTTGAGAAGACGGGGGAGGTGTGTTCAAGCTTATCTGCAACCCGGTGGGTGAGGAACATGCAGGTTGCTGTCCAGATTGTTGTTCCAACCGTGGCAGCTCAGCCGAACTACCTGGTTCTCCAGATATGATGCTGGGTGTAATTGCACCCTCGTGCTGAATAGCGTATTCAAAGGAGCTTCGTCTTGATGGAAGAGTATTTGAGTGTGGCCGACGACTCGTTGTGCGTGCAGGAGGCGGAACTTGCAACGATAATTGTCTGAATGGACCCTGAAGTATTCTTGAGCTCCCCTCGCCATTAGACGAGTCAGAATCAACGCTACCCGCAAAACTACCAGCAAAGCTGGTGGCTCTGGACCGAGGTAGTGGCGTGTTACTGTAAGCCCTCTGGATATCGGACAATTTCTCATTTCGAAGGAATTCGCCTGGGATTTCAGGGAATTTCAGCTTTTCTTGAGCATTGAATCCGGAATCTTCCATGTGAGTGTGGGCTTTCGCGGCGAGCTGTTTACTCGCCAGGTTGAGAAGGCGGGCCACTTGGCGTCTGCCGCCCGTGTCCACGGACTTTCCGGATTGATTTGTGGTAGCCCGGCGGATTGTGGAGGAGACCGAAGGTTCAGTCACCGCTCTGTTTAGTTCGGTGCTGGGCTGTTCTCTTTCGCTCTGGGAGCTCCGTTGAGAATCCGAGGTATCTTCGGTGGTTTTATTGGGAATGGTATGATTGCATCTTGTACATGCTTCACATTGGATGCTAGCTCTTCCATCTGGCTGAATGGGGACTTGAGTTTCTGGTTCCTGAGTTTCTTTCTCCTCGGCCTCCATATCGGCCGCCAGTAGGAGATACAACGACCCGATCGCAGCAAGTCCAGTCCCGACAATCGGTGCCCATTGGCCTAGAATGTTGAGGTCTTGTTAGTTTTGTTGCCTCTATGAGGTAATAAGAGTCCGAATTTAACGGACAGGGGAAGCAATAAATACCAATACTCTGTATAGGCTCCGTCTGATGATACACAGGCGTACTGAAGAAGTTCATCTCGCCTTTGATCAATATTGCCAGTACCGCTGCAATGAACACGGGGATCTCAATCAGTGTCAACCAGCCTCGTATTCTGTTGGCAATTCCAGTCATTTGCTTGGGCGTTGCTCCATTAGTCCCCTCAATGGGTTTTTCATCTGGTTTCTCATCTGGTTTCTCATCGGGCCGATCTTTGCCAGATAATTTCTCCCAATTCTTCTCCAGGATCTTGATCCATGTTGAGACAAGTGATAGGATGGCAGGAATGCAGCATGCGGCCGCGAGGAGTGTCGCCGTATTGAATGTGAGCTTCTGGGGTACCGGGATTACGTAGATATTGTTGGCAGAGCCTTGCCGCAGAGGTGAAAAGGGGCCGTCATTGCCGCAGGTCATGCTGCAGGTGCTGTTATAGAAGAATTTACCTGTTTTTTTCCACGCAATCGTGGCCGGGTCATCAGCCGGGCAGGTTGTAGCCTCGAAACGAATAAACTCCACGGTCAAACTGAGGAGTCCAGCAAGAAGAAGGCCAGTCCACAGGAATATGATGTCACGACCGGGATTGTTGAAATATGTCTTGGAGAGTCGCACGGTGACTGGTGCGGTGAGAATGCCAATTGCGCACAGTTGAAAAGCGCCGTACACATCCATGTCAACGGCACCTGCCAGATAGTTAGCTCCTGACCTGAATACTGGAACAATACCCACGCTAGTTTATCTTTATCACTACCTCGGGGACTAGTGACTTACCGCTTCGATGAAGAGTCGCCAGGACAATTGCATGAAGAGCCGCAACGGCAGGAAATAGCAGTGCTGCAGCTAGACAAGCGCTGCGAATCCACTCTGCTTTGCGAGCAAAAATACAGGCTGCCATCGAAGCATAGTAACTATCGCTCATATCAGAAGCTATTCACTCAATGGGGTTGGTAACCATCACGTAAAGGGGGCATACAGAACTCGCGTCCCTGGGCCATATTGCCCAGAAACTGGCCAAGCGCAGACAACCTCTAGGACCTTCTCAGTGGCATTGGCAGCGGGGACAGTTAGGTTGGTGCTGCGATGTACAAGGGTAGTTCCTAGTAGCTCAATAGCGGAGGGGACTGCTGGCATTGCTAGCTGCTTGTCATTTGTCCCCTAAGATGTGGATCGAGGTAGAAGAAGTAAATATAGGGGGTCATAAGTTATATCTTGAAGATAATTTTTTTCCTGCTCAATCTGCCATAGCATGATGACTTGGGGGGTTTGAAAAACAAAGAGCTTCTGGTGCGAGATTAATCGTAATGATCTGTCGTCTTCCCCGGGTTGAGTATCGCCAATGATTACGCCCGTTCGGCACGTCCCTCCCTGCATGGCGGTTGGTCAGCACCAGGCCATAGGAGCCTCATTCCTCAGTTTTCCTTGCTTCGGAGCCTCGGTAGGGACTAGATTGGATATCATCGGGCGATCGACTGGCAGTCGAACAAGTCCCCCAAAGCAGGAAATGCCCCCGTGATGGTTGTCGGGGCGCCCGTCGATGCTCGGGCGTTGAATACGAGGCCAGGGCACCTTACGGCCTTCCTGATTGGCAAGGCTGCACAGCGCATCGTGGCTGTGTCTGCATGGCGTTCTTACTTTTCACTTTGAAGGATCGGCTCATCGAGACTGGGAGAGAAGGAATTTAGTTTTCGGCCTTCCAGAAAGTCCAGTCCGAGATTCTGTGGAGAGCAAGGTCAAGCGATTTGTTGAAGATCCATTCGTCAAGTCCGGCCCTCCTGTGTTAGTTGTTTGATTGGATTTTCAGGGAATTGCTAGAACGACACCCCAAAACTGCTAATTTATGAGCTGTACAAATGTAGTACAGTAGGGTTTCATAAGTTTGAAACTATGACCAAGGTTCAGAATCATCTTATCATTCACAAGTCGAATGATGGACGCAATAATGATACCTAAGCTATCGAGAAAGTCGTATGAAACGACCTTTGGAATGACCTTTCAAGAACCAAGAAGTGGAAGCATATCTATTAGGGGGTCTCTCTGGTCTTTAGACTTTTGAACTACCACTGTACATAGAAGTGTAACAATTCAAACAGAAAAAATGCATGGAAACTTGCCTGATATGTGCGGGGTTTAGTGCTAGAAAATGCTAGTAGTCTTGGCTCTTTTTCTGCGCCTTTCATCGGAGGCTCATTGACCGTCTTTCTCACGGGGCGCAGTTTGCTCCAGTCAAACCTTAGGCTAATCAAATGGAGCAATCTCATCCCGTGCCGTTAGGAGAAGACCTTATTGCTACTAGTCTGGGGGGCTTAGTGACTGTCGGTGCCCGCGATTTTTCTTGACTTAATGTGCCAAGTTGTCACACCTACCGGGCTACACAATTTTTTTGCGGGCGGAGCCTGCCAACGACTTCACAGATCAACGTGGTGGATGTTTTAATAAAGCCCAACGAATGCACTAGCACGATCGCGCTGACAACCTCTCGACATATCGGTCTCGAAGACCACTAGGATGGGAAATCCATCACACGAGCCCCCCCCCTCATTCCTCTGCCTACGTTGATCCATTTTTTCCTTGTCGAGGAACCATCGCAAGATCATACCTGGATCAACTCCCACCTGGACTAGGGAGAGTCTCCAATTGAAAGGCAAAGCCCTCGTGGCCACGCGACGCCCTATTCCGAAATATCGTGGGCGAAAAATGCGGCACTGAGTTGAGCCACCGTTCTGACGTACGAGGCTTTCGATTCCTTGAACTTCTGGTATTTGAACATCATACCCTCAGCGACTTCAGTGCAATAAGAGTCTGACTATGATCCTTTCGTCGCGAGGAGTATAGGATTGTGGGCGCGTTTTCTAGCTTGCGGGCGCGATTGAAAATTCACCGAAAGCCGATCGAACCCTTCGCTTACCCCGAGCAAGGGAATAGGCCTACCTACAATGGCCGAGGATCTAGACACGAGCAAGATCAGAAATTGGCGATCAATAATCACTCTGATTGTCTTCGTGATAACTAGTAAGTGCGAGCAGGGCCTGAAGTTGCTTTCCATTGTGGCCAATTCTCATCGCGTTGTGTCCGTTGCATAGATATTATCGTGCTTTTCCCGTTCAGCGTCCCAATCTACATCCCGCGATGGCTTTACAACGCGACCCTGGATACACTCAGTGCTCTGCGCATAATACCCTCCCGCAAAGTTTCGCCACGAGACCAAGATGAGCGAAGCTTCATGGTACGGATCAATATACCCCTCAATTTTGTTACCGCACCTTTAGCAGCCGATCTCTTCTTGTTGGCCATCCTGGCGATTGGGCGAAAAGAGGTACACGATGGAACGATCGGCGCCGACAACATTTCTCCAATTGATATCATGGCGTTCTTCCTCACGCTTGCCTATATTGCTATCTCGATCGATGCCTCCGGACTTATTCGATGGCTTGCATTCAAGGTGCTCCAAAAAGGTGGTGGAGTAGGCCACCGGTTATTCTTCTACCTCTACGCTTTCTTCTTCGGGCTGGGCAGCTTCATCGGCAATGATCCCATCATTCTATCTGGCACTGCATTCCTTGCCTATATGACTCGAGTATCGAGCAATATTGTGCACCCGAGAGCCTGGATCCACAGTCAGTTTGCGGTGGCCAATATCGCATCGGCTGTTCTGGTCTCCTCAAACCCAACGAATTTGGTCCTCGCAGGAGCTTTTCAGATCAAATTCATCGTCTATACTGCCAACATGATCGTTCCAGTTGTGGCAACGGCGATAGTCATGTTCCCTTTCCTACTGTACATCATCTTTGCTGATGAATCTCTCATTCCCTACTCCATTCAAATGCATGAGCTCTCCGAGGAAGCAAAGGCCAGGAAGCCAGTCAACCCCAATATTCCCCACGCAAGGGGTAACGCGGAAGAAGAGGAAGAGATAAACAACGAAAATGGAAAACTACTTTCTCTCGAAGAGATCATGAATCCATTCTTGGACAAAGGAGGCGCCGCATTTGGCGCGGTGATTATGGCCGCGACACTCATTACCCTACTTGCGATAAACGCCGCAAGTCAATCTGGACAAGAGCACCCCGTGTTTTGGGTTACCTTGCCTGCTGCCTTCATTATGTTCTGCTGGGATCTTGCCTCTGGTTGGATCCATCGGCACGAGACGCGCGAGATTGCAGCCAAGGGTCGACGGGAAGTGGAAGCCGCGAGAGCAGAGAGGGACTGTGAAGGATCAAGTCGTAACCTGCAAGAGCATGACGATAATGCAAGCGATCGCAGCAGGCGATCAGAGGTACTGGAACCTTCTTCGCAAAGCTCTTCCCGGAGTTTCGTGGATGGTGACAAGGTCTCACACGGTAACCCAGATATCACCAGCCGCAAGCGAGCTCCTCGAGATGACTCCGAGAAGCGCCTGTCAGCAGACCCGGTGTACTCAGGAGATGAGCCTTTCCCAAAGATGTCGGTGCCTGTTGGGGTAATGGATACTTCTCAGAAGCTCACTCTCAGCACTTCTCCCGAGCCGCTGGAGGTGACACCTACTTTCGTGGACGAAGAGAAACGGGGTGTGTATCAGAAGGAGACAAGCTCACCTCAAACTCTGGTATCGCTTACAAAAGACCTTTATCGGTGGCTGCAGGAGACCTTTCCAACTGTCACCGTGGTGGTCTCACATATGCCGTTCCCTCTTGTTCCATTCGCACTCGCCATGTTCGTGCTGGTGCAGGCACTCGTCACCAAGGGATGGGTGCCTGTATTTGCGTATGGTTGGGATCACTGGGTCAACAAGACTGGAATAGTAGGAGCAATTGGCGGAATGGGCTTTTTGTCCGTGATTCTTTGCAATGTAAGCATTGCTGCCATGGCATGTCCTCATCGACGACTTTTGAGCTAACCACTTTTTGCTGACCATCAGTTCGCTGGAACAAACATTGGCACAACCATTCTCCTCTCCCGAGTAATTCAAGCGTGGCAAGAGATTCATCGACAGAACGGGATTCCTATTAGCGATCGCACTTTCTGGGCCTCTGTATACAGCATGGCCATTGGTGTTAACTACGGCGCTTTCAGCACTGCGTTCAGCGCATCGCTTGCAGGTCTTCTATGGCGTGATATTCTGGGGAGAAAGCATATTCGCGTTGGCAGCATCGAGTTCGCACGAGTCAATCTCCCTATCATCGCTATCGCCATGGCCGTTGGATGTACCGTCCTCGTCGGAGAGATTTACATTATGCGGAAAGACACTCCTTACGACGCATGATTGTGCTCTTTACGAAATAGTATGAGCAACACTAAAAGAAACGACACTAAAAAAACTGCACTTCAACGACTGCATAACATGAAGACATGATATATGATTTTTTTTATTCTCTTTCTGGGAGACCCTATTTGCTCTATCACTGATTAGATTAATCCGCGTGCTCATCATTACTTCACTCTGAAAGAAAACACACCCTACTATACACTGGCCGGATTTTCCGATCCAAACTGAGCTTCCCAGTATTTCTTCACACCGCTACAAATACCAGTGATGTTCTTCCAACTCTCAAACTCCGTTTCCAGCTCACATCCAGTCCAAAGTATGTCTGCCCAAAACTGCTTCTCAACGTCACGACCAAAAGCTTTAATGGTCTCTTCTGGGATGGTCCATGCCCGTGTGTAGGACCAGTCATCATTGAAAGCAGGCTTGACAGCATGTTCCTTGGAGAAAACGGTTGCTGGGTTGAACTTGGGAAAATTCGCATGGATGAAGAAGGGATGCGGAGCTGACGCCTTTGACCCGTTCACACGCCATTCCCCCTTTTGTACGAGCTTGTAGTCCTCGATAGGATTGAACTGAACCATCGCCGATCCAGCAAGTCCACCTGCTGTTCGATGTCCCATGGCGCAAATAGGCTCGCTGACTTGGTAAAATGGTTCGCCTAGTGCAGCAGCGGCAGTGATGAAAGTTTCCTTGTCTCCCTCCCCTGCTGCACCCTGTGACAAAAGACGGTAATAGTGTGTAGGGCCCCAGAAGTTGTAGTAGGTGCAAAGCAGAAGCGTCTTTAGATGTGTCTTCTTGGAAATAAGAAGTTCCCCAGATTCTGTTGACTGTCGTGAATTCATCGACACCACTTCCTGAGAAGAGATCTCATAATAGAATGGAGAAGCGGATGAAGCCCAAAAGTCTGGCCAAGTAACCATCTTGGTACTTTGGAAGGGCTCATTCTCGAAAAGCGACTCAGGCTTGGTGATTGGGAAGGCGTCGGCATCAAGGAACAAGATTTCTTCGAACGAGGAGAATAACATTGCGAACGGCTTCAATTGATACTTTTCAATCTTGGCCGCTCCTGGCACAGCGTTGATAATGTCTGTCATAATAATGCATTTTGCGTTCAGTGATGGCAGCACTTTGTCGCAAATGTTTTCCTCGTACTCGTCATGCGTAGCCAGAAATACCTCCACGGGGAGCTTTGAACCTGTGCGACGTAACATGCGAAGCGAAACTACCAAGACTGGTAGATATGAGCCTCCTGCAGTAGTCACCAAGCCCTTAGTCCCTGGAATATAGGAGAGCTGGGGCACATCCGTGCTGATGGCTTTCACAAAGTCACTGTGTGCATTCTTCATCATCAGCACCTCCTTGGCAGACATCTTCAAAAGCTCTGGTCGAGCGATTGGGTCTGATGGCTTGAAGCCAGATGCAGGTGCATTTCCAAGACGTCGTGGAGGCTTGCATTGTGGCTCATATGCCAGCAATAGAGGCTGAAACTCGCGCCAGAAGTCGACATGCTCATTTATGTTGTGGGAGTACGTCACTTGTACTTCTTTGACTCGGGATGCTCTCTGATCAAGCCCATCCCGGGTTGCCAGATACCAAATAGAGAGAGCAGCGAGAGACAGCGCAAAGAGGATGCGACCTCGGCGCATCACGCGTGTGAAGCTCATCTTAGTGATTTCATGAACATCGATAAGTAGCTCGGGAACTGAAGCGAAGACAATAACGAGGGGGATGGAGATGGGTGGATGAGCTGTGGGGTCAGAAGAGTCATATCCAATCTAAGTACAAAAATTTGGAAGAGACCAGTCCAGGCACAAGATGAACGGATGCATATAGTTTCCATTTTTTCGCATTGGTGCTGGAAGAGTCCTAAGGGTTGACCTCCCATGGACACCACCACTGCCCGGAAGCGGCCCCTAGTGGCTCATCCCTTGACTCCCGCCAACCACGAGATCGTCAAACGGAGGGTGAGGGCACTCGAATACTCAACAAATGTCGATGCAGGATCAGTAAGATACTCGTTAGGATTAAACAAAATATTTGATCAATTTGAAATAGAGATGTGAAGATTTTGGGAGGGTAAAGACCATTCTCGTCCTTCTTCTCCCAGGCCGTTGCAATATGGTGCGCGCGCTCTTTTAACGCGTCCCCGTGCTAGCGACCGGATCCGGAAGACGAAAAAGGAAACTCGAGCCCAAAACATCAGCTTACAGCGTTTGAATCAACCGGTGGGAGTTTTATTTTGTATGAAGACTTGTTTTCTTACCCTCAATTTCCAGGAATTCAAGTTATCGCCTCATTATCAGTTAGCTTTGCTCGATCCTGGAGGTCTTCACCTAGGTCGAGGCTATACAAGACGCCAACTTAGCTCTCGGCTAATTGGAATATCGGGAGTCAACAAGTAAGGGAAATGCTCTTCGAATAAGCCATTATGCTAACACTCATCAGGGAATGATTCCGGGCCTTTGATATGGGGTTCAAGGCATTGATACGGCCTTTTTTGGCTGTGACTGTCATCCTCAGCTGTGTGGTGAGTATCTATTCAATACGTAGCGGTATTTAGCTGACCATAGCTATCCAGCTCGTTTGGAATTTATTCACACTTCAGTGGCCATCCTGGCGTCCGCCTTCGAAGTTTTACGATAAAGTCACGAATGGCGTAGGCAGCCTATATGGGGAAATTTCAACCGCCAGCTCTGCTCATTTCTCGAATCCCCACTCGAACTCGAAAAAGAAGATTGTGATGGTGACAGGGAGTACGGGCAATAATCGCATGTTGGGTATGCCGCATATCAAAGAGATGGTATACGAAAACCGAATGACCTATGCCGAGAAACACGGCCTGGAGTTTATGTGGGCGAACATGACCAGCTATAACCTACTCGATGGCGCACCAATCTATTGGAACAAGATACCCATTATGCAAGATGCATTCGCACGCTTCCCCGACGCTGATTGGGTCTGGTGGATGGATATCGATATTATCATCATGAATTTGTCTCTCAGTATTCATGATCACGTTTTGTCACCAGAAGGAATGGCTCGAAATATCCTTCTCAATCACTCTATGACTGGAGCTGGTGGTGGTGAGACTGGTTACCGCAGCCCGTCAACATATGAGCATGACGATATCAATTTTGTCATCTCAATGGATCATTGGGGTATGAACGTGGGTAATTTCCTCATGCGACGAAGCGAATGGAGCGACTGGCTGCTAGATTTGTGGATTGAGCCGCTCTATATTTCACAAAATTGGGTTTTCCCCGAAAATGACGGGTGGACACATATGTGGCAATACCACGAGATCGTTCGGAATCATACAGCCTGCATGAACCAACAATCGATGAATACATATCCGGATTACAATATACTTGGGCAACACTGGCAGCCAGGAGATCATATCGTTCATTTCGCTGGCTGTGGTGGCGATGTGATATGTGAAAGTGCCTGGGCCAAGTACTGGAATTTGCGAGAGGAGGTCGAGGTTTCGTCCTCTGTGAAGAGGAAGTTGGAAGATGGTACTGCCGAGATTGAAAAGTTTCAAGGCAATGTCAGATTGTAAGTACAGCCAAGGTGTTAGTGTGTGCTATACATTCACCTAGCGACTTTTTTATCAAACATACATCTCTTTCTGCGGAGTTTTGTCGGCCATCAGAAAATGCAAGAAGCTACACGTATCATTGAACTTCTAGACAAGTACAATTGATTCTAAGAAAAAGACACTAGGGATGCTTCTGTGCGCCTTGATATATGATACGACTCTTCGATGCACCCACTCTTCACTTACGGGTCATCAACATAGAGTAAACAGCAATTTTGAGCTTATCAGATCCATGTCCAAAGAGTCCAAGAAGAGAGCTGAAAGATTCTATGTGCTGAAGGGTGAAGCGACTACGGGAATGCCGATGCTCGTGAGGAATGTGGAGTTGGATTTAGCCTGCTTCGGTTTACACCGAGTCGAAGCATTCCTGAGACCCTCGGCAGCTATGAACGCAAACGTCGCAAGGAAGTAAATCAAAACGGCAGACTAAAGGCAACTCCCAGGTTCAAAGCTCTTTTTTAATGTCACGGAATAACACAATATACGTTTGAAATTGCCATACAGGATTTTTTGTTGACTGTTAATGTTCTGTTCAACCCGTCTTGCGGACAATACAAGGCGCTCCTCTGAGTATAATGCCGTTTTGTCTAAACTTTTGTTTTCATCTTTCTGTTCCTGGAACACCAGCGTTCCCTGAATCCGGGTGGAGAACCTGTTTTTTCCTCTTTCGTAATTGTAGAATCAGGCTGGCATACATAGCACGCGACCTGGAGCCCGTTGCGTTCGGAAACGAACGTCATCTCTCATCCGTACCTCTTCTTGCTCTAGGTTTCAAAACTAAAAGACAATGTTTCAATTACTCACTATCGCGCTCTACAACATCACACAAATCTTGAGCCATGTCGGGTAAGACGCGAGCTGATAACTGGGTGGACGTGAGTATCGTCTCCGTGAGAGTATTCACAACAAAAATGGTTTTGCTAATTGACTTCTAGGGCCTTCGGGGTATCGCCGCCCTGACAGTCGTGACCTATCACCTTTGTTCGTGCTTTGCAAATTGGCTCAATTCGCCTGCCATCGAGGAAAATGGCCCGGTCTCTCTCTTCCAATATCCATTCATTCGACTCATCGTTGGCGGTCGCATGGCCGTTGCGCTTTTCTTCCTGATTACCGGATACGTGAACTCTTTCAGCACGAGGAAACATATTCGAAATGGAGATACCAGTTTTGCACTCCTCAATCTGTCCAAAAACACCTTTACTCGAACTGGCAGGCTTGTCGCGCCTACGAATGCTGCTCTATTCATGGGATGGATCGTTTGCCAACTGCATGGTTATAGATTAGCAGCTCAAACCGACTCGTTCTGGATTAGAGTGGGCGCAGTACCACCAGGGCCTACATTTGGGAGTGCAGTCTGGGGCCTTCTGCAAAATCTAACCTTGTTCTGGCATGGGGGTGTGGGAATATATGACCACACCTACTGGACTATCCCATTCTTTCTGAAGGGTTCTATGCTGGTTTACGTTACACTTTTGGGCACCACTCTCACTCAACCACGTTATACTAAACTAATCATCGTTTTCCTTTACCTCTTTGCCTGGTCGGGTGGCCAAGGTGAGTACAGGGTCCAAAACTCAGTGGTTTTGAATATATCTAACGCACGGTGATTTCATAGCACTCATGGAGTTGAATATTTATGCGGGAATGCTCTTGGCTGAGTTAAATGCAGACTACGGCTCACGAGCCACATCTCTGCTGTCAAGGCCCTTTTCTGCGCTCATGATAATCTTCGGGCTTTTTCTTGCATCATTTCCAGAAGAACATGCAGAATGGAGGCCCTGGAGCAACGCAGTCAACTCGGTTGCAGGCGTTCTCGTCCCTAGTGGTGGTGAAATCAACCGCTATGTGATTTCCGTTGGAACTGCATTCATCGCCTTCGGAGCCTTCTTCTCCCGAGATGCCCGCCGCATCCTATCTACCCCCGTTATGAATTTTCTGGGTCGAATTTCGTTCCCCATTTATCTAATTCACAATACCCTCATCCGCACGATACTATCTTGGTTGATATACCGAGACTCGGCAATGAAAGAGGGACTGCATCCTGTGGACGATCAGGGTAAACCAAAATACCTCGAGCGAGGGAGTGCTCTCACATTCGCTATCGCCATTCCTATGTTCTATATGATGCTCATATATGCCTCCTATTTGTGGACTATTTATGTTGACCCTGCATGTGGGAGAGCTGTTTTCTGGCTCTCAAAGAAAGCCTTTGGAGAGGATGATGGTTCAGGGTTCACGAAAGAAGAGGCACTGAAGGGCAGTTTGAAAACCTAGTAGATGCCCTTGTGTTGCCCTTGTGTTGCCCTCATTGTTTGGCAAAATACTATAATATTTATTTTGTATTATCATGTACTCATTTGACCGCTTTCAGTGTGTATATCTTCCTCTCTTGCTGGGGGATAAGCAGACCTGACGGGTCAAGGAACCTTATTCTTTTGTTTGGAAGCCTTGATAGGCATCGTCATAAATACATGATGGTTTTCCAAAGCTTTTCTGCTTTTCAATTTGTCAGCTACTACCTGTTCGAGTCATCTTCAAGCTGGTAACCTCACAGGATATGTATTCCGTCCTCTCCCATCAAGCGACCAGGCACTCATCAGCCTCCGAACAAGGGGGTCCTATGATCACGAATCCATCAGTCGGGCTTGGCTATATGCGCGTGAAGTATTTTCTTGTGCTTCAAAATATTACCTGGTACTGTGTCGATTTTTGAGCAAGAACTTCCGTCTCCGAGATTGGGGCGGCAATGGTTAAGCCAAATGCGAGTGCTAAACCGAGAATGACGAATCTCATTATTGTTCTGAACTGGACTGCTTTCTAAAGGCCGTGATTAGACATTAGGATTCTAGACCAGACTTAAGTTTCCCATTATACCGAGGGAAAGAAAAAAGACAAGCTGACGAGAATCTACGTTAATGAGTTCTCGCCGAATTCGGTCGCTCCCCTTCATCACTGTCTCGCAAAGGACGTTCATGCTGTGCCTGACTCGGGGATCTTTTCCCCATCCGGCCTCGGGCGCGGGAAGGCCTCAGTTCGTCTAAATGAAGATACGGTCGCATGAACACAAAACAACTCCCCAGCTATCTACAGACAGCAGTAACAGGACCCAGGACGAGAAATCGAAAAAATCCTATCATTGAAAAACCTGTCTCGCAGTCGAATGATTCCTAGAAATCGTCTTGGTCTAAAGCATTCATGACCTCTATTTCCTGCCGAGAAAGTCCTTGGTAGAATTCCAAAGGCCGCGTGTGCCAGCCGCAATTTCATGCCTGCCATCGTAGAGAGGAAAAATGACCACTGCACCAAATGCACTAAATTGCCAGATAATGGCAACTGTTACCCATCCCGAGAAGAATGACTTTGTGAAGATGTAATCACGATACAATGGAAGCGGCCAAGCGACAAAAGTCACCAAAACAATGACCACGAACATTATGCACGCTATCTTAAGCCAGCGGTATAGCTCCTTCAAGGTTTGCTCATCAAATGGATGCTGAATATCATCAATGCTAGGCGTAGATCCTGATGGCAGTTTTTGGTCTCGTGCTGAATGCTTTTCGCCTGCTGGCTGTTCAAGATCGCTTTTGCTGTTAAGTACGGAGTCAGGGCCAGCAGGCACCTCATTGATAGAAGTAGAGGCATCTTTGCGGCTTTTGGACCTTTCATCGTCACTGCTTTCGTTGAGTGTACTGATTTCGGAGTCAGCATGCAGCTGAGCTTCGTCCGCAAGCTCGATTCGTAGGAACTCTCGCCAGTCAAATTTGTAAGGTTTGTAGAGCGACAATACGACAGAGTACAGGCCGGGCGTGAAGAAAGATGCGATGGCTGCATATAGTGCAGGGTAAATATTGGAGGTGGTGTTGATGTTGATGGCGCCATACATGGACTGTGCGGATGCAAGCCAAACAGCAAGTCCAGTGAGGAATCCGAGAATAGGCGACACGATCGCTGCCAAACGAGTTTGGCGTGACCAGAACAAGGTGAGAATCAACGGGATGATGCCAGGACACGAAATGATGGGCCGTAGGTAACCAATCCAGGTCATGTTGGCACCTCCATAATTCAAAGCGATTGAAATCCCGGTGATGAATACCCCATGAATGACCACAGTCAGATGGCTCACTCGCACAAGTTGCTTGTCAGTAACCTTGGGGTTAAAGTAGGTCTTGTAAAGATCATACGACAGAATACTACTAACAGCGATCATGGACGATGAGATGGTGCTGGTAAGAGCCATGAAAAGTAAGAAGAAGAATCCGATAATGGCCTTGTCTCCCAGGAGAGCCTTGAGGACGTAAGGCATCACCATGCCCATACTGACTTCCGTAGAAGTGAGTGGGTCAGGATACGTGGGAAATATGGGAGTATTGTGAATCGCTCGAGCTGTCAAGCCAATGACGGTTCCAATTCCCCATGGGATTCCAAAAACTGCGATCGCAGCAATGTTATAGCCTGGTACAGTAGCCCGAACCTCTGTCGCAAAAGACTTCTGCCAGAACGCGGTATCCTGATTTTTTAAACATTAGCTGTGAAATCATGATGATCCTTGAATCTATCTCACCATGACTACCAGGGCTAAGTTTCCAAACTTCAAAATCAAGCTCCAGATGATTGCACCCTTTGACTTGAATGTGAGGAGTGATCCCTCATAGTTTCCCGAGATATAATTTTCGCTTGCGGTAGCCACAACTTTGTCATATAGGCCACCTAGGCCGCCAACGGCAGAGTTGGTCAAGACCGCAATCGTGAAGTAGATAATAAGAATCAATGCAATAGCTGTGTGGAGGAAGTCCGTCAGGAAAGTGGCCTTCAGACCTCCCACTGCGGTATAGAGCACCACTGCAGCTTGTTAGCAACCAATGTAAAAGATTAGCGCATATATTGGTTCATACCTCCAAGTGGAATCAGAATGGTAGCTGCAACGAAGTGCATTCCAGATACACCATAAATCAACTGTGACCCAGTCATGATCATCGAGGCACACCCAAAGACGTTGTTAACGAGATTCAAGACGATGAAAACAAGGTGGCCGATCTTTCCATATCTCATGCGGACAACCTCCAAAGAGGTGTGTGCATATGGAACTCGAATTTTTGCCATCACGCCTAGTGCTGCCATCAATGCGATTTGAAAGCAGAGACCAGAACCCCACCACTACAAACATGTTAGCTTCAATCAAGAAATTGTCATCGCAAGAGGCTCTTACCAAAGGAAGAGCTAAACCGTATCGATAGCACATTGCTGCGGCTAGTACTGTCTCATTGATCCACATCCATGAAGAGAATACGGCGGAGGCTGTTAAACCAGTGCCAACTGATCGATTGGCCACCATGAACATTTCAGACTTCCCTGAATCCTCTGATAAATATGCCTTCTGGACTTTCACGGCAATTAGAATCACGCCGCAAAAGACAACACTGAGGCCGACAAGGAGGCCATATGCAGATCCCTGAGAGATCAGGGCCAATTTAGCCGTGTCGATTGTGTTGGACATCCTGGCTCACTGATTCTGGTGAACAGGAAGACCTGGTTCCCTGGGCAAGAACAAGTATTTATCAAAGTCGATGCCCATCATATCGTATAATTCTAGGCGTCGGTCAGGGTCCAATTCATTTTCTACGGAAAGAACTGCGCAGCCAGACAGACTGCCATATGTTGTTGAATGCCTGTCACGTCGTACGCATACCCAATTGCGTTATAAGAAATGATGAAAGGTAGCGATAGAACTAACTGCTCTGGGCACAAGGCTATGAGATGATAAGAGTAAATCAGTGGACCATTTTTCACCTTTCCAATAATATGCGGCCGTTGGGAGTAATTCTGTCAAGATTGCGTGCAATCACGACGCGATGGCGAGAAACGGCTGTCGAATCACCGACCGACTCAAAGTCATAGATCTACCCCACAGCTTTGTGAACGAGCTTGTTTTGTCGGCCGATAGACCTACATTGGCATATTCGACATCTTCATTTATAATAACGAGATGAGGTAGATTTCATACAATAGAGCAGTTGGAATAATCTTGGCAACGTTGGAAGAAGAGTGTTATACCCGCAATGCCCCGAGCTTGACATCGGGACCTGGAAGGCTGGAGACTGAATCAAGTATTTTGCATTCTCAAATCAAGCACATGAACTCAATATGGGCGACAATTTTGAAACATCAAACGATGGAGGAAATATTTCCGGGCCGAAGAAGCAGATTATTCTGAATGCTTTTGTCATGAATACTCCGGGCCATTTGGCACCTGGGCTCTGGAAACACCCAGGGAACAAGACCGACCAGTACAAGAAACTCTCCTTTTGGACAGACCTTGCTCAGTTGCTAGATAAAGCAAACTTCCATGCGATGTTTATTGCAGACACACTGGGCCCTTACGATGTGTACAAGGGCCCGGCCAATGTGGTTCCTGCACTGGCATCGGGTGCGCAGTTTCCAGTCAACGACCCACTATATCTAGTCCCAGCAATGGCAGCCGTGACAAAAAATCTCATATTTGGGGTCACTGCTAGTTTGACTTACGAGAAGCCCTATGCGCTCGCTCGCCGACTCACCACTGTCGACCATCTTAGTGAAGGCCGCGTCGCATGGAATATCGTCACATCCTATCTGGATAGCGCTGCACGAAACCATGGGTTGAAAGACCAAATTCCCCACGATGAGAGATATGCAATCGCTCATGAATATATGGAAGTGGTCTACAAGCTCTGGGAAGGAAGTTTTCGAGACGATGCTGTGCTTGCCGACCGTCAACTCGGTACATACATCGCCAGCGACGCTGTGCTTCCAATTAATCACAAGGGTAAATATTTCGAGGTTCCTGGTCCGCACTTCTGTGAGCCATCACCCCAAAGAACACCATTTTTGTTCCAAGCTGGGGTCTCCGAGGCGGGTAATGGGTTTGGAGGCAAGCATGGAGAGGCGATTTTCATCGGCGGCCAAACTCCAGAGACTACTCGTGCGACCGTGGAGAATATTCGAAAAATTGCTCAGCAGGAAGGTCGCAATCCAAATCACCTGAAGATTATTGTGGGAATCAATGTGATTATCGCCGCAACGGACGCGGAAGCAGAAGCGAAACGAGAGGAGTATTTGCAGTATGCAGATTCGGAGGGTGCCCTGGCGCTGTTTGGCGGATGGACTGGTATCGACTTGTCGGGTTATTCGGACGATGAGGATTTCCGCTTCGCAGACTCGCCACGAGTTCAATCTATCGTGCGCAGATGGTCTGCAACCGTTCCCGGTACAGATAGTCTGCCGTGGACGAAGAAACGCATCGTGGAATACATCAGTGTTGGTGGGCTCCAGGCCAAGGTAATTGGTAGCCCCACAACGGTCGCAGACGAATTAGAGCGATGGGTTGAAGTATCTGGAGTTGATGGATTCAATCTCGCCCATATTGCGAATCCTGGAACATTTGAAGACATCATCGAGTTTCTGCTCCCTGAACTACGACGACGAGGTCGTTTCCGGTCAGAGGTGGAGCATGAGGGAGCGACTGCACGAGAAGTTTTTATTGGATCCAAACGGCTGCCAGAGGATCATCCAGGCAGCAAATACAAGTGGCGAACCGGGGAAAAGATTCCCAAATATCTGCAGGGAGACGGGTTTGGTGAAGGAAACGATGGGCCTTCGCACTAGATTCTCTGATAATCAAGGTTTCCAGCACCGGAACGTATATAGAGCGAGAAATCACAGGATTTTCAAGAGACATTCTTTGCGGGGTGGTAGTTTCCGCTAACTTCAATGCATTTCAATTCTTTGTCTATGGTCACTGCGTCATATCTCTCGTCGCAGTTCGCTGATGTAGTTTACCCAGCCATGAATGCGCAGTCCATCTCCGAATCCTCTTTCCAAAAAGTATGAAGACGATGACCATCAGATTATTGGCCAGCAGAACTCCTCCAAAAATTCCCGAAATCACAACCGCGTACCCTCTGCTCAAGATCCAATCTAACAGATAAGAGCCCATCCCAAACGAGATTGCCTGCTTTCCCAAATTCATGGCGATGAGCATTTCCGAGGTGTTCGCATAGTAGGAGTCGACAGCATAGGCCAAGGTGAATGTAAAGTAAAAATAGGATGCAAATTGATCCATAGCCACTCCAGCGAAGAATCCGATCCAATGAAGATTTCGTTCAGCTGTGAACCCATACACAATCAAGCCGGCAGGGGCAAGGAGAAGGGCTGGGAACAGCGCTGGGAGACGCATTTCAGACTCGCGGATCCCATTGTTTCGTTTTGTCCGGTACGCGGCCAGTCGGTCAGAGGTAGAAGAGAATGGTAGGGCAAGCAAGTATCCGACAAAGCTAGCGACGGCAATTAGGCCGGAGTTTGTCTATGATTGGTTAGATCTCTAAACCAGCGAGTAAATACAATGCACCTTACCTCGCTCCAGTTGTAAGGTGGCTCGGTGATCTTGAGAGGAAATGTGTAATTAAATGCCAAGGCCCCCAGACCAATGTAAAGTCCTGGAGAATATGATCAGCAAAAAAAGGAATTCAATCCGTACCCCTATCTTCGAGCGGATCGTACCGTAGCTTGCAATCACCCAGAATACAGCTGGCACTAAGAAGTAACTAAACGAGCGGACAATTGTCATGAAAAATTCTGGCTCTGAATCGATAGAGCCCCACGGTTTGAGTGTCGCCAAGAAGCTTTTTCGCGAAGGTACAGAGGTAGACGAAACATTCTCCAACTGGATGTGGTCTTCTAACTTCTCATCAGTGTCGCGTACTGTTGAAGAATGATTCGAATAATTGGACGTCGCGGATTGGTTTTTGCGGTGATACGTGGATTCCTCGACGAAGAAGAAAGCCATGATCAATAGGGCACCCGCAAAGGCTGCTTCCACGTAGAAGAAAAGTCGCCACGAATACCCCCCGGCAAGCATGTAGCCAGCGTATAGAGGACCTGTTGACCCGAGGCAGAGGCATACTGCTTTTTGTTGAGCTCCTATACTCAGTTCACAGGCATCAACTAGAGCACTCACTAGTATAGTAACCAATTTTTGTTCCGCGTTCATGAAGAAAGAAGATGTCGTTCACTAGTTGGACAGGCAAACTTTCACAGACTCCGCTGTTAAGAGTCAGTCAATTGATTTGATTTCAGAATTATGGGGAGCCGACCTGCCAAATCCGTGGAATACACGAGCAACCATCAGCCCGGTATAACTTGTCGCCTGAGAGGCTCCAATTAATCCAGCCAAAAACTGCAAGATCGTCAGCATGTGGGGAGTAAATGAAAATTGTTTGAACATACTGTCACCATGGACAATAATGCCACCGGGCGCCGACCAATTTTCAGGTATAGAGGCACGAGGATCAAGGATCCTAGAGAAGCATGTCAGAATCCTGCAAATCAGCCACATGCCTGAATTCAGCCTACCGAAGCCAAAGGCAAGATTTGGATAAGATATCAACCCAGAGGCCTCCGCTGGTGAAATCCCAAACTCCTTGCTATAGAGTCCAATGTAGACCGATGGGCCGGTAAGGGAGCTATTTCCGAGAAACGAGTAGACGGCAACGATGATTAGGATGACATTCTTCTTCCAGCTAGGCCACTAATGAGGTAAACGAGCATCAGTAACTGCTCATTGCTGACTTTCAAGTTATTCATCCTTTGCCATACGCACCTGCAGCGGGTCATTGGGATCCTCGGCTGGAACGGGATATAGGGCCTGTCCATATGCCGTGTCGTCACCCTCTGCAGCACTAAGATCAACGGTCCCAGGAATCTCGCCCTCGTGGGCATGGCTAAGTTCAAGGGATTAGATGGAATAAAAGCATTTCTTGTGATTGAGGTAGTATGGTACCTTTGCACAAGATGCGGCCTTCTGGCCGCTATTTCCTCCTTCGGCATGATGAAGCGCAGGGTTACTGCTCCGAGTGAAGAAATTACAATTTCCGGAAAGCTAGGAATAGGAAAACAACCGCGTTCGATATTTCAAGAACAGTTAATTGTCATTTTCTGATTATTTTGGCGAAATCCACCCCCTTATGAGCTCTTCTTGTTTTGCATCCCGCTCGTTTGCTGGAGATGGGGCAGGGATCGACCTTGCCATGCCTTCCCCGCATTACCTCCACATTTCCCCGGATTCTGTCCAATGTCATGGGCGATATGGGTAGCTGTCGGTACTTGCTCAGGCTCATTATGGGGCAGGCCCCACACGACGAAACTGGGGCTATTTTCCGGCAGAGGGTGAGAACACTAGCTGTAGAAGAATGGATCCGGGGGGATCATGATTCGAACAAGGGCACAATCAGTGGATCATTACTTCAGTACAGTCGGAATAGGATTTGCCACGGGGAAAGGGATAGCTTTCTGGAATTAAGAATATTGAAGCAAACGCCCATTGTAAAATAGGGACAAACAAAGGAAAGACAATACCAAGTATGCCCGCCTCTTAAGTGAACACATCAGTGGCATACCGCGCTTTCGTCCTCAACTGATCGAAGAATCGCTCTGCGGCAGTATCCTCGTCCAATTCAGCATCCGGACCCAATTGCTGACCAGTCTCCTGCGCCTCGCGAATCTTCTCACGACGGCGATCCAGATACATCGTCTTGCTGGCCTCCCGTACTGCATTTCCCACGCCAGTACTACCACAGACATAGATGTTCGCCCCCTGTTCAAACAAATCAACCAGCTCATTACGGTCCTCAAGCATCAAGTCTTGCACATGCTTTCCGGCCGAGCCATCCGAGGGGCGGCTGAACGCCCAGCGAACATCCACAGCGCCCTGTGCTGCCCACGCAGCCAGCTCATCGGAGTGAATATCATCCTTACCCTCCGTGCGACAGCCAATATACAGTACGGCCTTGGCGGGCTTGTCGCCTTCGGGGACATTAGCGGCGTCGATGGAACTGCGACGCCCACGGATTCTTTCAGCGCGGTCCATCACAAATCCTCGGAATGGAGCAAGACCGCTGCCAGCGCAGGCCATAATCATTGGCGTTTGGAGGTCGACGGGGGGCTTGAATCCGGAGATTGAAGGGCGGACGGAAATATGTGCACGCTCGCCGGGTTGCAGCTCGGACAGGTAGTTCGAGGCAACTCCGAGATACTCTTCGGGGCTTTCACTGCCTGGCTCGGAGATGCCTGAAAGAGCTGGTGCGTTCAGGACGGAGAAAGTGATTGAGCATTCTGAGGGGTCGGACAAGGGTGATGAAGAGATAGAATACTGGCGGACACGCATCGGTGGGAGCATCGCCAGGAAGTCACCTATCGACAGCTTGATTGATGGGTAACGCATCAAAATATCCAGAGGGCTGATGCGCTTCTGTACAATCTCGGCTGTGAATCGACTGGGGCTAGAAGCGATGTATTGCAACTCAGCCTGGACCTCGGCGTCTTCGATAGATGCTTCGGCCAAGAGTTTCAGATCGCGCTTAGAAGCCGGTTGGGAGAGTTCGACGTATGTTGACAGGAGCTCGAAAGCCGAGATTGGCGTGTCTAGAGGAATCGATGGCGGAGCTGAGCCAGACGAAGGCTTTTGGATTCGCAAGATAGCATCCCAGGGCAGGTCGAAGCGACGAATCGCCCGGCGAACGACAGTGCTTGGGTTCACAGGCAAGACTGCGAGATAATCACCACACTGGTAGGTCATGTCGGATGGCAGCTTGAATCGAAGAAGTCGCTTGGTAGGCACTCCGGCCTTGGTCAAGATCTTGTTCTCCACCACGAAGCCTTCTTCCAGCTGAAGACCCAGAGTAGATGCGCGTACACCCGAGCTCACTTCGACTTGCAGTGAGGACTTGGACTTGACGGTCTTTTCGGGGCCACCACCGAACTTGGCCGCGATAGCTGGCCAAAACGCAGTCTCGCCCCAGCCATCGAAGTCCGTGAACATGTCTGAGTTGGCTGCATCTGCGAGGCCAAGGTCACAGAGGCGGTTTCCACCATTTTCACGAACAAGTTCGTTTACTGCCTTAGGGATGCGGTGGAATGTGGATGCCCAGTCGTCTAAAAAAAGTAAAAACAAGGTTAGTTGGACTGCGAAAGAAAAGCAAGGATCGTGTTGAGAGAGAATACTCACGATGACCGCACCCAAATACTGCATAGTTGACACCTGTCAGGCTGTCACCCTTGAGCTCGCTCAGCCATTCAAAGAAATGAGCCGCGTTATCGGGCGGTTGGCCCTCATAGGATGCGCTGATGAAGACAACTGGGTCTTCCTTGGGAATATTCTGCAATGCTGAGTCCAGCGAGCTGATTTGCGCCGCAAATCCATATCCAACAGCATCATCCGCCAATCTGCGCGCAAAGGCCTCACAAGTGCCGGTATTACTACCGTAGAAGATGTGCATAGGTCTCGTCTTGCCATTTGCAGGGGCAGCCTGGGGCTTTCTTTCCCGTTCCGCAACACCTGCATCCTTGTGCACACCGGCAGTGTCACTCAGGACCAAACTCAACCTTGTCGGATCAAGGCCCTCGCGAAGGGAGGCTCTGATCTGGAAGTCCTTTGGCTTGATGGTGAGTGTTTGCTTGATACGAAGGTCGTAGCTGGGGTTGTCCATCTGAAAATTGAAGTTTTGAAGCAGGATTGCGACAACAATGAGTGCTTCCTGCCAAGCAAATGGACGACCGATACATCCACGCATGCCGTTACCGAATGGCTTCCAGGCGTTCTTTGGCAGCTTCTCAAAGTGCTCGTCTAGCATTCTCTCCGGGCGGAACTCGTCTGCGTCGGGGCCGTACACCTTCGGGTCGCGTTGCATCTTACCCAATAAGAGAATGATAGGCTCGTCCTTTTGCAAGACATACTTGCCACCGCCGAGGGTGACGGGGTCTTCCTTGTTCTTCTCGGGATGAGCGTGAACTGCAATCATAGGGGCAGTTGGCTTGAGGCGCAGTGTCTCACGCATGACAGCTGTGATATAAGGCAGTTTCGACATGTGCTCCACTGAAATCTTGCTTCTGCCAATGACACGATCAACCTCTTCTTGGGCCTTTTTGTATGCATGAGGGGTCTTGAGCAGGTAGTAAAAGAGGAATGAAAGCATGCCGGACGTCGTTTCATGACCTAACCTATCATCAGCATGAATTCGTATCAATAGTACTATGCGAGATAACCATACCAGCAATCAAAAAAGTGATCATGTTATCCACGATCGATTCGTCAGTCATACCCTTGCCAGTCTGGGTGTCACGGCCCAGAATCAACGCATTGAGAAGATCCTTCTTGTCTTCAGGGTTGTTCTTTCGCGCGTCTACTAGCTCCTGGGACAAATTACGCAAGTATGCCACATCATTCCAGTACTTGCTGTTTTCACTTGTAGGCAAGTTATTCAAGAGAGCAGGTCGACGAGCGCGGTTGGCCGAGCCTCCAAGCAAACCCACCATCGCCTCGACGAATGGATGCATGTCGTCATGATAGAAAGAGTTGAAACGGGTACCCATTGAACACAGAGCAATGGTGTCTAGTGTGAGGCGTGTGAAGTCATCGGTCACTGTGATAGGCGTTGTTGGACCTTGTCGCGCCCACTTCATGACTAATTGAGTTGCAATATCGTACATATCTGATGCGCATTAGTTTAAAGCTAGCTGTGCGAGTATCTTGACTTGTTCTTACCATCGAACATGCCGCGGATCATCAAGGGACCAAATGCGGGCACGAGGATGCGATGCGCGATCGCCCAATTCTCCTCGCCAGGATAGTTGGCCGTGAAAAGGCCGTCATGTGTTCCATTGCGAATCTCCTTCAGGCCTTGAGTGACAATTTTACCGAATCGCTCTTCATTGCAAACCTCGTCAACCAGCTCATGTGAGCTTATGAAGACGCGGGGACTGCCAAGGGTGGTGAGACGAAAGATCTCGCCTGTCCGGTAGTTAGCAGGTGATATGATTTCATGATCGCCAGGAGAATCATAGACTCGCCATAATTATCAGCCAGTAAGTCAATGCTGTTCAGCGGGACTTCGGGTTCAATGTCATAGATGTTTCCCAGGATGGGGACACCCCTAGGTCCCGGAATGGGAATTTCCTTGGATGCACTCATCGCAGAGGCCTTCAACTAGAGATATCAAGGCCAATGGTAGAAAGCGAAGAACCAGGTTGAAGGTAAAGAAGAAAGAGTGAGAGATGATCCAGTTGCTGGACAAGTTTGATGGCGGGGTTGGTGTCGTCAATTCCGATCGCTCGTTCAGGCAAGTGATTCGCGGTGAGGTTGCGGGGAATGTTTGATTTTACGAGGTTTATGGTTCGATGATACCTTCTTGGAAGTTGGACTGAGGCTGGAGTGAAATCAACGACGAAATGCAGTGCTTTTAAAAGAACTACCCTCCATTCAGCTATTTGCCTTCATATTCATATATCCTATGGAATCGGACACTATGCTCGAATTCCGTTCATAAAGCCACCTATTTGCCTCGCAACACGAGGCTTCAACGGAGTACGCGAAACATTTTTGTCGATGCCTGGATCCACCCAAGAGCCTCGGCTTGCTGCAGAGCCAATCATCCTCACAATCGGGTGATCCGCCGCCGGGGCAATTACCAAGTCGTTTTGTTAGAAAATTGGACGTCTGGGCCAAGATTACGCCTGCCGTGTCTGACGGTGCCCGAGAGAATTAAAAGGCTACGGTCGGAGACGGAGAGTGGGCACCGATCGGGCCGACCGAAGAAGCAACTTGCAAGATTGATGTGGCTAGAGTGCTACCTAATTCTATGGGCTCGAGTCCATCATCATCGAATTGTTTAACTGATGAGGTCATCGTACAGGTAGACCACCTACCGCGGCGCGCGGCACTAATTTTAGCAATTTGGGCTTGGCGGTTTTATTTTTTGATGTAAGGGAACTTATCCCTTGACATTGTCTTAGAGAATAATAACGATTCAAGTGGCAGTGTTGACGTTTATTGAACAAAACAACAGATGAAGAAGAGACACAATGTCTTAGTGAAATATGTACAGATCATGTGTGTATGAAAGAATAGTGACCTATAGAGGACAAAGAGTATGAAGAAATGCAGGGGACGGCAGCACTGTACAACGCCGACGGATTTTGACCGATAGATTGAAAAAGAGGAAGAACTGAACGATGGATATCAACAGGAAAAGGCCACCTATAAAACGAGCGCAGGTGGGAAGCAGCGACGACACGCTGGGACAAGATAGTAAAGGTCGTTAAGGAGTTACTCTCCCCGGCAATCGCAGACTCCACGAAGCAAGATGTACTCAGGACGATTTACGCGAACTCGTCAAAATGTTGAGAAGTCATGATGGCGTCTGAGAAGGCCGGGACAGCACACACAGAGAGAGGGAGCAGGGTTCACAGAACCATTCGTGACGATAGACAAAACAGACAAAAAAGGCAAAGGCGAGTGAGAAACACATATAGAGTTAGCATCACTAGTTGCTAACCTTGCTGTAGCCACCGTGTTTCCACTCGCTCTGCTTCCAGTCATTCTGGAAGTTCTGCATCTCTGTCCGCTCAGTGGCATACCGCGAGTCATCCAAAGCATGTTCAAGACGTCCCTTTCGGCGCTGACGCAAGCAGACAAGTGCCAAGGCAACAATTGCCAGGACACCGGCGGCGGCGGCGCCAGCGTAAATTCCGATGTGCGCACCATTGCCAAGGTCGGCCCATTTCTCGGCCAGGGACTTGGGAGGGGGCTTGTTGAGCTCGTCCAGGACAGTTGAGTTTCCGCTGGAAAAAAGAGGGAGGTCAGTTGTTTGGCCGTTAATTCAAGCGAAATATATCAATAATAGCACTCACCCAGTCACCTTGATGCTCTTAAAGTCACCCGACTTGTCGCCATAACTGTACTCCTTGCCGGTGTGGAAATCCTGGACGCGGAGACGCTGAACGCTCATAGTGAATGGGCCGTCGGCGTAATTGACCAAACCACCTGCCCACTCAATAGTACCGTGAGCAGCACTCTCCAAACCAGCAGGCCAGTTACTGATCTTGACCTGGCAGGGTGTCTGTGGGTAGTTCTTGCCGCCCAATGCCGTGGCATCAGTGTAGAGGAGCTCTCGCACCATTTTTCCATCGATCCACCATTGGAGCTTGTCGGAATCCCACCAAGTTGTGTAGTTGTGCCATTCGGTGTCTGCATTGGCGACATAGTGTGTTCCACCACGGTCGTAGGAGGTCGTGTTGCCCTTGCCGAAGAAGTTGGACTGCACCGCACTGGTGTTATATCCAACCCATTCCCAGTCAATCTCATCCAGATCATCCGACTCCAACACCACACTGCTCACAACACCCGCGCCCTTGGCCATCTTAACCCAGGACTCAACCACGCCGAAGAAGATATAGAAGTTGGACTGTAGGAGGGTGGACTCGTTGACCTTCGAGATGGTGAACTCCGCGGCGTCGTTGGAGTAGGTCAACGAGCCAGTGCTCATGTTCCAAATTGTCGTGTCGAGCTTCGTGGATGAGTTGAACCACCAAGTATGTTCGGTTCCAAGGGCCGGATCCGCGGGACAGGTCGTGTTCAAGGGATTGCATTCGGTAAATGTCTGGGCGGCGGTAGAGCCAGCCAGGGCTGCAAGAGCAGCAACTGTCAAGAAGTTCCTCATTGTAGGAGGAAAAGAAGTATTCAAAGATATAGAAGAAGACACCAAGATTATACTTTCCGCCTCAAATACTGCTGCTGAAGGGGCGATTCCAACCAGAAAGCGATAATGAATGGACACGGGGTAGTATATGTAACCCTCGAGGTATAGAAATCAAAGAGTGGATGTGCGATTGAAATCACACGCCAAATAAAGGATCGGAAAGGTGGAAGGCCACCAACAGCAGTGTTTCTCTAGAGATTGAGAGGGAGGAGGTTACAGGAAAGAGGGTGCATCTCAGAAGAAGTTCGGGGGGAAAGGGAAACGCCACGCCAGACGAGCAAGTGGATGTGCGGCATTATGGACTAGTGTTTCCCTGGGGGGTATGGCGAGTGTATTTTGGCGTATTTTGTGTGGTCAGTAAGGGGAAAGCTGCACGCAGATTATGATGATTTCTTCGCTTCTAACCAATTGTCGTTAGTCAGGGTGAAGCAGGTCGGACGCTAACTGTTACCCCTAAACTGCATCGAGCAAGCAACTAGCGGCCCCGTGCCTGGCCGTAGCCCAGTTCAGGGGTCCGCTAGTGTTCATTGGGCCTAACAGCACCTTCGTTTGGGCTTTGGCGGACACGACCAACAAGTCTGCACAAGTTTATGGCAACTCATTGGTTGATCGCAGGACCCCCGATAAGACTAGGCTCCACGGCTGGGAGCAGAGGTGGAGATAAAGAGGGGATGGGGGTGGAAAGTGGATTGTACCCTGGAACAAACAGATCAGGAGATAAACCCTTGTGGTATCGACCCTGAGCGATTGTGGCGTGCTAGAGGCGATAGATAGCCATTCATTATACTCGCTGCATGTTGTCTATAGGTGTCTTGTAGTGGAAAATGTAGGTGTTGGTCGATCGGTATACGACAAAAAGGGTTTCAGGAGTCAAAAAAGAGCCAAGTGGCGAGTCCCGAGATTAATCCGGTCTAGACTTGCCCCCCAAGAAAGGCCAAGGAGCGCTGTCGAAAGCAAAATACGCCTCGTCCAAATCTTCCGCTGGACAGGATAATAATAATAGGAGGAGTGCACGAGTGTATACACGGAAATTGGGTCTTACAGTTATCATTCTTTTGCACAAATGACAGTCCGTTGGTTTATCTGGCAGTCCTACCTAATCCTAGCTGTCTTACCATAACTCTATCTCCGCGCGAATCATGATTGAGTACGTCAGTATGTACTCGAGTCACCTACTTAGTACAGGGATATTATCCGGTATTCAAAGAGCACCCTAGTACATACAGATTGCATTTCATGTGTCTAATGATCTGTTACCCCTTTCTCACTCACGCCCAGAACTTCTATTTTGAGCTACTAAGACAATTTTCTGCAGAGACCCTGCTTCTCCAATTGAAGCGACTTTTCCCCTTGTTGTGGGTTTTCTCCGCTCAACAGTTTGGACCAATCACTGCGCGTGTAAGAGCCAAGTCCCACAACCCACACAGGTCAAGTTCCACGGAATTAGTTCCCAGTATTCCCCAGCAGTTTGGTGTTTGGGTTATTTGCTGGTGCTCGTTCTCGCTCGTTTAGTCGACCTTATGGAGCCTGTTCGTCCAGTGTTAGCAAGCAATTTGAGCGAACCACCCCAAAGCACAGCCACTGGCCGCGTTTATTCGTCCAACAAGAAGAAATGCCGACAAAGAAGCTTTGCGGCGTTGGACCCGGGCCAAGACCGTTGACGCAGATTGCAATTTTATCTTAAACTGCCGAGTCGGCTTGAAATTGACTCAGTCCACTGCGTTTAACTACAGTATGTCACCGGTCGGATTACGCGGCCTGTTCGTACTTCATATAGTTTAGTTGCTGTATTGTACGAGTTGAATCCGCCATGCTTGGCACTTGAGTCGTGCATTACAGGATTAAATGCATATCGGAATATTCAAATGACATGCCGCATAGATCAATACATGAGATAGTTGTCTTGGACAGTTGTGCATGAAGGAAATCGGATGATAACTAGGAAGTCATAGCCCAGGTTGATAAGTAACAATGAATAAGAAAGCTTCAATTGAAAAAACTATAGCCATCAATGCATAAACATCCAGTCATCACAGGTTCGTCAGGTGAAGTCGTGTCTCGTCCCAAGTCCGAGCTTTTCCCCAATCCTCAGAAATATCCATAACCAATATGTACTTGAACGCCTTTCGAAACCCATCAATCATTACTCCATCACCACATCCATCCCAGCTTAGTCACTTTATCTTCGCTCATGACAGGTATACCTTAGCCGGCCTTCGTACCTCGTCCCGATATCGTCGCGAACTACTGCTCCGTGGCTTCTCGACATAATAGTCCACGTTAGAGGATCGTCTTCTTCGTCGTCTGTCGTCCCCAGCCGCGGTTCGAGTAATGGGAGGCCGGTAGCCCACATCCGACCGGTCGTCACTGCCCCAGGGTAGCTGTAAGAAGCGCCAGAGCCAGATGAGGAGCAGGGTGCCGAAGATGGAGCCGATCACGATTCCGGCGATCGCACCGCCGGTCAAATTACTCGGGCAGCCATTCGAGTCGCGTGGGGTGATATGGGAGCTGGTGGGAGCCTAGTATGCAGGAGACATGAATCAGTATTTGATCATATTGAAGATCTAAGACTCGGATTGGAGCCGTGGTTCTGAGCTCGGGGGCCCGCCCAAGCTTGGGGGATTGAGCCATGGAATGCTCATCAGGAACTAACCATTGGATCAGATGACCACTTCTGACGGTTTGATGATCTTGAAGGGGATCAGAAACGATTGCCTAATCCCGTGAAAGAGATCTGGTACTCGATATGCCCGAGATCTGGATCAAAACCGAGTATCGACTCCTTGCGACAATGGCCAAACAATTGAACCGCAGTCACACGAGGGCAGATGAAAAAGGGAGTAAGAAGAAAGACTTCGAAGCAGGCTACAAGTCTTACATCTTATAACTCGGAAAAAAATCCCGCGGCGCAAAGGGAATATCCAACCTTCCTTTCTATCCCGCGCTGACGTCAAAGAAACGTCGGTCTTGGCGCCCTGAAAAGCAGCGATCAGCCCCTCTGCTCGCAACACAAACCTGGAACATTGGCATCAGAATCCACGCCCATTGGTCGCTGGGCCTTATCGCCGACCTTTCTTTGACCTTGTCTGTCAGCACTATTTGAATGGTGCTCAATGCTGGCTGGTTGACGACTCGAAAGGCTACTGCTGATGGGGCTGGGACTGTAAAGAGCGGGGCAATTTTAGGGACGACTGGACAACCTCCATGCAAGACTCATGCAGGTCATACGCCCATATGGATCTTTGCCTTTGCGGCTGCGGTGAATTGAGGCTAACTAAGATATTGATCATGGCCATCTATCGAAATGAGGATGTAGATTCAATTGTTCGGTTCAGCCCCAATTCATCCATTCTACAACTGACTATTATGGAAGCACCGCTACTCCAGCTGTACGTGTCCTGGCGAGGGTGGCACTTCTCCAGATTCCCAAGCTTTCGCATCCTGGCCAAGCTCAAACTCAATGTGGCCGCCGTTAGTCATGACGTCGTCATGCTCGAACCAATTCTTGGTCCATTTTTTCCCATTGATCTTCACGCTCTGGACATAGTATCCATTAACCAATCCAGTTGCAGAGATACGCAGCGTCTTGTTTCCACTGACTGTCATGTTTAGATCAGGGAACCAAGGAGAGGAGATCAGGTACACAGGCTGTGTTACGATGGGGTAGATTCCAAGCATCTGCCACAAAAGCCAGGAGTTCATTGCACCAGCATCACTGTTGCCTGGAACTCCATACGCGGCGTCTTTAAAGCTGTGGGGAATAATTAGCAATGCAAACTCTCAAATATTCAACCACTCTGGGACCATACTATTGGTCAGCAAGACTGCGAGATCGCTCGACACTTTTGGCCTGCTTGTTGATATAGTTGTACAGGTACGGTGTTGCAAAGTCTGGCTCATTCCTGTTTTTAATTATGAGCAAAGGTTTTATTTCGATAAGATCCAAAGTCATTTACCCGATATTGATCAACGTGGTGATGCCTGCACCATTTGCTCCGAGGTTCTGGACGGACATATTGGGTTTGAACTAGACACCATTATTAGGCATTGAGTCTATCATCACTGTACCGCACTTACCATCAAATCTAGACGAGACTCAAAAGTCTCAGGGCCACCCATCAACTCAATGAGGGTTTCACAGTCGTGAGGAATGACGAATGAGTATTCTAGAAGCATTTAGCATCGTTCTGTCTATTCTTTTTCTCCGTCAAATACGATTTATATCTTACCCCATGGAATGCCCTCATAAGTGTAGGATGACCACTCGCAATCATAGCAGTAGAGCGGGTCATAACCACTGCTATTAAACTTCCCATTTGAGAGCTTCGGGGCCAAGAAGCCCGTAAAGTTTAGACTGCTCACGCTTGAGTCCCAGATTTTCTGCCACCCAGCAGATCGGTTGAGATACTTTTCTCGGTCCTCCGGCATTTCCCCAGCAGCTACCTGGCTAACCGCGAAGTCGTTCAGACTGTACTCAACGGTGCGAGAGATGCACCGCGTATTGTGGTCTTCAGAAACGTAGCCCAGCTCCTTCCAGTCATCGAGGGCACCACGGCCTTCTTTTGTGCTGGCAGTCAAATCTGTGGGGTCAAATGTGTTATAGGGAGTTACTTCGGCGTCTTTCTTCATTGCGAGATACCCCTCAGTCCAGTTGATAGCGCCGCGGAGGCCTTTGACGTAGGCGTCAGCGAGAACATTGTCTGCGTCTGATCCGCCCTGAACAAGACCATTCCAATTGCCGGATCGGCCGTCGGGCATATAACCGTCATGTCTTGCGTGATGTCAGCAGGTGGAATTGAGAATCATTACAATGATTGCCATACTTCCAGATATCAATCAAGCTTCGGATCATAGATTCGTAGTATTCGGGTTGGAAGATGTGGTAAAAGCTGACCGTGCAACGGAAGATATCCCCTACGCTATCGTTAGAAAGTGAGGGAATAACTCAAGAGAGGTAGTACTCACACATTGTATAGAAATCATCCCAGAACGGCTCCCCTGAGTTCCACAGCGGATTCTCACCCGTCCGATCAGATGGCATCAAATGCATGAAGTACAACGAGCTGTACAACAGACGGACATGAGTCATATTAGCCGAGTCGTCCAGCGGTACCTGGATCTTCTGGAACACATCATCATTCCATTCCTTGACAGAATCTTTGACTGTGTCGTTCAATTTCCAAGACGGAATCTCCTTCTCAATATATGACCGAGCCCTCTCGGTGGAGATGGAAGAAATGCCAACGCGGGAGGTGATGGACGAAGCAGGTCCCTCCTTCCAGCTGAAAAGGACACCAATCCGATTATTCATTGGCCCAGAGACCGCCTTTCTCGTGTCATTCCCATAAATTGGCTCACTTATACCACCATTTGCAAGGTTGTGGTATCGTGGTATTGGATCCGTGTTGATCCCAGAAAATGTTCGTACATTGTCTGCGTTCTCGGCAAATTCTCCCCAGAAGTAAACAGTAAAGGGGGCGCCTAGGTTACTGAGATTAGTTGCATCTCTCGTAAGTTATCGTGGAATCTTACCATTGTTCCATCCACCGACATACGTGCCATAACCACTGTATGCCTTCCCATCATCCTCAATCTGAATCTCTCCACCGGTGTAGAATTGGCCATTCGCGTCACCGGGAGATCCAGGAAGATACTGGGAAAATCCCGTCAGTTGATACTCGAGAATTAATGTACTCATTGAAGCAACATACATGAGAAACATCAATAAGCACGTGCTTCTCACTCTCTGGGAAAGAATATTCCATAATGCCAGCATGTCGAGATGCAGACAACTCAACAGCGACGCCACTCTTCAACTGGGTCTTATAATATCCCACACGAGCTATATCATCACCAATCTAACACCAAAGCACCTGTTAGCTTCTTAGGGTCCTCTTCAACAAATAACCCACTAGCTCACCCTTTTCTGGCTATAGGTTGTATTGTCGAGAATATTGACTGGACCATCCACAGAGGTCAAAGGCATCTGCGATATCAAACCATACTTAGGAGAACCACCAGTCCCACTCTCATGCATCATGCTGATTCCGGTTACGTTTCCATCGGGCGTCCAACCTCCATTCAGCACAGCAGTGCTCCAATTCGCTGCTGTCGAATCAATTCCGACCTTCGCGACGCCGAAAGGACGCGCACCACCAACAAAAATATCACCACCACCAAAGCCAGAGCCCGAAACAGGGCCTTCAGAGCCTATGAGTGGATTCACATATTGGGACAAGTCTACCTTGGCGGCTGAGGTGGTGCCCGCGAGTAATATCACCACTAGGGTAAGGGCTAGTCTCGAAGGTAGGAGCATTTTTAATAGAAGAAACAATTTTCATAAAATCTCAGATCTCTCTACAAATCAATGTTGAGGAAGAAGCCGGAAGTCAAGAAATTGGTGTTTGGAATTTGAAGGTCGTGCGTCCCAGCCTTCTTATACAGCTGCATTCCAGCACACAGCGAACTCCGACGTTTTTTCCTTCCCTTGCAGTAGTGTAACCCTGAAGATCTAGAATTGGCCGAAAATACAACCTAATGGATCCAATGAAGGGACGATCCCTTGCGTATAATAGTCCATTTGTTTACTGCAGAGCTACCCCGCATCAATGCACACGGCATCCCAGAAGACCAGGAGTGGCGGCAGTGCTCCGTGGGGGTAATCAAGCATGATGACATATTGATCGACATTTTTACTAGTCAACGGAGTAAAGGGAAATGTAACACCGGATAAAAAATAATATAGCGTCCACAAGCATAGTTGGAGGTTGGAACATCCCCGCAAAGAGGGCTTGGTCGAAGCTTGTAGGTCATCAGTGCGGAGAGCCAGCGCGGGGCCAAACATGGGTGGTAGTCTGGACATACAGAACAGGGTATAACCGTAAGTGGCTGCACGAGGCATTATCAATATGAAATCGTCCACTGCGGATCGGCAAGTGACTTGCTTTGGGGAGGTAGTATATTTGAGCGAGGTAAACAATCTGGCGATTTCCGGATCTTGCTTGCTAACATGTATATCCACTCGCTCATCCCCTATACTCTACAGTATCAATTACCATTTTGATACACGCTTCGTAGACGCACATTGACTTTCTCAGCTGAACTCGAGTAATAGGTAAGATATTATGTCCTATTTACGTCGTCACTACGTCTGTAGCTTCCTATTCCATGAGTCCGAATGTCAAACACGTGGTTTTTGGAACATTGGGGCTCGGAGTGATCGCCCTCCTCTGCTGGAGAATATGGAGCAAAGTGAAATGGTGGGAAAATTGGCGACTGGATAAGGCAGAGCCTGGATGCCTGGGCTGATGGAGCAAGGTAAGTAACAGCTTATGGACCTCATCATTATCCCTATGCTGGAGTGCCAAAGGCTAACAATTCTGGGTCACATTGAAGACAAGGGCCCCGACACTGTGCCCCATGTTCTACATGTCTTTCTAAATGTCTTTTCTACACATCTTGCTACACATCTTTCTTTATCGATGAAAATTAACAAATCCTACCTGGTCGCGTTATCACAATCCACTATACTTGATTAGATTATTTCCTTCGTTTAAAAGTACATAGGAGTAGACTATAATTCTTGGGTGTAAAGAAACCTGTGTGTATTGCATAGTATAAGCATAAGTTATGTTAATTTCAAAAGGGTCAACTAAAGAGACTTAGGCGCAGAGATCTTGGATTGGTATTCTCTGGTTTCCGACCCCCATTCCGTCCATGAGGATACCTCCAGTCTCCGTCGTCTGCAGCTTCCTAGCAGAGGCACAATATCGAGGACCATACTGAAGTTTTCTACTTATCCCAATGACAACCAGTAAATGTGAAGATAGAAAAGAATTCATTCAAAGATTCAAAGACTCCTAACCCATGATATCATCAGAACAAAACAAGAGGCAACCGTATCCAGCCAGGAAACCTATATCCATGGATGCAGAAAAAACGAAGAACATGCAAACTCATCCCTCTAGTCGTTACCGGCCCTCGATATAGTCTCTGTTTTCGATCGTTACACTCTTGGTCATGTGGTTGACCTTATACACACCAACGAGACGAGAAGCAAGTTCGAACTGGGAGAAATTAGTCAATGATTCAATGGTTTGCAGATTTAGAACTAGGCTTACCATGTTGTTTCTCAAAGAGATGACAATGAACTGTGCGTTCTTGGTCCGTTCCTTGATGTAAGAGGCGACAATTGAAACCTAGGTAGGTGTCTCGTTAGATTCCAGCTCGAATAAACAAAGGGACGGGGGAATGAACTCACGTTGCGGAAATCCAGAGCCGCATCAATCTCGTCCATGACATAGAGCGGGGTCGGTTTGTAGTGATGTAGAGCAAACACAAGGGCCAAGCTGGAGAGAGTCTTCTCGCCACCAGACAAGTTTCCAATGTTCTTCCAGCTCTTCTTCGGGGGCATGACTGAGAACAGGATACCTTCAGAGAAAGGATCCAAAGAGTCGACCAGCTCCAGCTCGGCGTTACCACCCATGGTGATCATCTGGTACATTTCCTTCAGACGAAGAGAGATGATGCCGAATCCTTCCATGAAGCCGTTCAAACGGGCTGAGCGGAGGCCATCGAGGCGAGCTTTGGCGGCATCACGCGATGATAGAGCCTCAGCCAAGTCTGCAGATCGAGATTCGTGCTCGGCGGCACGGCGACGGTACTCTTCAATGACCGAGAGATCAACAGACGCGTTCTGCACCTTCTCCTCCAGAGCAGCGATAACTGCCTTGAGAGACTCCTTGTTCATCGCGTCCAGCTCATCCTTGGTGTATGTTTGGAGATCCGTTGACTCCTGTTCCTCACCAAGATCGCTAATATTCTGCAAGGAAAGTCTGGAGAGCTTCTCCTCCCAATAGCGGCTCCGCTTTTGGTTTTCACCAAGAGCTTTCTGGTTCTCCTCAAGCTTGTTGCGCATCTCGATTTCAGTAGCGCGCGTCTCGTTGAGTTCGGCCACCTTCTCATCAAGCTCTGCCTTGAGGGACTGAAGTTCATCCTTCTTAGCTTCGAGCGCCTCCTGGGCTTCCTCGGCCTTCTGCCTCCAGCCAGAAGCGTCGCTGGCCTGGTTCTCAACATCTTCCTCGAGTTTCTCCAGGTCGTCTGTAATCTGGTTGATCTCCTTCTCGGAGCCATCACGAGCTTTGGAGTGCTTGACGATCAGCTTCTCATTCTTGGATTTCTGAACTTCCGCATTGGAAATCTCGTCGCTGAGCATGCTGATTTGCTCCTTCAGACCGTCGACCTTGGCCTTTTGTCCACGGAGACGGACACCACCAACTTCCATGATCTTGCTCTGAAGCTCTTGGATCTCCTCTTCAATGCCGCTCTTCTCGCTGTTGAGCTCCTCAATTTCATCCTTCATCGCCTCGATCTGCTCCTCAAGAGCAGCGACCTGAGTTTCGTCGGACTTGGAGGGCTTGTGGGCGGCTTGCAGTTCTTTGACTCGTCGCTGGGCGTCTGCGAGACTGCGCTTGGCACTTTCGATCTCAATCATGATCTTCTGGATTTTGGTGTCGACCCGAGGGATCTCTTCGGTCTTCTCTCGCATGTTGGCTTCGACATTGCGTTGCTTCTCCTGGAAGATCTGGAACTTTCGCTCCAGTTCCTCAAGATCGGCTTCAAGACGTCCCACTTGTTCCTTGGTGGTGTCTGCAACCTGTTTTGAGGACATGCCGCCCCGTGCAACACGGTTACCACCACCACTCATTGTACCGGAAACATCGATCAACTGGCCATCCAGAGTCACCACTCGCCATCGTCGTGCACCATAGGCAATGCGATTCGCCTGCTCGAGGTCCTTAGCCACGAGAGTGTTCTGCATTACGCTGTAGAAAGCAGGTGCAAACTTGGGATCCTTAGGTTTGACCAGATCGAAAAGGCGGGGGACACTCTCGGGAGTGTAGATCGTCGACATGTCGCGGCGAGGCAGACGATCAAGAAGAATAAAGTTGGCACGTCCAAGGTTGTTCTTGCGCAGGTAGTCGATACATTGCTGACCAACTTCTACAGTCTCCACCACCATGTTGTCAAGGGCAGGGCAGGCAGTAGAAATGGCGACGTCGTACTTTTCGTCGATAGTTCCCAAGTTGCCTAGGCGGCCATGGAAGCCATCGATACGACCAGATTCTTTAAGTCGCATGAGACCAGTCAAGACACTACCACGGTTCTGTGTGCTTGCCAGACTGACCCGTGCCTCATCGGCCTTTTGTCGAGCGCTGGAGACGTGGGCACGAACTTCTGGCTCACGAGCAGCATACTTCTTCAAGTCGCTCTGCAGCTTCGCCAATTCAGCCTCCAAAGTGTCCTTCTGGGCCTGTCGCTCCTCAAGGTCGTTTTGCTTGGTCTGAATAATTTCCTCGATCGTCGCAATCTTGCCCTGGGCCTCCTCCAGCAGGACAGCACCGGCATTGCTACGCTCATGCAGAATATCAAGCTCACTCTGAGCAACAGCCATGGCAGATTGTTTCTGGTTGATTTTCTCGTTCCAAGGCTCGAGAGACTTCTGCTTCACTGCGATCTGTTCGGAGAGGCCCTGCGTCTTGCCTTTGAGACTTTCGCGAATCGAGTCCAGTTCTTCCTCCTCAGTCTTCATCTCTTTCTCGAGTTGAGCCGTTTCATTGGTCTTTTTCTCGATATCATCCGTGAACTTCTCGACAAGGCTTTGGCATTCGGAAGCAGCAAGGCGGCTGGTTTGCATTGTCTTCTCCAGCTTCTTGTGCTTGCCTAGGAGGAATTTCCTTTTCTCCTCAAACTTGACGTTTTCCTTATCGAACTTGGCCATTTCCTTGGTCAGGGCCTGCGACTCTTTCTCCATGTTCTCATATTCACGAACACCACGCTTGTAGGCCTTTTCAAGTTCCTTGATACCCGACTCATTGCCTTCGTGCTTCTCAAGCTCCATGTTCAAGAGCTCTTGCATCTGGAGGATGGCCTCCTCGGTGACACGCACGTTATCAGCACACTCATTGATGTAGATCTGATATAGGGCTGATTGCTTCTCGGCGAGTTCGTTCTCATCGCGGATGTATGCCAGAGCCTTGTCCTTCTTATCCACAAGGGCAGTCTTCTCCTTTTCAACATGTTGAACACGATTGTTCTTCTCAACACAGACGTCATTCAAGGATTCCAATTCCGTGGCAGCTTCGTCGATTGGGGTCTTGTACTTGGAAGTTCCAATGATATCTTCCAAATATTCAAGAAGACCCTCGTCGTGCTCGTTGGCAGCCTTGGCCTTCATCTGCGCGATCGATTCGACTTCACCCTGCAAGATCAAGAATCGCTTGTGATCGAGATCGATGCCGCGGTCCTTGAGGAAGGTTGTCACCGCAGTGAAGCTTGTTTCTTTCTTGTTCATATAGTACTTGCTGCTGTTGTTCTTGAAGGCTCGCCGCGAAATAACTAGATGGGAATCTGGGATTACTTCGTGGCCGCCGTCGGCAAGGTCGAGAACTTGTTCGAAGTGGACCTCCACTTCACAGAAAGAGAGATCGGGGTACTGCGCTGAGTTATGGATCAGGGCGGAAATCTTGCCTTGCCGCATTTTGCTAGCACGGAAGCCGAACACAAATAGCAGCGAGTCAATAACGTTAGACTTGCCGGAACCGTTGGGACCAACGACAGAGGAGAAAGAGGCGTGGAACGGGCCAACAACCTGCCTGCCGGCATAACTCTTGAAATTTGTCAGAATCAAATTTTGGATGATCATGCGAGGCTTTGGTTCCGCTGGTTCCTCCGCTGCCGCGGGCATTGCCATGTTCCTTGACTTCATCACGATGTCCATTGGCTTTTCGAGGATAGTCGAGTTCGGGTTGATGATCGAGATTTGGGACTTGGGCTCTTCGGGTTGTTTCGACGGAGACGAGTTGTTCACGGCGGACTCGGTGATGTCGGACAGAGGTGGCACACTTTCCCGATGTGCGCGCGCTGGAGTGGGCTCTGGCGACGCGGACGGCTCTGGAGTGGGAAGTGAGCCCTTTGTCGACTTGGGAGTGATCGAGCCACGACCCTTGAGGGGTTGAGTCATACTTTGTCTTTTCAATGCCGCCTTATTCAAAGGAGAACCAGGATCAGCCTCTGCAGGCTCAGCGCTCTTCCGCTTCAATGCCGCCAGGTTTGAGGGAGAGTCCGGATCGGCCACCACGGAGGCAATGCTGACTCCCTCGTCATTCTCATCATTTTCGTCCGTTTCTTCGGCTTCGGAGGTATCCGACTCTTCTACTGTTGGCGCGATTGATGCTCTTGACTGTCGTGACTTTTGCGCTGGTTTCACGGTGGCAGGTGTGACGGGTTCTAGAGTCAACTGCTTTCCAGATGCGCGCTTCGCCTTATTGGGGACGGGGGTATAATCCTGCTCTTCCTCGCTCTCGTCTTCGTCGTCATCATCATCGTGCATCGAGGCCGTTGGCGTCACATTGCCGAGGTCCTCTGATTCGGAGGTCTCTTCGACCACATAGCTCCGGCGCGCGGCTGCGCGGCGGGAGGGCCGACCCTTTGCGATGGAAGCCATTTTTTGTCGCAAAGATCGATCAGTTCAGCGCCAGATACATGGGCGCGAGGGGTAGGAGTTGGAAAGAGGGGGGGAGGATGATGAGATGAGGGGGAAAAGATGGATCGCAGAGGTCCAGGCGGGAAAGCGGGTTGTTTACGTTCCGCCCAAACAGGCAAGGTGCTGCCCTCTGCTCACAACAAAGCCCTCACCGCCTAGTAACATTACCATCGTAATATTACCCATCTGCGGAGTGAAGCGCATTGCAGAGCTCTGCAACTTTCCTAGCGTCTTTCATCAACCTGGTCTAGAACCACAGCTCACGATGGCGCAGTGGGAGGATTTCAATCATATTTTCAATTTCAACAAGAAATACTCATACGACGCGAAAGTGGTCGACCAGATCATTTCCAACCGCAAGGCACTAGAGAACCAACTCTTTGCCGATCGACTACTCGGCCTGGCTGGCATCACAGGAGGTAAGGGCAATGAAAGCGTCATAGATGAATGGACAATTGACTGATTGACTCGGTTCTTCTCTGTTCTAGTGACCAAGGTCTATCCACCGAAGAGCAATGCCGACCTCCGATCGCTCATCGAACATATCGTCTCCTCAGAACTAGATATCCACCACAAGCAGGCCTTGGTTTATTACATTCTCAAAGACTGTCGCAGTGCGCCAGAGGCCGCTCCACACTTTGCACAAGACTGCCACTTGCCCGAGAAATATCGTCTCTTCATCGAGGGACTCTGGAATTTAGATCGCCTTGAGTTTAGAGTTCGTTTTACCTCTCTTACTGAAGCCCTGTGACATTTCTAACTGTCGCAGCGCGCAATCGAGTTCCTCGCCGAACCCTCCCTAATCCCAACCTTCCCCGACGAGATTCTCTATGTCTTGACGCTATCACAACTTCCCAAGCATGATGATAGTCTCGCCATCGCCTATTACCTCACCGCCGCTCCTCCTCTGGCCACCGAGAAGGTCCAGCGAGCTTTCTACGAGACCCTTTGCCGGTCAAATGTGACCGAGGCATTCTACTTCACGCGGAAATACGATGAGTCGCAGCGCCGCACTTACTTCGAGCAGCTAGTCGAGTTCGTGCACAAGACGCCAGCAGGCCAAACACGGAGCAAACGTGCGATGGAGCTTGTCGGTCTACCATTGGGAGAGGACGAGGAAGAATGGTTTGAGGAAACCTTGCTGCATGGAAGTGCCAGGTCCTTCCCGGGAGCAAAGGATACAGTCATGATGCGACGCTTAGCCATTGGGCAGATGAGTGGCCTTGGAACTGAGCTGGAATCTCTCGGCGGCAAGAAGGTAGACGGGTTGAACTGGGATACACTGCGCGAGAGCATGCGCCAAACACAGAACGTCTACCCTTCCTAGTGTTCTCGGGTTCTCAGCATGAACAATCTTCTAATGAACATAAGATTTGAATGAGTGATTGGAGTTCGGTGCTGTTTTTATGATAACGGATCTTCATCTTCTCGAATTACCTATCTAGCCTGAAGCTCCTCGTAGATAGTAACAGCAAAGGGTAGAAAATGAGGCAGGTAGCCATGGAGCACTTTCAAGTGAGAGATATATTTTTGCTTGTCCTGGTTACTTCGACAACATCTGAGTGAGGAGACGCGAGGTCATCTCCACCTGTCCTCTCTTAGAAGTAAAAATCACTGCCCTTAGAGAAGTCTTCCATGTCAAGATGCTAGCAAATAATGACGCCAGACGCCAGTTTCTAGACTCGGTGAAGTAGATACTTAACCTCAACAGAATGCCCCTCGATAACGACGATATCGGTACCGATAAGAAGCCTGCCGATAAGATTCGCGACAACTCCAAAAAACAGCTTCTTTCGCTTGTCTACACCTCATCTCACCTCGAACCACACCTTTACTCCTCTACCACTTACCGTTAATCCGAAAGCAAGCTCAAGAAATTCGACATTGATATAGTTGCTGGTCATTGAGATTCGGTGCCACGTCGAGGGGGCGCTTTCCCGATCGACTCAACATCAATCACGACAAACGCGGGTATTGACGCAGTGAGCGTGACGGCTTCAAGATGGTGGTCTGCTCCTTTTTCCAGCAGGGTCGCTGCAAGTTTGGTGGTGAGTTCCTCAGAACCCTATGTACGCTGCCTAAGGCAAAGGTCGCTGATGTCTAGTTAGACCGCTGCAAGTATGAACACCCAGGTCGAGCCACAGCCGGCGCATCAGGGAACCGATTCGGCGCACTCTCCGGTGGAGGATTCGGAGGTAAGTCATTTTTCTGTGTTTCAGATGCATCTACAGGCAATCACGGAAGGTTTGGTGCAAGTCTGTGGTGAAAATGTTTGTCGTGCTTTTCGACGGGCAGTTTAAATCCCACCTGCTGTTGTTCATTCACCACACTTGCAAAATCACCCTCCCTTCGTGCATCTACTCAACTTGGAGCTTACGCTTCTCTGCTTTTCCACCCAATCATTGAAATACTTGATGCCAATATGTTACTGTCTGCCTGGGCCTCATCTAACCAGCGTCTTCATTTAGGCCAGCCAACGGGGCCGACCCAAACACCCTCGGAGTGAGTATTCCCTGTCATGAAACGATGTATTTCCATGTACTGATATAAAGACACAGCTACGGTGTCACAGCCAACGATATCAAGCTCGACCTCACACCCAACAAGGGTCGACCCGAATGGGTATTTTCCTCATACGCGCCAACTCGCAATGTCCCTCGTCAGCTGTTCGGGGGTCCTCAGCGAGAGCAAAGTATGGAGGAGATGCGTCTCCGCCACTACGAACTGACAGCCGCGGGAAACATGAACCAGGCTGTTCAGGAGGCGCAGGGCTTGTGGCAAGAGGCTGTGAATCAAATGGACTCCGCCCTGAACAACCTTGACGGTGCTGTCAAGTATATAATTGACGGTGGCAATGAACACCCCAACCGCAATGATATCACAGCAGGAGTTCAAGGCCCTACCGGAAACCAGCCAACGCCATTCGGCCAGCCCGCCGGTCCAGCTACTGGCGCTTTCGGGACCGCCAACGCCCCTGGTACGGGCTTCGGACAGCCTTCGGCCTTTGGTCAACCATCCACGCTTGGACAACAGGGGTCTGCGTTTGGACAGCCGTCAACTGTAGGGCAGCCTTCAGCGTTTGGTCAGCCCTCCGCCATGGGGCAGCCATCAGGCTTCGGGCAGCCATCTACCTTGGGTCAGGGTGCCGCTTTTGGCCAGCCTGCAGCTCTCGGTGGTGGACCAACTGCATTTGGGAAGCCAGCATTCGGTCAGTCAGGATTCGCGCAAGCTGGAAGTACCCAGTCTGCATTCGGTCAACCTGCCTTTGGTCAGCCCGCTGCTCCAGCAGCCGGTGCCTTCGGTGCGCCCTCGGGTGCATCTCCTTTCACACAGGTTCAGGCCCAGCCTGCTACAGGCTTCGGCGCACCCTCTGGACCCTCGCCATTCGGACAGCCATCTACTCAGCAGCAGCCTGCAGCAGCGGGCGGCTTTGGTCAACCAGCTGCGCCATTCGCACAGCCTGGCCAGACCGCATCACCGTTTGGCCAAGTCCCACAGCAGCCACAGCAGCAAGCACCAGCGGCTACTCCATTTGGACAACCATCTGCGGCACCCAATCCCTTCGGAGCTCCCTCTACACAGCAACAGCCCGCCCCCTCGCCATTTGGTCAGCCTGCCGCTCCGCAGGGTGTACCTGTTCAGCCGCCTAATGCTGGACCTCGTGCGTTCATCAAAATCGATGATCCTAATGACCTGAATCCTCTTCCGCAACTACAGGGTGAAACTCGGCGTGACCCCAACACCAAGCGTATCACCATGTGGAAGGGTCGTCCGGTGAATTACGTCAACGATGCCCCCTGCTACCTTCACCCCCAAGACAACAAGACCTGGGTGCGCATCAATTTCCCGGATGGCCCCCCAGATGACGCCAGCCTGCGTGATTCTCAGGGCAAGCCTGAGGATTACACGCCTGAAATCGAGGAGATGTACAAGTTCTTCCTCGAAAACGGATACTTTAAGGATGGCGTTATCCCATCCGTTCCCCCAAGAAAGGACTTCATCAGTTATGACTTCTAGTCGTTCTTCGGGTGAAGGGAGGTTGTTCAGCAATTTAATCAGACATTGCGCGGTTGGGTCTTTCGTTTTGGTTTCGTTTTTCATTTATTTTTCTTGGAAGCTGGAGGACATGTCTCCAGTGGATCGGATACCGCAATGGCGTTTTTGGAGTCGGGTGTGCCGCACAGAGCATTCCGCAACCATAGGTGCTATTTAGCAAAAACCATGACAATGCAAATTACGACGGCTGGTAGCCACTACAAAATGGTCCAGGGTATTTATTTTCTCAAGATGTTTCCATTTTTTTGTCTTTCAGGTTGTAGCGGGTATCTACCACAATACTCCAATATCGGCTCGTAGTAAACGACCAATCGCTTTTCTGCGCCGGCAATTCGCTCGGTGCTATAAACAATCGATCCCGAGACCCTCCCTGATCCCATTGCGGAACTAGTGCATTTAAGCAGCAATGGTGACCTCAACCTCAACACCGGCCTCGATGTTGATGATGATCTGCTTGACGGTCTCGGTGGGGGCGAGGAGGCTAGAAAGAAGTAGATCTATTAGTCACACTGCTCTTCATGTATTTGGTGGAACGTGACGGGCTTCAATGCCCCACCACGTCCATATCGAAATATCCGGGATGACTTACTCGATGAGACGCTTGTGGATGCGCATCTCGTACTTGTCCCAGGTCTTGGAACCCTCACCGTTGGGGGTCTTACGGGTGGAGATGTTCAGGGTCTTGGTGGGCAGACGGACGGGGCCCTTGACCTGCAGGGACTTGGAGCGAGCACGGTCGATCAGCTCCTGGCAGACCTTCTCGAGGGAGGCGACCTTGCGGGAGGTGAGGGTGATGCGGATCTTGTGGACCTTCTGCAGAGGGCATTAGCAATCTGGAAAATTGGCGATTCGCGTGTGATTGGCGACAGCGACATCCTCGCGCGTCGCAATGCGCCGGCGACGAAGTATGTGCTATGTGATATGGCGAGTGTTTATTGTTGGGTTCAACGTACAGGGCCCTCGCCGAACTCCTTCTCAGGCTTCTGGTAAGACATCTTGAGTTGATTGATGGTGTTAAGACGGAATGCCGGTCAAGACCTGAACTGCTGGGTTCGGTAAGGTGATGATGGCCGATGGAGGTTGTGTGTGGAGCGAAGCGAAAAGATTCAGTGCGGGAAATCTTGGCGCTTCGGTTATCGCACGCTAAGCCGTTTGTGGTAAAGATGGCTGACTCAGCCCCTTGATGGGTCAGCGCCCGTTCGGGGACCAAATGCAGTAACCAGTAAGGTTGGCTCACAAGAGTGAGCCTCGTGTGTGTGATGCGGGTTGTCTTCTCTTCTTGATCTTGATTATTTTCAATTTCTCGATCTTTTTCTTTTCACTTGAATCCATCTTCTCCACTCACCTGATTTATTCGGAATCTCCAACACGTCAATGGCGGACTTCCCGTCTCTGGCTCCAGTGCCTTCCCCCGCAGTGCGGAGGACTATTCCATCTAACGACTGGGATGCCTGCCTAGATGCATGGATGACGTTGCTTGGAATTCGACTGAATGTTCCGGATCAAAAATTAAAAGATGTGGCCACTGAAGACCTCTCGGTAGTCTCATTTCTGGACTCATTTTATCAACATGCTGCTGCTGGAGACTCTGGTCTACAATCCGGACCTCGGGCTCAACAATTACGGAAGCTCTGTTTTCTCACGACAAGACGATATCTACTGAGCCTGTCAAATCCACCCGAAGGCCTATTGAGTTGGCAGCTCCTGAGCAATCTATGTTGCTGCTATCCTTCCAGCACAGCGTTGAAGGCGTCATTATCGGCTGCTTGGGACATGCATCATGAAAAGATATCTTCTAGTATAGAGAAGGCAAAATCACTCGTGATCAAGCAACTATCTATGGCAGGGAAAACAGCAGCTCTTGGTGTTCTCGCAGACATTCGACGTTTGACAATTTTGACTTCAGTCTTGCCGAACTGCGGCCAGATTCTCATGGCTGGGTCAGATTACCTCGATACTCTATATGAAGCCTATCAAGCAAAGGATACCCGAGAAGAGCTGCGCAAAATCTTGGTCGCCAATGTCTATGTTGGCCTGGTATCCCTACTCAAGGAGACAGCCATCAACTTGTCTTTGTTGCTGGACCAAATATTCAGTCTCAAGGCCAGTGCGGGGGTAGGCACTCCCGGAATGAAGAATGAGGCAACTCTGCTATCCGACCTTGTGTGTAGCACAGATCTTCTACAGCGATTGGAGAAGCACCTCACAATCCATCCTCAAAAACGAGGCCAGGACCTTCTCGCCAGCCTTCGTCTATATCAAATGGAAACAAGCCCGTTCCACCACCGGTATCAAAGGCGGAAAAAGGTGGACAAGGGTAAAGGACCATCAACGGGCCCTGTCATCCCCGATGAGCTCCATGCACACAAGATGTCGCTCGTATCGCAGGTTCAGGATCTTTTCCCGGACCTGGGGTCTGCTTTTGTCGTGAGACTACTGGACACCTATGGCGACAATCCGGAGACGGTCATTGCACATCTCTTGGATGATTCACTCCTACCAGAACTCCAGTCTCTGGATCGAACTGAACAACTCCCCCTGCAGCAGAACCCAGTCACAGCCATCTGGAGCCCCGCTCAACACCGCCCTTCATCCCCGCAGAGCCAGTCCCGTCTCGCAGGAATGTCTTCGACGATGATGTCGACATTGCAGAACTCAGTCTCTCAGGAGATGCGGAAGGGAAACTCCGATTCGGCCGTGCCAATCCCGAACTCACTGCGGACGAAGTCCTCGCAGACCGCAGCAAGCACGCCATCAACAAGGCGGCCATTCTCTCAGCCCTTGCAACTTTCGACTCCGATGACGACGAAAGAGACGATACCTATGATGTCGCAGACGTGGGCGGCACTGTTGACAGCGCCACGACAGGCACAGACGCCGAGGCCGATGCAATCGCACGAACTCAGCGCGCAGCAGCCGAGCAGATTGATCTGACCCTCCTACGCGCCTACAAGTTAAACCCCGCCATATTTGCACGGGACTCTACAACCCGTCGCTCGCAGCCCCGCACCTTACTCAAACAGGAAACCAACATGACGGACGAAGCTATCGAAGGCTGGGCCGTCATCTTACTCCAGGATCCTAAGCGACTCTCGAAACTCGAGAACAAGCTAGCTGATGATCTCGGTGGAGCGGGCAGTGGTGCCTTGAACCAACCGGAACTGGCTCCAACATCGTATAGGAAACCTCATCCCACAGAAGAGGATTCTGACGAGGACGGTGGGTCATCTGGCTACGCTCGGGGCCGTGGAGGAAGAGGTACAGGTGGACGTGGAGGAGGCAGAGGACGAGGGAGAGGTGGTCGTCCACCTCAATCTGGCGAGCAGGGACAACAGAATAGTGCGGTGGCGCATCAACGGAAGGAGCAGAATAAGGCTAGTCGGGCGAACCATAACCGCCGCCAACAGCGAGCTAAGAAGATTGCTCGGGGAGGAGGTTTGCCAGGCTGATGATTTGCGAGCTGCTGATGCATGTATAGCAATTGAGGCGTTTTTGCATAGAATCGTGATGGGCTATCTTTCTATTTACGGTTTTTTCCATACTCATGATAGAGGAATGGGAATACGAACATGTACAGTCGAGAACCCATTGCTAGACATAAAAAAGACGTTTAATTCATTGTCATTGCGGGGGACAGCCAAACACCTAGAAGATCTAAAACGTGAAGAAGAGGTGGTTCATCATATGCAGCTTGTGCAAGAATACAAGTGAAACATTTCAGTGGTGATGTGAGAAAACACCCTCCTTGGCGATTGACTTGCGGCACTCCTCGAGAATACGGAGCTGCTTTGCCACATCACCGAGCCGGCCGATGACTTGCTTGTTGCCATCATAGAAAGTGAAGAGGGCGTAGGGAATACCAGTGTCACGGCAGAACTCGGCAACGTACTTCTGGGCCCGGCGGAGATTGTGACGCGGCATGCGAGGGTAAAGATGGTGGATGGCCTGGAACTGCAAACCGCCATGGAAGAAATCCAGCCAGGTAGGGCAGTCGACATCCATGGTAGTACGCAACATCTTTTGGGCAAAGGACTCGTGGATACCCAAGTCGGCCGTTGACATGGCGAAATGAGAGAGGGTGATCTGAACATGGAGCGGGGAGGAAACAATATGGGATACCATAATGAATGTAAGACGACTGCTCCAGTCCGGGATGGTCTTGTATACCACGAGATAGCAGTACCAATACCAGAAGAATAGCTGACCACCATACTCCAGCCAGACATGCCACCTAGCGGGACCTTTCCTTGGAGCCTGGCGTTTAAGAAGGTACTCCCAGCTAAGACGGTAGAGGTTGAACCGCGCCAACGCCATGATAGGATAATAGGAGTAGTGCTGAATCTTCAGCATCACCTTGCAAAAAGCATCGAATGTCATATTGCGGTCATAGTAGGTACTTTGAAGGCTGTCAAAGAACCGATGGGAGATCGCAAAGAAGGGCATGTGCTCAATATCCGGATCGTGCTCAGGCTCGTTGGTCACAATATGGTGCACGTTGTGGCTTCGCTTCCACCATCCCAGGCTCAATCCGCCGATGTAGTCGGCGATAATGATGCCGATGACGGTATCAACATGGAAGTTGTGCGTGATGCCCATATGGCCAGCATCATGGGCAGTAAACACAAGTTGGTGCCACAAGCAACCAAGCCAAAATCCAGATATTGCCCACCAGCCGAGGCGCAAGAAAATGTAAGAGAGAGAAGCGAAGAGGGTGTACCGGCAGCATTCGATGAAATAGGACATGTAGTTGCAGTCGAATAATCCCTCGGCGAGCATGCGCTCGTTCAGGTCACGGTACTTGCGTTTGATGCTCTCTTGAATCCCTGTATCCAGTGATGGGTATTTGGTAGTGTCGAAAAGGATCTCCTCTCGTGTTCGAGCATCCAGGAAATGCGGTCTCGGCTCGTCATCTTCATTTGGAGGGGTGGACGTGGCAGAACTGTCTGTGCCAGGTGAAGAATTCTTTCGACGGATTGTAGATTTTGAGTCAACCGCATCGAAGATTGGCGAGGGGGGTATAGAGCTTTCTGAGCTGGAATTGTCTCGAATAGAAAGGTCTTCTTCTCCCGAGCAGGCGTCTTCGGAGTAAGGACGGAACTTGCCGCCTTGAATGGGAGGGAGGAAGTTCGACCAGGTGCCTTCGATTCGACCTATTTGGTAGGAGAGCATGATCTCGCGGGCCTCTTTTGAGTGAAGTCTATAGTGAAGGATCATTTCATCGATTAGTGACCATAGTGATGAGGCTGTTCAGGGGGAGACATACGCATTGATCTCATCTGTGGCATCCCTGCCCACCATATGCTTCATCGGCTTCTCACCACCAGGGTGAAATTTCATGTAGGCGTCCACTTTCAGGACGCGGCCTTCGAAGATAATGACATGCTTTCCTTCTGCGATTTGTCCCTCAATATACCGGCGACTCAGGACGGTGTCCTTCCGGGAAGGTCGGGAGGTGGTTTTGTCCATCGTCGGTGGTGGATGCGAAGTGCGAGCGGAGGAGTTGGAGATGGCCTCAAAGTCCGAAACGACTGGCAATAAATTCAAGGGAACATGGCTATGAACTGAAAATGCACAGGTAATCGCAGGACTCGCAAAGAACAGGAATACTAATCCAGAAAGCCAAGTGGAAGGAAGAACAGCAGAAGGACAGCAGGGGCGGAGGAAGGTGGAGTCAACAAGTGGGGACCGATCGGCCGCGGTCGCCCGTGACTCGACAGTCAACAATCAGATTGCAACGTGCACCGCCCACCCACGCCCACCAACTGCAATACTACAGTACTTCTCCAACTAACTGATGGCATGATCAACATGGCTCAGGTAATCTTCATTTGGTCCCTTTCATACCGCTGAGATCTGACCTCGGACAGGAATCGCTTTCATCATTGGTTCAAACATGGCTTCAGTGGGACCAGGTAAATAGAGCACCATATCTTGTGTTTCAGGTTCTCGATTTCTGGTTGCCTGATCTCACCGACTCGCCTCGACTCGGATATAGGACCCCACGACTCGCGCGGAAATTGAACAGCTGCGCGATGCCAATAACACCAAAGAACTGGAGCTGCGCCTCCGCAGTCGTACGTTGATCCCGGTGGCTGTCCTAGCGCAAATCCTTTAACTATCTCTAGGAATTGAATTCGGCACCGCAGGCTTGCGTGGCCGTATGGCTGCAGGCTTCACCTACATGAACTGCTTGACGGTGATTCAAGCTTCACAGGGACTCGCCAAGCATATTCAAAGCAAAGGCCCGGAGATCGCTTCCAAAGGTGTCATTATTGGACACGATGCGCGTCATTACTCCCACAAATTTGCTCAGCTTGCTGCCAATGCTTTCATTGCGCTGCAAATTCCGGTCAAATTTATCGACGAGTCGGCGCCAACTCCCCTCGTTGCCTTTGGAGTGCATCATTTCAAGGCTGCTGCGGGTGTAGTAGTGACTGCAAGCCATGTACGCCTTGATGGACAACCCACTGCGTAGACTGTACAATGTTGCTAACGATGACCTTGAAATTTCGAATAGAACCCGCCTCAGGATAATGGTGAGAGGTGCATCTTGTACTGATCCAGGAACGAATTGCTGACCTTTCTTACAGGCTACAAAGTGTATGATCCTCGATGATCAGCCTGGAGAGATTTTAGAAGACTGACTCGAAACTTCAATTCTCAGTTACTCCAGCAATGGTGCCCAGATCAACCGGCCCGAGGATGGTGAGATCGCACAATCAATCCTTGAAAACTTGGGACCCTGGCCAAATGCCTGGGAAGAAGGCCGACGCTCAGGGGAGTACTTTGAGGAAGAAGCTCTCCAAGAGATTCTGGTGCCTTTCCAACGTCGAGTCAAAGAATATGCGGTAGGTGACCTCATCAAATCGGAGTTCTTATTATAGAATTGATACTGAATCTGGTGAGCCAGGTATCGACTGTGTCGCATATGCATCCGCCCCGGCCATTTGTCTATACCCCCATGCACGGCGTAGGAGCGATTCGAATCAGCTCTCTGCTCAAAGAGATGGGTATGCACGAAGATAAAGAGTATAACATTGTTCCCCAACAGGCGCAGCCGGATCCCAATTTTTCAACGGTGAAGTTCCCCAACCCTGAAGAGGCTGGAGCTCTGGATCTAGCAATCCAGGTCGCGGATCAACAAAACAAGACTTTGATCTTCGCCAACGACCCAGATGCAGACCGCTTTGCAGTGGCTGAGAAAGTTGAGTAAGGGACCCGAGATCTCTTTGTCTGAATAGGCTGGAGACTGATACTATGGCAGTGGTAAATGGTTCCTTCTTACAGGAAACCATGTTGGAGTTCTTTTTGCCTCTCATCTTTTCGATACCATCACCTCCGATGTAGACGCGTCGAAAATTACGGTTCTCACCACCACCGTGTCGAGTGGAATGCTTCAGAAGATGGCTGAGTCCAAGGGTATTCAGTTCAAGGAAACTTTGACCGGTTTCAAATGGATGGGCAATGTGGCTCAGGACCTTGAAAAGTCCGGACAGATAGTGCCATTTGCCTATGAGGAAGCACTGGGCTATATGTTCCCAGCCGTCAGCTACGACAAAGATGGTATCACCGCTCTTTCAGTCTTCTCTATGGCAGCTGCAAAGTGGAAGGCTCAGGGATTGACCGTGTTCGACAAGCTCCAACAACTGTTCAAAGAGTTCGGCCACCATGAAACTTTGAACAACTATTTCCGATCTCCCAGTGCCCAACTTACACTGGAGCTATTCCGTGGAATTAGACGCGGCTCTTTCCTCCCTAACATGCAGCTTGGCAAATTCAAAATCCTGAGATGGAGAGACCTGACTGAAGGATATGACACTGCATCGTCTGATCACAAGCCTGATTTGCCCGAAGACCCCACTAGTCAGATGATTACGCTGTGGTTGGAAGGTGGAGTGCGCTTCACGTTCCGCGGCTCAGGTACCGAGCCGAAGGTTAAGTGTAAGAACCCCCATCCCCTTCTTCTCTCCCCTTAGATAGTTTGGAAGTCTAACAATTGCCAGTTTATATCGAGTGTTGTGGCGATTCTCGGGAGGATGCCGTGAAGGCAGTCTGCGATGCCTTCTTTGCGATTTTGAAGGAATGGGTTCAGCGATACACCCCTTCCATGACGTACAATAATGAGCTTCCCACCTCGTCGGGATCTATTTTGCTGGTGGACAAGGAATCGCTGTCTGTTTGACGGGGTACACGAACTAGGCTTGTGACAAGGCAATGTCAATTAAACATGTTAAAAAAGTCCCATAGCTCCACGATAGGTACAATGCTGCACACGAATCCTGAGTAGCATCTGACCATTATTTTAAAAGACAACCAGGCCCCGAGATGGATATGAGGCAGGCATCGATGCCCGAGTGTGACTCGCTTCTGCAGGTCTCCGCCAAGATCGTTACTTTCTTGCTGGCATGGGCGAATGAAACGATGACCCCTGTGAGGGGAAAGGAACAAACTGCATTTTGTGTCGCTTTTGGATTTCAGGCCTGCCGATAATTTTTCAGCCTCATTATGGCCCTTTTCGGTGGAGAGTCTCTGTTGATCTAGGTATAAGAGTAGGTAGGTAGTCTTGTCCATTCAGCCAAATTTCCACTCCTCTATCTCAACATCTTTCAGGTACCTCATCTAACCCAACTTGGGAGCATCATTTCCTTTTTAAGTTCTCAATTATGTACTGTTTGGTTCATTGTCGCCATGCCCAGAAAGTCGATCCTTGTCATAAGTTGTGCTGCGCACACCATCAGCATGAAGCCAAACGGGAGACTCGCTATTGTTGCCCAGATAATTGCCCTAATTGCGGCTCTTGTTATCAAAAGTGGTATTTCTTTCTGAAATATATATTGCGAGGTAAAACAGATACCTACTAACAAATTCTGCGAATAGTGTGACACACGAAGCCCAGAGCAAGGCTCAACGCGCAGATCCCAGTACTCATCATCACAACTGGAACCGACCCCCCGAATATCTTCCATGTTGCTGCTTTACCGGGAGAGTCGAATGCCCAGAATATACTAGTCGATGCTGCCTTTACAATTTGTCACCGATACCAGCATGCAAACACTCCAAGTGCGACCATCTACATCTGCCATGTCAGTACTGCCAGTCTCAATCTTCTTGTCGAGTACGAAAACAAGAAGCTCCTCCGGGACTTTGTGCCTCTGAATGTCAAAATGAGCATTTTATGAGACGTTCGCATGGCTGTAATCGTAATGCTTCGAGCCATGACCACGCCAACGAAAGCCGAATGCCTCATCTCTGCTGCTCGACTTGCTGTCCGTGCTTGAATTGCCTGAATAAATACCGAGTGATTCATAACGGGAAATTTTATCTTCACAGATGTCTACATTGCGTCTGTTGCGAGTTCCACCAATGTGGACAGCACGCAAAGGGTGGCAGATGGGCACCAGGCCCTATAGTTGAGGCTTTAATGGGACATTGAAAATAATTTTGAGCCTTCTGGGCGCTCAAGATTTATTTTTTAAAATTGAATTCTTGTTCATGATGACAGTCTACCCAGCTGTTTTCATTCAATAGGGCTCTGGGTCCTCCCGGAGTGGCGTTCAACATTCCCGGATTGGGCGATGAAATTTCTGCAGCTCCATAGTTCCACAATTTGATGTTTCATCAACAAGCACATCCGAATTGGTGTAGTGGCTAACATCGTCGTCTCTCACACGACAGCCAGGGGTTCGATTCCCCTATTCGGAGATATTTCTTTTGTTTTTGTATGTACGTGGTTGAGTAGACTGCGAGGTCTGCTTGCAAGGATTTGGAAGCGACTTTCTTCTTCTCACTTTTTTTCTTCCATTTTTTTTTGGGAAATATTCTAACCGCTTCGTTTTGTTCTATAAGGCATCTTTTAATGGTTATCAAAGCAAGCCGTGTGGAATAGAAGTGAGGCGCTTTCTAAGTGTTGCTGAAATAAGCCTCAATGCTAACATTTTTTGGGCATCAGTTTTTAACGAGTTTCGGTCATGCCCTTCCAATAGGCTGCGTGAAGCCCGGCGAGCATGTCAGTCCAGAAAGTTTGCAATCGACCGACAGGGAAGTTCCCAAATTTGGAAGCTTCCGTAGGATGCCCGTAGCTTTGGGATTCGATGAAGTTAAGACTGCCGGATTGGCATTTTTATATGCCTGATACGTCTTTCTCAAATGCACACTGAATATTAGCCATCCATACTCCAAGCTAGCTAAATATTGAAACGAAAAGTCGGATTGAATTAAAGCTGAACATCTTGTCATAGTCTATCCAAATACGTCTGGTTAACGCTAGATTCCGAGCTTGACATGTTCTTAGAACCCGCACCCAACCTATGAACCATCAATCACATCACGAATGCGCCTAACGTGGACTGCCAAGTTTTGCAACTTCCAAGATTGCATTTGCAAAAACATCGGGCCTTTCCAGTGGTATGGCTTCACCACAACCCTTCACAATGTGATGCACTCTCGGCCCTGCGAAATACTTCGCTGTAGTGCTCCCGTTCGTAGCCGGAAACACGACAGCTTGATCCGGATCTAGGGTGACAGATGGCACAGTGATAAGAGGCTGCGTATCCAGCTTGTTCGCTAGCTCTGCATAACTAGGATCTCCCGGGGCATAAAGCAAGCGATTGCGATAAAAGTTGGTCGCAATGTCCACATAGTCGGGGTTGTGGAAAGCAAGGCTTGCAGCATCTAATTGCGCTTCGGTGTAGGTCCAGTTTGGGCTATTTTTCGACCAGAGTACTTCGGCCCAGCCTTTCGTGTCGCTAGCGAGCGAGCTGTACCCCGGGGGAGTGAGGAACACGTAGTAATACCATTTGACTGGGTACGAGCTCGCGGGGGCAACATTCCAGGCTGTTGCTCGATTTTGAATAAGGTAGGAGTTTGCTGCAACCATTCCTGAGCATCTCTCTGGCCACAGGGCCGCTGCAACATTGACAACGACAGTTCCCCAGTCATAGCCGGCAAAGACAGCCTTTTCAATTTTAAGAACGTCCATCAAGTCGATGATGTCTTTGCCCAAGGCAGCTTGTTCTGCGCTGCGCAGTGTGGTCGCTGACAGGAATGTTGTATTACCAAATCCTCGAAGAGACGGGACGATAACGCGATATCCTTCTTTCTCGAGCTTTGGGACAACATCGACGTAGGTATCAATTGAATATGGGAATCCATGGGCGAGTATGGCGACGGGCGCCTTGGTGTTCTTAGGCGCCGAGTCATAGTACTCAATAGACAGCTTTGGTGTTTTCGCATAATAAACTGGACCCAGAGTAGGCAGAGAAGAACCCGGCCCTGTTGCTGTTGTAGATATAGTTGCAGCGATGGCTGTTAGGGAAAAAGCAAACAAGCTTAGAAGGGAAAATCCCCCAGATGTGTAAACGGTTCGCATTGTGGAATGAGGTGGCTTGCTTTACAATGAAACAGTGTCTGTCTAATATTCGCTTTCAGCACCAGTCCCAAGCTGCCTGTATTTATATGTTCTCTCATCTAGGGAATGCAAGGGAATCCAGGCTGCCTAAATTATCGGGCTACCTAGTTAGGTATTGTTATAGACGCCCTCCCCGTTAGCCCGCCCCAACGGGCACCGCATTCCACTCCTAGTGCTTATTCTACAAATTGTGATGACGCGACAGTACCGCAAACTGTTTTGCAAGGCATGCTGTTCATCTGACATCTCACATCTTTTAGACTTTCCGGTTATTCCGCCCGCAGCTTAACTCCTGTCTAAATCAGGCTTAATGGGATCTGCAAATACCTAAGTCAGACTAGTCTATGATTGATAGCCGCGACCTGGTAGTTAACGTTAACTAACTAACTAGTTAGTTAACTTAGTTACATACTTCTTACTAAGCCGCCTGAATTGAAAGGCTTCGAATTTTTTACGGCTTAGCTAGTCGGAAGGAATCACACCAATCTAGGTCAACCATTTAGCCCTTTGCCGAGTCTATCACTACCGTGGGGTTCTATAATCTAAATTTTGAACCAACGCCAAAGCTTTAGAACTATGTTCTAAGTCGCCGATTGGAACAGTAAGTCAAGGATTGATGTCTTGACGATAACGAGAGACGATAAGATACATCCAGATAAAAGATGAGATTGAGCGTATTTAGTTAGACTATATTGCTGGTCTCTAGATGGAGGATTAAACTGTCCTGGTACGCCTGGGCACTACCACCTGTTGAGCTTGGGAATGAAGACAGGGCCACGAACTTAGGTACCTGAACAAAATCAAATGTAGCAGGTCTTTGTATACTTCGGATAAGTGGTAAGATAGGTCACCGTCGCTTACGCGATTGTCCTTTTCCATTGGCTGTCAGGCAATTGACGTCCGCAGGGAAGATTACGTAGTTGAAACTAAGCCCCGTTTGTGTAGGCGGCGGTAACCGCGAATGCTAGTCTATTGCCGCTGTGCAGATATCAGGCACGAATGCCAATAAGCTTGGCGGGAACTTCCTTTTTCTTCAAGCGGAACCATGTTGATTCTGGCTATAGGTACACAATATGGAGATAAGGATCCTAGATCAGGGGTTCGTAGCACGAGCGTCCAGCAACCATTATGTTGGGATTAGACGAGGGATGGGAATTGAACCAGAGAGTAAGATGTAGGCGTTGGACGTCAGTGGCTAGCAGCAGTACTACGATGTCCTTTTCTCTGACGGAGAAAAGGCACAGCTAGTACTTTGCTGGAAGTTTACCATCTGGACGCGGAGCTGTTCCCGGCACAAGCAAGCCGAAGTCCTGATTGAAGGATTTGTATTAGGTGAAGAATTTTCGGTATGAGAAAGGAGACTAGATTTTGAAAAGGGAGAAAAGCGAGACTGAGTTTCGAATAGCAGAAAGGAATTTATAAAATTTAGCTTCTGCTGCCCCAGCCAGCCGCCCCAGAGCTATGGTAGCCCGCGCTACTAAGCTATTTGGGACTATGCTAAGCTATAAAACATTTGCGTAACCCTTTTGAGATTACTACAGGCTCCCTTTTAGGCATAGTACGTGTTAGTTGCTTCATGCTCCAAGATGGCAAACTCACGGATCACGAGTAAACTAGTCCTTTTATACTACATAGAATACTAAACCGACGCAGTAGAGTAAAAACAATTTTCGAAACCAAGTTTTAACTATATAGAAACGCATTGAGCAGGGCGTGGAAGGACAGTTACATCAAAAAAACTTGCCGTGTCTCGAACCATCATCCCATCGCCAACCCCAACGCCATTGATAACGGCGGTCGAACACCAATGAACTGTGCTGCAGCGAACGAGCACATGGCGGTTGTGAAGCTGTTGGTCGACAAGAATACCAACCTCAGTACTGCGTCGGATCACTAAAACCCCCTTGGGCAGACACCGCCTTGGAAAGGCGCATTGACTACTGCTAGATAGTGAGAAGGTATTCGTATCACCGAACAAACCTTCAGGGACACCATTGACATTGGCCATGAAGAGACGTGACGATTGTTGATATATTGGTCAATCTTTCAAAATTAATTTCGTACTCGCTAGTTAAATAATATCTGTGCTTCAAGAAAGCTGATTCGAAAGATGATCCGAAAGACGTTTAGAAAGACCTTTGACAGAAGGAGTGATTGAAGCATACCAAGTTGGTCCGTCTCTCTGGTTTCGAGACTCAGCCTTTTGAACTACTATAATGATATCTAAAGTACTCCGTAGAAGACAGTAATACCATTACTACGCTTAACCAGACTAAGGGGTATGTCATCGAAATAGCAATCATATATCGTCGTTTTAGCAATTCACCACCCCAGGTAAACCCGCAAAACTAATCCTTCAATGTAATTGGCGATGTCTCAGCCAAGCCTCGAACTAAGCCTTGGCGTAACCGGAGAGTCCCCCTGAATGAGTAGGGCGGACTTCAGCGACCGTTGATGAAAGAGAAGAAATAACCGTCACTCCTCATGTGCGCCCGTGTCCAATGGGACCAAATTTAATCCTCGCAGGGAGACTAGTGGTGGCAGGCCGAAGTATGGGGTAATAATCTTGCCAGCAGGCCCAGCACCCTTTCTTTAGGCTTATGTGTGCTTAAAGGTGTTGACGGTAGCCGAACGAATGAGCGCGCTCAGGGCATTGACCCTCCTTCCAGCACATGTGCTCACTGCTCAGTCCAGGATCACCTCGTGGGTCGCGGAGTTGGTTCTTTTGTTCCTTCTCGTATACCTCGTAAAAAGTATTTTAGTGCAGTCATGGTTGGGGTGCCCCGCAGCAAAGGTTGTCGTACATGCCTAGAACGACGAGTCAAGGTAAGAAGTTTGCGTTTTGTTTTTGAGCCTCCGATCCTGGGGTTTCCTTTTCGCTAAATCTGCCTTAGTGTGACGAGAATTTCCCCACGTGTAAACGCTGTGACAAACGTGGCCTCCAGTGCCCAGGGTACAATAGGCCGCGCAAGTTCTACCATTTTATTGGGCCTTCTGGTGAACAGCTCACCACTTCCGGATTGCCTCAATATATCATAGACGACTCGGTGTCCCTAAGGCTGAATCGCACGGCTTGTGTGACCCAACAAAAGGAAGCATTCGGCCTCTTCGTCGACACCACGTTCCCAGGCTTGTACTACGCATGGAGTTCCCGCGTCGACGTGAACTTCATAGAATTTGTTCGCCAGCAAGATGATTCATCATTCGGCGCCTTGATGTTGGGTGCTCGGATCTTGGGCACACTGCACTTGGGTCGGCTTTATAAGGACGAGGACAAAATTGCTTCTTGCCGCTCGATGTATAGCCGAGGCCTACAATGTCTGGCCGAGTTGATCAGGAACCCTCAAACAGTCAAATCCGATCACACCCTAGGTGCTGCAGTGCTACTAGCTATTTATGAGATTCTGGACGGGACCGGTCAGAATTCCTGGCTCACACATTCGCGCGGTATCACTGCCTTGTTCCGACATCGAGGGGCCAGAGCCCATAGCCACGGAGTTGGACACATGCTACTTATCGCGTTCCGTTCTTTCATCGTCGCCGATGCTCTGATTCGCAACGAGCCTTGCTTTTTGGCGGAACCAGAATGGAGGTCTATCATAAAGGTCTCAGTCCGGCAGGAGGGACTTCTCGGCAAAGGAAGTAAACTAGGCGATTTGATCGAATATTCCTTCCATGATATTACCATCATCCCCGGCTTGGTGGTGCGGACACGTTCATTATCCAATAAGCTAACTCATGACAACCCAGTACGAAGACAAAAACTTATGAGGGAGCTGATGCAAAGTCGAGAGAGGCTCACGGACCTGCACAGTCAGTTAGTGACCCTCTCTTCCCATGATATCCGCCTTGAGGATAGGCCAGGTGTCTACGGGCCAATTCCCGTTCATGTGGCCAATCTATTGGCGCATTTTTCGCTTCATGGGATCAATTTAGCCACTGCCCTTCTCGATAGACTTATACTCTCAATAGACTCAGGTCAACTACAGTTGACCGGGTCAAAGAGTGCCCTATGCATCGAGCCCAGCAAAGAATACCAGGATACCGCAATATCTAGTGCGTCAGACATGATTCCAATGTTGGCTGGAGGCTCCATGGGACAAATAAATGAATCACCGGATCATTTTGCTTTGTCAATGGGAATGATGATCCTTGATGGAGGTTCAAAAGACCAACTTCCTTGACCGCTCCTTGGGTGACTTTACTTGCATCCCCTTTGTCTATGCGTGTTTTGAAGAGCAAATCTGCTGCAGTGGATATGTCCCGAATCCGCGTTATTGCCTATTTCAGGCTGCGAGCAATCTTCGTGGCACGACCAGTTCCGGCCATCATTGGCTGAACCTTTGCGGTGGGCCAGGTCGAGCTACGACTAGACATTCCAGCCCAGCCTTACCGTCGAGTCAGACGTTCCACAGGTTCAGCCAGCTCGAGGTGAACCAATGACGCTGCCTCTGAGCCCAAGCTAAAGATGCTCAGCGCGGTGGTCGCGCAACAGATGGTGAGAGTCACCCGCCCTCACCCGGGCTATTGCGCTCTCGTCCTGCTCACCCAAGTCCCGCGACGCTAAAGCGGCGCTCTCAGGCCATACCCACTTGGATACCACTTTACATCTTGTGTCCAATACATACGACCATAGGGTGTGGAGAACAGGGCTTCCCGTCCGCTCAGCCGTACTTAAGCCACACGCCGGCCAGTTAGTAGTATGGTGGGTGACCACATGCGAATCCTGGCTGTTGTATGTTTTTATTTTTGATTTCATTTCATCTTGCTTGGTGATATTTCCTAAGGTATTTTCAGGCAATGAATTCAATTATTTCCGTCAAAACTATCCATCATGTTGAATGACAATAACCACTTTTTTCCCACAAGGGATCTGGAATAAAAAACACATAAAAACTTCCCTTGACAATAATGTACAGTCAATCGAGCAACCAAAATGTTGCTTTTTACACGAGCTTCCATCTAAGACTTGGCTGTGTGCGATGACAGCTTGATTCAAACAAGTTATGACCCCTTAGACTGGGACTTCCTGGGTGGAGCAGTGAATACCTCCACCCAAAAATGGCAGCTGATCAAGGCGCACAGTCTTCACCCGACGATCCTTGTACAAGCCACGAATGAGTTCCAAGGCCGCAGCGTCGGCCTTCTTGTCTCCAAACTGGGGGAAAATGACACCACCATTCACGAGCAGCCAGTTGACATAACTCAATGAAGGATAATCCTCCTCTCCACTTTCAATGTCTTTCAGAGTGCGTCGGTCTAGTCCCAGCGAGTACAGATCGGCCTCAACCATTTCGACAACCTCGAGACGTCGGCCATGAGCGTCCGTCGCGTTTTGGAGAATAGCACGGGCGTCCAGGAACACCTTGGAAAATTTGCTATCATCGAGAGTGTTCGGCCTGCTCATGACAACCTTTCCTGGTGCGATGAATCGTGCAAGACCATCAACATGTCCATCCGTGACATCTCCGTCCTTGATACCAGGAAGCCAGATGATCTTTGCGACACCAAGAGTTCGCTGCAACTCAGCCTCAATTTGCTGATTGCTCTTTCCTGGATTGCGATTCTCGTTGATAATTGAGCTGTCGGTGATCAGAAGAGTGCCTTCGCCATCATCCTCAAGCGAGCCGCCCTCCGTCACCAGCCACGTAGAAATTCGAGTGAGGTTCATGTTGTCGCAGATCTGGGACGCAAGGGATACGGAGGCATTGACAGGGTACTTGTTACCCCAACCATTGAAGTTGTAATCCACTCCAACAAGATGACATCCATCGAAAACAAAAGTCGGTGCCATGTCACGCATCCAGAGGTCAAGCTTAGGGTAGTCATGGACGGTTTGGACGAAGATATCGTCTGGATCATGCTTGAAACGCTTCTTTGCCTCGTCGAGGCGGTCCGGGGTGACCAAGAGAGTGACTTGTTCGAATTCAGCGACTGCCTCAGCAATGGCCGAAATATCACGAGTGGCAGCCGCCAGATCACGACTTCCGCCCTTTTCCGCATAGGCGTCGTTCTCGATCGATGGCCAGGCCATGATGATCTCGTCATGGCGATCCCATTCCGCTGGGCGATGCATTGCGGATGCGAAAATAGCCTGAAGCTGAAGAATAGCAACGAAGAGAAGTTTCGAGCCCATAGAAGCGGTTGCGAAATAGTTTTTTCTTTTTTCTTTTTTTTTCTTTGGAGAATGTAATGAGAGCAAGCCTGATCTTTTACGATGGCTTTATATTTCAAGGTCTCCGCGGCTGTTATAGATTCATGTTGTTGCCTATGGCAAATCAGCGCAGATTTATCCGCAATTTTCTTGGCAATATGATATTTAGTTTAGCGAGAGATGAAGAATAGTCGAGAAGAGGTGGATGTAACGCCACAGCCCTGCCAAAACCTATTTCAGCTGCAAATTTAGCGCCTCCTCTTTGCAAGTTCTCCATATCAGTCGTCTGTGGCTGAACTTGGTAGTAATCGTCAGGAACCATGGTTTCACGGCGCGGAAGGATATCGGGATAGGCAGCATATCCCGCCTGCGCCCCTCAGATTAGGATGTCAGCCACACATTTGGTCAACCTAATTTGCCACGTGTAACATGCTAGACCTCAAGATGTTCGATGGTCGATACCTTAGATAGAGCCTATACACTAAAATTGAAGCAACTACATTGATGGGTCTTGATAGCTCGGCCATGGGCCTTAGGACCTTCATTTTCTCCTTTCTAAAAGAGCAATGGTCCAGCCAATGTGTATAACCTCAATGACAATTTTGCATCCAAATATCCATTGAGTTGACGGGCGGTGTTGACTTGAAGACCGCGGTTCACATGGATCGGAATGTGGGATAGCTCGACGCACTCCACAGCCAAGCCAGCCTCATTCCGGCCCTGAGTGGATCAATCTTTGGCTTCTCATTCTCTAAAATTTTAGGCTCTCACATTTCGCTTTCATCAAACCAGCACTGACCCACACATTATGGGAACTAGCCACATACAAGCCACTCCGATCGACTCTGTCACTCTAGGCGTCATTGTTGGGAAAACGCTTAGTCGCGGCCAATGGCCTTACCTGTCTTGGCATTTGATTGAATGGAGACATTGAAGACCCTTAACCACGGTGTTGCGAGCAATCTCGGAGATGAACGATGGTCATTGTTCTAACTACAAATGACCTAATTCAATATCAAAGCTGGGGCTGGCCATAGTCATGTCAAGTTTGAATTGAATTCTGAGAAATCGAATATCTCAATTCTAGTCAATTGATTCGAAATTAAAAGACGTGTTACCATTTTCGATAGACACCAGGACTCATAATCATAATATGCATATCGTCGAGGATTTAATTAGGATAAGAAGACCGCATGTTTATTACCTCGCGAGCTCTAGGTTGGCTTCCTGCACGAGCGGGGTGCATCACTTGCAACAGGCAACAATGAAACTCGCGCCGGGGCCATGTCGTGAATAAAAAGTGGTTCCAGATTCGGCAAAGATACACAAGACCATTTAGACAGCCATTAGCTTTGGGTGTAATCAGTTAGTAATTTCGGTTAGCCGAATTTGGTTAAATCAAGGCTTGACAAAGAGAATACCAAGAATTAGGAGCTTGGTAAACACGACGCTGCTGACCCTCGGCGGAGTAACCTGCGCAGGGTCTGTGAAAGCTGTCTGACACTTCCAAGCCCATCTAAAGTCAGTCGAGAGTAAAACAGTATTTCCGGGCCGAAAACGTTGATTTAGGGAAGGCTAGGTCCAGGATCCTAGACAAGGCGATCAGAGTATTCTTGTGTGTCCTATTAGCTGTCTGTTGCTATGAACCATTTCGAGAGACCGCTAGAAATCAATTGGTTCCTCCTTAACTATTGTCAGCGGAGCCATTGTCGAGTGGAATACAGGATGGACGATGTGTCTCCATTTGGTAATCAAGGTAGTGGCAGTTCAATGTTCTGGGTGTAGAGACCAGAGAAACCGCTCAATTGATATGCTTCCACTTCTTATTATTCAAGGGGTCTTTCTAAAGGTCATTCAAATCCTCCTTCTTGATAGCTAAGGTATCATTCTTTAGTCTATCGTTCAACTCGCGACTGCAAAGATGATTTTGAAGATTTGTCGGGTTTTTAAACTTATGGAACCCACTGTAGTTGTTCCAGGGACAAGCATTAGACAGCGTCGGATAAAATGAGATAACGCGTACAGAGTAAACATCTTCCCAAGTCTAGAGACTTTTTGCAGACTGCCTCACTCTTTCAGTAGAAGGGATGTTTTAGATTACCCAGTCACCTCGACAAATCTACACTACGACGATAGTGAAGCTGACTATGAGGATAGTAACGCTGACTATGAGGCCGCCTTCTGCACAGTTTGTTTCTTTCCATTTCTCTTTTAACTGTACTTGTTTGGCTTAAGGTTCGTAAATAATTTGCTGTAGCCCTACTGCAAATGAAAAGACTCTAACTATACATGTGTAGTAAACAAGTCTAGTTGTCGTGGGGGCCAAAAGATTCGGATTCGGTGATTGGCGGGTGCGTAAAAGGTGTCACAACTGACTACACTCCGTATTCGCTAGGCAGCCGATTTTGAGCAGAACAAGGCCAACGCATAACAAATAAATTCCAAACCACTGTCTTGTCTATAAGGCCTATATGAATCAATGGCGCACGTCACAGAGCAACTAGCCAGGAGACGCCGAACCAGTGCCCCCAAAAAACGAACTGGATGTGGCACTTGCAAGTACGTCTTTCCATGCAACCTCTATCTGACATAGACCAACCCCCGGTGATAGGATTCGCCATAAGCGTTGTGACGAAGCGAAGCCTATCTGCAATATCTGCCGCAAGACTGGGCGCATTTGCGATGGATACATTGACCCCTCAACCGGCAGGCAGTTCGGTGGCCATGCTGACCGAAATTCCCCCTTCCTCGGCATTGGCCCTCGCACACTCTTTGCCAACGAAGTCGAAGCTCAAGGCTTCCGGTTTTTCGAAACTGCGACCGAGATCCAGCTTGCAGCCGCGCTTCGGAATCACGGCTGGACTCCGCCCCTTCTCCAATTGAGCCACCAAGACCCCGCTATCCGCCATGCCGTCATCGCTAATGGCATCATGAGTAGGCGATATCAAGCGAGCGAGATTTCGGCCTCGACAGAACCACTAGCAAACAATTTATCTCAGGCTGCACTTCAACAATATTGCAAAGCCATTGCTTGTTTCCGGTCCCAGCTGGGCTCAAACCTTGATGTCAATTCGCCGTCACTGGAAACTGCACCCGCATGTTTCGTGCTTCTGATCATGTTCGAGTTCATGCAGGGCAACGCGTCTGGTCTGATTATACATTTGAAACATGCAAACAAATTAGCAGCGACTTTCGGTGGGAGTCGACAAACACAGTTTTTTATAGATTTACTGGCGTTGATAGAGACGGTCGCAGCATTGTGGCTCAACCTAGACTTGTCTCCTGCCGATGCTTCACCGTGCCTCCAAGAATTGAACAAATGTCCCAGACCTTTGTCATTGCCTCATGGTCAGATCTCACTCTATTATGATCTTTCCTGGATCAACGACGATGTTTTAAAATGGCGTCATGCCGTGGCATCTGCCCACGTGGATTCAATGACGCATGCCGTTGACCCAAAGAGTTTCTGTGCCGTTTCATGGCGAACCATCCAGTCCAAGCTAGACACTTGGCATGAAAGATGGGCTACAAGGTCTCCAAACGAAGAAGATAGCGCACCACACTACTATTCTCTTCTCCGTGTGAACTATCTCGTCACCGTCCTCGTCGTCGATGCGGTTCATCAACGGCATTTATCAGCGCAGCCTATCCAGAACGAGTTTACTCACAGCCGTGAGCCACCGAAGTTAGATTATTTCAACGAGATTTTCAAATCAGTTGCAGAAGTTCTAGAAGCGGGCCACTCTTTTAGTCGATACTATCCTTGCGCTGAAGAGGGACCGCTCGAAGCTGCAGGCTTGCTGCCTTTGTTTTCCTTCCGGCACAGCTTTATTCAACCGCTCTTTTACGTTGCGCAACACGCTCCTCAGGCATCACTACGCCAGAGAGCAATTGGGCTTCTTATGGAGAAGCCATGGCGTGAAGGTGCATGGGATTCCTATATTATGGGTTCCATTGCAAAAAGTTCACTGGGAGGCATTGCGGGCATGCATTGAATGATATGAAAAGCTATAGCTTGTAAATTGTGGACACGGATGGAACCCTCAATCTTTAGTAGGAGCCGCAACAGTTGCCTTCAATCCCATCTCGATATTCTCACCTTCCTTATTTTCATTGGCCAGATGCGAGAGATCAAGTTCTTGCTCCTGCTCCCGATCTCGTCTCTGCCGATCCAATTTCTTCCTCGTGACAAAGCTCCAGAGATAGGCCCCATCAACAACCTCATGTCCACCATCCTTTTGAATCCACACATTCCCGAGAAACGTGGTCAATAGAACCGAAAGCCACATGAGTGGTATCATGGCAATGAAGGCCCACATAATACCGCTCTGGGGATCGAGTTCACCCGACCCGCTTTTGTTGGTGAAGACCGTCGACATTATAGTCAGCCCCACGAGACCACCAAATGGAACAGCAAATGACACCAAACATGAAATTTGAGCTGTCATTGTGGGAAAATAGGCAAGTCCATGCAGCGAGGCTGGGTTCATTCGTATTCCGACGCCGTGACCGACCAGTGCCATCATGCCATAGATTACGCTAGTCTTGGCGGCATGAACAGCCCAGGCTAAGACGGTTATCCCAACTGAGGAGGTGAGACTGCCTAGGAGGAGGGCTGGGAGTGTTTGCCGCGGCCAGACGTTAGATGCGAACATGGCCATGTAGGCGCCAGCTGTATCATCCACAATCAGTACAGTGTTCCTTTCGCTAGTTTTAAGTGTCATGCATAACTCACCAGCTAAGCCGGGTAGAAAGAAGAGAAGAGAGATTCCAGCATTACTTGAACTTCGCTTCTCCACGAGAGCAAAGTACAAGTCCATGAAATACATGACTGCAAACATGGAGACGCCAATAGAGAAATTGACGAGGAAGAGTAAACCAATGTCCCGCTGTGACAATAGTTCCCATGGGACCATAGCTTTCTGTCTAGGCAAGGCTCGAGCCATCATGGATCCTGGTACCATACTTCTCTCATATACAATCCAAGCGATCGCCAGGATTCCACCAATGATAATCGGGGCTAGCACCGCTGCTGATTTCCAAGAATAATTACCACCAGCCCAAGTCAGGGCCAGAATCAGTAGCCCGAATCCCCAGAGGAAGAGCAGCTGACCGCCATAGTCTATGGTCAGCAGACGAGCGACGAAGCGACGGGGACCAGTCGACATGTCACGGTCCTCGAGTTGCGGAAGTTGCTGAGGGCCTTGGAGTTCTTTTCGGAGGACAAAAACGACCACGATCATGGCCACAACACCGATGGGCAAATTGATGGCGAAACACCATCGCCATGAAGTCGAAGTCAAGTAACCACCAACGACGGGTCCAACGCTAAACCCGATCCCAGAGACGAGGGCAAAGATAGTCCAGTTGAGCGCGTATTCGGAAAGCGAGACTCGGTCGGCCAGAATTGTGCGGATGGAGATATTGACTCCCGCTGCTCCTATGCCTTGTAGAGCACGGCCAAGAAGGAGAACGCTGAAAGTAGATGTCGGGGCGCCGGTGCAAATAGCCGATCCAATGATCATGACAAAGATCGCAACCTGAAGTGTGTTATGTCTGCCATATAGGTCGGTGAGTTGGGCCCAGAAGAATAAGAATGCGGCGGAGGTCAGGTTGAAGGACGAAATAATCCAGTTGAGTTGGCTGAGTTGGCCTGTGGGTGGTGAGAAGGTCAGCTTTCCAATTGTTTGATATGCGACACACCAATCAAAGGACGACTCACCAAAGTCTTCTGCAATGTAAGGAAGCGCCGATGCAATAATTGTCGTGTCCAAAGACTGGAGACAAAATGGTGCGAAGAGGCCAAGAATAATTTTCCATCGGTAAACACGTCGTCGCTTCTTTTCGGCAGCTTCCTCTGGGGAGACAGTCTTCTTCTCGTTCGGGGTATCATAGGCAGTGGATTGAGTGACTGGATTTTCATCGGCATTATCTGTCACTGTCGGTTGTGCCTCGATCCTTTTCCTCTCGTTGTGTTTCTTGATTTTCTTGTATATCAGAATCATGGTGCCAACCCCGACGTACCTAATATAACCAGACACCGGTGCTGATGACAGACGATTCACCTGCCAAATAATCGGACGAAAATCTGACGGCTGACGACTGTCTACAGCTTTATAGCATCCTCTCAGTCATGGAAATCCCACGCTGCAATACGAGATATCTGTGCCCTCCATGATATTGCGGCCCACCCACCGCTTCCGCTTATGGGTGCGCCCTAAATCCCCGTCACCCCTAAATCCCCGTCACATTTTTACCATGCGTCTAAAAAAACCATCAAATTAGATAACTAGCCTAAATAAAAAAGATCTCCTCGCTCCAGGGCTACTCTAGCCGATTCGGTAGACCTATCAATATCCTCCTGGGGCCTCTTTGGCATATCCAAACCAGTAGCCTGCTTATACTGCTTCGCAAGCTTCCTCTCCTCCGCAGCAGCCTCTTTCTCCTTTCTAGTCTTGATTGACCGATTCGCATCGCGAACGCTTAGTATACCAGTTTGGCTAAGCGGTTTAACCTGGCGCTTGGTAATTGGGCGCCTCAAGGGCTCCTGAGCGGCCCTAATTCGCGAAACAGTCGCTTCCGCCATCATAAGCCGCTCGTAGATTATCCTGTGGTGATTGTGAAGCATTGCAATATCTCGCTGAACCTTCGGGTCAAAGGTAGCCACCTTCTTTGATATCTTCTTCTGATTCTTCTCTAGCGCTTCAATTGACTTCGGAGGGGTATTCTCCACGCTTGATGATAGTAAATTTGTAGGCTCCGGTGATGGAGTTCGGGGTTCTCCATGAGCGCGAAGATCAGGTGCGTGAAGAGGAGTAAATTCTAGCTGGCTAGCTAGTTTATCCACTATATTTTGGCCGTTGACTGGCCAAATACCACGATCTTTGAAGGATTGCCGAATAATTCGTTGGTTAAATGCCTTCGCTCGTACAGGCCCAATTACCCGTAGAAAATCCGGTTTACCACATGGCTGACCACCCCAGAAAGATAGCTCATTATTCATAAGCCGAAATTGCTGCTTATAGCTCAAAAATGGCTTACCATCAAGTGGCTGACAGAGATGTGTTGAATGAGGTATAAAGCCGAATGGTATAATATCAGCTAACTCGCATATCTCAAGGAATTCGAGGGTAAGATGTGCTCCGTGGCCATCAAAGAGTAGGAAGCGCTTTTCACCCTTTTTTAGACGGTCGGGTGTAGCAGTAGCTGAAATAAAATGATATAGCCATTCAGAAGCAATTTCATCAGAAATCCAGCCATTCGGTGAGGTAGCAGTAAGTGTGTTTAGAGGTAAATCCTCACTATTATGGAACCAGCTCTCCATAAAGACCCCGCCGCTTTTAAAGATAAATAGCGGATCCATTTGCCAGCCGTCAGCAGCAATACATTCGAGTGCAGTGATAGTTTCGCCTCGCTCAGCTTCAGCAAGGTCAGGGCAGTGCAATCTACCATTAATAACCTTACGAGACTGGCCCTGGCCAGGTTGGAAACCACACTCATCGAAGTTATAGACTAGCCTTGCAGGGATATCCTTTAGCAGGGTTGCAAGCTGATCATACCAGAAAGAGAGAGCCCCTGCATCTTCGGCTTGAATGCGCTTTGATTCCTTTAGATTCTGCTTCACTGGAGCGAGGGATAGGTGCTTTGGAAGGCGTGATATAAAGTAGTATGCCCAATTCTTGCCAACCGGCTGCCGACCCGCATCAGCGCGCGTAAGGGCCTGATTTGCCCACGCTTCTATAAGCTTTGCAGTAGGCGGTAGGTTCCAATCGCACATTTTGACTATCCAAGCAGTCAAAGCCTTCTCCTGATGTGATGTAAGCGCATTCTTGCGCGATTCAGTGGTAGAAAAGGGCGATCGGGCCTTCTTGACGCGATCGGCAAGGGTAGTTCGAGACACGCTAAATTCACGCGCAGTTTTAGCGATATTCGGCTTTTTTTGGTGTAGAACGGCTTTACAGGCCTTCTGCAGGCGATCCTCGTCAAAATTGGAGTATTTAGGCATATTGGGTGGTTGGGAAAGGGAGTTGAAATCGAATGGTAAAAATGTGACGGGGATTTAGGGGTGACGGGGATTTAGGGCGCACCCATAAGCGGAAGCGGTGGGTGGGCCGCAATATCATGGAGGGCACAGATACCCTATCAAGCATAGCGTGGAGCTTCACCATAGCCATAGAGTGGGGCTTCCAATACGGCTTCGTGAAATCTGACCAAATAAGGCTAGCGTGAGGGAAAAATGGGGCGATGCAACTGGGAAACCCACCAAAAGCTTCTTCGCAGAGCTTGCCCAAATCGGTCAGCTTATGGTACTTTTCTGCTACAGTATTGACCAATATGACGGCGCAATTTTTAAGGCCGTTAAGACTGCTCAAATCCAAGGCAGTGCATGCTGTGTTGCGGATAGACAACGGGGTTCGTGGGGGTACGGTCTTTTGCGGGTCTCGCAGAGGTATCCGAATTCGGAACAATTAGTCGTCTACCTGAGGACCTCCTTAACAGATATTTGAGCATGTTCCATTTTGTGGTAGGCAACAGCCAAGGTATGGAAGAGCTTTTAGAAGAAGATGCCTGTAACAAGTTAGGTTTATGGATCATTAAGGTTACCTACCATTCTTATACGTAGTGGTAGCGGTAGCGACGGTTTGACGAACTGTTCATTACCGGCAGGATTTAGGACTTTCATTCTACCTATGCCCGCAGGCAAGGTCTATCACAGCATCAACCCATTAACAAAACTCTATAGCCGTCGTGTTTGAAAGCAGAAAGCCCTGTGGAATCGAAAATTTTCATCGTGTAAGCACCCGCTTAGGTTGGTGGCCCTGGATGGATTCAGCCCGAATATATCTGGTGTTCTCTAAACAAGTGGAAGTACACACCACAATCTTGCGCACCTCTAGATGATCTTTCTACACCATCTCCTTGGCAATAAATTTCAATCTACACTCCTGCTTTACCAGAGAAATCTAGCTATGTAGCAGATCTAAATCACTACGAAGTTGAAGATGAATGTTCAGACTACTGACTGAGTTTAGTTCGTGTCCGGCTTAAGTGGGTCCCGAGGCAACGAAAATTTCTGCAGCTCCATAGTTCCATAATTGACTCCTTCTCCAACAAGCACATCCGAATTGGTGTAGTGGCTAACATCGTCGTCTCTCACACGACAGCCAGGGGTTCGATTCCCCTATTCGGAGGTATTTCTTTTGTATTTTTTTTTCATACATATTTTTTGGGGAATCTCGTTGAGTACATAGAACAAAACACAATCCTGGGATTGAGATGCAAAATTGATGCTGTCGCAGGCAAACATCGATTATATATACCTCAGGCATCCATGACTGCAGGAACCTCTTATTTTAGTCTACGCCTACGTCAGTCACAGAGTGCATACTGTGCGGAAGTTATGTTTGTAAAGGTGCTCAAGAATGTCTATTTTTCTGAAAACAAGAGTAACAACAAAGAAGATGATTACATGAAATGCTACATGTAGTTTGCTAGCAAAGCTAGACTAAAAATTCAAAAAGTAGTACATGGAGGGGGTTTGGAGGATATCGAATCACAACACTACAATCACCAAATATAAGTCTAGAAGTGGATGGGCTTGGAGTAGGTGGCCATGGCAGCCTCCTTGAAAGCCTCGGAGAGGGTAGGGTGAGCGTGGCACGTCCGGGCAACGTCCTCGCTGGAGGCACCGTACTCAATGGCGAGGGTAGCCTCGGCGATCATCTCACCGGCACCGGGGCCGATGATATGGACTCCGAGAATGCGGTCAGTCTCGGCATCAGCAATGAACTTGACAACACCCTCAGTGTCGAGGTTGGTCTTGGCGCGGGAGTTGGCGCTGAAGGGGAAAGTGCCGACGTTGTACTTAACACCGGAGGCCTTGATCTCGGCCTCGTTCTGACCAACCCAGGCAACCTCGGGGTGGGTGTACATGACGCTGGGGATGGCGGCGTAGTTGACGTGGCCGTGGCCCTTCTTGATGTATTCGATAACAGCGACAGCCTCCTCCTCGGCCTTGTGGGCCAGCATGGGGCCGAAGGTAACGTCACCGACCACACGGATGTGGGGGACCTTGGTGCGGTACTCCTGGTCAATGACCAGACGGCCGCGGTCATCCTTGTCGATGCCAACGTTCTCGAGGCCAAGACCCTCGGTGTAAGGGCGACGGCCAATGGCGACCAGGACGACATCAGCGTCCAGGGTCTCCTCCTTGCCACCCTTGGCGGCCTCGACGCTCAGGGAGACGAGAGCACCGCTGTCATCACCCTTGACGACCTTGGTGCCGGTCTTGAACTTGATGCCCTGCTTGGCCAGGATCTTCTGGGCCTGCTTGGCGATCTCGGCGTCCATACCAGGACCACCGATCTGGCCGAGGAACTCAACGACGGTAACCTCAGCACCGAGACGGGACCAAACAGAGGCCTATAAAATCACAGAAAAAGCAAAAGTCAGCGTTTGTGTTCACCGAGTGATCCAACAAAAAATAGACGACATACCATCTCGAGACCAATAATACCACCACCAATAACAACCATCTTCTTGGGGACCTCCTGGAGGGCAAGAGCACCAGTGCTGGTGATGATGCGCTTCTCGTCGATGTTCAGGCCGGGGAAGGGAGTTGCCTCGGAGCCGGTGGCAATCACAATGTTCTTGCCGCGGATGGTCTGCTCACCACCGTCAAGCAGGTCGACCTTGACAGTGTTGGCGTCAACGAAGGAACCGGCACCCTTGATGTAGTCAACGCCGTTCTTCTTGAGCAGGAACTCAACACCCTTGGTGAGACCGTCGACGGACTGGTCCTTGGCCTTGAGCATCTGGGCGAGGTTGAGCTTGACATCACCGACCTCGATACCGCGCTTCTTGGTATCGTGGAGAATCTGGTGGTAGAGGTGGGAGTTGTTGAGGAGAGACTTGGAGGGGATGCAGCCGACGTTCAAGCAGGTACCGCCGAGGGTTCCGCGCTTCTCGATACAGGCGGTCTAAATTATTGTGATTTAGCGGTTAGCCAACGATGTGTCCTAGCTTTAACTCTGTCGGAAGGGCCACCGGAGAAATTCCGGAGGCCGTTTGTTAGGGGCGATTTTGTCAACGAACCTTGAGACCCTCCTGACCGGCCTTGATAGCGGCGACGTAACCAGCGACACCACCACCGATGATGACCAGATCGTGCTCAGCTGTTGCAAATCCGGCGAGGCCGGCAAAGTTAGCGATCGCCAATCCCCAGCAAGCGCAGGCGAGCTGCTCTAGCCGTTCCACGACAGCCTCCCAGACAAGAACTCACCAGCATCAGAGGCGTAACCGCGTTTTGAGCGGCCAATGAAGACCATAGGGGGAGTGATGAAGGTCGAGGGGATAGCCTTCGGGCCGGCAGCGCGGAGCGCAGCCCGCGGCGTAGCCCGGGGCAGGACGGTGCGGAACATGGCGATTGAAAAACGTAGACCGGAAGAAGAAATCGCAAGAGCCGTTTCAATCCTCCAAGATAAACGGCCTGGAGGGAGGGGGTGAGGACGGGGAGAGAGTAGAAGATTGTCTTTTAGGTACGGGAAAGGTGAGAGACTGAGCTTTGCGGTATTTTGAGATTCGCCGTCGATGGCGGTTATGTAAGCCGCGCTCGGGTCGACTCGGTAAGGCGCTACGTTTACCGGTTGGTGATGCCGATTCAACTGGGGACAATTGTTGGGATTTCGATTGGGAGATAAGACAGAAGTTAGAATTGACCTGGTGTTACATGTTCTACATGCAGATGGATTGCTACAATCACAAGAACATCCCCGCAATATGAGTTCCTTCTATATAACACAACTGCCCAGAATTTTGTTCGGGAAAATCCCCAAAGAACTTTTCCGCCCTCCACCCACCCGGCCAGACCTTCTCTTTTACTCCGGGGAAAGGAGCTTTTTTGGACTCCCGTCGCTATTTAAAGTTAGTTCGCCAGAGTTGATGCCCCAGACTGATCCCCCAATGCCCGCGGATTTGAGATCGGCGGGTTCAGGTTTACCGGGGGGCTCCGCGTAACCCCCTCGCGGCTACACGCGGCCACACTGTTTAGGGTCACCCTCTGGACAGTTAGACAGACCTGTACATGTCATAGTCCAGGAATGATAGATGTCAGCCCGTAAATGTTGATATTGCGAATCATATATAGTTTGGGTTCCATAGGTTTGAAACCCCAACGAATTTTCAGGTTCATCTTGACAGTCACGAGTTGAACGATAGACCAAAAAGATGGTACCTCTGCCATCGTGAAAGATGATTCGAAAGACAGTTAAAAAGATTTTTCAAATAGTAGAAATTGAAGCATGTCCGGTCACTCCGTTTCTCTGGTTTCTAGACCCGGGCTCTTGAACTGCCCCTGTACTTGGTGAAGTTCCAGTCGGCGTCATTATATCATTGGATCGAAAGACTTGAGCACAGAATGAGTCTGCTTCTATCTTCAACATGGAAAAAGGTCAAACTTCTCTCCACTCTAATTGATGGATCATGGATCTCCAAGATTAATGTGCCCTGCCGCTTTTCAGCCCCTCCAACGTCCGGTTGGCAGAGGAGCGCCGATATCGTTTCGGCGGTGCTGAAAAGCTCACACTTCGATGATAGAGGATGACCAGTGTATTGCTAGGACTAGATCAGTTCTAATTCAAGATCTGTAGATGGATGGTATCTCTAGAAAATCCAAGCATTATCAATCATTGCACCCTGTTGCTTTCGTTCTCCCTCCGATGAGCGGGAATCCTCCGATGCCGCCTCTTTCTATACCTTGTATCTTAGGACACCTAACTAATGACTAGTTTAGCAACCACACGGTCCGTTTCGCCCCCGTTGACCGAACCCAAAAATCAAATCCTAGCCCTCGACTCACTATTTGATTGACCGGCCACGATGCCTTATCAGAAACAACCTCAGCAAGCTTGGGGGCTGTCAGCATCGGGGGCCAAGTCCGTTCCCGTGTCTGAGGATCAGCGCTCCGTGTCGGCGCTCCGTGTCACCGATCACAACAGAATCGACAGCGTAGTAACTAACTACTATATAAGTAGTCACTTCTCTCGACTGGATAGGATTCATATTTCCATTGAAAATCAAGTCTCTATCGAGTTACGAATTCAAAAGTTACTTGAATATTGACATTTACGCCCAAAATGTCTAACATCGCTGCATCGTTCATCGAAGGAATGAAGGGCCGACGGTCCATATATGCCCTCACCAACGAATCGACTATCTCAGATGGCCGGATTGAAGATATTATCTCTGAGGTTGTTAAACACACGCCCAGCCCTTTTAACAGCCAGACTGCCCGTTTGGTGGTCCTTTTGAAAGAGGAACATGAGAAATTGTGGGATCTCGCCCTCGAAATTGCTACCGCTACGGTGCCCCCGCAAGTACTTGAGAATTTGTATAAGCCTCGGATCGCTGGTTTCCGTGCGGGTTATGGCACTGTAAGTTTACGCAAAAGTTTACTGGTCTAGCGCGATTATGTGCTGACGTGTTGAATTAGGTATTGTTCTACGAGGACCCTGCTCCATTGAAGCCTCTTGAGGAAAAGTGGCCTATGTTGATTGACAAGTTCCCCGAGTGTAAGCCATCCTGATTGGAAATTACTCTTCCATAGATCAACGAGCTGACATCTAAACATAGGGTCCAACCATTCGACTGGAATGCATCAGTTTGCTCGTAAGTCATCTATACACTCTGACGATTTGAGATTAATACTAACTTTACCTGCTCTAGTTTGGACACTACTTGAAGCCGAGGGACTTGGATGCAACCTGCAACATTACAGCCCAATGGTCGATGCACGAGTCGCCGAGGAATGGAATTTGCCTGTTGATTGGAGTCTCAAGGCCCAACTGGTCTTTGGCAAACCGACCGGGCCTCCTCGTGAGAAGACCTTTGAACCTCTCGAGAAGCGGATTTTCATCCACGGCAAATAAAGAAAGACGATTGACAGGTTGAAAAAGCCAAAGTAATTTGGAGGGATGCGATAGAGGCGAGATTGATTCATGTCTTAAAAAGCAAATAGTAGATACATAGCGCTTTATGCATTCGATCATGTTACTGTACAGTGTTCAACTTTTAACCTAAGAGCTAAACTTCTTAACAAAATCTCCTGCTTTCTCCGCACACTCTCGCGCCTCTTTCTTGAAACCCATGATCCACGCAATCATGAACAAATCATGCGGCGTCGATTCTGACACAAAGAGATCCACCAAGCCCTCATTCTGCGGCAATTTCTTGAAGATTCGAACGAGTTCCTGATTCTCCTCGCATAGCACTTCCTTCCCTCCAGTCACCACCAGCATGGGCGACGGCAACACGAAAGGATGCTTTATCGGAGAAACATGCTCCTCGACCGATTTGGTAATTTCCAGATCACGTAAGACTAAAGTTGCACCCCAGGCTGGGAACGATGCAGGTACATACTCGGTCTTGTAGTTGGGACTGCTGTTCCAAGCTTCGGAGCTTCGTGCTTCAGGGATATTGGTCCAAGGTGAGAAGAGCCAGGTGCATTTTGGCGCGTGAAGAAGAGACGAATTTTGGGATTGTGTTATGTAGCGCAACAATCCCAAGGCGAGGTTAGCCCCGGCGCTATCACCGCTGAGGATGATTTGTGAGGCTGGGATGTGGAGGGTGTCGAGTAGGTATAAATAGGCAGAGATGGCGTCTTGCAGTTGAGCCGGAAAGCGGCCATTTGGTGTACCCGCGAGTCGGTACTGAAGACAGAGTACGTATCGACTCGGCGTATATGAGAGAAAGTGCTTGGCGATGGAGTGACAGGACACTGTCCGGCCGTCCCCTGATATGTAGGACCCACCATGCAGATGGAGCACGATGTGCTGGTCTTCAGGGATTGTGAAATCCGAGGAAGGGCGCTTAGGATACCATGTAGCCCCGACAGCCTCTGGCTTGGTCTTTTCATCCAACGTGATGCCAGAGTACAATTCAGGTCCCGCAGGCTCGATGAGAATGAATCGCTTCCTTTCAAAACCCGGCTTGAGGGAGACGGACGGTGGCCTTTTCAAAGAGATGTACTTGTGTAGACCGACCTTGAGAATCGTATTGGTTAGGGCTTGTCGGTATGTCCATTTTGGGTATTGACGATTCTTCGAGCGAAGATAGGAGATAGCCGCCCATGGAAGAATTAGAAACGAAGTGTCTGGTGGTGGAGAAGGCATTGAAAAGGAGTTGCCAAGAGGATGGACGTAGTAGAAAAAGAGAATTAGAATAACTATTGGTGGCAAGATGACCCCCACAAGCCACAAAATCATCTCCTGCTGTGCAAGAGATTAGCTTTGATCTGACTTTGTGATTTCTAGGCAGCACTCGTTCGGTGATGGTACCATCTTTTTGGACAGATGGAGATAGATCGCCCGCTAAAGTCGATCGCGGAATTCACCAGGCAATTCAAGGCATGACACCGGATGGGCAAATTGAGATAGCAGCTTGTTGTTTTTCCATATCTGTCTAGATGGATGACATCATGATCTTTCCGCAACCTGAGACTTGGGAGATCGCGTTATATTCACATCACGTGATACAGATACAGATCCCGAATGTAAGCAATCTTTTAACCTACGAGACTAGCCAAACAAGCTTTCGTTGGGTGATGCTCGATGGCAAGAGTACGAAATTACGTTCAATGCCATTTTCTTATAGGAGTGAGGCCGAAAGGCTACACAGACCTGTTGCAACGGGATAAGCAGACCGGCAGATGGACAGATATAATTAGACTCGGTTTTCACCAGCTGGTTTACCAAGCAAGTACAATCGTATAGAATCGAGGATATGGCTAGATTCTCTCGGCAAGCCCTTGGCGTGACTATCGGCGAGCCGCATGCGGTATCATATGAGGGGATACCAGGTCGGGCCGGTGGAACATGATTTCTCTTACGAAAGAGGTTGGTTTCTTGAAAAACAAACATCTGGACTTCGGTTAAATGCAGCATTCCGGGGTATGGGAACTACCATCCGGGGGTTAAAAGGCTGGAGATGGTGTTCGGCGAACCTCCGATCTGGAGATGTCCATATGTCCCACGTTTCAAGGGAAGATCGCAACCTTGTGATATAGTCGACGAAAGCCGAGAACGAGAAGTGCAAGCGCACTTAACCACGAGTTAGTCAGTTTCAGTCCATCCAGTAAAGTTGATTTGCCATGTTTCACAAAGTCGATCGACCCCGAACTGGGCGGCTTGCCGAGGGGTGAGAAGCATGACAGAACGCAAGTCTGGAGGTTTCTCCACGGGGACACTGTTCTCTCCGTGTTTTCTCGGGTGGAGGTGGTGGAGTCCGACTCTGAAGTGTTTATTGGTTCTCCGGCGGCTGGCTTGGAGGACCGAGTTCATCCCGTACGCCCTTCCCTTCCGGTTGGCGTTCAAAAAGACCCAATTAGGCTAGCCGATGGGGTACAATGACGGCATTGTAATAGACACAGACTTGTCTGTCCGGCTAATTCATATGCAGGGCGTTTGGAGGTTGGCGTGGGGGAGAGTAAGTCGTCTTGAGTGAGGGACGGTCGCGCCCTGGGCTGAGTGGGGGAATCGTGCAGATGTACTTATCCGGCCATGTCTCCAGTGTCACATCACCAGCGAAGACAAACAATCCTCGACTTGGGTACAGACAACAGATACTAACGAGCCAAGGAGCGAAAGAAAACCTTGCAGATCCTACTCTTGTATCGTCAAGAGTCCTGATACCACCCGGTTAAAAGGCTGGGGATCCCCTCTGTCTCTACCGACTACTGCACGAGTGGAGAAAGACCGAGCCCATCGACCACTCCAGGTCGCTTTGTCCCGCAATGTTACCGGGTCGGACCAGTTGCGACTCCTTGCTGTTCCTGGGGTGACTCTTGGCCGATCCTCGTGGGGAAGTTTCCTTGCTAGTCCTGCACGTAACTTGGACTCGCGCCGTGGTGAGGAGTTGGAGACGAGTTTCGTTTAAATGGTGCGATGGACCCGCCAGGATGTTGCGCGACGTGCTGCTCTATTCTTTTTTTTTACCCCGCGGGGCTGGTATATTGTCTCAGTCTTCTAATTCGACTGCTTCTACCTCCGCTGGTACATCGATTCCTACCTCACGGGTTATGCCCATTTGTACTACGCCGCACACCCTACCGTCACAATGAGCGACAAAATACCCTCGTGGAATATCGTCCACAAACTCGAGAAGCGCCAGCTTCTCATCGCAATCAACTGTGTTGCCGCACTCTCAATCCTCTTCTTCGGTTATGACCAAGGCATGATGTCCGGCGTCAACAACGCCAAGGACTACATCGACCTGATGGGATTCGGATATACGAAAGAAGTCGACGGCGAGTTGACCCCCGTGGTAACCAATTCCCTACTCCAGGGAGGTATCGTCTCGGTGTATTATCTGGGGACGTTGTTCGGTGGACTGTTCGGTGGTTGGTTGGGTGATCGAATGGGGAGAATCAAGTCAATTGCTGCGGGAGCTGTTTGGGCTGTGATCGGTGCGAGTCTGCAGTGCTCGGCGCAGAATCATAATTGGATGATTTGTGGTTAGTAGAGGAGGGAACATGAGCGGGTGAGAATGACATGAGATCTCAGAAGCTGATGATGGTTGTAGCACGCTTCATCAATGGTATCGGTACTGGTATTTTGAACGCAATTGTGCCGGTCTGGGCCACTGAAACCGCCGAGCATACTTCCCGTGGACAGTTCATTGCGATTGAATTCACATTGAACATCTTTGGTGTGGTTCTGGCCTATTGGCTTGAGTTGTATGTTCCCAGATTCTCCAGATCAAGATTATCTCCCACAAAGAAAGGTCTAACATCCTTTTCTTCTTCCTAGTGGCCTCTCGTTCATCGACGGTGGCAAGTCCGCCTTCCGCTGGCGCTTTCCAATCGCCTTCCAGATCATCTTCCTGCTGATTCTCTTCGTTGCCGTTTGGTTCTTCCCCGAGTCCCCCCGCTGGCTGGTAAAGGTTGGCCGTGAGCAGGAAGCACGATATATCCTCCAGCGCCTTCGAGGTAGCAGTCCAGAGGACCGTGTCCGCGCCGAAGCTGAGTTCCAAGATATCCAAAGCATTGCCGAGATGGAGAAGACCGTTGTTCACGGCAACTCTTACTTGTCAATGCTTTTTGGTTGGAAGTCCGGTGATTTGCATATCGGTCGAAGGGTGCAGTTGGTCATCTGGCTACAAATCATGCAGGAATGGGTTGGTATTGCCGGTGTTACTGTTTATGCGCCGACCATCTTTAGTATCGCTGGCTTTGATTCAATGAAGAGTCAGTGGATCAGTGGATTGAATAATATTTTCTACATGGTATGTCTGCGTGGACTGTATAGATGATCTGGCCAAACTAACAAGGATTTCTAGTTCGCCACGCTCATTTGCGTGTTCACTTTGGATCGTATCGGGCGACGCTGGACTTTGTACTGGGGCTCTGTCGTCCAGGGCATTGCCATGTTCCTGGCTGGAGGGTTCTCTCGCCTTGCCATCAACGCCAAGGCTGATGGCAATATGGGCTCAGCCTCGTCGTACGGTGCGGCAGCTGCCTCGATGATCTTCATCTTCACCTCGACTTTCGGTGCTACCTGGTTGACCGTGCCTTGGCTGTACCCGGCCGAGATCTTTCCTCTGGCAGTTCGCGCCCGGGGTAATGCCTGGGGAGTCGTTGGCTGGAGTATCGGAAATGGATGGCTGGTCAGTACTTTCCTCTGGCATTTTGCCTCATGGCAAATGCGATGATTCTAACACAAATATTCATAGACCCTTCTCTGCCCCGTCATGTTCGATTCCATTGGCGAAAAGACCCTCTACGTCTTCGCGGCCAGTAACGTGATTACGATCCCCATGGTGTGGGCTCTATACCCCGAGAGTAATCAGCGCACCCTGGAAGACATGGACCTCCTTTTCGCAGCCAAGACTCCTTGGACCTGGGATGCGGAGAAGACCTTTGCTCGCCTCAAGGCTGAAAATCCCGGTATGGTGGACATTACTAGCCGCAAGAACAGTGTGGTGGACCCCGAGACTGGGAAGGTGATTTCTGTGGATGCATTGACAGCAGCTAAGCTTGATAATGCTACTGCTGCTGAGCATGTGGATCACCCTTGATGGAGGAGAATAGGGTTGAAATTTGATACCATCTGTCCGGTGGACGGTTGAAGGATAGAAGTACGTATAAATTTCTATGTAGCTAGCGAGGCTTGGAGTTATTACGAGTTATGCCAGGAATGAAAGCAACGTCATGCTTAAGGCATTGATGATCTATTGGATAGTTTGATTCTATAGTTAATACGAGATTACAAATGAAGAGTCATACGAAACCTTAGATCCATTAGAACGGGGAACTCTGATTGGTCACATTGAGAACAATTTGCTTCGCTATTCTGGCCTCGGCTTGTACATAAAGTAGTCTTGATCTTTGGGCTTTCTTCATTTCAACCTCATTCTCAAGCTATCCAAAGGATATTCCCCATACAAGCTCCATCCCACTTTGTCAGGTAAGTTCTGTCGCGCCCGACGCGTCTCGACGCGTCTACCCCAAGTTCCATCACTCGTATCCGCGATAAGCTAACCACTCCAACTTACACAGCCAACATCGCATTCAAAGCTTCAAACGCTTAACACCTAGATCTATGGAAATTGCCTACAAAATGACATCTCCACCCATCATCCCCACAGACACAACAACCACCCTCTTAATAGCCAAATCCAAAAAATCCACAACAACACCCCCACCCCTCCAAAAATCCCTCCACCGCATCTCCCTCCACCCAACCCTAACCCCCTACCGCCGGCGCGTCTACCGCGTCCTCCTCTCCGTTCCCCCCGGCCGTTGGACCACCTACTCCGCGCTAGCAACATATCTCAACTCCAGCGCGCGTGCCGTCGGCAACGCGATGCGCACGAATCCCTTCGCGCCTGAAGTCCCCTGTCACCGTGTGCTGGCAGCGGATGGCTCGTTGGGCGGGTATAAGGGGGAGTGGCGGGTAAGCAAGCATATTGCCGGGGGAGGGTTTCAGGAGGAGAAGATGGTGAGGTTGAGGGAGGAGGGGGTGGAGTTTGATGAGGCGGGGAAGGCGGGAGGTGTTTGTTTTAGGGAGTTTACGGATTTGGGGGGCGAGAAGGGGAAAGAGAAGTGATTGAATTGGGGACATATGTACAATTAGCATTGCGGTTTTGGATATGGGGGAGTTTGGACTGGCCTTTATCTTTGTTGTTATGTTATGGGATGGTCGAATGGAAGCCATCTCTTCCTCTATTTATGCTTATTGCAGAATCCTGTTCGATAGTTGAGACATGAAGCTGACCCGCAAAAATTTAAAATATTCTTCCTGCTCACTCACGTCAAGTGTACCTAGCATCGCCCCGAGCTGGATTCTCAATAGATCTTCCGGTCCACGAGTGAAACAGGATATTTGGGATTTGGGCATAGACCATCAGGGGCAGACGACTACCTGGTCCATTCTTGAATACCATGAGCTACACATGAGAACATGCAGGCGATGTGCAGATATTCTATTCGTGTCTACTTCTATTTGTTCGGACTGTATGCATTGTCGGGGGACCTGCATACTCCCAAAGACTAGGTATCTCAGCCCACGTTTCGTCGTAGACTGTGGGTCTCCGACTTACTGCAGCGTCAACAGGATCGTTTTTGATCGAAGGTATACTTGGGCCTGAGTAGTGGTGACTTTGTCCTGTGTAGCAATAAAGTAAACAATATGTTAAAAAACCGAAAGGGTCCTTTGATAGATTGCCGGTTCATCGGATTTCTAGCGTGGCTGCTGCATTGCCATGTTGGATGGCATTTAGAGCAGGGGTTTGCGATCCAGATTGTTGAGCGGGGGCAGGAGGTTTGTGGGTTGTTCAGTGGAGATGATAATGGAGAGTGGGTGGAATGGGCGGAAAGATTGGAGGGGAATTGTGTTGTTTGGGAGGAGTACGAGGGGGGTTTACAGGGGATGCAAGATGGATCTCGGGTCTGAGGGGAAAAACGAGAGATGTGAGATTTGTATGAGGTTTAAGTTCATCTATTGGAAGAGAGTAACTGAGATTGCAGGGTGAAGTTAAAGCTGAACTTAATGACAAACTCTGAACACGGAAGGATTCTCGAACCAGGGTGCTATAGTCTCGGTGTGCACTAGGTACTGATGATTGCTTTTGCAATCCAAGACAATATGGCGGCATGGAGAATACCAGGATAGGGCTCATGCAGATACAAACCTACAAACCGAACTAACTGTCAGATTACGTCCCTGAATCATACATCTCATGCAAAAATTGAGGGATTTCCATCTAGCAGCCACCGGAGGATTATGGAGCGCACTTGGCGCGCGGTCTGGTTGCAAAGGCGTCCCATCTCCACGACTGGAGAAGGTAAAAGGTAAGGTACATCGAGGGTACTGTAGCATAGTGCAGGAGTATCATTGGATGTGACGAGCGAACTAGATTTGATTCATTTTTTGGGCGGACCGGGATCAGGGGTTGGGGGATGCTTGGCTCGGGCTAGACCGAGGATCCCCTTACTGGGGTGTGGATATTGGGATGTACATGAGTAAGATGCTGGGGTCGTGCTGGTCTAATTAGAACCCTGGAATTATAACCGTTCTCATATAGAAACTGCGATACACAGTCTGTGTGATGTACCTAACACTAAGATGAATCATACCACTAGCACTCTTTCTTGCAGTCGGTGGTTGTCAGAACAGGCCAGCCGCAGGCAAAAAGGCAAGAAAAACCCCTCTTGGTATATGTACGAGCGGCTCAATATACCAGCCAGGATTCTAGAAGATCAATTGCAGGGTCTAGATCGACAAAAAGCCCGAAGCCCAACTACCGGAAAGCTCCTCTCATTTCGCGACAAAAGCAAACATGTTCGGCTCCACTTATGCTACGACCTACCCAAGTAGGAATTACGAATAGATTTTAGTCACATCTACCCAAGACATAACTTAGTTAGCTACTACTTAGACTAGACTGGAGCTATTATACAGGGGAAGTGGCAAGGATTAAGTTCATAGATTCCTTCATTCATATAGTTTCCATCGTGGAGTACAGTAGTACCTCAAAAAAGCAAACCCCATCTAAAAAAACACCCATAAGCCCCGTCTATTGCGTTGGCGAGCATTCCTCCATTCGAATCATCGACACAAAAACATGGAAACCTGAAAACTTGCACAAAAGTACAAAGAAGAAACAGCCAAGGGTATTCTATACAGGATAGAGCAGACGCAGACTGTAGTCTATACAAACAAGTGTAAACAGAGAAGCAAAATGCCAGAAGCAATGAATCATAGGACCAGCTAAAGAATAAAAAAGAAGAAATAACGCCATTGGCGAAGACAGAAGGGTAATCGAGTAAACAAACAACAATAAAAGTCAATAAATCGTAAGATCGTAATACCTGCGGGGGGTGATGGCCCCACAGAGCAAAAGTAAAAGGGCAAGCGAAAGCGCGAGTTTGATAAACCCCACCAGTGCATCTAGAGTGTAGCGTCCTTGGCAGAACGCTTCAGCGCCCGGCGCTTCGGAACATCCAGGTGGTGATAAGAGCGCAGGTGCTCGACGAGATGGTCCTGGCGGGGGAAGCCATTGCTGCCCTTGCGGGAGCAGTGCTCGACAGGGCAATTGCGGAAGACGGGGTAGTGGACGCTCGTCTGGTGGCGCTTCAGGTCTGCGAAGCGAGTGAAGGACTTGCCGCAGTTGTCGCAGCCGAAGGGCTTTGCGGGTCTAGTGGAGAGGGAGATAGGTTAGTTAAAGATCGTGGCGAGGAAGAATAGAATTCAATAGGCGTGAAACTTACTTGGACTGAGTGGGCGGCGAGTCCGGGCCCGAGTCATCAGAGGTGAGAGGGAAGTTGGGCATGGGGACTTCCTCGGGCATATTGTTCCAGCTGGAGCTCCCGCAGGTACTGCCACAGGTGCTGCTTGCCGAACTGGGTACGCTGGTAGCCGTCGATGTCTCATAGACGGGCGGGAAATCGTGCATGGGAGTATACATGTACGGCGAGCTGGTGAAGGAGTATGCAGCATCGGGGATGACCTCGGAGACGGCAAAGGGACTGGTAGCGTCGAGATCGCACAGGGCAGTCTCATAGATGGGCTGTGGGGGCCCGTAGAAGAAAAAGTCCATGCCGCCTGGGGAAGAAGAGTAGGATGAGGAGGTAGAGGAGTCCGTGTAACTGAAGGGGGATTGCATATTGTCTCTAGAGTTGCTGATGAAGATGGGGTGTGTAGTGGTGGTTGTAAAGGAGGAGGGGGAGGTGAAGGAGGAAGAAGTCTAGTTTTAAACCCCGGAAGGATGATCAGACGAGTTTCTAGAAGGACGGGAGAAGGACACTAGTGCAGACTAGTGAGAAGAGAGAAGGATTGACCTACCATCGTGAGACGCTGGTGCGAATCCTTCGTGAAGCTGTGCGAGGGTCGGTGCTTAGTGCTTAGTGCTAGAACCATATAGGATAGAAAGAATCTGAAGATAGAAAAGAGGGTGTTCCTGGAGTTAATATGAGTTCTCTTTGAACTTTGGTATTTTTGTTTATTTAAATAAATAATAATAATACTACATTATTACAACCATCATCATCATGAATGCTGCGGCTCGAGAAACGCTAGTCGACGCACGCTGTCCTCCGTACTCAACCCCTCGTCAACCCTCGCCTACTCACCCATCCACTCAGATCCAACCCTCAACCGACCAGCTAATCCACCCCCGGTCTAACACGAAGACCATCACCTGGTCTCTCCCCCAAACTAGAGCCAAAACAAGTTGGTCCGATCACGGCTTACCAGACTGTGAAAGTGTGAATGGCCTCTCACTGGTCCACTCCCCCCCTACACAGCCCCGCCCTCGAGCGTCATTAGAGAGGATCATCACCTGCGGGATTTCTTCTGCAAACACAGAACGGATCGTGCATTAGCGGCTCTTCCACAATCCCAGCACGCACTCTTCTCCCAACGCTGACTTCTCTGCGCCTTCTGGAAGCCTTCTAGCGCGGTATTAGCGTCTTAGCGGCAGGCCCTATACTCCACTCCCATTCTTGGCCCCGGTGTGATTGGCGTCATCGAAAGCAGCAAGAGAGGGGGCCCGGGGGAGAGACTCGCCAACAGCCACTAATAAAAGAGAACAGGCCATGCATGAGGCCAGGCTGCCAGGCCACACCTTCGACTGCAGCAGCGCAAAGCCACGCACTAATCACAATCCCGTCTCGCGACCGCAGGCCCTCGAACCAGCCAATCCAAACCCCCGATAAGCTGCATCATCCCAGTTGCGGTCAGACATGCTTGCGCTCGATCCTCCCACCATGATCCATGATCCATCCTTCCCCCCCCTCCAACCACTCACCCACTCACCATTCACCACGCTTGGCAATCGATCATCGTTCGGTGGTTAGCGCGGGTGCAAGCCCCCTTCTGGAACCCTTCTAGCGTAGTCGAGGAAATCGCCCGGGAAAGAAGGCTGACGGGGGGAGATCCTGCTTTCTGGCCCCCCTTGGGAGTTTCCAGCCCGTGTTCGTCTTTTTTTGGGCAAGAGTCTAGCAGTCTGGCATTTCTGGAGATGTGTCTCTCGTTTCAGGTTTGCTGCGTGGCGCCAGCATGACTGCAGAGTGGTGTTGTCTGTTGTCCTATTTTTTTTCAGCAGAGACTCTGCCTGTCGGTCTGCCTTGAGGACGAGCTAACTAGAACAGTTTACCACGGAATGGAAAAACAACAAACCTAACAAGCCCTAGTATTTCGTTTTTCGTCCCCAAGAAAATACTACCGTTGGATAGTGTTTTCTTTCCTTTTCCTTTTCTCTTGTCTCGGAAACTCTGTGCCGAGCAAAACTACAATACCCAACCAGAACAGTTTCGCAAGATCCACGATCGCCCATCTTGGGTGATCGCCGAGAGCCACAATCAGGGCAGTCCCCAGAACCGGGGTCGATGACGATCGCCTATCGATGTCATAATATCCAGAATTAATATAATAAAAACAAAAAAACAAAGGGAGGTTCCGTATACTCCTCAGAACACTAACACTAACTAACACCCATGCACCACTCCGAAAACCGTTTAGTCTCGAGTATTTCTGTCCGAAGTACGAAGTCCCCCGGAATCCGACCAATCATAACCATCACTTAGAGTACTTCGTACAATCCATGCGCTACTATACTCCCCATCAAGCCTAGCGCCACACTGCCTGTCCTGCCCAGTGCCAGCCCATTCCATTTTCCCAGTCCAGTCCATCATTTGCTTTTTCGTCTTCTCTAATCCCGGCTCCCTTCTAGAAAAATCCCGCAACGCTAGCGTCGCCGCGCCAAGTCCACCTCTTCTCTCTGTCCTGTCCTCGTTGGCTGTGCAGATGCAGGTCTCTCACACTAATGCAAGGTATGCGAGACGAAAGAACAGAGAAAAGACCCGGGGAACAGGGGACATGTTGTCCCCGTTGCTTGGATAGAATGAGGCTTTTCGTCACTGCCTCGCCGGGCCGCTAAGCCGCTTATTGTATGGGATAGTGGCTCCTATTGGCGGTGGTGGTAACGGGGTGACCTGCTGAGCTGTTGACTTGCCGGGATGATAAGTAGGTAGTTATGGATAAGGTGGTTTGGTTTTTGTCTTGGTCGGTTATCTGTGAATAGGATACATACTGGGTTGTGCATCCGGAGTCGCCTATGCCTATGCATACTTGCATCTCCCAATGCAATGACCGTGTGGGTCTCGCTGGACTCGATAAAGCAGGTCCTATACTCCAGTACTACTGTAGACACAGCACTACATACTGACCTACGAATCAGTAAAGACTTGTTCAAATCGGGACAGCGGTGCCATATCTAGCCTGTATACACCGTAGTATCCCACGCAGGCCATAAGGTTCTCTGGTTATCTTCTCCACGGCACCTTGTCCGGGCGCGCGCGTGCCTGCAGGGGAACCGAGGCCATGCTTTCCCAGGTTGATTCGAGATGGAGACCCCAGATACTACTTCGATGTACAAGTGACCGCCGATCACAGCGTGCAAAGCGCAGGGCAAGGCTAGGTAGCCCCGAAAAGCATCTTACAAAAGTACGAGTTCCCATAACTACCAGGCAAACACCATGATCTACTCTGATTCAGCCGCAATTGACGACACAAACAGTAATGATTCATTCATTTGGTCAAACACACCCAGGAACCAGGTGAAGAATAACTCAAGCACATAAAAACTCCATGGTCTCCCCGAGGCCCCGCCATTCATTGTACTCATTGCCCGATGTCAGTCCTGTGGAGGACTAGTAAAGCAGAGGATAAAAACACAAACAAATCAAACAATGACGAAGACAAAAATGATACCAAGATAAAACGACGATAGAACTCCCCAAAGCTCGGGTGCCCATGTAGATCGAGATCGTCCTTCTATGACATGTCATATCCACTTTGAATTTCGCCCCGTTTCCTACGGACCCATTCTAGAGGGGCCCGTCCGACGAGAGGGCCGGCGGGAAGGATTGGGGAGAGAGAAAGAGGAGGGAGAAGATAAGGAGGATGGGGGGAAGGGGAAGGGGAAGGAGAAGGAGGCAGGTAGCTTGCCAGTGCTCGTAGATTCGATCAAGGCTGCTACGCCTACGCCAAGGAAAGAAGGGGGCAATGGGAGAAGGCACGCATGTTCAAGTGACGAATTACAACTCGTCTTCGAGATATTTGTACACGAATTTGAAATCAGCCTTGCGCCGGTTCATCCTGTCGGGCAACATAGTAAGCACGTGTTCAGCGAGGGGAATAGGGGAATGGAAAACTGGGGTACGATAGAACTTACCATGTGCTCTCGTAGTCAAAGAACCGGTAGGTGCCTTGCTCAAATTCCTCCGTGATGTTCTTTGGCTCCTCGTGGCGCTGGAACCATGTTTGGTACTGCTTATGGAAGCGCCAACTTTGGTTTTTCAACGCCTTAGCGGAGAGGTACTGCTGATATGACCCTTGTCGGTAGTAGAAAAGGTAAAACAACGTGTCCGTGTCAATACGTCCAGTATCGTACAATCGTGGGTCGTCAAAGATGGATAGAGGTTCTTGCGGGTAGTAGAGGGGAGTGTTGTAGGGATTTTGCGGCTTGTAATGCCGGGGTTTCTCTGCATCGCCGGGTTCGGGACATGTCGTGAGAGAAGTCGCAAGAAGACGCTGTACCGCAGGTGTTGGGTTCGCCGTGGCGCGGTCTTTGGTCACCTCGAACGATTGGATCAGGTCTTGCAGACCGGGAGGTAAGTGGAATATTGACTCATCTCCCTCGGCTGCTTCCTTGGGTGTTGTCTTGCCGTTCGTTGTGGGTTTCTCTTTAACCGTCTCTGCCTTGGGCGTTGGGGCGGGTGCAGGCGATGATGAGCTAGAGGCTGCTGCGCCAACAGCTGTCTTAGACCGCACTGCCAATGGCACAGCCTCTTCCGACGACGATGCGGACACTGCTGGTGGTGCAGATGGTCCGGCCGTTGTCGTTGGCCTAGCGACAGGTTGTACGGAAGACACAACTGGCGAAGCTGTGGATGATGCCTTCGAGACGGGGAGAACGTTTGAAAAAGCAGGACTAGCACCCGGTGGTGGGGGCAGAGGCAGAATCCCAACACCACTCTTGTCGCTGGCAGCTGCAGCCGCCGCGGCGGAAGCATACTTGAGCGTTTCTCCAGGCAGGCGAGTCGGTAGAGGGGCGGGTTTCATGCCTGGGAGGGCACTGGACGAGGCGGATGGATGGAGCGTAGCAAGAACGGGGAGCGGTGACTTCATCTGTGTAGACGGTCGACGATGTGATGTAGCATCCACTTTCGAGGGCTTCGGCTTCGGCTCTGGTTCGTCGTCTTGAATGGATTGGGCATCTTGAGACGATACACGATCGTTCTCTGCTCCCATGCCGAACTGAGCCTCGACCTCCTCTCCAATATCCAAGTCATCATAGAGCGTTTCATCCTCTCCAGAGTAGTCAACATTATGCCCTTCGTCGACATAGTACTTGATACTCTCCTTGAGATCTAGCACCTGATTCACCTCCAAGTTGCCATTCTGTAAGGATCGATTGAGGAACTCGAGTTTGTTGACATGCCACTTATGCCGTTCCGTTACCCTCGAGATGTCTGCCATGCGGTTGGCCTTGTTCGTGTCCTTTTTCCCCTTCTTCATTTGGGCCTGCAATGCCTCCTCCTCGGCCTCCATGGCCTCAATCCGTTGTTGGAGCTCGTCGACCATGGTCGACAGGAAGTCGCATGCTTCTACCTTTTCTTTTTCCTTCGGGTCGAGTCGTGATGCGGCGGAGAGACCCTCTTTGGAGTAGGCTTTCGTCTTCATCTCCTTCTCGACGGCCTTGAATTGCTCCATGCACTATTTCGGAAATCGTTAGCCTGAACCTACCCCAGCTTTCACCCTCCCCCGCAGATGGGGCTGAGACCTACCGTCTCAATGGCCTTCCGCTGCTCGAGTAGCGGAGCCTTGTCTTTGACCTCGTTGCCAGCTGCCCATGATTTGATCTGATCGCGGAACCTTTGCAGCTTCTTGATCTCGCGCTTGAGGTTCTCTTCGAGCTTATCGCGCTGGGTGGGATTCGTGGCGGCCTTGACCTTCTCATGAATACTTTCGAATGTCTGAATCCCTTCGGCGACCTTTTTAAAGGTCTTATCGATCTCTTGCTGTGTCTTTCGGGAGGTCATCGTGATCCCGTGGTGGGCGTGGACTGGGCGGGTTCCCGGTCCACGATGCGGTTTAAAGTGAGTTGGTGCGGTGGGGGCGGATTCGGAATTCGCGTGCTGCCAGGGGGAAGGGCGTAGCACAATCGGTGAGAATGGGAGTGAAGGTTGTGTTTTTGCGGGGTGTCGCACTGAGGAAGAAAGCTCAGATTGGCGGAAAGACGGTGGAATGGTCTTCTCGTCGTCCTGTCGAGTGGAAAGCTTCGATGATGCCCGATGAAGAAGGCGGTCAGCACCTGACTCGCAGAAGCAAGGTTGCGGCGCAAACAAGAGAGCTGCGGCAACTCCGCGTTTTCGTTGCTTGTTTTGAAAATTTACTATCAGTCAATCTGTTTGCTTGACTCGGCTATCCTAGTTGGATTCCGCTTGGTGCTCTGATAAGTGGCTGTTTGTGCCTGTTCTATTGAAAGTGCGGAGGAGGGTATGTGCGCGGGCGGCTCTCCGAGAGATGCCTTCTGTGGGGTTCTTCCAGTGGCTAATCCTCCCTTCTAAACTCCAGACACCCTCCGAGGCCGAAGAAACGATGAAAAGTGCGCCCCGATATGACAGTGATGGGTTTCAAGTGATCTGAAGCTGATAATCTCTTAGTTGTCATCCAAAGAGTGAAATCGGCATCGGTCACGGTTGATTCGGAGTTGATCTCATCCATCGGCAAGGGTCTACTAGTATTCGCTGGTGTCGGCAAAGATGACACCGAGAAGGAAGCCGAGAACCTGGTGAACAAGGTCTTAAAGGCGAAGTTCTGGCCGGATGAGAATGGCGCGCAAGTAAGGACTTGACGTTCGGCGCTTCGCATATACTTGGTCGGCGCATTCCGTGCTGACTCTTTGTTAGTGGAAAAAGAACGTACAGGATATCGAGGGAGAAGTACTTTGTGGTACGTTTGTCGCATACTTGAGGAGACTCTTCAAGTTCCTTGCTGATGTATCATACCAGTCTCACAATTCACCCTCTACGGCAAGATGAAGAAAGGCAACAAGCCTGACTTCCACGATGCGGCCGATCCGACGACGGCACGGAAGCTTTACGACCATTTCTATAACAAAATGCGCGAGAACTACGTTCCAGATCGGGTCAAGAACGGCGTGTTCCAAGCCATGATGGATGTTGAACTCAAGAACGATGGGCCGGTGGGTGTTGACTACCGCAGTGAAGATGCGGCGGTACATTTTGCCTATCTGGCTTCCAACCTTTGCGCCGCGACCGAAGTTATGCTGACATACGTGACTCTTTCTGCAGGTTACAATTGAGATCGATACCAATTTACCCAAGAAGGAGCCCAAGGAGCCCAAGGATCAAAAGAAGGAAAAAGGTGACAAGGGGAAAGGGAAAGATAACGAGGACGACTCAGAGACAAGGCACGTCTTCGAGTTTAAGCTGCCAGCGGAGCTGCTGGCATAGAATAGCACATAGACTGGTCCATTGGCGTTCGTGTACATAGACATTAGCATATTAGCATATACCCAGATACCCAGAGGTAGCATCAATTGAGGCATTGGTATTCAACAACATCTTGTGTTTGAAGTTGAGAGTGTTCATTGAAAGGCTTAATGAAGCTAAGTATATTTTCGGGGCCGAGCATGGAAGCTTCTTGAAGAAAACCCGCAGGAGAGTCGCCCAAAAACCAACCCCACAGCAACTTCTCTCTTCCACCTTCTCTTCATCCACTCATCTTATCGTACAATCGGGCTCTCTGATCTTTCAATTACCTCTCCTTCAAGTTCCACGACTCTATATCCACTGCCACTCCACTCAATATGGCGGAATCTCGTCAGTTCCCTTCCTCTCGCAGTGCGGGGTCCACCGATCTAGGCCGCGCGCGCTGCAAGTGAGAATTGACAGCTGCTGACTGCGCTATACAGAGCGTCCCCGCGTCTTCTTTGACATCCAGATCGGCGACCAGAAGGCTGGCCGTGTGACCTTTGAGCTGGTAAGTTGCGCCTTACTCCGAGTGGTAAGAACGCTTGAGAAGCTGACTTTCTTCTTGCGCAGTTCAACGATGGTACGAATTGAGCTCCGCCCGCTGCGACAGACGAGACAGAAAATCCTGGCTAACTCTACCTGTTTTGATCAGTTGTCCCAAAGACGGCAGACAACTTCCGAGCCCTTTGCACCGGCGAGAAGGGCATTGGCACCCAGGGCAAGCCATTGACTTACAAGGGCACGTCTCACCTAGTGCTCCCCGGACTTAACGTTTGCGCGACAATTGCCAAGCTAACCGAACCCGTATACAGGGTCCATCTTCCACCGTGTCATCAAGCAGTTCATGATCCAGGGTGGTGACTTCACCGCGTTCAACGGCACCGGCGGCGAGTCTATCTACGGCGAGAAGTTCCCCGACGAGAATTTCGACCTCAAGCATGACCGCCCCTTCCTCCTGTCCATGGCCAACTCCGGCCCCGGCACCAACGGTAGCCAGTTCTTCGTGACCACCGTCCCTACTCCCCACCTGGATAACAAGCACGTCGTCTTTGGCGAGGTGCTCAACGGCAAGAGCCTCATTCGCAAGATCGAGAACATGCCCACACAGTCCGACAAGCCCAAGACTGACGTGACCGTGGTGGACTGTGGTGAGCTCTCGGGTGAAGACTGGGCCAATGCCGACAAGCGTGTTCAGGATGCTACGGGCGACCCCTACGAGGACTTCCCCGATGACCACCAGGGCGAGGAGCTGACGGCCCCGCTCGCCTTCAAGATCGCTTCCGACCTCAAGGGCTTCGGTAACACTGCTTTCAAGAAGGGTGAGCTTAACCTCGGTCTGGAGAAGTACCAGAAGGGTCTGCGATACCTCAACGAGTTCCCCGAGCCCGCTGACAGCGACCCCAAGGAGCTGGGCGAGCAGATGAAGTCTCTCCGGTTTACCCTGCACTCCAACTCGTCCCTGCTTGCCAACAAGCTCCAGCAGTACCAGCAGGCCCAAAGCTGGGCTTCCTACGCTCTTCAGGTCGCCGAGGCCGCCAAGGCTAAGGATGCTGATCTGGCCAAGGTCTACTTCCGCCGCGCCCTTGCCCGCCAGGGTCTGAAGGAGGAGGAGGAGGCCCTCAAGGATTTGCAGGAGGCTACCAAGCTGGCCCCTACTGATGCCGGAATTATCAACGAGATCGCCAAGGTTAAGAAGTCTATCAAGGACCGCGATGCGAAGGACAAGGCAGCTGCTCGCAAGTTCTTCTCTTGAGGAACTTGTATTTTACGAATCACGACGTGACTCTTTCCCTTATTGATGTAACCTAAAAACATCATCCATGCAAATTCAAGACTTTAAGAATCTTCCATTTCTTCTCAGGTTATTTCCCGGTGATATACGTGTTCTCAGTAACCAAAAGGCGTATAGTGTATTGTGCGAAAGCGCAAGCCATCGTGCGACCATCCTCAGTCTAGTCCTTGCGCGTTGCTCAGTGGGAGTTGGCCCGAGTCTCAGCCAGGAAGAGCTCATATCGTGCTTTGCACTTTCGGCGCCATGTCTTCCCCCAAATAATCATGGGAATACCTAGCAAGACAGACAAAACTACTAGAATTCCATAGCATGTAAATGTCCATCCATAAGATGTGCTGTTGATGAAAGGCTGCACGGAGTATGAGATGGCGAAGTTGATCAAAGACGAGCAGATGGCGAGTACAACGACAAGTTCACCAGATATCTATAGACAATGCGATCATTAGGTTGATGAACTTTGGTAAATGAGAAAGAGATGAGAATCGAACGTACCCCATCAAAGCATTCCATGGCATATGCTGTCGCAAGACTGGTAATCGAGACTTGTTGAGCAATGAGACAACACAAGCCAACAGCAATAGCCATCCAATGATCACCGTTAGTAGCAGCCCAGCCATATGTCATATATCCCACCGCTGCAAAGCAAAATGGGAAAATGTATGCCCAAATGCGCATTTCAGGCTCCTTGTAACCTTTATTCCGGCGGGCTAGGACAAGAACGAGCCAATCTGAAAGGGACCCGACGCCCATTCTAACACGAATCAGTCCAAGACCCAAATGCATACATCGAGAGAAAGTACTCACCCTAAGAAATTGCCAACAAGAGCAGCCAAGAAAATTAATCCAGTAGACCCTGCACTCCAGTTATACGGCGCATCTGTCATGATTTCCGAGATAGTGTTGAAGGAAACAATGCCCGCGGTACAACCAAATGCAAATTGAATGCCAGCGAGCACTATATTGGGAAAAGAGAAAAGGTAGAATGGACGACGGAAGTATTGAAACCAGGTTGTCTTGTCATCAGCGAAGTGATGGACCAACGCAATCTTTTGTCGATAGGAACGTGGAGTTATGTCCTCTCCAATACCGTGACTGTCGATTTCGGAAATCGGAGGCTCATTCTGATTTTCCTTGGCGAGATGCTCCTTTTGTTCGGAATGATCACCCGAGTGGAAGGAGTTACTGTTCGATGTTTGGTTGAAGCGATACCGAGGGAACATGGTGTCGTCGAATGTGAAGATGAACAGTAAAATCAGAACACCCTGCAATCATTAAGATCAAGTTTTTTTGATCATAGGTTCTGTGGAGTACTTACACATGCAATCGCTACAATTGGCGATGACCAACGCCAGCCAATTCCATCGCTGATGTACCCTCCCAAAATCAATCCCAAGATGGAGCCCAGCTGTTGGAAGAAGATGTAGATTGCAACCATCCGGCCACGCTCATGGGTAAAGAACATATCGAAGATCTGCACATCATTAGCTCAAACCACGGTTCAACTGGTATGATGATGTACCGTCAATTGAATCAAAGCCTGATAAGCCGCTGTGCCAATACCCTGAATCGCCAGCATGATGTAGTATTGAGCAGTCCCATGGTAGAATCCACCCCATACACTACCACCCAGAAGGATAACCAGACTCAGAATGTAAACAATCTTGCGTCCCAGCTTCATTGCTGTTGGAATCCAGATGATGTTGAAAAATCCCAAGAGGAGATAGTTCAGGGCGCTTCCACCATTCATATTGGTCAAGCTCACGCCAGTATCTTCTGAGATAAGCGTCCATGACGCACCCCAGTTATTCTCGCCGAAGGAGAAGACACAGGCATAGGCCGATATCAGGAACAGGGACCAAAGCTTTTTGAAATGAGGCCAGTTCTTGGATTTCATCAGCATCTTGCTCAGCCGTTTGGTATCCCCACGTCCAGGAAGATGACTTCACTTACAAGTGGATCTGCAAGAGATGCAGATGGTTGCGGTATAAGTAGGATGTCTTGGTTTCCAGCATGTGCGGCATCATTGAGTGTACGTGATGCTATGAGATTTAATCAAGTCAGTCTTTTTCTGGTTTGTAACTTCGATACGTATGGTCTCTTACCGTCAACTAGATAGACAGTCCCAGGGACATCCAAAAAGAGGTCGTCACCGGAGGCCATTGCTTAATGTCGATTAATCGATTAGTGTAAGTGTCTGTGGTCATGATGAACGCACGAGATTTCAGAGAGCTTTTATAGATTGACTCACAGGTAGTATGACCAGCAAGTAGATATACAGAGACACAATCATCATTTTACCGATTGGTCGGCCTCGGCCAGTTGGCTGCGATCGCCGCTATGCTATTGGTAATGATAACGCCAAAATTGAACTAAAAAAAGCGATGGAAGCTCCAAGCGATAATACTAGGCGAATACTACAATCAAATCCGTCTAAGTGATGCAGTCATGTTTACCATTCTGGTGATAAGGGAGCATAGATCCAAGCGGTCGGTGCGGAGAAGCTTACCCCGGTTTTGAGGGGTAGGAAGGTCCACGCGATGGGAATTCCGATAAGCTAGGGCCACACTCGATTTATCCGAGGCATTTAGTGCATCTATAAGAGCTAGTTAGTTTGTAAACAGGCTTGCTTGTTTTTCATTCTCGGCTCGTTTCCCAGAACTCTTTCCAGTTAAGTTCTACGCTTGCTCCCTTCCCCGCGCGCGCTATACCGACATGACGCCACCGGTGTTGACTCCGAAATCTTCAATTCTGATCATCGGAGCTGGAACATGGGGTTGCTCGGCTGCCCTTCATTTGGCTCGGAGAGGGTATGAAAATGTTCATGTCCTCGATCCATTCGATGTGCCTTCACCTATTGGTGCGGGCAATGATGTTAATAAGATCATGGAGCATAAGGAGATCAAAGGTCAGTCCATTTCAGCCGCCTAAGGAATTCAATATTGAAATTCAGATAGAGTCTCATAAAGATGCTCGAAGCGTCGCCTTTGCTACCTGCACTCGAGCAGCATTGAAGGGTTGGAAAACAGACCCAGTCTTCTCTCCATTTTTCCACGAGACAGGCTTCATAGTTTCGGGGAGCACATCCGAAATCATCGAGCACATCAAAGAGAACGAGATCGACCCGTTACAGGGCGATTTTGTAAGCCTCGAGACTGCTGAAGATTTTCGCAAGACAATGCCACCTGGTGTTTTGACTGGGCAGTTCCCCGGATGGAAAGGATGGTTCAGTCAGAAAGACGCGGGATGGATCCATGCTCGCAAGGCAATGGTTTCGGCGTACACCGAGGCGAAAAGACTAGGTGTTAAATTCACGACAGGCACTCCAAACGGCAAGGTCGTGGCTCTCATCTACAAGAATGGGGATGTGACTGGTACCCAAACTGCAGATGGTACTATTCACCGTGCGGATTATACTATTCTAGCGGCTGGTGCCGGATCTGACCAGCTCCTTGACTTCAAGAAGCAGCTACGGCCCACCGCTTGGACTCTATCTCATATACCCATGACACCAGAGGAGGCTCAAAAGTACCGCAACCTGCCTGTACTTTTCAATGTCTCCAAGGGGTTCTTCATGGAGCCTGATGAGGATAAGCATGAACTGAAGATATGCGATGAGCACCCTGGATACTGCAATTTCGTTACAGACTCGCAAAACGCAGGCGAGGTAAGAAGTGTACCGTTCGCCAAAAACCAGATCCCACTGGAAGCTGAAGCTCGCACGAGAAGTTTCCTGCGAGAAACAATGCCCCATCTTGCCGACAGGCCTTTCTCTTTGCAAGAATCTGCTGGGATGCTGATACTGTCGATCGGGCATTCCTCATTGATCGGCACCCTGAATATTCTTCTCTTGTGGTGGCTGTGGGCGGTTCTGGGAACGGAGCTATGCAGATGCCATCAATTGGTGGGTTTATCGCCGATGCATTGGAAGGGAAACTGCAGGAAGAACTGAGAACAGTTGTCCGCTGGCGACCGGGAATTGCCATTGATCGGGATTGGAAATCTACACAGAATCGCTTCGGTGGTTCTGATAAGTTGATGGACTTTCAGGATGTCAAGGAAAATGAGTGGACCTCCATCGCGAATGGGGAATCTAAGCTTTAAAGCCCACGATAATCCTTAATTCAAAAGATAGCTGACTACCTAATATGAAATTACTCGCTTGCAAAGGCACAACTTCCCATATCTCTCTTCACCGCATCCGCCTCGGGTCTGATATCAAAGTCAAAGATATCCATCGGCACGCCCAGCGTGGTGCACGCATTTGGAATATCCACAATCCCTGCAATGTGTCCCTGTACTGGAGCACATGAGAGAAGAAGATAAATCTGATAGTCTGAGTACCCATAACGTCGGAGATACTCAATTACACGCAGGCAAGTTTGTCTGTATGCGACCGTGGCATCCAAGTAGTGCTGTTTACCATGTTCATCAACTGAGAATCCTTCAAAGGTCAAGAAACGTCCAGGTCCAAACTGTGGCTCAACTGGACCTGGTATGAAGATTGGTGATTTCATATCCATCTTTGCCATGCCATTCTTGATGACGGTGAATTTGAGGGTGATCACACCGGCCATCTCAATGGCACCACAGAATGAAATCTCACCATCTCCTTGAGAAAAGTGCAAGTCTCCCACTGAAAATTTGGCGCCCGGGACATGAACCGGTAGATACACCTTTGAGCCTCGAGATAAATTCTTGATGTCGCAGTTACCGCCGTGCTCAGGGCGACCCTAATGAAAATTTCAGTAAAGGTTATTCACTTTAGGCAATCATATCCTTACTGGAATTGTTCTAGCTCCTTCCTTTGCCACCTTGTCCTTGATATCTTCTGTTGCACTTCCTGCATGAGAATTCATAGGTTGAGGTGGCTGTGCAACGACTCGACCATCAACAGTATTGGCTGCGATGAGCTCTCCTTCACGTTTATTCCATTCAGCCAACACCTCCGCCGACGGAGCACATCCGAGAATTCCGGGATGGATTAGCCCAGCAAAGCGGACACCGGGAATATGGCGACTGGAACAGAAGATGCCTTCAAAATCCCAAATTGCTTTTGCACTGTACGCAGTGATATTAGAATGAACACACCTGGGGGGGGGGGGAGATTCAACGAACGCTTTTGGGTAGATCTCATCCAGGAATCCTCCCCCGTTTTCTTTGGCAAATACTCCGGTAAATCCCCATGGCTGATCCTGGAACGGCTGGACATCTTGGATCTCAACAAGCAGGACGTCTCCTGGTTCTGCCGTTTCGATGTCGAAAGGCCCAGACAAGTAGTGGATTTCGGTCAGATCAACTGTTCGAACGTCCTCGGCCGAGTCGTTGTTTTGGATCTGCCCACCCGTCCAGTCCAGACACTCGATCTTGACAACTTCATTGTTTGCAATTTTGCCGCATGCCGGAACTACCAGAGGACTTGTTATTAGGAAAAGGGAACTAATATGGACAGTACATCCAGGAGCTCAACGTACTGTCAGGATGCCATCGGTTCTACCGAAAGTCAGTTGCTAGGTTCTGGCACCGAAATCACGGTCAATTTTAGACGTACATGTAGACCAGGTTGCTCACGAGCATGTTTGTTAAGATCAACTTTCAAAGCGGTGCGGATTTCTTTGATGCCCATATTGAGGAATGCAAGTCTTGATCCAAGAATTCAAGAGGATATTGTAGTAGTCAGATAAAAGGAACTTCAGATATTTGAGGGGTTGATAAGACAAAAACGGCAGACGGGGTAGTTGGGGATGCAACAGAGATAAGAAGTAGCACATGCGCTTCTCCGCAGAGGGGTAACCCGTAAGAAGTAATCGCTACCCACTTCTGATAGCTTTATCTCTCCAAATATAGCGCACTGTCCTCGTCATTGTCTGAACCTTGTCTGTCCAGCCAATCATGTTGGATAATATTTGACTATCCAAGTTACATCGAAGAATTGTTGACACATAGTATATCTCGAGCGTGTCGGGCTTTAAGAACTGCCTCCGGTACTTTTGGTTCGCTACAATGGGATTCTCCGACCACCCAAAGTCTTGATAAAAGCAGGTTAGCACCATTCACCTGAAGCACAGCTCAAAAATTCAATTTCTTTTTGATGCCACCACACTCTTTCGCCTCGCCAATTTGGAATCAATGATAGTAGACGGGCAGTCATCCTAAATCTGTAATAATAAGCCATGCAAAAACGACCCTCTAGGCGATGGACCGGACAGTCGCCGGAGGACAAAATAGAGGGATGAGATGGTTTATTGATAAAGAGTGGAAGGAAAGTTGTGAACAGACGAATTTAGGTACGAGATGGACCATGTCATTTACTCACTCTTGGATAAGCTGGAGTTCTTTCTTCGGAACTATTAGATTCTTCGTCGACTACAGTCAGACATTATAGTAATTCTTCACTGATCTACCATCATGATCAAGAAAAATGAAGAGTATTAAGTTTAGACTTTGAGACCATGATACATGATATTTTATCTCACAGAGCAAGAAGCGTGTATAAGAAGAAGCAATGGAAACGAATCAACCTCTCAGATCAACCACATACAGTAAGCAAATAAATCCAAACAGACCGTTCAAGCTTGTATGAAGCAAGATTAACACTAAAATCGTCATGATTTGACCAGTGCAGACTTCAGACACCCCATTCCACATAGCTATTAAGACCGAGATGGAGTCTTCGGGTTTCTCTTCCAAAAGCTCCTAGTTGGTTTTGCGACAGCATCATCAGTCGTCTTCGAAATACTAGCTGCATCATTGGATAGAAGGCCTTGGCTTAGTTTCTCATTGATCTCATCCATCTTTGCCGAGAGCTCGAAGAACTGGCCACAAGAGCACGGAGAGTCGGACGCACAATCGCTTTCCATAGGCTTGGTCTTGGGGGAGCTTTGAGAATGGTCGCTACCGTCCTCCTGTCGCATCTGCTGGTCTGAATCCCGCGTTCGTGACGCATAGATCCGGTCGAACTCACTCTCGGTAAGTTTTGAAAGAGGGGGATAAAAGTCGGTGTTTTCCACGATGCGTTCTCTTAAAGCTTTCGCTAACCCTATAGCCGTCCCAGCCCCCTCTGACAATATTCGACCCAGCTCTAAACAAAACTCCTCAAACAGGAGGTAATCATTACCGGTACCCAGCCTTTTTTCCACCTCGTCTGACGCATTGGTAATCTCTTCATTTAGCCCATCTATTTTTCGGACTAAGATGCGGCAAGTGTGCTCGTTTTCGATGACAGATCTAGGTATATCTTGGCTTGGCTGGCATGAGTCGTATTGTGGAGGGCGGTCGTGGCAGCAGGGGACGGTCTTTGATTCTTGGTCTTCAACAATTGTTTCGGACATCTTTAGAGATCATTCAAAGATTGTTGTGAAGTAAGCTTTTGTTCAGGGAAAGAATAGAATATCTTTAAAGTTATAGAAGTTTTGGGCGAGGTGCAGAAGAACATTAATGTATCTTGGCTTTTGCCGCCCAGCCAGCCGCCGCCTGATATGGATCCCAGAGCCATGGTTGCCCACATTACTAGACTAGTTCAATCTCTGCCAAGCTAGAAAGGGGCGGGTGGAAACTAAAGTGACGATAAACTATTCCTAATTCGATAATACACCCCTCATTCTGATTCAGCGCAATAGAGAGGAGCTTCTATGGGTGTATTTTTAAGATTCCACGAAGAAGATCACGACTTGTTAACATCATCACATCGTCTAATCTTTTTACATTTTATTAAAGCTTCCAGTAGTGCAACCGCATAGCTAGGACTTTTTCATGGTGAAAATCCTGTGGTACAGATGATCAGTCCAGTTAGGCCTGACTAGTCATATCCATAGCACAAGTAGTCACCCTGGGTGTGCAATCGTGGTGTTGGGCAAGATGTTGAAAGACGAGAGCTCATAGTGAAGAGTAGCATTCTGCCAACCACCGGCAGGCTCAGTATTGGCCGTTTCATTCAGTGTAGGGCCGCTGATATCGAAGAGACAGGATCTTGCTTCTGCCACAACCACCAGACTCGGTCGATGTACATATGGTGCATGAAGAAAACGGGGTCGCCGGGAGACGACTTGATTTTGGACATCTAAGGCAAGGTATCGGTGATTAAAATATTCGACCGTTGAGTAAAGAAGAGGAGACGATCCTTGCCACTCCGCCGATATAGGTGTGGACGCGCTTGTGAGGAATGTTCGAGATGCAACCCCACCAAGGAGAGTAAGTGTTGTATGAATTGCACATATCAAGGGCAGTGCTGTTAGCATTTGCAATAGCGTTTTCGGTATCCCATGCGCGACGCAGGCAGTAATCGGTGTCCTCATCACCGGGACCGATGTGGAGCGTGTAGTTGGCAAAGCGGCCATCAGCGACACAGTTGTCAGCGTCAGTTCCATTTCCTCCAAAGGCATCCTCTCCCCACATAGAAGACTGCCACATGTCGCCACTGTCTGCATCTTTTTGCTCGTTCCACCAACTTTATAAAAATGAGAAATCAGTCTCATGTACCCTGACCGGCTGCTTCTTAGATACAGGGATGCAACTCACGGAATAGAGCCGGTGTAGCCTCACTCATCACAGAGAATTTTCTCGTAAATGTGCATGTATGCATGTAGTAGCGATGCATGGTAGGAATTGCCCCTTTGCGAATGGTCATCTTCTCCTGAGTACAACTTCTAGTGAAGTAACCAAAAATTTTTGTCTGCTCATCTCCACCTCGGCGGATATGGGCTTTGGAGTGTGCAAGAGAAGGCGTTGTAGCAACATCACAAGCGATCATGCCGAACGCCGCGCCTAGAATAGAAAAACGCATGGTCAAGTAAGAGAAATCGAAGGACGAATCAAGGGAATGTGTTGAATCAAGGATCTCTTCAAACAAAACCAGCACAGAAAGATGTTGAGGCTTTATAAGGTTGTTCTTGTGCCAGGACCCCTAACTCATCTAACATATGAGAAGGGACTCAATATCCCTGGTTCAACCTTTCTTTTACTAGCCAACTAGCTATATTTTTCGGGGTCACTTTTGCGGCGAACCATGACGACTGATGAAACGCACTACTCAGAGCATGCGTCACCAAACATATTTATACTGGGTGGGACTGAACATGTTAAGAAGTGGGAGAATCATTTCTTAAGCTCTCTAGCATCCGAATGGTTTCCCTTCGGCTAAACTCTACACGTCCGATAGATTTCTCATTGGCAAGAAATATGTGGATAGGCATTGTAAAGCTTGATAGAATTGGTGTTTCCTCGAGGAGTGCATCAAATACAATTATCCAACGAGACATAGACAACGACTCGGCCGAGGGCGTTCGAACAGTTGATCTGACCGAAATCCATTACTTGTCTGGGCCTTTCGACATCGAGACGGCCGAACTAGAAGACTTCCTGCTTGTTGAGATCCAAGATGTCCAGCCGTTCCAGGACTAGCCATGGGGATTTACCAAAGTGTTTGCCAAAGAGAATCAGAAGATGAATCGGTGAACTGATCAATTGAATCCTTCAGTGTATACCCTCATTTCGATGGATGGTCATCATCAATACGACCACTGCTCTAAAAAATATCCAGGCCGAGGGAAGGCAGAATCGACAGAAATGTCAAACAAACAACGCATGAGCGAGAGGTAAGAACAGGGAAAGAATAAAGTGAAGCCTCTATCTCTCACTTTGACCTCACATTACCATTACCAGTTTTCCCTTCATCTCACCTCACTAAGGTTCTCGGAGAGAAGCAAAAATGGTCAAAAAGCCCCAGAGGAACGCCGTCGACACCACAACCGCTTATGCCTGCTCGCCAATACCGAGCCATTTGCCGACCTTCCCCAAACCATGCATAGTGGTGCGCCCACCAGAGAGGCCGGCGTTCAAATAAGCAGGGTCTCTCATCTTGTCTCGGAGCTTAGGCTTTGGGGGGCCCGGGTGGCCGTTGACATTTTCGGGGGGAGAGGAGGGGCCAGGGGTTTGACCATGATCTAAGATTGTTAGCTTGTACCATGGTCATGGGGAGTAGGGTGAACGAGGCGGATGAGCTCTTACTTACCTTCAGCTTCCACCTCTTCCGGGGATTGGGTTGGAGTCGTAGTGGTGATGGTGGTGGGAGTGTTTTGGGATCGGACGGCCGTATTCAAATGTTTAGCAGCATTTTCCAGGGATGTGGTGGTCTTGTTCAGTGTTGCGGTGGCCGTGGTTATGGCCTCGATGGTCGGATTCATGTCAACAAGGCTGGGCCACGAGATGTCAGCAAATCTGTAGAATAATGCTCGAGAAGCGCTTTGAGGATTGCTTCTAGATAAGTTGCAACAGGAATCATAGTCTTTGACTCACGGGACTTCATTCCTCGGCTTCGCCTTCTGCCTCTTGATAAAAAAGAACGTCCCGCCAGTGAGGATGAAGCCCACAACGAGGAAAATCAACACCCAAAGGCCTGCCGGTATCCTTGCCAGGTTGTCGATCGCGGAGGGCTTGGTGGGGGAGGAGGGAGGAGGGGGAGCCTCCGAAGGGGCCACAGAGGGCATAGGAACACGACCAGTGCTGAAGGTGGTCATAGTCGGGATGATAGACTCGATAGTGGTCATTGTGGTAATATTGGACTCGACAGTGACTGAGTGAGAATGTTGTTGAGAGGGGGAACATTAAGGGCCCTGTTAGGAACATAACATGCTCTCTGTCCATTATGTTCGTGCCTGCCAAAGTTATACTATGTTTATTACTACTACGTTCGTGGCTTCCTATTCCGGATTCATGTCAACAAGGCTACGTCACGAGATGTCCGTAAATCTACATAATGATGCTCGAGAAGCGCTTCCAGGATTCCTTCTAGAAGAGTTCTAACAGGAATAATAATCTTTAACTTTGGGACTTCACTCCTCGGCTTCGCCTTCTGCCTCTTGATAAAATCTCATTTAACCTCAAGATGATTCAAGAAAACTTCTTCCCGGGTGTCGAAGGGCTATCTTTAGCCCCATCTTCATCAGTGACGACATTGAGCTTGTCGATATTATCAAGAGACAAACGCAGGAAGTCGTGCTTATTCTTCCATGTCACTTGACTCTCCGCGAAACCTTCACTCTCCGCAGGAGTAGGTGGCGGGTCGGTGATCTTGGTGATCAGGTAGGCCGTGGACGCCTCGGCAACTCCATACATGAGTACACCGATGAATGGAGTCTTCAGTACAACTGTGAAAGCAAAGGCAAATCCGAAAAGAACACCTTCCCTATCACGGAACCAACGGCGCTTTTGTTCAGGCGTGAATTTGATGCGGCGGAAGTACGGCTCAAGCTGAGGGTTGTTAGATGGTTTCCAGTATCGAATTGAAGGGAAACGATGAAACTCACCAGTTCTCGCATCAGACTTCTCGACGCGAAGTAAGTGTGGAGGAATTTCACGATATATGCCTTAGGCAGGACAAGACCCGCACCGAAGATGACAGCAGCAGGAGCTGTGCCGACGTGACTGCGGAAGGTGTAGAAACTTGCTGCGGGCATCACGAACCGGCCAATGATCGGGGTCAGAGAAAGCAGGTAGAGTCCAAGAAGCATTCCCATCCTCTTAGCATATCGGTTAAGAAACATCATGATAGCCTCTGACTTGGTTCGTGACGAGCCAGGGCCGCCTTTGGTTGGGAACATGACCAAGCTAGGGTAGTACATGGCACGCAGAGTCTCCGGGTTCTCAGACTTGTGCTTCTGGATGTATGTCGTGTCAACCCACTCGATGGATTGCATGAAACTAGGATTCAAATTAGTGATTATAGTCGTGATAGATTAAAACCGGCCGTGACCAACATCTCATCCAGCGTAGGAGTCACATATCCCATCAAAGTCATCAGCAGGAATGGCACCTGGAGCACAGACTTGGACATGAACTCCATGCCACCCAGGAGTTTGTCATCCCAGGTTGCATGGTCCAGGTTGATGATCCACGAGAGGATATAAAGTCCGAGCTTGAGGGCGATTATCTGTGAATGTTATGTCAGCCACCCATAACCATTAGAGAGCTCGGGCTTCCGGACCTACCGGGATCTGGACAATAAGCTGAATGACTGCTCCCACACCCACAGCAAGAGCTGCTTGACGGAAATGCTCATACTTGAAGAGATCAGGGTTTTGCAGAGCCCGAACAGCTATTTTTCAAGTTAGCCTTGGGCATCATGCAAATGTACGATCATCAAATAGATTGAGCTCCCATTGAGAACTTTGGGGCCGTGAAGAGAGTCGCGGAGCAAAATTGGTCGCAAGATTGCTGAAGGATGAAGAGATTTCAAGCCTCCTTCAAGCCTCGGGTGGGCAAAAGCTCTGTTTCATGAGACTCAACATTGGGGACATACTTCCTACGACGGTGAGCTGAAAGCCGCGGATTACCGCATTGGGCTCAAAGTTGGACATAGTCAAGCCCTTCTCCATGCTGGGTGTACCTCTTGGTGTATTCATGGATTGGTTCTTCTGGCGAACCCGGAGGAAGAGAAAGATCAAGTTATCAATAATGCAACAGGCATCCATTTATGCAGACTGCGTCATGGGCAATCACCTGACATTGAATGCCTGAGGCATGGCTCACATGTCCCCGCGGGCGCAAAGCCGCGTGAACAATGGGGGAAGAGGAGAGGAGAGATAAGCCGCGATCTTCAGCTCGGGGCGCATCCTCCTTCACCATGTCCTCCCGGTAATCGGGTGTCAATGTCACCACTTGTCGGTTATTTATTGCGCTCCTAACTTCTGCGTCGACAATGCCCGAGCCTCTGAGTGAGTCCTCGGGCCCGGTACAGTCCATTCGCCGCGCGGTTACTCTGCCCACGAAGTTACACCCGCAGGCGCAACGCGGTTCGGCTGCGCCAAATCTCTCGGAAAATGTCATCTTCTATCATCCCTCTGCAAAGATTGTCCATTTCGCGCCCAGGGCGCTTGTACCGATCCCGTCAAGTTCCGCGCCGTCCGATTTCGACTACCCCGTTGACACGATCGAGACCCTCCCCTGGCGCTCGGCCACCGAACGAACTGTCGCAACTGCACCCCTCAGGTTGGAAAGAGGGTTGACTGTGTTCTTGAAGTGTGGAAATGTCGTCCGTGCGATCCTGAAAAACTCACAATGCTGGTGTGTGGACGGCGTGTCCAAGTTCGTGTTGCGCATTCGCCCTCTCACCTACTATCGCATCGAGTTACCACATGAGACTGCGGAAGATAAGGTACTAGTGGAGGATCTTAAGGCTGCATTGCCGACTGTTCTTCGATATGAGGTCACACCATGTCCCTTTAAGCGCGCGTTTACCGTCGACTTGCCCGAGGAAGCCATGGCACCACGGCGCAAGAAGGCATGGAAACCCAAAGAACGCAAAGATGGCGTTCCTTCACTCTTGGGGAGCAACCAAGGTTTCCTTTGTGATGGCAGGTCGGATTGGCTCGATTCTGCTAGTACCGGCGACGACACAGATGGAGCTGCCACGGACGACAGTGGGTTTACACCCCAAAGGACTGACAGCATGACATCCGAGGCTGTACCGGTCAGTGAGGAATCGCCAGTTTTCATCGCTGATGCCGATAATTCCTCCCACCCGGCGCTAGCCAGACGCTGCGTTACGGAGATGCCGCAGACTTTCACTAGCCTGCGGGCGAAATTCGACGCTCCTCCTGTTCTGGAAGAACCTTCTGCATCCGAAAAGCCGGAGACTGAAGAACAGGCTCGGGTTTTAGATTCCGAACCTGCCAGGAATGAGCCGGTGGTTGAGGAGACCAATAAAACGGACGCATATCTTAGTTCAAGGGACCCTGCTGAGGCTAAAGAAGCTTCAATAATGGGTGATGCTCCCGAGTCCGAGGATCCTTCGACTACGGAAGTTATCTTGGAGCTACCGGCGACTGTGCAAGAAGAAACATCCTCCCTAGATGACTTGCAGGACCAAGGAGCGCCCTCGGTAGCCATCAAGGTTGCTGTTTTGGAAGGTGATTTGAGCTTTGTTCCTCCCGAGGCAACCTCAAGTTCTGTCCAGGTTCCGATTCCTGGAGAAACCGATCGCGAGCCAGAGCATCAAGTCATTTCAGGTTCTCAAGAGGCTCCCATCCAGGCGGAAATCCTACTTCCACCAAAAACTATAGTTCCAGAGGAGAGTTCGATCTCAGAAGATCTCATGGCGGAACCAGTCCCGGTTCTACATGAAGACTCTGGCTCAGAACCGGACCACGACAGCTCTTTTGCATCTTCGCCTGAATCTTTCCATTCTGTCGATATTCCTTCATTTCGGGTAGAGCACTCTTCCCATACAACTTCTGCGGATGCTGCCTCCCGCTCAGGACCTTCTGTTGCTACCTCTGTGGCCGAGTTCGCTGCAAAGCAGGCTTCTATGGCCGAGTCACCTGATCATGATCTCCTACCAGGAACGGATGTTACCAATGTCCGCCACTCGCCCGAGGTTGAAACTTCGCTGCCGGAACTTAGGATGCCAAAGTACATTGTTCGAGAGGACCCGCCAAAGAAATCGTCATCGAGCATTCCCTCAGGCAAGAAATTGGCCGTCACTCATGCAACATCGCCCGTCACGGATTTCCACCATATGAGTACTGAATTCCGTCGCCGGGCACAGGCAACCAGACGACGTGATGTCTCCCCTATGCCGCCATCTTCTACTATTTACCAATCTGCCCCGAACGACCACGCTTCTTCTCTCCTTTCAAAGGCATTGTCACTCGTCCTGGTACCGCCCATCCATCTTTTCATAATTTTGCTCCATGTTGCGGCTCGCATTGTCATTAGCCCCGCTCGCAACTCTACTCTTGTGGATTCTAGCTCAGGATCCCAATCATCTAATAATGATCCAGACACTGAAGATGACTTCAGTTTCCCCTTGGAACGCGAGCCTTCTTCTGAATATGAAGACGCGGCAATGTCCCGGAAGCTGGATCCCTGGGATCTCGACTAAACTTGACCGATTCAAGTTTGCCTGGGATTCTTGCCCTTTTCTCTCCGTTTTCATTCTCTGTTATTTCTTGACACTACTCCTGATTTTAATGTGTACCCTTTCTTTACATGTGACACTACGATTTACCCCCTGATTTATGTACTACTGTTTGATGATTGTCTCGATGTTGGTTTGCATGGTTCTTACGAGGGGGACATATTGGGCATTGGTTTTGTTCTTTTCCTTGGGCCAAGTTTTTGTATTATAGCGTTGCATACATCATCTGGAGAATAGCTCCTACACCGCATGCTACGACAGTCGTTACTTGATAATCTAATTCTGCATCCGGAAGTTCTGAAGTTTTTGAATCGTCCCTAGGAATGCTGGCCTCAGACGGATGCCCGTTTCTCAAATCTCGTGCAATATCTGCGTACCCTGGTCCGTAACATACACTGTACAGCATTTTCTTAAATGCTATGTTGATGCTATGTATTTAATTACCGGGCATACACACTTTACGCTCGTGAGGACATTGCATCTCAACCCTGATAGGTCATGGCGTGTCAGCTTGTCAGGCGAAGATATAGGTAGGTCGGGGCTTCTCGCACAACGCGCTATCCATATATCTCCAAAAATGCTTCAACTTTTAGTTTTTTTAAAAGATCCACTTTCTAGATGTCGTTCGAACTGCCATTCTTGATGGTCCGAGTTTCTCGTTGGTCTCTCGTTCGAACTTGTGACTGATTAAGCGATTTTGAAAATCTGTCAGGGTTTCGAGATTGTAGAACCCTACTGAAAAAGTGCCTAGCGTATATTCCTTATGCAAAGAGCTTGATGGGCTTTTTGAGACCCTTCGGAAGGGCTATATGTAGGAAGATTCGACCAAGATATATTTCCACATCAGTACCCAAGGTTGCCGAGAAGCTTACCTCGCGGCCCCTCCCGTCTATCGCACGGGTGTTGTATGTCAAAAAGTCCATTTACAGCCGGACAGTTACTAGTCAATGTCTCACAACTTTGGACATTGAAATGGACTGCTATTCTATCTAAGCGAGTGTTTATAGCACGGACCCTGCGCCCGCCTCACATTTCCATATTGCGGATAGCGTGGCCAAGTTTGGGGGCGGATACCATCTTGACACGCAACCTCAACAGTGATTGGCCCAGCAATCAAGCCACCAATCTCGGTTCTTCCAACACAAAGCAAAGTGGAGCTGCGGGATAGGAGAGTTAACCAGATCATAAACAACAGCTGAATCGGGGATTTAAAGGTTCATACCTTTCTTCGGAGCTTGTTGTCCGTCACCAGGGGCATATTAGCCCAAAAGATCACCATGATCGATATAACACAGCTCCTGATCCTCGGCGCTGTCGTAGCGCTGGGATATTTCGTGTTCAATGGCTCGCGACACGATCCTCGTGAACCGCCGATGGTGACGAGCGGGATCCCGATCCTAGGACACATGTTCGGCATGTTGTGGCATGGAGTTGGACACTGGGGTAATCAGGCGTGAGTTTTTGTCCAACTTGTCCGAAATCGTAGAGTGGGGATGATAATGATAACTGATGACTTTAATAGTAAGAAGCACCCTGAACAACCCATCATTACCCTGGACATGTTCTTGACCAAGTTCTATGTGATTACTTCGCCAGATCTGATGCAGGCTGTGCAGCGCAATGCCAAAACGCTCAGCTTCGAGCCCCTGCTGCTATTCGGCGCTAGGAATATTTCTGGAATCTCGAACCCGAAGACTCTGGATATTCTCAAGGAGATAGACGCTGGTGGGCAGGGTCTTGGCTCCAAGATCATGCACGCCATGACCCCGACTCTCGTAGGAAAGCCTTTGGATCTGATGAATATCCAGATGATTCGTTTGATTCAGCCATTCATTGAGAAGCTGGGCGAGACATCCACTTTTGACTTGTACGAGTGGTGTAAAGATGCCACCATGGCTGCTAGCACGGAAGCTACATATGGCCCAATGAACCCTTACAAAGACAAGAAAATCCAAGATGCGTGGTGGTGAGTTAAATTTTCTCCTCGCAGAGAAGAATCCTGATGCTAAATCATCCTCTAGGGATTTCGAAACTGGCCTCGGTGTTCTGATTGCCAATACGTTGCCGTGGCTCACTGCGCGAAAGCCATGGAAGGGTCGCCAGAAGGTTGCCGATGCAATTCTGAAGTACTTGCAAGAAGGCGGCCAAGAACACGGATCCGAGCTCACAAATGTGCGGTTGAAGGTGTCTATGGAAGGTGGACTCACTCTCGAGGAGTACTCCAAGCTCGAAGTCGGTATGCTGATCGCATTCGTATCGAACACCGTTCCCGCCATGTTCTGGTGCCTTTTCGACCTGTACGACCGACAAAAGCTCCTCGGCGAAATCCGCAAGGAGATTGAGGCGAATGCTATTGTCGTGGCTGCGGATGGAACGCACAGCATTGACTTGACTGCGATCCGGGAGCAATGCCCTCTCTTGCTTTCCACCTTCCAAGAGATTCTTCGCACCCGCTCCAATTCCTCCCCGACCCGTCTCGTTACGAAAGACACCCTCCTTGCGGATAAGTACCTTCTCAAGGCCGGTAACACAGTTAGTATGCCATCAATTCCCATGTCACAGCGCCAAGAAGTTTGGGGCGAGACTGCTGGGGAATTTGATGAGCGTCGGTACATGAATTCTGGCGAGAAGAAGGACTCTCGTCGGGCGGGAGGGTTCTTGACCTTTGGCCTATCGCCAACAATCTGCCCCGGCCGGCACTTTGCTAGCTCCGAGATTCTGCTGTTGGTGGCCATGGTCATCCTTCGATACGATATTTCGCCTGTTGGTGGAGTCTGGAAGGAGCCCGCCAAGGACACGTCGAGTATGGTCTCGATCATGGGCCCTATCAAGGAGAAGTTCCGGGTCAATGCAAGCCCAAGGAAGGAATATGCAGGAGTCAAGTGGGGGTTCCATGTGGAGGAGGGCAAGGGACAGTTCCCACTAGTTATAGGATAGTTGATAGTCCCGTTAGTCAAATGGGTGTGTTATTGCATGGGACATAACCATGCCAGCAGAATGACGTCTGATCAAGACGATGAATTGGACTTGTGTTACACAAGTGTATGGAAAAAGCTCTTATGTACACCTGAGAATAAGCTCGTAACAGGGTCATAACACAAAGGTTTTAGAACATGAAGCCACCAGTAAACGCCAGAAAATGCAAGATGAACGGAGCCATGTTGGCGGATATCACACCACACGCGGCCATTAAGTACCGTTGCGAATAAAGCAAAGAGAATCATGACATCTATGCCTTTGCAGCCTTTGCAGCCCCACCCTTGCCCTTCGCCTTGCGCTTGCTGCGGTCCCGCTTCTTCAAACCAGTCATACCGGCCTTACAAACATCCGCATAACGAGTGTAGAATGCTTCCAGATCATCGACCTTCACAACCGTAGAGAATTTGATCTTGTCCTTTGACGAAGCCTTCTTGGTGATCTTGCCATCCTTGCTTTGGGATTTGGGGTTTGGAGCATTGGTGTTGCCGTCTGTAGCACGGATGAGGATGGAGGGCGGAGCGTTGGTGACACCGTCGATGAGAGGCTTCTGGGAGAGGTAGACTGAGCCACGAGCCTTTTGAGAAGTCTTGGAGAGAAGGTCGGTGAGGTATGAGAAGAACTAGGAACAATAGCAATAGGGTATTAGCAATGTCACTACTGCGAGAGGTTGGTCTCGTGGCCGAGTGTGCGGAATACACAGTTCAGTAGCGGAATATCCAAGACTTACCTCCTCGTTGCTCAAGTGTGGCGCCATCTTGAAATTGAATGAAATGGCAAGGCACGCAAGAATTGACCGATCGTGCAAGCTGAAGTACTCCGTAGTTCGCGATGCAATCGGCCAGCAACGTCCGAGTCGTGGGGGGACGAAACTCCGCTGTGTGTGGGTCGCCGCCTTGTGTTTTGGCGGGCAGAAAATGTGGGCAGATGGAAAAAAGTTCGCTCACCGCCAGGCTGTCGGCCTCTTCTTCGATCGAACGGCGCAATTAATCTTAGTAGACAACCACCATGCCGCGTCCCCAGCACAATACGACCTCCCTCCCGCGCGGACTGCGTGATGAGCTGGGAATTAGGGATACCTATGGCGACAAGAAGCGCCAGCGGAATGGACCTGCGAACCGGAAAGATCGCCGCCAAGCAGAGCGAAACAATAAGAAGTCGGGAAGGCCCGCAGCAGCGCCAGTGAAGAAGAGCTTCCAAAGACGACCTCAGCCGAAGAAGGAAGAGGAAGAAGATGATGAGGAGGATGACTTTGACTTGAATGAAGAATCCTCCAGCGACGAATCACCAGCTGTGCCGAACAGCAAGCGAAGTTCAACCCAAAAGCCGCACTCAAACCCGAAGTCAGTAGCGTCGACTAAACCGGAAAGGCCGCTCACCGTAAGCGAGGAGGTCCAAAGCGATACCTCCCAGTATGAGGGGGAATCCGGTGACGACGAGAGCTACGAGGACAGCGATAGCGAGAGTCTCGCAGCACGAGACCCTCATATTTCCGAGAATGTCAAATCCAAGCTAGCCCAGGATGACGCTGAAATTGCTGCACTGGAGAAGAAGCTCGGTCTCAAGAAGGGAAAGAAGCTTCCCAAGGCCTTCGCTGAGGATGGTTTAGAGGATTTGATGGGAGACTTGGGCGAGGCCTCAGAGGATGATAGCAAAAAGCGCAAGCGGGAAGCCGATGAATGGCTCCAAAGCAAAAGACAGAAGGCGTTGCAGCGCCAGGCTCAAGCTTCGGACAATGAGGAAGAAAATGACGACGAAGAGGAGGGGGATTTTGACAGTGACGAAGATATGGACAACCTGGACGATGAAATCTTTGGTTCGGAGAGCGAAGAGGACGATGCCGAGGACAGCGAGTTTGACGGTTTCGACAAGGAAGAGGAAGCACCGCCAAAGAAACGCGAAAATCCGTATGTGGCACCAGTGCCCAAGACTGAAACAGCATCGTCTCAAAAATACATCCCGCCATCATTGCGAGCTCGTGGAGATCCTGAGAGCGAAGCCCTTACTCGACTGCGCCGACAGGCCCAGGGACATCTGAACAAGCTGTCCGAGGCAAATCTGGTGTCTATCCTTGGGGAATTTGAGAAGCTCTATCGGGATCATCCCCGCCAAAATGTTACCTCTACGCTAATCAGTTTATTGATGGGTCTCATTGGCGAGAGATCCGTTCTTAACGATACTTTCATTGTTCTGCATGCCGGTTTCATTGCCGCGGTCTACAAGATTATGGGCATGGACTTTGGTGCTGAGATTGTGCAGAAAGTCGTGGAAACCATGGATGCAGGAGGTGATGAACGTGGCAAGTTTGAGGGCAAGGAGTATATCAATCTTGTCTCCCTCTTGTGCCAGCTGTACAATTTCCATGTCATTGGACACCCTTTGATGTTCGACTACATCCGCCTTTTCCTGCAAGAAATTACCGAAACGAATACGGAGCTCCTGCTCAAGATCATTCGGAGTATGTGCTTTCCTATATTGTGTTGATTCAAGCTTTCTCTAACATGTGAACAGATGCTGGTCCTCAACTACGCCAGGACGACCCATCCGCACTAAAGGACATTGTCCTGCTGATTCAACCCGCTATCGCCAAGGCCGGTGAGGGAAATCTCTCGGTCCGCACCAAGTTCATGATTGATACTATCACCGATCTCAAGAACAATCGGGTCAAGTCTGGAATTGGCGCCAGCGTCACTTCGGAGCACATTACCAAGATGCGCAAGATTCTGGGCTCATTGAACAACTCTCGGGTGATCCGTGCATCAGAACCCATCAACATCACCCGCTCTGATATTCACGATTCCTCCAAGAAGGGCAAATGGTGGCTCGTCGGTGCAAGCTGGAGGGAAGATCCTCTAGTCTCTGCCCGTCAAGAGCTGTCCGATATGCAGATGAAGAATGCTGATGCTATGGAGGATGACAGTGAAGCCGAGCCAGATTTGGGAGACCTGGCCAAGGCCCACCGTATGAACACGGATGTGCGTCGCTCAATCTTCGTCGCTATCATGTCCGCGAACGACTTCCAAGATGCCCACGTTCGACTCCTCAAGCTTCGCCTAAAGCGTGCGCAAGAATTCGAGATTCCTCGTGTTCTCCTGCATTGCGCGATGGAGGAAGAAGCTCACAACCCTTATTACACTCTGATTGCGCGACGTCTTTGCGGAGAGTCGGGCCGCCGTCTTAAGATGTCATTCACGTTTGCTCTCTGGAATATCTTCAAGCGGATGGGTGAACAAGGTGAAGACGAGGAAGAAACAGAGTTCGATGCCGATGATGAAGAAACCGGCGTTAGCATGAAGGCTGTGGTCAATCTGGCCAAGATGTACGGCATGCTCATCGCTGATGGAACCCTAACGCTGGGCGTCCTGAAGAACCTCAATTTCCCTTATCTCCAGCCCAAGACAAAGACATTTGTCGAGCTCTTGATCATCAGTGTTATCCAACAGTCACAGAAGACCAAGAACGGATCCAAAAAGAAGAACAAGTCTAGCTCTGACGATGTCAAGGACGAGGAGTCTCTCATGCAGATCTTCTTGCGTGTCCAAGAAGCACCCCAAGCTGCCAAGGGCCTGATCTACTTCATTCGCAAAGTCGTCTCCAAGACCGATCTTGTCACTGAGAAAGAGCAGAAGCTGGTGCGCTGGGGCTGCAATGTTGCTGTGGATGCACTCAAGGCCATTAAGGAGTGATGATTGCGGGTCTGAAGGCATTGTGATTTGATTTTCATCTAAATATACCCCTTTTCATAGACATGAATGTGATAGCCGCATCGGATGAACATATCGATCAGCAGTTTCGTTGCGCATAGCTCATTTCGGACATAAGGCGTGACTAGTATCGCTGCTAGGTGGCTTCCTCGACAAGGTCCCATTCCATAGCAATCAACCACTGCTCCAAATTGCTAAATTGACCGTCTTGAGGTGGTTCTGCCTGTAGTTCATTGGCAGTGACTAGGGCCTGATACTCGTCAAACGTGACGTGCCATGCGAGACCCCGATGAATTCCCACTAAATCCCCTTCATGTATAAACCCTGTTCGCTGCGCATTGGTCCGCGAGTCTCCATGGGATTGAGGTCTAGATCGTGAAGGCCCCATGATCATTATATTAATAATCTCTTTCCCCTCCTCGTCTTCAGTCTGTGCCAAGGTCACCTTCTCAGCTCTGACAAACGAGAGCGCGCCAGAGCTACTCAGCACTGCAGGTCTGACCTGGAGCACGCGAGCAGCCACGAGGTACCGACCAAGATCCGGGGAACGTTCCCCCGGCGTTCCAACAGCCTCGTTCAAGGGAACTTGCTCACGCTTAGATCCCATCTCAAGGATCCAACTGCGCACCTCGGCAGCCATACCGCCGGGGGCATAGCCCGCAACGCCAGAGCGATTTTTCCCGCGCCGATGGAGCGTTCTCGAGGAAGGTGAGAACGGCGCTGGTATATCCTCCAAAGCAGCATTAGGCGAGGGTGAACGAGGAAGTACAAAAGCAGGCTTACGTCTCTCCTGCGGCGAGGTAGGTTGGGTTGCTGCTGGTGTCTCCGCTCTGAATGCGGGTTGACTGCTGCGTGGCTTTTGCGTTGAGAGCATAAATCGTGGGCGACTGCGAAATGGCGTTTGTGTGCTCCCCGGTGTACCTGTCGGTGGCGCCCAAGGCTTCACGGACGTGCCTGGGGTTGCTTGGGTGCCCACGTCCTGCGCCGCTGGACGCTGTGCCAACCGAGGGGCTGGCGTTTGGAAGGCATCGAATGTTGGGCCTTGCGGCTCGGGAGAGGATGAGTGTCTCTCCTCGATGGTGTGTTGCAAATGTTGGCCCTGACTCTGAGTCCCACCTGCAGAGAGCCGCTGCCGTTTGTTACCGTCTCGAGTTGGCGCGAAGAGCGCGTCAAACTCGGCGTCCAAGGGTCCGGGTGTACCAGGGTCAATAGGCGGAGAGCTATCAATGGAGTCGTCTGCCAACTCATTGACCCCGTTGTCACGGGTATCTGCATTGCCCAGCCACTCGTCGTCATCCGAGTCCTCAATCACGTCCTGTCGCCGGCGCGGCTGAGTACCAGTACATCGTGGTTCATGTCGTGATTGAGCCGGGATGCGCGTGACAGGCGCAGTCGACGGCGGCGCATCGTCATCATCGATAATCTCAATATTATTCCTGCCCTTTTGGGGTGTCGATTGTGATAAGAGAAACCGAGGCGAGTTGGCAAACTGGGGCCCGGCACTGCGGCGCGTCGGAGGTTGGCGGCGGGACAGGCGGAAGGGAGATGGTGTCTGTAAGATTAATCATGAGCATAGCTTTGAAGCGCGTGTTGATTCCGGACCTTACCACCGGCGGAGGCATTTATTTAAATGTGGACACCATAGAGGAGCGCGACGTTGCGCGTCTTGGGCGCATTGAAATGGTTCGGTTGGGGTTGCGCGTCGGAGAAATTGGAGATTGAAGATTGCGGGGAGAGGAACAGCACCCGCCGAACTAAGTATACTTAGTAGCACAGAACAGTTTCAGCGCCTAGGGTACAATTAACTAGACCGATTTCGAATTTTAGAAGCGGCAGCAGGAATACTATTCAGAACGAATTCTAAGCATTGAGGGTGTGCCTAAGATAAGCCAAAAAAGCCATTTAGTTTACTACCGCTATCAGTACAGTCCAACAGTCTTAAGATTTCTAAGTTAAGTGGTTCGCTAACATGAATTTGTATTGAACTATTTTGCAAGTAACTAGAAGCAAGCAGTAGAGCTGTAAGAGCTTTCTAACATAATGTCTGTCTTAAGATCAAACGTCCAAACCGTCTTCCTGGGTTTCCGCTTTCTTCATTTGCTTCGACTTGATGAAGAAAGTGGCAAGAATTGTAACAGATGCTGTACAAGTATAAAAGATCCACATATTTCGCAGTCCCAAGACATACTGCTTCCTGTCCGCAGCGCCTGAACTGCCGTGGTCGATTACAGTCGTCAGGCTGCCACTGCCAATGGTCTGTTGAATCAGAACTGTTCCTATCACAATCGAAATTGACGTGAATAGATTTCGTAGGAAGGTGAACGCCGACATCGCCGCCGCTATATCAGCCTGTCGAAGATGGCTCTGTAACGCAATCATAGGACTTTGGAACAATAGACCGGCTCCCATGCCTGCAACAACTTCAAAGACGATGATCCGAGGCCAGGAGATGCTGGTTCCAAAGTCGATAAAAAGACCAGTGCCCAGTGTGAAAAAGCTGGTTCCGATGAATATCATAGGAATGTACTTCCCTGTCTTTCTGACAAAGAAACCTCCGAAGAACGTCGAAAATGACATGGGAATGATCAGGGCGAATAGAGTGACTCCCGAGATGAGCGGTCTGAATCCAAGAACCACTTGGTAATATAAGGGTAGGAAAAAGTCGAATGAGATGAACACGAATGAATGAAGACAGGCAACGGTGAATGAGGCAAGGGATGTTCGTTTCTGGAAAATCCGGAATGGAATCAGTGGATTTTTGGCAAACTTGGCCTCCCAGACCATGAATAAGGCCATGATGAGGGCACCGAAAACGATTAAACAAATGACCGTGGCAGAGCTCCAGGCAACAAGCCCACTTGAGCCGGCTTCGAGTCCGTAGAGGAAGCAAATCGTTCCTCCAATGATCAGAAGGAAGCCCATCCAGTCAATGCTGTACAACCCATCAGTCAGTGACTCCTTCTCAATGTTGAGGTTGAGATTGAAGTAAAGGAGCACTAGAACGATGCCGTCAAATGGTAGGTTGATATAGACTGCTTGATGATTAGCATGCTTGGTTGACGAATAATCACCACACACTTGAATAGAACTTACAGCACCATCTCCAACCGATTCCGTCGGTAAACGCACCACCCAAAACTGGACCAACGGCACTAGCTATGGCGAAAGCAATTCCCGTAATACCATAGTATTTCGCACGATCGGCGAGGGCGAATATATCACCAATGATAACAGTCACAAGGACGATTGATCCACCACCGCCCAATCCTTGCGTAACTCTCCCAGCAAGAAGCGAAACACTCGAGCTTGCCAACGCGGCCACAAGACTGCCCACCATAAAGATGGTAACCGCAGCCATAATAGCCGGCTTCCTGCCAAAGATATCGGAAATCTTGACCCAGACTGGAGTTGACGCCGTCGTAGCCAAGGTATAGCCACTTCCAATCCATGCATATTCTCGAGAAGTCACATTTAGATGCGCTGCAATGCTGGGAAGAGCAGTCGAGATGATGGTAATATCGAGTGCACCCAGGAAAAGGGACAAGCAGAGTGAGAGAACAATAAGTCGTCGCTGCCATGCTCCCATTGGAGGAGGCTGATAGACTGAAGCTTGAGTATCGAGCCGTTCAACATCGTTTGATGTGGCCTTTTCTTCAGCCGTGGGCTCTATAGTTTCTGTCATTGTATCTCTGATCTTGAGGATGGATTGTCTTTTTTTTCCCTGTGATTTTGTTAACTTTTTGAGAAGATACTTTCCTATGATGGTTATTGGCACAAAAAATAACTAGACCCTTCCCCACTCGGGACCACTTGCCGTATGCCAAGAGAGCTGGGGTTTGCCATTCGGATGGCTTCTGGAATCTAGAATTCCTAAAGTCCGGGGGAAGGTAATGATTATGTCCGGGGTGGTTATGTCCGGGGAAATACTGTTATGGTAATAGTGTGATGCAATAAACAGCTTTACATTGCTGCACATCATGAACACTTAGTCCATCGGATCTCAATGTTGATGCCTGAGGCTCCAGTGCATCTGTTAAGGTTGTTCTTGCCCATCCAGCTCTCCCTTCTTTCTCTTTCTTTTTTCATTGCTATATATTCACACAGGTTTGTGCTTCTTTGTGCTCTCTATAAAGCTCATGTTTCGAGATAGCCTCTAGCAGCGCTCGTTCCAGGACATACCAATGTTAAACCAGTTCTCCATGCACGTTTGGAAACCTGGCACTCAAGGAGAAGAGGAGAGCTTACGCAACCTCGAGATATCATCATCCTTGATTGGTGCTAACATCTGCGCCACACTGGAGTGTGAATACGCGCTGGCTTCCTGTGGCTGATACTTATCAGGCTCTGCAGTACTCTCGAGTTCTGGATACCACTGGGCTCCGCAGATCTTAACCTATCCTGCCTCACTGGTCAGGGTCAAGCAACAGTCGATAGGGTCACGGTGGGTTCTGTAGAAGATGGGCGATGGAAGCACTTTGCCATGGGCTGCGTCGCAGGGTGTCGAAATTAAGATAGCGGCGAAAATATGTCGGGATATTAAAGTCAATTCTCAGACATGATCCAGGCCAGTGCTATCTTGAAATATTATTTACGACAGGGCTGAACATTAGATCAATTAGGTGATAGTATAGTTTGAGGCTGTTCAACAGGCTCGCCCAGCCCTAACCGGTCGGGAACGCCGACCGTGAGTCTGTTATCCAATAGAGTCAGGAGACTAGGCACTAGGCGATGTGATGGCTAGTCGATTCGAGTTTAGCCTTGAGCTAATGCCTCAAAAGAGTCGTCAGCTCATGGCTGGAAAGGGACGTGATGCCCAGAATGGCATCAGGGGCTGAGGTTATGCTTAAGTATTATAAACTACGAATGAACCCGGAAGAGAATCATGCTTGGTTTGATTTTGGGGAATAAACTTGCTCAAGAATCTGCAAATATGATCTGGCAAGTCAATCAAAAGGCGCTCCTGGGGCTTATTCTGTTCACTACAAGTGAGTAAAGCCTTCACTTTTTGACTTTTGGGCATCAGTATCTTCTCAATTTCATGCTCACAGTTCCTTTCATAGGCGCCCTGGCCGTGAATTGCACCGCAGTCTCAGTCAAATCCGAAAGTGACGCCGAAACCCTACGACAAAATTGTCCAATCATCACAGGAAATTTAACCATCGGTCCATTCCCCCAGAATGTCAGTTCAGTACACATCAAGCTCGATGGTATCGAGTTCATCAACGGGAGTATCAACCACGAGGCTGGCGACGGTGGCAATACATTCACAGTCTCCAGTTCGACCTTGCTAAAAGTTGGAGGGTCGGTGATCTTCGGAGGAGATGACGATAAAGCCTGTAACGTGAACAATTTTACCGCACCAAATTTGAGCATCGTCTCGGGCTCATTCTGGATAGGAACACGGTGTTCCGACTTGACATATTTGGACATCACCAGTCTAGAGTATGTCGATTATATCCATCTCGAGGGTAGAAGTCTCACCACCCTACGCCATACGAAATTAAGTAATACCACTGGGTTGTGGATCGGTGATACTCTCATAGACTCGGTCGACAGCCTATTTAACAATCCACTGAATATCACGGGTGAGGCTATACTTGGAACACTACCAAATGTGAGGTACGTGACAGTTGGTTTCCAATCGGCGTATTCACTGGAAGTATTTTCGAATACGACAGTGATCCTGGGTGGCTCATCAACCACAGAGATGTCGCTGGAATCTCTCCGGTTGTCAGGGTTGACAGGATTGGAGCGCAGCCCGAAATTGGAATCACTCACAGCCGAAGTTGTGACAATCATGCCTACCGGGAACATCTCACAGATCTACCTCCCCTTTGATGATCTTAGAATGCTGTCAGTTTCAGAAGCAGCGTATTCAAACGTGGTGACGCTTCGTCTTCCAGCCAAGGCTGTGAACTGGACCGGCGGTTTCATGCTCGATGTCGTTCTTAGCCCAGGGCTCAACCTTTCTTCCATGTATGGGGTAGATGAGCAGGGAAATAATATCCAGACTTGGTACTGGCCAACCAATGTCTCGTACATTCGTATCTCCGAGACTATCGTTGCTAATCCATTCTTGTACGTGCGCTTTGAGAACCGATCCGCCTTCTGTTTAGAAAGAACTTTAAGGACTAATGCTGATTTGTATACAGTGACACATTTGTGGCCCAACAGAATGGATTGACTAATGGCACAACTACCCCTTCAGTTCTGGGTGGATTCAGCATCACACCATCGAATAGATCACATTTCAATTGTACGCCTTTTTACAATTTGTGGAGAATACATCGCCTAACAAAGTCCGTCGGCTCTTATGGCAGCGAGGAAGAATATGACTGTCTCAGTCGTGGTGTCAGCGAGAGTGCTGGCCATTATTATCAAGTACCAAGTCTAATAAGCATCATCGGAGTAGTGTTTGGAATCCTGGCGTGGGGGATTTAAAACCTCACGATTCTTCTGATGTTATTCAGATTTTAAGAAACGATTGATGTCTAGCAAATGTTATCTCGACAGATGTTTATTAAGTATAGCTATATACAGGTCCCAAATGATAAAACAGTCTCTGGCGGGAACAGCAATCAGTGATTCTGGAAGTATCGGGTCCTATATTCTAGAACTTAACCTTGAAGACCAGGGTCTGTGAATCCAGATCGTAGCCCGACGCGTCCTTATAAGAGAACTTGCCAGAGTTCATGTGTCCTGTTAAAGAGTTAGTAAGAAGCAGATACTGGAATATTGAATGACTAACCATTTTGAGTAATAAAGTCATTATCGCTCATGCTGAACAAGAAGTACTCCTGCTCACGGCCGGGCTTGTGGTGAACGCCATCTTGAGACGGCTTTACGGGGACAAGAGCCAGACTCTCCCACTTCTCGTTCAGCAAGTATTGATCCTGAGCTCCGCCATTGTGCAGACGGAACTTGGCCAGTTCCGAGTTGACATTGAAGTCCAGGAATGAACAGTATTCCGCGGGGGTGATGCCATCCTTCAAGACACCCTTTGACGAAGCAATAGCACCAGTAGCGGTGTCGTAATCACTCTGTCCCTTGAAATCAGTGACAGAGCTATTACTGTTCAGCACAGAGAATACATCTGCCTGTCTATACACAGATCGAGACTCGGCTTGTCCATGGCCGAAGCCTGAGTCCCGGGTGAGAACGAGGAAGTCACCGTTGGGAAGTTGGTGGATCTCCGATTGCGAGGCGACCTTGGTTGCCTTGCTCGCGTCACTCGAGGTGTAGTCATTGTATTTTGGCAGCGTCACAACCCACTCGTGGATGTACTGGGGCGTTTTGCCAGAGATATCGTACGCAAGCAAGCGAGCTGGTGCACGATTTTGCTTCTTAGGGCCACCCTCCTGATCAAGCGAGCTTTGGATCAGAGTGTAGAGGGTCTTTCCATCGGGGGAAATAGTGAGTCCCTCGAAACCCTGGTTGTTGTCACGACCAGAATCGGTGTCTTCAGGGTTAGGCACCTCAGACGGGTTGTACAGTGGTGGAGAGTTGGCACTGAAGCTGAGAGTGCCGTTCCGGCGAGGCAAGTAGGCCTGAGGAGGCTGGATTGCAAGCTCCATGCGGCCGGAAGCACTGAACTTGTAGACGTATGGGCCGTACTCGTCAGATACCCAGAAGCCGCCGTCATTTGCGAGAGCCAGACCCTCTGCGTCGATGGAAATTCTCTTGTCGCCCTTGCCGGAGCCACCGAAGCCATCGCCGGTGTAGGTCGCCGCTGGCAGAGGCGGGAAGCCGGGGTATGAAGCATTGCCAGTAGCATCGGCATCCAGGCCAGTGGTGGGCTTGCCATCAGGGCCGGTCAAAAGAATGGTATCGAGATACTTCAGGCGCAGGTTGGGGTCTGAAGGGCTCTTGGCCGAAGCATGGCGAGCCGGCTTGAAGGTCATGGCAAACTTGTGAATGCGCGATTGGAAGTTGAGAGTTCCATTGGTGTTCCTGGGATGGTAGTTAGTTATTCTGCACATTGGCTTTGGTTAGTACAAGGCAGAGAGTCCTCACCATCCACGATCCGGGATTGTATACAATGTTCCCGAGTAAACATCATCGTCTGACTTGCGCCACGACGATTGATCGATAGCAATAGAGCTGCCAATACCACCGATCGTATCACCATACTTGTCCGTCGCGGTGGACGGAACGAAACCATATCCGACTAGCCCGGTATACTCGTAGGTAGTGCCGGCACAAGTAGTCTGGTTGACAACATTGTACTTAGCGCTTGCGACCGAAGCCAGCAGCGCAAGTCCCAGAGTTGACTTCATATCGTATAAACAATGACTAAAGCCGCTACTTTCTTCTCCACCCGCATAATCAAGGAGGTAGCACGCGCCTTTATCTAGTCGTCGGCACTTTGCGAGTCTGAAGTCGCATGCCCAGCCCGCTGCGTGGCGTGCAACGACGCTAGACCGGGACTAGAGAATGGACCATTCAACGTGCAAGGAATGACGATCGTCATTCGCTGATCGATGCCTACCACGCCAAGAAGGATCGTGGAGTGTCGGTTATCAATCTTCCCAGCTGGTTAATCGCAGAGATTTGCATTTCTCCTGGTTGGTGCGGAGGATTGGTCTTGTGGAGAAGGGGACGATGCGCATGCAGGGGAAAAGTGCCAATCCCTGCCTTCGTCGGCCTGCGTAGCCTCCACGATTATGCCAAGGGAACTATACTCCCAACCGATCTCCAGTCAGCGACTTGAATTCGAGGATTTCCGCTCGTGTTACTCCGTACTCTAGATCGGATTGAATACGATGTCAGAAATTACACAATGATGGAAGAGGAAGATTTTCAAGAAATCGCGTTAGCTAAGTAATGTGGGACAGGACTAGGCCCCTTGCTAGATTAGTTGGATCCTTGATCCTTCAGTACTAAACAAGGAAGAAATTTAATATTCCAAGAAAATGAAGAAATACTTCTAGAAAGACTGGAAGCTGACCCATCCCACGTGGAGCTTGTCGTGCCTTTGCCTATCAACAATCAAGCGCCACTCTCCTCAACGCCCCAAGTCGTCGGCAAGGCGGCATATTTCTTCGCATCCAAGCCCAGATCCCGGAAGATAGTTGTATCGCCTAGCGGCAATTCCAGTCAGCTGATGCAAGGTCAATGTGTTCGGACTCTATTCCACGGTCTTACCTTCTAGAGCGTGCACTCGATCCTCATTTTCATGTTCCATCTTCTCCAGCTCCTCTCCCGGCTCGATCTCATGTGACTGGTTTCCACCTTGAGCTGAGGCGGCTTTGCCTAAAGAGTCCTGCGCCTCGCCGATCATCAAAAACTGGGCATTCGGATATTCGATGAACTCAGGTTGCAGAGGCACCCATCGGAGATCATCGAATTTCTCCATAACACTGTTAACAAAGTTAGTTATCCTGAAGATCTTCCAAATCGGGGGGTTTGTCTTAGATCGGCACTCACGATGCGGGATATTCAGGATCCTTGGGCAACCTGGCAAACGATGGACCGGGAAACTTTGGGTTCTTAGACTGGACGATGAAACTACCACGCCGATAGAGACCAAAGTTCTCTTGGATCTCGCCAATCTCGGAAGGGATAGTCAGTATGTAGGCTAGGTGAGACGCCCGTCGAGTAGACGTGATTGCATAGACGCCCTCCGCGTACGGGCGAGCCTCTTCAATGTGACGCTCGCCACGAGTAGAGGTCTGATACGTTGAGCCAGCGATGAACTTTTCTTGTAGATCTTTCACCGACTGGTTAGCCTTCTCGACGAAACCCATGTCTCGCTCTCTACCCGAAGTGGGAAACTTTTTTCTTCGGGAGTATCATGAGACGGCATCGGGCATCTTTATCCACCGATCCCTGTCCTGAATCAAGTTCAGCGCCTAGCGGGGTTGGACGCAGCACGAAGAAGCTGCGAGAGACGTCTTCCACTCCTTGGGGATCCTCAATGTTCACGCGTGGCCGGTAGAAGAAGTAAATGATGCCCTTTTCAAGAAGATTGGATGGGACTTTCTCCTCCCGCTCTTCAGACTTGCGAATACCAGACTCGATACTTGGCTCGAGGTTAGTCCCTTGCTGAGGAGTTGGAGCAGGAGCTGCGGAAGGAGCTTCCTCTGTCTCTTCTTTCTTGGGGCTTTTCTTGGGGATCCCATCCACCTCCGTTTCTGCAGCTGTTTCTTTCTCCGGTTGTTGAGGCCTTTCTTTTTCAATCTCTTGTTCTAGTTCTTGTGGCTTCTCAGCCTTCTTGTCCTTCTCTGGCTGCACCGGCTGCTCTGGTTTTTCTTCCCTCTTCTCCTTCTTAGGCTCGGGGGCTTTTTGCTCCCGAGCTTTGCGCTTTGCGCCCGCATTCACTTTGCCACCTGTTTCACTCGTTGTGGAAATGGCTTCTTTGGCCTTCTGAGCGGCCTGGCGAGAGGATGTGCGAGCCATGATGACGGCCCAGTTGCTTGGTCAGGATGACTTAAAATCGGTCAATGCTGATAGATTAGCAACAGGCGATTTCATAAAAGTAGGAATTTGAAAGCAGCAAGCTTGACAGATCTCAAGTCTGGGAGACAGACAAAACTTCAAGGTGGCCATGAGATACAGATGACGTCATGCCATCGGTTCTCTGGGCAGTTCGGAACCACCAAATGCAGCGTCTGAGCCGTCTGAGCCGTTTGTATTTTGCAAAGGCAAACATATGAGATCTCAATCAATGTCCATCTCATCAACCAAGGCAGACTCATTCGCAGTGTCGATACTACTGCTCGATAGAAAGTCTGAACTTGAACTCTCGTTAACTCGGGTGTCACGGAAATCATGTAGAGAGACAGTGTGAGGATGTTTGGCATTATCCTCCGGTATCTTGCTGCGTCTTCGGCGTCTCTTTGGACTCAGGCCATTGATAGGTAATGCAGGATCATCTAGCTTAGCCTTGGACTTGGATCGGTGAGATCCCATGGGGAAATCGCCAGAACCAATAAGCTTTCGCTTTTGACCTCTCTTTGGACTTGGTGAAGGCTTGGCGCTTGGACTTGTCACAAACTTGTCGTCCATATCATCGATGCGATCGATCAGCTCGCGCTGCCACCGCTCAAAGCAATCTGGGAGGCATGGTAACTGCCTCCACTGCATAACAGGTTCCGGGTCATAACCCGGTTCGTCATCCGGTTCCTCGATAGCATATGGCCGTAGTGGCCGAATCTCGGCCGTGTATGACATGTTTTCTGGGAGATTCTCATGCGTGGGTGTGGATGGTCCTGAGTCATTCACGCTATGACTGCTGCTGTCTGTGACGTGACCTGCTGCGGTGCTGGACGGCGAGCAGGGAGAAAGCCCAAGAGGATCTGCTGGCTTGTTTGACTGATCAGAAGAGGATGTTCTTTCCATAGGTAGCTCTTCTGACATGGTGTATCAAGTCGAGCGAGTCAATGTATCCTCGGAGTGTTCGATGTGCTGAGCTTTGGTTCCATCACGTCACCAGATGCAATGAGGAATTGTCAACCGCGGAAATGCTGCAAATGGAAAAAAGTAAACATACGGACGATTTGATTTGAGGGGTAGTATTTATGAACATATGAGACCTTGATTATCAAGGACGGAATGGAAGAAGTCACTGGCGCATCACATAGAGGGAGTATTCCAGACGATTCTAGCGGGGGAAGGGGAGGCTCCCCCAGATCACCAATGAACAATGGCGAACCGCCACCACTGGAATCCCCACTGTTGCAAGCCAAAGCTTTACGGTGGGATCCGGCAAGATCTATCTATCATATTGATAAGCTTGCCTAATCTAGAGACCTACTAGAGTATTTAGATCTGGAGTCTATGCATAGTTCTAATGTTAGTAACTAGCAATACTCCATAGTTAGTTGTTACAGTTAAGGACCCCTGACTGCTCACCGCCCGCGGGTTGATTGGCCACCGCCTTTCGCTTCCACAATTGAGTCCACGTTTAGTTTACCTCCTCTGCTCTCCAAGCACAGGCATCCACGACCACTGCGCCTTGCTCTTCTCTGCCCTTTCTTGTCCCTGGTGGATGCAGTGGTTGTCTCTGTGACCTTATCTTCTTTCGTGTGCGGAGCTTGCTACTGTTTGGTGCGGCTCCGGCCAACTCTGTCAAGATGCAGTCCTCTCCAAACATGCTCACCAAGGTACGCCCCTCGATCATCGCCATCATTCAGCTCCCATCTCGCCAGTCTCGAGTCGCACAACTTGGACTCAATTGTACTTGCTAACAATCATCCACCTTGCAGTTTGAGTCAAAATCCTCCAGAGCCAAGGGAATCGCATTCCACCCGAAGCGGTACGTCGGTCCCGCGGGGACATAACAACACGTTGGAGCATCGGCACTGACCTCAGCATACTAGACCATGGATTCTCGTCTCCCTTCACTCCTCCACCATCCAGCTGTGGGATTACCGCATGGGAACTCTGATTGATCGTTTCGAAGAACACGATGGCCCCGTTCGAGGAATCGATTTCCACCCTACTCAGCCCCTGTTTGTCTCCGGTGGTGATGATTACAAGATCAAGGTCTGGAACTACCAGACTCGGAGGTGTCTCTTCACATTGAATGGTCATTTGGACTACGTGCGCACAGTGTTCTTCCACCCGGAGCTCCCATGGATCCTGTCTGCGTCCGACGACCAGACCATTCGCATTTGGAACTGGCAGAATCGCTCTCTGAGTAAGTTGAAGGTGTTCGCTCTGTATAGTCTTGGCAATTGCTAATCGTCGGTGTGTCTTTAGTCTGCACGATGACCGGCCACAACCACTATGTGATGTGTGCTCAGTTCCATCCTACCGAGGATCTCATCGCCTCCGCTTCCCTGGACCAGTCCGTTCGCATCTGGGACATCTCCGGCCTGCGGAAGAAGCACTCCGCTCCGACCTCGGTGTCGTTTGAGGATCAGATGGCCCGCGCCAACCCGAACCAAGCCGATATGTTCGGTAACACCGATGCCATTGTCAAGTTCGTGCTGGAGGGTCATGACCGCGGTGTCAACTGGGTGTCGTTCCACCCAACATTGCCATTGATTGTGTCCGCTGGCGACGACCGGCTGATCAAGCTTTGGCGAATGAGTGGTTGGTTTCGTTCTAAAATCCTTGGATCTCCGTCATTCTAATTGCTTGTAATATGCAGATACCAAGGCTTGGGAAGTCGATACCTGCCGCGGCCACTTCCAGAATGCTTCCGCCTGTCTGTTCCACCCCCACCAAGACCTCATCCTCTCCGTCGGCGAAGATAAGACAATCCGTGTCTGGGATCTCAACAAGCGTACCTCTGTCCAGTCGTTCAAGCGGGATCAGGACCGATTCTGGGTTATTGCTGCCCACCCGGAGATGAACCTGTTCGCCGCCGGTCACGATACTGGTGTGATGGTGTTCAAGCTCGAGCGCGAGCGCCCTGCCTCTGCCATTTACCAGAACCAGCTCTTCTATATCACCAAGGAGAAGCACGTCAAGTCATACGACTTTGGCAAGAACGTCGAGTCCCCTCCTATGCTGTCGCTGCGCAAGCTCGGCTCTCCCTGGGTTCCTCCTCGTACTCTTTCCTACAACCCTGCTGAGCGCGCCATCCTGGTCACCTCCCCTACCGACAGCGGAACCTACGAGTTGATTCACCTTCCTCGCGACGCCACGGGTGCCGTCGAGCCCACCGATGTTAAGCGCGGCCAAGCCACCTCCGCGGTCTTCGTGGCCCGTAACCGTTTCGCGGTTTTCAATCCCTCCAGCCAGCAGGTCGATATCAAGGACCTCAGCAACTCCACAACCAAGACCATCAAGCCCCCCGCCGGTACGACGGATATCTACTTTGGTGGCACTGGTTGCCTGCTCTTCATTACCCCCACCACTGTCACTCTGTTCGATATCCAGCAGAAGAAGCAGCTGACAGAGCTTGCTGTCAGTGGTGTGAAATATGTGGTTTGGTCTAATGATGGCCTCTACTGTGCTCTCCTCAGCAAGCACAATGTTACCATAGTTACCAAGACCCTCGAGCAAGTCAGCACCTTGCACGAGACCATCCGTATCAAGAGCGCCACTTGGGATGATTCCGGTGTCCTCATCTACTCGACCCTTAACCACGTCAAGTACTCGCTACTCAATGGGTATGTAATGATACTTGTGTTTGTTATCTGACAGCTATGCTAACTAATGTCCTCGTTTCTACAGTGATAACGGCATTATCCGTACCCTCGACCAAACTGTTTACCTTGTCCGTGTCAAGGGCCGTAACGTCTACTGCCTCGACCGCAATGCCCAGCCTCAGATCCTCGCTATCGACCCCACCGAATACCGATTCAAGTTGGCACTAGTCAAGCGGAACTACGATGAGATGCTTCAGATCATCAAGACCTCGAGCTTGGTTGGTCAGAGTATCATCTCGTACCTCCAGAAGAAGGGCTATCCCGAGATTGCCCTGCAGTTTGTGCAGGACCCACAGACCCGTTTCGACCTCGCTCTAGAGTGTGGTAATCTCGAGGTTGCTATCGAGATGGCTCGCGAGCTGGATCGTCCCAACTACTGGAACCGTTTGGGAGCCGAGGCCTTGGCTCATGGTAACCACCAGACCGTGGAGATGACCTACCAGAAGCAGCGGAACTTCGAGAAGCTTTCCTTCCTTTACCTCGCCACCGGTGATCAGGAGAAGCTCGCCCGCATGGCCAAGATTGCTGAGCACCGTGGAGACTTTACCTCTCGTTTCCAGAACGCCATCTACCTTGGTGATGTCGAGGATCGCATCCAGATGTTCAAGGAGGTTGACCAGTGTATGTGTTCCGTCTGTTGTCCTTTCTGTGTCTGACATACTAACGTTTCTATAGACCCCCTGGCTTATCTCACCGCCAAGTCTCATGGCTTGACCGAGGAGGCCGAGTCCATTCTTGAGGCTTGTGGTCTCACAGAAGATCAAATTACTCTGCCCACGCTCGAGGAGCCTCTCAAGGTCCCTCATCCCATTGTTCCTACCTTCAAGTCCAACTGGCCTGCCAAGGCTGCTGGTCATTCTTCATTCGAGAAGGCCCTCCTCGGCGAGGTTGGCGCTGGCGACGAAGAGGCTGCCGCTGATGGCTTTGAGGTTGAGGAAGATGAGACGGAGGCTATTCTCGCTAAGGATACTCTTGAAGAGGAGGAAGATGCCTCTGGATGGGACATGGGAGATGATATTAATGTGGAGGAGGATGTTGAGTTTGTCAATGTCGAGAGTACCGAGGCTGGCGCAGGCAGCTCCGAGGCTGACCTGTGGGCTCGCAACTCACCATTGGCGGCTGATCACGTCGCCGCCGGCTCGTTCGACACTGCTATGCAGCTTCTGAACCGTCAGGTCGGTGCTGTTCAGTTTGCTCCTCTCAAGGACCGATTCCTTGAGATCTACAAGGGCTCTAAGACCTACCTCCCTGCCTCTACTGGCCTGCCCCCTCTGGTCAACTACGTGCGGAGAACCACCGAGGAGACTGACAGCCGCAAGGTTCTCCCCATCATCCCTCGTGATCTCGAGACTGTCGCCAGTGTTGATCTCCAGGACGGCTATGCTGCCATGCGCTCTAACAAGCTAGAGGATGGCGTCAAGGTTTTCAAGCGCATCCTGCACACACTTCTCGTCAACACCGTTTCTTCTGAAAGCGAGGTTGAGCAAGCAAAGAAGATCATCACCACTGCCCGTGAATACATTCTTGCCATGACAATCGAGCTGGAGCGCCGATCTCTCTCTACCGACACTCCCGAAGGCCTCAAACGCAGCCTGGAGTTGTCCGCATACTTCACCATCCCCAAGCTGGAGGTTGCTCACCGACAGTTGGCCCTGATGGCAGCCATGAAGCTGGCCTTTGCAAACAAGAACTACGGCTCCGCCCTGGGCTTTGCTAACCGGATGCTGGCCAACGGCGGCTCTGCCAAGCTTTTGGATCAGGTAAGATATCCCTTCCATAATTTCTTCTGTCGGTTACCTTTCCACTAACAAATCCATTCACAGGCCAAGAAGATCAAGGCTCAGTGCGAGCGCAACCCTCAAGATGCCATCGATATCGAGTTCGATCAATTCGCCGAGTTCGATATCTGCGCCGCCTCCTTCACCCCCATCTTCAGCGGCTCTCCTTGCGTGACCGACCCCTTCACCGGTGCCAAGTACCACGAGCAATACAAGGGCAGTGTCTGCCGGATATCCGAGGTGACCGAGATTGGCGCCCCGGCCAGTGGCCTGCGCCTGTTCGTTCCGGTCCAATATTAAGTTGGTAGTTGCGGACATTCCATGACGAAGTTTTGACGGTTTCTTCCCATCCTTGTTCTTCCTTCCTCTCTTGACATGAAGTTATAAAATGGGGTATTTTCTTTCCATTTTCCTTTCTTCCCTTTTGTTTTTTTTCTCCTGCAACGAGATGAAGTCGTGTGTTTGGCGGCGCATGTTCTTTCGGGAGAACGAAAACTCCCGGCTCTTCTACTGTCTAGATGTTTCTGTGCCCGAGATTCTAATTACTTAGCGGTCTTAGTTTGTATGTGAATTTGTTCAAAATGGATTGTCCTAAGCATAGAGACCTAGAGATAGTTCCCACTGGTTCCAGGTGCCTGTTTGAACCGAATCTATCATGTACAATGAACATCGTGTCTTATATCGACTGGTCAAGATATGCCATAGTCGGGTCCAATAGTATTACAAGAAGGGAGAAGTCTATAAACATCAGGAGCGGAGAAGTCACGATCCCAGCGAAGCTCTACATCAACCATGATCGTACAGCGCCAACAAACCTCCACCTCCATCTCAATCACACCTCCCATCCTTCCACCCAGTCCTCCACCTCTCCTCCCAAAGTCGACAATCAAACTCCTTCTTCCCCAACTTCCGATTCACCTCATTATGCGCCTCACACATCCACCACCCAAACTCCTTCCGCCCACTCAACTTGGGCTGATTGCGTCCACTCGGGTGCGCCATCCACGTCCGGAAATCGTCCGCACACACCCAGCAGGGGTACAGCTTGGAGAAGAACTTTAGGAAACCCTGCATGTCTTCTTGGTGTGATGCAGATGCTTTTTCGGGGTATGTGGCCGCCATGGTGTGTAGGAGGGTCCAGGTTGAGCGGCCGAGTTGCTCGACGTCTGGTGGGCAGTCGGGGGGGGGTTTCGGTTGGTTGGGGGGTTGAGCGGGATGTTGTTGCTGATGTGGGGATTGTTGTTGATGTTGATGAAGAGGTGGTGGTGGAGGGGGAGGTTTGCGATTGTTGCTTTGTTAGGGCGCGCCATGAAGCGATTGATGTACAGGTTCGGCAGCTGAGAGGGCAAGTCAGAAGATGCGTAGGGCAAATGGTTTGGATCCATTTGATCGCGTTGGAATGGAGTACTCACGGCTTGCCATCTTTGTCGAGGACTACGCCCTTGGGTAATGGGGCCTTGGAGTCGCCATCTTGCGAATCCTTGACGGGTTTTGGAGGTATTTGGTTGAAGGCATGGGGTGGTGTGTGGAATTGGGCATCCAGCTGCTCGGGAGGTACCTCGGCCATGGCTTTGAGATTGGACGGGAGTAGTAGTTTGAGGAGGTGTGAGGTTGAGCTGGGAGAGAAATTGGAGGAAGAGTGGAAGTTCTTTTGGCTGTTGATTTCTAATGCGGAGACTTTATCGGAGCTTTCGGAGGTGGCTGATCGGCCGCACCTTAATCAAGCCTTGGCCTTTGTACCTGAAATTAACAATCGAGGGATTTTAGTATTTCAACAAGGGCGATCCGAGCAGGATATTGTGTGCTTTTATTCGAGATTGATATAATCATGATAAATCAGCGTCTTCAATAATAGGGGCGGCTAAGGGAAGATCAGGGTGTTCCATGTGTGAATTTATGGCGCCGCAGCTCAGATATAGAAAGCAGATATGCTATATCCATCCCAAATTCAACATCCCCTCAAGCCTTCAAATCGACATTACAACGAACTAGTAGGTCTCGAATGTCAAGATAATTACCTAGTCGAGCCATCCCCAGCACACTAATACCAGTACCAGGATCAATCTTTCTTGGATCAGCACCAGCCTTCAGAAGAAATTCCGCCACCTCATGATTCCGGCGCCAACAAGCAGCAAACAAAGGTGTAGCTCCCGTACGGCCACCGGGGGCATTGATATCCACAGAGGGATCAGACGCCAATATAGCCTTGACGACGGAGGCCATGCCAAACGAGGCTGCGTAGTAAAGTGGCTCTGTAGTCTCAATGATTGACGGTTTCACACCAGGAATCAAAGCTTCAATCCAGACGCCAAAGTTTCCTCGACGGGGGAGGCTCTTTGTTGCGAAGAACCGGTTGACCAATGCTCGCTCCGGTGGTCCAAATTCGCAATGGGTGCCGTGGATGGGCCAGAAGTAGGCTGCGTAGTATAAAAATGAACGGACTTTGGTTTGTCTCTTAAACTCGTGGTACCCGTGTTTGAAGTTGTCGAGACAGAGATATGTCAGACACTTCCGCATGATTGTTGCGTCGGCGGTTGTAGCGTCTAACGCAAAGCGCTTGACTCGGGAAGAACGAATCCATTCCGAAGTCAAGAATTCCTTCACGGATGAGTGTGCAAGGTTGACGTGTCCAGCCTGGTCCACGGAGATAAGTCCCTGACAGATTTGGAGTAGAATGTCCCGGGGGACGAGCATCATGTCCCCGTCCAGAGTTGTGCAAGTCTCATCGAGAACGACAACTTCGTTCAGACCTCTCAGTGTCAGCGGCCGCTTTGCAAAGCTAAGCCAGAAGAGGGCCTCGTAGACGAAGGGTTCATCTTCGGGGCTGACACGTTCTAGCGTACTTGCATACATTTCCCTCAAGGTTCCGGGGAGATTAGAGAGGGATGCTCGCATTGCTTTGGCGGTTCTCTGGGAACAGAGATTGTCCAGGGAGAGTTGAACCCATCGGAATCTAGAGGAGTGTTAGAAGATGGAATCGACCATTACTGGTGGTGTACTGACGATCCATCTGCATCCTTGAACAAGGTCTCTGCAATCTCAGCCTGCAATTTGGGCGTTAAATTCCGTAGCGTGGTATCGTGCTCCAGGCGGTATTGGATGAAGGTCTTGATGTCCTCTTCCATCGTCTCAGCTCTGATATTCAAAAAGTTGGCTTCTTTGGAGGAAGCTCTCGTGGACGTTGTTGTCACAAGGATGCGAATGTTTAGAGACAGCCTCGCCATATATAATAAAGACCTTTCGATATACTCCATCTCGGAGCTTTCATTGGGAGCATCAACAAGAATGACGATCCGAGACTTTCCATTTGAGTGTCTGATGATCGCATCTTCAAGGGCCGAGAAATTAACAGGCTGACTGTGCGTTTGAGTCTTGGGAATCTTGTCGTAAAGTGATCGAATATCCTCCAGTATCCCCGGGTTTGATCTAGCAAGCTGTGCCACCAGGGAGCCTAGGATATTGACAGCAGCCTGAGAGGCCGTATTGCTGATTGTGCAGTAGAAATAGGCAAAGCATAAATTCGGATCATGCTGGGCCATGTTTGTCAACTCACCAACAATTTGCGCACTAGATGAATGTTAGTCGAGGATGAAGCCCAGAGGATCTGTGATAAACTGACAAAAGTGTGGTTTTTCCTGTTCCAGCTATTCGGAGTTACCAGTCCTGTTAGCTCTGGGACTTATTGCTTCTCACAGGGTGACAAGAGCTGTCATACATTTACCAACAAGGAAAAGAATCCTTTTATCATCCAATGGGTCTCGAAGCCATGCTTTCAAATAAGACTTGGTGAACCATCGTCCCGTTCCAATGCGCCGTCCATTAGATGCTCGGAGGTGAGAATCAGCCGGACTAACCGGTGCAATCCACTTGAAAAGCGCCTCGTTATCCTTCTGAACTCTCTCCTGCTCACGAATGCGCAGATCTTCCTTCAAATTCTTAGACAAGCTCGTAATCTCTTGATGTAGATCTTTCTCCGCCGCAGCTGTATCCGCCGTGATGACCAAGATCAACCATGACTTCACCCTCTCAAGACGAACAAGATGAGCATTGACTTGATCCTGCGTGAACGGCCATTCTAGTTTCTGCTTCAACTTTTTGAATTTCGTCGCCGGCTCTTCTAGCTCTTGAAGTAGAGTTTGGAGAAATTCGTTCGTCGTGAATAGCACTCGTGCCATTACGTCTCGATCGAATGGACCCGATGACTCAGACTCGGTCTCCTTTTCAGATGTGGGCGTATTGTCGCCTATACCTGTGGAAAGATGTTCTAGAATACCTTTGAGAGCGAAGAGTTCCTCGCTTAGCTTGCGCATATCGTCTTTGGAGCCCTGGACAGCTTTCGTATATTTGATCACACAGGATAGCACATTGCTAACTTCTATGATCAATCCGGTTATGGAGATTGGATCCATGGTGGTGAACTTGGCGACTTGGAGCCAGTCTGATGATCTCAAATGAAAATTTCTCGTATGCGTAGTGACCGAAGGTAACCAAGCTTCATGAGAAAGAGTCTAATGCCCTCTGGCTGACAGCCTTAAACCACGCCATGGCTAGGCGGGGTAATTAGTGGGCGAAGCTTATGGTACCCACTTCGTATAGATCGGCCTGCCTAACATACATTCACTCTCGTATTCAGCCCATTGTCTTCCCTTGACTTGTAGAGAGTGGTGGATTTTAGTGACAATTGTCAACTTGAATTTTCGAGTTATGTAGTGCGTCGAAGCTAAGGTTTCTACTGCCCTATCAACAAACTTGGTTCCAAATTTCACTAGATCTTTATGATATACTTCAGGCGTGGGGTTCCTAGGTATGTTTACACTGGACAAAAAACCGTAGCTGACATTAGTTGCACAAAAACCAATGTATCGCTCAAAGGTCAGACATAATTGAAGATTGTTTATGCAGTCAAGTGAATGGTATTTGCTTCATTAACTTATCAAACTGTGTCCAAAAAGCTGTTGCGAAACAACTTATACTTGGGATGATCATGGAACCATGTGGCGGGCGGTCAGCCGTTGGTCCCATCTCCAACGCCTTGCCTGCACGATCGCGCATTCACGCCCAATCAGCAACGACGCGTTCTGGATGCCTCGAAAGTGTCTCCCTTCCTGAAGTCGGCTCTATCGAATCGGGTGTCTTGTTTGCGCACTCTCGCTATCGTCTACAGTGTTGCAGCGCCCTGGAACCAAGCTATTCACGAGCTCAAGCACGCGACCCACTCGTCAGCCTAACGCCGCAGTGCATATCACAATGGCGCCGAAATATACCCTGTCAGACTCCGAATCAGAGGCGGAAGCAGCCGTTCCCTCTGACAAGGCATTGGACAAAGCACTGCGCAAGGAGGTTGTGACGAAATACAAGGCGAAAAACTGGGAAGAACTCACGGTGAAGCGCGTGCGCCGCGCCGTCGAAGAGAGCCTCGGTCTGGAGCAGGGGTTCTTTAAAAATACGGGTAAATGGAAGGAAAAGAGCGAAGAGATTATCAAAGACGAATTTGTGAGCCTTTACATATCATTCAATACAGGTTACTTGATAAGTGAAGTGTTGACTCGAGAATGCGACTAGGAAATCCTACGAACGAGTGCGCCGGACACTGTCGCCGAGTCAGAAGCCAATCCAACCTCATCGCCCCCTCTTGCACCGAGTCAAAACCCAACGAATAAGCGATACAAAGCCCCAAGCAAACAGAAGCCGAGAAAGCGCCAAAAGACACAGACGCCGGTTTCAGATGAAGAAGATGAGCTAACGGAGCTACCTGATGAAGGAAGTGAAGAGGAGGTCGTGAAGCCCACGAAGCGCGCACCAAAAACGACAAATACCGTGAAGTCCAAAAAGCCCAAAGAGCCTTCTACTGAGGTTATGGAAATCTCTGACAACGAGGAGGAGGAGACTCCTACCACGGAGTACACCACAGAAGTTACCAAGGATGATTCCGAGAGCGAGATGTCGGTCGTATATGACGAAGAGCCTAAACCCAAAACCGTTCGCAAGCGCAAGAGCGGCGACGGTTCCTCGAAGAAGGCGGCTCCAAAGAAAGAAAAGAAAGCCGCCGCCAAAGGCAAGGATGAGGACCTTGACCCAGATCAAGCAGAAATCAAGCGGCTCCAAGGGTGGCTGGTCAAGTGTGGAATCCGGAAGATGTGGTGGCGGGAGCTACAGCCATATGAGACGTCAAAGGCCAAGATCAAGCATCTCAAACAGATGCTGGAAGATGCGGGCATGACGGGACGATATTCCTTAGAGAAAGCTCGGCAGATCCGCGACGAGCGGGAACTCAAGGCAGACCTTGAGCAGATCCAGCAAGGTGCGAAGAAATGGGGGACAGGCAGTGGAGACGAAAGTGATGGGCCTGCACACCCACGCCGCACAGCTCGTGGGCGTCAAGCGCTGGCGTTTTTGGAGAGTGAGGGAGAAGAGAGCGATTGATATCTGTATGCGCGACCTTGAGCTTCAGCCACTGGTCTGGCCGAGTCTCTCTTTTTACCGGTCTCGGTAAAGCATATTTTTATAATGCCAAGATGTTCCTGTCTAAAGCCTTCGTTGTGATTGAGCTTGCGTAGACAGTAAGTTGTAGATAATCCGCTCATCGGGCGGCCTTGTGACCGCTCATGCGCTGAGCGGCAAGACTGAACACAGCGACGGAGGAGATAAAAAGGACTAGGTTGTAGAACTGCCGCTCGAGTTAGAGATGGCTTATTCAGATTGAATATCAAGCAGAGGGATCCAGTACCGCTGTTCGAGAGTACTCATTCTCCTCGACCTCCGTTCGGGCCTCAACAAAGAGGCGGCGCAAGTTGGGAAGATTAGCCTGTAGATGCTATTAGTATTGATATCCTATTCAATTGCGCAAAGAATATAGGTAAGGTTACTCACCATGGTTGACGGAAGAGTTGGCGAGTTGTTTAGAAAGACAAGTTAAAAGACAGGTTTAGGGGGGAGCAGGATGAGATCACGTAGTTCGTTGGTCGAAAGCATAAAGCGGACGGGAGGGTCCAGAGTCCAGAGCCCGCCATTTGTGGACAACTTTTGATCGCCCAAACACCCTTTCTTTCTTGACCTCCCATCCTCCGCCTCTCCTCGACATTCACTCACCTCCGGCTTCTTGTCATTGCTATTTGCTTCGACGAAGAGAAGGGAATGGTCTAGCTGTTGTCTCTGATCGCCACCTCCGTCCTTCAACCCCGTGTCGCGCGACCGTGACAGCTCTCGATTCCCCGCAGTCGCCCGACTGACCTCGACTTACGACCACTTTCCTCTCCGATTGTCATTGGCGGAGGCACGACCAGGTCGTTGCTGAAGCTCACAACCCTCCGGCATGGCGATGAACAAGATCCGCGGCGCCTTTGCGGTGCCCCGGAAAGGAGAGACGTTTGAATTGCGGGCTGGCCTGGTGTATGCTCCCCCTCCGCACTTTGAAAACAGGTGGCCATTTTGCCATGACGAATAATTGATGATGCTGACTATGAGAATAGGTCTCAGTATGCCTACGAACGGTACGTCGGTATTCGCGGAGCTCGCAACTTATGCGGTTGATGAGGGTCAGGGAGCGACGTGGCGAAGCTGACGATCCTACAGGAAGGAGTCTATTCAGAAGACAATCATGGCCATGACCCTGGGCAAGGATGTTTCGGCTCTCTTTCCCGATGTGCTGAAGAACATTGCTACTGCGGACCTGGAGCAGAAGAAACTGGTCTACTTATACCTTATGTGAGTGTTCCTGCGGGTTAGGAGGACAGGCGCATTGTCTAACCATGTGGCATCTTCTTCACAGGAACTACGCCAAATCACACCCTGATCTGTGCATTCTCGCCGTCAATACCTTCGTCCAAGACTCGGAAGACCCGAACCCGCTGATCCGAGCCCTGGCCATTCGCACCATGGGCTGCATTCGTGTGGATAAGATGGTGGACTACATGGAGGAACCCCTGCGCAAGACTTTGCGCGACGAGTCGCCCTACGTGCGCAAGACCGCTGCTATCTGCGTTGCCAAGCTGTTCGATCTGAACCCTTCCATGTGCCTCGAAAACGGATTCTTGGAGATGCTGCAGGAGATGATCGGTGACCCCAACCCCATGGTGGTAGCCAACTCGGTCACTGCGCTATCGGAAATTCATCACACGGCCCCCGAGACACAGGCTATGCAGGTGACTGCCAACACACTACGGAAAATGCTCATGGCTCTGAACGAGTGCACGGAGTGGGGTCGGGTAACCATTCTCTCGACACTGGCAGAGTACCGGGCGGCCGATGTGAAGGAGTCGGAGCACATTTGCGAACGCGTTGCGCCTCAGTTCCAGCATGTCAACGCCAGTGTGGTTCTTGCTGCTGTCAAGGTCGTCTTCTTGCACATGAAGTATGTTGGACCCGAGTTAGCCAAGAACTATCTTAAGAAGATGGCCCCACCACTAGGTATGTCATACGCTCCCATTTTTTGCTGAACTTGCGGATCGCTAATCAGGAAATCAGTGACTTTGGTATCTTCGGCACCCGAAGTGCAATATGTGGCTCTGCGAAATATCGACCTTTTGTTGCAAAAGCAACCTGACATCCTCAACAAGGAACTTCGCGTGTTCTTCTGCAAGTATAACGACCCGCCCTATGTCAAGTTCCAAAAATTGGAGATTATGGTTCGGATCGCAAACGATCGTAACGTGGATCAGCTCCTGGCTGAGTTGAAGGAATACGCTCTCGAAGTCGACATGGACTTTGTCCGTCGCGCTGTCAAAGCCATTGGCCAGGTTGCTATCAAGATTGAGAGCGCCAGTGAAAAATGCGTCAACACCCTGTTGGATCTGATTAACACCAAGGTGAACTACGTTGTACAGGAGGCTATCGTTGTGATCAAGGACATTTTCCGGAAATACCCTGGCTACGAAGGTATCATCCCGACTCTGTGCAAGTGCATTGACGAGTTGGATGAGCCTAACGCCCGCGCCGCTCTGATTTGGATTGTGGGTGAATACGCGGAGAAGATCAGCAATGCTGGCGACATTCTCGGTGGCTTTGTGGATGGCTTCAACGAGGAGTTTTCTCAGACCCAATTGCAGATTCTCACTGCTGTCGTGAAGCTCTTCCTCAAGCGACCTGAGAAGGCGCAGGGTCTCGTCCAGCGGGTACTTCAGGCTGCCACTGCTGAGAATGATAACCCTGATGTTCGCGACCGAGCCTATATCTACTGGCGTTTGCTCTCCAACACGAGCGACCAGGACGCCACGAAGAACATTGTCCTTTCCGATAAGCCCCCTATCGTCACCACCATCAGCTCATTACCCCCTGCTCTCTTGGAACAGCTTCTCCAAGAGCTTTCTACCCTTTCCTCCGTTTACCACAAGCCCCCAGAGCAATTCGTTGGACAAGGCCGCTTCGGCGCCGATGCTGTTCAACGGGCCGCCATCGAGTACGTCATCCCCCCTTCATTACTGTCAAGGTCTTTCAAGCTAATCATTTTATTACAGGGAACAACTCCAAAATGCTCGGGAGAATCCCTTGGCCGCCGCTGCCGCGGCTGCTGTCAGCGGTACCACACCCTCTGCGCAGGCGCAAAACAACGTCGAGAATCTGCTGGACATTGATTTCGACGGTGGTGCCCCGGCCTCTGCCCACAAGGAGCCATCTGGCGAGATGTCCGGCTTGGAAGGTCTGGCAGGCACCCCCGTCCGAGTGCAATCTCCCGCGGCTGGCACCCCTGCGCCCCAGGCCAGCAACAACCTCGACGACCTGTTGGGAGTCTTTGGCGATTCTGGTCCTTCGCAGCCCTCATCCAGCGGAGCCAATGGTGGCGCTGCGGCTGACTTGATGAATGGGTTCTCTGGTCTCGATCTGTCTGGAAACTCTTCGCCTCCCGTACACAACCAGCCCCAGAAATCCAGCCAAGATATCATGGATCTCATCTAAGGCTGAGTGTTACGTTACGGTATAGCGTTTCCAGCCCCTTGCTCGAGGCTGGCTGTTTTCTTATAACCAAGTGTTTCGCTAGCGAGGATCTGAACAGAACGAGATAGAACGGTTTTCATTATTTTCATTTCTTTTTATGTGTTTAATTTTTTTTTATCTCCTGCGCCTGCATTCTTCCCCTGCCGGACTTTAAAAAGGCCTTTGCATGTATATCTTTCTTTATTCTACCATTGAAAACTAGTGGTTGTTAACTACAATCTACTAATCCCTGTAGATTTCCACCATTCAAAGAATGATTCCTAATGGGGAGTCTCTTCAATTTGGGAGACTTACAGTACATACAATCAAGCGTCTGACAGTGGGGCTCAAGATGCGCTTTCCGACGGCAACGGGTCAGTACCTAGTAACCCTGTTAGTGTCAGCAGTATGGGTCATTCGGAGTCAACGGGAGATCAACTCGTTAGGACCGACAGGAAAACGTGGAATTTTCAACCACTGCAGTATTCCCGGGAGTGATGGGTCCACGATTCTCACATTGACCCATTGTCTAAAGGCCTGATATACTCCCTGAGGACTTCACAAATGGTTAAAGGTCGGACATACCTACCCAGAACAGAGATTCCGTAACAGAAACTACTACGATGATAATATCCAAGGCAAGCCGATCACCATTAAGCTTCCGAATGATGGCAAAACTTCCCGATCTGCAATTGAAACCCGCGCTGCTTACCAATTCTTCTCCATACCGTGCCGAATTTTCCAGAGTCTCCAACCAGAATGACCAGAGCGAGTGAAACTCTGGGTCGGTCCCGCTGCTTGTTCCTGGACCCTCCAGGGCTCTTGAGAATGATATAAATGGAGGGGCCCCCGACAGGTGCCAGGGATTTCCTTCCACATCGGAAGTATACATCTTACATACTTCTCTACACATACATACACCATGGCTCAAACCGACTACAAATTCGAGGGCTGGATGGGTCTCGACCCCAGCGCCGCCGAGGGCAACATGGTCTGGCAAGAATTCGAGCCCAAGAAGTGGGAAGAGACCGATGTCGATATCAAGATTACTCACTGTGGTATCTGTGGTTCGGACCTGCACACTCTGCGCAGTGGCTGGGTAAGTCATGCATAATCAGATCTATTTGCTTTTTCTGCGTGGCGCTTCTAACTTTTGCTCCACAGAGACCTAGTCTGTATCCAGTTTGTGTTGGCCATGAGCTTGTTGGCACAGCTGTTCGTGTCGGATCTAAGGTGACCAGCGGTATCAAGGTTGGTGATCGTGTTGGTGTCGGTGCTCAGAGTGACTCTTGCCAGGGCCGCCAGGGGGACTGTGAGGAGTGTGCTATGGGCTTGGAGCAGTACTGCTCGAAGAAGTTCACTGGTACCTACAACAGCACTCACCAGAATGGTGATAAGTCCTATGGTGGCTATGCGACGTACAACCGTGTTCCTGGACACTTTGCTATTAAGATTCCTGATGGGATTTCCTCGGCGGCGGCTGCGCCTATGCTGTGTGGTGGTGTGACGCTGTACAGCCCGCTGAAGCACAATGGCTGTGGTCCTGGAAAGCGTGTTGGTATCATTGGTGTTGGTGGTCTTGGCCACTTTGGTGTGCTTTTTGCCAAGGCTATGGGCGCTGACAAGGTCGTGGCCATTTCTCGCAAGACTGCTAAGAGCGAGGATGCGATCAAGATGGGTGCGGATCTGTACATTGCTACCGACGATGAGCCGGACTGGGCGAAGAAACATGCCCGGTCTTTGGATCTGATTGTCTGCACTGTTTCTTCCACCAAGGTAAGAGCACACCTCCGGGGGATGAGTTATTATAAAGGCCTTACACTGATATCTGCGTCGTACTTTAGATGCCCATGACGGATTACCTGGGCCTTCTCCGCACCAATGGCAGTCTGGTGCAGGTTGGCCTGCCCGAGGACGGCACTCTCTACGCTCCTGTGCGCAATTTGATGCGCCGCCTAAAGGTTGAGAGCTCGCTGGTTGGCAGCCCCAACGAAATCCGTGAGATGTTTGAGCTGGTCGTTGAGAAGAAGGTCCAGCCCTGGATCGAGGAGATCCCCATGAAGCACGCTAACAAGGCGATTGTGGATATGGAGGACGGCAAAGCGCGCTACCGCTACGTGCTTGTTAACGAGTAAAGTCCCGGACAAGGATGAGGATGATGATTGATGAAATGAATGTATAGAGTATTAAGATCATAGAAATAGAGATTAGAATCAAAAGCAAAACTTGATTACTCCATCCCGATCCTCTGTTGATGCAAGATAAAAACCCCATTGAAGCCAGTCGCGCAAGGGCCAATCGATGCCACCCACGTGAGGCCGCTTTCGGAGGCACCAGTCCCGATCAGGAATAGCGCGCCTCCCCCGCGGCGAATATAATCAAAAGTTGAAATGATTCACGGGCCCCGCTGTGATTCATCGCGCGATCTCTTTCTCTCCCTCCCCATTACAACCACCCTTTTCCATTGTTGATCTGGTCAATTGGCTCGGTCGCAAACGCCATCATGTCCCAGCGTTATCTCAGCACTCGCGGTAGCGAGTCTGGTGTATGTACCCATCTGGCCGCCCCGCCGGACAACACTTTCCGCTACCGATGTACATGGCTAATATGGGAGTATTTAGCGTTCCTTTGAGGATGTTGTCATGAAGGGTCTTGCCTCTGATGGTGGTCTTTTCATTCCTGAGGAGATCCCATCTTTGCCTTCTTCGTGGGAGTCTGAATGGCGGGACTTGTCCTTCGCCGAATTGGCGCACCGTATTATGTCCCTGTATGTTGATTTATGTTGATGGAGCACTTCTTATCTTACCCGTGGGAATCATTGCTGATTACATTGTTATTTCAGGTATATCTCTCCCTCTGAAATCCCCTCCGAGGACCTCAAGACCATCATCGACAAGTCCTACTCTACATTCCGCCACCCCGAGCGCACTCCGGTCGCCGCATTGGACCCCAAGGAGAACCTGTACCTGCTCGAGCTCTTCCACGGCCCAACTTTCGCCTTCAAGGACGTTGCTCTCCAAAGTTTGGGTAACTTCTTCGAATACTTCCTTGTGCGCAAGAACAAGGGCAAGACTGGCAAGGACCGTCACCACTTAACGATCGTCGGGGCCACCTCGGGTGATACTGGTTCCGCTGCTATCTATGGTCTGCGTGGTAAGAAGGATGTCTCCGTGTTCATCCTTTTCCCCAAGGGCAAGGTCAGCCCTATCCAGGAGGCTCAGATGACTAGTGTGCTTGATGCCAATGTGCACAACCTCACTGTCGAGGGATCCTTCGACGACTGCCAGGATATTGTTAAGGCTTTGTTCGCCGATCCTGATATTAACAAGACCCACAACATTGGCGCTATTAACTCGATCAACTGGGCTAGAATTCTGGCACAGGTAAGTTCTTCATCTTTGATCTCAAGTTGAGCAAGTTTGATCCAAGTATACTGATTGTTTGTACAATAGATCACCTACTACTTCTACTCATATCTCTCCCTTACCAAGTCTCCACACTACGTTCAGGGCTCCAAGGTCCGCATGGTTGTGCCCTCCGGAAACTTTGGTGATATCTTGGCCGGATGGTTCGCCAAGCAGATGGGTCTCCCCGTCGCTAAGCTCGTTGTGGCGACGAACGAGAATGAGTAAGTTATTCCCTTGACTTGCCCTCGAATATAGTCACTAACTTTCGAAATAGCATTCTCGACCGTTTCTTCCGTACCGACGGCCACTACACCAAGAAGCCCCTCGACGCAGTCACAGACGCCAGCGTCAAGGAGACCCACAGCCCTGCTATGGACATTCTAGTCAGCAGCAACTTCGAGCGTCTTCTCTGGTTCTTCGCCTTCCAGACCGACAAGGCCAGCACCGCCGAGGAGCGCCGCCAACACGCCTGCGAGAGCGTCAGCAGCTGGTTGAACCAGCTCAAGACCGAGGGCGGCTTCCAGGTGCCCGCCGCCGTCATCGAGGCCGCCAAGGCCGAGTTCGAGAGTGAGCGTGTCAGCAACGAAGAGACCATCTCAACTATCCGCGACACCTACAAGACCTGCTTCCCCACCGATCTCCCCGCAGGCAGCCCCAAGAGCTCCAAGACTGGAGGCTACATTCTCGACCCCCACACCGCCGTTGGTGTTGCTGCCTCGCGACGCTCTATCCAGCGTAACCCCGGTGATAGCCACATCTCGCTGTCCACCGCTCACCCCGCCAAGTTCGCTAGCGCAGTCGACTTGGGCCTGAGCAATGAAGATGGTTACAGCTTCAGCGAGGTGCTTCCTGAGGAGTTTGTTGGTCTTGAGCAGCGCGAGCGCCGTGTCACGGCCGTGCCGGCTGGTGCTGGTTGGGAGGGTGTGCGGGAGATTGTTAAGGCTGAGGTTGAGCAGGAGCTTGAGGGTCTGCGTTAGATAATTTATTCTTTGGATTTTATGTTGATATAGACTCATTTGGCTTTTATATGCTTGTGAAGGAAAGGAAAAAAAGGCTTTTCACATACCTAGTTCTTTTATGGCTCTGGAGGAGATGCGATTCACAATATTCATGATGTTTATGGTTTCCGAAATGTGAGAATCGATTCGATCTCAAAACGAACGAAATAATAATATTGAAATTGAGTCAACCCGATCATTTGCAGTCTAGCCCCAAACAACCATTAAAAGAAACAGAAACTCGAAGCCATCCAAATCCCCATCCCATCCCTTTCGAGTCCAACTCAATCTACAAACAACCTCACATAAAAAGGCAAACTCAACCCCGGAAGAAGGGGCAGAGAAGAACGGACAGTGCTGACCTTTTTATTTAGCAGCAAGATGATTCCTGGTCTTGCGACTGGTGGTTTAGTTTCTTTCACCTTGGGCTGCGAGTCGAGAAGGCACTTACCTTTCTTTGACATTATCAAAGAAAGCCCCTCCTCTAGGAGAGTCCGAGTTATCCCAGTAAATTGTCAGCTAGATGGATGAAAGAAATTGACATTTTCCTCCACGACTTCATGGAACTATGCCCTGGGATAATGAAGTGTCCTTTCGACTTGGTTAAGCCCAACGAAAGTTTAATCGTTTTAAACTAGTCGTTTGAATCCCGAAAAGATTTACTACTGTCTCACACAGAGGAACAGGAAGAGCCCACTCCCTTAAATATTCTGTTAAGATTCCGTTCCATCGATATGATGGTTTTGGCGTTGCCTTCCTGAAAGTATGGACTCCTACTCCAGGAAGACAGAAAGCAGCAATAAAGAGTCGACATACATATGCCGAGGATAATCAGACCGAGGGATTTTAAGGATCACAGACGAACACATGAAAGGAAAGATCAACGAATTCATAGAAAAGTATAGTTCTCAAAACTTTGATGATCATAGTTTAGTGTTTCCGTACCCCGCTGGTTACCGGCATGGCCTGAGCCTCATAACGGGTGATAGTCTACCTGTCCTGGACTCATGCTGCCTATTCGCAAACCGCTTTGCTCCCGTGGAGCACACCCAAGCCCTTCACCCCCGCAGATGGCTCATCGTGACCGACAATGGCCAACACCGGGAGCGAAATCCCGACACCTACCCCCTAATCAAAGCTTCTCTTTGCTTCTTGCTTTGGCTTCCTTCCAGAATTGTTGCTCTTTCGCTGTCATGATCAGACAACTCCACCGTGGTCATGGACTTCGTATTTCTTGCTTCAGTGGAAATTTGTATCATTAGATCGAAGAGTTCTCGATTGCTATATTCTGGATTCCACTTGCTTGAATGACCGATGGTTCCTCGCCGGCAGTAATGTCTTCGAGCGTTGTTCCATTGCTTTTGAATTGATTTTCAATACACGCCTATTCATAATTTCTACATCAACTTCAGTGATTTCTTTTTCTCTTCTTTCAATTTCTTTCTATACCTTGTCCATCTCATCCCAATGAAGTCCAGCTTCCACCATGGACACTGGTTCCACGCAGTAAGACGCTCGCAAGCTTGTTCTCATAACCCAATATATGGCTCAAGCTCAAGGTGAAGCTAACCTAACTGTCTCTGGTGTCAGCTCGGTGAAAAAGATCCCCCTGGTCGTCGCTCATCACTCTTTCTTTCACCTCACCTTTCAACCCCTGATATACTATATTTCCCTCGCCATCCCCCATATCCTCGCACTTTCTTCTCGTGTATCATACCACGAGTTGCGACCCATCAGCTCAACCCAAGAGGCCACGGAGCTTAGACCTTACAGTCACCTCTCTATATCTGAGGAAATCACGTCTATATAAGGTATGTCTGACCCAATCACTCCAGAGTGAAGCATGTTTATCAAATGAAGCCAACGTTTTTGACTGGGCTAACTGCTGCTTAGTGGTGTCGTCGGAAAGAACTCCCGGTCCTTTTCTCCTTTAGAACAGACTGATGACATAGTGGATCCCAATGAACCCTTGGTCGGCCCAGAAGGCATGAAGCGTGGGCCTTCTGTCTAGGCGCAAAATGTCAAAGGTCACATCTGGATATGCGGAAAGAGGGACGCGAGGACCCCCGGCTCGCTGTTGAACCAGCTTCACAGGTTTGGGCTCAAAAGAGAGCCTATCCTGAGAAAGCGCCCAGAACGATATACTGAGGATGGTTTCAATAGCTTGATTGGTTACAAAAAGGCGAACCTCGAAGCCCTGCATGCCCAGGCTGTTGGCGTGTCTCTTGCAACCGACCAGATGTTTCTGGGCCATGGAATTTATAACGCTTGCGTTGTGGTCCCAGGTGTCCACAATAGGGTGCGAGATTGCGCCAATTGCCATCATGGGGGCTAGGGTCACCGATTTTCGTTCTTAAAAGTTACTACAGCCAGCACCGTCTGCCGCAGAAGAAACCATGGTGCCAACAGCACCCCTTGCGTTTACTGACTCGAAGGGCGAATGGATGTCGCAAAATAGCCATGGCTCCGAACAAAAGCCTCTCAATCGTCTCTCCGACGTCCTCGACGATGTCGTCCAGAATGTCAATAGATGCCGGGGCCCTAAAGTGGCCCAAACTGGTGGGGACGATGTCTTGCTCGGCGGAAATGGTCCTCTATTATACCATCAGACCGAGCGCTCCAAGATTCTCGAAATGAGTATCTTTCTCCAGGAGACTGCCACAAAGCCCCTCAAAATGAGTGAATGAGCATTTACTAAGGATGCAGCTGAGGCTGATGCCATCTGAGCTGAGATCTATATCATGAGGATGAGCGAGCGAACTGGTGCATTCCAATCAATCGATCAATTTCCATGAATTGCCAATACTTCAAGCTAAAAAAAAAATAGACAGCAGACAAGCTAAATGTAGAAATTATACAAATATTATGCAGCCAACACACCCAGCTATATCACCTTCCAACTGTCGATGCGTGCATCAGCTTGCCCGGTATCTAGGTTGATATTGCCTCGTACTAGCTCCGTAAGTTTAAAAACCTGATAAACTGTTCAAAATCATCTTAGCAATCACGAGTGGAAAGATACATGGTACTGAGCCATCAAGAAAGACGATTCGGAAGACCTCTAAAAGACCTTTCGAATAACAGGGAGTTGAACATTATCTGGATGGGCCTTTCTTCTGGTCTAGCCTCAGATTCTTGAACTGTCACTTCAAACCATCAAACTTCGGTTCACTTAATTCCAGACGAGAACATGTGTTTCATTGGAGATCTTAACTAACTCAAACTGACTTGAACCTCACGGAACGAAATCCCTGCAGTGCAATGGTTCTGGTAAGCAACTAAATGGACAGTAGTCTGTCGTTTACTTACACTGGGGTGACTGACTGAAACTTTTCTGTAATGAAGATGATAAAATTCATATATTATGAAGAAAATAAAAATCCCAAGCAAAAGCTATGTATTACTATTATTAACTATAGATATCGGCCTAATATAAGTGAAAAAAAAATCAAAGTCTCGAAATGACCAAGCAACTCTCTCATCCCCTTGCCCTGTCCAGTGAGGGAATAGCCAAGCGGGCCTATAATCGACTGCACTTATGACCAAGAAAGCACAAAGAAACTGTTTCCCGAATCTGTAGATTTCTCTGATCCGCACCACGAAGATCGAGGAGAAACTCAGAAACGGGGAGGGAGTCGATTCACCAGAAAGATATCATAGTGAATGCAACGTCCATAATACCCAACTGTGGATTTACAGAAGAGCCATCATGCCGACAATACCGGCCAGGAGACCGGCAGCGGGCTTGACGTTGGAGGCGGCACCAGTGAAGGGCACGCTGGAAGAGCTGGCCTGGGGCTGAGAAGTGGGGGGCTGAGCAGCGGACTCGGCAGGCTTAGCAGACTCGGCAGGCTTAGCAGACTCGGCAGGCTTAGCAGACTCGGCAGGCTTAGCGGACTCGGCAGGCTTGGCAGACTCGGCAGGACTGGCAGGATTGGCAGAGGGCTGGGCAGAGGGCTGGGCAGGGGGCTGGGCAGAGGGCTGAGCAGAGGGCTGGGCAGAGGGCTGAGCAGAGGGCTGCTTGGCCGGGACGCTGGACTCAGCGGGGGGCACGACAGGGACAGAGGTAGGCTTGGTAACAGGGACAGTGGAGTTGAGGAAGGTGACGGGCTTCTCCTCACACAGAGTGCAGACAGTGGTCTTGGTCAGGGTGATGGTGCTGGTGCGGGTAACCGGGATAGTGAAGGTGGAGGTACCCTCAGTGACAGTGGACGAGGTGACTGGAATTAGTCAATAAGGGTGTTCAATTGATAGATAGGGTTTCCGTTGGAGCTTACCAGGGCAGGTCGTAGTCACAATGGTGATAGTCTTGGTGGTAGGGCCAGGCTTCACGGGAGTGTGAGAAGGCTTGGTGCTGGTCGAGTGAGCAGTAGTCGACGTGGTGCACGGGGTGGTGGTGTGCTTGGTGCTAGTCGAGTGAGTAGTAGTCGACGTGGTGCACGGGGTGGTAGTGGGCTTGGTGCTGGTCGAGTGAGTCGAGTGAGTCGAGTGAGTCGAGGTCGCGGTGGTCGAAGTGGTGCAAGGAGTAGACCACGAAGAGTGGCCGCCCTCGACGGGGACCCATTCACCGACAGCAGAGGAGGGGTGGATGTAGTCAGCACCACGAGCCTGCATCACACCGGCGAAGGCAGGGCTGGCAAGAGCCAGGATAGTCAGAGCGTTGACCATTTTGAGAAATAGAAAGTTTTTTTGTGCTTGATAGCGAGAAACTTGGGAAATTCAAACGAGTGAAGATACTGAAGAAGGATGAGGAAAGAATTGTGATGATAGGGCAGCGAGATTGAAGTTTATATGTCCTTTCCAAAGCAGAGAGATCATGTAAGTCATGACGGACATGGCGCTGCCATGGTAGTGTCCAGGAGATGTAAAGGTTGACCTGGATCCACCACTCGCTGTCCTTACCTGAATGCAGGTAATGGGAAGGTGGAATCTCAGACAGCAAGGAAGCTGTTGGGCGCACATAGTGGGAAAATTATGGATCATGATACATCCATAAGGTGGTATACGATGCAAACGTGACATCTTGTAGTACCATTACTGTGAAAAAGTCGATGGGGATCCACTTGCAAATCCTCATCCGGCGATGAGCTTCAGGAGATGCGATGGCAAGCATTGGATTCATGTATTTGTAAGAATTGTTTCGCACGAGACCGTTGAGGCAGATCATAATGCCTGATCAAGCAAATAGGATGGAGATGCCGGCGAGATAGAATCTAGCATCCTGAGAGAAGGAAAAATCGCTGTGAAGTTCCTAGATACATTAGCTGATTATTCTGGACCGATCAAGCTAGTCCAAAGAGAACACCAGGAAAAAAAAAAGTCAAGGTGACCGAATCCGGAAATCGGTTTCAAAGCTACCAGAACAGTAACCTTCAAATCTTTTAGACACAAAGCCCCACATCGATGAAGACGATCATCCGCAGGTGAAAGCGAAAACAGATTGCACGCCAATCATGACGAGGCATGAGCTTCGGCTGTATGTTCCTCGAGCTGCAGAGGCATGCGACAAAGGCTGTGGCTTGGCGATCAGAAACAGCTAGACACTTCAGATGCTACTGTAATCAGAGTGCTTCCTCCAGTATTGAGGAATGTAGATCATAACGGTCGAGTGCGGACAATCTCTCTCTATTGGTGACAGCCGATGAGAGGAATGTAAGCGGGATGGGATGGCTGAGTAGTTTCCGCGGCGATGGCCATCGCCGATCGAACAGTGAAGATTCGGTGCATTTGTTTAAGACATCACTACTTGACGGACTTCGAGCAATTGGTTGGCTGTCCATGACAGTGAGTTCGAGCTCTGGATGCCGGATCAGGTAGTGTCTCCACACAAGACTTGAAGGTGGACTTGTCAGTAACAGGGAAGCCTGTGCTCCACTACCAACCATTCTCGATAGATCTTCAAAGCTTTCCAAGCAAAGTTGGTGGGTAGGATTGTTCCTGAGCTGTTAGCTTTTCCCTCGAGTGGTAAGTCATGTTGTCATCCAAGGATCTCTGCAGGGCACAGGAACCACTGCGACTAAGGCCGCAAACGGCAAGGGAAAAATCTGCAGGTCCAGGAACATGGAGACAGTTTCCTTTAGCGAGTGAAGAGGTGCATGGCAATTGTCCATAGATGTCGCCAAGTACTTTTATCCTATAGGCTTTCAGAGGCACTTTTGAGGTGAACGTCGTCGAGGTAGTAAACTCGAGAGACTCGTCTGAATCGGGGAAGATGGCATTGATCACGTGATGTAGCGTGTAGGGTTTAGGGCGCGACGCGTGAAGACGCGTTCCTCCTTACCCGTTCGGGATCCTCCCTCGTTGCTTTATTGCGATTCTCAAAGACCCATTGCCCACCATGCCGCACTCAGTGTCGCCTGCTTCGCCTAGCCGAGAGGATGAAGAGCTCCCAGATGCTCCCGTGGAGAATGCGACCGAGACTGGTGGGGTCAAGTTGGAGGACATGTTCAACGACGATGACGACGAGGAGTTCCCAGCTTCCAGTGCTCAGGATGTGAAGATGGAGTCTTCTCCAGCTCCAGCTCCAGCAAGGTATGCTGCATGCAATTCCCTCCAAGACTTGTAGATCTATAATGCTGAGTAGAAACGACACAACAGCGCCGCTGCCCCAGGACCTTCCGGCGTCGACACCGAAGTCATGCTCGCATTTTACCAACGTCTGTTCCCATTCCGATACTTGTTCCAATGGCTCAACCATGGAGTCGTTCCCACGAAAGACTTTAGCAACCGCGAGTTTGCCCTGACCCTGCAAAACGACGCATACCTTCGATACCAGTCCTACCCGACCGCAGATTTGTGAGAACATTCGCCTGCACTCAGATCCTCGAAGCAACGAGAATTTGGACTGACTTGAAGCACTTTAGATTTCGAAAGGACATCTTGAAGATGAACCCCTCGCGATTCGAAATCGGGCCTGTGTATAGCACCAACCCCCGCGATCGCAAGACGCTCCGAGGCGGCCAGATGAAACCAGTATCGAAAGAGCTGGTCTTCGATATCGATATGACAGATTACGACGACATTCGAACATGTTGTCAGAAAGCCAATATCTGCCACAAGTGCTGGGCATTCGTGACAATGGCCATCAAGGTCATCGATAGCGCTCTGCGAGAAGACTTTGGGTTTGAGCATATTCTATGGGTGTACTCTGGTCGTCGTGGTGCTCACGCGTGGGTTTGCGATCCTCGTGCGCGCAACTTGCCAGATGACAGGAGAAGGGCGATTGCTGGATACCTTGAGATTCTGCGTGGCGGTTCGCAAAGCGGCAAGCGAGTCAACATCAAGCGGCCCCTCCACCCCCACGTCAACCGAAGTCTGGATATTCTGAAGAATTATTTCGCCCAGACTACCCTCGTAGACCAAGACACATTCGCCAGCTCCGAGCAAGCGGAGAAGCTTTTGGGATTGCTCCCAGACAAGTCATTGAATGAGGCTCTGAAGCGAAAGTGGGATTCGTCTCCTGATCGCCCCAGTACTAGTAAGTGGGCCGATATTGATGCGCTCGCCAAGACTGGCAAGAGCAGCACATTGAATACCACCACTTTGCGAGATGCAAAGCAAGACATCGTTCTCGAATATACTTACCCGCGCCTCGATGCTGAAGTCAGCAAGAAGATGATCCATTTGTTGAAGAGTCCATTCGTCATTCACCCTGGTACGGGACGAATCTGTGTGCCTATCGATCCCCGCAAGGCAGACGAGTTTGATCCACTCTCCGTTCCTACCGTCATGGAACTACTAGGGGAAATCGATGCATACGATGCAAAACATCCTGTTGGAACCCAAGATGCAGAAATGCCTGATGTTGAGGGTAGTGCTGTGAATGGCTCGGATATCAAGGGCACTCGCAAGCTTCAAGACTATGAGAAGACCAGCCTCAAGCCCTACATCGAGTTCTTCCGCTCGTTTATCGCAAACCTTCTCAAGGAAGAGCGTGCAGTCAAGCGAGAGCGCGAAGAGACTGTTGCGCCAGTCAAGGCTGATCCCATGGAGTTCTAAAGGATAGCGCTTCTCTTGGGGTGGATTATTGAGATTAATGAACTAATGCCCTTTGAACAAATGAGACTCGTCTCATCCGTGTACTTTTGAGGTGGATAGGTAGATTACTGGGCGTTTTGGTGTTTCTGCATGAGCCTGAATTCATCATTATAATTCGATCACATATTACGAAGACGTGACTGTCGCCTGGGCTAGATGCCAATATCTTCCGCCGATCCTCATAAGGTCCGTATGGGTACCTTGTTCCACCACTCGTCCGGCATCCATGACGTAGATCCAGTCCGCATGTTGAATGGTACTGAGGCGATGCGCGATGGCAATTGTTGTACGACCATGAGCAGCGCGGTTAATTGCCACTTGCACCGCAAGCTCCGTTTCCGAGTCCAATGCAGAAGTTGCTTCGTCTAGCAATCTGATATGGCATCTGTGAGTAGGGAGTACAACCAAACACCTTAAGGCATGGTGATTACATACAGGATTTTAGGCCGTCGCAGCAGTGCTCGAGCTATGGCAAGTCGTTGCCTCTGGCCACCGGAAAGCAGGAAGCCCTTAGTGCCAACGAATGTCGAGAAGTCTTCTGAAAGAGAAATCTGGCGCGGATAAAGTTAGCAGGTCAAGTCAACCAACAACACGCAATCTTCAATGACTGACAATGAAATCGTAGATTTTTGCATCTTTACAAGCCTGAATCACCTCGTCTCGGAGGACATTGTCCAGTCCAGCCACAATGTTGTCCCAGATGGTCCCAGAAAAGAGCACAGTTTCTTGGCTAACCAGGCCAATTTGTCGGCGATAGTGTTGGAGATGATACTGCGATCCTGGACGGCCGTCCACTTCCACAGATCCGGAGTTTGGATCGTAAAATCGCTCCAGAAGAGCAAATATCGAACTCTTCCCACTGCCGCTCGCACCTACTACAGCAACGAATTGGCCACGCTTTGCCTTCAAGGTCACTCCTCGCAGTATAGACAGCTCTGGGCGTCCTGGGTACCGGAAATAAACGTCGCGCAGCTGAATGTCGCCATGGATATCATCTTGCAGCCCGACCGGCGACCAGGAGTCGATAGATGGCGTTCGAGACAACAGATCCTGCAGCCGCTCTGTGGCCTGTCGCGCACTTCCAATTTCATTAGCAAAGGAGAAAATCCCTGCAGCTGCTTGCGAGCCCCAGATGACGGATACAAAGCAAATGAAGAATTGTTTCACCGTATACTCCCCATGTGCGATCAAAGTCCCGCCGTACCAGAAAGCCAAGCCCATGGCGAATAGCGAAAGCGATTGTGAGAGCGCGTATAGGAAGGACGATTGCAGCAGATCACGAAGAGATTTCGGTCCTTGCCTAACGAGGGTTTCATCATATGACTGTGACAAGGCCTCTTCTCGCGCTAGGGCGGCTACCGTCCGGATCGCGTTGATAGCCTCGCAGGCGAGGGCTGATGCTGCGGTACTTTGACGGGTACGACGTTCCAGCCGGGTCAGAATCCATGTCCGGAGAAATCCGCAGAAGAGAAGCAATGGCATGGTCGAGATGCAAACAATAGCGAGTTTCCAGCCGAACGAGCAGGCAATGACGATCGATGCAATCAGAGTGAACACGAAGTTCACGACCGCGCCCTGCGTCGCGCCGCTGATTCCTGCTATGGCCTGAATGTCTGTGGTCACGAACGATACCAATGCACCCGATGTCTCTTCATTCCTGTCGAAGAAGGAAATATCTTGTCGGAGCACTGCGGCGAAGGCGCGACTTCGACTGCGACGGATCAGCCGCGCGGCCGTGATGGCGAATGCCACACCCTGAACCAAGTAGAAGACAAGCGCCAGAATGCCAAGCATGAAAAGCATACCAGCCCAAAAATTCACCGATAAGGAACTACTGCCCCGACTGGTCGGCGTCAACGCAAATACCACGTTTCCAAACATGATGCCGAGGACTGGGTACACGCAGCCAGCGAATGCGGCGCTCACAAAGCCACCCAGGGTGATACAGAGTTCCGGCATGCCCATACTCCAAATGAAAGACAGCAAGCCCTGAGGTCCCCCGACTTGATTATTGTTGGTGTCATGGATAGCTTCGTTCATGTTAATGCTGGACGGAATTTCGTGAACGGACGATCGTGATCCATCAACCTCTAGATTATCCTTTACCCCGGATAATGAGACAGACACCCGATCTGATCCAGCGCGCTCTTGATCCCGGGTTTCCTGCAACCCCTGGGCCTGAACCATGGAGAAGTACATGCCACTCTGGCTGAGTAACTCCTCGTGTGAACCTTGCTCAACGATCTGCCCAGCCGCCATCACGACGATGTTATCAGCCTTCTGGATGGTGGACAATCGATGGGCAATGACGATGGTTGTACGGCCGTGAGACGCAGTGTCTAAGGCAGACTGCACCGACAGCTCTGAAAGACTGTCCAGTGCTGCAGTGGCCTCGTCCAGAAGCAGGATGCGAGGGTTGGATACCAGAGCACGCGCAATCGCGATTCGCTGCTTCTGTCCGCCAGACAGCAGTGCGCCGCCCTCTCCAACCATGGTGTCGTAGCCTTGGGGAAGACGGCAGATAAAATCATGGGCATTGGCTGCGATGGAAGCCTCGGTCACCTGTTGCTGTCGTGATCCATGGTCCAACTAGATGGCATGTCAGTGTTCGACTCCCAATTAGTAACCGGGTATTGGGGCTTCATGCGCACTTTCTTGGGTTCAGCACCTTTCATACCGTATGCAATGTTGTCGAAAATCGTGGCGTTGAATAGCACTGGCTCTTGGCTGACAAGGGCAACCTGTTGTCGCCACCATCGCACATTTAACTGCTCTATATCATGCCCATCCACCAGGATGGAGCCCTTGGCTGGTAGGTAGAATCGCATCAAGAGTGCGACTAAGGTGGACTTTCCTGATCCAGATGCCCCGATCACGGCGGTAGTTTTGCCTGCCGGGATGTTCAATGAGAAGCGGTTCAACACTGCCGGTCCCTCGAGATTAGCGGGATACCAATGTGTAACGTCCTCGAAGGTGATAGTCCCCTCGATGTGGGACAGCTGTTGACCCTCCATCGAGCCCGGGTCAATGGGTGACTCGCGATCGATCAGGCTGAAGACCTTGTTGCTGGCCTCCGCAGCGGCACCAAAGCTGCCCATATGTGGCGCAATATGGCCAAATGAGACACCGGCAATCATAGAGGCCATGATCGTGGTAAGGAGCCGGGAGATAGTAGTTTCGCCGTTCTCGAGGAACTGATAGCCCTTCCAGAATGCGAGTGCATACTGAGTTACCATTATGAACATCATCAAGGCGATGAGTACTCCCAGCGTCGCCCGCCACTTTATCTCGAATTGGTCACTGGCAGCCATACTTGAAGTGAACTTTTTCTCGAAGTGAGACTGGGCACCCAGCGCACTAATTATACGCATCGAGGACATGGCTTCCTGTGCAATCGTGCTACCGGCCGAAGACGTCTCCAGCGCTTGGGCCTGGAAGCGCTTCATCACTTTGCCGACACCTCCCATGGTGAGTATGATGGCGGCGACGACCGAGAGCAGGATCAAGGCGAGTCGCCAGGACCGCACGAAGGCAATGATCAAGGCAGTAACAAATGTTGCCAGACCAGTTATCGTGAGGCCAACCTTTTCGGATAGGCCGTCCTGGATAGCGTTGATGTTCACGGTCATGCGTGCAGCGAGTTCACCGGCGCCAGTGTGGTCATAGAAGGCGATGTTCTGTCGGAGGAGGCTGGCGAAATAGGCTCTGCGTATCTTACAAGATAGACGAAAGCCAAGGTAGCCAAATCCAAAAACACTGGCAGTTACTGTTGCCAGAGAGCCAATGCCTAGTACAAATCCGGGGTAAGTTTATTATTCCATTCAATCTCTGCAGGCATTCAAGGGTGGTCGCAGCCTACCGAGGTATACAAAGTATAGCGTATAGCGTCGGAGGAGATGCTGATATTCGGCCGACTCAAATGACTGGCTCTCCATCCCCACAAAGGAACTTGATAGATTGCCAAATACAATCTATTTCTGTTTAGCGCAGCTGGAATTCAATAGTTGGGGCAATGCAGGCATAGCTACCGTCATGAGAGGCGTCACCACGCCCGCGCCTATCGCAGAAATGGTACAAAGAACCATTCCTGCAATCTCGACTGAACCAGCATACCGATAGAGGGACCAGTATCCGAACCGATCTTGTGTTTCCATGCGAGTCTGGCATTCGATTCGTTGTCGCTCCTCGTTCGAGCACGGCGTCCTTTCCGATTGTTCGCTCATCGCCGTGTCAGCCATCGTGCGGTCAACAGACGCCTGTCTCTTGTTGTATTTGATAAAGATGGATATAGCTCAATGGCTGAAGAGATGATTCTGCAACGTTCCATTGACGTTCATTTAGCTGGTGTTTATATAGTGCCTCTTGGGCAAGCTAGTTATCACCATTTCGTACTCCCCTTTGGGCATACGGCTTGGTCTCAGGAGTCTCTTCAAGGGCCATTCTTCCGGAAGCTATTATTCCTTTCCAGAAGTGCATAAATTTAAAACTTATCGTTCGTATTCCCCAACAGGCGAGCAGTGTACGCTGTTTTGAGATTCTTACTCCTTCGCTTACCCTCGTATTCCCTAACAGGCTTAGCCTTGGCGTCTGTATAGCCTGTTCATTGGTTCACTTCCAGATCAGGTCCTTCGTCAGCAAATCGACTCGTAGTTACCTTTGCTAGCTGACTTTGCTTAGCTTGTTTGAACCATATTGTTAGTCTGATGCGGAGATTGGCATAATCCAAGAGATTTGCGGATGCCTAACTGCACCTCTGGCTTGACGTTATACCATTTCAAGTCTAACAGTTGGGTTACCTTGCCTCCTACATAGGAGTATGGTACAGTGATGTCTTCCCCAGCATTCCCGATGGCCTCAAATCTCTCCTGTGAGCGATTCGTCAACATTCCCACCACCACTCTCTACCAGAAGCGGGTAGACCTTTTGAATCAGTTGCGTGAAGGCCCACGGCTACGACGTCGGCACACCAAGTCTCGCAATGGCTGTGTGACCTGTAAACAGCGTCGAATCAAGGTCAGTCTTGTCCTTTTTGCCTGTTTCATTCCGAAGCTCGCTGAGTTGAGTGCTGATCTGGCTCTAGTGCGATGAAGCAGTCCCCGCTTGTAATAATTGTACCAAGAGAGGAGAGCATTGCGCTCGGCCTAATGCAGTTTTACCTAGAGCCTCAAGCACACCTCCGTCATCCCCGCCAGTGACACAAAGAAGAGCTCTTAGACGGAAAGATGTCTCGATCCAGACAGCGCCCAGAATAGAAGTTCTATGTCTGGCGGAAAATCATGGCTTGCAGATGGAACTCATGCATCATTTCGTCACACACACGGCTACCACCCTCGTTTTCAGCTCAGAGCTATGGCGAGGGCCTTTGCTGCGTTTGTCCCTTCACGTGGATTATCTCCTCAATGCCATTCTTATGATTGCTGCCACACATCGATCTTTCCTCGCAGATCCTGGGCAGGACCAATATCACCATGCAGCTCAGAAATATCTAGCCAAGACATTGCGCGGTTATCAAGATGCCTTATCCCATCCCATCTCAAGTACTCCCGGTGATGCGCTTATTGCCGTATCGCTACTGCTATACCACTATGCATGGTCTGACGTGGACCATATGGCGGGTTCCTTTACCTCATCACAGTCGCCAAAAGCTTCTCACGAGCTTACCAGCCGGGTGGATTTTGCTGCAGATCCGCTGCTGAACCTCTCGGTTGGTTTACGATATCTGTTCTGGAAAACGGGCGCCCTTGCTGCAGGCAGTGATAGCCCATTTCGTCCGTATGCACTCGAAAGGCCTCGGACCAAAATTGTTCAGGCCGTGCGACGACAACAACAGGAGTTCGATATCTTAAACCAAATGGAATCATATTTGCTGAGAGGATACCACTCTCATGGGGTATCAATCACAGGGGAGTTTGATTCCTCCGCACTACAATTGTCTCCAGAGGGTCTGGCTGGCGACTCGGTGACCCTCGCTGCGTTTTCAGAGTCTGCTGGCCGGCTAGCACCGATTTTGGCCGTTCTATCCTCATCGGTTGGTATTGAGGATAAGCCAGACATAGAAAATGCTTCAAACCACTCAGGTTTTGACTGCGGGCCTGCAGTCCAGCTCAGAGACATCATTCGATACCTCTTCTCCTATCCTATTCACTTCTGCGATACTTTCCGGTCACTTGTAGCCTCACAGGACCGAAGAGCTTTGTTCCTCCTGCTGCACTTCTTTCACGCGGTTCATCGTCTCCTGCCACCGGGCCTTTGCTGGTGGAGCCAGCGCCGAGCAATGCTGTTCGAACATCATTTCAAAGGCATCCAAAACATGCAGCCTGCCGTCCCGGACCAGTTTGTGGTGTCGATGTCTATGTCTCCCAGACTAGAGGTGAATAACCAGTGGGCTTGCTATCGGGTGAGAGATTGGTTGGATGGTGAGTGTATCCATGGTCAGTTCTAGGATCTTTGGAATAGTCCATCATTTGGAAAACGCATGTGATGGACTCGCTTTTCTAGTGCCGCTTGGTCTTCATTCCAGCATGAAATATCCTTCCCTATGAATTCTTCAATCTTCCCTTTTACTTTTTCGTTACAGATTTATTAAATTCCATCTATCTAATTTTCCACGGCTTATTTATCTCAACTTTTTATTGCTGCTTCTTGTCTTCTCGAAGTAGTAGTAGACGAGTGACAAGTATCTATCCAATTAGCTACCAGAACCACGACCCCAAAGGAAAGGAGCTTTATTACATGGAGTTCAAGTTTGAGTCAGATGTTATCTTCAATAAAACATATATTCCTGTCTACGATCAAGTGGATGGAAATTCCATAGTTTAGAGGAGCAGTTAAGATGGGAAGTCCCAGCCTAGACCAGAAAAATAGCCCCTCCAGATAGCAGATTCAACATGATCTCTTGCAGCGATATAAAACTGCGAGCTACCCAGGAGGCTAGGCTTCAGGTGTTAAAGATATACATGAGGTATACACGCGAAAAAGAGGAAACGGGCCCATTTGGCGCATTTGGGTCCCCCTGAACGCAAGGAAGCTATCCTTCTTTTGCTTCCTCGGGCTACGTCTGGTATATAAAGTCGACTATACTTTTTGTTGATATTGATTATTCATTTGAAGACGTGCTCCTCATCAAAAGATATGCACATCTCTGTTCACATCTCTTTTCACATCTCTTTTCACATCTCTTTTCACATCCTCACTCTTTTCTGTTAGCAGCTGAATCTTTCAGGCTACTACATGGTTGTCGCTGTTTGGCTTAGTAAGTTTTCTGCTGACAACCTCAAATATCCAACTGCACAATGGCGGCCGTTATCGGTTGCCGTACCGCTGATGCCTATTAGTCTACCTGTCCCGCAACCTTACCTTACCTGCATGCCTTCCAAGTTTATGTGTCGGACCCCAAGTATGGCCCCGAGGTTTGGCTTGTGAAGGGTCAGTGTGCAGAAATCAAAGCGGGAGGACGAGCGTCGTCGCACCCCCGAGGACTGGTTGAACCTACACCCGTTCGGTGTATTGACTCCACGTACGCCTTGGAAGGAGGACTACCTTTTCAAAGGCGGCATCAACCCACGGAAGCTCCTGTCACCTGAGCAGCTGGATGGCCTTCGCGAGCTTTTCCGCGCCGCTGTAGGGGCCCGGGTGCTCGCGATTGGTTTGCTGGTCATTCTGTTCGAATCGCTCTCTGGTATCCGAGATGTTTACTAGAGAGATTGGGTGAAGGAGGTTGGCGGTTTACGGACTGCCTATGATGAACTTAGACTAGAAGCCAGTGCCAACACCGACATATCTGGTATGGAAGTCTCTCAAAAGCCCGGGAGTTTCAATGGCTCAGGCTGCTTGGGTCTGAGACTTCGGATGGCAGATAACAGGGTGGCCATAACAACTGTGACGCATGGCTTCGTGAAGAATGAAGAACCATCATCCGTCCCGTGTGACGTTGATGTTTTACGACTTGTTTCCAGGCCCAAAGGCGCTTTCCAACACTTCCTTCGTTCACCTCCTTAATCTGAGACTCAGACCATTGAAATCTCGTGGGATTTACGCAAGAACTCTCCGATTGGGGCAGACGTTTGGCTGACAACGGAGAAGAAACGTTTAAATCTCTTCCACATTCCTGTACATGCTGCTAATTATGCTGACTCATTCATCTAGGTCGGTGAAATTACTTATACGTTTGGCCATCCTAGTTCATCCCACCCGTACCCCACTGGTTACCAACATGACCTCAGCCTGATCACGGACGACAACTTAACTCCGCTTGTCAGCCCACCTGGCTATTCAGTCTTGTCGGGGTGGGCTTCTTACTCTGCTGCGCTCGCTGTGCTGATGTATATGCAATCCGGTTGAACGCCGTAACTGGTAAATGGAAAGTCCTTCAGGGAAAAATCGATCCAACTGCGATTTGCAATGCAACAATCTTGGGTACACAATACCTATGGGATCGTGCCGCTTATTGGCAAACTGCTTCCCTACTATGGACCACAGTCGAGCCTTTTACCCCCGCGGATGGACGATCTGGATGAGTGCTGTGCCGTGGACGACCGACTGACGAGATAAGCAAGGAAATTGTCTGTCGGAATTTGCAAGTACCATGTACTGCTTTCGTCAACTCCTTGACCGACAAGAAACAGGATGCATTTGTCAACGCATCGACCTTAGACGCATATCTATAGACAGCCCCTCGTACCAGGTCCGTGAGTTTTAAATTCCTCACAAATGTTCAAATTCATCATGGCAATCACGAGTTGAAAGATACATGGTACTCTAGCCATCAAGAAAGACGATTCAGATGACCTTTAAAAAGATCTTCCGAAGCACAGGAAGTGAAAAACCCCGTTAGCAGGTAGCATAACAGGGAACTTCAATGCGGGTAGATAAGTATTCTGGCTAAGGACCCATCTTTCATATCAGAATGTCGAAAGATTTTGGAACTGGTGATTGGACACATATCTTGCTTCAAAGGGAATTGGTTAGATTCAGACTCTGTTTGAAACCTCAATGTTAGGTCAAGTGTCTTTTGGGCATCAAGTGGTCAACATACATAAGCCGGAATTAAAGTCTTTGGCCTGGATCCCACAACGCCACTATGATTCACTACTTGGATACTCTCATAAATAATGAGACGGCCGTTCGTGATCTTGCTGTGACTAGAAACATGCTTCAATTCAAAATGGAAGCTCTTGGCCATAGCGTGGACTCCAACGTTCTCTGGCGAACCACAACCTTGAGGAAAAACGAGATTGAAGTCTACTACCACGCCACTGGAAAGTGCTATACGACCCAGACGAAAACAGAAGTTGCCACAGGTGTCAATAAAATTCTACATCAAATTTCAAACAATGATTACTATGCGTCTTGCTGGGGCGCTGCGCTTTGGTCACGGCCCGTGGCATGGACATCTCAAGCTTCTTGGATTGTGGTCCAATGGAGATGTTAGTTCCGGGGGGCTGAAGAAATCGTGCGAAGCAAACTCTTGATTGCTGCATACTCTATGACTATTTCTCAAAGTCTGCCGAGAGTCAGAGTAGAACCCTGCAGAATGTTACAAGGCCCGGTCAGTGCAAAACGGCAAGAGCACAATTTTGATCAGAGAAGCAGAAAAATAAGGAGAAAGAGAAGCAGAGCGACAACCACTCAAACGCTGGAAGAGCTCCAGTATATGAGTGGGATTAGGTGTTTCAGATCAACGCTATGTACGGAGTACTTGGTGCTGAACCATTTGAGGGTGGTACTAGCGGGGAAATAAAGATGACATGTGTCTAAATGGTCGAGGTAGGAATAAAAAAGGCGTTTGAATACAACAAGAATTGAATACATGTAGAGATCACCGACATTACAATACGATCTAATTGTGATAGAAACAAGGAAAGAGTATGGCATCTAATAGCAGGATGTCGTATGTTGTGGAAATGATATCGAAAAAGAGATGAGTCCGCAGAGCCAAGTTGAAAAATTCGATTTGTGTGACTACCCGTAATCCCTATAGATAGTTGGTACAGGATGATCAGAGTTCACTCACAATAAGAGGCTTTCAGAGCCCTGAGATGAGGACTGAAATAAAAATCTGATAAAAGCATCTGCATTTGGGCTGGCAGCCTCTTCAATGTTCGTTATACCAAGAAGGCCGAGGATGCGATGGTGGGGAGGTTGACTGGGTTGGGCAATGCGTAAGTAATGGAATTGTCACAGAATAAGCTGAGGGTGAATAAAGACGATGATATACTACTGGTCTGTTGTGAGTGGCTAGTTACACAAGATATTTGGCTAACGAGTAGGAAAACTTTGGGAGGAATCTCGAGAAGCGAAGCCAACGTTAAGCTTGTCGTCCTCAAAATGGTGTAGCGGTCAGTCAGGCAGCATTGCTTATTGCCGTATTTCCTTAACTTTTTAAGGACACAAGTCTTCTCGTTACATATTTTCTTTGTGTTTTGCTAATCTCCTTTCCTAACACTCCAAATTCTCTAGTGAGATCTACAGAACACAAACCCAATCGGCATGAGCATCCCCGGCTGATCCACCAGTACCATTCCTAGCCAATAAGACCAACGGGACCTCTCCCCGGTCGGCAAATCCGAAATCCGAAGGAAAAGGGGAAGAAACTTTCTGGAGGTAAGCCGTCGGCATTTAATTTAGTGAAATCGGGTTTCATTCTGCAGCGTGCAACAAATTGTGCAGTAAGCTTGCCCTATTCTTCATGATCCTCCAAGAATGTATTCACAATCAAGCGCCTTGCGATTGGCTCTTGGTTGACTATCTTCTTGCGACAAACAAGTCCCGATGGCGTGACGAGGGCTAACTTTCGTCTTTTTAGCTAACCTGTACAATTGAAACAACCTTGAGACTACAGAGCTCGGCCGAGAAATATTGGCCCCGGTTAGAAAAGAGCCTCGATTCAATTCAATCTCAACTTTTTATCAGCATATCAAAATCTCGCTTTGGTCTATTATCGCAGCCATGCAGCCGATCAAGAGCGTGGCTGTCATTGGGGCGGGCCCTGCTGGTGCGATTGCAGTTGATGCGTTGATGCAAGAAAAGGCATTTGATTTGATCCGTGTGTTCGAGCGCCAGGAAAAGGCAGGAGGCTGCTGGTAAATTCCATCCTCCGCTCAACTCAATACGGCATACTAAATTCTACCAGGGTTTCGAGGGATGATGATCCCCCACAGAAGTTTGACTTGGATGGCCTAGCTGCACGAACTGCAGATGCACCTTTGAATATTCCAGAACAGCTGCCCTGCTGGACGCCGGTAGCCACTCAGGATCGCTTCACAGATTCGCCCGTTTACCCCGGGCTAGAAACCAATGTGGACGCAAACGCAATGTGTTATTCCCAGGAACCGATCCCCACCGTTCGTTCGAAATGGTCCATTGAAAGGCACGGAGAAGATACTCCTTTCCGCCACCATTCTGTCATTAGGCAGTATATCGAGGATCTATTTACTCAAAAGGGCCATGATGGTCTCGTTCAGTATAACACGACCGTTGAACGAGCCATCAAGGATTCCACAAGCCAGAAGTGGAGTCTCACTCTTCGCCGCACGGAAATCCACAACGGAAGCCCGTCAGACTATTGGTGGACTGAATCATTCAACGCCGTTGTCGTAGCTTCGGGTCACTACGCTGTTCCTTATATTCCCGCAATTCCTGGCTTGGAGGAGTTCGCCGCACGATACCCCCGGCAGCGTTGAGCATACGAAACACTACCGCGGGCCTCAAAAGTATCAAGACAAGGTATGTGATGCTCAGCCTTATCTGTCCCATTCCGTTTATCTGACAGTCTCACAGAAAGTTATCACAGTCGGAGCATCGGTGTCGGCGGCAGATACTGCCGTTAGCATCATTGACAGTGCACAAACCCCAGTTCATGCCGTTGTGCGTGGTCGGTATAATGTATACTTTGGCGATGATGCGTTCAAGCATCCAAAGATTCTGCGCCGCGCGCCCATCTCTCACATCACGAGTGATGATAGAACCGTTCATTTCGAAGATGGCACCTTCGAGACTAGAGTGGATAATATTATCTTTGGAACCGGATTCACTTGGACGTTGCCGTTTTTGCCTCAAGTTCAGACTCGAAATAATCGCGTTCCTGATTTGTATCAGCATGTGTTTTATCGGCACGACCCTACCCTGACATTTGTTGGAGCTGTAAGTCCTTCGAAAGCCCATGAACACTCTCTGCAATGATTGTACTGACTGAACCTTTTATCTAGGTCGGTGCTGGTCTCACCTTCAAAGTCTTCGAGTGGCAAGCTGTCGCTGCTGCCCGCGTCCTCGCAGGTCGAGCAACTCTGCCTTCTGCGGAGGAGCAGGAGACGTGGGAGACTGGTCGCATTGCGTTGCGAGGCGATGGGCCTGCATTTACCGTCATCAACCCAGAATTCAAAGCGTACTTCGAAGGGCTTCGAGAGCTTGCAGGGGAGCCGCACGAGGGTGGACAAGGTCGACCGTTACCGCCATTTGACCAGAAGTGGGTGGATGATTTTAATGCGGGACATGAGCGACGTAAACAGATGTGGAGGCGGGCGAATACTGCTGCTACGGCGAAGCTGTAGATGTTTGTTAGTGTGCATTATAGATGGTCGTCGATTTTTGACTCCAATGAACAAACAACATTCCCGAGAGAGCTGTAGCAGTTGTACCATGTCCCAATTTCGATTCCAATGTCCCTCGCCGTGCATCCATCAGCTCTAGCTTGCTCGCTCTCTCTCTCTCTCTCTCTCTCTCTCTCTCTCTCTCTCGTCTCAGCAAATATTGCAGTCCACTCCCTCAATAAAGCGGAGAATTTCTAGAACGTGGATAAGTATCATTTCGGTTATCCACGGTATCTTGCGACTACACATGTCACTTGGACTCGCAGAAAATAGATTTGAAATTATTGGAGCAGGCTCGACTGCAATGTAACCCATCCAAACCACGGATTTACCCGCGCCTAATTACCTCCCCCACGAATGAAATACCCGAATGATCGGCAGACATCAACACTGCGGGGAAAAATAACTCAATGTGTAACATACTCAGCTATGATACGAAATCGACCCCGCGGATATATAAGACGAGGGACGTTCCCAAACAGCGACTCCCCGCACCACGTACATTAGTATCTCTCCAAATCCATCCCTCTGCTGCATCGTCCAACTTTAACAACCTTATACAGCAACTCTACATTCATCTCCAAAAATGAACTCTTTCCAAGACAAAGTCTACGCAATAACAGGCCTCGCAGGAATCGGCCTCGCAGTCGCAAAACAACTCCACGCCCACGGCGCACGCCTCTCTCTCGCCGATATGTCCCCCTCCACCCTCGAAACCGCCATCCAAACAATCTCCCCGACAACACCAACCCCCTCCACAATCCTAACCACAGTCGTCGACATCAGCTCCTCATCCGCCGTCAACGACTGGATCACCCGCACAGTACAACACTTCGGCCACCTTGACGGCGCAGCCAACATGGCCGGAACAATCGGCGCGCACCACGGCGTGGGCAAATTCGTGGACCTAACCGATGAAGAGTGGGACATGCTGATGCGGGTGAATTTGTCCGGGATGATGTATTGTCTGCGGGCGGAGGTGCGGGCGATCATGGAGAGTGCGCCGGGTGGAAGGGGGAGTATTGTGAATGCGAGTAGTATACAGGGGATTCGGGGGTTTGCGTTGCATACTGCTTATTCGACGACGAAGCATGGGGTTGTGGGGTTGACGAGGTCTGTTGCGAAGGAGGTTGGGCCGGGGATTAGGGTTAATGCTGTTGCGCCGTGAGTATTGCGTTTCGTATTCTCGTGTTGAGAAGTAATTGTTTTCACTGGCGAGCTTGGTTCATGCTAATTTGGTCTTGTTTGGTCAATAGTGGTTCCATTCAAACGCCGCTCCTGGACAAGGCGACTGCAATTCAGGGTGGCGTTCCTCCTCCCCCTACGGCGATTCCTAGGATTGGGACGCCCGAGGAGGTGGCACACACTGTGGTCTTTTTGCTGAGTGATGCTGCATCGTATACTACCGGGCAGGTGTACAGTGTTGACGGGGGTGGGACCCGTGATCGTAGGGGGATGACGGTGATGTAACACAATGAGAGTATGGTGATTCGATGTTGTTAGTCTAGCTGCAAGGTGAGCGAGAGCTGATCTCGAAATTTTTGAAATGTTTGAAGGGTATTCAATAGCTCGAATTGGAATATTTGCAACGGAGAGAACAAAGTGGTCATGCAAGAGGTATAACATCATCATCGACGCAATGCCATGATCATCAAAAATGCTCGCTGAAATGACGGGAGGGTCGAAATAACATCTAATACGGATAAATAAAATAAAAAATAAACGCCGCCATGAGGTCTATAAGTGTAATCGCTTGAGACAAAAAAGCAGATGGGGAATCATCAAATCCACAATAGTCTGGACCCAGTCCTCAGGGACTAAGCAACTATGACAACATGCATAGCCATAAACCTGTTGAAAGTATCGAATCAGCAAGGATGGTCCCGAATTGCAAATGAAACCGGGACAGCGATCAGGGTCCACATACCCGATAAAATCATTAGAGACCACCAACCAGGCAAGCGGGAGATGGTCGCCGCGCTGCTCTTAATAGCGATTCCGTCCAAGACTGTGGGCCACCCATTATCATATTTCAGATAATTGTAGCCTAATTGCGCTTGCTGTAAGAAAGATACAGTCAGTGTTGCGACCAAAAAAAAAAGTCATAACATCCCAATCCCCTTGAAAAAAAAAAAAATTTGCACATACCTCGTCCGTAAACCCGATCGAAGTGTTCAAATAATGATAATAAAGTATATCCGGGGTGGAAGAATTCCCCGGCATCACGCCAAGCCCGCCAGGGGCATAAACCAGCCCGTGGTTGGAGGCATAAACAATCGTCCCACCACCATCCAGCAACAACTTCCCATCCCGATCCACAAACGGACCCCGCACGGTCCGCGACCGACCAACGCGAATATTATACTCGTCGCCACGCACAGGGAACCCCCGCACATCAAAGCTGCAACACTTGCCATGGCTGAACCACACATAGTAATACCCATCGTGGTAACTCATCCACGAACCTTCTTCCGGTCGAAACGTCTGGCCCGGGATAAAGCTCAATTGCACCGCGTCGGGCTTTGCGGGACTCTCGATCGATAACCAGTCATCTGTCAGTGGGATTTGCCAGATATCGTGCCAGTAGCTGCCGTAGTTGAGGTATGCCTTGCCGGTGGCATTGTCGCGGATAAACGAGGCATCGATCGCATTGCTTATCGTGAAGGGCCACACGTCCGAGCCATTGCCCTCGCCCGTGCGAATTACTGCGCCGTGGTCTTTCCACGGCGACCCGTCGAGTTTAGTACTCGTCGCGATGCCGATGGCGCTATTGCGCGAGCCGTGCGTGCTCAGCGTGTAATAGCAGTAAAATGTGCCATTGCGCTCGACTGTCGTTGGCGCCCAGGGCCGCGACCGATTACCCTGGTGGATGACACTTTCGCCGTCCAACACGGTACCAACTTGTGTCCACGGTCCGCTCATGTTCGCGGCCTTGAAATATGGCACATGCCATCCACCTTTGAAGAGGTAATAATGGTCATCCCAAAAGACGACATTGGGGTCGTGTACTTGTAGGTTTCCGATGTTGGGTAATGGTATCGTGTCGGTTGTCTCGTAGACTTGTGAGAGCGTGGGGGTTAATGATTGTGAGGCGGGACGGGCTCCTACCAAAGCGACCAGCGTGGTTATCGGCAGGAGGAAGAGGAGGTGCATGGCGATTGATATAGCGGGTTGTGAGGTTGGCGCAATGGCTGTCTATGTACAATGCAATAAGCCCCGCGTGGCAGGACTTGCCAGTGGCCGATCAGAGGAGGGATTTGAGAGTCAATGGCTATCGTGTCGCGCAGTACATGTCTGTTGTATAGAGGGTGAAAGACGAGAATTGGACGTAGAACCAGACGAGGATGATGGGACGAAGCAATTGAATAGAAGAGATTTAGGCGATGATCAAATACTTATGTAGCGCAAGGGTTCGAAAGAAATTCAAAGACGAGAAGAAAAAAAATAATAAGCTACAAAAAAGAAGAACAGCACAGCCATGGAGCCTTGTGCAGGGTCCGTCGATCGACTCTAACCTAAAGCCAAATGTTTTAGGCGGCCATATTTGCTGAGCATTTTGGATCGGGGGCCGAGAATACTGCAAAGACCTTCAGTTTCTACTGTAGAACTAGAGCAGTACCCGCCCGGTACCAGGGCTGTGGTAGTTAAGCCATAATTAACTGCTTCGTACCAGGGGACAGACTGTACATAACTAACCATAACCATCGCACCAACTTATTTAGTATGTCAGCTAAGCAAATTGGGACCAGCTAGGCACTGTTGTTAATGTATTCTGTACACTCCAACAACTACTCTCCATTAATCTCCCCCTCTCTCTCCCGTACCTCATCTCTACTCTCCTGCCATGCCTAAGCCACCGACCTGTCAGAAGCCGAGTTGTGCTCACGCAGGGGCGGCAAGTCCGACCGTTGATTGGGTCCACCGGGGTCCGAACGGGAGGGTGCAAAGGAGCGATTGGGTTTGAGCTCGTTTCGTCGCTATCTTTCCCCTTTCCCCTTTCCCCTCTCTCTGGTTCTTTGGTTTCCTTTGTTCTCCACCAATTACACTGCACCTTGAATTAACTTTGTCGTGTATGGGCGGATATTCCTTTTGCTCTAATAACATGTCGGATATTGTGGTCTCGCCTACAGAGTATATATCGGGGTATCTTCCACCCCCATTAACAACCCCGCAAAACTTAGCTCTATGCGGAGTAAAGACTTCCTATCTGGCCTTTCTCAATTCTCTACTATACTGTAAATACTCAGCACTAAAATACTACTCTAACCGCAGCAGCCCCCATCGCTAACCGGGGCCGAACCTCCTACAATGAAACGAACAACTCACAGTGACACAGTCGGCCCCATATTTAGCGCCCCCACACTCTTCTCTCGCAAACTAAGGATTATGGACTCAACTAGGCCCACTTTCCCAAGGCTTGATCCTGACCCCTCACGGCGTCAAGGCTATGTAACACTGTACCTTTTCCAACACTCCGTCGCAAGGCTCTGCCCAAAAATTTGCATGAAGATGAAACTAACGCTTATAGTTCGGCTAATCGGTTGGGGTTTGGATCTATTCTGGCCCCCGAGCCTCCGACGCGCTTGATCTACATGGCCCTTGCAGGAAAGAACGGGATCGGCGCTTGGGAACATGATTTCATTGTGACATCTGTCGTGTGATCAGAAGGTAGTCTCCAAAAAGGAGGATATACTGTAGTTTGTAGATAGTAATGGTAGTGGATTACAAATTCAGGATTGGGGGTATAATGAGGGTCATCTCCTGATCCACCTAATTGCCAAAGGCAATTCCCGTCAAATCTTCCCAGTCAAAGACATCCAAGAAAGGATCAAAATCATCCGGTGGCTGCCAGAATTAAGAAAGAAGTCAGTCAATGCGCAAGCTGAAGTGTAGAATCCACAGAATGATAGTGCTTAGCTTACCGTAACACCAAGTCCTGTTGGTGGGAAGATGCCATCAAAGTCCGAGGGCAGCATCGCTGCCATACCCGGAGTCGCGATGAACGAGGCAACCTAAAATATGAGAAAAGTGTGTGAGTACGCAGGTAAACAGTGACTTCAGGGACTAGATCAGACGCACCTGATTATTTTGGAAGCTACCCATTCCCGGTTTCCCCAGATGCTCGCAGTTCGCATGCCGGTTGAAAAGCGTCTGCGCAAACGATAGGATTCGCTCGACAACTTGCTGTTTGTACATAACTGCCTGAGTAGGCCAGATTTTCGCTTTGACAAGGGCTATGATCGTAGATAGGAAGAAGTAGTCCTTGGCTCCCTTGACCACTAATAGGAAGCGGCCCTCAAGGGAGACAAGTGCTGTTTCGACAAGGGAGAGTAGGGAGTCTGGGAGGCCGGGTAGAGTGTGTAGGAGGAAGACTGTGGATGAGGGGTGAGAGGAGGGTGCTGTGAACAGTCAATTAGCTATTGTCAATTGGTTGCTCGGAGGAAATGCTTACGGTTCTGATGATCCAGGGTATGGAGAACCTGGCAAATCGAGATATAAGCTTGCAGCGTCCCTTCACCAAGCATGCATAATGACAATGGTTTGGGGGTATCGTGAAGCCGTTTCTGAGTGGATAAAATCATGGTTGCGGCATCCAGACGAGATCGCGCCGAGGGTGTGAATAGCGGTTCCCGCGGTGACTCGATGGCGAATGGGGTGTGGATGGAGAGTAGGCTTTGCGCCAACTTTGTCTCAATGGTGGCTTTCCATAATGTGACTTTGTGCTGCGTAACGAGGTCGTTTGCCTCTGTCGTAGTCCATTGAGGGATTCGAGAGAGCTGACGATTCAATTCCCAATCTAGACGCTGGATCTCTTCATAACGACAACTAATCCGAGGCGAGTGCATCAATTGGCAGGCTTTGAGTCGAAGAGCTAGCGACCGACCAAGTGCAACTTGGAATGATGAATCTGTGATGTCGCTCACCGGCCGGTCTGCCGGGGTCTCGGTCGAGCCTTCATGAACATTGTTGTCGTCAATGTTCAAAGGAGGCAGCGTATCGTAATCCAAAGTTTGAACCGACGGAGGCATCCCTCGGTCGATAGCCACCTGCAGGTCCAATTCCACAATGGTCATCCAGATGCGCCGGCGCATTTCCTTATTAAAAACCGAGATTCGGGCATATTTGTCTGGATCCCTGTGGTAACCAGAGAGCATTGCCTGCTTCACCAATGCGCTCGTGGCAAGCCATGCTTGACTGCGTTTCATGCCAAAGCAATTTTGCGCCATGATCAGCAGGATATAGAGCCGCAGAGAAGTTACATTCAGCCGCTTGATATGTGCACTGTCAATCCACTTCTCTGCATGCAATACCCACTCCACAGCGGTATAGCATTTGAGTGGCGTGGCGCTCTTTTCTTGTAGACTAGCCACATCGGCCAGATTCCAAGCGCACGCGAGAACCAAGAGCACTTGCACGACAAACCCGGCAGAGATGGCACTGGGATTGTCCATCATATTCCAGAACTCATCCACCTCTTGGAGAAAGGAAGGGACATGGAAGATGCGTTGTGTGGACTCGATGTACGTCAAATAGATTCCTATCAGCTCATCGGCTACAGGCCGTGCTGGTAGCAGCGAGAGAAGCGAAGTAATTGTCGGCTCGGGAAAGGGCTCGTTCAGCGGCTTGCGCTTCCACAGTCCCCTTTTAACCCGCTCTAAATCGGGGCGCACCCGTGAGAGAATTGGATTAGCCAGCCGAATTTCTTCGGCAAAGGCTCTGATGTCAGGAAACTGTAATCATCGTGAGTCGAACAGACACGTTACGAATACCTCGAAGTCCATCTGGAAAACATACCTGAGCGACCACATTAGCATAGATGCCCGACCCACTGAATCGAGTCTTAGTTTCACGACCTCTCATCATCATGCGGGGTGAAAGATCCAATTGATGTGACGGAGACAGCATGTCGTCAACTTCCCCATAATCACCCTCTCCCTGGTCCATTCGCGACGAGAAGGGTGTCCCCTCTTCCGGCGCGGGACGTTTCGGTCGTTGCAAAACACCCGTATTCACATACGGCTCCTGATTCACAGCAGCCTTGGGAGCCCCCAAAACGGTCTCAAGAAAACCCCTTTCCTTCCCCGAATGCCGCCCCCTGTGGTGCGGTCCACCATGCTGAAGACGAGCAGTTGGCCCCGAATCGGGCGCAACAGTCGAAAGGAGAGCTTCCGACCGAGTCGACGCTGCGCCGAGCCCCGAGTCTGGGGGAGTCTCAATATTAATAAACTCCGCCTGCTCCGGCCGTGGAGGCATGGAGATGATTGAATTTCCATTTCCTCGATCCGCAGCGAAAGCTGCTGCAGTTACGGTGGTGGGCTGCTGCCAGAGGAAGCCATCCTCGTAGGTGCATTTGGTCGGGGTTCGGCTCTTCAAGCAACGGGTGCATGTTGGATATTCGCGGTCGCAGCGCAGTTTACGACTGCGACATTGCGTACAGGCCATCGTCCGTCGGCGCCTTTTGCGCGGCCGATCGGGCTGCGGTGCATTATTTGCACTTTCCACATCAGCCATATCTGTTTGAAGAGGTATTGCTGAGATGAATATACGACGAGTATACTTGATGGAGTATCTCGTTACCTCCGAGGTGAGCAGCTTCAGGGTGCACATCAGCTTACCAGCTTACGTGGTGGTGGTCCACCTCCAACTGCCGAATGCGGTAAGTCTGTCCGAACAATCCGTACGACCGGAGATATGCCCCAACTTTGGGGGTCACCAGAAATAATTCCCCAGTTCTTTCGTGCTGCATATTGCTATTGAATATCATTCTCGGATTTTCAAACCATGCAGTGTCATGGAATTTTTGTCTTTTCTCGAGTTGTTGGTACCTATGACAGGTATAAAAATAAATCTACCCTGCTAAGCCTCGGTGCTCCCTGGGATCGGCCCACTTGCCCACACGGTCCGACGGCTTTTCCAGTCAGCCATGGGGAGTGAAGACTCCTCGTTTCAAACTGAGTCAAATCAGGCTACATTATTCGGCTTGTCCGTGGGTTGTGCAGAAAGCACTAGCTTTTTGCAGGCGTTTGGCCTACCAGCGACGGCCTGGACGGAACAACATACACCATGGCATGACAGATTAATGATAGTGAGGCCAGCAATGACCCCCGCTGGCCAAAATGCATTGTATTGTACATCTTGTATGGGAGCTAATGAGTGATTAATCAAATTGCCTCTACATTCAGCGTCAGCGATCCGATATTTCTTATTGCCCCCAGACCTATGTGGGACAAGCCGCAAATCCCCTACCCAACAGTGATGCATACTCCTTTGCGGTGTTCATCAACGGATACCTCGAGCAGATTGGTGTCTCACCTACAAGATTGCGGATGGGACGGGACACAATACCTTCTAGGGGCGCGATCCAGACGGAGACCAGACAAAGAAAAATACCACCCATAGTACTTCTCCGGCTCTCTCCAACTCCCACCAGGCCTGCTCTGCCTGCTCACCCACAAGTCGCTGCTTGATGACAGAGTCCTCAGCAGGCGGCTGCGCGGTGTACCTCTCCAAGCCCTCCGAGCTTAAAAAATCAATTTGAAGGTCACCTGATGTCTGTCTGCGATTCAAATTTCCATCAACCTCCAAAATCTAGCCTCCAGTGGCGTCAAGCCGAGGTTGTTCTTTGCTTGGTGTTTCCTTTCGTAATTGCGCCGTCGGTGAACACATCAAGCGGAATTTTGCCCTCGTTGTGCCCACCGAAAGCGACACAGGCGTAATGTAACGGCGTGTCACGGTCTGTATCGGCCTTTCTAACATCAAAACAGCCTATCTTTTTGGCATAATCGACACACGCTCCAGCAGCCTAGATCGTGACCATAAGGTGCCTGTAGCGAGGAGATGAAGAATAGTGATGTCTTTTTCTGGGTTGCAGTGGAATAGAGTCGTCTCGGATGGCGGCGCAGGTTCATTCAATGGTAGCAGCATTTCAAGCAAAGATTCTGCCTCCAACAGGGAGGACAGATCTTCCCACAGAAAGACAATACCAACGGCAGTACATCCATTGAGTGGGATTGTGGGTTGGGGTTCGTCAAATTTCAAGGGGCGTGTCGGTCTTTCAAAAGGCATTCTACTATTCAATTTGCGAAACTGTATTCTCCAAGGACTGAAAGAAATTTCTAGCGGAGCCGATCTTATGTCCTCGATAACGATAGAAAGGGGGTCTGCCCCGTGTTTGAGCAAGTCACGTACGGCGTCCCTGCGGCGATTCATAGCAGCCAGGTGTAGCGGGCTAACCACAGGATCGACGGTCGTGTATGGCAATAGGGCACGATACTACCGCCAAGATGGTGCAACAGAATATCGAGCATCATAGATTCAGTCTTTCGAGGCTTGACTGTCCAGAAGAGCATGCGAAGTGTTGAGAGTCTTCGTTTTGAGGTAGTGGCTCCTGCATCGGTACCATTTTCAAGAAGGAATTCGAAAATATTGACTCGGCTGTGCAGGATGGCAGTGTGTAAAGGAGTCATGCCTTGATACCGTAGTTCAACGTCCACACCGTTTCTGACCAGATAGCGCACTATATCCTCGTTGTTGTTCACTACAGCCGCCCAGAAAAGCACTGCGTCATCAATAGATTGGTATTGGCGCAGCAAAGAAAGTAGGGATGAGAGTGTATCTGGGTGGCTGTAGTTGACCATCCTTATCCGCCGAGCGGGGCCATCGGGGTCCATCGCTATCAAACCCAAGGGCGTCTCAGCGAAGGGTGCTTGGCCTTTTTGCAAACCATGTCGATCTAAGAAGGCTCGGATGATCCTGATGTTATAGCACGGTTGATCGAGTTCAAAGACGTCGCAATGCTCTGAAGGCCATGACTTCGCTAGCTGCGTTCGTTTTGCTGTATTCTTATCCGGGATTTTGGGAAACTCAGCTCCAGCCTCCAACAATGCCTGGACCAAGGCCGGCTTATCCCGAGCGATTTCCCAACGTAAAGGCGTGATTAAATTACCAGCAATCTCATCTCGGAAATGAAGCCATCGAGTGCGAATCCAAACCTTTAGCTTGACATCCACGTCGGTCAAAGGATCACCGTTCGCTATTTTGGGAAATAAGCACTAAATTTCTTGGACTATTGTTTGCAACTCTGGGAGTTTGAGAGGTATTATCATCTCAGACAGCGGCTAAACCTCTCGACACTGAACATGGGAAAAGGCTAGACGCTCAGTACAAACGAATCTGGACTTCGACCAAAGATCTAGGTTTACACTTAATTCTAACGGTAAAGGACAAAGACCGGGTCCAAAATTTGACACAAGACCTCACAGAACCAAATAACGGTCCTGAGAGCGTCTTATCGATCGCCCAAAAGGCACAATCTGCGCCCTCGCTGGCCTTTCAGGTCTTGAATAAGTATCAAGAACCAGAACAGCTGGACATTTTTCTGGGTCTCAAAATCTCGGGGGATGCACCTCAAAATGAGGGTGACTTGAGCATTATCCCGAGGCAGCACGAAGCTCTTGCTGTGACAGCCAAGATCAAGCGATTAATAGCAATGTCTGAAACAAGTGGAGCGCCATCATTCCGCAATGCCGAGATCTCCAAAGATCGATTCCAGCTCGGGATCGCTCCACGACGGACATCATCAATTGTGCCGTGGCCTATTTCCCTAGTCACCTATCGAGCGGAGAATGACGATAGCTTACCTATGTTGGTGGAGTGGCGGAATCCAGACCGGCAATTCTTCGGGTCGACAATCAGCATCCCAGAACTTCGCTTACGTCGTGATCATGTCGTTGCAGTGCTACAAGCTACGAGCAATCTCCCACGTGTCGCTATGCCAACATGCCGCGTGCTGGATTGCATTGGCTGGTTCACTTCGACGGGTCAGGAGAACGGAGAAAAGCTCGAGCTTGTTGGATTTGCCTCACGACCCTCTTCCTGGGCTGACCCACGACGGCCTCATGTGTCGCTTAAGCGGCTGCTCGATCAGTCAATAGAGAACGGCGGGAAAGACACACCCAGCCTTCGAAAACAATTCAAGCTCGCGGCTGCGTTGGCACAGGCCATTTATCAGCTCCAATGCAGCAACTGGCTTCACCGGGCTCTGAGCAGCGAACAACTTCTTTTCTTCTATGATTTGGAGTCATTGGACTTGCGCCTTGGTGCGCCCTTCCTAGCGAGTTTGCTTTATTCGCGCCCAGATGACCAGAGAGTTGATGACAAGGTTTTCGTGACCGTCTCCGAAGGGAAAATCGTGGGTCGAGGGCCATCGGACAGTTACATACATCCAGGACTGATGATGTCCCCAAGGCGATATCGCCGGTCGTGTGGCGTGTATAGCCTCGGTGTCCTTCTGGAGATCGCGCTCTGGGAGCCTGCTGCCGAGTATTGTAATTCGAGCGATGGCCACTACAGACAACGAATACATGAGGCCGAGGTATTTGCAAGTAGAGTCTTTGAAGCTGCGAAAGATAAACTCGCGGCTGAGGTGGGCGAGTTCTATCAAAGCGCCGTAATTGCCTGGTTAAAAGGACTAAGGTCGCAGAGCAATTCTAGAACACGGAATGTGGAGAATAACGAGGACGCTTACGACGGCAAGTATAGGGGTGAGGATCCTGAGTATGGCTTAGAAAGCGACTTGCTATGGAAGGTTGTTAGGCAGCTTGAGAAATTGCGAGTATAAACTGTGGGAAATAAACTGGTCGATCGGTGCATACGTAGTTGAGTAGTTGTTATTCCGGCACCATTCTCAATGCATCTATCTTGGCACTGTCATCTAAGTAAGTGGTGACTTCGATTTCCAGAAGTACCGTATCCTTGAGAGAGGTAAGGTTGAAATATTGAACCCTTGCCGGATGCAGGTCACTAGCATTAAACCATATGCGAGCTTTTTGTGCAAACTTGCACAGTCCAAACGAAACAGTGAAAAGCAAGGATGACTGAGTAGGCGAAGGCAAAAGCATAAAATGCCTGCCGTACATTTTGTCGGGCAAGGAAGACAGCGTCAAAAAGACCGTTATCCCTACAAAATTTGACAAAGCCCAGAATCCAGCTTCGACTTCACGATCTAGATCAACTCCACGTCTGGCCGTGCGCTCGACCATGCGTTTGAGCTTAATTTCACCTGCCCCTTTGGCTTCGGGCTTGACTGTACTTCTGAACTCGAGCTCGACTCTACGTCTGACCCCGCGCTCGACCGGCTGTTTGGCCTTATAGATGTTTTCCGGGCCAGTTGATGATGCCTATGTCAATATACGCTTGGGAACCGATTCGCAAGGTTTGACAAACATATTCCAGCTTGCTCTAGAAGGTTGATAAACGATTAGAGGTGTTAACCAAGATGAGAGGTGGGCATGCTTACTTGATGAACCTGTTCTCGAGGTTTTCGATGGACTCGACCGCGGAACTTCTCCAAGCGAGGGGGACATTGGTAAACACGAACTCCAGACCCTCCTGAGTTTGAACTCAGGTATTGGCCTGCCGCAAGATATGCTCCTCGAAACCAGCTTGGTCACGAACATCGGTCGCCGATACCGCGACGACAAATGACTCTGATGGGTCTGGGTCGGAGCCTGGGGACATTTTGAAATTAGGTGGGTGTCTTGAGAAAGAAAGATGAGGAGGTTGATAGAAAGAAACAGTATTTAAACTGAGAGACGAGCGAGAGGTGCAGAGATGGATCGCGAACCAAGTTATAAGAATCGCCCAAACCGGATAAGTTGAGGATTTGAGCACTGCAGTCCCAAATATCATTTAGCCCGGAACCTAGTTAAGGCATATATATGACGTTCTGAAAAGGGTCTTGAATCATATATTGAAGAATTTGGGGGTTTCGAATATAATGAAAGGGTCATCTTGAGAGGTCAATGTGATTCTCAACCTATACGCACTCAGCTTACGGGCTGCGGTGAATTCTTGGCTATTATACTTGTCTGAGAGTCAAGTAATGTAAAAGATGAAGAATACTGTTTTCACGCTAATAGTCCTTGGTGGAGATTTCCGCTACTATCGCGGCGCCTCTTGTAGATGGTCTGTTTGCTTTCTTCATTCTTTTACGGCGAACTTTGGAAGAGGAATTGCATAATCCTTGAACTGCAGGGTTATTCTCATACAGTGCTCGGTAGGACATAGTCGGAACTTCAAGACCAGAAAAATAATTTTTCTAGATGTTCTTCTAGATTGAAAGATTCTTCTTGTCTTTGCTAGGCTCCAAGCACCGTCCAAAATAGCCATGCTTCTATATCAAACACTATATAATGCAGCAGTGAAATTGACTAAGAATCAGACATTAAGTCCACACACATGCCCTTCAAACTATCGCGGCAACGCCAAGCGCTATTCGTATGGAGCGGGGCTGTATTTAGTTCGATGCTAAATGGCAATCATGTTTGACAGAAATCCGCGGGCAGCAGGGTTCTCGGAGCGTTGTTCGGCGTCGGCTTTAAGAGCTCGGGGAAAAGTTTCTCGGAGATATTTCACTCAATGAAGACTATATCAACCCAGGCAGCCGCAAAATCAACCTTGACAAGCGTTCAAATTCTCAATCAGCAAGCAATTGCGTTCCTGAAATCCTCCAGAACACAATTCGCGATAAATTTCACTTCGCGATCGCCTTTCAACCATGCTGCGCTCATTGTTGTCCCTTGCCCGCGGCTCCGAGCCCGACTATGTTTTCCCCAAAGTGAATCCCGAGGAAGATGGGCCAGATTGCCTGAGAGATTGCGCGGATTGCACGATACAATTCCCGGAGAAAGTGAAGATCGAAGATTCCATGCCACTATATGGCCACATCAAGCAGTTTCACTCGCACGTCCTGGTCGCAACGGGGCGGTCTGACTGGAAGGAGAAGGTTGGACAGGAGCGGGGGAGTCTGATGGAGGCCTTTGAAGATTCGTCGGCAAAGTCAAAACGGGGTGTATGTGCTATCTTCTGATACTAAATTCTCTTTCAGTGGCTAATTCTGTTTTCTAGCGATACATGGTGTCTGCGTCCAATATTCAACCACCAGACCATGACGGAAAGGAGGTTGAAGCGGGCCAACCAACAACAGTCCTTATCTTGCCCTCATTCACATTTGTGGACTCTGTCTCGCAAGCGGATGTTCCCAATCTGGTCCAGCAATTTATCGACACCCCTGCCGATGAAAAGAACGGCACTGGTCAAATTTGCAAAGGCGGAGGTATGACCACGCGACCATGCGAGCTGGACTACGTGATTCTTCTCTGCTCGCATAAGCGACGAGACGCGCGCTGCGGAATCACAGCTCCCCTGGTCAAACGCGAACTCGAGCGACACCTTCGGCCTTTGGGATTGGATCGCGACGCTGATGACTCGCGGCCCGGCGGTGCGGGTGTCTTCTTCGTTTCTCACGTTGGCGGGCACAAGTTCTCCGCTAATGTGCTTATTTATCGGAAGAAGGATCAGCAAATGATCTGGTTGGCGCGTGTGAGACCGGAACACTGTGAGGGAATCGTGAAGTACACGATACTGCAGGGAAAGGTAGTGCATCCTGAAACGCAACTGCGGGGTGGATTTGATCAAATACGGGGGTTGACAAGCTGGTGATTGGAAGCCTGACATTTTTCCTAAAGCTTGATTCCTCCAGCTTAACATGCTTTACCAGCGATTCAGATGCAGAGATACCACAGATGATTATGCTCAGTCAATAACTAATAGACAATACAAAGCAATAAATTCAGGCCTCAAGATTCACTTCGCTCAAACCAGATCTTCTCCCCTTTCAAGGCGGGTTCCAGGCTCAAACCAATCTTCGTGACGATCCCCGAGACATCAATGTAGAACTCTGCAGCCACTGGCTCCATCGCAGCAAGATTGCTTGACTTCATCTTTGCCACGAAGAATTCACCACTAGCATGTGTAAGACTCAAATAGCCGGGGATTGCTCCCTGTGATGCATCAATACCCAAATTTCCGTCCTCGTCTAGAACGACAGGGACCCAGTCACCAGCGGGATGCCTGTACGTCCCCACATACTTCTCAAGCTGGAGGGTATGAGGAACGGGAGGGTCGGCCAGAGAGGGGAACAGCTTCCGCTTGATAGCGTCCATATATTCAGGATGATACTTGAGAGTTCTCTCCTTGAATTTCTCATGCTGCGCAAAATACTCTGCCATCTTCTCTTCGAGCACTGGATCATCAATAGGCCCCAGTAGCCTATCCATTAGAAGTATAGCCAGCCTAAAAAGGAGAAATCGGGCAGAATTGGAGTTGCCCATTAGTGCAAAGCCAAACTTTTTCTCTGGCAGGAATCCCACAAACGAGGAATATCCAGGCCAGCCACCTGAATGCGAATAAAGATGCTGACCGCGGTAGTTGTCGACAAACCAACCCAATGCATACGCATGGTACGGCGAGGGAAGATTGATATCGCCGGCTTCGTAATGGAATATCCGTGGTAAGGTGAGAGATTCGTGGCCCTTTAGCGGCCCAGTGCGATGAATCAATTCTCGCACCCAGCGTGAGTAATCCAGAACATTGCTAACTATAGATCCGCCACCGGTATTCGGTCTCCAATTTGCCTCTGGCTCTTCGAACCAATGACCGCCGCCTTGTTCGGGGATCCACGTATATCCCTTGACGATCTTTGTTGCGCTCGAGGGATCTTTCTTGGCCTCTTCGGTAGAGAAATAAGTCTCGTTCATACCAAGAGGATCCCAGATACGCTTCTTCAAAAAAGAACAGAGTGGTTCACCGGTATGCTTCTGTAGCAAATGCGTCATCACAATGAACATCTGATTAGTGTACTGGAATTTAGTCCGAGGAGGGGCCGATATGGGCACACGTCTGAGTGAGCGAACAGTATCTTGCACTGTTGCATCTTTGTCGCCGTAAATGACTGCATAATGATGGCTCGCCAGACCAGATCGATGCGAGAGGGCGTCTTCGAGGGTAGTGTGCTTGGTGGCATGGTCATCCGATAGAACAAAATCCTCTGGAATGATGGATGAAATAGAAGTTTCCCAGTCAATTGGTGACGAAGTGTCTTTACTATCTTGAATGACTAGCGATGTGGCCGCTGCAGTGAATGCTTTGGTGGTGCTAGCAGCTGGGAATAGCGTGTCTGTGGTCATCTTCCTATCGGGGAACTCGGCGATGCCGTACGCCTAGTAGGTGGTTAGCGTATGAGATACAACGTAGTAATTCAAACTGGCATTACCTTTGAGAATGTCTCTTCATTGTGCACGACTGCAACAGATATTCCAGGAATTTTCCATTCTTCCAGTGCATTTTCGACTAGAGTATCGAATGCGGCGTCAAAGGGAGATTGCGAGGTAGGCATGGCTTTGAATCTTTTAATAGGTTGCAAGTACGGTAGCAAAATGCTTTCCGTGCTATGTCCCTGCATTATCGAGGCAATAAGCAGGTATTTATAACGCTCATTTGTGGTATAGAGTCATAAGTGGCATATTGTTGCCAGCGTCGAATGAACGCCACGATCCGGATACGAAGCCTCATTGGCGTTTGAGTTAGGCCACCAACAATTCGGAGACCGAATCTGGCAGCCCGGTCGACACATCATGTGTCAGGTAATCAGAATGAGGGGAACTCTCCAGATTAGCCTGTATTGGATTGGATTGATTGGTCCAATCCCGAGGTAAGCAAAGACAATTACTCTGGGAGGGTTGCCGGCCGAGCACGCGACGTCACCGCGTTAATTGGTTTCGCGTTTCGCGTCTGTTAGTTCTTCCTCCCTTCCAATGCGTCTGGCCTCATCTTCTGCAGCAATGGCCGAACACGTCCTCAATTCAAGCGTCGAGGTCGCCTCAAGAGCTCGAGATCTCCGGGCGGATTTGAAAACTTGGGAGAAAGAGTTTGCGTCCACGCATGACGGTCGGAAAGCTGGTCGCGAGGATATAAAGCAACATCCTGACATTGGTAAGTGACCGCTCCTTTGACACGGAATTCCGGGATATCAGATGAATTTGGAGTCGCTAATGTCTCTGCATCTTAATCTAGCCGCAAAATATAAAGAATATGGCAGACTCAAGGCGCTGGAGTCTTCCCTAAATCGACGCGAAAACCAACGGGAGTCCTCCGATGCCCAGTCCAAAAAACGCAAACATGCTTCTCCCACCGGACCAGATGCTGCGCAACCACTTACGACGCCGCGAAAGTCAACCAAGGGACTCTTTGCGACACCATCGAATAATCGCAACAAGCAAGTCAACCACGTAGACGAGTTTGTTTCTCCGTCGACGTTTCGCAAGCTATTCAGCCCCAGTGCGCACCGACAGAGCATTCCAGCCCCGTCGCCACTCAAGGCTGCAATTGGACCAACACCACAGCGCGATGGAAAGGCTCTGGGTCTATTTGACATGCTGTCGGAGTCAGGAGGAAGCACCGCGACACCATCAGCAAAGAAGCAAAAGGATTTCTTGGCAGCAGGGTTCCAGACACCTTCCAAGCCGAAGACATTTGAACCTATAGCGGAAGTTCCAGAGGAGGAGGAAGAAGAGAGTACACGACTTTCTCGGACACCCGCATCCTCTACTAAGCAATTCTACTTGGCCAATCTGTTCGCGACTCCGACTACCATGCGCTACGCTGCCATGGTGGAGAATGACGATGATAAGGCAGATCAGGAGAATGCGCCCCCAGTAATCGGGCTTGCTACATCTCCAGAGCCCAATACCTCAGAAACACCATCTTTCCTACGACGATCCAATTTCAACAGACTTCCGCCTCCTACTTCCAACAATCAGAGTGCCGGACTCAGCCCCATTGCCTCGCGCAAACCACTCCAATTCGCAGGAAAGGGGCTATCACATTTGGTGCAAGGCCTACGCGCAATGGAGGAGGAGCGCGAAGACGATGAGTGGGACATGTTCCGAGAACTCGAGGCCGAGCAAGAAGCAGCGAACTTCCAGGTTCCCGAGAGCCAAGCCGTGCAGGAAAACCACAGACCTTATAAAAAGAAGGGACAAAAGCGAACAACGCGAAGAGTCATTATGCGCCCTGTTGCGCCTCGGCCGAAGACGCGACCCAATCCCACTCTGGCGCCTGTCGAGGAACGTTCAGAAAGTGAGGATGAGCTTGTTGCCGTTCTTGAAACTCAGCTCCCAGCAGGCTCGGAGGTGGTCGACGAAACCTATAATGAGGAAAATGCTGCGGACGACATGGCTTCTTTGCATACCATCTCTGATCCAGAATCCGATGGAGAAGAGCCTGATGTAGACTCTGATGACGACCCGGAGTATGGCGAGACATCTAAGCCTTTGGCTCGGGCGAAGAGCTTCTCTGAGCGCATTAAGGAGGCCGTCTCGATGTCCAAGCCTCAAACTAAGGAAGAGACAGTGAAGGCACCACCGGCTCCGGAGAAGGAAGAAAAGGCGCCCAAGACTAGGATGATCAAGGCGAACTCCCAGGCTCATACGAATTACCGGAGCTTGAAGATTCATCACCGTGGAGGGTCTCGGGGTACCGGACGGTTCCGCAGGAGATAAAGCGCAAGTATGGGTACTCTAATGTTCACGAAGAAATGATTGCATTCATAAATAGCATCAAGGGGTACTGGTCGGTTACAGCAACTAGAATTTGCATCTAAGATCTTGAAAGACTTATATCATAGTCAATGATTTTATTTTGGTCAGACGTAGGGAGTACAGGACCAGCTGATTAATACTATACGGTACTCTATATTCTGTTAGTCGGGAATGTATCGGTCTAGAAGATGCCGTTTGCGCTCCGGCCATGGAGCGCGGCGACCTGGACCCCGGTTCCTAGATGCCGTCCCTCTTCGTGAAGCTGACCGGGCACTTTGAGGCCTCGAGACGCGATCAAATAAGCTTCGATCGCGTTCACGGGCAGGCGATGCGCTACGGGCACGCGTGGACTCTGGACGAGTGGAGCCCGAACGACGAGGGCTGGCATCCCGAACCTCTCTATCGCGGGAGGTGGTTGTCAAAGTCGGATATTGCACATGACGATCCCAGTCCTCCAGTGAAGCATAAGGGCTTCGCAGCCATGCCAGCAATTCATGCAGGAACAAACGAGCATTGTCCCTCCCGAGAAAATCGCGCAACAACTCTTCCGCTTGCCCAGCACTCCCTTTGATGTCCACAGTCCGCAGAATGGCAACAACATACTCGAGCAAAAACTCAGCATTGTTTGCCCTCCGCTGTTGTAATCGTTGCTGTCCCGAGCGAGGAATGGGATCCCGCCTTTCTTCTGGTGCATCCTCTGCCTCTGGATGCAGAAAGCTAAACACCTGCAATTCACGGCGGATCCACTTCCGAGCGCGCGAAACCAGCGCTTCGTCTCGGTTGAAATTCTCCGGTGTCACCTCGGTGTATTGAGAAAGGCGATTCGACCCGACCCGCAGTGAGTATAGCTGATTGCGATAAACATTGCGACGCACAGAGAGCGGGTCATTGATCGTAGGCTGAGGATGAGCCAGACGAGGTCTTTGTCGACGGCGTTGGTGTCCTCGCAATCGAATCTCATGCGGCAGAGGGGCGCTGGCTGCTGTTCCGGGAGTGGTGACGGGAGGGACGGTGTATGTCTTTGGGCCTTGAGGTCCTTTCAAGTCATACTGTACAGCAGTGAGATTGGCCTTGCCTACATCACAGTCACAGTCAGCATTGCTCGCTCAGGTCGGGTTAAGGCTCACATACATAAAGGACAATTGGGCTGCTGCTCTAGCCAACTAAGAAGACACAGATAGTCGAAGTTGGCATGTCGGCATGGTATTCCAACACATGGCTCTGTGATGGTATCCAGACAAATGACGCAAGGGTCAGCACCCTCAGCCTCCTCGTCCGCTACCTCCTTGAGGGTCTTCTGGAGGATTTGTTGCTGCAAATCTCCATTCTCTGCCATGAAGGCCGGGAGTGGAGAAGCGGAGGGCGGCCAGAGGTAGAAGGAGCGACGGGGGACTCGGAGTAGTGCTTATCGCCCTCTCTTATCGGCAAGTCACGTTCGAGGCAGGACCGCCCGCGGCAAAAACCCACGATCGAAGCTTCCCAAGCTGTCCAGAACCAAAGAACTTGGAAGCTACTGCTGCCAGAGCAGATTCCTTCCATCTACAGCAATTCAAAGACCTGCGCGATTCTTCCGACATGAACTAACCCTCCTAGCGTACGGACCATTTCCACCACGTTGAGATCAAGACGCGCATTCGAGCCAAAGACGCCTTGACATAAGGACTCCGCGACACCCTTCGATGCGTTCGGCAAAAGCAGTAATTTCCGAGAAATTTGCGCGCCTGGGATCTCCAACTGCGACGATGACTTACAGCACCGCCCCCTCTCAGCGGGGCCCATCACATACCCTGACCTCGCTCAAGCGCTGGTCAGTCGCGACCAGAGAACTGCCAGGTGAGAGGACTGGACCTGCCAGTGAAGACTGTGTGTTTTGCGAACACGAAGCTAATGGCTGTGTGTGGTTTAGCGGTTTCACAAATTAAGACAATCCACGTCTATGACTTCGATAACACTCGTGAGGATCCTACAGTGTCTCGTCATTGTGTAAGATCGCAGACCATACTCACCCGATGTTCTAGTGTTCCTGAGCCCGCTTCCCAACCCACAACTATGGAACGGCTCAACAATCGGCTTCCTGCAGGCATACGAAAGCTTCGCCAACGGCGGGTGGTGGCACGACCCCAACATCCTCTCTGCTACTGGCAAGGGTATTGAGATCGAGGAACCCAGAGCCTGGAATGGCTGGTGGAACGAACAAATTGTGCGACCCTCCGGACCTCGTTCCTGATATGACATATTGTTCTTGGCTAACACTTTCATAGCTGCGTTTGGTCAAACTGAGCATGGACCAAAAGGATGCACTGACCGTGCTCCTAACGGGTCGAGGTGAAGCGAACTTCGCATCAATCATCAAGCGCATGGCAGCAAGCCAGAAACTGGATTTTGATCTTATTGGATTGAAGCCAGAAGTTGGGCCAAACGGTCAACAGTTTGCAACGACAATGAAATTCAAGCAGAACTTCCTCGAGGATCTTCTTTACACTTACGAGCAGGCTGATGAGATTCGCGTCTACGAGGATCGTGTGAAGCAGTATGTGTCCTCGTTCCTGGAGCTTTTGGTGTCGCAATGCTTATAATCATTACAGTGTGAAAGGATTCCGAGATTTCTTTGGCAGTCTGAACCGGGGGCTCCAAGCTGGAAATGGCCCAGTTCCTCGGAAACCCTTCAGTGCTGAAGTTATCCAGGTAACCGAGGGATGCACATACCTCGACCCTGTCACAGAAACTGCAGAGGTGCAGAGAATGATCAATGCTCACAATCTCACTCGGCGCAACCCATCACTGGCAAAAGTCAAGTCCCAATACTCTCGCCTGCGTATCAAACGCACGGTCTTCTACACGGGATATCTTATTTCACAACAAGATTCGCAGCGCATAATCGACGACCTGTTGAGTCCAATGTTGCAGCAACATGGATATGCCGAGGCAAACGACCTAAAGTACATGGCTAACAGCATTCTGATCACACCACGTCCTGCCACACCGTCTATTTTGGGCAAGGTTGGAGGAATGGGAAAGAAAGTAAGCTGGCAAGTGACTGGCTTGGGAGTGTTCGACAATAAGGTCTTTGCCGCTCAAGTGGCACCCATTCCGTCAACAGAACCCGTGCACACGGAAAATCCCTCGCCACTCATTGTTCTGGCTTGTCGCCGAGGATCTCGTCCAGCCGATGCAGGCAGGATTCACAACTGGCAACCTGTCCCAGCCGGTATGGCCTTGAAGATTGACACGGTGATTGGAGAGAAAGTTGTTTTGCGAGTTGAGGACGAAAACCCGTACGAGGGTGAGTGGGAAAGTCAGTTCGTTAACAAGAACAACAAGAGACGCCACCAACAAGAACGGGACGAGGACATTCTTTACCCGCACTCAGGTCATGGCAGCGGTGGCTATGAGGCCATGAACCAAGGACAGTCCCAGGGTTATCACCCATATCAACGTCCCTCTGGTGATAACCGATATCCCAATGATGAAAACTCACGACGAGGTTCTCACCGAGGTCGCGGTCGTGGAAATGGCCGAGGCCGAGGCCCTTCTCGAGGAGGTCGTGGGCGTGGTCGGGGGGTCGCGATGCTGGGTCGAATCCATACTACAAGTCTCTTGATGACCAGGGCATAGGTGGCTATGATGGCCCACATGACAAAGGTGGAAATGGAGCCGGCGGTTTCCCTATGGACTACTGAGGTCCGAGCCGTTTGCATATTGGCGTCGGCTTGATTGAGGGATGTGCGTGCTCACCTCGTAGGTTTTCGCGATTCTGTCACTTCTGTTGCATCGGGTATGGCGTACATCGGGTATGGAGTTGGCAAGTGTGTGGGAATCGTTGTCTCTCTAGGAGTTCGTCTGTCGTTATGAACAAACATACCATTATCTTCCATAGCAGAACATAACGCTTCTATTCCATCTTCTTTCAGCCCCCATTTCCAAAACTACATGCTCAGAATACGAATACGGTGAATTTGAAGAGTGGATAGATTGGTATCAGTCATTCGATTTTCATTCTCTGAGATCCAACTATCTAGTATGGCGTTCAATCGACGCAGCAGCAGAATAAATTTTATCCAAGAAACAAAAATGAGAAAATCAACCAGCCAAGGGCTAGATCAATTCGAGAATCAAGCGAGAAAACAATGGTTTATACATGAGTGAAAATGAAACGCCTGAGTCAAAAAGCAAAGAAGAAGAAAGGCAACCAAAAACACCGGCCGCGGGCTATACAAGAAACATTCACGTCCAGAAATGCATATCATTCAAATCAAGGTAGCGGCATATCCGAAACAGGACAGCACATCGAGACAAATGTAGGCAAAGTCATGGCGTGAGAGGATCCCTGATCTTCAGATATGTTCGTAGATATCCCAAACTGTCCAAATCCAACCATTTCCCATATGGAAAGTGCCATCCCAAATTTCGTGTTCCGTAGAGTCCATTCCGTGTGTCACAAGCCATTGTCGTCGGCTCGTAGAGAAGGTATTATTCGTGTTCCGTGCGTGCGTGTCATTCGGTTATAGGGGCGTAGAAAATATGTGTAGCGTGTCGAGGGGGTGATAAGTGCAAAGGCGTAACAAAAATAGAATCAACAAATGATGAAAAAAAAATGGTAATCAATCAACGACCTCTCAGTCCTCGTCAGTCAATTTCCTAAGCATACTGATACTTAGGATCATGATGAGGAGGCCGATGGTGACGATCACCAATAGCACAAAACCGAACCAACCGAGCACCATGGCTGAGGTACCAACGCCGCTCTTGACGACGCTGTTACCCATATCTTGGGCTATCGTACTGGCGGCGACAGATGCTGTATGCTGCCATAATACTGAGACGAGCACGAAGACGGAAGACACGAAGATCAAGGCGAGGGCGGCCTGAGAGACGGGTCGAGAGGGGAATGGCTTGACTTCAACAGCAGAACCTGACTCATCAGGCTCCTCGTGCCATCCGGGGAAGGTTGCGAGGAGGATGAAGCAGAAGAAAGCCAGAATGACAGCGACGATTCTAGATGAAGATTAGCTTGGCTCATAGGAAAGAACCTGTTGGGAGGACTTACAGAAGGTATGGGAACACTACTGCATCCTTAAACGTTGACGCAACCCAGATCAAGTTGAGCGGATCGGCATCCACGTTGACAATCTCGGCGAGGGCAGTGGCGTTGGCGTTGCAGATGAACGAGCCACCATCGGGTTGAATGCAAATACCAAAGTATCCCACACGAACTTCCAACTCGGCACTGCGTACGATGTTGGACATGGCTGTTACCACGCCGGGGTCAACTTGCGCGAGGTCGAGGACAGGCTTGTACTTTTCATAGTACATAGAGATGAGGAAGATATTGGGGATCTGTGGGGATGATGAGGAGCATCCAGCCAACAAGAGTGCTGTAAATTGTTAGTACACGTTCCAATATCGACGGGAAAACGTGGACTGTGGTCCAAGGAATGTCGAGTATGACGTACATAGCAAGATGATTGCAACTGCGATAAGAATCATCAACACATGGTGGTATCCGACCATGGGAATGAACCCTGCGAATGTTATTAGCAAGCTTCTCGAGCGAGATCATCGTGGTTATGGGAGGGTCAACATACGCCCAACTCCTTGTGCAAAAGCGTTCGCCATTGTGCCTGGTTATGGCGCACGAGCAGCCACCTCTTTCTAGATCGTCAAATAGACTCACTTCTCGGGGCCTCCGAGAAGGAGTTTAAGAAGCTGATTGCAGAGTCAGAACCTCCGCTCAAACGCCGTCTGTCGTCGCTGAGATAATTCTGGACAACGATAGATGGCCGTCACTCGGCTTCGAAGATAAGATCGTTGGTATGGAATGCGGAGGCGGACGAGGAGGAATGTAGAAGAATAGATGCGAGATGCGAAATAGGTCGAAGATCGAATTGATTCTGGCCGTCGAAGTCGAAAGCACACCAGAAAGACGGAAAGAATCGAATAGGATTAGGCGATTGCGCGTCTTCAGATCTGGATCGCACCTAGATAACGAGACTTGATACTAGTCAGAAGCTTTGAAATTCGCAAGGTAGGTGTAGATTGAGTTGTGTCACAGAGATAGGAATGTGTAGAAGGAATGGAAAGGGGGAGGAAGGGAAAAGAGAGCGTAGCTGCAGTCCAAGAAAACCACGTCAGACTCGAAATCGGCACGATGAAGCCCTTGGAGGCTGGGGATGGAGACGAGAGTATGGGAATCTGGGAGGCTGGGCCAACCGCCATTGTTTACTCTCCCGCTGCCCGGGAAACCAGATTTGACCGCCTTCTGTTTCTGGTATTCTGCCAGGGTCGCTGGGGCGCCGCCTGTTCCATACTAAGCCCAAATAGGAATAAGTGTTGATCATCTTAAAGTTTGGCCCACCGCGGGTCGCCCCCCAGCCTCCAGTTCAATACGGAGTACTCCGTACTACGAATGGAGTTATGGAATTATGGAGCCTACAGAGACTGGAATATTCAACAACCATACAAAATCCTAAACAAACATATTATGTTATTATCAGGATGCTAGAAATGCTTCGCCTAATCAAAATAACAGAAAAATGACTCCATCAACTCCGCATCCGAATTGCCAAAGACGACCCCACGGCCAAGAAAATGCACATCAACAAAGGGTTCTGTCATGTCCTGTACTCCATATCCGATATCCGATATCCAAATGCATGGTCCTTATCTCGCTGCAAAAGAGAAACGCTTCAGATCCAATGGTATGGTCTGTGCAGAAATGCTGTGATCCTCCTGTTCGTCCTCATCGCTGTCGGGGACGATCAGGTCTTCGCTGCCCTGGACCTTGTGAGTGGAGGACCGTGGCGCAAGCAGGGACTCTCCATCGCTCTGTGAATCCATAGAGTCGGCCTGGCGAAGCTTCGTTGGAAAGTTGATAGTTTGGGACCGAGTCAATGCTGCTTGGCCCATGCGCTGCAACGGAGTTAATCGCTGGCGTTGTGGAGCTCTGTTCTGAGCTGCAATTGATGGCGTCCGAGGCGACGCAATTGGCGTAGGCTTGTTGTTGCCGGATTGAAAGACAGGGATTTTGGTCATTGGAGGCCGGCTAGACGCAGCCTTGGAGCCTGCTTGGAACGTGTACTTCGACAGAATGGTTGAGTTCTGTCGCTGGACGTGATAATCAAGAGCCTGATCAAAGTCGCGATTTTCGGATGGTTCATTCAATGTTTGGGTCTCGTCTTGCGGCGGGACAGTACTATCTTCAGTTCGTGGGATCGATGGACTGGCTTCGCCACCCTCCGCATCAGCCTGTGGTGCACCTCCCGTTTTAATTGGCGTTTCTGTAGCATCTTCCACATCTTGCTTGGAGCCTGGATCAGGCATCCCAGAGAAGATATCTTCAGCGACCTCATCAGAAAAAACGTCCAAAGTCGACTTGCGTTGTTTCTTGGTTCGAGAGACCTTCTGTCCGCTGGGGCTGGCTTGGTCGGCACTACTAGCAAAGAAGCGGCTCCGAAAGTCCGGACGTGCCGGGAGCTGGTCATCCTCGGTCTCAGAGCATAGTCTCTGTCGCTTGATAGGCTGAAGAGTGGACGCTTTGGCGGCTTGAGCCAAGAACGAGTTGCGTTCAACACTACGAACCATAGGGCTGCGAATCTGATCGGACAGTGCTCGGAAAGGGGTGGATCTATTCTGAGTGGAGCGATAAGGAGCCGAGTTGGCTTGCCAGGAGCTGTTCGCATTCCGCTCCAGAAGCAATTGCTGGCTGGGGGACGGGGTGAGGCTGTTCGGATCCAGCTCGCCCAACGGCATTCGCTTTGGGGTGAAGATCGAACTGATCGGCTTGGTTGGCTTCAGCTCGGAAGATGACCCCAATGTCTGACGTCGGATAATCCCCCGGGAGAATTTACCTGGCGCCAATGGTTTCAACTCAATCGGCTCCTTGGTTGTCGGGTCCAAGTCACCGCAGGCCACACCAGCTGCAATCTCCGCCGCCACATCCGCACCAATAAATGGCAGCTCATCCAGGTTGATTCCATCTTCAGGGGCTGTCAGTGTCACCAATTTCTTGACATTGGGACAGAATACTCGCTGATAGAGAAAAGTAAGCTCCGCCTGCTGGAAATTCGCGAGGTAGTCCGCCGGAACCTGGAGGTGGTTCTCGAATTGTAACATGCGCAGGGTCTTCTCCACAGTTCGGTGCTTGCGAATGCTGCGATAGGCCGTCTTCAATCCCATTTTGGGAATGTTGGCCAAATAATCACACCCACTAAGGATACACATCCGTCGGAAATCCGCGTCGCTCCAACCGACCAAGCTCACTTCACGACAAGCCGTGAAGTCTGCCCGGTTAATCTCGATACAATCGCCGTGCTGATCCAGTTTCGACAATAGTCTCTTCGCACCGAAGACCAACAAATCCGAGTCCTCTGAAATGATCCCATGAATGAGACCCTGCTGCTCAAGGTACACCAGCTGGGCGTCTGCTTCGTATGGAGCCACAATATATTGAACATTCATTTGCTTCAATTCCTCAATCAACTGACGGGCCATGTACGGGGTCACATCAACGGCCTTCTGGAACTCTTGGTAGGCTTCCGGCAATCGACCTTTGCGTTGTAGCTCCAGACCGAGTGCCTTGCTCTCCTGACGTCGTCGATATCGGTCTTGCTCTGTGCCGGCCTTGCTGGGGAGGTTGTCGCCGTCGAAGACGAGATATGGGGTGACGCCGAAGAAGAGAAGCATGCGGACTCGATTAAGGACAAAGTCGAGATGTCTGCCATCCCAGGATCAGATCAACATTGCACATATTAATGACTGGTCATGGGTCTTTCTTACTTTCTTGTTGGCCTGTCCAGGACCAAGTCCACGGAGCAGGCTACTGTACCACGGTGGAGCCATCCATAAGCATCGACTCCCAGGGTCTGGCCACTAAACTTCTTCAAGTGACACGGTTTCTGTATGGACTTGAGGAGACCGTGAAGTCCTGTGTCTTGTTAGCTCACACAATAACCCCCTTGACCCGAACAAGGGCATGACATGACATACCCTTGATACCCATGGCGGGCACTGGTCAAAGGACTAGCGGGTCCTCGTATCTACTGGAGAAGCAGGGACATATGTGTTCCAAAATGACCGATGTTCAGCGCGATGTAAACCTGAAATGTATGGACAGGATTAGACGGAAGCAGAATCACCGAGGAAATAACCTCATGGCTGGTTGCTGGAATGTTTGTTCTCGTTTGTTCCCCTCGACGCGCAGACGCGATGCATGGCGCTTTTCGGGAAGGCGGTGATAGGGTCGCGACTGTCCCTGACCGCTTAATTCTGCGTGCCCCGAAAAATAATTATTATCGCCTGCTGCTCCACTAGTTTGGTTCAATTATTCCCCAATAATTCAAGCAAATCACAGAGAACCGCCAATATGCCGAGTGTCTCCCTTTCTAAGGTGCATAAGAACATCTCCAGGAAGCGCGGCTCCATGGACTCGATGCACGAGAACAGCCGTGACGCCAAACGTCTGCGCCGTGCCGGCTCCCGAGAGGAGCGACTGTCCCACCATGCATCAATGACTCTCAAAGCCCGCCAGCCATACTGTCAGTACAATGCTTGAAATTGTGAATTGCCTTGTTCTCTTCTAACCTTTAATTAGTGGAGCGCATTCACTATTTCCACGAGGCTGTCCAATCTATTGAGGAACCTTTGTCCGATGACCAGCTCTCCGAGATGATCCTCAAGTATGTGCACCACCATGAACATTCTCTTCGGGCCCCAAGACTAATAGGCTACAGGTGTATTCACCGAGATGAAGGAGAAATCGCACAACTCAAGTCCGAGCGCAGGAAAGGCCGGCCGCCCACCCGCCGAGAGGAGCTTCTGAACCAGCGGACAGAGACGGAGGAGAAGGAATTCAAGACTGGGTTCTGGTTGCCCGAGCTGGGAGATGCAGACGTCCTGCACGCTTTGAAGCACTGGAACCGTCACTGGGCCGGACTCAGCTCTTTGAAGTTCATTCGAATTACTCAAGAAGGAGTAAAGCAAGCGTCGAGCTTCCCGCCCAAGGGCATGTCATAATTACGGTCTTCTCTCGATTTTCTGCTTGATTTTGATTAGTGGGATGGGCGCATACGGAGTACATATCGTCGTATATAAAATTTCGCATCTGCATTGAATATGACACTATCCATAATCACATTTCAATGATTTGAATCGTAAAATCATTGATCTATCCCGCAGTGCTGTTAAACGAAAAAAGAACATCGGCAGATCTGCAGGCCAAACTTGGGCGGTGCAAAAAAAAAGCGTGGGTCTTGGCGCTAGCATCATCGGCTGAGCTCGGCCGCGTTCTTTTCCTCCTCGAAGCTCTCTCCATCCAACACATCCCCGGATTCATATCATCCACCGTCACAATGCTGTCCCTCCGTGCTTTGACTCGCTCTGTCCCGCGCTTCTCGCGCTCCATCGCTCGCACTTCTCTGCGTCCTACCACCCTGGCCAAGCCCGCCATTGCTCAGCCCTGGAAGCAGACCATCAAGCCCGCCTACGCTGCTTTCTCGACTGCCAGTGTTTTCCGGGAACCCGCTGGTGAGGGTAAGTTAACCAATGCAATTGATTTCTAGCATTCGGCTTGAGGATGCAGATCCGATCGGGGCATATAATTTTTGATGTGTGCTAATGCCTGATGTTATGGTTTTTTTCAGGCGATGTCGAGCTTATCGCCAAGCTTGAGGAGGAACTGAAGCACGAGAAGGCTTCCGGCCAGGAGGATGCTAAGGAGCAGCAGGCCAGCATTGACTACACCCTGGAGGCTGGTCAGTGGCAGGTCAAGGATGTCGAGGGTGAGCAGGAGGTCATCCTGACCAAGACCTTCGGCAACGAGACGTGAGTTTTTCTCAATTCCATCATTCCGGCCATCCAATACTGACCGGTGTTCATTCATTAGCATCCGTGTCACCTTCACTGTCGCCGACATCAACAACCTCGCCGAGGACCCCATGGACGAGCTCGCCGACGATGCTCTCGCCGACGAGGGTGACTACCAGAACAAGCCCGCCGAGGGCGAGGACGAGATCCTCCCCCCAACCTTCCCCGCCCGCATCAACGTCACCATTGAGAAGCCCAGCAGCGGTGCTCTCCTAGTCCAGGCCGTCATTCAGGACGGTGACCTCCAGATCGAGGAGATCTCTCACTTCAAGAACGCTGAGATCGCCAACGCCGAGACCGCTGAGAAGGACTGGTCCCGCCAGAGCTTCTACGCTGGTCCCCCTGCTGAGAATCTCGACCCCGAGCTCCTTGCCTTCTGGGGCCGCTACCTCGAGGAGCGTGGCCTGAACCTTGAGTTCCAGAACATGGTCACCGACTACATTGCGTTCAAGGAGCAGAAGGAGTACGTTCGCTGGTTGGATAGTGAGTTTACCTGCGCATCTTCTACAGGTGGAAAATATGCTAATTTGTCTTGCAGACGTCCGCAAGTTCGTTGCTGCTTAAATGATTCTTGGAATCTATATCTCTCCCTTTCCCCCTCGCCCTATGGACCCGTCGCCAACCACGTGAACTTTCGTGGAGGGTCATTCCAACCTTCCTACCATGTGTTACTCTCCCCTTTTTCTGTGATAGCCTGCCTAGTGAATCGGTCTGCCTTGGCGCTATTAGCTCATACAGTCCGAACGTGTACCAATAATTTCTCATCATATATGAACAATCGACCTTTTGAAGTCATTCGTCAAATTTCGCACTAAACTACCCAGTCTTCCGACTATTTAGAAACAATCTCTCTTTTGGGAACCATAACCTATAATGCGATTCGAATTCCACTCCTGGCATATTATAGCCATGGCTAGTCTTTGCAACAGCCCCGAAATCTCTGGAGTTGATCCCTAGGGGTGTAGCAGACAGGTGAGCGGTTCCTGTTTCCCTAGCCTTTATTGCGGTGGAGCATGTTCCTGGAAGCTGCGCAGGTTTTGCGACGGTTTAGAAGGTGTTTTATGTACATTTCCATCGGGCACGACGAATCTATAGGATGGAGCCTGCCTGGGATTTACCTGGACAGCTTCCAAAAAATCAACAACCATGGCACCACTGTCATGGTCAGCAAGGTTCTACTGGTTACATGGGAAAATAAATAAGTCTGGAGTGGAAGTTCTCTTTTATCGATTTGCCATCGTCGCTGGTTTTCTGTTAACTAAGATGGATCTGCTGACGCATTCCAATTCTGGGGTCGGGCATCAGAACCTATGGACGTACTAAATATATATCGCACCCCGATCTACACCATGGGATTCCAATTCAACGATTGCTGGTTTAATATTCAATAATCTATAGTAGTCTTAGGATTTCCCAAGCATGAAGCAGTACTACGGGCAAGAAATGTAATGTTTTCGCCAAGGAACTCCCTGGAAGGCATCAAATCGGAGACATTTTCAGGACATGGAAACTTGATGTTCACCTAGACATGGTCGGATTTCTAGGGAGTCTACCGTACTGATTGGTGAAACATAAATCTCATCTATGTGTTCATCAACTGGCCGGATGGTGTAGTTGGTTATCACGTGTCGTTAACACCGACAAGGTCCTGGGATCGAACCCCAGTCTGGTCAGATTTATTTTTTGGTCACCTCATCTTTAAATGCTGTTTGCATTTCGCCTACTAGCTGATTTACTAACAAAGCCAATTTTTCGATGTCTTTCGCGAAAGGGATTTCACTTCTATTTTTGCCTCCACATTTTGTACGGCACCAGTCCTCAAAGAAGTGCTTCTTTTATCACCCACCAGTAGGCTATTCTCAAAAGCTTGCAAGTCCTAGGCAGGTCCGCAAATTCGGGCCCGTTACTAAGGAGGATGCAAATTGCCACATAACAGAGAGAAAGGGAAGAATTCCAAGGCAAATATATGGGGGCTAAGAAGAGAACACCTGAAATGTTGGGTTGAACCCCTTATTCAGGTACGTAGGGCCTAGAATTGCAGGCACACCAAGCAGAGTATCCGTGGCGTCTGAACACCAGTTCATTGGTGGCTATTTATAAAGTTCGAGTGAACGATAAGTCAAATGGCTTCAAAACTTGCGTTAGGCTGTGGATTTGCGTTGGGTATCGGGGGCCTAACATCCGGAGCGGTGTGCGTACGCCACAGGAATACAGTATTGCATGTTGCATCTTTAGACGATATCTTGAGATTGACCTCGTCCTATTGGTCAGATACCCAGTACCAGTTAACGCCTCGAAGTACTAGAGCCGACACTATTCCATTTGGATGTAGCTCGGAAGCATGGGTCTATACCGGCCGGGCCAAACAACTACCCTATGCGCACTAGCGGGATCGCTCAACTCAACTTAGCATACGAAGATCACCCTCTCACAATAAATAATAGTTTACTAGTCTATACTCTAAACCGACACAATATTTCAAAAAAAAAAAATTCAACAGACTAGTGACACATATCGTCCCTCATTCAGCGTGTCTCAAACGACGATTGTAAACAAAATTCAGTCACAATACTGTCTGATGGACATGATTCAGACGTAGAAGAACGCGAGAGTAGCACCGAGTACAGCCATGACTCCCTTAGGAGCGCTGAACTGAGACAACCCAGCACCATTCGAGTGCACAGCGGTCGCGGAGGCACTAGTGGATGATGTCTCCGAAGAGGTGGAAGAAGAGGTAGAAGAGGAAGAGGTAGTGCTGGAGCCTGCGATGAGAATGGTGTATTAGTATAATCGCCTTGTAGCATTGAGTGGAGTTGCATCATGCCTGAGGAAGATGGAGAGCTCGTCGACGCCGAGGATGTAAGCGTGGAGGAGACGGATGTAGAAGTGGCTGTACTGGATATCGAGGAAGAAGAAGTAGTGGATGTCGAGGAAGAAGAAGAAGTAGAGGAGGAGGAGGAGGTGCTGGTGGAAGAAGAGATTGTAGAAGAGGACGAGATTGTAGTACCATCAGTCGAACCGCCCTTCTTGACAGTGAAAATGTCACTGACGGCAAGTTGGCCAGCCGAATCAATTATCTGAATCTCGTAGTCATTTCTAAGCCATGACAGAATGAAGTCAGTGTTGTTCTTTTCCGTTAACCTACTATCCTTTACATACCCGTTGGAAATACTAGGGTTAGGCTGGGTCGTGTATTCGCCATCAGAGGTCTTGACGTTATCCGCCAATTTGGTCTGGAAGGAGCCATCCTGACTTCGGAGGATAATGCTGATTACAGAAGGATCACTAGAGCTGCTAGTGAATTTGATGGTTTTGGGGGTAGAGAAATCCCACACCGTGTTCGACGACGGAGTGGTTACAGTGATGGCAAAAGCCGACGAGAGGAGGCTCAGAGCCGTGATAGTGAATGAATACCGCATTTTGGTTGAATGGAATTATTGAATTAATGGAGAGAGGGCTGGAGGTAAAATGTCCTACTATTCCCTTAGGAAAAAGACAATATATATCTAGGTGGTCGATGAACTGAGGACTAGATTGTTGAAAAATCTATATACAGAAATAAGTAACTTTCAGCTGAAGCCCAGCGCATTGACAATACGAGATCGCCCAAACCTTGCATAGAAGCAGCATATGATCTATGACATGTACTGAGCCTCTTGTGGAGAGTCTAAAAAAAACAAAAAACAAGTGTTATTCTGGTATGTAGTGTAACAACGAACAGACACTGCACCTCTGGATCAGCGACCCGCCCTGTTGCGTTGGGTCCATCAAAGTGCATTCATTACACCCCATCAAAGTGACCTTATCTTCCAATCAAGTTTTCAAAATGCATCATGACCTGTATTCTTACTGATAAAGGATTACTAACCAACTAACTAAAGGGCTACTCTTATGTCAGCACTAGGTAGGTTAGCGCTGGGAAGTACAGTAAATACCGAGTATACCGATAGGGCTGGGAAACCAAGATTATCATAATTAGAAATCTGTTATCGGCATGGATATTATATCGTTTTTTACAGCCACAAATACCGGTCATAACCGGTAATATTCACCAGATAAACTGTACCGTCTTACTCGTGCCTAACAAAAGCGACTATCGGGATTCTGCTCTAAGTACGGAGGTTTTAGTTACTGACCATATCTACTATTTTTCGTAGTGATTCACGAGAGATAATATAAATGTAATAGAATTAAATGCACGGACTATCTCTTCTATAGTACAAGAACCATAGCAACTATCTAAAATTAATATTAAGAAGCAAATCGAAAACAAATACGAAGTACAGGAAGCATAAATAAAAAAAAAATAAGGTCTAGCGGTCTGGAGAACTAGACACTAGACCGAGATGTAGGACGCAGTCAATGCAGCCATGACTGTCAATGTGCTTATACCCCACGACAGACCCAATAAAGAATTTCCAGCGCCGGTGGAAGGTTTTGGACTTGCTGAGGTTGTTGTCGGTGTTTTCGTGTGATCTCCACAAACAATGGTGCTTAGGTTCAGGCTCTCAGTAGGATAATACACCCGAGGACCTCCATCGGAGCTGAGATCCACATTGAGATTTCCGCTTGAATCGGTCACAAAGGTTCTGCAAGATAAGAGCTCCGTCACATTTTGCCCAGATGAGAACCCTGTGCCGTCAGCGCCAAGCGTGATTTTCGTGGTGGCTTTGGCGGCTGGCTTAGCTCCTAGGTTAGAGACAACGCTAACAACCTGGTTACCGGTGAATCCTTTGCGCATGGCCAAGATATTTGTTGAGTTGTAAATTGGCAATGAGAGGTACGATAGATAATCACTCCCTGACTTCGGAGAGACCGTGTACTTTTCTCCGTCGCCGCTCGCATACGATCGAATGAGGTTCAACGTTTGGACAAGCAGGGGTAGGGAGGTCGAGTTCATCGAGTATTTGGTAAGCCATAGGGCTTCCCGGTTGATAGGGTTGAAACCGCCTGAGAGGTGCTGTTCTTCTCCGTAGTAGACTGTGTGATTTTTATTAGTAGTGTCTTTTGCCTTCTTTTCTATCTATTAGGGCGCAACATACGGATGGGGATACCGTCAGCGAGCATGCTGATTGTGAGAATGTTGCGGGCCAGCTAAATGGGAGTGACAAATTAAATACATGCTGACAAAATAATCCATGCAATAAACTTACTGAGATGTCTGAAGTATATGAGCCGAAGCGAGGGACATCCTGATTCGATGTGAAAGTTCCCAGGGGTAGTACATCATCGCACTGTGTCCTGATGTAGTTGATAGACTGTACGATCCTGTTCAGGTCTCCTTTGGTCGTGTTGAAGGCCTCTGAGAGGATATAATACCTGGAAATTGTCAACAGGCTCTCTGTTCATTTTGACGAGCTACTCACAAGGGATAATTCAGAAGTCCGCTTAGACTGGGCTGCAGCTCACAGTACCCGGATGCGTCTCTTGTGGCACCTTCACCCATAGTGAAAACACCCGCTGACTTACTGAAATTGGAGAAGAAGCCGGGATCAATGTTCAAAACACTGTCAATTCGCAAGCCATCAACTACAAAGTAGAACTGTTATTAAATATGCTGGAGAGACAGGAAACATAGACATACTGGAGTAGTTCGAAACCAACTGCGAAACCCAGGAGCCCAGAATCTGCTGGACTTCGTGATCCTCGTTTCGCAGATCTGGAAGCGATATGGTTTTGTCTCCTAGCCAGCACTGACGAAGACTTAGCAATGCTCCCAAAACACGGAATTATAGACTTACATCCAGGACACAGGTGTCATTCGAGGGGTCCTCAGAAAGTAGCTTATAGTCGTGGAAATACTTCTGATCACTGAATGGATTGAACGTGCTGTAGTCAATAGTGGAAGCGTTTCCAGCCCAGGCCATGTCACCAACGACAATGTCTAGCATCAAGTACTATTCTTTATGTCAGTTTCGTGAATAGACATGGCAGCTGGCGACTCACCATTCCACGCGCGTGCAACGCTGCGGATAGCGCTTTGAGATCATCGGAAGTTCCAAAATGTGAGTTGATGGAATACAAGTCGTTTGGCCAATACCCATGGTATGCTATCATGCATCAATCTTTAGTTCTCTATATTCGTTGATAGTCAAGATGATCATACCTGAGAGATCCGCTGTGCGAGTCGACTCCTGGCTTTGCACTGGAGAGATCCACACTGCATCGAACCCAAGTTCCTGAATATAGTCCAGCTTATGGATGATGCCTTGAAAGCTCCCTCCACAATAGTCTCCCTTTCCTGCCTCACAAGACGCAGTGGTTGAGTTATCGGACCGAGCGAAGCGATCGGTGACTACTTGGTAGACCGACCGACTGATCCATTGGTCTCGGGATGCCGCCTCCACTGTCCCGACGACAGCAAGCACCAAAAGCTTCAACCACCACATTTTTGGTGGCGTTTGCATGACAGGGCGAAGGAGAATCAAACGATAGATGAAGTGAGGGACAATGCAAAGGCTAAGTTACTTAAGTTAATTGACAATGTCATATGTGCCGATGAAAATGATTTACGGCGAAGTACATATGTATCGTATAGTATGTGTAATGTATAATACATACCTCATGATGATCTGTTCCATGTTCCTGTCATGTATTTTGTCGGCCCGATCGGTCGGCTTCGCTGATCCTTCAAAATCCCGCATCGACCTCGCATCCCAATCAAGAGAAACGACGGCTTCCGACGGCAGATAGGCAGGCTCTAGTGGGTTCCCGAGCGACTCGTCTTAGGGCCACACTAGACTGGTTGTATCTAATTTTTGACGATCATTGTCCATGTCACTTTGATGTGTTGGCGTCGAGGTGGATGAGCCGCATGGTCGATTGGAATCTGAGCCGACTTGTTGGACAGGGTTTGCGTAATTCTGACAGGAAATGATGGTATTATTTCCCATTCCGCTGTACACTGTGGTTTCGCTCTGATTCTGTGATAGTACCTTTTCCATAATGAGATAACTTGATCGGGTCCACACGGGAATCCAAATATGACAGCTGAGATCTGTTTCTCTGTTTGGGTCTAGAAATCATTAGTGGGGCAAGATAAGGAAAAGGTCGGTCTTCCCGTTGACTATTTGATCTTTAGGCCCTTACTGGGTTTGATAGCGAACTATTGGTAGGTCCATCCAAGCCGAGTGCAGCACAAAGTGCATAAATTGCCGACGATCAATTGTGGCCATGCCACAGCCCTAGCAGCAGGGATATGGTAACCGCAAACAAAAGCAAACAAAAAAACAATAGGAGACAGGAACGGAACGCAACAATGACCTCCGCCCTTATCACTATACCCACCTCTCACACTTTCTCATAGGTCAGTACTGTATCAGGTATGACGTGTTCTATCATCTATGTATGAGGCGGGATACCCGATCTGGCATGATTTAAATTTCATGACCGATTATTAACTTCCAGCAGTGTTTTGAAAGCTCGTATAGTAGCTTTGCAACAAAAACGTATCAATCCTTCTCCACCATATAGGCAAGCTATCGAACAAAGACCCACTTCGTGTATTGGGTCACCGGTCAGCCCTGTAGGCGACTCCAAAGGTCCTATAGCGATGCATGTCAGATTGTTTCCATTTCTACGAGACATGATACTTCCTCCTCGGGCGTGAAGCCCGGTCTAGAATCTAGATGCCCGAACATTGCGGTGAAACTTCTCAAGATAATGTCAAGTTCGATTGGATTGATTGGCCAGGACCAAAGTATGTGACAAAGTATGGCGTATGTCAGCTCGAGGTCCATTACCCGAAAATAGGACCGCTCAGCCGCTTATCGTGAGTTTGGAGATGCTTTGCTGTGGATTGAGGCTGTACAGCAAGGCTGGCAAGGGTCTCGAGCGGTTGGTTTATGCTGGTTTACAAAACAGTAATTGGTATGCTTGTGCTCAGAATCAATTATTGCATTGGCCTGGGCGGCTGCGAAGTATTCATTATCTTTCACATGCGTCTCTTCACTCTATGAATCTTTCAGTATCCCTGTTTCTGTGAGCCATCCATCTCTTCCTGGTATGCACTTTGTGGTTGTTGTTTTGCAGTGAGGCTCGAACAGCGTGTTCTGTGAACGTCACCGTAGTGGCATTCACTGTCCGGAATGGAGCTGCTCATTTCCATCACTCATTACCTTGCAATTGTTGCAATATCTATACGCACTGCACAATCCCTGCCATATCTTCCAGAGGAAGCAGACTGGAATCTCAATCAAAACCAGACAGCGACACACCCTCTCGACTACTCGGGTCGGTGGGATGGCCACACATACAACCCCTCACCAGAGAACTGGCGATTCCCCTTTTACACGATATTCCTCGACAGGTTCGTCAATGGTGATCCGAGTAACGATAACGCAAATGGCACACAGTGGGAACACATCTTAACATCCAACGAGTTTCGCCATGGCGGTGACGTTCTTGGGTTGGTTGATACGTTTGATTATCTCCAGGGAATGGGGATAAAGGTGTGTTTGTTGCTTCAAGGACACTGGATGTGACGAATATACTGACCACCTCTAGGGAGTCTATCTCGCCGGAACACCGTATATCAACTTCCCCTGGGCCGCTGATGGATACTCCCCGCTTGACCTAACTCTGCTGGACCATCACTTTGGTACGATCGAGGACTGGCGCACAATGATATCTGAGGCGCATCGACGGGGGATCTATGTTCTTTTTGATAATACCTTTGCAACGTATGTGTGGCCCATCTGCTCAACATCCGGTGGCGTCTGCTAACTTTGGATAGAATGGGCGATCTTATCGGTTTCCAGGGCTTCTTGAACCAGTCAGCGCCGATCAATCCCAACGAGTACGACTATGTATGGAAGTATGACCGTCGATACTGGGACTTCCAGCCTGGAAATGAGATTGAGAGTGAATGTCCCTGGGAGTATCCGAGGTTCTGGGATGATGACGGCACCGGTTTGGCCAACACAACCCTTGGTCGTTCATGTCGGAATAGTGAATTTGACCAGGTAACATTCCATTTCCTTCGATATTGACCGCGACTAACCTCTACAGTATGGAGAAGTTGCCGCCTTTGGAAACTACACCGAATGGGAAGGGCAGATATCCAAATTCGCATTTGTACAGGATCGTCTACGCGGATGGCGACCGGATGTGCTAGCCAAGATCAAACACTTTTCGTGTCTAACCATCACCATGCTTGATATTGACGGATACCGCGTTGACAAGGCTCTCCAAGTTACTCTTGACTCTCTTGGAGAATGGTCAGAGTATATGCGGGACTGTGCCAAGCAGGTGGGAAAGGACAACTTCTACATCCCTGGAGAGATTGTGGCCGGAAACGCTTTTGGCTCGCTTTATATCGGTCGCGGTCACCAGACAAATCAAACCATCTCCAATTTGACGGAAGCATTTATGATGACGAACAAGACCGACAAGTCAACTGAGGATCTCTTCTTGAGACCCGCGGAGAGGTCTGCGTTGGACGGGTCGGCATTCCACTACACGTTATATCGTGGTCTGAGCCGGTTTTTAGGGTTAGTTTCCCTCCCTGGTCACTTTCTGTTTACTCAAGTTAACATTATCCCGTTCAGTCTAGACGGTATCTACACTGCCGAAGGCGACCCGCCTGTCAACTTTGTGGAGACCTGGAACGGTCTTGTGGAGACCAACGATATGATCAACACGAACACTGGCAAATTCGATCCTCGTCACTTATTTGGTGTTACGAATCAGGATGTCTTCAGATGGCCAGGGATCAAAAACGGGACCCACAAGCAGAATTTGGGTCTGTACGTCGCTTCGTTGCTCATGCCTGGAATCCCCATCATCTCCTGGGGCGAGGAACAGGCTTTCTACGTACTGGACAACCAGGCTGATAACTACGTCTTCGGTCGTGGGCCCATGTCATCTGCTCAAGCATGGCAGATGCATGGATGCTATAAGCTGGGGTCATCGAAATACGTTGATTTCCCGCTTGACCGCTCCCTGACCGGATGTGAAGATGATTCCGTCAGTCTCGATCACCGCGATCCCTCTCACCCAGTGCGAGGCCTCATCAAGATGATGTTTGAGATGCGTCAAAATTATCCTGTTCTGAATGATGGCTGGTACCTGCAACAGTTGTCCAACCACACTTTCGACATCTACCTTCCAGGCAGTAATGGGACAGCGACCGAGACTGGAATGTGGAGCGTCATGAGATCACGCTTTGCGGATGCGCAGAATTTCAATGGCCAAGGGCAGGGGAACCAGAGCGTTTGGCTGGTGTATTCTAATGACAACAAGACAGTCGAACACCAGTTCAACTGCAGCAGCAAGGACGCTTTGATTTCGCCATTTCCCTCAGGAACAACGGTCAAGAACCTCTTCCCGCCGTTCGAGGAATTAACCCTGACCAACAGTTCAATTACGCTTGGGTATGATTGCTGCTCTGAAAATGATGCCTGTTACTGACAATGAGTACCTAGATTCGAAGGTTCTACCGTTTCCAACGGGTGTTATCCCAGCCTTACTATGCCAGCTTGGGGTTTCAAAGCCTTTGTTCCGAAAGAGAAATTCATGCAGCCTTCCCCATATATAACACGCTTCTCCCCAGGGCATGACACTCGACTCGTGCCCCAGGGAACAAGTGGGGAGACGGTACGGATTGGCTTCGAATTCTCTCAGGAGATGAATTGCGAGGACATCACCAACTCTCTGACAATCACGTCCAAAGCGCTCGGCAATGAGAGCCCGCAGCTTGACACGAGCTCGGTATCTTGTAAACCTATTCAAGAGACTAATGTTGTTACATGGCCGGGGGCATTCACTAGCGTTTTCCGCTACGAGGTAGATTTGGGCAATGTCTTCCCAGGGGTTCACAGAGTCACAGTTAGCAACGTGACTACAGCAAATGGAAATCAATCCACAGGCGTGAGTATAACCCTCGCTATAAAGGCAGCGAAAGTGAAAATACTGACTGAATCTGGTAGTCCGTCGACCACTTTATGTTCCGAATCGGACAGCTAAACAATCCGATGGTCTGGCCACAATTAGCCAACTACAGTAGAACGCTACTCTGGGACAACCCGTCGTCTGAGACCGAGCCTTTATCAGTAATGCCGCAGGCCCCCGGTGCAGACATGTGGCGATACTCGTTGGACTTTGGAGCCACATTCAGTGCCTGGATGACATACACCGGCTTCAACACATCGATCCCCGGCAAAAACTGGACCGGCACTGCGAAGCAGGCCTGGGAAGGGGAACACATCCTTGCCCAATACTGGAGCAAGTTGGCTGGAAGTAGTGCTCATTGGCAGCATGGAGATACGCAATGGGCATACAAGCCTCCCCGCCGCTTCCCCAACCTTTTCATTGAAGGCGAGTTCAACCAATTCGGATATGACGCTGGTTATTCCAACAAAATGACTCTTAGCAACGTCACTGGACAGTGGGAAATCAACTTCATGGGGGAATGGCCCGTGCAGGTTGCATTCAATGCATGGGGATTGAACAAAGATGGCCTGCCCGATCAAACGCAGGTGTTTGGCGACATTGATGGCGACAACGTTCTGGACCAAGTCCCTCCTGTCACCCTCCTGAGTAATGTATTCAACATCACCATCCCGCCCCCTTCGCCCTATCTTTCCTTCAAGCTTTCGGTGGGTGACGGCGATCTTAAGGTCTACGCTACGCCCACCGGATCCAGATGGGTTCAGCTGGCCATCTTCATTGTGCTCGCCATTGTGCCTATGGCTACCGCCGCCGGCGCGGTGTATGTCTACCTGAAGGCATTTTACCAGGTCAAATTCAACCAAATCGGTGTCACCCAGAAAAGATCAAGCTTCGCCCCACTGGTGAGCGCCTTTCACAAGGTGGCTCATCGATCTCATGACAAGGATTCCAATCCCGGACTTGCCCTGACCAATGTGGGCCCGTTCCCATCTGAAAGTGGAGGCGTCATCGGTGCCACGGTTAACGCCCGCCGACGAACCGTGCTTATTGCAACGATGGAATATGATATTGAAGATTGGGGCATTAAGATTAAGATTGGTGGACTCGGTGTGATGGCCCAGCTGATGGGGAAACATCTGACCCAGCAGGACCTCATATGGGTGGTCCCTTGTGTTGGAGGAGTTGACTACCCCAAGGACGATCCTCGTGAGCCGATAGTGATCACCGTTCTTGGCAGTAACTATCAAGTCGATGTCCAGTATCATCGACTGCACAACATCACGTATGTCTTGTTAGACGCGCCTGTTTTCCGAGCTCAGTCAAAATCAGAGCCGTACCCTGCCCGCATGGATGATCTGGATTCAGCTATATTCTATTCCAGTTGGAATCAATGTATCGCTGAAGCTATCAGGAGATTTCCGGCCATCGACCTCTATCACATCAATGATTACCATGGCGCCGCTGCTCCTCTCTACCTTCTACCTCGCACAATTCCATGCTGCCTGTCTCTGCACAATGCTGAGTTCCAAGGACTCTGGCCGATGAAAACCACACTGCAAAGTCAAGAGGTTTGCAGTGTCTACAACCTCGATCATGCATTGGTGAAGAAGTATGTACAATTCGGCGAGGTGTTTAACCTTCTCCACGGAGCTGCCAACTATCTGAAAATCCACCAAGACGGCTTTGGTGCTGTCGGTGTATCCAAGAAATATGGCAAGAGATCGTACGCCAGATATCCCATTTTCTGGGGTCTCAAGAGCATTGGAGCGCTACCAAATCCCGATCCGTCTGATATTGCCGAGTGGAATCACAACGAAAACAACAATCTCGGAGACGTTATCATCGATGAAGAGTTTGAAGCCAGTCGTGCTGGACTCAAGAGACAAGCGCAAGAATGGGCAGGCCTCGAAGTTGACCCAGAGGCCCAGCTGTTTGTGTTTGTTGGTCGTTGGTCTATGCAAAAAGGCGTGGATCTGATTGCAGACATCTTCCCCTCCATTCTGGATGCTCACCCAAAGGTCCAGTTGATGTGCATTGGTCCAGTTATTGATCTCTATGGAAGGTTTGCCGCGTTGAAACTGAATCGACTCGTGTCGCTCTACCCTGGGCGGGTCTATTCTAAACCAGAGTTTACTGCACTGCCACCCTTCATTTTCAGTGGCGCTGAATTCGCCTTGATTCCTTCCCGTGATGAGCCGTTCGGTCTGGTGGCAGTGGAATTTGGACGGAAAGGAGCACTGGGCGTGGGATCACGGTAAGATTGATCTGGATTGAATCCATCAACCGTACTGACCTTTGTTTTTTAGTGTTGGTGGCCTTGGGCAGATGCCAGGATGGTGGTACACAATGTGAGTTTCCTCCTCTTACGATATGTTCAGACTAACCCGTTCTAGCGAGTCTATGACAACCAAACATCTTATCCAACAGTTCAAGATGGCTATCAACGACGCTCTGAAATCGTCCCAGGAGACACGAGCACTCATGCGTGCCCGATCCGCCAAGCAGCGCTTCCCCGTAGCACAGTGGGTTGAGGACCTGGAAATCCTACAGACCACCTCTATCGAAAAGCACGTCAAGTACTCTAAACGCCACGATCGCAGTTCATGGAGAGTTTCCGGTGGCAGCACCCTCGTCCCAGAAAGCATTCGCAAAGTCTCGTCGAGCTCAAATAATAGCCGGGAACATAGCCGATCACGCAGCTCCACCGCATCTGTCTCACCGAGCAGGCCGATTACAGCTGAAATGAGGCAGTCTGGACCTCGACCAGGCCCTGAACATGTTCTATCGCCGACAAATTTGTCATTTAGTCTCAACATATCTGACAATGAGCCTGATTATGACAGACATCGAAGACGCAGAACATTGTCATCCAATCTCCTCACCGACTCAAGAATCGTTTACTCAGCGGTAACCGATGGAGAAGATCTCGAGCCCATTTCTGGGGCCGTCCAAGCGGACGGCAGTGCTCGTCCATCGCCATTCCAATCACCATTTCCATCGCCATTTGGGACACCCACCGCTTATTTTTCTCGATCCGGTGCCAGCACACCAGTTCCCGGTGCAGGACCAGAAGATGGCCTACTGGGCCGAAGAGACGCAAGGGGGTCCATGATGAGCCTCGTCAGCGTCGATGGTATAGTAAAGGAGCAAAACCACTTCAATCTCCAGAAAGTTGATCCATTTTTCACGGATGCGAATAATGAGTACGCGGATAAGTTTGAGAAGAAGCTTGCGGATCTTAATGGAAAGAACTCAGAAGACCAGCTCTGTATCGAAGAGTTTCTCGAGAAGAGTGAAAAAGACTGGTTCAATCGATACCGCGATGTCAAACTGGGCAAGTCCCCGTTGCCGTCTCCTGCTCCCTCTGTCTTTCGCTTCAAGGTCCATGAGACCGATCGACCAGAGACCCCGCCAATTACCACTCTATGTGCGGACCCGAATATTGAGCAATTCCTTCTCCCCAATGACTATGTTCCCCCCACGGGGTTGAAGCGTTTTATGTTGATGAAGATTGGTGACTGGCCCGTGTACTCCATCTTCCTCGCTATTGTGAGTCGGAACCCTATCGAAAACTTTCATTACAGAAGCTGACAGCATTTTGTAGGGCCAAATCCTTGCCTTGAACTCGTACCAGATCACACTCCTGAACGGTGAGATTGGAGAAACGGCGGAAAAACTATACATTCTGGCATCCATCTATCTTGCGTCGTCGATCATATGGTGGATGGTCTTCCGTCTAGTCCCTTCGGTTTATGTGTTGACGGTCCCTTTCTTTGTATGTTCAAATTCTTCTATATGGCTTACGAGGCTACAGGCTAATTGTGCGCAGATGTACGGGCTTGCCTTTCTGCTTGTCGGTCTTGCCGGTCCCATCGACAACAGCACAACTCGAACATGGCTGCAAAACGTGGGGACTGGCTTGTACTCATTCGCATCCTCGAGTGGTTCGATTTTCTTCGCCCTTAACTTTGGAGATGAAGGTACGCAACAACTCTTCTATGAAGTATGGAAGTTATCTGACGTTCTTGTTCAGGCGGAGCACCCCTGAAGTCTTGGATTTATAGAGCCACAGTCATCCAGGGCACTCAGCAGTTGTTCATCAGTTTCCTTTGGTACTGGGGTAGCTGGATGGCAACTCTGAATCAAAAGGGTAGCACACAAGTCAGCCTCGCCATGACCAATCCAGGCGCTTTGCTCGGTATCGGAATCGGACTTGCCTGTCTTTTGTGGCTGTTGGGAGCACTCGTCTTCTTTGGGCTTCCTACTTATTATAGACAAACACCAGGTCAAGTGCCGACATTCTACCTATCGCTCTTCCGCCGTCGCATCATCCTGGTATGCCTCTTCCTTTCTCTCTCAAGCTCAATTTAACTGACGCTGTATATTTCAGTGGTTTTTCTACATGGCGTTCATAGCAAACTACTGGCTGTCGGCGCCTTACGGAAGAAACTGGCTCTATCTCTGGTCCAGCAAACATGCACAGGTGTGGCAAATTGTACTCCTCGTGCTCTTCTTTTTCATCATTGTCTGGATGGCCGCTCTCTGGGTCTTCCACGTCTTTTCCAAGAGACACGCCTGGTTCATCCCGATCTTTGCCATCGGTCTTGGTGCTCCTCGATGGGCCCAGATCCTGTGGGCAACCTCCAACATAGCCGCATACATCCCTTGGGCCGGTGGTCCCGTAGCCGGAGCTATCCTTGGTAGGGCATTATGGCTCTGGCTAGGGGTTTTGGACTCCCTTCAAGGCGTCGGTAAGTTTTCCCTTGCAGCAAATAAAGCAAAACAAAAGCTGATTTAGGCCAATACAGGGTTTGGGATGATCCTCCTCCACACAATGACCCGATTCCATATCACCTTCACCCTTCTAGCCGGGCAGGTAGTCGGTTCTCTTGCGACTATTCTCGCCCGTGCGACAGCACCGGATAAGTTAGGCCCTGGTGATGTTTTCCCTGATTTCTCCGCTGGCGTAGCAGCCGGCTTGGGAAAGGCAGACTTCTGGGTCTGTCTGCTCTTCATGCTATCCATCAACGTGCTCTGCATCTTCTTCTATCGCAAGGAACAACTCTCGAAACCTTGACCGCTGTTTCAACCTTGATTAGCGTTTGTTTTTCTTGTTTTTCGTTTTGCATCCACTTGACATTGTGCGGCGTATCTGTTGTGATTAAAGGATTAATTATAGTATACATAATGGGATTCCATTCGTTGGGGCGCGCTAGACTTTGTAAAGGGCGCCCCATGTTCTGGATTTGTATATAGTGTACAAGAATAATACTGGTTTACTGTACTTGGAAGATTTGTGCGTGCCCAAACTTAATGTTCATGTTCATGCGATGCTGAAATGGCAGCGATTCTTCAGTCCCCAATCAAATCCATGATTCTCTACCACGGACCCCCAACATTTCCCATTCGATTGAATTTCCTGTCAAGTGGGGCGGCGCGTCCCGATCGCGAGAAAATCAACAATACGTAAGACATGTACGGAGTACGGAGTACAGCTAACGCTAATATGGGGACTAGGGGCGACAGGGCCTAGCCTGATCGGTAACTAAAGTATAATTGTGTAAGACTCCGTTCTAGGCCTAGTCAGGGGACCTGATCACTCTGAGCAGTCACAGGGTATATATCGCTATGATGGTCCATATTTGTTTTGCAAATTGCTTCTGCTCGGGTTGTTTGCCTTGCCACTCATTTCAAGAAAACACGACACTCATCATCCATTCTTTTCTTTCATTCTTTTAGTCCATTTTTTTGTGCGTTTACCAATCTCTTGTTGCTAATCCAATGTACCGCCTCTTTTTCTCGTTCCTCGTGGCCCTGTGTATGTACATGCACTGCGCGGTCGCTGCATCAACCCCGCATGAAATTGCCAACTCTCTCAATGAACTAGCACAGCAGGGATTCGCCACCAAGAATCTGGTATTGGAAATCAATTCCACTGCAGACGCTGGTCCAATTCCGGTAAGTGGGGGCTTTTTGGTCCATATGGCAGCTCTTAATGAGATTCAGGATGTGTATACCGAGATGGACACGATGGTCGCTGTGGTCCTAACAGATGTAAAATTCATGACGAACACGGCGACCATTACCGATCAGACGGAGCAGCAGGATGTCTATGAGGGATACTCAAATGTAGGTTGATGACAAAATGCCCCTCAGAGTCATTCATACTTAATTATGTTAGTTCGTACAATCCCTCCTCGAGCTCATGGACGCCTTTTCGAGCAGCGCATCCCAGCTGAAACACATCAACCAAGAAACCAAGACCAGAGTTCCCGCTGAAATTCGCATCTTGCAAAGTGCTGTTGACGTAAGCTTCTCAATTCATCTTTTGCCACAGCCTCTGTAAATTGCCCATGAGATGCTGATACCTCGCTAGGCCTACTTCTATAACATCATCGGTCTCTTCCCAGCAAACAGCTCGTACAACGCCCAAGCCAACAACCAGAAAGCACAGGTGGATACGCATTGCTTCCAGGCTGTCTGGGCATTTGATCGCGGTAATAGCAATGGTAGTCAGGCTACTTATCAAGCGCGCGGCGGCAGCTCCCTTCACGGTCGATGGATGAAGCGCGATACCTCTGGAAAGTAGACATTTCTAATTTTGAATATCACCTGGTTTGATAGTCCCCACTGCTGGACCTGGTAGATGGGTACCCCGGCCCATGGGCAACGCACTTGGTTCGGCTTTTGCGCAAACTCTCCTTGTGCTATTTGACAACTATAAAGTTCTATCAATAATCTTAAAATAACTTTTAGTCTAAACATGTATATATGCATATTTTGTAGTCTTCTTGAACTCTCCATAGGTTTGCAATACAGGTGGTTGAGGTTTTTTTCTCTCGAAGGTGGATCTCGGGTAAGTTTAGCTTTGCGGGTATGAAACCCCCGGCAACCGTCGCCGCACATCTTCTTCGGCTAAGAATGCCCCTTTTTCTACAATAGCGGATCTTTTGCGGTACAAAAGTTGGGGCAAAAAGCCCATCCAACATCGCAGGATTGGGTACAGCTTCGTCTGCCCAGATAGCGCCTGGTTGCCTGCATCTTGATTGGTGGGAAGTGATATTTAGCCTACTTTCTGACATGGACCCTTCCCATAAAGCGTTTGGCGTTAGCCAAGTCCCTAATTTTACAAAATGCTGACCAGCGCCCTTTTCGCGCGCAAGCTGTTCTCTTTTTTTCTCATTCTCTCCTTTCTAACATAACCACCGGAAAAGTCGCGCGTTTCAGTGCCAGCAACTGGAAAATGAAGCAACCCACGGTTATACCACGTTGGTGGTACATGATATTCTTTGTTGGGGCAATTGCATTGTTCATTGCTGGTGGCGCGCTCTTTGGCTCATGGTACTCCCACGCCTCAAATTGTGCCAACAGCTACTTCACCAACGTCAACGAGACCTGGAGCGATTATAACGATTGCGCCTCGAAGAAAAACGCGACATACTATGCCGCTCTCGCATGCTTTGTGGTCGCAGTCATTTTCAAACTCATTGCCTGGACCCTTCTCATCTTGCACTGCTTCCAGCGTCGGCGATACAATCAGCACCAGTTTGCTGCGAACTACCATTCTGTTCCTCCCATGGATCTCAACCAGCAGCCATACGGCGCTCCTGGACCCTATGGAGCTCCAGCTCCACCATACTACGCTCCCCCGCCGGGAAATCAATACTCGACTCAGTATTCGCCGCATTATCCCCCTCAGGCTCCTGGTCAGGCAACCGCTCCTATGTATCCGGATACTGTGTACTACGGCCCGAAAGATGCCAATTCCCAACCCTCGAAAGACACCCAGACAATGGCCCACTTCGCCTAGATTGGGTCATGGATATAATCGGCAAATGCTCAATCCTCCGGTCGCGTGACGACCTCAAAACAAACAAATCTCAACTCTTTCGGTGGAAGCTGAGCGGGCCTTCCTGATCGTGGCAACAACTCGACTTCCAGTACGTCTGTGACGTTGAATGTTACCAGCTAGACGCTTCATGACTGGTGAAGCCTTCTATCACGCATTTTCCAGTTTTCAGACTTGTTTCGATTCACGCCATTTTGTTCTGTACGCAATATACCCAGCATAGTCATTTAGGGCGATTCAGCATCGTGGGATGTAAATACAAATAATGATCATTTTTCTTGTCTTTTGTACATGAGAGCACGATTGCAATGCAACGTCTTTGAATACTGTTAACATTGTCGCTGCGGGCCTATGAAACTGGTGGACGGATCAACGAAGACAAACCAAGCTTTCTTTATTCTTCACTGTGAGTGCACACATGTTCCCTCCACCCTATTTAGGATTACGAGGTACCTGGATGAATACGGACTATACTTGAATACGACGCCCACTCATACGAGTAGGGACTGAAATACGAGCCCCTCCAATCAAATACGGACCGGACCCTCAAGTCCTTCGTCTAATTTAGTACACAGCAAACCGACTGATATGGTTGATTCCATCGTGTATATATATATAGAACTACGGAAAATTGTTGAGGGTCGTATAGGACACGCGCCTGTTCAAGCTTCGACCAACTGTGCCCTCTAATGACCGCCCTCCACTACAACGTCACTCGACAGAAGGAACACGCTGTAGGCATCATCTTTTTGGTTTCGTTCTGGGTGTGATACCAAAGAATTTGGGTTGGCTCCCATATGCGGCCTCCTCTAAGTTTGATTGGGCGCTGGATGGGGATCTAGAGGGCTTGAAGATCCTATGTGCCATGTGGGCTCTCAAAGCCTCGCACTTCTGGACCAGGCTGACGTATTCCATTCTATGTGATACTGGCCCCCGTAAATGATTGCCCCAGGGCCGCAATTCAAGACTTTGCGTGGCGGGGGCCAAGGGTCATCACGATGCGTGCGAGGATACCTGCGGCGCTGGGAATATTCGAAGTGAGAGAGAGAGAAGAACCTAAGGCATCGAGTCCTCTCAATCGTATTACTGCCTAAGCTAAGATTGCCCTTGCAAAGCTCCCGGAAATAGTGAGCCTCAAGGGTTACGAACATCCTTTGATGTCCCGTATAACAAAAATAGCTCCGCCTTGAAGTGGCGTGGTCTGTTGGGGGCCGCCCCGGAGCCTCGACGATCGCCTGCGACTATACGCGTACCACCAACATAATTCAGTGACGAATCAAGAGTGCAACATCCTAGTTTGGATATTTCACAGAGAACAAATGGCCCCAGGTTGTCAGCCTGTATGTTGATACTTGCTTCATGGAAGCTTGACTGGGGCCATCGCCCCAGCGGCATATGTGCAACAATACGACGGCCGCCCGAGGGATCGGCGCGACCTGCCAAAGGCTTGAGATCATAAGCTCCACAACTACGAATCCCGAGCAAATGGCCCCCTCATAATCCCAAGGTATAATAATGCGTATAATCCCGCACAGATGATTGAGATATTCTGTTTAAGCCAGATTCCTTCAACGACCTCGAACACTTCTGACATTCAGTACAAACTGTTCGTTCAGCTGCAATCAATACACCTGAACAGAAGAAATCAATCAATAATCATTTATTTCAATTAAATATTCAATATGCGATTCACCAGTCTGGCTGCCATAGGACTTGTGGGTTGCGCATTTGCCCTGCCGGGCCGACACAATGCTGCCAACCGCCAGCAGCGAAGAGAGATGCCAACGATGACAATCGATATCACTGAGCCAGGCACAGCACCCAGCCTGACACCAAGTTATACCCCAACGTGGACTTCCCAGCCCAGTCGTCGACCAATCCCAACATTCGATCCCAGCGGTGACTCTGGCGACGTGCCAGATTCCATCAGACAGGCACAGCAGAAGCTTTACGATGACATGGAGAAGGGAGTGTCACAAGAGCAGCTCCAGGAGGATGTCAATAACATCTGGTCAGCGGAAGTGGCAGTTTATCAGTCTTGGCTGGCGACACAGACATCCATATTAGTCCCTCCGAGCAACAGCGCATCGGCCTGGCCATCTTCGTCGGGAAGACCGGCTCCATCTGGTAGTATGCGCTTCCCCGGTGGGCAGGGAGGTGTGAGGATGCCCACCTTCACCACTGATACCGCATCAGCGGCTTCATCTACGGATTCATCGGCTGCTGATGACTCCTGAATTTGAGAACACGGCAATCCCTTGGAACCTACACAACTGAACGGGCCATCTGGAGGGTATCGGGTTGGATGGGTTTTCGTACTAGTAAATATACACCAAGTATACTGTGCGCTGCTAGACGTGGCATGTTTCAGTGGGCTAGAAAGTGGATCTTCAACAAATATGCTATAGCCTGGAAGGGATGATTCGAATTCATGACATAAATAGACTACCGTCAGTTCAATTTTGCATTCAGTTCGCTTAGTTCGATCAGGATGAATCAAGCCATTTTGGCGCCAACAATATACGCAGTCTTTAAGTATTGTAAGTTATACTTCTTAAGGGCTCGGCGGCCTGGAGGAAGCCCTATACTTTCCGAAAGAAACCTTAATGGGGACTCTCGAAGCTATATGGAATACGAAGGAAGAGAAAGTAGATTAGGCAGCGTGAATTAGAGGAGAGAGAGGGAATACCGAGGTGATAGGAAGAGGTAGGCCTTAGAGACCCACAACGCAGCCCTCGCTAACTAAAATCAATGTAAGGTACCCCTCCCTTCTTCAAACCGGCAAAATCCTGCTGTACGCAAAGTTGAGTCCATCACGGAAGGCGATCGACTCGATCCCCGGGTTCACTGGCGCCGGCGGGGTTGACGGGGTTGACGGGACCGAGTTCGCTGGAAGAGCAGAGTAAGATCACTCTGCATCTGGTTCAGGGTTGCATCGACGCTATCCTGGCTCTGACCCAGCTGGTCCAGGCGCCTGGAGTGTCGTGCCTCAACGCGACTGACTCTTCTGGAATACCGGACGTTTCTGCGGTCGATGCGCATCAGCCGTTCCTCAACCGATGGGGCAGAAGTTGCCTCATCGAGAGGAGGCTGCTCATCTGGGCTGACGAAGGGATCTGACTGCGTTGTCCGAGGATTGCGGGGGCGAGAGTCGACCTGCAGATCCGGCAGAGGAGGTTGCTGGACCGGGCCATCGAGAAGATTCGGCTGGGTGGGCTGAGGATCATGAGGGGGAAGATTGGCGCGCAGGCCTGGCATAGGAGATGCGTCTGATGGTTGAGGCACATCCTCTAGCTCAAACGTGCAGCGTCCTCGCTTGCCATTCCAGCGGCAGTTGGCACAATGGGTCGTCACATCACACACAATCACACATTGGTGAAATTGGCCCCCGCCCTCCTGGCACTTGATGCATTCGTTGTCTTCCGCGGTTCCAACTACCTGCATCAGGGCGGCCTCCACGTTGGCGATCGACCTGCTCATCTTTTTCAACCACTCTTCTGGGGTATTTGGAGCAGTGGTCCGCAAAATAGGCTCGCGCACTGCTGGGAGACGATCCAGTATTCGAAGTAGGTTCGACTTAAGACCGTTTCTCCGCCGTGCGACAGTGAAGTCCCAGTCTTTTGATAAGATCTGCCCAGGCTTGATCCAAGACAGCGCCCCACCTGGTCGCGGAAATGACTAGGTGTTGACTAAACGTGAGGGCACCCGGGGGCGCTGGCCCCGCGAAGCGATTGGTGAAGTCAGTATTGAACTCAAAATGGTGTCTGAATGGACTCACCTGGACATCTTTTCTGCGAGAGGAAGCCTCGAGATGGTCGAAGAGATAGACAGATGAGAAGTGACGTGTAGGTAAATCGAGCTTGGTCAACGCGTATCCTTTCGGGTGGATCTTGGAAACGCGTGGGTGAAGTGATGAGGATGGTGAGAGGAAAGAAGAAGTGAAGGGAACGTGATACCCTCAACCTTTATAACTTCAACCAGATCCGTGTTATCTTATCAGAGGCTTTATTTCAGGTTCGATACTCTATACCCACAAACACGCTTCAACTTTCTTTCCATATGTCTGTTGCGCCGCCATTTCTTTTGGCCCGGGTAACCTTTTAGTCTATCGTTCAAACCTCAAGCCCGGAACTGATAAGATGATTTTGAACATCTGTCGGGTTAAAACTTATAGATAATAGAACCATACTGCAAGAGTCTATCATGTATTTTGCAAAGAGCACGATGTAGACTGTCTTGGTGTCATCCAACATGGATATGCGTGTCGTGCGAGAAGCATTTTATGTTGATACGCGGAAGAGCATGGGAGCTCGCAGCTCTCCCATTACTCCTACATGTATTTTTGAACTCTCTGATCAAAATCTGATATTATCCGCATCGTCTATCATTCATGAGCTTGGCTGCTATCTTGCTAATCAGAACAGATCTATGTGGAATGACACCAATATACAGCTATCCCATCTTGACTTCACTGCTTCTCAATGAAAACCACTTGACTACCATAGTCAGTCTCAAAAAAGAACTGCAACCCGACATTCATCAAAGCCGATCCAGAATAGGTAGCATTATCGTCCACGCTATAGACGGCCTTGGGATCCAAGCCTTGCAGCTTGATCCAGGGAAGAGCATGATTGATGTTGGGGTTGATCTGGAAGTAGAAAAGGACGGCCTGGGTCGCATCTTCTGAGACGAACTGAACGGCGGGCCAGTTTGAGGCCTCGGGTAGACTCAAGCGGTACATATCTCCGGTCAGAATGATCGGGTTGACCTTCTCAGCGAGTGCAATGAGGCCAGGAAGAGCGGCCTTATCCTCTGCTGGGATTTCGGCGGGGTCCAATTCCAAGCCGAAAGATCCACCCATCATTGCAACATGGCCCCGGAACGCAACAGGCAGGGTCCTGCCGGTTTGTTGGTTTGGTACAGCTGAAAGATGAGCACCCATCGCACTCGGGGGGTATACGAGTGATGTTCCCATCTGAATCGTTATGCGCTCAACCGCATCGGTATCATCCGAGGTCCAGATCTGGGGGAAGTACTGGAGTACGCCAGGATCGAAGCGACCGCCTCCAGAAGCACAGCCTTCCCAGAGAACGTCTGGGAATTGAGTGGTAAGGTTTTTGAAGACTCGATACATACCCAGCATGTACTCGTGATCCGTGGAGGGCGAGGGCATTTCGTGAATACCCCTATTGTTATCCCACTTTACATAGGTGATATCAGCGCTGCTGAGAATGCTTGACACAGACTTTATGATAAAATCTTGCACCTCTGGAAGGGCGACATTCAGAACGAGCTGGTTTCGCCTTTCTGTGCGAGGGTAGTCTCCGGCATGCAAGGCCCAGTCAGGGTGTTCGCGATAGAGGCTGGAGTTAGGATTGACCATTTCGGGCTCGAACCAGAGACCAAAGCGGAGCTTCGTGGATGTGTTTGCAGCTTTCAAAGCGGTGATGCTAGTCACTGCGTGGTCCAGACCATTGGGAAACCGCTCGGGGTTTGGTGTCCAGTCTCCCAGGCCGGCGTTGTCAGACAGGCGAGGGTACTTGTCACCGAACCAACCATCATCCAGGACAAATAGTTTGATTCCCAAGTTCGCAGATTCTTGGGCAAGATGATAGATGGTGCTTTCATTGTAGTCAAAACCAAGGCCTTCCCAGCTGTTAAGAAGTACAGGGCGATCTTTCATGGCAAATTTACTCTTGATGAGATGGTTGCGATAGAGTCCATGGAACAAACGAGACATGCCACCGACGCCATTTTGGGAGTAGACGGAGACACATTCCGGCGTGGTCAGCGACTCGCCTGGTCCGAGGTTCCATGAGAGCTGGTTGGGGTTCAGTCCAAGTAGAGCACGCGTGAAGCCCTGTGAGCCTTTCTCGACATCCACAGAGAATGAACCGGTATAAACTAGTGAAAAGCCCCATGCTTCGCCACTAGATTCAGTGGCAGTCGGATCCACGAGTGCAAGGAATGGATTGTGAAGGTGCGAGGAGTATCCTGTAGAGCTCCCAAAGCTAACATTGTGGTGAGAATCGCGTCAGTTCCTCATGGAATTTTGGAGTATTTTTGAATTTACCCTTGAATTCCGTACTCCACTTTCCTTCGTTCGCGGTGCGCTTCACGGGCCCAGTCACCTCTCAAGCTGATCATATCCAAGTCTTGATAGGGAAAATCCACACTCAAGCTCGCAAGGGCTTCGATGGTGATGTTTCCCTCGCCCTTGTTCGTCACGTTCACACTGCGGACAATTGCATCGTACTTTGGGAATACGGAATACGACAAATCCGCTGCCACAGCACTATAGTTGTCATAAAGATGAACGACCAAGGTGGTTACATCCTTATCGGTACCAAAGGTGGCAGGTAATCCTGGCAGTTCCGGCTTGCCCTGAATCACATCGTATGAGTGGTACTGCAGGTCAGAGACCGTATAGCCTTCAGACTGTCGGACGCGAATGGCAGGAATACGGAAGTCACCCCGACCTTGATCAGGGAACTCCCGGCGGACTCGACCTGGCATCCCGACCCAGCCATTGACCGCAGGCACATTCTCAAATGGAATGCCCCCCGCCACACTGGCACCGAAATGGTCTGACCAAAGATCACCAGTCTTGTTGTCGACATGAAAGCGGTATGAAAGGTTGTCACCGTTTAGTGCAAAGGTGGTACCATCCACAACCACCGCTGAAGATTGAATATAAGTAGGGGTCTTTGCAATGTCACCCATGATAGAAAACTGACCGTTTGAAGAGCCTTGAGCTGCTACTGTCGACGTTGAGCCGAACAGGACTATTAAGCTAGCGGTCGCAGCCGCTTTCCGCATCACCTGACTCATTTTTTATGACGACCAGCAATAGTGGCAATGAGCGGTGTCTGTAAAAAAAGCAAAGAAAGTAGGCCGGTGAAGATATTTCGAACTCTTTTATACTTGCCCCCTTGGAGAATGCGTGGGGTTGCGCCAACCCGATGCCGGCCAAAGCAACCAATTATTGGCAATTTGCGTGGCTTGCGTGCAGATCATAATGTAGTATTCTCCCCCGATTCTGGATATTCTGGATAAAATCTATCGAGATGCTGCGGGGTTTGCAAATGCAGCTTGTAGTAGCGAAAGGTGCGGAGAATCGTCAAGGGACCAAGCATCGAGTGGTGAGAGTAGTTGTGACTCGTGAGTTGTTTTGGGTGGGAATCCAGTTGGTTAGCGGCGTGTTTGGAGACTATTGATTAGCCAGGACGCGCCGATCCCGCCACGATGTCAATTTGCCAAGAAACTTGGGGAAAGGTCTCCCGAGGAACAGCCGGTGAATGTCCATTGGTCTTTGCTTACCCCGCATCATTTTCTGGGGCCATTTTCTGGGGCCATGTCCTGTCCTCAACGACTACACCCAGGATGAGGAAGGCCAAGGCTTGTGCAGCTTGCCGGTAAGTCAGGAGATACCGGTTTTGGGGATTACATGTCGCGTTTAGCACGGCTTGTTAACATGTAGCCCCACAGTGAACGCCGACGGAGGTGCGACATCCGTGCATCAGGCTCTCCATGCACGTTCTGCATTGCTCGAGGTCTTAGGTGTACAGCTGCACGTCTGACTGGAAATGCTGCCGATGTGGGAGATGGCCTGTCACCTTCTTCCGATCCAACCACGAGTGGACCTGTCCCTTTATACAAAGAGGGGATACAGAGCAGCCATTCACCATCCCAATCTGTTTGCGCCGAATTGGTAAAGCTCTATTTCGACTATGTACATGACCAATTTCACTCTCTTTTTCATCAGCCAAGTTTCGAAAAGGACATGGCTCGAGGCAAGGCCCCGAAAATCTTGTTGTATGGCATGATGGCCCTGTCAGCAAGGTGAACAATACACCATTCCCTTCATCTAGATATTACTTATGTCTGAATGGTTTGCTATAGGTTCTCAAAAAACGCGGCTTTTCACGGCACAGATCCTCGACTGAGAGGGAAGACTTACGCAAAGGCTTGTGCGAATCTACTTGATTGGAATCAGGTCTCCTTGACAACAATTCAAGCATGCGTTTTGCTTGGCGCAATTGCAGTTACGGAGGGGAATTCGGCGTCGGAGAACATCTACTACGCCGTCGCCTGCCGGATTGCCCAGCTGCTAGATCTTCCGAACTGTAAGATGGAGAGCAGAGTAGAACAGGAGATCAATATTCGAAGTTTGTTTTCTCTTAGCCTCGGGCGCAGCTTCTGTCAGGTTACTAATCATTCACGCTTTATAGCGTGGTGGAGTTTGTGCATGATCGATGTCTGGTCTTCCACTGGTGTGCGACTCCCACGACTGCTCCCCCCGAAGGAAAACGTTTCATTACCGATAGATGAGGTTGTGTTTCTGGGAATGAGTCGCGATCGTGGTTTTGACGAGACAATTCAAACGAGCAGGAATTCTTCACTTCTGGCGGAAATGGTCCGCTTGAATTATATTCTGCAACAAATCAACGATTTCAATATCCGAGTGGCCGAATCCAAACTCGATTCCGTCGCTATCCAAGGCGACCTAGAGGATCTTTCCTCACAGCTTGACAGGTGGCTTGATGAGCTCCCCGATCACATTCGAGACACCCGCGAAAACCTGGAACGTTTTTCTGCCTTGGGTCTAGGTCGTGTGTTTGTGGCAATCTACCTAGGGTACTATCACTTTGGACAGATGCTTTTCTACCGCTTTCTTCACGAAGACTCGCAGTCGACTAGTCTCCGCACCCGACACTATGCCAACAAATGCAAGGAGCATGCTGGTAGACTATGTGATATTGTCTACGCATCGGAGACCGTGCCCAACTGCGACGCAAAGTACAACATGGTAGGGCATGTTCTTGTCATTGCGTCAACGGTGCAAATTCACAGCCTTCTATTCGAATCAAACGATACAAATGTCGCTCTGGCGAAGGAGCGACTGGAGAAAAACTTTTGCATCCTAACGCAACTCTGTGCGGTCTGGCCAACATTGGACGTCTGTATGGATCGTCTCATGGCATTCCACAAGGCTTGCAGAGAGTCTGCAGATACAAGTTTCTGCATGGATCAATGGATGGTACGATTCTTGGTAGAGTTTGCAAGCCCTGTCACGGACAAAACCTCTCATGCAAGCGATGGAAGTCAATGGTCGCTAGCGGAATTGGGCATCACCTCCGACTGAAAGTGGATGCTATAGTTTTGATAGCTATTGTACTTGAAGAATGTGGACAATCATCAATTATTCTCTTCGCAAAATGGATCCGCTACATTTGGCGATTATCACGCGATTTGTAGTCCCGTGAAGCCGACGGCGAAGGATTGCTTGGATACTGCCCTGTTGTTGAACTAGGTCATTAGCCCTTTCAGAGCGACCTGGCGGTATAGTGATTGATAGAAGATAGATGAACGCGGTAGGGTGCAAGAAAGTGGGAAGATAAGTCCTTCGATTACATGCATCACTCGCTTACAGACTATGTTAAGGCGCAAGAGATAAGGTTTTAAGACAGAGGGGGTGGTATGTGACTTCAGAGTAGGCGTCCACAGACTCGCCCTTATTTAACAAGAGTTTGGCGGCGAGGGTGACCAAACATTCAAATTAGTCCACCCTGGGTAAGATGCACATGCAACGTTGTCACAACCTGTGCTGCAGCCGTAGTCCAAAACGGCCATGTCAGGGGCTCCAGCATAATTAGGACCCTGTGCGGCACCACAAGTAATACCACATGCGCCGGCGTTGTAGCACAGTTGCTGGTATACATAACCATACCCAGCGAACTGGCGTTGGTAAACTTGCCCGACGCTGTTAGCTGGCACATTGCAGGTATATGACCATGTCCAACTGTATTGCTCGGTGAGTGTAAAAGTGAACGAAGGGCTCAGACCTGCAACGATGCCACTACCCCCAAAGCCCCATGATTCAGCATATGACATACTAAAGCCGACTGAAAAGCCCAAGCTTCCACCAGCATTGTCCAATCCGGTATAGAGACAACCAGTAGTTGGGGTCCAGTGACCCCATGTAGCCCAGGCACCTTCGCTATAATAAGCGTAATAAGAACTCGGAATACACTGACGCGACTGTAGGTTGTGGTTGTTATTCGCGCCGATGCGGATGCTTGATGTATCGACAACTGCACCAATATCTTCATGATAGACGAATGCAGGAAGCGTTGCGTTGGCTATGATCAATTCGTACAGGGTAGTAGTGTTGTATGCCGGGTATTTGAGATGCTTCTTAAGGGTTTCCTTGTCGCTCCAGTCCAGCATGGCTCCGGCAGCAACTCTCGTAGGGTGGAGTACGGTTTCCTCTGGAGTTACCTTCGCACAAGGCTCGAAAACACCGGAGCATGCAGCATCGCCATAGACGGTGAGGGTTAAGTTGTGAGTTCCGCCGACGGTATTGATATATTCGCCAATGAGGATAGAATGTTCCGGGGTATAATTTCCAACGGCCAGCATGTCGCTGATGAGTCTGGCCCAAACGGTAGCATTCGAGGCGTGAGGATGAGTGTAGCCTTCGGAGTAATCCAGAGCGAGGGTGTACGTGTTTCGGCCAATCGTGAGTGAGCTTGCACTAGCCTTTCCACTAGTAGTTGTTTTCTCACTCGGGATGAGCTCAGTCAGACTGGCTCCAAAGTATTCTGAGATGTTGGGAAACGCAGAAAGATTCCATGTTCCATTGCATCCACAGTTCTTTTCCGCAACCACTTTATTAATGCGTAGTTTGCTGAAACCATTTTTCCCATAGAAAAGGTTCAGACTGGGTGCCGACGCTATTGCGCTCGTAACCAAGCCTGTCAACAACAAGACCCGAGTGATGATCATTGTGCTACTAATTCGAGGCTTTCTGTGTTCCTTGAAGAACGTTAGAATCTCGTACAGATGGAACTATCGCTTAGTGAAAATGAATAGATTCTTGAACAACTCACAACCTGCTTTGCAGAACAACTTCCTGCGCGTTGTAAAGTAAGTTCGGTTGATGAGCATAATTTTGGCGACGAATTTCCTCCTTTATATACCTAATCTGCTAGCGATAATGAGCAGCAGATCCAAACATGTCTAATCTAGAACGTGGGCCATGATAGCCCCGGTTCATAGCAACACAAGGGATTGGAATTCGGTTTTAAGATGCCCTAGTGCTTATTTACTATATTGTACCTCCTAGTGCTTACTATATTGTACCGAGTTGTTTTAATCAAGTGGAGAAGTATTTTAAGGTGTGAAAATATACGCATATATCATTTGATCGGAGCGCATTTCTGGTAATTCGGTACCAATCTTTCAATATCTTTAGTCGAACGATACTATTTCCAACCCCAAGAAATACTATACTTGTCAAAATATCTACTTCTAAGAGAAAGAGAGAGAGTCCGTTGATTGAGTAAGGAAGCAGTCACTAGGTAACTCAGGTAGTTCCAAAACTAGATATTGCGAGACCCTCCTGGGTCATAGCTAATGAATCTTCTTGTCGACAGTATAATGCAGGATTCGCGGGAGAGGATTACATACTAGGGAGCTGAAACTTCGGCTATAAGAAGCTATGTGGCGCAAAGCTGCCGATTCGCTAGCGAAATGCGGGCGTTTAGCTGCCACCTGTGATGTAACGTCATAAATCGCACGGACACGGACGCAGAATAGTTGAAATTATCGGGGAATAACGTAAAAGCAGATCATCGATCTCAAACTGAAGGACGTTCGAGGCATGAAGGAAATTATCTGAACTATCTCCTCTTCTGAAAATAATATCAAAGCAGAGCTGCGAAGGATAAAAGAGGACTCGCGCTGAATAATGCTACTATGGGAAATAGAAAGATCATTAGAGGAGAGGAGAAAGAGGCGAGAACAGGCGGATATTCAGCAGATAATCGAATGCTAGTAAGCTCAGCAAAGGGTTCGCCGTTTGGTACGGGGAAGCGGCACATCGTTAACCTTAATAATACAGTTTAGCAGTACTCAGGCAGCAGGAGGCCGGAAAAGGTCGACGCCTCCAACAGTGGGTAAGCTTACGATACGAGGAGGAGTACTTGCCACTCGCCACAGCATCTCTAAGTCTGTCCAGAGAGATTATTTCGGCATCACAGTGGGAACTTGTTACCCAATCGCCTAAATGCCCTTGCCGGTTCCAACGTGTTGTGCGCATGATCCATAAGGCCTAATACAGTATATGGTATAATCAACAGAAACCACACGGATCCACAAGGCCTAATACAGGATATGGTAAAATCGATAGGAAACACACCGAACATAGCAGCCCTATTGTTTCATTCCACGCGAATAAGGTCAGCACAAACATATTTTCCGGAATTTTCGCCATTCTTTACACCCGATATCCCCATCGAAGTGTTGGCAGATTGGCTTGATATACATGCAGGCGTCCTTGCTATTCACGGTGCCCAAGGCAAGATTTTGCTGCTTTCCCCGGAAGGGCTTATAGGAGCCCTTTGTTTTATTTTAAGCAAAACCTTTCGTGCACTGGATGGAGAGCCGGATATACGGAAGCTCTCAATTAAGTGCTGGCTATTTGGAAAACGAAGAAATCTCCTACACCGAATACTATCACCATATCAGATCACGAACAAGTCAATAACAACCTTATAAATGGTCTATTTAAGTGCCTCTGAATGTATAATTGATGTCCTTCTATAGGAGTGGAGCCGGAGTAGCCTCCCGATTCTACCTCTCCTCTAGCTTCTGTATAGATACCTGCTTGCGCAATATTTGCGAGTTGGACTTTTTAACGGGTTTCCTGAGTTCGAACTTGGCTCGGTTGTAGAAGCAATCATAGCACGTTCTTCTTCTTAGTGGCCTAAAAACTACTAGTGACTAGAATTTATAGGAGGTTCGCTCCTTAAGTTCTTTACTTCTATCTATGTTTTCTATCGTTATCCGCTATAGTATGAAGGCTATCTGCCGAGGCTTAAGGACCTACTAGTCTTCATCGACCCTCCGGACCGTTGCAATCGCACGCCCTTATTCCTCGCTACTCTCTATGGATACGAGGATATCGTGCGTATATTGCTACGTCAAGGGAGCTCTGCGATCAAAGTCGCAACTAGTGCGGGCAGGACTCCGTTATTGATTGCCCAAGACCATAGCCAAAACTTGACAAACTCGCACGCGGAGCGCATGAACTCGATACTAGCATGTCTTCGTGACCCTTCCAGCGTTATGGCCTACCTGGAGAAAGTTGAAGCATCAACAAACGCGACGAACGATGACAGGAACAAAGTGATTTGTGACAGCTGCATTCTCGAAATATCTTCTCTTGACACACACACTACCAATGTGCGATTTGTGGCTACGGACACTGGAGCATTTGTCTGGAATGTTTTGGCGCCGGCGAAACTTGCGACAACCCCACGCATATTTTACAACATTTCAGAATGGTAGACGGTAGCTGGACTGCTATCCCAGACGATTCTACCAGTCAGTGACCGCATTGTTTTACTGTAAAAGGCTAATTTATGTAAAAGCGACCAATGAAAGTAACTTCTTGTGGGGTTGATGATAGTCTCGCACTAACCCGCAAGATGAATCCATTCGCATAATGCTGCAAGATGCCAAAATGCATCACCATCCCCCATCTTTTGTGAAATCACTACGGAATGCACTGGACTATTTTGGCGACTGGATTTCTTCATGTGGTCTCGAGTGCCTCTGTACCTCCAAGCCTGGAGATACATGTGAAAGACGTGACAGCCCCGAACATTGTTAATGTCCACGTCGAGAACGCAAACACTGTCACCCAGGATATTGTCTTCACGTACGGAAAATGCGACCTTGTCAGCTTTGACGAAATTCATGATACAATTGCAAAGATCTCTGGTGGTGGTATTACTGGCGTTGATATTCGATTGGTGTGGGTAGTTCCTGACGATGTTTGCTGTTTTGCATAGGACGACGAAGCGATGCAGCCCACGCATATATCCATAGCACCAGGGCCAAGCACTCCAACCTTCATCTGAAGTGCAACACCAGGGTGGATAAGATTATCATTGAGAATGGTCGCGCTGTGGGTGTTGCGACAGTCCCAGCCAAGCCGCTGGATGGCGTCGATCCACCACGTAGAATCTTCCGGGCGCGAAAGCAAAGTATCATCAGCGGTGGTACTCTGAGCTCTCCTCTCATTCTCCAGCGATCGGGTGTTGGCGACCCGGAGAAGCTGCAGCGCGCAGGCGTCAAGCCTCTCGTGAACTTGCCTGGTGTGGGACGGAACTTCCAGGATCACCTTCTCACCTTCTCGGTGTATCGTGCAAAGCCGGACACGGACACTTTCGATGACTTTGTTCGAGGAGAGCCAAAGATTCAGAAGAAAGTTTTTCAAGAATGGAACCAAAAGGGAACAGGTCCTTTGGCAACAAATGGAATTGACGCGCGAGTGAAGATTAAACCTACTCCGCAGGAGCTCAATGAAATGAAGAAATGGCCCACCCCGGAGTTCAACAGTGGGTGGGAGTCTTACTTCAAGAACAAGCCTGATAAGTCTGCCATGCACTACTCCGTCATTGTTGGGTGAGTAAAACCCAGAAATTCTATGTATATGCCACGCTAATGATCTTCAGTTGGTTCGGTGACCACATGCTGATGCCCCCCGGCGAGTTCTTCACAATGTTCCATTTCCTGGTAAGTCTTGAATCGTGTCAAATTCTATCTCAACAATTTAGCCCTTCCACTTCTCTGTTTTTTTCATTGCGGGATATTGTGTTCTCACAGAAATCTCTAGCAATACCCATTCTCTCGAGGGTCCACTCATATCCAGTCGTCAGATCCATATGCTGTCCCGGACTTCGACGCTGGATTTATGAATGACAAGCGCGACATGGCTCCAATGGCGTGGGGATATATCAAGTCCCGTGAAACCGCTCGGCGAATGGGCGCTTATGCTGGTGAAGTGACCGGAATGCATCCTCATTTTGCTTTTGACTCTCCAGCACGGACGCGTGATCTCGATCTGGAGACTACCAAAGCGTATGCTGGCCCGAACCACATCACTGCCGGTATTCAATATGGTGAGTATTCCTAATTTTCTACAATCTCGGAGATATTTTCATTATTAACATGGTCTTGATAGGATCTTGGTCCGAGGCCCTGGGCCCAGGAAAACAACCATCAGCTTCGACTCTCAGCTCCAACCGCCATGAAGCCCGCGAAACGCTGCATTATAACAAGCATGATATCGAAAATTTTTAAAAATGGGGTATGTCAACTCATCTTTAGGCATTTCTTGTCAGCTGCTCATGCTTCACAGTGAAACGTCATGTCGAGACTACCTGGCACTCCCTCGGAACATGCAGTATGGCCCCTCGAGAGGGAAGCTCCATCGCACCCCACGGTGGTGTTGTAGATGAGCGCTTGAATGTCCATGGCGTGAAGGGACTTAAGGTTTGCGATCTGTCCATCTGTCCGGATAATGTGGGCTGCAACACTTTCAGCGTAAGTTACTTCTACTTCCCGGGGTCGGCTTTAACTATACCAATGCAATTCCCAGACTGCGCTTCTTGTTGGTGAGAAGTGTGCAGTCCTCGCTGCCGAGGATATGGGTTACTCTGGAGATGCTTTGAAGATGGAGGTACCCACTTACCAAGCTCCAGGAGAGTTTGTCAATCTCGCTCGCCTGTGAAGGCACAATCTGGGATTCTTGGCGATTCTTGAACATGCTATCTTTCTTCTGATTTCCAGCCTCAGTCCTTTGGAATATTGTAGTTTGCTTGTCTCTTAGTTATGTTTGGCAGACTCAGACTGAAATCAATCCATTTCGAAAGTTGTGATCAAATTCCAGAAGACAGCAGTCGATTAAGAGATGCTGATTAAACTAACTCCCGTACTCCCGCTGCGACCAGCAAACCCGTTAATACCATTAGATTAGATACATTCATATTCCACACATTATTTTCAATCTCAGTTACTGTCGAGGACAATGACCTCCGCTTCCACCTCACCGATGCTCTCCACGCGGAGCGGGTCACCGGCATTGATTTGTGTGATGAAAGCGCCATCTCCCTCTTCAAGCACGGCATCCTCACTTCCGTTGAGCTTGATCTTCATCTTGCCCTGCTTTGTCATAGGAAGATGGATGTAAACGTTGCGCTTCTTCTTAGAGCTGACCACCTCGCCAGCACCAACATTCCACGTGAACGTGGAAGAAGGCGCAATAATACCGGCACCCATCACAAAGTCGGCGTGAATGGGAATAGTGCCCGGGATCTTGGGGATAGCGGCATCTTCATCCGCTGGCTTGGCTTCGGGACCGGCGGCGAGTGGCGATAGAATGTGAACAAACTCCTTGCGCTTGGCATCTTCGTCGAAAGTCATAGTGTGATACTGCGGCTTGAGGCCGTGCTTCCATGGGAGTGCCCAGATCTGAAGGAAATGCACTGGCTTGTTGGATTCGTTTTGTTCAGAATGAGCAATTCCTAGGCCACTGTTAGTTCTGGCTCAATTGGGTCAGAAAGTTCGGTATGACTTACCAGTTCCTCCAGTGGTGAACTGCACATCTCCTCGCTTCATGCGATAGAAGTCTTTTCCTTGCTCCCCTTCGGCTCCCTTTTTGATCATACTGTCACGGTGCGTGAGCTCTCCGCTGAGAATGTAGCTGAAGATCTCTGCATCGCGGTGGGGATGAGTTCCGAATCCATTTCGGGGTGCAACTCGGTCTTCATTCAATACTCGCAGACTTCCGAAATTTTGGAATCTGTGGTCGTAGTAGCCAGCGAAGCTGAATGTGTGGAAAGATTTTAGCCAGCCGCCGTGCTCGGCATATCCACGCTCGCTGGAGCGACGGAGAACGATCTTGGCGTTTGCGAGAGGACCAGACATGACTTGTTTGGGAATTTGAGATCGGAAATTGAATGGTATAAACTGTGAGTCTTGGTTTTTGTAATTTCAAGATGCTTTTTGGCCTTTGAACGGGTGAGAATGGGGTTTTTAAACCATCTGGATTAAGTTCTCTAGATGGATGTAGAAGGTCCGTGTTCGATTATGGAAGCATTAGGGATTGCCAGTCATCGACTACCAATGACTTTAGTCCGGAAATAGTTTAGCGGCCCCACTTTAATGATGATGTGTTGCTTACAAGATTCTTATTTTGCATGGATCAGGAGCTGTCAGCGGGAATCTGGTCAGCAAGAAACTCAGATTATTCCATTGATCCCATCGCCAAGGCGTAGAAGTGGATATTGCTTAATATACATATCCCAAAGACTATCAGATTTTTCTAGATCAACCATCTCCTTCAAAGAGGGTAAAATCGCCAGGATGGCTCAAACTCTGGAGAAAGGGGCTGGTCTTGCATGAGCGTCCGCACCATCTCGATCGGCATTCTGTTACCTTTCAGAAATCGGTCATGAAAGTCTTTCTCCGGCATACGTCGCCCGTTAACCATCTCCTTCCGCAAAGCGAATATCTGCAATGCTCCTAACATGTACCCGGCCTGGTAGAGTGGCGAATAATCACCGTTCAATGAGCGCCTAACCTCGCCCTCGGCTGTTGCGCGTTCGTGTCCAACGTCTTCCACGAGAAGATCAATACATTCCTTGGGTGACATTCGACCAAGATGAAAGTTGACGGAGAAAATGATCCGGGCGCATCTATGTAGTCGCCACCACAGCATACCAATGCGGTTCTTGGGTGTCTTGATCCATCGCTCGTCGTTCCAGAGCAGAAATTCCCAGTATAAGGACCATCCTTCGATCCAGAACGGCGTGTCGAATATGCAACGATAAGGCTTGTGCCTTGCGTTCATGTACATTTGCAAGTGGTGACCGGGAATCATCTCATGGAAGACTGTAGCTCGCGAGAAATGAATGTTATTTCCACGCAGGCTCATCATCTTGGCTTCATGATCCATCGCATCAGTGGGGTAAGAAACAATTATACAATCGCCGCCCAGAAAGAAGGGGTTCACTTTTTGTCTCTCGGGGGACATCATAAACATTTGCCAACTATCTTTGGCAATATCGGGCACTGTGACGAGGTCGTGGTCCTCGACAAATGAAACAGCTTCGTGCACGAGATCTCGAACAAGCTGGGTTTGTTGGCCTGGTTCAACAAAATCATTCTTGACTTCTCCTAGGGCCTTCTTCCAGTCGTCGTTGTATCCCATGCTCCGTGAAGCTTTTTTCAACTCAGTGATGCACCAGGCGAACTCTTTCTCACCGATAGAGATAATCTCCTCTGGCGTGTATGGGATCATCTCGGCTTTGAGCTCAAAGAGCAGTCCCTCACGCCCTATCGACTGGCCCACTATAGCATCATCATCTCCTGGTTTGATTTCGACCAGAATCTCTTTGATCGCAGCGGCCAAGTCTTGTAGACTCTGGTCAATGACCGCGTATGGTTGCGCCACCCACCAGTCGAATGTTGGATCATAGCCAGTGTAGAAGCCGAACCACTCCTTCAAGTGGCCCTTCAAAGAGATTATGTGATTTGCTGCTCGAAAGGCACTGTTTTTTGGGACAATCACGTCATCAGCATTTGCTTTGACTTGCTCGATCACGGACGCAATTGTCGCTTGAGACTCGAACAGTTTCTGCGCAGTGTCCTTCGGGTCGATTGGCAACACCAAGATGCGAGCCTCGCAAAGAGTCACTAATGTAGTGGCAAATGGTAACAGCGACGCTAGTCTTTCGTCTTGCTTGGCCCCAAGCTCCAGGCCGCGAAGCTCTCTCTCGAGATAGTTCTTGACCAGTAAATAGTCTACTTTCGCCTCCTGATCGTAGAGCTCAAAGGGCAGGTTATGCAAGGATTTTAACTCGGAGTTGAGAAACTGCTGCAGTCTTTCTCTTCGTCGTGGTGATATCTCGATCGGGAGAAACTCTTTTAATTCCTTGAGATCAGCCGTGATGCGCTCAATGGCACCACGAATTGGATCAGCCTGGGCACGTCGAATAGCGACACCCTGGGGAGAGGTGTAGAGGACCATTTTAGGTGTAAAGATGGACCTTCTTTCGTCCTCGGTTAGAGGAATCGTTCAATAACTTTGAACTGTGATCGGAGGTGCCGAGAACACGCGTCGCCTTCCACAAGCGAGTAGTGAAGGTAGGGCCTGGTCAAGCTAAATACTGTAAGGTAGTCCTTGGCGATAGGGGGGTGTGCCACGATAGGATACGATTGAGTCGGGATATCCAGCCGACAATAAGCTAATTGTCGCAGAGCCATCCGAATGGCTACTATTGTGTCGGTGTGACTTTTACAATCGCGGCCCGACTGGAGCTTAGAAAATAGCGTCTCGCGTTACTCCGCGTTTTTACCCAAAGCGGCGGGTTGTTATCGGCATGCAGGCGGCTTCGCTAAGGCTGAATCAATGGAAGTATCCAAGACCTCATACTTCTTAGTGCTGGAAGCTAGATGCGGGGAATATGATTCGAGGGTCGCATTGGTATCTTTTACCAGGGCTTATCTTGTAGACTGCAAAGATGCGGGAGGACTTTTGCTGAGGAGTATTCCAGAGCCGGATGCCCTGTGGAATATATATTCTCGTCTGGCTGCGATGTCCGGAGGACAGAACCACCAAGAGCCATTTCCATCCAGTTGCACAACTACCTATCAAAGGGAAAATACAGATCTTCTTGCAGAAGAACAGGTAGAGATGTCTTTGAATAGTGATAAGCGAGCAAAGGGCGATATACAAGAGCTACATAATATTGAGCTTTCGCACCAATGGGATCCAAACTTACCACAAGAGAAGCTGGATGAAATCTACGAGGCAGTCAAGACAGGCGATCATGAAAAGGCTGCAGAGTTAGACAAGGCATTCGTGCAAGACTCTCAGTATGAAGAGGTACGAGCCGCAGTACATAACACTGACGGTGGAGAGCCCGCCAACACGGTGCGTGCATGGGTTCTAGGAATGCTTTTCACGACCGTTGGAAGTGGATTGAACATGTTCCTGAGTATGAGGTAAGATTCATCTATTCTTCCAAGTCCCAATGTGCCCGCCCCATCTTACAAAAACACAGGAGTCCCGCCATCTCGTTCCCTTCCATCGTTGTGCAATTGCTCGTCTACCCACTGGGCTGTTTGTGGGCTAAATATATGCCGACAAGAACATTCAACACATTCGGAGTGCGCTGGACTTTGAACACGGGCCCTTTCAACATCAAGGAGCACACCGTGGTTACAGTAAGTCGTGCAGATGGCCTGTGTCGTAATGAATAGTCTGACTAACCTCTGGTAGATTATGGCAAAGTAGGGTAGTTTGCATGGCAGTCGATTCAATGGCTGACAAGGCGATAGCGTTTCAATTGGCTATGCCTACTGTACAGACGCTCTACTTGCACTCAAAGCAAAGCGTACGTCAAGCCACTCTGAGTAACGACTTTCCGCTTATCACAGAAATAGCATTATACAATCTTGACATAGGCTGGGGTTTCCAGCTTCTCTTTGCGCTAAGCAGTCAGGTCATTGGAATGTCTCTTGCTGGAATCTTCCGCCGATTTCTCGTCTGGTTTGTCCTAGCCTTGCTCAATCAGCACCTTTCTGGCAACTACTGATAATGTTATAGGCCAGCTGCTATGATCTGGCCCGGCCAATTTGCAAACACGGCACTTTTCTATGCTCTTCACGATAAGAGTAGATCTGACCCCGCTGAGACAAATGGTTGGACAATTTCCCGGTACCGATACTTCATGTATGTAATGGGTGGGGCATTCATCTGGTACTGGTACGAATATCAATAGCAAGGTCAATTACCTCCCATATCGACTGACAACATCACAGGGTACCTGGTGTCATATGGCAGGGGCTGTCTGTTTTCGCATTTGTCACCTGTAAGGTCGAGGACGAAGAAATTAACATCAAATTTGCGTAGCTGATTCGCCTTTAGGGATCAAACCGAACAGCGTCGTTCTGAACCAGCTCTTTGGAGGCTTTACCGGACTGTCATTGATTCCTATTACATTCGACTGGACGTACGTGCAAGGTCTATACTAACGCTTGTACTCCAAAACTGATCAAACACAGCTATGTTTCCGCCTATCTGCTAGATCCTCTTCTCTCGCCTGTGCACGCGATCATGAACACATCTATTGGTCTAGTCGTTTTCGTACTAATCACAACAATTGGCATCGCATATACTGGAGCCTTGTAAGTTTCACACTGACCGAATTGTCTCGGGAATCAAAACTAATCAGGTCTCAGTTATTCTGAGTATCTCCCCATCAATACTTCCTCGACATATGACAACACACAGCATTCCTATAACGTGAGCAAGATCCTCGGTGCAGGCTTTACCTTTGACGAGGAAGCGTACAAGGCTTACTCGCCCATGTTCCTTGCCCCGACATTCGCCTTGAACTATGGGCTCTCATTCGCGGCTCTCACAGCCGTCATTGTTCATATTATCCTTTTCCATCGAAAGGAGATCTGGCATAGATTCAGAGCTGCTCAGAATCAAGAGCCAGATATTCACTTGATCTTGATGAAGAAATATAGGGAGGTGCCCGACTGGTGGTATGCGGCACTTTTCTTGGCCTCTGTTGCTCTAGGCTTGGCTGGCATTCTCGGCTATGATTCCCAACTTCCATGTCTGTGAAGTCGATTCTGTTTTCACACGATGAATATTACTGACAAATTAACAGGGTGGGGATTCTTCGTGTCAATCATCGTCGGCGCCGTATTCATCGTATGTGCAACCCTGCTCTGGTATTCTGACGGAAATCTCTGACTCTTGTTGACAGATTCCCACTTGCATGATTCTTGGAATAACCAACATCCAACTATGTATGTCTAATCGCGTGTTTTCTATGCAGGACTGAGCTTACAAATTTAGCTCTCAATGTCCTGTCGCCTTTCTTGGCGGGATTCATGATTCCTGGAAAGCCTATCGGAGTTATGGTCTTCAAAGTCTTCAGTACTATCACTCTAGGACAAGCGTAAGCCACCCTCTTTTTCGAAGACCCTGAATCTAATGATATTACCAGTCAATACTTTTGCGCAGATCTTAAGGTCAGTAGCAATGGAATTTCTCTCGATTGTCCTTCAACTTATCCCTCGTTTTTCTACACAGATTGGTCATTATATGAAGGTACCACCCCGTGTCACTTTCATGTGCCAAGTGGTTGCCACAGTTTGGGCTTGCTTTGTTCAAATTGCAGTTATGAACTGGACTTTGGACAACATCGAAAACGTTTGTACCACGTGCGTCATTCAAATCCTTAAGGTTCCCTTGACAAGATGACTAACTGATTTCATACAGCACTCAAACCGCTCATTTTACTTGCCCCAACGGAAAGGCATTCTTCTCTTCTAGTATCGTATGGGGTAAGTGTAAATTTCGAGGATGCGGATGCTTACGCTTTCTCTGCTAACCTGTGTTGCAAGGTGTAATTGGTCCCAACCGTATGTTCGGACCTGACGGTATCTACAATCCAATCCAGTATTTCTGGTTGATCGGAGCTCTCCTCCCTGTGCTATTCTACGTCCTGATGCGTCTCTTCCCACGGTCCAAAGCTAGATTGCTGAACGCGCCAGTGTAAGTGGAAAGAAGAACTTCATTACCGGAAGATTGCTAACGTCGTTACTAGGATGCTTGGTGCTATGGCCTGGTTACCTCCGTAGGTGCCCTGCATTCTGATTTCACAGGAGATAACAGACTAACAATAACAGTGCTACACCATTGAGTTACTCATCGTGGGTTATGTTTGGGCTAATCTTCAACTACTGGATTCGTCGTCGCTGGGGTGGCTGGTGGAGAAGCTATAACTACATCACAGCCGCTGGACTGGACTCTGGACTGATTCTCTCGACGATCGTAATTTTCTTCGCCATAACCTTGCCCAGTGTCTCAGCGCCGACCTGGTGGGGAAATACTGCTCCTTTTGAGACAATGGTAAATACCTCCAGGCATTTGGCGAGTTTATTAGGCTAATATCATTCTAAAAAGGACTTCTTTTACACTGCGATTCGAAAGACTGTTGCAGAAGGAGAAATATTTGGGCCATCAACTTGGAAGTAGTTAAGTAGTTATCCGCGGAGACCATGTCAGAAGATTGCGCACAACAATGCCGTCATTATATGACACCCTCGGGATCTGTTTCCTATTCCATTCCCTTGGCAGACTCCACCCAGTTATACCAGTCTATATCGCTATCCAAATCCATATCATTATCAAGTGTCCCCAAGTCCACGTGTTCAAAAAAGTCATCAGTCCATAGCGAAGACACAACACCATCTCTTGGGGGCTGGGTAGAGAGCAGATTATCTGGAAATGCAGGCGTATTCTGTTGGAAGGGCGGCTGAATTGTTGACTCGAATGCTCCCCCTCCCAAATTATCCAAATTGAATTGAAGATCAAACGTCGTAGAGAGGGCTGCCTCTGGGTTCTGAGCAGTCCCAACCCCATCCTGCCAAAGCTGGGTATATGGAACCGACATGGTGTTAAAACTCACATCCACACCTAGAAGCCCCCCAGGTGGTGCTCCCAAGCTAGCTATTGTTGACTGGTCCTCAACAGACGAAGTGGCTAGTTGTGCTCCAAATGGAAACCCATCCGTCGGAAAATGAATCAGTTGCTTCCATTGCTCGAGGAAAAGAGCCGCGGCGTTAGACCCAGTTGGAAAATGACCATTACTCGAAGGATGTGTCATCGTCAAATACTCGATTTGCAATTTCTCCGCAGCGGACGTATTATTCCTTAACCGGTTCAGTTCAGCCTCTCGATACTTTGTCCCTTTGTTCATCAACTTCTTCAAAGGGAACCACATTCGCAAATTTTTGCGCATGTTAGACTGAGTCGGAATGAGCCAGACACTGTGAAGAGCGGTCCAGGCCCTCTCAACGACTGGAGACCATGGTCGGCGAAGAATCTCGATCAAAATGTAAATAATTGCATGCCAATGGGTATATGTTTGGAAAATCCAGCGCCATTGTCGACAGGCCTGTTCGGCATTCAGGGCATGGTTGTATTCGGCAACTTCAATCGCGGCGAGAAGCAGCTTTGTTCTAAGCTTCTCGGACAACTGTTCACTCGGAGAAGAGAAAAGCACGGGTAAGTAAATGAATAACGTCATCTTGGACATCATGAGACGGGCGACGTTGACGATAACCCAGTACGATATATTGGACTCTGTTGAGTAGCGTAGAAAGCCCTCATCCAATTCTTGGTATATCCTCTGCAGCATGTGGTCCTGTTCCTCTAGGGTAGGTGCCTTAGGTCCATGGACCATCATCCGCTTCGAGATCTCGCACGTTTTGATCGAAACCCGTGAGATAGACATGTCCGTCAACCCCTCGCGTTCTGATGGCATCTGCTTTAAATCGGGTTGAATATCGCTATTATTGATATTCAGTGGTAGCTTTGTGTCGAAGCTGTCAACCGGAATAGTGAATTCAGTGCCTTGATCCTCTGATGCTCTGACATCAAATAGGCACAAGGCCCACCAAACGCGCCGGCGCATCTCAATCTCAAAGGGCGAGAGATTGCCGAAATTGGACCCATCTCGATGAAGCCCTAGTGACATTGCCATCCTTATCGCGATGCCAACCATCATCCACACAAACCTGGGGCTGTCATGGCGACGGGCGAGAGCCAAGAAATTAACAAGAGCTTGGATGAGAACAAGGTCTGGTACGTTGAGAAAATCGGCCTTCGCGAGAGCATGCTCAAGACCGAGACGATACTTCAGGTTCAGTTCGGCTTTTGTAGATCCAAAGTTCTTTATCACGTCTTCCTCTTCCATAGAGGTCACTGCCGCATAGTAGATCGAGAACATGAGGGCCTCGTTGGCCGGTGTCAGGCCAGTCATGTCACCGCGCAGGTCTCGAATCATTTTTGTAACAGTTGGTTCGTGAATACTTTGAAGAAACATGTTCACGTTTTCTGAGAAGACACCTAGTAGAAAAGGTATCTGTGAGGGTAGCGGGTGAAAGTCACGGAGGTCTGGAGTGAAATTCATCAGGTTGTGTCGGAACATGAATGCATTTCGATCTTCGGGAGAGCGTTCAAGCTCTTGTGTGGATGGAGTCTTCCCAGGGGACCAATCCTCCTCATCAGAGGTATCGACTTCATCACGAGCCAGGCCTTCCGTAGCCATCTTCAGTTCATCCAACTATCATTGTACAGATCAGGACGATATCCTTTCTACAGCAGCGGATGGAGCGTACCTCATCAGTGACACGAGACCAAAAGCCGCTACCGATATAGCGGCTCTGGTTAGTATCTCGAAGAACCAGTCTCCCAAACTGCTTTTGTAGATGCTCAGAATGTGGTGAAGATGTACTCGTTGGATCGTGAGTGGAGCTTCCAGGAGACTGGGCCGCAGGGGAAACCTCAGCAGAGTTGGCCCTGGCATTTGCTTCTTCCAGTTGACCACTCAAATCTTTGACGAGATTCTCAAGCGTTCGAATTCGCTCCATGACATCTTCTGGGGCCGGCGGTACGAGACGACGGGCCCATCTCGGAGGACGGTCTTTTGAAGGAACTATGCAAGCGATATTTGCCCGGCGACAATTCGAGCAAGGCGACTGCTTGTCGCAACGGACTTTTCGACTTCGACATACGACACAACTGCGCGGTTTTAGGGTGCGCCCAGCCCCTGGTGTGGATGCTGCTGGTTCGCTCTTTGCTACGGGCGACCTCGCGTGTTTCTCGGCTTTTGAAGACGAGGCGCCCGCGACCGTAGCGCTCGACTCCGAAACTGTCGCCATGGGCGCCTTAGAGACCCTCTCCTCGCTGCTCAAACTACTGCACGTGTTGTCCTTTCAATCACACTAGTGAGTTGGTCATCACGCAGCAAAAAAAATACTCGCCGTTGAGATTGTGGTTTTGTTTGAGTGCTATCATCGTGTCATCGCTGCTCACACCACCGGGCAGCTTCCCATTTGAGCTTAGCGTCAATCACCTTCTGCTTATACATGACAGACGCTCAAGCAGCAATCCGGGTTTGTCTTAAGAGATATTTGAAAAATGAATGTTTATTACCATAGTGTCACCTAAAGGGCTCTTTAGGTGGTGCATATTCCGGCGATTCCAGGTTGCAAATGGGTAGCCAAACATGCTTGTAAAGAGACCAACATCCTGGATGGGCTAAAACAAGCAATATTTTTCTCCCTCGCCTGGTCACAGTAATCTAAGTTGAAGCTTGATCAAAGGAATCACCCCGTGCGCAGTTTAGTCCAGTCAACTCAAAGCATTATGCAACTCCGAGCAATACGCGAAGGAAGCTAACCGTAGACAAACAGGCTAAAAGTGCACGTAAGCAACGGATAGTCGATGGCGGGCCAACTACGAAAGAGCGAGAAAAAAGCGAGCTTACTTCGTACTCCGTAGTAAGCCACATCATGGGCCGCATACTACTCGGCCAACATTCGGCTCGTATCTAAGGTTGACGCGACAGCCACCATGTAGATAAAAGCTCGTGAAATACCCGCCCAACTCCAAGAGCTCATCAGACACAATCAAAAGATTACTCTTCACTGATTACCTTCACTCAAAAACCTGCTCATCTTCCAGTCTCCCTCAATTCTACAACCAGGAAACTCCAACACTATGACTTCCACAACCAAGACAGTAGCCTTCTTTGGCGCTAGCACTGGCGTCGGTCTTGCAGCTCTCAAGACTAGCCTAGCAGCAGGCCTCCAATGCACTGCACTCTGCCGAACTCCATCAAAGCTTGAGGCCATTTTCCCCGCGGGTTCCACACCCAATCTGAAGATCATCAAAGGCGACGCTCACGATATCACCCCGGTCTCAGAATGTATCCGCACTCAAGATGGCAACCTCGTCGACATGATCATCAGCACCATCGGCAGTCGACCAGTCGGGTGGAAGATGAATCTCGCAGACCCAGAATGCTGCCGCAAAGGCGCTTCCGTCCTTCTCGAAGCCATCGCTCAACTTCGCAGCCAAGGAGCCTCTGGAAAACCCCATATCGTGGCTTTCAGCACCACTGGCTTGTCTCGATTTGGCCGCGATTACCCACTGGCCATGTTCCCAATCTATGTGTGGTTGCTCCATGCTGCCCATGAAGACAAGCGAATTATGGAGGATAAATTCATCGCTAGTGGTGAGAACTTCACGATTGTTCGTGCAAGTATTCTCAATGATGGCGAGACGAAGAAAACCGTCCGGGTGGGCATCGAAGATCCCAAGGCTGGACGGGAGTCTACTGAGATTGGATATTTCATCTCAAGGGAGGATTCAGGGCGATGGACCGCGGAGAATCTCATTTTGAAGAAGACTCAGAAGTATGAGAACAAGATTCTCTCGATTACGACTTGATTGGAGCTCTATTGCTGTTTTTTGTGGGTGGAACTTGTCTATTTGTCATGTTGCTGGTGTTGGTTTTGATATTGTTATGCAATTCTTGCGGTTCTTTCTATTTCATTTCACTTATAGTATCTCGAATTCCATGCACTACCTTCATACCCTTTGCAAGAGTAGATTCAACCCTTGACTTAGAGTATTCATGCTTATTCTTAAGACATGCAAGCAAATGCAGCCCATTAACAATTCGATCAAAAATAGCCGCTGTTTGGCCAGGAATTTTTACCTGTTAGAGTTTCAATCTCTAGTTTTCTAAGATCTATAGCAAGGACAAGTCTCATCACCCGTCATTCAGAGTAGCTTTCTTGGCCCATATAAGCAAACTTGGGCGTTCGTTTGCCCCGCGAACGGGCAGTCCAATATTTGCAAAAACTGTTCGTTCTAAACTCTCTCGAATTGTGATACTTCCAAAATTGAGCAATATTTCGATTGTGTTATTGCTCATTTTTTGTTACTAAAGATCCAGCTTCCAGTTATAGTTTATCGCCAGGGCAGTTGAATGCCTGAGGCTAGATCTAACACGCTAGTCCCGATCAGGTGTCAATCTGGCGATTCTCGCGCCATCATCCGGCACCAACGTTTCCCTCCGCCAACCTAAACACCCCAGCATAAATCAAGATGTCGTCCTCACTGCGGATGGCCTCCGGAATCCTCGGCCGAGCCACCCGCAACCTGGCCTCCATTGAAGCAACCCCTTCCCATCGCATCCTCCCTGCCCTCCGCAACACTAGCCAACTACAATGCCGCGCCTACACGCAAGCACAGCGACCCCGGTACACCCAGAATGTCCAATGCGCATTCGCGGCACGCAATAGCTTCTCTACGACTGCGTTCCGAGCTCGCGCTAAGACGATGGGCCAGCTGCGCCAGCGCAACTCGACCGGTCCATTCTCGTGGAAGGCTGCGCTGTTGTTCGTGCTGACTGGTGCGGGTATGATGATCTATTTCCGTGTTGAAAAGGCACGTCTGGAGCGGAAGCGGATTGCGGAGATGAGCAAGGGTGTTGGGAGGCCGAAGGTTGGCGGTCCGTTTGTTCTGAAAGATCTAGACGGAAAAGAATTCACTGAGGAGGATTTGAAGGGCAAATACAGCTTTGTAAGTCCGATTTTGGAACCTGAATCGACTGCTGTGGTGATTGGGGCTAATTTGGTTCTTTGGCGGTGACAGGTCTACTTCGGTTTCACTCACTGCCCCGATATCTGCCCTGATGAGCTGGACAAGATGGCCGAGATCATTGACAAGGTCAGGGAGGCTACGAAGGACGACAAGCTTTTCCTCCCGGTCTTCATTACCTGCGATCCCGCCCGTGATACACCGGAGGTTCTGCGCGAATATCTGAAGGAGTTCCACCCGGGCATTGTTGGCTTGACTGGTACCTACGAGCAGGTCAAGAACGTCTGCCGCCAGTACCGCGTGTACTTCAGCACACCCAAGGACGTGAAGGCCGGAGAGGATTACCTGGTGGACCACAGCATCTACTTCTACCTGATGGGTGAGTTGGACCATTCAATGAGTCTGTGACGATTTTTTACTGACTTTTCGCTATAGATCCCGATAACGATTTCGTCGAGTGCATTGGCCGACAGGATACCCCCGAGTCTGCTTCCAAGGTGATCCTTGAGCACATCAACGACTGGAAGAGGGAAGGAAAGCCTTTGAAGGTCGAGTAAATGTCTCGAGCTGCATGTATGAAAACTGTATTATATCACTGTCCAATACCAATACCCTGCTCACTGGACTCCGTCCAACCACCACCTAATGCTTCATGGTATAAACTCCTTTCGCTGAATCCACATAGACCAAGTTCACGGAGTCATGCAATGTAAACCAGCGTCATCATGACCCACGGGAAAGTACCAAGATGGCCTAACAAGCCACCAGACAACGCAGAAATTCAATCCGACTCAAGAACCATCCTTCTTAACCAAATTCCCCTCCGCATCCCGATCCGCATTAGCCCTCCACTCCATCCCCCCATCAACAAACTCCTCCCTCTTCCAAATCTCCGCCCTCTCCTTACAAGCCTCCAAAATCTCCTCTCCTGCCCTCCAAGACGCAGCCCGATGTCCCGAACTAACCGCAATCGCAATAGAAGCCTCCCCAATAGGCACAACGCCCAGTCTGTGCGCAATACTCACACCCTTGAGCTGGTGTTTCTTGACAGCGTCCTCCGCGATCGCCGTTAACGTCTTCAGCACGAGCGGTGGGTATGTGGTGTAGCTTAACTGCGAGACGGAGCGGCCTTCGAAGGTATCCCGTGTTGTACCGAGGAAGAGGGTGTTTGCTCCTGCGGTGGGGGGAGGAGGTCTGCGCGAGGTAGGTGTTGGCGTCGAGCGGGGAGTAGGTCAGTGTGAGGTGGATGTTATGGGTAGCATCGTGGTGGATGCGTGGGTAGGTGGATGGGTCCAGGTGTGCTGGGATGGAGGAGGCTTCGGTTGTCATTGTGTGAATGTGTATGGAGGTTTGGGATTATGGAGATTGAGGTTAAGGTTGAGTCGTTGACGCTGGAGTGTGTCTGGTCTCTTATCGATTGCGGGGAACCGGTGGATAAGTGCGGCTTGTTGGCGGAGGCCACCGAAGGGCGCAGGAAGTGGCTTCTTCGAGGGATGCTATGAGTGAAACCCACTTTTTTGTATATTCAAACTTCTAACTTCTTCCTCTATCCTCGAATCACCTTTACACAAGCAGCACAAACGCCTCGTAAGGTCGGAGGGCATATTTCCCCCACTAAAGCGCTTCGATGCCTCAGCCGATCGTTCGTAATTATTCAATAGCACACTCTTGACCGCACAAATTCCATTACTCAACGCATCCCAGGTCACATTTTTATCCGTCCAGTTGCACAGAATCAGAGCCTTCTGGTCTTCGTACTGGCGAGTATACGCAAATACCTCCTGGCTTGGGGCGTCCACGATCTTCCAATCACCATAGACAAAAAGGTCCAGGTGCTTCTTGCGCAAGTTGAGCACAGAGGCCCAGAAGTGGTAGATAGAGTTCGGGTCTTTCACTGCCGCTGCAGCATTGACTCGGACATAGTCGTCGTTGACGGACATCCAGGGTCTGACGTTGGGACCGGTGAAACCGCCGTTAGGAGCATCGGACCATTGAACGGGAGTGCGTGCGTTGTCGCGGGACTTTTTGCGGTACTCCTGGAGGGCGGTTTGTTGGGCCTTGGTGTCGAAGTGCTTGTTTTTGATCAATCTGAAGAGCATTGGTTAGCAGCGATTTGCGGAGTTGCAAAGAACTCGAAGAGACTCGCCTGTTCCAATGGTTCAGACAGTCAATGTCCTTGTACTCTTCGATACCCCATGATGCAGGAACATTCCGCATTCCAAGCTCTTGTCCTTGGTATATAAATGGTGTACCGGACTGCAAGGCCAAGGCAATTGCCAGCATCTTAGCTGCAATAACGCGGTGCCCCTCATCGGCGTTGGTGTAGCGATCAATCGATCGTGGCTGATCATGGTTCTCCCAATAAAGAGCATTCCAACCGTCGTTCTCATACATGAAGGTTTGCCATCGCTGGAAGAAGTCCTTCAGATCGGTCAACTTCCAACTGCCAGGCTCGAATTTATCGAACTCTCCGTGGTCAATGTCAACATGCTCAAAGTTGAAGATCATGTTGATCTCATTGCGGTCGAATTGAACAGCTCGAAGCACTTCTTTCTCGTCCTTGACGAAAGGCATCTCACCGACGCTGAAAGCATCATATTCTTTGAGGATCTTGCCAATCTCTTGCAAGTATTCGTGCAAGCGAGGCCCGTTGGCGTAGTATCTGTCTCCCCATTGCCATGGGGTTCGCGGATCCTTCACAGGTATATCAGGGAAGCCCTGATCTTTACTGATGAAGTTGATCACGTCCATCCGGAATCCATCACAGCCCTTGTCGAGCCAAAAGCGGATGATATCGTGGACTGCCTTGCGGACTGGAGGGTGCTCCCAGTTAAGATCGGGCTGCTCGGTGGCGTACAGGTGAAGATAATACTCATCCGTCAGTTCGTCATATTTCCAAGCACTCCCTGCAATTTTGTAGTAAGCACCTATTTAGTTCATCGGAGCCATTGAAAATACCGCCGTTTCATACCTTGGAAATGAGAAACCCAGTTATTGGGAGGATGCCGGTTACCCTGCTCATCATACTTTGCAGGCTTCCAGATATACCATTTCCGGTACTCATTGTCCTTCGAGCTCCGTGATTGCTTGAACCACTCATGCTGGTCGCTCGTGTGATTCACCACCAGATCCATGAGAAGCTTCATTCCACGCTGGTGGCATCCCTGAATCAACTTCTCGACATCTGCGACCGTGCCATACTCGTCTGCGATGCTATAGTAATCGGCGATGTCATATCCCATATCGACCTGCGGGGACTTGTATGAGGGGCATAACCAGACAATATCTACCCCGATGTTCTTGATGTAATCAAGCTGGGAAATAATTCCAGGGATATCACCGATACCATCATCGTTCGAATCCTTGTATGAGGCCGGCCAGATCTGATAAACCGAGCACTCTTTCCACCAAGCGCGGTGATTGGGGTTCGCAGACGGCGACATGGGCTGTGTTGATATAGAAACGGTAGCTAAAGGGTTATTCTCAGTTATGGAAGTGTTGCAAAGTTCAAATTCGAACTGAGGGGTTAGCTACGTGGGTGAGTAGAGGGCCGTGGTATCAGGGACTCGAGGGCAACAGCCAATCGCCCATATCACAGCTCACACATTGCATCCCACCGCGGGGCAGTGTGGAGAATTGGCTCTAAATAGATGATATCTGGTGCCGATCAATCGGGCAATGGTCGTGCCTATCAGGTACATCCGTCATTTTTACTACAGCATGAGTTGCGGGCTCGAAATACGTCCTGTCTCCGGGATGTGGTGGATCGTCTCCACCCCTGGTACAGGGACGCTCAGGCGATGATGCAACACAGAGGGGATTGTTGGCCTCGGGTACGGATCAATGATCCGAGGCAGTAATCTCTTTTTAGATAATCAGGGAAACTCAAGGATGTCGTTCCTCCTTGTATAGGTATCTTGTTGTCCTCTCAAAGGAGGCCAACCATAGGTGTTTACATCCATCAGACAGGATATGTTACCCAGGGGATGTATATTTGCATCGGATTGCCTGTAGATCCATGGGCCACCCCTAGCGTGAACTATACATCTTTCTCAATCATGGCACAGTTCAAAGCCTAGTTGAACTTTGATGTATCGTGTAATTTGGATCAACTGTTTTCATTCCCGACCGAACTCATGGGAATGACTCGAAGAATCAATCCATCCAACCTTGAAAATTGTACAGAAAGCCCGAGATGAGAGGCGATATGATATGGAGGCGGTCAGAGTTTTGCCGAAAGCTATCGCGCATCAGTGCAGCTCCAGCTTTCTTCCTTGAACACCATCTCGATGGCCTTTAAGGATGGCGCCTCCTTACCCAGACGATAGCCGACCATATTCGGGACCGTCTCGGCGGGTATACCCTCCCAGAGACGACCGGGATGGCCGCATGTACGATGATCGCTCTCGCTCACGCTCGCCTGGCGGTATACACTCCTCCCCGCACGGAAATGGTGCTTAAGCCATGAGTGGACTCGGAGAAAGCCTGAGTCCCTCCTTTGAATCCTTTGAGCTGTGGCTAATGTTTTCTCATCGGCTTTGGTGAATGAAGGCCCTTCTCACTCGCCTCCCACGCGACCAGCAGCAGATCGCAGGCACGAATACTCTCGGGAGAGAGATGCTGGACAGCAGTATGAAGACTGGGATCGGGATGACTATCGTCATCGATCGCCTCCGCGACGAGGAAGACAAGGATATCGCGATCGCGATCTCGAAGGATATAAATCGCCAGACTACAGCCGCAGTCGTAGTCCACGTCGAGGGCAGTCTGGATTCGGCCCAGAGAGTCGCGAGATCATGCTGGAAGGCTTTCCCGTGGATATGACCGAGGACGATGTGAGTTCAGTGATTGGAAGTGAAACTTCGACCTTCGTTTACAATGCGCTGACCCTGGTTTGATATCCTAGATCAGGGACGAGCTTCAGAACGCATACCAGGTTCATGGCTTGGAGGAAATTCGAGTGATTCGAGATCGACAAACGAGTGAGTGGAGAAATCACAATGCTTGATATGTGGGTTCATTTTGTTGATAAAATTGTGTCAGAGGTGTCGCGACAGCTGGGATTCCTCCGATTTCACTCTGTCAACGAGTCCAGAACCTTCCTAGAGCGGAATCACCCTTTCATTTATTTGTACGGACCGTCCGCGGGAGATAACGACCGAAGCACGAAAGTCCGGATAGCATACAGCCGCGAGAGAGAAGATCGGGCTCGACCAAAAACAGAAGGCGACTGGACGTGTCGTATGGTAAGATTGCTACGTCCCAAGCACAGAACGTTTGTTCCAAAGCTCACAACAAGATTTAGTGTGCTGTCGTCAACTTCGCGACCCGGCCAAAGTGTTTCCGCTGTAACGCCCCTCGTCCAGGTCTGTTCGCGCTTCCACTGGCATCCTCATTTTTACGCTGACCGAACAGCTTCAGAAATCATGCCCGTTGGCCCGCCCGGCGTTCCCGCGCCGAAGGTCGTGAACAATGGTGACAACGACGCTGCCCCCGAGAACCAACCATCCCAATTTCTTCTGTTCCGAGGTCTGGAGTCCTCGGTAACTGAGGAACTCTTGGCCAAAGGTGTTGCGAAGCTCTACCGGCCTACTGGGGGAAGCAAAGATGGTCCTTCATCCAGCAATCAGAAGAAAGGTGCCAAAGTCGCGTCGACGACTGGAGATGCCAACCTTGGAGCTCGAGAAGGCTCTATCCGTCGCGTACTGCTCGTTCGTGACCGGAGAACGAATGAAAGCTGGCGCTTTGGGTTCGCTGAATTCGCCAACGTATTGGTATGTAGATTTCACGCTGCTCACTTTGCGATGTTCGCTGACAAGCGTTATTACAGGATGCGCAAGCCGCAATGACACGCTTGAACTCGTTCGAAAAATTTACCATTTCATCCAGGCCTGTCATGGTTAGCTACATCCACGCAGGTGTCTTCGTACCAGTTATGGATCCAAACCCCAGCACGGCCCACTTCACATTCAGCCCACTGTCGAATCCGTCTGTCAAACTCATGTACTGGGATGACGAAGGGTATGCCACTGAGCTGATGCTTACATCGAGCGAAGATGATGTTGGCCAAGATGAACCTAAGAGCACCAAGCCTTCTGGACAGCGAGAACCAAATGAATCCAAGGGCACAAAAGATGCCGAAAAGGCTAAGAAAAGGAAGGCCGATACTGCAGCAAGCGCGAGTGCAAAGAAGCTTGCCGTGCCGTCCCACCTACAATTTTGGAGTAACCGCCATGCCGAGCTTCACGGCATCGCGAAAGATGGTGAAGAAAACGCCGCGGACGCTGAATCAGAGAAGGGTGGATTGCCCACAGACCTAGGCGCACCACCTGCTCAATCCTATGCCGATCTCAACCGAAATTGCTGCTATCTCTGTATGCGGTTATTCAAGAGTTCCGCCAATGTCAACATTCACGAAAGACTTAGCCAGCTCCACCGAGACAACCTACAGAATGAGGAGGCGAAAGCACGAGGCATGGCCAAGCTGGTCAAGCATGGGATCATTCAGCAATCTTCATCCGAATATCGCGACCGTGCTAGGGAGCGTCGCCAGGCATTTGGTCATACGAAGACTGGGGCTCGACAAAAGCCCGCAGCACCCAAGGAAGAGGATGCGCCGCCAGTTCAAACAACCTCGAAGGGTGCGTCACTGTTGAGCAAGATGGGCTGGTCTGAAGGCTCTGGTCTAGGGGCGCAGGGTACTGGCGTGACTGCTCCAATTGCCACAGAAGTCTATGCGCAGGGCGTAGGCTTGGGTGCACAAGGAGGCAAGCTTGGTGATGCCGTGGAAGAGGCTGGCCGAAACACCAGAGGACGATACGATGAATTCTTGGAGAAGACCAAGGAGACAGCCCGCCAGCGCTACGATCAGATAAATCAGTGATCTGTTCCCAGCGGGGCGTTCTGCTCTGACACAGAGCTTTGTACAATAATGATATCCCTGAATCGATCAAATTTGCAGTGAAGACAGTAACTACTAGTAATATCCTTTCCAGTCGTGATTGATATTGCAGCATCGCAGCCAACGCCTGATGGCCATGCTCCAGAACATCAAATGCATGTTATTGTACAGGGTAGTTATCGTAGAAAATCCATGAGCAGAGTGTATCCAAACCAATATGTCCCTCCTAACCGACTCAATCAGTCTCCTCGCTTTGACCAGCCACACGTTTCTTGGCCTTCTCCTTCTCCAGTTGCTTGTCAAACCGATCACCAAGCACGCTGGAAACCCACTCGGCAACGTCTTTCTCGAGTTGCTCATCAGACTTGCCAGCCGCAACCCCTTCCAAAGAACCACGCATGAGCCTCCGCATATCCTCGAGTCCATTGACATTTAATGCACACATAATACCTCCCGTGGCCATCATACTGAACGAGATCACGTTGATTGTAGCCAGGTTCAGCGCCTCGAACGCCTCCATGGCCCCGTTGACATTGGGCTGGAAGTATATCGAGCTGGAATAGTAGGGTGGGATGCAGGCGAGGCGTTTCCTTATATTGGCGCGGCGTGTGATGTATACGGAGAGGGCGAAGAAGGCCATGCCGCCGGCAAAGAGTTTGAGGTTGGTCCGATCTGGACTTGCGGATTGTTGGGCTATTTGTGGTGGTTGGGCGGGGGTTTGTGGGGATGAGGGCGGCGCCGAGGCATTTTGATCGAGCTCCGGTGTTTTTTGTGCTTGGGTTGGCGCGTCAGAATCTGATTTGGAGCTTGAGCCCCAGCCGAAGTAGGAGAGCATTGTTGGAGGCACTGGTAGGATAGTCGTGCGTGTTTGCGGAGGTGAGATTCGTCGGGGTAGAAAGGATGTGATTGATACAGTGAAGTGATGAAAGCGAGCGAGTCGATTACACCACGCGTACTCGTGCAAGAGGAGTTCCAGAAAAGACCGTTTCTTAGTTTGGATAAAGCAAGGTCAGTCTTGGTCTGTTCAGGTGAAGGTGTTGAAGATGCCGCAAATCTGCGGAGACCCGGACGGAGCCCCGTCGATCCGGTGTCTCGGTTTATTTGGGTCACGTTACTTTTTCCATACGCTTGAAAGTATCGACTCTTCCCCCTTGGAAAACACACACAAAACGCTTGAATCGCCCTCCCCCTGGAATTCCCTCGTCTCCATTATGCCTACTTCGCTAATCGAGGTTCCTCCTGACGTAGCCCAGCTCCGCGAGGATATCTTTAATATATCCCACGGGTAGCCTATATCGATTGAGCGGGCTCGCTTCCAGCGGCTTTGGCCCTACCTGGATAACATCTACGTGTCCAAGGGTACCCGTAAATCCTGGGGCCTTATGGTTACCTATCTTTACTGCCGTCTCTTCAGAGATAAAGACCATAAGACTCTCGTCGCCCCTGGCGATCGTCAGCGGAATCGTGCAAACCGGAGCGCTATCGGATGCCCCTGCCGGCTAAAGAAGGTCGATAACGGGTTAGGTCCGATTCAATTGATACGAAATAGCAAAGAGGGCCATAACCACGAATACTCCGCTCTTGCATGGAAGATTACTAGTGGGATTAAAGCTCTGGCTGGCCAGGAAGTATCGAAGGGCTATTCGGCTAGCCAGGTTGCGAACGTCCTCAAAATCCCTCAAAATGGTAATCTTCAAGCTCTCCATTTAGCCGGGGGCGAGGCCCTCCGGTCACAAGATGTACGGAATGCTGGTTTACAGTTGCTAAAGGCAAATTCCGATTCTCGTAAGAGGGATATGGAAGAAGCTGTTAACCATGACATTGGGGCGCCGGTTGACGACGAGATTGGCGCACCGGCACGGCGAAAGCTTGAGATTCGGAAGATTCTTGATAGTATCATGATGAAGTATAATGAATTGGATGAAGATACAAAGGAGTGGGATCCGAATCTTCGGGATATGGCGATTCGAGAGTGGATAGGGATATTGGAACGCATCACTGGGCCCTTGCGGACGGGAGCGATTGAGGATCTAACACATCATGTGTTATCAAGGCAGGGGGAACCTAGTCGGCCAATGAGAGGGAAAGAGTAATTTTTAGAAATATGATGTTAATTTGATCGAATTATATCGCTGGTAGTGGGGGTGGAAGGAGGTTCTTGCGGTGGTAGTCGAATATCACGAGCTCTATCACGGTCACGTGAGGTTATGCTTACCAGCCAAGTGGACATCCGGGACCTTGACATTCATATCCTCATTGCTGTTGACAACGAAACAAATGATTCAACGTGTATGAGCCGACGTTTTGATACTTCTACCGATGTCCAATAGCGGGAACTTTCACATCTATGGACGATATAGGACCTACCCGAATATATAGCTGGTGGCGCATCGGACGTCGGGCAATAACCAATCCGAAGATCGCCTGAGAACTGTCAGCTTGAATAGCTTCCGCGATCTGCGAGGCCCACTATGGTTTATAGTGGAAAGCCAAGTACCGGATGTCGGAACTGTCGGCAGCGACATATCAAGGCATGTATTGAATAACCCGTCATGACCCGGGAAGACTCAGGCTAATGAGTTGTAGTGTGATGAGACCCGCCCACATTGTCGGGCATGTACTCGGACGGGGCGTTCATGTCCCGGATACCTGCATCCATTCGATGTGATCTTACGAGATCAAACATCATCGTTCATGAAAACAGCGGGGTCATCAGATTCCTCACCTGTCTCGAGCGACAAATCGCCTAAAACCAGCACTGAATCTGACGAGTCGACCCCCGAAGAAACTAAGGCTCTTACTCCCATCAGGTCATGTTCCCCGGCGAGACCAAAAAAGGCAGTGGCCTCTTGGCCGCCCCCGGTGGGACCGGCTGATCTATACCAACCCATGGAAGATACGATTGTTCCTTTGTTTTTCAATTCCTACCTGTACCTACCGAAAGGTCCTCACATTCGAAATGGGTTCATGGAAATTTTGCCTGGCATGTTTTCGAATACCAAGCCTGGATCATATCTTCATACCAGCACTTTGGCCGTTGCATTCTTTACTGTGGCTGCATGGACTGGGCAAGCTCCGTTGCTGCGCGCTTCGGAGCGGTATTTTACCAAGGCATTGCCGAAAATTCGAGATGCTCTGCGCACGAACGAAGACTCGGAGTTTGACGATATTCTTGTCTCTATTCTTTTACTTTCTACATATGAGGTAAGAATCTGCCAGATTTTCCACGAGGTTTGGGTTGGAAGTTGACTTATGGCGGTAGGAATTCGTGGCCATCAAAGACTGGGAGTTGCCACTCAAAGCTCACCTCAGAGGAGCCATAGCACTAATAAACGAAAAGAGAGCGAAACAGCTACCCGACCCTCGATCTTCAACAATATACAATGCAGTTGAATCACAAATCGTCAGTGTTTCCCCTCGGTCCTCCCACGATTGGGCGGATTCTAATCAATCAATCTACAGATCAAGACGACTCGAGGTCTGGACAATCCAATGGTCCCGACACCGCAGGTCTGGCCCTTGTCACTATCTGCTAACACGCCTCCCTCACCGCGCGTTCTACTTTCTTCTGCCGCCTCAGAACTTGTCAATCTGCGACACGCATGGGAGCGTATGATGACCTCATCAGCCAAAGAAACAGAAGCAACCACAATTCTCGCCAAAGCGAATGACATAGACATCAAACTCGTTTCATGGTCATACTGGGTTCCAGAGCATTGGATGCCTATCGCCGCAACCATAATCCCACAATCCGTTCGGAACGCCGGGCTCTGGCGCAATCGATGTGACTGCTACTCCGACATGTGGATTGCGGTGACATGGAACACTTTTCGCGACTGCCGCATCCTTCTACAAAGTATCATGCTCAGTTGCCTGCGCATACTTTCTTCGCAAGACCCAGACGGGCGAAGGGTCACTGCGGTTCAAAATACAATCCGCAAAATCGCGGATGACATATGTGCAACTGTCCCGTTCTTCCTCGGCAGTCAGGTCGAGTCTATTCGTATGAAGTCTGGTCTCGTCGAGTACCCTTATGCTGAAAACAGACCGGTCACTCTCACCCATAAGCAGTCAGCTCCGTTGATGGGTCCCTGGCACATGTTTGCTTATTTGAGGAATCTTCTGAATGCTGATTTGGGTCTACCTTTGGACCAGCAGGGCTGGCTCAAGGAGCAGATGGAGAGGATATTAGTCATATATTTCCAACGATAATTCTGCTTGTTCATTGCCCACTATACGAATAGTAACGAATACATTGCCCGGGTCCTTCCTACTCGGCGTGAATATGAAAGTTCTAAATTTGCGATATTCTCAGTGTATAGCACAGCTCGAACAAAACGACTGTTTCCATGGATGATGACGAGGTATGGATTCGGGACGGTTTACTCCATTCGTGTGACTACTACGAAGCACTCCTATGAAACCGTGAAATCGGTTGGTGTTAATTTTCTGAAGCTAAGTATGATTTTGTAGCAAGCAAGCCACTCAACCAGGACAGTGGTGTCCACCGAGCATAAGAAAAGGCTTTTGTCCTTACAGAATTTGGCAAGGGCAAGAATCCACCTCCGCGTATGGTCGCTCCGTAATCCAGATATACTCTATGTCTGGCCGTGCGCTCGACGGTGCGTTCGAGCTTGATTTCGTCTGCCCGGTTGGCTTCGGGCTTGACTCGTCGTCTGAATCCGAGCTCGATTCTTCATCTGAGCCCGCGCTCGGCTGGGTGTTAGGGCGCGAGGTTGATGCCTCGTTTGGGCGCGAGTTGGACAGTACCTTCGGCCCTGAACTTAACTGCACTGCCGACTGCACGGTCGACTGTGAGTTCTTCCTTGTCTGCCAATCTCCTTTATGACTTGCGTTGTCCTTCGCGTGGTCATTGATTGGGCATTTTTTCAGCTGTTGTCCTCGGATAATTGCAATATGGAAGATGTTCATCAGAAAAATCGTTCATTCTCTAGGTCATTATTCTATCACCGAAATATCAATCGCTAAGAAATTGAGACAACATAAGCTCAATAGATACGTGAGTTGACTCCAGAAATGCCGCGAGTCACATAGAAAGACTCGAAAGAAAGAAAATCACAAGCATATCCTCAACAAGCTCCTACTGTATACATCACAGAGCAAGGTCAAGGAGAACCCAATGAGAAATAAGCCAAAACGAAAACAGACAAACAGACGCTCATAAATCATGAAGAATAATGCAAAACATATATCATAGCAAAAAAAAAATTGCAAAATGCAGCGAGTTCAGGTTTTCATCGTTCCGGTCGTAATCAGCATATCGGCGCGGCCAGGTCGATGGAGACGATCAATACCAAGATGTTCCTTTCCATCGCGACCGACGTAAATTCCAAATCCATACATTGGCAGCATGCGCTCAGATGGAGGGGCAACAATAAGACGGGTCACAAGATCAGTCTTGCTGCGAGGTTCACGAAGAAGCTTATCCGCGAGGAGGGGAGACTGGTAGAGGTAGCTCATAAGATCGGCGAGAGTGGTGATATCGTGTGGCAGGTAGCGGCGGCGACCGGGCCAGATTGCCAAGAAAGAGACGGCATAAAGACCACAGAATGCGATCAGCGCGTAGAAGGCGGGCATCAGCGAGGAAATGCGGACGTCGTCGTGATCTGGGTACCAGAGTGCGATGAATACACCACCAGCCAGGATGGGGATGGCGAGGGAGATGAGGCTCATGAATGAGAGCCAGGCGACCTTGAAGTGTCCGTTGATGATAGCCTGGAGAGTGACTTGAATGGGGAGGGAAGTTGGGTAGGCGAGGAGGAGGCTCTTATCGGCCGAGGCGCCGTTGGGAGCAGAGAGTTCAACAAATGGTTGGAGGGCGCGGAAATACATGTCAATCGGTTGCCAGGCGAGAAAAAGCACATTTCCAATCACTGCTGGGATAAAGCTGTAGAGGAAGTTTGAGGAGGAGAATGCACTCGTGGATGGGAGAGTCGGTAGCTTTGGTGGGAAACCCCCCTCGATTGCATTGTTCACGAAGCTGACGGTGATGAATGCGATGAAGAGCGCGAACACAATGATGGTCCATACAATAACCGATGGAATGCGAAGGAACCAGGGCGTCCAGCGGTAGCGAGTGAATGGGGAGAATAGGTGGTGGTCGTAGCCATCATTAGCAAAGCCATTTTGTTCGAGGTCGAATCGCACTTTGGTCATTCCATGGGGTTGGTTTTGGCGACTCTTCTCGGTTTGGTGCAGAGAAGGCGTACGAATGGGGGCATCCACTTCACCAATTCCGTAAAAGATCTCGGGCTTCATCGATAGCTTCCAGTATCCTAGTCGGAGCACACGAGGATCCAGGGACTGTTTTACCGAGGGCACAGTCTCAGAGTGCTCATAATCATGAAGGATATTCGAGCGTTGGATAATGGAGATCAAATCTGCCAGACAGATCGGATCCCACATCAGACCAGTCCAACCTCGAATGAATCGGATGACAAGCAGTAGTAAACCAATGGCTTGGAGACCATACATTGCAACCACAGCCCAGACAACAGCTTGCACGGAGGCCCACCTCCACAATCCTTGCCCATCAATGACATAGTACTTTGCTTGGAAGACGCAGCTGAGAAGTGGGATAGCAAAGAAATTGGATAGCCAGATCGTGAAGAGCGAGAATCCAAATAGAGGTTCTCCGTACCGGAAATGAGAATGATCAGGGAACACAAAGTTCCTCGGGAGGATGGGTAGGCCTTGCAAGACGGATCCCCGTTTTCGCTCTGCTGCCATCATAGCAAATGGAGAGATCCGGTATACAGCAGCTTGGACGACAAAACTCCAGATGATAATGGGGGCTGCTAGGATCTGTGGCAAGAATTGCATAACAAAATACCGAGCACCACCTTGGCCATTATAATTCCAGATTCCCTCATGGCGATGGGACCAGATGTTGCAAAACACCACGCCCGCAATCATGAGGAGGCAGCAGAAGATCAGACCGAGCACAGCCCAGGGCCGTAGGACCATGGGAAGATAATCCAAAGGTGGGTATAGCAGACTCTGCTCGGGTGGGTCAACTGCAACAAATGACTCTGGGTCGACTGAGTTTGGGCGTTGAGGTAGTGCTTGGGGGGATGGCGATGTGAAGTTCGGTCTGGGTGGTGTCTCTGTGTGTCGGATCGGTGTGCGGGCACGAGTGAAATAGCCCAATCCTTGATCCCAGACAAGCCGATCATTTGGGTAGTCTTGATTGGTGGAGATTGAATCATGTCTTTGAGGAACCCCGACTTCTTCATCACGGGTAAGTTGGTCTATAGCGAAGCGGACATATGGCGAGTCGTCTAACCCGGGGGTCGGTGCTGGGCCAGCATAGTCTCTTGTATACCGCCTGACAGTGTCGTCGGACTTGGGGCTGATGCGAGCAACTCTGTCTTCACCGAATCGGATTGTACTGGCTGTACCCGGGCGAGGGGAGCCAAGGTCCTCTGGCGCAGGCAGCTGCTGTTGTTGGTAATCTTGGGACATTGCGGGGTGTTGCGGTTGTTGTGTCAAAGGTACTGTGGGAGACGATTCTTGAAAAGATTGATGTGAGTCTGGAGTATCAAAGCGCATTGCTGTAACACGACTATCCGGACTGGATGACGCTGCTCGGTCCGAGAAGGAATAGTAGTCGTCTGAAGCAGCGGCTGATTGCCGTGACTCTGTTCGGTAGACTTGAGGTTTGCTTGCTAGGAAGTAGTCAGTAAATGCTGACACTGAAGCTTTTTGATGGTTTCTAAACTGGACCATCAAGCTATACTTAAAGGGCATTTTGTTTGTACATACTGCTCACGTTTCGCAAACTAAAATTGCGAGGTGTAGGAGAGTCCGACATGACGGCCGCGGAATGTGGGTAAGTCTTCGAGTGTCTCGAAGAGTTTTACTCTCGAAGCATTCCCCAGCGAGGCACTGGAGCTTGGGCAGTCAATAAGAACTTGCGATGGACGAGATTTGGAGCCCAGCAGGCTTTTGTTTGGATGGCGTCGTGCTGGTGGGCTACTCCCAGCCTCCCCAGCCACCCACGCCGCGACTCCCAACCATTTGGCCAATAGGGAGGATTGAGACACGAGAGGTTGTCGGCTCAGACAGTTTTATTTTTGCTTTATTTCGATAAATCACAGCTATCGTGGCCAATCAAAAAGGGCGGGTGTCCGATCGGTCTGACGTCGTCGTGGTTGACCCGATTGAGTTGGCTGAAGCGTGTCGCGGCCCGATCCCTCGCTTTTGCCCCATCAACCATTCCATGAATAAGATCTTAGCTTCACTTACATTTTTAGAATTTGCTCCGTGTATAATGAAGTTTTGATTTAATAATGTCCTTTTGTTCACCTTTGTTCATTTTTTCGACTATCAAGGTAGCGGTGTAGCGATTCTAGTGCATATTCCCGTCTTCCTCCTGCGGTGTAGCGTTCACCAGACAAAGAAAGGCAATCATCAAAGCACCGTGCCAACTAGTAAGGTCAATTATTACCCCCTAGAATAGTCATTATAGGGATGAGACTCATTCAATTACCCGCTCAATTAATACCATCATCCATGAAATGGTGTGCAAATAGGTGTTACCGCTCCCCCTTGCTGGTGTCTATCGTGGCTGGGTCATAGGTATAGCTAGGGCATCTAGGTCAGTTGTGAAAACATGGGGCTATAAGCAATAAAATAAGTAATAGAACTCAGGATTATCCTATACCGGGGCTTGCTGTTAAAACATCACTACGTGGCAGCCCGCCCTTGTATAGCTCTCGCTGGCTGACTGAAGTGATTAAGTGCCTAGGCTGTGTTTTACCCCGACAAACACCTTCATATCAAGCCGTCATCCAGTAAGTTATGTGCATCCAGAGAAAAGTCTCCAAGACCCCATTCGCCGTCAAAAGCCTTATCCATACGGCCCGCGCCGAGGTCTAGTGACCCGATCCGATTTTTTGACTCATCTCGGCCCTTGCCTACGACTTAACCCGCGATACCCGAGAGCCTTGTGGAATATCCAAATCGCCAATCACATGCAACTTGAAGCAATAAATCCCGAGGTGAGGCAGAGAGTCGATGTTCAGTGGTGTCAATATTTAAAGAAGCCTAATCCCATCGTGAAGTATCATGCCAACGCTATCATTTCAGGTATAGTTTCCAGTTCCTGCACAAGGCTTCATTCTTTATAGGTCTCTCTCAAAGAAGCTTCGACAAACATGTCACAGGATGGTTTCCCTTCAATATTATTCTTCGATGTCCTGGGGACGATTGTGGAATGGAGATTTTGCATCGCAAAAGAATTGAACACCGCAGCACAAAGGGCTCTGCAAGACGAAGCTCGATCTCTGAGCCCCGATATTCGAGCACGTGTCTCTGATATGTCTACTTCGTGCTGGCAGGAGATCTCCGAGGAGTGGCATGGCGCATATATGAACTTCGGAAACACCTATGATGCATCTAAATCCTTCATCTCAGTCGATGAGCACAACCACAATTCGTTAGAGAATATTCTCACCAAACGGTCTCTCCGGGAATTATTTAGCGAGGACGATCTCGACAATTTGACACTCGCTTGGCATCGACTTGACTCATACCCTGACAGTGTGCCAGGGCTTTCGTTACTGGACACTAAGTTTCCGATATCTACATTATCCAACGGCAATGTAAAACTGCTCGAAGATCTAAAAGGGTACAATTCTTTGCCTTTCAAGCACCTCACCAGTGCAGAGCATTTTGGGGCTTACAAGCCGTCGCCGGAGGTCTATCATGGTGCTGCGAAGAGATTTGGCTTTAGCAGCTCGCAATGCTGTCTCGTCGCAGCACATCTTGAGGACTTACAAGCGGCCAAAAGGTGTGGGTTTCAGACAATCTATCTCGAGAGACCCTTGGAAGAAGCTTGGGATAGTAAAGGCGTTGCACGAGCCAGAGAAGAGGGGATTGTCGATTTTTGGGTTAGACTTGGAGGCGAAGGACTGATTGAAGTTGCTCGACATTTTGGAATAGAAAGTGCCATTTGAATGGATTATCACGCCGCTGGACCCTAAATTAACAGATTCAATTGCTTTCGCTTTGCAAGTGCTATGACTTCGAAACCTATTTCTCCAATCTCCGAGACATGACCGGCACTCATCGCAATACCCAAGGCTCTTTATATCAACGTGTAATTGTCTGAATAGCATGACCGTTATGCGAAACAACCCTAGCACACATATCAAGTCAGAATGCTCTAAGAAACATAATATTTCTGAAGTTCCAAGACCGTAGGAGAAGGGAGCACGACTTGCGCATGTTTCCGGCCCCGCCAATACCAAACCTCACATATCGCTCTTGGACCTTTGGTGGTGATCTATAGCGGATTTCTTCATTTCTACCGGTCATTTCCCATGATTGTATGAGTGTAGTCCGTCCTTGCAGTAGTGAGCGATTTTCTTCGTCCGTGTGCTTCGTCCGTTTAGCCCAAGGCCAAAGTCGCCATAAAAAGCGCATATTGCAAATTACCCAAGGAGATAAATTGATTCTCGAGGACCCTCCTTGACTAGCAATTAGGCTCGTGTGTTTGGGGATCTCCCATACTTAAACCTTCAATATGTTATCGCTGGGTTACGCGGTTATTGTAGTACGCATCCACAATCTTTCGACAGTTGTCAAAGCTCCGCTGCTCTGTAGAGCATTCAACCCCCATAGCCTTTTGGAAATTGCCACAAAAATAGTAGGGCTGTGGTGCGATCCCTTCTCGATTATTCAGTAGAGATTGCAACGGTCCCAGTGTCCGTGTAACCCACAGACACCCAGGTCTGTGTCCCACTAGAGCTTCCTATCCTTGATTTCAACCAAATAGAGTCATTTAAACTCTGGCTTGGCAACACAAAGAGCGACCTCGACTCGGGCTATCTTACCTAGTCCTATACGGGGAATTATTGCTAAGCGGGTTGTTACCCGCATAAGCTTACTTAGGCTCGACCACCGAACCCATGAACCTGAGGTCGTGTGCTTGGGGATGGGAAACAAGATCACAATTGAGCTCAGTCAGGTTCGATAGGTACGCTAAGCTTTCTCTTGCCTCCTTCTCTATCTCGCCCAGTGCGATAAACCTTATCTAGGTCGTTGTGCCCATTGCTCAATAATAATAAGCCTAGCCTTGGCAAGTGGAGCGCGGTTTGTTTCATCTTAAACGTGGACAGCGGACCGGGACTCCGCGAGAGACCCGTCTCCAACCAGGTCCAGGCTTTAGTTGATTGGGCCTCAAGGACTAAGAGCAAGGGTTCTCGATACACAGAGAGTCGAGACGAGAGAGCGCGCTATATTCACTAGTCAATTGGGTATAAAGCTACCGCGAAAAATGGCAGCAAAATCTTGCTTTGAGGCTGTCAAGTTCCTTGCTTGACAACCCACTCTCCGCACAATTCGGATAGATTCCCACTGTGCAGATCCTGTTTCACCAGTTTTGAATCTGTCGCCGGTAAATGATGGGTGGTAATTTGAAGCAGCACTGTTATCCAACGGAGTTAGTACATAAAAGTTTCAAAGAGGCGGAACCGACCAAGAGAAGTCTTTTCAAGTCTTCTCTTCGAGATTGGCCATGAGTAACATTTCGGTAATTCTTCCGGTGCATACGCTCTGTGCAAATGAACAGATAAGGAAGAATGCTGGGGGTTTCTTGACTTGGACATGTCTGACGCAGGAAATTAGTCGGGGAGGCCAGCCCGTGCGCCATCTGGATTGTAAATTGGACACTTTAACGGCGCTGTCGGTTAGGCTTGGCATGGTTGCTCCATAGGAGACCCCCACGGCTCTGAGAGGACGCCTCCGGGGGTACAGCGAATGAGAGACCCGGTCCAGGTTGCGCCCACCGCAAGAGAGGGGATCAGTGCTGCTGCAGTCATCCCGGCTCAGCGGGCGAAGGCAATCGGCTCGAGGATGGATTCTAGAATAAAAGAAGCAGTCGATCTGAAGCAGTGTAGAAATAAGTCAATCATGATTGTAGTGGTAAACAGATGTTTCGTGTTTCAAGTTCATGGAGAAGAGGAAGAAGTTCCGACCTTGTCTGATCCAATGATCATCACCTGGTCCAGTACTGCCTCAGGCCATCAATCCTCCTCTCTCTAGTCATCCACGGTTTCCTCCTCCTTCGCCTCCGCAATGGCGCCGGCTTATCGCTTCTTGTCTTTCTTTTAATTGCCCTCTTCTTTTTAGCCTGGCCTTAGCTTGGAACCTTTAACCCTGCGTCCTCGCTTCCCCTCACTTTTGCCCATCCTGGCACTTGCCCTTTCACTCTTTTCATCACTCTACGACCTTCCGCTCGCCCCCAATTTGAACCACCTCTCCTCCCCCAGTTCGGTCTCAGGAGACCTCCCATGAACCTCATGCTGCGTTAAATCGCCCCCTCCGCTTAATCGAAAGTGCGCGCTTGCAAGTCTGGAACTCCGCTCGTTTTTAGTCCAGCTTGAGAGACAAGATCCCCGAGCCACAGCTGTTGCTCTCCCCTCATCATGTTACTCAAACCCGCGACACCCCTCACCATCTTACTGCTAATCGCATTCGCCCTCCTCTTGCTGTCATGCCTCTCCACCCCTATCGTCAAGGGAATCCCACTGGCGACATTTAAGAATGTCGACTATGGTGTATTTGGATATTGCCAAGGCGATCAGTGTACCAATATCCATGTGGGATACACCGGCAGTAAGCATTTGCGCGCGATATTGTTTCTGCCTACTATCTCGTGGCTAATCATCCCTGCAGACAATATAGATAGCACCGGCGGCGACTTCAATCTCCCCTCAAGCACTCGGAAATCGCTTTCGTCCATCTTGATCGTCCATCCAGTCGCAGCCTTCCTCACTCTGGTCTGCCTCTGTCTTGCCGGCGCCGCTCACTTCCACGGCCCATCGCACTCGCCGCGCTTCTTGCTTGCCCTCTTGATCCTACTCTTACCCACCCTTCTAGTGACCCTGCTCGCATTCCTTGTCGATGTCTTGCTATTCGTGCCACACTTGCGATGGGGAGGTTGGATTGTCCTGGCGTCGACCATTCTTCTCGTCTCATGCGGGGTGGTGACTTGCGCCATGCGCCGTACCCTAGTCAGTCGCAAGGCACGGAAGCGTCGCATTGCTGAGAATGCAGAGATGAGCGGTGAGAACTACTATAACCGACAGAATGCTGCGGCGGCTGCCGTGGCAGCTGCGCCAGTCGCGACCGAAACCAAGGAAGCCATGGTTTCTGGTTCTCCCACCTCGGAATCAGGCCCAACATTTGCCACGTTCCGCACGGAGACGCGTACTAGCGACGATGACCGGACTCCGCTCAACTCTCGCAACGCCAATGGCATGCACGATGTTCCGCCGCCGGATGCCCCGTTTCCTAATCGCCATGGATCCCCCTATCGCTCTCCCCAGGAGGAAGCCGGCGTGCCTCCTGTGGGTCCGTATGGTAATCCCCAGATGATGCGCAACCCCTCAGATCCTAGACTCCGCCCCCAGTACTCTGATGGTAGCATGGGTTCGCGACGCGGTGGCGCTCCGCCCGGGTTCGGTCCGCGTGGCCGGGGAGGATACCCTCCTCGAGGCGGTTACGGACGAGGCGGCCCTTACATGGGACCGCCTCGAGGTCCTCCTGGCGGCCGAGGAGGTTATATGGGAGGACCAATGCCACCGCGCGGCCGTGGGGGCATGATGCCCGGTCGTGGAGGACCTCGCGGTGCTCCTGGTTATTCAGCGGGTCCCAATCGCAGCTTCGACTCGTACGGCCGACCTATCGAGGACGCCTATGATCAACCCGGAATGGCGACGGGTGGAGCAATGCGTGAACCCTCCCCGGGGCCGATTGGCATGGCGGTGTCCGCAGATAACGTGGGCCAGGCCATCGAAATGCAGCCCCAAATGCGCCGTCATGACCCTTATGCGTCGGAGCAGTCAATAGGCCATGAATCTAACCCCCACGCGTTATCTGTCAATGGAGCCCACGCGCCTCTTGAGAGTCCAACGAGTCTGTACAGCAGTACTGAGTAAGCTTTTCCCATGACATTTATTCTTTAGTGACCCGGCTAACCTGCGCGGTCGTAGCTCGTACGTTCCTGCCCGTGCTGGATGGGGTGCACAGGAATCAGATCGTCATCTTGCTTCGCGACCCTCACCATCCCCTGCCCATGCTGGTACTGGGAAACATTCCACCAACTACTATGAAGACGTGGACCCACGCTTTGCACGTCGCCCTTCACCACAGCCTAACTCGTCGCTTCCTTCTTCTCTCACCCCCGGAGGTGGTCATTGTAAGTCTCCGCAGCAGACAATCGACTTTGTTCCTTCGCTAACACTCATTTTAGTCTGATTTCTGAGTAATTTCATCTCGCTCTCCTTCCAATGATTCCACCGGCCTTGACACACCTTTCCTGCGATACCCCTTTTCATCCCCTTACTACGCCCTTTTTTTCTTGGAACGACTGGTGATTTTCTCCTAAACAACATGGCAATGCGGGTCATTCTGGAGAGTGGAGTTTTTGGTGTCTAACGATCTTACTTGGTGGTCCTCGTCTCGATTTTTCTGTTCTTTTCTTCTCAGGCATCACCAAGAATGGTCGTGTACGAGTGTTTTCTTTTCAATCGAGTGTGCATAGCAGATGCTGGCTCTTTTCTGCCTTTGTTACGATACTCGATATGTACAGATGTTGGTTGATGCGTTGTACAGAGTTCGATATCCTACCGCCTATTTTTCTCGTCTTTGACTTTTTCTTCCGGACACGAAAAGCACTTTGTGCCCATTTCCGCATTCCAAGTTTCTTTTTTCTGATCCAACTGACTTATCTGGGTAATCTGTCATCTACATACCCGAATCTACATATATTTCTTTCCTTTTTGTCTGTAATTTGCTTCGTTCCATGGAACATGGTTCCAGGGTCCGTTCTGCACGTGACATGACGTCGTAGCCCAGACTTGTAACACAACTGCCCCATCGCCATTTCCTCGTTGGTCGCCGATCATGACGGCCACGCTTGCGCCGTTGACATAAAGCTTGATTTGGGCAAGCGCCACTAACTTCTCACCCAGCGCACGGTCTCTCCACTCCCAGTAGAGAACCTACTCATTTAATGATGCGTTATCGCTTGACCGTAGCTCTGGTTTCGTGATGTTTCCTCTCTAGTGGCGCAAACAACCGTCTCTATGGACATCGACTCCGGGATTACTACACAGGATGAATGACCCAGGGCTTGACGATGCCATCGCTGACGAGGCCAATGCCCTCGATCATACTTCACCTTATGATGAAAACGACGATACTCGTGAGATAGATGCTCATCAACCACACGCGGCGCGATGGTGGCTTGCCAGTACAGCATACCCATTAGTTGCCGTATGTAACACTTGACCTCTTCAAAATCGATGTACAGGTCTAATCTTTCTTCAGGGCACGTTCGGGCCAATGTCTAGCGCTTTCAGTATCTGCTCGTTATCTCAACCATGGCGCATGGAAATACTCCCCGGCGGTGGAGAGCAAGATATCACTGATCCAAAATGGTACACCCTCGCATTGAAAATGGTCTTGTTCAAATACTAATCCTCGGTTATCAGGGTCACCGCACTCAATGCAGTTTCGCTGGTTTTTGCGCTCATCGCAAATCTGGCTCTTTCATTAAACATGGCACGACGCATCCGGTTCGAAGTCGCTCAGCCGATTATTATCATCGGATGGTACATATCATCTTTTCTGCTGCTTGGTATCTTGATCGCCTTGGGAGTTCTCATGTACCGACCGCAAAATTCCCAGCATGTCTACACGCAAGCGTACTTCTATGGGACGTTCGCTGCCGGGCTCTACTTTATCATCGCATCATTGCTGGTCGTAACGGCATGGGGTGCTCACAAGGGTCATTACAGTCGGGAGTACAAGTTGACCACCAGTCAACGGACTCTGATGCTACAGACTATCATCCTGTTCATCTACCTCCTTGGGGGTGCAGCAGTCTACGCCAGGATTGAAGGTTGGAAGTTCATGGATGCGGTGTTTTGGGCTGACTTCACTCTACTTACAATTGGTATTGGCAACTTTGTTCCGATTACCCATCTGGGACGGGGATTACTCTTCCCTTACGCTGTTGGTGGCATTGTCATTCTTGGTCTCATTATCTCTTCCATTCGGACACTCATGTTGGAGCATGGACGGCAAAAGATCGCCGACCTTCTCACTGCACGTACTCACAAGTTCTTGGTGAAACAGGCGTTTTCGGAGCGGAACAATCGTCTAGTTCCAAACCTGCGCGTTGATGAGAATGAGGCAAACGAACTTAGCGATCGCGAGAGACAAAAGCGAGAATTCATCACGATGCGACGTGTTCGACAATTAGCCACAGTGCAACACAAATGGATTTCACTCATCATGTCTCTGGTTGTCTGGATGGCTTTGTGGCTCATTGGCGCAGCCATTTTTTGGCGTTCCGAGGATCATCGCCATTGGACGTATTTCGAGGCTCTCTATTTCGCCTACACGACACTTCTCACCATTGGCTTTGGTGACTTCTACCCAGTCAGCAGTCTAGGCAAAGCATTTTTCGTCTTCTGGTCCCTTCTTGCCGTACCCACCATCACAATTCTCATCTCCAACATCTCCGACACCCTCATCCGCTTCGTCAAAGATATCACCCTATTCATTGGTGAAATCACCATTTTACCCGGCGACGAACCTTTCCACGACCGTATCAAGGATCTATTCCGCATCTCCTGGACAGACAAATGGCTCCAAGATACCACCGGCGAGAAAACCGGCTCTCAAGATATCCTCAACGAGCCCAGCAATGGCACCAATCGAAACGAGTTCAACAGACGCCGCCACGCCGTCGAAGCAGAAGAACACAAGAGAGAAGAATCCGCCCGACGCCGCGGCGACATCGCCGCCGAAAACGTCCACCACTACCACTACCTCCTCTTCCGGGAGGTTCGGAAAATGATGGACCTCGCCACGAAAAACCTATCCAAGGAATTCGACTATCTAGAGTGGGAGTATTATCTTGCTCTTATCTCGGGACAATATAAACCACCATACGAGTCAAGCACGGCGCAGGCGAAGGAGGATGTGAAACGGCAGAAGGAGTTCCGGGATTGGAGCTGGATTGATAAGAAGAATCCGTTGTTGGGGGAGAAGAGTGAGGTGGAGTGGTTGTTGAATGCGTTGACTGAGGCTTTGGAGAGGGAGTTGAAGACTGCTAGTCGGGATTATCATTCGCCGGATGAAGGGGAGCCCGAGGTTGAGGGTGGTGCTGTTGGGGTTTCGGAGGATCGGGGCGCTGAGGGGCTTGGGTCTGGTAGTGCTAGGGAGGATTGAAGACGTGATGGATGGATTATTGTCGACTTGTTTTACTTAGGTATCTATTACCATGGGATTTGACATTTGTAACCATAATATCGAGCTTTGCCCCAATCCGCAGTACGATTGTACGCTATCTCATTTCCAATAGATCCATTGCGTCAAGTGAGATAGCGAATAATACCTGGAATCAAGGGAGTGGAGCTTCCATGAAATAGAAGGGTACGATATCGATGATCTGATAAGTACCTATTTGTGAGCACCAGGTGAGAAAGACACATTTCTTAAGATGGATAACGAAACTTATCTATCCAATATGGTAGACACGGGCACTAGTAAGATCGAGGTTGGGAGGGGCATACACGGCACACTTACATATGTAGGGTCCCCTCAGGAATGGATATATATCTCCACAGAACTAGGTAGGCAGGTCTGCCAATCTAGTTTATATGACTTAACTTTGTGTACACAAAACCCGAAGACCTATCCATGTATGCAAAGCCTAGGTAGGAATTAGAAATTAAATCCGAGGCGCATCATCTGACTTCTAATTGGTTGGAAGTGTGTGAGCGAAATCATTTTGCTTTGTTGATAGCCTCAAAACGAGCTAAATCCCGTGGCGCGCACCCCGGGATGAGGGATACTTGAATGGATGTCTTCTACGAGACCTGAGTTAGACAGCCATCCCTGGATCGTAACCACATTTGACCGCTTAACTACTTATAGACTGTCCTGCTACACGTCCCTATCTTTGACACTTACAGTAATAGACTTCTAATACTTTGTGTCGGGGGCCGCATGATAACAAGCCGAAAATAGGAGTTGGGTGGGCGACGCAGCGGTGACGCGGCCTCGTTGTTCGATTGACTCGCAGCTAGCTCGCTTGGAAATAAGAATATCCACTTCATGGCGGTATCTGTGCCTTTCCAATCTGTCCACCCCCGCTGTCCCGTTGCAACGGCATTTTGTGGCTCAAGGTAAGTCTATCGTCGCCGTGCAGTATCGCAAGTGCCGGTTTAGGTTCTTATCTAGCCAATATTAAATGTCTTGACAAAGAGAAGTGCCGAGATGGGCGAGATATGATCGAGCTCGTTAGTCGTTACCTCTAAAGCGACATTGAGGACATGTAGAAGTATACAGCAGGATCAGGTGAAGTTTTCCTTTCGAATATTGGAGGGAGGTGCGCATAGCGATCTAGGTTTGTGATCGCGTATTTCTGCCATGCTATGGAATTGTTAATTCCTGATTCTCGATGTCCACATGAAGTTGCCGAGTAAATACGGGGTCTGGGGAAATTTCATATGTGATTGTGTACCGTAATGAATAATGCCGTGCCGCAACGTCCACTCAGAAAACTCCTCGATACGGCTAATTAATCTAACTAACTACGGAGTAGTTAGTTATGGTGCTTACGGCGCTGACACAATGAGACTAGTGGCATTGGCCTTAAGAAGTGCCGAACAGCTTGGCATTACGCCAATTAGCTTTTCTGAATGTCATATCTCAATCAACCAGTTTGATATCCACTATACAGTGCTAAAAATCAGGTCCAATCAATCCGTGACTGAGAGCAGTTGAAGGCGCCATTCTCCACCTCTTCTGTTATCGGAAATACTCCGGAAAGAGTCACGCAAGTTACACCACTACTGTACACTATAAACGCTTAGTACAACACTAGCGAGTACAACTCGACTCACTAACTATCCAGCGATTTCTGATTTATTGGTGCGCCATCCGAGAGACCGACTCAGATGATAAGGTCGGTAGGGAAGTAGGTAGCGCAATGGAATCACACGCACAGGCAATGCTGCATACCCCATGGGCGTCCGAGTACGACGACAGACCTGTCCCTCTATCGTCCACTAGGAAGCATTCCTGCTAGTTTCAAATCTGATCTTTCTAGGACAACTAGCTCACGAACAAAAACAGCATGCTTCCACATGGCCTGCCAACGTGCCGCCCCGCATCTCTCGCCCTTGGTCAGTTGCGGGGGTGCGATCATTCCATGGCCACACGCGCGTTGTCGACGATAGGCGAATACCCGATGTGGCTACTAATCGTAGCGGGGACATGACGATATTGTGCTTGATCACCGGACGATACGACGGAGCTCCGGCTCGAGTGCCAGTTCCATGCGATTTGTGCACGATTTAGACAGATGGTACTATTCCTCTAATCTACTCCCATTGAATCGTATTTAAGGGGCAGGGCAGGCCACCAGTCTTCTTGATGCGGGCTATCATTGCTCTTCTGGCCCATTGAATCAAAACTTCTGATCATGGCTGCCAAAACCACCGGGATATCCGTGGCCGAGTTGCCCCCTGTGGACATCCCCTCTCTTCAAGCGCTCAAAGCCGAGCATGAGTTTGACCCCAATCTTCCCACTGAGATTGAGGAAGAGCTGGATGCAGCCTTGCAGACAGGAGATGACGAGATCAAAGCCCATGTCGTCGAGGACTTACTTGAAAACTCTCCTTATCCTGAAGTACGTGCTGCGGTGCTTCCTTACGACGAAGGAGGAACAGGCAACACTATCCGCGCCTGGGTATTAGGCTTGATATTTGCCACCATTGGCTCGGGGCTCAACGCTCTCTTCTCTCTGCACAGTCCCACTATTAGTATCACCTCATATATCGCCGAGGTCGTTGCGTACCCCTTTGGCGTCGCCTGGGCCCGCTTCCTCCCCAATCTTACTTTCACCCTCTTCGGGAACAAGCTGGAGCTCAATCCGGGGCCTTTCTCCAAGAAGGAACATGCTTTGATCACGATCATGGCGAACGCTACCTTCGCCGGCGGCTTTGCCTATACCCTGGATATCTTTACTGCACAGCGAGGCTTCTATGGCCAACGCTATGGCTGGCCCTTCGAGATCTTCACCACTATCTCCACGCAAACGCTGGGGTTCGGTCTTGGTGGCGTGCTGCACCGCTTCCTGGTAGAGCCCGCCGCCATGATTTGGCCCTCGAATCTAGTCAACACGACTCTGTTTACGGCGATGCACGACCGCGGTCTCAACCCGCCCGATCCAGCGAAGACCGCCGGCTGGCGTATCAACCGGTACCGCCTTTTCCTCTATGTTATGACCGGTGCTTTCTGCTGGTATTGGTTCCCTGGATTGATTGCCCCCTTCCTGAGTGTTTTCGCCTTTGTCACCTGGATCAAGCCTAACAACGTGATCATTAATCAACTATTCGGCGGCGCAACTGGAATCTCCCTCATTCCTATCTCGTTTGACTGGTCCATTATCTCGGGATATGTCTATTCCCCGATGATCTCCCCTTGGTTTGCTATCGCCAATACCCTTATCGGTATGGTGGCCTGGTTCTGGATCCTGACCCCAGCACTGCACTACTCGAATATCTTCTACGGTAAATTCCTGCCGATGTCGGACTCGGACAGCTATGATAACACCGGGAGCGTCTATAACGTCTCTCGTATCTTGACCCAACAGTATACCTTCGATCAGGCAAAGTATGAAAGCTACTCGCCGCTCTTCTTATCCACGACATTTGCACTGTGCTATGGACTTTCCTTCGCGGGCCTCGTTGCTGTTATTCTTCACGTGGTCCTGTTTCACGGCAAGGAGGTCTGGCGCCGGATGCGAGACTCCAGGCAGAAGGATGAAGATATTCACTCACGCCTAATGGCCAAGTACCCCACGGTACCTGTTTGGTGGTATGTCGTCGTCTTGGTGATTATGACGGCTATAGGTCTGGCGACGGTGCTGTCCTACCCAACCCATCTCTCCTGGTGGGCGTTCTTTGTGTCGATTATCATCGCCCTGGTTTGGACCCTACCTATTGGAATGGTGCAGGCTACCACGAATATCCAGCTGGGACTGAATGTCATTACTGAATTCATTGTCGGCTACATCCAACCGGGAAAGCCCATGGCGATGATGCTCTTCAAAACATACGGGTATATCTCTATGTCGCAGGCGTTATATTTCTGTCAAGACATGAAGCTGGGTAAGCACTAATCCCGTGACGCCTTTTCATTTGAGGACTTACTAACCATCGTAAAAGGACATTATATGAAGATCCCCCCGCGCGTGACCTTCTGGGCACAGATGGCCAGTTGCGTGTGGTCATCGGTCGTGCAAGTAGCCGTGCTGAACTGGGCCTTTGGCAGCATCAGTGATATCTGCTCCTCCACACAGGCGAACAAGTACACCTGCCCCAATGGGCGAGTCTTTTTCAACGCCTCGGTGATCTGGGGTGTCATCGGCCCAAAACGTATGTTCTCCATCGGCGAGATGTACTCTGGCCTACAGTGGTTCTGGCTGGCCGGACTGGCCCTTCCGATCATGATCTGGTTGGCAGTACGGAGATGGCCGACCAGCGTGTTCAAGTATCTCAATGCGCCATTGATTTTCAGCGGCTCTGGAATGATTCCACCCGCGACGCCGCTCACATATCTCATGTGGGGTATTGTTGGGTTCATCTTTAATAAGTGGATTCGAAACCGGTGGCGCGGCTGGTGGATGGAGTATAACTATGTCGTGTCGGCTGGATTCGACGTGGGCACCGCCTTGTGTCTGATCGTCATGCTCTTCGCTATAAGTCTGAGCAATTCGTCTTTCCCGAGCTGGTGGGGGAACGACAAGGCGCTCTCTACAATGGACTACACCGATACCGCCATCCAGGTCGTCCTGCCGGCAGGCGAGGTTTTCGGACCCAAGAAGTGGTGATGAAGCTAAGCTCAGCAGACACCTTTGCATTTGATTGAACTTGGGATGATTGGTACTCGGTTGCTCCCCATGAGTGCTCAAAAAACAATATATATCACTCGGGAATATAGGGATATATCCTTCATTGAGCCAGTAGATGTCCCTATTCTCTAGAGACCCTTCTTCAATGCGAAGCTTTAGTTGCGATCTGTATTTGATGCTAAAACAGGCAGTATGAATCAGTGCGAAGCGTATGTTATTTTTTTTTAGTACACTCACGGGTCACACTTGGCAACGCCCATGCGGTTTGAATCTAAGAGGCTCTCAAGCATTCAAAGTCATTTCTGCAGATAGGAATGATTTCTTGAATCTGTCCGCCCTTATTCGTATACTTTAAGGCAAATATTCGGAGCCCAGATGTGGAGCCGCGATGGTCCGATCCGAACTTTTTTTCCTTATCGCGTCTCCCCTCCATCCATCAGCGTCATCTCTACATCAGCCTCTGGTATTCGCCCGGCAACTTCCCAGCGCGATACCCTAATCACTTATCCAGGCGATGCCAACCTCGACCAAGACCGATTCCAGTTCTGCACTCTCAGCCCCACCATCCCCCGCCACAACCATGAGCTCTACACACAGCGATGCGCACCCCGCAATTGACAATTCCCTAGACGACATCTTTGGCACTTCACCACCACGAGAGACCAGGGAGGTGCCATCCACCCTTCAGCATGAATCTGCCTCTACGACCGAACCTTCCGACCTGCCCTCTCTACGTCGTCAACACGTTACCGCGGGGTACCGTGACGGAGTCTCAACCTCGAAAGGCGAACATGTCCAGCGCGGCTTCGATGCTGGGTTCCCCGTCGGAGCGCAATTGGGTATGCGGGCTGGAACAATACTTGGTATTCTGGAGGGGATTACACGAGGACTCGAGGACCGGTCTGTTTCGGGCGTGGTGAAGAAACCTGTTGCGCGGGGACCATCGGGGTCAGCGGCGACGCGACCGGACGAGGCTCGTTCAGCGGAGACGGCGGAGTCGCGCCGTCTGTTGAGAGAGCAGGTCCTCAAGATTTATCTGGAGGCTACCAAAGCATTGGATGTGCAGTCTGTCTTCGCGGGCTCCGAGGCAGGGGCTTCTGGTGTGCAAGCAGGGGAGCCCGCGGAAGCTCAACTCGGGCGAAAGGGTGACGCGGTGGTCTCGAAGTGGGAGGAAAAGGCTGCAGTACCGCAGTGGGAGAAGAACATGGAGGCTCTCGAGATGAAAGAAAGCGAAGGAGACAAAGGTGCAGAGCGGAGCTGAAGGTTGAAAGAAGTACACTACTCGACCTAGTTCTTCTGCCCGGTCCTACTGGGTGGATGTTTTTCTCTGCACAAGCTGTTTACCAAAGAGGAATCCCTGCTTGCTGGATTCCTCGGGGGCAGCTTCGCGCTGCCACGCTGCAGCCGCGCGGGCCACTCTCTCTGCGTCAGACCCGCTGTCCGTCCGGCGTCACTGCACGATCGCCCTGGTCCCAGAGACCGGGGTGGTTTTTTGCAGATTCTGCAAGGAGAATCTGCAGCACTATAGACCTGCGGAAGGATGTTCCGGCCGGTGTTGTGTCTGGGAAAACGTCTTTCTTTCTCCGAGACACATGATGGAGCACACGACTTTTTTCTTGTGCAGGGAGGCGTTGTTTTTGACTCCAAAAAGTGATTTATAAGTGGCAGAGTGGTTGGACAAGTGTAATCGAGTTGTGTGTGAGGATGGGCTCCCGGTTGATGTATCAATTGGATTTGTGTACGGGAGGCCCACTATGTGAACTCGGTGTTTGCCCACCCTCTCGAGGCAAACACACAACCCTGCTGCTCCGCTAGCCGCTAGATTTGATTTGTTGTGCCGGAATAGGGATAGTTCCATTGAAATTGGACCCAGAAAACCGCGAGAGATCTGAAACCACCAGGTCGTCGGGTCTCGGGGAACTCATTATACAGCCGGCGGGATCATGGCGCCTTGCGTACGGGCCGACAAGGCCGGGAGAGAGAGACTGGAACTTTTGAATTACCGTTTTGGCTCTGACACATGAAAATCTCTATTGCAAAAGTCGAGGTGTAGTAACGGGTTTGTCAGATGAGGCATTTAAAGTGTGGATCGTATATCAACGCAGATGATAATCTGTTACCTGCAAATCTGATATCCACTCAGATTCCCTTTATCAAATATTCTACGAAAAGACTCTTTGCCCTCCACAGAATCAACTCTTGCAGATTCCTCATTTTCTAAGCCGAGGTTAACATGTCCTAGTAGAAAGTAAAGCGTGGCAAAGTCTCGACGTCGAGTGCGATGCAAGGGGGTTTTTAGTCTAAACTCAGTCATGATCCCAGAATGGAAATCCAGAAACACGAGAAGGCAATAAGCCTCCAACGCGTCGTAAATGGGTAAGTCGTCACACTACAAGAGCAACAAAGTACATTTGACATGCGAAGAAGGGAGTTTGTCGCGGAAAGCTTCAAGTGAAAGGCTAAGCAGTTATACCTCGATGGTTTAACTAACTTCCCCCGCCAGCATTACAAACGTAGCTGAGGGAGTGACGCGCAATTGAGCACTTCAAAACCCACAGAGAAACATGGGTGGGGTGGTTTCATTAGATGTATAGGCTGTTCTCTCCTTCGAGGTCCCTTGTTAATGAATCAATCATTCGAATGAGTTGTGACCATCATCCTGAATTGCTGGGGAATGAACGTATATGACTGAATCATAGTCATAGTCATGAACTGTTCAAGGCAGGGGAGTGTCTGAGACCTAATATCAATGACTTTGTTCAATCGTGTGCTCAGGTCCCTTGTCGAAAACATTTATGCCCATGCAAACTCGTAGCAAATACATTTTATTATTTAGTACCTGCTGGAGGGCTAAGGTCATGAACTATGTACACGAATCCACGAAGGTTGTACCTTGCCCAATAGAGCGAGTGTTCCTTTGAGCAAAGACTCAACTCAAATCTTCAATAGAGAACCCATCTTACCATTCTCACAAACTCGATCAAGCCCCCAAGAACCCTACCCACCTGGAGCCTTACCACAAGTACGAACTTCGCGTCCACTACACCCACAAAAACCCTCACTCTGGAACCCTCCTAGCTAGGTCTCAGCTACCCTCCTGCAAGAAAGAACATGCCAGATCCATCCGACTACCTACCTTGCCCTTCCCCGTACTTCTTCACAAAACCCAGTACCAAGGTTCAAACCCCTGCATCGACCAAGGAGGGAAAGTCTTACACATACATAGTAGCAATCAAAGCTGCAGGGTACTTTGCAGTGCAGCGGGGGGATGTCAGTGCTGCGGATCTTAGACATGCGCCTACTGTAATCAATAGGAAATAGATTCATGTATAGTACATAGAGACATATACTCCACTGTGGACGGACTTGGGCTCGAATAATTGTTAAATGATGTCAAACCCCGTGCATACCGAGATCTAGGGGATGGATCCCGAGTGAAACAATAACAAAATAGAATAAGACAACTACTGGGAGACTGTTGTTGCTGAATGATGGATCTGCGTCGCATCGATGAATACCTCTATAGTAGCAGTGTGGCTGGCTGGCTTCTTGATGGCGTAGGGCGGGGGTGAACATTCCAGGACCACCTAAACGATTACCTAGACAACAAGGTCGCGGGGTATGGAGGAAGAAAAAAAAATCGAGTATGAGAGTCATGTTTCATTGTCTGCATTTTTGTGCAGGAGATCATATTCGCCAATGTCAAATGTGGTAAAAGGTAAAGAGTATGCTTTTGATGCGCCAGATGAGAAAACCATAGAACTGAAATGCAATCTTGAGTAGCCGTACACCGTGTCCGCTTCTAAAATTATTGTAAAAGCCAGACAGAAAGAAAATGCGATATGAACCTGCAAAGGTTGATTTGAAACAAGACAAGTAGGAAATGACATGAGATAGGAAAGCCGAATAGCAGAAGAGCCATTCGCATCATGATGAGGTTATGAGATAAAAGCGATAGAATACAGCGCAGTTAATGGCGCGTGAGATGTAGTCAAACAGTGAGAAACACATCTCGAGACAACAGATCAAAAGAGAGTTGGGCCCGGAAGGGGTTAACAGTAAGGAAATCATAGCCAAGACGGTTTGCCGGCTGAGTGGGTGGTCGTTCGTGACATCGTGTTTGTAGAGTCACCGAGAACATTGGTAACATTGCAATTCGAGGGACAATAGTCCGTGCAATCATTAAGATCATTTTCTTGTATTGGGTTGAAGAAAGCAACCCAGAAGCATCAAAGCGTAAAGTGAGTGTGGGACGTGTCCATAATCGTAGAACACGTGAGTAAACATCAGAAAGAGAAAGATAAAAGATGAAATCGTTGTTGTAGATCGTTGAGGATCGTTGAAACAAAAGGCCGTGGTGATAGTAATTCTTAAAAAGCAAAACGCCGGGTCCCCCAAGTCCACCAGAACTCCCCGTGTAGCCAGCCGTGAGGGTATCAATCAGATTGTAGTCGTGGTTGTTTTCGTGGATGCCTTGTGGCAACTCAATGAGCGAAGGGAATCGAGGAACCGCTTGAAGAAGGGCCGGTGGTCCATAGGATCCTCGAAGGGTGCGGGTGAGTGTTGCTCGTAGCACATGGAGGTCAGCTTCTCGGTTTCCTCCTTGATGTAGTCGGGTGAGTCTGAGCGCTGATAGCGTCTTGTCCGAGCTTGAACGGCAGCTGCAGTTGATCGGTCAATGTCAGAGTCACGCAGGTTGCCATTGCTGTTGTTGCGTGACCGTGGTTTGAGGAGGGAAGTAGTGGATGGTGCGACAAGTCGAAGAGTTTGAAGAGGGTGGTGAGGTCGCAGACCGTCTCGGCTGGTGCTAGGTCGGTCGAGACTAACTCCGCGGTATGATTCAGGAACGTGTTGGCCAACTGAATCTTCGGGCATGCAAGGGAATTTCTCCGGGGCCTCATCGTCAAGCATAGCCTGGTGCAGTCTGGGCTGAGACTTGGCAGCACGGAGCTTTGCGCGGCTGCGAACCTTGCGCAATGTATCGATGGGCTTGCGTGATAAAGACTTGTGCCCAATCGACTCATTGTCGGAGTCGGACTCCCAGACAGAATGCTCGCAATAGGCGTCCATAGTAGAAGTGGAGGGCCGCTCCATGGATGTGGCAGTCCATTGGCGGGAGATGGGAGGAGAGCTGGCGGATGGACTAGGAATAGGACTGGGGCAGTCGTTGGCAGGGATGAAAAGAGCCTGCTCGAAATGTGTGGCATGTGGCTCCATGGTCACTGGGTTGATCAAGCTTGGGGGTGAGATCATGGATGGATCCAATGGAGGTCGTGTTCCGGGGCTTGATTGTTTCCTGCGAGAGCTATGGGAGCTAGGGCGACGGGATATGGGCAAGGCTGGAGGGGGTTTCCTCCGGCGAGATGACGAGGACATGCCTGATATCTCGTACTTCATGGTTGCGGTTGTGGGGATGTTGGAGCTGTGGGCCACAGGAGTAGTGGGCCGAGTGTGTGCCTGGGGGAGTGCCGGCACAGGTGGTGGTGGAGGAAGTTGCTTGGGAGGAGTAGAAGCAGGAAGGTAAAAAGCGCGACGAGGTTCAGATTGGGCGCGCTTTGCGTGATGGTACAATTTCTCAGTCGCCTTGATAACTGCGTCTGGGCAGGCAGCGGAGGAGTAGGTCGAAGAAAAAGAGCTACTTGGAGTGAGGTCGGGAGTACTGCTGTCGGTGTGTAACGAGCTGAAAGAATCCTGGCTGCTGTGTAAAGTTCTGGATTCTTCCTCAGTTGAGGATGTGTAGCGATGGAATCTCAGGTTGTTCTCCAGTTCCAATTGTGCGAGAGTAGACCGATCAGGGCCAGTGTATTGGCGAGAAGACTTGCGAGTGTCCGACGTGTTCCTCTGGTGTGTCAAAGACAGTGTGTAATACTGGCTGTTGTCGTCGCTAAATCTCTCATCGCTCATTGCCGAAGTATACGAGTCCCAAGTTGATGGAGTGGCAGTTATGGACTGCTCGAGGTAGAATGGATCGTTGTTGGACTCTTCCAGCACCTTGGGTCCAGCTTTGGGGAAGTATGTAGATGCTCGCTTCAACGGAGATGGTGATGGCAAGCAGATGGTAGTTTCCGATGTATTCCAATCTGCGTGTAACGCGTCCAACTCGCCTGGACTGTGATTTTCTCCGCGATCCATGGACTACGATTCCAATGCTGGGTGTAGGATGGCAAAGGCGACTCGAACGCGGGGGGTCCTAGGAACAATGGATCATAGAATACGAGAAAGACGAGAGAGAGAGAGAGGGAGGGAGTTGAACCGAGTCAGGGGATGGTTGCCAGAGAGGGAGAAAGAATGAAAGCATCCAGGGTGAAGGGGATATGTTTATAGATCTTCCCAAAAATAGGGCTTGGCAAGCCCCGAGGCCAGTGGCTGACTCTGTTTTTTCTTTTTTCCCAGTGGCCGGGAACAACAGATGCATGCCACTGCAGGTAAACAAAAGCACAAAAGCACAAAAGCACTGGACTCCCGAGGAGCACAGACGATCATGACCTATCCGACCTTACATGACGTTCCCCTTTCCGCTGTGTAGGGATGGGGTTGCAGCAAGGACCACTCTGCTGGGCTGTTCCAGCAAGGGCGGCGGAACAGGGGATCCGGAGGGACAAAAGGACAGTGTAAATAGGATTTGGTGCTTTTGCAGGAGATGGATGATTTGGTTGTTCTTTTGTAGAGGAATTGTGAATGTTTGTAGAGTTGAAGTTCTAGTGGGAAAGAAATCAATTGCTGTCGTGATGTGGTGGTGAACACCTGACAACGCCTGACAGCACAGCACCTGACTCGGCAGACTGGAAATCGAGTCTCTCTCTTTATTTCTCATCATCTCAGTTTTCATTACTCGCCAGGCACCCTCTTCTTTGTCCTCGTACAACAACCATGATGGATCCCATCTCAGCACGCGGTCATGTATCACCCGGTTAGCAGCCTCGCATTGGATGTACGATGCATCCCCGGGGATCCAAACAAACCTCCCATCTACCAGTTCAATGCCTCTTCAAATCCACCCACGCAGCTCACAGCGTCACTAAAATCCCATGCAGAGGCTGGGTCCGCGAGAGAATGTGAGATATCAGCCTTGCCCGTCTCCTGGGACCAGACCAGTGCCGCGGAGGCACTTCCGGATCAGCCACTAAGCTCATCGAGCCCCACCGATCGCCCTGGTCTGTATGTTTGACTCGGACTGGCCGTACGAATGTGCCAATTGACCAGTTGTGGCGAAGGTCACTACTGCTGCCAATGGACAGCCACAATTCTACTCTTGGGCCACCAAAGGGTCCCCCCTCCCCTTGGCCCTTGGACCCTTCCAGCTGCCATTCCTTAATCCAAATTCCTGGGAACTGCGCAACGGCGTTGGACTGAACTGACTTGAGAGCCTCAGATGATGACGCTCGCGACGGTTTTTGTAACGTTCCATCACTGGAATCGCTGGGCTTTTTCCCCCGCACTGAAATTGAGATTCAAAATCCTACCATCGTCATTTGCAATGTCAAACGTCAATTGCGACTCTAATTCTACGCTACGCCATTGTATCCCGTCTGCTTGCTTTTTTGGCAGTGGCTAGTTCAAAGTCCCACGTTTACTTTTTTTTTTTTTTTTTTCCATAGCCCATTGCCCCTCGCCCGTCGGAACACCAGCACAATAAGCACAAGTTGCCCCCTTAGACCGACCTGTTCCACTGTTCCACTTTTCGTAGACTGGGTTTCAGCAGTTATGTGCCTCTCTGTTCTGGACCCTCTGATATCTACTGGCCGAGCTTTGAGCTCGACTTCCCCGTCTGTGCAGAACCCCTCTCTGCCCCCTCTGCCCTGGGGAGCTTCCACCCATACGTCGCCGGATCCAAGTTCCTAACTTTTAGAGTGCGTCGAGGGCCTCGATTTTGCCGCCTAGACTAGTCCTAGTCCCCTTTGTCAGGATGGTCGCTCTATACCCCTTCGGGCGACCCGTACAGATCGTGACAGTCGATAAATCACATTCGTGAGCCGCGGATAGAGAAAGCCGCGCTGCGTGATTTAATTGGCTCATAGGGAGCTCGGTGCTCAACTGGACCAATCGAATGTGGCAAGTTGGTGAGAAACGCGACCTTTGGAATTGTAAGCTGTCAACAGCATTCGTACTGTAGTGTCGTTGGCCGGATCGTAGTACGGTATGGTCGTCGGAGCTGATGGGTGTACATTGTTGTATATATGATATCACCCTGCCTCCATTGCCCCATCAATCTGAACCTTGATCTCGATTCCATCGATACGATTAAATCTTAGGCTCGTACACTCGACGAACGAACGAACTCCTACACAGCGTACTTTTTACATCCTGGCTTCCAAGATGCAGTATAGTACCCATCGAATCGTTCCTGCACACTACAGTATTTCTCTTCCTCACCGTTCACTCATCAAACACCAGTTCCTCATCCCCATCAAGCTAGCTCCCTCCCCACATTCCAATGAAAAACTCTGACATGCATTGCATCCCGTCATTATACAGCCGGAAGCTTGGGAACTTGGAACACCAGACGGACCTGCCCGTCGCCCCGTCTGCACCACCTGCATCGACGCATCCAGACTCGCTGCACTGCAGGCGAATCGATGAGCCGCGCCGAATGGAACTAGGAACTACCTGCTGTTAATAAACTAATATGTATATATATCTACGGCCTGCATCCCCCAACCCCTGATCGGCACTCTTCAAGACCTTCTATGAGTATTAACCTCCGAGACCTATGCGCCGAGATGGGCGGTTTGCCGGGCCAACGACTGTTACTGCATCACCCTCGCTTTTGGCCGCTCACATTCTTTGTTATGCTGGATATATACTGGTGTTGTAGTGCAGTGAAGTACTGATTGACACTGTCCCTCTAATGATCATGTAAGAAGATTTGATTTTTCGATACTAATTGGCTCACCGTGGATAATTCATTTCTTGAGCTAGGCTTGATGGGAAATTGCGAGTCCTGATTGTAGATCCATTGCCTCGAAAAACTAGATATTCGGGGCCAATAGACAGCACTCTTGTATCGTCCAAGAGATTCAAAGCCTTAGAACCTCCTACTGTAGATGAGCCAGCTCCTAGCTATAGACCCTCTGGAAGAGCAGCACCCTACTATAGATCCAACCAAGACAAACTCACCATCCATATGGATTCAAATCATGTCTCAACATCACCACTCATCACCTCCGCCCTCATTGGCACGGCCAACACTCTGAACACCCCCGATAAACCCGACCTATCAGCCAAACCCAAACCATCCTTACACCTGAAACACCTCCCCCAGAGCCCCGGCGGAACGCCATCCGCCCCGATCTTGCGATGCCCTGCATCGTCCTGCAAGGCATAGTGAAACCTACCTAGACATTGGGACGAACGGGTCCGATCTTCTTCAGCTTTGCGTCTTTGGATCCATTCAAATCAAATCGCCATGGCGGGAAGGGTGAGCCGATACGTCCGTGAAGGAAGGTCGAGCACCGGGTGAAGCTTCCCCGGTTACCCTGGCTCAAGGTTCCTGGGTGTTGGGTTTGGGCCCGAAAATGTTCCGATGAGTTCCTTGCAGGGGGAGAGGGTCTAGAACGGGATTGGACTGGTAGTTTGATAGGGTGTTTTTACTCATATTGTGAGGGAGACGCGTTTGCGTGAATTGTTTGTTTGTATGGAGGGGTTTGCGTGAGGGGGGCAACGGAGAGTATCATTCTGTTACTGTTAGCTAGCTGAAGGTAGTTGCTAGAGTGTTGACCAGCCCTTGGTCAAGTTGAGTTGACGGGACTGGACAAATTGAACCAGAGTTGACGACTGTAGATTCGAGTTCATTTGATTGGATTTACCCCTGATCGAAGTGAGACGTCGATCCAGAGTTCTGGTCTGGGATGCGGAGAATTTCGTTCTAGTTCAGACATATATTTACAGACTGTAGCTGAGGGGTGCTATCACTACAGGCATTGCCCTGTATATCATACTCGCATGAGTACCTGGATCACTTACCTAGTTTCCATCATAGCATCCGCAGTTCCTTCATCGTTCTTTTAGCAGTGGGGGGCTAATCTCTTATGTGGGGAAAAGCCGAGCAGTTCGTCCCATCCTTCGATCGTTCCTTAAATGGAGACCCAGTGGAACGACTGGGCCCGATCCCAAGGGTTTTCGTGTTTAGAAAGGGTATTATTTTCTTTAGTTAGGTCTCTGTTGTTTTCTCATTTCGCACATTTCTGAATAACAGTTACTAACAATCAGGCAGCCTAGCCTTAACGTGTGGGATTACTTTTGCCTCGGGATTTCGAGATCCTTGAGGGGCCCTTAGTATCCCCTTAGTATCGAGACTAAGAGAACTAAGGATGTGGGCTACGTAGTTAGTGCCCGATTGCCAGCGCATCAACTTACACTTAGTTTACTCAGTTATACAAGCTGACGGGATTGAACTAACCGAAGTACTGTAGTAATCACTGTTGGATACATCAATTGGTACTCTGGAAATATACCAGGGTTGTATACTTGGTATCTGTATATCACTTGTATACTCTGTCTGGACTATCGCAACTAGCTGTATTGTTCCTCGGCGCCCAACCGTGGCACTGGCAATGGAGTCAGGGATCGGCACTTTTGAATGGCCCAAACCATTGCTCCATTACTCTCGAATCGGTTGGGGGGTAAGATGATTGAACTATTCTTATGTCCTGTACGGAGAGATTAGTTAATGACAATTAGTTAGTCTTCCCAGTCTGGACTGCCAGTTGGATCTGCCTGAGGATTGCGCCCAGACTTTTCCATCCCCTCACTTCCAATCTACCTTAAACAGACTGTACGACTACTTAGGATATCTTCGAGCTATTCACGTCTTCCTTGTCACTCCTTACCTTCTTCACCTATGACGACTCTTCCGTTGCCCGTTCGTCCAGTTTCCGATCGTCTGCTGTGCGACCGAGTTAATTCCGGTGCAGGCAATTATTGAGCTGGTGCTTTTCTCGCCCGACCGATTGCGCAACAGCACCATAGCCAGTTCAGTCGGGTCTTGCGAGTCGTAAGACGGTGCTGTCAAGAATCGATAGCTCTGCCTGATCTCTTGCTCTCTTATCTTCCCCTAGAGTTATTCCTGGGCAAGAGAGGGAATTCTCCGACAGAGAGGGACCAACATTCCTGCTTTCATCACTGCGGGATCTCTCCATAGCTTCCATTCCAATCATCCCACGACCTTACTCGCCCAATTCACCCTCATATTATCCTCATTTCCATCCTATTCACTTGATTTCATCTCCGACTTCCTGTGTGTGCGCTGCAGCGTGGGCGCTGGATGGTCCGCGCGACACGTTTGGTGTGCTGCAGCTCGGCGACCCCAGCCATCTCAATTAATCCAGCCACCACGACCTCGCACCGAAATCACCTTCCCCCCCATTCCCTCTCCATCCAGTCTCCAATTCTTTCCGGAATAGAGAAAAAGAAATCCACCCATCGAACAGTTACTTACCCCCTAATATTTCTGTCTCCTGGTTACTTCGGGGTTGACAGTCGAGAGCCTTTCGGGCCGCTTGTTCACAAACTTGCCCTGGAGTCATCGACAGCACCATTGAGATAGACCTTCAGAGCTTGACAGCTTCCAGCTCCTGAAATCAAGTCGCACCTCACATTGTCGTCGACTCACCCATTCCTTCAACCCACCCCAGAGGTGTCTCACCACACTCGCCGCGCATCTCACGAAGTCTACGACCGTCACGACCCTTCCACGCTTACGACCTTTGCGCAGCAGCACCAACAGCCAGCTGCCCCCCGTCCTTCTTCCTCCCATTCAGTTAATTACCGTCCACCCTCGGCCACAGACTCACATCATCGTTTGCGCCGAGTTCGCCGCTCACCTGACGTTCGCCAATTGCCCCATCGCCGCACCGTCTCCCACGATCTATCGGGTAGACAACCGCCTCAACCCCAGCCAGTACAGCCAATTCCAGTCGCTGCCCAGCCTAGTCTAGAAAGCGACATCGCCGGGCTTCGACCAGCTCACTCTGAAGCACACACTGACGAGAACGGGTCAACCATCGACGACCCGTACGAGCTCCTCAATTCCTCGTACTGGCCGCGGAGAACCACCGGTGTCTCATCCCGAACTGCCTCGGCCATTCTCTTTGCGCTTGAAGAGGCCATCCGCCGCCCGTTCACCTTCACCACTGACTGGGACGAAGCGAATGCTTCTATGTCCGAGATGGTAGGTGTTGCTGGTCCTGCCGCGCCTCCGGGCAACGGCCGTGTTTCAAACGGTGGCTCGAGAATCCCTCAAGCTGCCCCGGCTCCGATCCCTGCTGCATCCTCACAAGCGCCGAGTGGCGTGCGCACCCCGACAGACATCATGAGACAACGTCGAGATCGGGAGGCTCGCCGTAAAGCGGAGCAGGAAGCTCGTGAGAGGGAACAGGAAGAGTTGGAAAGACAACAATTGGAGCTGGAGCAGCTGGAGCAAGCTCAAGCCCAAATGTATGCTGCTGGCGCTGGCGCTGATCCTGCTTCACAGCGTCGTGCGCAGCCTCAACGAGCTCCTAGAGGCCCTCAACCTCAGGTACCTCAGGAAAACGTGGCTGTGACTGCTTCCGGACCTGCTCCTGGCTACCGTCCGACTACCAGTGCCGGTCCGACAGCTCCCAGACAGGACTATCAAGCTCCACCTGCTGCTGCAGGTGGTCATGATATGTCCAGCCAACCCCAACTACCAGCTTCGTCGAGCCAGCAACGTCTGGGACCCGCCGCTCAACATACTCGCTCGCAGAGTGCAGCCGCCGCAACGGGGGCTCAGCCCGGGCCAAGTACTTTCTCCAAGTCTGCCCCAGCTCCTGCAGGCAGCCAACCGGGTGGTACTTCCCAGACACTGCAGCAGCCACGACGATCCGGCTTTCCACATGCTTTTGAACGGTGGGAGACACTCTCTTCTCATTGGGAAGGTCTCACCAGTTACTGGATCCGCAAACTCGAGCAGCACAATGAGGACTTGGAAAAAGATCCCCTCAGCCAGCAACTGGCTCGCCAGATTACGGACTTGTCCGCTGCGGGTGCCAATCTGTTCCATGCTGTAGTCGAACTGCAACGGCTGCGTGCTTCTTCCGAGCGCAAGTTCCAGCGCTGGTTCTTCGACACTCGTGCCGAGCAAGAACGCTCCAAGGAGGTCCAAGCAGATTTGGAACGTCAACTGAAAGCCGAACGACAGGGTCGAGCAGATGCCTTCGCCGCGGCCCAAACGGCCGAGCAAGACAAGACCCGGGCCGAAGATCTCCTCCACGAAATGCGGCGCGAGCTGCAGATATCCAAAGAGGAAGCACGGCGCGCATGGGAAGAACTCGGCCGTCGCGAACAAGAAGAGCGCGACAGAACCAATTCTCTCCGCAATGGCGAGCCCACCCTCGTCGGCGGCGTCCAAGTCGTCCCCATGGTCCAAGGCGTCCCCAGCCGACACACCACCCGCCCACCAACCCGCGAGGGCCCATACCCAGGCGGTCCAACAGCAGCGTCAATGGGAACAGATTACCGAGGCAAACCGACAGACCCCAGCATGAGCCGCACCTACTACGATGAGAACACTCCCATGTCCCCAACAGGCTCAGACCCGTTCATCGAGCCGAAGAAGACTGATCCCCCGGCCTCCAAAGCACCTTACCCTCCCACCAGCCAACTGTACCCGCAGGAGCCTACCACCGCATCTTATCCGGCCCCATCCTCTGAGCCAGATGCACACTCGTACGTCGGTAGCAGCGAGGCCGAGGAAGAATACGCTGGATACGCACGCGACAACGCTCACCCATTCAGCTACCCGGCCGCACCACTCTCCGAGGGCAGCGACGAGTACGACCACCACCCCGCTGACCAGCACCACTACACCACGGATGGTGCGTACACCTCTGCCGGCACTTCAGCGCCCATGCACGCGCCCTACCCACCGACCACAGCCGACTACAGCGGCGCCGGTTGGGGCGTTGGTACGGGATGGGAATCCGTCACGCCCCGGCATCGTCACCCGACGCGTCTGAGCGACGTGCTTGAAGAGGATGAGCCGAGTCGTACGACTCCTAGTCGTGCCAGCCAGGCTAGCCGAAGTGTGCAGTGAGTTGAGCTAAGCTGTGTCTGATGGGTGAAGTAGGAGTCGGTGGGACTTGGTAAATGGGGATACAGTGTTGGTTATCAGTCCTTGCTTTGCTTGCGGAGTCTGCGTCTACGTTGTTTCGAAACCTGCATGTATGCATCAGATCTAGATGGGTCTGGATGTGGATCGGGGTTGACCTTACCTTACGTTGCGTTTGCGTACATAGAAAATGGGGCGGGGCGGCGAGGCTGCTTGTTTTCATTTTCTTTTCATTTTCTATCTCCTTTTGTTCTCTCATTTGCGTTTTTCCTTGGTTCCTCACATATCACGAACGAGCGTCTGTCTTCTCTTGCTTTTCAATTTTAATTCAATATTTCTCGTTTCTTTCTTTTGATAAAGGGCTGAGCGAAATTTGCCCGTTCTTTCGATGTATCCTATTGCGTATTGAACCTTAATTCAACAACTTTTTTTCTTCCATTTGTTTCGTCTTGTGGATTAGTCCTTCTCAAAGGTATGATACCTCTAATTTTCGATCTTGGGGCTTTGCGTAGTTCTCATTCAAAGATTATCTAGAGGTTCTAGTCTAGTCATGGTGCTTGTGGTGACTGCGTTACACCACAACGCTAAAACTGCTACTCTAAATACTATTTCATGCGTCGTTTTTACCATAATATTGGTCATTGATTTCTCACATTGTCTATTCCTCCTCATTCTTTCCGTATACTAGCAGTGCCCCATAGTGTCCATCCAGATGGATAAAAATCCAATATCTGAAGCGGATCGTCCGGCCACTACAAGCCGGGCACCGAGCTGAATCTCAAACCCCCTCTGGACAAAACAATAGGGTCGAGGAAGCGACACTCCCAGAAATTATATACCTCAAGTAACGATAGAATTCCGAACTCGCACTGTATCATAAATACTTGCTGATCTCCATCCTACATCTCACTCTCGATATAGTTCCCATCCGCAGCCAACGTAACATAATAAAGCTCCGTCTCAGCACAAATAACCATCCGCCCCTTCCCAGCAAAGTTGAAATTGGCCGAAGTAGTACCGAGATAAATCTTGCCAATGAGCTTGCCAGAGGGATTCCATACGTGGACGCCATCGCCACATCCGGCGTACACGTTGCCCCAAGAGTCACAGTGAACGCCTGGTCACCACCAAGGATTGATTAGCATGTCATACTCAAACTAGAAGGCTTTTGATTAGCGGGGAAGGCTGGACCTACCATCAGGTGCACCGGCGTTGACAAAGGCGAAAACCTTGCGGTTATCGAGGGTACCGTCTTTTTTCACGTCGAAGCGGTAACTGGTAGATGATGGTTAGCTTGTTCCTTCTGCAGTGTCTATGTTGGACGAGGATTGTCTGCTGTGTATACATACATCGAAGCGGCTTGCGTATAATTCATTCCGTAGAAGCCGTAGTTAATGCCAGTATCAGTGACATATGCGTACTCACCATCGGGCGAAAATGTAAGACCTTTCAACGTATGTCAATACCGTACGACCGGGTAACCACAATTCTTTGCAGAACTTACCATTGGGATGAACAAATCCATCAGCAACGACTGTCACAGCACCAGAATCCGGGTTGAGCCGATAGACTTGGTCCTGCAGACCAGGCGCTGGACGGAAATCCTGGACATATCCATAGATCGTGTCGGTGAAATAGACATCTTTGTTCTTCGGGTGAATGACTACGTCGTTCAAGGAATTGAATTGGCGACCGAAGTAGTTGTTCAGGAGGACTAGATAGTTTTTGTTAACCATCTGCTATTTATCCTTTTCTAGGAGTTGGGCACGCACCGGTCGTGTTGTATGGGCTCTGCGGATTCATGAGCCACAAAGCAGGAGGCGTGTTATTTCCTTGACCTTCACCGGTGAAGATGAATTGTCCCCGATAATTGGTTGCCCCTGTTTATGGTCATCAGTATGGACTAAATCATTGCAATACTTGTTAAGGCTATATGTTGCTCACCATTGGGGTTGATCACCATCGGCGACGAGGGTACCGTGGTGACCTTGACAAGGCCAGCGGCATCGCTCTTATTCGAGACAGAAGCTGCGTCTGCTAGAGAGATCTTCTCAATGATGGCCGACTTGTGGAGTCCCGTGTCTGCATCTTTGGCACCGGCATTCTGGACGAAGAAAACCTCGTCTGTCTCTTTTGACCTGAATGAGGCAGTCAGAAGTTAGCAGTAAAATATTTCCTAAAATTGTGCTTGAATGATCTACCAGACGACTGCCTCATGGAACAGAGGATCCTTCGGTGAGTGCGCAATCCGGGTAAGAGTAGGACTCTTTCCGATGATCTTTAGGAATTCCTCGTCGTACACATGGAAAGGACGCTTGACAAGGCTTTCCGCCGTGTATCCCGGAGGAACGAAAAGCTGCGATTGTTAGAGACAGTCAAGTTTAGGAGGAATGCTAGAATGATGAATTGCTTACACTCTCCGCATTGAATACAGCTGGAGGCTGAGTCGTATTCAGAACATTGAATGATCTTTGGTTAATAACTTGAGCCTGGGCAGGAAGACTGCTCCCCTCGACCCGGGAAGAGAGTGATGGGCCTAACAGGGCCAGTACAGCCACTAGCACAGATACAGCAGTCATTTTGAGCCAAGGATATCTTTTCTTCGCGGAGCTATGGGCATTGACCTCTGGGGACATGGCTTCAATGCTCGAGAAAAGCTTGGTATTTAAGGTATGTCCCTCAGGCGGGGAAGGCGTGGAGGAAGCGTGGGGGGACCAGAGATCTTCACTTTTTCACCCTGCTGATGACGATGTCTGAATTTGTTCAGGTTCCAATGGGGGAGGATGTTGCCTGCCACTTCTCCACTTGCCAAAGGAGGTCGATTGGAGTGAAGTTGCCCAGCGCCTTGGCTGTTTGAATATCCTTCGGAGTTGGTCCGATTACTAACCCCGCAAATTGTTGGAGAACGCGGCAAGAGAGAACCTTACGCTAGATATACTGAACTACTATTGACGGCTTTAGATGATGATCGATTGGTATTTCCGCGGCTTTCAGAATAATGTTGCATTGAATAATTCTCGGACGATAGAAGCTTTGCTCTGCGCCTGGAACATGTCATGCTGAGCATTTTACCTGAAGGCCGATGGATGTACCTTGCTCACCGCCACTGTCATCAGTGTGATTGAATTACGGACCAAGAAATTCAATTCAGGAGAAAATGTTGAGAATGAGATGAAATAACACAATATGAGCTAATCTTTGATGTTCCGCAAGATTCCCAGTATTAATGCCTAATGGCCAGGATTACAGTGGTAGTCCAAAAGTTTTGAGTTTAGAGACCAGCGAAACGAACCAACAGATATGCTTCCGCTTCAAGTTTTCCAGAAGTTCTTTCTAAAGGTCATTTAAATCGTCTTTCTTGTAAGCTTAGGTATCATTCCTTAGTATATCATTCAGCTTGTACCTTATAGGAAATTTTTGATCATTGGTCATAGTTTCAAACTTATGAATCCCCACCGTAGGTAGTATGTCAGACTCGGGCTTTTTTCGGCCCCCATCTTCCGACAGTATCATCACACCCTGTCAGGTAAAAGCCTCACTCAACCGCGCATCGAGACAGTCTCGTGGACCGTATATACACAGGAAAAACTCCTTGTAGCTACTTGGGTACTAAACCATTGCTCGACTGCCTACAAAAATGGCAAGGCGCACCGTCACCCGTCTCCTCTACATCGCTGCCCCCATCGGAGCAGCATCATACGGCATCCACCGCGGCCTATCCCACCTAGAAGAAAAATACCCCAATCTACCTGCCTCAGAAAATGCAAGCAAAGCCCTGCTGACACCCCGAAATCCTATCACCCAGCGCTGCGCATACTCTGACATCTTCGCCGCGCGGGTACCACTCTCAGCCCTCGAGGCGCGAATCCAATCCCCCAACAAACGGGATCAGATCGCTCTCGAAGACGCATGGGCTCGAGCTGTCCTCGGAAGTCGCATTCTCCGCGCGGAAGGATCTCTCGTTGGCCTCTTAACCAAATGGAATTTTAGTCCTGGCGATGTAGGCGAGCATGGCTTTGGACCACGCGAGAACGGCGAGCCACAGGAATTGCTTAACGGGGCACTTTGTACCCAGCGTACACCTGGCGCTGATGCCGATAGTCAAGGGCTATTGATTTCTTGGTATATGGCCGATGAGCCCCGTCTGTTCTTCGAGAAGATTGCGCGTTGGGGCTATCCGTGGCGTTTGATGTCTGGCGGTCGACATGAGATGAGTGTGTCAGCGCCGTACGATGTCCCCGGTCAGGGACGGATTGTGGATGTGAGATTTTCAGGGGCTCATGACTACGAGATTGTTGAAGAAGAGGGCGTGAAGCAGAAGATTATTCCTGGCTGGGTGATGCGGTTGCATGCTGGTTATGCGCGGTTGATTCTTGATTTGGCGGTGCGCGAGGTGGTGGATGAGTATGAAAAGGGGAAGACTTAAGGATTGTTTTGATTATGCTTGGAGCTTATGCCGTGACTAGTAGGAGCACGATTTGTATGTTATGTACCATTTCGATACTGCGATCTATAACCTCATTCCACTCCATAATTACATTTCCACGTTGTTATGTTTACCCTCCTTCACCATTCATCACATACTCCTTCACCTTCGAAAATCCAATACCAACCTAAACACAAGCCGTTCCATGGGCAACAACAGACCAACCCCGGAACCCATTATACGGATAACACACCTCCCAACCATCCGTGATAGAGCCCAACAGTGCACTCTTACCACCCGAGCAATCCGCGGTACTAAACATGCACAGATCATGCCAGTCATCTTCGCTCGGACTCTTATACGACAGGCTCTTCACGTTCGTGGCATTGTAGTCGGCTTCCAGGGCTTGGCAGGTTGTATCATACCGGCCAGAGCGATGGTAGATGCTCACATCGATGTTGGAGTCATTTGGGTTGCAGGTTGGGATGGCGGTGCTGAGGAGGCGAAGGTCCCACTGTAATAGGCAGTCATTAGTTAGATTTTCTTTTCAGAGTAAAGTAAGATAGGTTAATTCTATCTGCGGAAAACATACAGCTCTATACGCGAGGATCTCGCGTGGAACATGTGGTACAGCCGCCACAGCCATTGCATAGACGCCGACCAGCCAGGCACCAAGGAAGCGCATTTTGTGGATGGGTAGAATAGAATATAGGATGAGAAAGAAGTATTAGGACGGGCTGGCTATGTACAAGATAGAAAAAGAAACGAATGGCACGCCCGAAACAACAAGAACCAGAAAACAAAGAAGAAAAAGAGCATGCCAGGGCGAACCACCCTTTTTATAACCCAAAACTTGCAACTGCATATGCATGGAACAGTTCAGCTCAACGCTGACACGCCCAATGCAAAATGAAAAGTGCAAAAATGGGGCCAACTTGAACAACTCGGGGGACCCGCTCGGATCGAGTCCCACCGCGATCGCATCGTCAATCCAACACCAAAGCCCCCCAGGACTTGAGAGACCCCATTCCAGACCAGACCCATCCGTCCAGTCCTGAAGCGAACAGGGACAGGCAATGCGACTATATTCTACATACGAAGAGGGGGTTCTGCATAAACCACCTCTTGGCTCGGCCCAGCCGAAAAGCCCACTGCCCAGTAAAACCCGCCATTGGCCTGTTCAAACTCGGTCCCTGGAAGCCGTATCATGTACCGTACAGAGTACTCCACGTACTGTATGCAAGACCGAGACCCTCCTTTTTGTGGCGATTCTGGCGACGAGTCAGATGGGTCAGGGACAGGGGGTGGATTGGATGTGGTTTACTTTTGGGCTGGGGATTCAGGAACTTGACGAATAGGACTGGGTTGTGGGGGGGTTTCCTGGCGGTGGGGAATGCGTTCTGCAGACACGAGTAAAGTAAAGTGGTGAGAGAGGAGTTGAAACTTGACCTGATTATTAGCTTGGAAGGGGCGTGGTGTGATAGATACATTGATAGGGTAAATATGTAGTTTTGATGTTAGTTGAGTTAGAGGCTGAAGCTGAAGGTGATGATGATGTTCAAGTCGTGAGCCAGCCCTGGAGGTGATGGTTAAGCGAAGGAGGAATTTAGTATTCGACTGATCGGGAGATTGACTACTTCGTCCTTCAGAGAATCATAGAACCACCTCAGTACAGTGTATAATTATCTACAGAACGGCCTCCATTAGGTAGTTTCCGGCCCGCCCCGCATTGAGCCTCGACCAGCAAACTGCACTCGAAATCGACACACTGCTTTCAATAGACTCGAGTCTACAGGGCTGACGGACAAAGCCTTCGGTGGACGCAAGACATCCAGGCCGTAAGCACACTAAACCAGACTTGACTAATATAAACGAGAACCAAAAGAGATACGGCATCACAGAACAATCTAGTTATCTTTATTTCTTTTTAATATCACTCTATTGCTACATCCCGGCCGAGTATACAAGCCTCAAACATCAACACGAGCTGATTATCATCACATGGAATAGACAAAAAGTCCAGCCGAAGCTTTACTCGCGCCCGCTCGAGCCATTCGTCAACCGCCACGCCCGTAGCGGGAGACTCTGCAGCTTCGTGGCAGCAGGCTTGATGAACATGAAGAAAGTGACTGTGCCGATGATCACGCACAGCATGTTGGTGATGTAGTAGCCGTCACGGCCGACCTCGCACACGCCGCCACCGTTAACGCAACGGTTCTTCTCAGGCTCGAGGGCACAGGAGAAGGCCGTGGTGACGAGGGCGTCTTTGAGAGTGTCGGCGGGTGGGGCAACTGAGGGTGGGATGCAAGTGGCCTCGGTGAAGAAATCGACCATCTTGAGGATGAAGAAGCGGGGGAATGTACCGCCCAGGTTGGAGACGCTAGATTGAATTGGTTAGCTCTCATTCAGTAAAGGGTGGCCAGGATGTGGTAAATGAGGAGAATGGGAGCGAAGAAGCGAGGAGATGTCACTCACGTTGCAAGAAGGGTCATATAAGTCCCGCCAATGGCAGGGTCGGCGATACGAGCGTGGAAAGCTGAGATAGCCACAAACATCACCGTGTTCATGAAGGTCGAGACGACATGCTCGACAATAACGGTCAGCAGGTACCAGAATGGTACATCTGCGCCGCTGGGGTAGATCATCACGGTGAACTGAGCCAAGACTGCGGCTGCCAAGCGGCCGACAAAGGCCCAGCCCCAAAGCCGCATCGGAGTATATTCGGTGGACCATTTGCCCGCGTAATAGCCGAGCATGATCTCAAAGGGAAAGTCAATCAACACGACCAAGGCCATGTTATCCTGGCCAAAGCCCTTGTCCAGCAATTTCAAGCTGGTCACGCCGTCATTGGCCTGGAAGCCAATCTTGGCGATCAGGTGAATCAAGATGATAGTTTGAATGTTCTTCAACTTGAGAACACTCCACATGCTCTTGTACACGTCCATGATGCTGTCGCGCTCCTTTGTGCGGTCTTCCTTCTTCAACAGGGCCAAGCACAATGTCACGATGAGATAGGTCCAGCCCCAGAAGGTCAAGTATCCACCGAGGGACATCAAGCCGCCTTCAGCGGGAAGAGCGCGGAACCACCGATTGGCAAAGTCCTTGGAGTTGAACGCCAAGAAGACGGTATATGAGAGGAAATGGCCTGCTGTCAGACCAACCGTCTGGGCAGTTGATGCATAGGAGATATTTGGCGGCGACATGAGGGTAATCGCCCATCCGTCCACAGCAATGTCTTGCGTGGCGCAGAAAAACACCAGCATAAACCACCAATAGGTAAAGTTCCATACACCCTCGCCGCCATTGGCACCCGCCTGCTCCATCATCTCTCCAATGTGTTTACCCAGATAAATCATCGCCAATCCCGCAATGACCTGCACGGGCGTGATCCAACTCTTTCGACGGCCGAACCGCGGGCTCCATACGGCGTCCACAATGGGACTCCAGAATAATTTGAGCGAGTACGGGTATGATGCTAGTGAGAACACACCAATCTGGCCATAGGACAGATAAGGCTTCAGCAGGAAAGGCACCGACCCCGTCGCTAGGCCCATCGGCACGCCTTGCAAAAAGTATAACACGCATAGCAGCAGGAAATTCCGCTTATCATTGCGGGGCAGATTGTGAAAGCTGGTCGTCGTCAGGATGGGGGTTTGAGGTACGAGGGCAGGTTCATTGTCGAGGGAGAATTGGGGGCTTTGGAGGACGCGTGCCGTACGCTCGCCGGAAGACTCGGTCGAGGTGTCGCGCTTGCGCATTTCGATATTGTTGTTCATTTTGCCGTTTCCGTTTCCGTTTCCGTTCGCATAGCCGTTTTGGCTGGTTGCTACTTTCAAGCTCGGTTTGGAGCGGCGTTTGGAGAGGGTGGCGTTTTTGCGTGTCATTGAAGTCTGTCAGCGAGGGGAGCCAGGGTGGCGGAGATGGTGAGGGAAGGGATTGATTTGTGGTGGTGTCGTGTGTTGTCGTTGTAGTAGATGTAGCTGTAGGCCGGGTTGAGAAGAGAGTCCGTCAAGGGTGTATCGTTAGAGACAACTGCCAAGTCACAAAGTCCGTCGAAGAAAGAGAGAAAGTAAGGCGCTGGGAGGAATCAAAGGAGAGTGTCCAGATCAGGATACGAAGATTGATTCGCGGTGGCTTAGATAGCTTGTATTCACCTCGTTGGCAGCTTCCGTGATAGGTGGGGAGGTATAAACGAGTGACCGATGTATGGAGGACCAAGTTGGTAAGAAGGGATGTGGGTGGACAATCCTTCAGGCGCGAGGCATGCTGGTTGGAAGAATCCCAAGATCGGGCCAGATTTGGGGATGCGCGGATCGGATCAGGCGCGGAGAGGCAAGCTGGCCTTTGCGGGTATGTGTGGGGTCAACTTACGAACTGCAGAGATCATCAACCAGGTGGATATGCAGATGGCAATGCTTCTAATGTTACTGGCAGGATGTTTCGTATCTCTCGGCGCTGGGCTTGAATGCGCTTACTCTACGAAGTTGTCGACGTGATCAAGGTAGTACAAGAACCATGGAATCAACCGTGTCACAAAGCGGCTCGCACGCGAGACCTCCGTGATGATGAACGGGCATTCGAGAATCTTCTAGTCTTGACTGATGAGGATCCAGTGAGTATTTGACACGTTCTGACACAGGATCTACTGTTTACTTTTGAATAGTCGTGAAGTTCAGATCGATATTTGTAGTTATCAAAAACACTCGAAATGGATCCATTGTCAAATCCATGTGCTTAGTCACCTATATCACGTGGGCAGAGCCTATCTTTGCTCACGATCGCTACGATCTGGACTCGATGGATAAACTTCGTAATGAGTTTTAGAGCATGGTAGTATGTCTTACGCGTTGTCTCATTTCAACACCATTCTATACGCAAGCCCTCGTTACTGTGCAAGATTGCATACAAATGACAAGGAATGCCTAATCTCTGGGGGCTCTCGGTGATGTAAGGTCACGTGCCGGCCAATGTAAACAAAAACTTCGCATCTCCCCGCGCATCACGACCAGTGCCATCGACCAAGCCAAGAAATAACAACCCTCAAGATCATTCAAAGTACCAAACAATCATCCCAAAGACCACGAACCAATCACAAATCTCACAATCTCAACTCCGAGAATGGTCTTCCCCGCGCGAGATGCCTCCGCATCTCCAGATCCACATGAGCAACACCTAGACACAGACATCCAATCCATCCGCGCAGAGAGTACGTCAACCCCAACCCTAAACACATAAACCCTACAAAAATCAAATATCACATATCAAGAACTAACATCCCCAAGTCCGCACCCTCCAACGCCGCAAACGCTTCCTTACATCGAGCCTCCTCTCCTCCGACTCAATCCAAAAATTCATCCGCAAACCGCCGCCAACCCTCCTCCTCTCCTCAACCAGCATCGCCGACGAAGTTTCCCCACTCGTCCGCGCAGCAGGTAAACACTCGGACTCAAACCACCACCGTATCGCATTCGGCACGACCGCGTTTCCGTTTAAAGATCCCGGGTCGGTAGGGAGTTCAAGTTTACTCGGTGTGCGGATTGACGTGTGCGTGCGCGGGGGCCGCTTCGCGAAGCCTTATTATGTGCTTTTGAAGAGTGAGCGGGTTAAAGGCGAGAAGGAGAGGAGATTGAGGGTTTATCGGCATACTGTTCCGGCGTTTATTGATATTGCCAGGGTGGAGGGTGTTTATTTGTCGTTTCCCGGGTCGGGAAAAAGTCAGAGCCAGGAGGGTGATTCCGATGACGAGGCAGAGAATAGCGAGGCGCTGAAAGGCGCGAGGAAGAGTGGCAGGAGACAAGATCTACGCGGGTTCGTCCGTGAATTACGCCGTGAACTTGTGGCGTGGCATTTACGTTCTGATGCTATTGAGCTCCTGCGTGAGAAACTGGGATTGAGTGAGGAGGAGGCCCAGATTGATCCCGCGGAGAGATTGTCGCCTGAAGCTCGAGGGGGGATTGTGGCGTTGGCGGCTACTGCTGTGGAGGCACGGTATGTGCGGTTGGAATGGGAGGATGGCCGGGTTGGACGGTTCAAGTTGTCTAATGGTGGGATTGTGGAAAGGGCGGTTGTTATTGGTGATGATGGGCGGGATAAGCAGATGGAGGATGCGATGACTGGTGGAGGAGGGAGGGTGGAGACACTTCTTGAGCGATTGAGAGAGCGTGGTGCTGTTGCTGCTTAGGGAAGGCGTGATACTGGGGTTTTGAGTATTGTTTGCAGGGATGGCTTGAGTGATATATGTGATACGCCCTCTTAACGAATTCAATGAAATGGCAAGCTTGATCATGAAACAAATCTTCGATGTAGTAGTAATTCAAGGTATCTATTTCGCAATTCGTAGTATCCCAAGATCAAAGGCTATGCAAGGTGTGGAAACATCAAAGCCGCCATGCGATATGTATAGACAAGTAAAGAAAAATGACGAGATTGGACAATCAAATAGGCACACACAAAGAAGGGTGATTACAAGAAGGGTAGTAGTAGGCATCAAGTGGTATATAAAAGAAGACGAGAGTCGCTTCGAAAGTCCAAGTCCGAGGAAGACATCGGGGTATCATCGAAAGCGAGTCACAAATGCAAGTATTAAAGGCGTGTGTATATAAGACATTATGCAGACAACCGGCCACATCAATGCAGCAGGATTATGTTGTTTCACTGCGGGGTCTGGGTTTCCAAGGGAGAAGGCGAGGCAGGATCATGAGTACTCGTGGCCGAGTCGAGTCTCGTTATTGAGGCCGCTGAAAGAAATAGGCGGCAATGGACCGTACGGATGACCATTTCGGACCTCAAGCTGTTTGCGCATAATAGCTTCTTCCAGGTCCCAGCGATGCCGGAGTTCGACTTTCTTATTATCCAAAGCTTGAATCATGGATGTCTCCTCGATACGGTGCTCAGCCTGCAACGCGGTAACGTTTTTGCCATGCTGAACGCGCATATCGTTGAGCTCGCGCTCCATGCGAGCAACAGCCCCCCGTAACCTGAGCTCCTGGCGATCCCTGAGCACCTTGATCCGGGATTCGTGTAGCGCATCCATCGTCTCGTGGTCATGATACTGCTGTTCCAGCTGCTCCTTTTGCTGCCGCGTGAAGCGACGTGCAGGCGGGGTGGTTGACTCGGACCCAGAGAAAGACTCGGAGGAGCGCTGTGCTCCTGGTGCGGGTGAAGGCGGGGGACTGGCGTTCCGGAAGTATCCTTCCATATGCTTAATGCGCGTGCGCGAGTTTTGCTTTGCGCGGTCGAATTCACGTTGTTGTTCCATTTCCACGGCGAGCTGGCGCTCTTCCATGCGAATGGCGTCCTCGAAGTTCTGTTACATCATCGTGTTAGTAAAGAAAACCAGGTCTTGTGCAGAAGAGCTTGAACTATACCTTTTCGCGCTTCTCCTCCTCCAGTCGCTCATTATCAGCTTGCCGTTCTGAAATGGCGGTTTGATGTCGCTGCCGGAGGATACTCAGTGCCGCCTCTTGAAATGCAACGTGCCTATTCCTCTCCATTCGATGCCGCTCCAGCAGTTCCGTCAATTCCGGATCATCCAAGCTTCGCTGAACTGCCTCTTTATCAAATATAGGTATTTCCAGTTTCGAGAGAGACTCTGTCGTGCTGCTTGAGACAGCATCTCCATCGTGGCTGGTAGATGGCCGGTCTCGCCGGGTTCCCAAATAGACGTGATCCACGATTCCTGCCTCGTCCTTGGTGACCATTATCTGCGCATTGGGCGGCAACAAGACGCTCGACGGTGTGCGCTTCTTGCGAAAGTATATCCGTCCAATAGCATTCTTCAAGCTGCTCCGGCGCTTCTCCTTCTTATCCGCCGATGCAACGCTCAACACGGAATTTCGGTGCGTGGAGGACAATGTCTCATAATTATTTCCATAGCTTCCCAGCACAGCGCGACTCTCGCTAGAGCAGTATGACGTCGGTCGTGTTGACAGCGACGCCAGCGATCTCGTACTTCCCGGTTTGATGCGATCCGAGGCAATTGTGATATCCGATAACGATGAGACGACATCGTCGAGCCGGGACGGTGACAACGGTTCGTGGGATGGGGTGATCGACCCTTCGCAGATGGAATTCCGATCAGTCGACGATCCAGATGAAAGCACGGGCGAAGACAGATCCAGCATTCCAGAGGCGATCGAGGCGGCCAGTGGTGCCGAGGCCTCGATCTCCGGAACCTTCAGACCCAACGCCCGCGCGTCATCCAAAAGCTGTTGCGCCCGCGCTGTTTCTGCTTCTGCCGAGAGACCCAGGACCTCTTCTCTGTATTTGTCCTGGTCGAGGAAGACGGGACTCTCGGTCATTGTCGTCGTTGAGTCCATGATTCTATATTCCGGACCGATCTTGGCGATGAGCGCCTAGCCAGCGGGCGCGCATGGACTGGGATCGCACGGCGGAAGAGGGACAGGGAAAGAGTGGCACGGTATTTCACGCGGAGGGCAAGACAAGCCGACTCGTCCACTGCACCACGGGAACGGTGGACGAGGTGAAGACGCACACTGACAGCATCCACCGTACAGCTAGTTAAGGTGCGATAGATGCGGTCAAGATGGAGGGGGTTTCCTTGCGGGCAGGGAGTGAGCGTAATTGGGGGGGTCGATGGGTGGGGGAGGAACAATCAGGAAAACGTAATGGGCTTGATGGCCGTAGTCAAGTAAGTAATCGTGGGATGAGGCCCGGGGAGCGATAACTCCGGTTGGCGACGGTTGGTCAAATACAATTATATTTCCAGCCGGTGGATCGCTGTAGACCAAAGAGCACGGTAAGGACAGGAGAAAGAGCCAGAAAGGATGAAGGATGAGGAGGTTAGGAGAAAAGAGAGAGAGAGAGAGGAAATAAAAAAGCAAGGAAACAAGCTGTCCAGAAATGCAAATCAAATCAAATCAAATCAAATGATGCAGCCGATCCACCGTTCGGTTCTTCTCCTTTTTTTTCTTCTCTGGTTCTCTTCCGCTTTGCCATGTGGTTTTTACGGTTGACGGGTAAAATGAAACCGGAGTGACCCACGGGGCAATCCTGAAGCAATCCGCCCACGTCTCATGCTTCAGGTGGATCGTCCAAATGGGCCACTAACCAGCCGGGCTGACCTCCAGACTAAGCCAACTGTAGGCGGGTTGTCAGGGCCGAAGGGGCCGATACAACGGGCCGCTAGAAGCGCGGTGAAGAAAAAGACGCAGAAATTGTCCTATCAGATATAGTTCGGAAGAATAGAGGACAGACAATATCCTTCATAGATGCATAAACCTTACCATGATCACCTAAGATAATCTATAGCACCATCCTACTATAGGAGTCCCAACCGTAGTACAGCATAGGGCTTAGGGTTGCCAGGAACAGGAGCCGCGGTCTTTAGGAGTTCCCAGTTCCAAGGTTCCAGGTGGTCCCAGAGCCATAGGAGAAGCTTAACGGATCAGGGACAGGGGAGAGAAACAAAAATAAAGTATAGAATATAGAACACTGAATTCTGATCATATCTGATTGTATCATCAGATCGGAAAGTATACACCGCCACAAACCCAAAAGAAAAAAGCAAAACCCAGTTAAGCCTCGTTCAACATGTCCACCGCCAGCGTATATGCTCGATCCCGAGCCTCACGCTGCGGGGTTCCCGCCCGCGTTCGCTTGTCCCACGCATGTTTGCAACCAGCCATGCGCTCACTGACCACATGGCGCCCGGGAAGTTTCTCCAGCTTCCTTGCCAGATCTTCTCCCTCAAGAGCAAGCGAGTCACCCTCGGCCGTGATCATCAGCATTCGATGCGGGAATCGCTCCAGATCGGCATACTTGGGAGAGATCCGCGGGTCCCGTTTGTCCACTCCAGGAGGAACATAGCAGCGATTGAATAAGCGCGCGACGGGAATAGGAATGACGCGGCCACTGGGATCGGGGGCGACCTTTGTAGCTGCGTCAGAGGCTAGATCTAAGGCTGGATAATATGCGAGAAGAGCGCGGAAGGTGTTGGGAGGGAAGAGTGTTGCCGATGCGGCCAGCACGAGGTTTCCTCCAGCGCTGAATCCAGAGAGAGAGATCCGTGAGGAGTTAAACTCTTCTGAACGACCTAGGGCATAGTTGATGGCATCTTCGACATCATTCAGCGCTGCAGGGAACGGGTTCTCTGGCGCAAGGCGATACGGCACATCCAAGACGGTGTATTGGGTGTTTTTGCTGATGGTTTGACAAAATTCGACATCACTGCCATGCAGGGGAAGTAGGAAGCCGCTGCCGTGGAAGTTGATCAGCACCGGGCTGGGTCCTGTGGTGGGTTTGACTGGGCGATAGACATAGATCTTGATCGTTCTTCCTGGATCGCGCGACGCAATGTGGCGCACTTCATCTGGCCGGGGTACAGGGCGGCCTGCAATGCGGCTACCCAGGGCAATCACAATTCGTAGAAGGACTGCAAAAGTCTTCAGATAACAATATGTAACGATGGAAAACATGGTGATGTTGTTGAGCAAAGAAAGGAGAGAGGGAGCTGCTCGAAGAATCTAAAAATGGCTACATGGCTCGAACTAACTAAACCGAGCCGAGGCAGACCCGTTGAGAATGGGACCAGGTGCGGGATGTCGATCCTCTGCAGTCTCCATCAAAAGACTAGCTTAACCTGACCGGATGGGCCACACATGCGATACTTCAATGCAAATCAACACAAAGAAGAAGTTTGTCGTTGGACAACACGGGACAAGGACGATAATAATAGCTATGTAATGGCTGACCTGGAAGGAAGGACGAGTCACAGCAGTCTGTTCTATACATCGCCTGTGCATCCCGTATGAATTTCCCCTGGTTACCGACGAGACCACTTTCTTTTGGTAGGTACTTTAGCAAAAGCTTTAGATTTGATATATCATCAGTATGGCCTTCAGTATTTTTCCAATCAAGAGGTAGGATATCATGTCAAGCCCTATGAGTCTGTTTTGTAGTAGATTCAAGAGGGCTATACCAAATTGACACCACTAAAGTGCGTTTTTCTTCATACTCTGGGCTCAGGATAGTTCACAAAACTGAAGAACCTAATAGCCTCATTCTCAATGGTGCTTGATATTCCTCAACTGGCAACCATGCATACATGCATGGTAGAAAGAGCTGATAAGGAAAATTCCGAGTTGTGTTTTGTCGAGTGGGGTTTTCTCTCTAGAATACATGGAATTAATTCCTTCCTTAATCTCATGAAGCAATCAGATCCCCTATTGTCCGACTCTTTGCTATACATACCTTTTTAAGCCCAGTAATAACCACCCATGTGCTGTTGGCTATGGTGCGTTGATTTTCCATGGAAGCCGTGGAATTAGAGCTCTATTTGTCAGATCGAAGCTTAATTAGACAGCTGAGCCTTAAGGTCACAGCTTCCTTGTTATAAAAACACGCACCTCTCCCACCAATCAGACTTCTCGCTCTCTGTCGTCACTCTCCCTCATCACCTGCTCATCCATCATCCTTTCATGGTCGGGTCTTCCCCAGATCGCAAATAAAGGGCTGTCTTCAACATTTGACAAAATAAAAGGACATCGTTCTCCAGGAGAGGTACTTTTTGAGAGCTACTTTTGCCTTAGTATTGGCGGCTTGTGACCTCACCAGCTGCCCGCGGATCGACTCCGCTTCACAGGCTACCAGCAGCTACCTCCGCCATGGCAACGAAGACAGGCCGGAGTGACACCAACTTCACAGTATTCATCCGCTTGCCATTTCCCAGGGGAGACTTTGTTGACCCCCCGCCTGTAAGTGCTCCAGTTATCCCTAAAGCATCTGTCGAGCACCATGTACTGATCCCGTCAGGTGGAATGGAATGCGGCGAAGGAGCAGGCGCTATGGGACATTCTCTCTAAGCCATCAAAGGGGGATGATATAGACTGTGCGTTTACTAAGACCCCGAGCTGGCTTATAAGCTGAAATTTCTCTTCTCAACACCTTTACTGATAGCTAACATCGCAATAGGGAAAGCACTGTATCTATACCCCGACCTTACAGTTCGCTGCAGACCGCACAAAGCTAATGTCCATGTATAGGGCGGAACACTTTGACGTTACCCTGCAGTTTCTACTCCAACAAGCTGCTTGGCTATATGATAGACAGCTCTCCCAGGTACGGGCGCAAATGCGCAGGGTGCCCCCAGTCCAATCAAGTTCGCCCTCGCCAGCACCAGGTTCTGTATCAGGGAGCACGGCTTTGAGTGGCCATCCGCAAAAGGGGAATGTGCCCGGTGGTATGTTGTCCTGCAGTGTTGGTTTGATACCTGGCTCATCGTCTTTACGCAGGATCCCGTGCCCCCTCGAGACAGGTCTCTCATCAGAAAGATATTCCTCAACAAGGTAATCAACCCTCACCATGGTTTGCTGTACACTCAAGCTTACAACATCTGTAGCTGCCAGTGGCCGTCGCACGAGTTCTACGTCCACGACTACCGTCAACCAAACCCGCCACTCTCGAGACTCTTCTCGTAACGAGACGCCGACGGAAGGCAGAGAACAACGATGGGAAAACTTTGTGCGACGGCCATCTGTCACCAGACGTGACCAGCCACAAACTACCTCATTCATGCGGTCGCCGCCACTCGAAGAAGAGGATCTCAGCACCAGCTCTACAGACTCCGACTCAGAAGCAGAGTCTACACGGAGGGTGCCGCGATTTAGAAAGTTTGGCAAATACTCCACTCATCGCCTGGGCCTGCAAGACGATGCCGATGAAGATGAAGATGATACCCCTGCGTTTCTTCCCCTGTCTCGGGAAACCGACCAGACGCCTGGAGATCGACCCGGCGAAGAGCTCAGCGCAACTCTTCGCCTAGACGCTGAACGGGCAGCAGCAGCCCGGCGCCGGATGGCCGACCGGACTGGCCACCGACACCCTGTAGCAACGGAGTCATCTACTAGCTCGATGAGCTCCGGTGCCCCAGCAAGCTTGACAAACAGCGATAGTCGACGCCTAGGCCAGCCCGCTAGTGCACTCAGTCCCCATCGCGCCGGGGAAGCACCCCGGCAGAGCCCTCGCAAGTCTACTACATCTGGGAGGGAAGCGAGCGATGGGACTCCAAGCATGGGGAGCAGTTTCAGTGACTTGGATGGTGAGTTTCCTGTTCTTAAGACCGTGGTCCGTTTTTTACTGACTGGGAATTCTGTTAGACGCCAGCGTTACACAGTCTGCTCTGGAGGAGGCGCTTATGAGCAATATGCAGCATGGAGGTATGGCTAGTCGTATGAGCACGATTAGCCAGGCTTTGCGTAGTCGCTATTTGCAGTGAAACATCTGATACATGATGGCCATGATGGTTTGAGAGCTGCACCATAGGTTTACTTTTTGTCTCGATAATGGCAGTCAAATTGTCTCGTACACTATGCCCTTGCTCTGAGACAAGTCGCATTTAACCCGTGGGATGTACTATGAAAGCTCCACATCAAGTCTTTTATATCAAAATCTCAGCCAACCCCCACGTAATCTATTCACAATTTTTACATTTCTGATTTCAAATGCACAAAATATACTACACATCGATTTCTTCATCTAAACCTCCGTAGGCCCGAATGAGTGCTGTGATATACTCGGTACTTAACCTCATCCGGTGAAGTCCACGTGACCCCAACGGATGCGGGAGCCTCGGTATCGGCGATGCCCACCAGTCACCACCTACGACAGCTTCGAGGCCCGCCCGTTGAGCAAACCGACATCTCAACTGGTCTCCAGTTGTACCCAGTTGTACCCGCCTTACTGCACCGGTCCAGCGGCAACGCTAACACCAGAATAGAACCCCCGATCATCGCCGCCGTCAATTTAATGGCGGGGTATTCAACCTGATTACTGAAGCTTCAACAAAGTCCCTGAGACAATATCTGGTGCTATAAAGGATCCAACCTTGTGACGGTTGCAGATTCGTGCTTCGCATGTGAACGATCAATTGGGCATCGCGCGACGTTGTTTCATCCGGCGACATCTCCGGTCGCATCCCTCCTATACCCCTCCATTTAGCGGCACCCTCGGCTTCTGATCTGCGAGGCCGAGTCTTTTTGTGACCGAGCTCCTCAAGTTTGTCGCAAGCTCATCAAGCTTCCAGCTTCACCTCTCCGACCTTCTCCTCCACCCTCACAGCCATCATGACCCCTTCAATCGCCGAGATGGAGCCCGCGGAGGCAGAGTCCGCCTACTTCAATGAATACCCACCGCCCAAGGCCCTCCCTAACTACGAAGCACTGGCCCGCGTCTTCATCGAGCGCCATGTGGAAGCCAACCGTCGCGTTGTGCTGGTGACCTCTGGTGGAACAACGGTACCCCTGGAGACGCAGACGGTTCGATTCATCGACAATTTCTCCGCCGGTACCCGTGGTGCTACTTCTGCAGAGTACTTCCTTGAGCAAGGATATGCAGTCATCTTCCTGCACCGCCAGTACAGTCTCCTGCCGTACTCGAGACATTACAGCCACTCCACGAATTGTTTCTTGGATTTCATGGATGAAGCCCCTCCTACCTCCGAGTCTGAGAATCCCGACCATGGCCGTATCGTCGTGCGTAGCGAGTACCAGGACGAGATGCGCGACGTGCTGCGCAAGTACCGCTTTGCGAAGCAGAACAATTTGCTACTCTTGTTGCCTTTTACCACCGTTTCGGAATATATGTTTGAGCTGCGGTCATTAGCGCAGCTGATGCGGCCATTGGGTCCCAATGCGCTTTTCTATCTCGCTGCCGCAGTTAGCGATTTCTTCATTCCTCACAGTCGCATGGCCGAGCATAAGATTCAGTCTTCTGAGATTCCGGCCAATTTCTCAGAGGAAAGTGCGGTCGGGTCGGACGATATCTACACTGGTGAGAATGAACCAGAGCCACCGAAGAGCGGCAAGAAACTCGTCATCAACCTCGATCCGGTCCCCAAATTCCTGCACCGTCTAGTGGATGGCTGGGCCCCCGAAGGTAGCATGGTCGTATCATTCAAGCTCGAGACGGATCCGTCGCTGCTTGTGTATAAGGCCAAGACCGCTCTCCAGCGATACTCACACCACCTGGTCATCGGCAACCTGCTATCGACGAGAAAGTGGGAGGTCGTGTTCATTACACCAGACCCGCCGCATGAGCGCTGGATTCGCGTTCCCAAAGCTCGTCGCAGCAAGAGTATCTCCGGCGTGGAGAATCTAGTTGGATTGGCTGAGATCAAGAAGGGTGGTTCTGCAGGAGGCGCCGAGTCTGAACAGACACCGTCAGCGAGTTCCGGGGATAGACTCGAAATCGAGAGTATTATCATCCCGGAGTTGGTCAAGTTGCATGAAAATATGATTCAGAAGAAGACGCATACTTCATAGGGAAGGGATGTGACATTTGATAGTCTGCCGGGAGTGGGCATTTTCCGGTTACGAAAGTTAATAAAATGAGATAAATCTTACTGTCCATGCAGAGACTCAGATGACGAGTTTGTACAAGTTGGGCAGCCTCTCCCCAAGATAAGGTAGTCTATCATTTGATATCGGGCAGCCAACAGCATCCGGACACGCGTGCGTATATAACTGACAGGGGTACTTGATGTCTGCGCCACACTGCCAACAATCAAAGCCACTTACCCATGACTGCTAAGACTGACAGTATTCCAATTCGATAACGAGAATGCCATAGGCAAGCATAGCAGCCCAGACCGCGGACATAGAGCTGTCGTGCGTGGATGAGGGGGCTAGCAGGCGCTAAGCCTCAGCCGCACGGTCTTGAAGAGAAGAAGGCAGTCTCCCTACTATTTTGCATCAGCATGTCTTTCTTTGCTCACCCCAGGCCTAACTGGCTGGAAGAGAGCTTCATAGCAGTCAAAAACCTAGCCTACTCGCGTCCCACCTAACAAGGCAACCACGATGGCCGAAGTTATCGGGATCGTATCGGGCGCCATCACCTTCGCAACCGTGGTAGCTCAAGTCAGCGAGTCTACCATCACGATCAACGATTATTGCAGGACAGAATATCGTAGAAGCCAGCCAGCTATGAAGAGAATAATGCATGCTATAAGAGTCGGCCTGGAGACTTCTCTTGGTTGGAGGGCGAGGTACTGAGTTTGCAGCGTCCAGAGAGCCGGCATCATGGCAGAGAAACCGTAAATGTTATAAAAGGCGAAGGATTCGTACATGCCGTCAAGGGTGTACAGGAACCTATGCAGTCATCATTATATCATGAAATTGATAGCTGTCGGTTTTCAGCTTGTCGTTGCGCTCACCAGTCCTCATCCACGAAAAAGTCAAGAACGACCCATCCATGGGAGAGAATTGCGACAATCATGTTGTCGTTTATGTATCCGTGCTTTTCCAGCTGGTAAGCTCCAAAGGAGAGATCGCCTTTTTTTCAATGTTTAGACGGCCGTAATTACTCGATCTTGAAATAGCCGGATAGAAAACTTACATCAGACTTCAGGCGATGATTCCTCCCGTGCGAGTGGAGAGAAGATGCCTCCAGTCCCAATGCTTTCCGATGCGGGGATGCAGTTCCCCTCCCTCGAAGAAGTTCCAGAGAATTGACCCTATCAATACTGTGTCAGATTGTGCTTGTATTTTTCAACTGGAAACTATCTCACAAACCATTGAAGAATGTCCCTTTTTTGTTGTCCCGTGGCAATCTTGCCTTGATCTGGAAAACGATAACCATCAGAATGGAAAAGATGTTAGTGGTGCATCCTAAAGGGGCCCATTTCTTGGCTATCACTGACAGGTCGAATAGCCCTAGATAAGCTGCAGATAAGGCCAGAGTAACTGTTATAGCCCATGCTGAAAGGCTGCTTAGCTTGTATTCCAAGTGTCTCCCTCCTGGTGTCGTAGGTCCAAGAACGATCCGTCCTGGCAAATAAATGAACATGATTGACTGGAATGCAAGCCAAATCGCCTAACCTTGGATTGCCCCCCAGGTAGGACGGGGAGTTCTTGTCAAGCAAAACTCCACAATGCCCTCTGAGTACATTGATTGAGCTGTTGCCGTAAGGGAGGCTTCAAAGTCTTGGAAAGCAATGCAGTAGAAAAGCACGAAAGGTGCGCTCGTAGTGCAGAAGACAAAGCATCGAGTTCTGTGAAGGCGGATGGTGGCCCATTGTCGCTGTCAGGGTCCTTAGTCAGTTTCTTTATACGGACTGTCATGTTGAGGCGATTCTTATCAAGGGTCTTTCAATTGTTCAAAGTAGAAAGAAAGGTCTGTAGGGAAAAGCCCGAACCTTTATCCTCCCCAAGGGAGCGTTCAATTCGAAAATTAACTTTCCTCGTACATATACGATGTGTATTCTACTTGATTCTTCAAGCATGTACACCTACACTGTCTGGCCAAGTGGCGGTTGCTGCCTCCCCCACTGTGGGTGGCACCTAATAGTACAATATGGATCTCAGTTAGATCAATCTTACCTCTCCATATTGGTATGGCCAGTTAATTACCGTAAATTTTCAAAAGTCTCGATAATGCTATGCAAATGCACTGTGGGGCTATCTAATATTCGTTAGCCAGACAGTGTAGTAAGTACATAGTGTACAGTATGTACGGAGTAAGGTATTCACGATGTAGATAGTGTCCTGCGGCTCCCAATTCCCCGCCCCACCTGCAACTGCAAAGCCTGATCGATCAGTTTTGTGTGCAGAGTACCTCGTAGTTTCCTCCCACGGTAGTATGTATTTACTATCTAGCCTGATCTATCACATTGTGTCCGTGTTGCCGTGTTCCAATGAATAATATCCTTGTTTTCGCTCAACCAAGGCCAATGGCGATTTTCTAGAACAATCCTGAGTCTCCTGTTTTTTGCTTGGAGAGTCTAGGCCTTTAGGGCCACGAATCTGGACCAGACATTTAATCACATGACTTTACGCTTCCAGTAGTTCCAGTTACTACGTGGACCAGCCTGGAATAGTTAACACGTTGCATTGAATCTACTCCGTATGCAGTGTAGTAAAGTTCTAGATGGCTCGGAGGCTAGTTGCATACTTGATGCTGCTATGGAATTTCTACGTTTTTCGTTTGGTTATTTGTCTCTGTAGTCAAGGTTGAGGTCTCAGGATTACCTAGCCCAGGAGTCTAATACCTTAGTGTACTCCGTATATACAACCCGTATAACCTTCTTATCGGATAGGGGTCCATGTCATTTTCAATTTACATTCTCTGGTTTTCAGGGGTTCAGGTTAGGAACGTGGGGATCGGCAGTGATGATCAAGGGCTGGAAAAGACAGCTTGGACCTTTGAGTAGATGTTCTATCAAACTACTTTTATCTAGAAATACATTGATGGTATGAACGATTTTAATGCAGAAGGAACACAAATTGAAGATCAAGCTATAGGCCTCCCTTCAATTGGCTCTAATTCAACTTTACTTGACACCTCTTTTCTTCTAAATGAAACATTCACATACTTACATTCCGACGCACAGGCCTACGCGTCTCGCTGTGTCAGCACCCGAGAGGAAACGCGGCCCTGGCGTCGATCGGTGCTTTAGCGCCCGCCATTCCTCCTTCCCCCCAAGCTGCGGGCGACCTGTTCTCACTCTGCAAGAAACGATGCTTTCAACGCTCGCATCGGGCGATTGAAAGCTTCCATCTCGACCCCAGGATGGTCCCCCGTCGCCGATTCAGCCGCCGGTTCGCTGCCCTAGCCGCTATACTCGCCCTCCTCTTCCTATACCACATCTTCACCCTCCACTCCGATCTCCAACCCCGACGTCAGCCCACCCCGAACAGCGCTGGTCGCGCCGACCCCGAAATAACCGGCGAGCCTGCCCCGATATGTCCCCCGCTCCCGGGCATCGAAGATGTACTAGTTGTGATGAAGACTGGCGTGACCGAGGCGAAGGATAAAGTCCCGGTCCACTTCCAAAGCACGTTGCGCTGTGTCCCGCACTATGTCATCTACTCCGATTTCGAGGAGGAGATTGAGGGTGTCAAGATCCATGATGTACTGCGCAGTATGGATTCAGATGTGACGGAGCAAATCCCCGACTTTGATATTTATAATCGCCTTAAGAAGCTCGGGCGCAAGGGTCTGGAGCAGGACGATTTCGCGGACGAGGCCAATTCCGCCATTGGCAAGCCTAACAATCCGGGCTGGAAACTGGATAAATGGAAGTTCTTGCCCATGGCGCAAGAGGCACTGCGCCATCAACCCAATGCCAAATGGTTCGTCTTCATGGAGGCCGATACCTACATCTCATGGCCGACTCTCCTAGCCTGGCTCAGCCACTTCGACCACAACAAGCCGTGGTATCTGGGGACGGAGACCCAAATCGCAGACGTCATCTTCGCTCACGGTGGTTCGGGCTTCATGCTCTCCAACCCAGCCCTTCAACTTGCTACGGAAGAATATGCCGCTCGTCGCACCGAGCTACATCAGTATACAAACGAGCACTGGGCGGGCGATTGTGTCCTGGGCAAGGTCCTAGCTGACGCCGGCGTCAACCTCCACTTCTCGTGGCCGATCCTACAGAACTCAAACATCGGCGAACTAGACCAATTTACGACAGAATTATACCGACATCCATGGTGCTATATAGCAGTAGCGTTCCACCATCTAAACGCACACCAGATCGAAGACCTCTGGAAATTCGAGCAAAAGCGCTGGCGCGATGTAAGTAAACCCTCCCCACCAGCCCCCATCTCCAACCCCCCGTACACAAACCGCACACAACACAACCCCAATACTAACATCCCCAACCACCAACAGAAAAACAAGCGCATCCTCCTCCACAGCGATGTCTTCCGCGAATACATCTACCCCGAACTCGCCTCCCATCCCACAAGAACAAACTGGGACAATCTAGCCGCCGACGAACAACCCCACGCCACAAATGTCGAAGACTGCCGCGAAGTCTGCGATCTACAAAAAGAATGTGTACAATTCTCCTTCCGCGATAATAAATGCTTCACAAGCTCGAATCCACGTTTGGGTTCGCCCAATCCCAATGCATCGTCGGGTTGGTCGACGAGTCGGATTCATGAGAAGATGGATCAGAGTGGGATATGCAAAGCACCCGAGTTTGGGGCCGGATAAAAAGTGAAATGCGAGTGCAGTGTGTCATTTTCGCTCTGGGTTCGATGGTTGTTTATTTATGTATCTTTTGCTGGTTTGTTTCAGCCTTGTTATGGAGCCTGTCCTTATAATTTTGGTGCATTTGCAATGGGTTGGGCTTGGTATAGGCGTATATCTATATGCATGGCATCAGCACCTGGTTTTACTCTCTTGTTTTGTCTTCCTCTGTTCTACTATGTTTCCTTGTTGTTCTCGCTGAGTCGAGGTCTGTCTCATTTCTATCTTGCTGAGTTACATGAAACGCTCGATGGTTTGTACAAGTGGCGGTCACTGGCTTCGCCTTGCAATTGTTTCCGGTCCGATGTTGGCGTCCTGGTATGAAGGGCGTTGAAAATACCACCCAGCAAGTGCTATACAAAAGCCATCTATAATTGGAAAAAATCGACAGCAACGAAATGAACTCATATAACGTCTCGCGCAGAGCAAAAGAAGGGCTGAAAGTATACACTAAGAATATATCAAACAGCAAGAATACGTCGTCGCATCGTCGAATCTGTACAAATTGCAAACTCCACGCTCCTCTCACAGCGGCGGACTGTTGGGATCCTCCAGACACTGATCGACTCGCATAATGTTGAGCCCCAGTCTCTTAACATGCCGAATGAAATGCCGCAGGTATCCAGCCGTAATGGGATTGAGGTAGTGCATCACGGCGAGATTGCCACCTCCGGCCACATCCCGATAGAATGCGTCGAGCTGTCGTTCTGGTGTGTTGGTATCTCCCCATAACCAGTCTTCCACATCAACGCTCCAGTTCACAATGTATGGGTCGTCGATGTACTGCGCCAGCTGTTGACGCAGGCGCACACCGACGGTGCCGAAGGGTGGACGGAAGTATCGTGCTGTTGAGGATATTGTCAGTGTGTGTCCTGCAAGAATACGATGGTCACCATACATCTCACGCCTAGCTGATCCTCCAGTGTCCGTATGGATTGGATGATCTCGTCGTTGATCTCGTGCAGGGTCGGTAGGGCTTCCATCCTTGAGAACTGTCAGCGATTTATACTCGAATGAGTAGAACATCATTTGACAGGGCTTACTTAGGATGAGTGTTCGAATGCAAAGCAACCTGATGTCCCTTCTTCAACATCTCCCCATAAAACCTGGTGAAATTGGTGCTCCTATCTCTGAGTCCAGTCGCAACGGCAAAGAATGTCACCCGCACATCCTCCTCGTCCAGGATTCGCATGACCTGCTGCGCGTATTGAGGCTGGCCGTCATCAATGCCAAAGGCGAATGAGTTAGGCCGACTGCAACGGAGAATCAGCTGTCCCGTCGGAAGGTTTTCTGGAATCGTGAAGTAACCATTCCAGGCGGCTGGACTAGGCACATCCGGCACGATCTCGACCCGGTAAAGAGTGATGGGCTCACGGGTGTAGAACCCAGTGAAAGAGACCGAGACAACGCGCTTGTGATCGATTCGGAAATGAGACAACGGAATGAACAACTCGGATCTCTTTGACCAAGCAGGACGTTGGCGGCCACCACCACGAGTGTCATTTCTGAATCGATGTTTGAGAGGCAGTCTCTGCTTCCCGTGCTTGAGACTCTCATCCCAGTCATTATCGTCATGATCCGGATCCCATGACCGAGTTCTCATAATGTATCTCGACGCCTGTACACTGTCCGGCACACCAGGGAAAGGCGAACGAGCCGGATTGCACTCCGCATTGTGTTCATTCAGCGACACCGTAAATTCCTCGTTGCCCTCGAACACAACATGCAGAAACTGGTCTTTCCATGGAAGCAGACTGAAGCAGTCGCGTACATCGAATTGCGTATGGAAGTTCTGGTCCGGGTCTGTCGGGAACAGACGCATGGAACCGGGCTCATGTTGGAGAGTCAAGTTCTCGCCGGTGCCATGCCAGAACCCTAGATCATTGTGCAAGGGGTTTCGAAAGGTGTCGATGATTAGCGAGGAGGCTGGTTTCACAGGAGCAGGATCTTGGCTCTTGTCTTGGCGAGTCTCGAACCAGTGTTGCTGCTCGTAGGGACGTTGCTCGTAGGGTCCAAAGACTAGAGACGTCGCCGTCGGGAGGATCAAGGTCAAGGCCAAAGCCGGCGCAACCAAGGAAAGGGAGTATCGCATTGTAAACCTTCATAAAAGAGTGAATGCTGGGTCGGTGGGCAGAATGGATAAGAGGTTGTGATATAATATACTGTGAGTTTGGAATGGCAGTACTTTGATTCGAGTCCCGAAGGTAGTCCTCAGTGGGAAAGTGCGATGAAGTCACTGTTGGGGACCGTCCTGATTGCAGTCAATGATCTACCGACGTTTTAATTACATTCTACCTGCTACATCTTGAGCGAACGGGTTGATTGCAACGCATTCAATATGGTAGTTTTTTGATTGAGATTATCCATCGTCCTTGAATATGACAACCAACATCGAACGGCGATCTTTCCAGACCCACCTCAAAGCGTGCCCATTGAGCTCCGGATTCCTCAGAAAGATCAAAGTAGTGGAGCCCATTCATCACAGTTTCCCAAAGCCAGTTAGCCTGAAAACGCGTCAAATCTAAATCAATCTCTATTACTTGCTCTCCGGGGATCGCACAGGAGTCGAGATTGCATGAGTCCCAAATCATGGAGGTGTCGCCGTCGAGAAGTGCTGTCATTGGAATAGTAGAGAACTCGGGGGTGATTAAGGGAAATGAAAAAAAAGAAGTGGAGATTTGGGATACTGAGTAATTGTCGTCATACACTCATTCGTGCCTCCACGTGAAACCGTGAATGGTCGTAAACAGTCCAGAGGAGTCATTGCCCTCACCATTCAACCAGGTCCCGGTCGACGGGTTGACGACCCCGAGCAGGCTTTTCTTCGGCAGGCTCTTGTTCAGTCTGCTCCTCTGCGGCAGACTCACCCTCAGCCAAGTCGGCAGGGCCCTCCGCATCTTCACCCCATGTCTCATCGGCTTCCTCCTCCTTGTTGTCAGCGTCGGCATCGGTGTCATCATCATCACTGTTTGCGGCCCAGGCGCCAGTTTCACCATCTTCCCCCTCCTTGTCCTTTTCGGCCTCGCCATCCGTGGTGTCGTCCTCGAAACTGGGGTTGGTGTCGGAGGGTTGGTGCTGCTCAAGAAAATCTGGGACTGTCTGATGGCTTTCAATGAGCAGCTTAACAAGGTCAGGTCCCAAGTCTTCATCCCGGCTGTTGTAGAAAGACGTTGCCAGTCCCTCGTTACCGATACGAGCAGTTCGACCTGGAATCATTCGAGTATATCATCAGCTCAGCCCTGGTGAGGAAACAAAGATATTCAACTTGAAGTAACGATTAAACTCACCGATGCGGTGCATATACTCCGTGATGCCACCCTGAGAAGCACGGGGGAGGTCATAGTTGACCACATGCATGACATTAACGATGTCCAGGCCACGAGCGGACACGCCAGTGGTGATCATGATGGGACATTTGGCGGTACGGAAGGAACGGCTGTCCCAGTTAGTGGATAATCCGCAAGTCAAAATAGTAAAAGTGAACATCCTTACATAGCATCCTCTCGCTCCCGCTGAGTGCGATCTCCGTGCATGGAAGTCGTGGGAAGTCCTTGATTGAACAGGAAGTCGTCGACATAGTCAACCTCCTGTTTGCTATTCACGAAGATCAGGGTTCGGGTGGGCCGAAGGCTCAAGAGGAGGTCGTAAAGAGCCTTCTTCTTGTTATGGTTCTCCACCCAGACAATCTAGGTGGTAGGCAAGAAGTCAGCGGTCTGAGTTAATCAACAAAAATCAGCATCACTTACCACTTGCTGAATGTGCCGGACGGCACTGCCAGGGCGGGAGATCCGAATTCGAACATGATCCCTGCTCAGGTAATCCCCAGCCAGCTTCCGACACTCTTTGTTGAATGAAGCTGAGAACATGAGATAACGATGATCGGAATCTTCGTTCATATCTGGATTGTTCCTGAGTATCAGCAATTGTAAGCCGTCAAAGTGGGTATACAGAGTCATGGCTTACCTCCTCCGGCCATAAGGTGCTTGAAGTCCTCCTCCCAGTCGGCTTGAAGGAGCTCATCAGCTTCATCAATGACCGTATACCTAGGGAAAGGTTAGTCGCTGGAAGAAACAAAAGCATTGTTATCACAGGGTTTACACATACCGAACACGGCGCAGGGACAGCACATGGGGCTGACGCATGAAATCCAGGATACGGCCAGGGGTCCCAATGAGGATGTCGCATCCCTTCTGAAGCTCCTCCCTCTGTAGGCGAGCCGGAGCACCGCCGTACACAACACAGGGGCGGAGCATAGACCGATAGCAGAGTCTCCGAGCATCGTCAAAGATTTGATTGGCAAGCTCTCGTGTTGGGCAAACGATAAGAACCAACGGCTCCGCACGTACTGCATTCACCTTCGGATCCCAGCCCTCAGCAATGTTGGGTCGGGGGGCGGCCAACTTCTTAGCCTTTCCCATCAGCTTGGAAAGGATAGGGATCAAGAATGCACCGGTTTTTCCAGAACCTAACAGTGTGAGTAAATTTGCCATTTTAACTTCTTTTGAGGAACAAGGGTTACCAGTCTGAGCGATTCCAATGACATCCCGCTGCTCGTGAATCGCAGGGATGGTGTAGCATTGGATGGCGGTTGGCCACGAATACATGCAAAGTTCAAGGTTCTTCTTCATCACTGGGTGGATTCCAGCTTCGTCGAACTGAATAAAGTCAGCAGCCAAAATGAAATAGGAGACGGGAAGGACTTACCGTGGAGATAGGCTTGAGCTTGAACTCACTCTCGACCTTGACTGAATAAGGGGCCTCTTCGCCAGACTTCTTTAGCCTAGTTGATGGTACAGAGTTAGGCATGTTTTCAAAAGGAATATCAATTGCAGGAAGTCTGACTTACTCGTCGAAGCGTAGACCAGCGCGTGGCATGAACTCGTCATTGAACAGTTGCTTCTCCAGCTCCTCATTGCGAGGGCCGATGTCACCGTACTCATCGTTCCACTCGTAACGAGGCGCCATGCCATCCCAGTTGGCGAAGTTCCTGTCATTGTAGCTTTCATAGCTGTAGGGAACGGGGTCCGTCCAGCCAGCCTCGCGGGGGCCCAGGTAGGACTTCTCGTTGTCATCAGGAGGAAATTGGGCGTTATCGTTCTCAGTGACGAATTCGTCAGGGTTGTTTGTGACATCCCGAAGGGCGTCTTGAACGTCGTCGTATGACTCCATGAAGGAAGGGGAGTCACGATGGTGGCCCGAGGATTTTGATGACTTGACGATGGAAGGGTAGTCAAGATTTTGGCTCGCGGATTTTGGGGAGTTTGATGATTTGTAGAGGATTAGCGGAACGTTCAGGCTCGAAGTCGCGTCTGTCGGCTCGTCCATACACGCAGACATCTGCGCAAATCGATGGCCTGATGGGTTCTTGATGATCAGAGGTGTAGCAATGTGGATGGTGAAGAGGAGGAGGAGGAAGAAGAAGAAGAAGAAAGGAATGAGGAGGGAGGAAGACGTTGAGGTAAACAAATAGGCCTGGTGCATGCGTGCCTTCCTTTCCGGGCATCATTTCGGTACTTTCCTAATTGGGGGGTTGATTGATGTTTGAGTATAATACCGGGATTTGCCATTTGGGAAGTGGTGTCGGCGTTTCTTTTTTTGCGAAGTTGTACCTAAGTACAATACCTGGGGTAGCAGTGTTAGGGCCCAGAAGAAGATGGAAGGGCTTCAAGCAAACACCACCCAACCACTACCGCATTTTGTCTAAACCAAATTAGTCGAATAGAGAGGCTGATAAGGTTGGCATTTTACGGACAGCTTGATAATGAGACTATGCTTTGTCTTAATATCAAAAATATCAAAAGTTCTATCTATGTGCCATGGTCAGTCTAAAAGCCTATAGAATAAATCCCATATGCCAGTGTATATAGATCTAGATAGTAGAGCAGGCTTGAACCGCTTATAGTCACCTATACCCTGATACACGAGACAACCTTCCGAAAATGGACAACATTGGGGATATTTTTCATTGGTTGAATCCTTCTTATTGATTAAAAGTCCCAAGATTCATCCTCCATACCTACTACATACTTCACACTCGTCGAACACTAGAGTGGACCGAGGCAGAGTAACAGGAGCGACTCTTCTGGCCGAAATATATCTTGGCCATACTCTAGGTGGTTACCTAGCACATTGAGTTATATCGAAACGAGCCGAAGGCTCGATATTGAAATTGCTGGCAATAATTGGTTGAATCAGAATTATAATAATCAAGAGCTCCAAAGACTGTCATCTTTAATGTCCAATTTATGCAAATTCCCCAGTCTGGGGCTGTCAATTTTCATCGGCATAAGATTCCCCTAGGGACCCGTTCGTGCTCGGCTTCTAACGGACATTCGGTCGGGAAGATAACACCACTGCAAACCATTGAACCTCGGAAGCTAAGATCCTCGGCCCCCTTGTAGCCCCATCCCACACTAAGATTGTTGGGGGAGAGGGAAAATAAGTTCAGTTGGATTAAATGCAACGGTCCACTGAGAGGATGGAACAGGGACGAGTGGAACCCGTTCTGTTCCAGTAGTGTTCCAGTGTTCCAGTGCGGGTAGAAGGAAATATACGCCGTAAGCGTGGGCACGGGATCAACCACCGCCAGGAGCTCCGGTGGCTTCCTTCTACACCTCCCACTGCTGCTGCCATTGCCATTGCTTGCTCTCTCCGCAATCGCCATGGCTCCCTCAGATACTACGACGGAGCCTGATGCCCGTCGCAAGGGTCCACGGCTCGAGGAGGCCATTTCCAATCCCGGCGCCGTCAAGATCAATGTCAAGGGTGCCTTTATCGTCGACGACGAGCCCCGATCGCGCAGTCCTGTCGAGGCCGAGGGTGTTCACTACGAAAATAAGGATATTCGTCTGCCACACCATACTGGCGTTGTGAGCCATGTCGCCGTCGATGTGAGTTGTCTTCGTACCTGGAGCTTTTTTTTCTTGTCACTCTTCGTTGCCCCGCACCCCCCGACCGTCCCCGCAATCCCGCCGACGGGGAGGCAACTGAGCACGAGAGTGGTATATGAACTGCATGACTGACTGCGAATGGATTGATATTCTAGATTGGAGGATCATTGGCTAAATTGGTATACTTTACACGAGAGCTGGACGCCGCGGACAACGGTGGTCGCCTCAATTTCATCAACTTCGAAACACACCGAATCGACATCTGCATCAACTTCATCCGTCAACTCAAGGAGGAACATGAGAAACGCAATGGCTCAGTACCGGATGAATTGTGTGTTGTTGTGGTGGCGGGGGGGGGCGCATTCAAGTTCTACGACAAGCTTAAGGAGGCGCTGGACGTCAATATTCTGCGAGAGGAGGAGATGGAATGCCTGATCATTGGTAGGTGCTCGGACGACCGGAAATGGACGTGCTCGAGGCAATTCATTCTAATCGCGTGTTCTCTTCGTGCAACCAGGTCTCGATTTCTTCATCACCGAAATTCCCAACGAGGTGTTCACTTACAGCGATGCCGATGCCGAACCGATGCAATTTGCCGAGGCCCGACCGGATGTGTACCCGTACCTCCTGGTCAATATAGGGTCTGGTGTGTCCATGATCAAGGTCTCTGGTCCCAGACAGTATGAACGTGTAGGCGGAACCCATCTTGGTGGAGGCACATTCTGGGGGCTCATGTCCTTGCTCACTGGCGCGCGAACCTTTGACGACATGCTGGCCATGGCGGATCGCGGGGACAACGCCGGAGTGGACATGTTGGTGGGGGATATTTACGGCATGGATTACACCAAGATTGGACTGAAGAGCACTGCTATCGCTAGTACCTTTGGCAAGGTGTTCCGGTTGAAGAATGCTGCTGAGTGCGGGGCCGAGGATGGCGAGGGCTTGATTCACGATGAAGAATTCGAGCGCAGCAACGGGGGAGTTAACTTCCGACACGAAGATATGAGTCGGAGTCTTCTATATGCTATCAGGTACGACTTGCTCGTTCATTGTATGTTTTCTGGACCATTTACTAATCTTTCCAATCAGCAACAACATCGGCCAAATTGCCTACCTACAGTCAGAAAAGCATCAAGTCAAGCACATTTACTTCGGAGGATCCTTCATACGGGGCCACCGCCAGACCATGAACACACTCTCCTACGCCATCCGGTTCTGGTCCAAGGGCGAGAAACAGGCCTACTTCCTGCGCCACGAGGGCTACTTGGGTGCCGTCGGTGCGTTTATTCGCCGGCAGCCGCAGAACTGGGGGCGCAGAAATAGTATCGACGAGGTGGTGGCACCGCAGGCGGTCCGAAACATCGTCATGAATTCTGGATTGAACCCTGAACAGAATGGTTCTTCCAGCTCGTCTTCATAATCAGCGGCGAGAACTCCCACTTTCTCTCCACCTCCGCCTCCAGACCTGGAGGAATAACCGATACCCCTTGGAATGTACACTTCATCTGCCTCGTCGAGGTTCTCGCAACCTCGTCTCTCTACACAAGATAATCTCACATAACCTTCTGCTCCAGTTTACAGAAGGGCACAACGCATATTGAATCACAGGGGAGCAAAATCCCTCCAATCATATACCCCTTCGAAATCTTGGGCATGCCCAGACATCATATTTTAGAAGAACTTTTTGCCAGATAGAATGATAACAGGACACGAGGATTTTTTCTGCAGCCTGTTAGTGTATTAATTAGAACTTCATTTGCAAATCTTGCATGTGCATTTGTGATAGGCTGAGGCTACTCGCATGCCAACTTGTGCTTTCGCACGACAGACTAATCTATTTTCGAATATAGTGGATAACAGGCAGACAGGATCCTTGATATCAAGACTGGAGAAACGGTTTTACATTGTGAATATGTGTACTTTAACTTTCCCTTGTATGAAAGGTCTTTCTAAATGTCTTTGGAACCGCCTTTTTTGATAGCTAAAGTAAAAGGCTTAGTAGGTATTATGAGGATATCTAGTATCTAGGTGCTCGATGTACTCGATGCACTTATTATCCACCATATTTTGAAAAATGGAACAGACTGGTGCGAAAGCACTGGTTGACGTGCGATTAGCCTCAGCCTTGTGATAAGGACTTTCTTTCAAACCACCTTCTAACCCACCTTCCAACAACCAACCACTTCCAGTCCACAAAATTCTGTCTGAACATTTGCTTGAAATGTACTTTGACGTTCGTTCAATGGTAAGTTCCAGGCGGGAGTCCCATTTGTCACCTGGTCATCTTCATATGGACTCACCTCGCACCTGCACCACGAACTTTCTTTCACATTCACACACATCCCGGTCTCTCAATTCTCAGGTCTGTTCATCATACATCACTTCCTCAACTAAGGTATGCTCATAAACAGTGGAAACAAAGCTTAGACTTGCCCTTGCATTAAGGATACACCGACCAAGGGCGAGATGGCTGAGCCACCTTCCTCCCCTGATCCTGGGATCTCCCAATTTGTTGACGAGCCATCCACACCGAGCCAGGTTCATGATGACCTAGCACTTGCTGCTGAGTCTCAACGTGATGATTCCATTGCTCAGCCATTACCCAAAACCGAGGTTGCGACAGTTAGGCTGGAGCTCATCGAAAAGTTTGAACAAATTCTGGCTAAGACATCCTTGTCACATGAAGGTAAGGTTATCAAGCCTGAGATGCCAAATGAGGATACAAGTGTCAAGTCCGAGATGCCAGATATGGATATGGGTGTCAAATCTGAGATACCAAATCAGGATACGAGTATCAAGCCTGAGATAAAGGAAGATCCATTCGGCCAGCCTGTCGCCGACAACTCATCGCCTGGTCCAGACATGCATGACCAGGTCAAGTTGGACCCTTTCACGCTTCCTGAATCTGCATTAGAGGCATCGAGCTCTATCCAAAGTAGGATGAATCAGTGGGCCAACAGCCCGTCTCCCAGCCAGCCTGTGCAGACCCAGTTCCGAATCACTCGATCTATGACCAAGGCAAAGTCGTTGACCTCAACCCACAGAACTCTGAGGTTGCATGAATATTCTCTTTCTGGCACCGGGCAGGCTCACACCCCTTTCGGCATCATTGAACCACTTGAAACAGCACAAGAAGATTATGGCAATGAGAAAGCACGTTGTCCAACGTCTGGTGGGGCATCTGATCTCAGTGATGTCGAGTTCACTTTGGCTCGTCCAGCGAGCTCCGCAGCAGGATCAAGGAAGAGGCGCAGACCGATCTTACCTGCGGACAAGGGGCTGCTCGGTGGCAAAAAGTGAAATTGATCCAGGCAAGCTCAAGACAGCCAAGGCAGATGACTCTGAGGATGAAGATAAGCATCCCCAGTCTCAAGTTGAGCTGGCCACAGGATCGACATGTTCCCCCGGTTTTGTAGCTTTCCCAGGCACAAATGGCAAACGAGGAACAGCGGCCCATGTCACTTTGTTTAACTTTTCCTCCACTGGTGGAAAATCGTGGAAATTTACGCTCTCTCATGGCCACGTCCGTCAGTTTCCGGAAAGACTTATGAAGATGCTTCAAGAATGGGACCAGATCCATCCAGGTTGTCGGCCCCCATGCACGAGTCATGCATTTCGAAATCGGTCCTTTACGAAAGGCACGAATTCAAGGATAATTCAAGTTTTTGGCGAGGATGGAGAGGAAATGGAGGCTTCCTGTTATAGATTTACCGTGGAACACGAGTCGGAGAGTGTATATGTATCAAACTCGCCTTGTTATGTGTGTGTTCTCTTCTCCAATAAATTGGCGAGATACTCGCGAGGGGTCTCCTATTGTCCAGGTATTTCGCAGCCCAACATAGAGAAAAGCTCGCTCTATGTTCGACTTACTTTGTCGCTTGGCTAGGAGTGAAGAAACACTGGGAGGCTCGGGTTTGCGCTGTTCAAGTTTCAACACCAAAGCGCTTGGAATTTGATGAAGTATTCTTTGCGTTCAGTCCCAAGTATAGTGCAAGAAGTCTTGACCCACCCCCGCTGGCGGAGCACCTGGAGGTCCCAACGGGGAAAAGTATCCAGAATATGCACAGAAAGGGGCCCAAAAGACCTAAAGCGAATTCAAACACCACGGCCAATTTCTCTTCCAGGAATGCCATGCTGTACCCTTCGAGACGCCACGCTCACTTTAAGTTACTTTCTTGCAACCAAAATATCTCACGAGTTTTCCCCATGGCAGGATGCACTGTGAAGACTTTCTTCAAGGAGGCAAGGGAATTTTACCAGAACGCTGAAGCAGATGGCGGTATGGCGCTTCACCTGAAGATGCCAAGTCTCTTACAGGAGAGATACATGCAGGAATCGTTCGAGGAGGAGTTTGATATCCTCTGCGAAGAGGTCATGAAATTGGTTCTAATTGATCAAAAAGATCGGATCGTTGAAGTGAGTCTACAGAGAAACATAAAAATTGAGGAAGTGGAGATTGAACAAGTGAAGATGGAAGAAGTGAAGGTGGAAGACGTGAAGGTGGAAGAAATGAAGATTGAACAAGTGAGAATTGAGGAAAAGGGTAGCTATTGAGAGCAAGATTGACATTGTGGAGCCAATTTGATAGGGAAATTGTACCAGAAGATCTTCCAATGGTTAGATACTTAGCTGATTCACATATGATATCTTGAAATTGTTCATGGGCAGAATGTACGTAAAGATGTGTAGACTCGTAGAGTGAGGTCAGGGCTCCAACTAGTCACATGACCGCAAACCGTGGACACGTGGGATTGCGCGTTCTGTACTACGACGACCTCGACCATTCGATGCCCCTTTCACTCTTCTCTCACAACCGCCATGCGTCGATGCTAGTCGCCTCAGCTCGATGACTCCATCACCATCATCGCTATCGCCAATTCCCCCGCCCATCCCCGTCGACACGCATCCCAATCGAGCCCCAGGATCCAGGCCTCCTGAGCAAGACCGCATTCCGGACCCCGATCGCCTGGCGCCGGAGGACGCTTATTTTGCGCCGTCCTTGTCCCGGGTGCGATCGGCCCCCGCAAATTATGAAGAAAGCCTGCGCTCTTTGAATGGTGATGCCTCGGGTGTTGCGACGTTGCGGCCGCCGCGGGGGACGCTTGGCGTGGATTTGACTCGCAAGGACGGGAGGAAATTGGGTGCCGCTGGACCACGCCGAAGGCGAAAGGGTGCCTGGAAGAAGCTGTTATGGGTGAAACAGTCGTGTATGTCTTTGGGAATTGGCTTGCAAGACACATAGATTGGAAAAGGGCGACTAACGGAGCTATGATAGATCCGGACAACTACACCGATACCGAAACGTTCTTGGACCATCTACAACGAAATCCTCGAGTCCGACCCTATGACTTCTGGCCTCTTGTCTCTGACTCTACGGTCATTGTCCAACATGTCTGCTCAGTCGTCATCTTTGTTTGCTGTTTTGTCGGTATCGTTCAGGACCGGGTGAGCCCCGTGTCGATTGTCTGCTGGGGTAGCGTTGGTACCGCCATGGGCTGGATTTTGTGGGACAATTGGATTTGGCGAGAGCAAGCGGAGCTTGCGCAGAGCCTCAATGCTGCGAGTGGCGGCGATGACGAGTCCAGTTCGAGCTCCATGACCAGTGCGCCCAACCCATCCGGCAATGACCAAGGGCCAAATGGCACGAAAGGAAGTCCAATTCATGGCCTTGGCCTGACGATGTCTACAAATGAGTCCAAAGAGCAAATATCACAACTGACTGCTGAAATTCATGGCAGTCTTGAAGGGATTGGGGATCCGGCACTGCGCCTTGGACCCTCCTCTGCCACCCCCAGTATTGCCCTCGGTAGTACCGATGCACAAGATACCGAACGGGCATCGCTTTTCTCATCACGCAATCGCCAGCGTCTATCGACTGTCAAGTCGGCATTCCTAATCTACTTTTCCTTGTTGGGTCTCAGTCCCATTCTGAAATCACTCACAAAGTCTACCGCCAGCGACTCAATCTGGGCTTTGAGTTGCTGGCTTTTAATCATGAACATATTCTCCTTCGATTATGGAAGCGGAGAGGGCGCGGGCGCCACAACCAAGTTTCCGGCTTCTCTTTCTACCAATGCCGCGGTGATGGCATCCACGGTGCTTGCCTCTCGGTTGCCTTCGACTACGCACGTGTTTAGCCTGATGCTGTTCTCCATGGAAGTATTCGGGTTGTTCCCAATCTTTCGCCGTCAGCTCCGACAAATATCCTGGACTGGCCATGTGATACTTACACTTGCCCTGGTCATCATTGCAGGCGGGGCTGTTGGCACGACACTTGGTGGTGGCTGGGCTTCCGCTGTCATCGGATCTTTCCTTGGAAGCGTCTTGACTGCCTTCTCCATGGGCGGGTGCAGCTGGTGGCTGATCAGTCTGCAGAAGTACAAGAATGTGGTCATCGGTCCTTGGGATCCAGCACGTCCTATCATTCGACGACATTGGAACTAAGACCGGCCAGATCTTTTTTCCATTTCCGGCAGCGCCGGGCGCTTGGAGAGGGGGTTCCTTCTTTCTCAGCCGATAATTTCCGCCACTGTCATATACACTGGGCGATTTTGAGCCTCCATATTTTATACCCCTAGATTATTGTATTCATATCCGAAGAGATCTTCTTCAATCTCACGTTTCCTGATCATATGCCTCCAGAGCTGGGACAAAGTAGTGCGTGCAGCAGCAATTCCTCACCAAATTTTCGAAGACTCGGCCAGACCGATGGGCCCAAAGTTATAACTGAATCTCTCAAATGACTGTTCTTCCACCTGATTAGCGTATACCCCTGGAGTTGAATACTCTGTGACGCCAACGGAATGTGAGTAGGAAGGGGATGATGAATGTACCATGTACCGGTCTGGTATGCCAACACCAACCGCGATCTATGACAAGCCTCCCGCCAGCACACAGCACAACCACTTCGATTCTCGGACTACACACAGCCATTTATACTTTTTTGGATCTCACTGACTTGCCATGCAGACAAGACCAACCGAGCTGTTGTCCAGTAGGACGGATTTCCAGGTGATCAAGCCTGGCGCCACCCGGTGTGCCCGACATTCCAACGCCTTCTTAGCTTCAGCTCTCCTTCCCCATACTGTTGGGGGATCCGTTGCCTGCGGTGGTGATCCACTTTGCCGCAGGGATGGAATACACGCGCTTTGTGAAATGACCCTATGTACTACATTTACGGTTTGAAGAGGTGCGTTGCTGGACCTGGAGGGCATTGTCCCCTTCGGCCGCGACTTGGTCCAAACTCGGGGGACCCGATGATCATTCTGGGCATGTTTTGCCGTGTTATGCTGGAGGTTGGAGTTTATTAGGCTTTGGATTTCTGTTTACTGTTGCTTTCTGCTCCTTTATCCTCTTTGTTGTGTTCATTTTGCAGCTTCGCGCTGACCTATTTTCCTTCCGTGAGCTGGGCCACTCCTCCGGGTTTGTTTCTTTGTCAATTATCTGGCATTTCCTTCTTCTATCGTATTTCCCCGGCTATTCACAGTCGAGTGACACGGTCTAGCCATGTTGATGAATATTGCTCTCGGCCTATTGGCCGCTCAGGGCGCCGCTGCGGCGCGGTTCGCCATGTATATTGATGAGTATGTATAATATGAAGATGGATGAACGATACCCAGAGACTGAGCCTAACTTGGATCAGATATCATACTACCGATCTCCCCGGGAGCGATCAAACAGCCCAGGTTGATCACGCGATCATGGCATTTGCCCCGACAAAGCTGTTCAACTCTGACTCCCCACCCTCGTTCACGCCATTCGAGCCTGTGGACACCATGCGCAAGCGTTTCGGTCCTGACACTAAGGTCATGATTGCCATTGGTGGCTGGGGTGACACAGCCGGTTTCTCTGACGGAGCCAAGGATGACACCAGCCGCAAGCGCTTCGCAGAGAACGTGGCTGCGATGCTTGATGCCAACAACTTTGATGGTGTTGGTATGAGAGAACTTAATTCCGAAATTGATAACACACGATTCTGAATTTTGTTTATAGACATCGACTGGGAGTACCCCGGCGGTAACGGCCAGGACTACAAGCAAGTCCCCAACTCCGCCAAGGTCGACGAGATCGAGACCTACCCCAAGTTCCTCGCAGCCGTCCGCGAGGCCATCGGTAACAAGACCCTCTCCATCGCCGTTCCCGGCCGTAGAGGTGACATGATCGCCTTTACCAAGGAGCAAGGTCCTGAGATCTTCAAGTCTGTCGACATGGTGAATGTCATGACCTACGATCTGATGAACCGCCGTGACAACGTCACCGCCCACCATACTAGTGTTGAGGGATCTCTTGACACCGTCCAGGCATACCTTGATTTGGGTCTCGAGCCTGAGAAGGTCAACCTTGGCTTTGCTTATTATGCGAAGTGGTTCACCACCGACCCTGACTCTGATTGTAAGGAGCATCCTCTTGGTTGCAAGGTTGTTAAGCTTGAGAATGATGATGGCAGTGACAATGGCAAGTCTGGTGCTTTCACTTTTGAGAAGGGTGTTATGGATCCTCCTCCCGCCGACCTCAAGACTTCGTATAATGGCAAGTGTGGATATTCCGAGGGTACTAAGTGCCCTGATGGAACTTGCTGCAGCGCCTATGGAAACTGGTACGTTCTTTTCTACCATAATTTGATCACATAACCACAATTCACATGCTAATATTTCTCAGCGGAACTGGCGACGATTTCTGCCAGGCTGGTTGTCTCTCCGACTACGGGACTTGCAAGGGCATCTCCATCACCGACTCCTGGCGCCGCGCTTCCAAAGACGGCCAGACTGATGACCAACAAGGTGGCCAGTACTACTGGGACGAGGAGACCAACCTCTTCTGGTCTTGGGACACTCCCGACCTCATCACTCGCAAGTTCTCGGATATCGTGCAGGCTAAGAACCTGGGTGGTGTTATGGCGTGGTCCTTGGGCGAGGATACCTACCAATTTGCCCATCTAGAGGCGATGCAGAATGGTGTTAGGCAGACTACCCAGCAGAATGCTGGTGAGTAGTTTATTTACTGGAGGAAGTGAGGATGGTTGGTGTTGAGGGCTGATCATGTTGTTGGGGGAGTTTTGGTTGTGGATTTTCTCTTAATATCTCGTCATACTCATACCTATAATTTTCTCCTCAATATGTTCGATTACTCGGTAATACTGCATCTCTATCACGATACCAAAGCACAGGTTCCGGGTCTAGTAATCGATTGTTACACCATAACAATGCTTGCTAATCCTCATCATCATGCTCGTCCTCTCTAACAAACAAAAAACACATCATCATACTCGTCAAAGAAGACCTCAACCCTCGAATCTCTAACATAAAACTCAACTCTCCTCTCCAAACAAGCACACCTTACCCCTTCGGTCTCTACCAGAATCTCCTCCTTCAACAACGATAAATAATCCGGATACATCTCCCTCCAGACCTCCTCTTGGCCAACATCGTCTTCAGCCCCCTTCAACCATTTCCTCCCCTCAACATCAATTCTCGTCAACGCCCCCAAACCGCCCCTTCTCCCCAGAAACAAAAACAAACCCCCTCAATTCCCGCATAATCCCCCCCCAAAGCTTGATTCGAAATATTCGAAATCCAAAGCTCCTCAATACACTCTGGCAGAAATTCTACCAATCCAACCCTCGGCACTGGATCAACATCCCATCTATTAGCGTGACCTCTTCCGAGGAAATTACTCGCGCGGATTTGCAAGTATCGTAGCTTAGTGAAATCTGCCATACATCCGATCCAATCATCAGAGTAGAAACCGCCGTAACCCGATGATCGTCGTGCGATATCTACCGTGATAGATTGCAAAGTGTTTTTCCTTCTTGCAAGAGCATCGCGGAATGCGGTCGGTCGTAGTGTATCGAAATATACACTGTTGTAACCCGGTGAACGATGGCAACAATCATCTTCTTGTTGCGTATATTTAAACGATTGTAAATCCGGACAAAGATCAATCAGATACTTGAATCCCAGGACACTGCTACACTGTATAAATTCAAGATGTGTAATAGACGAACGTCCAATTTCGAGTGTTGGTTCGAGATATTTATCCGTAAGTAACAGTCCCTTGAATATCCGCATACTCTGCATGGTAAATAACGGGGCCAAACGCTGGATATCGAAATCCGCACCTTCGTCTTCGGAGACTTTGATTATTGCTGTGTGGAGATTTGCCAGAAGTGCCGTGTATCAAAAGGTGTGTATCGTTTTGATATTCGAGAGAGAACCCAGGAAGAGTGTCTCGTTCCGGTTCCGCCCCAGAAAAGTTCCACTGTTTCTAGGTTTGGGAGGAGGGAGAGGAGGATTGCGAGCCAGGGGTCTCGATGGGTGTTGCTTTGGAGGTCTTCTATCCATTGTGTTTGTTCCCATTTTCTATCGGTCAGGGTCTGGATTTTCTTGTTGAGTCTGCATTTCCAGGACTTGCTGGTAGAGGGTTGGGAATACTGGGATAACTCTTGTTTGGGATCAAGTTTATCGTGATGCCCGTGTTCATGGTTGGAGTATGCCTTTGGGTCTGCCCCGTAGGAAAGTTGTCCGAGTTTCATACGGCGTACTGATGCTGCAAGTTCTGGATGATTCAGGAGGGTGTAAACTAGAGTTTTGTGGATGCCGATGCAATAGCATGGTGTCTCGATGGATTCGTAGAGCATGGGGATGATCCGATTATAGAAGAGTCGGCAGGACCGCCCGAGCATCAGCCAATCATGTTTTCTCTCCAGGTGGCCGAGAATGAGCTGTAAGTTTTCATTTGGTAGTTTGGCAAATCCATTCGACATTATAGCGTATGTTGTATACTGATTCATCTATATTGTTCTTCAGTCTGACAGTCAGAGATGACAGGTCAGCGGCTAGGCTGTTAAGTTGAGCCGCTTGCATGCCGTGCGACAGCCTTGGCGGTAAGGATCACCCTAGAACAAGGAGATATTTGAATGAAGAGTTAGATTTCAAGAGAGAAAATAAATAACATTGCAAAGATCGGCTAGAAGAATGGGTATCAATGTAAGGAATGATCATGAAACAAGAGACAAGAAAGAAAAGGAAAATGTAGAGAGAGAAAAGATGACAAAAAATCCCCCAAACTCCGCAGAAACAATTCAACACTTCAACAGCGCGTCTTCCGCACCTGCCACCAATGCTTCTCACTCTCCAAGAATTGTTCCCGCTGTCTATTACTCCACGCACGTATCTGTCTCTCCGGACCGAGTAATCTCACCCGGTCCCGACCACGACGCGGAAATCGCTCATGAACACAGCATCCGATAGCTAATTCGAGCAGTTCGAGGAGGAAATAGGCGATAGGGACGAGAACGAAAATGGCTAGTGCGACACACTCGGGGCCATGCTTGTCGATAATGTCGAGCAGATCGACCGGTTTGAGATATGTGATTGTTCGAGAGGAGGAGGTGGGAGTATGATGATCCTGGTTGTGTTGGACCTGGGCATTTTTGGCCGGTTGCGCGTCGGAAATATCCTCGTTGGAAATGAATTTGCCCAGTTTACCGAGGACTGCACCGTAGTGATCGCGGAATGCGCGGTCGCGTTCCGTATCAGATTCAGATTCGGACTGCGCGTGCCCTGGTTTTTGTTCGGATGTACTGGACTCGATGTCCAAGGTAGCAGTAGCAGTAGTAACTGGCGTCTGTGCCGCTTCGCGCACCTGCTCAATGTACTGCTTGAACGATGGCTTCTCGTGAACGGGTTCGGGAAGACGCTTGGCCGGGAGACTGGAATCTTTGAAACGAATTGTCGGGGTATCGCTGGTCAAAACGATCTGAAATGGTAACGCGACACCCAAGGCCGCATAGAGCAGTCCGGCAAGCAGAGCATGGCGAGTAACCTTCATAATGACTATTTCCCCCCGAAGGGAAAGGGATGTTGTCCACGCAGAGGTGACATGAAGATCAAATTTTTTTCAGAAGGAAGCCAGGTCCCTGCGAGCAGGAGGCTGGACCTTTTAAACAGCCATGGAGGCGTGGAAAGAAAGTTCGCCATCTCGTCTTTTTGGACTCTTTTGGACTCAGTTGGACCCTTTTGGCGTTGGACCCTGGAGGGGAGAGGAACAGTCGACTACCAGCCAGTGCGGGCATGTGGTCATTCTCCATTGCTGATTGGTTGGTGGAGTGGGACGAGGCGTGTTGGGAAAAAGGTGAAAAGGTGGAGGAATCACGACTGAACCACTTGGAACACTCCGTGGTTGATGTGATCGTTGCCTGTTTGCCCTTTAATGGCAACTGAATTCCAGTCATTCATCACAGTTACCTACAGAGAATATGTTGTTGATCGACATTGGGAGCAATAGCTTGGCTGTGAAGCTTGATTCATCACCAGAGACGAAGTGGATAACAACCAATCAGAGTCTTCCTTGGCAGCACCCTGTGGAGATGATCTGGCTATGTGCAAAATGCGACTATTCTACACGATGCTGAAATACGAAGATGAGAATAAGAGGATTGGAATAAGGAAAGGATCATACAAAACAATTGTACGTTCATTATCATATCATTTCAGAATTGAATCTCAATGAAGTAAACGCCTTCCCCATCCAAGAGAACATTTAAGGTTCGTCCTAAATCCAGGATTGGTGGAAAAAGCCAATGGCTGAGTTTATCATCGGCAAAGTAACTCGCTTCGAGAATTGCGCGGGGTACAGTAACAATTCAAAGTCGGAGTCTAGAACCCAAGAAAAAGGTCCAATAAGGCATATTCTAACCACTCTTATTTGAAAGATCTTTCTAATTGTTTTTGAATCATCCTTCTTAACAGCATAGATACCGTTCGACTGGTGAGTGTTAAGATAACTTTGAAAATCGGTCGGGGTTTCAACCTTATAGACCCCCACTGTATTATACGCTACTAGAGAGGCACGATCTCTTCAACTACGTCCAATGGAGAAGAACCGAGAGAACCAATTTGAACAGACGAAAAGAAAATGTCCGATTATGTCTATAATGAATGTAATGCCAATCCAGCACTACTACTGTACAAAAAAACAATATACAAGTAAAACCCCCTCAAAACTCGAATATACAAATTTTCATCTCATCCCACCACGCACTTAGGCACGGCACAGACGACCGTTCTGGTCAGGAAGACCATCGGCGCTGTTAACAACCCAGTTCTCACTACCAACACCAGTAGGAGCATAGAACAGGGAAGTAGGATCATACAGCTGCTTCAACTTATACAGACGAGCATAGTTGGATCCGTAGAAGGCCTGCTGGAAATTGGGCTCCTGGATATCGGACTCGGACATGTAAGCGCCCGCATCGGGGCAAGTAGCGCGCCACTGGCCCAGGACGGTGTTGGTGAAGTAGTCCATCTTAGCCTTGATCTCGGCCGGGGTGGCATCAGCGTCCCAGCTGGTGGAGGAGATGGCGTGCATGAGGGTGTTGCGGAAGGCAGGGTTAGCGGCGTTATCGGGGTATCCGTCGACGAGCTCGGCCTTCATGTTGAAGGCGAGGAGGGCGTAGCCGTTTTCGACGGTGGAGCGGAGGGTGTCGAAGGTGGTGTTGAACAGGGTGGCGTCCTCCCAGTTGGCGCGAGGGAAGAGACGGGAGCCGGTCATCATGGTGGAGGAGGCGACGGTCTCGAGGGGGAAACCAGCCATCCAGGCACCGTAGAAGTTGTCGTAGTAGGTGGTGCTGGGGGAGATGGAGATTCCCAGGTTGGAGAGGTCATCGTACCAGGGCTGGACGAGGGCGTTGTACTCGGCTACGGTGTGGTTCACGGCGAAGAAGGGGTTCATCAGGAACAAGAAGGAGTCCTCGCCAGTGTTCAGGATCCAGAAGTAGGCGTAGGTACCGGCGTCGGCGTGGGTATCGAAACGCTCCATGTAAGAGCGGACACCGGCCCAGAAGGTCTCGACGGAGACGTCGGTGCCGGTGGAGAAGCTGAAGGTGGACACGGTCACGCCAACCTTGGGGTGGACGCGAGAGATGACAGAGGTGACAACACCGAAGGTACCTGAGAGTTGAAGGTTAGATCGAGGATGCAGGTGTTATTCAGGGAGAATGAAACTTACCACCACCGCCACCACGGATGGCCCAGAAGAGATCGGGGTAGGTCTGCTCAGTAACAGTGACGAAGCGGCCGTTGGGAAGGACAACCTCCATGGCGAGGACCTGATCAGCAGCCAGACCGTAGATACTGGACAGGGGGAGTGACCACCGCCGAGAACGTAACCACCAGCGACACCAACAGTCTGAAAATACTAATTAGCTGATTGAACATGAATGATATAGAATTCGAATGACATACCTTGCCCTCACCACCAACAACGGTGAAGCCAAGCGCGTTGGCCTTCTCATAGATCTCATGAGCCTGGACACCAGCACCCATCTTGACAGCGGGTCCAGAGTAGCTGGAGCTCTTATAGTTGGGGATGTAGTCAATGTTCTTCAGGTGGTGGGTCCAGATACCCAGAGCACCAGCACCGGTGGACTTGCCATTGAAATCGTGGCCAGTGTTCTTGACAACCAGACGGAGACCAGCGTTACGAGCAAAGTTCACAGCCAGCTGGATCTGAGCAACGTTGGTGACATTGACAGCGTAGCTGCTGTAGCCACCAACCGTGCAGGAAGCAGAGGCATTGGTAGTGGGCAAGCAAGTGCGGCCCTCGAAGAGGGGCCACATCACCGAGGCAGCATCGGCGGCGCTGGAGTAGAATTGTTAGGGCATTTCTCATTGATGATATACAAGGAGGGTTGCGTTTAACTTACTGCAGGTTGGAGTCGGTCCAGTCATCTGTAATGGACGAGCAAGTCGCGGCATTATACTCATCAGGCCATGACTTGTAGCAAGAAGCAGCCAGAGGGACAGTCTTAATGAGGGCACCACCGAGGAACGCATCAAAGAGGTTCCACACCAGCTTAGAGGGCCACCAGAAGTCACCAGGGTAGACCTTGCAGCCATTCACACTGCGGGTAGACAAGGAGGAGGCATTTCCGAACTGGAACAGAGCGGACTGGTTCTCGCTCACGGTGGCGAGAGCATCATCCGTCAATTGCAGGGTCTCACTGGTGAACAGAGGAACGCCAGCCTGGGAATCCGAAGAAACCTGATCCGCCAATTGAGCAGTAACTGGGGCCGTGAGGGCGAGGGCGCCCAAAAAGGCACCCTTAATCATGGAACGAGGCGCCATGGCGAAAGAATTCACGATGGTAGATAGAGTGTTTTCCTAAACCAGACCAAGGATCAATACACTTGAAATGATTCAATTCTCTCCCACGATCAGCGAGATGATTTCCAGAGGAACTCGAACTGGAAGTGGGAACGAGGATCTTTAAAGCGGTTCGTCAGACGGTAACCCTGGAAAAGGAGCGAACTAACCATCCGGCACTTGGGAATTCCGACCATAGCCAAGCTCAATTCCCACGAGGTGCCACGAGGTGGGCGGCGAGCTTGGAAGCTGGTCTATTCCGCATTGAGCAAGAGGTTGGTCAGTTGCAAAGGGGAATACTCGGAGTCTCCATGGCGAAGCCCTGATTAAGCTCCACTTGGATTTGGTATCGGCCAATCCCGATCGATCTGATTGCCCACGCCAGGTTCCTGCATCTGAGACACCCACGCGGGAATTGCTATTTTGTGTCTCTGGTGGTCCTCAATCCTTGACTATTTGCTCGTAGCGTAGCGCTATAACAGACGCTACTCACAAACAAGGTGACAAGAACACGCCACCACGTGTGCGAAGCGCTCTAGGCCAACGTCCAGCAGATTTGGGAGCCCGGACTTGTTACCGCAACGGTGGAGGCGCGCTTCTGATTATCTCCCGATCGGGTCTCCACTATAATTGTGTATAATAAATGGAGATTGACTAGGTCCCTGCACAGTTCCGGGACTAACCAGATTACCACGGAGCGCCCGGCATTATTTGTTCCTGTGTATCGTATACACCCTCGCTTACAGACTAGGCAGTAGTGCTTGCCTGTCTCGTACTGCGTATAGGATGCTATACAAACGAAGAAAAAAATCAGCCACACTTCACACCATCCTTGCGCTTGGCACTGACTTTTGCCGAAAACGTTCAGAATTAAACTCTTTGTGGATTCCCAGGTACGTGGCCTGGATGCCCCTAGAGAAGCCTCTAAGCGATTATACTCCTGGTAAAATTAGTTCCTGGAATCTCCAGGATATCCCAGCTAAATCGGAAATGTTGTCTCCTGTTTATATCCGCTTACAAAGCGCAAATTGATAACTGGCTACAAAGAAATCATACAAGTCCAGACTCGACAGGGACACTGGACTTTGTTACTCAGTATGTAACTTATACATAAGTAACAATACTGTACAGTACATACTACAGTATCTCTGCCTCGGCCCTGAATCAGTTGGATTCTCCACTTACCAAAACATTTCCACTCCACCAGGGATATTCCGAATCGGCCGGATTGACAAAGATCGGAGGACGCTTGGACTTAAAAGGCTTCGGCCAAGCGGATCATGCAACGGTGCAAGTACTGTAGGGGGCGTTTTCTTGAATTTTTCCTTCTCTTTCCCTTCTCTTTCCCTTCTCTTGCATATTATCCCAGAACAAGAATAAGAACAAAGAAATACGCCCCTGGACCCATGACCTATACCTGGTACCTCCTGTCTGGTACCGATCTCATCCTCATTATTTTTCCATCGGCTGTCAGAACTTTCCCCACTCGGGCCGTGGCTTTTGGTACCAAAGATCTAGAATAAACGGTAGTACTCCGTATTGGACTATGTACTGTACCCTTTTTTTTTCCCACCGCCAGTAGGTAATTGTTTGGTCGAATCCTGGACCCAATCCTTCAAAAGACTAAATCTCGACTTGAACCCTTCTAATTGGCTCCATCGGGTCAGGGGAAATGCCCTTCCTCCCTAACAGGCTAACAGGCGGTGTTTATCGTAATTTGATTCCAAAATTGTCCAGGATGCGTGCCTACCTTTTTTTACCGGGTCCGGGGAGATGGGGGGCGTTTTTTCGGCTCTCAGGCCAAAAAGCGAGATGACTGTCTCAGATGTAACGGCGCCAGTACGGCTGTGGTTAGCCCGCGATAAGCACTTACACTGACTTGCTCAGTGCCAAGAGCACTATTCCCACGCGATGGCGTGGAAGCTGTGAATAATTTTCTTTCGGCTTCTTTTTCAGCTCCCTTGTCGAATAACTATGCTTGTGTGCGCCTGAAGAGACAGGGGTATTTTTTGTTTAGTTCATCAAAAGTACTGTACATACTCTAGAGTATAGTTTGATCCAATGTTTAGCAAATTTTGGAACAGGGAAACCTAGTTTGGTTTAAGTTGCTGAGTTAGGGCTTCGGGTTCCAAAATTGCTCTTTGGGGCAATTCGACCCTCCCCTCTCTTTTTTTAGGCGATACAGTTTGATTTGCTCCGTGCGCAAGAATGTCTCTCGTAGTCCCTCCGGAATATGGACTCGCTCACTCATATCAATCCTTCCAGTGGAGTCCTTCCAAGCCTTTTCGCTATCCACCATTGGTCGTCTGGATTTCCAGGGCCACGGACGGCCAATCGTGGTCCAGACTGGCGGCGCCTTGTGGTTGTGAATTGGCTAATTTGTAGTAATTCCGATGAGCCACGAAGGAGGGAAACTATGAGTGTGTCCTAGTGTGTCCTGCACAATTATGGGAGTTGGTCCTGCTAAGTTCTAAGTGTAAATCTTTGTCTGTGGCCGGCGTTTCCTACGGGCAAGGTTATAACCCCGTGGCCTTGGCCTGAAACTATTCTCTTCTCTCCTTTTTTCCTTCTTCGTTTTGGCCCCAGGGATATGCAGGACGATGGTTGATACTCACCAACAAAACATTGCGCTGGGGATTGTGGTCGCATTCCCCATAATTGGTGGACTTGCGGTCCTTTTGAGGCTCTGGAGTCGTCACTTATCGCGATCGGCACTCACCAGCGGTATGCATGGACCCCTATCAAGATTCTACCCCATTGATCGACAGTCTACTAACAAGTCTACTTAGATGACTATCTGATTACAGTGGGATATGTATGGAGATCTTTTCTCTGCGGTGGCTAGAGAAAGGGATACTAATGCATCTACCATAGGTTCTCGCCGTTGGTCAATCCGTTACTTCATGGTATTGTGGGTACCCCCGACAGAAAAAAAAAAAAAGAAGCATCACAGAATTTACTAACATGAGAGGCTTTAGATATCAAAACCAACTATGTCGGTATCCATTACTGGGATATTCCCAAAGACTATGATGTCAAGCTAGGATTAGTTGTCAGTATCCCCATGACTTTGCTTGCGATCCATACCCCGACTAACTCGGCCGTGTAAGAACAGTGGAACTATGTCAACCAGCTCCTCTACAATCCCACCTTGACCGTCGTCAAGCTGTCCATCTTGGTATTCTTGCGCAGGCTAGAGTCCCGGTCGCGCATCGTCAATGGCCTGATCTGGGGCGCTATGATCTTTGTCATCCTCCTTTTCGTCGCTGTGCTCTTTGTCGATATCTTCCAATGCACCCCAGTCACCTACGTCTACGATATGTCGATCCCAGGTGGCAAGTGCATTGCGCAGGGTGCGTTCTACGTCTCGACTGCTGCGCTGAATCTGTTCACGGACATTGTGGTGCTCGCAATTCCTATCATCATTACTTGGAACCTGCAGATGCCACTGCGCCGCAAGCTTGCTGTTTGCATCATCCTGTGCCTGGGTGGAGTGTAAGTTCACGTCCTCTCCAACATACCACGAAAGCCCATCCCATCTCAATCCTGATCGCGATTCTAACACCTCCCTCATAGTGCAACTGCCATCGGTGTCTGGCGTATCGTCATCCTCGCCAAAGGCTTCTTCTCCACAGCAGTGAACCCCGATCCAACCTGGGACATTGGCTTCTGCAGTTCCGCCGTCGAAGTCAACGTCGCTGTGGTCACCGCCTGCGGCCCTTCCATGAAGGCCATCGCCACCCGATACCTCCCCCGTCTGCTCGGTACCTCCCGCGGTGAACACTCCGGCTACGGCGCCGGTACCAGCGGCGGTTCCCGCGGTCGATTCCCCGGATCGAAGCTTTTTTCTACCAACAAGTCGCAGCACAAGTCGCAGTTGCACTCAAACGCAGACGATGGGTACGAGATGGCGGACCCCAATGGAGGACATACTGTGGATATCGGCCATGATAGCAGCCGCTTCGATATGCGCAAGTATCGCCGTGGCGGGGATAGTCCGAGTATCAGCAGTGGCAGTGAGGATGGCGTTGCGGGTATTATCAAGACCACCGATGTGTCGGTCAAGTATGACATTGGTGGACGGACGCCCGATGACCGCTCGCGGGACGGAAAGCATGCCAGTATGGATAGTCTGGTCTAGACATTTCTGGTGTGTGAGGGTTGGGGACATGGGATGGGATGTGTTTGGCCTGGGCTTTTGGGGCTTGGGTTTGGACTTTGTATAAAATTAATTAGTAATGGATAGACGACGCATTATGCCTCCCTCGGACTTTGGTGCGAGTTCTTTTTGTCAAGTTTTTCGCTCATGCAGCCGAATCCTGAAGTTTATATTCTCACCGGAACGCGGCAGGTTGCCGTGCGATGAGGGGTCAACCTCGGTGTTGATCCTTCCCCTCATAAGAACATCCCCGCCCGACCTCATCTTTTTCATTTGTGTTCTCTTTTATGCATTAATCCTTAGTATATCGTCCACTATGGCACAGCAATATCAGCTACCTTTTAAGGTATTTCCCTTTCCTTCTCCTCTCTTGCAGGTCCCGTTCGTCACGCCGCCTTTTTTCCCCCACACTGTGTGATGTGGTGGGGCCTTCGGCGAGATGTCCGAGATGCTTGAGCAGAGCTGCAAACATCGCGACAAGGGGCATTCAATGAGACTAACAAATGTTTGATGCAACTTAGCTCAATGACCCTACTCTGTTGCATTTCGACTCGTTTGTCGGCAACAACTGGGTGACTGCCAAAAGCGGGAAGCGATTCGAAGTACTTGGTATCGTCATAATCGTTCCCAAGATATGTACCTGCGCCCGCAGCTAACATGTCACCCTACTCACAGACCCCGGCACCGATCAAGCATGGGCAAGCTGCCCCAACAACAGCGCTGAAGATGTCGACGTCGCCGTTCAAAACTCCCACGCTGCCTTCGAAGAATTCCGCAAAGTGAGCCCACGCCAGCGCGCCAAGTGGTTACTCAAGTGGCATGACTTGGCCACCCAGGCGCGGGACGACCTCGCCCAAATTGTCACCCACGAGACCGGAAAGCCACTGGCAGAATCATACGGCGAGCTGGATTACTCTCTCGGTTTCCTGTGGTGGTTCGCAGGCGAGGCGGAGCGTATTCAGGGTACCGTGTCGGTCCCTGCGGCAGCTAACCGCCGCCTGTTCACCATCAAGCAGCCAATCGGCGTCGCCGCTGCGCTGGTGCCCTGGAATTTCCCCGTGGCTATGGTTCTACGCAAGGTTGGTGCTGCGATGGCAGCTGGGTGTACAATGGTGGTGAAGCCTAGTCCTGAGACCCCGATCTCAGCGTTGGTACTGGCAGAGTTGGCGCAGCGCGCTGGTATCCCGGCTGGTGTTTTGAACGTGCTTACTACGGACTTGGAGAACACCCCGCCACTGAGCGAGGCTCTATGCAAGCATCCGCTCGTCAAGAAGGTGACCTTTACTGGCTCGACTCGGGTCGGTAAGCTGGTCGCTGGGCACTGCGCTCAGGGCCTGAAGAAGCTCACTCTCGAGTTGGGAGGCAACTGCCCCTTCATCGTGTTTGACGATGCCAATATAGATCAGGCTCTCGACCAGCTCATGGCTCTTAAGTGGCGCCATGCCGGTCAGGCTTGTATCACGGCTAACCGCATCTACGTTCAAGCTGGTATTCATGATCGCTTTGCCTCGCTATTGAAGGAGCGTACAAGTGCACTGGTGGTCGGCCATGGTGCTTCGGCTCATACCACCATGGGGCCTCTGACTACACCTCGTAGCATTGACAAGGCTATCAGCCAGGTGGAGGATGCTCGTAAGCATGGTGCGCAGGTCATCCTGGGCGGCAAACCCTTGACCTCGCAGAAGGGATATTTCTTCGAACCAACCATCTTGTCCGGCATGACGGAGGATATGCAGATTTCTCACGAGGAGTCCTTCGCGCCCATCGCCGCTCTTTACAAATTTGAGAGCGAAGACGAGGCGGTTAAGTTGGCGAATGCGACTAGCATGGGCTTGGCTAGCTATGCATTCACCAAGAACATTGATCGCATGTGGCGTTTGTTAGAGAACTTGGAGGCCGGTATGATCGGAATGAACACTGGTAAGTTTCCCCCTGGTCTCCTTCCGTCGAAGTCCGGCAGGCAATGTTTTAACTCCACTCAAGGAAACCAATCGGCCGCCGAGTCACCATTTGGCGGCATCAAGGAGTCAGGGTATGGAAAGGAGAGTGGCAAGGATGTCGCTGTCAATGAGTATCTAGTCACTAAAACGGGAACATTGACCATCGAGGGCCAGTATTGAGCTACTGAATTTTCCTTGCGATGGCTTGTGTCTGCCTAGCGGTTAATTGATATGACTGGTATATAATTTAGCTCGGTCGAACTCAGGCCGAGCTCAGAATTTGGAATTATGATTTTCTCCAAAGGTTGTCACACTACCTAGCTACCTAGGCGCACCGGTAGGTATCGGTTTTATTACTTGAGTTAATGCCGGATCGTAACTAAGTGGTACCCTTCAAACTTTGTCCTATGATATTTTAAGAAGTGCCGGATTTATGTGTAACGGATGGGCCCTGGCAAGAACCTTAATGCAAGATTGATTAATGATCCACTTTGGACTGCCCAATGGGTCATATGCTAAGGGCTTCCTAAGGGTGACAGATTCTAGATTCCCCCGCTTTCTGGCTCTCACGCTATCACGCTGGATATCAATTAGGCAGTTCCCTCTTCGAACTCCACATTGTCTCCCATGGAGAATCTCTCCGAATGGCACGAGGCAAAAAATAGTCACAGCGCAGGATAAAGTTAAGCTCAGACCCGGAATTGGGCCGGCTACCCGTTGGATAGAGTTTCGGGCTATCCATGTTCAGGATTAGCCTTCTTAAGTTTTTTTCGGCAAGGTTCCGATCCACTCGACAGCTAACGTGAGCGATTTTGCAGATTGCCTATTTGGGTGTCTGGTTCAATTTCATTTGTATTCTACAGAGACGATTGTTTAAGCATTTTGACCGAGGGATAGTAATGCTGTGATTTGCCTTTACGATATCTAATTCTCAACTTCGGGTTAGGAAGGTAGAGAAATTGGAGAGGCCACTGAGCTACGCAGTCGACTGGAACGTTTCTTTCCACTCTAAGAGGCACTTTCAGGTTGTTATGACTAAAAGATGAAATGAGATGGGACACTAACTAACTAGAAAGGTACCGATGAATAACAGATACAGTGGGGTGCCTGAGTTTGGACCCCTGACAAAACTTTAAAAATCATCTTACGAGTCATGAGTTGAACAACAGATCGGTCGAGGCATGATCTCTGAGCTACTGTACCTGGAAAACAATTACAAGAAAAAACAATGACCTTCGGCTAGGAATGAAGTTGAATATATCCAATTGGACAGTTCCTCTTATTCCGAAACCCATTGTACGTTGTGATGGGGACAAAATGACATTTCAAACCAGTACTTATATGCTGTATTCTTGAGTAGGCCCACAGTGTCACCTGAGGGACCAGAAATTAATTGTACCCTTATTTCCGGGTAAAAGAGCCCCCTAAATCGTACATCAAGTAAAATCAGGAAGGATGAAAAGGAGTTGAAATATAATAAAATTCAACTTCTGAGTCTAATGTAATGCATCCAAGATGCCTCCTATATGACCGCTTAAGATCTCCTAAGAGCCAATCCTTTGGATTAGAAGGTCAAAGTGGCCTGAAGAGGCAGGTCTCTGCTGTTACGACCAACGTAAATCTTGTAAGTTCCCCGCTGGAGCAGCCACTCCTGCGCAATGGTGTCCCAGGTGCTTAGGTCACGCCGGGTCAAGCGGAAGGTGACAGTGGCCGACTTGCCAGGCTTGATCAAAACCTTATCAAAGCCGCGAAGCTGGCGAACAGGACCATTGGGAATACCGACATAAAGCTGGGCAACCTCCTTGCCATCGACGCCCCCAGTGTTCTTGACAGTAGCCGTCACAGTCACCAACTCATCGAAGAGGCGGGGGTTTCCACCGGGAAGAATCGCTGCCTCAGCCGGGTAGGTAGAGGGTGAGGCAAGCTTCTTTGACACCTTCAAGTTGGAGTAGTCGAAAGTGGTGTATGAAAGACCGTATCCGAAGGCGTATTGAGGCTCGATTCCGTCCTTATCAAAGGCGCGGTAATCGATGTAAACACCCTCGGCGAAGTCTGATTGAGGGAAGTACTGGAACTTTCCTTCCGGCTCAGCCGGCTCAAGCAGGGAGCCATAATTAGACCCGTTCTTAGCGACAGTGTAAGGGAGTCTGCCCGAGGGGTTAGAGTCTCCGTAGAGGATCTCCAATAAGGCACGACCGGTGTCCTGGCCAGGGAGGTGGGCATAGATGATGCCAGTGACGTTGGTGTGGTCAGCCCAGGACTCGACGGTACGGATACCAGCGTTGTGAACAACCACAATGGTGTTAGCACAGTTTTTGGCGACGTTGGTCACAATAGAGTCACTCTGGGAATCAGAGAGAGCTTCGCGGTCAAAGCCCTCGGTGGCGTAAGCGTTGATGAAGACCAAGCATACATCCGAGGTGTAGTCCACAGAAGGGTTCACAGAGGTGAAGTCCCAGAGAACAGATGAGCCATCCTCATAAGCACGGCGTTGAATGGCATCAATAGGAGCATCCACATAGGCAGGCGAGTTGGCACCGGAACCACCACCGACCCACTGAGTTCCATTTTTGTAGAGATCTGATCTCGTCGCGGTTGATCCAAAGTTGAAACTGGAAACAAGATCGAGAGTCATCGGGCCATAGGCGTCGTATCCGAATACGGAGATCAGCTTTGGGGACTTGAGTGGAAGCGCCTTGTTAGTGTTCTTCACCAGAACGTGGCCCTCGATGGCGGCTTGGAGAAGAACTGGCTTTGCCTCTTGCGAGGTGGCGATGACAGCTTGATGGGCTGCACTTGCGCTACTGGGCATTCCAACGCCGGGGTTAGTGAAGACAGTGTCCTGGCCCAGATAATACCAAGTTGCCATAACTCTATCAATGCATGTTAGTTTCCGTTGATGAAAAAACTGTTGGTTGTCTGCATCCACATACCTTGTAATCATATCATCCAAGCGGGAGGCCTTCATGGTACCATTTGCAATAGCAGTAGTCAAATTGCTGTTCCAGGTAGTAGACCTGGGCATAACGACGTCCAGTCCAGCATTGGCGCCGGCAATTCCAGCATGTTGAGCGCCCCAATCAGTGACAACGTAACCTTTTTATGGAAGTTAGCTTTTCCTTGACCAACTTTGGAGGTGAGTTGTACCTTGGAAGCCCAGCTCAGTCTTCAACAAGCCGTTGAGCGCCTTGCTGTTCTGGCATGCATAGGAGTTGTTCAGACGGTTATACGAGCACATGATATTGGTAGCACCGGCAAGGATAGCATCCTGGAAAGGCCACAAGTAGAGCTCGTGAATGGTCTTGTCGTCGATGTTGGAAGATACTGACTGAACAGTATTACCTTTCGAGTCCGTGGTCGGGTTGCGGTTTGTTTCTTGTTCGTTGCCGATGAAGTGCTACTCGAGTGTCAGATTAACAGCTGGCTGAAGATTGGGACAAGCATACCTTGAGAGAAGTAGCAACGTTCTGTGATTGAAGACCCTTGACTGATTCGGAAACCAGAATTCCGCTCAAGTAAGGGTCTGTAGAGAACCCTTCCCAATTACGACCACCGAGTGCCACGCGGCCGAGAGGACCGACAACGGGGCCAAGAATCATGTTCACACCCTTTTTGCGGTATTCCTTACCCATGTAAGTACCCCGATCATTGGCAAGATCACGGTTCCAACTGCAGGAGAAAGCAGTTAGAAATTATGTAAATGATGATAGTGGATTTGACAGGATAAAAGAAACCTACCTAGCTCCGACAGAGATTCCAGACGCCCAACCGTTGACATAGTCGGTTCCTCTCTGAAAAGATATTTGTTTTAGTACAAGTGTTACTTGAGCATCTAGCGGTGAAAGCATAGCAGAAGATAAATACTCACCAGACCGTTGCCAGCATCACTAACACAGATACCTGGGAACCCCAGGCGGTCGATAGATTGGATGTATCCAGAGCAGCCAGTCTTGGAAGAGATACCGGCGGTCAGGTTAACCTTCTCATCATCAGAGAGTTTGCCGACAAAAGCCTTGGCCTTCTTATAGGCAGAGGCCCAGTCCCCAGCACCAGTTCCCTCGGCTGCTCAGCGAGTTAGCATGTTGGAAAAGGCCAAGGAATGCATACGACGACGGAGGGAAATATCGTAGACATGGAAATGACAACATACGGGTTGGATAAACAGCAGGCGAGTCGCCGTAGAAGTAGGTGTCACTCGTGATCACATCCTCGGTAGCAGCAACGTTGCTAAACGCAAGACCAAGCAGTAGACCTGCCTTTCCCCACGAAGTCACCATGGTGAAAAGAAGAAACAAAGGACTCTCTTGATGATATTCTGTTCAAAATTTAGAATTCAGTGAAATGGAGGAAATGGCGCTCCTTATATAGCCTCGGACCCTGCGCAAGTTGCACTGGTGAAATGCACAAGTCCATCAATCAATGTACTCTTGTCTCTAGTATCTTCTATCCCATCACATCCCCTCACGAGCTAGCGACCCTGTTCGGTCGGGCATAGACCCTGTTCGATGGGTTATACATCGGCAGAACCCCACAATCTGTTTGCACACCATCAGCAAGAAATACCCCTCAAAAGGAGGGGTTCTTCACTAGCGGGTTAGTTGTGCCGGATTTTCAATCAAAAGGGAAGATCTACGAGAATTTGGCCGCGAACGGATAGTGTTCCAAAGAAGGGGGCTTCATGTTTACTAAGACTCGGATTGATGTCTGCCGGGAATCAGATTGGATATTTACTCGGAACGCCAGAAATGAAGCCGAAATAGGCCTATCCTGCTCATTTAACAACGAGAAGGTTTGTTCAAGCCCGAGTGGGGTGGAGAAGCTTTGAGTGTGGGGAATGTGCCCCGTGGGGTCACCATGAGCCTTCTTCGAAGATTCGAAGCAGGGAAACCCCACAATATTCCGCTTACTCATAGGTAAGATCTTCCTGATGAGACCCTATTCCAGCCATCTCCGACATTAAGCCGCTTGGGCGCAAAGGCGGGGGTCTTGGCTTGCTCAGAGGTAGTACTTCTCCTCCAAAACGATTGTATTCACATAATTCAGAAGCATCTATTTCACTGTTGTCAAATCTTCAGTTGGTAGCTGTATACTTCCTTTGAGTGGCTATGATTCTAAGTCTACGCAACAGTCAACTACTGAGCACCGCCAGAGCAGTGATAATAGGATGAAATTTTGGCCTCTGGTGGCAACCCCTCAACTAAGCTCAAGCCCTTCAAGCCTCGTTCAGCAATGTCCATAACTCCCTTGCGCTCAAATGCCCATGATTGGGCGGCCCAATCCATCGAAAGATAGGCCCGTGTGTATGGGGGACCATTTGCAGCAAGATACCCCTTTCGAGAATATTCCCTCTCTAGTCTCTACCCTAGTGCTCGAGAATTAGCTCAAATATGATTTGAGTTGTCTGCCAGGAAAGTGGAGGCAGGTTCTAGGCCACTCGGCTCATGCTTGTAAGTTGTCAGTGACATCAATCGTGTGGTGAGAACAAAGAGGCACAGATGAATTAATCAAAAGGGGTTGGATATTCGAGTTCCCTTTCTTTCGGCAGAAGATCGTGACTAATTCTTTCTCCAAAGCCATGATCTGTGGCCTCACGGCGTCGGGCAGTAGTGATGACTCCGTACCGAAGGCCGATCCCCATGGTGGCACACGAAAAAATCGGCTTGAGCCTATTATTTCGGCAGCCTACCCGTATACTTGAAGCGAACCAACGAGAAAGCTGCTTGTAAGCCTTATAACTGACTAGCGCTAGATGAAAGATGGAATTGAGGCTTCTCAGCAGCCAGAAAGCCGACCAATCTTGTGGCTAACCATAATTGGCCAAGCCCCATGACGCGTCTCAAGGTTGTGGCGCACCGCCAAACAGACTTCACAGTCTTTCCAAATTCGACTAACTCAACCAACTCAAAAATCTAGACTGAATACTGCTGGTACGGTAATGCCGGTTCATCCACTTACCACGTTTTGACCCCGGTTCTATCCCGCTTCGGCCCCAGGCATCTCCGTGAATTGCGTCGTCAGCTCCTGAATCGATGTCTATAGACGCGCATTCGGGACCCTCCACAACAATCCTTCACGTATGGAGCCCCGGGAAAAACGCATTCTAGTGCGTGATGGGGACGACTTTTGCCGACCCCGACTGGCATATGTCTGGGGAATGGTCGGATGTCAGAGTGTGTGGCCACACAAGACGGGGACTTTATAAAGAACTTGACGTATACGTACCCCAGGGAGAAGAAAATTTCTCTTCCTCATCAGTCTCTTGAACATCGCTCTGCCTGTAGCCCCTATCTTGGATCATTTCCTATCAGGTCCTTTGTCCTACTCAGATCCAATGGCACGGCTTCCTGTGGGAAGCTCCGATGTGAGCAACATCGAGGCTCCCATCTCGCTTCGGGCCTATCTGATCTGTGGATTTGCCTGCTTCGGTGGTCTCCTCTTCGGATATGACTCTGGATACATCAGCGGTGTCGAGGGCATGGCCTATGTCAAGCAGCATTTCGGTCACGCTGTCCCTCTCAGCATGGACTCGTCGGGCTACATGCTTGCGAGTTGGCAAAAATCCTTGATCACTTCTATCCTGTCTGCCGGAACCTTCTTCGGTGCCTTGATTGGTGGTGAAACTGCTGAACGGATTGGTCGTCGCCTCACTATTATGATCTCTTGTTTCGTCTTCGCTTGTGGTGTGGCCGGTCAGGTGGCCTCGCACACCGTCACTGGTCTGGTTATTGGTCGTCTGATTGCTGGCTTTGGTGTCGGAGGTGTGTCGGCCACAGTTGTCCTGTACGTCTCCGAGATCAGCCCTAAGAAGATTCGTGGTATGCTGGTCTCGGTCTACCAGTTCGCTGTTACCATTGGTCTTCTTACGGCATCAGGCGCGACCCAGGGCACCTCCAATAGGAACAATTCAGGCTCGTACCGCATTCCCATCTCGCTTCAGCTGATCTGGGCTGCAATTCTTGCCCTGGGCTTGTTCTTCCTCCCCGAGTCGCCTCGTTACCTTGTCAAGGCCCAGGAGCTCGAGAAGGCTTCTGTTGCCCTCTCGCGTGTCCGCGGCCAGCCGGCTGATTCTCCACTCATCCAGGCCGAACTCGCTGAGATCAAGGCCAACTGGGAATACGAGTCTCAACTTACCAACACTTCGTGGCTGGACTGCTTCAAGGGCGGCCTTAGCAGCCCCAGCGGAAACCTTCGCCGTGTCCTGGTTGGTGTTTTCGCGCAGATGTTCCAGCAATGGACTGGTGTGAACTTCATCTGTATGATTCACCTCATCCCTCTCGAGACCTCTTTCGAGACCTCTTTCGTGACCTTTTCCTGAACCGGAAAACTAACAATTCATTAGTCTATTACGGAACTACTTTCTTCCAGTCTGTTGGCATGTCCAACTCATTCCTGATGTCCACCATCATGAACATCGTCAACGTCGTTTGCACTCCCATCTCGTTTTGGACTATCGAGCGCTTTGGTAGGCGTACTCTGCTTCTGTACGGAGCCGTGGTGATGTGCGTTTGCGAATTCATTGTGGCCATTGTTGGTACCGCCGATGAAGGTTCCAAGGCCGCGAACATGTGCCTGATTGTCTTTACCTGCCTGTACATTGCTGCATTCGCTTCGACCTGGGGACCGGCCTGCTGGGTCCTGGTTGGTGAAATCTTCCCCCTGCCCATCCGTGCCAAGGGTGTTGCTCTGTCGACGGCATCCAACTGGCTGTGGAACTGCGTATGTTCAATAGCCCCATCCGTTGACTATTACAAAATCAAGTCTTGTTGCTAACACAAATTGGTATAGATTATCGCCGTTGCCACTCCCTACATGGTTGACGAGGATAAGGGCGATCTCAAGGTGAAGGTGTTCTTCGTCTGGGGGGGATGCCTGATCTTCTGCTTCCTCTTCGCATTCTTCTGCGTCTCTGAGACCAAGGGTCTGTCGTTGGAGCAGGTTGATCGCATGCTCGAGGAGACTACTCCCCGTACTTCAGCTGCTTGGAAGCCCCATGATACCTTTGCTCATGAGATGGGCCTAACTGACAAGGATGGCAAGACCGTCGAGGAGACAGAGGTTGTTTAATGATTGGAAAGTCTGATGCGCAACGAGTCAAGGGTTATGTCCCAACGGGGGTTAGGGAAATCTTATACCGGCCCCTCGATGAAGACTTCCGGCATGATTGAGATTGAGTTAATGTTTGTAGCAAGGGTACCTGGAGAGTGAGGTGCCCTTAAGTCTTTGTTTTGTAAATGATTAGTGAACCGATTTTGATCATGATCTGAAACTTCTCGGTCTCCAGATTAAGAGCTTTGAACTGCCACTGAAAATAAGGCAATAATAAGAGCTGGGCCTCTCTCTGCTTGGTTCCCACCAATGGACCCACATGAGATTTTCACTGATGTGGATGCCGTGCGCCGTAGTGAATCCGTTTGTGGTCATACGCATCGTGGGATTGTTCCGTAGTACAGCGTGGCTTTCACATGGTCCAGCTTAAGTAATTGTACAGTACCTGAGATCCTGCAGGGCCCCATTGAGAGTCTCGTTAACGTGGGGAAGTGTATGCAAAAAAAGATGCCGGATGACGCAGTGTGAATTTAATTGGTAGGAGCAAGCTACTCGTGGAGTTCACCTCGTCTAATTGACCTGGTTGAGTATGGTCAACGATGCACGGACGGGTGAATAAGACGGGAGTGTGCATATACCGCGCTTACTGCCACTCCGACCATATTTGGGACATCCACCAGGTGTAGATCTGAGTGGCTATCGCGGCCATTGGACCTATCAGATCACCATTGAGGGATTAACTTACCTCTCTAGAGCTTCAGTGACGAGCTGAGAACAATATTTAGCCTATGCAGGGGAACCCAGCTGAGTCGCTGACCGCATACGTGCTTGCTAGGGTCTGTTACGCCCGCGTCGGACAGACCGACTACGACTTCCAAGGGGTGTGATGAAATAGAACCTCCTCAGCTTCTCTTCTCCCCACTGTGCCACCATGGATTCTCTCGACTCCCTCCATCATCTCATACAAAATCACCCGCTGATCGACAACCATGCCCACAATCTGTTGAGCTGTGATGTGGCTGCCGACTATGATAGCTACCCGCTCGAGTCAATCACCTCCGAGGCCCACGGTCGCGCCTTGGAAAATGCCCGTACCACCCTGCCACTGCTGCGCGCCGTGAACCAGCTGGGTGAGCTTTATGGCACCCCATGTGCAAACTGGGACGACGTGCTGGCTGCGCATACGCGCTGGGTGCAGGAGGACTATGACGGGCTGGTCCGTCGCAGTCTTGAAGGCACGCACATGCTTCTACTCGATGACCTACTATCGGACGAGGATGTCGAGTCATACGAATGGCACGACCAGTTCACATCCTCGCCGACAAAGCGCATCGTTCGCATCGAGGCTGTCGCCGCATCTCTATTGCGCGACATCATGAGCGTGGAGCGCAAACCTGACGAGAGCGTGTGGAGCATATTCCGCGCCAAGTTCCTCGACGCGCTTGACCACGCCATGGCCGACCCAGCAGTCGTCGGATTCAAGTCCGTGATCTGCTACCGCACCGGGTTAGACGTTAATCCGTATTCCCCGGACGAAGATCTGCTGACAGCCTCACTCCACCGTACCCTTGATTCGGGGACAAGGAAATCCGGATACCGGGTCGAGGAGAAGCCACTAAATGACTGGCTTGTTCAGCAAACTCTCAAGCTCATCACGTTCCGGAAGAGAGCTGGTGTGGTCAAGCCGCTCCAGTTTCATACTGGGCTGGGCGATAATGACATCAATCTTGTCAAAGCTAACCCTGCGTACCTGCAGCCTCTCATCGCTCAATACCCTGATGCGCCGATCGTGCTATTGCACTCGGCTTATCCCTATACAAGAGATGCGGGATATCTTGCCTGTGTGTATCCAAACGTCTATCTTGATCTTGGTGAAGTGTTTCCGATGGTGAGCCGCGAGGCCGAGGAGAAGATTTTGCGCGAGAGCTTGGAGATCACCCCAATCAACCGTTTACTTTGGAGTACGGATGGTCATTTCTTCCCGGAGACATATTGGCTGGCCAATAAGCAGTTCCGGCAGGCTCTGGAAACTGTAAGTGACCAAAGAGCGGAACCCAAGCCCAATTCATTCTGACTCGGTCCCTCTACAGGTTCTCGTTGACTACGTTGAGAAAGGTGACTATAACATCACTCAGGCCAAGGCAGCCGCCGCCGATATTCTGTTTCACAATTCGAATAAGCTGTACAGTTTAAACCAAACAGCACAGTATACACCTGAGATTATTCAGGGGGCACCTTTACTCAGTGATGCCAGAGTTTCACAGACGTCTGACTTACTAGGCGCTTTTCTGCAAAAGAATCCAGACATCGAGTACATATGGATGCAATGGATAGACTTTACAGCGACAACACGGGTTCGCATATTCCCACTTCAGGAGTTCATTCGCATCGCTAGAAAAGAGCGGCGGATTGGCATCTCGCTAGCAGTCCAGTGCATGCTGCAAGATGATACAGTTACTCCCGGAGGGTCTACCACTGGGCAATTCTACATGGAGCCAGATCTTTCCAGTCTCTACCGCAATGAAAGTATGGCTGCGCCAGCAGCTGCCAGTGCGACTGTCATGAGCTTCTGGCGATCAGAAGAGGGCGTGCCTCTCAACGGCTGTCCTCGCACGACCCTTGGAAACATCGTTACAAAGCTGCACACCACTCACAACATCGACGTCCTCTGCGGCTTCGAAATCGAGGTTGTATTCCTTAAACCACTCACGAGCCATCAAACTGGCGAAGTGACAGGTTACGCGTCCGCAACAAAAAACCATTCTTGGTCACAAATGACAGCCGACACACGGAAAATGATCCCAATTCTGGAAGAGATCAATCAGACGCTGGAGACCATGGGCATTCATCTCCAGCAATTCCACGCCGAGTCTGCGCCCGGACAATTTGAATTTATCCTCCCGCCCGCCACACCCCTGGCCGCTATTGATGCCCTTGTCGCCGCCCGGCAAGTTGTCACAGCCGTGGCTGAGCGACATGGCCTGCGCGCAACTTTGCACCCACGACCCTTCCCGAACGGAGCTGGGAGTGCTGCCCACACTCATATATCTATTACTCCACCCGCGCGCGAGGATGTTTTCCTTGCCGGTATCCTGAATCACTATTCTTCTATCGTTGCCTTTACCATGTCCCAGGACGCGAGTTACGAGCGCGTGCGCTCAGGTATCTGGTCTGGATCTGAATGGGTTGCATGGGGATTCCAGAATCGCGAGGCGCCTGTGCGCAAGATTGAGCCCGGTCACTGGGAATTCAAGTCTGTCGATGGCGTTGCTAATCCGTACCTGGCTGTGGCTGCCCTGCTAGCGGGTGGCTTGATTGGCCTGGGGGAGAATTTGTCCCTGGCCGTGAAGGAATGTACCGGTAAGATTTGTACCACCTAAGCCACCCTTGAAGGATAAATTCTTTGCCGATTGACTAACTCATCTTCTCTGTAGTGGATGCTTCGCACCTGACCTCTGCTGAACGAGCTGCGCTCGGTATTACGACCCCGCTTCCCAAGTCTCTAGCCGAGAGTCTGGCTGCTCTTTCTGAAGATGAGGCGCTGCAGGGCATTTTGGGCGGGGGGCTTGTCAAGAATTACCTTAGTGTCAAGCGTGCGGAGTCAGAACGCTTGCAAAGCATGGCTGACGACAAACGTCAGTTATGGCTGTTGGAGCGCTATTAGAACTTGAGAATAGTGATCGCAATATACAGGTAATTTCTCTACGGGTCTCCACCATTTGAGCCGCATTGTCAGGTATTCGGTATGCAGATTTGACTTTCTGGGCCACTCGTTTTTGGCTTCTCCATGCACTGTAGTACTTGATAGTCGGAGAACTTCCCGGTTTCTGACTGACAATCAAGTCCTCTACGACTGCTAGGCCAACTCTGTCAATGCCGACGCTGTGAAGCTCTGTAATCACTGACTAATTCCTCCTTTTGACTTCATACAGTTAGCTCGTCCGGGTCGAGCAAGCGGGAGAATAAGTTTGCCCATTGATAAATCCTGTTGAGTACCCCTGCCAACCTCAAATGGTGGTACTTCCGATGCGGTCCACAGTTCGGCTTATAGCCGCTTGCCAAGTGTTTTAGCATTGCAACCCAGCTCATTTTGAGCTATGTATAAACCCACCAACACTCGTCCATGGCCAATCGCTTCGAGATACTCGTTCTTGAATGTGTCCTTGAATGTATTATTCATCGGGGCTATACTCCCCGTTTTCCGTGTCTGGTTCCGTGTCCTATTCCGTGTCGGGATAATCCGCAAACCAATTTGCCCGTTGCTTTATACATAGCTTAATCTAGCTCTATCCACTTAAATCTTATCTAAACTTGTATTTATCTGAAAGTTGTAAGCTTTCGTGGAGCACGATAGCCAATCATCTCATAGCAATGCTATAATTCTAGCCAAAGACAAGAGTTCAGAAATGAAGACGACTATATTACTTGGGAAGAGAGCTTGTTATCCTTCGTGAAACAATGAACGCTGTTTTCAGGGTGCTTACTGCATCCATGTCAGCTTCCTAGCAATCTTACAATCCTGCGGCCGCGTCATCCCCAGGTGGGTCCACAAACTAGGTTATTGCCGAACATAAGGTTGTCAGCCTGAAGAAAGGGTATATAAGATGTCAACAAAGGGGTCTATCAAGGAAGTTATTAATTTCAAATTCAAGGAAACTATTTCATCATGAAATTCAGCATCATCCCGTCGGTTTTGGCTCTGGCTTCCTGTGTGCTGGCCGCCCCATCCACGTTGAAGCCGTTTTTGAAGCGTAACCCAACTGGTTCCTTCAAGCTCGTCGCATACAGCCTTGAGTCTAGCGTTGTTGACATCTTCTACTCCGATGGTATGTAGAGGTTACGTCCTATACGAATTCAATCTTCTAACCAGAGTTCATAGGCATCGCTTATGCTGGCGATTCATCGAAGTGGACCTACGGATCTGTCACCACCGATGTCACCTGTAAGTTGTTCCAAGTCTTCCCTCGAGATGCTTTCAATAGAAGGATTCACACTAATAACTGAATTATTCGATTTTAAGTCGTTATCGAGGACACCGAAGTGATTACGACTGCCACCACCTCTGGCGTGACTCTCGACTCCGACACCCTGTTCTACATTCGTCCCATCGCCAATCAGGTCCTCCCTGTGGGCTTCACTGGAAATGGCGTCACTGTGCCTGACGATGCTGTCACCACCAACTTTATCTTCTATGGCACATACTTGATGTGGGAGTATGATGATGGCTCGTTGTCAGATTCGTTCCGGGCCAGGGAGACCAACGTGACCGGTGTCTATGAGCTCTACTATGATTTCTCGAACCTGTATCCGTCTGGATATAAGACTCCGGTTGTGAAGTCGTCGTCTTGAGGATTCAAGATGTGAACTAACTATCCGATCTCGGATTAGGTCAAGCGCAAGATGGGCTTTTATTCAATCAGGATATGAACCCTATTGGATCAAGGGTATAGGTGGAGCGTGGTGATCATGGTTTTCAGATACCGTATCGCTGGAAAAATATATACATCAGTCCGATCAACCACCTCAAAATGCAAATATTCCCAGGAGATCTAACTTAAGGTGCACTCGTTCTCTTGATCATACGCTTACCAAGCGATCGTAGGGAGGAGGAAAAATTCCGAGGAGGTATTGAATAAAATCCAGAGAGAGAAGGGGTTGCTACAAATTTCAGGAAAACCCTAGTGCGAGACTTGTACTCCGTACTGATTTGGCTCCACGTCCTAGCGCTGGCGATGGAGAATTTGACCCACCTAATAATCGCCGACCAAATTCTTCCAGTGCGATGTCCGTTTCCTGCATTGCTTTGTCAACCGAATTCCCATTAGTCTTGATCAATCGAATATCACAGGTATCGAGTATTCCTCGTGGGTTGTCGGCTCAGCGTGGCATGAATTGGTTCCTGAATCATCCTGCATTGCTGTCAATATAGTTTACTTCAAAGAAGATTAATGCACATACGACCATAGGGTGTGGAGAACAGGGCTTCCCGTCCGCTCAGCCGTACTTAAGCCACACGCCGGCCAGTTAGTAGTATGGTGGGTGACCACATGCGAATCCTGGCTGTTGTATGTTTTTAAACCTGGGTCAATTTTTTGATTAGGACAAGTGCTCTTGCCGCTTTGCTCTTCTTAAGCCTCTTCAACTCCCTTCGCCTGAATGCCCTGAAGGCTCTCTATTCTTCACCCGAAGATCTCTGAAGCAGCCTCTCGGCTAAACTTTCCAAGTCTCCTATCCCTTCCACTTGATTTCTAGGCCCTCTGTTTGCTCTTTCTTGGTGGCCTGATCCTGATCGGAGCTGATCACGGAAATAGATTCACCGTGACCATTAAGTCCGTCTGGTCTGGTCTTGGCTATGCCTCTCTAAGGATACTGTGAATATTCTGACCGAAGAAGAGAAATGATTGGCTTGCTTCGACGCAAACAATCAGAACTGAAGAGCTCTCCCGTATCCGAGGAGCTTTGCCAATTAATAAAAAGGGTTGGATTTCTTCAACAAGGATGTTCCTTCATCATGAATAGTCTAACCGATCAATGATTCTCTTCGCACGTGAAAATCCCTTAGTTGAATCGTATTGAACCGTTTTCGTAGTTGTCGTGCGGGCTGCGAAGCCCGACTTTGCGGCCACCTCGTGGTGCAGCCGTGTAGAAGAGAAAGGCCTACTGGATCCAGGTCTAAGCCCATCAAATTGAACTCCCGAAGGATTGAATAAAAGCCTCATCCATTTGCGCATATGCTAAAAGAAAAGGCAAATCTTGCTGGTCTCGATAATTCCAACAGGAAAGTAGCCATCGCTTTTGACCTACTGTTTACGTCGTCACTTTTGAATGCTGCCCAAGACTTATCTTCCATTAATCCCTAATTCGTATAATAGAAATCGTTAGAAATTGACTATATGGAGCTGCTAAGGTTCGCGCCTTGGGTCCTCTTTGGTGTGCTACTTGATTCTTTAATGCCACAGTCTTCTATCAATATTCTGTCGCTACCGCGGAGTTTCAACAGAGAAATCTCCCCAGGGAGTATTAGGTCTCAGTACTGTCTGGCTGCAAGAAACCTTTTCCAAATCGCGGAGTCACCTAGATGACCTCAACAAGCAGCAAATAAGATTTCAATACAAAATGGAAGATTCAACAATAAACAAAGGTGCTTGTAGACATGATATGGAAAAAAACTTATAAAATCCTTCTTCGTTTTAGATAGTCCAATCCGAATGGCGATAGTGTAGGCTAGTGATAGTTGAAGAAATGTGTGCGTAGTAACGGGGTAGTAGTATTCTAGCTAAATTTTTACGCTTACAATGTGGCCTTGGATGTGGCTGCGACATAGAACAGCACCTAGTCGAATTCAGTTGTCACTCTCAGAAAATGCCCGATGCACAATCACCCGGGCTGTCACGGATAGCTTGACGTCGCCTATCCAAAGGATCTACACAGAGATCGAGTTCGTGGCAAGAACTCTTCGTCCACTTACCAGAAGGGACAGCCGAGGTGTCGCTGGACGCGGCGCTTACAATATCCGCCAACGTAATTTAACGTTACGGCTAGGACTCGGAGATAATTGCAAGTATTTGGGAATGTTATTGAGTTCGCTACATTCTTCGCAAGGCAAAATGCAAAACTGGGCGCCGCCGTTGGAGCTTAGGGTTGTCACCGAGTCAGTCCCTTGTCCTGCGTCATTTTATATCAAGACCTCCTATCGCCAAACTCATATCTCCTTCACAAACCCCACTTCAATCAGCTTATCTGTTGGCAGCCGGAGTTTAGCCATTTTGTTCCTCGTATTATCTCGGATCCACAAAAAAATGCGTAACAATATTTTTCGGATGAGCGCTGTCTCAGGGTTGATTTTCATCTGCTCCTTCCCCACAATGTAGAGCACCTTGTGTGAATATGCTGCTTCCAAATTGGCGATGTCAGAAGTAGTAAAGGCGTAGGCATCCCTGCTGCCCTCCACTGTCGCGTTGTCAGGGGCCACGGAATCCCTTTCCTCATCCTCGTGGCCGGGAGGTTTTCTCGATTTTAGATATTTCCGGACCTGGTCGGTGATCACGCTCGCCAAGTTGGGTGTGATGATTTCATCATTATATCCATAACGAACAACCAGTCGGTAACAATTTGGTATGGCCAAACGCGACACAGTAAAGCGATTCTCAGCGGAGACTGAAGGTTGCTCGAGGGGGCGTAGATGGAAGAAGACAACCACCTCCGGCAAGGAGGTGAGCTTAAGCACAAACTGGCTGAACACGATCGGAGTCGTCTCGCCCGCTTTGTCGAAAAAAATACCAAGACCACGGGTGGTGCTGACGGGAATATTGCCGTATTGTTTGGATAGGGAGATTTGGCCATCTGGGCTGGACATGACAAAATGTGAAGTTGGAAAGCGGTCCTCAGCCTCGGCGAACCACTGCTGTTCTTTACCATATCGCCACAAAAGAAACAGAATTGCAAGAATTGCAGCGAGCGTAATCGTGAACCAGGCTCCTTGAGGCACCTTGGTCAGCGCCGACGAGAGATAAGTACCGTCCAGGCAGGCCATGGTGAGCCAGGGGAGGAAGATAATGTATGGGCTGATTCGCCAGACGAACATTGCAGCCAGAGATACCATGCAAGTGTCGAAAAATGTCACGAACATGACGCATACGCCATACGCATTGCCCAGGGACGTGGTCTAAGGGATATAAAATGAGTTTCTGGAAAAAGTGAAACAGAACAAGAAAGCTGCCATGCCTTACATTGTTATAGATCGACGCGATCAAGACGGTGCCAATCATAAGCAGCCAATTCGCGATCGGAATGAAGAGCTGCCCGTAGAATACCCGAGAAGTGTGGATGACTTTGATCTGAGGGAAATATGAGAGTTTCATCACTTGTGCAAGAAGCTACCAGCATTGTCAGTGTGAGATCTCCCCCTTAGTAAGAGAGTTACAACTCTCACCTGGAAGGTTGCGGTAATGATGGCCTGCGAGGCAACGATAGCAGCTAGAATGGCAATAATCAAGGCTGGATAGAGAGTTCCAGGTGGGGCTGAATTGAAAAAGGGGTTCGAATACGCCTCTGGGTAGACGCTTATATACGCTGCCTGGCCAATGTATGCTAGTAAAAGGCACGGAAACGTATAGCACAGCCAGCTAATCTGGATTGCTCTGCGGCTGAAAGCACCTAAGTCCGCAAAGAGGGCTTCCACACCCGTGAAGGCCAGCAAGATACCACCTAGCATCCTCCATCCGTCTGTTCTGTTACGAATCAAAAATTCAAATGCGAGGCCAGGGTTGAAAGCCTGGAAAACACCGGCTTCATAATTAGCGAGGTTGTATATCCCGAATGCCGCATTAATGCCAAGCCAGATTATCACGATCGGCGAGAACGCATAGGACAATTTTGTGATTCCCAACGGTTGAATGAAAAATAGAACGATAAGAATAGCATCAGTGACACCAATCACTGTGCCCTTGGATATGTTTGGCTGCACAACCTTAATACCTTGAACGGCTCCAAGAACAGACTGGGCTGGAGTGAGCAGGCCATCAGCCAGCACCATGGTGACGGCCAAGACTCCGATCACTTTCAGCAGCCATCGCGCGAGTCGACTAGACTCTAGGCTGTGGCGCACCATCTGTCCAGCGTGCTCTAGATCGCCGGACAAGTACCGTTTCATCTGGACCAACGAAGCCTCCCGTGGATCACGGCAGGTGATATTCATCTGTGAATGAGTCAGCTTTGTGTGTGTGTGAGAGAGAGAGAGAGAGGGATCGCGAGGAGCACTTGCATAGCGACTGAGGAGGGAATAGGTACTGAAAGTGCCACCTTCGCCGTCGTTATCGGCATGAAGTATTATTAGCACATACTTGACAGTTACCATCATGAATAGACTCCAAATAATGATGGAGAGGGCGCCTAGCAGGTCTTTTGGAGAGGGAGGGGACGAGAAGGTGGATGAGAAGACGTAGAGGGGACTAGTGCCAATATCGCCATAAATGACGCCGATAGATTGATATGCCAGCCATAGCAGCATCTTGCCTTTGAATACCTGTTGATGGTGAGTGACGTTCGCCCTCAACGGTGTCTCATGGTCGTGTTGCCTACCTGTCTCTGCTTGAAGTCGCCCGGGTTTCGCAACCCGGGGTCATCGTCCGGCTGCTCGGCGGCCGAGATCCCGCTACTGCCCTGCACTGGGATCCTGGAGTGGGAACGGATATTGTAAATACTCTCCTGGATTTCTTCTTGATGAGGTCGGGCGATAAATTGCGAAGGGGAGCCAGCCGGGCCCATGATTGATCCCTCATCGCAGGATGGTGGCTGTTGCAGCTCGTCTCCCGCGTGCGGGGGATCTGCGATTCTGAGCGTCGCCATACTACCAGAAAATATACAGTGAACGGTCAAAGCGACATTGAGATATATATCGTGAGGGGAAGTGGCGACATTTGCGTCTTTCGGGATGGTGACGCAGTCTAGAGCCAAAATCGAAGTGGACCTTCCGCTGCTTCATCAAAGCTTACCGCTCGAACTTACGACATGAATGAGGTAAAGATTTCATTCTCCAGCGTTCTCGCCTTAGCCTGACAATGATGTGGCTTGAAAAGCCATGGAACGGTGGAACAGTAATGCCAAATGGCGAACTTGCACTAGAACACGGATTGCGTGGGGCAGAACACAGGCACTAGGCATGCGGGATTATGTGTTCAAAGTGCAGCAGATCGACCTTGTCTTTGGGGGTTTCGGGTGCCAGAAATATGTCATACCAGAGGAACGGGCACCAAGCTTGATTATTATGAACAAAACGTTTGAGACAAGAGTCCTCGGGGAAGTGAGAGTGCCCTGGATCGACCAGCATGACTTCGAGCTGATGGTAGGGGACATGGATTCCGGAAATGATGCGAGACTTCGGCGTGGAATCTGTAGGTCTATGCCTTGTGCTATCAGCTAGATTTAGCTAACATTCCAGGGCAACTTGCACGTGCCATGCAGGAGATGAACATCAAGTACGGCGTCCTTTCCAACTACAACCGGACCGTTTTTCTGCGCCAAGTAGCCCTGCCGAATGGAATCGGCCTCGAATACTCACCAGTGATTATCAAGACGAGAGATATGATATGTCCCAAGGAATAATCGGTCTGAGGCAGGCAATCTTGTATGTTGCGATGTTAGCGAGGGATTCGTGGAGGTTTACCTACCCATCCAGGGCCCGAACTCGGCAGCAACAGCGGCAGGCTTGGACAGTGTCCACGATGTGATATTGCCTATGGATGGATATGGGTTAAAAATCCATTAGTTTCTTCAGCTTCCGTGATACATATGGAGTAGTGCTATTTTATTGTGCTCTGAGCCTCCTTGAAGAGAAAACGTATTCCGGGAGTCAGCGTAATCTATAAAAATGTGACTCGGTAGGATTCTTCCATACCTAGGTCTGAAACCTTGAAGCAATTTTGATATGATTATGAGTTACAAGTACAGAGATTGGACACGAAGTTATACACAGTTTCGCAAGTAAATTGATCCAAAATATGGCTAGAAAGACCCTCAAAATTATTCCTACTCACTGCTTTTGGACAAGCACTAGATGAATAAACTATCAGTAATCATCCTGCAAGATGGTATTCCCAGTCATCTGTTCAGTCAAGTCGAATTGTGGAATAATGCTGCTCCAAGCTAGATCAAGATCCATATTGCAGTCTCCGAAAATCCTTTGAATTATCAGCATGTTGGCATTAAAATGCTAGTCAATCTGTTCCAGCACGTACCGATCATGAAAGTCATTGACAGCGTCAATACTCAGCAAAGATGCATCGAAATCTTGCAGGCAATCCAACGGATCCGCACAATCAGGGAATAACCCCCATTCCGTGAGTTCGAACAATACCTCGGATATCATCATCTCTCCGAAACCTGTAGTCGATAGTGATTGCAGGACCCTTAAACATTTGCATATGTTATCAAATTGCTTCTCTGCCTTTGATAGTGCAAAACTGCAAATGAAGATTTGCAAGATATCCAACGCGTAATAAAAGTCCAGCGCAATTACGTTGGAATGGAATTCGTTAGCGACCATGATCTGCATGATCTCGAGCATTTTTTCCGCAGAGACGGTGCAGATATCTGTGAACTGGCTCAGAGACGGATGACCCTCGGTCTCTCGTTGCTTCTTCCAGCACAAGAGCCTGTATAACAGGAATGGCCGACCGATTAGAAGTCGCATACTGTGGTATCTTAAATGGAGGACCGAAATGGCACGGCGGTGGAGGGGTGCGGTCGGAGCTGAGATATTGAGATGTGATGGAATTGAATCCGCCCAGTCCTGCAGGGAAACGACCAAGCCCATCACCATTTTCATTTTTGGATGATAGTCGGGCAACAGAGGTTCTCTGTATAGTTTTGTGCGGATAATCCTCCCCAGTTGGCCAAGGGTACTACATGCAGCGAGATACCCGGGTGGGCTGTAGGAGCCAGAAGGAAGTATCTGGATGATCTGTTAGAATAATCAAATGTTCAATGTAGAGTATAGCAAGAGAGACAGTCGTACCGTTTCAGATGGCAGAGGTGGAGAACTCCAAGTAGGTTCTGTTGCAGACGGCTTCCCGATCCTTAGTGATAGATCTTGATCGAATGTTATGGCTGACCACCAAATTCGACGAGAATGTTCTCTCTCGACGCTGCCATATGCAGCGGAATATTTATCGCAGTGGATTCCAAGTGAGCATGCCATTTGAATTGCCAGGCTGCTGTAAAGATATGCGGGGTTTGAGAACCCATGAGACTGCATAGCCGTTGCCTATACGCCATCACTTCCTCAGCTGATAGTGAATTTCCTGGGGAACTAGCTTAGACTTACCAATAGCACCATCGATCGAACGCTCTCTAGACTTCCTTCATCGCATGCTCCAGAGACCAATGACTTTGCATTCTCAAGGTAATCTGTCGCAGTCATACTCTCGCAAGAATCGTCAGGGTCAGACGGTCCAAGTTTTGCGATTGCCAAAATGGAGCACAGAGCACATCGCCATGAAGCTGTTAACATCTCCTGCGAAACGTGATATGTTTCCTCCAATTGACCATGAAATCTATCCGAAGAGTACAACCAGTAGAGACAATGAACATCTCCAAAGTATTTTGTGATGAGTCTCAAACAATTCTCCCAAGGCGGAAGGCTGATTCCCTTCAGACCTGGTCGTGATATTGCTAAAGGCATCGTTACTGTGACCATGGCAGGAATCACATCAGGGCTCAATGGTGTTTGAAGACCGTTTCTTTTGAAGCAACGAATAGCTGTGTTGAAAGGTAGCCCTGACTCAGCCCCCATATATCCTGTGAATAATTGAGTATTGCTCATTCTCCACTGGTAGATGGAGCCTTACGGTATTGTCCTTGGGAGTCTTCAAGGAGACATCCTAGTTTGTGGTATAGCGACAGCACCTGTTGAAGTATACTGTCTTCTGCCTCCTCCTCACCGCTGTAAGGAACAGTGGCGCTGCAAGTCAACTCGCTTGACGGCCCTGGGTCTCCTGTTTCGTTGAAAACGGCGGACATTGGAGGCGATAATGCATCGAGCTCAACTGATTCATTAGCACGATTCATGGTTTTCTGGAATCGCAGGGCTAGGGATCGAAGGTTATCAGGAGTTAGATCCGTATCTGGTATGTAGTGCTTGAGAATGATCTGCATATTCCGAAACTCTTCTTCGGACACGAAATAGTAGGGCCTTTGACGTCGCTTATCCGGGTCAATGCGGCACTCTGCATTGATACCCCGACAGTAGTCGCAGGGACCGGGAACTATAGAAATCAGTTAAGATGTATTACTTTTCCTGAAAGTGAATGCATCAAAGACACTGGGTTGGATCGCGGTGAGAAGTACCTGGATTCTTGCACTGCAGTCATCAGCATCCGCTAGCTAGGATAGGATATAGTGGATCCTGGTTAGCTTACTTTCGTTTTGCGACCCCTACAACGCTCACAACTCATTGAAGTTCGACTTAAGCGAATGTCTTTCCGGTGACGAGCCATGATGGAGGCTTCTGAATCTTCTCAGGAGAACTGACCGGAGATCAATACATGTAGGATTGTGGGGCCACCACTTACTAAAACCTGGGGAAGGATGCGGGGTTTGCGGGGAAGCATGCTTTGGTGCACTTGCTTGGGCTGTGGAGACTGATATTCTGACGCGCGTACGAGAGTAGAGTGATTGTTTTGCTAAATTGTCTACTTTCTTTAGATACTGTGAATCCGGTACAGGAGTAATAATTTCGAAGCCAACATCTGAGAAGACCCAGGCTATATACCGTACAGCAATTCAGTTTGTACGTTCTTGTGGCCTACAACATGCCCATGGAATGCCAACGTCTCAGACTCCCCAGTCAGTGATGCTCCGGGCAGGTGGGGCAGTGCTGGCATCTTCAAGCCATTTCGGGGCCTGCATATCCTCTTCGGCGACTTTCTCGTCCGTGATAGGATGATTATAATGGAATGGAACCACCCGAGTGTCAGGCCAGAGCGAGAAATCCTCGAGAAGCTCATCGGGACCGAGCGGGTCCGCCGGGAATTGTTGCTTGAACAAGGGAACGAAATTCTTCGCCTCTTTCCAACCCAATTCGAAAGATCCATGCCAGAAAGGATAGTATCGGAGTCTAAGAATTTTCCACGTGCCGTTCTCCAGGATGTACTCGTTTTCGTATACTCCACCTTCCCACCATTGACGGTATCCGCCCGGGAACTCAGTGGAAATGGATTCATGAGTACCCGCACTCATGAGGGCACGAATACGAGCCTTTGCTCTTCCAGTATTTGGATCAAAATCGATAATGTCCTGTGCCATGAGATGATCAAGGAGCCATCCGTCAATAGGGCCATTACGACCACCGACAAATCTCTTTGCAAATCGCTCGATATACAAGCGATCTACGCCGTTCTTGCCCTTGAAGCGTCCGTTCAAGAATTGGACATATGTATCGGGATGATCAGCGAAAAGTTGAGAGACCTGGATATCACGACTTGTTAGTTTGTGTTAACCCACTAGGCCTCATCGGCACATACCTCTTTGTATAAACACTTATCGATGTAGTAGCCGTACTTGTGGTGAAGCTTGCGTACGTCGGATTCCCCTGCTAGAGTTAGAACCAGACGAAAATGGAGGAGCTCGGTATTTGACTTTACCTGTTACTTTAATCAAGGCGTTTGAAAGCCTCTCCACCTGAGCTGTCAGGCTTGAGACATCGGATGCTTGAAGGTCGATCGACATTGTCTTGTGACGATTTAGATGAATAAATCTGAACGCAAAATTGAAAGCCAGTTGGTGATATAGACCATTCGAGAGTACCGAGCTTGTTTTATAGACGAGAAAGGCACGCTTTGCGGGCCCTTCATGGGTAATTTTGATGATCCCGACACGCTTTCTCCATCGGATGATTGGAGCCGACAGTAATTGATGGTACAGTCACAACGCCACATGGGATACGGATTACGACGACTATTTGCAAAAGGAGGGCCTTCTATATATCCCAGATACTATTTCTATCAAGCGCCGGACAGCACAATTTTGTGTGAGGTCTCCACGCTCCACGCGACCATTTGTAAATATCGGTGAATTATGAGCTTATTGACTATGTTGCATTCCACAGGCCCAGATGATGTTAGGGATATGTTCACCTTAATCCAGCGCGAAAGAAGGATTATACTCATATCCATTTTTGTTGCGTTGGCTCAATTCCAGTATGGCTATGATTCCGCAGCAGTTTCTGGGTTCCAGAGCATGCCTGGTTTTCTCGCTATCTTTGGATATGTGGATGTAAGTCCTATATCTTGACAAGACCAAAAATCTCGACTAACTATCTTTGAAGCCTACAAACACTCTTGGCTTTGGTATCCGCACATCTGTGCAAACTCTTATCCAGAGCCTCATGCAGCTAGGAGGCTTCTTTGCGTCGGTTTTCATTTTCAAATATGGAACTCACATCAGTAATCGAAGAGGACTATGGATTGGATGCGGCTTCTCCATTATTGCGATCATACTACAAATGAGCAGCGTTCATTTTGCTGCTTTGTATGCGGGAAGGCTCCTTCTTGGAATCTCGAATGGCTTTTTCCTGACGTATTCGGCTACATATCTGGGGGAGATTGCACCTACCAATCTACGCGGATCTGCCGTGGGCCTCGTTACGTTTCAAACCTCATTTGGTGCCTTGATAGGTGTTCTGATCGACAACTACACTACGAAATACCAATCGCGCACTTCATATCTGATTCCATTAGGAGTTATGTTTGTCGTCCCCGTATCTTTATCTCTCGGATTGATGTTTCTTCCCGAGAGCCCGCGGCATTACATACGCCTTGGATCCGAGGAAAAAGCCGAAGATTCGATCCGCATTCTTCGAGGAATCAAAGATCACAGCCAGCTGGTGGCTGAAGTTGCTAGCATACGTGGAGCCTTGATGATGGAAAATGCGCGGAGTGAGACCACTCGGCTTGTCGACGCATTCAGAGGAACTGATCTCAAGAGAACGATCCTTAGTATGTGCTGCAGCATTGGCCAAACAGCCAGTGGCGTGATCTTCTTTTCCTCTTACTCCATTTATTTCTATGCTGAAGCGGGAGTCAAGAATGAGTTTGTTTGGGTTATGATGAGTTTAGCAATTGCTCTAACGGGCAACATGGGCTCCTTTTTTGTCATGCGCTTCATTGAACGGCGCATGCTCCTGAGTCTATGCTCTATCATCAACGCCTTCGTTATGTTTGCTATCGCAGGCGTATATACACGGCTGAGCACTGGATCCTACACAGCTGCACAGGTCCTTGTTGCAATGGGAACATTATTTACATGGGTATATGGAATTGGGCAGGGTCCTGTGCTTTGGGCACTGACGGTAGAGTTACCATCCCAGCGACTACGATCAAAAACAGTTGGTCTAGCAACGGGCTGCAACTATATATTTGCATGGGTTGCAACATATTGTTCACCCTACTTTATCAACCCAACTGCTCTGAATTGGGGGCCGAAATACTGCTACATATGGGGGGCTAGCAATCTAATCCTAGGAGTATGGGCCTTTCTAGTGATACCAGATGTCAAAGGGAAAAGTCTGGAAGAGATAACAGGTTCAATGATAGGGGGCTCCGAAGAGAAGACTGGCAACACAGTGGAGGCCTCAGGATAGTAAATGCTGAAATATATGGGGTGAATTGGGCTCTTGGTCTGATCTGTAGCTTCTTAGCATTGAATGAGAGTGGATGGGGCTTGGTATGGAGGCCGAAAGGTAGTGATCAATGAAACAACACAGATTCTCAAGGAATTTTGGAATTTGAGATATCGAGCAGCTAAGCCAATAAGCATCTACAGCCTCACATTCTCACACTTGGCAAATTTACGAATGGACATGGCTCTGGTATGGTGAAAATATAAATTACACTCGAGGAAAATTGTCAGCCCAGAATTCCCTTCCTATACCCAGGACCTAACTTCCTCACACCTCTATCGGGAGCTTGAAGAGCTTGATTGCATTTTCCCTAGCTATCATCTGCTTGTTCTTGCCCTCGATGTCAACACTTCTCCACCATGCCTGAGCATCTTGAATGTTATCATAAGGAGTGTCTAAGATGGAATTAACAGATTTTCACGCTGGAACGAAGCACGACAGAGCCATACCAATTGAAAACAGGCACCTTTCTGACCCAAGTTCTTCAACACAGAACTTCAGACCGGGAGTCGAAAAATTACCCGAGGTTGTGATGAAAATGTTGTTTTGGAAATAGTACTTATAGTCATGCTGTGATGGCCGAGTCACCTTCTTGCTAGGCTTATTGTACCAATGCGAAGCTCTCCATAAATTAAACGGGATGCTGTTGAAAGGTTAGTGATATGTTAAACAAGGTGGATATTCACTAATCTGACTTCTCTCCCAGATGACCGACGACGATCTTCAGTCCAGGGAACCGATCAAAAACACCTTTGTAAAATGGTAAGTAAAATTTCCGTAAACGGGATACAGGAGAGGATACCAGATGAGCACACTGCATAGATATGAAATGAAAGATCTAGATGAAACTGGACACCGGCTCCCAGTAAATGCATGCGAGAGCCGTAAACAGAATTTTCGGATTGAAGCTCCTTCGCTGACGGGTACCGCGGATGAAAATAAACAGGCACATCGAGTTCCTCGACTTTCTTCCAGAAGGGATTGTAAAACGATGTGTCATAATATCTTTTTTCTAAGCCATCCGCCCCTGTGAGTTGGTAGTCATTCACGATCCCGCCGTAGAAACCTAACTCCTTCACTGCTCTTTCCAACTCAGATGCCGCCTGGGATGGATCGTGCATGGAAATTGCCGCCAATCCTCCAAAACGACTGGGATTTCTGGCTACTTCTCCGGCCAGCCAGTCATTGAATTTCGTGGCAGTTTTTTCAGCGAGCTGCTGATCAGGGATTCCTTGACATCCTGGCGACGTAAGGGATAGTAACATGTACTCAACCCCCTCGGCATTCATAGCATCCAGACGCGACCCATGAATATCCATGAGTCGGGCTTGATGAGCCTCGACTGCCTGTTTTCCAGAATTACCAGGTGTTAAAATTTGTTGAGACTCTTGAAGCAGCCATGCGGTATCGGGGCTGATGACTGCTTCCTCAACTGCAACGGTGCCTTTGAAAGTCATGTTGCTCCTTGTGGCTGGATGGGACAGATTCAAAGATGAAAGTATAGTTATAATTACGAATATCAGTCTGGTCCTCAAACCAATTTTTAAAGATGGGGACACTGCTAACGATTTTCGGCATTTAGGTGCCTTGACATTCCCGCTTCTTGATCAAATCTCGGAAGCATTGAGCCGACCCCCCAATGAGCAGAGACTACGACGCCTGGCTAAAGTCGGTGTCAAGAAACCGAGAAATCATCGGGATAAAAGGAGAATCTAATAGAGACCAGTATCATGCAATATGGAAGGCTAGTTTTGTCCTACTATTCACAACATGGCTCACATTTACGAGATCGCTAACTCGGTCGAATATCCCTATGTTGATGGCCGGAAGAGGGGAAATCAAGTCAAATTCCCCAACACCCCAGTTTTCCAAACATTCAACGCACCATCTCGACTCGAGGGTGACATATTTGATCTTGAGATCAGTGGAACAATTCCGCAAGAAATCAACGGCACGTTTTATCGAGTTCAACCTGATCATCGGTTCCCTCCCGTATTCGAAGAAGATATACATTTCAGCGGGGATGGTAGCATAACGGCGATTCAAATTCAAGACGGCCATGCGGACTTCAAGCAACGCTACGTGCAGACTGATAAATTTAAAGCAGAGGCTGCTGCTAGAAAGAGCCTGTTTGGCAAATATCGAAACCCATATACTGATTCCGAGTCTGTCAAAGGCGTTATCAGAACGGTGGCCAATACCAACATTACTTTTTGGCGGGGGGTCCTGTTAGCATCAAAGGAGGATGGCCCTCCATATGCGCTGGACCCAACCACCTTGGAAACAATTGGTCGATACGATTTCGAGGGCCAAGTACAGTCTCCTACATTCACTGCCCATCCGAAATTTGACCCAAATACGGGAGAAATGATTTGCTTTGCTTACGAAGCCGGTGGAAATGGAAATGATGGATCCTGCGATATTGTGGTCTACACTATTGATGCCAACGGCAAGAAAACCGAAGAGGCATGGTACAAGTCTCCATTCTGTGGGATGATACATGATTGTGGAATCTCCAAGAATTATGTTGTCCTTTCCCTGACACCTCTCAAATGCTCTGTTGATCGGCTGAAACAAGGAGGTAATCATTGGGCATGGGACCCAAATGAAAGCCAATGGTACGGGATTATCCCTAGAAGAGGTGGGAAGCCGGAAGATATAGTCTGGCTAAAATCTGACAATGGTGGGTTATACTACGCAGGAGTTGACAGACCAGGGCTAACAAATGGATGCAGGATTTCACGGGCATGTCGCTGGCTGCTACGAAAACGAAGAGGGACATGTGGTCTTCGATCTGACGGTCGCCGATGGGAATGTCTTCTTCTTTTTCCCACCCGATGGGCAAGATGCGAGTACCTTGAACGCAAGAAATCGTTTACAGAGCATCACCCATCGCTGGGTGTTTGATCCCAAAACCCGAACGGGATCTCACGTCAGTCCTGAGATCCGGTGGGACACCAGTGGAGAGTTCTCACGCATTGATGATCGGTTCGTCACCAAGAAGTATAACCATTTTTGGCAGGCAAGAATTGATCCAGCTCGAGAATATGACGCAGCGAAGTGTGGCTCTCCAGCTGGAGGTCTCTTCAATTGCTTAGGTCACTATACTTGGGATGACAAGAGCGAGGACGTGCTTTGGGCTGGACCGCGAGCGACTTTTCAAGAACCCACTTTTATTCCTAAGAATGGCGGTGGAGAGGGCGAAGGGTGGATCATCGCCCTCCTCAATTGCTTGGATGTTCTTCGAAATGATATAGTGATCGTAGATGCACAGAATTTGAAAGGAGGACCCCTGGCGATTATACACCTTCCTCTAAAATTGCGACTGGGTTTGCACGGCAATTTTGTTGACCAGCGAGAAATTGAAGCGTGGCAGCGTCGTCGAGGACTTGATGGTGAGGTTGGACCAGCTCATCCAGCTCAGAAACCTTTGGCTTGGCAATTGGACGAGCTTGCCTAAATTGGACAGAGCATGTTCATAGCAATGATTTGGAATTGCATTATGCACGAGCAATTGGGTATCTCTGGCGACTATTCATTCCCTAGCTTGATTGTATACTGTATCGATCGGTTATGAAGCAACACGATTGGCTTAGCTATTCAGTCCTCAAACATGCTGTACTGTACTTCCTTGCCTTCCCCGCTCTCAGCCGTGATGTTGATCTTCAGCTGTCCAAGCACGGTTCCACTTTTAGCGAGCGGGGCTTTTTTTATTTTTGGCTCTCCCCTAGCTTTACGGAGTTAGATGGCGTCGGATTGATAACCCCGAGGCAACGGTATCAATTATTTTCGAATTGCCGAGTCTGGAAGGTGTAGAATTGTCGAGTTTACTCAGACCTTCCATTTAAACCCCGCTTTCTCCCAGTGCTACCCTTATTCCCAGCAAGTCACTACACTCCCACCTGTGGCAGCAAGCAAACGCCGCTATGACAATAACGCAGAACCCGAAGGTCAAGTCTTTTGAGACACGGCTGTTCATCAATGGAAAGGTTCGATTTGAAACATCTCTCTTGCTTCAGGGCTTTGAATGCATCATTGATTCTTACTCTCATTAAAGTTCGTCGACGCGTCTGATGGCGGCAAGTTTGATCTGATCTCCCCCACCACAAATGAAAAGTTCGCAGAGGGTAAATTGGCCAAACCTAAAGTCCTATTCATCTTTGAGAGTTAGTGGCTAATGTTATTCGCCCTAGTCTCTGAAGCGACCGAAGAAGATGCGAACGCGGCTGTTGCCGCAGCAAAAGCTGCATTTCCTGCCTGGTCCGCTCTGTCGCCCTCGGAAAGGGGCGTCTACTTCAAAAAGCTGGCTGCTTTGATCATCGAGTCTCACGATGAGCTGGCTGAGATTGAAGCTCTGTCCATGGGCCGCCCAGTCTCGGGTTATTTCGAGTCCTACATGGCTGCGAACTCACTAAACCATTACGCCGAGTCGGGCCATCAAGCTCTCGGAACCTCGAGCTTGAATACGCCTGGCTTTCTGAACATGACCCTGCGTCAACCATATGGTGTCGTGGGTGCGATTATTCCGTGGAACGTACCGGTCCTTTTCTTGATTAACAAGAGTGCCCCTGCATTGATGGCAGGAAACACGGTCGTCGTGAAGAGCAGCGAGAAAGCCCCGCTCACAGTAAGTGCTTTGATGACGTGAAGAATGTGGGGCCACAGAAATGCTAAATACTTTCCCAGTCTGCCAAAGTCGCGACTCTGGTCGAGAAGGCCGGCTTCCCTCCTGGTGTTTTCAATATCATCTCAGGCCATGGCCATATTTCAGGCAATGTCTTATCGCACCATATGGATATCCGTGTGATCAGCTTCACCGGATCGGGTAGAACTGGCCGCCTCATTCAACAAGCCTCCGCCAAGTCTAACTTGAAGAATGTCATTCTGGAATTGGGAGGGAAGTCTCCTGCGATCATCTTCCCCGACGCAAATCTCGAACGAGCCGTGAAAGAGACCGCGTACAGCATTCAGTGGAATAGTGGCCAGGTTTGCATGGCAAACTCTCGCATTTATGTCCACGAATCTATCGCTCCGCGATTCATTGAATTGTTCCAGAAAGGCTTTGCCAACATCAGAAGCGGCGACCCACTGCTACCTAGCACGAATCACGGCCCGCAGGCGGATGGAATCCAATACAAACAGGTCCAAGCTTACATTGAAGAAGGAAAGAAGACTGGCAAGATGGTACTGGGATCAGAGCCGTCAGAACATGAAAGTGGATTCTTTGTTCAGCCCACCATCTTCCTTGAAACCCCGGAAGATTCCAAGATCATGAAGGAAGAGATTTTTGGACCAGTCGTGAACATCAATACTTTTAAAGACGAGGATGAAGTCGTGGCCAAGGCAAATGACACAGAATACGGTCTCTATGCTGCAGTGTACACGAAGGATGTCAGCCGCGCTCTCCGCATGGCAAAAAAGTTGGACTCTGGCAGTGTTGGCGTAAATTGTACGAGCCCCGCTGGCGCTTCCGATATGCCTTTCGGTGGCTACAAAGCGAGTGGTGTTGGCCGCGAGGGCTGGACTGTTAGCATGGATAACTATCTGGAGGTGAAGACAGTACTTATCAGAGTTGACGAGGAGTGAGCTCTTAGGAGAGCATCCTAGCTACGTCAGGAACGGAACTATCCTTGAATACTACCTCGCGCTCTTAGCGTCTAAATCTTTTCCTTACCTGGATGTTTCTACCACTTTGACTAGCAAGTACTATTCATGCGAACACCGTGCCGATCTCGCCCACCGATTTGACTACATAGTCATCTGCTTCAGGGCGCAAGTTTACCCGGGTTACCACCTGGGTACTTTTTGCATCAAAATTTACGAGGCTCTGATGTGATATCATGCACCTAAGCGCTAGGTGCTTACATATTATGGACAACAGACATGGTGGATTTGGAAGGATTAAGTTTCTACATTCTCAAAGTAGCTAATGAGCTCTAATAGGATCTCAAACCTCCCATCCCTCGGTGTTTCCATTCCAATCCAATCCTGCTGTATGTCTGAGTATCTTGACAAGCTTCCAGCTTCTAAGGAATCTCAGGTCCCAGGTCTTTGCTTGCTCACCACCAACCGGGTCCCAGTACTGAAAGCCAAGGAAGTGACTGTTCACATCAGTAAAGCGTCGCTAAGGTCAAGACAGTGCAAGGCACATACACGACTTTCTGATCACGATCCCAGACGAGCCTCTTCGCGCCAGGAAACGGTGAAATTCTCGTCTGCCTAATTTCTCTAGCTCTGTATTAGCCCACTCCACCTTCAAGACAAGTAAAGGGACCAAACCCACAAGAACGAATCCTTAAAAGCTGCTCGGATTTCCTCTCGCTCACTAGGCTCCAGGCTCCAAGCTCCAAAAAGCCGTCGCCCCAGAATAATGCGAAGACCAAGAATTTGCAAGGCAAAGTAGATAAGAAATCCTCCCGGGACACGGCCTGTCGAATCCTGCTTGACCTCTTTGTATCCAGCCAGTTTGGGTGTGGCTTTTGAACCTCCGCGACTGAATTTCTTGAAGGCGACGAGTTACGGAAGCGAGAAGTTGGTTGCTGGCTTAGCCCGTGAAGACTATGTGTCATACTCAGTAATCCCGTATGGTATCTGCGTGTAGATGCGTAGCATCGCTTGCTGCTCAGGATTGGAGATGTCTTCACAAAGAAGCTTGGTCGATGCATAGGATGGTAGGGAGCCGTCTTCACGCCCTCCTCATCTCTTTGGTAAACGTGTCCATTCAGCTGGCGGATCACCCTCCATGACGACGGGGTTGGGTGGGTAAGGGAGATGGTAGTTTCATCCGGTTTAATCATATGGCGGAACCAACCACGGAATGGTACCACGATGAAGAATTTGAGGAGGTGAGTGGTGGAAAGTTGAAAAGAAAGAAGGGGAGGTAGGTACCATACATGAGTGTAGTCATCCAGCAAACCTTACAGAAGCACGCCTGGGCGGTCCACATCGCATAGTACAACTTTCAAAGAAATGGAACCCAGAGACAACCAAATTACACTCAGAGAGACCTTTCAAGAAAAGAAGACGCTCCGCATAAAACTTATTGTCAGTAGAAAGCAACAATATGTGCGGTATTGTATTTTTAACCGTGTATTGTCATGAATAAGCCATCCACATAGATTCCATTTCATCGTGTACACATGGAACACTCAGCAGAGTGTAGTCCGAACCACATCATGTCCCAGAAAAAAGAAAGAGATACCACCCATCCGGATAGACTCAAGGGACAACAAGACCGTAACGTACAAGCGCCATATCATAACAGATACGCAGTAGAAAAGGAAAGGAAAAAAGAATGTAAAATCAAAATAACGCCGGCCGTAGCTTTCCGTATACCCAGCTGACGACCTCGATGCAATGCGCCCAGTCGTGTATCATACGCTTAAGATCATAACAAGAAACATGAAAATATGAGACGAGACAATAAATCAGGTCAGGGAGGGCGGAGGAGTCAAAGATAGAACGGTCCATAGCATTGTCTGCGACGACTATTTTGACGACGTTAAAGTAACATGATCAAAGCTAATCGCCGAACGAGACCAATGACGGTACTGCAATCTTGAAGAAAGGGGCCCCGAAATGAAAAAAGGTGGACCCGTGGAACTTGTCTGGGCCAATGAATAGGAAGAAATACCTGGGCAAAAAAGAAATGCGCGGGAAAAGAGTAACGGGGGTTGACAAGCGAGCGACGGTGAGCGAAACGCATTTAACCTCAGAACGAAGGAGCAAGGTCAGTCCATCTAAGGATATCGATGCCCTCATGTTTCATTCCTCCGTTCCTTTTTCAGATCATCCCTTTCCCATTCATCCAGAAGGCGAGAGACTTCCCGGAAAGATACAGGTTTTGTCAGGAAGAAGTCCACACCGGAAGCCAAAGCCTCGGACTCATCCCGCGAACTGCTTAGCCCCGTCAAAGCGATAATGATAGCCGGCCTGCGGCCATCACTCTCTCGCTCCAGTGCGCGGATAGCGCGGGTTGCTTCGAATCCGTTCATCACAGGCATCGACATATCCATGAAGATGATGTCAAATCCAGTAGGCATCCGCTCGACTGCCTCCACGGCGAGTTTGCCATTCTCTGCTGCGACCAATTCTGATAGATGGCGCTTCTTCATGAACGTCATCATCAGATTGAGATTGATGCGATTATCATCAACCACGAGAACCCGTATCGGTCGTTTTGATTCAATAGCCCCTTCGACGAGTGGGCGAGGCAAGGGCGCTGCAACAATGGCTTCCGGCGGTGCGGAAATGACAGAGGCGTCGGGAGGAAGCTCACCCAAAGATGTTGGACCAGTACCGGCAGTTTTTTCAGGACCAACGTGTGGAATAGTGTCGTCAATCGCGCAAGAGGTGGGAGACGAGAGAGTGGAAGATATCGGCGGCGCTCGAATAACGAGATCCATAGATTCCATGGGATCTTTATCTCCACACGCAGGCGTAACGACGGTTGATCGAGAGTTTTGCAAGCATTTCAGAACACTCCGGGCCAGTTTGTGAGGACCGCATGGGCGTCTGATGATATCCACGGAGGAAGCAAGAGGCAACCACTCGGACTGCGCGACGCTGTAATCCACTGGCTTGGAGCAGAGTACCAGAAGCGAAGGAAGAGTCGCTGGAAGCTCAACCTTTCGTAAGTCTTGCAGATCAATCTCTCGAATGAGCAAGATATCCAAAGGCAGCGAACAAGGCCACGGAACGACTTCGACACCAAACCATTCGGTAAGATACTTGGCAATCTCACCCCACGTTTCGTTCTGGGTCAGATTCTCCGGTTCGATCCCCCAGATGGCAACCCGTTTCCCAGGGTAGCCTTCGCGCAACATGAGCATTTTGGTCAAGATTTCACGCTGCTGGACGTTATAGGTATGCGGCTCAACTGGCGGACTTTCTTCGCCAACCGGTCTGGCCAGGGGCAAGATCACGCGAACAATTGTACCCTCACCGGGTCGACTGCGAACACGGATGTGGCCATTCAGCGCTTTGACAAGGCTGCGTACAATGGAAAGGCCCAGCCCTGTACCTACCGCGAGAGGATCTTCCTGGGCAAAAGGCGTATATAATTTGCTACGCAGGAACTCCTCGGATATACCTCTTCCAGTATCCGACACCGTCAAGGTGACCATATCTTCCAGTCCCTGTCGGCGGGAGCGGCCCTCGGAATGACTGACAGCCTCTAAGCTCAGAGAGACTCGGCCTTCTTCGGTATACTTCATCGCATTTCCGAAGATATTCATGATGATTCGACGCAAAGCACCTGGTTGAGTACGGTATACCCAGTCCTGGTGTTGAACATCAATGGACACGACGACATTATTGCGGGAACCCCCATGTTTTGCGTGGCTGTGAGACAACAGAACCGGAAGATCGGCCGAGGCTGTAGAACTCTGACCATATGCATCGCCGAGACAAATCCCTTCCACGACTTCTTCGGCCAGGATGGCAAGATCTGTGTCCACATACGAGTCCAGGTGAGAGGCGAGTTTATCGTTCCCTTTGAAATCGAGGGGGGATTCCTTCCTCCGTTTCAGAGAGCGCCACGTTCGCTCCAGAGAAACAACCTTGCTGAAATCGAGGACTTGATTCATCGTATCAAGGAGGGTTCTGCCACAAGCATTGACCGTCTCGAGTAAGGAGCCTTGGAATTCGTTGAGCTGGGTGTCGTTCAAGAATTCAGCCGCCGCCAGAATACCATGAAGTGGACTTCGGAGTTCGTGACTATATTGAGAAAGTCAATACACATTTCAAATTTCAGATGATGAATAACTCCAACTTACGAGATACTGCCGATGAAGTCGCCCTTTTGTCGATCGGCAATAAGGGACTCCACACGGCTATACTCAGCCATGACCGATGAGCCGAATCCAAGGACGGAACTCAGCTCAACAGAAGATGAGAAAACATGGGTTTCGAGAGTTGTATAACAGAAACAACCAGCAAACCACTGCGAGGCTACTGCATTCCACAATGGCACGAACATAATTTGCGTAGCACCCGGGAAGTACTGATTGAGCCAGGAGTTCTCGACAGCCTTCTTTTTCCTGCCCAGCGGTTTTGTGACGTCGATGGGCGGAGCACCAGGAGGTGAGCGATTGGCAGACGTGGTGAGCCCGTCGCGAGGCTTTTGATCATCGTCATCATCAGATGTGGAGATCATCCCATCACGATGGAAAGACCACAGCTTGCCTCTGGGATATCGCCGAAGAATCAAACTCAGGAACGAGCGATCCAAGTTGGCTGCTGGTGACGTAACCACAGATCCGGCTCGTGGGGAGAATGGATCTTCGTTAGTTGACATAGACAAAATCGTCGCAGGGCCACCGGTATCACTCCCAGAGCAGTCGCTTCCACCATCTCCGTCCATAAAGTTGTTCGTAGCTTCGTAAAAGATAACGCCTCCATCGTTGTCCAAATCAAGACTCTCACGAAGGAGATTCGCTGCACGGCGGAAGCACCACGAATTACCATGCGAGTCGTCGGGCGGAAGTCGATTGCTGCTACTGCTAGTGAGCCACTCTGGGAGCGAACTAGCCGCGCCCGAAGTTCCCGTATTCTCTTTTGAAAATGAGGCGCCCGAAATACCCGAACCCGTGGACCGAGCATCGCTGCTCAGCGACCGGTCATTCGGTGGGCTATGCGATACCTCATGGGATGCACGATCAGAGTTGTGACTCCCACGAGATCCCCCTGACATGCTAATCCGATTGTTTGTGGACGCTGGCGTTACTGAATGCGGGGCACAACTATCGGCGCGGGATGGATCGACACTATCGATGAAACTCGAGCTTCCTTCGACGAAAAAGCTCAGTCCTTTAGACAGGCGTGCAGCTCGTCGACCCTCGGACGCCTGTCGACAGACTTTCAGGTAATCCATCACCAATGTGGACAACGATCCGAGGGTATCCTTCTCCAACGACGTCAAGCCATTTCGGGGCTTTTGATCCAATACAAAAAAGCATCCCAAGTTGATACTATTATCCGTCGTCAAGGGCGTTCCCGCGTAGAATCGAAATTTGGGTTCATTTGCCACGAAAGGTAACTGGCTGTAGCGGTCGTTTTCCGCCAGGTTGTTGACTATGAGGTATTCATAATGAGGTGTTTTGCGATCGGATGGAGGTAATGCAGTGGTTTCCTGTAAATATCGTGTCGTTAACAGCTTGCTAGACTGGGCTGAGTCGTTGCTAGGGTGGAGGAGGGGTTTCTAAAAAGATCAGCTCATCGCTGAATCTCAGGTACTCACATGGCACAAGCTCCACGCTCTGCTACTACCAGTCGATCCAATCCAAAGGTTGCCCTGATGGTCATGCACAGATTTATCATTCAAATTGACTGATTTCGTAGCCTCCGCAAGAATATACTGGCGGTCTCGATCAAGAACGCAAATGAAGGCACGCTCTGCATCCAATCGCAGAGCCGCAAGTTGCGCAAATGAAGTCAAGGTATTGTTGGGCGAGCCCAGCACAAGGTCTTCCGGACCTATCGCAGTGGACGGGCGCGAGGTGGCACTACTGCGGCATCGTGTCAAGCTATCGCCAGTAGCCGGAGTGCTTGGGGTCCCTGCAGAGCCAGAGGACGGTAAATCTTCACTCGGAGCCAGCCAAGAGGGAATGAGGCCGGCAGAGCCAGCAGGCTGATAGTAGCGGTAAAGTTCTCTCACCCTGCGATCCGCTTTGTGTATAACACTCTGATGTGTCCTAGAGGGCTTCATGGTGTGCCGATAACCCCGGAGAAGTCAGGATACAATTGCGCATCTTTGGACCCGGGGTCCCTGAGTATCAGACAGGAGCGGGGCTATCACAATGCCGATTGTTCGTGTGCGTATGTGCGCAGATCGAAGTCGCAATGACGATAGGTATTAGGGTGAAGGTGAGAATGGAGATCCGAGAGGCAAGTGGTGGGCTACTGGTGTAGAAAGTTTGTTAGCCGACAAGCTACGCCGGCACGATTGGGTCAGCCCTTAAGCGGTGGGCCATGAAGATCAGATACTAAAAAGGATTCCAGAGTATTAAGAAAAAAAATTGTGGACAAACTCAGACGAGGTATACCCCACGGACTAACATAAGATTCCGCAATAGTAGTACAGTAGCGGCAGAGAACCAGAGAAAGAGATTGTTTCGGGCACAAGCACGCGGCGGCGGGATCTCAAAAGGTGTCAGATGGAGACGAGACTGACCATGGCAGCGACCAGCCAGCGGAGAAAGATTCCATTGAAGGTGATTTGTGAGAGGGACCGCGTTGCAATGTGACTCGATCGGCTGTGCATCCTTTCTCCACCGCTCCCATCAGTTAGAGGCCCCCTGCCCTGGAAGCGGGGCATCTGCTGCCAAGAGAAGGCATTTGTGGGAAGAACAGCGTTGGACCCTGGCCGCGCGGCGCCATTGGAGGCAAAGGAGGCGATCAAGAGCCCGAGCGTGGGAGCTTGAAGGGGGGCAGTGGGAATGACAGTGGATTTGAAGGTGGATTGACAGTGGATGATAGTGGATGATAGTGTGGAAGAGCAAGCAGGGGAGGCTTGGATGATCGCGGAGTGGCGAGGATCAATGCGAATCACAATTGGAGATGATGGCCTCAGGCCACCCAACGATCTGTTACCCAGACCACTTTCCACTTTGCCAATGGAAGTGGAGCATATGGACTCATCTTCAGATGGTACATCCAGTCATGAATGCGGTGGGCGTTATGGGGGGTAGTGGCGGACATTGCCCTTGACCAGGGCTTGTAGGTTAATACATCCACGCAGTCAGCAGTAATCATCATGAGCTGCTTGGACTACCTTCACCTGCCTCGAAAGCGGTCAACACAATTCACCTCTCATTGACAGGCCAGTTCAAAAGCCATAGGCGTCATTAAGAGGTCAGGATGCTTCACCCTGCAGCTTCAACGATCATCTCTATTCGCAAGGCTGCACCTGTGGCGCATATCACCCGTGACGCGGTGGCGGTGGCAACATCCGTCAATCTAATGACTGGGCTTGGCGAGTAACCGATACATCGGGACAGGTACCGCGGCTACGGGGAATGCAAAGGTGATGCTCTCCACTGTGGATAATGGTACGTGAAAAAGACTCATGAAGAACATGCTGTGTATCATTGGGAGGCCTCGCTGAGTGATTCGTCATTGACATAACTCAAACGACGAAAAGGCAACTGATGACTCCTCGATGCAGAGATTTCCGTTAACATACGAAGTTGAATCACCTTGGCAGTCACAAGTTGAATGATTCACCAAAAATGATATCAGAGCTTTCAAGAAAGACGACTTGAATGACCTTCAGAAGGTCCTTCAAAAAACAAGAAGCGAAGCATATCCATTGGCTCTAGATGCAAATTTTTAAACTACCACTGTACTACGAGTTATGACCCGTCACAGCACCCCAGATATACGCCACCCATCCCCCAATGATCAAGAGCAGCAAGGCTGCAAAACATCCGATAGACAAGCGCCTCGTGCGCTGAGCATGCGCCACGAGACTACGCTCCTTAAGGCCCTGAATGATCTCAGCACCCGATGATAGGCGTTTTTGGCGTGTCCACTGCAACAAGCCCAGATTGTCCGTCACAAACGAGCCTAGCAGAATCGCGGAGCCGACCACGAGGGAACACGCGGCGAGGAAGAGGTAGACCTGGACCACACGACGATACGAGTTGTCATCTGAATCCTGCAAAGCACCGGTGATGATCCGGATGATAATGCTCATGCTAGCGAGTGTGTCAGCGATGATATTTGATTCTTCTCGGAAAGCAGGGGTACGGATTCGACTTACGCATTGTTCATGGTGACCTTGAGCGAGTAGGCGGAACCAAAGACGGATTGGTGCCACAGAGTGGTGCGGATACTGTCGATGATGGATGTCGGGCCCATGGACATGGCGATCGCGTAGATGCCAAAGGATGCTCCCGTGCCTGCGGTGGACGGTGTGAAATTGAGAAGGACCATACTCAATAGCATGCCCAAACCACAGGTAAACACTAATTTCAATCAGTATATGGAGTCAACACTTGGCAAGGAAGATTGCATTTCCCACTCACAGACAGAAGCACGGTGCCCGAGAATATCAATGAAGACACCCAAGCAAGGAACGAGGAAGAAGCCTGAATCGCCAGTTAGTCCTAGTCCACCAGGAGCAGAATAGCATTTCGCCTTTTCATACCTGCATATTGTGACAATGAACTATACCAACCCGCCTTAATCGAGTCGACATCAAACCGCTGTTCCGCCAACTCCGTCACATTCTGGCTAAAAGTCGAAGCCGTGCTCGTCTGGAACAAGGAGAAGGCGAGTACTGCCCAGAACATCCACGGTAGCTGGAACACCTTCTGGAGCTCGAACTTCTTGTTCCGCTCTGTCAATTGCTCGTTGGTCGCACTATCGTGACGTCCATTATAATGCCGGTTGCAGTAACGGCTGAAGAACCAGAACATAGCCGTGGCGGCATTGGTGAAGAGATTCATGAATACGGCAGTCCAAAAGACCCAGGCAAAGTTGCCAGTATTCTGCATCACGTTAGTGTTGAGCTTCAAGATAGATATCGTTCAAGGTATACTTGAAGATATTTGAATTGCAGGTGCAAGGCTACCAACTCACCTTTGCAATCACGTTTGCTGTGGATTTACCGACGAATCCCCCAATCTAAACTGATGTTAGCCCGGCAGCCCCGATTCAACTTCACCAACGTATCCCCATACCTTTCCAATGGCCAATTCAAATCCAAGTGTCGACGCAAACCCATTGCTAGGAGCGAACCACGAAGAAAACATCTTATACTGCGCGATCTGCGTGGCGATATCTCCAAGTGCCAAAATCACTCTACCCCCAATCATGAAATTAAAGGAGCGCACAGTCGTGGCAGCAGCAACAAGGATCGACCCGATCGTATACACGATATTTCCGTACACGATCATTTCTTTTGGATGCGCCGTCAGCTCTTGAATCAATTACGGAACGGTTAAATTTGAAGCTTACCAGCACCACCGACCCTATCGGTGACCAACCCGCTCGGAATCAGCAAAACCGTCGCCATGAAATCCTCACTCGCTTCCAAGAGCGAGAATTGCACGTTATTAATATGCATCTGCTTCTTGATCGTGCTCTTCATTGCTCCCGTGACACCAGAACTCCAATGGGAACCAAAGCTGATACAAGAAATCAACAGTACTGCAAACAGCTTCGCCGCCAATGGCGGCGGCGATTTCTTGTCATCATCGGACTGGCTTGTCGACTCTTTGTCCGAGACAACCGGTATATTATTGTGTTCCTCATCCGACACAGGGGTGAACACAACATCCACAGCCGATTTTGAAACCTCCTTTTTGGTAGCCATCACGTCGTGTCGTGACAGGATTACCCCTGAATTGGGAGAAAGATAAGGAGAAAAGAAAAGGAGCAGAAGGTTCAAACACGGGAATAATCGGCCTGGCCTGTCATGACTACTTATATGACAGCCTCGCCGACAGGACCAGGACCCAAAGCCAAGAAAAAAAAAACCCAAACCCAGCAGGGAAGAAAATAGCTCAAGTGGATCGTAAGATCAGATAACGGCCATCGTCCGACAACCTTAAACTGGAGCAAACACTCACCCCCTTCCAATAAAGCACGTAAGACCTCCAACGCCAACAACTCACCGGACTTGGCACAGCGGAGTTTTCGATCTGATTAGATGGTTGGGCCGGCGCACTAACCCGATAGGTGATAGAATGTGCAGTTTTGGGTTTAGTTTTCCGTGCTGGTATATCATCGGAGAAATCTTGGGTTTCATGCCAAGGAAGTTATCCCCATAATATGTGTAGCGGGCCTGATCGCACACTACGAAATAAGAAATTGTCGAGGCCGTGAACACTTCTTAGAATGTTAACAAGGCCCGAAATCCTTGTCAATGGGTGGATTTAAGTTGCGCAGGCCACATGGCAATGACGGCTCCGCTCGGGATGCTGTTCGGCACAAAGAGCATCCGATCTGATATCGACCAGGATGTGGGTCCAGTGAGACAACCACACCGAGGGGTTGTGCACTTTCCGGAAGTGGTGCGCGTCAGACGCATCCACTCTGCCTCCTCGAGAGCAGGACATTTACGGGTACAGTATTCAAGTTGGTCAAAAATTGTAAATCGTGTCTCATACTATGCGTTATGTAGATGTAGTTCGTTCCAAAATCGCGAGAAATAACAATTCAAATCAAAAGCGTTCCATCAACCGCTTGCGCACAGTCCACATGCGCGCTCGCTTGCCGTAGATGTACATTGGAATTGTCATCAACAGACAGAATAGCTGAATGCCACCAATGGCGAGGAATACAGTCCGGGAACCATCGGATTGGAGCCAATTGACAATGAAGAGGGAGAAGATAAGGCCGTGGAGGACATCTGAATTACATGTTAGCAACAGCATCGAGAAGCAAGGCGGGAGTGATACATACTCTTACTAAAGTTCAGCGTAACAAGAGCCTCTCCGGCATATTGGCGGTAGCTGTCCACACAGAATGTGATGGCGGTGGTACTACCAAGACAACATCCAAATGAGATGAGACCGAAAAATATCGTAGGCACGATCCATGCATCCATAAGCTGGGCACTCCAGCCAAAGCCCATCAATCCAATCGTGGTAGACAGCGCAATAGGAATCGCCATAACCAGACGGAACTCGGGCTCGTAGATACCACCATTGCGGCGTGTCATAAAGCGCACGACAATATCCGACACCTTACCAGCAACAGCCGTGCCCAGCAGGCCACCAACAAACGGCGAGATATAGATCAAACCTGTCTGGAGTGCAGTGAAGCCGTAGTAATCGCGGCCTTCGTAGATCACTGCGACAGACTCGGAAAGCACAATCAACCAGCCAACCGACAAGGCATACACGACGGCTGACCAGAGAACTGCCGGGTAAGCGAAGAGAATAAAAGGTCGCAAGGCAACCTTGATCCATTTATCATGGGCAATACGACCATTCCACACCCCCAGCAATTGCGAATAAGGAATCTTGGGGCGGTCGCGAAGCCTGTTGGTATACTGCAGAGTAGAAGGAAGTTGCATCCCCGGCGAGTGGGATTCGCTACGCGAAGGCGACGGGGCCGATCTCCATGCGGCCTCCATTTCACCTGGGCTTTGGGGTGTCAAGACTGCCGGATCAGGTGGATGGAGAAGACCATCGCTACGCTCGACGGCCGGGGTAGAGGGTTCTGTAGTGATATGGTCATCGACGACGGGACCTACGACGTTTCCAGGTGTGGTGCTGCCTTCGGCAATCTCAGGCACCTGTTTCTCATTGCCTGCTTCGTCCGCAAATGTGAAATGCGCATGCTTCTCCTTTCTGGGAGTTGCCAACACATCTGATTCAGCTTCCACCTTGGCCTCGGCAGACTCGTGGGGGAGCTCATGTTGCGGGCGACGACCACGGAACCCATGTGAGACGAGGTCAGACATGGTTCTGCCCATATGTGGGCGTTTGTGGTGGTGATGCTTCCGTGGCCGAGGGGTACGATCCCAGAAAGTCTCTGGGACGAAGAAGAATAACAAGAAGAAACAAGCACCAACAATCATCGAGACAATCCAAAACACCCAGCGCCAACCCAAACTGCCAATCACGGCAGCGCTGACAAGTGGAACCAAATTCTTTCCACCGAGTAGCAAGAGTGTGTAGACGCCGACTCGGTATGCGCGCTCATGCAGGAAATAAATCTCTGCAATCGTAGCGGATGGAAGACACTCCACCGGGCTCACAGCAATTCCCTGAAAGATACGAGCGACGACTAGGCTTGGATAGTTCGGCGAAAGGGCACACCAGACGCAAGAAATGACGAAAAGCACGGCACCTAACAGATAAACTGGGCGCTTGCCGAACAGAATGGCCGTTGGGGACATGATGACAGATCCAATTCCAAGACCCATCATGTACAACCCGGTCGTGTAAGCCACTTTCTGCTTGGTCACATCGTAAGATTTGGCGACATCATCAAAACCAGCCGCCAAGATCGTGGTCATTCCTCCTCCCATCAGACAGTAAAAGCCCAAGGAGAACAATGCCGCGTCTCGCTGCCATACAGGCCAGTTAAGCGGATCATTCACTGAGTCATCCGGTTGTGGTTCGAGAACAATCTGTCCGTCTGCGGTCCGTTTCTTCTGGGGAGCGGCAGACCGAGAGGAAGATCGGGAAGGGGGAGCAGAGGAGTGAATGGAGGAGGTTGATGTCCGTCGGGGCTGGTGCCTCAATCCCAGAGGCTCATTGCGATTTGAAGACAGCAGAAGGATCGTTCCTATGTGGCGAAATGGTCAGCAACATTCCCTCTGAGCAAATCTGAGATGCTCCACTAGCATATATCCACTCTCTTACCAGGTACTTCGTCTGTCTGTTTGTCACTCAAAATCCCCAGAGTCGACCTCGCTCGATAGGTTTCTTCCTCGTTATCGCAATCCTCATCCGACCTACCACCATAGAAACGTCTCCATCGAGGGACGCGCTGTTGCGGTGTTGTATTCCTGCCTTTGTTTTCAGCCATTGTGGATGGCGTTGATTCCTCCGAAGATGCCATTTCCGTATGCCACCAGAGCAAGTGTATGCGATGTATGTCGCGATGAAAGTACGTTCGTAACTGCGAGACAAGCATGATTAGTCCCGACTCATTCTTATTCCCAAGTTGCTCGTCTGAGCAGTACGATGAAATGACAAGGCTTTGTCTAAGAATGCAACTCACATCTATCCCCAGTCAACGCCAGCTAATGCACGGATCCAAACCACACAGGTAAGCCTCGACAAGCTCCAAAACGGACCACCACGAAGAAGAAGCAATTCGCTGTGAATTCGAATAGAGGCCTGTGATCTCGGGATCTCGTGTTCTTCAATAAGATAACCAGGTAAGGGGCAGGGTCGTGTCCGAGGGGGCAAATCAGCGATTGCGATAGAACCCAAGCAACGGCAACTGACTGGCACCTGTCCCAGGCATAGTTTGATTGAAGAGGGGAGTCAAGAAAAGAAAGGGGCAGACAGCCACAAGGGGTCCATATGAATCAAATGGGGGAGCTCATCAATAAGGACGAAAGGTTTGGGGACCCGAAGGCAAAAGCGAACGAGCCGTCACGGGCGTCTCCAAAAAAGAAAGTCGGCGGGATCGACGGGTCCATGTGGCTGCGGGGATCCAATGGGCGGTGAGACTCGCAACTCGCCCATTCCTGGTCTCCTTGAGTCCTCATTTCTCCATATCTCCAACGGTCGCGGTGATCCCTGCAGTTCTGCTCTGCAATTCTGATGCAAGTTCTGGGTTAATCTTCCGATCCCATGTTGATTTTATCGACAGGAAAGACTTGACACTCTTCTGTCACTGCTCCCACGCCTTCCTCTCTCTGTAACCATTGAGCCATGGTCCCCCCAGTTACATGATTGACGGGGCGTACAGAGTACCTCCACCGATCCACACTCTCGGAGTCCGATGAGCTGTGCACGTTTTCGGCCACCCCTACCCCTCAAAGCACAATGGCGTCGGTGTATGTCTTACTAGCCCAGTCACGAGAAAGCGTTCACGCGGCGATCACTGTTATTTGCGCAACAGACGCAAGATAAGGCCGATCGCACATCCCAAATAGTCCCAAGATTTACCCCCAGCACTGCCCGCAGCAAAGCTCAAGCGGGGCCCATTATCTGCACTCGGCCCATTCCTGAAACGAAGCCAAGCCATAGTATCCCATCCCCAGATTCCGGTTGGGTAAGCCCTCGAATATCGGAGCCGCCTCGCGACGCCATGGCCTTGCCATGTCTTTCTTGTATGGTCTCACCGGGCTTGTTTGTCGGGTTTTGACTTGTCTTATGTTGTTCAGATGATTGCTTTCGAGTCTTCTCAGCTGACTCGTCGGGTGCAGGTTGCCGTCATCATGCATTCTCCCGTCGCGGGGGAACACTGAACACTCGCTTTCAAAAAGCAAAGATCCACTGGTATTCAAGGTTGTCGACAATTGCTCCGCGCCATGTGCTCAAACCCAGTTTATGGCGTCACCTTTAGTCCCGGTTTCTGCGTAGATCTGCCCGCACTACTCCGTAGATATGCGCGATACCGACTACTGGTCAATCTGAGTTTAAGCCTGCCGCACTAAGGTTTTCGTGGCTGTCCTCGACCTGAGAGTTAGATGCCTAACTTGTGTCACACAATCCCTCCCCGCATTGCAACTGGTACGTAATTCGATGAATCATTTCACTTCAGGGATGAGCTGCGTGGTCGAGGATGAACCGCCGTTGCCGCCGTTGGACAAGGATGTCGATCGGCAAACTGCCGGTCCTGGATATATACCTTACGCATTATGCTTCGATTCGCAACACAACAATCTACTTTCCGCACGGGGAATTCTCAATAATAACACAGTGTTCGCTCACCTCCACATGGTCATACCTGTCGGCTGCAGAACCAATAGGCCTGTCGCCTCACTGCTTCTCGGAGTTCACCACTGGAGGTGGATAGGAAGACAAGGGACCGCTAAAACTACTGGACCAGCTCGTAAATTGCTTAATGAGCTAGAGAAATATTACAAGCCGCCTTTCTCAGCTAGGATGCGGTTCATACTTTCCCCGCGATCATGCGAATACACAAGGGACCCACCACAGTAGACTGTGAGGGACTAGGAAGTGGAGCTTGGTAAAAGTGAAAGAAAGGGTCCAGCAGGGAGAAAGGGAGGGAGCAGCAGCTCGCGGCCTGAATGCATGAACTAGTGCCTCCTTTCGTGGCGATGAAATGTTGGGCGTGGGTAAAACAAGCGTCTTAAACATTTTATCTCAACACAACTTATTGCGGAGCAACTCTAGAAGATCGGTCAACAATCATAGAGCCCTAGTCTGTGATCGATCATTTACCAGCGCCTCCTGACTCTCGACTTATCGGTAGCGCTACTGGAGTTGATATACTGCCGGTGGTGAGCGTAATGGGGTTTTGAGAGCTCCAATGATGTTAGAACAACTGAATTCAAGTTGATGGACTTCAAATAATAGACAATGTAATAACGCCTTGAACCCATTGATATAACAACATGCCCTCTAAACGCCAAAGTCGAAAGCCAATTGTCACACCTGTCACTTCCAACTTGTCAATATGCTCTTAACATTTGCCAAGAAATTCCCATTGCTCATGGCAACCTGAAGACTCCAAATCGAAACACCACCAAAGTTCGCATTCCCACCAGCAGTGACAGACTCAATAGCTTGCTTCAGGGTATTCGCATCCACATATCCACTGTTAGGCGTCTCGGTGCCCGCAGTACCACCGGGAACTCCAACAAAGATCTTCGGCTTAATTGACTTGGCACCCGACCCCGGAGCAGTCGTAACAGCGAGATTGTAGTTATTATTAGCCGGACCACTACTCTGCGAAGCCAAGTTCAACCAATGAGCAAGATTGAAGTTCCCAAGAAGCCCAGAGCGACGGGCCGATGGACCCTGAGAACGACGCTGATAGCCAGCACCGATACCGCACTCTTGGTTATTGTAGAACTGGACGAAAATAGCATCGAATGCGCCCATGTTGGAGTCTAGAACTGTTTGGAGGTTCTTATCAGGCCATTGGCATTGAGGAGCGGCGGTTAGGTAGAATGGTTTCTTCAATCCAGCGTTGTTTTTCAGGGCGATGAGGCGGTTGGTGAAGGCGGGGAGGTTGGACATGGGCACTTCGAAGTCGAAGTCGAATCCGTCGATAACGGCGGTACCCCAGGGTCCTTGCCCGCTGGCACTGGCACCGGGCCCGTATTTGTTCCATAGTTTGTCGGCCATCTGGGAGGCTAGGTCGGGTGTGCTCCAGCCGCCTTGTCGATCGGCTTGGTGGTAGGTTGCTCCTCCGAGCGAGACAAGGATTGTTTTTCCTTGGGCTTGACATTGTGTAATTTCCCAACTGTTGGCTTGTGAGAAAATGAAGGCTCATATTTCTTGAAGGGGTGATAGAGTGTAAGATACATACCTTTGAATGCCTGCGAGTGATGCTGACTGTGGCTCGGTATCAAGTTGGTCCACGAATGCTAGTTGAATGATCTAAATACCCATGTTAGATCCTCAAATTCCTTTTTAAGTATAGGAATGCAATGCTCCATACATCAACGTTGGGATCTATATAGTCATGTCAGCGATGTAACTCAACAGTGGTTCCGAGCAGAGTCAACTTACTTTGACAAAAGGTTGCGAGACCCTGGCCACCACCATCTAAGTCATGTTAGAAACGAATATTGCCAGAAGATATTTGAAAACCTCGTACTCAAGTAGGCAGCGACTTTTGGAGTTGACTCTCCAAAGATAGAGCCATGAACGCCTTGCAGCGACGCAAGAAACGCGACGGATAGAAAGAAGCTCTTGGAAGCCATGGTGTATCGTCAATAACACAATAAGCAAATAATCTATAAAGACGCTGAAGAAAGACCAGGCAGAGGAACCAGCTCGCTTGGATAAGAAACTTAGAACAAAGATGATAATCGAAAAGACCCCGAAGGACAAGTGGCTACTCTATATACCCTCCTCAGATTGGGCTTTTTCTTCAATTTGGCCCCGCGAAATGCTATGCTACAAAAATGAAGGGTCTAGCAGACTTGTACTTGGATACAACACTATTTGTGGATCAAAGAATCCCATTTTGACTTCAGAGTGTCGTATCGTTCCTGGGGGCCGATTACCTTCTTTACAAGAAATGTTCCTGGGGTTGCGAGAAAACACGAACACGGGAATGGAGGCTTTGACGAAAGTTACGAACGGGTTGGGTTGAATCCGAGTTGCTGACTCGGGGGCCAATCGTTGGCCCCCAACCTGCAGCCGTCGTTCCTGGCATGATGCTATTTTTTGCATCGGGGTGGGGTGCGATACGATGGTCTATTTCTTGCATGAAGAATCAAAAGAACTTCTCGTTTAAAGATTAAAATAATCTCGGTTGATCTAAATGGAATGGTTTACTTTTGCTTCCTCTCGTCCTAGTAGGGCAGGTACTCTATCAAGATACCTCATATAACTGAAAGGGTTGGTTCTAACTACTGATGAGTCTGCTTGACGGGGGCCAATCTGTGCCTGGGGTGCCTGGTGGCGTTGATTCCGGGCGGCCCCAGTCAACGCTGAGTCCAGATTCAAATTTCCTTTGTGAGAGCCTCCGTGGGAATAATCCTCTCTCTCTTCATGGCCCCATTGGCCCCTGGCCCCCATAGTCAACTCAAGCCTATATCGCCATCTATACATATTGCGAGTAACCATGTGGGATACGTGATCAGTTCTGTTGGTCAATCGCATGTTTCAAGTCTCTTTGGGGATCTCTCATTACTGGCGTGATCTCCCCATACTGAAGCACTACAGTTAGCCTTGCGAACGGAGCGCTTTTGCTTCATTTGGAAAGGCTCCTTGGTGCCGTTCTATATTCAATATGATTCTCCCAGCGGTCAATATTTCGAGAACTATCTGCCAATGTCTCTCGAGATGTTCTTTTTCTCATGTACCTGTTCATGGTTGGCTGAACTTTTTGAACTCGTGGTGCACGAGTTTCCCATTGGTGTTAACAGGCAAGGGGCTTGGTTGTTCTCAGGCTACTGAGGAAGGAAAGGAGTCAGCAAAGATATACAATAGATAGTTGCCATGAACAAGCACCAACAGCACCTCTTGGCTAGGAATAATCACCATTCAGCCAATTGACACTGTTTATTTAAGTCTGTTAATCAGTCGATCCGTCGATCAATCAAGAGTCGCCGATTGGCAGCGCCGCTGTTTGCGGTGGGGGGGGGGGGGTCACGTGGATTGCCCCCTTTGCAGGCCAGCAAGTAACAACACACCGGCGGTTTTTTTGGTTGTCCTCCTGGTCGTGTCTTTCGTCTGTGTTTCTTTTCTGCATTAACGATCCTAATATACTTCTTCTTTACATTTCTTCTTACATTTGAGCACTGCGCTCGCTCTAGAGTGCTTGATTTGAGTGCATTGCCGACTGCCCACCTCCACTACGGTTTTAGACACTCGTGTCCTTCCATTCCTCCTCAACCAACTTCAAATACCCTCTTTCCACCAGGCGGTCGCCGATTCTCGATATCTTTTACAATTCCGACCGAAGACCGTCATTCCTTTCTGCGGTAGACACCACCAATCCTCACGATGAAGATCCAACTGTCCCCGTCCTTGGTCCTTCTTCTCCTTCCCGCCCTGGCGACTGCGGCGGCGGATCTCAACTCCGCCAGTCAACCGAGTGTTCAGGGATCATCCGATCTGACCTCCCGCTATGTTGATTCCGACTCGATCGCATCCAACAATGCTGTCAAGGGGTCGCTGGACGCCCCGGTAGACGGCAAGGATGGCAGGCCACATGCCGGCCCATGGGTGGAAACCAATGCGGAGCGCGACCGCAAGAGCAACAAGGCCAGTGACGATATCGACACGGTCTCAACGAAGTATGACCTCAAAATTCCCTCGACGGAGCACCTCAGCACCGGGGAAGGGAAAGTGATCCCACACTCCAACGGTGGTGTGATGGATGATCCAGACCGGGCTGGCCCCAAGGCGGGCACGAGAGGTACTGAGGGAGGCGTCTCAGAAAAGGGCAAGGAGAACCAGTACAATGCTGAGAAAGTGCCTGGAAGTCCCAAGGAGGCTCCTCCCTTGCCGCATAGCGAGAAGCAGAAGCAGTCTGATAGCGATGCGACCTTGGGAAGTGGTGGTCGCACTGCCGATGAGGCTGGAACCCTTGGAATGCTGGAGGTAAGATCTACTGCGATATCTGTCGATTTGATCCACGGCTGCAAAAGCTAATCTTTTTTTTTTAGAAACCGGCCGATCTCCCTAACAAGCCCCACGATATCCCCCACCCCAAGTCACCCTCGCAGGCCAAGGATGACCCTCTGGCTGTTCAGCATGGCTCCGCAGGCTCGGGATCATCCCTCGGTTCCTCGACCTACGATAAAACCTCGCCCCAGGTCTCACCGGATGATGGCGATGGATTACACTCTCTGATCTTTGCGTTTACTATGATTATCGTATCCGAGATTGGCGACAAGACCTTCCTCGTCGCAGCACTCATGGCCATGAGACACCCACGACTGGTTGTGTTCTCCTCCGCATTCTGTGCTTTGTTTGTCATGACCGTATTGTCCGCTGTTCTTGGCCATGCCGTTCCAACCCTGATTCCCAAGTCGCTCACGAAATTGATGGCGGCTGTCCTCTTCCTGGTGTTCGGCGGAAAGATGCTGAAGGAAGGCCGTGAGATGTCTCCAGATGAGGGTGTAGGAGAGGAAATGCGCGAGGTCGAGATGGAGCTGGAGGAGAAAGAGCAGGAGCAGCGACGTATGGGCCGTCGCCGCTCCTCAGTCACCCCGCACTCGCTGGAAGCTGGCCGTGCTGGTGGTCGTCCCAAGTCGCGCGGTTCTACCAACCGCCTGCCTTCCCCTCCTGAGAGTATCTCCTCCTCTTCCTCTCGTGGCTCGTCACCTACCCCTGGCCGCCGTCTGAATGACATGATGACCGGCGTCAGCAACCTCTTCTCTCTTCTCCTCAGCCCAGCCTGGGTGCAGACCTTTGTTATGACTTTCCTCGGCGAATGGGGTGACCGTAGCCAGATCGCTACCATCGCTATGGCTGCCGGTCAAGATTATTGGTGGGTGACCGTTGGCGCGATCACCGGCCATGCAATCTGCACCGCCGCGGCTGTCATCGGTGGACGAGCCATCGCTGGCCGCGTCAGCATGCGTGTCGGTAAGTACTTATTCATCACTCTTCCTGCTTCTCCAAATTCTAATTCTTGAATTACAGTGACCCTTGGCGGTGCCACGGCTTTCCTCGTCTTCGGCATCATTTACTTCATTGAGGCCATGTATTAACATCACAGCATTTTGGCGGTTGAATGTTCTATGTCCTTTTTTTTCGAGTTTGGGGCGTTTTACCTCGGTGTAAAGTCAGAGACGTCTTGTGAAAATACTTTTATATTAATGATATAATATTGCGACTGGCGTTTGCATGATTAGCCAGTGTTCTGTTTCTCTCAATCTTGTTAGTCACATGTATAATTTTTAGTTGGTGTCTCTGCAGTACGTTTGATACAGAATATCATCGCCGAAATAAAGGGCCCTTTCTCATGGTCCTAAATTGACAGTACCCCCTTCATGCTCTGTATTCATGCTCGCTACTCATGCTCTCTTATTTATAGTCTTTTCTAACCATCTCGAAGGACATGTGAAAGAACTACTCTCAAGTTCGCAGGTATCAACTCAATCATGTCTGGTTTCAAATCGAGGGGTTTGGTAGACCAGTAAATAAGAACATCCCACAGCGCAACCACAACGCGTCGACAAACCACTGAAGTTGGATCTTATAGTTTTCAGCCAATGAGCAATCTCGGAAAAAGAATCCTTAGGCTTAGGGTTTCTGCCTGAAAACTACAATCGAGCACCTGGGCCTCAAAAACTAATAAAATAGCCGAATATCAAGACGTGGGATTTCTATCATATCAAAAAACACGTCGTTCAATTTTCAAGACACGACAAGCAAGGCCCGACTCGCAAAGCCGTTGTGAAGTAGTTGATGCCTTTAGGGTTTAGGGTTTTCAGGGCCTTGTTGCCTGAATCCCCAGGTGCCTCGTGTCACGAGTCTTCTGAAATAGGATTAGCGCCAAAGGAACATCCATATCCCGATTCCGGCGCGTCTCACAAGCCCAACAACCCTAAGCTTCCCGAAAAACAATCTTCTCCTGACTCTATCCTCGCGTCGAAATTACTTTTCGCCTTCCCACGCTCAAGAGAAGCTATCCGTCGGTGCTAGGACTGATTTCGTTACTCTGAGCACCTTGAAAGCACGTCCGAGTCCGGATATCAACAAAACACGTGAAGCGCACCTCGCCGCATTTGCCTGGTACACGCGCTGGGGACAACACACCGCCCACATGCCACGTTCAGCCGGGGCCACCCCCAGCGGCGAGTGACCCGAAGTCAGAGTCGGGAACTCGATGATCCGAACTATGGAAAACAGTCTTCGTCCAAGGCTGCTCAGCGATATGGGCTTCAGGCCAGAGGTCAAGTAAAACGTGAGTGACATGTGAATTCTTTTTCCCTCACATCCGAATTTTGCCAAGGCAGTCGCGGATCTATAGTTGTTTATGCACGACCTTGCTATGACCAACAATGGATCCCCGCTTTGATACACTGCAATATCAACCAGTGTTGAATCGTGGGCTCATGCATTCCACGACTCTGGTGGCCCTTGATTGCCTCTGTTTATTCAAAATGAGTACAATTTCTAACTTCTGCAGATTTGCCCCCGGTGATTGAACAATCACCCATCGGCTCCCATCAAACTCCAACCGCAAGGGCGAGCTCCTCGGTTGTGCCAGACACACCAGCTCATGAGGAGGGTAGCACCAACATCTCCGGGACGACATTTTTGGCTCATGATTCAGACCAAGACTCAGACTCAACGGATTCTGAGGATGGCGGAATCGACGCTATCGACATGGCCGATGAGCTGCCAGATCTCCATCAAGCGTCCACTCGCCTGCTAGAACTGGTTGGCACAAATTCGTCTGATGCTAAGGGCATCTATGAAGTCGCAAAGCGCATTGCCAATCCTACCCACGCCGACAACAAGCGGTTCAAACGTGTCTACAAAAAGCTGGCCGACAGCATGAAGGTTTTCACTAGTGAAAGCTACATCGATGCTATCAGTGTCGCTCGTTTGATTCCTTGGGTGACGGGTGACGCTCCTGAGCGATGGGACCCGAGACCGTATCTTTACAGAGCAAATTGTGCTTGGTTGGCACTTACCACTCTCTCCGCCGCGATTGGCTCTCAGACTCAGGTGCAAGCAATCGAGAATCTCGATCGGCAATTCCCCGCCCCATTCATGAGCCGGATGACCCGACCCAAGCAGAAATTGACAGGTGGTGCAAGCTGTTCCCTGAAGGCCACTATCGATCTTGCTCTCGAGATTCGAACACAGTTCTTCATTGCGGAACTTGAGAGACGTCAACACGAGAAAAGCTTCGATGCCGCATCCATCTTGAAAGGCGTGTTCTATCAGGATTCCACACTTGGTAATTCCAACGGCCCTTCGGGCGCTGGGGCTCTTCGGGGATTCAATTTGGAAGGAAGTTTCCAGGATGAGAACGGGCGTCTTCCCGATAGCATGCATGATGAGGTCAGCGTACGCATCGACGAGCTGGAGACAGCTCTCTTCGATGACGATAATAATCTCAATTTGAAGGGACTTAAAATAATCTTCAGTTGGCGCCGGTTCTGTCTACGCGTTGCACGCTTCGTCCAGCTTCGAGAGCATGAGTTCAAGGGGACCATTGCTTCTCAGCCCAAACTTGAGGATGTCCAAGCGATGGTGATCAAAGCAATCCGCCGTCAGGCGGATAAACGTGCTACCCAATCACCGAGCCGTCCAAGGCCCGTGGAGTCCAATCAAGAGGAACCATCCAATGTGTTGAAAGAACGGCCTGTCGAGGAACCTGGGAATGGAGAGGCTGAACATGAGGAGAGTGCAATGGAAGAGCCAGCTCGTCCAGAGAGCAATCATGAACAACCAGCCTCAGAACAACCAGTGTCGGCACCGCCAGTTCCTGAAGAACCAGTGCCGAAGCCGTCACCACAGCGTGTGCCAAGTCGGCGGAAATCAGCCAAAGGGTATGTCTAAGTCTAGATCATTATATGTCCTGTCCTATGCTGACCTTTTTTCCAGTATGTGGCGTACCGCCGACGCCATGGACTTCCTTGCACAAAGCCTGAATTTCAGACGCCAGTCAGACTTGGCTTCATTGGAATCACAGCCTGTGAATTCTGGAAAAGGAAAAACCCCTGTTCTCCCTGATTCCCCTCGAGGCGTGAGCGTAACTGCAGACCGTGACGAAATTGCTGGAACTCCAGAGCCCGAGCCTTCTGCCCGTCGGTCGATCACCCCGGAGCGCACAGATTCGACTACACAGGATGACGAGCCTACCTTCAATCCGATTGACGACGAACTGGTATTCGATCAGCCAAATGAAGCGGTCATGTCTGCCAGCCCCCGTGGCTCTGAGCGAATCAATCGGGTTAGCCACCACCCGGGTCGATTCTTTGATACTCCATCAGCGGCTCGGGAAAAGCCAGTATCGCCGCGTCGTTCAATTTTCGATCGGCAAGCGAATGCCTCGAGGGTCGTCTTCTCACCTGGTGGCTCTGAGGAATCTCGAAGTGCAGAGAGACCTCGTGAACCAGCCAAACGGCCGACGACCATGCAACCACCTCCTCCCAGCCAGGCACTGTCTCGAAAGCGCGGCCGAGGTGACTCAGACGATGAGGCTAGCGACGATGATTTTGACCAGGACACCCGCAGCCACAACATCGCTCAACGCAGAGCGCAAGTTCCCGAACGAGCACGCCCAAGCGAAAAGCGGCAACGTGTGATCCAAGAGGAATCTAGTCCAGCTGCGGGACAGCTGCTCGAAGATCTCGCCGCCAGTCAACAGCAGGTCGAGGTGACGAGACCCGAGGCTCCGAGTCCCCTCCCCACCACGCGACGCGGATCTCGCTGGCTCGCGGAAAATTCCATTTCCAGCTCATCACGACAAAATATTGGTATTCCAGCCATTATCCCCCGAGGCCGAAGAAAGTGGACGGAAGAAGAAGATGATCGCCTGATCATGCTTGTAGCGAAACACGGCACTCAGTGGGCGGTGATCCAGCGACAGGATCAAATTTGTCCTGCGAGTCATGGAGGGCCACAGCTCACAGGTCGAACTCAAGTAAACATGAAGGACCGGGCGCGTACTATCAAGCAGAAGCTTGTGAGGTACGATCACTTAGACTTCTCGCTTGTTGTGCAGTTTGCTAATAACATCGATCATAGGAGCGGTCTACCGTTACCACTCAATTTCGACCGCGTCACAGGCTAACTTAGATACCTGCTGTGCTTACCTACTTTGAATGTCTGTCGGGTTTGCGCTTTATATCAGGCGGAGGAGGGATTCTGACGCTTAGCAGGAGTTCATCGGGTTGCTTTCTTCTATTGTTCATTCTTATACCTACCCCGTCGCTGTTCACAACGGCTTATGCACTTATCTTCTCAGTTCCAGTGTTGCTACTTCTAGCCTCTTATTGCACATATCCAACGTTTTCATTTTGCTCTGGTGCTTAACTTATAACCTAATCAATTCGCTGTCAAACGTATCTTCCATATCACATCGAGTTTACTAGATTTTGCAAAAAGAGGCGTGAGAAGGAAGTTGTGAACATGGATACTGTCTTTGATATGAAAACGATTCGAGCGGTCTTTATCACTTTTAAGAAGTGGTGTGTCTTTGCAACGATTCACATATTCATGAAATTTGTATTGAATTGAGGTATCTCATGCCGAAGGATATCGAAGTCCATTCGGCGCAGTCTATGCCTACTGTCAATAATCGCCCGGAATCTGAAGCGAAGGTCTAAGCCCGATAAACCAGCGAAAAGATAGCTCTCCCGCAACCTTCTCAAACCCGCCTGCGGGTCATGAAGCATCGAGGACTAGTAAGCCCCATTTCATCACCAAAGACACATGCAAGGGAGTCATTGAATATTCGGTACAGTCAAGAGAGTGAAAACAGTACAAGTGAAGGCCCAAGCCCTCCACTCCTTACAGGAGCAAACCCAAACCGGCAACCAGTACTCCAGCGATAGACGACCCACCACGCAAAGAGACAGCAGCATTGTTGGTAGGCGATGCCGATGCACTGGAGCTAGCAGCCGTGGCAGTCGCCGAGCTAGAGGCTGCACCGCTAACACCAGCCTTGGAAATCATAGTGCCCGGTGCAGTCAGAATACTCGTTGGGACAGTGGTAGCAGTGAGATTGGCATTCGTCGCCGCAACGACGATACCACCAGCAGCGGTTGCAGCAGTTGGCGTCGCCGCCGCACCGCCATCAGACTCCGAGACGGCGGCAGATTCGCCAGTGCTGAGGACCATGTATGTGCCGTCGCCGCCACCTGAACGAAGATATTATTAGCTTGCTCATACAATGGGTTGTGGGATCGGCCATGGCAAAACTTACAATAGTCCATGGGATACCCGGGACAAACGTTGTTGCACTTGTCATCACTGACCTTGGCCGAGGATGGGGGTACGGCGTTGCTGCAGGAGCAGTGGTTGCCCTTACTCAGGACGGCAATCTTGTAGTTATCCGTGGAGCACTGGTTCAGACATTGCCCGTAGGCCTGGTAGGCGTTGGTGGAGTCGCCCTTTAGATCTGGGACTTCAGAGTAGCAGCCAAGTTTGGTGTATGCGGAGGAGGTACTCGCGAGGACTGGCAGCGCAAGGGTGAGAGTAGCGAGAAAGTATTGTGAGTGCATATTGGCGATTGAAGGATCAAGTAGGGACAAGAGTGAATGAAAAGATTGAAGGTGAAAGAGCTTGTGTTTTTTTATTTTTATTTTTTTTTTCGGTGAAGGTGTGGGTATCAAGGGTCCGATAGACTAGTGGGGAGCTTGCAGGATGGCCGTTTGTTGAAAGAATCGCGTATGCGAAGGAGGAATGTCGAGGATGGAGCGAGAGTAGGTTAATAATGAAGGACGTAGCAACAGCAAATCCAACAGCGAAATAGAGTTGGTAATTCGAATATCTGCAAACACAAGAGAAAGACAAAAAAGAGTCCAAAGAGTTTCACTTAAGAAGCTGCAACCCTACGCTGACAGATTCGTTCGTTTGGCCCCCAAGAACCCTCGGGATCCATTATTTTATGGAGCCAGACACAACAGAACGAAAACGATGTCATCGCGAACCCGCGCGATCGACTCTGAAACACTAAACGAGTGCTCTATCGAATTCTGCGCAGGCGGCTTATTGGCCGGGGCGGCGTTGATCACAGTGATCGACATCCCCGGAGTGGACAAGTGGATGAACCTGTCGCTGATTCGAGTATCTCAGCATGTGTTTGACGGTCCCTAGCGAGTCAGCATCACTAGTGCCACCTGAAACCCCCCGTTAAAGCCTCTGGAGAGGGTCTCTTTGCCACTCACAGACTGTGTTCGTTTGTCCCGGGAGGAGCGGATGGTGGCGCAGTGTGGGGGGAAGGATTTTGGCCCTTCGGGGCGTTGCATTTTTGAGCTTCACCCCCTAGCCTGCCTCCTGTATTGGCAGCCCTATTGGCGATCGGGGCAGTCAAGGAGGATCGAAGGGGTTCGTCCATAGTGGCGTATGAGGAGAACTCCTGGCGCTCATTATTGGAATAATTGTGATTCTTCCGTAGGGCCAGCGACTCCCGATTATTGTGAAGACTCTCGACAACCAAGATCGTAACGGTCAATACTCAAGCCTCGGGACAAGCCCTGGTTCCTGGGGATCCACGTTGTTTTCCCTTGGCTTCTTCCGCTGGTTCCACCGAGTTGAAACTGTTTGGCCATGGCTTCTCTCGGGCTGTGCCGAGTCTGCTGATTGTGCTTGTCCTGCCTCGATAGTCAACTGAAGATATTCTTCAATACACGATCAACTATAGAGACAAAGAACTGTACAGAGGAGTTCATCCACGATGCTCTCCAACATCTTCGTATCCTCTTGCCGACCAGTCGGCAAACCTCCAACTAAATAGCTTCCGATTGGGGTAAAACGCGGGTGAGCCCGCTCGGCCGAGGGAAACTGGTGAGGGGAAAAGATAAGAAGAAGAGGAGAAGATGAAGAAAGATAAAAAGATGAATCAAATGCCCAAATAACGCCATCGCACGATTCCGTTCACATTGATCTTCCAGATTTTCCTTCCAAGACTTGACCAAGTCTGGTGAATCATCTAGGAATCAAAATTCAGTGCTTCAATTTGCCAATCATGAAGGGACTGACTCTGCTTGGACTGGCTTCAGTGCCATCTGCACTGGCTTTGGGCATCCCCGCCCAGCAAGTGTTGCTTCCTGGCAGCATCTCCCACAGTCTCGAGACCCTCGACCCATCTGCTCGCGAAACTTGTCCGCAAGCACCCAAAGTCGCCTCTCCCAATGACGGACTCCATTCATCTTTGAAATTCCTCAAGGATGAGGCCTTCCGTGCCCTCCAGGCTAAGCGGTTATCGCGGGCAGTGCAGGTGCCCACCACCGTTGGCGACTTCGCGACGGATCCTTATGACGAGTCATTTGAGCCAATCGTAGAGTTCCAGTCATTACTGGAAGATTTGTTCCCTCTAGTGTAAGTGTCAAGCATCAACCAGCCAATTCAGACAGAACTGTCTTGCGAAAGCAGCGAATCTAACTCGATCTTCTCTCCAGTCATGCCAAGGCAAAGGTCGAGCATATCAACAGACTCGGCCTGGTCTTCACATTGCAGGGTGCCGATACAACCCGCAAGCCCATCTTGTTCATGGCCCACCAAGATGTCGTCCCCATCGACGATCCCTCCGACTGGACGCACCCGCCCTTCGAGGGCTTTTTCGACGGTGAATGGATCTGGGGCCGCGGCTCAAGCGATTGCAAGAACGTCCTGATCGGACTCCTATCCACCATAGAGGATCTCCTCTCGCAGAAATGGCAGCCACAGCGCACTGTCTTGCTAGCCTTTGGTTTCGACGAGGAGTCACACGGTTTCTTGGGTGCTGGGTCCATTGCCGCGGCCCTCGAGGAGCGATACGGCAAAGACAGCTTCGAATTCATCCTCGATGAGGGTGGTATGGGTCTGCAGAACCTGGGTAATGATAACGACATTCTGTACGCTCTGCCTGGTGTCGGTGAGAAGGGAAGTCTCGATCTTGTCCTGGAACTCGCCGTGCCTGGTGGACACAGCTCCGTCCCACCCGCGCACACTGGCATCGGTATGATGGCCCAGATCATCTACGAACTGGAGCGACAGGAGCTCTTCTCGCCTCGTCTGGACCCATCGCACCCCTCATACGGCATGCTCGAGTGTCAAGCGCGGTATTCACCGAACTTCGTCGAACCCTGGCTCTCCGAAAAGCTGGCCGAGGGTGACGCCGAAGCCCTTGGTGAAGCCGTCGCCTCATCGCGCGGTCCAGCCGTGCGTTACACCCTCCAAACCTCCCAAGCCGCCGACCTCTTCAACGGTGGTGTCAAGACGAACGCTCTTCCAGAAAAAATCTCAGCGGTAGTCAACTACCGCGTGGCACTACACATGACACCAGATCAACTCCGCGAGCGCGCCGAACGCATCATCCGTCCCATTGCTGCTTCCCACAACATCACACTGCACATCGACTTCCCCGGCGTCGCCAACACGGCCGACGAGTTCGGTGGATCGGGCGATCGCACCCTCACTCTGTCCCCGCTCATGGAGGCCCTTAGTCCAGCACCAATCTCGCCAACTGACCCGCTCACCTCGAAGACCTGGGCACGATTCTCCGGCGTAGCTCGCAGCGTGTTCGAATCACACCCTAACCCGTTGAGCACTGCCGAGTCCGAGTCAAGCCCCACGGTCGTCGTCACCGGAGATATCATGACCGGTAACACCGACACGCGATTCTACTGGTCTCTCTCGGAGAATATCTACCGCTGGAGCCCGTCGCGCCAAGGTGGTGCTTTTAATATTCACACTGTGGATGAGCGGATTCGGTTGGATGTGCATCTGGAGGGTATTATGCTGTACTATGGTAAGTTTTTCTTCTTTTATCAGTCTAGATTCTACTTATCGCTAACGTCATTCATGTCTAGATCTCATCCGCTCCTTTGATAATTGGGACGAGGAGTCTCTGTAAAAAGTGACCATTTAAATCATTATGGCTATTGGGTCGTACTTTGTGAATATTGGTCATTGTAGATAGTTCATGGGCATCTCACTAAAATCTAGATCTGAGAACCAATGGAAATAACCACTTCGGATTGCAGGCAAGAAGCTTTGGGTCACTATCACCAGGACTAGAATCCAGTGTGGATGACGATGTATGTGCTGTGTGACTATCCGTTGTACGTAAGTGATAGCTGTAGTGTATCTATTTTGCACTGCCTCGATCATTCTCCTCATCAAAGTTTACATGACTCGCGCACGAAGCCTTGCTGCGGATTGGAAATCCGTAGCTGCGGTGAGCTTACCCGGGTTAAGCTACACCGACTCTTCCGAAGAAGGCTGTGCAAAGACTAACCCTATCGAAGTCCAAGATCCTGAAAACTTTACTCTACTTCAAGGCTAATCAAGGTAAGAAGGTGGGATAAGAGTGGAAATCTTGCAAATATTCAAGGCTGGCTGTCTAACTGATCTGATGCTCCAATGCTATCATAAAATCATGAATAATGATGGGGCCGTGGCAGCGTAACAGCGTCGCGTGTAGCGCGTAATCAAAAACGTAAAATCATAAGCAGTGCAAACCTCCCTGTGATGGATAAGAAACAAAAGAAGAAGAATAAAAGTGTAAAGGGTGTAAAAAGAAGAAAAAGCGCCAAGCCCACCAGGTCTAGTTTTGGTGATATACAAACTGAAACACGAATGTGCAGAATGTACAGATCCCTCAAACCAGTATAAACGTATGAAAGGCGACGAGGGAGTAGGACCTGTGTGAAAGATCCATCCAAAGGATATCACTGATGAGCCGCATCAAGAAGCGAATTTTTTGGGCCCAAGTTTTGGCCAGACGAAAAAAGTGTAAAAGACACAAGAAGACACAAGAAAAAGTGAATCGGCAAGCGGCTCCAAGTACCAGTGAACAATGCTTGAAGATCTGAAAGGAGATCGCAAGTAGATCGCAGAACTTGAAAGCAGAAACTCCAGAGAAAAAAATACAAACAGACGAAGAAACGTGGCACGAAAATAACAACATATGCCGATTTAAAAAAGAATATCAGACAGTGTTTTGAAAAGAAAAAAAAAATCATCAGGGAGTTGCGGGTATCATCGCAATAGTAACCGGCAAAGTAATCGTATCAGGAATGGGACGGACGCTTCTTGTCCCAGCAGGGGTTGGGATCATTGCCTCCCGAGCGGGCGAGCGAGAATATAACAAACAGCAAATGGTTCATGATATATTTGAAGACCCTGTCTGGATCCCAGACCGATACACTCGAGCGAAGATCATCGGTCGGCACTCCCGTCCAACGAGCGAGCATGTCGAGCGATGACTTCAGATCAAGGTCGAACGTGAGCTCGAGCTCCTTCTCCTCTTCCTCATAGGCTTCCAGGTCGTGGACTGAGTGCTCCTCACTGCTGAGCGTGTCATCATTCCACTTCTGGCGGAAGGGTAAGCTTAGCCCAGGCAGCTCCAGGTCTGTGCAAGACGACTTCTTGGGGCACGCAGAGAGCTCAGGGCTACAATGCGGAGATGCCAACGTAAGGTCAGTGAAGGATGATGTTCTCGAGAATGTCAAGGCAGGTGGGCTGGATGGTGGAGAAGAAAGCTGTGCGAAGTCGGTGCAAGATGAAACTCGTGAGCACGATGAGAAGATAGAATCGGTGACCGATTCCACATCCGAGTCGTAATCTGAGCTGCCTAGCTCAGCAACCTTGGCCTCATCCTCACAGGGGATGGTTTTGGTTTCAGAGCCATCCAGAGTAGCCTCAAGGGCCTTTTTGATTGCATCATGGGCCTCCTGCTTATGTTTCGCACTTGCCGATCTTGTGGCGGAAGATCGAAGTCGTAACATTTTCACGACTACCTGAATGCGTGTGCGTAGTGGGTGACCCGTGCCACGGGCTTCAGGCGCCATCTTGAAGTCTAGTTCGATCCTTCTTCCGCCTGCCATATCCATGCGACCACGGGCAAAGTATGTCCCTTGAGACTTGGTGCGGCAAGCACACTGGCACATAGAAGGATTGACTTTGGTTAAGGGAACAGGGCCGATGAATTGCCGAGTGATCATCCCCATTGCTGTAGAGGTCAGTGAATCTGTTTTATTGCGCCGAAGGACGGGGAGAGGCATTTGCTTACCACTAGCAGGAATCGAAGTCATGCCCATGAGGGACTTGCGGAGTGGTGGAGGGGAGCCTCGGAAGGGGAGGACGACAGACAAAATGTTTGAACATGTAGTCTTCTTGGGGTCGAATTTGCTCTTGGAGCCTATGATTGAGGTCTCCATCTCGAGCTCAGACATGCCACGGACTTGGACATCATGCACTGCGTTGGTCATATAGGACGAGTTGCCTCCGAAAAAGCCTTGCTGAGTGTTCATGCGAGGTCCCATACCCTGGGCTTGAGCTCGCTGTCTCAGAAGCTGCTGCTGGATCGCCGCGTAGGTGGGGCTGCCGCGAGGCACCATGGGAATGCTCGACCTAGCGCCATGAAGTCCCTGAGGGTTGTATTGGGCATGCTGGGGAAATCCCATAGGCTGGCTATTGATAGGAGAAACTCCCGACGCTCGGTTGACATTGAGGGTGCCGGCCTGCATGGATTGAGCGGCCCTCATGTTTGGACACTCATGACACCAATTTCCGGACGGTGGAGCATTACAGCATTGGAGGCAGGTGCCGAATATATGCGGGCAAGACTTGCACTTGTCTACTGGCGGTTGGGAGGATGTTTGGTCTTGTGATTTGCGCGGGTCAACTCGAGGTTTGCTGCTCTTTTTCTTGGGCAGCCCCTTTGTGACGCCGCCCGAGCCACCGCCAGAACCAGAGGCCCGTGGTTTAGATTTAGGAGGGTGTGTGGCCTTTAGGTGTGGGCCCTTTGTTCTTCCGTTAGAAGGATCGGACGCCGAGCGGTCTTGAAGCAATGGCCTTGAGTCGACATTGCTCATCTGGTTTCGGCTGGTACCAGAGGTAAAATGGTGCTGCCCTTGCCCAGTTGCATATCCAGAATGTCCATATCCTTGTTGAGACGAAGCTGGACCTGCGGCACCTGCGCCGCCGCCCAGTGTGTCGTGGTCAGGGCCATTTTTGCGCTTCTTATTGGCGCGATCATTATCATCTCGTTGAGATGAGCCAATGTTGGACGACGCTGGCTTTACGAAACAATGCTCCGCGAAACAAGCATAGAATTGTTTCCAAGTTTGGACGTTTCGCGGACAGAATTTGCACACGGACTCGCAGGGAAGAGGGACCCTTTTTTGATTGATGATGTTTCCAACAGGCACACCCCCGTGGTGCATGCGATAATGGTCCAAGATTTTATCACGGCGACGTGGGGGCTCCCGGAGCAGCGTACAATGCCCATCGTCATGATGGCAGTAGTATTCGTATTCCGGGAAGTGCTTGTCGGCGGCATGCCTCTTGATGACATGAAGTGTTGGTGTTTCCATTCCGCAGATACAACACTTGTAGTATGGCCGGGTTCTGTCAATCTCCTTTTCCTCATTGTCACCTGACTCATTGGCGAGCGGCGGAGGCGGAGGCGGCATCTCCTCGTTCCCGAGGGCATTCAGATGCGCAATGACCTGGTTCCAGACGACACCTAGGCGCTTGCTTGTCTGGAGCAGTCTTTCATGGCTCGGATTTTGGGCTAAGACCCACATGACATTCTCTTCGAGATAAGGAAGGTCCAAGGTGGTGTCAACTTCCTGACGGGGGATACCCATGCTGCCTTGCGCAGGGGCCGTCTGTGAGATGGGCTCTTGACGAACGGGAGTCGAAGATGGAGAGGCTTGATTTATAGCGTTCTCACCCCCGGAAGCTTTGAGGTTCATAGGTAGGTCCTGGGGATATTCCATGGGGTATCCCTGGCCAATCCCTCTCAACAGGAGGTCATGAGGCTGCAAGGAGTCTACCAGTGGCTGCTCTTCTTTTGGGGACTGACGCTGTGCACCTAGGTCCGTTGCACTGTACGGATCGGATATTGAGGTCGGATCCGTTTCGGAAGGAACTTGTGAGGGAGTAGTAGTCTATAATAGCGGCATTAGACATTGCTTCATGGATCATGAGGAGACTTATTGTTGAAGTCTGGGTGAGAGGAGGTGATCATCATAGGCAACCCACAGTATTTTGACCATTGGATGAATCGACGAGGTCAGCGTCGAAGGAGTATTGGCCATCGACGATGGCATCACCGAGAGCAATCCACGGACCTTCCGTTGATTCACGGATGAAGACATGGTTCCCAAACTGGAAGAAGTTTGTGTCGCTGAGGTCATCTGAGGACCCATTGGTAGCTTGATCCATGTTGATGAAAGTAGGGCAAAGCCCGACCGGAAGTACTGGCCGGGAAGGGAAAGAGCCCAATAGAGTGGAAGGAGGAAGCAAAGAAGAGGTCAGATGAGCATGGGCAGGAAGGGAGGATCAGAGTTATATACTGAGAGCCTAAGGACCCAATCCAACCCAGAGGCCAAGCGGGTTGAGGGTTATGAGGGTTAGGCTTGGCGGGTTAATGGGGTGCAAAAGGTAGAGGAAGTGACCCCGGAAGTCTGTTCGGACCAGAGGGCCCGACAGGTATACACGTACAAAAGTGTGGTGGGGAGGAAGGGGGGGAGAGAAGTATAGAGCTCAGATCGGAAACGGGGGGCAAAGCACTAAAGGTAGCTTAAACCGATCCTCGGGTTTATGCCGAAACGCCCTGAGAACCAAGGCCATAAAGGAAAGAAAGAAGAAGAAATGAATGAAAGGATGGGAAGAATGGGGGGTGGTGTGAAGAATGGCGTCAGAACTAAGGGATTATAAAGAGCCCATTATACCATAGACCAAAGACCATAGACAAGAGAGGCGGTGCATGGACTGAAAAACAAAGTGTAATTCAGCAAGCAGAGAGCGAGTTTCACGCCGGGTTTTAAGTCGGAGGAGAATGGCAATGAGACAAAATAATAGTCGCAACCATACAGTACGGGTTAAGACCGGGGTTAATTACGACGACCATCACGCAAATCAACCAGACCCGATTTTGTATGGGGGAGTGGGAGGGAGTGGCATTAGCAGAACGGAGCATGAAAAGTAATGACGATGGATTAGTATGACTGGGACACCCGCCAGTTAGCTCTGCAAGCGAGAAAAAACACCCCTCAAGCACCGTCAACCCTGCACCGCCTTGTCGAAGATTACTCGTTACAGCATTCAACCAGTGCAATTAATAATCTATAGTAGACTGGTAGTATAATAGTAGTAGCGTAGCATAATACGTACAGACTAGGGTAGTATGTACGGCGTGGAATAATCAGTAGGCTGTGCTGCCCCCTTCCAACCCGTCCACCTTCCACGGCCTGACAGCGAGCCTCGTTTACATGAAGGCCCAATCTATACGAGCCACATCAGGCCAAGAGCGGTGGAATGTTGTTATGACTGCCTGCCCCTCTATCTACCCTTCCTTTCCTCCTTTCTAGACCTGTCACCAGTCAATGACTAGTCAATGGCCTTCCCAAAGCGTCTACAGATCCGATCATCCATGATTGTCTTCCATTGACTCCGGGAGGGTATACGCAATGTGTGCCGCAATGCGTAGGATTCCCGAGCCCGAGCGCACACCCAGCTGGGTATCTCGTCAGACAAGTCGGGAAGGTCCTCCAGACGGAGAAGGTGCGATTGCGATCACTACTGTTCCCATCGGACCGACATCCATGGATAATGGGAATGATTACGGGGAAACGACTCAAATCGGGACCCCTGTTCCGACACAGATCGAGAGGGTCATGGACTGGGGCAGGGGCAGTACCACCAAGTCGGAGGGGGGATCTGATGGTGACAGGGGACCGGTGACAGGGATTGACCAAGATTGGAACTACTGGATTGGCGTGGTGATCCGCGACACGCGACGAGCAGAAAGCAAAGCGAAAGTGAGTTGTGTCTCTACCAAAGTCTACCTGGCTGGGCTCACATGCTCAGCATTATCGCTCTCCGCGCCATAATAAACCGAACGTTGCGAATGGTGGATTGACGGGAGGCCCGGAAGTTACCACACAAGCAAGGTCATTGACAGCGCATTCACTCGCTGATCCGAACAAAACTACGAGATGAATCGCTCGTGGCACCAAACTAGCCCCCTTCGCCTTATTCTGGACCCAGCCAACGGTCGATCTTCTTGTGGAGAAGGGGCCCGAGCAAAAACGCTGCTCTGTACCATCAAGGAAACAACTGCGGTCCTTGTCAACAAGCCACGAGTGCCGCCGAACGGCTCTCACATCACACTCGGCTGCGACTGCATTGGGGAAATCGCCGCGGCAGAGGAGGAGCAACCTCCCCTTCGCATCCATCGTCTCCGACGTGATGCTATTATTCGCCGACCAAGTCAGGCCAATGGTAACAGAGATTCAATGACATCAGCAGTTACGGACAACTTAACCAACTTAGCCTGCGGCTACGTCGCTCCAATTTCCACGGCAGGAAAAGTCCAGGGTCTTACAACATGGAGACATGGAGGCTGTGAACGTCCAGATCTCAATCTAGCGCCCCAATGATCTGACCATGCCCGATTCCTATCTCATCTACTGCATCTGCCGGGGACGTCTCCCCGTACCTGCACTCTTCGAGGATCTAGTGACGACCGAATCCATTGTCTATGCATACGCCCCGGTCGGCGCCCGGCTGTCCAAGCAGCATCGAACATTCGAACCTTCCACGCAACGCACTCTGTCGTAATATTCCCCTACCGGATCGGCAAGAGAGAAGCGTGGCCGGGGAACATGGGCAATGGCACGCGGGCGCATCATCCCTTACGCCAATCCAACGAGCAAGACCTTGATCGGGAAGAGTAGCGGGGCCAGGAAAAGCGGGTAGAATTCCCCGACGCCGGGAGGGGCGAGAGATAGGGCGGCGCAAAACCACTGGCCAGCACTGGCTTAAACAGGGACGAAAAGAAGGGTGCTACCAGCTGGTGCTTGCAAACGGTGAGGCGCTCTGAGTGATCAATTCCTGTAGGGCAAAAAAGTGGAGGAAGAGCGGAAAACGAAGGGCGAGGGAACCAGCCGAGTCAAAGCGAAAGTCCTGTACTAACCAACTAACTCTTCTATCTAACAGCCACCTTCTTCCCCGTAATACCCCGTTCACTGTACAGTGTACTACTCCTCCTGATCCCCAGATTTTACGAATTCACTCACCGGAGATCAAAACGGGTACAGATAGCCTCACCTCCACAAAACCCAAAAGCCATGCACGCCTGCAAAACGCCGAAACTCTCACGGTCTCACGCGGGCTCGGATGTTAAGGGCAAAATGCAAGTCGAAGAGCATGATGGATGATCAAAACCACAGGAGAGATACTCCACCTCCACAGCTCAGTCATTATTGGACTGGACTGGACGAACAAGCCAGGTAAATCAACTAAGCAGGTCCCCCGAACTGGCGGCTCCTTCGGAAGCACCAATTACAGAAGGGGCTTTGCATTGGGCGTTGGTATGTACAGTAATAGATTCCTATACATACCGTAGCTGACACGCCTACTGTACGAGGGTATTATCTCTATCCGGACTAGTGAAACGATCGGCACTGTCCAGCGTCCACGGGCCTTGGAATGTCGAAGAAGAGGCTTAAAATCAAAAGACTTGGCGGTGGCAACAACCACCTGGTAGCGGTGGGCCTATCGACGAGGTGGATTACCACTTGAAATGAGCTTCCTGCACGACTGGAGTGTTTATCGTCGTCATCAGAGTCGGCTCTCTCGGGCACAGGCCTGACGCAGGAAAAAGGGGGAGGGGCATTACTACACGCGTGGTTGGGTATTGGGAAGGCAGCGGAATGCGTGGAAATCTCTGCATGTACGAGCGAAAACAATCTTTTTAGACAAAGGATTAGTTGTGAGGAAATTTGTTTTTATCTCCATGGTTTTCATTTTCGCCGCACTTATTTTTGGCTTCTGGGGAGGGGCGGGGTCAGCTAAGGACAGTACAGTAGTCTTTTTTTTTTCTCGGCTGTGGGGAAGACAGAGAAAAAAAAAGAGTGACATACAAGAAGAAGCCGAAAAAGCAATTTCTTAGAGACAGGAAAAAGTCTAAGAAGAAAATTTAACTTAAAAAAGAGAGACAAGGAAAAGAAAATCAGAGAGAAAAAAAGAGATTTATACCGTAGCCGAGCTTCCTCAACTTTTCCATTTGGAATCTTTCGATTTGTATATCAAAGTAGAACGAAGTATAACAAAGTTCCACTATCAATTTGTGACCCACTGGAACCATCCTTTTGAACCGTAGATCGCCCACGATCGTACCTCCCGTTCCCTATCTTCGGTACACCGACCCCAACATATGCCATGCGAAATGCAGGAAGAATGGAAATCGGACTGCACAGTACAGTATCCATTCTTCTGGAAAAAGAGAACATCGAGAAATTCAAGATTGCGATTACGAAACACAGAACAGACAGGCGAGAATAATCAGAAAAGTAAAATGAAAGATAGCAGATCCTCATCATCAGCTGGACAAACTACGTACGTAGTATGACCAACGAGGAACATTTACGTACCTACCCAACCACCCAACTTACACCGTCCCTCCATACGTCCCTCCCTCCCTATCGAGAAACCAAACGGTGAGAATCCGATTCCGAGGGCCCCAGCCCTCAGATCCAATCCTTTCCCTCCTCCTCTGACACTGACACTTTTTCGCCTCCCATTAAACCCGAATAATTCCTAAACAAATCTGTTACGCAGCGAACTCAAGAACCCACCCACCATCTGCAAAAGCATAGTGCGCATTGCTGCATTGCTAGCTGCATGCTCTTCGAATAAGGAAAATAGTCACTCATTGGCTCGTCTGTACGAAGGACCCCTGGCAGACTGAAGGTGACCGGCCCCTCCCAACCACGCGAGAAAAAATTCTAAAAGTAATAAAATAAAACTAATATAATATAATATTGCTGATATAATGATATGATGATATTATGATATGACATCCGGATTTCTTGATATTCGGGAGCCTGAAAACCCTGCAGTGTCAGCTGAGACGACGCCGATGGGGCCGAAATGTTGGACTGTAAATGGAAAGGAAAATTAGCCAGAGAGAGATCAAGAGCGAGAATGGTTGTTGGTGATTGGGGAGGAGGAGGCAGGTGGGGGTCTTTTTTCGGCTCTGCTCTTGGCTGGGCAAAAGCCAAGACTACTCGGTTAGTACTATGTCCATACGTACTGCGCTGCTTGTGTCTTTCTTTGTCTTTTGTCTTTGAGGAATGATTATGGCTGGGACTGCATAATAATGGTATTCTCTTTTTTCCAGAATTCCGTACTCCGTACTTCGTAGCGTTGGTCCCTACTACGTCAAGCTGTGGCTTGTTTTTTTTCCTTCCCAATATCCGATTCCAAGGATCAAAAAGAATTTTCCCACCACACTTGCTGGTGGCACGCATTGAGGTCTTTTTTTGGAGTCATATCATGCATAGTGGTAGATAAACAGGCTCTCCAGCTTTCTGCCTTGCTGCAAATTAATTTGATTTATTTTTTGATTGAGAAATTTTTCCCCTCTCCCAATCTTTTTGGTTTAATAGTCTCGGTTCCTTTTCGGCATGTTATTGGGTCTGATCTCGACAGAGATTTTACGACTGATGAGTTTGGGGGTCTGAGCGTGCGTGGATAGCGTGAAAGGGCAGTGGACAAATAGGCAAGTAGAAAAATGAGCAACCGGGAAATGAACAATCTCTTCTCATCTTCCCTGGCTCTCTCGTGGTCGATGGTCGATGGCCGCGTTCAGATGGCTAAGTGGCTGTAGAGCCGCATCAGAGAAACAAGGATTTCCATGTCTCGGATCATTTCAATAGTTTGATTTAGTAAAGTCAAGGAAATTGCATAATCTTAGGAAACTCTGTACTGATGATTGTAATTGCAAGTGCATGAGTCACGGTGTATGTTGTATCTCTATGTAGTGGTTTTGTGAAATAATACAACAAAGAATAAAGGTAAAAACACAAAGGGGTAGAAAGACAGAATCACAAAAGACAAACAAACAAAGAACAAAGAAAGCACATGTCGAAACTCCCCAGACCCACTGGGGTCCCCCAAGTCTCCAACTCCAGCTTGTCTCGAAACTCCATTTCGGCGGGGCGGTCTCTGCCAGCCAAAAGCCCCACCGACGGCCGCCACTTTTGGTGTATGCTTTGTGTAGATGAAGACGAAGATCCCAAGAACACCAATCCCAGTTCCCGTTTCCCAGTTCCCAACCAAAAAGCAAAAGGAGTGTCCTAAAGCCACAATCCAAAATCGAACTCCCCAGAACCCCAAGTCCGACCTTTCTGGTAACCCCTCGTACGCCCGTATTGCCCCCATCACATCATAACCGTTCCTGACAGAGACAAAGCTCGTCCTGTCAGGACAATTGAGCACCTGCAAGGCAGGTGTAGGATGTGTTCAGTAGCCGTAGCTACTGGGGGTTGGAGGCACGGAGGGGGCTCCATGGCTGGGCCGCCTCCGGTTCGTTCAAATAGGCGATGATGGAGGAGGAGGAAGAGGAGGAGCCATCGGCCGGGAGATGGCCTGGAAGGAGATCTGCACGCAGAGGGTGGTCATTGGGGAGCTCGAGCTCGAGGTCAGCTCCCTTGATGTTGATCGCCGGGAACTGCCCGCCGATGTAGCTGAAATCCTGTTCACTGAGAAAAAGAGTAGTGTCAGCGGGTTGGTAAGGGAAATGGAGGCAGAGAGAGATGTGGCGGTACGAGATCCATAGCTTTTTGGAGATGGAGGTGGGTATGAAGGTAGGGAGGAGAGGTAGGGTAGACAAGATTGGGCAAAAAAGTGAAGGGAGCGAAGGTAATTGTTGGGGTTGACGGTAGAAGTGAATCAGGAACGACGACGGTGATAGTCCATGATAACACGGCTAGAACCGGACCATGGTTGGACAATGCGGGCTTCCCGCTTGGTACCACATGAAGCACGAGGTAGCTTACTTGGGAGTGTTCATCTTGGAGATAGGCACGACGCTGGCAATGTATAGGAAGGTACAGAAGGGCAGTCTACACAATGATCAGTAGCAAGACTGAACAAGAGATCAAGTGGATATAGTCACCAATGGCTTCAACTCGGGAGGGACCTTGCATACAGTGGACTTCCGAAGTCAAAAAGAGGATGTGGTGGTAAAGTACCTCCTCGTCGACCTGCGCCAGCGAGAATCTTTATAAATCCTCGCGGATACATCATGTCAAGTCCATCGTAGGCTCCAAGGTGTACCCGGGTTAGGTATGAGAGTCGGCGACGGTGGCCACCTCAAAACCGGAGAGGGTTCGTTGATCATCACAGATCCCCATTGGGGAGGGTTGGGTGCATGAAATATCCATCGCTGCGCCTTTTCTTCTGGAAGCACCCCAAACCCCGGTTAGGGTAAGGCGGGTTTAGGATAATCGAAAATTAAAAAAATAAGAAAAAAAATAGCAATAATTAAGATATAATATCGAGGCAAATGAATGAAAGCAAAATGTCGGTGATGGAGAGAGCAGAAAGGAGGAGGAAAAGGGACCAACTGGCAGACGCCAGCTTAAGTGTGCGGGTATACTGGCGACTGGCTACCCCTCATCTGCAGGGACAGAACGACAGGACAAAAAAGGCTAGTGCGAACACACTGAACAGTACAGCTGTTCTGGAGAATACACCGAAAACTCCCGAATTAAATACAGCAAAAAAGAGGGAGGAAAAAAGAAAGAAAGTAGGGAAATCTGAATGATCTCGAGATTCTCTAATCGTCCCCACTGTTTCCTATAGTTCGAGTTCCACGGCTCCCCAGTCTATGGTTCACTTTGTTTTAACCTCACCAACCTCGGCTACCAACATGGAAAATTAAAAAGTTCTATGCATTATCTCGCAGTGATTGTTGCCTCGATCGACCAGACATGGTGTCAACATTCCGGTCTGGCCCAAAGATCGGTATACGGCCGGCATCATGGTGTACAAGGTACATTGAATGTCTGAGGGGATGACAGCCGGGCGATCTACACGCCATCATAATTAGCGTTCAAAAAGAGTTCATACTAGAATCTTGCTTCAAGCTTCCAATCTTGTCTCGGTACTTCAGTGGCATAATATTCAATAATATAAAACCAGTAATTATCAATGCCGTGGTTTCTTGTCATTTACGATCGTGAATGGCAAAAGGTATCGGCAATATTAGCCTCATTACCCCTCTCACTAAGCCTAATTTGGGCGGCTGCTGCCTGTTCAGTCAGGAAACAAATCAACTGCGCCACGGCGAGTGGCTCGGGTTCGCATATCCTGGGAGGATGACTTCATCATCTCGTAGAACGGGTCAATTTGACTAGGTGTGATAGCCTAAGAGAACACCCTGAGAACCCTTTTCACCTATCTCCCCATCCGACCCATCATCGTCATCACTGCCATGGGTGAAATCAGCAACCCTCAACCTGGGCAATTACCCAGGCGGATTGTTGTCCCTGTCCACCCTCCCAACGCCGTGCACCGAGCTCAGGGTGGATGTCGAACCCAAGCCCGGATCCCCTCCGAAAAACCCCCCCGAAAAAAAAGTAAGCCCTTGCTTTGAATTCCTTGAATTGAGTGCGCGGACACCTAGAACGAGAAGCATCCCAACAAAATTCTATAGATAGGCTAATCCCACCAACCAGTGCCATCACAGATGTGAAACACGGAGGTGCCTCGGCTGGTTTCTATCCATGGATGCCGGGAGAGCTTGAGTCACCATTTACTCCGTAGTCCGTACGGTACAGAGACAGGCAATCACGACTGTCCACGTCAATACAGTCTGGATTGAAATCCCAAGACCCACGGCTTGGGGATCGACCCAAGGAATCGCGCCTATTCTCTGCGCTAGTTTCCAGGGGAAATGAGAAGGGGCATATGGTCGATCACCAGATTGGCAGATGCAGAGTCGATTGCAGAAGTCAACTCCATCTTGTTGCAAGGATGCTCTACATGATGAACAGCCGGAGAGAAGTGGGTGCCTGGCTCCAAAAGAACGAACCATGCCAGATATGGTAATAGGTAACTAGACTTTCATTAGTAGATGTTGCGTCTGTGCCAAGGGCGGAGTCTTGAGTGGTATGAACCATTGCAGTTGTCTCCACTGGCTCTCCACTGGACCATTGGCAGGGACGTCATGTATGTACTATGTACGGAGTACGGTACCTGAGATGGAAGTCTTCAAATTTTCTTTCCCATGATTCCAGAATAGCCTTTTTTCCTTTATTTTTTGGTCTCACCCAGCCAAAGCTCAACAAATAATTATCGAGTAAAAGAAACTCGCGGGCTGGGAAACGGTGGCCCTGTTTTGGGTTAGACCCTAAGACGCCAGAGGCTCAAACGTCTTACTCAGCACCATGTGCGAGGCCCGAGTCGTGTGCTGGATGACGATTCGCTCGTGGGCCGGGATTCTGGAAAGGCAACGAAGAGGAGTGAAACAAAAGACGCCGATGTCAGAATTGAGTTCAGTCAGCTAGACTTGTCCAATTCATGTAGTTATATGACGATTCTGCCCCAATATTTGTGCCCAAGGCTCTGTGGCAGTGCCTGTCATTTGTACAACCCGTGTATGTGGCGCAGTGTAGGTGGCTGAGGCCAACATCCGTAGGTTACACAAAAGTCCAACAAACAACCGCTGGTATACACATCCTCGTATCCGTTAATCCTCAACAAACTGAGCATCTCCTAATTCTCAGACATCACCAGTCATTATCACGTAGCCTTCAACCCGACTCACAATAAAACCTCCCAATCAGCATCACTGACGTAAAATCCCGCATCGGTGTAACCAATAGGTCGCAGGAGATATATCTTTGCTTTTTCATCGCTTGGCCGAACCTACTACCTCCCACTCAACCCAATACCGGGCATGGGGCACACTAGCCACTGCCCGATTCCGCCTATAGCCATCATAGGACGTACCTTACTCGAGCTGTACTGTACTCTGATTATTCTAGAAAAGAAGCCTTGACCACCCATTCCCCTCGTACCTCCCAAAGCCCGCAAAAACGCCTACAGAACTTAAACAGTTGCCAATTCAGCCTTACAGCTTACAGCTTACGGACGGATGGATGGCGCCGCAACCCATGCTGCTGTATCATCCACAACCTGCTTCGAAAAACCTTAGGTACTGGTGAATGTGTAGCATAAGGTTGCCCGCGGGAAACCATTCTGCCTATCAGGGCATCGGCCGAATCTTCCTCCTACCGGATGGAGGTTGAGGACTCGAGTGATGTCGAGTCAAGGGCAGAGCGCTGGCGTCGGCGATTTTTCTGAAGCGAAATATCCGTGCAGAATAACCTTCGCATGGAGGTCCAATACGGGCGATCACTGGAGCTTGGGAGTCCCGTCTTATCGTTGATACCGGTACTAACTACTGTAGGTAGTACCTATGTACTTGGGCAAGTTACTGATTGGTAGATGGCTTCGGCTGGGGTAGACCTTCGGCTGCTGCTAACGGTTCGCGAGGTTTACTACAAGGGGAATTTCTCTGGAATGCTGCGAGTGTACTTGAGACACACTGTGTCGCAGACTCGTGGTCAGACGGGCTCGCTCGGCTACGGACTTTGCACCTGCCACTCCGGCTCCTATCTCAAGCCGATCCTGACTTGGAGAGTCAGGATTTCCGATTTTTTCGTTGGAATGCTCGGAAATTAATGTGCAGATTACAAATTATGGAGACAATCCATGGATGTCGAGCCAGGTTCGTCAGGGATATTGTGGGTGACGACCCTAATCCTTGCAAGTTGCCTCAATCTACAGTAGCAAGTTGCCTCCTCCCCAACCAATTAGGTAGTACCCACGCGAAACCTGACATACTCTGGTTTGACTGTTGTGGCATACTTCTTCATCCTCGTCTGTAACATTAGCGGCAAATCTGAGAGGCTTAGTCTAGGTCCTTCTCCACAGGGCAGGCGATGCGAGTGCGATGCGTTGGTGATCCATTCGGCGACTGCCCAATGGAATACTCCGTAGTCCGGTAGTCGAGACCCTGTGTTCGTTCAATCAATATACGACGGGTATACGAAATAACCTGACTCCGAGAGCAATTTCCGCTGGACACGCGCTCATCCAACCGGCACCCCCGTCTCTTCCGGATGGGTAGCGTACTCCGTATATTCCGTATCCGTAGCAAGGGAGCATTTACAATCACAATGCCCGGGATCAATGACCCAGGTCACGATGCTCGGACCTCCGTCGTTTACCCTGAACATGGAGGATGGAGGATGGAGGATGGAGTCCCGGGCTCTTTGTGGCCCAACCTGCCAGGGTAGGTAGGGTCATACACAGTCCAGTCTGTCCGTAGTCCGAGGTGCCTCACGAGGGTTTTCTTTTCGTGGCGCATTTGCCGATCAGGCAGGCAAGTCGGTCGTTGACCGCAGTAAGCTCCCAAGGCAGTTTGCGACTGCCGTGAACTCATTTGTACCTATACTCCGATACTCCGGAATGCGAGGGGACTGCAGGATAGTGGCTGAGCCCGCTACTTCCAAACCAAGGGGGCTTCGATTGGAAGGCCTGAGAGGTTCATGACAGGTGGATCATGTGTCTGGTTGAATTAGCTTGCTGTCGAAAGCTCTTTCTGGGCGTTTTCAGGACGGTTTACGGAGTAGTTTTCGATAGATGGATGTGGAATGGAGCGGATCACCCTCGTTCTAGACCGCTGCTTTGCGATGCTTTCTTTCTTGCATTAATTGCTTGCTGCTATCGTCCTGGTGCCGCCGCCTTCGTTGCGCTGGCTGGAGATCTGGCGGTGGCGGTCTGGCTAATCATACGGTGCCATTTGAGGCGTATCTCGAGTCTAGACCGCTAGATTCTCTTATGTGAACTGGGGTGCATTTGACGTGGACGGTACTAGCGTAGGGGTAAATGAGCTAAAGATGAAGTCAGGCGCATCGGTCGGATGAGGTTATCGGGGGAACCATGTGAACGTCAAAATACGATCGTCGATCATGTTCCCGGCGATGGCCAGAACGTTCCAGAGCGATTTACCCATGTCAGGTCCAGGTCGAAGGATCGCAAGTCTAGAAATCAGAACTACAAACTACAATCCAGACGAAAACTAGCCAGGCCCAGGCCTGGCTAGCCAGCAGACTAGCAAGAGCTGTGCTGGCGCAGTTCATCTCGTGCTGGCGACCGACTCCAAACCGATTCTCGACCAAACCCTGCCGGACCAGCCCACCAAACTAGGAAGAATATCATGAACTCGGGAAATTTTTGATTTTGTTTCATTCAGGGGAATCTATGCAGAGGCTCGAGATTGTGCCAGGGCAATCGGAAACCCTTCACGCGTCGTCTCATGCAGCCAGAACGGTCCGCCTTGCCATCCCACAACATGAGAGAGATGGACAAGACAGCCAGAGTAAAAACCCAGTTTTGTAAAAAGAACAACACCAAACAACCTCGCGCACCGAAACCCAGTAAGACCCTAATCGACGGAAGAGCCGCTTAGATGTTGGTGTCGTAGGCAATGGGAACGACGGTCTCGGGGGCGTTGCCGGCGGCGGAGACGGTGTGGCCGGAACGGGGGCCAAGGGCCTGGCGCTTCAGGTGGACGTGGACACCCTTCTCCTTGGCCTCACGCTTCTTGATGGCGTTCTCCTTGACACGGTTGATGAACTCCTCACGGGAGCGGGAGTGCTGGACGTGCTCGATGCGGACGTTGATGCGCTTCTCGAGGTAGCGGTTGTTGACACGCTTGTAGAGGAGGACACCGACGGAGGACTTGGTGACGTTGTAGACGACACCGGTCTTACCGTGGTAGACCTTGTGGGGCATACTATTGAAGAGAGAGACGTTCAGTCAATGTTTCTGGCCGGGTTTTTCATGTCATTTCGCAAGATTGATGATGAGAGGCGATTGCCAGAGGAGAATAAAGGTGTGGATATTCTGCGTGTAAATTTTGCAAGGAAAATTCGGATTGTACTGACCCCTTCTGGACGGCACCGTTAACCTTCAAGTCGACAATGTCACCAACACTGTAAGAAAAAATTCGTCAGTCCCCCAATTTCTTATAATTCGTTCCGATATTTCGTCATTGGCAAGGTTTCCATCATACCGGTAGGTCTTCATGTAGGTAGACAGACGGATCATACCGTGCTCCTTGAAGGAGCGGCTGAAGGCATACTATTATTCCATCTCGTCAGTATGCTTGTCTTTCTCTCTCTCTCCGCTGTCCAGCTCTCCTTGTCCACCACCAAACTTGTCGGGCGAAAGGTTCGAGCGACGGGGAATTCGAAGAGCGAGGGAATCGTAGACGTACCCGAGTGCCGGCGCGCAGACCGTACGAGTGAGGCATGACGGCGGTGTTGTGGTTTGGGCGGTGTTGAGAATTGTCGACGACGGCTATCTTCAAGAGCGGGAAGTTCGATGGGCGGAGATTGTGGCCTCCCGAATCGACGCTCACGTAATCTAGGGCGAGCCCTACCCCACCACTTTGGGACTAGTGCGTCTTAGGCGAAAATTATCCCATGTGGAATTTGGACAACTTCAGTGTGCTTCTCCTCAAGTGACCCTTCGACAATCCCGCCAACCCAGGACACCCAGCAGCCATGGCTCCCGCTCCGTGAGTGATGAACGACCTCAATTCATGAAATCGCGTTATTCTAATCTATCTCTTTCACAGCCGTGTCTACACCAAGACCTACAAGGTCCCCCGTCGCCCCTTCGAGTCTGCCCGCCTGTTAGTTGTACTCTCCGGCCACTGATTAGAAGCGTGCTTCTAGTCATGTCGTGTGTTCCATATTAATTCACTGTTCATAGTGACTCGGAGCTGAAGATTGTCGGCGAGTACGGTCTGCGTAACAAGCGTGAGGTCTGGCGTGTTATGCTTACTCTGTCCAAGATTCGTCGTGCTGCTCGGTATGTGGATCAAGAAAATTCCAGATTGAAGGATTGCGAACTTGGCGCATCGAGACTCAGTCCTTAGGATGATGAAAAACAACGCTAACATTTGTCTTCCCTGTTTCTTCATAGTGAACTCCTCACTCTCGACGAGAAGGACCCCAAGCGTCTGTTCGAGGGTAATGCCTTGATTCGCCGTCTCGTGCGCATCGGTGTGCTCGATGAGTCCCGCATGAAGCTCGATTACGTCCTTGCCCTCAAGGTCGAGGACTTCCTGGAGCGCCGTCTCCAGACCTGCGTGTACAAGCTTGGCCTCGCCAAGTCCATCCACCACGCCCGTGTCCTCATCAAGCAGCGCCACATCCGCGTCGGCAAGCAGATTGTCAACGTTCCTTCCTTCATGGTCCGCCTTGACTCCCAGAAGCACATCGACTTCGCTCTTACCTCGCCCTTCGGTGGCGGCCGCCCCGGCCGTGTTCGCCGCAAGAAGGCCGCTGCCGCCGCCGGTGGTGACGCCGAGGAGGAGGAGGATGAGGAGTAAATTACTCGCAATTACAAAAGTCAAATGGGAGTACGGTCGGGTTTCGCTTTGGGCAGCTCAAACACTCTGGGAGGTTCATGGTGACTGCAGCATAAAGCGTTTCATGTTGTATGATCATGCAAAACAAAATGAATCTATCAAACAGCCACAATGGCTTCAATTCGAATCCCGAATCTTGTGCATCTCGTATCATCTCTTAAAGCTGGTCCTCGGACGTTAAATTATGTGCAAATTAATAATGTGAATCCTTAACACCGTTTAAAGCCCCACTCCCCACGGCTCATATCGCCTGTCATGTAAATCATAACCAAACGCCATCGCGCTAGCATGCAGCTTGCGCCTTATCCCTAAACGCCTACCATCTCTTTCAATGTCTCCTCCGCGCCTCTGTACCAGCGGCCCATTTCCTCAAGCCCATCACTCTCTCCCTGCTGCTTCTTGCGCTGGGCCTCGCGCGCCTGTGTAACAGCCTCAATCTTCCGTCGCTCCAGAACTGTGCACTCCCGCTCAATGGCCTCGGCTTCCCGAGTCTTTCGCGGAAGCGTGTTCTGCACAGCAGCAATTTGTCGGTTCAATGCGGCCAACTCTGCCTCTCGTTCCGATAGCAGCGCCATGGTGGCTGGGAGTGGTAGGTTCTGGGAGGACCGAAGATCCGAGGATGTCATACCGGCAACCTGCTTCGCGCGCAGACCCGCGATGGTGGACTCGAGGTTCTCGATCGAGTCGGGGAGAGTTGAGAGCTGTGTCATTTGAACCTCGACATTCTTGTATCCTGTCATAGATGCGATTGACATGAGCCAGAGCCGTGAACATCATAGCTAGATAGAGCCAACTTACGGCGCGCCAGTTCTCGGCCCATTGTCTCCATTTCCTCGATCATGAGACGGGCTTCTTCCTTTCGCGATTTGAGCTCGGCTTTCACCTCTGCTAGCTGGGTCTCCAATTCGACATTTTCATTGTGTCCGACCACAAGGGGTGGGTCGCCCACGATTGCGCGCAAGAATTTTTCTTTAGTGACTTGTTCGAGGTAAGAGAATCGTAGTTTGGAGAAGAGTTCCTATACCGCGAAGGGGGTTAGCCAATGTAAACGCGTCATACGGTTCTAGTCACGGGTTCTTCCATACCTTGTAGTGTGAAAGGTCGGCCTCGAGTGAGGCAGGTGTTGGATCGTTCAAATTGGATATAGAAACATCGGAGCCGCGCTTCGAAGGAGAGGGATTGGACCCGCCGACATCAGAAATGGGCTCGCTGATTCGGATGATCGCGAGCTGCTTCTTCAAGTCACCCTGCTCTTGCTCCAGCTTCTGGAGCACAGCAGCTGGGTCAGCCATGTCGGCCATTGCAGGCAGTCAATTTCAGTCGGGCGCAGCTATTCGAGGGGTTCAATAGATTGGTAACGAGACAGAGGGGAAACAGTGCGCGACTGCCGCATTGAGGCGTGGATCGGTAAATACTATCGCGACCCGATAACAGCGGGGGCAAAGGCGGTGAAGCAAGATGGCCGCAATTTTGGCTAGAGCGACGATAGACACGCCTTCCCTTTTCTGTTACTTCCGGCGCGGAGAGAGAGTTTTCTGGAGTTTCTTCGGCATGGCGTAGAATTTTCCAATTTCTCCTTTCTCATCTCTTCCACCACCCGTCAGATCCCTTCAGATCCGTCCAGCCTCGTGAAGAATGGACGACAACATGGACGACGAGTACGTTGCGGAGCTCCTCACTCGTGAGGCACGCGAGAGCTCTCAGAGATATCAAACAACCGGTTCATATATGTCGCGAAGGTATGCCCTTTCCCCGCTTTATCAATTGCTATAATGCGGGTCCAAACTGACCTCATTTCACTTCCAGACCTGCCGGCAATGCTCCCAAACCAAACACCCGATTTCTGCGACATCTGATTAAAGAAACAGATAGTCATAACACAGCTCTCAAGCGCAAGGAGGAGAGAGATGCGAAGGATCGCCTACGCCATCTGAGGGCTCGCCCTAAAGATGACCTGTCATCAGACCATTCTCGCCCCACCCGGAGAGACGACCATCGATCCAGTTCGCCGGGCCTGGCAAGAAGCCGTCGTGAGGAGGGCCGAGATCGTCAACAACGAGACGAACGTGAGAGTCCTCATCCTCAGCGGAGACACCGTCCTCGAGACTCGGCTACTGAGAGAGATCGGTCACGGCGCCATCGCCACCGAGACGACTCTCGAGACCGATCCTCGAGAGATCACCGAGACCGAGACCAGCGGGACCACCGAGACAAGCCGAGTCGTTCAGACCGCCATGAGCCTACCAGGAAACGTCATTCACGCCGTGAGACGTCTCGTTCACGCTCCCGTAGTCGATCGCCCCGGCGGGCACGGAGCTCGGAACGCCATCGCAGCCGCAAGCACCGCCGATCAGAGTCCCCGTCAGACAAGCGGTCGTCCCATTCACGGCGAAGCCGAACAGAACACCGGTCTGGGCATTCCCCATCTGAAAAGCCTCCCATTCCTCGTGACTCCCATTCCGACTCGACTCGGACTGCACCCAACCCTCGAGAACAAAGACAAGAGTCCGCGTCAGCCGCCGCCGCGGCTTACACAACTCTACGACGCGATGACTTGGATCATGATTCGGATCCTCTGGAAGATCTCGTTGGTCCGTTACCTCCGCAAAGTCATGATGAGGGCGCTGGCCCTATTCGTTCACGTGGCCGGGGCGCATACAAGCCCCGCGCCAGCAACATCGATGCCCATTTTGCCCCGAAATACGATCCTACAGAGGATCTTCCATCGGATGATGACCAGGCTTCGTCTCTAAACAAGCCTTCCCGCCGACCCGTTGCGGGTCTAATGACCGCCGATGATGATTGGGACATGGCTCTCGAGGCGTTGCGCGACCGACAGCGCTGGAAGGCAAAAGGGGAAGAAAGGCTACGTGCTGCGGGCATGAACGAGGAAACGATTGATCGGTGGAAGCACAACGCTGCATTCACGGGGGCAGACAGCACTGAGGGGAATCCGGAGAATGTGCGGTGGGCGAAGAAAGGTGAAGGACGAGAGTGGGATCGTGGAAAGGTGATTGATGAAGATGGGCATGTTGATGTCCGAGCTGCGTGGTGATTTGTACATTGTACGCATATGTTTTTACTGAGCGTTGCATAGCTTTTGGCGTCTTCGTATTTTGGCTCTACTTGATTACCTTGATACCATGGGATCACATTTTCATTTGGCGCATGGGGGTACATGGACCTTGGCGGGATCGGGTTTTCAAAAGTGTACTCATCCACACTTCTAGCCATTGAATTTATTCTACTGATTGACCAGCACATCTTCCCATGTCAACCTTGAATTAGGAGTGACATAATGACATATAGGTGGAGTGCGGAGTGCGGAATGGCCCCGAACCGCCGGATGGTGATTCCTCAGCTAAATTGACGAGATCAGTCATCCCCCCCAATTTGCTTAGGGATCAAAATGGCATAACCAGTCATTGAAATTCCCGGGGCCAACTGATTGATAAGGATTTTATGGGCCTCCTCCCTCTTTAAATCGGCAAGACAGCCTGTCCGACTGTACAGTAGATCCTTTCCCCTCACCCTACAGTGCAGCATAATTCTTCTCGTCAATCAACTCCGTTCCGCACCACATCTACGATATCCCTCCATCCAATAACTGCAACACTCGACAGAACTATCCAACGATGACAGACCAATTTGCCTATTCTTATCCTTCTCCGCTGGAGGGGTATGAGAACCTCGAGCCGCTATCTGAGTAAGTGTCACGCGAGCTGTCTTCAAGGCAGAATCCTCGACTTAGGTAGCATTGCTAACCATCCGGCTATCACAGAGAGCGCAATGACGATGGCAAGTCCTTCAAGAACCCGGAACACGGTATTCTCAGCAAAGCCTACGAGGAGTTCCCCGATCCACTGTGCAAGGGCCGTCGCGGTGGCTTCGATATTCATATCTACCATTTCCAGGTTAGACAGAGCTCCTCGACCAGTTTGATGTGACTTTCGTTCGACTAACACCCACCCAGACCAATCCCGACCAGGTCGCATACGCTAAAGCCTTGTGGGAGCGTATCCGGCGTGAATGTAAGTATCACATCTCCAACCCACCTAGTTTCATTTCCACCCTCCCTCCCTTCCCTCCAACAAGTCCAATATCTAACTTTGCACCTTAATCCAGTCCCCGAACTCCGCATATACGCCTTCTTCGACAAACCCATCGGCCCACACCCGGTCGCCATGTTCGAAGTCAACCTCTTCACGCCCGCGCAATTCGGCGCCTTCATCCCCTGGCTGGTGATTAATCGGGGCCCGTTGAGTGCATTGGTGCATCCGAATACGGTGGATGATGAGGAGGAGGAGCGGAATCATACGCAGCGCGCGACGTGGTTGGGGGAAAGGATTCCGTTGGATTTGAGGGTTTTTAAGTTGATGAAGGAGAGGCAGAAGAGGCAGGAGGAGGAGAGGGAGAAGCTGGTGAAGGCAGAGGCCAAGGAGGGGAGGTTGTGAGGGATTGCCGGTAGGGTTAGTTGGTCATTTGTGGTGTTTGAGGGCAATTCATGAGCGTTTTTTGAAGTTTTCTGATGAGGGTTGAATAGGTGAAGATGGTAGAAGTAGAGAGATTGTAGATTGTACAGTAGAGGGGAACCTGTCGAGTTGTTCGATGGCAGGGGCTGTTATCAGGGTGGGTTATCATTGGTGGGTGACAACTGCAGACGATCAACGGTAATCGAGTTCAGTCCCTGGGTGGAATACATGCAATTAACTTCTTGTCAATCATATCAGAGAATTTATAATCATAAATATTGAATAATAACTTGCCCTCCACCCCCAGACCGAAGTCTCTCTCCCCCTCGGATGACCTCGTCAGGAGCACCACATCACCAGGCCACACAGAAACCTACCCTCCTCAAACTAAATCCTAACACTAACCAAATCACACCAATCAAATCAGCCATCCACGAATCGTGCATCATACATGCAGACTGTAGCTCATGCAGATAATTAGATCTCCCCCTCTCCACCGAATCATCAGCTCTAACGCCACCTGGTCTTGTCCCTGACGCCCCAGCGATCATTTACATTTACATTCCAGGTTCCATCCCTTCTTTCCCGTGGACATGGATATACACCGGCGATGTTACCCTCTCGAGTCTTTTGCTCCTGCAGGTTCGGATGCGCCGTGACTTTTTATCCTGGTTGGAGTTAGACTTGCGGATATTGTTAGCTTGGGTGCTTGGCTTTGAGAGTGGGTGTGATGTGATTTATGGCCTATCTGAGAGCGAGTTCTTAAAGGGATGGTGTTCGGCTGGGAGCATCGTGTTTTTCTCTTGACTGTCTCATTTGTTCTGAGGTACTACTCTGTCTTGGTCAGTCCCTGTAACCTGCAGTGCAGGTTCTCATGGTGAACGTGCACTATGTCCCCGTCTTGTGATTGTATCAGGCTAATCGAAGTATAGATAAAGACTTGACTGGGATAGCCTGCCCAGCTGAAAAGTCTTTAAACATGATCTGAAAAGGGATCTTTTCACAGCCCTACTGTACTACGTCCCCACAGATCGATCGTTGAACCATGCGTGGTTTGATATCATACATAGCGGCTCTAGGCCCGCTAGCAACCCCTCTAATCCAAGCCACAGCAACCATCCCATCCTATGTCTACGACTACGGTATGTATCAAAACAAGAATTCATCTCCCCTCAAATCCACTCTAACCTCCACCAGCCCCTCTAGTCTGGCTACACAGCCAAGACGCATATCGACCAGGCGATATCCAAGCACAGCTAGACCATACCACGCCCCAGGTCAACTGGACCGCCATCCAGGGCGCACCATCCCCATTAACACTGAACAACCTCGACCAGCTTAATAATTTGGGAAATACCAGTGTATACTTGACTTCCCATGAGGGCATCGCGGCTGACCCTGAACCAGCTTGGTTCCGGGGTATCACGCCCGATGCACAGGGACGAATTGGGGATGCGACTGGGTGTGCGATTATTGTTGTTGATCATGGGAAGGGGAGTGTTGATGCGTTTTACTTTTATTTTTATCCGTGAGTTGGGTCTATTTTGATACTGCGCGGAGTGTCTGCTGGACTTTGAGGGGCTGGACTAATGGGGGTTTCTAGGTATAACAAGGGTGATAAGGTACTAGGTATGGAGTTTGGTGATCATATCGGTGATTGGTACGTCTATCCTTGAATTGCAATGCAATATGTACTGGCCAATTATTCTGATCAAACTGACTGATTGACTAGGGAACACAACATGATTCGCTTCGCCAACGGCACCCCAGAAGCTATATGGTTCAGCCAACACGCCAGTGGCCAGGCCTTTACCTACAACGCCCTCGAAAAGAAAGGCAAACGACCCATCGCCTACTCCGGAAATGGGACACACGCCAACTACGCCGTCAAAGGGTTCGTCAATCTCCCACTCGCTCTCTTTTTCCACAGTCTCTCCTAAACTAACCCCCCTCTACAAAATAGCCAACATGACCACACAATCCCCGGCCTAAACCTCCCCACCGGCTTCCTCCTCGACTACACAGACCGCGGTATCCTCTGGGATCCAACGCTCAACGCCTACGCCTACGCCTACGATCCCAGCACGGGCGTTTTCACTCCGTCGACCGCGGACGTCCCCGCCGCCTGGTTGGAGTTTAATGGTCGATGGGGCGATGACCAACCACCAGGCGAACCGTCGATTTTCGGGGAGGCCAAGTATGTGGCTGGTCCGGATGGGCCGAAGTTTAAGGGGTTGGATCGGGTGTTGGTGTGTCCGTCGAAGCCTTGTGTTGTATTGCCGTTTAGGATTTTTGCGGAGTAGAGATAGAGAAAGTGGAGGAGATTAGTAGATTGTATCCATGTTTAGAGTGATATGGGTGTAGTTTGTTGTTTTTTGGGGGTGGATACTAAGGGACTGAGATATCTTGTTTGCGAGGTTTCAAATGGTTGCTGTGATATTGCCGGTTTAGGTGGTGCTGGGTCAGGGCCAACATATATATACACTTGGATATATATCGAGTTTTCATATGAATCATATGCATATTGAGAAAGAAATGGTTTGCATTAGATTATGTTTAGTCAGAATCGAGAGAATGTTTCTTCAATCTCAATAATACATTAGTAGGTAAAATCATATGTACTCGATACATTAGTGCCTAGTATCACTCTATCAATCAGTTTATCATTGACATCTGACAGATGGAGTCATGAGATTTCTTAGATCCATTTAGACCTGATACCCTCCCCGAGACCCGGCAATCTCCTTTCACCCACACGAAATTCACGAATGCAACACCGGCACACGATGAGGCCCTGGACCCACCCCGATACTCCACAGAGCCGTGCACGGATTTTGCGAGAGCAAATTGCGATCCAATTCTTGGCGGTCCTGTTCGCCCGAGGTAATTTCAGGTCTAACACAGGGTCTATCTAGGTTAAAGATAGGTACGAGTTACATAGTTGCTTATAAGGTTTTGTCTATGTTTGTGGTGAGAGACCGGAGGTTCTTCCAGGCGGATGGATAGCTTCGGGTTGAGCTAGTTCGTGGTGCTGGATGCGACCCAGACGCGGGAGTTCCGTGGGATAGAGGGTTGCCCCGCGAGTGCTTTTTTTTCGTTTTGTAAACTCTGTCGCGATTGTAGGTATGGTTGCTTGAATATACTGTATGGTGGCAGCTGAATTTGGTTCTCTGGGCTGTAGGTCTAGGTAAGGATAGGGATGGGAGAGTCCCTGGTTAGGATATATATTTTGGATTTGAGGAGTAGCGTTGGCTTAGACAGACCTAAACATATGGATGAGAAGAAATGTTTATTTTTCTCTACCTAATGTTGATGTATTCATCTAATAGACTCGTGCTAGATATGCCCGTCAGATCAACCTCCAATCTACTCTATTCTTCGGCTAAGCAACGTGGTGTTCATGCAAGATGGAGATCGTGGGCTTCCCACTTTTTTTTTGTTTTGATTTTTGATTTTCCACGTGCCGGGGTTCCTCCTAGAGTGCTTGATAGGCTACTGTAATTTAATGTGAGGCTCGCAGGACCCAATTACAGTATGTAATACTCAGCTAGCCCTGGTCAAAAGTGCAAATTGGCAATCTTATTGGGCTCTTAGCTTCGGACTTGGTTGCCGGTGAGTGACAGAGAGTGTGCAGTTCACTGGATGACTGATGACTGGGCTCCATCCATTCGTAGGTTATCGGGTTGGGGAGCTATCTGATCTGCCGGCTGCGACCGGGTTGGAACCCACGGAACGGTAGATTGGCAGTTTTGAGGGAGAGTTTGTTAACTGAGCTCGACTCTTTCTTTCTTCCTACATGAAAACACAATATATGAGAATTATGATGAAAAGAGAAGAGAAAACCCGAGGACACAGGACTGTGCTGATCGCAAGGTGGAGAAGGCAAACGGTCCCGTTGTGCACGTGCCAGGTAGCCCTTGGAGGCTTCAGGGGAAGAGGGGAGACAGTGTTGTACAGCCCAGGGCATGAATATGAGAAATAACCATAATAGTTGGAAGGTGAGTACCTATGAGAGTTCCTAGAGACAAGATACGGAGTAGACAAGTCCAGATGGTAGTCTCTGTATGGGGTATAAAATAACAAAGTTTGGATGTATCCAAACACGGCTTCCTCCGTACTTTATGAGTCTATGCAGGCTTATGATTATTCTGACTGTTCTCTCTGTCGTCTGTCAGTCAGCTCAAGCTAACCTTGTTCCTCCTAACTCGGATTTCATCGACAAGCATGTTGCCCCGTTCGGGCCTTAGCCCGCCCGCCAGCGTGGAATGAACCGTCCTGCTTCCATCCACACAGCGGGCGCAGACTAAGCTCCAAGTGGGGGTGGTGTCCTCGGGGGCTCTGGACCGTGCTGGTCAATGTTTTTTTTTACCCCTGAATCTGAATCTCGGGACTGAAACCTGAGACGAAGCTCAGAAATGGAGAGAAGGAGAGCTTTCGTAGGAAGGAAAGATGGTTACTTCCAATAGTCATCATCATGCAAGTCCGGCACGAGAGTTTGAGTCTATCACATTTAATCTTTGCAGTTCCAGTACGAATAAAAATACTGGACTGTGATATGTCCTAATAAACTTCAATGTGCCCAGCTCTTGTTGGTACCACCGTTCGTACTCTCCGTAACGCAGTCCTCAATAATCCATAAACCTAGCAACTTGTCCTGGCCCAATTGAGCTCGCCATTGGTCCGTTACTGGCGTCCCTTCTGGCCCTCTTCTTCCTCTGGTCTTTGCTCGCCTTAACCTCTCTTTCTCTCTCCTCTCTCCTCTCTCCCACCCCTCTCCTTATTTTCCATTCTTCCATTCTCTCCAAGCGCCGCGAGAATCGGACGCTGTGAGCAGGCCATTTGTCAATTCCCATCTCCCCCAGAAAATCCAATTACCGTCCCAAAAAAAAACAGAGAAACCGGACAGGAAAGACGTTTGAATACGGAATCCCTCCATTCCAATTCGATCTTCGCCCCTCTCCTTATTTTTTTCATCGTCCCCCTCGTCCTCCAGTAGCGACGGGCAGTGGATCGACAACCTCACACTGGCTGGGAGCAATTGTCATCTTTTGATCTCACTCTCACTTTCTTGTTTTGCCCCTGCTGTTGCAGTTGGGATTCCTCCTTTCGTTTTAGTCTGAACTTGAATTGCAAGTGTCAAACTTCGGACCATCAAGCACCCGCAATCGCAATCGCAATCGCAATCGCATTCGATCTTCGTCAACTCTCCGCGACCACGTCCAACCAACCCTACGCGAGGTCTCCGATTAGAATCGCAACTCCCCGATAGATTGTATATTTCAAACTATCCACTCGTTTTCTTGTCGACTGTGTATCCTTCGGAAACCTGGGATCTGAGGATTGATATACTCGTGATAATCTCCGCGCAATTGGCATCGTGATTCCTAGTGTATCTTCCACGTGAGTGCAGCCCCTTACATGGCGGGGGATGTCATCATGTCACCGACCTCATCCCGCAGAGACTCCGCACGCGGGGAAGTCAAACATGCTTAATTGGGAATTCCCGATACCCCCCCCCTCCTCCAGGTCTGATAGTATATGGACAGTTGGTCTGGACAAATTAAAAGGGAAACTAACGAGATTGGCTTGAAATTACAGTGTATCAGATACAGCATTGACCCCCACCCACTGTATAATCTCCTATACATTATTACTGTATACACTAGCCACTGTGTATACCAAATCAGACCACCTGAAACAGCAAACAAGTCCACCCTTTCCCCAAAATGGAAACGCCCACCTCCAGCCGCGCGCCTTCCGATGCGCTGCCCGTCGAGAATGGCCAGGCTGGTCTTGCCGCCCGTCGCACCTCGCTCGGTTTCCTTCGTCGTTCTAAATCCACCGAGCCGCTCGGTGAACGCAAGCCTTCCGGTAGCCGCAAGAAGATGTCCAAGAGTCAAGCCATGGAAGAGGAACTCCGCCGTCAGCGTGAATCTTACGCCCCCAAGATCGCCCCCCGTTTGCCTGATCTCTCACCCACCCCCCAACTCGAGACCTTCGGTGGTGAAGAACGCGACACTCTCGCCCCCGAACCCGCCATGCCTCGTCCCCATTCTGGAATTCCCCCTGCATCCATGAGCTCGCCGACTGATGCGGTCGACCCGTATGCTCGTACCGAGAGCATGACCCATCGTGGTCGCTACAGCTATGCCAGCAGTGCTATTAGCACTGTCAACAGCCCCCGTCGCATTCGTCGTCGGAAGGATCCTACTCCCTACAAGTAAGTGGGGACATTTACATTTTACCATTGCCCTCATTGAGAAAATATACTTGATGGAGGCCCCTTCTCTACCCTTCCAGCAAATACTGATCAGACTACGCGCAGTGTGCTGGTGGTTGGCGCCCGCAACTCCGGCAAGACCTCTTTCCTCAACTTTCTGCGCAAGGCCCTGACCATGCCCCCGCATAAACACCCTTCGCGTAGCCCCGAGGAGCTGGAAGAGTTGGAACGCCAGACCTCTGCCTACGAAGGATTCACCTCGCAATACTTGGAGACCGAGATTGATGGAGAGCGCGTTGGCCTGACTCTTTGGGATTCTACGGGTCTCGAGCGCAACATTGTGGACCTGCAGATGCGTGCCGTGACTGGCTTCCTGGAGAGCAAGTTTGAGGAAACCCTCGCCGAGGAGATGAAGGTCGTGCGCTCTCCTGGTGCCCGCGACACCCACATCCACTGCACCTTCCTGCTGCTGGACCCCGTTCACCTGGATGAGAACATTGCCGCTGCCGAGCGCATCGCCAATGGAACTGCCAAAGCGACTGATGTCCCCGTGGTCGGTGTCCTGGACCAGAACCTCGACCTGCAGGTGCTGCGCACCATCCTGGGCAAGACCACCATCGTCCCCGTCATCAGCAAGGCGGATACCATCACCTCTGCACACATGGGATACCTTCGCAAGGCCGTGTGGAACAGCTTGAAGCAGGCCAACATCGACCCTCTGGAGATTTTGACATTGGAGGACCAAGAGGAGTATACTTCATCGGAGAGCGCAGACGAGGAGGAATCTGTGCAAGGAGAGACCCCCGAGACTCCCACCGAGCCCACCGAAGAAGTCAGCGAATCCAAGGACGAACAGACGGACGAGAAGAACGGCCAGGATCAGCCACCACAGCCCACCCCCGAATCGCCCTCGCAGCGCAGTCAGAACTCCCTCAGCGCCTCACCCGCCAACCCGCACGTTCCCTTCTCCATCCTTTCCCCAGACCCGCATTCCTTGGCCTCTGGGGAAGAGCCGGTCGGCCGTCGATTCCCCTGGGGTTTCGCCGACCCTTACGATCCCGAGCACTGTGACTTTGTGCGTCTGAAGGACTCCGTGTTTAGCGAATGGCGGGCCGAGTTGCGTGAGGCCAGCCGTGTGATCTGGTATGAGCGCTGGAGAACTAACCGCCTCAACCGGAATGGTCAGCCCACACCGCTGCCATCGAAGAAGTCATACGCAGGTCGCATGGGACCGATTCACGACGGTCGCCGCACGAGATAAATGGGTGAACGTGAACCAAACTTGTGTGGAGTCGACTAAGATTACTCTGCTCTGACTCGACCTCATCCTGTGTATCTGATTTGCTGTTTTTTTTTTTTTCTGTTTGATTCCTGAACCCTTTCTCTGCCTGTCCGCATAGCTTGCAGTTTCAGTTTCCGCACATACCCCCGACTTTTTTTTCTTTCTTTTTTCTTCTTTTCCACGGATCGTGTTTCTATTCGACTGTGGACTTTTTTTTTCTTTTCTTTCCTTTCTTTCCTCTCGTGTTATCCTTTTCCCTCTTCTGTTGTTTACACTACTACAACCACTTCCTGACCTTCCTTTATGCCTCTTTTTACCCTCTGTGTCCTCACTTGTATCCTTTCCCTTCTGATAAAATGTGTCACCCTTATTCCCGAGGAGTGAACGAATCGTGTACTCAACGCCTTTTTTCAAAGATGCTTCTGTGCTTTGTGGTTGTCTGCTATAGATGTGGTAGAGCGTAGAGTGTAGAGTGCTTGTAGATAGGTCTCCGTTTTTGCCCATGGCTGGGTTGTTTAGTTGGAATTTTGGGTATTGATTGGGTTGGTGGTCGCTGTATGGATTAGTGCAATTATTTGGCCACCAGGATAGCAAGTATCAGAGAATACTAGGGATACTATTTGTTGGGTACCTGTAAATATAGCAGTCATCTTTGACTTGGGGCGATAACCTGGTGTTGTGGATTGTGGTATTGATCCAATCATTCTCTTTTCTCTTCTTTTCTCTTCGTTGCTCTACCTTGGTGGTTATGGTATAGTAGATTGATCTATCATCGGTCTTAACTCAAGAATGAACTACAGTAGGAATCTAAGGTGATGATTTCTAATCATTTCCTCATCTCTGGTCTCTCTATGGATACACCTCAGCTGGCTTTGGTGAATGAATAATCCCTGAGCGGCTGAAATGCACCATGCACGCTGCACCCTCGACTGGGGGCTGATCCCAAGCCCAGCGCCTGCATCTGTCCAATCACCCGACTCGATACTGTCGCTAGAGGTCATTTGGGGGCCAATTCCGAGTGTTGCAGAACTGGCAGGATCCAGTCGAATTTCGGGCTGGCCGAGGGCTTGCAAATGCCCATGCTGCATGAGGATTCTGTTCCCCGCAGCAGACCGTAGGGCAATACGAGGCTCCTCACCACTGGGGTCCAGTCAGGCGCTTACTGTACCTTTTCCTTTTTTGTTTTCTTACCTTTTCACTCTTCCCAGAGCAGAGCCTCGAGCTTTTTCCCTACCTACTACTCTCTTGGTTTCTTCAAGCTTCATGTCTTGTTCAAGTGATAGTTGAGTCCAGCCCTATCGTGATCAAGGTGGGCCTCTCTCTCTCTCTTTCTTTTCTTCCCGCGGGTTTATCTTCCCCGCCTCCCGACTCTCGCACAGATCGACAAAGTGCAGCCCTTGGTTGGAATTGCGACCAGACAGGGAGAGAAAAGAGACAAGCTTGTGAGCGCTGAAGCTGACCCTCGCCAGCTTCCTCAGACTTTAGAGATTCTACAACATTAATATACTTCACAATCTGGTAAACACATCTCCAATTCCGGTCGCGACCACACCCCACCAAGGATCGGACCCTGGATCACAATGTCCCTCCAAGTCAACGACCCACGGTCGCGCACCCGCTCCAAATCCCCCGGCCGCAGCCGCGAGCGCTCCCGATCTCGCGATACCCGCGCCTCAGAGCTCGAGCTCGAACCACCACGTTCAAGACAGCGCTCGCGTTCTCCGGCTGTGGAAATTGCGCCTAAGTCCTCTGCTTCTAGGGACTATGATCTTCCGCGCTCGCGGTCGCCGGCTGTTGAGATTGCGCCGAGGTCGTCCAAGTCCAAGAAGTATGACTCGGATGAGGAGAATGAGATTGATCGGCAGTATAGATTGTTGAAAGAGGGGCGTTTGGGGGGTAATGAGGGGCCGAGTAATGTTATTGCGAGAGTGCCGAGGTCGGCGGGGAGGTATGATGTTGACCGGGGTGAGGAGGAGGATGATGAGGATTGGAGGAGACATCGGGACCGGGAGGATGTGACGCGTCGTCGTCGTGAGGATACAAGGTATGAGCATTCAGAGTCGGATGAGGATTTGAGAAAGGTGCGGCCTAGGGATTCGCGGGATCCGAGGGGTTCGAAGGATTCGCTCTCTGGGAGGGGAGTCGCGCGATCCCAGAGGATCCAAGGAATCATTGTCCCAGAGAGAATCGCGCGATCCGAGAAGTTCCAAGGACTCACTCTCCCTGAGAGACTCACGCGAGTATAATGGCCGGTCCCATCAACGCCGACCTTCGTCCCCGCCTGGCCGGGATAGTCGGTTGACTGATTCGGACGATGACTCGGATGACGGGCTGGCATATGGTGATACCCATGGTAGCCATCCGAGCTATGCCCGTCCGAATAAGTATAAGTATGCCCAGCCCACGCAATTCCACCCCTCCCAGCCTGGTCCGCCGCGCCAGTCTGCTCACCCAGATCCCAAGTCGTCGGACTGGGCAGACATTCCCGAGTGTGAGCGTCCGGGCTTCGTCCCGCCAGCATCGCATCCTTCCTCGCAAGCTGGTGTGCCATCGACTATGCCGGGGGGTTTCCCACGGCATCGACGTATGCAGATCTTCCTGCGACGACCGCGCCCTCGTTCCCAATGCCGCAGTACGCAGGTATTCCTGGTCAGCAGCAGATTCCATATGCGCACGCTTCTTCTGGTCCTTATACCCCATCGCATTACCGCACTGCTTCTGCCGCAGATGCCTCTCACCCAATTCCTGGTCAATATGCACAACCGGTCCAGTATCAATATGCGCATGTTGACCCCAATATTCGATATGCTTCCAAGGCAACCCCTGTTCAACCTTATACTGCGTCGCCAGATCAACAGTTTGCAAAGCCGGTTGAACAGTTCAATAAGCCACGTGAGCCCCAACCTGTGTACCCCTACAGGTATAGCAATGAGCCACAGTTTGTAGAGAAGCAGCCGCAGGCGCCAGCACCACCACCACCGCAGCAACAGCAACACCACCAAGCCCCGCACCAAGTCCAACACCAGCAACTTCAGCCCGAGTATGGACATGGCCAGGGTCTTCAACAGCCTCAGCAGCTGGTGGAAATCACACCTGGCGGTAGACGAGGTCGCCCGCATAGCCTGTCTGTGTCCTCGGCGAATAACCTCGCAGTTGCAGGCGCTCACAGTCTACACGCTGGTCACCCGCCGGCTAGTCCGCTGTTGGAGGCCTATCACGGTACTTACCAGTCCATCTCGCCCATGCCATCTCCCATTGTCATGCCCCATCGGGACGACGATATCTCAGACCTGGAGCCGCTGGACGGTACTTCCAACTCCGAATCAGGCCGCCGTAAGAAACATGTCCGTTCCAAATCCTCCATCAGCGAGAAGGAAACTCGGCACCGCAGCAGCAAGGAGAAGATCAAGGAAAAAGAAAAGGACAGTGATGACCGCGGTAAAGATGACAAGCGTCGCATCCGTCACGATCGCCACGACTCTAGCAGCACGATCTCAGACCGTGACCGTGACCGCGGAAACATGGTCGTCATCTCGCCCACCACCGGCCGCAAGCGCGTCTCCTTCTATGACGCCGGTGCCGACGCCGCAGACATGCAATCCGCCCTCAACCACCGTACCATCGACAACAAGACCATAATCCATGTCCTCCCCCGCCTGACAAGCGACGAAATCCTCCTCCTGCGCGCCGAATACAAAAACCGCGTCAAAATGCACGGCAAGGGCATCAACCTCGCCAAACACCTCCGCCTCAAACTAGGAAACTCCTCCTTCGGCAAAGTCGCCTACGCCACCGCCCTCGGCCGCTGGGAATCAGAGGCCTACTGGGCAAACTGCTACTACCAAGCCGGGACATCGCGCCGCGAACTCCTCATCGAGTCACTCATCGGCCGCTCCAACGCCGCCATCCGCGAAATCAAGTCTTGTTTCCGGGATACCCGGTACAACGATAGTCTTGAGCGGTGTATGCGTGCGGAGCTGAAGGCTGATAAGTTCCGGACGGCGGTGTTGTTGGCGCTTGAGGAGAGGAGGCAGGATGAGAGGGAGCCGTTGGATGCGAGGTTGATTAGGCAAGATGTGGGGGATTTGCATCGGGCTTTGGTTTCGAAGGAAGGTGGGGAGACGGCGATGATTAATATTATTGTTTTGAGGAGTGATGCCCATTTGAGGGAGTTGTTGCGCGAGTATGAGGCCGTTTATCGGGTGAATTTTGCGAGGGCGATGATTGCTAAGTCGAGGAATTTGGTGGTACGTCTATCCTGTTTTCCCTGTTATCTTTCATTTAACTCTTACTTCCTACTTCCTACTGATACTAACCCTTCCACTTTTTTTCTCACAGGGTGAAACACTAGCCCACATCCTCAACGGCGCCATAAACCGCCCCATGCGCGACGCCCTCCTCCTCCACCAAGCCGTCCGCGAATCCCGGACGGGCCGCGAGCGCTCCGAGTTACTTATCTCTCGACTTGTGCGTTTACATTGGGAGCCAAGACACCTGGAGTTGGTGAAGAGCGAGTATCGGAGACGGTATAATGAGCGTGTGGAGGAGGCGATTGCGGAGGAGGTTATGAGCTCGAGTGGGAGCAGTGAGTGGGGGGAGTTTTGTATTGAGTTGGCGAGGAGTTCGACTTGATGTGTTAGTTTGAGAGGAGGGGGATAGAGTATGATTTGTTTTAGGTGTTTAGGGATTTTGTTTAGATAATGTCTAGTGTATATGGATGACTAGTTTGTTTGGATTGTATTCCACTATGTGTGAGTTGATACAGAGGCTCTGAGTTGTACGGAGTAAAGAACTAACCACATCCGAACTTCAGTACTTGATTTTCCTTAGTTGGGGGATTCGAGGCGAGTCCACCCGAATAGATGGCCTACTCCAGAGTATTTTTTGAAGTTGAGCACTTAGAGAAACAGATACTTAGAAGAAGATTCTGGTTACCTTGGATCTACCTGACAGGGTGGTAGTCAGGCCATTACGTCTTGACAGGAGATCTTAAGCTGCTGTAGATACATACCATCATGGCAGGTCTCTTGGGATTACGGTTCATAGACTGTGCAAATCAGACCCCTTGATAGCAGCGGTGAACATGAACTTCTTTCTCCAAGTCCTAGATTTGATGTTATGTACTTGCTTAATTTCTTGTGTCTACTTCTATCCTAGACGAGCTTCATGACCTCACACCGCTGTATCCGATCAGAACGAGCCTAGGAGACATCCGTAAGCCCAGGATGATCAATGAAGCAAGGTATTGATTATCAACTCTATAAGCCCTGTACACCGGTCGGAATGAGTACATTCTCATAGTCCTGCCTGCCCATCATCAGTGTTGAACCCCCGGGGTTCGCCTTATGCACGATGACTTATGATCCCCCATGGGCATGCATGATGCACGAGGCCGATGATCAACGAAGCCAAGACGAAGGGATCGGCAGAGAACATGAGGTAGTCTCGTGCCATATGCTCGTGGCAAGAGAATGACAGAATGCAGAAAAGATGCATAGAATACTGTACACTCTACATTTTACTGGTCTACATCGCGAGTAGATGGACAAGATAACCACGTTCTTGGCATGGTAGAGGCATGGCAAGCTGCAGTGGGCAAGGGGTACTGTAGGCCAGGCTTTCAGTGCTTCCTCAGACAAGGATAATTGGGATATGTGAAATATGACTTTGGTGTACATGCTGAGCGAGCTATGTAGGATTCATACTCCAGGACCCGGTAGGAAGGGGGGATGGCTGGGCAGGCTTGGCCTGTGCTCTTGGCCTTGGGATGTACTACATAGAGTATTCATGTTCTAGCTTTTGCTAAATCACTTCCTGGTCGATATGATATTAGATTTGTAGTAGCGAGTGCTACTGTGATATCGCTTGGCGGGTTAATATCGGCGAAGAGACAAGATTTAGTGTTAAGATGTCGCTATAGGTCAGTGACATGCAGATGAAGTAAACCCATCTTGACTTTCTCACGGAGTTTACCGAAGCTACAACTAGTCTGTTGGTTAGTTCGGTGCTCAATATTCTGCAGATTAAAATTAGTTCCATCGTTTAATTAAAAAAACAACCAAACAATATCCACGGTGCTAATCTACCGTATATACTCCGTTCCAAGAGAGTCCCAGCGCCGCACCAACCAGACTGTAGATTACTCCAACATCCATAGATGTTACATCGGTAGTCAGCCACATTTGCCGGCGCCTCCTCTTATTTAAACTCTCTACCAATGACAACATCGAGTGTAGTCTTCAGGAACGTAGTCGACCGGATATCCCTCTGTAAATGGGATGGTTAATGAGGGGGTGAAAAGAGGGCCCTGCCCTGTTCCTTATTTCCCCTGAGAAGAGCGACCTGACGTGTCACAAAGGGGCCCCGGCAAGGAGGTCGTAGACTGATGGATCTGCGAGGAAGTAGCGGATACTAGGGCACGCGACACTAGGAGGTAACTTGAAGGGGGATTTCCTAAGTATCGAGTACTTCCATTTACTGTGTTCTCCGATCGGTCTTCTCCCGACACGACGCGTAGATGCGAACTGATCCCTGCAAGGGGAGGGTTTGCGATTTGAACACTCTTGAGAACCCTGCCACCGCTTATTTACACTGCTGCAGGTCCCCGATGTCTTGCTTTTTGTAGAGTGATCTCTCGATACATGTAAATTCTGGCAGATAGTCATGACAGACTGTAGAAGTGAAGGGCAACATAATCCGTAGTTAGTATACGACTGTAGTAACTATAGTAGTAACTACTGTAGTCAGTTTATTGGACCTGATGGCATCATTCGGGCGCCTCTGCTGATCGCCATTTCCCCGCAGACTCGGGCACTAAATATTGGACCCGATGGATTTGGAGGAAAATTAAGAAATGACCATACTAAGCCCTTAAAGCCGACAGCCGAGGAGATTCATATGTTGTGAGTGGAATAGATGAGGACTATAGAATATGATAGGCGGCTTGATAGTTGACTATTATTCTTCTTGGAGTTGTTATGTTGCTCTGATATTATTTGTCTAATGGTGTGTATGTGTCCGCCTGATGCCATCACGGAACCCCGACCCCGAGTCCCTCCAACGTGCTTTCCTCCGGGAACTATACAACCACAACAGTCTGAATACAGACCATCGATGAACTATGACGGCAAGAAGATGGAAAGGTGGAAGCATGACTCTCTTTTCCCACCTCTCTTGTTCTTTTCCTTCCCTCCATCTTCTACTCTCCCGCTTTTCTCCATCCTCATTACTCAAGTCTATCTCCACACTCGTTTACTCCACAGCCTTATTATTTCTTATTTCTTATTTACGCCATCCCGTGTGCCCACTCGCTCAGTCACCTGCAAGACTGCAGCTGAAGGCTAAACTCGTTTTCGTTCCTTGAGCGCCACTGGGTCGATCCCGCATAGACCGCTGCTTGTTCCATGCGACCTGATGCTTCTTGGCCCGATTCAGTGTCCTTGTTGACCGCGATTCTTCTGGCTCGGGGTTACGCTCGACAATCTGATTTGGGACTGGATCATTGCATGACTGCATGACTGCATGTGGATAGAATCCTGTTCGGTTGTATCGGCCCTGAGAAACGGTAATCCCCCGGAGTTTCTCGTCTTTCTTGGTTTTGTAGTATCTGCCCTGTCTTGATCATATCCCCCCTGTCATCCCGAGCCCTAACTGGTTATCCTCCCTGTCCACATCCATGAGAATGATGTCCACTCACACCCCCTATACCACCCCCTCACATCTGCCCTTTTCCCTCCCTTGCCATATGGCAGAATTATCCGCATGGCTTCCATCTCGGTCTTCGGAGCGCTGACAATGATCAGCCGACGTGCTCGCTCGGAGCTTTGCTCGACAAATGCAGGTCTGCTGCTCGGTGCAATCCCCAATCTCCACGCGCTAGACCGCATCTCGATTGTGGCCGTGGAGGGAGCATTCTGGCATGCGGGCCCGAGTCGGGGTTTCTGGGCGCGACCCCCTCTCCTCCTGGTCTCGTTGGTCTAGGGCTCGACTATAAAAATGTCCCTGACATTCCTGTAAACACAACGTCGATCTTTCCCTTGCGCCTTGTCTCCGTGAAAGCCAGTCCATAGTCTATCTTTGTCGCGGTAGCTCCTGGAGTTTCTTGTCTCTCCTTACTCTCGACAGTCGACCTTCCTTTTTTGCCTTTCTTATACGGCTTCAGGTTTCTACCTGACATTTCTATTTTAGCACGAGCTCATGCTCTTGGTTGATCATTTTGATCCCGTCCAATCCTTTTTTTGATTGTTTGTTTCACCTGGAATATCGGCACGATGCAGTTGTGGCATTTTGCTCTGTTGGTGTCGTCTTTCGTCGCCTCCGTTGGTGCCCAGTCGACCTTTACGCCTGCTCGGCCTCCAGCTCTCCCGTTGGCTGTCAAGTCGCCGTACCTAAGCACCTGGTTGAACGCGGGCAGTGATGGTGGAAATGGCGGATATCTGGCGGGCGAATGGCCCGTCTTCTGGGGGTACGTTCTATGAGTGTGAAGCTGGTTGCAAAACACTACTTACAATTGTTAGGAACCAAATTACTGGATGGTGTGGTTTGATTCGCGTTGACGGCGCTACCTATACCTGGATGGGTCTGCCGGGCTCAAACACTGTAACACAGACTGCGTTCGAGTATACGTCAACAAAGAGTATCTTCACCATGGACGTTGGCGGAAAGGTCGAGATGAACATCACTTTCATGTCGCCAATCACTCCCGATGACTTTAAGCGCCAATCTCTCATTTTCTCCTACTTGAATGTTGAGGTTTCGTCGTTGGATGGCAATGATCATGATGTGCAGGTCTATGCGGATATCTCTGCTGGTAAGTTGGCAAGAACAAGAAAAACAAAAAGTCCTTGATTCTAACTTGATCTAGAATGGGTCTCCGGAGACCGTGGTACCACTGCCCAGTGGGACTATGGTACAACCGATGGTGTTGCATACCACAAGGTTTGGCGACAGACCCAGCTGGCCTTCTCTGAAATTAACCAGCAAGCCGAATGGGGATACTGGTACTGGTCAACTGATGCCGCCAATGGCATGACCCACCAGTCTGGTCAAGATACCGTTGTGCGTGGGCAGTTCTCGTCCAATGGTGCTCTGACCAACGAAGCCGACACCAACTACCGCGCTATCAACAATGCCTGGCCCGTCTTTGGATTCTCATCCAACCTAGGAACTGTCAATTCAAGCCCCGTCAGCACGCTCTTCTCACTAGGTCTGACCCAGGATGAGGCTATTCAATATGAAGGTTCATCTGGCTATGGCCCCGTGCCGTCCCTGTGGAAGAGCTACTTCACCACGGACGTGGATGCAGTTACCTTCTTCCACAAGGACTTTAGCGATTCCAGTGCTCTAGCAAGCTCATTCGACAGCAAGGTTGCCACGGAATCGATTGCTGTTGCGGGTGAGGAATACCTCACGCTTACTTCGCTTTCGGCCCGGCAGGCATTCGGTGCAACCCAGCTGTGCGGAACAGAGAGCAAGACCTATCTGTTCCTGAAGGAAATCTCATCTGACGGCAACATGAACACTGTCGACGTTGTTTTCCCGGCGTATCCCATCTTCCTGTACTCAAACCCGGAATTCTTGAAGCTTGTTCTCGACCCCCTGTTTGAGAACCAGGAGGCCGGACATTATCCTCAGAGCTATGCTATGCACGACCTGGGCTCAAACTATCCCAACGCCACGGGCCACAATGATGGTAATGATGAGGCCATGCCTCTGGAGGAGTGCGGAAACATGATCATTATGACCTTGGCATATGCCCAGAAGGCCGGTGACACTGATTACCTGAGCACCCACTATACTCTGCTCAAGAAGTGGGTGAGCTACCTCATCGATGAGGCACTGTACCCAGCCAACCAGATCTCTACCGATGACTTTGCTGGATCTCTTGCGTGAGTAGAAGTTCTCTCTTCAGCCTAGTCTCAGTAACTAACCGACAATTAGCAACCAAACCAACCTGGCCCTGAAGGGAATGATCGGTATCCAGGCCATGTCCGTCATTGCAAAAGAGACCGGCCACACGGCCGATGCTGCCAACTATTCTAGAATCGCCCATGATTACATCAACCAATGGCAGACTCTCGCCATCAACAAGAATGTGACACCGGCCCATACTACTCTGTCGTACGGCGATGAGAGCAGCCACGGTAAGCTGCAGTACCACGAGAAATTCTCTATCTTACCTCGGCTGAACTTTTTTCTAGGCCTTCTTTATAATCTGTTCGCCGATGCTCAACTTGGCCTAAACCTGGTGCCCCAATATGTCTACAAGATGCAGAGCGACTTTTACCCGACTGTCGCCAACAGATATGGTGTTCCTCTGGATACTCGCCATACCTACACCAAGGGTAAGCTTACGTCTGGCCTTATAATAATTATCACAATATACTAACTTACAGCTAGGTGATTGGGAGTGCTTTGCCGCGGCTGTCGCCTCCGCTGATACCAGGGATTTGTTCATCAAGGACCTGGCCACCTGGGTTAACGAGACCCCGACCAACCGGGCTCTGACTGATCTCTACGATACGGGATCCGGAAAGTAAGTCATGACAAAATTGCTTGTCTGCTATAGTTCCCACTGACAAAACATCAGTTACCCACAAAACACCTTTGTCGCCCGTCCTGTGGTGGGTGGTTCCTTCGCACCTCTTCTCGTCGCCTCGTAAACGGGCCCACCTTCGCTTCTTGTGAATGCCTTCTTATATACTATTCTTTTTAAACCACTTTCCCGCCCCTATAACCATCGGAGAAAATGAGTTATTCCCGAGAGGCAACGTTCTTTTCAAACTTTCCCGGGATCCTGAGTTGAGGGGTACCTGGATTATGACACTCTGATCGTCACCGTCATTCGCTCGCTTTGTTTTGTGTGCGATCCTGTTGCTGCAGGCCCTGATACCCATCCGTAGAGCTTCTGTTGATGGTCCTTCGTTGAATTTTATGTGTTGATGTTTTGCATGGTGGTGGGGAGATTGAGGTTTGTGTATACATACCTACCTACGTGGTTCGTTTCATTTCAATTGAGCCATTTTTACTCTTTGAATCTAGTAAAATGAACGTACTGATTCCGTGAGATAATGATGTATGAGAGGTTTCCGGATACGGGAATGGGGGGTAAGTTCTCCTAAGGGTCACATGGAATGCCGTGTCTATGCTCCAGGTCATATTCAATGGGGTTATATGTTTTTCATCCCGATATCACATCCTAATGAGGATGTCAATTGTTTAGTGCCGGATGGCTTTATCTGAGCTCTCCACTACCCGGGTCGGGCCCCCAGCCACGGACCCATTCTTACTCCGCCTCGGAAGCTTTAGATTTGATGTCTGGAGCGAAAGAGTAAGATCTTTACTCCATTTTGTCTATGTAGGAAGGAAGGATTCACTGTGGTTAAGGACGGCGTGTTTATTTTCCCTAAGGAGGGTAGAGTCGGGTCCGCGATGAACTGGTTGTATATGCGTCTTTTGATTATGGTTTGTTGTAGGTTCGTGAACTTGGCTTCTATCAATTGCCGAGACAATTACTCGACTACGATACAGAGTCCCTGTACTCAAACCAAAAAAAGCGAAGAGCGAAGAGTAAAATCATTCATTCAAGCCATGATTCCCACGCATTCCCATAATCCCCGCGCGGCCACTAGCCCATAGTCTCAAAGTCACATACTAACACAACCTCTCCGATGGTCCTCAAACCGCAACAAGAGCCTTAATCCCATTCTCAATCCCTTGCGGATTAGCCCCAACAACCTCCGTAATCTTCTCCCCATTATTAAAGAACAAGATTGTCGGCATAGCGCGAATGCCAAGCTCCTGTGCAACGTCGGGCACCTTGTCCACGTCGACCTTGTAGAACTTGGCTTGAGGGTATTGGGTGCTGAACTCTTCGACCTTGGGGGCGATGGCTTTGCAGGGGCCGCACCATTCGGCCCAGGCGTCTAGGACAATGGGGCCGCTGTTGGCGTCGAGGATTTTGGTGAGGAAGTCTTGTTTGCTGGGAAAGGTGAGCCGGGGGTAGCGTGAAGGGGGGTTGGAGAGGGTGGTACAGTACATACCTGGTGATGGCTTCGACTGGCATTGTGGCGGTTTGGTAGATGGGTGGATGGTAGTTAGAGTTTTTAAGAGGAGATATTTGGTTTCTGAGTTTGTGGATGGGAGTTTGTGAAAGGGAAATGGAGGTTGGCGTTCGATGATGGAGATGATAAAGAAGATCGGATCTTCTTGATGACGACAAGTGGGGTGATCGCGGTGGGGCAACAGCCGTCGTCTGATGCCCGTGCGACCCGGGAACAGTACAGTAGTACTTTGATAGTGTGATAATCAAGTTCAATTCATTAGTATAGACAGAATATCGAAGTAGGTCATCCAGCATTCTTCCATTGACTTGTCAATTCAAATGATCCAATTTCTTCCAGGATATTCTATTACATGCCGAGGCAGTATGGTAGCTTTAGATTCACAAGAGCATAGAGACTTAAGGATAATCTGTGACCTGACTCTATCTAACTATGATGTGTAACTTTTAATTAGCCATACTGACCAGAGGAACAGAAAATAAACAGTTGCTTCCAGTTGAGTATGCGGACATATTGAAGACTGGAGTGGGAGCTGTCAAAGGAAGTACATTCTTACCCTTCTCGTTGTTTGTCTGGCACTGATATCGAATGATTTCCAACTGGCACAGGCCCAAATCTCTCCAAGAATTTAAATGAGCAAACTTGCTGCCTTCATGAATTGAACCGCCAACCTTGTCCTCCCCTATATACTTCGTCCTGTTAGTGGATCACCATCCACGGACACCGAAGAACATCGCCAGTCCCTAGTGCCGCGTGATAGAGCCCTTTTCACCCTCTAACACCTTTAAGAAAGGCATTAAAGAGTTAAGGTTGATAAAATATAAAGTTTTAGGATAGATGTCTAGTTAGAAAAAAATAATATTGCCGACAAAATCTCAAAAAAAAAGAACTTCCCCCCGCCTAGGGGTGTGTCCGGCCGTCCGTGGAGCTCGAAGCGTCAACACTGGCCCAGTATATTTCATCTTTTGTTTGCCCACTCCTCCAGGGCACACCAATGGTTCTCCAATTTATGGTGGATACCAACTAGGCCATCAGAGGGGGGAAGTTGATTGTTTGACCTGAAAACCGGTGGTAACCTCTGTTCTTGCCTGATTGGGATTCCAATGCTAACCCTTCCAGTAACGAATATCCATCCCCGGAGCTACTTCTTCGAGTCCGTATCAATAAAAGAAGCTTCTAGCATCGACTGCAAAGAGTTATATAACCACTAGAAAACTCGTTTGCGAATTCTACTGTACATACTTCGGGAGCGCTCGTGGCTCTCCGATTAGCTCATTATGATCGCGTTTAGAATGAATAGCTCGCATTTTTGATGGTCCATTTAGGACTATGGCACAATTCCTGTCGAGAAGGGGTCGTCATGTGGTTACTGGCCACTATCCATGCTTTGAAAGACTTCCACCATCCCTATGCGTCGTGCGGCGTGCTGGATGAGAACCGTCCACGTTGGCAATGAACCAGTCATCCCAGGAGGATTCTCCGTCATTGTACATGTCGTTTTTGATATAGTGACAGGATCCACCAGTCCCCCATTGAACATATGATACAGATATAAAAAAAGTCCAATGACAACCAAAGGCCCTGATCCCCAATTGGAACAACAACGCCCAAATAATTACCCCAAACTCCACCGTCGAATATAATACATGTCATAACAGCGGATGGACAGATTTGAATTACATTGAATACAATTGTGAAAAGAAGAGAGAGGAAAAAAATCTCGAAATCCCATTCGAGCCTAAACAAACCCCTAATATATCAAATCCCTTCTCTTTCTTCACTCCCCGGTCATCGTCCAAAGTAATCGCTAGGCGAGTTCAAACTGAGAGACCAGACGGGAGATCAGAAAGAGAAGGGACGAATGGAATGAGAGAAGAAAAAAACAGCCAGACTCCGTAGCCAGCTCTCCGACGTGCACCGACGTGCACCGCGAAAAAAATAAAATAAAATCAAAGACTCGAACAGGGCGCTTTTGGCGCAGGCCCTTACTCCTGGCGACTGCGCTTGGCGCCGTGAGGGTTCCAGGTGCCGTCGCCCCCCTGGTTGGCACCGCCGAAGAAGTTCTGGTTGAATGCCGGGTTGGGGCCTTGGAATCCTGGCATATAGGAGTTAGCGTATATTCATCTCTTGAAAGGACACAGTACAAGTAAAAGTAAGATCAGAGATCACCACTCACCCTGCATTCCCATGTTGCCACCCATGTTGCCCATCATGGGGTTCATGCCTCCTCCGGCCATGGGGTTCATGCCCATGCCGCCCATTGGGTTCATACCGGGCATCATCATGCCAGCTCCGGCCATGTTTCCCCCTCGGCCGCCACGCATGCCACCGGGGCCGCCGCGCATGTTGTTCATCATGCCGCCGCGGTTGTTGAACCCGAAGTTTTGCATGCCCATGGGTCCGGCCTGGAAGCCGCCCATCATGCCACCGGCGGCGGGTGCGTTGCCACCCTGGAAACCGCCCATGTTGTTGAAGTTGTTGCGGTTGTTGAAACCGCCCATGTTGCCAGGTCCGCGGTTGTTGTTGTAGCCGCCGCGGCCGCGGTAACCGCCCATGTTCATATTGCCGCCGCCGCCGAAGTTCATGTTCTGGTTGCCGCCGGAGTTGAAGCTGGCATTGCCGCGGGAGCCATCCTTGCGCATCAAGGCGTCCTTGGGGTGCGTCTTGAAGGGGTTCATTTGCGCACTGGCATACTGCGCAGTGTGCTTCAGACCGGATGCGGTCTCAAGATAGTGCTTAGTGGCCGTTGCGGCCTGAGTGGTGGTGAATTCTACAAAGGCTTGACTGCAAGGTGAAGATGAGCGTATGATTAGCTGCCAGAACTGAGAGGGCGCATATATTAATAGATGATGTGACGAGACTTACCCCTTGCTCTTGCCATTCACCTTGTGCTCGTTGAAAGTCACTTCCTTGAGCTCATCCTCTGCGTGAGCCGAATTCACCCAGCCGCGGATGTCGTCGTCGGTGGTCCACCAGTAGAGGTCGGAGATGACCAGTGCAGTGGTCGCATCGGGGTCGGTGGGGCGATCCTCGTAGTCCTTGCGCTTGATACCGTGAGGTGCGCTCATGGCGTCTTGAGTAGAGAGTTGTTCTTGCGACATGGTGTGGTCGCCGTTCGTAGAGTGTGGAATGTGGGAAGCTTGTGAAGGGAGAGAGTGATGTGTAGAGTTGGAGGAGTGAAGAGGTTCAGTCTGAGCTTTTGAAGTAGAAGAGGGCTCGAGCGTGGACGTATCATTCGTATCGTTTGTCGTTGCCTGCCCTTCAGGCTCCGGGATATCTAGGTCGAGGTCATCACCTTCCTGTTTCGCATCGCCCTGATCGTTTGCACTGAAGCCTCCGCCATCCCCATAGATGTCAATATCGAAATTGTCATCCTCTGTCGCCATTGTGCAAGCTAGAGTGATTGATGAGAGACCGCTGGTCCGAGAGAGAAACGAGTTCGATTTTTTTGATATTGCGAGGTTGGATAGTACACAGACCCTGCTTGATCTTCTGCTGCTTGGTTGCTTGAGGATTCAAGTAGAGTACATGTCTGCAGGCATAGGAGATCAATTAGCACGAAGAATGATTTCCCAACGTTCAACCACGAGATGATTCACAAGTCAGTGTGAAACGAAAAGGGCTGATGCAATAGTAGCAGGTGTATTAGAGTAAAAGCGGGTCATGAAACCATATCACTATCGCGTAACACAAGCCAGAAGAAAAAGGCACAACCATACGTACAATCCAGAGCCGAAAATGCTTCACCCCCGTAATGACAAAAGCCGTTCCACCAGCTGAGGCACGTACAGGCTGTTTCCTCTTGATTTCCTCTTGATTTCCGGGTTCCGGATACAGGTAGAAAGAGAGAGACACCGGCCACAGACAGGCAGCGGCAATAATGTTGACAAGACCCGGGACAGTGCCTTGAAGCCCTCGTACAAAGAAAATAGGTCAATCCCTCCCACTTGAATAGTATCAGAAGACCCCGATATCGTCGGGTTGACAGGAGCAGAATGAGACGCGAGATAATTGATGAGAGGAGATACGGATAGTCGCGACTGGGAGCTCCTAAGCTTCGCCCGGCAAAATAGTTATTCCGGTCCCGCCTCCGAGACAGCAGAGGCCACGCCAACGTTCCCGTGGCATTTCCCATCCCCGTTCCAATTCCCCAGACTTTCCTTCTTCCATATCTCACCCTCCTTTTACAATACTCATCCACAATGTCGGAGACTTTCCAAGAGCTTGCTGATATCCCCAAGGACTTTGTCCGGGAGGGAAGCCTCTTCATCCGCCGCTGCACCAAGCGTAATGTCGATCCCCCCGTGGCCGATTGGGAGAGATGCTGACACTCTTTGCAGCCGACAAGCGCGAGTTCATCAAGATTAGCCAGGCTGTTGGCATGGGTTTCCTGGTCATGGTATGTTATTGCCATATTTTGGAGCATCTTCGAAGAATGCGAATCGTTGTAGTGCAATTTGGCTAACACGGACATTCAGGGTGCCATTGGATACTTTGTCAAGTTGAGTAAGTACTCGCTACAGATATATACTACGTCGCTAGAACACGGAGCATTGAGCAGATAGCTGACATTGGGTTCACTACTACAGTCCACATTCCCGTCAACCAGGTCCTGGTTGGTGGCGCATAAATGACTCGACGCCTTTACAATCTTGCGAATCGAGAGCCGACTCAATCAAGGAGATGCGGAGAGAGAAGATGAATACACGTCGCAGTCGGATATGGGTATCTGTTGAGCGAATTGAATGAATCCCGCCCATGTCCATGCTCGCGTGCGCATTGCACGGAAAGGGGGGAGGGGCGACCCAAGCCTCGGGGAGCACACGAGAGGAGCTCCATGTTTTTTTTTTGCCTTGTCGTCTGGAGTTTACAATCATTGGCGACCTTTTTTTTATTTTGGGATGCGATGGGAGTGCATCATCGCCACCCTTGAGATACCATATACCACTTACTTGTACCAATAGGGGTCTTTCACCTTGTTTGTGATCAATCAACGACCCTCCATACCCAATTTCGTTCTCTGGCATATCAGATCTATGATCTACTTGTGTCTCTCATTTTACGAAAAAAGTGATCGTATTTGCAGCTTCGTTAGGTCGTCAATAAGTACAACACATGGGAACCTTTCGTGAAACAAGTCAAATGCCCTCCCAGAATCCCGATCTCAGACAATCACTTTTCACGCATATCAACTCTCAGTTGTGTAGAACGGTTCGCCGTCACATATCACCATCCAGTCTCATCCTCCTCATTGTCGTCTGTATCCAACCGAGCGACAGGCCGGCTGCGCAGTGGGCGTCGTGTGCGTCGATGTACCCGGCTAGGTGGAGGATTGTCCTGATAGCGATTGAATTCGGGTAAGGGTCGCAATTTGTGATCGTAGCTTCGTCCAATTGGCGGATCACCTTCGTCGTCGTCGGCGCCATCGTTCCATGAGTGAACAGTGCATGTGCCGCTAGAGAGACCCCAGCCATTCCAGGAGGTTGCTTGAGAAAGTAAAGTTAGCTCACGTCATCGAATAATATAAAGTACTGTACGCGCAGGGAATAGTTAGTGCGACTTACCTGCTACCATAGGAATGCTGGGGTGCCAGCTTGCATCTCGAACACAAGTTCTCCACTTCATGTCTCCACCCAGATCCCACATATTGGACAGAGTATCGGGCCCACGGGGTCGAGAATTCATAGTCGCCGATTTGACATCAATCGTACCAGCCAACGTGGCATCAATATTGTACACGTAGACTTGGCCATCTTCGCTGCCCGTGTAGACATAGCGCGAGTTTGTGCTGCCTGGTGGCGAGAAATGGCAACGGATGAGAGTTTTGAGGACACTGTGGCCGCGGAATGTCACAATCGAGTGGTCACTTGGATGGGATTGACGCTTATATTCGGGATATTCTTCAAATCGATAGTCAAAATTGGTAGCGTAGGTATTTGGGTTGATTTTGTCGGCTGCGGATGCTGACATCATGTTCCGCAAATCCCAAAGCTTCATCGTTTGGTCTTTACTGTTGGACAGGACGTAGCGACCATCACCCTTGCTGTCAATGTATGTTAAGCCGTCAGTGTGGCCCATGAAGACGCCGGCTTCACGTCCATCGCCCATTGAACGTCGGTCCCAGACACGCAGAGTTGTATCATCAGATCCGGAGTAGAGAATATGAGGCGAGGATGTGTCTCCAAAACAGACTGCATTCACATGACCCTGGTGACGGTTTCCTAGAGTGAGAACTGGCCTCCGTGTCTCGAGATCAAGAACTATCACCGAGTTCTCATTTGTACCGGCAACAACCTCCCGCCCGTCTCCGGAAAATCGAAGGGACCAGATCTGTCAGTCTCGAGTGAGCTTCCACTTAATCTCCAAATGGACTAGTATGAGTGCCAAACTTACGCCAAACTGCGCTCGTGACAAATCCCAGGCGTTTCGACGTGCTTGACCCGGCAACAGGGAAAAGTCTAGCTCGTGTGGATCCGAGTCATCGTCCGGGTCTGTCGGCGCGAGGTAGGCTGCGCTGCGGATCGAGCTGTAAACAAGAAAACGGTTGTCCGGACTCAGCGAAGCATCTGTGATGGTCCATTGGCCATACGGATACTCCACGGTCTTGTAGTACTTCCACTCATATGGATTAGATGTATCGTACATCCGAACCCTGAAATCCTGTTCACAGCAGAAAAAGAAATCCCCATCATCGGAGTATTGACCAGAGTAGCTTCGGGAGTCGTAGTGGATAATTTTGTCTGCCCGAGAGCCTGGAATCATGCTCTGCATGATAGGATATGCCAGATTAGTATGCAAAAAGGTGGAACCTTGGGGTTGGCAATGCGGCTATCCGTCCTTACCTGACAGATGGATTGATTAGCTCTCTGCCGGACTCCGTGAGAGTTGATGCCAAGCTCCCGTCTCATGAGATTTGTTGCAAAGACTTCCTTCCGCTTTTTCATTCGATCGACGTAGTATGGGTCCGTCCCAAAGTGACCAGAGGCCATCAACTTGGTACCTGCATCACTTGGAACCTTGGGCCACACGAACTTCGGCTTGCGTCGTCTTCCAATCAAATGAGATAGGACCTCTTCATCATAGTCTTCCACTTCACCGAACTCGTCTCTCTCTGTGCCGTATGGCCACCCATTCGGATAGAGCATCTCTCGGAGACCTGTGGTTGCTAGCAACTGGAATAACTGGGATCTTTCGACTGCATGCGAACGGTCAGAGGTTAATTGACATAGGATTTTAGAGAAGAGAGGAAAAAGATGGTATTCATATAGGCTTACTTCGGGGATCATTAGTCTCTCCAATAACGAGCATATCATCTGTATCAATATCCAGCTCATCGCCTGACACCCATTCGAGGTAGCCACCCATTTCGTCGAGTTCGATGTGAATACCACTAAGATTGAGCTGTTCATTTCCTTCTGCAACAGCTCCTTGTTCGGTATCATTGCTATGACCCCGGGAACGACCAGGGGTCATATCATCGTCCTCGTTGCTCATCGATTCGTCGTCTTCGGACCTCGATTGGCTAGGATGGTAATCGGATTCCGTTGTAGTATCAGCCTCGTCAGGCCACTCTTGAGCTGGATGCCAGACTGGTTGATCCTCAGTAGGATCTCGTGTCTCCTCAGAGGGTAAACCTGGGGAGGCCATGATGACGTGAGTGAGGTGATGGTAGGAGAGATGATGGGATGAGGAGGAGTCGGGCTTATCGATAGGGCGATAGTGTAAGTCACCGCTGCTTCCGCCGATCGGCTGACGGGGAACTCGATTAACTCCTTTTATCTCCGCAGTGACAAAGAAGTAGTGGGGCTATCGATTGGAATCTTTAATTGTGATCTTGGGCGGGCCCAAACAAATGGTGAGGGGCATTGCATTGAGTATTTAAGGGCGCGACTAGATACTGTCAGGCATTGCAATATGGCTATGGCCCAATTCGCCAATTCTCCATAATTGGCTGACTACTCTTATCTTCTCGTGATCCGGACTCTACACTCGCTATTCTTCACGAAGAATCCTTCGCGCACTTCAGTCTCCAATGAGGTAGCGCGTTCAATCCTGAAAAGCTTGAAGATAGTACCCAATGTTTTCAAAATCTCCATCCATGCAAAGCTTTGAAAAATTAGTACCATGAGAATCATAACTTTGAAAGAACAACCTACTTTCGCCCAATACACGCACGCGGCCCAAGGGAAAATGGGAAGAACGAATCGAGATGGTCAGACGATTTTCCATCCATCCATCGTGATATATCGAATTTATCGGGATTCTAGATAGCAGCAATTAGATGGGTGATCCCGATTGGCCAGGCTCACATACTGTAAAGGCAGTCTCATCGTGATGAATATTCAAGGTCGGGACGCTGACCAGAGTCTTTCCAAACGTGAGCATGAATGCTTGGTTTTGCAATCCGGTTTGAAAATGATATACTCACACCCTCTGGTATGAAAATTCCCGCAATTACCTTGCCTCCTGGTGGTGTAACACGCTCCAAGCCCGTGGAGCTAGTTGGCTTCAATCGCATCGTCTCTCGTACCACGGCATTCAAAACAGGTAGTTGATTCACAGGTTGAAACTCCGCGATCCAACCCGCAGACATACGTCCGGGAAACGCCTTATCTAACTCATCGGCGAGCTGCTTTTGAATTTCCGGTAATCGCGAGACAATATCGACTACATTGGTCATGGTAGAACTCGTGGTATCACTGCCACCGACTATAAAAGAGATTGACTCGGCGATGATCTCTGTCTCGGATAAAGGAGATCCGGTATCTGGATCCTTCGCATTGAACAGGAAGCTCAAGAGATCTTTTCGACTGTCTTGCTGATCTCTGCGTTGGTAGTAGGCATTTTTGCCGATGGATGCTAGGTTAGAGGTTGCCTGCAGGCCCTTCGGCCAGAACGGATCTAGATAAAAATACTTCATCACTGGTCTTAGAAGCCCTGGGAGATGACCTATGGCATTGAGCACTTCCCCACGCGCATCGATAGTGGTTATCAGATTCAGGTGATTCTCTTCCTTGTCGAGGAATCCGAATGGCTTTCCGAAAGCATAGTCACCTATGGATAATTCCATCAGATGGAGTAGAGTTAGTCAATGGAGGTGAACATACCTATGACATCAAAGGCGAGATAGTTCGCTGGATGAATTAGACAACGGTGTCAGTTTATCTTCAAATTGCGCGTAGACTTACAGTACTCATTGAAATCAATCCGGGCTTCTCCATTACCCTGAGCATGACGAGTGATACAAGTCATAAGCTTCGTAACTTGCGCAGACATATGCGGTTCATAGTCATTTAAATTCTTCGCTGAAAACGCGGGGCTAAGATACTTTTTCTTCCTTTGGTGAACTCGTGTATCCCGAGTATTGAACAAGACGGGCTCCACCTGATGAAAGGGTAAACTGGCTTATCATTATCAAATGATATCCTCAAAATGCGACGATAACACAAGACTTATCTTCATAGAAAGGACCTTTCAGGAACCCTGACTGATGGCCATATATTGTCTCCAAAGCCGTGCGATCCGATATTGAGATGTGATTGGGAGCGATTCGGACGAATGCTCCATATTTTTCGTGTTGCTGAAGAACTGCCATGGAGCGTCTTGCCTTTCGGCATTGATAGACGATCCATAGTGAAGAGAACTTGGCTGCAGATGGGCCAGGGATTCGTGATAGAGGACCAGAGAGGGCTCTATATAGTATATGCAATAAGATCTAGACATTATTAACCAAATCGTCCTAGGATTTGAACTTCTTTTATCTCAAAGTACTCACCAACACAAAAATGACCGCTAAGAAGGCATACGGGGATATTCTCTCGCCAAAGCTAACGAAGACTGACATTATGAGCTTTCGTTCTGGATGGAAGCATCGATGATGGATAACTGACGCATCCGCATCATCCGCAACTTTCATTTGTACTTCATTCCGGGGACACATCGGAAGGCAGTTCGAGTATTTGAATTGCCGGGTACGTCAATCCCCGCACGCGACCTCTGAATAGGACGCGGGGAAAGAAACCCTGTGCGGAGATAAGCACAGGAGCCGCTCTCAAGCTGGTGATCAATACCCCAAAATATGATGCTGAAGAACTGCATAAGCGCAGGGTCTCGCATTATGCTCTGTAGTTTCGGGGGCAAGTTGGAAATGTACATACATCGCTAGTGGTTGGCTGATTCACTCAGAAGTTGTCGAGAAGAGTTATTTTTTCAAGGTTTATATCCATAAATAATTACATCACACTGTTCAAGACTATGAGGCTCTCTAACATGAGACACACGCCTTGGAGTCCAAGTCGCGAACCGGGGGTTTCCGAAACCACCACTTCTTACGGGAGCTACTGAGGTATTTTAGCCATTTCAATTCTATGTCATATAAGAGAATCGAGTTCTAATCTTCTAATTACCTGGGTATTCACACTCTAATTTTCAATGACCCGCTACTCGAAACTAGAAGTGTTGGCCCCCGGGGCCGATTTTGGTTGTACAATGACTGCATAAAGAATGGGGCGGCAATCAACGCGATACTTGGATCGGTCCAATTAAGCTTTAGGTACGGGAGCATGTGCTGCGGTTATTTCTGGGGGTCCAAAAAGACAAGACTTGTTGCCAACCAACCGGAATTTCGGCCCCCATGTTCTAAATACACAACATGCAGGGATGTAGTTGGAGAAATGGTGGGATGTGAAAGAGTCACCATGAACAAGACTTGCCTTACTTAACTCGGTTCATTGATTGTTGATATCCTCGAGTAAATTGAGAGATTTCACTTCTTTTTACGGCTCTGTACTTTGACTTTGACTTTGTCTCGGGGGCAGTGTTGCGACATTTTCAAAAATAATCTCCCTTTCACTGCTTGTCGCCCGACGGGGCCGTGCATGTCTTTTTCCGGGCGCTTGAGGCTTGTTTGGCGTCTTTCATGGCCACCTCGAAATTGGCCTTGTGAGAGAATAACAATGACTTAAACTCGCCATTTCCAAGTGATCATTTTAACTACATCATCTTCACTCCCTTCCACCCCACCTATCTCATTCCTCGCTCATCCATCTCACACCCAAGCACCATGAAGCTCACCCTGGTGTGGCTGGCGACGGCATGCATGTCCATCGCCAGTGCAGCTTCTCTTTACGACCTCGTCTCCGAGTTCCCAAATGAGTGCGCCGTGAGTGTCATGATCATCACAATCCGTTCAAGATGTGAACAGCTAGCTAACCAAGTTGCGCGGTCTAGTTGTTCTGCACCGGCACTTCATTCTTGACCTTGCCATGCGATCTCAACGCCACGTGCTGGTGCCAGACCCCAGACTTCGTCTCGGACTTTGGCTGTTGCATTGCTCATATGTGCCGGGAGGATATCAGCAGTGCGTTATACGCTACTTTTGCAATGCGCCATGTCAGGGCTAACATCTGATCCTGGGATGCAGAAGTCAAGAACACCTTCAACAGCTGGTGCCTCACTGCGTCCGGTCAAGGTCTCCCCGCTAGCCCGTCGACGAATTGCTCTTCGTACGACTCGAATCCATGGGGAACGGGCACGTTATCGAGTTCAAGCTCTGCGCGCTCATCAACTGCCTCGCAATCTACGAATTCAACCCCCATTATCCCCGTACTCACCGGGAGAGTGATCGGTGGTATTGTCGCTGGATGCTTGGGTGTAGTAATCCTCTTGTGTGCTTGGGTATGGTATCGGATTCGTCTCAGCAAGAAGGAGGCGGGGTGTGAGTGCCCGTCGAGATCCGGACCACGCCCTGCTACACCACCTCCACCTTATTCAGCGGAAGCACCGCAGATTATCGAGCTTGATCACCGTGATCGCAGTGATCGCAGCAAGGATGATCCAACGGCAGCCCCTGGTCAGATCGTGTGATCGCGTCTCTTATGACGCAGTTTCCCGTCGGGATTCAAGCAGACATTAGCTTAATTCCACTAGGGTGTCCGGATCAGATTAAAGGCTAGTTGATGTTAGCAATGAATAATGATAAAATCTTCAATCAAAGCATTGCCGAGTTCATTGTAGAAGTACCAAAGTGGAAATACTACAGTATCACTACCTGCCATCTCGGCTGATCCCGCTGATAACCACGTCAGGCGGATCAACCATTTTCCCGCCTCGTCATCATCGCTGATAGAAGATCCGAGCTCAATCCCCGCTCCTCCGCTCCTTTGACGCTGCGGTGCGGAGACCCGTTAACATCCTGCGAAATTGCTATTGAGTATTTCTGTTATTGCGATCCTGCCACTTCGCACAGTTTGCGGTCGTAAACTCGAAAAACATTCAACCCAACTTCGCCGCATCCCCGAAGTACCCCGCCCACCATGCAGTCCGTCCCGGAGTCACGCCAGCAGACCTTCGAGGAGATCTATGGTCCCCCGGAGAATTTCCTCGAGATTGAGGTGCGTCGCATACCTCCCCAGGATACCCTCTGTTATATAGAACAATCCTCCGGGCCCCTGATGCTATTTCATGCTCATCCCCTACCCTTTGTACCCCGCGATCCAAGCGCAAGCTACATCTCCAATCCACACACGACCCGCACACACAACCACCATTCCACACTCCAGTTCTAACCCAGCCCAATAGGTACGCAACCCACAAACCCACGGCACATCCCGCAACATGTACACCTCCTACGAAATCGTCTGCCGAACCAACATCCCCGCCTTCAAGCTGAAGCACTCGGTCGTGCGCCGCCGGTACTCCGATTTCGAGTATTTCCGCGATATCCTCGAGCGCGAGAGCACGCGCGTGACTATCCCCCCACTGCCGGGCAAGGTTTTCACCAACCGGTTCAGTGACGACGTCATTGAGCACCGACGCGAGGGACTTCAGCGGTTCCTGCAGATTGTTGCGGGTCATCCGTTGCTGCAGACGGGAAGTAAGGTGTTGGCGAGTTTCATACAGGGTGCGTGCATATAACCAACTTCTCCATGCATTCAATACTCCAAGTCCCTGTTGTGGACTTTTGCTAACATAATTTTTGATCTTAGATCCGAACTGGGACCGCAATGCGTGGTAGATTCGCAGTACATTAGGCTCTCCCTACTTTCTCATTTGTGATTATCTCTTGTTCGTTTTCCATCTACTCAGCACCTTGAGCGAGGGGTCTTTTTTTCTCCTTTCTAGCCCTTTTTTTTCCTTTTCGAGGTTATTGTTCCTGTTTCCAATCGCAGGAGTGTTGTTTCCGCAAAAGGAACTGACAGGTGTACGCTATTTGGTCACTCATCCTGCGCTTTGGTTCAATAGTTTGATATCCGATCTTGTTTCGTACTCGTCCATGGTTGGTTCATAGTCATGGTGTCACTGGGAGCAATTGAAACCAGTCTGAGCTTGAGCCTTGATTCTGTGTAGGAATGGCATGTCCGAATGTCATAATGTTCAAGGAGGGTACATATGATACAATTGGCGGTGCATGTTACCCAGTCCAGGATGGATATTCCATCTCCTGTGGGGATCTTCCCTCTGATTGTAGAATTACTCTTATCTCGCTTCAATCTCCAATCTCGGAACTCGGAGCCACTCGAATCTGCCTGCCAGATAACTACGCTGCGATTAAAAGCACGAAACATATTGAAAGTTGAAATCAACTTGGATTTAAACTGTTCAACCATAAGGTTCTGAAGGGGAGAGCCATCGTATACTGCGGGATATCAAGTAAACAATCAAAACAAAATAACACCCAGTGTGAAGAAAGGGATCATCAATCATGTAACAAAATATTGGGCAAGAAAAAGAAACACTTTTGTAGAAATATTGTTCAACCGAGATCATCCCAAACCATGGGCGCAAGCGTATTATCCTCCCAAGGCGACGGAGCCCCTCCGGCAGCATTTTCATCGGACGGGAACGAAAGCGCACCAGGCACCATATTGTCCAAATACCCCTGTGGCGGAGGCAAGAACGCTGCATCTAGCGGCCCAGCATTGGCATTTGAAATGCTAGACGGGTGCCGGCTATGGGACTTGGGTCGACGGTGGCTTGTGGGCTGGGCCTTTGTCGGGGTTGACTCGTTACTTGCATCCCGATTCTGAGACGACGGTCCCGGTGTACTGGTCGCCGGGGCCTGGCCTTGGGGTTGTGAATTGATGGCTTTGCCACTGACTGAGCCTCCATCGCGGTATGCGTGTGGAAATTTTGTGCGGAAGCGGTCACGTAGATCAGTTGCTCTGCGGTGACCGAGGCTGAGTCGCTGGTCTTGTTGGATCAACGTCCATTGGAAACCATGGACGGCGTAGCCTTTGAGGAGTGCCTCGTCCTCGGCAGTCGTGAATGGGCGGCGTGAACGTCTTTTTGATTTCGTTGCGACGTGTGCTTCTGGGAGGCCCAGGGATGCTAGGGTTGATTGGGACTGGGTAGAGGATATTGATGCACTCTTCTCTGGAGGAGACTGTTGAAGTGGAGTAATGAGACCCCCGCGCTCTGTATCTGGCGTGCCAGATGACATGCTAGATGCAGATGAAGTGAGTGAGCTGCCGGGAGTACTTCCGTGGCTAGAACTCGGTCCGGACCCGGCATTGACAATGTTTCGCTCGGGCAGCTGAATGTTGCCAGGCCTGTTGGCAGAGCCGTCTGCTTGGGCTTTGAGGAGGGCATTGGCAAGCTGGTCCCGCAATTGCTTTGTGGCTTCATTTGGATCAGATGCACTTGTTTCGGGTTAGTCGACGTGATCTTTAGCTTTGAATATAGACCAACTTACCGATACGCCCAGGGGCAACACACTCGAAACCTATCGCAAAGTCAGCCAATGGATCAACAAAGTGGGAGTTAATATAGATCATACCTGTCTTTCAAGTTTGAGGCTGTTCTCTTATTGAACTTAAGTTCCGGCTGCGCGAGGATCGCAGTCCAGTTGCCAATACCACACTTGACCACACCGCGGAGCAATGCTGTTGTCTCCTCGTCGGTCCATTTTCTCAAGTTTTTGCGAGATCGGCCTCGCGTTTTGGGAGACATGGGCTCCTCGTCAGGTGTTGGAAGGGGATGAGGCGTAGGCCCATTTTCTTGGATATCATTTTCCCGTCCTGTTTGGGAAGTATCCGGATTATCATATTGATTGATTGGTTGCGCATTGTCATGATCATGGTCGTCGTCATCGTTGTTATTGTCATCAAGGGTTGCATCAAGAAGCTCTTCAATCCTAGCTTCTCTTCTTTCTACAGTCTGGCCTTCAACAGGGGTGCCAATAGTGCCATTTGCGGATATCGGATTGCCAGTATCCACGGCCGCGCCATTCCCTTGCGAAGGCTTTGTTAGGAGCTGGGAGATCGAGGAGCCAGCCTCAATTGGCGGCAAGAGAGCAGCGTTTGGAGGCGGCTCATTCAGTCCATTTAGAATAGCAAAAGGGCCAAATGGTGGCGGGCGTTGTTCTTTCTGGGTCTGAGGAATGGGTAACTGCAAGTGTTCGCTGAAAGACTCGGCCTGCAAATCTAAGCGCCGACGCTTGCGCGGCCCATGGAGGGCATCGTCGTCGAAAGAAGATGAGAATGGAAAGCGTTCTAGAGCGCGGAGGTTTACAAATGCTGGAAGAATAGGTTTGGGCGGTGGTTCCACATTCGATTGGGGATCTGTCGTGGCGGACTCGGCCTTTTTAGTTCGCGCCGCGTTGAGGAACTCTTTCACTGTCGGGAGGCCCGCCTTGGTGTTTGATGGATGGTTTGCGCCACTTGGGGCAGTCTTGGAGATTGTACTTGAATCACTCGCGCCGCTGGCGTTTGGTTCTAAGGGAGACGGGATGCTGAGAGTTCGTGAAGACACTGGCTCTCGCAAAGGAGCGATACGCAAGGGCAGTTGAGGAAGCTCGCGGAGTAAAGGTTCGTCGAGAGGGCGGAGGGCCCCAGGAGGATCCATTTTTGTAGCTCATTCAAAGGTAGAGTCCCGCTAGAATGTTTATATTTTCCGAAGGACAAGTAATTGATTTGATCATCCATAATGAGTGTGCCAGTCGGCCATTTCTTTCGTTTCGAGATTGGCAAAGACCAAGTTGACTGAGTCTCGATAACGCGTCCCCGATAACGTTTTGGTACGGGCGGTGAGAAAGACCATAAGTGCAGCGCATACGTCAGCCAGCGACTCTCCAGCAAGATCGACCGACCGAGTTCTGTTCTACATTTCTTCTTTGAATTGTATTCATTTGATCCCTGGTGTGTAGGGAATTGCGTCTTTTTTCTAGTCCATTCATTAACTCCCATCTCATTGTTTCCGGTCGTGTCGCTGCAAGGCGCCCTGTGAGTGCCTCCCCACTCCTCCCCTCTCCTCTCCGCGGAGGTTAAAGCTTCCCTGAAGTTTCAAGGGAACCTGCTGCTGGCGACTGTCAGATCTACCGAAGCTAGACCAGACTAACCATTAACAGATTTTATACAAAATGCCGACCATCCTCCCACCCTGGCCACATGTTCTATTCGGCATTCTTGAGCCTCTTTCCTTGTAACTATACACCTTCCCGTCCTCTTCCGTCCATCCTATTAAGTCAGTCACTCATTCTCGTTCCATTGCAGGGTTCTCGGAAGCCTCGCCCCGCTGTATGACCTGAACGGCTTCATCGCTGGTCAAACACCCCAAGTAGACCCTCCCTCCGCCCATCCCAGCAGCCTCTCGCTAGCCTACCAACTCGGCAACCTATACTCCCTCCTTTTCCTCGTCGGGGTTGCCGTATTGCACACAAGCACAGAACCCAAGGTCGTGCGCAATTACCTGATCGCCCTGGCTATTGCAGATGTCGGTCATGTCTACGCCACGTATCTGGGGATGGGTTGGGCTGCGTTTGTGAATGTTGGCGCGTGGAATCCTCTAACTTGGGGGAACATTGGCGCGACCGCATTTCTATTCATCAATCGTTTGGCTTATTTTGTGGGGATTTTCGGGACTGCGACAGCGCCGAAGGTGGCAGGGAAACGAGAATAAAATGCGCGATGCTGTTGACCAGCTGCGTTGTAACTGTAGGGTCAAAATTTGGGCATCCAACCGTGCAATAACTGGGTGGTGTTATCCGCTGTCAGATTGTATTGGGATCAAATGACTTTTCAAGGAACGAAATAATCTGGCGCTTCGGGCGCGTGGGTTTGATTTGATTTGTAAAGACTTTGTAGCATAGCACATTAGGATTTATCCCCTTCCTCATTCTAGTACTGAGTCTCCTTGGTTCACAGTTGCCTGTCACAGTTGCCTGATGGCAGATGCGCTCCGATTTGTTGCAATGGGCCGGGCTGGACTACTTACTGCCTGCTCTTAACAAGGCTTGGTATACCTCTCTTCGGCCCTCACAATTGTGGGGCAGACTAGAAAAACGAACAAGGGAAGATGATGCAAAAAAAGAGATTATTTGTATAAACTCGACTCAACGCCAGACGCCCAGCGTTGCAAATTTCAGCATGGGTATAGCGTAGAAGTACATAGTTCCCTCAAAATCCGAAGCAATCTAAAACAGCAATGCAAGTCAACCCAAACAAGTTTCATCCGTGTACTCGCTGCGCCTTGATAATGACATTAAGAGACAAACAAAAAGGTTCGAAAGAGCCCCATGTCATACATAGCCCTGTTAGCATGACCACCTGCAGCCACCTTCGGCCACACACGAAGCAGAAGCAGTCACTTCATTTCTCTCACCGACCCCAAGGCAGGGTATGAGTTAGCGTCGATCGACCAATCTACGTCTTGGCTGCCATTTGATTTTGCAGATATTGAAGCAAGGGCTGGATGGCAGATTCCCCATGCTGCTGGTAATCCCGAAGATGGGGAATGAGGAATGGGATTCCGGGATGTTCACAGTACTGCTGGCGATAGGATGCATAGTTTTCGGCAGGATTGGTGATGATGACTACTTCGGGTGGAAGTATTGGATCTAAAAAGACCATTCCACCAACGGTACTATTCAAGCTGCGAAAGCGAGTCGTAGCGGTGTTGTATCGGTGCAGACCAACGGTGAGAGCCGTCAGCGAGTGGTAGTTTCTAGCATCAAGGAGGGCCTGCAATTGTCCCATTAGAATCCGAGTATTGTATTCGTCACACGGGTGAAATGCTTACTTCGGCGCATTCCCGTAGGAATGGGACAATGTCAGGTAATGCCGCACAGCATTCCCAAACCGACATACTGAGATCGTGCCAATTTGTCAGAAGTCCTCGCATTAGAGAATCATTGGCAACGATGTTCTGTCGGGATAATCCGGAGAAATTGAGCTCGTCACTCCCTGTCATCGTACGGGCCAGGTCCTTCGGCGACGTCGAATTCAAACAGTCTTCCAAAAACAGAATAGTAGTGTTAAGCGGCACATGCCACTCCATTTTGGCGGTATGGATATATTGACGTCGGAAACGGAAGGCCAGAACACTAAATATCTTGAGGATGGTGGTCAAGCTGGGAGGTTGGTCTCTAAATAGCATCTGGACAGGGCCTGCTATGAATTCGAAGCCTGGGGTGAGAGTCTGAGGCATATCGTGGGCTGCGTCTGGCTGTAAGGTGCGGATGCACTGCATCAATGCCCGATGGGCAAAGGGACTCTGAGTCCGTAAATGCTTTGATGGCGGTTTAGTGTAAAGGGTTGAGTAGTCTCATGGACGGGCTCAGCTCACCTTCTCCGCTTCTATATAGAGAGGGATTTCCTCTGGGTAAATCTGAAGATGATTGAAAAGATAAACGTATAGAACAGCATGCTGATGCAGGAACCATTCGACCGAGACCGCATTATATCCAAGAGAGGCACGCACAATCTCTTCGAAGGAGATTTTGCGGAACTGGTGATGGCTTTCTGCTTCGATTGCATCGGCAATTTCTTGAGCATTTAGATCATGGCCTGGCGGCGGAGGAAACCACATCCACGGCGCTGGTTGAAATGGCGAAATTTTGCAACGGCGTAGAATTTCCTCAACTCTTTGCAAGTGAGAGAGACTCCCTAAAAGCTGATGCTCTCGTGGATCCGACAGCGCCACGAGAAATGCGTCAATGGTGTCCGCGTTACGACTCAAAAGCGAGTTCCGCGGAAAGTTCTCATCTCGAAAAAGTCCGTACCGGATGACTTGGCGAATCTCGGGGATATTAAATGCCCACAGAACAGTAGTAGCCTCGTCCTCCCACCAGCGATAAGGGACCACGAACCGTGGGAATTCTGCGCCAATTTGGAATAGAGATGGATAAGAGAATTGAGTCGAGTCCGGTGCCACAGACCGAGGGGATATAGGTTGCGACATTTCGAGCCGCGTCCGCTGCAATGGTGAGGCGTTGATGGAATTTGATGACCGTAACATGGAAAGCTGGTCATGCCAGGGTTCCTCGGTACAGGTTGATTGCATTTATGCGTTCACCACGCCTCCAAGACAAGATCTTAGAGACAAACACATTGAGCAAAACAAGAGACCGTGGCGCATATGAGGCGGCCCTAGTGGTGGTGTTGGAGGAATGGAATCGAAGAGAGACGAGATCCACAACTAGGGAACGGATGCTATGGGCTCTTTAGAGTAGAAAAGAACTATAGGGGGGCTAAGGAAGGGGAAATAAATAATAATGCAGATGGGTGGGGGAAGATAGTCAAGTATTATAGAAAATAAGGTACTGTAACAATACTTGATTGTTTCTGGGGGGAGAATAGAATATAACAGGGCTTACGCTCCGGGTCATTCGGAAGGGGGCGAGATGATTGGATTTTATGAATGGGCAGGACAATCTCCTTTTATCCCTGCTGGTCACCGTGCTGCCACGTTAGACATATCACGAGGAATATTGTTAATGGGAACACTGACCGAAAAAAGGATGACTGGGTATATTGAAAACGGGGAGGGGCGCGAATCCCGTCCCAACCTGCTGGGAAGAACCCGATGGGCAGGGAAGCCTAGGGGAAAAGGGGGCAAGATTGACCATCACAAAACACGTATGCTTCCTTAAAGTGGCTCCAGATCGGCCGGGGAGGTCCTGCGTGTCTCCACTGCAAAGAATGGTCCCCTGGCGGCGAACTACTTAGTTACTGCGCGCTATCGTTGCGTTGCGCCGTTTATACATAGATTCTGACTCGCTGCGCTGGTTGCCGAATCGCGATCCCGTTTTTCTATGCCGAGCACCCGTTGGGCCTGCAAAGCAGTCGAGTTATTAACATGACGACCAGGTTTTGGAATTGATTATACTTCCTATCTTCTCTACAGCAAATTCTTTGGTCCAGGGAGAAATCGGTTGGGAAGCGGTCAGTTCGATGCCATTGTTTGACTTTCTAGAAGTATTTCGAAAAGTACCGGGCATTTACCTACTATGAACATTGAACATTATTCAAGAAATTAAATAATCGGATTATTTCCCCCTGCTTGGGATGAAGTAAATAAAAGGTACTTGTACCGCCGATAGAGCTCAGGCATGCTACAGAGATGAGTCATTATTTCCTTTCCTTTTTATTTTGGGCTAGAGGAAACCAATCGACCACCGACAATCTTTATTACAGATTTCACATTTACCTTAATCACACTATTCAAATGGGGTCGGGGACCTTCACTTGGCGTTATTGCTAATATTAATGTTACAGTATTATTTCATAGAAGCAGAGACCCATAACACTAAGCTAAAGCGAGCGGCGGGAACTGGCGATCATGATGGAATCCAAATCGGGGACCAGCGGGGAGAGCCTGCAAGGCGTTGTAAGGCGGTTAGAAAAATCGAAGTTCTGTGGCTTTCTGTTCCTTTCTGAATGATTTCATAGAGAATCGCTATCGGTCATTTTCTATAATCAATCCAGATCAGCCCAACGGTACCCCGGCAATTTTGAAGCCCGATCGTCTTCGATGATGGTTGCGGTCTGGAAGGCAACATGTTGTGGCCGAGATAGGCGGACGCTGGCAAAGGGGTCCGATCCACCGCTAGAGTAGGGAGGGTAAGTATGACTTGAAAAATGCAACTTGATCTCAAAAATATGAGCAGTCGGGCCATTAAACTTTCCGCCCTGGACGCTGATCACCAAGCGATTCTTTGTGCTGGGACTATAATTCAGATACAAAAGACGAAGAAACATCGTGATATCCCGAACGATCCTGCTGCTATTCTTTTCCATTTCAGCTTAGTCGTAGCTCTGTAGGAACCTGCTGGCTGTCAAGTATGACGCCAGGTTGTTTGCCCATCGTCATGGAGTCGACAGTCTTGCTACACCGCCGGAATCCACAGTCGCTCGAGCATATTGGCTCTAGGTGAAAGAATAATAGAAAGCCAAAACTTTGGACCATCAGTTCCTGAATAGAATATTCAGATAATACTGACGATGATACTAGATAACGCCCATGGTCATTAAAACACGAATCAAAGTGGCCAGCTTGTATTCAATCATTCCAGGTCATGTTCTTGCACGGTGATTCGCCCCGCCACTGATGAAATCACCCCACATACTGTGATACAAGGAGCTGCATTGGTTGAAGACCTCCTCACAGGAATAATAGGAATCTCATCTATACAATCTGCATAGCTGCGTGATGCGCAGAAAACGTCATCTAAACTCTCCTGCCACGTGAATGTCGTTAAAGGCTCAGGAATTCTCTGGGAGCGGCAACAGGAACCCAGGTCCAAGGCACTGGGAGCCGGATCTCGGTTGATCCACAGGTCCCAGAGCTTGGGGTGGATCTTACAAGAGCATGGCAGTTGCTTGATATATGATTTCTATATCAACGCTTCTGATCGATTTTTAAGTCGATTAGATTGAAGATTTTGGACATGCAGCGAGTAAACTCGCAGAGGAGGGCAGTCGGCAAGTCACTGCTCCCCTGTGCATTGATAGCGCTGCACCAACGCCCCTGAACCAAGAATTATACCCTGTGAGAAAATGAAAAGTGAGACAGACTTGGAACAATCTCTTGTCTTCCAAGTAATAGGTCAATGTCTTCCATCGTGGGTCTTGTGTCGCATATATGAATTCTCGGTTTCAGGAAATTAGTAGGAGAGGTATTCCGCCACTTAGAATGCTTGACGAAAAAAACTGACGACTAGAAGAACGGGAAAGAACATGTAGATGGACTCCGTATGGAGCGACCTAAATCTCATGAACGGGGCGCTACGACGCTGAATGACAATGTTGCATGGACCAAAATCTCTGGAATTTCACGATTGTTATGTTGTCGTGCATATTTCGGTATGGTAGTACTGGAATCCGGATACACTTTCCATGTGGAGCCGAGTGAGCGTGTCGGTCCGGCCAAGAGATGATACATCAGATTCTCCGATGAACAGCGAATAATCGAGCCGGATCATACGCCATCGGAGAAAAGCAAAACAATGGCATACAGTTGAAGGCTTCGACAGCTGCCTCATGATTTGGCGCGCACAGTGTCTTACTATGGAGAGGGCCGACCCTAGATTGCAGCCACAAACTCCACAACGGAGACATAGCCCCCCGGAGAACCTGCATGGCTTGTTAGAAAAATCGTTTCTGTTTTCGTGAGGGTCAATTACTGAAAATCATTGGTTAGCCATTTTACAGTGTCTTGGCGAAAGTGATGTCTTTCCTCTCCTCTCATACGTCGATCGGTCGATCGAGCGTAGTTCGCGGCGCACTAAAGACCGCGCAAAGGGGGTTTTCATTCATGTATCAGTACCAAGAACTCCACTCAGGAGATTGAGGTGGATGCATTTCGTCTCGTGCACTGCGGATTGTATTTCCTTTTGCATCATTAGGCTTTGCCTAGCACCAGCCTGCTGTCCTTGAAGCCTATACAGATTTACAGCTACAGCACGGAGTGCGCCATCATCCACGGTGGCTTTCTGTCTCCACAGCGGAAACCTGGTGTTGGAGTACAGCATTGGTGTGGCCCAGATTCACTTCATGTACTCCGTATGGAGTACACTGGAGGTAGTCAAAAGGTCGCAAATTTAACGCTCTTGCAAGCCATTGGCTGGTTGGGGCTAATTGAAGGAAGTGTCCTCGTTCCTTTGAGAGTGACAGCTGAACTGCTTGCGTTGCACGGTTGTTTCAACTTCCCAGTGGAGACCGACTGGCATCGTCATGATCCCATTGCCATCAGAATATCTGCGAAGATGCAAGACATCTTCTCACTTTCCTTATTTCAGTATGCAATTAGTGGCGCAGGAGGGGAAATCTGCCTCCCGCGTAACCCGGTAAGAATGGGGGCCCTGCTCAGTGCCTCATACATATCAGCAGACGCTCGGTTATTGCTAGATTATTCAAGGCTGACTGTATGGCTTCTTTTAGCTAAGCCTACTTAGTCCGTCATCCTACTAAAGTAGCTCATTGAACTTGGAAAGAAGGGACTAAGCTCTTGCAAAAGCCGATGTTCTAGGCCACTAGGTCTGTTCTAGATTTGGGCGTGAACTACCAAGGCCCGAGAGCTTGACAGGCTTGATGGAGATATTCTCCATATGGAGGGTTTGGTTAGATTGCTATATATAACTAGTATAATGATAACGCTAGGGCCCCTCCAAGCTATGACTCGTGTCCATTCTAGTGCCTTATGGTCCCAAGTCTTACGGGTAGAGCCATGTACACGACAAATACCCACTTCTGGTGTGCACATTTCTCGATGCTCAATGAAGAGGACCTAAAGAAGCCCCAATCTCGCTACGAGGCAGGTATCCGAGAGCCACGACCAATATCAGATTCTTAGATGAAAAAAGCGCCCAAGATTGCCCCAGGAACCATGTTGACGGTAAGTTCAACGCAAGGGGCTTCATGGGGGCCTTTGAACTCTATCTCCAAAAACCCAGTCCCTTGGTACCTGCCAACATTTGGAATACTCTTAGGGCATGCAATTTAATGACATTCAGTAAATACACATCGGTTAGGGGGCTGATAGGCAATTGAGCTTACCGTTGATAGATCTTGGAGTCAACCTACACCGCAGTCTCTTTTACACACCACCACTGCAAATTCAGACAAGGATTCCCAGGCCTAATCAAATGTCGGTGAATGGATAATATGGTAGACCAAGAACAGTTAGGCAAACACCAATCCGAGATCTCAGAAACATCATGTACACTCTCATGCGAACCCCATAACCTTATCTTCCTAAACTTCGCTTGCTGAAGTTATCACCGCTTGTTCTGTTCGCTGGGCACATTGCCCTGCCTATCATCGTTTACCTTCTCCAGGCCCACAATAGCTGCCCGAAGTATATCTACTGGCATGGACAATGACATTCATTAAGAATTAGGAGTGCGGGATTTGCGCGCCTTGGCATGCATCTCCTCGGTGCCTGACTGGCCCAACTTTGCCTACGGAGAGGTGGACACTTGCTTAAGCAGAGCAAGCGATTTGAAAATTGGCATCTTGAAGATTTGTGGATGTCGAGCCCGGAGATTAATAAAGAATTAAGGGATACCTATCCGAAACTGGAGGCAGCTTCCGAAGGGGGCTTAATGCTCCGTGTATATGGGTATCTATCCGTGTACGCCGAGAAAGATATATTTAATCACGAAAGAAGCTATGTACCTAGACATTGCACGTTAGGCTAGCAACTTTCCAACCTGAGACCAAGATATATTCCTAGATTGGACACCCACGCATGCTCGTATATTCAGTCAACTGCTTGGCAATTCTCGACTAATATTATCTTTTGGCCTCGTAGAGCGTGACTAATACCGTTGCTTCCATTATGTAGATGCACGAAAAAGTATACAGGCTGGATAAAGCCATGGCCTGGGACAGCCCAACCTTTCTATGAGGCATGGCAGGGTGTGGCTAGTCATGGGGGCAGTATGCATGTGCCTCAAGAGTGTCATCAGAACAGCCGGACAGCGCACGGGGAACCGTTTGATGGGGAGGTTTTGAGCTCGAGGTCCCTCACATTGATCTACGAGTCCCTAAGCCACATGATGTACATACGGGGGAAGAGCAAGTCCAACCTAGGTTGATCGAGAACCACGAGACAAGTAAGCAAGCAACAGAAGACAGAGTAGATATAACAAACGAGGGTGGGAGAGGTGGCAGGCCCAGGGAATTTAGTACGGTCATTGAATCATTCAAGAAAAGACAACGTCAAATAGGTATCATATCACTCGGAAACAGGACGGTCATCCCGTCCCTTATTTGTTTGCTATGGTTCGAATCTACGGAAAGAAGCACCATCCAAGCCCATAAAGCAAGACAGGACGCCGTTTCCCAACTGCTGTGTGGTTAATTTTTTGGGGTTGCTTGGTCACTATCAGTACCCACCCGAAGGTCAGAAACTAATGATGGCCAGCATGCTATCCACTAACGTCATGAGACATTTAGTTGGCGATAGCGTGGGCGCGGCGGCGGTCACGCTCCTCAGAGATGGAGAGCTATAGGAATTGTTAGCTACATGTAAAGAGAGAACATGAGGAGTAGGAACGAGGATAAGCGTACCTTGACACCCTTGCCCTTGGGGAGGGAGATCCAGGGCTTCTCCTGGCCGATGACGAACACGTTGGACTCGCGGGTAGCGAAGGTGTTGTCAATGGCATCCTTGATGTGCAGGATGTTGAAACCACCGTCGTGGCGCTCACGGTGAGTGATGACACCAACACGACCCATGTTACGACCACCAATGGCCATGGCGACAACACCGGTGTCGAAGCGGACGAAGTCAGAGATCTTGCCGGTGGCAATGTCAACCTTGACGGTGTCGTTGACCTTGATGGCGGGGTCGGGGTAGCGGATGCTGTAGAAAAGAAGCCCAAATTAGCAAACCTTTGTCCTGTGCTGGTTGCAATCTTACAGAAGTTCGATTCATCCCCCGTTGATCAACCAAAGCTTGGTCCAACGACTGAATGATACGGAACTTCGAAGAGAGTTTGCACTCACGTTCGCGCATCGTGCGTAACCAAGAATGGGATCCCGCCCTTGCCAAGCTGAACACGCTTGACCTTGCAGAGCTTGAACTCAGCCTCCTCGGCCTGGATGCGGTGGACGGTGAAGCGGCCCTTGGTGTCGTAGATGAGACGGAAGTGCTCGCCGGTCTTCTCGAGAGAGATGACGTCCATGAAACCAGCGGGGAAGGTGGTGTCGGTGCGGACCTTGCCGTCGACCTTGACCAGGCGCTGCATCATGATGGCCTTGACCTCGCGACCGTTGAGAGCGTACTTCAGACTGTTCGAAGATAAAAAAAAATTAGCCCGTTTGGTTCCGGCAATTCACATATCGACTGTTTTTCGAGGCAGAGCGTTGGAATCATACCGGTTACGGATGAAGACGATCAGAGGCAGACAGTCACGGAGCTTGTGGGGACCGGGAGAGGCCTTGGGCGCGTAGGTGCCGGACATTTTGTCCAGCAGCCAGTGCGAGGGCGCGCTAAGGCGCTTCTGGTGCTTCTTACTGTAGAGGCATTGCGGTCAGTCTTGCGAGTTCCTTGATCAAATTTTTTTTTCGATCTCTCAGCAGAGCGACGATTTCGAGAATTTCGAGACCCAGTGTGAGGGGACAAAACAAGTGTCGTCGCTTGCGAGGGATCAAGAGGATGCATTTTCGTAGCACTTACGGTCCGCGAGCCATTGTGATAGATTTTGTCGACCGGAGTTGGGTTGTCGAAGAGTCGCGATCAGTGAGGAAACGGGTAGCGTAGATTAACAAAGGCACTTCGCTTAGCTCGATTGTGGGTTGTGCCCTAGGCCGCGCTAGTCCCAAACAGGAACGGTACCGTCCAAGTGACCCGCTTATGTTATCGCTGCTTATCGCTTATCGCCTATCGCCTTCCCATTTAGGAAACTAAATTAAATCGTCGCTTGTCGAGGACAAATGATGTACTGAGTAGCATACTTAGTTTTCAAATAACCTACACCTTTCATCATACTTTTAGTCTATCTGGGACCCCAGTGGAATGACATTATTTGACATCGCTGAAAAGCTCCACTTTTCCTTTCGTATTTACATTTAGATGTAACCTTTGATGACAGCCACCTCAGCGTTGAGGATAGACGAGCCAGCAGCGCCAATGACGGTATTATGCGACAGAGCAGCGAAACGGATATCAAAGTAGCCACCCTCGGCACCATCACGTACACGACCCACACTCACAGTGTAGCCCTTGGAGATGTCACGGTCAAGACGAGGTTGAGGACGATCGGGCTCGTCGAACACCTTAATAGCCAACTCCGGCGCAGAGGGAGCGCCAAGCTTCTGGGCCTCAGACTGATACTCACGCATCGCCTGCACAACCTCCTCAGCCTTGGGGGCAGGGCGGTTCTTGAAGCGGAGGGAAACGAAAGCCATGTGACCATCAGTGACACCAACGCGGGTGCAAGTAGCACCGATACGGAGACCGGCCTGCTCGTTGAAAGCAGTAGCATCAGCGTTCAGAGATCCGAGAATCTTCTGAGCCTCGTTCTCCAGCTTATCCTCCTCGCCGCTGATGTAAGGAATGACGTTGTCGACGATATCCAAGCTAGGAACTCCGGGGTAGCCAGCACCCGAGATGGCCTGCTCAGTGAAGACCTCGACCTCCTCAACAGGGCCGAACTTCGCTTGGATCGCGGCAAAGGGAATGACAATACCGATAACAGCACAGTTGGAGTTGCAGACCAGGAAGCCCTTCTTCAGACCGAAGTGCTTGCGTTGGTGAGGAATCAGATCCATGTGCGAGGGGTTGACGGTGGGGACAACCAAGGGAACAATGGGGTCCTTGCGGTAGTTCTTCGCGTTGGAGAAGACAGGGATTTCCGCCTTGATGAAGGCCATCTCTGTTTTGAGCGTTAGCACGCCGTATTCGGGACATATCAAGGGGAAGCTCCAGAGTAAAGGCCCTTACCAGTCTCGCCGGCGATGTCACTGTTCAACCCAGAGAAAACCAAGTCACAGTCCGTGAACAGCTCAGCCTTGCACTCACGAAGGACGAGGTTGCTCAGCTTCTCTGACATGGGAGCAGACTGCTTCCACCGAACGGCATCCTTGTACTTCTTGTTGGCGGAGCGCTCGGAAGCACCCACGGCATGAAGCTCCAGGAAGGGGTGATCAGCCAGCAGAAGAATGAAGCGCTGGCCCACGGATCCGGTGGCACCCAGAACACCTATAAGTATCTATTAGCACACATGGAGACATTTTTTGGGAGAATGATGAAGACTTACCGCACTTCTTCTTGGGATATGAGGCTGCCATGTTGCACAGGGTATCCTGAAGTCAAGGATGTGACTATTGGTCTTGAAGTCAGTTTCTGATATATCAAGCTGATCTGAAAGCCTCCTTGAGTGCAGTGATAGAATCTTTTCAAAGTATCAAATCGGGGAGCATCTGCCACGAAGATCTCATGAGTCAAGATCCAGACCACTGCCCCGCAGTGTGGATAACAGGGCATTGCAGCGTCAATTGCATCATTGATCTCATGGCAGACACATCTATAGGATTCTTGCATGTATGGAAGCCACGAAGACTCATCACTCACCTTTTTGACTTGTCGATGAAGATGAATTGCTTGTGGCAACCTGCGATTCACCTGCGATATCGCAACCAATTATCCCTGCCCCGCGATGACTCAGCATCCAGGGCGCGGGCAAAAAAATTTAGCCCCACATGATTGGCTCGTTATCATGGTCAGGGGCCCATCGACACCGGAGTTGGACTACTTGTCTCCGAACTTGTAATTACAGTTTGCTACAGTTGAGAAGTTGGTTCCACTTGATACTCGAATCCTACTCCCTGATACGGTCTTCAAATCTCCATACTTTTTACGGTACATAAGATGATCTAATTGTTCACAACACGTCTGACAGTCTCCTCCACACTTTCTAGCTTCAGTCCCAAAATATCGTTCGCCAGCTCTGTGTCCTTGACATAGTTTGAGTTGAGCCCCGGAGTGTTCCCAAACACCGTCGCGCGGACCAAGATGAAGGCGCCTTCAAAATCACCCGCAGCGAGCTTGACTCCGGCTTCACTAAGCTGGGCCTCGGTTGTGGTTTCCCGAACTGTCCACTTACTTTCGGTTGCCTTCTCTAGGGCCTCAAGGATCTCCAACTGAGTAGTCTCGACGGAGGCGACATGAAGATATTTGTTCTTGGTTTGCTCCGGGTTCTGCAGAACAGAAACAACTGATTGGCCCAGGGCCTTCTCGTTGATCAAGGTGAAACTCTTGTGGCCGCCGTCCCAGATGGTCGCCGTGCGATTAGCGAGGTCAAATTGCAAGAAACCATTTTCAAGTCCCTATCGAAGTGATCCATTTGCATCAGTGATTGCTCATCGCAGGATTCGCGGCGTACTTACCCAATCTAGCAAGCCTGAAGTTGCAACACCAGTCCAGGTCAGTCCATCAACTTCCTTGCTCTTCAGATACTCGATGAGTGCCTTCTTCTGCCCAAAAAGTGGCAGCAGCTGAATAACCGCATCATTCTGGCTATTCGCCGAGAACTCCGATGGAATAAATCGCTTGACACCAGCACGGATGGCTGCATCCACAAGTTTCTGTTGCTCGCTGAAACCAGTAGCACCCAATGCTGAGATCACAGCATCCTTGCCCTTGAAAACAGCTTCAAGATCCTCATCCGAGAAGTCGCTCTTGTGAACAGCAATACCCTCGGGAAACACTGCATTGCTTTCATTACGCGAAATTACCGTAATGGTAAAGCTGGACGAGGCCATCAGACCATCAAGAATGATTTTGCCAATGGCGCCGCTTGCCTAGACACCTGTCAATGATTTTCAAAGCCCGCATGAGAAGCCACTTAGCGTCACATACACCAACGAGAGCGATATTCTTGAAAGTTGCCATTGTTGTAAACCGAGATTCGAGCACTCTTCAACTTTGTATGATTTCCTGTCGCGTCTTTCTTCTCGATAAACAACCCCTGTGAGGGAAACAAGGCTTGATTTATACTGTTTACCCCCAACTAGTCCTAAAATTACCGACAAGAACGATATATGACAGACATTCGTATTGAAACCGTCTTGTAATATTTCATACAGATGTCGTTTTACACAGGACAGTAGCTGCTTTACGAACCGCGTCAGCTCATCCTCCCCCTGTCTATTTGTCAAATATCTTGTCAAGTTAGTACAAGCCCTGGACAAGCTACAGCTAATTATGGCGCGGCTTATGAAAGGCCCCAGGCCACTCAAATTTGAAGTATATCTATCGGTTTGAGTCTATACTATTCAATATCCAGGAACGATCAGTTTCCACTCGAATTTGATTCTTTTGAGGTCCTTTATGAATTGCAACTAGAGATTATATTTCATATGAGTACCTAATGAAGCATGTACAGTGTAAGCGACATTGAATTATCTAAACACTAATCCGGAAATAGGGTGATTACGTTCTCGCCGAGGGAGCTGGAGGTTGGCTGGCAGGATATTGCTCTTGAAAGCCAGGAAAAGTGGAATGCCATGGCGCTACACACTTCGCGTGCAGTGTGCTCTGGGGAGTCTACATATGAGCCGTGGTTAGAAATCCTATGTGCCTACATTGTGTGCGAGCAAGACCGTGCTCTGCCTCCTCTATTCTAGGAGCTTTTTGCTTCTAAGATGGGTGGTCCGGAGAACACTTACCGGCTGCCAAGCTCTCATTCGCCGTTCTTGAGAATGCTAGATCAATTGGGAGATCTGCTGCTGCGGATTGTCAATGCATGAATAATCTTCTAACCGCAGTCTATAGTCATGCCATGAAAGTCGGTTGAATAAAAAGGACGATTCAAAGTTTATCTGTCGGGACTAGATTGCCAAAATATTTGATATATGGTTGTCATCAAGGGTAGCGATACAATTATCAAAGGGGGGATAAGAGTCAAAATCATTAAAAGTGCCTTAAAAATCTTCACTCTTCCATGAGAACCAGGTGAGAAGAAAGACAACCAATCTTATTCTACAGAGATCGATCTCCGTTTCTACAAATCTCATTCCTATCTAAATTGCCTCGATGCACCAGACATGCGGGGAGCCGTGCCCACTTTTACCCACGCTCTAGGCTGCCTCGTTTAATTGGGGTCTTTGAGGGCTAGCTTACTATACGTCATATACCTTGACCGTAATTTACAAAGCTCGTAAAAGCAGCAAGAGCCGAGCCTCAAGTGAAACAAGAACCGGCGAAATTTCATGACATTACAGTAAACATGTAATAAATCCAAGTTCCGGGCATATGCTTGACCACAGTGCTTAGCAATGCGGGCTTTTGCACCCGCTTGTCCGCCAAAACCAATCAGCGGGACCAATGATGTAGGTAAGTTAGCACACTGCTTATTACTAAGCTCCACTTGTCTTTCAAGGCCGTCTGACTCTCATGATAAAGACGGACATGCCCCTCCGCTTGTCCGCTCCCACCAACCAGCCGTCCGCTTCCCCTTCAGAAACATACTGTCGACCTATTTTCGGGCATCTTGATACTACTCCATTATCAATCAATTTGCTTAGGTCATTTGCGACAATACCGAGTAATTTGCGAGGGATAATGAGTCAAGATTCAACCAATACCGTTGCAGCAAAATCCTGTCTAGAATGCCGTCGACGGAAAATCAAGTGTGACAAATCTATTCCTTGCTCGTATTGTGTGAAGGTCAAGATCAAATGCCGCTACCCAGCGTCGAATTCGGTTTCAAACAAAGATAGAAACTCGAGTTCAAGCAATGAGGTTCTCAGTGCTCGCATCAATGGAATTGAGAATACATTGCATTCCTTCGAGCATAGTATCTCCCAAATCTGGGACTTGCTGCAACAGAATCACCCACCAGCAAGATCTGGTGGAAACTGTTGCCAGAGCTGCGACACGCTAGTTGTGAATGACCAAACATTGTCGGTAGAGAGAACAAATCAGGTATGTTTCACCATTCAAGTATCCATATGTTTCATTCTAACAAGGCAGTAGGTGTCGACGTCTTTCGACTCTCACAGGCCAAGAACATATCAAAATCTTCAAAATGATCCGGCCTCGCAATGTTCACGGGACCATGACCAAGCGGAACCTCCACTTAGACTCTCTTCTACAGCATCCCTGGACTCTCTTCACCCGTCTCCAACCGCTATCTTCTTCATGTGGCAAAGGTATCTCGAGAGGGTTGATCCGGTCTTGAAGATACTCCACGCCCCGACCGTGCAACAAGATATTACGAAACTTCTACGAGACAAGTCCTACCTCGATTTAACTCGCCATGCTCTATTCTTCGCCATATACTACACATCAGTGATCACGATGTCAGCGGAGGAGTGCAGGGATGAGCTTCAGGAGTCTAAAGGAGAAGTTTTGAGAAGGTTAGAATTCTGGCGCCCAATATATATGGTATCTTACTCAGAGCAAAAGATTTCGGAACGAGCTGGAGAGGTCCCTTGAACGGTCTGACCTCCTCAACACATCGGACCTGATTGTTCTACAGGCGTTCGTGCTTTACATTGTATGCCTTATCCCTTACAGAGTAAATGAGCCAAGACTCACCATTCCGCTGATAGGTCTGTAGCAGATGCGACAAGCAAGGACCGGATACCAAGCGCCTGACAGAGGTCGCAATCAAGATCGCATTTCGGAACAACCTACATCGAGATGGCCTGGAGCTCAACATGTCCCCTTTCGAAGTCGAGATCAGACGGCGATTATGGTGGCAGATTTGTATCTTAGATGTGCGGACTGCTGAGGACAGTGGCTCAGATCCACATATTCTTTCAAATTCTTTCGACACACAACTTCCTTCCAATGTCAACGACGCGAGCCTCCACCCTGATATGAGTGAAATGCCCGAAGTCAATCCTGGGAAGACAGAGATGTCATTCACCCTTGTCAGGTTTGAAGGGAGCAATTTCGCACGGCGAATAGTCTTCTCCGATAAGTTTTGTCAAGAGAATTCCTACGAGATCCTATCAGCTCCCGAGAAATGCGTGGCCATCAATAAGTTCAGAGAGCAAATGGAGCGACAATATTTGTCACATTTGGACAAAGGTATCCCATTGGACTTCATTACAGCGGCCTCTATTCGTCTCATCCTCGTCAAACTCAAACTCACGGTGAACAAGCCGCGAACGAGACAGAACCAGAACCTCATCATGCAACCAAGCTTCCGAAAAACTTGCGTCGAGATTTTGGAACGTGCTCGCTTGCTGCGCCAGTATGAAAAGAGAAAGCAATGGCTTTGGCTATTCCAAACGTACATTGAGTGGGACGCCCTGTGCTATCTGTTTATTCATTTGTCGCTAGTTCCAGCAGGAGATGATGTACACTTGGCGTGGAGCGCTGCTAGTGATATCTATGATCATTGGAAGTATCATAGCGACACCTGTCTTGATCGCCGCTGGAGGAATATCGAGGAACTACGTTTTCGGGCTTTGCATGCGAGAGAACTGGTACACAGGGAGCCCAGTGTCTTTGCGACACCACCAGTGGACGGCATTTTTGAAGGACCAGAATCCGATCACGTTAATTCCTTGGATATGAACCTACTGAGTGAGAACGCACCAGCCAGGCAACCGGAAGTCGTTCCACCTTTACTGCAAGGTGAGGATATCACAGAGGGGCTAGAAATTCCTAGTGCTGGAACTGGTTGCCAATGGAGTGCAGGAATCTTCGAAAGATACTTTGAAGTGCTAGACTCGGAGAATGACTTGCACAGGTCGTGGCTTTAGGAAGTCATTTCTTGCTAAGGGTTCGGAAGAAGAGTTGGTGTCTTTGAGCTATTTACATATCATGTCTATAATCTCTCGTGGCAAGGCATGAGCCAATTCTCATGAATCTTCCTGGAGGTCAAAGATCTTGCCAGGATTCAAAAGCCAATGGGGATCAAGGGAGCGCTTGAGGCTCCGCATAACATCAATTGTACCTGGGCCGAGCTCTTTCTTCAAAGATCCCTTCTTACCCAAGCCAATGCCGTGCTCGCCCTGTGAATCCCTGTTAGTAAATCTTCCATATATTCCAACAGGGAAAGCCTGTTCATACCGTGCATGAGCCCTCCATTTCTAGCGCACGATCGACCATATCATAGACGACCTTCTCGACCCGGACTCGCTCCTCTGGATCTTGGCGATCGTACATTATGCTCGCATGGAAGTTGCCGTCGCCGATGTGTCCAAGGATACTGGCGAAGAGACCCAGGGAGTCCAATTCCTTCTTCGAGATTTCGATAATGTCGGGCAGCCTCGAAAGTGGTACGGCAACATCAGTCGACCACACTTCGGAGCCTTCCTTGCGCAGTGCCATCATACTCCACAAGGACTGTTTGCGAGCAGACCAGAGGTCGTGTGCTTCCTTTTCATCCTTCGCAAATGTAAATTCAACGGCGTTCTATGTTCCATATTAGTACACTTGAAAGGTGTAGCGCTTTCCATGTGTGGACGTACATTATTCTTAGCAAGCTGTCTCGTCAGATTGATGCTATCAGCGACACCTGCTGTAGTTCCGCTGAACTTGAAGAACAGAGTGGGAGAAACGCTCCAGGTTCTGCCAGTTCCACCTGCCTTGTTGATCACGTCCATCTGAACTTCATCCATGATCTCCATGCATTGGACCTGAATACCCTTCTTGATCAGCTGCATGGCCGTAGAAGCGCAGTCACGCACGGTCGGGAATGCCACCACTCCAACTCGAGTGAGCTCGGGGATTGGGACTAGCTTCAAGGTCGCTTCCGTCACAATTCCGAGCGTTCCCTCCGAGCCCACGAACAGTCCTGTGAGATTGTAGCCAGCGGAAGTCTTACGAGGACGTCTGCGTGTCTTGATGATATCACCATTGGCGAGGACGACTGTCAAGTTGATCACCGAGTCTTTCATTGTACCATACCGTACTGCATTTGTTCCACTGCAATTCGTACCGACCATACCACCAATCATCGCAGATGGACCAGGGTCCACGGGGAAGAAAAGACCAGTGTGCTTGATCTTCTCATTCAAATCCATCCACTGAATAGAAGGCTGTACAACAACATCCATATCATCCTGGTGAATATCCAGAATCCTGTTCATAAACGCAAAATCAATGGTCATCCCGCCGTAAGGTGCCGAGAAATTGGCTTCGAGGCTCGAGCCGCCCGAATAGGGAATCATTGGCATCCGGTACTTGTGGCAGACCTTGGCAATCTCGGCGACTTCTTCGGTGCTGGTTGGATAGGCGATCGCGACGGGGAGTCGGTCGGCATTCAAGCTTGACCATTCCGAGTAACCGTGTTGCAGCAGATCCTCGTCGTCGGTGCTAATAGTGTCCTCGCCCAATTTCGCCCTCAATTCAGCGATTGCCTATATTTGTGAGCTCCCGTTTACAACAATGACAGGTACCCAGTGACCATACCTTCTCAAAATCCTTTGGAGAACCATACTGTGGATTCTTTGTAGCCCGTGGAGATTCCTGTCCGTACGAAGCATAGCCATAGCCTAATCCAGCTGCCAATGCAGAGACGAGCAAGGTGCGACTAGCGGTCCACGATGAGGCATTGGAGCCATCCTTTTGCGGATTGCCATTCGTACTGGTTGTGGAATTCGCCCGAATCGCCCTGCTGGCCACAAAACTTCGCGACGATAAGATCCGGGGGCGGCAATGGGGCAAGCGGGGAGTGGGGATGAATCCACGAGGGATCGAAAACGCCGCTCGCATGATGCTGAGGGAGCTATATTGATAGGTTGTAGGAGGATTTGGAGATGGCTCGAAAAGCTCTATTGCATGGCTGTCAGCTATGGAATAATTTACAGAAGAAGAAATCGGACTCCGGCAACTTAAGCGCTCACGACATGAGGAGCTTGGATGGTGTGCCTCGGAGAAACACATAGCGAGTGCTGTATAATTCCCCCGCTTCGGACTTCGGCCGAGACGAAGCCTTTCGTGCGGGAGATTTCCGCGTGGGGGTATGGGGGAAGATATGAGCTGGTATTTGCCATCTTCAATTTACGGACTGTCGTGCTCCTCATTTGTTGCTAGCAATCCACTTGCAAATATAGAATTTGTTCGTAACCTGTAAAATCAAAGAGAATACATTAGTTATTGCAGACTTCCTAGTATGACAGTGTCTACCGGGAACGATCATTGGCCGAAGTCAAACTCCGCCCGTTGAGGGGGCAACGATGACAACACAATTCTCCGCCACCACGATAAGGTGAACGAAGATGAGAACGACTGCGCCAAATATCCACCCTGCTGAATGCCAAATCGCAATGATGGCCGAGGAACTGGCTCGCCTCACCAGTGAGGTTGAACGCGTCGTGACAGCCCCATACGTGCCCTCCCTCCAGGTAAACAGCGCGTTAGTCCCGGAACAGAAGACAGCGATCGTTGACACCTTGTGAATAGGATTTATATGGTCTAGTCGAGGCCAGCCCTTCTTCAACAATTCAATCCTGGGCTCTTCATAAACCCTGCCAGGTGGGGCTTTTGGCTAAGGTCTTGGTGGAGAGTCTGTCGCAATCCCGTGTCGCGCTCCCACTGCTCACGGCTTTTGGTAAGCAACGCGATGCCGCCCTATTCAAAAGTTGATCAGCAGTAACCATATGTTAGCACGGACCACAAGTTTCAGAGATGCTTTGTTGAGTCGCCAGCCAGTTCTCTTGGATGCTTTCCTCGAAAGAGTCCTGGTCGCCGGAGAAATCGAGGTGGGTGAACGCCATACGCCGATATCAACCACAGGTTGTCTAGATCTATTGACTGAACAAATACACAGTATCACCCAGCATGCATTGCTTTGCTCTCTTCACCTCTCCCTCCGGACTTTGTGCCCCCTGCTCGTCTCGCCGGATTTATCACAAAGCTAGTGTCCGCGATGTCGGCTACCCCTGGAGCTGAGACAATCGCACCCTTATATGCCCTGATGACTGGGCTTAAAGGATCGCCCAACTTCATCAATGAGGTTCCAACAGACGTCATGTCGAACCTGCAGCTGGAGTTTACTAAGACGTTGCGCAACCTTGATGACCATATGGGTAACCTCTTGGGGTTGGCGACCTTTGCACAAATATCAATGTCCCACCGAAGCCAGCTCAGCAGACATCCCGGAGTAGGTAGTTCATCTTGGCTTCTCAACATACAGCACTTTTTTGGTCCAAAGCGTGGCATGAAGACATTAGATCTGGTTGTTTTGCGCGTCATTCTGGCTTGCTCCTCGAACTGCCATAATCTCACACCGGCCCAAGCTGCTGAGAGCATTCGTCTTGCAATCTGTATTTCAGATGCTGTTGAAACTGACCAGAAAAAATCTTGGCTTTCAAGCAATTCGTCCAAGATTGCCAAGCTATGCGAGAAGGTAGCTAAGGATAATCTCCACAGGGAGATCCAAGTTATGGTAAGGACAACTCCTCCAGACTTCGATTTATCTGTTATCTAACAAAATCCGTCCCTGTTTCTGCTGTTTAGGGTGTTACCTTTTTGCTTTCTCTGCAACCCCTGGGGGCCTTGCCTTCGCACATTGGTGATCTTGGTCTCCGCCTACTTGTCTCAAAGGATAGCAGAGCAATCTTGGGGGCCATGACATCGGAGCTTGTCTCACGTCTGACAAATTTATTGGGGGTAAGCATTTGTTCAAGCAGCATAAAGAACGGTTGGCTTATTTCTAAGTAGGTTTACGACGAGTCTGTTGTGTACGAACTTTTGCGATTCACCGTGGATGTCTTGAAAGACGACAGTATGGGACATGATTCCATGGTCAATCTTCATGTATCAGATCTTTTACTCTCCGGGTTCCAAGCCAATCTGTCTCAGCCTATGATCCAGACTTTGTTAAGCTCAGCCTCAACCAAACAAGCTATCGCCAGCCTCTTCGCAAGGTTCCCTCTACTTCCCTCTCAATTACAATGTCAGGACGCGCAGGTCTGCTACTGTGCGTGCAGCGCCTTGCAGAATCGGGTCTTACTCAACTTATTTGAGATCTACTTTGCTGCGGCTCTGTCGCATAGTGGTGACACCACTGACATTGCCATTATGAAGTCCTTTGTGGAGCGGACCACAAAGTCATTCGGTAAGTCCGACTGTACCTTCGCGCGCACTGAACACAATGCCTACCGCAGCTCAATGTATCTGCGTAACAGGCAGGAGTTTAATTCAAAGCGCCAGCCAATTCGAGATTGGCGCTCTGCTATCACCGAATTCCATATGCAGAATGCGGAGACATCCCACAATTTACTAATGAAGAAGGTCGATGACATTTGCTTCGATCTCGAACGTCGCTGTTACGACATTGAAGGCCCTGTACGTTCCGCCGAGGAAGAGCGGGACAAGCACAAGTATGACGCTGAGCAATTGAGACAACAGAATGAGGACTTAGCTCGACAGTTAAACCAATCAACACAAGCTGTCTCTACTCTTCAACAAGACCTGACCCGCCTTGAAAAACATGCTGGACTAGCAAGCGCTCGTGCTGAGGAGCTGTCAGAGGCTCTTGAGTTGTCTCGGCAAGAACTACGCGACCAACAGCACCACTCAGATGATGCACTTCGAGCAGAGCAAGAAAAAGCTCGAAGTAGGGAACTCGAGTTGATTGCCACATCTACCGAGAAGGATGATCAACTAGAGGAGCTCCAAGAATCAATGCGTCAGCTCGAGTCGCAGAACCAGCTCCTCCAGCAGGTGGTGGAAACATCCTCTCATGAAAGAGCTACCTCCGCCGAGACGAACGAAGCATTGGGACATGAAATTTCTGAAGTCAGGAATCTCTTGGAAGCAAAAACATTGTTCTGCTGCCAAAAAGAAGATGAAGTCAAACGGTTGCTGGCAGAAAACAATGATCTGCAGACCGAGCTAGGCTCTGTTCAAACCATAGTAGGTCACCCCTCCCCATTTTCCCCGTTCATTCAATCGCTCACATATTTTACAGATTGATGATCAAGCTCGAGAAATTGAACAGCTCCACGCAACTTTGCAAGGGGTAGAAGAAAAGGCAAAGACCGATATGCTAATCTTTAATCGTGATAAGGAAGCAGAAATTGCCAAACTTGCCTCTGAAGTATGTAATCTTTGGGAGATTTTAGTTGGGAAGTGTCGGCGCTTGCTTACATCGAATTACAGATTTCCACACAAAAAGAGGTAAACGGGCGCTTGCAGAAAGCCATGCAAACGGCTGCAAGTGATGCTGCCAAGGAGCTACAGTCTAAGGATAAGCGCATTCATCAGTTGGAGAAAAAGGTAAGCTGCCGATCCGGGAGAATTCCTTGCTTCGCCTGGCCCTTTCTAACCTATTTCCCCCAGATCCAATCTCTTCGTGATGAGAGAGCAGCCAAGGCTAGAGAGTTCTCAGAGGCCCAGCAACATATTGGCCGGCTCATGAATGTTATGGGCTTCTCTGCAAAGTCAAACGAGAAGAGCTCAAGCAAGTCCCAACGCAGCCGAGACGCTATCATCGCCCCGACTCCTAGCCGGCGACAGTCAGCCGTATATGACGACGATGACGATATACAGCTCGCAGAGTCTTTCGAATATCTCGCATCTAATCTACAGGGCCCTACTCCAAAGCGGCCCAAGGGCAATGGGCGCTCGATCCACCCTTTGCAGGCACCCGCTCCAAAGACTCCCGCAGCCAAGAACTCAGTTACTAGTACAAACGCCCCCAAAACAGGCCTCCGGCAGCCTTTGATTGAGGCTGGCACTAATAGTCCCGTCAAGTCCCAAGCCAGTCTTGGTTCTAAGGGCAGTCAATACGATTCCGCTTCGGCTGGGAACATGGGCGAGAATCGACTGCAGGATTTGGACCTAGATATGGATCTGGAGTTCTCGAAGGACTTTCTTTTCACGAGTACGGCGTTCTCTCCTTCCAATAATTAGTTGATACCCTAGTTTCTGCGCCCGCGGCGATGCTTTCGATAGCGTTTGCTCTTTCTTTGTTGATACCATGTCACTTCCGTTCTTTCTTGGCTTTCATCCTATTCTCAGTTTAAATTCAATTAGAGACTAGGTCAGTAGCCGTCATGTACTTGACTTCATACGCTTCTTTTGACAATAAGGCCCTAACGCTCATGCTCAGATGGGTATCCATACGCTTTATTGATTCAATCCCCAGCCTACCTGCATCTAATATGCCCATTGAACAATGGGTCTTCCCTTGATTTAGGTCACTTTGAATCTTGGAACCTTCCATTTTCTCTTACTCCTGACATCACACTGGCTTCAGAAAAGGTATGTAAGAATACTTTACATGCTTTCACAGAGGCCAGTATGCCAGAGCCTGATTTGCATCCGTCTATTCGACTCTGAATTATCTCTGATTCTTGCAACTACCACAGCTCGACCGAGATATTTATCAAGACCTATACCAAGCTATCTACTCTGCGAGATCGGACAGCTCAGCCAGTTGCCGCCGCCTATTGAAGGCAAATCATTGCAAGTCGGTCAACCCTAGCGCCATACCCCTCTACGTTGATTCTTTACTTGATTCAAATCTAACTATCACACGCCCAGGTTCCTTCTTCATCTTCATCCTCCTCCATCTTCCGCTCTTCCTATCACTGCATCGCCCAGAATGTCGACTTCATCTGGCTCTGGCTCGACCGGCCTCACACCCACACCCACATTCCCCTCGGCTCCGATCCTTTGGCTTCCCTGGAACAAGTGGGAGACCGTTGGTGTCCGTATCTCTCGATTACCAAAAGAGGTAGCTATACGAGACCTATGGGAGGCCTTTTCCAAGGAAGGCGAGATCTGTTCCATTGATATCTTTGATGACCGCCATGGAGAAAGAAGCTCAAAGGGCCGGGTCCGCTTCAAGTATGTCTTCAGTTCTCAATTGGTTTCTCATCATTTGCTCCCGGCTGTCACCCTGGTCTTGCATGCCGTACGGCTATTACATGCTAATTGTTATTTGCCACCAATTAGACCAGCTCCCACAAAGGCTTTCTGGCAAAGTGGCAGTTACGATATCCGTCTATCCAGCGGGCGCGTCGTAACTCTCGTTGTGGCGCTAGACTTCACCGCGCCGAGTGCCTTCCTGAAAAGCCCCAGCCGCGAGGATGTAGTATATCCTAGGGAATGTGTAAGTAAATTCTGGCAGGCTTTGCTCTATGCCTATCACAATCGGAGTGCTGACGGGCTTCAAAACTCAGCAAGAGCTACCTTGCAAGAGGTTTGATGTTGGTGTCCTCCTGGACGAATCAACCGCCTGCGCCATGCGTACTTTCCACCGAGATGCAGCGCCCAAGATGGCGGTTGATGTCCGTTCAAAGGCATTGCTTGCCTACTTCAGCGCCACTGTACATGAAGCCAGGCCATTTACTCTAGGCTCACCGGAAATCAGCCCATCAACCTTCAGGTTAAAGATACCCTTCCCCCAACTCGTGCGAGTGTGGGAGACTTATCATGCGAACTCCCACGAAGTGTCTCTTACCATTATCTTGGACTCTCCCCCTGTGTATCACCGACAGTCCACGGATATTCAGGCTACCTTTAGTACTGAGAGCAGCTGGCGAGAGACGGATTTGTGGATGCGTCAAACATCTATCGCCCACAATCTCGGGTCTCAAGACCAGGCTAGGGTCAGCCTGCGCAAATCAGGTCAGATCGTTGATCTTGGTATGTTTGATCCTACAGACTTTCTCATATGGGTTGCGAATCATTGACTTCTCATAGGCAGATGGAATGTTTTCAAGTTTTCATTCTCTACCATGGACCTCCCGGAACAAGACTACAAGATTCTTATGGAGATGTTGAAAGATCACAATATCATCGTCGAGAATGGGAAGCATTTCAGAACCATAACGCAGCGCCCGGAGCCTGTGTGGCGCTGGATTGACTTATTCGACTCAAGAGGGCGGTTCCGCTCGACCCTCGAAGACCTGGCTCATCACGATTATGTTTATCTTCCATTTGAAGTTCGGTACCAACTGGAGGTTTGCCTTTCCCATCGGCATCTCTCTGAATTCACCATGCCGCGTCAATTTGTTGAGAAGCTCATGGAACTGGGAGTTGCCTCGGCCGTAAGACTCCTGGAGCATGTTGCCACGAACAAAAGGAAATATCTCGATCCAATGGAGATCTTCAAAATCAAGTATCCTAAGGGTATCTCTGATTCGGTTATTCCAGGCTACTGCTGCTTCATGCGCACTGCACGGGTCACGCCAACAACTCTTCACTACAACACCCCCACAATCGACACCTCGAATCGAGTAACCCGTAACTATCAGGAGTTCCTCGATCGCTTCCTTCGTGTTCGATTCACCGACGAAAAGACACAAGGTCGTATCTATTCAACCTATTTCGCGTCAAATGATGAGGTATTTGCTCGGATCAAGAAAACCTTGACAAACGGTATCAGAATTGGCGATCGTCACTACGAATTTTTGGCCTTTGGTAACTCCCAGTTCCGTGAGCACGGTGCTTATTTCTTCGCTCCGACCCCCAACCTCACAGCTGCCCATATTCGAGCCTGGATGGGTCAATTCAGTCACATCCGAAATGTCGCGCGATATGCCGCACGGTTGGGACAATGTTTTTCGACCACGCGAGCTCTTGCTGGCTGTAAGGTCAGCGTCAAACAGATTCCCGACATCACTCGGAACGGGCACTGTTTTTCTGATGGTATTGGAAAAATCTCGAAGTTTACGACCAGAGTCATCGCGGCGGAAATGGGTATCTCTGATCCCTATGGCCAGCCTCCATCAGCTTATCAGTTCCGGCTGGGCGGGTGCAAGGGCATGTTGACTGTTTCATCTGACCTGATCGCGAACGATGTGCACATTCGACCAAGCCAAATCAAATTTGAGGCTGAACATCAGCGCCTGGAGATAATTCGATGGTCACAGCTCTCTGCAGCGACGCTCAATCGCCAGTTGATCTTGGTTCTATCAGCTCTGGGTGTTAAAGGCCAAGTCTTTCACGACAGGCTCAATACCATGTTAGAGAGCATCAACTTCGCCATGGATAGTGACAAACAGGCCATCGAATTACTTCAAAAGTTCATCGACCCTAATCGGATGACGCTGGCGCTGGCGAAAATGGTATCGGCCGGGTTCCGAAGGACGAATGAGCCTTTCGTCAGTTCCTTCCTTGCTCTCTGGAAGTCGTGGCATCAGAAAAACCTCAAGGAGAAAGCAAAAATTCTGATTGAACAGGGTGCATCACTTCTTGGGGTTCTTGATGAAACGGGGACTCTCAAGGGTCACTCCGATCGCCAGGTTCCCCACCAAAGGTTAAGAGAGGATGAGAGGCTAGCACTTCTCCCGGAGATCTTTGTCCAGATCAGCAGCATAGAGAAGGGTGTCCGTCCCAGAGTCATCCAGGGTGTGTGCATCGTCGCTCGGAACCCGTCGCTGCATCCAGGCGATATCCGTGTTGTGCGTGCTGTTGATTGCGAGGCACTCAGGCACTTAGTTGATGTGGTCGTATTTCCACAGAATGGTGATCGAGCGGTCACAAGTATGTGCTCTGGAGGTGACCTCGACGGCGACGACTATCTGGTTATCTGGGATCAGGACCTCATCCCTAAGATATGGCACACAAAGCCTCTGAACTATGTCACCCGCAAGGCTCCAGATCTGGACCGCGATGTGACCATCAACGATATCACTTCGTTTTATGTCACGTACATGAAGAATGACAGCTTGCCACGGATTGCTCATGCTCACATGGCACATGGGGACTATCTCGTAAATGGTGTCTATGAGCCGAAGTGCATTCGCCTCGCTCAATTGCACTCAGATGCTGTGGATTACAACAAGACAGGAATCCCTGCTGTCATGGAGAGAGGCCTCGAACCACGCATCTGGCCCCACTTCATGGACAAGAAGAAGAAAAAACAAACCTACCATTCCAGGAAGATCCTGGGTCAACTGTACGATGTTGTGAAAACTGAGGATTTCTCGCCAAAATTGAGCAATCCGTTCGACACCCAGATCCTTGAGTGCAGCCTGGTGGAGGAAAGCAAGAAATTCGAGGTCTTTGCCAGTGAGCTGAAGGTGAACTATGACACGTCAATGCGACGGATCATGGCGCAGTATGGTATTCAGACCGAGTTTGAGGTCTGGTCAACATTCGTTCTCGGACACAACTCCATGTGCAGGGACTACAAACTGTACGAAGACCTGGGCAAGGTCTCAAGTGGCCTTAAATCGGGCATTCAAGAGCAGTGCTACAAGCATCTTGGAGGGAAGCGAGATTTTGGGCACCTTGCGCCCTTGGCAGTCGCCATGTATCGCATCACTCATGAACAAGTGGAGGCTGCGCTTGCAACGCTGCGAGGCGAAAATGGTTACGATGACCAGGATGAAGTTCAAGGGCTGTCCGACGAGCAGGAAATGGAGATCAGCAGACTGCCTTTCATCAGCTTCCCTTGGGTTTTTGATAGCGTCCTGTGCAAGATTGCATCGAGCCCCGTCGATGAGCTGCGCAATGCACTGGCTGAAGCCCAGGCCGTCGATACCAGAAAGTCCCAGTCCAAATTCTTCACTCACACCGAGGTCATGAAGATGGTTGGCCGCTCTGGCAATGTTTTCACTACTAAGCTTGACAGAGATGAAGCTGAGACCATACGTGCAGAAATCGGGCCGCACGAGCCGGATCATTTCGGTGCGCACGATCTCTACGAGAACGATCTCTATCAACAGACTCTCGGCAATGGTCCCTCTCCGGCTCGCAAAGAAGAGAAACAACTGGATGACGATAAGGACCGGGATATCATCGCGACCGTGAAGGACGACGAAACCTCCATAATTGACAAGAGCTCCGTGATGGCCAACGAGCTGATAGAGAGTGTCAAGGAAGGTACTGAGGGGCCTACTGAGGAAGCTGGCGATGAGGATGACGATGAGGATATTGGAAACTTGGAAATTGTCGAGATGGAAGGCGATGTAAAGCCTTCTGCAATTGACGAGTTGATGAGATTGGTAGGAAACGACTACGATGCGGATGATGAAGACGACTGGTGATCACATCGTGTGCTTACCAGCAAGAGCTTCTCGACATCCGTTTCAGGCCATTGAAGTTTGGGGCAGGGGGAGAACATTTGATGTTATGCAATTTCCAATAGTGCTTGTTTTTGCCGTCCGCCTTCAGAAAGGCTCGAATGTTTTGGCATTTATTCATCAATATGAAGCAAATTTGATATTCCTATTCTACCAGAAGAACCAAGTGCGCCGTAGGAGATTGAATGCCATCCAACGCTTCCACAATGACCAATCACTAACAGCAATGTAGTAACGAAACTGGACTCACAATCATACCTCCTCCATAACGGAAAGGTTTCATCACTGTAAATGGCTGTCTATCACCAATCCAAGCCTTCGTCCCCTTTCTTCTCCAGCAGTTCCACCACAGGTTCCAAAACAGCCCTTGTATGTCGCAAACCAGCTGCGTCTCTAGTCCTGGAGTAGAAAACTGGACAATCCATGCTATCGCACGCAATACTGTCGCCTGGTGGAACCCCCATGCATGACCGACACACAGCCTCCAAGTCAAGGACTCGTTTTTCAGCCCGCTGCAGCTGAGAAAAAACATTTAAAAGAGCGAGGTGCGGCTGCTGCAGACACTCAGAACATACGGGAACGGCAGCATCAGTTAACTTGGCTCGGCAGATGATGCAGGAAGAGGACCGCATGTAAGACTCCAAGGTTTTCTTCGAAATGGCAACCTCCCGATTCGAGCGAGACAGGGTCGAGTTTGATGATGCATCAACTCGGCGAATTCGTTGCACCTTGGGCATTTCGTCATACCATTGCCGCACATTTGCTCCAACAAGATTGAAGATTCGCTCGAGGGGTGGGATGAGATTCTTGGTGATGTAGTACTCGGCATCGAGATCGAGCTGTGCGTCATGAAGAAGTGTATCTGGTGCCACACATCGGTCGATGAGTCTAGATCCAGGTGCGCCAGTAACGACGACATATGGGACTCGTTCGCCGTACTGCGGTTCCGAACGAGGGTCCTCCAACATGCGCTTGGTACTGATCATCGCTCCAGCGGGGAGAGTGCCGCGCTCACTGTAGGTACCCAGTCGGACCTCCCGAGCGAAACAGAAATCCTGAATAGAGACACGGCCTTGCATAATCTTGCTGCATTGCCGTTGGAAGTAAGATTTCACTTGACTAAGGTCTGCAGTTCGGAAAAGAAGCTTAAGGGCCTTCTCTTCAATTTTTTGCTCTGCAGGCGTTCCATCACGTCGCACAGTCTCAATACCTTTGGCATCGAACTCAGGCTCAGCTTGTTTGCGATGTTCGTATTTGAAACCAACATAACGTTTCTTGGCTAAAAGGACGCAGGGGTGGTAGACTTTCTCGAACTTGAGTTTGATGGGGCGCGGATTCATGTCTGTCACTGCTTGTGCAATCTCTTCGCCGAGGTCAAATGCCTGGGCTCGGGTGCGACCCTTGAGATAGACAAATAAACTGTCAGTGTCTCCATAGACAACCTCGGCACCCCATCTCTCGACAGAATGGATGAACGCGATTGCTTTTTCCAAGGTCTCCCGCCCCGATTGTACGATGCTGTCTGCGATCTCAGAGCAGGGCATCCGACCAGAGAACGAAGCAGATGTGTATCCGTATGTCACGTTGGCAATGAGCTTCAGAGCTAGTTGCCGATTATTGAGCAACCGTTGCAAGATCTTGTCGTCTCTGTCGGCCTTCATTCCACTCTTGACCATGACTCGCGTTTCAAGAATTTCCGTCAGCATCTTGGCAAGCAGTGACTGGCGGACTTCTTGCTTCGCGTACATCATGCCATTCGGTGCAATGTTGATCTTGTCCTTCAGCAGCTCCAGGAGTCGTGGCTCCCGTTTGTAGTCCAAGAAACCCATTTTATCCCTGCCGCGCCACTGGACAGCTCGGCCAAGAAAGGTCGAGTAGCAGTAATTGTAAGCAATCATAACGCTAGGGTAGAGCGACTGAAAGTCGAGAACCAGAAGAGGACTTGTATAGAAGTCACTCTGCGGCTCCATGACCAGAGGCAAGCATTCCAGGGCATTCTGCTGTCCAACTTGTTTCCTGCTTGGAGAGACAAGCAGAAAATTCTCCGGCTTGGCAATTCTGAACATCAAAGACTCGACTTTGAATTGGGATCCGCGGGCAATCACAGAGTAGAAGTCAATTCCCAGCAACCTCGCTTGCTCGCTAGTTCGGGGGATCATCTCATTGGCCTCGATGATTTCCAGGTTCATTTGCACTCGCGATGTGAAATACTCCACGACCTTGATCATGTTCCTAGTTTTTCCACTTTGGTACCATTGCGTGAGGTCCTTGGCCGAGTAATGGGGAATCCGACGTTGCAGGAGATGAAAAACAACATTCTCCATGGTATACTGCAAGAGGTTCAGCTCGCCTCGCATTGCACGCCAGATATTGATCATGTGTCGGCCAGTCATTTGGATTGATGACGCATGCTCAAACCCCCAACGATCATCCTCTCTGCCAAACTTCGACTTCGATTGCGACTTGACTCTGGATAACTCGGCGCATAGATCAAAGTCATACTTCTTCCGCGCTCGTTCGATCACGTACCCCCAGGAGCCATTATGAACTTCATAGCCCGTGATGATGTCAGGGTCGTGGTAGCGAACAATGTCAACCAGTCGGTTGATCAGGTCAAGTTCGGTTGATTCATGCTCAACCTCTATCCTCAGAGCTTTCGATATCTTAGCTTCTGGCCTATCGCCCTCGCCTTGGTAGATCATCCCAACATGGACACCTGGCAGATGGCTATTGACCTCGATGTCCTCGTCTTCGGATTGCAGGCACCAGAAGAGGCAAGATATCTCATCCTCGTCTGGATTAGCGGATAACGTCCCACGAGTGTTCACATGAACTTCCAGACTCATCGTACTCATGTACTGGGTTTGATGCTCCACGCTAGTGCTCTGCGCTTTTTGAGAGTATTTGAAGCCATAAGGGTTCTGTTGTGTCGGGCCCTCAATCTGTGACAAAGCTTCCACATTCTTAACGGGGCGAGGTTTGTGTTTGACTGGTGTTGTAGTTGCACTGGCTTTGCGTGCCGATGCCTCAATCTGTTCCCACCAGTCGACCACTTCGGACCGACTGGGTGGCACTGGAGCGAATTCCCAAACCCTGGCAGTACATGATTCGCGCAGTTGCTCATCAAGCGTCTCCTGCTTCTCTCGGTCAACGAGAATAGGTTGCTGCTCGCCAAACACGGCAGGCAGATTGCCTGACGGGTCAAATGTGGGGAGAAAGTGTATGGTGTCACTTTCCAAGCGAAACTCCCGGCCGGCGTACTGCCGGGGTCTTTCGGGAACATCAGCCTCGTTACTGTAATATGCTTTTTGATAGACGACAGAAGGACGACCAAAGTCATTTATGGTTGATTCTACTTCATTGGTGCTGGGACCAGCGAATCGGAATAGACACACAGTAGTGTCTTGTTGAAAGTCAAACGAATTTTGAACTGTTGACTTAAGACCAGCGACGTGCGGATCTAGTGCAATCGGGGGTTGTATGACCGTAGAGGACGAGCGGGGGAGCGAAGAAGTAGCTCCGCTATCATCGCCTGTGGTAGCGCTGGTGACTGATCCCGACGGAAGCGAGTTTGATATAGGCCGAGATCCTGGGTCTTTCTTCGATGATGAATTCCCATCGTCTTGGCTGAAACGTAGGATTGTCAGTGGATCATTTGGATCCTTGACAACAGGGAAATTTAGTCTGCTGTTGTGTACTTGCGCCGTCGCCTTTGACGGACGTATTGTCTTCTGGGATGAGGATGACCTAGGCTCAGAAGACTGCGAGGCTTCCAAATGCTGGCTGGGGCGATCAACCCTCTTGGTGGTCTCCGAGTGATCAAGTCTGTCGGTAGGATGTTCCTGTGCAGCTTTCTGGTCTGGGTCGCTCCAGAATCTCGGCTTCTTGATTGGTGGCACTGCTTCATCATAGGTCGTTTCAGCATAAGGTCGTTTCGAACTTCTCGTCTTCTCGTCAAGCTCGCGCTGCGCTTGTATATCGGCTTTGAGACCCAGCTCGAAAGAAGGAGGCACCTTCAAAAATGTATGATTCGAATCCAGACTGGGGGCGTTGGACTCATGCGGAGGCCCTGGTTGAGCCCCATGTGGTTGGGGGAATTCATCGAAAATGCCATCATAGAAGCTCTCCTCAAGGGCTCCCTTCTCAAAGAGATGCGACTGCTCCTGAGGTTCTTCCCCTCCGTCCTCGTCAGTCCTAGACTGGTCTAGCTCCGGCTCCGAAGCATAGTTTTCATCGACCTGAGAAGATAGGGCGAGGCCTTCGTCAACAGAAATTTGAGCCGACTCTTCGTCGAAATTCAGCGGAACATGATGATTGTCCAAATTTGAGTACTTCAATGTGTCTGGATAGAAATCCTGCACGCTAGTCAAAGCTGTTTTGATATTGGCTTTGTCGGCATCCGGACCTAGAAATTTTTCAAAGGATGTTTCTCTCCCGTTATCTTCGGAACTTTCGTCAGCGGTGATTCGAAGGGCCAATTCACGAAATTCCTCTTCGTGAACCCAACCTCCTTTGGCTTGATTCCGTGGGTCGGCAGACATAGAGACCAAATCCTCCGGCCCAAAAGGGGTACTGTCAGAATCTGTAATTCCCATCCGTTTCTTGCGCCTCCTCGTCTCATCCTGCCAAAGGCCGGCTACGCTGGGAACCAGGCGCTCGTTGACCGCAGCTGGCCTCAAGAATTCTGTGAAATCGTGATGCAAAGGGCGTTCTTTAATGTCCAATCGGTTAAGTATGTCTTGCACGCAGACATCAACTTCCAGGGGGCAGTGGCTCTGTTTCTGCAGAGCTGGGTCGTCAAGGATGCTTTCGGGGTTGATAGAGCGGTCATGCCAGCGATGGTTGAGATTGCTGAGTTCCAAATATTCAGGTACCGGGGCTCGGAACTTGACCTTGCTGCAGTTCATGTACCCACATCCGTATAAATTGTAATCGCACATCCATTGCGGGACATACTGTAGGTGGCTCTCGTACGGCTGGAGTGGCCGTTTCATCACTGCTCCTTGATGTAGCAGATCTGCTAGGCGAGTAATATTGAATGGGTTGAGCAGGTAGATCTTGAAGAAAGTTCGATAGCCAACATGATATCCATAGAATGGAATCCCTTTAACCAACGTAATGTGCGCGACATAAGCCGTCTTTCTATCGTAAGCATTGCGACGGTAGCTAACTGCCAGGGCGTGATCGATTGAAAGGTGGAGAGTACGGATCGCCGAGCTCACTACAGTAAGAATCTCGTTCAGCAAAGAAAATTCAACTGCGCATTGGTTCGTTGTGTCTTTAGACGCACCGGCTTCAGGCGCCAGCGACCCATTGTATTCGATGTACAGATACGGAAATGCACCGTGGACATGGACACAGATTCGTTGCCCAGTTTCGGTCGCTCCAAATACTCGGATCACAGGTACTTTGGGCCTGTAATTCTTTCCTGAAACTCCATCCCGGAAGGGTACTTGAGGGTCTAGTTCCGACGCGGTCGCCAGGTAATGATCGATGCAGTTAAGCCGTACACGAAAGGGCTCCATCGGTCTATGTTAGCTTCACCAGGAAGTGTCAGCGACATCGCGCGAGGTAGCGCCAGAGAGTTGTCTTCCCATGTGGATTCAACCCCTTCGTTGGATGATTCGCGCCACTCGCCGATAAATGCGAAACGTGAGATATGCTTGAACCACGACGAACGCGCTAGTGGAGCGCGAGTGGAACGCCTAGTCACGTGAGTGCGGGTAAATCCCAGCTACGTCGATCACTACATTGAGCCTGGTCCTCAGTTCAACCTCGCCTCATCCTTTCCTTCAACCTGCTCGAGTCCTTTTGACGACTTCACTCGCGGGGATCTTTCTCAAAATCTGGCAGTGACATCCTGCGCTCACCTCCCATCATCATGTCGTCCAGAAAGCCAGCCGATGTGGCGTCCAAGGAGCGCAACGAATACATTCCGTCCTTCATCTCGAAAAAGCCCTTTTACGTCGACGATGAATCCAACGACGACTACCTTGAACATCAGCGTCTACAAAAGAAAGCCCAAGATCAGTCCAAATGGTACGACCGAGGAAAGCGCGCGGGACCAGCTGCGACCAAATATCGCAAAGGTGCATGCGAAAACTGCGGCGCAATGACGCACAAGGCCAAAGAATGTCTAAGCCGACCAAGGAAACAGGGCGCAAAGTGGACTGGCAAGGATATTCAGGCGGACGAGGTCGTTCAGAAGGTCGATATGGGATGGGACGCGAAGAGAGATCGCTGGAACGGCTATGACGCCAGTGAATATCGCCAGGTCGTTGATGAATATGAAGAGCTCGAGTCGATGAAGCGAGCGGCGAAAGAGGGAGCCGATCTTCAAAGATTACAGGATGGAGAGGACGGAGAAGACGCGCAAGACGAAGATATCCGCTACGCTGAAGAATCCGACATGGGCCGACATCAGAGCACCGCCACGCGCAACCTCCGTATCCGAGAAGACACCGCTAAGTATCTTCTCAATTTGGACCTCGACTCCGCGAAATATGATCCAAAGACTCGTCGAATGGTGGACATGGGTGCCCAAGAGGATCTGGCTTCTGCGCTGGTTGCAGAGGAAAACTTTGTCCGTGCTTCTGGCGACGCTGCCGAATTCGAGAAGGCTCAGCGCTATGCCTGGGACGCTCAAGAAGCAGGCCGGGCCCAGATCCACTTGCAAGCGAACCCAACATCTGGAGAATTCCTCCGGAAGAAGGAGAAAGAGGAAACCGAGGCCAAACGCCAAGCCCATCGTAAGGCCCTCTTGGACAAATACGGAGGCAACGAGCACCTGGGCGCCACCCCGCTGCGTGACACAATGGTTGTTGAGAACGAGCGGTTTGTGGAATACGACGAGTCTGGTGCCATCAAGGGCGCTCCCAAGAAAGCCACCAAGTCGAAGTACCCTGAAGACATTATGGTCAATAACCATACTTCGGTTTGGGGTAGTTGGTGGTATGAATTCAAATGGGGCTACGCTTGCTGTTGCTCGACTGTCAAGAACAGCTATTGCACGGGCGAAGATGGCAAGGAAGCCTTCCAGCAAGAAGGCAATATGTTGTTACTAGCAGAGGCAGATGGCAATGCCGATGGCGATGACTTGGAAATCTCAAATGATACCCGCGAGTCCGAGCGGGCTGAGGCACAAGAATCGACGGTGAACAGCAAGAAGCGGACCTTGGAGGAGATCAAATCTGGAATCACAGAAGCAGAGCTTGAATCATACAAGCGAAGTCGGCTGGATGCTGAAGACCCCATGGCGAAATTCATCGGAAAAGATTTTGACTAGAGTGTTCATCTGGAGGTTTTCGTCCTTATTTTTCATTTCTGGGCGTTCAGTTTATAATACCCCCAATGATATTGCATAAACAATTTGTACAAAAAGACATTTTCATTACAATTTGCCAAATCCGGAAAGTCTAAACATAAGCCATAGCTTAATTGAATGACTCCCAATCTCCCATTTCAGTCCAAATATCTTCCAGTCTTCGTAATGCGGGCTGTATGGATGTCAAGGAAGAGCATTGAGTGGACATATGGGTCCTGGTTGGGTCTAGGCTGGGTGAGTCGCAGAAAGTGGCGTGTCACGTGATGTTTAAATGGCACGGATCATGTTATATCATGTGATCCTAGTCACGTTACCGCTGTCAGGGCTTGTGCCCTGTCCCGTGACCCGCCCACAGCTTTCGCTTAGCGGACACCATCACCACCCGTTGGAAGTTTCGATACGCCTAGCGACGACGACCCCGACAACAGCCCTTCAACGGAATTGCCAGGTACGCTTGCATGCTGTCCCTTTCATACGCCACGGCTCTCTTTCGTTCTTCATTTTACTAACATCCCATTCTCTCCGGCAGTTCCCCTAATTCAAAATGAGTACGTCGAATATCGAAACTTCGCTCCGCGCAATCATCGGCAACACCGAATCCGTTCATTGACTGATAACTTTCAACAGCCAAGGGTACTTCGAGCTTCGGAAAGCGCCACAACAAGACGCACACTCTGTGCCGTCGTTGTGGTCAGTATTCCCCATATTCCCGCGATTCTTTTCGATCCACCCGTTTGGTCCGAAGTTTGCAAGTTTCTCTACAAGGAGTCATACGAGTTGGAACTGCCGATGGAAGACAACGGGTGGACGCTATACAGTGATTTGGGAATAACTTTACTGACGCACTCTCTCGCGACTTGACAGGCAAGCGGTCCTTCCACATCCAGAAGTCTACCTGCTCCAACTGCGGCTACCCTGCTGCTAAGACCCGCAAGTGTACGCATATTCCCCTTTCCTTCGGATGACAATCGCGGTTGTGGTGGAATGCAGAACATATCTGTGAAGGATACGACATTGATTAGCAGATCATCGGCTTACACGGAATTTTCTTATACAACAGTCAACTGGTCTGAGAAGGCCAAGCGCCGCAAGACCACCGGCTCCGGCCGCCTGCGCTCCCTCCGCGACGTCCACCGCCGCTTCACGAACGGCTTCCAGACCGGTACCCCCAAGGGCGCCCGTGGCCCCCAGCAGAGCTCCTAAATCAACAATGTTTTCCCATTCGGCGTCGCGTTTTCGTTGCTCGGAGAGACTGGAAAAGAAATGAGGGGTGGGTCGGACATCCTGGCATGACATGGCCTAGCATTGCGAGATAGATTTACTCGAAATGCAAATGGCAATTCCGAAATAAAAAAACGCTTTTTCTCATGGAGTTGGTGTGGTTACGATCGTCGATCTTGTCCTTTGTTGCGTCACTTGAACATAAGCCTCGGGAACAGCAAACGGTCGAGAGGATGAAAAGTTGTGCGAGGAGGACGAAGCGGCATAAAATTCAAGGCTACGGTCTTGGGAGAATGCATGAATTTCCTTTATTTTCTCCTCGTTTATGACTGGCGAATATCCCCATGTCGTGACAGATAACAATGCGAAGATATCTCTCTTCTATCTCTGAGTCTATCTTGCTTGCGCAGTCTTTTTTCCGGGGACCCAAGTCTTCACATCGCAGGTCATCAATTTTTAGATTCTACCAGGGCCATAATTAACCAATCTAGGAAGGAAACCAGCATTCGAAACAACTCAGGACTCGCCACGCCCAAACACCCGCACTCCGCCATCTCGTTGGATATAATACAGCAACTCCCTCTCGCCCAGGTTGTCTTCTGCCTCGGCGGTCCAACCACCACCTCGACTGATCCTAAGCACCCCGCTTACATCCCTCGCGGCACCAGTTTCGAGCGTACGAAGCTGCATCACGGACCACGCTCTGTGGGCCATGCCAATAGCAAATGCCGCATGTTCTGTCTCTATGGGCGTAGACAGCTGATTCCCGCTTGTAGACGCATTATGTATCAATGGGGAATCAGCAGCCATAGTCAAGACAGTCGCGTGCACTTGCTAAAAGAGAAGTTAGCAGGTGCTCGTATCCAGGCTTGCCCATCGGTCTAAACACATACCTGTTGTAAACCCGTCACCCACTCTGCCATCTCCGTAGCTCCGACGCCCATGCTTGCGCCAGTGGCGGCGAGAAGGAAATCTGGCTGGTCGAGAATCAACAGCATCTCATCGCCATCAGTCATAGAACTCTTCTGGCGATTGATCTCGGAGATAACGTCCTTTTCCATGGCATCCAAGGCGGCAATTCCATGCCCCGTAAAATGTAATTTCTTGACGGCGCCAGGCTCTCTCTGGCGAAGACTTTCTGTTCCAGGCCGCCCAGGTGTTACCGCTGAGGGGGGTCCTCTCCCAGGCACAGCGCCAGGTTGAGATCGCAGAGGAAGAGTCGTGCGCACCGTGCTCCCTGTATTGATCGGTGCACTAGAGGCGGAGCTAGAGCTATTGAATAGCTCCGATAGGCCGTCCACAAACGCGAACTGTTGCTTGTCTGCTAGACGTGCAAGATCCAGACCCTGGAGAGCTGTTAGTATGATATGATTGAAATTACGTACGAAGCCCTTGATGGGACTTCAAATTCGGCGATCATGATAAACATATATCTGGGAAAATGCTCATATTCCAAACGTACCAATCGTTTTGCCTCAGCTCTCCAAAATTCCCACCCCCGCAAGAAGCTCACAAGCACCACCTTCCTCTTCGCGCCATTGGATAGCTCATCGGTTCCAATGGAGATATTAGAGCTTGAAGATGTACCAAGTGCAGCATACAGGTACCTCAGAACAAGCCAGTTGGAAGTTGCACCCAGAATTGATGATACTAGGGTGAGGGAAGACTCGCGCTGGTCTGATAGATAGGATGTGAGGAGGGGCGGTAGTGGGGGTTGAGAGGGCATAATTGCGCCTCGGTCTGCTTATGCTCCGAGGGGATGGCTTCCCTTGAGTACAGCTCGGGTCGGTTCAAATGCCTTGAAATTCTCAATGGAGGCACTTTTCTAGCTCCTTTTTGGGTAGTGGTGCTGGTGATGGGAAGTGGAAAAAATGAAGTGGTGATGTGATTGGCCCGCTTTGGCATTAGTGCCAAGAATATCAAAGTAGTTGATGTGCAGGGAGACCTGATGACCAGGAACAGAGCTGGTGGGTTTTGTGGCCATTTTTCTAGGTAATTGGGATAAATATAGTAATGTTAAGCCGTACATGTGCTTGTTAGACTAAAGACCAGACATATCCCTTCTTTTGTATAATTGGATGTTATAGTGAACTCGATGTGCATTGTTGAAATATACTTTTGGGTACTTGCGGACCTCACGCTCTAGATATACTCTGTACGAGAGTTGCCTTGAATATGCTTATTCTTATTTTTAAGTCGACCACCATCTCAAGATTACAAATAAGCAATATCCTCCGAATGTGATATCCATTGTTTAACCTTTAGATAAGGCAAGTCAAGTCAGTGACAATTAGGTAACTTTCCGCGGAGGTCCATGCCCGATGCCCAACGTACATTCCTGCCTGAGGCCACACTGCGATTTTTTCAGCGCATCACATGATCTGCATTTCCCCACTATCGAGGGGACCGTTGAATGCGGCGTCTCATCCATCACCTCGCGAGCCTGGATGGTCTTAGCTGATCAATGTTTGCTTTAGCGCCGATCGTGAGTTACCCACATCCCGTTGTTTAAATACTTCGCTTGACCTCCGATTCTTCCGCATCTACTATATGCTGCATTCAAGGCGGCATACCGCGCTATACATTTGCCCCTCCATGTTGCTTGCAGCACCAACTTCGATGCATGATATGCGTATTTGTCAGGAGCTTACTTTGCTGACTATATCGAGAAGATGACTCCCGAGTTGTGTCATGATCAGAGCGCATTAAGAAACCGAGTTAAGCGATCTAATTTGCCTCGATAAAGATGGCAAGCACTCGTGATTCTCATTCGTTCGCTGTATGTATCTAACCTCCCGAGGAGACGAAGACGTGTCGCCTTCTTGGAAATTTGAAATACTAATGAGCAAATAGTGCGATGAGTGCCGACTCAGGAAGTCGAGGGTAAGTCTCGATCTGAAGAATGATATCGCAATCTATCAACTTGGCGCTCATTCTTGCTCTAGTGCTCAAAAGAGAGGCCGGTTTGTTTGCAATGTCAACAGTTGAACAAGGAGTGCAAGTACAGCCCAAAGGTCACCCGGAGTCCATTGACGCGGCAGTAAGCATCCTTCTGTCATGAAAAGAAGACAAAACATAGAAGGCTAACGATAGGTTCAAGGCACTTGACCTATGTTGAAGACCGCTTGCATGCTTTTGAAACAGCTTTGGGCCGACTATTTCCTGGAGGTGACCTGGATGCCACTCTTCGTTCTCTTCTGCAGAACCCAGAGGCTCATAAGGCCCCCTCATCCAAATCGTCTTCAAGACATTCGACCCCAGCGAAGCCCGAAGCAGAGCGGACTGAACCTGCACCTGAGGCTCTGCCTCAGCAGGCCGATGGCTTTGACTGGGCAGAGAAGGAGCTTGTATTAGGTGACTTGGCTGATGGAATGGCCGCATTGTCTATCAAGCCGGAAGGTGCCGGCTATTTCGGTTCGTGAATGCCTATGCTTTTGGTTTTTAAGGCGAGAGTCTGATTGTTTGAATAGGAGCTTCATCCAGTGTCGTTCCGCTGAGAGCGCTGTTTGACCATGGGTTTGACTTGAACATACCGGTTCGCGCATCAAGATCTGGTGGCGTGCCACTCAAAGCACAGCTTCTTGAAAGCGCTCCATCTGGCTTGATTGAACAAGCGTTTATTGACGCCTATTTCCTGAATTACCACACAAGTTACCCGTTCGTCCATGAACCTACCTTCCGAGCACAGTTCAACGAACCATCCCTACGTCCTCACGGCATTGCTTGGCAGATCCTACTCAATACCATCTTGGCACTTGGTGCATGGAGTATTGGAGATGACAGCTCAGACCTAGATGTGACTTTCTATCAGGAAGCCCGAGCCTGTCTACAGCAAACATCTGTCTTTGAAACAGGAAACCTGACATTGGTTCAGGCATTGTTATTGCTGAGTAACTATGTTCAAAAGCGGAACAAGCCCAACACCGGCTGGAACTATCTGGGTCTGGCCGTTCGTATGGCTATGAGTTTGGGTTTGCATAAGGAGTTCCCGGGCTGGAAGATCAGTCTTCTCCAGCGTGAAATTCGTCGTCGACTATGGTGGGGCGTCTTCATCTTTGACAGTGGCGCGGCCAAAACATTTGGTCGGCCGATTCTTCTCCCAGAGGAGTGTGTCATGGACTGTAAACAGGTCTTGAACATTCATGACGATGTGAGTATACATTTGTTTAAGAATATCAGGCGATCTTCAAGCTAACTTGAAGTCTTCTAGGCCTTAACTCCAGAAACAACTACATTACCACCCGAGTCACCTGGGCCCACTCTCTACTCCGGCTTGATCGCCCAAGCCCAGTTCCACCTCCTGACCAACAGCGTGTACCAACGCCTGATCTCCAGCCCTAGCCTCACCCCCGAAGAAACCTTGAACCTCCAAAAGCCCATGGAAGAGTGGTATGGTGGTCTACCATCATATATGCACTATCCACTACAGCCTCTCGCCGTGCATCCAACACAACCAGACCCAGACAATCTTGCCCTTGTTCGCAATCGAATGCTATGGCGGAACTGGAACCTGACCATTCTCATCTACCGCCCAATCCTGCTCCGTTGGGCTGCTCGTCGCTGGGGTCCTCACGGCGGTGGCTCGGACGTATCATCTGTCACATCATCTGAAGGAGGCAATGAAGATCCCTGTGAGACGGAATGCCGCCTACGCTGCCTCCAAAATGCACGGCTTACTATCGCCTCTATATCTGAGTACATGGACAACTATATGTGCACCAGAATTGGAGCATGGTATATGCTGTAAGTTCTAAAATCCCCATCTACCTATCTTACCGTCACTCTTTCAGTCTGACTAACTTTGATTCTCCACCAGCTACTTCCTTTTCCAAGCTGGGCTTATTCCCATCGTTCTCCTTATGACCGATCCCTCAAATCCAGATGCCCCAAGCTGGTTGCAAGACATTGAAACCACCAAAGCCCTTTTGACACACCCATCCCTTGGCAACAACCAGCTCGCCCTCCGATGTTATGAGGTGATCAACCGCCTTCTGGGCCCATCGCCGAGTATAATGTCTGGCATGCCACCTCATCAACAAAACAGCCAACAGCCCTTCCATCAACAGCAGCCGCAGCAAGGGTTCATGCCGTTCCCAGAACAGTTGTTTGGGGATGGGTTTGGAGGCAGTCTGTTTCCAGTGGAGCAGCATATGCCCAGCCCGGGTGGCATGGACTTCTCAGAATGGGTCAACTACCCAGGTGTCGAGTGATTTTTTTCTAGTCTATTTACTTGCTCTGACGACGGGAAGTGTATATGGGAGATTTTGTGTTTGAATATAGGACTTTTATCCCGCATGCTAGCATAGTCACATTCATATTTATATTCACACTGAACCGAAATATCTGCCAATATCCGCCTTACTCCAATCTTAATGCGAAGTGATTACTCGTCGTGAATAGGGTTTAGCGAAGGCACGAAGTCAACCAGCTGAGCCAGCCTTGACGTCCTCCGGTCTGCCCCGAAGAAGGTCCCTCGGCAGCTGATTTTTCATATAGGAAATCATCGATATACTCATCATCCGGCTCATCAAGGTATCTCTCCGTCCGCAGTGCCGCAATAGAGACAATATTGAGGGAGAAAGCGCCTTCCTGGTCTCCGAAGAAGCTAGAAAACAAAAGTCAATACCTCTTCACATCATACAATGACATACCACAAAAACGACACATACCTCCGAATCATAATACCAAATCTCTTAACATTTTTCAAATCCAACGGCTCAGCATCATCCTTATTCTTCCCACGATACGTCGCCCTAAAATCGCTCCACTTCACGAAAACCGTGCGACGCCCCTCAGCCCGGAAATCAAACTCCCAACTGACTGTGCTTTGCTCGCGGCCATCAGAACGCTTAGGAAGAATCTCATCCTTCAATGTAAGCGTGTACAGCTTATCGTCTGCACTGTCGATGACAAGTTCGATGCCATCGTACGCGGAGAGATTCCATGTTCGGTCTTCGCCTCGTGTGCGTTGCGAAGCGAAGCCGGCACCGCCGAGAGTCTTGATATCGAGGGTTCCGTGGAATTTAGCGATCAGTGAAGATGCGGAGCAGGCCAATTCGGACTGAGAGGAGCCGCCACGGACGCGGTCGTCGGAGGAGGTCCAGTCGTTTTGGGACCAGGCTCTATGGGCAGGGGGTTTGTTAGTATCTATGATAAGGTGAAAAGAGAAAGATTGTGATAGATATACCGGACTCCGCCGAATAGAGGAAGATGGGATGTTGGTACCATTTTGTGATGCTTTACTGGCCGTGAATGCGTTGGGAAGATCTGGTGGAGATGGAGATGGGGTGGAGGCGGCGTCGGAGTACTTAGTATGGCGTCATAGCTGTTGGCAAATCAGAGGGCGGGGGGTTTACAACAATGGATATTGTGATTCCTGTAATTAAGTTAAGGCTAAACTGTCGAATGAAAATTGAGATGAATGCAAGCAACGTTCTATATCTCAAAATGATAAATGATTATGGTTTTATCCAAGCCTTCAAATGCTCATGTGGGTATCTGGATCCTGTCTATGTACAATTCTTCATAACTCCATCGCTCCGCCCACCTTGTATATGCAACGTTTCCAATTATTTCTCTTCAATCAGGGAGATCGGAGCATCAAGCTCCCTGTGCAATCCATCAAGACCGTGGAATCCCTCCTCGATAACCCACTTCTGACCCTGCGCAGGGCGATGCAGGACATGGCAGCTGGCGCCGACAACAAGCAAGCCTGGTGGCCGAGAGCCGGCTTCTTCAAATGCAAGACAGATGTGCTCCAGCGTTGAACGGACAACACGCTGGTCGGGGCATGAGGCACGCTCCACGATCGCACAGGGAGTCTCCTTCGGCCAAAGGGTGCGTGTGCGGGTCGAGTCTTCGGCCGAGTATGTGGTAAGAGACTCAATAAGCGCAGAGAGTCGGTGGAGAGCCATAAGGAACACAACAGTCTGGGTAGGCACGTATGCTGGAGGCACCGGAGCAGCACCCTTACGGCCAGTTCCCGTGCAGACCAGTACCTGGTCGGACACACCACGGTGGGTGGCCGGAATATCGGCGAAGAGAGACGCACTCATGGCGCTAGTAATGCCCGGGAGCACAACGGGAGTATAGCCTTCGTCCCGGAAAAACTCAAACTCCTCGGCACCGCGACCATAGAGATATGGATCTCCTTGTTTCAAGCGGAGAACTGACTGTCCTTTACGCAGAGCTGCGAGACCCATTTGCAAGAACTCTTCCTGTGCTTGATCGGCATTGCCGGGGAACTTGCGTGCAATGTGAACTTCTGTCCTGCGAGGGATAAGCTCCAGAACTGGCGCCGGGACGAGCTTATCGGCCAGAATGATGTCGGCAGTCTGGATGGCATTGTATGTGGCGCGAGTAAGCATGTCTGGGTGTCCAGGTCCAGAGCCAGCCAAGATAATCTTCCCCTTCTTTGATACACCGTTGACACCATTGACACCGTTGGTCTCCGGTTCGGCCTCTTTGTTAGAGGAGTACGCTTTGAGAATAGCATCAATGTCCTCATCCGTAATCGAAACAAGTTTTCGAAGAGGCCAGTATTCGCAAATTTGTGACAACCAACGCATGCGCCTGGTCTTTGCCGCGGAGGCATCATTTTCAGTGACAAGCGTGTTGAATGTGTGCCTCTGACCCGAGGCATCATCATCCTCGCCGTCCATATTCGATTCGCCGAGTCCGGCGTCATTATCCTCTTCCCAGAGCCTCCGGCGCACACTACCAAGTCGATCAATTGCCAATCCCAGGTTGGCTGGGAGGAAAGCAGCGATCTCTCGGCGCAGACGAGACGCAAGTTTGCAGCCCCGGCCGGAGGTTGTAATTCCAATATGCAGAGGGCCGTCGGAGTAGGTAGAGAGTAGCGTGAACGAACACAGCTCCGGGGCATCAGTCACATTGACGGGGATTCGCAAACGCCGGCAGAGCTTCGAGATATGTGCACCTAAACAAAGTCATTGTCAGCGACATTTCGATCCAAAGCCAATCGCCGAGAACTTACTCAATGGCTCACTGCCACCCAATGTGACAAAGACGGTGTCCACCACACGATCCACCTCCTCTCGACCCAAAGTAGTCAAATCATTGTCTTGAAATTCGCGACGCACCCATTGTGCCGAGCCACTGGAAATATGCTCTGAAAGAGTGAAATGCACATCGGCCGTCTCCGGCGCAATGATAATAGGCTTCGCGCCAGCTTCAAGACTTTTGGCGCATCGAGCAGCCGCCACAGGATTGGCTCCGACGATCAAATGTATTTGCGACTCAGCATTCCACGCTGTCATCAATGGCGCTGGGCCAAATCCATTGGAGGCGTCCTTCATTGTAGTCGTGTCGTGCCGCAAAGTGCGGGTTTACCCCTCCAGATAGTGGCGTTTCGAGGCAGCGGGTATAGATGCTGTTGCAGCGACAGGAAGAGCAGAGGGAGACCACAGGATAATATGACTCGGCTCTGAGTGCTCAGATATATGAAATCGAGTCCGATAAAGGCCCGGTACCGTATATGCACGCTGCAGTAACTTCCGCGGAGATTGAGAAATTACTCCGGACTGAATAAATGGGCAGTCACGATTGGTGATAATTCACTGATAAGGACCCTATCGTCTTATCGAATGAGCAATCGCAACGCCACCGCGCAGAAGAAGCAACTTGACAAGTTCAAAAAGAAAGCACAAGGCGGCAAGATCGTCAGCTCAAGAGAAGGTACGAATTGAAGACTCGAATTGTCTTTATTAGACTAACCGACTGTTAGTCATTTTGTGGCCGAAATTTTTCTATACATCTGGAATTCCCAAAGCGGCTTAGGGCCAAATTGCGTGATTTGCGATGAGCTTACTTAATAACCCCGGTTCCTGGGGCTCTCCAGTTGACAGTACTGCACCTAATATCGGAGGCTCTCAGGATCGATCTTAAGGCTATCACCAATTAAAGACCCTGACATATGTTCTGGAAGTCTATATGAATGAGAGTAGTTAATCTAGCATACATTACTCCCTAGTAGTCGCATCATTAGTCATAGTGCTTCAATAACTAGCAGCATTTATCTCCTTTAATTTACTGCTCCCTAGGGAAATTGATATGCTAAAAGGGCCTACATATCATAGAGAAGGTTAAGTTATGGCATATGATCTAAAATGAACCAATTCCTTGTTGTATTGCAGTCCATCTCAGTTGGCAACAGATGTTGATGAGATCACGTGAGGCGGAGCTTGCAGCTTCCAAGCCCAAGCCTCAAGGGCGGACCCCCAGAGCTCCAGCATCACCGTCATCCGTCATCGCCTGCTCTGCTTCTACCTCTCATCATCGTGCTGGTATCTTGCAGTACAATTACTTAATCCCGATCGCTGTTCCATCTCCCTTCACCCGTGAACCGGTCTACGAAATTATAATCCACATTCGTCATCATGTCCGCTGGCCTGTTGAAGCCCGAGAAGGACTTCACCAAGGACGCCGACAAGCTCATCCCGGAAGCTGAGGCCCTTGCGAAGGTGTGACTCATCTATTCCACCATAACCTACACACTATATACTGACTTTGCCCGGTTCAGACCGATGTTCAAGGTGCCATCGACAAGTTGTTGGTGCTGGAGAAGCAAGCCCGACAGGTACGCTGTCCCGTCGTCGCTCATCCATACAATCCATCTCAAACTAACCTCAACGGTTCAATACGATAGGCCTCTGATCTCGCCACTACCTCGCGCCTTTTGATTGCCATCGTCACCATCAGCAAGAACTCCGGCGACTGGAGCCTTCTCAACGACCAAGTGCTCGTTCTCTCTAAGAAACATGCCCAGCTTAAGCAGGCCACGACGCGAATGGTGCAGGAAGTGATGAAGTTTTTGGATGACACACCAAACCTTGACGTCAAGCTCTCGGTCATCGAGACTCTACGAACAGTCACTGAGGGCAAGGTAAGGATACAGACAATGTCTTTAGGAGAACTCCCGCTCGGACCAAGCACTGACATCACTCTTCAAAGATTTTCGTCGAAGTTGAGCGAGCCCGCGTTACACGTATCCTGTCCAATATCAAGAAGACCCAAGGCGACCTCAATGCCGCGGCCGACATTCTGTGCGAGTTGCAGGTGGAGACATTTGGATCGATGACCCGAAGGGAAAAGACCGAGTTCATCCTGGAGCAGGTTGCGTTGTGTATTGAGCGGGGTGACTGGACACAGGCTTCGATCCTTATCCGCAAGATCAACAAGCGGTACTTCGCCCGGAAACCCAAGAAGAGTGCCGAGGAGATCGAGAAGCTTAAGAAGCAGGCGGAAGAGCGCGAGAAGACCCGTGGACCGGATGAGGCCCCCATGGAGGTGGATGACGACGTGACCGATCTCAAGCTGCGTTATTACGACCAGCAGATTACTTTGGCCAACCACGATTACAAGTACCTCGATGTTTGCAAGCACTACCGAGAAGTTCTGGACACCGAGGCGGTGGAGAAGAGCCCAGCACAGCTGCGTGCGGTGAGTCTGGCCCTGTCTTGGGTGGGGTTATTTACAATATGCTAACGAAAGACTTCATCCTCCAGTCGCTTGCGCGCATCGTCTATTATATTGTCCTGTCTCCCTATGACAACGAACAGTCTGACCTCCTGCACCGCATCCAATCAGACCCCCGGTTGTCCCAGGTTCCCGTCGAGGCCCGCCTGGTCAAGCTATTCACCATTCCGGAGCTGATGCGCTGGCCCATGGTTGCCGAGCAGTTCGGTCCTCACCTCTGCGAGACCGACGTGTTCGATGCCAAGGACCAGCAGTCGGCGGATAACCAGGCTCACCGCAGATGGCAAGATCTGCGGAAGCGGGTTATCGAGCACAACGTGCGTGTTGTGGCCAAGTACTACACACGCATTCAGATGCCCCGTCTGACCCAGCTCCTGGATTTGACTGAGGAGGAGACCGAGAACTACATTAGCGAGCTGGTCACATCAAAGACCATCTATGCCAAGATCGACCGACCCGCGCGGCTAGTCAACTTTGCTAAGCCTCGGGATGCGGATGATGTGCTCAACGAGTGGAGCAGTGATATGAAGAGCCTGCTGGGTCTGTTGGAGCGGATTGATCATCTGATCACCAAGGAGGAGATGATGGCTCGTATCCTGCCATCTCGTGGTGAGAAGGCCAAGGCTCGTTAAGGGGGGTTGTGCAGACGTGGGAATGCTGCTCCGTGTGTAAAATATCGCCGGTAGACCTACTATGAAGAAGCCAGCCACTGGATAAGTGGATTTATTGAACCAATTATATCATGATACTTGAGAAGCACCAAGACGCAAGTCTGCCTAGTAGATTCAGTGTGTAGAAACGCTGTCTATATGTAATCTATGTGAGCCACCGGAACTCTTTATATATACTCGTCAACCGGGTGGGACATCACCAACTAGTGACACGCTAGAAAGGAACATCCATATCGTTCACATCTTGCTCCTCATCTGCCTTCTTACCACCGTTGCTCTTCTCCAACTGCTCTCGAATGAACCGCACCGCAGCGTCCAAATAAGGCCGCTGGCTAGGCAAAAAGTGACCACCGGGATGCCAAACCACCAAGCCATCCTTCTCCGGTTCCCCCGCACAAGCATCAATCAAAGACCGACTCCTGGACTCCTCCACAACGGCATCCAACGACCCAAGCACATGCAAAACGGGCGTCTGAACCGGCGGACTCTCGTAGAAACCCCGATACCGCGCCCCAGGAGACCGGAACCCACTGTACGCAATCGCAAACTTAAACGGCGGGTGCTGGAACCCATCCGCAGCAAAAGAGGACGGGTACGGTATCCCCGCCGCACCCTCAGACTCATCCTTCTCAAACTTCGCAAAGGCCTCTTTCCGCCCCGTCTCCAACAACCCCGCAACCATCCCCACCATGGCGGCGCCCTGCGAGAATCCAATGACGCCGTCGAACGGACCCTCCTCCGAGAGAACCTTTGCAACAGCGGCGAGACCGTCTTCTAGGCCCTGGTAGAGAGGGGGGTTGGCTGTGTTGGATCGGCGGAACCAGCCGTATGCTTCGATTTCGTCATCCTCGGCTTCCCCGCCCTCAGATGGCTCGTAGCCTGGGATATCACTGGGTTTCAGGCGGAGGGGACCCGTTGGGTAGATTGCGGAGACTTCGTGTAGGGGGAAGGCCTTTTGGATGTGTTTGACGAGGGCGCGGCTCTTTGCGTGGAAGAGGGGGCCAGACTGGGTGTAGCCGTGGAGCATGAGGATTTTCAGCGGTTGGCGCGCCGAGGCGGATGGGTTTGGAGCCATGGTGGCGAGAGAATGACTGGATGGAATTGAATGTTTGAATAGAAGCGACAGTCTTTGAGAGGCGACTCTCGACATAGAAAAAGGAGAGAGGTGAGACTGAGAAGGAAGAAGGGGAATGAATGAATGGGTGGGATCAGTTGAGGGAGGAAACAATTCGATAAGGGGCGATAAGATAAGTTTTCCGATAAGCCGCTGGGCGGAGTCTGCCCCACGCTGGTTCCTGAAAGTTGAAAGGCTCCTGGTCCATTTCGTCACATCAACAATCCTCTCTCCTTCTTCCAAGATTCTCTCACTTTACAATTACATTCACATTCACATTCACATTCATATTCACATTCACCATGTCAGCTCAAAACAATGTTAACATCGAGGCGCTCGATGCCAAGATGAAGGAGCTGATTGAGTATGTTTACCCTTCGCACTTCATACCCTCCCGTTTCCTCAACAGACTGTGTACGCTTCAAACGAGATTCTACACTCAATGCATTTTAAACACACAATCCCCTCAATGACTCAACTGACTCGATACCCATTCAACATACCAATACAATACTGACCCCTTCCCTTCAAACAGAGCATTCGAATCCCACCCTCAACTCCAACCTCCCACCCCCCACCCAACCGCCTTCTTCCTCCTCGACTTCGTCAAAAACACCCACGGCTCCCTGCAGAAAGTTGATGCCGCCAAGTACGCCTCAGGCGACCGCCAGGCCCGCGAAACCGTCCAGGAAATCATTGGCCGCAACCAATTCACCAGCGTGCTTGTCAATGATTCCACTGGCAAACTGGCCATGATGACGGGCGGTGACCCATCGAACCCGGTTAACTTGGGGCCTACTATCAAGGCGAAGGCGAAGGCTTTGGCGGAGCTGTGAGGTGGATTGGATGATCGATTTCACATATTCTACGGTCCTTCTTTGGTAGCGTTTTTCTTTTCTACACATTCCATACGGTACAGTACATTATGGGTTCCTTCGAGATCTCAGTCGTTCCCGCTGGAATGGAGGACTACCTAGTTCTCATGATTTTTCGTGAGTTGTCTAATGACGACAATGTCTTTCTTTCAAATGTACCATCAATTCAAACAAACAAAACGTCATACCCCGAACTATCCACATGGCGTAATGGAAGGTGATCGATGTTGCAACCGTGTCGATCTAAAGTATATTTTCCAGCCTTGTAGTACATATACATCTACGAGAATGCCCGAATAACAATAGAAAGGGAAATATTACCCGGTAGCTACTGTGTTTAACAGCCTTCACTGTCTAGTCTACTCGAGTGCCTGTAGTTGCACTGTCAGTGATGCGTTTGGTTCAACCGCGGAGACCCTTTTTCTACCCTTTTTCTACCCTTTTTCTACCCATTCCATATCACACCGAATGAATAGAATATACCAGAATCAACCATACCATTCAATCAGTTCCCATCAAAAAATGATGTCATGCATCTGATGTACCAAACCGCTGTACCTGACAAGATTGTCAAAATTTGTCACCCGTGTGCGGCTTTACGTAGTCGGGGTGGGGAATGCACGTCCTCGGCAGTGGGCAGTGGGGGCAGGAGGTTGACGGGGGGCTTCGGGGTTTGGTTGGATCCATGACGTTGAGGATTTAGGGATGGAGAGTCGGAGACTAGATATTGCCTGTATTTTGTCCTTGGATTAGGATGTGTATGTAGTGTAGAGTGTGTACATAAGGAGGGTAGACATGGACAGTACTACCTAGGCTTGGGACATAACTAGTTAAATCCAGTCTATAGACCGGGGATGATGAATATCCATCAAGGCCAACCTTAGATTCTTGACTTGACGATGAATAGCAGTAATGGATCTACTCTAGTAGTACAGTGTCCATATCTACAATATTTACTCAAGTCCTCTACACAAGCAAACCAAATATCGGGGACACCTCGATTAGAGTAGTGACACCAGTTACATGAAAAACACAGCAAAAACAAACAACAAAACAGCACGGCACCAAGTCAAGCCAACCTGGTGCCTTCTGTGCCAGATATCCGGAACTCCCTCAGCAAAAAATGCTGTCGAATGCTTTTTTGGGGGACGGTGCGAGACAGCGAGTCATTCCATCTTCTATCTGTCATCAATCCGCAACAGAAAGAAACAACAGTAACAAGATAAGAAAACAAAAGTATAACGAACGCTGTAAAAACAGCATCATCAAGCAGGTAAAGGGAGCAATTAGGAATCGAACGGGAGAGAACGCGGGTGTTTTGTCAAAGTGTCACATCTCAAATTTTTTGGGGTCTTTTGTTTTTGATCTTCCCCCAAGGGAAACAGAACAGAAAAGAGAAGAAAAGAAACGAAGGAAGGTGGTAGAATCGTAACATATCATAGCCAGCCCATTCGAACGTCGACAAAAGATCGAAACCTCCCATCGGTTAGACAGCTTTCGAATCGAACCAAGGTGGTTTCAGCATTTTCGATTGTCGATATCCCAGGTGCGGCCTTTTCCTCCTCCCCTCGTCTTCCTTCCCTCCCTTCCCTCCTCCATCGTTATCCCGCCAGGAAAAAGAAAAGAAATAAAAAGAAGAAATCGGTAAAGGGTGTGTGAGTGAAAAAGAGAAAAGGGTTGATTTGGTATGTGACATTTTGACGGGCGATACTCCGGAAGTACCGAACCGAAGCGGAGGTCAAAAACCCGGGATTGGTATTTTCATCCTAATTGCTCCATGCTATCCTCTGTGCGTTTCAACAAGACATAAAATAAAAAAGAGATTTCATTTGCGCGTCTCGTTTACTTCCGGCGGAACGAGCAGCCCTCGGTCAGACGGGCCTTGCCACCGGTGGGCTGGCACAGGACGGTCGAGCAGCCGGCGCAGATAACGACGGTCTGGGCGTGCGAGAAGACGGTAGTGATGGTGAAGCAGCCGGGGCACTTGACGTCCATGAAGAAGGAGCGGGGCTGGGGCACAAGGGTCTGTAGAGATAATAAGTCAGTAAAGACTTGTTCCCATATGCAATTTTCCTTTCATCATTTGAAGACTGCATATTCCATCTCTTTCCAGCAAATGAGGGGAGTGGCGGGATGTGCTCGAAGAACGTTGATGGTCGATAGTGTCGAAGGTTGGGTTGTGATCATTCCAAGTCCCATCGGTGCCGTCCCCATTTCACATCCACATCCACATCCCCCATCATTTGCGAATTTCATCTCCAATCTCCATTTCTATCAGAATCCAGATTCATCGTACCTTCAGCTTGTGCTTGCGAGCCTCAGCCTGAGGCGTGGGGTTGAGGAGGTCGACCGCGAGAACCTATCAAACAGGTGTCACGTTAGCAGGATGAAGAGTTTGACGGTAGGGGGCAAGTTCTCGATAGCAGTCGCTCAGTCGGTCCCCCTGGGTCGGGATAGAAAAAAATCGAGATCGAGTCGGAACGAGCAAATATCGAGAATTGAGCGGGATGGCAGAACTCACCATCTTGACGGTTATTGATCAGCGAGAGAGTTGATGAATGGCGCTGATAGCGATGGCCTTGTGTGATCACGGAATGGAGGGTAGGAGAAGTTTGAGAGGATTTGATGGGGTAGGGTTTGTGCCCTCGCTTGACGGCTCGTTTCGGGCAGGCGTGGTGGATGAGCTTCCGCCAATGATACCGTCCAGGCGATACCGCCTTGGTTCTGCCGACCCGTTCCAAGGGTTGGCCTGGACAATCGGGCAAGCAGTCAAGTGCTTATCAACAATGCTATCTACAGTAGGGTATACTTGCTGTACTTCCGATACATGCATGCACTCGTCTGAACGTCTCACATTACACTTAATAATTCTACAACACCGAGCAACCCGATGATGAAAAAGCTTATGTACTAGCTGAAAACAAATCATTAGGACCACACCCCCACTGGCCTTGCCGCTCTCTTGAATAATGTTCCGATGCCGAGCCCGACCCCAAACGATCTCGATGTCTCCCCGCAATTCGCCTAATAGGGCGAGGTGCTTATTTTCTTTTGGTCTCATGGTGATCGAGGTTGAACTGTCCATCACGCACGAGTGTAACTACCAGTGCCTCCTAATAATGCACTGCCAGTCTGCGAATGACTGCTTATAGGTTCTTCTTCGCCGCGCCCTCAACGTGGGCCTCGATGGCCGCGCCGTCCTTGCGCTCGGTCTCCTCGACGTACGGGTGCTTGATGGTTAAGCACCAGATGTCGATGTGGTCGCAAATGGTAGTGATCACGTCAAACTGGACAAAACAATCAGCCGAGAGAACTCGAGACAACGGCAAAGTGTACCGAGACTTACCACGAAGCTACTATAGATACCAATCGCCAATCCGAGACATCCAAACACAAACATGATCTGGTTGGATCCATGTCCAAGCACGGGGTTTGCCCAAAGACCAACTGCCGCCCCGGCGCTGTCCAGCACACCGAGACCCAGTGGGTAGAGCAGGATGTTGTGGTAAGGGAATCCCGACTGCACCAAGTGGCCGACGATCATGCGGCCCACCGCGTAGGCATTCACCAGACCGACATACAACCCAAAGGGAATCGTATAGTTCTCCAAGATCGTAGGCTGCAGGTACAAGTAGGCCGGGACGAGGGTCCAGATAGCAACCATGGGCAGCAGACCGTATAGCGGAGTGATAGGATTCAGACCGCGCTCGCGGCGCACCTGCATAACGTGCCAGATGCTGGAGCCGGTCGCGAAGAAAAGCACAAACGCGCCGTACACCAGGTACCACTGCGTGAAAGGCATCTCATACACTCGGTCCGAGAGGAAGCTGGGCTTGGCCACGCCAAAGGTCTCGAGCATCGGCTGGTGCCAGAAGCTGCCGCCGCCTTGGTACGCGGTGATAGCGTAGACGAGGCAGAGAGTCAGGACACCCTCAACGGGGCCCGAAATGACACCCAGAGTCAGGACCTGAGTGTAGAACTCGTCCCAGGTCTGAACATAGAAGGTCATAGTCGCTAGAATGAGCTTGTTAGATGGACAGTCTCAATTATCCATCGGAGGCTCGCAGCTTACATCCAAAAAGACTCAAAATGGTCATCCAACCGTTTCCAAGGTTCATCGAGGCGGCAAAAATGAGGACGCCCAAGGCAGTGTTACATGCGTCAACGCCTAGACAAAGCAAGTCAGCTCCATCCTTATCCACATAACCTATACTGCTTGCATGCAAGCAGCTCCACAACAAACATACTGTGATCAAAGAGCTCGCCCAGCGGCCCACTCTGCCTCGTCCTCCGCCTGTATCAGATCAGCAACAAGTACTTTGACTCCCATCAAATTAGATAAAACATACGCCTGCATGCCGTCCACAGCATCAAAGGTCTGATACAAAAACATGCCAATCGCGCAGCTCGCGTACACCCACGGCGGGCAGTCCGTGTCCATGCCGGGGTTGTACCACATCACGGTGAGGAAATTAAGTACCACGAACAAGAATCCAGTCAGGGTAATCTAGACACCGGGAGCGTTAATTAAGGTTCTCATGTTTTGCAGCGCCGAATGCCAAAAAGAGTGAAAGAAGAACTTACAAGATTGGGTCTGTTGCGCGCGAAAAAGTCAAGAAAGAGGCTCGTTAGCCAGACTGTCCCAAAAATCAAGACTGCTGCGCGAGCTGGTAGCTCCAAGCCAGAAGACAGTGACAGCTGTCCTGAAGCTTGAAGCTTCCCAGCTGGGCCTGCGCGCAGGACGAGAAGGAGGAGAACTCACGCCATGTTCATGGGAAACAAATGGATAACACATTTGCTATAGAACGGCTTGAGGACATAGCGACTGATCAACGAGTGGTCAACACCCGCATACTTGTAGTTGCGCAAGTTTGGCAAGACATGTTGCCGAATGTACACCATTTTCGCAAAACGTGTTTCGTCGTCCGTTGTCCTGTGTATTCCACCTCAAGTCCTATTTCCTCAGCAGCAAAAGATGTATCGTGTCCCGTGTATCCGTAACCCAACGTTTTTTCTCTCTCCCTCAACGCATGTAATCCAGCTCTGGCGTGGGTCTTGAACCAAACAAGCTTCGGCGGCGGCCCAGGCTAAAGCGGAGCGGCAGACGCGTAGGTTTTCGAAGGAGAACGAAGCGGGCGAAGGCAGGTTGTCTGGAAGGCGCAGGAGGAAGGAAAAGTCGTGACGGCGTTAGGAAGGTCAAGGCCCTGGAAGAGAACAGGGTAGGGAGAGAAAAAATAGGCAGGAGACGGCCAAACTAAATTAAAGGGCCCCGCTGTTGGGGAGCGGAGCGAAGACCGGGAAAAAGATGGGGCCCTGGCGACGTCGAGATCGGCGACGCCTTTTCTTCCCGTTTTTCCTGCAGGAGCCAACTACAACAACATTTACAAATAGGTTGGATCTTTTTTTCGTCGGTCTCTTGCCCACTTGCCCACTTGGTTCTGGTTTATTGTTTTCCTGGCATATACAGAATATATAGATCTATTCAGTCTGTCTATATACTTACCCTTGAAGACCCCCAGAGTATACATCCAGCACCGCTCGGCTGCCCACGTGCAGTAGCGAGACGTGGTTGCAGTGGTGGTCACTGCGGTGCCAATGAGATGCATCGCAGGGACAGCGATCGGCCGTCCAAGAGGTCCAAGAGGTGGGGTTACCCGAGGCCTTTGCTCTTTCGGTTAGACTCCAGGACACGGTCCGTTGCGAGGAGATGGGAACGTCAGAAGATGGGAGAGTCAAGGCTTGAGATCTGAGGAGATGTAATGTATGCTTGGATTGATACGCCATGCCTAGTTACATGATACAGAACTATAGACCTACAGCGGGAATAACTTCGTCAGACTCGACAAAACTTTGCACGTTTGCGCGGGAGGGCCGCGGCCATCGTGCAAGAATCCGGGGTCTGCAGAACCTCGAAGATCCTGATAGAAAGACCAGTATGTATAGGGTACCAACAACTGCAGAGGAACAATATAGATGTGGGGAAAAAGCGGCCACGGGAATTCTTCCGCCGCCCCCTGCTCCGGTGGTCCACAAGGTGTGTTGTCCGAGTTTAACCAACGGGGCTCCAGGGCATCGGGACCAAGATTCGGCTCTGCATGCTTTGGATCAGAGGAACCGTCTTGTGCACCGTCTCTGCCCATCCCTCAACACCCCATGACTGCTCCCGGCGGATCTTGCGCTCCTCAAGGTTGGCAAACTGCCACAGGTGGTGAACTGTGTTCAAATCGCCAATCTGCACGAACCACGCGCCCACTCCTTCCATGACCTCGCGACGGGCGTGCAGACCACGACGCCAGTGTGTCTCCCATTCCAGTAGGTTGCCTGGGTGCAGAGTGTACGATCGGAGCTCAAACAAGCCACCCAGCTTTCGGGGTGGAGTAGTAGGCCAGAACGAGAACTCTTGCATCAGAGAAGTCTTCTTGCTCTTGATCAAGCTCTTGAGCTTGCGGTCGAATGCGGGGAACTCGGGGTGACTGGAAATGTTGTGTAGGGAGGCATGATAGCCTTCGTACCGCTGGTATTCCCAGATGTGCACTGTGACACCACAAAAAGAACAAGATTAGCCACTCATTCTGGAACTGCCCAAGGGAGTGTTCACAGGGAAAGAAAGTTACCAAAGGTATCGTTATCGCCCACTTGCGTGCGCCAACTGCCCACTAGGTTGACCCGGTTTTCCTCGGTGCCCGCCATGCGGGGGTACCACTTGCCCACCAGCTCCACATACTCGTCGACCTTGTCGGGCTTGACTTCATGGAACACGATGGAGTGGACGTACTTGCCACGGGCGAGCACCTGCGAGAAAGATCGCTCAATGTCCTTGTCGAAATGTTGACCTTCCTTGGTGCCGTAAATCAGCGAGGACAAAGGGCCCCGTTTGGACCCGGATTCCGCGGCTTCTTCTTCTCCTAGATAGCGGTGCATGGCGAGTGAGCCCAATGCCGTATGGTCAAGAGTCTCAGCTGCATCAAAGGCAGGGTGAACTCGATCATAAGTGCTCGCATTGCTCACATGCGGAGCAGTGGGAGCATACTCACGGGAAATAGAAGAGGAGGAGGATGAGGGGGCAGAAGCAGAAGCAGCGACAGACTGACTCTCTTGCAGTTCTTTTCTCTTGCGAGCCTCCTCGAGGTTCTCGCGAAACTCTCTCTGTCGACGATTGAACTCCTCCGCCGAGTCGGCTGTGAGGTCTCTGATGGAAGGGGCGCGGTAGGCCGCGACGCAGGAGCTGAAAGGCCGCACCAGGCGGGTGGTTGCCGGGCGGATCAAGCGCGGACCCAGCATGATGGAGGTGTGCTCGAAGAGAGGATGAAATGGATTTAGAGCAGGAAATAGGGAAGTAGGAGACAGCTAAGAGTATGAAGGATAGATGCAGAAGTAGAAAGAAAAGAGAAAAGAAGCTTGCTCTGTTGTTGAAAACGGAAGGGAGAGAGGTGGCAAGGACGGGGCCTTCGGGGTGTGGGGAAAGAAAGGACTTAGGGAGTGAAGGATTCCCAAGGATAGTGACAAGTGGGGAGCGAGATGGTTTTGAAGAGGAGAGGACAAGTTGAATTGGAAAGAGGGGCAGGAAGATGGAAAAGAGGAGGCAGTGATGGACTAGTGTCGCGAGAGGAGCAGGGGTGCTGCGTTGCTTGACTGGGGAAATAGCTACACAAGCTCGAAAGTAGACAAAGCACGCGACTGGTGGCTAGAGTGCGTGCCCCGAGTGAAATCTGGGGGAGGAAACGATAATCGGAGGAATGAATCAATAGCAATTAGCCACGGAGGGCAGATCTCCGTCTTGGGCTGCTGGCTGATGCTGACTATGAGCAATGAACTGATTTGATCGCCGGTCTGCAACTGGGGGGAGGAGAAAGCTGGAGTTGGTGCGGGGAAAGGTGAGCTTTAGGTAATTTTGAGTAACGTTAAGTTAGTTACTTTGGGCCAAAGTGGTTGACTAACTCAACTAGCTTAAGTTAACTTAAGGCTTGGGTAACTTGGTACTCCGTACCAATGGGAGAAACCAATCAGGTAGTGAGTGGTCTTCGTCCCGTATATGTACCATGTAGAAAGAATGGAGGACCACTTGTTTATCTCCTCAGCATTGCTGGCAATGGAAGGGCGAAGGTCATGATGACATCGAAATACGGTATCTATACATGTGGCTGAGCTATAATGGTAGGGTCTTGTCCCAGCCCCAAGTCACTTTCTTTACATCCTCTACCGTCTCAATCTACCGGACAGCCGTGGAAACAGGGAAACCTGCGATCATCGGCGATTTGAATCCTCTACATCGATGGTAATACTGTAAATCGGAGTCTTTCACTGCCCCCGATGGACGTATGATCGTCACTGGTCTCGCTCGCTTTTCGCCATCATGACGAACGGGATCCAGCCAGACTCCACATTCCCGGGCCGCTGGCAATTGAAACTCGTGGTTGTCGCGTTAGGAAGACACAGTTTCAGATGAAGAAACCCAGTGGCTAGAGTCGGTGATCAGCGGATGTGCGATCTCCGATTAACTGACCAATCAACTAAGACCAGTAATCAACTATTCTAGATCTACTAATCATATGTGTTGTGTGCTGGATTGTTCTAGTGGATGTAAGGACCTATCCCAAATGGGCCAATTTCATGACGTCGGTACCCGGTGCTCACCGCCCGGCAGATTGAGCATCCCACGTCCAGACCAGACTGGAGGGGGGGCCCATGTCTAGTGTTCGATCTCGAGCCTCCTGTTGATCCTTTCTTGCACAATCATGGCGGAATCTCTCAATCCCCCCCCTCTCCTACGAGGCCTCAGCGACCACCACCCACCCTCACGAGGCAACCTCCCTGCCCACCGAGGTGGTGGCATGCCTGAAGAACTCCCGCTTCGTATGTGACCCCAAGACTCAAGACCGAATCTATCCAATTTCAAAAGCTAACTCGAATCACAATTCCAGCTGCATCTGGCAACATGTGATAACCTCACCCCACACATCTCCCTCATGTCCTACACCTACCTCCCGTCGACTCCCTACGACCCCTACCCGACCATCATCATGACCACCAACCCCGCGTCCCGCAAGACCAACCACCTCCTCTCTAACCCGCGCGTCTCGCTCCTGGTCCACGACTGGGTGTCTCACCGTCCGCCTACCCGGGCACCCAATGCCCAGGGAGAACGCGAGGGTTCTCCTCCCCCCGCGGCTACCCGCTCCTCGCTCGCAAGCCTCCTGCTCAACCTGAACACCAGTGCCTTGTCTAGTATCTCTACCACGATTACCGGGCAGGCGCGCTTCCTCGAGCCCGGTTCCGAGGAGGAGTCTTGGTGCAAGGAGCGTCATCTGGAGAACAATACTTTTGAGGAAGAGGAGATCAATCTCTTTGGACAGCTGCAGCGGAATGACCCTAATGCCCGTCGCCCGAGTATGTCCATCGATGGTGATGTACGGGTGGTAGTGGTGCAAGTGCGTGAGGGTCGTATTGCGGATTGGAAGGGTGGAGTTCGGGACTGGGTCTTGTTGCCCGCTGAGAATGCGCAGGCTGGTCTGGTCAATGGCGTATAGTCAGGACATGACATCCATGGAATGATTGTAGAGTCTAGGAATCCTGATCCAGATGTCATATGATATGGGTGGTCCTGTCTTTTCTATTTTATTTCTCAAAAATAAGCTGTTCAAGAATGCTGTTAAAACTTTTCAGGATATCATGCTTGCCAAATCCAGTTTTCTTTGATCTGTGTTGCAATATATAAACACCAGAATTAGAGGGTCGATAAAGTAAGATGATAAAACGAGCAATGAAGCCGCAGTTCGAACATCAAATCTAAAATACTTTGTCTTCCATCTCATTTTCTGTGTTATCACAGAAATCTTTTGTATAGGATTGTCCAGAGTAAAGCAGGTGTCACACTTATCAAACCTTATCAGCCCGGAGCTCCCAGCTTCTCCGCAACCCAAAAGTTGCACTGACCTCGCATCTCCTCGGAAAACCCCAATCCCCAATCCCCAGCTCAAACAATGAACCACAACACCTACTAAACCACCATTGACCACTCTCCACACACACACCTCATCCGCTTAGAAACCTCAATAACCACCACAAAAATGAGACTCGCCCACCTCCACCTCCCCCATACCACACCCTTCGCCCGAGTCTCCGCCCTCCAACAAGCCCTCACAACCCGCTTCCTCGCCCACAAAAGACTCGCCTCACCAGCCTCGCAAAACACCAATGGCACATCCAACCAAACACGAAAAGCAATCCCACCACCGCCCGACCCAACAATCATCACATTCTCCCCAAACCCCGTCTACACCACGGGTCGGCGCGACCTCCCACCGTCCAACACATGTCCGCCAGATCCCATGAACCTCTCACTCCCACCAGCCCTCGAACCAATCCGTTCACTCCTTACACCCTCGGGCTCGAACCCGCCGAAAGCGGAGTATCATCCCACGCTGCGGGGTGGCCAGACTACTTTCCATGGACCGGGCCAGATGGTCGCGTATACGATTCTAGATTTGAAACGGCTTAATCTCACGCCTCGGTGTCACATTCGTGTCTTGGAGAATAGTGTTATTGATTTGTTGAAGCGGTATGGGGTTAATGGGTTTGTGACGGAGGATCCTGGTGTATGGGTATCAGAAAAGGACTCGGGTTCCAGTTCGGCGCCGCCGAAAAAGATTACCGCGGTGGGGGTGCATCTTCGGCGGAATATTAGCAGTTTCGGGATTGGATTGAATGTGACCGAGGAGCCGATGTGGTATTTTCGGCAGATTGTAGCGTGTGGGCTTGAAGGGAAGGAGGTGACTAGTTTGGAGGGGATGGGTGTGACGGGGGTTGGGATTGATGAGGTTGCTGCTGGGTTTGTTGAGAGGTTTGTTGAAAGGGTGAATGAGGATTTTGCTTGTAAGCATGGGGTTGGGGAGAAGATTGAGGAGGTGTATCCTGTTAGAGAGGAGGATTTGTTGGTATGAGATTGGCTGGTGTGATGCATTTGTAACCTGTATATCAAGACTGGGTGGCAATTACTATACGAATCCCGGTTGGTGACCCCAAGGAGGACGAAGGTGATTGGGGAATAATCAATTCAATAGCATTATATAGTATATCTGGAGGGTAGGATAGTAGAGTAAAAAGTAAAGAGCCAACCTCGCTGAAATGCTGTGACAACCCAGAGGACGGAGCCATGCAAAGGAAAAAGAGGGAACACTGGTCATTTCAGCAACTTATCTGATGTGTCCAGGTCCCGTAAAGAAAGTGGTCATGGTTGTAACAACCGTGTAATCAACGACATGAAATGCAAAGGGGAATCAACGAGCTCAATAGCAAGAAGAGGGCGAAAGAGGACAAGAAACGAAAGCTTGCCGAGCGTGTGCTGGGCAGTAAGAGACACATGGGTAATTCAGACACGACTTGAGCGAAAAAAAGAGCTAACCTGCGTGCTGTCCTTTACAGGATAACACAAGAGGAGCCAGAGCCCTTGCCTCCGGCGGGCTTGACCTCGAGAGCGACCTTGGCCGCTTCGTAGAAGCTTTCTCTGATACCGCGATTTTGAACGGCCGAGCATTCTGTCTACCCGTTAGCTCCAGCCCAGTCAACTTCATGCAATCTGTAGATTACGGCCACATACCCAAGTACTTCACCGCGCCGATCTCCTTGGCCTTGGCCAAACCCTGATCAAACGTGATCGCATTCGGGTTATCAGTCATTTCCTCATCTTTCCTCAAATCGCACTTGAGCGCGGTGAGCACGACCTTCACACCAGGGCAATTCTCATTGATTTCGGCAATCCACTTAGACCCGACGTTTTCAAAGGAGTCAGGGCTGTCAACCTTTATACTAGCTATCAGCACTGGAAACTCCACACAATTTGCTGGCTGAGGGTTCGGTCTCTTGTGGCTTACACTGAAACACAACATCAGGACGTGGGTATCCTCGTAGGAGAGCGCGCGTAACCGATCGAATTCCTCCTGTCCGGCCGTGTCCCATAGCGACAGCTCCATATGTACATTATCGACAAAGATATCTGCGTGCATGAGTGAGGGTGCGTGGTGGGTTGGGTAGAAAGGCGTTGAAATACCGTGGACATAATTCTCTATAGATCTAGTAGTTAGCGACTAGTTGGACCTTTGCGAGCATGGGGCATTATACCAAAGACTGTAGGCTCACTGCGCGAGATCATTGAGCGGTTAGAATGCCTGGTCAACATACTGTATATATAGAGGTGTCCTTACTAAACCGTTGGGAAGAACCTATAACCGTCACAAAGGTTAGCTCTCTGCCCTGTTTGAAGACGTGTGGGGAAAGCTGGACGGAGAGGGGGAGCAGGGGGTCCTTGGGATTGCGCACCCTCTTGTAAACACATTCAGCGCCGAAGTCTTGCCACAGGCACCGTCGCCACTGTTAGAAGAATGTCTATTAGTACCAGATAATCTTGCGCAAAGGAACTCCGGTCCCAACTCACAGCAGCACCATCTTGCGCTGGACGACCTTCTGACGCCCGCACAGCTCCATTGCGACTAGTAGAGTTCAGGAGGGGGTAATGGTCAAGGGTACTGGAAATATAGATCGAATATAAAGTATAAGGAATTAGCGAGGTATAGCGGATATGGAGGCGTGTGGACGAGAAATGGGAGGAGGGGAAAGTTGGAATCGGGGAGGAGGAATGAATCTCCAGCACTGCCCGAGTCGATGACATCGCGCGCCCTGAAAAGGGATCGGCGAATAAGGTACCACCACCTTCCTTCCACACACGCGACCCCCCTTCTGGTCCACTTTGCTCGGCTGCCGAAGCCTTCTTTCCTAGGCTCCCCAGGGGTGAAAAGCATACAGCTGGTTGTTTTTCCTTTTTCATGCTCGGGGTGGTTGTGTCTATGACGGGGCCCTGGTGGTTTAGAACAGGGGGTCATCCATCGGTCATTCTGCAGTCTTGCTTATCGCTAGTTTGATTTGCAACTTGCTCTCCCCACGAGTGTTACTGAGTGGCATCGGAGTAGTAGATTAGAATCAAGTATGGACTGGAGCTACTAGAGTCTCTGGAATGGGTAAGTTTAGTTTCATGCTTCGCCTGTTCTATAGTGTATAGTTAGTAGGATGACAACAATGCCGGAACTCAATACATACTCCCCCAATGAGCTTGCTAGACACGCAATGTTTTGCGCAATTTAGGCGGCCGACATGATACAGATAGAAATGAATCAGTTATTTTGCAGGCAAATGAATTATCCAGTTTAATAGTCGTAAACACCTGAGCGGTTTAATTGGTGGCCTGAGGCGGGGAGTCCCAAAGGCGGAGGCTCTTGCAGCTCTCCGGACTTCCAAGTGACCTCAGTTTATCTTTCCCCAACTCCATAACATCTCTCCAAACAACCCCGCGACATCTCCCCCTTCCTTCTTCCTCTCACCCCACTCCTTCCTGACCTTTATTTTCTAAGCATTTTCATACAACTACCTCTCGACAAGATGTCTGACGATGACGATTTCATGCAAGATTCGGGTGACGAGGAGTGAGGATCCCCACTCCCACTCCATCTCCGCTCTCCATTCCCTGAGACCGAGCTGACACGTCTGACGGCAGCTATGACTTTGAATACGAAGACGATGAAGATGACGAGGCCGGCGATATCGGAATCGAAAACAAATACTACAATGCGAAGCAGATGAAGGTGGACAATCCGGAAGAGGCAGTCGACGAATTCCTCGGTCTGCCTCCGATGGAACAAGATAAAAGCGAATGGTGCGAGTGTCTTCACTGCTGAATCTCATCCTCAGAATGCTGATAGATCCTTCTGCTACAGGGGATTCAAAGGATTGAAACAAGCGATCAAGCTGGAGTTCAAGCTTGGGCGATACAGTGATGTAGGCGACGCTGTCTACGTGCCCCCACGGAGCTGCCAACTGACCCATCTTTTTTAGGCCGTCGAACACTATCGAGAACTCCTCACATACGTCAAATCCGCCGTCACTCGCAACTACTCCGAAAAGTCCATCAATAACATGCTCGATTACATCGAAAAGGGCTCCGACGATGCTGAGGCCTATCAATGCATGGAACAATTCTACTCCCTCACACTCCAGTCCTTCCAGAACACCAACAATGAAAGACTGTGGCTGAAGACAAACATTAAGCTGTCCCGGCTATGGCTGGAGCGCAAAGAATACACTCAGCTAGCCAAGAAGGTGAAGGAACTGCACCGGGCATGCCAGCGGGAGGATGGCTCGGATGATACCAGCAAGGGCACGTACTTGCTGGAGCTGTACGCTTTGGAGATCCAGATGTACGCGGATATGAAGAACAACAAGCGTCTGAAGGCGCTCTACCAGCGAGCATTGCGAGTCCGGTCGGCCGTCCCTCACCCCAAGATCATGGGTATCATTCGCGAATGCGGCGGCAAGATGCATATGAGTGAGGAGAACTGGGAGGAGGCCCAGAGTGACTTCTTCGAGTCATTTCGCAACTACGATGAGGCCGGCTCCATCCAACGGATCCAAGTGCTCAAGTACCTGGTCCTGACTACCATGCTGATGAAGTCCGACATCAACCCGTTCGACTCGCAAGAGACCAAGCCCTACAAGAATGACCCCCGGATTTCCGCCATGACCGACCTTGTGGATGCTTTCCAACGCGACGATATCCACGCCTATGAAGCCGTGCTAAGCAAGCACCCCGACGTGTTGGCCGATCCTTTCATCGCGGAGAACATCGACGAGGTCAGCCGGAACATGCGCACCAAGGCCATTCTGAAGCTGATCGCCCCATACACCCGCTTCTCGCTCCAGTTCATCTCCAAGCACATCAAGATCTCCGTGCATGAAGTATTGGAGATCCTGAGCTTCCTGATCCTCGATAATCAGCTCAATGCGAAGATTGATCAGGAGAACGGCACGGTAGTTGTTGAAAGCGCGAGTGATGTGGAGCGACTTCGCGCCCTGGAAGAATGGAGCTCATCTCTAAAGGGTCTTTGGCAAACCGCCCTCAATGACGAGGGCTTCCGTCCCGATGACCTTGGCCGCGGTCAGGGCGGTCCGGTATTTGCCCCGGGCTATGGCAACGAGTCTCCTAGCGCTCTCAGTTCTATGAATGCGCGTCGAAGAGAACTTCGAGCCCGGCAACTTGCCGGCAAGGTGGCTGGCGTGGTGTAAGCTGGCCCCTGCTCAATTTCACGCTAGCATCGGCCTCTCTGCCTAATTTAGTTCCTCCCCACCGCACGTGTCTGGTACCTGCGGAATTCTCATGTCGCTCTCGCGGTTGAGCCGCGCCATTTTCTTATCTCCCCATCGCTTTGCATCCATGGAAGGTGCCGAGCACCTCCCTGTTCTGACCAGATTACTGTGGCTTCTATCCGAGGAACCGAGCTGAACGATATCCGCGTGGAAGAGGGTCTGGGCCACCGTCACATCTTACACCGCGCGTTTCTCCTGTCTTTCTTTGTTGTGTAGCCTGCAGCCTTGTGAACACGAACGCCTCCAGGTTCTTGACTGTTGGGGCGGTCAAAGAGCAGCAACACCAAGCGAGGACTGGGAGCCTGTGCTGGAGCTGGCGTCGTCTGAAGCCCTCTTTGCCTTTTTCTTTTCCTCACTCAACACGAACCAGGCCCCGCAAATTAGAGTTGCTGTGACATAGGCTCTAAAATCTCATGATAAGATGAACATTGACTTTCCGAGCTCTGAATGTTGAGCCTGAAGTTTAGCACATCCTCGAATATCCTCTCGGTGCATGGGGCTCTTCCCCGCACTGTTAAGCCCGGATCACTAGACATGTTTTGATTGCTCTTTCAACCAGTAGCGGATGTAAGTCAGTAAGTACAGCATGTACTTGCCACCCTCATTCAAAAAGCAATATCTCCCGTATGTACCGGACCCGCATGTGGGACTTTCGAGTACATGTACATATGCATAGTGCAAAGTGATATATGTAGCAGGTTCACACTCACCAACCGGGAGATCTTTATCCAGACGCAAAAAAAAGTCCGACAGCAAATGTACAGTACTTTACATAGTACCTACCACCACACCTCTCTCACCGGGGAACCTTGTGTGTCCAGTCCCTCCCTACCCGATAACTACCTTCAATAGGCGCTTAGCTTAGAAGCAAGCGGGTGCAACGCACATCCCGGAATCTGGGCCCTCGCTAGATCCATATTCCCGGCACTTGGACAAATGACGAAGCGCAGGGCGGCACGCACCTCGGTTTGATTCGTAATACAGTCTGTATGCTGGTTAGCTCCGGTTTACCTGGGTCTTGGTCTTGCGGGTTGCGGGTTGCGAGTTGTGGGAAGGAGTTCAGCCTCCCGGGTGACCTAGGGGCGGAAAACGGAGGAGACTCCGTTTGCTAGTTGCTAGCAGAATTGCATGTGAAGATGTTGGGACATACTAGGTAGCTGTGAAGGTTATCGGTGGATCAAGAAACTTGGAACTAGCAGTAGTTGGAGAAGAAAGTACGTGTGGAGGAGTAGTGTAGTTTATGATGTGATGTGATGTATGATTACTACGTAGTTAATAAGCGATGGGGCTGAGGAGCCAAGAAAAAATCGAAAAGTATATACAGTCCTCCCCTTGGCTAGTCATCCTGAATCATGAGTGTGGATATCTCATTGGGGGCCTGACATGGTCCTTATCTGAGTTTGCGAGGTCCGGTGATGCACCGTCGAGCGCTGATCTAACGCAGCAGGTACGAAGAGAGATCGGTTGTTTTACAGAACTAATTCGCTTAGCATCTCGCCTAGGAATTGATGATCAATCTCTTCTTTAGTTATTCCATAGGATTCGAGTGGGTATAGATAGTATATAGTAGTAGCAGTTGATACCGGGCTTTGACATCCAGACACCGAGTCATGCTAGGCTATGGTTTTCAGCTCAGCACCTCGGACGCAAGGAAGGCGACCTGTCAACTGCGTTGCTTGCACCGCACTGATCACCGCACGAGCAGCCGCACCCATGTTCTTAACACGGGCGTGGTCAAGGCTTCCCACCTTACGATGGTAGGTGTGTGTGGGAGGGGTGAGAAGGGTGCAAAGCTTCGGAGGGGAGAGGTGCTCCCCGATAATTTTTACCTTGTCACAGCCAGCCAGGATAGTAGAAGACGAAAATAAGGCGTAAACACTCACATCATCCAACATGACCTATACCAGGACCAGCTTGACCGGACCAGAGCTTACCCTTCCCCTCAAACCCTAACCGTTGTCAATAGCGAAAAAAAAGCTCCAGTTACCAGTAGGCGTAGGCTCTCCCAGGCGCACGTCCCGGTTAGGATTACGATCACACCAGCACCTCTCGGCCTATCATTCGAGTCCTAGCGGCCCCCCGCGCCCGGGTGATACTGGAGTCTGGACAAGCGGAAGGGGCAGACAGCAAAAAAAGAAAAGAAGAAGGGAGCGAAAAGAAAAGAACGCAAGAACTGTGCTGTCAATATCTAAGTTTCAAGCGAAGAAGGAAGTTAAAATCCTACTTGTCCAGTGCCCGCAGGGTACACAGCTGATGTGATACAGAGTGGGCCCGATCCTGGATCTCAAGGTTCCTAGAATCTTGAATTTTGAATTTGGACTACATTACTGAGCTATGGGTATTTAATGGCATTTTGTCTGGACGTTTCTCCGTATCTACCCTCTAGTACAGTAAGAAAGAGTACTTATGATCACTGCACGGAAAAAGAGGAAAGATGTGGATATCTTTCGAGCTTTGCTTTTGTTTTGCTACAGGCTACAACAACCTTAGCTACAGTAGTGTAGTAACAAAACGTTCTTGTCCTTAGATCGGCATACCCACCAACTAGCGATGCGAGCCGAGCCAAGACAAGACGTGACGCATTATGGAGCGAGCCTGGAGGAGGGCTCATGCTCTTAACCATGCTCCATGCTCCATGCTGGTTTATTTGCTAGCTTCTTGTTCCCCCAGTAGTTTGATCTCGATCTCGATCTCGATTGATGAATTCCTCTTCCTGATTCGAACGAAACCCTCCCACGGCGCATCCGGGACCACTCTACCGGTGCATGGGTACTACCCATCATTCGTGAATCGCGGTGGGGGCCTATCGCCGTTGGAAAACCGATCAAACATGCTTTTCACTCGCAGCTTGGGAAACTAGGACCGACATGTACATACAGTAGTGTAGTGGTAAAAAGGAAAAGGAAAGTAAAGGCTAGTCGGGGAAAGGGACTGGACTGTTGTCACCTATCGTGGGGTTGTTTACTATACGGTGCATCGTGCATTTTACGCTGGACGATTCGAAACCCCCGCTTTTGAGAGACGGCGACGGGGACGGGTAAAAGGGAAGGGAAGAGGGTTAGTGCCGGAAGGGTTGTCCGAGATCTAGCCGAAGAGTGGAATTAGGCCCTCCACTCTCGAGATTGACATGAGGTTTGTAGGTGGTATAGGGAGGAGAGCGTGATCATCCTGGAGTGGCAGGTTTGATGATGTGATATATTCTTACTGTGTGATTTCTAGCAATTAGAATAGCAAACAATCGAGTAAGTCAAAGAGATCATAACGCTCGAGAAATATGATATGTAGGTGCATTGAATTACTCTACAGATTGGTGGGCTTTCCAACGGCATACTTAGGCTAGCTAGAAGAGTGGAACGATCGGGGTCTTATTGCCTGTGGGGCGCGGGCAGTTAGAACTTGGAGGACCTTTTCTTTGTGTACAGTGTACTTTTTTATACAGTGTACTTTGTATACAGTGTACTTTGTGTATTGTACTGTTGAGATGGCTTACGCGCTGAAGCCGCGCTTACAGGGTGGGTAGTGACTAGGACGGTAGTAGATAGCGGTCCACAATGGGAGGTGAGAAAGTAGTTTAATAGAACGCAAGGTCTATAGATGTGTAGAGAGATGAAAAGAGAAGACTACCGTCCAGTTAGTGTCTGGCTACAAAGTTCAACGTCTATACAAACTGTAGACCGTATAAACTCGGGACGTGACAGTGTGGAAGACAGTAATAATCAATTCCCGCCCCCTGCAGTTTGTTTGCGAAAGAGGGGCGTGCTGTAGGGTTGTGCTGGCACCTCGATCAGCATCTTCAGGCGTGGATCTGATGCTGCTGAATGGCTCTACGGGGGGGGGGGCCACTTATCCTGTCTCTGTCCGATCGGGATGATGTGAATGGTCAGGCCACCGGGGGCACGGTGCATCGTTACTTCATTTTTCGTAGGGGCCGCTTCGCTTTTTTTTATCGAGTTGGCCGGCCATAATATTATTCTTTGATTTAATTCTGATTCTATGACAGTATTTTCCTTTTCCTGGGGAGTGGTTCTGGTTGGGTACGGAACGAGTTACCGAACTACTGCCTCTAGGATCTTAGTCCCTGAACGGAGGAGGGCCTCACATATCCTGCTCTTCTTATAGGTTTGTTTCCTCTTTATTTGGCTGGCATTTGCTCCGTATTGTTTTTCCCTTTTTCCCTTCTCGATTCCTTCGGGAGATCTCCGTGCTCTTGGGATCGTCAATCCAACAGTCCATCGCGACTTATTATTCAAAGTCAATCCGTCCTTCCCGCGGGCATTGTTTCGGTCTCTGTTACCTGTCCATCAATCCCATCAGCGACTTCTTTCTGCTTCGCCTCGTGTTTCGTCAACTGGATCATTTCCTCGTCCAGTTAAAAAAACGATTAAAACCAAAATAATCATCAATCACAACTCAATCCTTTTTTGCACCCTGCCAACTACTTGACCCTCAAATTGCACGGAGTACCATCCTGCTGGGTCTGGACATCCCCCCTCTTCTTTCCCACGAACTCCGCCAATATTTTCTTCTTCTTTACTTCTTCTTCTTTACTTCTTCTTCTCTTCTCTTATTCTTCCCGACTTTGATTTCTTCATCATCATTCTTAACCGTCCTTTCCTTCTTGATATTCTCCACCCTCCATTCCCTACTCCTCCACATCGACTGGCTTCCCCCCCTCCATGATTAGATCATCCACGTGTGCCCACCAGTGATCGTGGAGGCCCAAAACGTCCCTATTCTCGAATCCCCAAGGGTCTGAGCTCTTCTCCATCAACCCCCCCTGCTTTTTCCTCCTCCCCGATCGCTGGCTTCTTTTCTTTTTTGGCGTGATCCCAATTCTCCTTGGCCCTTTCCCGCGCGACTCTTGGCTGCTCTCAATCCTCCCCACGACCAGCCCCCCCCCCAATCGACTGTCAACTCGACTTTGATGGTCGGGCGGTCTGTCATTGTTGTCCACTTTCTTCCCCTCTCCCACTCTACTGCTAGCAACTGGCTTGATCGTCCGGGAATCTTCTCCGTCTGCCATCTTCGTGCTCGCTCTCGGCTTTGCCTGGGATTCCCGGTCCACACCTTCAGATACTGAGGGGTAGATCGTCCTGACTGGTTCGTGCACTCTTGGGCCTTCCGTGGGGGATGATCTCGCGCCAACTACCAACCACATCGTCGTCGCGGCAGTCGATTGGAAGTCGTCAGCTCGAACACTCTGACATCATCTCATCATCGTGACTATCACGGTTTCGTTGAAGGTGACTCTGGGCCTATCTGTCACCCAAAGATAATGTGATACTCCTTGCCTTGTTCTGCTTGTCCCTTCTCCTTAATCCCCGAATCCCCAATCCCGATCTGATTATAATGTCTCCCCCATTCTCATTCTTCATCAATCTCGACCCCACTCCCAACTTCCTGATCAGTTTTGGGTGGTTGAACTTGTTGAAACTTGGGCCTGGGCCCTTCATCCCAAAAAAACTATTTAAGTGCACTCGGTCCAATCATACCGCAGATCACGCTCTGGTGGTCTGGAAGGAACAAAAAGCTGCCCACCATCTTCATATCGTGGCTAAGCGGCTTCAAATCCAACTTCCCCCACCCGCAAATCCTATTGGTAGCCCTCCGTTCCAACCAACCTGAGGTTGGATTTACCCTGAATGATCACGTTGTCTGCATAATTTTCTGGTCTTTTGTTTTTTTTTTCATGTGTTCGCATCGTCGTACTTAAACTGACCCGAAAATATTTAGTTCCCAGAGTGTCGGAACCCCTTGCAGCGTTGTACAACGACCGTAAGGCACCACTTCCGTGATCCGTGATCCGATTCAGAAAGGAAAGGGTTCCTAGGGAGATGTCAATATCCTCAGTGAGTCTTTTTTTATCCTCACATCGCCTCATCCTGAGTCGAGTTCTTTTTGTCTTCCAGTCTAATCCTGAACTTCAGATCGTTGAAGCACATTGATTCTACCCTGTGGATATCCAGTCCACGCTTCAAAGCCATACATAGCACTCCGCTTGTTATCTCCTCCCCGGTTGTATGCGATGTCCTTGTCAAAACTTCCCTGGAATCATTTCGGTCCTCACCATCCATTCCCGGAAAAACAGAAGTTCCACGGCTGTTACCAGGACGCTCTTGCCCCACCAGCTTTCCTTCGCCCACTAGGCTTGTCAATACAGGCCGCCTTTGTCCCCGTACCCTCCACCATGAGCAACTCTAGCAACATGAATGCGCTCTCCCCAGACGAGATGCAGCGCTTTCAGAAGCTGTCCAATGAATTTGAACCAGATGTACCGGTAGGTGATTCTGTTTCAAGATGATGAAGAAGTTGATACTAACTATGGTTGCAGGGACTCTTGGTCTCACCGAAACAATCAAGTCACAACATTGCCCTAGAGTATGCCAATGCAGACCCTACTTTTGCCACAAAAACCTCTGTGAGTCTATACTCGGCTTGATCGGCTCGCGATGCTCATGGAAAATAGGCACTTGCTGTCACACACCCTATGACCCGCGTCATGAAGGGTGATGGGAATTGCGGCTGGCGAGGTACGAGAACCAAACTCACCATATCCCTTATCAGCCAACCTCGAGAATGTCACTTTACTGACCTTTTTGTAGCTGTGGCTTTTGGCTACTTTGAAACCCTCTTTTCCCTCCGAGACATCCTGCGCGTTGAACAGGAACTCGCCCGTATCAAGTCCCTCACTTACACTCTGGACCGTGTTGGCTATGCAGAACATCTGTATGAGATGTTCATTGATGCCACGGAAGAGGTCTTTTTGCAAACTTCCGAAGCTATCCGAAATGGTGATCAGGATGAAACATTCCTGGTCAACGCCTTCAACAATGAATACCAGTCAAATTCCATCTTGATGCACTTCAGAGTACGTTATGCTTCGCATAGCTCTGACCAATTGATGGCTGACAATTTCACAGCTTTTGACCAGCGCTTGGATGAAGCTGAATCCCGTACGCTATCAAGCATTCTTGTCTGCTCCGTTGGAACAATATTGCGCCTCAGAGATTGACACAGTGAGAACTGAAATCGACGAAGTCGGCCTGCAAGCCTTGGTTGATGGAGTCATTCAAGGTGCTGGCTTTGGAGTCGAGGTTCTGTATCTCGACCGAAGCGAGGGCGATGCCGTGACACCACACCAGGTATCGCCAACTTGCCCCAGCGATGCTACGATCCGTCTTTTGTACCGACCGTAAGGCCACCCGCTTCACCACTACAACCCTTTGTCCCTGGGAAGACTCGCATGACTAACGTCTATAGGGGCCACTATGATATCATCTACCGCGCCGAACAGACTGTAAACATGGCACCCGTCGTCAACTATCAATACGCGATGACGACTAACTATTCTCCCTGGGACCAAGGTGCTCTCTCCTTCGACGTCAATTCCCATTTGATGTCTATCCCCAATCTGATGGCCGATCCGGCATTCGCTATGGGCGGTGCCTCCATGTCGCCAATTCCCTCTGTCTCGCCAACTCCAGCAAGCCCATACCGACTATCTCCAACCCAGGATATGTACCAGTCACCCATGCAATCTCACACACCTATTCCATCCATACCTGTCTCATCGCCTACGCCGGCCATGCCATCGGCAGCACCCCCGCCAATGACCTCTCTGCCAAGTCGGTCATCAGATGGGCCTCAGATTCGCTTGAATCCATTGGTCATGAAACCGAATCTGAATCACCTACCAGTGACGGCTCCATTTAAGAAGTAGGTTCTCTTCTCTACACTAATATCGTGGACACGATTGTTGACCCTGTTATCAAAGCTCGCCGTACAACCAGGCACATTTCAGGAATCAAGATTTCGAGCCGATCCATTGGGAACCAAACGAAAATCGCAGATGATAATGATGATGAAGCTACGAAATCCCTTTCAAAAGGAAACGCGCGACGATTATCCCGCAGGGAACGTCCTTGTTCCAATTCCCTTTCGCATGTGTGCATGAGACCTGGACTTGGCGTTTTTGTTTTTTTTTTGCTCCCTGGTCTCTCGTTTGTTCCTTTCCAGCCCATTTCTTCTTTCTCTTCCAGTTGGTCTTCGAACCTGCATCTCTCAGAAGCGGCCCCGTTTACCACCCCCTGATGCCAAAGTCTAGCCTTTCCATCTTTATTCTTACCTGACCGGCCTTCCTTGATGACTGTCTTCTTAGCGTGGGTGTGCAGCGCGTTGCATGGATGGTCCGAGCGTTTATCCTGCCCTTTTGTTCTCCTCATAACTCCAATTTTTCCAAATTGTTATCCGTGGATGGTTCGAATCATCCAGGTAATTACTTGCACTCTATGTTCGCTCTCCTGGATTGAGCTATGAAGCAGTGTAGTGCATGTGAAACAGAGGACTTATTTCAACAAAATTGTCCCCAGTATGCTCATTAAACTATCCTCTCCATGATTAGATATGTAAAAATAGGCTGCGGCTAACCGCACGACAACTTGTGCTTTCACGCGACAGACTGTAGTATGCTATTTCGGATATGATGGATAATAGATACATCGAGTACCTAGATATTCTCGTGATATCTACTGAGCCTTTTACTTTAGCTGTTAAGACGGTTCAAAAGATATTGAGAAAAAATTTTCTGGAAAGGGAAAGTTAAAGCACATATTATTACATTGTAAAACTGTTTCTCCAGTCTAGACACCAAGAATGGATCCAGTGTACCTGTTCTCCACTGTATCCAAAAATGGAATCGTGTGTCGGGTGACTAGCCCCAGCCATTAGATACAATATACAGTGTAAATCCTAGTATTAAGAGCCCCCATATACAGCCCCTGTCTCCCCCTATGCAATTTCCTCATCCTTCGCCTCTAGTATAACATCCACCATATCATCCAACCCACGATCTTTATCTGCGGCATCCAAATACCCAGCCGTAACCAATCGTCCCAGTGCATCACCGACCCAATTCTGACTGTTCCAATCACTTTCTTGATCAGCGACTGGTGTCCCTGATATTATCGCCCGCAGTGACGATACGGGAACCGTGTCTGGTATGGAAGATACGAACACGGCTTTGGCTAGACCTGTGCCACTTTATCAGAAAAAGATCTCCACCAGATAAATTCTATACATACCAGTCGCCGCAACGGGTAAACTCGTGTTGACGCGCTCATGAAAGCTGAAATAACCCGGTGATCCGACCACCTCCATCACCGAGGATTTGATATCGTCTTCGTTTTCTGTCGTTGTACTTGTATTGTTGGAATTCGAATTGGACTTGGAATTGGACTCGGTTTCAGTGTTTGTGTGTGTATTATCGAAGTCCAAGTACAGCGCTGCATGCCTGTACCGCGCGTAGTCTAGTGGTGAGGCGACGAACACCAGGATTGAGAGCTTGGCCGGCATGTAGAAATCCCGGGCTACTCGTCGGGAAATGATACAGAGGGAATGAGATGATCTTCGTCGTAGGGATTGTGGTTTTGTCAGGGAGAAGTTGGTGCGTTTAGCTTGGTTGGCAATGGGTGAACCTCGGGATGACGTCGTTGTAGGGCTGAATCTGGGAGGCGTAGGGTGGGTGGGATTGGTCGCGTGGATGTTTTGTAGGGATTTCCCTGGAGATCGGATGATCTAGGTACGATGCAGATGAGGGTTGTACCGAGTTCGAGTATATCGAGAGTTGGAGCTTGTACTATGGTCATGCCTTGTTGAAATAGACAACTAACCTAGATGGAGGAGATGCTAACTTTTACGGATAATGTTTCCCCTGCCCCTCCCGAAGAATCTAATTTTTGTGGAGATCTGTTGTAGAAAGGTAAGACTTGGGATTCTGGACCTAGATGGTGTGTTTGACCCTTTGAGAGTCCTCGAATATGACCTTTCGGATAGATGTGCGGCTAGCCACTGAGCGCAGATAGTCATACCATAAAGGTGGCTTATAGAGCTTATAGACCCCCCCCTGTAGCCTGAAAAAAGTCCTGAGAGAGGGAGTCATGAGCATTAACCTACTTGACCAGTGATTGACACCGGAGACCGTAATACATAGCTCATTTTCAAATTGGTTGTTTAGCTAGAAGCATCACATCATTTCGCAGACATTCTCGAAAGCTTCAATTCCACCATCGCATTCTCATCCCACAAGGGGGGAAAAAGGAAAACAAAACATCAATCTGGATAGCGGCGGATTCTCCACCAAAAGACACAGAAATCTGAACGATAATCAGGTCAAGCGTAACAATCTCCATGGACCCGATTCGACTCGAAGAGCACTGGTTGCTTTATCCTTCACCCTCACTTTGCTCAATCTCCTCGTCTGGCTTAAAGGAGGCGTCACTTGTATCAGACATCTCGGCATCCTGACCAGCAGCAAGCCCTTGGTCCATGTTTGTTTCCAGTTTGGCTTGCTTGTTTTGGAGGGCCTGCATACCAACCTCCACACCTCGAAGCTGATTTGATATGGCCTCAATGACGCGGCAGATCTTGGTGATGTCGGTTTCACTGGTTTGATTGGATTTGGAGGCAAGATCCTGGACTTCGAGATTGTTGGAACTCTCATGTAGAGCATCGCCACTGTCCGCAGACTTGGAACTACCTTGCTGAGAACTGTCATTCTCGCTCTCAAGGTGTTCATCGTCTGATACCTCCATCGTCTCGAGAGCATGATCGGAAAACCTTGGCGAGTTAGAGGTAATAGAGGCTGATCGGGTTCTCATTGAGCAACTTGGGGAGCCCTCCAAATTGACAATCCGTAGTTGGTTCACCGGACCTCTTCGACGACTCTTAAGGATCTTGCTTCTCTCCGTGATGTTTCGGATTGGTGCAATTCCTGAGAGCCTGGGTCTCTGAGTTGAGGGTTGAACATACCTCGAGATCCGGAAAGTTAATATTTTAGACAGAACTTGGCTTTTATCTGTGTATTCCCCATATCTTCGCCGTGATCAAGCCAAGGCGCTGGCCACGGCTTGTGAAGACTTTTTAGTTTTTCTTGCTCGGACAACAGCCAGGCTGACCACACCTTTGAAATATTCCACCATGCTATGCAGTACTTCTGGATTACATTCCGATCTGGTACAAGCAGAGCCCTCTATTGCGGTAGAATAGAATCTAATGTTCCATCAGAGAGATACCGGTAGCCTAGCTCGTCAGTTGCAAGCGCAACGGGCCAATATGGGACTTTGACATAGCCAGGCTTTCGGGAGTGGAAAACACGTGGGTGCTTGTTCTTTTCAGGTCTCCAATTTTTCAGCATTATTCGACAAAGTTGACAGTCCGGAAGAGGGTCCAGCAATGGCTAGAAACCTTCTTGCCTGTTGAATAAGCTGCTTTGATCTTGCGGTGCCTCTATTTGAAGCAGATCGACAAGTCTGGCTGTTCTATCCGGTCCGAACTGCATCAGGTATGTACCTGAGCTTTGTTCAATCCGAGATATCCATTGCTCATGCGCCTGTTGCACATGCTGCATAAGCTGTGAGACACTCTCCTTGTTCCCATCGACGTCCCCTCCCATATGAAGCCAAATCTGATCACGGTGAGACTCTGGGCTGATGAAATTCGCAAATACGCCCAGTATAAAAAGTCGTAGAGACGGCCGAGGACAGAAGCTGGCCGGAATAACATGATTCATTTCTACATAGGCCATCTGCACCTCCAGAGAACTGAAGGATGTATGGCTTTTTTCGAATCGTTGGAGAATATCGAGGAGAACGGCCTTTGCCTCATCGGTTTCAAATAGGGCAAGAGAGTTCTCGTCCTTGGCATCTGGTAGACATCAAAAGCTGGGCTAGTTCACGGTCTTCAATACCCTCTCTTCTTGTTGCTTTCGCAGCTCATGAATTTTGTCTTGGCGTTCGATTCCAGTGAGGCCGCTCAGGTGGGTAGAGACTTCGGGTATCTGGAGAAAATTCTCTGATGGCTGACATCTCGAGCAGTCACACCCCGTTGGGTGCTTCATCTCGGAGACTTGGATACCCTACCACGAGTGATAAAGTTAGATCTTGCCTTTATAGATACGAGAGTTAATTATAGCCAGCAGAGACACACTCAAAGAGACATAAGCATATGAAAGAACTAGGTCATTGTCTGTTTACTCACCCAAATGATAAGTGTGTCTTTGAAGACACTGAAGCCAGAAATGATGCAGTAAGACAAGGATTGACAGGGCTTGATGAAGTGGCAGACAATGAAGATGCAGGGAGGAAGGAACGGCCAACGGGAAGCTGTGGACTTGCAGGCTTTTTATTTCTAGAAGCACCCGATTTGCTAGGAATTGGTTCCTTTGCATATGTTTACCATTCTGTATACTTTGGCGATGTTTTCAATTACCAGGAATCTAGCGCCTAGCTAGGCAGCCCTGCATGGTGCATTAATGGCCTTGTGTTTGCCAGCAAACTTATCATAGTATAAGAAACTATACTTCAATTACGATGGAAATACCATGGGTGCTCATCTTTTTGTTGATCGGCCTTCGTAAGTCTCTGTAGGGATATTTACGCCTCTTAAACCATAGCGATATACTGGAAATCAAGTGAGAAAATTAGCTCGTTCTTGATATATAGGTTTTGATCTGAATATCGCATTTGATGTGGTGTTTTGATGTGACTTATGTGAGATATTCATAAGTCGTCCCCAATCTTCACAGTCGGAATCTCCAGGTAGCTTGCAGATGCTCCTCCCCACGAAACAGTGTGCTCCCCTTCGTTACGAACGGGAAAGGTTCCTTGCAAGGCTTCAAACTCTGCAGGGCCCATGAAATGGCCCGAGATTTTCATGACCAGCTGTTCGCCCGCTTCGAATAACATACCCGTTGGCCAGATCTCAATCTCCAATCGCATTGCCTCTCCCACATTTACCGGCAGACGCCTCCTGTGCGAGAGCGTTTTCCAGTGAGGCTTCGATATTTCTTCCGCCACATCTCGGTACGATGCCCTCAAGATGCCATGTGGACCGAAATATTTCATTGGATTTGTCAAAGGAACTTCCTCTGCAGAGGCAACTCCCAAGTCTTTGAGTGGTATATTGACATGCTCTAGAAGCTTTCCAGTCCGGTCTGCTTTTCTTAGATGCACGTAAACATCCATATCTGGCCCGGTCTTTGTCTCAACGTAAATAATAGCACGCGATGAGCCAAGAATTGTTGTTCGGTGAGGGAAGGTGAACGAAAACTGGATTTCTCCCGAGTCGCTACCCCTTTGCCAAATTGGCGCAAAATCGGCTTGATACGATGATTGGCCTGGCTCTTTGGGCTGAATCTCTGTCAGACGACCTTCTGAATTCAAAAACAATCGTTTGGTTTTAGTCTGTCGATGAGGCCAGAAAGGTTCTTCGAAAGGGATATTAGTCAGTGCCGGCTGGTTGTATGGAAGTACAGTAGCGCGCACACGCGGTGTACTCTCCCACTCATTTGGGGCTTTCGTGTAACAGTCAAAGAAATCGGCTAATTCCTGAATCCTCTCTGGAGAGTACAGGTCGTACCATTCTTGAGTACCATGGACGACAAGCCTACAACTCGATTAGTGTGAAACTACTATGGCACGTAATAAGGGCAGGCATTATACTCACCATTTCTTGTCGTGAGGGATTTCCTCATATCCTCGAAAAGATCCTAGCGTATGGAGCATAGTCGAGTAGCTGGCCAAAATGTAGGCAGGAACCTCGATCTGGTCCATTTTTGCTCTTTTATCCTCCCAATAGGAATTCGTTAGGCCGGACTCCTCCGCCATTGTCACGATATTTTCCACGTCATTGCGGCCTGTCTCCTATTAGAAAGACACAAGACCGATTAAGAGCAAAATTGATACGAACCGCAGAGCAGACCTAATAATGCATTCCAAAATTGCAACTCAGGAATTCCCCCTCGACGGAGCTGCTCCCGAAATGGATCACTGACGCCTTCAAGAGGAGCGATACAAGCCAGATGTGGCGGTCTTTCCGCGGCAATAAACCACTGTGATATAGCCAGCCAGGAGTTTCCTAGCATGGCTATTTTGCCATTACACCATGGTAGACCTGCAATCTCCTCAATCGCATCGTATCCGTCTTTCCCGTCACCGGAACCCCAGAATCTCATGGATCCTTCCGAGTCCATCGCGCCTCTGGCATCCACGTTGACAATCGCGTAGCCACGTGGTACCCATTCAGCAGGGTCGGGGCTAAGTGATACTTCAGTTTAAACCATTAAAATGTGCAACTTCGAGCTTCTTACCCCTCAAAACTCTCATAACCGGAGAGTCGGCTTTCTGCTATACCGACTCGCAGCGGGAAAGAAGCGAGGTTCAGCTTCCCTGTTGTTAGCTTCAAAGTCAGAAGATATAATCATGCCACAAGTTCGTTCTCAAACTCACCACTGCCCGACTTCCCATACGGGCCCCAAACCATTATAGCCGGTACAACAGCCTCATTGGCGGGACGATAGATATCGGCGTATATTTTGGTTCCGTCACGAAGGCGAAGGATCTGATCTCGCTCAAAAACCATAGACTCGTGAAGGGGACGAGAATTCTCCCTTCGCCTATGGCCCACCGGTAACACAGTGATTGATGGATTAAATCCTGGGTATGCCTCGGACTCTTCCGGAGGAGAGAGATGACACCAGCGAATTTTGACGTCCGTGGATTCCATAATCACGTTATTTAGATTCAAATTGAACAAGACAAATTATAAAGGCTGGCAGAGATGGTACTGCTCACAAATTTATACAAGGGACATCTTGCCAGTGGCGTAACCTTCATGGCGGGGTGAACTGCTCCTCGGAGCCTCCCGCTGGTACACCTACACGTCCCACATCCACTGGCCCGACCCGGCGGTAGAGTTCGAGTACTCAGCTCAGCGGGACCTAATATTAGTCAGAAATCTTCTGGGTCCTGGTAAACTATTTTTTGGGTCCCGCTGAGCTGGAACCCGGTAGAGTTCAGTGGAGATGGCATCAAGGGTTTGCGGGGTGTATTAAGAACTTTTGGCGATTCATCCCAGCTAATATCACGGTGACGGGATCGATTGATAAATTCTATCCCTTTAAACGAGAACACAACTTGAAGAAACATTCCCAAGATCCACTTTCAAAGTAAGTCTGGCGCAATTTGGTACTTTCAATGGATCCAAGAGCTATCCTCATCCTGTGGGCTGAAATCGTGTTTGCTCCGTGAGCTACTCGGGGCGGCGGGGTGACAAACTCACCCTGTGCTCTGAAAGCTTATCATTTCTTAGGCGGCAGCTTTGCAGTCACCTAGATTGCACTTGAAATATAGCCGAATGCACTTGATGATGAATAATAAATTTTCTAGTGGGAAGTATAAATTCTATTAAAATGTTGAATAATATAACATATTAGAAGATATGAAGTATGTAAAGTGGTAAGTGCAGAATGAGTAAACAAGTAAGTGAAAATAGGAAGAGATGGAAAAAGGAGATGGAAAAAGAGATGGTAAAAGAGATGGTAAAAAGACGAGGTAAATGGGGAAGGTAAAAAGAGAAGGAAAGACTTGTATAAGGATCACAGAAGCTCTATGCCTTTGACTTTGCCTTTGACTTTGTGAATCTCGCAGGTAGGAACTTTTGCTTGATACTCTCGAGATCCCAGCGCTTCACACGGAACAGGTAGTAAGTCAGCGTGGCGACAAAGATGTTGAAAGCGATAAAAGCCCAGACAATTCCAAAGTTGCGCCATCTATCAGAATAGTAGATCTCAGACTGCGCAATGTATTGGTCCGCCTTTTGAACTGGACAATAACTGCAATCAGAAGTGGCATTCCAATCGAGCAACTGACCACCTGCAAGCTTGACGTATTCACCAAGATATTGTCCACAGGTTTGACCAGACGGGGGGTCGAAAATAGAAAGTTCGGCTGAAGAGCAAACAACTTCACGGTTATGAACCTGGGTCGAGACCATAGCACCGACCCAGTATGTGAAGGGAGAAACGCGGTACATGAAAATCCAGAATCCAGGCAAAGCCGACGGAGGCTGCATCACACCGTTGAAAGTAAGTGACATGGCGAAAAGAAGGACAACAACTGCGCTGGCAGTTTCGGCGTCGGGAAGGGCGGCGATGACCATTTGACCGAATGTGCCGGCGTAGATGAAGAATTGGATGCAGAGAAGAAGAACGGTCACCTGGCTTACGGAGCTAGGGATGCCGACGACGGCGTAGAAGTAGCAGGCGTAGATGAGGATACCAGTGACAATCATGTAGGGGATCTCGACGATGACGTTGGCGATCAAGAAGGCCTTCCAGCTGTAAGCCTTTGAGGGTCGTTCACGAACTTCGTACAAAGAGCGTTGTGTCACGAAGAGAGGCATTAACTAGAAGAGGGTTAACAAGAGCTTTTAAAATGAGACAGTTACATAAGACATACCTGTTGAACAAGGGAAGTGAAAATTGTGCACAGCATGAAGACCGAGTAGATGATGGTCTGCATTCCCTGAAGTGATGCCTTCGCTTGGTAGAATGAGAAGCCAATGAAGAGACCCGCAGCGATACCAAGTCCCCATTTGGAGATGATGTATGAAGGCATGCGCCAGTACTGCTGGAACACTCGGTAGGTGACCTGATAGAGTTGGAACCAGAAAGGCATGGCAAATTCAGAGCGAGTAATAGCTGAGTCTTCAAACTCAGCTGCCCCCTGGCTTTGCTTCTCCTTGTGAATTCGATCGATCTCAGCCTGGACCATTTGACTTTCATTGCTCTGCTTCCACACATCGAACCAGTCTTCTCCCTGGGGGTTGGTGCGGGCGTTGACAACATCCAGCATGAATTCGGCGGGGTTTTCGCTATCACCACACTTGCGTGCGCCATGAGATTCGAAGTAGTCGAGGAGAGTTCGCGACTGTTCTCCAATAGGTCCGAAGTAAACTGTCTTGCCGCCTCGGGCCAAGAAAAGGAGCTGGTCAAACTGCTGGAAGAGGATAGCGCTAGGCTGGTGAATGGTACATAGAATAGCCTGTCCGTGCTCGGCGAGCTTGCGGAGGAATGAACAGATTGCCCAGGAACTCTGTGAGTCAAGACCACTAGAAAGTGCTGTTAGCAATATAGTTTTGGCGCAAAGGAGTTGATATCTCTTACCTGGTAGGTTCATCCAAGAACAGAAGAAGCTTGGGCTTGGCAGCCAGCTCGACACCGATTGTAAGCAACTTTCTTTGCTCGACATTCAGACCTTCACCAGGAACACCGACGATAGCCTCAGCAAAGGATTCCATGTTGAGCATTTTAATCACATCCTCGACATAGTCATGTTTCTCCTGGATCGAGACACTTGCAGGCTGGCGCAGAAGAGCACTGAAACGCAGAGACTCGCGCACGGTAGCAGTCTCGAGATGCAAGTCTTGCTGTTGCACATAGCCTGTCTTCCGCTGGAAGCTAGCATCGAGACCATTGCCATTGACAAACATATCACCAGTTACCACACCGACAGAAGTTCTGTGGGCCAACACGTCGAGAAGGGTTGTCTTTCCGGCTCCACTCACACCCATGAGAGCTGTGAGGGTACCTGGCTTGACCCATCCAGAAACATGGTCCAAAAGTCGACGGGGTTCTCCCTTGATTTCGATATCGTAGCTCACGTCGCGCCAAGTGAAGACATCTGTCTGAGGCTGAATGGCAGCCATTCCCTTGCCATCTGTATCGTCGGAGTTGTTGGATTGTCTCGCAGCCACTGTATCGGCGCTTTCAACATCGGATTCTGCCTTTTTGTGACCGCGGCGCATATTTGCCGGTTCATGGCCGCGGCGGAATACCAGAGCCTCTGCCGTGCTAGTTGTCGAAGAGTTCAGCTCACACGCAACAAAGTAAATGATCATAAAGCCGATGAGGAATGCGAAGAGAATGCCGAGGTTTCGCCACACGTGGCTATAGCTATACTCGTAGTTGACCTGGATGTATCGATCGCCACTGACGGTTGTTTCGCCTGCGCTAGAGCCAGAAGCAGAGCAAGCAAATGATTTGCCTGACAGGTCGGCGTAACTAGGTACGAATTGCGAGCAAGCGAAGTCTCTTCCGTGGAATTCGTTGGCAATCAGGATTTCGAATGCGTAGTAAATAGGGTTCAGATAATGGATCCATTCGAACCAGGGATGCATGGACGGAACGGGTAGCACGAAACCTGGTGAGAGATTAGCCGGATCGTTCTGCGAGGTGCATTTCGAGGTGCATTCGAGGGGCAAGGATAGTTAGCATTACCTGTATACACCACTAGTGCCAGAATCATGACACCTGCTAAACCCATAGCCTGGGACACAGTCTTCGTGACAGCGGCCAAAGTACGGAACACAGCACTCATCACGAATGTGATGAGAAAAGTAACCAAGAAGTAGAGGAAGAAGTTTCCTGGCTCGCGTCGCAAGCCAGCCATGAAGTAGAGAATGATGTTGAATACAACCGCCAAAGCAAATTTGACCGGTATATCCGCTACCACGCCTGCTATAGCCTCGGTAGCTGGGTGATAGAACGCGTAGGAGTTGTGTTTTTCAATGATCGGGCGTTGAGCGTAGAGACTGTTTATCTCACTCATCGCCGTAAGGGCGTTGAGCAAGACAGCAAAGAAGAGGGTCGCACCTTTGGACGCGAAACCAGAAGTGGTGTTGGGCGAATCGTAGAACACCGAGCCAATAATCAGAGCCATGATGATATTGCTGACAATAGTTGAAATAGTTGATGCAGCGTCATTCCAGAGACGTTGATAGGCTCGGACCGTATTGAGCTTGATTTGCATGGGGACGCTGATGATATAAGGTGACTTTGGTCGAGTATGATTTGCTTGCTTTCCACGCTTCTTCTCCTGGAATTCAATCGCGGCCTGCTGGTCGTCGCCGATCGGGTACTGCTCCTCATACGAAGCGATCTCACGTTGTAATTGTTGATAGTCGGCAGACTGGAGCCACACATTTTCGAAATCCTCAGGTGTGCGTGGGACACGGCCCTCCATACCGGGTTTTGCTTGACGTTCCTGGGGGTTGGTGATGGATGTTAAAAAATCTCCAGTAGTCTGCCGTGGTGGACAATCCCAGCCTTGCTCCTCGAAGTACGCTTTGGCTCTGGAGGCAGGGCCAAAGAAGACTTGTCTTCCTTCGCACAGGACGATAACCTTATCAAAGACATCGTAGATGCTTTGACTGGCTTGGTAGGCAGCGACGGCATGGGCAGAACCAGTGAGATCTGACGACAATCGGAGGCCCTGCACGAATTTCAATGCCGTAGCTGAGTCCAGTCCTCGTGTAGAATTGTCCCAAGCAGCCAAAGGAGAAGCAGCCAAAGCCATCTCGGCGATACTGACTCGCTTTCTCTCACCACCAGAGACGCCACGAATAAAATCATCACCAACTCGGGTGTTATAGGTATGACTCAATCCAAAAATCGCCATCATGACTTGGGCCATGTATTTGGCGAATTCCGAGCGTGACATGCCCTGGAATCGATGGGAAGGAGTACGAGTCGCAGCGGCAAATTCCAATGTTTGGCCGACCGTGAGATGAGGGAAATGCCGGTCAACCTGGGAGGGAAATGGTAAGCAATGTTATTAAACAGATGGGAAAAAGTGGCCATCGAGGGCTTACCTCTTGATTGTATACCAATTCACCCTTGAATTCCTTTATCATCCGCCCCTGAGTGATACCTGAGATGTTCATCAGTGGAAAAGAACTTGGTAGGTCTTGTTACTAGTCCCGTGGAAAGCAACTTGGAAGGTTTTTTGGAAAGGGATTGGAAGGTCTTGTTACAAGTCTCACCATTATAATGAATGACGCTCTCTTTATCAACATCCAAACCGTGAAGCTCTCCACATAGCGACTTGAGAAAGGTACTGCAGCCAGCACCAGGTCGCCCCAAAACAAGCATCAATTCGCCCTTCTTCAGAAGGCCGTTGAAGTCCTTGAGGATGCGCCTGCGAGGGGAGTGAGACTCCCGAATCATCTCGGGCAGTCGAAGTGGTGCAGTTAGCAGGCCCGAGACAGTATCCTGGAATTGGAGAGCTGCTCCTGATCCGTATACATTCAAGTTCTTGAAGACAATGCCCATGTTCTGGCCTGCGTTACCGTCGCGAGCGACATCATTTATGGCCGCCCTCAGCCATTTTGCAAGATCGAATTTCGGCGATTGGGGGTCCAGGGACTCATCGTGCTCGGCGACAGAGGCCAGGCGATGAGCGATGACGGATTGTCGGCGAGATTGTTGGGTTGCAATCCGAGTGAGGGTTTCGACTTCACTCTGTTCAATGAAATTGATGGGTTCGTATGTCGGCTGGTCATCTTCATGCAAAGATTTAACTTCGCTGGACGTGTCCGAAGACATGATGAAAAAAGAGTTGCTGGACTTCGGGCCAGATACCGAGAAATGAGTCTGAATTATCAGGAGAATATAGTTCTAGGTGGAATGCAAAAGACAATTAGGGAGGGGGCGTCATGGTATAAATAGCCAGGTACCATTTTTGTCCCTGGGCCCTACAAACGGCCCTATGGAATAAAAACTCTAAAATCAATGAACACAACGTGCCCCCGGATGGAGCTGAGATCATCTGCAAGACTACATCAACTCGGGCAAGGTTTCCAGTGTTTTCGGCCATGTTTATTGAAACAGTGGAGATCTCGGGGGCCGGAAAGAGATCTGACTCGGAAACTAGGCCAGCCGGCGCCCCGTTAAAAATCGGTAGAACTTCATGGATGCACGAATTGGTGAATGTCTATTGGCTTCGGATCCCCCGTAGCCGGCTGGTGGAGGCGCTTGCTATGTGTCGATCATCCCAGGTTTGCGTCCGGATTGAGGCGCATTCTCTTCCGCTGACTCAGCGGGATGTATAAGGTTCAGCCACGAACCATGTTCACAGGGCTTTGAAGATTGACTAGGAAATTAAAGATCATGACATGGGGCAATTAGACTCAATGAGGTCTATGTGGTCATGTTATGCTGACAATTGTTTAAATTAGTGAAAATTTGCGATACGTTCTTCGAAATAGCTCGATAACCTACCTTCTCCACTTCCTGGTGACCGCGGCTCTTGTTCGCTGCGAGAGATATACATATGATTTTGCGGCTGTGCAGGAACTAGCACTTCTGACTTTTTATCGACTGAGCAGGTGTTTCATATCTCTTTATAAAGGACCGAAAGCCAGGTGTGAAGGCTGACCGATTGTGCCGGTTGCGTAGTGGCGCCCCTGGATAAAGCGAATCACTTGCATACATACCCAAGATAGGTGGGCCAGATCTTGGTAATTCAATAGTACGGAGTAGTGACCAATATATTGCAGCCTAGTCGTATGTACATAACCTCGGATCTTAGGGGGGCCACAATTCATCATAACTATGAATTGCATGTGGAACTCAATCCTATTTCCCCCAGCCCGGCAAAGACGATTCCGCCGAAAATTCGTCCGGGCGATCCACCGGCCGGATCGGTATCTAACGGTCCGACCCCAGTTAAAAGATGATGTTGCCCATCGGGCTTCAGATCCCGATCGCCGATACACAAATCATGGATTTTCAGGGCCGCTAGGTATGTTTAAATCTTCGCACGCACAAGCCACACTTTATTCGTGGAAACTAAGCCTCAATGATGGGAACATGTAGATAGTTCCAACAAGTTGCGCTTAATAAGCGGCACCGGAGCCAGGAAAAGGCCTCAAACGGGGTGCGCGTCACATATCTAGTCAGTGAATCCTTCGTCGCACTCGATCGGCGCGGGATTGAGAAACAAATTATGCAGGGATATTTGTCCGCGTTCGACACGGACACCTTTGGCAGGATGGCAGTGCAACGCACGGGACTCGCATCAGCCATGATGCACTTAAGGAAGCTCCCTGTCCACTTCTGGACGAGGCTGTCAAGTCCATTTAGCTCCCCTATACCCGCAATTCTGCGATCATGTCCACATTCAGAGTCGTGATTGTTGGAGGAAGTATCGCTGGTTTAACGCTTGCAAATATTCTCGAGCGATACAAGATTGACTACATCGTTCTTGAGAAACATGCTACAATAGCACCTCAGCTCGGCGCGAGCATTGCGACGCTTCCCCACGGCGCGAGAATCCTGGACCAACTTGGTGTTTTCTCCCGAGTAGCAGAGATCTCCATGTCCGTTCATGAAGCCGAGAACATAGGCCCTGATGGGAGAATATTGGGTTCACCGGAGCCAATCGGTGATCTAATGGAAGAATTGTGAGTTATTCTGAAATGCCGGTACTGGAAGATTAAACTGACAGGACTTGTGCAGACTCGGTTATCACATGCACTTCTTGGATCGCCAGCAATTACTTCAAGTTCTTTTCGACAATATCCAGGATAAATCCAAGATACATACGAACAGCGAATGTGTCAAAATCGAAGCGCTGGAAGATGGTGTACGAGTTGCCCTCAAAGATGGTTCCATCATACGTGGAGACATACTGGTAGGCGCCGATGGAGTGCATAGCCGGATGAGAAACGAGATCTGGAGAATCGCCAGTTCTGAGACAGCAGATTACCCTGTCTCGGAGTTAAGTCGATGTAAGTGTATATGCCCGAATGCTCCGATTCCCGATGACTAATAACCAGACAGCCATAAAATGTCAATACCGATGCATGTTTGGCATATCAAAGCGCCCAGAGCGTATTCGGGACAATACATCTTTCAAATCCTTTCACAAGGGTCGCTCGTATCTGTCTTCCAGTGGCCAAGATGGGAAGTTTTATTGGTTTGTCTTTGTCAAAAATCCGGACATCACAATTCATACCACCATCCCTCGCTACACGGCTGAGGATGCGGAAAATCTGGCAGCTGAAATTGCAGACGATCCTTTTTGCCTTGATTTAACTTTCAAAGACATATACGCCAATCGAATGAGCTGCGTCCTCGTACCACTGGAGGAATTTGTGTTGAAAAGATGCTTCTATAAGCGAGCTATACTGATCGGGGACTCATTCCACAAGGTAGGACTGTAGGACATGTAATGTGACTTGCTAGGCACCGCTGACAATTCACCAGATGAATCCCCTCTTGGGCCAAGGAGGCAACTCGGCAATCGAATCAGCAGGCCTTATGGCCGATCTTTTGAAGGGCGTGCTCGACGTAAGTCCGCAACTAGACAATGCCGATTTCCAGCGAATATTTCAGAATTTTCAAGATGAAAGATGCCGTAGAACTACTGGCCTCATGGAAACAACCAAAAAGGTCCAACAGATGGAGATACTCGACACCCCGATCCTAGAATTTCTACAACTCAAAGTCTTCAGCCAGCTTGGCCAAGAGCATCTTGGTCCTCTGTTAGCAGCTACATCAAATTCGGCTCACACGTTGAAATACTTGCCGAAAGATTACAGGCGCGGGTTGGTACCGCTAGATGACGAAATCAAGATGAATCCTCATGACCGATCAATTATTGCCACTGCTCTATGGATGGGCTTGATGCTATCAATCGCGTTACTTGGCCCACTGCTTTCTCGATATTATGCCCTTGCGCCGAGTCTAGATCCCACTGTGTCTGCAGTCTCGCAGGGGTATCTCTTCGTCACTGCAATTTCAATTAGCGGACTCTGGACAGTCGAGTCGTATCGCCCAGGTTTTCTCTTGTCGCCTTCGTTTAGGTCAGTTACCCCCAAGCTTCTCTGGCGAAATTGAATTAACAAGATCAGCGCAATCCCATTCATCATTGCTTCTGCTGCATTTGGCTGGCAAATAGTCTTACCGATTTACTTCGCCCTCCACATTTATCTCAGCGAAGGTCGATCGTTCTATCACCCTTCTCCACGAGCTATCAATCCATGGGCTGCAAAGGCGCTCCCAATGGCTTTATTGGTTACTTGCACCCCCAGCGTACTCCAATTCTTGCTTTCTTCGAAGAGCGCTCAAGAACTTTTTATGTTTTCTGGATGGAATCGATATTTACTCCATATAGCTCTGCCAATAACGCTTCACGTTGGGAAGCTTTTCTACCAAAAAGGTAGCACGAAGCTGACCATCGGCCAATTGTTATACTCTACGAGAGATATGAAATATCTCACTCGGTTCTTTGGCATGATTCTGGTTCTTGCGACCACTGCCCACCTGGTTCTTTTCAGCAGACTAATACACCATTCCAAGTCCGCTCCCTTCAAGGTAATGACAGCACCGTCCTCAGAGCTGGTGCAACTCGCCTCGCTGATTATTTCTGTTCTTGCGTGGTGCTGTTTCATGATTTGGGATATGCGTCGAGTGAACTTGACAACGAGATCTCCGTTTGCGATGTTCTTCTATGGCTCCATTGGTTGTATCTTCATTGGCCCAGCTGCTGTGTTGGCTGGTTTATGGCAGTGGCGGGAGCGCGAGTTGGAAAATGGCAGGAAGAGAGTCTCGGAGAAGGAGCGCATCTGAGTAAGATATTAGGAAGTCACCTGAGGCAAGAGAGGGTTCAATGTCTTGAGGGCAGCAAACAAGACCTATGGTAAACGATCTAGCCTCCAGATAGGAAATGTAATGGGACATCAACATTTGAGATCAACAAAATTTTGATTTTTGGTATGGTCGATACTCGAGACTATTGCAGGTCGCTATTATAATGCATCAAGGATCACTTCCTCGGTGCGGAGTGGCCCCTTGACCAACCTGAGACCATGAGGTGATACTCTGCCAGCCATGGTCTATCCACTCGGTCAAATTGATGACAGCCTCTCAGAGATGTTCCTCCAGCAGGTCTACTGTGGATTTATATCTAGTAAACAGCATGGCTAGCTCCTTGCTCCGTAATCTCTCCGTCCTCAAGTTCGCGCGCGATACTGACTCCCGCACTAGCCCCGATCCGCGTAGCACCAGCCTTCACCATGCGCAGAGCATCCCTCGCATTGCGAATACCACCGCTCGCCTTAATTCCGATGTTGGGGTAGCCGGCCGCCTCAGCGGCAATTCGCATAGTCATGATATGATCCATAGTTGCGGGACCCTTATACCCAGTACTGGTCTTCACGTAGTCGACTCCAGCCATGCAGCTGATGATAGTTGCAGCAATGATCTGGTCCCTATCGAGCTCCGATGCCTCGATAATTGCTTTGAGGAGAACAGGCGCTGGCGCGGCTCTGCGTACCGCGAGAATGTCATTGTAGACGGCGGTGTATTCACCGTTCTTCAGCTTCGGGTAGTTGATGACCATATCCAGTTCCCTGGCCCCCTGAGCGACCGCTTCGAGTGCTTCTTTCACTTTGTCTTGTGTATCGTAGGTACCCTCATGGAACCCCACCACACAAGCTACCCCGACATTTGGCGTATTCTTCAGGTTAGTGGCAGCTTGGGCCACAAAATTGAGTCGGACGCAGACAGTCGCAAAGCCGTTTTCTCGAGCTTCCTGGCAAAGGACGTCGATTTGTTCTGGCTCGGTTGGCACTTTCAATAGGGTGTGGTCGATCATGGCCTGGATGTGGAGAGGGCATGCAGGCGGCGACAATGGCCTCTCAGGTCCACGCTCTTTCAACGATGAAATCGCCGCGGTCCACTCGGCATCGGTGGATGGAATGGACGACATGTTCGGCTTTGGCATGGCGAGTTTGTTTTCAAGACCTCCACACAGCCAGAGTGTTAAGGTGACATCCGCAACTCCACCTTGACTGAAGATGAGGGGTCCTCATCACGTGAGTTGGTAAGAGCCTCCTCGTCATGACGAGTTGTGAGTCCATTGATATATTGAGGATAAGCCAGGGGGTTTGGCGCGAAATAGGGATTTTGTGGCTGCCAAGGGAGTGGCGATTGTGTCTGGAGTTAGGTTTTACATAAATCGACAAATAAACAAAGTAAAAAAGGTACGGAAAGAGGCATCGAGGGTACTCTGTATGTGTCAGACATTTATCAAGCGCAAAAGTCAATTCAAGATATATTCAAAACAAGAAACGACACGTGAGATATAGCAAAACTATACCCAAAGATATTGAATTCAAAGAAGGAATTGGTGTATTCGCCTATATGTTCAATCGCGCGGGCCAACATCCTTTGCAGTCGCCGTGTGAATGAGGACTTTCACGGCGCCTTTTCCTGGCGAAACCCTCCTCGACTGCGTACGAGCCAGTACATTCGCCGTAGATTCAGTACAATCAGCGGCAGCTCTTGCACTCCGGCCCTCGGACATCGTCCACCCGGCCGATGCGCGGGCCGCCATCTCCCTCACCCCCACGACGAACATTAGAACTGGAGGAGCTGGTACGCGCGCCCCATTCAGATGAGTTGCGGTATGCGGTGTTTCGGTTGTGGATGTTGAACTGCGAACCCTGGGCGGAGGCTTGGGAGTCGAACTGTGGGTGGACTTGTGTCAGCACGTCGGAACATTCAAGGTTCAATGGAAAAAGGTGCCAGATATGCGATCCTAAAACATGTTGCACTCTGATGGATTCATACAGCAAAGAGGCTCACGAAGTAGAGTCCGAAGAAAAGGTAAACACTCTCAGTGAAGCGGTTGAGGCGAACGGTCAACGGGGGACTGTGCGGTTAGAGCGGGTCAGCAAGAGACTTCGAAGGAGTAACATCGGCTTCAGGCAAGGATGCGCACCTCGAGAGAGCCTGTCCGTTTCGAACGTAAACTGGTGGGGCCTTCCGCGACGACATGGTGGTGATGAGGATGGAAAGAAGAAGTGGAAGGTGATGAAAGATGATGAGGTGGAGTTATCGGGGGGGCTGCTGATAAGACGGTACACTCCACAGCCAGACGATCCGGCCACTTTCCCTTGAGCCGCAATTTTCCCCCTTCTCCGGCTAGTTACGAAGCAATCTTTTGCTTGAATGGAGTGCAATTTCAATTCTATTTACTCCAGATAAAAATCTAAATCAAGGTGAATTTTGGTTTCGCATTATCAAACCAATGCTCATTGCTCCGTTTCGATAGCCATTGGGGCTTTGGTCTCATCATTCGAAGAATTTTCCATTACGGTCATTATCGTACGGATAGTCGTGCTTCATATTTGGCTTAGTAGCCAGTGAGATACAGGATCAAAGGATTTGGGGAATATGGTACTACACTCCGACGATATAGCCAATTGAATCTTACGCAGAACGTTTAATGTAATCTTTTTTTTTGAATGGGGCCCAATTTCAATTCTGTAGTAGTGTAGATCAAGTTAGATTTTGGTCCTTCTACCGATCTCCGCCTTATTCGACTCCCAATTTCTCGGCATTGCATCGTCTCATTACTCCAATTTTGATATGAAATGTTAGCAGACAACGTATGTAAGAAGGGTTCAAGGTGAAGAAGCTTTGGGATTGCGTAATGAGAAGGGTGGGACTCGGACACATATAGTAGTGGGCTCTTGGAGCATTTCCAAGGCTAGGCGACGGACTCACTGCTCAGTGCTTCATACGGCTTTGAGACTTGGTCTTCAGCAGAATCTTTGTAAAAAAGATGGGAAAAGGATGGGAAAAGGATGGGAAATGGATGGGAAAAGGATGGGAAATGGATGGGAAAAGGATGGGAAATGGATGGGAAAAGGATGGGAAAGGGATGGGGGAAATATGGGGGAAATATGGGGAAAGCTTGGGAGAAAGGATGGGAGAAGAAAGTTCCGGACTGGAGGCGCTGTCATGGGGAGAACGAGATGTTTCCTGCACGAGTATCGTAGTCTCGACCAAGGACAAACGATGGGCGGAAATCTGCAAGCTCTAAGGGTGGTTGTTGCACCGTCTCAACGAAAGAGCCAAAGGGTGGGAGGACATACTCTCGCCTCGTCCAGTAGGTTGTCTGTCATTATGGGGTCCGCAAGTGCAGTTTCGGGAACTATGAAGAAGACAGTAGGATTGCGAGAAGGGGTGCGGTGGCCGATTGTAACCACCCTCCAAATTTCAGTAGCAGGAAACTGACTGAGCCACACAGCCATATAAAGCAGTCTGGAATATTGGCTACTAACGTGCGGAGGAAGATCTAGATAATTATATAGAGAGATATATAGAGATATGTCGAAAGAGATGTCGAGTTAGATGCAGATGGAGAACAACCAGAGATCATTTCGGGGCATTCCATTACCGTACAAAGCAGGCTGAATTGCCTATTAGGGATGTTGATGCCTAGTTGATGCCCAGTTCATAAGGTATGAAAGGCAGACGGTATACAAGCGCCACTTGCACGAGGGTAGCCACTGTCGGCCACCGCAAGAGGGGGAACAGATATACGGAGTGATGCGTTGAAAATCCAAGTTCTAGCCGACCACCAGCCTCAATTCAAAACTGAGGGACATATTTTGACAAAATCAAGACAGAATCAAAATTCTTCTTGAAGATCTTGACAAAAAAACCATCAATCTCAAACAGTGTCTACGTGCTCCATATGCTGATCCACGGGCTTGAAATCATCATGCTCGTCAATCTGCGTCCCCCGCAACTCAGCCTCAATATGCTTAATGCGCTCCTTTTCTTCGTGTGCGGCAGTATCTCCAAAGATGAGATCCATATCCTCGAGCGTCTGAGAAAGAGTGAGTTGGTAAGTATGCAATGTAGCTGAATGTAGATGGGTTGACTCGGATTTTTGCGTACCTTCCCGCGTGTCTCGGGAATACAGAAGAATGTGAACGCTAGAGCCAAGAGGCAAAAAGCAGCAAAGAAGATGTATGTTCCCCAAGTGATCGAGTCAAGCATGTCCGGAGTGACGAGGCCGATAATACTAATGCAATTGTATTAGAGTCAGGGCCGCGGGGTTTCGTGAAAAGGTTGCTTACAAGTTGCACATCCAGGTAGCCGAAGTTGTGATGGATATGGCCTTCGAACGAATTGAAAGGTTGAAGATCTCGGAAGGAAGGACCCAGCCAATGGGAGCTTGGAAATCGTCGTCAGATCAAGAGCCTTGCACAGGAAACGAGCACTTACCAAACGAGTAAGAGAAATTGATGTCGTAGATATAGATAAATGCTATTCCGGCCCAGCCAGCCGACTTATGGTCCATCAAGCTAGAGCCATAGCCTCCCAGAATACCACCTACGATAACTAGCGAGATGCAAGTGCCTGTTGCACCTGCCATGAGCAGAACGCGACGGCCAATCTTGTCAATGAACAAGAGCGCCGGGAGAGTGCTCAGGCAATTGACAATGCCATAGACGCCAGTCGCCAGGAGGGAGGTGGTGTTACCATCGAGGCCGAGCTGTCCAAAGATAGTTGGAGCGTAGTAGATCATAGCTGGCAAATGTTAGAGTTTGAGGTGCGATGCGTTTCAAGGATAACCTGACTCACCGTTGCAACCCATGAATTGCTGGAAGAACATGACACAGCATCCAATAGCCAGACGCTTAAACCGGGCCCAGGTGGTCAAGAACGACATATACTATCACTCATGTTAGTTCTGGATGAAGGAGCCACGAAAAGAGTAACAAAAAGGGCAACAAACCTGAGCAGCATGCAGCCTAAACCCTGACAAATTGGGGAAGTGTTCCCGCGCAAAGGTGTTCTCGAGCCTAATAGACGCGCGAATCTCGAGGTATTCATTTTGGAGGGCTGGGCTACTGCGATCTTGTCGGCGGAGTCTTGAGAGCGCGGTCAGAGACTCATCGTCACGTTCTTTCATCATGAGCCATCGTGGGGAATCCGGGAAGAACAGCATTCCAATTCCTAGTATGACCGCAGGAGCGATTTGAATCGCGAGTGGGAGTCTCCACGAGGCTTCTGACTGGCCAGTGCAGCCTCTAGCTGGCACATCCTGGTATGGGTCGAAGGCAGGTTTGGAAGCCGTGCCACCAGTGAAAGGAATGTTTGGCGCGCATCGGGATCCACCGATGTAGTTGGTACCGTAGTTAATCCAGTAACTGACCAAGATGCCAATTGTAATAGACACTTGGCACCTGATTAGCATGTTTCCGAATTGGGATATAGGTATGGGAACCGACACTGTTGTACAACTACTAACCCTCCGCGAATTTCTGGAATTGACACCTATAAACAGGTCAGTATGTCATCTCCAGTAGATCCGATGTCCACGTGAAGGCTGACCTCAGAGATGTACAAGGGAATGACCATAGTAAGCATCCCCACAGCTAATCCGGCAATTGCTCGGCCTGTAGGTTCAGGACATCAGTCGAGTTAATGTGCTCCTCAGGTGTAAAATACACTTACCGGTAAATAGCATTGGAATGTTGACCGCACCACACTGGATAGCAGATCCAATCACGAAAATCACCACCGCCACATTGATAGATAGCTTACGTCCGATACGATCAGCAACGGGTCCGTTGATCAAAGACCCAGCCCACGCAGCTGAACAATGGTCAGTCTTCTCATCTCGTGACATGATCATTCCGACAACAAGGAAACATACCCAGCAGCAGAGTTGACACAAACCATCCCTTGAACCCGCTATCCGAGAAGACGCGAGGGAAGCGAGCACCAAAGGACTCCATTGTGATCACTCCACTAATCACACCCTGGTCATATCCGAACAACAGACCACCAAGGGTCGAGAACTGTCTCTTGTGTCAGTGAGGAGCCCGAAATCCAGGCACGTGTTTTGACTTACTGAAGCCACTCCACAGAGGTAAGGATTCTGCATCACCAAGCCAAATGCGCCTTTTGGCGCAGCATCTATGATAGAACCCATGTTTTCGACAAGATCAAGAATTCCGTTGATCTTTTGAAGCTTAGGTAGTACCTTGGCAAGCAGAACTTTGGGGTATTTGGTACCTTTTTATACTTATCCCTGGAATTCATGCAGATCTCAAGCAGAGAGGTTGGAGTCGGCCGCGATGCCGACAGGACTACACTGCTCCGTTCTACCGTGTCTCACTTCATAGTTTTGAGATCTCAGGGCCATCGACGCGACTCGGAGTCTGTATTTTGCGGAGAGCTTTCCTCCGATGTGCCATGCCCAACTTCATAGCTTTATGGTCTCATGTCCTTGACTCCTTTCAGACCATGACCATCAACACGACTTGGAGTCAGTATGTGGCGGAGATGTCTGCTCCGGCCAACCATGACGACACAAAAACCGGGGAAGGAATGATCGGGGGTCGATCATTCGCTGAATAGGCCGGGTTGGAATTTAAGGTGAAGCCGATGCGGGGAAGATACTTGTGGCAAGGCCCGTGCCCATTGATCTCCTCTCCAGATATCCCCCTCAAACAGGAAGGCGACGGCTGTGCCATGGGCTGTTGCACGGGTGTCGTACAAGCAGGCCGTAAACCTGAGCCGGGATTGCGCCACCCATCCCCTACTGTGTCCAGATCGGTGTGATGGAAAAGAGTACCGCAAAAGGCTTGAAACTTAACAACACCACCCCCGGCCTAGGATCGATAGGCTCGGGACGCCACCGAGATTGTGGAGCGGGTACCTCCTTGAATCCTGTGGGGGCCTCGAATGTCATGGGGAAGTGGGCACTACCAGCCCCGTTGGGTCGCATGCAGTCGAGAATATTCAGAGTTGAGCTCCATGATCAGGCTCCTGCTAGAACGGTCAGCGGCCTTCTTGAATATCATGCGATCCAGGCTCTTTTACAACGCATGCAAAGTTGAGTGGGTAGGATGGGTAGGACCACCTGTCAGTTCACTATGCAGGAGCGTTCAACTGAACGGGCGGAGGATGGAAAGACGGCGGTCGGGACCAACATGCAAATATGTGGGCTGACCATATTGAACCAGCTCATTTGTATGACTTGGGAAGACTTTTCAAGTACCACAGCCACCCATTTGAGTCCAGAGTTTACGTCTCTGTGTGCACAAAGTCTCCATGATCACACCGCTAGGTCGTACGACAATTGGTTGCTTGTACTGCGCTCAATTGCGCTAATTACTCGATAGTCCACTTTCAGTCTATGGATAAATATATGGTTATGATGTATTTCCAAGGGTTCTGTGTCTGATAAGAACCAGCAAACCGTGGCCTGGGTAGAGACCAAATAATTGGGTTAAGAGAATATGGGCTAATCATTATCGTGACTGCCACAAAATCATTCCGACGTCCTGCCTTCCGGCAAGTTTCAACGCCAAAGACCTCATTCGAGTCAACTGCTTCCACTTGCCATTCCATTCTCGATTCCCTCGTTTACACTACCAAACACTTCCAACTACAATCCAGATCCTAACATTATTTACCGATCTCCAATTGTTCGATTTCGAGATCTGACAGCACCATGGTATCCGAACCTCTCCGTATCGGCGTCCTCCTTGTCAATTGCGTTCAATTGCTAGACCTCGCTGCCTTAGACCTGCTTTACATGGCTAGTCCCGAATGGCTCGAAGAAATCGGAATGCCAAAGCACCTTGCCGATCTAGGTCGTCCATGCGAAATCCACTATATCACTCGCGATGGCCCGGATAAAATGGCCTCCGTCACATCGGACCTTTCCATCCGCGTCAACAGCACGACGAAGGACTCGGCCGTCGCACCCGGCAATTTGGACATTCTCTTCTTACCGGGCCCCTCTCCGCGGGTAATGCCGCCGGCAGAAGATTATCTAGAGTTCGTTCGGAAGCACAATGTGGTTGAAACGACGATCATGACTATCTGCACTGGAGCACTGGTCGCTGCACACGCGGGCATTACCAAGGGCAAAGTGGGCACATCACCTCGGTTCCTAATTCCATATATGAAGAAGACCTTTCCGGATACCAAATTATGGGATCATACACTGCGGGTGACACGCGACGGAAACCTTTGGATGTGTGGTATGTATTGACTAGGATGAACTCTTTGTTCTGTTCTCGCTGACTCTTAGATGAAGGTGGTATTACCAATGGTCATGACTTGGTGGCCGAGTATCTTCGGGAGAATTATCCTGCCCCGCTGGTCAACACAGTCCTCGGTGCTGCAGATGTTGCCCAGCGTCCTCTTCAATACCAGACTACGGCAACTCGCGACTCGGCCTTCTTCATGTGGCAGATCATCAGGGCAATCCCCAGTTCGATTATGCGAATGCTTACCGCTCATTAAAACTGTTGTCTCCAAAATCCGGAAGGAGTTGTTGGATGCTGTGAGATCCTTGGTTGGAAAAGTGACACAGATGAATTATCTTGTTTTATTAGACGTTTGAGCAGCAAGAATCCTTGTAAGCAGTGCACTGGGTCGAACTGATACCATGCTGTCAAGTATCCTTTTGCTCCGTGAGCATCCTTTCTCTCCGTCTTGGCCTCTGAGGTGGCTGTCAGAGTAATTAATCATCGTATCGAGCATTTTGGTCAAGCAATCATCTCTCACAGAAAGTGGCCCTATTGGTCTTGGCATTCGCCTCCGGGTCCCAGATGGAGCTCCGGAAAGCTTTTGGTAATGTAACCCCTTCCGTGAGGGTATGGTGTTCATCGCTCAGGGTTCCAGGCTCCTTGATTCCTTGATGTCATCGAAGCGCGGCTGTTGTAGCTCTGTGAGCCTGATAGTGATTCAAATTAATTGCTTGGCAATGATCATAGGAAGGGAAGATTCCAAAATGAGTCTATATTTGTGGAAGGATTTTGGGTCTTTGCACCTCGGTCTAGGGATAGCACAGGGGCGCATTGTTCTTTTCGCTTAACTGCGGTCTTCCCTCCATTCAGCCATGAAATGCCTAGGACCCTGAAGCCAAACTATTTCTGGTAAGGCCAGGCTTGGCTGTTCAGGCACAACATAAAGATTGTGGCAAGCTCATGGCTTCGGATACCTTCTCCGCTTATATGAGGCTGCATGTGGAGTCGAGTGCCAAAACTTAACCTTCTCGGCGCTCCCAATCGCACAATACGACCTGATCGGGCGAAGGGTGCCTGACTATATTCGGACTCAACTAATGGGGAACGAGGGAGGTTATTCCAGAATAGCCTTGCTTGACGCCCACGTTTTGATTGTATTTCTAATCCTGTTCGCTGAGACTTGGTGGCTGTCGACGTTTTCTGGTTCACCCCGCGAAATACGAGGTATAGCCACTGGAGAAATCCAGGAACCATTCACAATGATGCGAACACGAGCGAAAATAAGACACAAATTTAACTTTAAGCTTTCTCGGGGATTTACCCCTTCCAGAGTCAGGAACAGGCCCGATGAGTATATATGGTGGGCAGAAGATGCTCCCTCTCTGACCTGATTCTTGATCGCCATTCACTCTCGTTCACTTTCGATCTTTTCAAAGACCGTCCATTCGTTCAGATTATATCTGTCCTCAGTCACTCTTTTATAACAATCCATCAAGATGTACAAGCTTGCAACCATCCTCCTCCTCGCCCCCGCCGCTCTGGCCGGCCTGGTCTCTCCTCTCCAGGAGCGTCAAGCCTCCTGCGAGTCTCCTCGCACTCTCTGTGGCGATACTTGCATCGGTCCCCTCGACATCTGCTGCCCTGCCGCACCCAACGGTCAGGTCATCGCCTGCGGTAGCACCGACAACTGCTGGATCAACCCGGACAACTCCCCCGGCTGCTGTCCTCTGTTCACGACCTGCGCTGGTCAGAAGGCTGGCTCCGGCGTGTTCCCAACTCTTCCCAGCAACACTGTTACCACCGCTTCTTCCACTCCGACTCCTGTCGCCCCGGAACCTACTATCAGCATCCCTCCTCCTCAGCAGACCGCCACTGCCAGCAGCTCCTCCATTGTCACCATCTCCACCGTGAAGAGCGTCACTGTTCCCTGCTCCGCTCGCCCTAGCAGCACCAAGCCCGGCAAGACCTCGACTCCTTACGTTTCGTCTTCGACTGCCGTTCCTACTGGCTCTGGCTCCGGCTCCGGTCATGGCTCTGGCTCTGGCTCTGGCTCGGCCTCTCCTTCGGCTTCCCCTCTGTTCAACGGTGCTTCTTCTAGCAGCATCTCCGTTGGCGGAATCCTGGGCGCCATGGTTCTGGGCCTCTTCTTGTAAGATGCCTCCGGCCAGCATGGTGATTCTGTGATATGATATTCCAAGAGCAAAGGTGTCTCCTGATTTGCGATTACTATTATAATTCGTATTCATAGAATATACTTATACAATATCTTTTCTATCCTAATTGACGATAAGAATTCTACCGTGAATTTTCTTGTGCTTCATAGAATCGTTGCCAGATCGCGGTTTGGCATTATATGCATCGCCACCTGTGGCTCAGTCTATCTGGTGAATATTTAGTTTTAGGTTTAGTATCTCTCTGTTTACCAGAGCGTTGTTCGAGCACCTCCTGGCTTTTCTACAGACAGTGTCACCGTACTTGCTCATAGGTAAAGGTTGGTACCAAGATGATCCTCGTCTTATCTGTAACAAAGCTGCCCTCTTGCAGAACATGCTGCACATAAGAGGAGCCTAGAAAGATAGCGGTGTGCACGGTATTCATGAGCGAAATTCGTGACCAGTAGAGTCAAGGTTAGTGTACTACCAATGAGCGGGATTCGTCGAAATTCGGACCACCGCGGTTACACTAGCTAGAGGAGGACAGGATTTGAAGTGACCCACCGAAGTTGGACCCTTTTTACCCACTTATGTCCAAAGACACAAGACTAATTGGTTTGCTTCATCAAAGAAATTTGCCAAGATTGTACAAGCCTCCGGCATGTGATGGCTCTCATTGGACGCCCCATATGTAGACTTTCTCTAGTCTCGTATTTCCGACCGTGGCGGTGGTCGATCTCGATCTCAACTGGAGGACCCCTAATTCGATTTAATTCTGTTGCCTCGTCGATCTTTTTAGCCTCATCTTCAAGGTCACTTACATAACAGCCAGACCTTCCTCCTGAATTCATGTGCCTCTGAAGACCTCCACTCGCAGCAGGTGGATGTGCTGAGAGTTTTCCAGACACGATGGCGTGGTGGGATGTGACTATTCCGAGCGGTCTCATCAAACTGCTCATCATTGCCAACTGTGCTCTGCTCACGTCCGTCACCGCGGAGCTTAATGTCGTCTCGTTACCTCTTCACAGAAACCAACGTCGCTCGATCGTTAAACGCGATCATGGAAGTGCCTCGTTGGAGAACGACTACGTTGACGGATTGTTCTGGGTGAATGCCACCGTGGGAACACCGGGGCAACTGGTTCAACTTCAAATCGACACTGGAAGCAGTGATATCTGGATGTTTGGTGCAACCTCATGCGCCGAATCTTCCACGTCGTGCCTTGGTGGCTTTTGTGAGTAACAGAAACTCCATCTTTCTACTTCCGCGTGTATCCCATTTGACTTTCGAGGATTAGCGCTGACTCGGAGCTCTTACAGATGACAGCTCGAAATCAAGCTCCGGTCAGATCATTGAACGTGATGGATTCAGCATTTCTTACGTTGATAACTCCGGAGCGATGGGGGATTATGTCTCGGATACTTTTGCGATCGGCGATATCACCATCAAGGATATGACTCTCGCGGTTGCTACCGAGGTACAAGACGCTTCTTCTGGCGTGATGGGTATCGGCTTCGCTTCAGGCGAGTCGATAGTGAGCGACGGCGGCAAGCCCTACAAAAATCTCGTTGAGATGATGGTGTCACAAGGTCTCATCAACTCTCGTACATACAGTTTGTGGCTCAATGATGTTGGTAAGTCAGTTAATTAAGGTCATTTACGACATAATAGCTCCAGGCATAGCTAACCTGTCGACTCCAGGTTCTGAGACCGGAAGTATCTTGTTTGGCGGTTATGACAAGGGTAAATTCAAGGGTGACCTGATTGCGATGCCAATCCAACCAGACGCGCAATCCGGTCAAATCACATCCATGACCGTGGCTTGGACATCACTAGCCATTACGGACCCCACCCAAGGCACTCAGACCCTTACCTCGAAAAACTTTGCGCTGGCAACCGTTCTCGATTCAGGAACCACTCTCACATACGTTCCACCCGATCTGTACAACCAAGTCGCCTCATTCGCCAACGTCATGGCATACGAAGGCATGGAATCCGGTCTTGTCGAGTGCGAAGCTATGGCGCAATACAAGGGCACTCTAGACTTTGGTTTTGTCGGCTCTGGCGGACCAGTCATCTCAGTGCCGTTCTCAGAGCTATGCTTCCCATACACTGATGATATCGGGCACCCTCTGTCTTTTGACAACGGCGCCACAGCGTGCTACTTTGGACTTGCACCCACCCAGGATAACACGCAGATTCTCTTTGGCGACACATTCCTTCGCTCAGCGTACGTGGTGTATGATCTAGACCGGAAGGAGATCGCTATTGCCCCGACGGATTTCAACAGCGATGTCACTAACATCGTGGAGATTGGAGGATCGGGATCATCAGCTACACCAACTTGGCGTGTGGCGAGCTCGGTCACTGTCGTGCAGACGGCGACAGGTCGACCGGAAGAGCCAGGTTACTTCGCCTCGGTGACATTGACGGGGCACATTTCTTACACGCACACGGGGACTGGGTTTCACATTCCCACTGCCTCTCTATCAGGTCTGTCACCAAAATCATCAGAGGGTGTTGCCACGCTGGCTGTTTGCCCTGGGATCTTAGCCAATATTGTCATCTGTGCTGTCTCTGCATTGGGAGGGGCAGCGTTCATTTTTGCCCGATAGGTTATTAGACATCTGAACAAATTTAATGAATAACATCTTTTCCTACCCATATTTCAAGAGCCAGTGTCAATAAATTGTACGATGATCTGAATTTAGAATCATTCAAAATAGAGTAGGCAATATAGGCTATCGACACCTCAAGTCATAATTGGAGAGATACGGATCAAATAGCCTCCCACTCACCAGCATGAGATGGCCCGAAATGGCATAAAGCTGCGAGATTTCGTATTTTTGTATTTTTTAAATGATAAGCTACCCGCCAAGGATCGTATTTTTCTTAGGCGGTTCCGAAAGCTGGTGTCAGAAAGGTTAATTAGGCTGTAGTTGGCGCCAGGTACAAACTTAGTCGGGCCAACCACGAACGGCCTGACGCTCTGCTGTAGCTACGTATTCTCGCGTGTTCCGAGGGACATTTCATACAAGCAAAATCATCTCCTTGATTCGTGTGCTATGGCCTATCAGTCCTTGTCCTCATTTGAAGAAATCCATTGGAGATTACTCGGACAGAAAACATAGTCTGATTGCCAGTTTGATCCCCTCTTCTGCACCCGATATGCGGCTTTTTAAGACGTGAGAAAATAATAGAATTAATAATTGACAAGTAATAAAGTGAGAACGTAAGAGATTGTGCGTAAAAATAATTTGCTTCCAACGCCCCAGGCCTGATCTCATCAGCCCCAAGATAGACTGAGAGAGAACGATCATAACAACTCTCCTCCCACAATAGGATAGAACATGGTAAAATTGATGGGAACGACGCCACTCTTTCTCGGGGTAGCATATCTCGGTTTCCCCCTTTCATTCCGAATTGATTTTGTGGCGGCTTGTCTCCAGGTGTCGTTCGAAGGTAGAAGGAATGTAAAGCATGGCAATGTCATGCAAGTCAAAAGAGTAAACTCAATGACAGCTACTTTAACGGCGGCGCTGCACGCAATAGACAATCAAGAGAACCCAGCCAATAAATTTGGATAGACCACCGAGGACAAGCATGGCAATGCCACCATTGTACTGGCCAATATTGCCCGCGAAGCAGGAGTAGTCGTAGGTATAGTCGCCATAGTACAGTGCCGAGGTACAGGTCTTATATCCAGCAGAGAGGTAGGACCCGATCAGGGCACCACCGATGATGAAGAGGATAACAGCAGAAATAAAGAAGCCAATGGGCCACCACTTCGAGATAGTCTTGCGGGGGGCGCTGTAGGGTGCACTGTATTGATCCATTTTTGATGTGTGATGTGTGGTTGAACCCCAACAGTAAATGAGTGAACGAATGAATGTGGGTGAGAAAGAAATGAAAATGAAAGACTCTTGAGCGATCAAAATTCGTGAAAAGATGGAGGGGATCCCTAAATACTCTTTGAGGCTCGTAAGTTTTGTGCGCTAAAAGAGGAAGAGGCGAAAATACGAGGTCGCTAGTCGGATAGCTCATCGATCAGGGAGGCCAGTCCCCATCAACACGAACTTGGCGTTAAGGGTCCGTAATTTTAATTTTAAATGAAACATGGCAGCCAGCAAGCTTAAAATGTGGACTTAGTTTAAAGAACAACTCACGAGCTAGCTCTATGTAAAAGAGCCAAGATTCCTGGCGGGCTGCTTCACAAAAAGAATCTATGCGTGTTATTGAGCGATCTCACTATTCAGTCCAGTTAGGTTCCGACATCAATTGGGTAAATCATTTAATTGATTTAAAATTCTGGCCAGGCCGGGTGAGCGAATAGAAGCGACTAATTGATAGTTGTCAAGATATTCGATCCGCTGTCATGTTCGAAGCGGTTCCATTATCGGTCGATACCGAACTACATTATGAACACTATCACATGCGTATGCTCACAATAGCTAGGTCATATTTGGTTGGCTTTGATCTGTCAATTCCTTTGCAAAGATTTTTCATATTCCATTGTGACTTACCCGAGTAGGGTGGGTGGGAAACGACTGCGTGTATACCAATGACCTGCCACGGAGGTGATGTGCAAACCTAAGATAATCAATCTCCTCGACGATTTATCTGCAGGAACTCTTTTCCGAAGTCATGGTCCCCTTACCACTAACTGTCTGTATTTTGAAAGATGGTTAAGCTCATCATCATGTTATGGAAGAATATAGGCATTGCCAAGGGCTTTCAAGCTATGCTTACCCGCACACTAGGTATTTGCTTTAGGACTCAAGTAGTGCGCACTCAATGTCGACTTAGAAGCGGAACTTTCCTTTCAAATCTTCAATGACAAAGGTTCTGTTTGCTCCTCGATCATGCATGTTGTATTACATACTTAAGTGTCTCCTACTACTACATCCTTCATTATCCAACTCTCGCAATACATTCGTTTCCAACGCCTTCGTCTTCACTTGACTACCCCTTCATCAACACAATGGAATGTTTCCTTCGAAGTTTCCTCGAAAACCCCCATTGAAACTCTACGAGCGGCGTCGCCAGTTTCGCGAGTCTGACTTCCTGGACAGAGAAATGAGCCTGACAGAATATATCGTCAGAACCGATCCCCTCTGGTCTACCACTCTGATTGACTGCCCCATCGTCCAGTAGAGATCAACTGTCCAGATTTCAATCAGGAGATGATTCGCATCGTCCCCGAATTACGTTCCACGCTGAGATCCCACGGGCTCCCAGACACGCTTAGGAAGTCCGCACACCTGATAACTCAGCTCGCCGACCCCCGAGATCCTGACCAGATTAGAAGTGCTCCTCAGAAACTTGTCCGTGTACATCTGGATGATTACTGTTACCTCCCTGCTCAGCTTGATGCGGCTAGAGATGCTCTTCGGGGTATGCTTCGACGTCTTGGTCACGCAGATGTTCACGTTGACATCATTTTTGGGTCAAATGTTGCCAATGTCGATATCACCGATGATCAAAGTTTCGATGTCCAGAAGGTGCAGTTGGGGATTCGTTTGGCGGATGCGAAGGTCACTGAGGTTCTTGAGCGGTTTCTTCCCGGTAAGCAGGTGGATCTGTTGCCATACATTACTCGTCAGTACGGACTGGATGTTCCCGCCGTTGTCGTTGCCGTTGGGCCCTTGTGTCGTACCAATTGGCTTAGGTTGAGGCGACTCATTCTGGCAGAGGTGAGGAGATACACTAAAATGTTCTTGGAGGTTGAATTCCACCCCGTCTATCAGGAGGATCAGGTGAAGCAGGAGGATTGATTCTGTTCTTTGCGAGCTATCTACGAAACGGTGGTTCTTATTGGCAATTTCTGACAGTGCTATTCTTTCTGAATTGAATGTCTTCTGAGAACCTACAAGCTTTTTTAATACCTGTAGGCGTAGGAAAAGGGTATTAAATCTCTAATTTCCAATAGCCAAATTATTCCAACCAAACACTAATAGCCTCCCGCAAAGCATCCTGAAGCCACACCTCCTCAAGCCGAACCGGCCCATCAAACCCATGCTCCCCATCCCTCACAGTTAAAGTAACACCCCCCTCCTCACCTGATCGGGCCTTAAGAACCTCATTAGCCCGCTTCACGAACAACTCAACTTCCTCCAACGGCACAACACTATCCTGACGCCCATGAAGCACCGCAATTCCACCCCTCGGGATCTTAAAACCAGGACTCTCCAATCGAGCCATTGGATACAACACTTCCGGCGTAACACCCTCAGCACCACGCTGATAATACTTCGAGACATATCCATGCTGGATAGCACCAAGCATGAAAGTCAAACTCTCCTGCGAAGTAATAGATGACTTGGAAGTGCCCAGCACCGCAGCCTTGAAGTTCTCCTCAACCATCGATTCAGGGAAATTAACTCCGAATGGTGGGTTAGCCCGGGTCTTGGTGAATGAATCTGCATCCAAAGCTACGCAGGGATATGCTGATGAGGCAGCGCGGATTTCCTCGGCGTGTGCGAGGGTCAGGTACAGACTGAGCAGGCCGCCGGCGGATTCACCGGTGACGAAAATACGGTCGAGATCGAGCTTTGTGGGTGTTTTGTGGTTGGACAGGAGAGTGGTGAGAGCTGGGGAGCGCAGCCATGTCCAGAAATCGTCTAGGTCGGTGTAGATATTGGCGCTGGTTGCTTCTGGTAGGAGGCGGTAGTTGGGACTGATAATAATGGCGTTCTTTTGGAGGGCGAGGTCGGAGACCCAGTGTGGCCACCAGTCCATGTATAGGGAGTCGCCCATCATCTGAGATGAGTTAGTATGGCTTTTATAATGGGAGGTGAATGAAGAGAGATGAATTGACTTACCAGGCCACCGCCATGAACACGGACAATTAATGGTCTTGCGCCAACGTAATCGGTTTGCGGAATCAAGATATCAGTCCTAATACCATGGTCGCCGATGGACTTATAGTTGGTTTGAATAACATCGAAGCCATTGAGCTTCGGGTCCGAGGGAATCGCCATTGTGGAGGAGAGGATTGAGTATTGAAACGCTTGTTACAATATTGAAAGTGATGTTCTTGTTTTCCCTTTGCTGTGTTATCTGCACATTATATAGTCCTCCTCTCCTGGAGTCTCGGACACCTTGGCCCCCAAAGCCTTGCTGTCACCACTGTAAGCGAGCACTCATAGTTCCAAGAGCGCCACCAGTCACGAATTGCCGTTGATCAGCCACCGCGGCATTAATAATTAAGTGCCCGGTCAACGAGCGTAAGCCCGATCTCGGATAATTTCAGGATATTATCGACCATAAGGCTCGCAATGTTTCCCTCTAATCAACAATGGCCTTGAAAAGGTATACGTAATATATCTCCCCGAACTAACTTCATCAAGGCTCACTCTCAAGCCTCAAGAAGCCATCTCGGTCGAAGAATCTAAATGTCTCCGTTCTCCGCGTGATCTCCGGCTGGTCTTATCGGATTCGGGACGCTCGGACCAACTTTTCCACGGTTGACGTCGTCAGGGGAAGGTAGAGTAGTAGACACTAAACGACAGAGTATCATGCTCGGATAAGCAGCTCCGACCATCACAAATCCCAGCTGCAATGGATCCAGACGCAAGTATCCCCGGCGACCCAGCCCCCTCCGTCTTCAACTACATCCTCTCCTTCCTCCTCGTCGGCGTCGCATGGGGCTTCACAACCCCCTTCATCCGCCGCGCGGCCGCCGATTTCAACGCGCGCCAGGAGAAGCAATCCGGCACCACTGCTCCTTCCGACCGCGGGCGGTCGCAAACACCATCTAACGAATCCGTGCTGAACAGCGGTGAGGAGGAGCAGGAATTACTCCCCCAGTATGAGCAGGATGCAGATGGTGATGATGGTGTGAGGAGGAGGAGTGGGAGTCGCCAGCGTCAGCAGGCTGCGAATACAGCTGGTGAAGAGCAGGAGGGGGATTTGGATAATACACCTGCGCCGGCGTGGATGCAATCTTCATCTCAGCGGGGGCAGCAGCAGTCTTGGTTACGAGGGAAGATTGTCTCGATTTTTTGGACTGTTGTCAATCTTCTTCGGACGCCAGCGTATTCAATTCCGTTGGTGATTAATTTGACGGGGAGTATTTGGTTCTTTTTGCTTGTTGGAAAGCATGGTATGTTGCTACTCAGCGCTGCTGCATCATTGGGATGTCTGATGCTAATGTTTTGCTGGTTAGAACTCTCCCTCACTGTGCCGCTAGCCAACTCGAGTGCCTTTTTGTTCACGGTACTTGGAGAATGGTATGTCGAGCGCAAGGTCATTGCCAAGGAGACTTGGCTGGGCTTGATCCTTGTCCTTGGTGGAATTGCATTGTGTGTGCACTCGAAGAACCAGACGGTTTGATTGAGCGTCCAGGGCTCTTGGACATAATAGACTTGGAAACTTCAAATTCCTACTACTTCATCCACATTTTCGAGTTCATTCCTCTAGACCAACACCATTCAATCCGCCCATAGTAGACAAATAACCTTAGAAATGAGATAACAAGAAAACATCCCATCATAGACAACTCATATCTACAGATACAAACATTGATCCGGACCCATCCCGGTACTTCATGCATCTATAAGACCCCGAGGCAAGTCAAAAAGCAGAAAAAGACAAAACAACATACCAGAACAAAGCAGATACATAACCATCAGGCCCAAAGAATAAAAACAGCCTGACGGTAATAAGGATTTCATCACACACATATTACACGTTCATTCTCCATGTTCATTTCCATTTCCATCTCCATTTCCCATTCTTCATTTTCCGTACCAGAACGGACCCGCCGTGGTATCAAGGCAACGCAACGCTCCAAGTCAACTCAAGGTGGGGGAATATATTGCAAACGACAAGATAAGCAAGGCCGAACGAAGCACAATCGTCAAACTTGAGAAAATGCCGAAAATCAAACGCCGCGGAACTGGAATCAGTTAGTAAAGGGACTCCAAGATTATAACCAAGAAAGTAGGCAATAACTCACCATCCGAACCACCAAAAACCACATTGCACCCAAAAACTTGAACATCGAAAGTCCGGCCACGGACCACAGAACAACCTCCATGTAGATCAGCGACCGCTCGGTCTGAGTAGCGTCCTGGTTTGTGCTGCTGGTGGTCGATGTATTGTCGAAAGTCTCCAAACCAGCGGCACTCAGGACGACAGCGCCGAGGGCGAAGTTGCAGAACACCCACGCCAACACGACAGCACTTCGGAATCCCTTGTAATAATCGGCTTGGCGTTCCTCTTCCGAGATATTCGAAACTTCCTTTGGAGCCTTGGTCGCGAATTTTGCCAGCTCGGCCTCGTATTGGGCGTTCAAATCACCATCATCCTGGGGAATGTTGACGTCGACCTTGCCACCAGGCTTCAAGGTTGCGGAAGGCAGCTTCTCGGCCTTGTCGTCACCCTTAGTACCCCATGTAATATCGTGAGTATTACAGAAGGCGTAGATGTTGAGAACGTTGATGTAGGTCGGGGTGAGGAGGATGTATTGGATAAACTGGAAATGTATGTTAGCATGGTCGAGTCACGAAAAGGGGATGCGAACGGGGAAAGCATACCGAGGTGAACATATGCCATGGGTCCATGAAGATGAATGAGGCAACAAACCACATGACATAAGTCGAACCTAGTGACACGATAATGGAGAAGAATGTCTTGTTGGTAAACAACTCGCTCACCGAGAAGCTGTTCGAGGCCACCTCCGTTTGGATAGACTTCACTGTGACGAACACAGCCGCAAAGGACAGGTACAGCATGATGAAAATCCAAAAGTACACCATGGTCATGTAGAACTTGTTCGAACCACCAGGGCGATTACCCAGAGCGAGCACGAAGCAAGTGACCAGCGTAGCGAGATAGAGCCATTCGAAGACGATACCGAGAATCTTACCAGCAGTACCCAAGAGTTCATCACTGCCCAGGTACGAAGTAAGAATGTGGAAGACCAGGAAGAAGTTACCAATTCCGAACCAAGCAAAAATCATCGCAATCGTTTGATAGATGAACTCAATCATCAACATGAACTTGCGAAGGAAGCTGTGGTCACTGCGGAAAATCTGGTAGAAGTGGGTGATGGCATAGACAGCAGCGAAGAAACTACCGTTCAACCAACGACGACGCTGCAGAATAAACTCGGCCATGCGGTCGGGCACATCAGTCTCGCCGGTAGACGACTTGACGTATTGCAGAAGCCAGCGACACTTGCGTTTGGACACAATCTCGAAACAGAGAATACGATCCTCAGCCAGATACATGTTGGCAGTGAAAATACCAGCATTGGCACCGTGCATCTTCTCTCCCAGGAAGTACCGCTCAAGTGGACCCTGTCCGTTCTTGTCGTTCTGCAGGGCAACATATCTGTATGCAGAGAAAGCACCAGGCAACACAGAAATGAAACCAAAGGCCGATTCCAAAGGCTTGTCAAGGATGTTGCTTAGCTTGTACTCGAAGTTCTGTCCCGCAACCAGCGGATTAAGCAGCTTCTTTCCGTGTGACAACATGACCTTGATCTCACCGCAAGCACCACCACACATGGGCTCCACGTCAAAGGCCTTCCACAGGAGGTAGATCGAGTCTCTGCCGGGCTTGGTACCGGCATCGAGCAGCACGCAAATGTTAGGGTCCAACACCCGGCCAAAGGCCTGGAAGAACCAACGATGCGAATTGATCTTCTTCTGGTTCTTTTCCTTCAGACAGAAGATCATCTGCACGGGAGGACCCGAACGTGGCTTAAGGTGAACCTGAGTACCCTTAACCTCGAGACCGACCTGTGTAGTATATTCGTAGATATGCGCCGTGACATCCTTTCCGTTGACCTGCTGCTTGGCGATTCCATCCTGATACACACCCAGACCGGCCAATACGGCACGTGTTCGAGGATTGATCTTTGCACGACCGTCGCTGATCACGCAAACCACAATCTTCTTCCACGCATCCTTGCCCCAGGTCTTGCTGCTTGTTCGCGAGCACATGTGATCGATGTTCTTGAACACACCGGACATGGTTCGCGCGAACAAGAAGTCGTCCTCGTTGTACATGGTCACCACGATGAAAAGCTCAGTGTGACGCGGCTTTGCGAAAAGCTTCTGGCGCAGAGTGAAGCGCTCCTCGAAAAAGTCCGCGGGGTCGCAAGTTGCAGCCGAGTAACGCATGTGGGTGAATTCGTCACGACCAGGGGGTTCCGCATGAGGCACCTGGCTGAGCAGTTTCGGGGCAATCGGGCAATCGAGAACGAGATTGCCGTTGAACAACTGAACTTCCTTGACTGTCTTCCACCGCTTGATTGGAGCCGGACTGGGGGTGGGCCGCGGCTCATCCTGGTACTGTGCATCATACGGGTCCGGCCCGAAGGGATTGTCGGCTTGTAGCATGGGCGCATTATCGTCAAAAGGAGTGTGGCCGCCCTCGGGGTACTGGCCTAGGTCATAATCATCATGGGGCGTGAGCGCCGGCTCATAGGGTTGTGTATAGTATGCGTCGTGGTGGGCTTCTGGGTCGACTGTGTAATCTTGGTGATAGCCATAGGGCTGTGCACCAGTGCGTCCTTCGTAAGCTTCGTGGTGTCCGTAGGAGTTGTGAACGTTCTCGACAGAGTACTAAAGAGTTGAGCAGGTTCGTCAGAGCATTGTTCGATGCTTGCGCACACGGAGACAGCGCAACTCACTGTGGGTTGCTCTGCAAGGCGATCGCTCGATGGCATAGGGAGGTGGCTCTGCTGTCCATAAGGATTGTCATGGAGCTGGTAGCTTTCTAGTGGTCGCCCGGGGGATGGTGTGCGATTGTTGAAGCTGTTGACATGGTGAGGGTCCATGGGTGAGCGGTGCTCGTCCCCAAAGGGATCTGGAGTCCGCATGTTAGTCTCCTTCTATTCCCACGATGCTCCTGGGCGCAGAATCAATCGCAAGGCTGTCGTCGTTCAACTTGCGCGGTAAAGCATGTACTACCAATGGCCAGCACCACAGTACACGTTCGATCTTTGGTGCAATGCGCAAACACGTAGCCGTCGAGAAATTGAAAAGAAAAGGAGTGGAAGACTAACCAACACGGTTGTAGGCCATGGCGCCAAATACCTAAGCCTCGGTTTTGAGTTTAGAGAGAGATCCCGCCTCTAAGGCTACGAGCAGGGGGGTTTCGTCAGCTAGAGATTGCGCCAGGAGTCCCAAGTGGAATGGCCAGTGTCGAGTGGTGAAGGGATCCTTAGCCCGAGCGACGGACCCAAACTCTCGGCGGCGTTTCAGAATAGATGATTAGCCCCAAGCGAAATTGATGAGAGGACTGGTAGATCTGGAGAGGATGTGCGATCCTTGTTGCGCTACAGGGCCAGAGGTACGGAGGAGTCTCGAGTAGTGGAAGAAGACAAGGTGAAATGCCGAGACGAAGAGATCCTGATGTTTGGTGTTTACGACGCTTTCCAGGCCGATCAAAACGATGACGGTGGAGTGGGAGGCAGACGAATAGGCTTTCATGCACCGACCCGCACTGCCCTGTGGATAATCGCAGCGCCCGAGGCGGTTTGTATACGAAGAAGTTGGAAGCCAAAAGCGATTCAAGAACCCAAGCGAAAAGCAGAAGCAATCGATAGGGCTGTCGATAGTCGTTAGACAGGCTGCATGACCGAGCACTGTTAAATTCCGAAACGCTGAAACACACGATCCACGGGTTGCAGGAGATGCTGCGAGTACATAGCGGGCCTTGACCCCCTCCGAGCTCATCACAGGATGAACTCCACTTGGGCCATCACTGGGCCAACGGGAAGCACGGACGCCACACTCCCGCCACGGTTCATCAACTGCGCCCCTGGCTGTGGCGGGGTCGATCCATACAACCAGGCAAAACCAGGCAAAACCAGGCTAGGCAATGCAAATTTCTTCTTCTTGTTACTTTTTTTAGTTGGAGACCACAGTGCTTGGCTCCAGTAACGATGGTGCCTCGACTGACATGCAGTAGTACTCTGCTGTGGTTTTTTGGAGGTTGGCAGTTGGACAACAAAGAACTTCACTGCCTGTTATTTGACAGCACGTCACTGTCTCACATGGCTATGAATAGATTCCACTACCCCGGTTTCTGCAAAGTATCGAACGAAAGCAACCTATTCTACTACCTGTCCCATGAATCATTTTGTTAAGGACAACCTATCGGAAGCGCCTTGGGTGTACGGAATGAGCATCATGGATCGAGTATCAAAATCTCATTATATATTTACGTAGATCTATTCATCTACTGCTGGAAGAGATAAGGTTGAATAATACCCTAGCACCTAGAATTGGAATACCCCCGTTCTATATCCAAAGAATTCAATTCCAAACAGTAACCAAGGTGATAAGCACATACAGTAGTTCTATCTTCAATGATCAAATGATCCTGAATCATGAATTGCCCGACCCTGCCAGGGTGTGGATCTCAACTCAGGGCAGTGAACGATAAGGGCACAGTCTATCGAGTTTATCGATAACAGCCCCTCTAACCTCATCGCCTCTGATCAACTCCGAGTCTTGCAGCTCCGCCTATACCAGTCACTCTCTTGCCGCAAATCCTCAAATTACCCTCCAATCATGTCCTCAAATTCCACTCAACAACGCCCCGTCAGCGTGCTATTTGTCTGCCTGGGCAACATCTGTACGTAACCTCCGCTGCTGCGGCCGCCAAGGTAGTCCCAGTCTCGTCTTTCCTGCTTGCTGACGCGCATCTTCTCGCAGGTCGGTCAACCATGGCTGAGGGTGTCTTCCGGAACGTCGCTGATGCCCATCCTATTATCGGCGAGATCGACTCCGCCGGCACAGGCGCTTATCACAGCGGCGAAGGCCCCGACAGTCGGACCATGTCCACCCTGCGCCGCCACGGGATTACCAACTACCAACACGCTGCCCGCAAGGTCACCAAGGATGATTTCTTGAAGTTTGACTACCTGCTCGCTATGGACAAGTACAATTTGCGTGATCTGCTGGATGTGCGCGAGTCGGTTATTACGTCGTTGCGCCGCAAGGCTGACCCCAAGTCTGCTGCGAAGAATACTCGTGCTGCGTCTGAGGCGGCCATTGGTGCGCAGGGTGTGGACGCTCAAATCGCTGAGGTGCGGCTCTTTGGTGACTTTGGAAGAGGTGGAAAGCTGCACGATCGTGTTGGTTGTGGTGAGGTCGTTGAAGATCCTTACTACGGCGGCGCAAACGGGTTTGAGGAGGTTTACAAACAGGTAGTCAGATTCTCCCAGGGCTTTATCGACTATCTCGAGAGGAAGGAGTAGACTATGGACAGCGTGACATATTAACCGGCTCATGAATGGGCGTGTGGACATATTAGACTTAGAACAAAAGGTGGGAGCTTTCTTTGCGAGAATACCCTGCTGTGGCATTTGATGAACTTTATGACAGCTCTTGGCCAAATGGGATCTGGATTACATTGCGTTCGGGGATCAGGGGGGCATATTTTTGGGATGGAAGCAAATGCATATTGAAGATATTTTACATGATATGGTACATATCCATTATATAGATTGGGGGTCGAGAAGACTCGCCGACTGAGCATTCGTCCCTCCCTAGATCTTTTCGCTGATCTTGATGGCAGTTCTGCAGCCCAGACGAATAGCATCCACCAGTGGATCATATGGTTTGGCCTCCTTCGAGTCGTTGGCCACGGCGTGATCCAGGTGCTCCAATTCCTCGTCGCGAATCCTCCGGAAGATGGCCACCATCTCCTTGAGCTCCTCATCAAGTTCCTCCCCTCGTCGGTCAGCTTCTGCCTCCCATGACAGAATCTCCCTCACTTGGTCATTGTAATGTGTTCCAATCTCGGTTTCCACTGCCTCGGTGCATGCCATTGCGGCCTCTCGACCCAGAGCCGCGGTCGACCATCCCAAGAATGTGGCTGCAACCTCCCAGATCGGATACATCGCAGTGGGACGGATCTCATGCTTGGCCACGAGATTGTTGAAGACCTTCAGGTGGCCTGCTTCCTGGTCGTACATGTGCTTCATCAACGGCCGGAGGTGTGGGTGAGATCGGACGACTTGTGGGGTTTGCGCTTTGTAGATCAGGGTCGCGGCTAGTTCACCGGCTTGGTTGACGCGCAGCGCGCTGTCCAGGTACTCGCGTTGTTTCTTGCTGAGGACATACCGAGGCTTCGAGGTCCCGGTAGACCCGCTAGTAGAAGCTGGTCGGCGTTGGAACTGGACGGTGGTCGGGGCTAGGAAATCGAGGTAAATCGGGGATGATAGTCTGGCTGGACGTCGTAATTGTGCCAGAGTATATCTTCGTAGTGTAGGTAGAGCCTCCATTGTGTATAGCTGCACTCTTTCGCTCGTAGCTGTTGGAATTCAAGTCTCACGCCACCGGGCAAGAGGGTCTTGGCGCCAGCCGCGCGCTTGCGGTCTTGGCGCCCGGACGTCATGAACCGACGGCTAAGGCCAACTTGCGACGAACTTCTGCGCTTTTCAGCCCATCCCTTCGCCTCCTTTGTTTGTCACCGTCTGTACAGTTTGCCTCTTGGTGTCGTGGATTCTGCCTTGATTGACAGATAGGCGTCGACTAGGTGACTTGACTCCACGACTGAGGGGTCCTGAGGATTTGCGACTCCTTGTCAGGAGGAATTTCGCTTGGAGCCTCCGGTGGCATCAAGATTGGTTCTATTCAGAAGACCTATTCTTAGGGCTTTGGGTGCCTATTATATACTTTTGGGTCTTTGAATTTGGTACAAAGGCACGCTAAGCGGTCACAATGGCGGACGATTTGGATGCAGAGCTTCTGGCTCTGGCCGGTGACTCTGAGGAGGAAGAGCATTCACCTCCCCCTCGGAAAGATGATTCCCCTTCTCCCTCACCTTCCCCTCGCTCACCAGATCATGATCAATCACCTGAGACGATGGGGCGCAAAGGAACTGCGAAGCCTTCCCGCCGAGGGAAGAGGCCTGTCAGAGACGAAGAGGATGGTGAAGTGTAAGCTGCCTATTCTTCTCCCCCTCACCGACGGAAGAGCTCTCACTGATGCTGCCTCACTTACCAGGTCCGAAGCCGAGTCACACGACTCCCTCCAGTCTGCACCCATGTCTGAGTCCGACTCTGAAGCTGGAGACGCCTCCGACGACGAAGACCGGCCCATCTTTCCCTACGACAAGCTTTACTACTCTGCAAAGGAGAAGCAAGAAATCATGGCCATGCCCGAAATTCAACGTGAGGAGCTGCTTTCAGAACGTGCCCAGCAAGTCGATCGCCACAACCAAGATCTGGCTCTGCGCCGCCTTCTAGCCTCTCGTGAGCGCGAAGAAGCGCGTGCTGCCGCCAAACAGGCCAAGCGCAAGGCGGGTTCCGCCGGCCTCGATGATACCCAGCGCAAGAGTTCTCGGCAGAAGACCACCCTGGGCGGCCGCAAAGTGGGAGAAACCTCGGGCGCCATCGAGGCGTACAAGCGCCAGCGTGAGCAGAAGGGCAAGCGTGATGAACTCCGTCGCCGTGATCCCACGCAGTCACGCCGCCGCTCTCGCTCTCGAGGCTCTGATCTCTCCGATGAAGATGGCGAGCTTGAGAGTGATCTCGAGCTGGAAGATCGTCGTTCGCCTTCGATTCCCAAGGACGATCCCCCCGCCGAGCTCCGTGACATTCAGCGTGCTCGTGTTGGCCGCAGCAACTTTGCCCAGGTCTGCTTCTACCCCGGATTCGAGGAAGCCATTACTGGCTGCTATGCTCGTGTTAACATCGGCCCTAATCACGACACTGGCCTGAACGAGTACCGCCTTTGCTTGATCCAGGGCTTCAACACGGGAAAGCCTTACGCTATGGAGGCCAAGAATGGTCGTCCGTTCATCACCGACCAGTATGCCAAGCTTGCCCACGGCAAGGCTGTGCGAGACTTCCCATTCATTGCTTGCTCCGACTCTCCGTTCTCTGATGTATGTAATAACTAAATCCGCGGATGAGAGTTTCAGAAACTGACTATTTATACAGGCTGAGTACAACCGCTACCGCAAGACCCTGGCAGTTGAGGACTGCAAGATGGCTACGCAGAGCAACCTGGCCTCCAAGGTTGCAGATATTAACCGTCTCATCAACCACGTGTTCACCCCCGAGGAGATGAGCCGGAAGTTGCGCAGACAGGGTGTGCTCGATGAAGACACCAACATTCTCCGACGTGCCGATCTCGAGCGCGATATCAAGCTTGCCCGAGCCAACGGCAACGAAGAGAAAGCCGATGCCCTTCAAAAGGAACTGGACGAGATCGTGAACCCCAAGCTTTCCTGGGGCACATCCCTCATCAAGCAACAGACAGGCTCTGATAAGAAGCTCTCCGAAGCCGAGCGTGTCCACCAGATCAACCTTCGCAACCAGAAACTCAACTACGAGAACGTGCGCCGGGCTCAGCTTGAGGAGCGCAAGGCGGCTCGTAAGAGCGCCGCTGCTGTCGCTCGCGGAGAGGCTGCCCCAGATCCTTTCATGCGTGTCCGCACCGTTGCCAAGACGCATCACGATCTCTCGGACAAGCCCAAGGATGGTGCTACGGACGATACCCCCACCGAGACCCCCAAGGAGTCGCCTAAGGTCGGTACTGATGGTGTCGCGCGAGCGGCTGCCGCCTCAGGTGTCACACCTAAGAAGCCCAAGAGCGGTTTCATGATCAGCTACCGCAACACGGATGATGAGAACATCGCTGCTCTGGATCTTGATATCGATATCGAGATCTAGATGAGCTGTTCACTTTGCTGCATTTCGTCCAACGCGACGATATGCTTTTCGATTGGAAACTTTGGACTCGAGGTACCACCAATCATGTACACATAAGAGGATCTAACTAGCAGCGGTTGCGGATGGTAAGCCGTGGCCTTTGATTTTCCTTGCACTTCTGTTTTTTCTATTGCGGGGTGGCGCAGGACTTTTGCGGCATATTCCCAAAAAATATTCACGGGACAAACAATCTGTATTATGAGCACAATGGAAATGGAGCATAAAGAGCAAAGATTTGCAGTATGATCGATCCATAGTAGTTGACCTTGAGTCTTGTAACTCTATTCCAGTGGGACCTCAATGTAGAGATGTGGTATCCCAGCTTCGTCTGCTCCAAGTCTGCTTTGGACGGTATTTCTAAACTCGATCAAAATGGTTCTACAAAGACATCGGGGATAGAAAAGAATCAGAACGTAGGAATACCAAGCAAACCCACGGAAAACATCTTGTCGAACATCATCCGGAACTTGCAAGTTTACGAAACGCTCGCTCCTGTACCTAGCCTACCTCGCAAAGGCAGAGTTTGTCATCCGGCTACATCAACCACGCGTTAGGAGACTACCTCCACAATTTTTGCACCGCATTTATTGATGATATTCTAATCTATACCTAAGGCGACCTAGAGAATCACCAAACAAGTGATGATGGTGCTGAAGAGGCTGAAGGACGCGGGACTACAGGTGGCTCTCCACAAGTGCGAATTCCACGGGAGAGAAACTAAAGTCCCTTGGATTCATTGTGAGCACCGAAGGCATCTGCGTCGACCCAACCGAGTTCGAGGTGATAGAGGCTTGGGAACCACCAAACACCGCAAGAGGAGTGCAATCCTTCTTAGGAATGTGCAACTTCTACCGAAAATTCATCAAGAACGATGGCCGCATCGCGAAACTCCTACACCAAGTGACCCGTAAGGAGGTGCGTTTCCAGTGGGATCGAGCGTGTGACAAGACATTATGAGATCTGAAACGACGATTGATGACCTCCCCGCTGCTCGCTCGCTACGATCCATTCGCAGAGACCCAATTGCAGACCGATGCTTCAGACGGGTGTCTTGGAGTCGTGTTCTCCCAAAGGGGACAGGACGGACTGTGGTACCCAATACTCATCCAGCTACTCTGCCATCTGGCTCATGAAAGGACCCAAGTTCCAATAAAACCCGCATCCTTCATTGCACATTCGGAACCAGAACCAATTCCAACGAATACCTGCCTGTGCCACGAAGAATTTCAAGTTCGCTCTCGCACAACCATGATCCTCGTGTGAAAGGGACTCTCAGTGCTATCCATATACGCCAAAGCTACTACGATTCCACGTATATAGCTGCGAACAAAGCTGTACTACATGTACGAGCTGTATCATGTCGCGATATTCCACGACCAGGTGTTCACCGACCTCTGCAAGCTGCTCGAACCTTCGGGGGCCTTGATACAACTGGACTATAAGCCATACCGGAATCCACGATCATAACAAATTTCCTGCCCTCTCTATAACCAACATGGCTGATTTCCATGGCTTTTACCGATATGAGCGTCTACGCAATCCTCGAAATCGAGGTGACGAGGAGTAACAGTCGCCTTCTTCTCGAGAAAGTGGACGCCGGAATATCCACTGGATTCCCCTAACCTTTGGCAAAAAAGGCGTCGTGGCTTGTTGGGAGACACACGAAAAGAGGCAACCTTGCCATTGTTGGCGTATTCTGCCGGGAGTGAAATAGAACCATAACGTTACTTCCTTCGCACTTCGTGCTTTTACCACATTTATGTATCCACAGTCATTACCGTTCATCCAATAAAATGGCATTTCTTCATCGAGTTGCATCCTGAGCATCACGGCCCTATTTTAGTGGTCATCACAAGTGTTCCGATAGCGTTCCTTCCAAGCTCGGCTGGCTCCCTCCACTGAGAGCGAGGACTTTGCGAGCGTGAAGCTTATTTTAGCTACACAGATGTTCATTATTGGGATTTGCGAAGTCAAAGAAGTAGACGGCCAGACCTTTCAAGTAGATAGTCAATACTGATAAAATTTGGTTCTCCCGCTGTATCTGCTCGTAAATTATCCATTTCCACAGTCCAACACCTTCTCATTGAAATGTGAAGTCGGCGATAAGATAAGAATCACGTGGGCGCGACCGGGCAACGCGAGGCACGCGCATCGCGTCTTAACTATGCGCCCTTGAGGGATCCGCACACTGAGCACTTCCAAGTTCCAACCTCCTCAGTGTTCTCGATTGACCTCCCCATACCATGTCCTATTTCCTCATTTAAGCTATCACTTCCTATTTTGCATGATTAATACCCCATCAGCACACAATGTCTACACCCTCTACACCACGTTCGGCGCGCTCGACGCGTTCTATGTCGCCCGCCGATAATTCACCAAGCATCCTGACGCCAGGCCAAAAGATCAAAGCCATGATGGCTCAATTCGACAGCGATTCTGATTCTGATTCACAAGCCACCAACTCCAAAACATATATTCCCAAGCTGGACTTCGGAAGCAAGAACACATCTACTGGGATTCTCGCACTTGAACAGCCTAACGACTTTGACTCCGACTCAGACGATGCAGATGAAATCGTGAGGCCCAAGGGCCGGATGGCTGCTCGCATGCAGGGTGATGCCAATCCTTCAACAAATTCCACTGGACCCCAACAAGACTCCGCCTTTTCTCGATTGTCCAACGCCCTGCGAACCGAAAGGGAACAGACACAAAAGTCAACACGCCAAAGAGCCTCACCTGTCGACGAATCCAGTGACGACGATCTGCCTGCAGCTGCTCCCCGGAGAAGGACTAATGCTCAGTCAACCCAATCTCCTGCCTCTGCGGACGAAGATCCTGCAAAGTCACCCTCTCGCGCACGTTCTGTCTCGCCCTTGTTTGTTCCAAACGATGAAACCGCTGCAGATAACATCTCCGATATTGAAACCCATGATAAACCCAAGTCTAACGCGAGATTCCTTGCTCTCGTCGCCCAAAAGCGCAAAGAACGCGAGGAGCGTGAACGCATCGAGGATGAACAAAAGGCAGCCAGGCGCTCTCAATTGGAGCATTTTAGTTCTGAGATCGTGTCTGGGGAAGAAAGCGAAGGGGAAGAGGCTCAATCTGCACGACAATTGAGCCAGAAAGCCCGGCAACCTCGAAAGGCAAGCAAGAAGGCCCTCGAAGAGATGAGACAGGAGACACAACGCTTGAGCCGAAACATGCAACTCGCTCATCAGGCTCAGACCAAGAAGAAGATCACCAAGGAGAGTTTGTTCGCTAGGTTCAACTTTATGCAGCCTGAGGCTTCTCCAGCAGAACCAACAGCTGCAAATTCCTCATCTACTGCTGCATCCCAACATTCTTCCGACGGTGAAAAGGACAAGCAGACGCCTCACACATCGCCTGTACTTGGTCCCTCGGACGCTGATAAATCCACTGCTATCAATGTCACCGAAGTCCCGGCTGGAATTGATGAGCACAATGTGAACGAAATCAGCACCTCATCACTCGAAAAGGCTACCGGTTTGGTTCCCAGCACACTCGGTGCGCCCAAGGAGTTTACTGTCCTAAGTGCGAAGAAAATGCCCCGCAAGCCGACCCAACCTCCAGTCCGTGTCCTCCTGTCCCGGCAAGAAGTTGCTCGCCACCAGCAAGAAGATTCTGATAGCGATGGCTTGGAGGTTGTCACATCCCCTCCAAGGCTCGCCGCATTGCTGCTTTCGAGAATCTGCCAACCAGAAAGCTGCAAGAATCTTCTTCGATGACTACGCTAAAGGCATTGGCCCATTTGACATCACCAAGCCGCAAGCACTCCGGAATGAACTCAGCAGAATTATCTGCGAGCTTGTTGTATAAGGCTCGTCAGCAAGCTGCCAAGGAACGACGCGAGCGCATCGAAGAGCTTAGGGCAAAGGGTATTGTCATCGAAACAGCGGAAGAGCGTGCCACAATGGAAGACGACATTGAGAATATGATGGAGAAGGCGCGCCAAGAGGCCGATGAGATTGCACGAAAGGAAAAAGCTGCAAACAAAAAGGGACAAGGTCTCGATGACGATGACGATGAGGATGAAGACTTCTATGCCCCATCAGGGTCCGATGATGATGGATCCAACAGAGACGATGAAGAAGAGGATGAGGACAATGATATTGACGAGAACCCCGGATTCCTCGACAACGAAGCAGACGAGGAGGATGAGTCTGCTGATGATCAAGCCGAGGATGAAATGTCAGATGTAGACATGCTGGCTGAAGCTCCTAGTACCCGACGAAAGCGACGAGCTCGTGTTGTGAATGACGATGACGAGGACGATGAACCCCAAGTGCCTTCCACCCCCGTCAGGCCGCCGTCACACGACCCACAGTCGGTGCAGCGACCAGTATTCCCTGGTATTGAGACGCCTGGTGGTATGTCCATGGGGCTTACTCAAGCCTTTGCTGGCACGCTGGCCGATGATGAAGACGCCACTAGCCAGCCCGCCTCTTCCACAATGTCATTCTCGCTTCCGGACCCTGGTCGCCCTGTCCCCAGACTTCGCGCCGAAGACTCGGAGATTCTTGTTCGTGATAGCCAGGAACACCCCCATGAGCCTGAATTCATGACCAACTGCACCCAGAACGTGACCAGGGTGTCGGAATCGCCTGCTGCACACAAATTCTCTCAGTACTCGCAGCTTCCCGATCCCACCCAAGATCAAGGCTTCATTTACTCTCCCTTCGACCCGAATAAGCGTTTCCGAGAAACTCCACCAGTTTCAACTGTTGATACTGTTCTTCTCGGTCAGAGTCAATCGCCTATTGCGGAACGCAAGAGCAGACAGCTTCGACGTGGCCGCGCAGCAAACTTGTCCATGGTAGAAGAAGATGAAAATGAAGGCGATTTCGAAATCAATGCTAATGCCTTCAACGTCATGAAGAAGGCGGCCAAGAAAGAATCCGTTCCGTACGACAAGAAGAACAGCAAGGCCAAGAACATCGTGGACGAAGCTGCAGAGGAATCCGAGGATGAATACGCTGGCCTCGGAGGTGCCAGTGATGACAGCGATGGCGAAGAAGATGCCTACGATCAGCAAATGATCAATGATCAGAGCGGCGAAGTGGTCGACGAGAAGCAGCTTGCTGCCATGAACGCGTAAGTCATTCCATAAATTATATATTGGATGCCCTTGCTAACAATGTTGACCTCAGAATGCATCAACGAGACCGCGACGAGAAAGATGTTGCTAAGCTGTACAAGGATATCACGACTGGAGCTCTGCGCCGTCGCCGCGGTGGTGACGATGACTTTGATCTTGACGACTCGGATGATGAGCGTCTCGCCCGTCGACGTGAAAAGCAACGCGAGTTTGCAAAGATGCGCCGTGCTCTCCTTGCAGATGACAAGATTGGCCAGCTTGCCGATGACCCCAAGAAGGCCGCTTTCTTCAAGGCCATCGAAGACCGAGAGGCTGATGATGACTTTGAGTTGGAATTCCTCGAAGACAAGGCCGGTGACTCCCAGAACGAGGCTTCTCAGGATGCCGCGCAGGAGTCGAACGACTCAGCACAGGACAGCAAGAAGCGCAAGCGACCGCTCGAGGCAGCCGGAGAAGATGCCACCAAGCGTCCTCCACCTCATCTTCGCCGTACACCTGCCAGCGCCATGTCCAAGAAGCCAGCTACCCTAGCCGAAATCCGGGAGACACTGTCATTCTTGACTGAGACACATGAATATGATTCCTTCACCGAAGACGCCTCCGTTGACGAAGAAGAGCCTGTCGAAGGCGAGGATGACTCAAGCACCGACAACAAAGACGCGTTCTCCGAAGAGGCAGGATCCCAGCCCAAAGAAGGCTTCGCTGTGCCATCTCACCCCCGACGCACGCGTGGTGTCGTCGTTGATCGCCTTGCTCTCCTCCGCCAAGCCTCATCCAACTCTGCAACATCTGGACCATCTGCCAACACCAAATTCGCGTTCCACAATAGTGGCAACTCTGACGGCCCCATCGGTTTCCGTCCACCCCAGCTTCTGCGCCGCGTGAACACCGGCTCCTCTTCATCCAGCTCCAGCACGACCTCATCTAATGCCAACCGTGTTTCCCAGCCTGCCCCGTCTGGACCGAAGAAGGGCGGTGCTATCAACTCGTACACTGCTGCCCGTGAGAAGGAGCGCGAGAAGCAGCTTCGCATGAAGCAACGCAATGGTGGTGCTAACATTGCTAAGCTGCTGGGCAAGCACGCTGCTAATGGACTGGGTGCTTTGGCTGGTAAAGGACAATGGGATTAAGTGGCTGGCCCATCATCGGCCATACTACGTTATCAAGAGATTCCTTTGGGCGTTCTTCTTTTTTGCAGTTTTTGCTAGCATTCTAATGTCCCGGCGTTGAGGTTTTCAATAGGATTCCGTTTATGATACTCTGTTTAGTTACTGGGAGATGTTTTTCAAGTTGATTTAAGGATAACAAACCATGAAGGTTTCCGTTATATTCTCGATTCAGACAGCTGGTGCCCACTCTATAATAACATCTAAGAAGACGTTCAAACGCTAAAGCCACTGCTTTAAGCACAATAGCCTGCTAATATCAACTAGGTGCAATGTGTATCCCTTATTGTACAGAATAACGGTTACTTCATTCTGATTCAAGAGCCAATCTTAAGCTCAGTGAACAACTCCATCAACGACCGAATAGTTCCAGCAGGGCATTCCACCCCACCATTACGCTCAAGGAAATAGCTCTGCCAGCCCGCACCAGTAGCACCAACGTAGTCCTTCTGGTAGTCGTCCCCAATATGTATACATGTCCAATCATCAGCTTCATCCCGACCAGCTGGAGTCGAGCCACGCGTATGCGCATCGGACCGGGCTAGCAATCGAGCCTGCCGCTTTGCGATATCGAAGATTAACTTGTTCGGTTTCTCTTCGCCGGCCTCGTAGCTGGTAATTACCAGATCTAGGTCAGTATCTGGCTGAGTGTTGTTTTTATACGAGGTGCTGGGGTCCTGTGGTTGGCACTTTTGGCTGGAGTCTCGCTCCTCGAAACCAGGCAGTTCCATGCTTGACCGGTCTTCGTCTGCTCGTGTATCTCCAACGCGTAGACCAAGGGACTTGAGCACTTCTGGAACACGGTCATCCGAGTTGGATATCACGCCCAGCACGATCCGGTCGAAGAGTGTCGTGCCTGGAGACGCTCTCAACTCACGCATACGTGCGAAGAACGGTGCCACGTCGTCATACAACGTGTACCCTCCATCTCCCGCGAACCGATTAAGCAGAGTCTCGATCAAGCCACTGGGGAGATCAATATCCCCATGATCACACACTCCTGTTACTCCTGCTCCTGTCTGTAAGGAATCCCCATTCTTCTCCGCGGCCAGCACTGATCCAAAGCTCCCCCGGATAACCTCCTCCCACCATTGTTTCGGTCCCCCATACTGACCCTTCAACACATCCGCGCGACCGTAATTCGGGTACCGTTTAGCTTGCACGCGATATACATCCTTAAAGGCAGCTTTGAGTTTGTCTGGTGTCACCGCCGTTCGGGAGAGTCCAAAGTCGTGGCCGATCGCCGCGTACTGGTCAGGTACGGGTGGGTGCGGGTAGAAGAGGGTTTCGAAGGCGTCGAATGTGAGGAGGAGAGTCCGGCGGCGCCGAATTGAGGTTTTTGTGATGGAGCGCGTGGCCATGTAGAGTGGGCTAGGGGGCATTTTATGGGGAGGAGGGAGGTTGTTTAACTGTGGTGGACGAGGGGTGCGGTCGCGATCTTATCTCGCCGTATTTGCTCAATGCGCGATATGGCATTGTTTGCGCGGGGAACCTACGCTGACGCTCTTATATCGGCATTTATGTGGATAGAATGATGTTGAGAGCATAAGAATGCTGGAATTCCTGAGTTTGATGGATTTACGAAAATTACTTGAGTGTCTTCATGAGCTTTGGATCTTGTTTATTATTGGAGTGGTGGCTTCAAGATTGTGGACTAAATAAACGTTTTTCTCGCATGGAAGTACGTCACTTCACAGAATCAGAGTTGCATGTCTTGGATTCGAGATCTTTAGACAATTGAAAAGTTCCGAGCAAACCAAAATTACGATGAATTGTCCAAGGCAGTTATTCTCTTCATGCGAAATTAAGGTATGGCCAGTCATCTAATAACCTTAGCCTGCAATTACCCAGACTTCCCCCGAATCCCCCTTCCATGATCTATCATCACTTACCAAGAAATTTACAGTTTGCTTCTAGACGATGGCCACGTCAATTTTGCCCGAACCTGGCAAGACCAAAGCCACACGATACCCAATCCAGTCTTCACCCTCGGCGGAAACTACTCAAAAGCGGATGGTGGCTAGAGTCTGGCGTGATGACGCGTCTCCAGCATCCGAGACCGAATCTCAACGCCCATCAGATAACGGGCACTGTCGCTAGTGACTTTGATTGAGATTCAAGGCAGAAGCTTTTTCTTCTGTCCAGCGGTCTACTTTGCATTGTTCACTTCACAGGTTGATCATTCGCAGTGATTACATCCTGAAAGGCAAAGATCTTGGAACTAAAATGCTGTCGTCGCAGTCTCTGCTAGCGATATGCTCGTTGTTGAGCTTATCGGGTGGATCTGTAGCATCTTCACATTCTGATGCGGTGATTCAAAATGCCAACCATATTTTCAATGTCATTCATGACTCGATGCGCCAATGGGGATCCTCGCTGCATCATAATGGTGTTTCGTTCTTCCTGGCCAATGTGCCAGCAGGTACACAGTTATACCACGGCACTTCCAAGGCGACTCCGGTAAATGGCACCGAATGGCTTGCCTTTGAACCTGAGCATGCGATGATGTTCGCACGGCCGCATATGGGTCCGCCTCCTCGACGTCCGGACGAGGGCGATAATGACGAGATAGATCGTGGACATCATGGAGAGCTTCGTCGTCGCCAACCTCATGCTCCAGGTGGCAGACCACCCGGACCACCACCGCCTCCATTTGATGTCTCTGAGGAGAAAGAGGCTGGATATCTTCACACCTATGCCGCTGCGAAGAATCTCCGTCTGTTATACATTGATGGTATGTCCGCAGCCAAGACGAAGAAGGGTACACTCGACTCGCAGGATGTGCTTTTGTTCAACAATACACTGGATGACACGCCGAAGGAAGGCCAACGGGGGCCCATGGGCGAGTTCGAGCGCGCGACTAAGGCATGCGAGATGTCAGAGAATGAGTGGGGTGGCCGCATCGATGGTGTGATCCGCATGGAGGCTGGCTTTGAGGTTATTCTGTGTGCTTTCGAGCGTGACTTGACACCCGTGCGAATCATTCAGGTCAAGTCAGACTCGGGGGCAGGTGGTCACAAAGATCGGATGCATAACAGACATGCTGGTCCGAGAAAAGATCAGGATGATGGGAAGATAAGAATTCCTCCTGCAGGCCCCGGTGGCCCAGGAGGCCCAAGAGGCCCAGGAAGAGGGCCACCCGGCATGGACTCTTCTCGCTGGATGCGTGCAGTGAGTGCCCGGTACAGTGGAATTGGAGGCGACAGAGTCACCCTCAACTATGAACACTTTGTGACCGCATTCGCATACGACCTGGACCTCTTCCCGGAGAACTTATCCCTCCCACGCCTGGGACAAGTCCCCAGCACGGAGCTAGACGTTGTCCGCAAGGACTTGACTGCAACAATCCTGGCCCACAACGCGACCGAGACCACACGAAACTGGCAAGCCATCACAGACATGATCGTGAAGCGGTACAGCGACGAACTCGCCTATCTAGCCTCCGGCGAGTTCACCGACATCACGAGCATGCGCCAGCACATCGAAACCCTCTTGTCCCCATTCATCGACTACAACTCGCGAGACGCCTCGTCCGAGGCCGAACGATGCGCCACACAGTTCCTGCCCCTGGGGACACAAGACTCGCATGTGCTCGCGGCGCGAGCTGTGCATAGCGTTGCACACCGTGTTTGCTCGACTTTGCTGACAGCAGGTACCGAAGAAGACCTCGAGTCTGCGGTGCAGAAAGTTCAGGCTTTAATTGACTATTTGGACTGGACGAGCTGGAAGGAGTGCCGTGGCTGTGAGAACCATGAGATCTGCGTGGTGCCGATCTGGCCCATGGGCTCGGTGGCTGATTATGAGAAACCAACGTGTCGAGAGGCCTCGAGCCCGTATGATCAGGATGGGGAGAGTTACTGGGGTGGAATCCACCCTTGATGTTTTTTGTGATTAGGAGTTTAGTTTGTTAATTATCGAGCGACACCGAAGTAGGTAATAAAGAGCCTGTGTATAATTTCCGAATAGCTTTTCATTTTTGACGCTATTGAAGATTGGAGTCAGCTTTTCGATCAATAGTGAAAAAGTTGAAATAAGCATTCTAACTGTTTCTAGATATCCTCCGGTGCGAGACATACTGCTAGGACCAGGAGGGGTAGGGCTGTTCGTATTCTGTACTTTTTACCAACAACCACGGAGTCTACTGAGTAATTCGGTCTTGTTTATCCCATGGAAACAAGCAGGGCTAAGCGTGCTTGGCTTAAGGGTTTCCCCGCGCAGAGACCAGACAAGGTTATCCCGTCGAACTTTGTTTTCAGCGACTTGACAGGCTCCTCCACTCTTCCAACTTCCCTTGAGCGATCGTCAGGGGTGTGCTATTTTGCCCCCTTTCAATGGTGGAGAGAGAACCAGCTCTTTTGTTTCACGTCTCTCAATTTTGTTGACGATGAGGCATTAAGATTATGATGAAGATCATGATGACAGAGCAATCTGGGCTCGGTGTCCCTGAATCCTTTCATTCTCTCCCCCCAGTCCAGTACGGACAGGATTGGCTTTAGGCGCAGTCCTAGACAAAGCCGGTGCAGGTCCACCCCGCCCAACTATTTGACATAAGCCTACTGGCCTAGTGATAACGGGCCAAATGTAAGAATCATATTTGCGTTGCGTGGGGTTCAACTGCCCAAACCGTGTTTGAAGCGGGACACCAGTGCAGATCCTCGACGCCCGCTGCACTCTCTCCTTTCCTCCTTCTCCACTCATTGGTGACCACCAGTGGAGTCCAGCAATCCTAATGCCGATCGTCAGGGCCTGAACGCCCCTTCTGAAAGGGTTCTCTTGCAGCATAACCGTGTGCTTGGGCTCGAGGAACCTGAACACCGCCTCGGCAGTGGTGAGCTCGAACCATGTGGCAAACCTTGTTCCTGGTGGCTTCGACGACAGTCTCGACGACCATGACGTTTTTGATGTTTACAGCGGCTTCATTCAAGACAAATCAACGAAAACAATGGACGTCCTTTTGAGAATGGATTCGAGGGTCTGTCAAAGACCCCAAAAATCCACCAAAAACCGTTACTCGTGGGGAAGCCGTGTAAGGTGCCCGCATCTTTCAGGCCCCAACGGCGGAGTTGGTCAAGATCTGCGGAGTGGCTAATGAAGATGAACCTCCGACGAAGCTTATGAGAGAACTAAGAGACATCCGCGGGCTCCAATTCCCCTGCCCCGTCTCTGATACCTTCTCTTGAAAGAGTGGATGTCATCTCCGCTGGATTTGGAGAATTTTGACAGGATGCTCGATTCTTGGCTCCTTCTCCATTGGACATCAACTTCCCAACCTCTCAGCGGGTCTGCAAAATCCCTGTTACCCTGCCCGGTCTGATGTGGAGTATACTCTGCTCCGCGCGACGTCAAGCATCCGGAGGTCTGATGGACACTCATGGACGGTGGACCAAGGGTCTCGTCGCTCCCCCCTGAGCAATGATGAACAGTGTATAAAGAGCAGCCAGTGCCATTTGACTTTCGAGATTCTTTTCTATACTCTCTCTCAAGAAGCTCTTCGCGTTTTTCCTCGTTTCCTACCTTCAGTCATTCCTTTCCCGGTTTTATACCGTCCATTCATTACAGCTTTTCAAGCACCACACTCTCTACAACAATCAAGATGAAGTCTTTCGCCATCACTGCTGCCATCCTGGCATCCACCGTCGCCGCTCTCCCCACCAACATCATCCCTGGTGCTGCTTCTGGAGTCCTCCCCTCCGGCATTCCCACCTGCCTGCCCTCTGGGATCATCCCCGCGGGCCTCCCCATTCCCTCGGGCATCCCCACCTGCCTTCCCTCTGCCGGTGCTGCTCCCGGCGCTAACGCTGGTGTTGACAACTCCCAGGTCTCTACTGACCAGGTTACCAGCCAGGTCACTGGCCAGGTCCACAGCGTCCTGACCGTGACTGACCAGGCTTCCAAGATGGTCCTCGTTGAGCTTGAGCCCTCCGTGGCTGGCCTCCTGTCCGGTCTCAACCTGGGCAGCGTCACCCAGTCCGTTGGCCAGATCATCCAGGTTGCTCCTACTGTCGGTGCCCTGAACCTGAACGGTGCCACCGGTGGTCTCCTGACCGTTGCTACTGGCGAGGGCTCCGTCGCTCTCGTCAAGCTCACCTCCACCGTTGAGGGTCTCCTCGCCGGTCTTGGCCTCCCCGAGGTTGGCTCGCTCGTTGGATCTCTGGTTGGTACCCTCGAGGGTGTCGCTTCCGGCGTCACTGGCAACATGAAGCGCGACGCTCTCTCCAACGTCATGAGCATCACCGACCTCAGCGGCAACCCCATCCTCGTCCAGGTCGAGCCTACTGTCCTCAACCTCCTCGGTGGTCTCGACCTGTCCAACGTCCAGGGCACCGTTGGCACCGTCGTCGCTGAGGTCCCCGCTGTCTCCGGTCTCGCCGCTGCTGCCCAGGGCGTCGCTGCCGACCCCACCCAGCTCTTCGGTGTCCTCGGCCAGGACGGCACCTCCGCTCTCCTCGTCAAGGTTGAGGGCACTGCCACCGGCCTGCTCTCCCTGCTCGGCCTCTCCAGCCTGACCAGCACCATTGGCAGCGTTGTCCCCGCCGGCCTCCTGTAAATGATCTGATCTTCTGGTTACCCTTGAAGGGAGTTCATCGTTCGCTTCTATGGGTTCTCTGCTGATGTGTATTGAGAGTTTCGCTGCTATAGCTTGGCTATCGAGCTCGTGCACGCAAAAACGACTGAACATGAGGAGTTCCCCTTTTTTCTTCTATATTTGTCCTCTATTCGTATGTACCTATTATACTTGAAAGCGTGAAGTTTTCAGAATTTTGATCCTGGTTCGGAAAATCGACTATGTAATGTCTAGTTGTGTCCTGTGCTGCTTTGTCTGTGATAGAAAGTAGTTATGGCGTAGTTCGTACTCAACTACAGTAGGTGCCTGGAACAGGAGAGAATAAGGTTTTACTAGTAGGACCGGACTTTTTAAAGAGTTCACTAACTCGTATATAAGGGTGGTTAATAGTTCGCCCAGAAACTATAAAACCTTGAAAACAAAGCCGAGACATGTGAAACAATAAAAAGCAGCTCTAATCACCAATCCCACAGAAAAACCACTCCTATCTATCTATCCCCATTCTAAATCCCCATTCTAATCTTACATATCAAGAACAGCACCCCCATTCGGCGAACACCTAACCGTCTCCTTCTCCCAAGCATCAATATCCCTCAACGTCCTTTCAATATCATCCTTAATCAAAGGAATCGATTCCGCCCCCAAAAGCAAACGCATCGGCAACGGCCGTTCATATTGACCAACCACAGCCTCGAAGAGAACCTGGGCACAGATATCCGGATCACTCCAGGTAGACTGCGAGTCCGGGTTCGTGACGTACTTGATTATTTGGCTGAACGAACTGTTTGGATCATCGTATGCGGGATGGCGGGGGGATTGTTTGAGACTTGAGCCGGCGAAGTTTGTGCGGACGCCGCCTGGTGAGACGAGGAGGAAGTGGATGTTCCAGCTGGGGTTGACTTCTTTGGAGATGGATTCTGTGAAGCCTTCTAGGGCGAATTTACTGTTTGGAGGTAGTTTTGTTAGATTATGCGATATATTGAGAGGATGTTTGGGTGGTAATGCTCTTACCTAGCGTGATAGAATGAATGACCCGGAACAGTAATCCACCCTCCCATGGAAGATATTTGAATCACAGTCCCACCTCGACCGGGAGCATTGACTTCCCGGAAGACACGGAGTGCTTCGCGAGTAACATGTACAGGACCCCAGAAGTTTGTCTCGATTTGGTGTCGGGCATCGGCGTCGGTGATTCCCTCGGTGTCACCCATCAGACTGTAGCCGGCGTTGTTGATGAAGACGTCGATTCCGTGGAATTTATCGACCGCATCAGCGATGGCTTTGGTAATTGTTTCTTGACGGGTAACGTCGAGATGTAGTTTGAGGACGGTTGGGCCGTCCGGGAGGTATGAGAGAGATGTTACGTCTCGTGCTGTAGCTACGATGCGGTGGCCGGCGTTGTAGATTTTTGTTGCGAGTGATTTTCCGATGCCGGATGAGCAGCCAGTTACTATGTATTGTGAGTTATTAAGTTGATAAGGGATTGTGAAGAATTGTGGGATATAATCGTACCGAACCACACAGCATTGGTATCTAGTTTTTGTGTCGAAGATGGCATTTTGTCGATATTTTTCAAGATAGTTGAAACCTCCAAATGAAATTGGATTTGGAAATCCGGACAGTAACTGTTGGTAATGCGTTGGTGAGAACTTGAGATCAATAGAATGACTCTCAATCGAATTTCTCTCGCCCTTTATATGCTATCCGAAGATAATGAATGATATCATGCTTCTATATTTGTAGGATTTGGAATAGCATACAATATATTGCCTCCGTGGCTGTCTAACCAATCACAAGTAATAGAAAATAGCCCACTAATCCCAATTCAGTAGTTGCACTAAAGCCGGGCGTGAGGCTTGTAAGTGGGGCAAGCTGACCATAACCATGACCTGTGAACGCCTTCATCCTTTGACTTTGCCACAACTTTTCTTTTAAATTGTCCCTAGTGCAGTCTCTTCTTCAGGAAAGGACACTAATGTACCTCGGAGCAACATGGCCGAAAATAATCAGGATCAGACCTTTGTTGTGATTACCGGAGATCCGCAAAAGGGACATGGCGCGCGGCTGAGCCAGGCACGATCGCATCTTGCGAAGCAATACCACGGCAAAAAGAGATCGCAGAATACGAATGCGAATACTCGACAGGATAATACTCGACAGGCTCAGCAGGTCATAGCGTTGCGACGGGCATTGCAGGCTGTTCCGCCAGGAATCCGCCTCCTGTTGGAACCACCGCCGACGCCGCCGTCGGTGCCCGGGGTTAAGAGGATGCAGAGATGTGAGTTTTCGAATTTGAGTGTCGGCGAGGGTTTGTATCTTTGCTGACATCCTAGTCAGTCATGTATGATTATGTGCATCCTGGAACTGGTCTGCATAGATTTTTCTTGTCGATTATCTATGCTGCGATCACCCATCCGGCACTTATGAGTGCGAAGATCTTGAGTGCATCGGCATGGGACGATCTAAATAAGACAGAGCATATTAGTCCTATCACGATGCAGCAATCCAATATTACCAGGGAGTTGTTGAACGGGTCTTTGACCAATGAAGAACAGCGCTTCAGTGACGTGACTGTCGCGGCTTTGCTTTCGGTTCTGCTTTTTGATGTATGAGCCATGATCATGGAAGTTGTTCTGGACTAATACTGACGGGCTTTAATCTAGTTGGTCAATTTTGATGCTGTCGCTTTTGAAAATGACCGAATTGGTCTTGATATCATCATTAAGGCTCGCGGTGGTATTGAAAATCTAGGGTTCGAGGGACGCTTACGTGAGAGCTTGATATTGTACGAAAAGTCCTCTTTAAATATGCTTCTCATGTGGATCCCTTTGCTAACTGTACTAGGATGGACCAATTTCGGAGAATCGGGAAACCCCCCTTGGACAGTTGGAAATCTTTATCACCAGCGGACTTTGCTGTCTTTCCATATGCGCCAATAGACATGACTGCATTTACACTCGGGTGCCCTGAGTGTGACTGTTCCCAATCAGTCACTCAATCACTCACAGATCTATACCAATCAGTACTGCACTTTGCGACCTATACTACATCCACAAAACCAGTCTACGAAGATTATCAATACCCTCCAGCTATAGTCAGGCCCCACATGCTGATCGAGCAATCGGTTCACAGCCAGCAATCGAATGACGACGACCCAAGAATTCCGGTATTGGATCAAGCACGATACCTACTCAATCTGTCAAATTCAGTATCCGACATCGATCCTAGCTTAGCTCAAGGCGTTACCCATTTGAAATATCTTCTGCACCGAACCGACATGGACGTTTTCTGGGGCCCACTTCCCGGTGCAATGATTTGGTGTCTCGTCATCGGTGCTCGACTAGCCCAGCCGGGATCTGCCAGAAAATGGTTTATGATGCAGATCCAACGTACCTGTTGTGCGATGGCTGTGGAAACTTGTGAGAGGGTACTTCGATGCCTTCGGACTGTGCTAGTGGGGCTCGATGGGGCTCAGATTAGTAGGCCCGAGGTGTCTCTGATGAGTTTTGTGTGATGGTTTAGAAATATAATGATAATGTTCTGTGACGTTACTAGACCCTACCAGGCACTGAAGATCCAAGATACATGATGATGAAAAGGGTCGAAGAATATCCGAATAGACAGAGAGAGGTACGAAGTGCCCTATGAATCTAGTGGCGAAGAAAGCGTGACTCGGCAGTTTGTGATGGTTGCGGGAACCAGATTTACTCCGACTGGCCTCGGGCGAAAGAGTCGAATCGAGTCCGGAGGCCAGCAAAATGTGGGGAAGCGTCTGGGGAGCGGGGCACTGGGCCTTCGAGGCTGCAAGGTGAGTTTGTTCTTGTTGACTGCAAATATGGACTATATGCCGGGATAAATTCATAGCTAGGATAGTATCGGAATGACTCTGGTATGATAGTATAGTAAATTATGATAGAATGTCCTTATCTAGCTTGTCCTCTCTTATAGACAGGTGTATAGTTGGAAATCCATGTCCTTGATTGGCTGGATCTGTACACCCGCTTGCAGTACAACAAATATCCTCGTTGATGAGAAAATGATGATATCTTTTTCCTAAGCGGATAATTTTGCAACCGCGCTACAATGCCTATGAATCAGGAATCACTAGTAAGAACAAGTGATTCCCTGGTGGAGGCTCTCCAAATCTCCAACATGCCACTTCGTAACGCGGACGTGTGGGGAGCTGTGGGAAACGCGGCAAAAATCTCATCCGCTCTAGTCTGGTTGAACCAGGCGAACTTACAACGGCACACGCGCTCGGTGAAGGACTGGAGAAATTTAAAGAATCGCAAATCGCCATATCCTGTCGCTTTCAAATTTGTTGATTGATCTTGTATATTCATTCTTTGCTTGGTGTTCTCTGAACCTCTTCTCTCTATTCCCCCCTTCGCTCCCTATAACTCTCCCCTCCATCTTCCTACTTACTTTATTCCCGTTTATATCCGACACAATGGCAAAGGCTCCCCAGGATTTGCAAATTGCCATTATTGGCGCTGGTATGGGCGGTTTGACGACTGCTCTTGCCTTGGCTAAGCGTGGATTCAAGAACATTGATGTATATGAGAATGCGCACGACCTGGGCTTCGTGGGCGCTGGTATTCAGCTGGCTCCCAACATGGCTCGCGTGCTCGATGGTCTAGGTGTCTGGCGTGGCATTGAGGCCGAGGCTGTTGACATCTCTGATACTTCTGTCCGAGGTATGCATATCAAATCAAGCAGAGATATCAGATTACCTTCCAAGGGGCCATTTCGCTAACCACGGCGACACTATAGAGGGCGCAACTGACAAGGAGCTTGCACATGTCGAGCTGGGATATATTGAAAAAACCTACGGCTACAAGCACATGGTCGGTCACCGAGCCTCACTGGCCGGCGGTCTCTACGAGGGCTGCAAGAAGGAGTCCGCGATCAAGTTCCACTTCGCCATCAACGCCGAGAATGTCGATTTCGGCTCCCGGCCCTCTTTCACAGCCGTGCCCCGCGAGGAGGGCAAGCCCTCTTACAAGGTTGAATGCGACGTCCTCCTCGCCGCGGACGGAATCAAGTCCCTAGCCCGTCAAGAGATGCTCAAGCGGTTGAACGTCAACGTCGGCGTCAAGGATACCAACCAAGCCGCCTACCGTATCATGATCCACAAGGAACAGATCAAGGATGACCCCGAGCTCCTGGCTCTCATCAACAGCACCCGCGTGACTCGCTGGATCGGTGCTAAGCGTCACATCATCGCCTACGCCGTCTCCAACAACACAATCTATAACCTCTCCACTACCCAACCCGACACGAACTTCGCCGCCGCAACAAACGCCACCTACACCACTAAGGGCTCGAAGAAGGCCATGCTGGACGTCTTCGAGGACTTCTGCCCCATGGTCAAGCGGATGCTGGACTACGTGCCCGAAGGCGAGGTCTGCGAGTGGAAGCTGCGCGTCCACGACCCCCTCCCTACCTGGATCTACGATAACGTCGCCCTGGTCGGCGATGCTTGCCACCCCACTCTCCCTCACTTGGCCCAGGGAGCCGCCCAAGCCATTGAAGACGGTGCCGTTCTTGCTGTCGTCCTCGCCCGTCTCCCAGATACCACCCCCGAGTCCATCAACAAGGCTCTCCGCGTTTACGAGAAGGTCCGCAAGGGTCGTGCCGAGGCTCTGGTCGAGATGGCTGCTGCTTCTGGTCGCGCTTTGCACTTGGGTGATGGTGCTGCTAAGGAGGAGCGTGATCGCCAGTTTGCTGCTCTCCGCGCGGGCAAGGGTCCTGTTCCGGATAAGTGGGCTGATGCTGATGTTCAGCGGGAGATTTACGGGTTCGATTGTACCAAGGTCGCAGAGGAGAACTTTGAGGAGTACTTCCAGCAGATGTAAGCAGTTTGAATTCTTTTCTTTTTACTTGCATGGGGTATGACATCGGAGTTTTTTTTGCTGTTTATTACACTTCTTTTGATTTCTTCATTGCATTTCATGTATATCCATGGCCTTGTTTACAAACAGGTCTCAAACTTTTGGAAATTGAACAATCATTGACTAAATAATTTTTTCTTGTTGATAGGGACAGCACTCCTCGTGATTCCAAGCTTGCGTAAAAATCTGTCTGTCAAATTGTTTTGTGACTGTGATGAGATAGGTAGCATATGAGATAAAGAGGGAGCTGTTGCTGGACAAATTACTTTCTCTTGTATATATAGCTTGGTGTCACAAATACTAAAGGTCTCTACATGATTCTTTTGCGTTTACATGTAAACCTATATTGTGTCAGATTTACTGCAAACATTGGAAGTCCTACTAGGCAGTTTAGTGGGGAACAAAATTGGTTAAGAAGGAAGTGAAATATCCGAAGCATATTGTGTAACAAGACTCAAGACAATACCTAAGCAGACGGTTAAAAAGGATACCCTAGAATTGCTGATAGTAAGCCACTTCCATATTTTGCTTACGTATACGTGAAACGCCGTTCCCATCATTGCAGATAAGTCAAAACATGGTCCCGCTTCATGCTTTCACCAGCTTGATAGCATGCAGAATATCCTCCAGAGACCAACCCGGCCCGCCGGGAACAATTTCCGCCCAGACTTCCTCGGGCACAGCATCGCTCGCATCCAGGAGACTCCAATTGGGGCTGGGCTCCGGTTTGATCCATTTGAAATCCTCCACTTGGCTCCACCGATCTTCGTGATCAAGGCGATCATGGTCCAATGCCTAGGTTGTTTGGTCAGTATGAATGCATGCTCAGCGAGGGATTCAGAGTGTGACGTACATAAGCTTTTGGTATCCGAGTGAATCGGATATTAGAGCAATCCTCGATGATTGGATTACTCGAGCAGCTGAGGTAGACATCCACGTCTTTGCAGTTGTGCATGCGGAGCTGTCGGCACGAGACGACAATGACGCTATGATCCATGCCCGTGATATGTGCCGGTCCATTGACTTGCCCGCAGATCAACAAGCTTTCCTCGATATTTTTCACCGTCAGACTAGCATAGGGCTTGCCATCTGCAGTCGGAATGGACATGTCCACAATGCAGTGCCGTAGAGCGGTGATGGAGGCGGGGACGGTAGAAGTAGATCCGGAAGCAGGCAGCATAATGTGAAGACCGTAGTGGTTGTCAACGGAAACGTTGGAAATTCCATGGGCTGCGAAAGAGTGTGATGTCTTTGCCTGCGATGGCGCTTTTGACTCCGTATCCCCATCTGAAGTGGCCGGGAAGGAAGTCGGTGCAATCTCCGGCCTCTCTTGATGCTGTTTATCCGGTTCGTTCAAAGGGGTTGAGGGGTAGTTCGGGGTATTATTGGCTGAAGAGCCGACTGACGATGCACCAGGCGAATGGTAGCCAGGAATGCTGCGACGACCTTCGGCAGCAAGTGTAGCAGCATCGGACAGAGAGATTGCCGAGGCGTTCTTCTTGGTCTTGAAACTGAACTTGGCTCGGGGCTCGAATGCTGCTCTAGTTTCGTTCAATTTCTCCTGTAAGGCCTTGATCGCCTACCACACGCGTATTAGTACCGAAGATTCCATGGCATATTATTCTTTTTCATACCTCGGCATAGACTCTCTGGTCATAAGTAGGGATGTAGCTGGCTGAATCCCTGACTTCATTGGATAGCCGCACAATCCCGGCAAGGCAGTGATCAGTAGCATCGGCTCGCTCACCAGCTACGAGCGATGTATCGGCAAGCCGATCCATCTGCTGCTGGAGGGCTAGAACACCGAGAATTAGCCGATGATGGTTCCTTTTACCTGTGATACTCAATAGGCACTTTCCATCAAGAATTCAGACTCACCGGTAATTTCATGTTGGAAGTAACGGAAGAACCGTTCCTTCAGTGGGATCTCAGCCTTGGAAATGGTTTGGTTATCAGCCGAAAGTCGGCGCGCTTGCTGAGGTTCCAGCTCAGCCATGATGGACTAGTCGTGATTTCAATAGGGTGGATAGATGGAAAATCCAGCCCGGGGAGGCCTGAAGACGGATTACCACGCGCTTGGAATGTAGGAATGACGTCGGTACGATCTCAAGCGGATCATACCACCCTCACATCCAAGCTTGAGAAATGAATGAATTCGGCGTCCAAAGTGGCAGGATCTAGAAGATTCCTGAGTGAATAAGGTGGACCGTTGCAGAACAGCGGGGGCTTTCACCCAAGAGGCTTTGAGGTGATGGGTGATATCAACGCGATGGCGGGGTCGTGAAAAGCTCCGAGCGTGACAGCTTAGCGTATGGAGCTATCCACAGCGGAATTATCGATAACCTGAGGTAGTACTGTAGTGAAGAGGTGTGGTAGTGACACAACATCCAGCGGGGATCTTCGGCAGCTGTTGAAGGTTGAAAAGCAATCAAGATTCCTTCAAATAATGTGGAGAACCAGACGCACGATACAATGGTTCGCGGACAAATCCTCCACTCCATTTACGGTGACGTCGATCATCCCGCATTCTCGGATATCGGGATTTGTGATGATCCGGAGATATTCCTCAGGCCACAAGGCACCCCAACTGTTTACACAATTTAAAACATTTTACGATTCAATACCCTAGTTCTTTGTGATTCTCTTGCATGGGGCGTTGAAATGATACCAAGTGGCTGTCTTGCACACCAAATGTTCCTAGTACATTATTATTCTGAAATAATAGAGAAGACCAGTCATGACAAAGACTTGAGTGAATTGTATGAGCGCTGTTATGGGATACTAGCGACAGTGTCACCAGCCCAATTAATGTAATTCATAACTCCATGTTCCCGTGCAGGGCTATAAATATTTGGATTCAGAATTTTGATCCAATTAAGTCACAAACATTCTGAAGCATGTGTGATCTGATCGGGTATCTCGAGGACCCAGACAAAAAGAAACCCAAAGCCTTGGCCAGCCTCGGGTGGCAGTACCTAGAACTCTCGATTCTCATTGGCCTTCTATAGAAGACTGCTTCAAGTTAGCCTGATACACTCATTTTGACCATTTTCCTGACCGAAGCTCTACAATTGCTGTGCCCCCTTTGTTAAGTCGATCGACATGCTTCAAGTTCACCCAGCCTGAGCCTTGAGTCAGTGACCGTCAATTCTGTGCCCCAGTACTTGGAAGCGAGCTGTCCTCTCCACGACTATAGTATATCTTGACCTGAGTGCCGAGCACAGTTCACGCACTGGCATGGAAAACCGATCAGCTATCGAAGGCTGCTGGGAACTTCATGTCGAAGAACTTCTTTATCGCAGCATGGCTGATGCAGCTGTTTATGACAGTCGGGTTCTGCTATGAAATAGTTGAGCAACTACAACATGTGCCGAATGGCTGGTCAAAAGGAAGTGAGCCCCAGCCATGGATGACTATTCAATTTCGAATAGAACTACGCGGGCCAGGTAGTACCAGCCTGGAGAGACTAGCCATTGATCTCGCAAGTCCCGGTCATCCAAACTACGGAAGACACATGAAGCGCGAAGAGGTGAAAGACCTTCTGCGCCCGAGCTCCGTCATCTCTGACCAAGTATTGTCCTGGCTGTATTTGGAGGGAGTTTCCAACGACACAATCGAGACATATGGCAACTGGATCAGCTTCAGGGCAAACATACTCCAAGCCGAGCAGATCTTGAAGACGCGGTTCTTCTACTATCACCATAAAGACAGCCAAACGACCGTCATCAGAACACTCGAATACTCCTTACCCCATGGGATACACCCACATATCCACCTAATTCAGCCAACCACCAGATTCGGAAAGCCTAATACTCATGGCAACGGAAGATTAAATGCACGTGGTGCCTTACCGGTTGACCAGCCAATCGTGGCCACATCAGAAGATCTGACTGCAGAATGTGGAACCGTGATGAGGCCCGATTGCCTTCGAGAATTGTATGGTCTGCATGACACAAGGGCAAAGCCAGATCCACGGAATAGACTAGGTGTCTCGGGATTCCTAGATCAATATGCCCGGCATAGTGACTTCTATCACTTCATGCAACGCTTCTCTCCGGGCGCATCAGACGCAGATTTTGACGTTGTGACCATCAATGGAGGCATGAACCCGGAGGTTTCTCCCGCCAGCAGTACAGAAGCAAGCCTTGATATACAATACGCAGCTGCGTTGGCCTACAGCGCATCAGTCACGTTTTATTCCACAGGTGGCCGAGCACCTTGGGTCTCCGAAACGGGGCAAATGGGCCCCAATAACTCTGAAAATGAGCCATTTCTTGATCAACTCCACTATCTCGTCAAACTTCCAGACAGTGAACTTCCATCGGTTCTCAGCACATCATACGGGGAGATCGAACATAGTGTGCCGCCATCATATGCAAAGTCAGTCTGCAACTTGTTTGCACAACTTGGTGCCCGGGGCGTATCAGTCATTTATAGCAGTGGAGACTCGGGCGTTGGAGAGTCGTGCCTCAGCAACGATGGAACTGGGCGAGCCAAGTTCCAGCCAATTTTTCCAGCCTCATGTCCGTTTGTCACTGCAGTTGGAGGTGTTGAAGGAATCAATCCCGAGATCGCTCTCGATTTCTCTACTGGTGGATTTTCTGACATTTTTCACCGACCAAAGTACCAAGATCAGGCAGTGAGCCGCTATCTTGATCACCTAGGTGATCAATGGAGCGGTTTATACAACCGTCATGGAAGGGCGATCCCTGACGTTGCCTCCCAAGCGAAGAACTTCATCATTCGAGACCACGAGACTTATTTGAAGATTAGCGGCACCAGGTTTGTTATTTCCACTGAGTGATACAATTCATAGACTAAGATCAAATAGTGCTTCAGGGCCGGTATTTGCTGGCATAGTTTCTCAATTGAATGCAATTCGGCTTGTAAATGGGAAGCCTCGGATGGGCTTTTTAAATCCCTGGCTATACAGCCTCCAGCAATCAGGATTTACCGATATAGTACATGGTGGCTCCCGAGGCTGCACTGGAACGACTGACTCTGGCGCCAGAGGTGCTTTCGTTCCATATGCAAGTTGGAATGCCACAAAAGGCTGGGATCCAGTGACAGGGCTAGGGACACCGTTGTTCCGGGAGTTGGCTGAGTTGGCCTTGTCGAGTGACCAAATGGCTTGGACAAAATATGTGGTATTTAACCAAGAGAAATCATATTAGTTACCGTGTAGATTTGAAGAAGAAGGCTCTGCCAGTTGTACATTTTACCAAATAGCGTGGAAGAAGACACTCTGTATGTTCAAAATGCTCAACCACGTCCATCAGCTTCCCATGTTGCTCATCACGTGAGAGCTGAGCTGACCGCCCCACCGCGGCAGCTCCGTCATGGCGGACTTTCGTCAACTCCCATCATCCAAGCCAGCACCATCGAACCCCTTCATTTCTGCTATTGCAGTCATCTACTACATCTGATTGCGTGGCATCTCTGCAACCATACCCGAAACTCATCACCTCAAAACACCACACACCATGTCGGACCTCAAGTCCCTTGTCACAGAGCTCCAGAACGCCCTGGAGCGCAAGCACCTGGATGCCGCCAACAACCTCCTCAGCCAAGCCAAGCGCGCCCTTCTCATGCGAAATGCCCTGATTCCCACGCCCTCTACGCCACCGCAGCTCGTTGCTCTTGCCCGACAAGTCCTCGAACTCGGCGCCCTCGCCTCAATCCGTCAAACCGACGCGCAGACCTTCACAAGATACTACCAGCAGCTTCAGCCATTCTATGATCTGGAGCGGCACGCTGGTGTGCCTGGACAGAGCTCTTCTGATTTTGATTTCAGCACTAGCCAGCGCAGCAAGATCACAGGACTCTACCTGCTCCTGTTGTTGAGCATGGGCGATAGTGCCAACTTCCACACCGTGCTAGAGGGTTTGGTCGAGGAGGCTAGTTTGAAGGGTGGTCGCATTGAGGATGATGCTTATATCAAGTACCCCGTTGAGTTGGAGCGCAACCTGATGGAGGGAAGCTATGACAAGGTGTGGCGGGAAACGAAGTCGGAGCGTGTGCCATCAGAGGACTTTGGCCTGTTCTCGAACGTGAGTAATACGACCGCTAAGTCATTGACGATAAGCTCTTTGTGTCATTAACTAATTCCTGCTGTACAGGTTCTCATCGGCACCATTCGCAGCGAGATCGCAGACTGCTCCGAGAAGGCTTATCCCTCCCTCCCTATCTCCAACGCCAAGAACCTCCTCTTCCTGGATTCCGAGGGTGCGGTTATCGAGTTTGCTCAACAGCGTGGCTGGATTCTTCGTGATGGACGGATACACTTCCCTGTTGAGCCGGAGGCGGCAACAAGGTCCGAGAGGGATATCCTGGTGGCCAGCGGTACGGTGATCGAGAACACACTAGGCTACGCTCGGGAGCTGGAGACGATTGTTTAATGTGAAGTGCTGGAGATGGTGGCTATTTCACCACTGGATATCAATGGTTAGACCCTATTAACATTTACTTTTCATCTCGGTTCCTGGGTTTCCAGTGCGGATGTACTTGTATACCTCGTGCGGTTGCATTGCGATTCGATCTAGCGTGTTCATGAAAACAATAATCATAAGAGTTGGTGGACATCGAAATCTCGTAGACAAGTCCCACTTATACATTTGTCCTCCACACGCAAACCCGACGATCATAGAAGCTGCTTGAAACGCAAAGCAGCTCAGACGACGTGGAGCCTTTCCACACATCGCTCGCGTAGTTCATACTCTCGTGCTCTGTAAACTCTGCCAGAACCTCAATTTCCCATTCTGCAGTCTGATCCTGCTGTGTCTGAGTGACCCTTACAACTCTCGTGCCAGCATGCATGCAGCTCGCTAGCACGAAGAAGTGTCGCTCGGAGCCAGATTCCTTCGTGTCGAGCAGCTGCAGTCGCCAAACACCACCTCCAAGTCCCTGTTCCGCAAGTACTTCACCCCGTCGAGTGGCATGGTACACGCGCAGTCCTTCATCGTAGCTTCCAGTCAAAAGAATTGGAGCGTCGTCCACCAGCGACACCGGTAGAGGAAGAATCGACGTTACGCCAGCAGTGTGGTGACGGGCTCGATCGTCGTGTTCGAGGAGTAGATTTGCTAGTGGCTCATCATCGTCCTGCTCTTTAGTGTCGTGGGACTCGAACCGACGCGTGTGAAGAGATCCAAAATCATTCCCAGTGAACATCACGGGGATAGTATCCATCTTGGAGTCATCGTTTCCAGACACTTGCATCGCAGCCAGTGCCACAAACCAGACTTCAATCATTTGCTTGGCCTCGAAAGAGCCCCATTTAGTAATAGCACTGTCATCTGTGATGTCTTTTGTTGTCCCAAAGACAGCTGTTCGACTGTCAGAGAATGTCACAGCGAAGCCATCGGCGTCTGCGTGAGAGAACCAGTTCTCTGGGGCCCAGGCCAAGAAGAGGGCTGGGATGGAAGCATCTTCGTGAACTTGCTTTGTCCATATTTGGTGAATGCCTGGCTGCGTAGCGGAGACGCTGAAAAGAGATATGCATCCTGTGCTGCTTGCAATGGCGAATTTGCTTTTATCTCTTGGATGGAAATGCAGATCGAAGACTGCATGTGGAAGGGATACTTTTTGTACCAATGATCTGTTCTGAAGTGTTAGTAGACGAGGTGGCTTCAAGCTAATCCAATTGTTTCCACAGACAGATTGTTTGTGTTAGGATCTAATTTCCACAGCTGCACGCTGCCGGTTTTCGTTTGTTGGACTTCATCGTCTTCAGTCTTGGTTTCCGAGAGGAGATAGGTGCCAACGACGAAATGATCGGGGATTTCAGGGCAGAACTCAAGACAGCTAGGAGGCTGATCTAGAAAGATAGTCGTTGCAGACTTTGGTTGCTGGATTTCGGCCATTGTGTGTGGGAAGACGGTCAAATCTGCCGTGGGTCTTGTATTTAGGGTCATTGGCTTTGAACGCCGACCTCCCCGTGATTTTCCCAATTTCCAATGTTGTTCACAAAGTATGGGCCTCAATATCTGAGCTTAGATTTTTTGATATGTAGACGATAACCAAGCATCCGTCATTCGGCTCGGGCCAGAAAAATCCCCAAATTGGTAAGTGGGGGCGGTGAAATGAGATTGCACGAGAAGTGTGGCCGCTCCTGGGCACGAAGCATGTCTTCAATTAAGTAGACAAGATCCCAAGAATTGTCAAAATTAAAGCTTACGATCCATCAGTTAAAAAGAGAGAAAGGTGGCACATCAAATAGCGATACTTTGTGAAGAGTCCTCCGCTATCGCCTTTCTCTATAGCTTGATTCTTCACTTGCCGCTTATGAATCTACCTAGAGCATGAAAGAAATTTCGGTTAGATGAATGTTTTGAAAATCGAGTGAGGTTAATACTAGTTCGTCTCTCATGGAGATGTATGATTTGCTACATTGTATTTGCCGCGAGCCGGTAAATGATGCCCCTTTAGGCGCCCGCTCATAGATCACTATTGTGTTCGGGACCAATGGCATAGGCAGTTTCTCTTTTAAGTGCATTGATTGGTGTATGTGCACCTAGAACTAGGTTACAAGGCTCGCGCGTCGCATCGGTGCCTAGAAGAAGAAGCATTATTAATTGACGGATGTTGTGCCTAGACCCCGCACTAAATACACTATCATCCACTCCCTAGGCATTCTACTTCTTCTGGAAGTTGAATTTACCTGGATAACCGAGTCCAGACTATAACTCGTTTCCTACTGTCAGACACGACAGTCAATCTACTCACCAATGTCGCAACCATTCAGTACCCTGCCGGCTACGGCCAGAATTCCACCCAAGCCCTTCACGGTCGCTATCCCGAAGGAGAAATTGGCTGATATGGAGACCCTGATCAGGCTGTCGAAGCTTGCGCCGGACACTTATGAGAACTCACAATCCGACATGCGATATGGTGTGACTACGAGTTGGCTGGTCTCTATGAGAGATCAGTGGCTTAAATCATACAACTGGTAGATAATTCACCTTTCGTTCGATTGAGGGATGTATCTTTGACAGTACTAGGAAAACCACGGAAGACCGAATCAACAGCTTTCCTCAGTGGACGGCTGAGGTGGAAAGACTGAATATTCATTTCGTGGGCCTCTTCTCTGAGAAGCCAGATGCCATCCCGATTCTTTTGATTCATGGCTGGCCGGGTAAGATAACCTAAGACACACTCCGAATGGTCTATTCTAATGCTCAAGATAGGAAGCTTCCTGGAGTTCCTTCCTATACTTGACATGTTTCGACAGGAATACACACCAAGCACCCTGCCTTATCACTTGATTGTGCCTTCCTTGCCGGGCTATACATTCTCCTCGGGCCCTCCATTGGATCGCAACTTCACTACCTCGGACATCGCTCGAGTGTTAGATCAGCTAATGAAGGATCTTGGATTCGAGAGCGGCTATGTCGCTCAGGGTGGTGATATTGGCAGTCGAGTTGCTCGAAGCCTAGCTGTAGATCATGAGAGTTGCAAAGGTAAGCACCTGCCCTTTCTCTCTCAAGTTGTATCATGCCAGATCTAAATGCATTTAAGCTGTCCACCTGAACGTGTGTTTCATGGGCCGCCCCGAAGGCATCTTGGACGATAGTCTGGAAGCATCTGAGAGGGACGGTATCAAGAGGATGGAGGAGTTCAGAATGATGGGCTCCGGATATGCAATTGAGCATGGCACTCGGCCGAGTACAATTGGCCACGTTCTTGCCTCAAATCCGGTAGCTCTTCTCGCATGGTAGGTAGAAGGCTTCATGGAAACGAGTGAAGAAGCACGTCCGCTCATGATTAGCAGGATCGGAGAGAAGTGGTTGGAATGGGTTGATGAGCCATTGTCACCGGAGCACATTCTGGAGTCAATCACTCTATACTGGCTTACAGAGACGTTTCCTAGATCCATCTACACTTATCGCCAGGTGAGTAACTTTGAAAGGTCCCTTATTTATTTATCAAATAGGTCTAACACAAGTGATCAGAACTTTCCCCCTCCACCTATTCCGGCAACCAACGACCCTCGCTGGTACATTCACAAGCCATTCGGCTTCTCATTCTTCCCCAGAGAGCTTGCGCCCTTGCCTCGGTCTTGGATTGAGACTACTGGCAATCTAGTCTACTGGGAGCAACATAAAAAGGTATCGTGATACGCCTCTAATGGGAGGAGACAGAAAAGTACGAAAGCTAATTCCTATACTTTAGGGTGGACATTTCGCAGCGGTTGAGCAGCCCGAAGCTCTCAAGAGTGATTTGACCAAATTTGTGGGACATGTCTGGCCAGGTAATTCCTAAGTTTACTATAAGCAGGCTAATCGCACGACAACTTGTGCTCTCGCTCGACACGCTATCCTATTTTCAGGTCTTGTGGAGAGTAGGTACACTGGATTCTTGATATCTAGAATTGAGAAAAGGTTTTACGATGCAACTATATATGCTTTGTCTTTCCCTTTTATACAAAGTCTTTCTAAAGGTTTGAACCGTCTTTCTTGATAGCTAAAGTAAACGGCTCAGGAGGTATTATGAGAAGATCTAGGTACTCGATGTATCTGTTATCTATCATATCCCAAATGGAACAGTCTGTCGTGCTTTCGCACAAGTTGGCATGCCATTATTACTATATGGACTTCTGATTCCTATAAAACGATGTATCGGTCTGGGGAACAGTGCATTTATGCCTCGGATGGGCGAATAGAGATGTTGAGACAATATGAGCAGCGTGTCTACTCACAGGTCCGTAAGGTAAATCCACATTTGAGACTCAAGGATCGGTTAGGTGCATAAGATAGGAAAAAATGGACAAAGGATACTTACTCGAAATTAATAAATCCAAGCTGGAGGTGTTGGAAAGCGTAGTGTTATTGTTGTGCTGTAGCTTCCTCCCCTACACCGACAGGCTTTAAGGCAGCGAAGTCTCCACCTGCCTATGGACGTCGCTCACCTAGTCCAAATCACCACTTTCCTGCTTACTTCAACACCCCGAATATCAAAAGAAAGGCAAATATGCCATCTCCTTGGAACACAGCTCTTGAAGAGATATTCTCAGATGATTCTAGCTTCTACGGCAAGTCCAGCGAAAAAAAAAAAAAAGGACCCAACATCTAACTAATCTATTCCAGGCGATGAGGATGAGCAAGCGCGGCTTGAAGAACAAGCAGCCACATACGACCCTGAACCTTTCTGGGCAGAGATTCACCCGCGACTACTCTCAACGATTCAACATGAGCTGAGCGCACCACCTCCAACCCTGAAAATTGAGGCCGGTGAAGAAGACGAAGATGCAGCCTCAACATCAATGTCCCGGCCAAGAGATAGCCGCGGGCCCGGAGAATCCATCTCTGCATTTACATCACGTCTCGCTCCATCAAGAACGTCTTTCTCCGACGTCGGTCCATGGATCTGGATGTGGAAACCCAAATCCCAAGTGAAAGAAGGCGATGTAGCGACCCTGGTGAGGAAAGGCAATGACCTGCTCCAAGCCTACGAGGAAGAAGCCTCCAGTCTCCGCGCTGCACACGACAAGTCTGGCGCGAAAACCACCGCTGGCCTAACGCGCAAACTGAATCCGCTGCGCCGGACGCTGGAGCAGAACATTTTTGCTTTGGCTAAAGAGACTGGCGTGACATCCGGCAAGTGGATGTTCTTCCCGACGGTGGACTACGTTGATTCCTTTTGGAAGACCGTGGTGACGGCCCTTGACAAGGGCGACTTAGGCGAGGCAGCCAAGGTTGCGACGGATGATGGGTCTGGGCAGGCACGGCTGATTTGCGTCTATACGAAGGACTTCAGTGACAAAGAGGATGTGAAGCGGGTGTTGTTGACACTGGTTGAGAAGGGACTGGTGGATGAAGAGTCTAGGCCGATTTACTACAAGTGCGATGCTTATACCCACCTGGATATCAAGTCCAATAATGCCTATGGACTAAAGGCAAGCTTGTTCTCCAGTCGGGATATTTTGACTGGGAAGGTTTGAGTCCGAGCTAGGTCATGATTGACGAGGAAATGCTGAATGATGATCAAATATTATGGCATATGGGGGTATCTATTTATATGTACATGTTGATCTGTAGGATAACAGGAGTTGCAATGTCCAGGAATGGGAATTATCGCACTCAATACGAGCAGTCTGGTTGCAACCACCACGCTTTGATCGCGCGTGGTGAACAGGTCGAGCTGGCACTTGAGAGTGGCCTCGCAGCCGAAGTATAGCTGGTCCGCCGATGGACATCTGTCTAGCGACTCCCGACAGGGCAGCTCGAGTCTGACGGTACCAATAGTAGGTTCGGTCTCAACCTGGTTGCGGACTGTGACATTGCCAAAGCCAGTGGCTTTCTTTTTTGGAACTCAGAGCTCAGTCATCGTTGCTTGGCTTCTCCATGACCTTCTCGCAAGCTGCCCGTACTTCTGCAACACCCTTGACCTCGCCCCAGGCATCGAGCAAGCGTTGAACCTCCTCCCAGTCTTTCTCCGCCTCTGTCTGTTTCTCTTCTACCAGAAGCTTCTCCAAGCGCTCAGGCGCCGCGAGCACCCACCTCACGGTCTCCTTCTCGGCCTTCTTAGGCTGTGGTGGCTCCGCCTCCCTTTCCTCTTTAATTCGCCGTCTTTGCTCCTCGCCCTCCTTGATTAACCCACCCGCAGTCTCAGCAACAAACGCAATCGCCGGACCGAGGGTTTTGGTCATGGTCAAAGGAGCACCCCGCTCATCCATACTCTTCCGCATCTTGCCAATTGTCTCGACGGCGCGGATCAACTTGGAGTAATTATCATAGACCAAAGCCTTCCTCTCGCCGTCGAGGGTGCGAATGTCGCCGACAAGGGTGTTCTCGGCTTTGAGGATCGTGGAAAGAGAGGATGTAGATAGGAGGTGGTCGACGTAGCGCTGCGGGTCGAAGTCCGCATTGTCCAGCTCCGTCCCCGAGGCCAGGGTAGATGGGTTGGAAATATCGCCTGCATCGGTATTTCGGGGAACACTGCGGGATCGAAAGCTTCCGCCTGGACTTCCAGAGTCCGCGCCTGGAGGCTTGAGATTGTAGTAGTCTCGTAGAGCGGAGCGATTGCGGCGTGGGTTGGGGGAGATTGCTCGTGCGGTGGATGGTGTTGACGAGGCACTAAGCCCGCCGGGGAGGTTTGTGTTCAGCGCATCGAGAGATGGCCGTGAGGATGCTGGGGTCGGTGAATGAGCGCGTGAAGAGGCAATCGAAGGTCGGGGAGAAGATAGCGTGGACATTGTGGTGGTTGATGAAGGAGTCGTCCATCCGCGGCGCGGAAGACCGCCAGATCATCGGCGTTAAGCGGTGGTCCGAGCTGGCTTGTTTTCGCAGCATTGGAGCTTCATACTTCTTCTTCTTCTTATTCCATCTCCAACGCCTACGTTCAAGCCTTACGTCGCTCGCTTTGGCAGAGACATGAGCCAAAAATGGCCAGTGCAGAGCAGATCGCCGCTCAAATAATGAGCTCCAAGTCCCTTTGCGTCTCTTCGTCGTGGCTCAATTCTTTCCTAGCCTCTTCACAGCTCAACGTCCCCGTCTCCGCACTCACCAAGACAGCTCTTTTTCGCGTCCTCGCCTCGGACATTCGCGAGTCTCTAGCAACAAATCCTACCTCCCTCTTTCCGGTTGATATATCCGATCCCGCAGTCCAAGAAAGGCGCATTCCCGGGCCCATTCCTGTCCAAGTCCTTGACATCGAAGACATCGGCACGAGTCTCTGGAGCCAGGTCGAAGCAATTGAACGTATCGAGCGCGGCGAAGCTATACGAGGCCGGGAGATTGTACGCACTGTGAATGTTGGCGATGACAATGAAGGAGCAGAGACTGGCAGCTCGAGTAATATCGGCACGGCCGCAGCTCCTAGCGCGTCTGGGAGCAGTGGATCTGGACCGCACCGATTGATTCTACAAGATGCTCATGGCACAAAGGCAGTTGCAATTGAGATGCAGCACATTGAAGGTATCTCTCTGGACAAGCTACCTATTGGAGCGAAGATCCTTTTGCGAAATGCGACTGTAGCGCGTGGAATGGTGTTGTTGGATGTGAATTGTTCTACGCTGCTCGGTGGGAAGATTGAGGCTCTGGATAAACCTTGGAAGGAAGGGAGAAAGGCCAGACTCTTGCAGAGAATTGATTCCATGAGAGACGAGGCGAACCAGTCCGGTTGAATGACGGTAACGATGATGCTGTCGCGAAGAGGAAACTCAGACTTGTTTTGTTACTGCCAAAACCCCGATGAATGGCCCACAGTCTTGATAGCAAGTGGAGGCCTCTACAAACGGGAAGGAATTTGGAATCAAAGGTAAGCAATGTTATTTTATGTTCTCATAATAATTGGTGGTAATCTGGTACAGATGACTCGACCATACTCTACATCTTTTGCCTTCCGTTGACCGACTATGCCACCAGACCGGTTATGCCATCGTTCAACTCCTCCCAGCCTTCCTTCCTCCATGGTGCAACCATGATAGCCCTGAACACATCTGTAGCCTTGCCAGCTTGGGCATATGCCTGGCTGAGATCCGAGGCGTCTAGGTTGCTGTGAGGGGGCACGCTGCGGAGAGCCCGTTGGATGGCCATTTCTGCTGGGTACGAGCTGTCAGACACAGCAGACAATTCCATCCAGCCCTGTGGCTGTCCCGGAGACAGCATGACGGCAGCAGTGGCTTCACCGATCTGACGAAGATCCTCAGGAAGATCGGCTTTTTCGGTGAATCCCATTGCCGAAATGGCAGCCAGCAGTTTCAGAACCTTGCCGCGGTCATGGATATCTATATCATCCCGTGTAACCATATTGTGCAGATCAGACTCCACGGCCTCGATCGCATCTCGATCTTGGTCGAGAAGTGCGATGGCTCCAAGAAGCGTCACGGCTCCGACGTGGTCAGGGTGGTTTTCCACGCAATCGAAAAGCTGCTGGCGAGCAACAGAGCGTTCCTCCTCGCCACCTTTGGCCCACAGCACTTGGGCGAGGAGACACACCACATCGGGTGCGTTGTTGGCCTCTTGAAGAGCGTCACGGAACATATCAATTGCCTGGTCCATGGACTTCGTGAAATAGTAGGCCAAGCCTGCTGTGAGATGCGCCGACAGCCGGAGCTTGCTGCATGCCTCAGGGTCAAAATTCTCAGCATCTTCTTCCCCGGACAGCGTGATAGCAGTCTCGGCCTTCTCTGCAGCCTCCTCGTAGCGGTGGTTCGCCAGAAGTACTCGAGCCATGTCTGAATTTGCCTGAGCAAACCGCGAGAGCGATGCAGGCGATTCCGTTTCTTCAAACTCCGCCTCCATGCCTGAGCAAACAACCTCCAAGCTGGCCTCGGCGTCGGCAACTTCACCCATTCGCTCGGCGAGCAAGGCAGATAGATGCATGAAAGGCAGGTCAGATGGATCCTGAGCGCAGAGCTGATGGAGGGCGAAGAATGGCTGGATCAGCTGCGAAACTTCGTTTGAGGTCGAAGGGTCTCCCAGCAAGTGGTCAAACAATGTAAGGGAATATTGACGCTTTGGAAGCATCGAGGATGAGTTGGAAATATCAAATGCATGTTCGAATAGACCCCGTGCCTCGTTAGAATCTCCATAGAGGAGCGCAAGGAAGCCCTGCCCAACCCATGCCTGAGCGTAGTCCGGATCCGTTGACTGAGCACGCGTAAACGCCTCATTGGCAAGCTGGATGTCGTTGTGCAGAAGATACAACGCACCCAGGTTCGTCCAAACTTGAGCACTGCGATCGTTTAGATGCAAGCTTCGCACAAATGCATGCTGCGCCACCTTGGGACTCATGCTCGTAGTCACAACGGCCAACGAGTTCCAGAATTCCGAGTTGCCGGCTTCTAGCTCAATTGCCCGCTTGAAGCATCGCATTGAAGCCTTCAGGAATTTTCGGGGCTTCTTGCTCTTACTACCGGAGCCAAGTTGCACACTCCGGTATGCTCTGTACTCGGCCCAGCCAAGGTTGTACCATGCAACGGCTTGAGCGTGAGTGTCTTGCGTGGAAACGTGAATGGCACGCTTGTATGCCAGAATAGACATGAAAATACAGAAATCAGGTGAGACGCCCTCATCGCCATCACTTGCTTCTAGCCAAGCTTGCCCCACACCATCCACCTCGGTCATGAGATCGAGGGCGAGGGGGTCGACACCAGAAAGCAGCAAAGTCTTACAGTCCGCAATCGCGAGCTTTCCAACCTTCTTCTTGATGTAGGTAAGGTTGGAACAGGCATCGCCAACCGACTTCCATAGATTGAAGATATCATTCTGAACAGTCACAAGCGATCCAGCGACTTGGATGACCTTGCAGGCAAGTTCCGCGGCATCATTGAACAGGCCTGAATCAAGGCTCTTCCAAGAGCTCTCAGCCAAAGTCTGGAGAAGTGCGATCGTGACGCCGATGTCATTGGGGCGAGTGGCCAGCACGTCCTCGTAACTAGCGATCGCGTCATCGTAAACGCCAAGCTCCCGCTTGACATTGGCCATCATGTATCGCGCAAACCAAATATGGTCTTTTTCTTCGCTCGAGAGATTCGACTCCAGTTCCCGTGCATGATCGAATGCCTTGGTCGCGGCGATGTATCGACCAGAGTGATGGTAGCTCTCTGCTAGACCAACCCAGGAATGGTAATCGTCGGGGCTAATCCGCAGCGCGGCTTGGAACGAGACGATACTCTTTGAGTATTGCTGCTTGTTAATCTCAACCGTTCCAAGGGCTGCATATGGCCAACTGTGCCCCTTACGCTTCGAGCCTGGGGCAGGCTTGGCGTATCCAGAGTCGACAACCCGCTGTGCAACCGCCTCAACCAGATCCCACTCCTTTTGGTTAGCGAACCCTCGAGCAAGACGCTCTGCAGCCTCGGTCTCCGATGAAGATATTTCAAAGGCTTTGTGAAAACATCTGCGTGCTCTGGTTTTGTCTTTCTTGTAGTCCGCATAGTACAAGCCAAGGCTGGTGTAGGCAGGCGCATAATTCATGTTAGCTTTGATAGAAGCCAGGAAGCTTGCATAGGCCCCATTGCGGTCTTTGCGAGCCGCTGCGGATGAATCCAATTCCCACTGGCAGTAGCCAACCCGATAAAGCAGCTCAGCTTTGAACGACTTATTTTGAGGTTGTTCCGCTTTCAGGCTTTCGAGGGCATCTTGAAGACCATCAAGACCGGCCTGTAGGTCACCGTTTAATGCTTTGCACCAAAAGAGCTCACCACGTATCTTGATGTTCGTTGGATCACGCTCTAGGGCGCGTCCCAAAAATTCGGCAGCATTCTCATAGTCCTGGTCGACTTTCAGAACCAGACCAATACCCAGGAGACAGACAGTAGAGGCGGGCTTTTGTTGGAGAATATTCTCAAAGATCGTCTTGGCCTCTGGGTGGTGCCGAGGCGACTGATAGGGAATCAAAGCATTGGCGAGAATGATGTTCAAGGCATCTGTTGTGTTTTGGGATTTCCACCCAGTGTACCTCACAAATTCTGCGACATTTCGGAGTCCCTTCCGAGCCACATCGACGGTGCTTTCATACTCCTCAAGGAGGAGGTAGAGATCTGCCATGATCCGGTGCGCAATTATCGATGAAGGAGCCATGTCCAGACCCTCGGTCATGAGAATCAACATATCTGCAGTGCCTGTCTCGTTGATCTCATTGGCATCGGGGTCCTCAAATGCTTCAGCAGTCTCGGTGTCTTTTTTGGCAATCTTCTTCTCTGCGTCGCTTTCAGAGTCCTCCTGTGGGAATGGAGACAACTCGCTTGCGAGAAATCCTTTGAGAACCTTTGCCAATCCGGTGTCCGGAAAGAACTCGATAAACTCGCGTAAGACATTCACATCCCATTGCGAGTATTCTTCAATGTCCTTCCACTCGAGCACAATGTTCCAAGCGAGCTCAAAAGGATGCTTGATGATGACCATGTCCTGTGCGGAGCGAAGGATCTCCTTCCGTTTCGCAGGTTTTTTACCCGCAGAAGAGAACTCAAGCTCCTCGCAAGCGCGCTCGAGCAGCTTCTCCTCGTACTGGCGACGAACAGCATCATCATTTGTCCAATCGATAAGACCCCGGTACAGCTCCTCCAGCTTGCTCCGTCTAAACGCGTCTCGTTTGACTTCAAGAGTGACATTCTCTTTTGTTGCACCAAGACGGGTTCTCCGTTCACCAATTTCTCGATTGATGTATTCTTTCTCCTCGGACTCCGTAATCTCGATCATGCGGAGGTATGTCAGGGATGGGTGGGGTAGCCGGCCTTCAAGGAAGGCGTAGAGAGGGGAGCTTGGGAGTTGCAGTTCGAGGGCCTTCTTGTATTTCGATTTGTCGTTGTTCTTCCTGGCCAATTTCATGTATTTGTCGACAACATCCTGGCATCTTTCCTTCTCATCACTAGGAAAAAGATAGGTTCAGTATCTGTTTGATCTCCAGGGAAATTCAAAAGGTTGTCATTTCATACCTATCAGCGAAAATTTTACCGAGCTTGAGAACAGCGTCATGATACGCATCCAGCTTCGACCCGCCTTGTTTCTCGTACAAGCTAATTAGGCCCTGCCAAGCGATGCGATCATTCTCTTTGATCCGCGTCGCAGCAAGATACGCGTCCTCTGACGCCTCATTTTGGTTCAATTTGTCATTCGCAAGTCCGAGGAAAACAGCGCTGGCGGGGAGGGAAGGAGGCAGTTAGCTTGGGTCAAATAGGTCTCAGCGAGTCCCTGGAACTCACGCATGGTAATTTTGGGGATCTTTCTGTAACAGTGCCCTAGCTTTTTCAGCAGCAGCACCAAAATCTTTGGCGTCCAAAGCTGTCCGAACAGCTTTCAATGCGGCCTTGCTCGACATGATCCCCGTGCGCGCTCAGCATGGAGGAGGAGGAGCGGGGAGGTTCTGGTGTGGTGGAGAAGAGGCGGTCGATCGGTTAGAGCCGATACGTCACGGCCTTATCGGGCTATCGGGAACTCCCCAGCTTGGGGTCACCTGCAGTCTGCAACATCACCACCTTGTGTCAACTACTTCTCTCTCTTGTCTGTCGTCAAACCGGCGAGTCTTGTCAGGTATTTGTGCAGGCGTTATTCCAAGCTCTCGGTGAGTTACTCTGAAGTGTGAAGTCGAGACATATATGTCTGCCTAATCAAGGCTTTCCTAGCAGCTAATCATCCCCAGCTTGGCCGAGCTTTGAGGAAGCTTGCCTATAATCTTGGAGTATTCTGCTTCTGACCGTATAATATCTCCGCTATCTAGTGCTTCGTACGCCTCGAATTCCGATTTCCAGTTCTTTGTGCATTCAGTATCGTTGCACGATCGGATCAAGCCTCTGATACCGCCGTCGTCTCATCGCATAAACCAGGATGGGTCTCCTGCGCCTTCACATTGATGGAAAGGTCTTTCGGGATCCTCAGAACCGAGAGATTGTTTTGAGGGGCATCAACGTCGCAGGAGATGCCAAGTATCCCAAAAAGCCCGATATTCCCTCATTTGTTTCGGAAAAGTTCTTCGAAGCGGACGATGTTTCGTTTGTAGGGCGTCCATTCTCGCTGGAGGACTCACATACCCACTTCAAAAGGCTACGCAAGTGGGGCTATAATGCAATCCGATATATCTTCACTTGGGAGGCAATTGAACATGCCGGCCCCGGTGTGTATGACGAAGAGTGGATTGCATTCACCATCGAGGTTCTGAGAATAGCCAAGCAATATGAGTTCTATGTCTTTATGGACCCTCATCAGGATGTGGTCAGTGATCTTCTTCCTTGGTCCTCGCATTATGGTGCTGACTCGCACAGTGGTCTCGATTGTCAGGAGGATCTGGCGCTCCGATGTGGACACTTTATGCGGCGGGCCTGAACCCGAGAGCATTCAAAAATACAGAAGCCGCACTCGTTCAAAATACATATGACAACCCGGCCGAATTTCCGAAGATGATCTGGAGCACGAACTATACGCGTCTCGTGTGCCAGACCATGTTCACCCTGTTTTGGGGGGGGCCGTGATTTTGCACCCAAAGCTATCATCGATGGCATGAACATTCAAGATTATTTACAGACTCACTTCATCGCAGCATGCAAGCACCTAGCACAACGAATCCACGAAGCTGGGGACATTGAACATGAGGTAGTGATTGGTTGGGAGAGTATGAATGAGCCTCATCGAGGTCTCATTGGAGTGCAGGATATCTCTATCATTCCCCCCGAGCAGCAGCTTCAGCTTGGAACTTCACCCACGGCATTTCAAGCGATGTTAACAGGCGCCGGACGAGCTTGTGAGGAAAATACCTGGGCCTTCGGCAGCTTTGGACCTCACCAAACTGGGCGACAACTTGTGGATCCGGAGGGAGAAATGGCCTGGCTCCCAGCAGATCATGATGATAGCAAATATGGCTGGCAACGAGACCCAGGCTGGAAACTCGGAGAGTGTGTTTGGGCGCAACATGGAGTCTGGGATCCGGACACGGACACTCTCCTTCAGAAAGATTATTTTTCGAAAGTGCCTAGCACTGGGGAACCCTTGAACTACGAGATTTTCACCAATACTTACTTTTTGGAACACTACCGGAATTACAGAGATGCAATTCGGGGTATCTGGCCTGCGGCTATTCTGCTGTGTCAGCCACCTGTGATGGAAGTGCCTCCCGACTTGAAAGGAACTGAGGACGATGATCCAAACATGGTCCATGCTGTGCATTACTACGATGGTCTGACTCTTTTGACTAAGCATTGGAACCGCCTCTACAATGTGGATGTCATCGGAGTGCTTCGGGGCAAGTACTGGGCTCCGGCGTTTGCTGTGAAGGTCGGAGAGTCCGCGATTCGTAACTGCCTGCGTGATCAACTCAAATTCCTTCGTGAGGAGAGCTTGAAGTACATGGGCAATCATCCACTCCTTTTCACGGAGATCGGTATTCCATATGATATGGACAACAAGCAGGCCTACGAGACTGGCGACTATAGCAGTCAGACGAGCGCAATGGATGCCAATCACTTTGCTCTGGAAGGCAGTACCTCGAATGGCTTTACATTGTGGGTGTACCAGACAGAGGCACGTATTTCCCTTAACCCTCCTGTCTTGATACAAAACCGTGTTCTGTATTGCTAACTTTCATCTAGAATAACCATGAATGGGGTGACCTTTGGAATGGAGAAGATCTGTCCATCTACTCCCGAGATGACTTGGAACTTCCGACCAAGGCCACATATACATCACTCAATCCACAGTCTCCGGCCTACTCTGAGAGCCATAGCGGTGGAGATGAACCAGAAGTCGATTCTCAGAACCTCAAGCGCGCCCTCACAAACCCGTCAATCTCCAGTGTGAGCTCTCAAACTCCCAAGGGGTACCGAGCCGCCGAGGCTTTCCTTCGACCAAGTCCAATCTACGTGAACGGGTCCCTGGACAATTACGTCTTTGACCTTCGAAATTGCAAATTTACTATGAACCTGACGGCGAAGGTACCTACACCATCCGACACCCCAACAGAGATATATCTGCCTGAATTCCACTTCCCTGAGAGTGGGACAGCAATCGCGGTCAGCGGGGGAAATGGGAAATTGACTATCAGCAATTCAAGACGATCAAGGTCCAGCGATTGCGATGGTGGCACGCTGAAGGAGAGCAGAGTATCAAGATCGAGGGGGTCAAGCGCAAAGCAGGGGAGTATGCGAGTCCATCTGGGGACGACATAACATATCTTGAACAGTGCCAGAAAGGCGATTGCCTTGTAATGTGATGCGATAACGAAACCATTGTTTTCCTTTTTTCCTTTTCTTCTCTTTGTTCCGTGGTGTTCTAGGGCCTTTCTTTATTGCATGTCATTTTATCCTAAATTGCTTCTTCGTCACGTAAACAAGGCGCGCGCTAAGCGGCCTAGTAAGGACCCATGGATCGTGTGCAGGGAGATAAGATAAACAACCGGTGACGATGAGGGGCACAACTATGATGACGGGCAGCCGTTAGGCGAGAAAAACAAACTGGAAGAAAGAAAATCGAGGCATTGGCTACAATAGGTCCTGCTGTACCATCAAACAAAGCGGTTTTATCTGCTATACTTAATCCTACGAGCAGGGGGGAGCGGTGTACCTCAAAAGACCAGTCCATGGAAAATTCTCAGCCCGGCACGGCAATTCCCAAACCTCCCCATCGGCTACCTTCCGCAACTCTTCCTCAACAAGCCAAACCCGCGTGATCCAACCTCCCTCTCAACCGGACCTCGACACTCTTTCTGCGACCAATCCCGCTCGAATCTGAATACCATCATACATTGCTTGACCACGCGCGGAGAGGCTTTCACTTTTTGAATGGCCGTTGCTGCTGTGTCCGACTACTAAACATCTCACGGACAGGGTCAACGGCCATATCAATCACCGCGGAGATTCTCTTGCACTCGACAACTAAAGCCCCCAGGAGAACGGCGTCGAACTCTGCCGTTTTCTATTGCGGAGAACGCGACTATCGTCCACCGCGCCTTACCACGCGCGCCGTCCATCTCGCTGAAAAGAAATCACCGCCCCACCTCGATCGCGCCTCAGATACCCTTCACGTTCATATCATAGCCCGCAGCACGTGTCGCGTTGGCAAGATGGTCGCCGAAGAGCTGTCGGAGGCTGGAATGGCCGACATTATTCGTGCACTGGAGGTCATCCACAGCCCAACGTCGACCAATAACCTCCGCAAAGAGGCTCTGTCATTCGTCGAGGCTCTCAAGGACAACGAGGCAGCAGCTCGCAATGGCTTTCTGCTAGCTTCACGCGCAGATCACGCTGCTGTAGTGCGATACTTTGGTCTGACACTGCTAGACCACGTTTTGCGCCATTTGTCTTTCACTAATCCCGAGGAGTCCACGAGTCTTCGATCGATGATCCTTCAGCTCGCCGAGAACATTCGACCCGAGGACCCAAGCTATTTCCGCAATAAAATCCCGCAGCTGTGGTCGGAGGCAGCTAAAAAGAGCTGGGGCTTGGATTGGGTGGACATGGACGAGGCGCTTGTGAAGTTCTGGGGTGTGTCTCTAGTACATAATGAGCTGGTGCTCGCAGTGCTGGAGACCTTGTCCGAAGATGTCTTCTTCCGCGAGGATACAGTCTCATCGTTGCGTGGCTCCGAGCTTAATCGTGCGCTCGTTGAGATCTTCACGCCTACCGCGATTGTTGAGCAGATAAACCCCGATAAAAACACCAATGCTGTTCTGCGCTGTGGACAGGAGGGCTGGCTGGTGCGGATCTGCGAATTCTTGGATACCTGCGTTCAAAATGCCTCTACTTCGGTCGAAGCACGCGATGCAGCCGTCAAGGCCCTAACGACATTGAGATCTGCCCTTTCTTGGTCAATCTACAAAGCCGTCATCGCAGGACAGGTCGTTGCTAGTGTTTTTAGGGCTTTGACCTGCCAAGATGATCAAGTATTGCTGGTAAGAGAACGTTGCAAATATCGTAGTTACTGCCATGAATTGGTTCTAAATGTTAATTATTCTAGGCTGCGGTTGAGGCATTGCATTCGCTCTACGGGCGAAACAACATGGGAAATGATGAGTCTCACGGCTTAGTCTGCCTAATCTTTGAGAGCGAGTATCTCAGCACTCTCCAAAATCTGTTCCAGTGGTCAATTGTCGGCCCCGATGATACCGATGAGCCTAAGTATCTGATCTCCAAGAAGCTCTCAGAGGTATGAATCTCGCTATCCAATCGACAATTTTCCAACAAAGCTGACTGTTCACAGATGATCTCCTATGTCGCTGGTTGCCTTGAAGATGAGAGGTTCCTCCGAGACACCATGCACCGCTTGGATCTCCCGCCATTCTTCAACTTCATGTTGAACATCATGCAGCACCAAAGCTTGACCGTATCTATCCCGTGTCTTCACCTGTGGTCAAGGCTTTTGGGTGTCCAGAAGATTGGTACTTCAGAATTCGTGGTGAACCAGACCCCGACATTCCTCACGGTTTGTACCCAACGTTTGATTCGCTGGGAGTCTCTTCCCACAGAGTCAGAGGATCCGACAATCCAGTTCTTAATTGAAGATATTGACACTGTCCCGGAACGTCATGCATTCCTTGGTAATTATCGTCGATACTGCTCATCGATTATTGAGACCATTACCCAGAAGCGCGCTCAAGAGGCGGTGCGCGAGATCCTTGGGCGGGTTGATGAGAACCTGGACAACCTGTACAGTGGAGCAGAGCCATTCCAAAGTATGTTTCAATGTAGTTTATGACCAATTCTTGCGCTGACCGAAGACAACAGTGCATAACTACAGTAAATCATCAATCCCGCTCATGCGCGCGGATGCTCAATTTGCCGTTGTCGAAGCCGTCATCAAGGGCTTTAATAAGTGGATTGAAGCCCACGGGAAGGCACCTCAGGAAGATGTGAGTCTCCTAGTCAAACTTTCACCATCTCTTCGCTAACGTCAATGACAGGAGCAGGAGAGGAAACAGTTGGAGTTTGACGTGGAGAGCTGGGCTTCCAAGCTCATGCAAAGAAACTTTGAGGTTTGTGCGCCCGTCAAGATCGTTATTGATATTGAGCTAACTAGCAGGACTTTCAGGATCCGGTGATCAAGCAGAAAGTCATCAAATTGGTGGTTGACATCTCGTCTAAAGCACTGGACAACCACCCTGCATACGCGTTGAAGGTCCTTGAGCACATTCTCATGACACGCCTTCCCGACCAGCCCCAGTATCCTGTTTATGCCGAGGCTGTCAAGGAGTTGCATGGCCTAGCTAGTCACGAACTCCGTCGTCTCGCGATCCGCTACGCTGATTATTTCTCCACATTCTATGATCTGCTCGAGCCGAAGATCAGGGAGATTACAATGGCCAATCGTGTGGACGATAAACTCCAGATGGAGCTGACATCCATCCTGCTGATCATCATGCAGCGCGCCAGTAACCTTGATCCGAACCTTCGTCATAGCCGGCTGGCCGGTTTCCTTGCCCCCATCCAAGAGGCATGGCAGGACGAGGAATTCCGCCGTATGAGCTCATCATTTGAAGGCTTCTGCACTATGCTTGGATTGGAGAACGTGGGATCGTACATGCAAGCCAAGCAGGCGCACAAGCTCGAGGACTGGTCTTCTGTCGCCTTGGACAATGAGGGAAAGCTTGTGCAGGAAGAAATGACCAGGAAGTTCCAGATGCTACCGTTGCGTGGTACCAAAACTATGCTGGCTGTGTCAACCGACAAGCTCAAGAGAAGCTCGCCGGCTTATCAAGTTGCCTGTGATATGTGGCAAGAGCTGACTCCTCAGATTCTTCCCACTTTGGTCCAGCTTCTCACTCATGCCCATGCCTTCCATAACCCGGCCAACTGGGCCGTGAGCGATGATATGCGAGCAGTGGTTGAGCGCATTTTGACCGATCGATTCTGGCAAGCCGGCATTTCCAGCGGCAGCCGCGACGACTTCTACGCTAAGATCACTGCATCAAAGTCGACCCTCGAGGGTTTCGCGTCCTCCGTTCGTGGCAAGATTCGAGCAGTTCGCGAATCATCTTATTCGATGCTTTTCAGCATGAGCCGAATGCGCCATCAGTTCTATGGATTTGCCGAGCTTCCAGGGCCGTTGTCCGAGGCTCTCTTCAAGGATGCGGAGCACCTTTCCTCCCACCAGTTTTCGGTCCTGCTTAATATCTCGCGCTGCCTGATTGATGATTGTCCTGTCCAATACCGGGCACAATTCTTGCCGCCAATGCTTGCTACTCTGTTCCGCAGCATCGACCGCAAGATTACAACCGAGTGGGAGTTGATTGAGCAGCGAAAGAGCGGAGGCGTGGATGGGGACCTTACTGACGAAATGAAGTCGGAAAGTGTTCTTCGTCAATTGACATATGCTGCGGTAATCATGGTTGCCAGCCTGTTCGATCCACAGAGAGGAGGTAAGAACCTGACCACCACCACGGTCACTCGAATTCACATGAAATTCATCATTGGGCCCCTCAAGAACCTGACTGTCTTCTACGAATATACTAACACGTTTTGTTTCCCCAGATCCTGATCGGACAGAGGCAGACCCTAGTGCACAGCAACCCACTCCCGAGCTCGCTGACTCAATCCGCCACTTTGTCCTATCCTCCCCCGAAATCTTCGAACCTGTGATGCTTTTCTGCACCCATGCTCTTCGCATGCGCGACACCCGTTGCTGCAGCATCATTACTCGCGTGGTTCGATCCATCTTGGCCGACTTCGCACCCCCGAACAATAGTCAAACCATCGTGACCATCCGCGAGTTTATCTGCACAGACGTTCTGCAGGCTTGTATTACCTCCGTCCACGAGTCCTATTTCGTCGATATGCAGAAGGACTTGGCCCAGCTCATCGCGTCTATCTGGGTCCTGTACGGTTTCTGCAGCGAGACGCCGCGGTCCGTCTTCCTCTCCCTGCCGGGTATTACTCCAGAAAAGGTTGCCCAGACAGAAACTGCTCTCCAGCGATGCACCTCCCCGCGCCAGCAGCGTGCTTTGGTTCTCGAGCTCCTCGAGCCGCTCCGAGGTGTGAGCATTGCTGAGCAAGGCAAGATCCTTGGCTCGCGGGAGGAGCGCCGCAAGGCGAGGACCGCGATCCAAAGCCGGTACATGACCAACGAGATGGAAACGCAGCAGGAGACGCATCGTGTTGACATTAATGATGGCCCCGATCTGTCAGGCGTTGCTGACATGTTCGGTTAGAGTGGTGCTTTCATCGACCTAACGGCTCTCATCTATGGTCTATGGGACTTGATTTGCGTGGCTTGCGGTTCACACTTTCTAGCGAGACATATCTTGATGCTGTTGGCCTAGTTTCCGCACAGAATCCTTGTTGTTGATGTCCATGCTCGGGTGAGATCTGCTGTGATCTCGCATGACTTTGATGTTTGGCGGCTTTTTTTCAATTGCATCCTGAGCGTACGTTCTTGATGTTTACTTTTCCCTTTCATATTTCTGGCAGCATGGGCTTCTCTTCTTCACTTGCGACCTTACGGACTACCCCTGGCGGCGGCGCTTTGAGACCAACTGAATAGACACGCCTCTATGCATTTATAGACGGCTAAAACCCAATGGAACGTGCCCAGGCACATTACACAAATGATAGACCGCAGTCTGCCGTAAACAAACCGTGCTAGGAACCTTAGATTACTGATTTACTAGTCAATGGCTGGATTGGATTACGCAAATGGCGAACAGAAGAAAATGACTTGTTGTAAAGCAAAACTAAACCCTTCGTAGTAACAGTATATCTACAATGTTTTCCTTGAGCCCCTGGCTCCGAGAGACAAACTATCCTTGCCTCCGCGATCTTTCCACTCGCTCTCCACCTCATCTAACGAATCGAAACTCCACCCCTCTTCCCTAGGAGGGTTCCCATGGAAAAAAGCAGTACCGTGCCCAGCCGTGGAGCGGTACCAATTGGCGGCACGGGATCGATGAATGCGTAGACGACACCGTCTATTGGGTAACCTTGGAGGGAGTGTAGGCGAAGGTAGGGCGGACGAAGCTGTACCAACGAAATGAATTAGCATGATTGATCAAGCCATTGAGATTCGGAATAGGCTCTGCGTCAAGGTTACGTACCGGTCAGAGTTGTAGACCTTCTGCTCGCTGCCCAGGAGCTCCTTCTCGCGAGCCTTGTCGGCGTAGTAGCGGCGGACCTGGTCACGGTCCTCCTCGGCCTGGAGGAGAGGGGTGAGGTAAAGGCGACCCCACATCTTCTCACGGGCAAGCTCACTAGAATCAGACAGATATCAGTTTCTGGTTGAAATTGAGACCATAAACCTCGTTGCCAAGTTCCAATTGCAACGCCTCGGGATCATCGGAGCAAGGAATCTCCGCCATTGCGCAAAACGTACCGTTGCTCGCGAACACCGTGGAAGTACTTGTAGAAACCGTAGGCCATGATCATGTGCATGCCGACCATGTAGTAAAAGGGTTTGAAGCCACGGGCAGGGAGGTTCCGCTGGAGATCGAGAACGTGAGGGTTAGCTGATGTCGCTGTGCGATTGCCGGAGAGGGTCTGATTCGGTGCCAGTCTGTCTCAATGGCATACCTTGTATTGGACTTGGGCATAGCCCCCCGTTGGGGGCATATCCTGAGGCATGGTGGCGGTATTGGGGGGGTTTTTGGAGGCTCCGTGAATGTAACGAGGAGTCGCTGGATGGAGAAGTTGGTGATGCATGTCACGTGAGGTGTACAGTAATGAGGGCCGCGGCAGTTGCTATTGGCTGACGGCGGTGAGTGGGCTTTTTTCCCGGCGATGTACTACAAGACTACATGACAGCCCAGTCGATTGTCTGCTGGGAAGAACACACTCCAGACCAACACAATGGACGAAGAAGAGAGACCGAGGAAGCTTGCGAAGCTTGAGCACGACGACGAAGCTATCCACGATGAACTTGGCCTCGCCATGACCGGTGCTTTGGCTGCGGCCGACGAGCAGCCGCAAACTGTCGCACCTACGAACGATAACACACAACCTGAGCAATCAGAGGCCCCCAATGCCGACAATGCGATTCCATCCAATGACTCTGCGCTACCCGAGGGCACGGCTGCCGAAGGAGCCCCTCCAAAGATGTCCAAGAACCAGATGAGGAAACTTCGAAAGAAAGAGCAGTGGGAGGCGGGACGCGAGCAGCGCAGAGAAAAGCGCAGGGAACTCATGGCAAAGAAGAAAGAGCGCCGTCAGCGTATGGTCGATGAGGCCAGAGAAGCTGGTGGCGAGGAAGCTGTCAAGGCACTCCGCAAGTCATGGGAGACAACCCGTTCCCGGTCTCGGCGGTCGACTCTGCTGCCCTTGTCGATTGTGATTGACTGCGGCTACGACGAGTTGATGAATTATGGCGAGCGCATTTCACTCGCAGGTCAACTCACGCGCTCATACTCGGAGAATAGCCGTGCCATGTGGCGATCCCACTTGGTGTTCAGCTCGTTCAACAAGCAACTAAAGGAGCGATTCGACACTGTCCTCGCACCCTATCGCAACTGGAAGGGAATTCGGATTATTCCCGAGGACTTCGTGCATGCCTCCGAGCTTCTCAAGGAACAAATGGCCTCCCCCAAAGGTGGCAAGCTGGTTGGGCCCTTTGCCGAGAAGTCCGATGCCAAGCCGGAGGATGGCGAGGTTATCTACCTCAGCAGCGACAGTGAGAATATCCTGACGGAGCTGAAGCCCTACAGTACCTATATCATTGGTGGTCTTGTGGATAAGAATAGGCACAAGGCAATTTGCTACAAGTCTGCTGTTGAGAAGGGGATCAAGACGGCAAAGCTACCCATTGGCGATTACATTCAGATGGCCTCCCGTCAGATTCTGACTACCAACCATGTGGTCGATATTATGCTGAAGTGGCTGGAACTGGGTGATTGGGGAGAGGCTTTCATGAAAGTCCTTCCACCGAGAAAGGGCGGCAAGTTGAGGGATCAGCCGGGCAATGAGGCTGCAGAAGAGGCAACGGATGACGAGCCTGAGGAGGAGCAGCAAACCCTGGAGGACATTGCAAATGAGATGGAGGCTGAGCAAGCTGGAGGGGATGACCATGAAGATGAAGAAGATGCATGAGAAATACATACCTACCTATTGAGCTACTGCCATAGCTCTGGCAGAACTCACTTCACAACAATAGTCTGCTTCATCTGCTAGAAGCACCACGCTAAAGTGTCAAGGAGCTCTTTGTGTAGAGGTAAGGTTAGGTTGCATTCAACCGATGTAAAGCGCTGTTGAAAAATTAAAGAATTAATGCAATACAATTGCCTCCACTGAACGTACTCACGTATCACTTCATTTATGTCAATGATACACATTGCCTATGCAGGAAAGTTGTATTAGGCCTGGGGCAGATACATATCGTGACTCCATTCAGTACATAGCCCAAAGGTAGCACTTGCCAAGTATCAACTTGATGCTGGACACGCAAGGTCATTGAGACGACAAATATTGTATCGGATAATTACCAGTGAGACTGAGCATCTTCTTCAAGTGACAAAGATCACCATTATGATATGTCCTATCTGGAAGGAAGTATGCTTCAATTTACTTCTAGGACATCATTGAGCACGTGATACAAAACAAGAGGTGAAAGCACCAGCCTATATTACATAAGCGACAAGCCACACGTGGATGAACGCCACAGTCTATGACGGAGGCGATTTTTTGATGATGCAGTTATCTCTCTTTCTTTTTTTCTCAAGCTTCTCTTTGTTTTCTTTGCTTCCCAACGGTGGCAGAGATAGCTTCTTTTCTGCTTATCTGGAAGTTTTTCTATCGCTTTTATATCACACTCCTTTTCCTTTCTCTCTTTCCTTCATCGTTGAACTCTTTTCACATCCCTGTTGCTTGGTCGCTACCCCTCGCAACCATGTTTATGCTCCGCAACGGTAAGCAAACACGCTCCTGCCCCGCCACGAACCCCTCCATACCAACCGTCATTTTTCGCCACAAACGACGAAATCAAGCTAATATTTTTCATTTAGTGGGCAAGTTCCTCTTCGGAGATACTTCTAAAGAGGCCATCATCGAAATTCCCCAGGGCCAGCTCTACCTGGTCCGCCCCCTGTCACCTAAGGGCTATTCAGAGCTCATTTTCAAGGACGCTGCCGCGACGATCAGACGCACTGGCCAAGAGTTTCAATACCAACTCGTGATTCAGAGGGCCTACGAAGAAGGCGAGGAGGAACTTGCGGACGACGAAGACGAGCAGGGTGTTGCGGATAACCTGGACAAGGACGAGAAGGTGTTCTTGCTCGACCAGACCCTGCACTTCCGATCCGAGGTTCGTGAGGGTGGCAAGATCCTCGCGTGGGACGATCTCAGCGGTGACGAGGGTGATCTTTTCGAGTTCATCTGTGACCCATCCGTTCCATCCGACAAAGTTGCTACGTTCGAGCTCGCCGCTCTGCAGTGCCAATACGAGCGCAAGCATCGTCGCAGCGCTCAGAAGGCTACCGAGGACGAGTTGCAAGAGTTCGCCTACCAGGAAGAGAAGCCAATCCCATCTGCGAGCCCCGTATCCTCTCCCACCACCAAATCACCCGAGCGCGCGGTTACATCAGGTGACTCTGCAGCCGCTATGGCACGAGACGTGAAGTACGCTCAGGCGAAGGGGCAAGTCAAGTCCGCTGCCCCTGATGAGGAGCCGACCATCGCCCCGCCTTCCGCTGCTCATCCCGAATCCAAGGAGATTCTCGCGAAGGAGAAGGCCGAGCTCCACATGTTTGATTTCCCCACTGGAACTTTCGTGCTCCAAGACGCTGATATCGTCGCAACTGTCTCGGAAGTTGGCAACTGGCAGTATTGGCTGCAGATTAGCGGCAACGATAAGGACTGGCTGGGTCAGGCAGTCGTTGGAGACATCAACCCCGTTTTCAACTTCGAGTACCTTTCATTCATCTTCAATCACTATGCGGAAGATGGCTCTGCCTATTCCTGGCTTCTGCGATTCAAAGACCAGGCCTCCGAGGAGCGATTCCAGGAGGGTTTGATGCAGGCTTTGTGGGAGCAGCTGAATGAGATGAAGTGGGAGAAGGTCAAGGAGAACGACAGAGAATATGTCCTTGACGCATTCCAAGATCTCACCATGGAGGACGCTGATGACAAGCCTGAAGACGAGGAAGAACCCGAGGAAGAGGAGGACGAGAGTGAACAGGACGATGGCCAGCGCAGTGAACACTACGACAGTGATGAGGAGGAAGACGATGTGAACATCCGCGAGGAGGATGGTAACAAGAACTCCCAACTGGCTGTCGGCTACAAGCACGATCGCTCCTTTGTCGTTCGTGGATCGAAGATTGGCGTGTTCAAGCATACTCCGAACAACAATCTGGAGTTCTCCACGACTATTTCCAAGGTGGAGACCCCTGGGGGCAAGCTCTTTAGCCCCAAGAAGGTCATGCTCCATGCTGAGGATCGCAACCTGATCCTTCAAAACGGTGATGACCCCAACTCCCTGTTCCGGATGGACCTGGAGTACGGAAAGGTCGTTGATGAGTGGAAGGTGCATGATGATATCCCCGTGGATACCTTTGCTCCAGAGAACGTGAGTTTCCATTGCTTTTTTTATATATAGTTTCTGGTTACTAATTCCATCGACAGAAATTCTCTCAATTGACCGCCGCCCAGCCATTCGTCGGCGCTTCTAAGAACGCACTGTTCCGCATCGATCCTCGTCTTGCTGGTAACAAGCTCGTCGACTCCGATCTCAAGCAGTATGCCAGCAAGAACGACTTCTCTGCGATGGCTACGACTGAGAAAGGCTACCTGGCCGTGGCTTCCAACAAGGGTGACATTCGCATGTTCGATCGCCTTGGTATTAACGCGAAGACTCATATTCCTGCTCTCGGAGAGCCAATTATCGGCCTGGACGTGTCTGCCGATGGTCGCTGGGTTCTGGCTACTTGCCGAACCTATCTCCTCCTGATCGATTCCCTCCAGAAGGAAGGCAAGAACGAGGGCAAGCTTGGATTCGAGAAGTCATTCGCTAAGGATGCCAAGCCTCAACCTCGTCGTCTTGGTCTGCAGCCCGCGCACGTTGCCCAGTTCCAGCACGAGACGAAGCAGCCGTTGGCATTTACTCCCGCTCGTTTCAACACTGGTGTCGATTCCCAGGAAACGTCGATCATCACTGCCACCGGTCCCTTCATCGTTACTTGGAGCCTCAAGAAGATCATCATTGGTCGCAAGGACCCTTATACCATCAAGCGCTACGCCGAGGATGTCATGGCAGACAACTTCCGCTTTGGTTCCGACAAGAATGTGATCGTCGCCCTTCCCAACGAGGTCAACATGGTTGCCAAGCGCAGCTTCCAGAAGCCCACTCGCGAGAGCATCGCTGGTCCTATTACCCCCATGCGTGCGAAGAGCGGCAGATGGAGCAACCGCCTTGGAAAGAACGACATTGTAAACTCGCCGTATTAGTCTGGTTCGTTGACGCTGTCCCACTTGTCCTTTTCTCCTTGGGTCTCTTCCTTTTTGGTTTTCTTGATTTTGTACCATTACCCATACCCCCTGTTGTTGATGCTTTCTTTTCCTTCCCTTTCTATTTAATTTCTTTATCTAATTTCTCTATGAGATCCCTCACAAGATCGAGGAATGGTTGCGCTGGCAGTGCTTTTAGTCTCTCATTACGCCGTTATACCTTTTGCTCCTTGGTGCAGGCTTGCATTTCGTACGTAGTTAGCTAGCTATGGACTTTACTAGTCCTCAAATAGAATGATTGAACTAAACACTGCTCTCGCATTTCAAAGTGTTGTAGAAGGGGTAGAAGGGTGGGTTCTTTCCCACTCCCAGGTACAGTGGCATTCATACTCTTGGAACCGGAAGGATAATTGGTTATGATACCGAGACGTCTTTGGATCTTTCAGGAAAGGGGGAAGGGGGATAAAGAGCTGCCTTTGCTATTAATTGAACCCTCAACCTTCTTCTTCCTATATACTTCGCCATGTTACTGCATCGCCATCCCACAACAGTACCGCACTGCACCCCATTTTCACCCTCTAACACAATTGAAAAGGCTATTAAAGAATCACAATTAATCGAGTTTCGTAGCCTAAGATAAATATTACTATTAAAAGATAGTATTACAAAAAATAATATTACAAAAGAAATCTCCAAAAAAATGAACTCCCGGCCTTCCGTGGAGCTTAAAGCGTCAACACTGGCCCAGTATTTTCTTCTTCAGCTTGCCCATTCCTCCAGGGCACACCAACGGCTCACCAATTTATGGTGGATACCAACAGGTCATCGGAGAGGGAGGGGGGGGAGTGATTGTTTGACCTGGAACACGGTCATAACCTTGCGAATCTCAGATTGACTATAGGTCTCTGTGTCTAAGGTCAGCACTTCCAGTCTTGGGAATTGTTTCATACCATAGTCATTATCTCCTTAGAAGCCGGACCCCGACCTTGATCCACCAACAATGCAGCTTCTACTCCCAGCTACGGCTCTACATCTGACTGTCTCCAATGTTTTAGCCGGAACCCTACATCCGGTTTCTGGACCAACGGTTCACACCAGGAACGGAACCGTCACCGGCAGATATCTCAAGTCCCGCGATCAAGATCTCTTTTTGGGAATCCCTTTTGCGCAGCCCCCAGTCGGAAACCTTCGCTTCAACACACCTCAGCCTGTGAGTTAGGCCTGGGAGGCCCCATTGAATGCCACAACATACGGAGCTCACTGTATCAATTACCTACTGGGCTTGCCATTGGATCCCGTCGATCTCGCTACCAGATACCCCCAGAGCGAGGACTGCCTGACTATCAATGTCGTCCGACCAGCAGGAAACGAAACTAACGCAGCTATCCGCGATCTGCTTGAAGCGTATCCTGAGCCGGGCACCAACTCGACCCATGGTCGATCAGATGATACCCTCCCAGTTTCTCTACCTTACAAAGCTCAGTTCGTGCGCGCCGCCAGATATGCCTGAGACGCCCTGTTCATTACTGGACGGCGATACACCTGCGAACTCTGGTCTCAATATGGAGTCCCTTGCTACAGCTACCGGTTTAACACGATTCCAAGCACCACTGATCCCCTATACCTCGGCGCCACCCACTTTGAGGATGTTGCATTTGTCTTTGATAATGTGCTGGGACAAGGTATGCCATCAAATGCATTTGATGTTCAGCCCGCGGCACGGGAGAAGAGCTATAAGCAGTTGGGTGATCTTATGAGCCGGATGTGGATGAGCTTTTCCGCATATTATGGTGTTTGATGGAAACACCACTAGCTTTGTGGAGAAGGATGACTGGCGCACCGATGCGATGAAGTTGATCATCGAAAGATCCCTGGACTTTTCTCGTTGAGTTGGGGGCTTAATACCCTCCCCATTGGATTATACCAACACCGGACAAGGATATTTCCAAAATTTAGGGCTGTTGGCCGGGTTTGTACACGCAGGAAGTATTATGATTGAGCCAATTTTGTGTTCAATCATTCCCCTTGTGGACCTTATCTGTAATAAATTATGTTTATATTGATTATATCGCTTCATTTTGCTTTCTTCCTCTTGTTAGGCAGAAATGTTGACTCTTCTTCCAGATAGCTCAATCTACTACGTCCTCTTCCCTTGTTTACGATCCCCTCGTTCCCGACGTGATACCACCTCAGCCTCCATCATTCCAAATTCTCATTCTAGCCTCGAATTAAAATGACATCAGAAGACGAATATAAAGTGATACTGTGGGTACTGCAAAGAGGTCGTGCGTGCAAGAACAAACCTATCAGACATAGCCCTCGCGAATATATCTATTTGAGTTACAAAAAAGCCTTCGATGGACCCTGAAAATTCTGTCCCATGCTTACGAGGTTGCCTCATGTGGCTAGCTCTAACCTGGATCAAATTCTGTCATCAGCGGAGGTATCCGCGGAGTATGTTCGACTGAAGCAGCGGAATTAGTGCAAAATCCACCGACCTGCATATCAGAAAAATTTGTCGCCACTTTCTCAGCCCCAGCGATCTGACACCTGCATGATTGGTAAGTTAGTGCGGTCTCTATCCTCGATTAGGGATGACTAGCGGGGAGGCTAGCGGGGTCCCGCAAGCTTGGATCGGTCTTTAGGCTCGGAAATAATCTGGGGCGCAGCCTCCGTAAGCCCGACTTTTCGGTGACATCAGACGGGCTCAACTTGCACACGAATATAAATTTCCGCTAGGTACCAGAAAATTTGGGAGTAACTACTACAGAAGATCAAGCTTCAATTGACAGATATCATTTTAAAACTCCTGTCGCAACCTATTCTACCATCGCAATGGCGAAAAATGAGGAAATGAAGATTGTCTTTGGAGCAATGTCATTTGGAAAGCCAAGTAAGTGTTGAAAAATATTATGATCAATTAGGCAAGAACTAACCTAGTGAAGATACACTTGGCTCTCGAGTTCATGATATTGCTACAGCGACCGAGATTGTGGATCTATTCCAGCGTCATGGCCACAACGAAATCGATACAGCCCGCATTTATGGCGGCGGATCCTCTGAGGAAATGATCGCTGACCTCGCATGGAAAGAACGCGGTCTCATTGTTGACACCAAGCTGTACCCCAATGCTGGAGGCCCCGCTGCCTTTGCGGATGGATACACTCACAAGCCCGAAGACATTCGACGCGGATTGACGAACAGCTTGAAAGCGCTCCAATCTGAAGATGTCGATATTTTCTACCTTCATGCTCCAGATCGCAACACCCCCTTCGAGGAAACTTTGAGCGAAGTAAACAAACTACATCAAGAAGGCCGTTTCTCTCGTCTTGGCTTGAGCAACTTCATGGCCTGGGAGGTAGCCCAAATATGCGAGATCTGCATCAAGAACGATTGGGTCAAGCCAACCGTCTACCAAGGCGTCTACCACGTTCTCCAGCGCAGCATCGAGAGTGAACTGATCCCCTGTCTCCGCAAATACGGGATCTCACTCTATGGATTCCAGCCTCTTGCAGGTGGCCTTCTTACTGGACGGTATAAGAGGGATCAAACCGAATTCGAAGAAGGATCACGCTTTGACCCTAAGATCCTCTCTGGAACTGTTGCTCGAGGTCGTTATTGGAATGATGCCTACTTTGATGCGCTTGAGACTGTTCATTCTGCCGCACTCAAGCATAATTTGACCGATGCTGAGATTGCGTTGAGATGGCTAAAGTATCACTCGAAATTGAGCCAGGATTTGGGTGATGCTATTATTGTGGGTGCGAGTCGAGTCAGTCACCTAGAGTCTAATTTGAAAGATCTGGAGAAGGGAACACTTCCTGACGAAGTTGTTCAGGCTGTGGAGGAGGCCTGGTCGTTGGTGAAAGGTGCTGTGCCTAACTATTGGCACTAGAGTAAAATTCTTTAGAGGTGGGACTGGTAATTGGCGTGCATGACAGAACTGCTGTACAAGATATCTCAATTGATAATAATAAATTCTCTTTGAGCCGCTGAGCGTGCTCCGATAGCCAAGGGTTATTGTCACGCAAAGAATCTAGATTGATCATGGAAAGGCCCAGCTCACGCCAGTTTGGACTATTCGTCTTGATTAATCTAAATTCAACTGAATACTGTTTCAAAATTCTTATCAAAGTAGTTCGGCATCCTTAGATTGTTTGATTCGTTAAGATCGCCGATGTTGGTCTAGACCCCTGACTCCTGAATAGTAAGTGCTAAGCTGGTCTCCATCCGCAACCCCGCATTTACCAGCTGTTTACCCGAGCCTCAACCGCGGTCAAATCGCGGAGCCTGTAAAGAAGCGGTAGAATACAGTTTATATAGAATTCTCTACATGGTCCCCAGCTCACTTTGAGCGAACAATTCAAGCTCCTGCTCCTGCAATACCCCAAACCGTATCATCTGGATATCAATCAAACTCGAGTTGCCGACACTATGTCTACTCATTCAAGTGTACCGCGAAAGCTCTGGGAGCACCCTGATCCCCAATCAACTCAGATGGCAGCGTTCAAGCGAACTCTCGAGAAAACAAAAGGCGTGACCCTACCAGACTATCACTCAATGTACCAATGGTCCATCCAAAACCGCATCGCATTCTGGGAGTTCTGCTGGAAGTACTTTCCCATCATCCACGAGGGGACATATGATCGAGTTACCGACGAAAACGCTCGAATTGACAGCATTCCCGACTGGTTCCCTGGAGTGCGTCTCAATTACGCGGAGAATCTGCTCTTTACCGCTGCTACTCCAGGCGAAACACCATCAACTCTGACGACAGTAGGGAAAGAAGATAGCAAGATCGCTGTGACTGAGGTTCGAGAGGGTGATCATGAGCCAACAGTTAACTTGACCTGGCGAGAACTACGACAACGCACTGGTCGACTATCGCAAGCGATGAAAGCTGCGGGTATCCAGCGGGGCGATCGAGTCGCGGTGGTTGCTAGTAACAGCATTGATACCTTGACGGTGCTTCTAGCAACAACGGCTCTCGGAGCTATATTTTCATCCGCATCCACAGATACCGGTGTCAAGGGTATTCTGGACCGTATCCGGCAGATCCAGCCTCGATGGGTGTTCATGGATGATTTCGCAGTTTATAACGGCAAGACTGTTGATCTTCGACCTAAGATCGCACAGGTCGTGGAGGGTATGGCTGTTATCCCTGAGTTTCAAGGAATCATCTCTGTACCCCGGTTCAGAGAGCGACCGGCGGATATCTCGCATATTCCACGAACCCGTACCCAGGCCGAATTCCTCGCTGGAGCTGCTTCCGACCAATTGGAATTTGTTCGCGTTCGGTTCCGGGATCCCTTCTTGATTGCATTCTCATCCGGGACGACTGGAGAGCCGAAATGCATTGTTCACTCTGTTGGGGGAGTCTTGATGAACAGTAATAAGGAGGGTCGTCTGAACAGAAGCATGAACCCAAATGCAATCACTCTTCAATATACTACTACGGGATGGATCATGTACAACTCTTGCGTCTCAGCTCTAGTCTTTGGTGCAAGGCCCATTCTATACGACGGCAGTCCTTTTCAACCCGATCCGACAATACTGGTGAAGCTCCTTGAGAAACACAAGTAAGTACAACGAAGAACACTTCTCCGATAACACATCGATTGCTCTCTTAGATGGAAGGATTCTAAGAAGTTGTCATAGGGTTACCCACTTCGGTACATCACCTCGCTGGATGCACGAGATGAGAAAGAACAAACTCAGTCCACGAAAGCTCGCCGACCTTCATAGATTACAGGGCGTCACCAGTACCGGCATGGTCCTCTCCGAGTCACTATTCGAATGGTTCTACGATGACGGTTTCGAGGCTCATACTCTTCTCGCAAATATATCAGGAGGCACAGACTTGGCTGCTTGCTTGGGCCTAGAAAATCCCATCTCGCCACTATACGTTGGTGGAACCCAAGGTCCAAGTTTGGGAATGCCCATCGCTGCTTATGAGCAAGTCGACGAAGAAGCTGGCCAAGCAAAGGGGTCTGAAGCTGCGCCAGGTGAGCCTGGCGAAATCGTTGTGACTGCCCCATTCCCAAGTATGCCGGTCAAGTTTTGGAGTGATGAGGGAGGGAAGAAGTATTTCAATGCATACTTTGCACGCTACGACAGTAAGTCTTATATGATGCTCCTTGTCATTGGCCTTGCTATGAGCTGTGACTGATCAGTATTCTTCGCAGATGTCTGGACACAGGGCGACTTTATCGCAATTAATCCTAATTCACGACAAATTCTTTTCCTTGGGCGATCTGATGGTGTCTTGAATCCGTCTGGTGTCCGGTTTGGATCTGCAGAGATCTACAATGTCATCGACACTCAATTCACCAAGGAAATCGTTGATTCAATTTGCGTTGGACAACGTCGGCCTACAGATTCAGACGAATCCGTTATCTTGTTTCTCCTCATGCGCCCACGTTTCAAAGTCGATCAGCAGTTGGTGACCCGCGTCAAGGAAGCGATCCGAAAATCGCTTAGTGCTCGCCATGTCCCTAAGTACATCTTTGAGACACCTGCTATCCCGGTACGTACTGTCCACATTGTCGTGGAAACGTGCTTTTGTTTCGACGAACTAACAACCCTATTTCTAGGTGACGGTTAACTTGAAAAAGGTTGAGCTTCCAGTAAAACAAATAGTTTCCGGCAAAAAGATCAAACCGTCCGGTACCCTTCTTAACCCGGAGAGCCTTGACTTCTACTATCAATTTGCGGAGGTCGAGAAGATTGTTCCTCCTCAGGCGAAGCTGTAGTCTTACATATAGTGGCATCGCCAGTATGAAGGGCTATTGTTGCATGACGCTAGAGATAGAGATAGCTGAAGTTTAATTCTTGCCTCTTGCCTACAGATTAAGTTGTATTAAGTTGTATCTCCCTCTAAACACGTCACTCGTAGCCGTCTCACTCGTTGCCTGTCCTCTATGGAGTCCTTGAGCTTATCTATTCTATCTAAACTTTACGGGCGGGCTCCTGTGTGGTCCAATGTGCCGAGCGAACTTCTCCACTCATCATATCCTGGACTACATACAGTTCTCCACCACGATGCGATAAGACCCTTTCCCCTTGCAGCTTTCATTGAACCGCCCTGAATTTCCGCTCTTTCATCTTCTCTCAACGATCACCAAGAGGGTTCTCACTTCCCAATATCCGAACAGAAACACGCTCTTCTACCTGATGGCTGTCAACCAAAAGCTCACTGCCCTCGTGCATCAATACGAGCGTACTCATCCACGATCCAAGGAGGCCTACAGCAGAGCTAAGAACGTTTTACCAGCGGGAAGCACTCGATCTGTGCTTGTCTCCGAGCCATTTCCGCTGGTGTTAAAGTCAGCCCAAGGAGCTCGTTTTACCACGATCGATGGTATAAAATTCGAGGACTTTGTCTCTGACTTTTCAGCTGGGATCTATGGACATTCTCATCCAGTGGTCCATCAAGCTGTTCAGGAAGCCCTGGCAACGGGTTTTAGTCTCGGGGGCATCACGCAGAAGGAAACAGAGTTAGCTGAAATCTTGATCACGAGATTTCCCTCTTTTGAAAAAGTCCGCTTCTGTAACTCTGGCACGGAAGCGAATACTTTTGCGCTTGCAACGGCGGTGGCATATACACAACGCAGAAAGGTTTGAGAAACTACCTATCTTACTAGCCTTTGGACATGAATAGCTGACTTGTATACATGGTATAGATTGTTGTCTTTGATAATGGCTATCACGGGGGAACCATCAACTTCGGCGCATCACAAAACCACATGAACCTTCCCCACGAATTCATCATTGGCAAATACAACAGTATCGAAGAGACCCGACCGCTTCTCATAGATGAAATCGCCGCTATACTAGTTGAACCACTCCAAGCCGCAGGTGGAATGCGCCCCGCTACCCCCGAATTTCTACAATTCCTCCGCGAAGCAGCAACAAACATAGGCGCTGTTTTAATCTTCGACGAAGTGGTCACATCCCGGTTACATTATAATGGTATTCAGGGGGCATGGAATATCAAGCCCGACATAACCACTGTGGGGAAGTATCTTGGTGGAGGCTTCCCCTTCGGTGCGTTTGGGGGTTCATCCAAGATCATGGATCGGTTTGATTCGTCGGACAAGAGTATTGCTATTCATCATTCCGGGACTTTTAACAACAATATATTCACGATGACTGCTGCGGTTGCTGCGTCGAAATTGATTACTCCCGCTGAGCTGGAGAGGTTGAATCGGCTTGGGGATGGGTTTCGTGAACAGGCTAATATCCTTATTCAGAAGGCTGGAGTTGATTGCATGACTTTCAGTGGGTATGGTAGTGCAATTGGGGTTCATTTTACTGGCAGTGAAGCCAGTCCATTGCTTGATTGCTTCTACTTTACTCTACTCAACCGCGGAATTGCTATTGGAAGACGTGGGTTTATGTCTTTGAATCTTATGCACACTGAGGCCTCGATGGATCGACTTCTTGAGGCTGCGAGCTGTTTCCTGGAGGATTTCAGTGGGAACTTTGCGACTAAGGCTAGACTTTAGAAGGGCATTATTAGGTGAATGCTAGATCCTGCGTTAAAGAGAAGAGGCAATAGGACGAGTCAAACGTTGTAGGCATTGCTAACTGGGTATCTGACAGTAAATGCAGTCATTACAGGATGCAACAAGTAGAAAGAGACCGGAGTTAACCATCAATGCGCACCGGTTATCTCTCACTTTCGGATTCTGTTTTCCCCATGGCTTATTCTGCTGCTTTATATACCGTTTTTATGCTTTCAAAGACCCCGAGCAGCATGGGAAATCAATCAAGATCCAACATACCAAACCTCGATACCGAGGACATCAAACTTCTCCCCTTCATCGGACAGAGGTTCGTTGCCAAATGTCTGGCAGTGCGAACTAACTCCCTTCTCAAGGCCGGAGTCCACCCAAAGACCGTATTTTCCATCCCTAGAACAACCGTTAGAGCCAATTCTAAAACTCTCCACAAGATCAATACTAACCCGCCACCGAGACTCAAAAATCCCGTCTCACAAAACATCATGTAATCATTCACACCACTATACGGGAAAGCCTTGAACCGAATACGCTCCGGTGTACTCGCCCCACTCCGCGAAGGTGTATCAATCGACGAAGGCGAGGGGGGCGCCAGCGCACCGCCACTAGCCGCAGCCAGATTCGTCTTGATATTCATATTCAAATTATGAGCCGGCGACGACTTAGTCTTCGCCTTGGCGCGCGGATCACTGCGGAAAGTACTCCATCGTCCAGCGTGGGTAGTATCCGCCGAAGGCGGGGGCGGCAGACCCGCGCGCTCAAGGGCTTCCTCAGATTGCGGACCATCGCCTGAGAATGCTAGGCCCAGGCTTGCGGGGGGTGGTAGCACGCTTGCGCGCCAGAGGAAGCACTCGCCCGTGCCGAAAAATTGGGAGTCCGGATGTGGGACGTCGGTCATGTAGGCGCCGAAGACGGCGCCTGAGGGGGACGAGTCGCGAATTACGAGGACGTAGCCCGCCCGCGGGCTGCGGTGAGAGAATTGTTGGCAGTGGTCGTAGAGGGTGTGGAGGGAGGCGCCGTCGCGGTCGAGGCTGTAGGCGAGACGCCAGGTCTCGACGAGTTGGAGGCGGGCTGGGACGAGGAGGCGGATTTCTTCGGCGAGGGCCCGGGTCAGCAGTTGTTGCTGGAGGAGGTCTGCGCCTCGGGGGATTGTGAGAGTGAGGGGTGTGAGGGGTGGTGGTTGGAAGGGCGAGGCTGTTCGGCGCGGCGTGAATATTTCGGACGAGGAAGATGATGTTGACCAGGGCAGTGAGGAGGGCATGGTGGTTTTAGGGATGTTGGGGTCTGTCAGGCGCCGGTAGAGACCTGAGACGACGTGGCTGACTGGGTAGGAGAAGTATTGACTATAGGAGGAGGCGCCTGAGGTTTGCTGAGGTGTGTGAGAGCCGGACCTTGAGGTGGAGTTGGAGCTGGAATTTGTAGTGGTGGTGGAAGGGGTGTCGGAGGGGAGATCTCCTAGTGATGAGGACGACATGCGGGCAATTGGAATTAATTATTGGAGGACACACTGTATTATGGTTGTGGAGTGAAGAAGGTCGCGAGGAAGGTGAGGCACACGATGGAGCTGGGAAGGTTGCAAGATGAAAGTTGAAGATAGCGGAGGTAACTATGGGGCCGAAGTCAAAAGTGAAACAAACCCAACTTATCGCTTATCATGCGGGGGGGGCCTGCCAGCCAGCGAATACGAAAAAGCTTGACTTCTGCCATCATCAAGATTAACTGAATAGTATGTTGATGCATCATTATCAGACAATTTCATCTGGCAGCTGGTTAACAAGATCATGTCGTACAACGCTAGGACAATTGCACAACTCCAGGATGGGAGCTCGGAAGCCACGTATTCGGCCTGATTAGGCCTTCTAATTCAAGATTAGACATATTTCTACTTTCCACGTTGAGCTTTGTCTCCATTTGACTCTATTCAATAAATGCAGAGGCTCTCTGCTTTAATTGATACGGATTACCACCCCGCCTTTGCCTCTTGGAAGCAGATGACGAAATTGTGGCGGATCTAGATGCAAGTATAAAACGGCTAAACAACTGCACGACACTGTAGTAGATAACAGTTGGATCTTTAACTCGACTGCCAATTACCTCATACTGGGACCTTGATCAACCCCACGTACATACTACACATCATGGTCAATACCAGCGTGTCCAGCGACTATTCAGTCGAAGAAATCACCCAGGTTGGGCGCAAAGGCCGATCTCACGGCCACAAGTATGATGGCGCTGATTTCGACGAATCCATGGTATGTCATCTTCCATATATCGCGCTCAATGTACCACCGCAAGTGACTGACACACAAGATTTATATAGACAAACCCGAGGACCACCCGTAATAAGCAGGAAAGACGTCGCTCGCCCACTACTTCGAATAAGGCGCGGGCCAGTTCAGGGTCTGCATCGAAGAGACGGACCGCCTCAAAGAACGTGCATTCGCATCAACCCCAGGAGTGACATACCTTGACGGTGCAGCATGATTATCGATATTGATACAATCCGGTGGGGCAAGAAATAGCAGGATGAAAATTGGGTATCATATGCAATTGGAGAACGTAAACTATTCATGAGCAAATCGCTTCTATTGCCCCTTGGGTCGCAAATCCACAGTTTCGTACTCAAGTCCATTGACTTCAAAGACGTGTCCCGGCCGCAACGCCCCCGTGTAGATGTTCTCCTCGGGATGAGGGTGGAATAGACCGGTCTGAGTACAGTTAAGAACTGTCTTTAGACCCGGAGGATCGGTCAGACGAAAAACGCCCCAGTCTGGGTTCTTGCTAGGCGCGCAGACAATGGCAATGCTTTCAGGAAGCATGACCTGGTAGCCGGAATGGGTATGAAGATCGCGCGAGCTCATGAAACATGTCTGGGTTGGGTGGGTGTGAATCCAACCGAGCATAATCAGATCCTCAGAGTCACAATAGTCAAAGAGGGCAGATTCATTCGTAGTCTCGCAAGTATCAGACGTAGCGATTTGTTCGGGGATGACCAGCCGTGAGATGAATAGAGCATTGGAAACTAGTGTACCGCACAGGATACCACAAGTTTCCAGGTTGTTCTTGGTGTTCGAAGCTGCCAAGGAGAGGAACCGGGCGCGTAGGCTGGTGGGAAGGAATACCGAGCGCAATGGACTGCCATTTTCCAAGTAGGCGGATGGTTTGAAAGTGTAGCTAGCTGGATCGAGGTCTGGTTTCGCAGGTGGGGTATCTTCAGAAAGCCGAACTTTCTCGGGTAATTGAGGCCCTTTGGAAAACTGGGATGAAAGGGATGAAATTCTTGATTCCACAGCACCATCGACAATAGCCTTGCTGGGCTCGATATGTTGCTTTGGAGGCAATATCGGCGGTACACGCCGCTCGGCATTATTATCGCGAATGGGAATCTGGGCTGAGGTGATGACGGGCTCCAATGGCTTCTGTCGCGGTACGCTGGGATACTTGTATGCCGAGTCCATAAAGGAGGTAGATTCCCGCGGAGCCGATGGCTGCCGCCGATGTAACTGGCCCGCGGCGCCCTTATTATCCAGGTTTGATCTGATGTTCTGGATGCGCTGGCTCAAGTCTTGATCAGCTGAGCGGGGCTCCGTCTTATAGGCGTTCTCCCAGTCCCCCCAATCACCAGCTGCACGACGACTCCGGACAGTAGCTCTCCGGTTGAGCTCCGAGTGCGCCAGTCGAACCGCAAGATCTCGGTTCTCGCCTGCTTCCAATGGCTCGGCAACACCAGTCAATGCGGGATCCGCGGGTCGCTCGCGAGGTTCGGGCAGCACGTTGACATCCGAAGAAACCTTTCGAGATTGACGCTCGCGCATGAGCTGGGTGTACCGTTCATAACGTTTGTTGATCCGCGGCTTGAGCGCTTCCAACTTGGCCAGATTTTTCTCGACCTCCTTCTCGGCTTTCACTAGGGCCTGTCGGTCCTTATCATCCTTCTGGGCATCGGGGTGTTTGGATAGGTGTACCAGAACCAGTTGGGCGTGTCGGAAGAGGAGTAGGTAGGCTTGCTCATCGTGTCCCTCGCGTTCGTAGATTTGAGCCTATAAGGTTAAGAAGAAGTTAGAGAGTTGTTTCAATATGTAATTATCGGCTGGATAGGAGCCCCGGACCTCTCGCATCAGAGTGGCAGCAGTCCGTAACCAGTATCGTAGTGCGACGGCTGGATTGTACGCATAATCTTGCGCGATTCGAGTGATCTTCTCAACGCTCTGTGGAGGGCTTCCCCGGTCGCGGGGAGCTTTATTTGGGACGCCATGAGCGAGTGTCCGGTGTCGAAGAAGTGTAAGCTGCTGGTAGAGAATGTGTACGTTCAATTGCGACCCCTCTTCAGGCGTAACAAGACCGAATGGGCATGGTTGACGTGGATAGAGTCAGGCGATCTCCAACAGTTGGCACGAAGACCAGGCGGCTATGGATTTTCAAGATCCTGCATTCAGGCGGCGATGTTTTAAACTTGTGGCAGGCAGACACGAAAGCTTGGTGGGTTGACGACGAGGGGAGGTGGAGGTGGGATGACCGCGGAACCCGCAAGGTTTCTCCGCTTCCCCAAGAATCGCAGACTCAAGAAAAAAAATCCCAGCCGGCGCAACTATCGCATTCTCCACCAACCTCTACTCCGAACAGCCAACCATGGCCCAGGCTAGTGGATTTTGTTTTCGAACCTCAATTTCATAAAATTAACGCTAGCTGTCTATAATTGCGACCATGTCTATACCCAAAAAGGTGCTGGCACAGCGGTGGATGCCAGTAGACCAATACCCGCTCACGAAAGCTATCAACTCGCATGTGCTTAAGAAGCTTAAGCGACGGACCGTTCTCCAGGCGAGCATTGTGAGCGAAAAACTCTGTGGTGTGTATGAAGCTTCATTGTGAGTTTGCAATGGCGGTCCAAGTGTATAGACTGACCCGTGCCTGTCGCGCAGCCGATGTCCTCCAACGTGTTTCTCCCTACCTGAACAAAGCCTCGCCCATTGATATTCTCGACCTCTGGCCCAATGCCGGTCTTCTTTCCTCCACAATCCATAATTATCTCCGCCCCCGTCGCCATCTTCTCGTCGAACCCGACCTAGCTTGCTATAAACCTTGGCTCCAGCGACTAGTGGACAGCGATCCCAGCTACAAACTGATATCCGAGGAAATCTACACTCGCCGAGACTGGGCGGAAGTGTTTGAAGCACACCTTCCGGAGCAAGTAAGCTCTCATCAGAAACAAATAGCTGGTCAATCGCTGCCCAGGAATGATACCCTCCTTATACTTGCCAGCCCGCCCGTCCCGGCACAGAAAGCGGACCACTACACGCCGCAGCGATGGTGGAGCGCAATGATGGAAAGCTGTATGCAGCAGAGAGGTGTTCATAAATATGGAAGTGTTCGAATTCTGGCATCACTCCCGCCGGGGGAGGTGGAAGGTATCTTGCCTCGGACGGTGGCTGAACGCAGGCGGCCAGCCCTGTTGACGGAGACTGTCGCATCGCGCGCCTTTGAAGTGGCCGGGTGCTACGAGGAAGAGGACTCATGGGTGACCATCAAGCCACTGGAAGTGACTCTCAAAGGCCGAGAGCGAGTCGCGGAAAGAGCTTCAGTGCACCAGGTTGTTGTCCCGGCTGGTCGTGAAGCTCCGCCCTTGAAGCTAGCTCCGGTGTCTCTAAAACACGATAGATCAGAGGTGCCTCATTCTCCACGAATCTTCACGGGGCGACATCAGACCCTCCTCGACGATATCGAGGCTGGGAATCAAGGGGACCCCAAAACTCCTATCACAAAATCGCCGGCCAAAACGGCGCGACAGAAAGCTCAGATGGCCCTCCACAAGGAGAACGCGATCTCACACAGCCGACACGAGCTGGCGCGCCTTGAAATTGAGGTCGACCAGGCGTCGCAAACTCTGTCACGAGCCGCTGCGGATCCTACCAAGACTACCGAGGAATTGGAGCAGCTCGATCACCATATTGGGGCTCGAAAAACTGCGTTGACCGATCAACTCGCCAGCCTGCATCATCGTCTGTACAAAAGCTGGGATCGCCTTGTGGATGACTATCGTACGATGAACGCGTCGAACAACTTTGACGAGTCAGTCTTGCTCTATGATCGACGACCATCGGAGCCGTTACTCATTGACCGGTTTGAGCTGTTCCCACGCGAGCCACGTACTATCGTGTACTTCGAGCCGGACGCCAACCCCGAGTTCCTGAACAAGCTCAGCCATCTATCAAAGGAGCAACGGCAACATATCGAGGGCCTGTTTGAGGCATTGTCGTCCGTGTTCGGCCCTCGTAATCACATCACCGTCGGCGAATTGCTCAAAATTCTATTCCTGGAGCGTCCCTCCAACGACATTATCAAGGCTGTTCCCACCCTCGCGCCCTTTGCGATCAAGCGTCTCAAGCCCGGCCACGGGGCTGTGCCACTGGCCGACCCGACCGTGGACTCGAATACCGTCTTCCAAGAGAACCTCAACTACGATGTCAGTGATGTGCGTCTCCGGTGTATCCCCAGTGGTGTGATGTGGGATATCCTGCTGGAGTACCAAAAACACGCGCCGGACATCACGGCAATCCAATTCAGCCGCATGATCGGAGGCACGCTGACCTCGTTCCGAGCCGGACGCAACCTGATGGTCGTGCCGAAACGAATGCACTAAAACCCCAGGTTTTCTTGTTTGTGTGGGCTGCGCCATGCACAGAATCGTCATCATCGTACGCCTTTCTCCATCCCTCGGTGCGCCACCATATGTACTTTTATCAGACTAGACGCTCTTGTACGATTAGCATCTTTTTGTTGTTTCCCACGTGTATAATACGTCACTGGGCAGTGCTATGTAATAGCATGTCAAATTCCCCCGTATTTTTCTAATTTCCGGTATGATCATGGAGGGAAATCAAGAAAAGGGTGTAAAATACAGTTGTTTAGTATTACTACGTAAAGTAAACATGCACCCGTCGATGCCCGAAGAAGTCCCCCGCCTTATCAAAATTGTCAGCCGCCCCAGCACCGGCGGGGGGCCGCACGAGGCCAAACGATTGGCCCCAATGGAAAGGGCCCGCCCGGCGCACCCTGCAAGAACCCGCCTTATTATACTTCCTTCGTGGGAGGATGCAGAATTGTGTATGTATGGAAGGATACTATCAGAGACTAATTTTGGACTAATGCCGCATGACCGAATAGTTATCACCCATAATCTCCGTGATTACTTGGTTTTTCCTACTGTGTGATTTCCTATAATTAGTGTGGCTGGAATTCCCCAGATGGCCGTTGAAAGACGCATGCGGTGGAGCCGCACGGCGCACTCTCGCAGTAATTAGATCGACGCCTCAATGAGTCGATGGAGGTATGAGTATAATTGAGAATAAGAAAGACAGAAACGGTTGGATTATATGTGTAAGAAAAATAGAAACAATAAGTGATTCGAAAAGAAGATAACAAATATCACCGATGAAAAAGGAAAAAACCCGATCAAAACCCTGCGTATCATTGTTGACTCATTTTATCATTTTACCCGGCCCAAAGGAACCTGTGGACCAAAAGCCCATCCGATCCAGACGAACTATCTTCTTTTCTCTTTTCCGGTAATTTCCCTGTGTTCATTTCCCGTTGGCCGCTAATATCAGTTGACCCAATGGGTCAACACTGGGAAAATAGTGAACCATTATCTTTGTCACCCCATCACCCACCGGGTTAACTACTACCGTCGTATCAATGCGTCTCAACGAGGCTCCACGAAAGGATCCACGAGGGTTCTCGGGCACTACCATAGTACAACCATAAGTCACCCATAGCCCATTCTCCATCATACTAGCCAGCCTGCCAGGCTGCGGTTATCATTCACAATTTGACAGCGATCGACTTCCCAAATTCACTTTTTAAAATTTGGCTCGTCACGCTGTCATTTCCCACCTGGGCGAGACCGGACGATCGACTCCATCGGGGTGGATTAATGTTTCTTGTTGGTCACTTGCACTTGTTTTTCTTTTTTTTCTTCTTTACGTTTGGCTATTCTCTTTGACTTTTTAGCTTTGTTGTAGAGAGTAAATCCTTCCTAATATTGGTCTACGTATTATTATTGTCTGAAAATAACAAGCGGTCCTTGCGCCCATTCATCCCATTCGAACCGATTGCATACTGTATCCTTTTCTCTCTTTTCTCTCTTCCATCCCACCCCATCATCCCAATCCCAGTATGAATGCGACGCGCCGCCACGACCTTTCACCTCTTTGACCTCCACCTCCTCTCTACATCCTCCTCTTCTTTGTCCTCTTTATCCCTCTTTCACCAAATCCTCTCTCCCCTCACTCTCCCCAGATTTCCCCCCAATTCACAATGCTCATATAGCCCCCCGTTCGCCTTCGAATCCCCGAGTTTGCCGAGTTTTAGTCACAACCTTTCAAGGGTGTTCGAAATCGTTGCCTTTTCGCGCACCCCACGTCATTTTCCGAGCCCTAATCCGTGGATGGGGAGAAGGCAATTGAACCACGCGCCGTGATCCGTTTTTTTCGCTGGTGGCGTTGCTATCGCCTTCGATTAATCTCACCTGCGTCCGGGGTGACACACCCTTTCTTCACTATCTTCTGTGACGCTGCTTGTTATCTCGTGCGAATCGCAGGGTTCATCGCTGCGCCTTGCTTTTTCGGAGTTCAGCCGTCACTTATCTACTTCGAATCATCCCGTACTCCCGTACTGTACGCCCGGCTTCGGTCCGTCGGCATTAACAGCGGCCCTCGCAATAAGGTCTTGCGACTGCCATTGCGACTGCAATTGTTCTACACACGTCGCTGCGATGACTCCCTCCAATACGCCATTGCGTTTGTCAGTCACCACGGCGCATGACGATAAGAGCATCTCATTACAGACTCCAACATCGGGCTCGACCTTGACGCCCCCGGTCACCCCGATAGCCAAGGAACTCTCCGACGCCGAGCGGTCGATTCCGAGTCCAGTCGAAGAAAAAGCCCTCGAACAAACAACGGTGCAAGTGAAGAGGAATATAAGCACTCCGCTACGCTTCACGGACGAAGTCGAAATCTGTCGCGATGATGAAGACCGCCCCGTCGAGTTTGGCCGTGGCGCTTGGAGTATAGTATACAAGGCGCGCTCAACTCTCAACAATACAACAACTCCCCTTCACACACCACCCAGCTCGCCAGTCACGGTTAGTCGCGTCGTAGCCGTGAAAGCGCCATTGCGCCGCGATGCGCGCAAAGTTCTACAAGCCGAAGCTCTAACCTTGACCCGACTCAATCTCACACCGGGTTTTGAGAAACATGTCGTCCCCTTCCAAGGCTTTCTATCCGACTCCGATGCGCTAGTCATGTCAGCCGTGCCCTTGGCATTATCCACATACATAGAAGACCATGCCGATCTACGGAAGAAACAGCATTCAACGGCGACCACGTTCGATCCCGTCCAAGGACCAGAATCTTGGCGCGATATGGCCCGCAAATTGATAACCGGTCTTGCATGGCTGCACGATACAGCAGGGATCATCCATGGCGATATCAAGCCTCACAATGTCCTCCTCCGTCGAATTTCAACCGACGAGCCCGGTGTCGACGCTGGCGCATTCCCCTACGAACCTCTTCTTGCGGATTTCTCGTCCGCCTTCAACATCCCAACAGACACCACCCTCACAACCCCGGATACGAACCAAGCGTCCATGTCAGCATTCACGCCGCCATTCACAGCACCAGAGTTACTCTCGCTTGCATCGCTCAAGTCGGGCGATGTTGCGCCGACACCCTCGTCAGACGTCTTTTCCCTCGCTGCTACCCTGATAGCTGCTGCCACGGGTGATCTCCTTCTCTACCCTGGTTCAAACAATATGCAGCGTCTAGCCATGGCAAGGGAAGGCCATCGAATCTTGGAGTTTACGCGTGCTGGTTCGAATGGTTGTCGTGTGCCGCGGAATGGCTTCGTGGAAAAGCTTGTTCAACCCGCTGTTTCCAAGGATCCAGCACAGAGGATTTTGACTCGGGATTGGATGGCTCTTGCATCTTTATGAGCATCAATGTTCATTTTCACTTTCATTTTAACTCTATGCTATATTCGCATTTTGACTGGGATATGCTACGATTTGTATAACATACACTCGTTGATTGATGCTTTCTTTATTCGGCATCTTCCCTTTTCTCTTTGGCATCTTCCTTCTTCCCCTCTTTGTTTTCATTATTCTTCTTTTCTTTTCTGTTCTTTTTTTTTGTTTGGCATGATACAGTTGCATCCTGGGAGCATTGTTTTGGTTTGGCCATTCTATCGCTTGGCATATATAAGATACCCGGAAATCTAGATGGAGTCGTTGAGGATTGACATTTGTGATCATAATATTGGATATAGACTCTCTTGCATACATACTTTCGCTGCACATGACAAATGAATGGCGTCTCTCAATCTACAATTCGCATTTTTACTCATTGTAAAGTATATCGATCATGTAGGCCTAGATAACCTCAGGCTCTAATTGACCTATTCCAAGGAAAGTAGTTAACAGCAAACATGCTCGCTTGCATTGAATATTTACTGCATCTGTTTGTTTTTGCTGGCGAAGCCGTGGTGTGTTATCAAAACGGAGTCCTGATTATGCTTTGTTTGCCTCAACCTACGGTATAATAAGCAGACCCTGTCCCTCTTAATCTCCATCTTCTTTCATTCTCTCACCCATCTCTCATCACTTTATATACCCCACCCTATCCATGGGAAGTTATATCTACCCTTCCTCTTCAAAGGTCGCTCGCTCTATCGAGAACGTTCCTTACAATTACGGGACCTACAATAGCCTCTCAATCTCATACCAATACATCCTCGTCAAAAGGGGCTGTGTGTTTGAATCGGGCTGAGAGAACCGGCCGACAGCCAGCCGAGAGCCCATGGCTTGTCGAAACAGTTAGACAATGAAGCTGAGCTGATCTTGTCCACTGATCTTGTCCACTGATTCTGGGAATGGGCCCATCTGCAGCTGTAACAGGGACAGCATCTTACTTATGGTGTCAGCTCGACCTGGTCCTGTGGTAAGTACCTATTCGAGGGATAAATGCCATGCTCTGAATTTACCCATTTTGCTGCAGACATATCTGGAAGCCACCATGCTACCTGATTATTTCGTTCCATGCCTCGTGGGGCTGTACCATGGTATACTTATTCGAGGCTCTCTCAAGGTTGAACACGAGTCTTGACTAATTTTTGACAGATTGGGGTCTCAATCATGCCCATAAGTGGCTGCTCGGTAACAAAGCCCACAGTAAGTACTTCCTAGATTTTGCTGGTGGAGTGAAGTTACTAATCTTAACGGAGTCCTGACTAGTACTTTCAAAAAGACGAAGGAGGGTGCGATCATCCAAAGTGGATTGATGGTGCAAGCACGTCAACAAGGTGCACATTGTAAGTTCCTAGTCTTCACGCAGGGGTTTTTGATGATGCCTAACTCTGAGTCTACCTAACTAAGGTCGGAGACTGTTGGAGCTAGTCATATCTTCTGACGTGTCACGGTATGGAGACTATATAAGCCTCTACCGGTTACCTGGCGATTTAATCGATGGATGCTGCGGGGCGCCAGTCCTGGTTTCCCACCACCTTTTGCAGGTGAGTATTTCTCAATTTATCGAGTTGGGATACCAAAGTGATTTGCAAAATGGTTTCGAGGATTTTTCAGAAGATGGATGATGAATGAAATTCCTCGCTCGCTCCTCTCATCAACCTTGCACCATGCCCTCAACTTCCGCGAAATCATTCATCACTCCTTACCCAAAAAAGCCTATTAGGTACAATCCTCGCACCGGCAAGACACGCTTCCAAATGGCAGAACCACCAAATGTGGAAACGGAAACCCTCCGGCAGACATGCCTGTACTTTGTCATCATCCGCCTGCCGGAAGAAGCTTTGCAGTCCTATCGCATCGACCGCCAGGTTATGACTCTGATAGACGACATCATTCACGCGCGTCTTCGGCGGGCGTTCGCGTGCTTCATGTGGCAGAGCGCTGCGCGATGGTGCACCCTGTCATGACATCAGTATACACCTTGCCCTGGAGTTCCCCTCAATTTCTTTTTTCGTGAGTGGAAGGACTTCGACTTCCCTGCACCTGCACAAAGCGAGATATATCATATAATCCACACGCCGAAAAGCGATAAAATAAATTAGGAAAACTGTGACCGTTACCGGTGGCTCATGGGTATTCATGTGGAGACTTGTTCGGTGCCTGATGAGATGTAGATCGATCAATCTTCATGCAATAAACATGTGCCTATGTTCACCCATGACACCAATTTCTGGGAGAAAATAAGTGAAACCCATTCTACAGTCCGCTAAGAACGTGGATTGCCTAAGGGAGAGGAATGAAGTCATCGTGTTATTGCGATTGCGGAGTCTCTTTGGGATCCCCTTAACAAGATTCTCATGACGGAACCAATTGCTATGGTCTCCGGCATGTGCGGAAGATATATCCAGGTACGCATATACGTCTTCTGTGTATTGATGTTCTGTTTTGTGTTTATGGGCTCTGACTATTTGGTTTCGATTGCAGGATTTTTGCTAAGAAGTACTTGCTGCCAAATTAAGAGAGGCACAAAGTCGGAGATTCCTGGGGATGTTGGAGGAATGGATTTACATTGCATACAAGGAGATGTGGATTCACGCCTGCCTGTGTGTAATGCCTTGTCTTGGGTGTTGAGGGGCAGGCATAAAAATGACCGCTCCATTTATTCGGTGCATGAGTATGTGATTGATATAACTGGGCTCGCCCTTTTGTTGGGCTTTCTACTGGCGGCCTTTTCAGTACCCCTATGAGGGCATGTATTCGGATTCTTCATCGAGGAAACAGGGTTTTCCCTCCTATACACTTCACACGGCTCTCATTCACTTTCTCTCCCCAACTAATGACTTTGTGATTTGCTTTCTCTCAAGGAATAATTCAATGTTGATTCAATTTGTTTCCATAGCCGTGCATCTCCTAAATCAAGATCTGTGTTTCAACTAATTCGTACCACTCTCATTCCCCTCAATAAATTTCTTCAAATCACTAACCCAAAGCTCAAAGTTATGCTGCAACTTCGCCCCAAACATCCACTTAACAGCATAAACCATCCACCCAGCCTGCAACTCCCAATTCCGCACCTCAGTCCCCTTAATAACATTCTCACCCTCCCCAATCTCCACATCAGTAATCTCATGTACCCGCTCCGCATTCAACAAAGAAGGAGACATCGCCCCCGGCGCATCACGATCCACAACCCACACAATTCGGCCCGGTGTCTTGGTCTCCGGATCTGGCGCAGTATACTCAGTGATGAGGAGGTACACGTCACGCGCAGCCTGAGGCTTCGTCGATTCAGGATCCATGCGGACGTGGAAGGTAACTCTCGTGCCCTTGCGAAGGAGTGGAGAGAGATTGGCTGGGTCAGAGTCTTGGCTGTCTGCTTGCTCGCGAATAGTTGCGCGCGGGATGAATGTGTTCCATTCTGGCCATGTTGATGTGTCGGTAAGGACTTCCCAGACTCGTGTGGATGGTGCTGCGATGAAGATGGAGCTGCCGATTTGGAAGACTGCGTCTGCGACGGCGATGCCGGGGGTTGGGCGCGTGGAGTTTTTGGGGTCGGAGAGGGTGGTCATTTTGATGCGACTGTGATTGAGACTGGAGACTGGGTTAATGGGGAATCTAGGAGGGAGAAATGGAGGTTAGACGGAGAAAATTGCCGGACTAAGGAGTAGCTGCTAGCTGCGTTACGTACTTCGGAGGCTGCCAGCATCCGAGCCGATAAAGCTGGCTGGCCTTATCGGTGGGTCTTATCTTATCGTTATCTTATCTGCGGTGTGACGTCAGCTTTGGTGGAGACAAGGACTATACAGAGTAAATCTGGTGACCACAATTGTGCGTGGATACTTGGAGAGGAAAACTTTCACCTAATGCGCATAGCTCTAGCGGTCAGGCTACCTAGGAAACGAGCGGAGTAAGGCTGTTTGCAAGGATTCAGCCAAAAAGGTTGCCAGCAAGTCCGAAGGACCGGGCTTTTCTTTGGCTAATGAAGTTTGAAGCCCCGACGAATTTTTGGAATCATCTTTGCAGTCACGAGTTGAATGATAGACCTCGGAGGGGTATCTATGCTACCGAGAAAGATGATAAGAAAGACAATTAGAAATAGCTTTCAAATAAGAGTGGTTGAAGCATGCCTGAGAAACCATGAAGCATTCCACCCAGAAGCCAGTCTTACCGACCCCACCATCTTATTTAGCCTAAATGATTATCGGCAATCCTTCAGTATCCTTCCTTAAAAAATAGTACACCCGTCGACTACATTTGCTTGATGTGCCAGAAACATTTATTGACCAGCCATTCCCCCACTTTGAGTGGGACGGGACCTCTGTGAGCCTCACAATCCCGCCCTGGCTCCGATTCATTCCATTGACCCAGTTATCTTCGTTCGGGTGTACCGTTTCCTATAGCCAATTTCGGAGTCCGTGCCGTGGCAGTCGGGGAAACTCTCAGTCGATAGCCCGGCTTCTTCTGATAAATAAAGTGGTCTAATCTGCTTGAAAATTATTGAAGGTCTAGTTTTATCAGCTCGTGGATCGTTCACTTCAATACTTGATCAACCTTTGTCCGTCCGCCCTTGCACCCCTTCGCTATGATGACGAGTAGGACCGACCTTACGGTCGCGATTGATCAGCCCAAGATCTACGATTTCAAACACTTTTATTCACAGGTTGTGGGTGCTGGACGTGCCAATGAGGGCCTCCGCGCGGACTGGCAAGCCCATTTAAAGCTTGCGCAAAGGGCTTGCGGATTCAAATACGTTCGATTCCATGGCTTGTATCACGACGATATGCATGTGCTCAGCGAGGTGGAAGGAAAACACGTTTATAATTTCCAATATATCGATGCTCTTTTTGATACTATGCTTGATATGGGCGTACGCCCCTTCGTCGAGTTTGGTTTCTGTCCGTCGCTGATTGCTACTCAACGAGACACGGTTGGTCCAGTCCCTCTCTTTCCCTCGAGCTGATAGTTTGTAGTCCAGCCGCTGACTGATTATGACTGTAGGTTTTCTGGTGGAAAGGTCACGGTAGCCCTCCTAAAGATCTGGACCAATGGTCCGATTTGGTGCGGGCGACAGTGGATCATTGGATTCAACGCTACGGTTTGCAGGAGGTTCGCACTTGGTATTTCGAATGTTGGAACGAGGTCTGTTCACCGGGTCGGACGGTCAGGGTCAGCGCGGGGAGAATCAAGGCTGACACATTCAAAGCCCAACTTGAGCGCTTTTTTCAAAGGCAGCAGGTCTCAGTATTACGCTTTGTATGAGTGCACTGTCAAGACAGTGAAACAGCTCGACGCGGACCTTCGCGTTGGCGGACCTGCCACGAGCAATTACGTTCCAGATACGCGATTTGACGGTGAATGGGAGGACATGGAAGTTCAAAAGCAGTTGGCAAATGTAAGCTGACTATACCAGCACGGAGGACGAGGCAAGGCTCACTCTTTCCAACAGGTCGAAGACATTGATTCGTTGCATTGGCGTCCGGTTTGGGTCGAGCACTTTCTCCGCTGGTGCCACACGCGCCAGCTCCCCGTGGATTTTGTCTCTTGCCACCCGTACCCTACAGACTGGGCCTTGGATACATCTGGATCCATGTCGAAGCGAGTGCGCGGGCTGGAAGCGACGCCTAATGACCTTCAATATCTCAGACAAATTGTGTCGCAAAGCGCGTATCCGTCGGCCGAGATCCACCTGACAGAGTGGAGTTCCAGTCCATCGTCTCGAGACCATGCTCACGATGAGGTTCCTGCGGCCATATACATCGTCAGGACGATGCTTGCATCGCTGAATCTGGTGGACACCCTAGCCTATTGGACATTTACTGACGTTTTTGAAGAAGAGGGTTGTGGAATGACACCCTTCCGTGCGTATCATACTTTGAGCCTTTTGCTCGTCTTCACTGGGTTGAATGTGAGGCTGATGTGACTCTCTTAGACGGTGGATTCGGTCTGATGAACCTTCAAGGTATCCCGAAACCAGCTTTTCATGCCTTTAGGCTACTAAAGGGCCTGGGCAAGGAAGTTCTTGCGCAAAACAAAAGCGATAGCATTGTCACTCGCAATCCTGAGAATGGCCTCATCTCTGCGATCTTGTTCCACTACCCAGACGAAGTCAAAACATCTCCACCACCGGCTTACAATGACCCACAGGCTGCAGAGGGTCTCTTGAAACTCGGCAGCCCAAAGTCAAAGAAGCTGGTTCTCAAGGGACTGCGTCCAGGGTCGCCGTTCAGAGTGGAAAAGCTCTCACCTGGAGGTCCAGGAGATGTCAAATCGGCTTACAGACGACTGGGATCCCCGAAGACGTTAAGTCGCCAAATTATCAAGGATCTCACAGCATACGCAATGGATCTTCGGGTATCTGTTGTCAACGCTGATGCCGAGGGTGTGCTGGTTCTGGAGGAGGATATGGCCCCGTGGAGTTTGATAGCTCTTTCGCAGACGGCGGCCAACTTGTGATCGCTCTTTGTAGATTCGGGATATCACTAAAAGAAGATAATATTAGACTTTCTAAACACGGTTCGGGCTCAGAATGGTCTCGTTCATACTTTGTGAGAGTCAATACTAGGTGGAATACTTTTATATAGGGACCTGTGAAATCGACGCCGAAAATGACAACCTCTGGCGCCAGAAACGGCTGCCTTTCCACCCGTAACTTTAGATAGCCAGACGTTGCTTAACCGCCCGCTCTATTGTACTGCCCCCTATGATGCTATGGCTAGATCATATAGAATTTAGCAGAACTAAATGACATCAATACAATCTGCTGGAATCTCCCGCTTTCTCAATTTTATAAGGGATCTAAATCCCTGAGCAGAGCGATATGAATCCTAAGTCTCTTTTTACTCTTCAATCTGATCCTATACTATCTTACCTGAGATAGTAACTCTTCTTCTATCTATTTAACCCTGCTTCCTATACGTCATAGCCTGCTCACATAACTTAAACTAGAGGTATAAAATAGGCGCTATAAAGTAAACTTAGATACAGAGGCTAATATTTAAATTTTTTGATAGATAGCCTTAAAATAAGGGTATCGAGGGCGATTTAGGTAGCAGGGTGTTACGATACACACCTGACGTGAGGTTATTCACAAATGTTAGCGCCTTAGGCTACCAGGACCCTGGTAAGCCGGCAAGCTTTCGGTGGAGGTTCACTGGGGCTTCGCTGCCAGTACGTGTACGAACTCCTGCAAGGAAGACCCTTGTAGAGGTTACATAAGCCTCGTGTTTTTCCCATTCCCCTACCAAGGATGCATCCACTTCCTGTTTTGAGCGATATGACTACATGTAAATTGATCCATGTTGGAGAGGATTTACATCCCTCAAGAAACAGTCTTTGACCTTTCTGAACAATTGACTTGGTCCCTTTCTCCTACCTGATTGACAGGCCTCTATCCTGACTTATAGAGTATCCTTACACGTATCGTCTAGAAAGGGCATATTAGAAGCTTATCGCGCCGTTAAACCAAGGAAGATAGCTAAATTTTACCAACAGTATTCGGTGGGCTCTCACCACGCGCAGCTAGTAGAATATTAGCTATATCGCGTATAATAGAGGGCCTAGGGGCTGCACCACGCGTATCTAGAGATATAATCCACTTAGCTAGCGAATCCTCTTCGAATTGGGTCAATTTATGGCCTGATAGACGTTTCTCGACGCGTGGGATTTAACCGTGGGCGCGCGTATGTAGTGTAGAGAGGGACTTGGTAGAGCTTTGCGGCTGCGCGAAGGCATTTGATACGACTATCTTTGATATTGGAAAGGGCTAATAGTATCCTTCTCTCTTGATTAGCCAAATTCTGCGAGGATTGAGTGCGAATTGGAGGCATGGTAGGCGATTGAATTAGGTAGGGTAGTAAAATATGGCGGTTTCGGATGGGGGTGTCCAGATCGGCCAGGAACTACGTTAGCATGCAACCTATTAGTAAATCGAAGAGAATAAATTAGCTGAAAAGACGTAGTTATAAAGGTATATAACTAGTTACAAGAAAATAAGGCAATATAGTTAATATGACCGTAGAACAACGCTGTCAAATGTTACATAGGAAGACTACATATTTAAAGGTGGAGTAGGTGGGGCAAGAGTAACTCTAAAATAGCTTACGGGAGAAGAGGTTTCGCTACGGCGCCGCCCCTAGCGCAGACTTCAGCCACAGTTAGCGTCCACATGTTGACGTCCATCGGCGGCAGATGCAATGCGAGACCATCCCATCTGCCATGCAGCTGCTAATGGACATGGAGAATTCGTGCAGAGGCTCCTTGAACAAGCTGTCGATATCAGCTTCAAAGATGATCGTAGGAGGAGTCCTCTTGCCTTGGCAGCTCGGCACGGCCATCTCGGCTTAGTTAAAATGCCCATCTCTCGGGGCGCCCAGCAACTTTCGTACGACGCATGGCGTCAAAGTCCGATCGCAAATGATGCTTCTCAAGGTCATCATCTTGTCGCAGATTATTTACTGGAGCAATCATTAACTACGCTCCGGTGAAGTTGAATCATACCATCAAAATGGACATGGAGTGGATGCTCCTGTATGTGCCGAAAGAAGGAAATGAAAAGCGCGTGCGCTATTTTCTGTCAAAGGAAGCCGATATGAACTTTCAAGGAAAGTTAAAGGAAGGTACACCGCTGTGTAATGCTCTGTCCTCGGCACCCAACCCATTGGGATTGTTAAGCTTTTACTAGCTCGAGGCGCAGATCCAAACATTGTCCTGCGTCCAAAGACCCGACTGGGCTGGAGACCGATTCCAAGTACACCACTTCGGCTCGCGATGCTCCGGGAGGATATTTGGCACCTGAACAAGGTCTTGCTGAAGTATGGGCAGATGCCACAAAAGCTAGTCCGGCATTGTTCGATGCTGTCAAGCTCGAGAAACCTGCAGAGTTTCGGCTTCTCATGGCTCATAATGCTGATACTCGAGTGAGGCTACAAGGCGAGTCCCTTGCCCAATGTGTTTTGGAAAGCGAGTGTGAAAGTATCAAAGAACTTGGTCTTGAGTGGGATATCAAAGCGAAGACACGGGAACTGGCTCGGCATGTCGGTACTCGCTGCGGAAATAGACGGTATCGCAGGCCTAGAGGCCAACATGCGGATGAGACAGTTTCAGCACAGCGCAACGGAGTGCTCCAGTCTGCCACGATAGATCAAGAATGAATCTACATGAAAAGCTCGTGTACTTCTTACCGGTTGTATTTCTAAGTCAAAGATTAAGAATATCATCAAGTCCGTTCAGACACGTTGATTGAGTACCGGAGTATTTAGGCTGACCTCAAGGATCGGCAATCGAGAACCTACTAGGGCCATAATATGATGGGCGTTACGTATCGGCTAATAGTGACGTGCCAGCCACACCAGGGTCTCAACGGTGCTTATTTCCGATTCTCTATGCCCCAACCTTTATGATGGCATACTTCAGTCTCATAGATCCTGGATAACATATTTCCACCAATCGTTGGGCAACCCCGCAACCGCCGAAATAATAGTCCATCCACACGAAGCTCTTCCCCAAGGAATGTCCCCGCATTGTGGAGAAGGCTTGGCTCAATTAGTCTCGCATTTTGGCGATCGCATTTTCAATGTTACAGAAAAGGTCACCAAATATTACTACATATAAAGCTCAATTCTCGTCTTGGGGGCAAAGGAAAGGCTCACTAACCCGTTGAATCATTTTCACAATGCTGCTTTCCAATACAGCTGTCTTTGCACTATTATCGGGTCTTGCACTCGGATCCTCGAGTCGACCTCGTCGCTGCGTTATTCCGGCTTCAAATAGTACCTCCGATGACTCTGCAACGGTCAACAGCGTCTTTGCCCAATGTGCCACGGACTCCGTGATCATCTTCAAGGAAGGCGCGGACTACAACATCTTCAACCCCATCAGCGCAACAAACCTCAGCAATGTTGAAATCCAAATGAAAGGAAATCTCCATCTACCGCAAAGTATTGCCGAAGTCCAGCGCATCGTCAACGGAACCAATCGGCCACTCTACTCAAATGGTCAATACTGGTTTACATTTTCTGGTCCTCGTATTGATTATACTGGATCATCCAGCGTCAACAATGGATGGATCAACTCCTACGGCCAAACATGGTGGGACGCCAATCCCGTCAATGGTACCGGAATTGCCTCCCGGCCTCATTTGATGAGTTTCAAGACCACGAATGGAACATTGAAATACTTTAAATCGCGGAAGCCCATCGCCTGGAATGTACAATTGAAGGGTGACAACATTGCTGTTAGCCACGCTTTCATTGATGCCGAGTCCACTGGATCATTCCCGTTCAACACCGACGGTTTTGATGTCACTGGAACAAACATTCGAATCACCGACAGTGTGATTTACAATGGTGATGATGCCATTGCCGTGCAGGATGGCTCTCACAATGTGGTCTTTGAACGCAACACCATCGGCTACCAGAGCCACGGAATGAGTATTGGCTCTTTGGGCCAGGACCAAACAGCCTTTGCCAACGTTTCCAACATCCGCTTCGAAGATGTCACAGTCATTGATGCCGTCTATGCTGCTCGGTTCAAATCTTGGATTGGTGGTCAGGGACTTGTCAAGAATGTTAGCTGGAAGAACATTCGTGTCTACAATGTGACTTTCCCCATCTTCGTGACGCAGAGCTACTTCAACCAAGGATCATCGCAGACCCAGCTCGGCAATGGTGTGACTACGGGACGAGTGAACAATGCCTCTGTTGCGATGGAAAACTTCACTTGGTCTGACTTTACGGGCTCGGTCAATACCTATCGACCTGGTGATGGATCCTGCGCGTCGGATCCTTGCTGGTATAATGCTGGACTTCCGAATCTGAAACATACCGAGGCAGTCATCATCGAGTGCAACACGGCGACTTCCTGCAAGAACTTTGAATTGAGCAATATTCAAGTCATCCCGCAGAGCATGGTGGAGCCGACCGTAATCTGCATCAATGCCACTGCCGCATTGAACCCGCATCTTGGATTCGGTTGCAAGAATGGCACATTCGTTCCTTCTTGATTTGATAGACGGGAAGTGTGAAGCGGGTGCCTTCCCGCCCGTTAGGACTTTCTGTTGCTGTCGCTTCCTTTAGTATGGTAGCTGGGAACTTCAATGGACGGCAGGAGCAATAGACCATGTAAACAATCAACAATCAACAATCAACAAGCCCTTTCTTCTTGCCTTTCCTCTTCTCATCCTCTCTTCTCCTCTCTTCTTCTCTCCATCCCCATCTGCTTTCATCTTTCCAGCTTCCAAGCTTGATTACCTCTCCTTCTGAAAGCACAAGTACGCTCTTTATATCAACAGTCTTTACTCAACACCTTTCTACTCTCCTTCATTTCCTCTATTATCGTGTTTCGACCATCATCATGTTCCACCAAACTCCTTATTCTCTTTCATACTCGCAAGTTCAGCCACAGCCTCGTTTCTGCATCTTCCGACCTGGTGGTCGTCTTGCTCCATTGATCCCTGCCGACGAATTGCCATCTTGGTTGCACATTGGCAACTTTGGCCCAGACCTGACTGCAGCTCTGCAGCCAGTCTCTCTCAGCTTTATTCCACGCGAGGGCGAATACGACGTGATCTGCCACCACTGTTCAAGCAGCGTCGATTCCTTGCATCAGAGCACCTCTGAGCGGAATTCGGACTCGCAGTCTCCCCAGTCTGCCACCAGCCAAACCAGAAGTTGCCCAGGCACTTTCTTCACTCAGGCCATTGACTGCGATGTTCAAGCCGTGGTTCAACCCATCGGCATCACAGGCCAGGCTCCTGTTCAGGCAGCAGTGCAGAATCCGTATCTCGGCATATACATGCTTCAGATGCCAGCCATCTCCTCCAACGTGATGCCGTCGGTCATGCGAACTCCCGCGGCCATGGAGAAGGCTCGCGACATTGCAAGCACCTGTTCCCATATCGGATCTGATCTGTTCGAAAAGACTTTTGCCCAAGGTGAACATCCGACATCCGGATCAGATGCAGATTCAGAGAGATCAGTCCTGGGGACTGAGAAGACAGCCATGCCAGCTTCAGCTGAAAGGGTCGATAGCCCGGATCCCAGAGTGGACCACATCTCCAGCCCCAACTCTCGGACTGGCTTTGACGCCGCTGCTGAGATTGCATCACGCATCCAGGAATCTGCCCTCAGGGATGATTCTCATGACACGCGGACCGTTCTCGAGGCGAGCATCGCCTCAACCCGATCCCTCACAGCGGCCGTTCTACGACTCGGGCAGCTGATGGAGGAAGGAAAAATTCGTCGACCATCAAATTTTGATCTCGGACGGCTCCATCGAACCGGCTTCAAAGAGGATTCAGAGACGCGTCCACGGGCTCCAAGTGTTCATGTTCCTTCCAAGCGTGTTCGTGTCCGCCATCGCCGTCGTCGTGCTGACAAGTCTGCCAAATCCAAGCCGGATGCTCCAAAGGTCAGCGAGGAGCCCAAACCTGAGCAGGAAAACTCCGCCACCAAGAGACGAGAACGCCGTCAGAAGTTGAATCGAGGCAAGAAGGATACCGGAAGTCCAAGCCGTTTTGCCCACATGACGGCAATGCAGAATGGACATGAGCTGCCGCATCGCTGAAATGTTGATATCATGGGACCTTTGCTTGTTGGGACTTGTACATGATTTGTGGAAACACATTTGCATTCCTTTGGCTGGCAGTTCATGGCTTTGATGCCTTGTTGGATGTCTTTGCTCTTGGGTTTGTCACTTTGTGCACCTTGTCGTTCCTTTTGAGTTATGTTGCAGGTCTCAAACATCTTTGTGTGCGGTCTTGCTTTTATTTTTGTATATATTCCTGCCCTTTTTGCTTGTTGACTCGCGAGTCAGGCGTTGCTTTGCCTCGTCTTGCATTCATCACTGTACAAATACTTGACACTTGTTTTTGCCCCGGTCTTCCTTCGGGCTCACGGTCTGGGGGTTCATGTCGTTCCTTTGGGGTTATCACTTTCTGGGTGTTGTCATTATTGCCGACTTTGTTCGACCATGACGCACCAGTCTTTCGTTGCTATTTCCGGCGGGTCTCGCTTTATTGTGGCGTTCATCTTCCGCCTTGTACAAATTTACGCTGTTGCTTCTGCATTAGGTAGCTTAGATAGTTTAGTTTCGGTTGCACCGAATGGCATTTGCCAAATCCACGCTCCTTCAAGAGAGAAGACAGTGTCCAGTTAGAATCAATCCCCTGATTTTGAGGTTGCAGTCGTTCAAATTTTCCTAGGGTGTGTATTTCCCGGCCAATACCAAGGGGGGAACCCGCCTTTTCCCCCGCACTCTTATCTCCGGCAATCTGCCCGACATTCTTTCTACAGTGTAAGAATGGAATTCCCCATCATACAACCTGCAGCCATATGGCGGCCGTCAAAAAGCCCCGAGGCATTCGCCATGATCGCCACTGCGAGCGATGTCGGACCAATGGCATCAAGTGTGATTTAAACCGTCCTCGCTGCCAGCCATGTGTACAGAGTGGAGCGGGATGCCAATACCCGCAAAGAGTCATCTGGATGGGGAATAGAGAGCGGAGAAAGGAGCACCCAGCCTCGAAACAATCACCATCATCAAGTTCCCCTGTCTCACAAGATCGAGATCGATCATCGCAAGAACCTCAACAACTTAGAGTACAGTCCAACAAGCATATCAAGCATATACCCATCAACCTCAACGGCTTCATCGATCTTCTGTCCGAATTCTACCAGGAGATTCAGTCTAGCAAGCAAGAACTTCCAAACGAAACAATCGAGCTTATATCGCAAACATTGAGCTACGCGCGCTTACGCCTTCAGGGCGCAAATGACGATGACGCGATTCAGTCACATCTGGTCGCTTTGACAAATCTAAGCCGCGTCATTGACTCTGCACACCCCATCGCGTTATTCGGGATAGGGACATTCGCCATGTTTGAGGTCTGCTGTGGGTCCTTTGGTAATTGGCAGCGCCATCTACACGGGGCCCGATCATTGCTTGACTTGCATTGTACGAACAAGGCCGAACTGGATGGTCTAACTGACCGAATACCGGGACTAGCGGACGTACTCGCCTACCTGGTCTGGTTCGATGTGACGGGCACCTTAAATAGAGGCGACAATGATCTGATCTTTGATAATTGGCATCGCGAGATTCTGACGCAGGACTTTCTTGACTGGGTGGGTTGTCCGCCAGATACATTCGAGCTATTCGTGCACCTAGCAAAAGGCGAGCACGATTCAAGTCCCTTAGATCTGAGTGCCAGGGCAATGCAGCAAATTCTACGCATCAACAACAATAACTCGACAGATGTGAGTCTCGCAGACGTGGCATACCGAGGTTCGGCTGCAATGGTCTCCTTCACCCGCGCAGCAGAAAGCAGCTTATCATCAAGTCCCTCGATACACGCAGATGTAATATCCTCCCTGGTAGACAAAGTCTGCGATGCAATATCCAAAATGCCTACTTCTTCCCGATTCTACGTGCACCTGGCCACATCTGCTTATCTGACGGGTATGCATGCCAGCACTAGTGATCAGTGCGATGTGGTGCGGGGTTATTGGCGGAATTGCCAGTTGTGCGACTTTCCGCGGTATCCGGATGGCCAGGAACAGTGTGAGCGGAGATGGCGGGATAAAGGGATTATCTAGCGAGCGATAAAGACGAGTCAAGTTGTGTTGTTTGAAATGGCGTTGGTTACTCCGCATGTGTTTCTTTAGCGCGCATTTGATTACTTGCCGAATGCGGAAGGTAATCTATCACTTCTCCGCATTTCTTATCTATATACGGTACTTGAACATAAATATCCGAAGACTTGATTCTACTCGGGATCCGTCTAGTTTTGACTCTTCTCAAATTCATATCATTCATAGCGACCTCGCATCATGGCAACTACCATATCAACTCCGACATACCAAGAACGCGCCGCTGAAAAGCGCGCCAACCAACTCGCCCTCATCCCGCCCGAGTGGCGACTCTCCCCAGTTCCCTCAGTTGAATCGCACCCAGATGCGCTGGCATACATTCGAAACATACTCACACCAGCCGAACTAGCTCTTACAGAGGAAACGGATATCACAGTCCTCCTTCGTAAACTAGCTTCTGCGGAACTCTCCTCTCTGGAATTGACCAGAGCGTTCGCCAAGCGTGCAGCGCTGGCGCACCAGCTGACGATATGTTGTACGGAGATTTTCTTCGAAGAGGCCTTTGCGACGGCGAAGCAGGTGGATGAGTATCTAGCGAAGACAGGGACGACTATTGGACCTCTGCATGGATTACCTGTTTCGATTAAGGATTTGTTCTCTGTCAAGGGAGTGGATACATCGATTGGTAGGGACCCCCCCCCCCCCCCCCCCCCCCCGCCTCCAACTTAATCTTCCATCCTATCGATATACGCATACTAATATTTCCTCAGGATGGGTCGGTCTAACCAACAACCCTGCCCCCTCCGACAAATCTGTGGCCCGAACACTCCGTCGTCTCGGCGCAGTTCTATATGTAAAGACAAACCTGCCCCAATCAATGATGATGTCCGACTCCTACAATCACGTCTTCGGGCAATGCGTCAACCCGTTAAATCGAAACTTGATTTCTGGCGGTAGTTCCGGTGGCGAGTCCTCGCTTCTTGCGGCTAGGGGAAGTGCGCTTGGTATTGGGACGGATCTTGGTGGTTCTATTCGGATCCCGGCGAGTTTGTGTGGACTTTATGGACTTTCGCCGACGCCGGGACGGCATCCATATGAGCGTGGAAGGTGAGTGGCTTTTCTCAGCAGATTAATTGCATCGTGAAGAGGCTCATTTGGTATAGTCCCGGTCAAGATATTATTCGCTCGGTTGCGGGTCCGATGAGTTGTAGTTTGGCTACTATTGAGCGATATATGGAGGCTCTGCCCTGTGCATCGCCCTGGGAACTCGATCAACATACTACTCCGGTACCGTGGCGACGAAGTATGGCCTCGCTCAAGGCGAAGAGACTCCGGATAGGCTTCTTGGTTGATGACGGCGTGGTCAGGGTTCAGCCTCCAATTGCTAGGGCTATTCATGAAGTTGTCACTGCACTGAAGGCGGCTGGTCATGAAGGTATTTACCACTGGAACACATCTCATATTGGATTTTCTGACAATTAAGTATAGTTTTCGAGTGGGACCCCTCATCACATGGGTATGCATATCAACTTTGGGAAAAGGCCATTCTCTCCGACGGCGGCGAGGGCTGTCGCAAGAAGATCGAGATGACCGGTGAACCTTTAATTGAGGGTATGCTAGTTGGAACAGAGAAGGATATTCTGACTACATCTGAAACACATCAAGTACTGTCCCTCTCCTTTAATGTATTCGTTTCCCGGGTATGAGTGTGTGCTAACTTCCCTCCAGCTCCACGCCGACAAATATCTTTACGAAAGTGAATACCTCGACCGCTGGACAACATCCGGTATTGACGCCCTCATCATGCCCAACACGCCCTGGGTCGGATACAAGCCGTGGACGTGGGTCAAATCCAGCGCCTACGTTGGATACACTAGTATCTGGAACTTGTTGGGGTATGCTGCCTTGACTGTTCCCGCTACGACTGTGTCTATGGAGAAGGATGTTCCTGATGGTGAATGGTTGGATCATGTCCCGCGCAATGCGGGTGATAGGTTTAATAAAGAGCAGTGTAAGTCTGGTTGCGGAGAGGTTTTGAATTGGTATGCTGATCTTTTTTTTTTAGATGATATCGATCTGGTTGATGGTATGCCTGTGGGAGTGCAGGTTGTTGGTGGGCGCTTTGGAGAGGAGAAATGTGTTTCTGTGGCTAAGGCGATTGAGCAGGCTATGCGGTGGAGGGATGCTGCTCGGTCGAGTTTGTGAGAGATTCCTCTCATGGGGGACAATAAAGATCATAGACTCCCATTTTTACCAACTTTTTGATACTCTGTTTATCTAGGGTATCAACAAGCTGCCAGTTTTCAGCCTTAATATCATGTTCATGGATTCCGTGTATATGCATCCCATCCAAGTCCAACCCAACCCGATCCAACGCTCATCGTATATACAAGAACGCCTCTTAAATGTTTCATCTCATCATCATCATTCAAATAGGAGCATTCATCCTCTCCTTGTAATCCGGAAACTCAAAATCCCCCAAATCCCACTCAATACTAGTTTTCCTAAATCCATTCCCATTCCCTTTCATCCCCGCCCCCGACCCCCGTCTCAGCCCCATCTCAAAATTCTCATCATGCACAAACTCATTCCCACCAAACCCACCAATCTCCCCCGGCTCCACCGCATCCGAAACCATCCTCAACTCCCTAACAACCCGAATCCCATCCTCATCCTCGCCCTCGCGATGAATCTCGTCTTCATTCGTGTTCGTCTTGGAAATACTAGCCGTGTAGGCGCCGGGCCCGGCGTAGAAACAATCATTGTAGTAGATGCTTCCTTCTGGGTAGGAGGATTGGTCGTAGATGGAGTGTTTCCGGGAAGAGGTGAGGTGGGTTCCGGTTGTGGAGTGGGTTTTTGTTGCTGGTGATGAGTGGATGGGTTGGGGGCGGAAGCAGAAGGAGAATATGCGGGATATTAGTGGGTGGAGGGGGGGGAGGCAGGCGCAGATTATGGAGACGTTGGCTTCGAGGGAGGACCAGATTGCTGCTTCGGAGTTTGTTTCTGGGAAGAAGAGTGTTAGTGGGATGATATTATATCTTGGATGGGGGGTTGACATATGGAGGTGTAACGCACTGGTGAAGTCGTGACTATCTATCATTTTGGTGAGTTCGTAGAGTCGTGCTGAACTAGTCGCAATCACACTAGAATAAATCAGTATACAACCCAAATTTTCTATCTCAGGGAACATGACGAGAAACTCACAAAATCCCAACGCCAAAAACCAACATCATCCCGACCTTCTGCCTCCTTGGCAAATGCAACTTCGACAACAACGGCATAGGAAGAATCAAAATAACCACATCCGTCAAGATCTGCATAGCCGCATTGGCATACCACACCGGCCCCTCCGGTAGACAATGGCCCGTATGCGTTTTGTAGTTGACACTCCAGAAATCTCGGACGGGTATGCAAAAGAGGAAGCCGCTGAAAACCATCCATAGTCCTGCGATGATGAGGAAGGCCATGGTGGAGTATGTGCATACTAGGAACTTTCTTGATCGGAAGATGCGGATGAAGAGGACTAGGACGGATAGTTTGGCGAGGATTAGGGAGAGGTTGTAGAAGGGGACGGAGAGCCAGAGGAACTATGAGGTAGGTGGAGGGTTAGTAGGAGGACTTGATGGTTGTTCGAGTGACCTGGACTTGGTGGACATACATGCATCTGACCCTGGATGACATCGTCAGAGAGATACTTTTTGTGTTCTCCGAGACCATAATGCCGCTCTGTAAGAGACTGTTAGCTGTGTGCCTAGTTAATGATGGTACTCGGGACACACATACCGACAAGGATGAAGGAGTAGAACGTGATGGAACATATCTAGACCAAACCGGTGAGCATTTAGTCCGCAACAGAGATACTTCCGACCATTTCAATCCCCTCACCACACATACCAATGCAAAAAAGATAAGCAAATCATCATATCCAGGACTCTTCACGATCCTAAACCTCGTCCACAGTCGAATCGCCACAAACACACTCGCCAGGACAGTGAAAGTGGTGGTAATCGCCAGGACCCTCATATTCAGGGAAGATGATCTGCAATGGTATCACCGGGTCCATCGAATAAATGCGTCGAAATGGTTCAGTTGAAATGCCTTATAAGAGGCGAGCCTGAGAAGATTGCAGTCGGATGAGTGAAGAAGAAGTAGGGTATCCTAGCACAAGGCAGCATCACATCACTTCTAGGTAACGACACAGGCAGCGCCAAGCAAGTCAACGAGCGAATGAATGTAACAGACGGGCAACTTTAAAAGTCAAACACGGATATCAGCGATTCCATATATGTATTGTACCGTTAGCGCTTGAATAATGCAAACCCCATGCCAAGATGTAATCACTAAAGTCGGTATCTAAAAGAGTCCGGAGCTGGTCCGTCGATCGATCGATCGTTACAGTATCCAACTACCGACATTCACAAAGAATAAAGATTATTCACACTCTTATCAGCAAACCCACAAACCCACAAATCCAGTCTCGCACTTCCTTTCCAAAGTCACTTGGTGATCGATCTCACAACCAAGCGCTGCAATTGGCCCAACCAACCCTGTCAACCGGCCGCATTAGGAAAGTGAAAGTCTGTATGGACGATTGCGTCAAGGAGTCGGAGCGGATCAACTAGACCACCTACACTGCCTAAAGTTTGTATGGTGTGCGGACAGCCGCCAGTGACATGGGATGAATATTATAAAATTGGGTGGTGTCTATTGGTGTAAGATAAAGTTGTGGGGTTGAGTGAGATCTACTGGGGATACAGCGATGGTTGGTACTGTAGTGGGTGGGATTCTTTTCCCCTCCTCCCCGAGGCTTGGCCGATAGGAATTCCGAGGCCGAACCTTGAATTTCTTCGTTTTCCACGGAACCTACCCCGAATTAACCCAAATTCTAGTGGGATTCTTGAAACTCTGTCATGTCGTGCTGGTCGATGATTGCATCTCTCAAGATTTTGGAGTCAAAAGAGTAAAAGTTAATACCCCATCGAACCACTATATCTCCACCCATCACGACTCGTTCCAGGCTCTACAAGGATCTGGATCTCTAATCACATCTCCGCTTGACAAGTTGACACAGGATGGTTATCGTAGCTAATCACGGTTTGCTGGTGATCTTTTTCCGTAAGAGGGCATCGCACGATCGCACGATTCAAGTCGTACGGTGGAGCACGTACTTTTGCGACTCGTGTTGTGGGGGCTCTTTCCTCCTTCGTAGATTCTCGGAGGAATTCCTTATGGATACTCGGGGAGGCCGAAGATCGACGCCAGGATGTTCATCATTGATTCATGCATATTTTTGAGTACTGTTCCTGTTGGATGAATGCAGGGGGATAAGATAGCCTATAGCCCCTGCGATCGGCCGATTGCCGATTGTCGGGGGATTTCGATGTGGCGTTAGCCACGGAAACCACTGGCATGTGTCTTGCCATGAGATGGATACTGTACATAGTAAGTGGGAAATAAGATTGGGGCGAAGGTTATTCCGAGTATTGGGGCCTGGATGGGCCTGGATGGGCCTGTGGGCAGTTGGCTGTTGGTGAGTATCTTGGTGATTGCAGTCTGGGCCGATGTACAGTAGTCTCTTCCTAAACAAGCGAGAGATATAGAGTTGGTGGTTGAGATCAAAGCAACTATTAGTTTTCGCCGCAATGTACTCGGTATCTCTTTCTGTCATGATTCTGTTGATTCTGTTGAGAATGATTACATTCCCAAGCTTGCTCACTTACGAGTAAGACTATCGTCTATAAAAATCTACACATACACAGCACTAGAACACTTTTGATATCAAAGAACAAAATTTTTATTCGTCACAGCTGTACATAGCTCATGCTACACCAGACTCATCGCGCAGTAGCCCCATATCTAACCTGGGGTAAAACGCAGATATCATAGAAAAAATGCATTATAAACATGGGGGAAAAATCAAAATTTACAGGCGGGACTTGAGGTTAGCCTTCAGGCGCCGCTCAACGGCAGCCATGTACTCGTTGGTAGTAACCCAGGCCTCACGGTCCTTGCGACCGCAAGCAAGAGCCAAATCCTTGGTCATGATGCCCTCGTCGTTGACGACCTCAACGCAAGCGCGCTCGAGCTCCTCAGCGAAAGCAACGACGTCCGGGGTGTCGTCGAGCTTGCCGCGCTGGACAAGACCGCGGGTCCAAGCGAAGATGGAGGCGATGGGGTTGGTGGAGGTCTCGCGGCCCTTCTGGTGCTCGCGGTAGTGGCGGGTGACGGTGCCGTGGGCGGCCTCGGACTCGAAGGCCTCGCCGGTGGGGGTGACCAGGGTGGAGGTCATGAGGCCGAGGGAGCCGAAGCCCTGGGCGACGATGTCGGACTGGACGTCACCGTCGTAGTTCTTCAGGGCCATGACGAAGCCACCCTCGGACTTGATCATCTGGGCGACCATGTCGTCGATCAGACGGTGCTCGTACCAGATGTTCTTGGCATCAAAGTCCTTCTTGTAGTCGGCCTCGAAGATCTCCTGGAAGATATCCTTGAAGCGACCGTCGTAGCGCTTGAGGATGGTGTTCTTGGTGCTCATGTACAGGGGCAGACCCTTCATGAGGGCCATTTGGAAAGAAGCGTGGGCGAAGCCGCGGATGGAGTCATCGGTGTTGTACTGGCACTGAGCAACACCACCGCCGCTCTGGAAGTCGTAGACCTGGACGCGCTCGGGCTCACCACCAACAGGGGTGTAGACCAGCTCGAGCTTACCGGGGCCGGGGATGACACGGTCCTGGGCACGGTACTGGTCACCGAAAGCGTGACGGCCAATGACGATAGGCTTGTTCCAGCCAGGCACCAGACGGGGGATGCGGGGAATGATGATGGGCTCACGGAAGACGGTACCGCCGCTGAAAGAGGATGTTAGTTGATTCGTTCAGATGGAGAAACCTCTAGTTCAGATTGGAATCTTACAGGATGTTACGGATGGTACCGTTGGGGGACAGCCACACTAGAAGGGGACAAAATTAGCATTCAGACCGAGGGTGATACACGGAATAGTCGGTGAGGGACGGAAGCGTACTCTTCTTCAGCTTGAACTCCTCAACACGGGCCTCATCGGGGGTGATGGTGGCACACTTGACACCGACACCGTACTTCTTGATAGCCTCGGCGGCATCAATAGTGACCTGGTCATCGGTCTGATCACGGTACTCCAGACCCTAAAAACAAGCGAGATGGATTAGCCCGAGATCTTCCCTAGGGGCGACGTCATCAACCGGGTGAAAAGGAGTAGCTCACCAGATCGTAGTACTTGAGATCGATGTCGAGGTAACTTGATTAGGTTTTAGTGACATGTCGGGGATGATCACACTCGGTAAACATAGGAAGCGGCACTTACGGCAGAATCAACTATTAACACAAAGTTAGTCTCAGTCAGAATTTCAGGGACAACGAGCCAATGTGATGCATCAATCCTGCATCCATGCGGAACCGCAACCGCAATTCGGGACGATCATGCAGGACTGGGCCAGAACCGGGCCGATGAGGGGGGGGAAATAAGGATGATTGATAAGAAGAGGGGGAGATCCCGAGGCTTACCTTTTCCCTAATTTCTTGCCAGATGATACGGGTCATCTACAATCAACAACCATTCGAGTCAGTCAATCAATGCTTTCTCGTGAGTCACAGTCAATCACATCTCTTTGTTGATTCGGGCTGGCTGATCTTTCTCGTGCAGCGTCATCGGGTGGATTGTTGTTGGCACATGATACCACCAGAGGAGTGGATATTCATCCCCGTATTTCCCCGCGTCCGTCAGGGACCAGGGACGATAACCACACCCGAGAAAGCACGAAGCGAAGCGAGCTTGTGACACACGCCGAGCCCAGAGAGTTTAAACTATAAAAGGGAAGGAAAGTCCAGCCATACCTCATCACCATCCAGTTCCACCACTGGGTTCTTGACCTTGATCTTGCTGCTTTCGGAAGCCATGGTGCGGGATTGAGAGAGGTACAGAGAAGGAGTCGATCCGGACCAGCGGGAAGACGCGGCGATGCGGGTAGTGCGAGGAAGACGGAGGGCAGAAGAGAAAGATCTCTGAGGAGAAGAAGTAGAAGAAGAGGTAAAGGACGTTGAAGAAAGAAGACGAGCAGAAGAAGAAGAGAGAGGGGCAAAGGCAGACGGAGGAGGGGTCGCCAGGGACCGGCGCGCGAAAGCGGAAGCGGACCGAAGGGAGTGGGAGTTCATCATCGTATAGGATGCGATTCGCAACTGGGCAACAAAGCGTCGGGAAGTCAGCGTATGCGGGTATCAAGAGAAATTGGAGCTTTCTGTTTGGTGGGATTGGCCGAGTTGGGGCGTAGCAGCTTGGGGGGGAATTGGATAAACCGGAGGGAAGCACTCGGCGAGAGAGAACAACCGAGGGAAAAGGCAACGATATTCGGCAGAAAGGAGAGTTGCGGCAGTGGAGTCGGAACCGCCTATCCCCGGCTTTGCCGCCGGACACTGGGTACAGTAGTAACGTTGTGCTTTTTCTCTGGTTGTTCGCTCTCTCTCTGTCTCTCTCTCTGTCTGTTTCTATTGAAACTGTTCACATGGTTCGCAGTCACAGCAGAAATCAAGACAGTATTTCCGACTGGAAATCAATCATCCGGAGAGGGGGAGGGGGAATAGGGTTGAGGGGGGCCAGCAAGACACTCGCATCTGAGGGTCTCTCTCTCTCTCCCACTCGCTCTCCTCTCTCCCGTTAAACGGAGATGTCTCTGGAGAGGTGGAAAAAAGCCGGGGCAAGACGGGACAGTCCGGAATAGCGTAGACTGCTCCAGACAAGGCAAATGGGGACTGGGGGAATTACCGAGCGGACAAGTGTGGACGGAGTGGACGAGATGGAGCCCAAAGGAAAAGCAACAACCAACGGAGTCGAGGAGACCAACTCTCGAGTTGTTCAGAGGGGGGGAGCAGGAAAAAGCCTTGTCCGGTGACTTTTTGCGTGGTTTGCTTGTTAGCCCAGGAAAGTGAAGTTTCCTTTATTTCTGTCGAATTCCGCTGGGAAGAAGCGCCGAAGCCGGACGTCACGAGACAGGCAGGTAATGTAGACTAAACTATGAACAACACGGAGGTGTCGTAGTAACGGTTCTTGGAGGACTTGGGATATTTGTTTCCTAGGTTCACCCCCCTTCCTTATTTATGTCCCGGTGGAGGCCTCGATGACACTTTTTTTGATCTCTGATCTTTGATCTCTCCCCCTGGGACTACTCCAGACGAGGGTTCTTGACTCACGATCGCGGTCCCTGGGCGAGTCACAGAGCTCGTAGCGCTACCCACACGACCCGCTGCCAGGCGGTTTGCGGTCGCGCTGCCGGAGCTCGGAGCGTCTCTCCGCGGCCTCACCGAGAATGGGCCACTAGACCACGGGAAACATTCGCCCGAGTAATACGATCATATAATTGATAAGCCTACTCTGGAATCAGGGTATGCAGGCGACTTGGCTTCCAGCGATCATTAACCGGTACAGATCACGGTACGCAGACTCGGAGATTCATACAAAAAAGAACTGATCAGTATTCATTATATTGTGCCTTCTCAATATCCCCATGGTAAAAAGAAAATCGACTTGGCTTCCGGTGTTGAAAGATTTCTCCGTCTAACTTCAGACCTGCTCCGATCGGACGCCAGATTATCGTCGTAGTTGTTATGTGTTGAAAAAAAGGGATCCCCTTATAGACTCGTAATTCACTCCCAAGGTCCAACCAGGCCCCCCTTGCCGTTGTATATACAAGCTGCCAAATTCTATCCAATCCGATCATAAACCGACTCTAGAACAGTCCGTCAATCTCACCAGTCTCGGTGTCAATATCCACATTCAGGTAACCCGGGGCAGTGGGCAGACCGGGGATGGTTTGGATATCGGCGGCCAGAGCATACCTAGAAATCATCAAAGTTAGCACGTGATCCCACCATCGGGGACTGTCATCCTTTTTTTGGCAGAAAGAGATGTGGGGTCCCCAGAAATGGACAGAAAAGGGGAGAGAGGAGAGGATGCTTACAGATATCCAGCACCAACGGCCAACCTAACATCCCGAATGGGCACAGTGAACCCAGTAGGAGCACCCTTCAGAGCGGGGTCGTGACTGAGCGAGTACTGCGTCTTGGCAATGCAGATGGGCAGGTTGGAAAAGCCCTGCTTGGTATAGGTATCGACCTTCTTCTGAGCGAGCTCACTGAACTCAACCTTCTCCGCACCGTACATAGCCTGGCCGATGCGCTCAATGCGCTCCTGGATGCTGCCGTTCAGATCGTACAGCAGCTTAAAGTCCTTGGGCTTGGAGCTAGCGGCGAGAACGCCCTTGGCCAGGTCAACGGCACCTGCTCCACCCTCAGCCCAGTGGTTGGCGGGGATGGCGTCTTCCGCACCCGCAGCGATCGCCTCCTCCTTGATCACGTTAATTTCAGCCTCAGTGTCAGTCTCGAAGCGGTTGATCGCGACGACAACCGGCACGCCGTACTGCTTGGCGTTGGCAATGTGCTTGCGCAGGTTGACACAACCGGCGCGGAGAATATCCACATTCTCGGTGCGGTAGATCTCGTGCAGGGCTGCGCCCGGGCTGATCTCGGGACCGCCGCCGTGGACCTTGAGAGCACGGACGGTAGCCACAATCACAACGGTATCGGGAGACAGACCGGACGAACGGCACTTGATGTTGAAGAAACGCTCACCGCCCATGGTGAAGTCGAATCCTGCCTCGGTGACCACGAAACCGGTCTTGGCCTCGTGGTCCTCATCGGGCTCGGTACCGGCTAGCTTCAGAGCCAGCTTGTCGGCAATGATGGAGCTAGCACCGATACTGATGTTGGCGAAGGGACCGGCGTGCACCAACACGGGGGTACCCTCGAGACTCTGCATGAGGTTGGGCTTGATCGCATCCTTCATCAGAGCGGCCAGGGCACCACCAGCGCCGATGTCGTCGCAAGTAACGGGGTCACCGCTGCGAGAAGTAGCGACAACCATGCGGCCCAGACGCTCGCGCATGTCATCCAAGCTGTTGCTGAGAGCCAAAATGGCCATGCACTCACTGGCGACGGAAATGTCAAATCCGGTCTCGCGGGTGTGACCCTTCTCGGTGGCGGCCTGGCCAACGGTAATACCACGGAGGTGACGGTCGTTAACATCAAGAACACGACGCCAGGTGATGGTCTCGGGGTCAATGTCAAGACGAGCGAAGCGGCGGATCTCCTCCTCGGTGAGGTCATCGGGGTTGGTCTTGTTGATTCCAAGCTTCTTCAGTCTCCGGAACATAATGGGCTTGAATTCACGCACGCCCTTCTTGACAGGAACAAGACGCTTGTAGAGAGCTCCATCCTTTTGAGTAGCCTCATGGAACATGCGGGTCTCAATGGCCGCGGCGAGAAGGTTGTTGGCGGCAGTGATAGCGTGAATATCGCCAGTCAAGTGCAGGTTAAACTCATCCATGGGAATGACCTGACTGTAGCCACCACCAGCGGCACCACCCTTAATACCAAAGGTGGGTCCTTGGCTGGGCTGGCGGACGTTGGCAAAGGCAATGCGGTTCAGATGAGCACCCAGAGCCTGGGTAAGACCAAGTGTAGTAGTCGACTTGCCCTCGCCAAGCGGAGTGGGAGTAATACCGCAGATCAGAATGTAACGACCATTGCGACGGTGAGAGAGGCGGTCCAAGACGTCGAGGCTGACCTTGGCCTTGGTGTGGCCGTAGGGCTCCAACTCGTGAGGAGCAATGCCAATCTCGGATCCAACGGTGGTGATGGGCTTGGGGTACTGAGCCCGGGAGATGGCGATATCAGAAGGAACGGGAGTCTGCAGCTTCAGAGGCAAAGGAGTGACGTGACGGTCCTTCTGCTTCTCAAAGTAGGCCTTGGCCGCGGTGACCACGTTCTTCAGCAGCATGGCCACGGTCATGGGACCAACACCACCAGGGACGGGGGTGATCTGCGAGGCCACTTGGAAAGCGGACTCGAAATCAACATCACCGACAAGACGCTCACCAGACTTCTTGGTCGCATCGGGCTTGTAGTTGATACCGACGTCGATCACGACGGCGCCGGGCTTGAGCCAATCGCCCTTGACCATCTCGGTCTGGCCAATGGCGGCGACAACAATGTCGGCGTTCTTCACAACGCGGGCAATGTCGGGGGTCTTGGAGTGGCACACCGTGACGGTAGCGTCGGCATTCTTCAGCAGATAGCTGACGGGGCTGCCGACGATGTCGCTACGGCCCAGAACAACGGCTTCCTTGCCGGCGGGGTCAACCCCGCTGGCCTTAAGCAGCTCCATGACCGCGAGCGGAGTGCAAGGAGTGAACAGGGGACGTCCACCACGCTTAGCCAGCTCTCCAATGTTGATAGCACCAAATCCATCAACGTCCTTCTCATCTGCAACGGCCGAGGTGATGGTGTGCTCGGACATGTGGCCGGGGAGGGGCAATTGCACCAGGATACCGTGGACGGAGGGGTCATTGTTGGCCTTGGTGATTTCCTGGACAAGCTCCAGCTCGGTGCTGGATTCGGGAACATTGATGAGGGTGCAGATGATGTTGGCCTATGAATGGACAGGGTTCAGTAAGCTTATCGGTAGGGCTTCATCTGGAGGAGGGGCAATCTCACCTCTTGAGCGGCCTTCAACTTCATCCGCACATAAGTGCCTAGGACAAGTTAGCACATAGTTCAAGTTTACCTGATTGTAAGATTTAGCAAAACTAACTGGAATCAGACCGGTTTCCAACTGTACATCAGAATATAGGTTAGCCATTGTCACCGCTGTTTCAACACTATACTCCATTGTACAAGAAGCTTACCCTGGAAGATCACCAAATTCGGCTTGAATCGAGGATTGGTCGCTTGTGTCTTCTCAATCTCAGCCTTGAGACCCTCGCGGATGCTCTTGGCAATAGCGGTACCGTCAATCTTGGACGCCATGATTGCGGAGTTGGCAAACGTGCGATGAGAAGAGGCGGCCGAGAGACTTTTAAATGCTGGACTCAGTGGAGACCAACCAGTCAATAACGACAACGACGGTACAGCAATTCCTCGAACCCCTCGTGCGGAGGAAAAGTGGCTGAGAGGGAGAGAAAACCACGGAGAGAGGGTGCGGAGACGAAAATTGGCCGCTCGCGCTGCGCAGGAAAAGCGACAGCGGGGTCCCGCGGCGGGGAAGAGTGGCATGAATATTATTGCTTCTTTAGGGGCGAGAACCCTCGGAGCTCTCTTGCTGCAATTCGGGATCTCAAGGAATGGGAGTTATAATGGCTGCTTCAATGCGGCAACATGAAGGAAAAGATCGGAGTAACAAGCTTCCCATCTCATCAGTAGCTTTTGTTCCCCCTCACACCTTGTGCTCCTTGCATTTCGTTGTTGTTCCCTTTACTCGGCTCACATGGGAGGCTCTCGGGGGATTCCAAGGGAACGCGTTACAACGAGAATTGGTGGCCTGAGGCAGTCAATGCCGAGAGACTGGACTGGACCGGACCAGAGTCACGGGACCTGAGAGGCTGACATGAGTCATTCGGATCGGAAGATTGTATCTCCATCAAAGCTTTGTAGGGTTAGGGCTGGAGGGGCACAGTCACGTGTAGATACCGGAATATTGTTTTCTCCGGAAAGCGGGATTCGATACGGCCAAGTCTTGGCGCTGAGTGGCCGAGTGTGCGATGAAATTCACTAGTCAAAGAAAGTGAGGTTGACGAGATTGACCCCCTCCGGTATACCCGCCTCCTTTGAACCCCTCCCTCCTACGCCGATCCACCTCGAATTCTATCTCGATCACCGGTTCGAATACTTTTGTCGCACCGTCCAAGATGCGCCCTATTCTGTTGTCGGGCCATGTGCGTGCCATCTTTGCCCCGTTTGGACCTTCGAAGAAACTAACCGTAGCCGTGCGGCACTTCTCCAGGAACGGTCCCTGACCCAAATCAAGTTCAACAAGGACGGCGATCTCATCTTTTCGACTTCCAAGGATAAGGTTGTGTGCGCGTGGTGGTCCGCCAACGGCGAGCGTCTCGGAACATACTCTGGTCACCAGGGTGCTGTCTGGACTGTCGATGTTAGCCCCAACACCGTCCTCCTCGCTACCGGTTCCGCAGATAACACCGTTCGGCTATGGAACGTCAAGACTGGAGAGTGTGTGAAGACCTGGGATTTCCCGACGGCCGTTAAACGGGTGGCCTTCTCGCCCGATGGATCTAAGCTGCTGGCCGTGACGGAAAAGCGTATGGGTTTCCTGGGTACAATTGCGGTTCTCGATATCGCGTACGGTGACGGCGAGCTCAACAACTTGAATGTTCAGGCTGAGGAGCCTAGCTTGCGCATTACCTGCGAGGACAGCAAGGCTACTGTGGCGGGGTGGAGTTATCTGGGCAAGTACATCATCGCGGGACACGAGGATGGCAGCGTCAGCCAATATGACCCCAAGGTACGCCGAGCTTTATATTTTATTCGCGCGAATGGGTTACGGAAGTCTTGACCGGAAGACTAACAACCATTTCCAATCTAGACCGGTGACCAGCTGGAGAACGTCCAGGCCCACGAGTTCGACCACCAGATCAACGACCTCCAATTCTCTCCCGACCGCACCTACTTCATCACCGCTTCCAAAGACAAGTCTGCCAAGGTATGCGCCTGAATCTATATCGTTCCAGTACCACCCTGCTAACATCTCCCCTTCTAGCTCATTTCTGCCAGCAACCTCGCCATCCTTAAGACCTACGTCGCCGATACCCCCCTCAACTCTGCTTCCATTACCGCTAAGAAGGACTACGTTATCCTCGGTGGTGGTCAGGCCGCCATGGATGTCACAACCACCTCTGCCCGTCAGGGTAAGTTCGAGGCGCGCTTCTACCACAAGATCTTCGAAGACGAGATTGGCCGTGTCCGTGGTCACTTCGGTCCCCTCAACACCATCGACGTGCACCCCGCCGGCACCGCATACGCCTCCGGTGGTGAGGACGGTTACGTCCGTATCCACCACTTCGACAAGCCCTACTTCGATTTCATGTACGAGGTTGAGCGGGAGCAACTGCGGAAGTAAGCGAAAAGAAGGCTTGAATAGATGAACGGAAATATAACCCGGAGAGGGAAAAAAAAGAAAATCATGATTGATTCTTTTCTCAATCATTGTGCTGTCTGTCTGGATGTGTTTTTACGATGCGAACAAGAGACTCGGGGCAGTTTATTTTTCTGTGCTTTTGCTCCCCCGAGTCCCGCATACGGAATGAGATGATGACCCCTCCACCAAGGCACGGTTTCTCATTTCATTACTTGATTACAAGATCAACCGGAGTTGGTACCCCCCTTTGTTATTGATTTGGTTTTTAATAAAAGATGGCATGCTTCACATTCTGGGTTTCTGTCGAGGTAGCTGTCGTTCCGAAGGCTGGTTGGGGGTGTGTGGCCAGCTGCGGATGTGCATATCACGAAATAGACAATACGAAGTTTGCAAAACGTTCAACCTGGGCCATAATAACGAAGATGATCGTTCCCGTGTAAAGGAGAATACGAGGCGAAAGATGTAATAAAGAAGTGAGGTCCCGGACCATCACTATCGGGCATCAGCAAGGATCTGAGAAGAACGTTGATGGTACACTTTAATGTCAGCACGCATAAGTCTACGTCCTAAACTGGATTATCAAGTCTCTTCAGCGCCGTACCTAGCAAGTGGCAAAATGTTCATTCTCGTCATTGTTTTTCGGATGATACTAGAGGTGCGCGGGAAGGCAGCGATATATATTACTTAACTACGCCTGTAGGTATTACTGGAATTGCCTGTAGTACCCTTCCACCCTACCTACTTCAGAATTCTTGGAAAAGCAATCTGCAAAATATTATTTGAATTTTGAGCCTGTCGGATTTTCTCCTTGTGTGGATCAAGTAACGACATGGGAGACAGCTACAGTGTTCTTTCTTGAAATATGTGGTCAAACGACAAGTCACGGACACGCCGTCGGGCGATATTTCACAATCTTCCAATCTAACTCTCGTCCAGGTATGCCATCCTGGACCTATGCCCGTGCTCATGCCCTCATATCAACGCAACAGTCTGCTCTACCGCCCATTCACGGACTTCCAGGTATAGCGTTCCTTCTTCTCGGGATATACTAGGGATCTATAGTCATCTATATGGTTCAACAGGGATTGGCAACACACAGACTTCGAGATATCTCCATTTATACATTTTTTATGTAATTTTCTCTAAGCCCAATTCCATGCAATGGCCGACGCTAATACAGCCATCAGAAAAAGAAACCCATATAAATGGAAGTAGAGGAAAAACATCCCAAATCATCGAGACGTAGACTCCAAAATAAGACATGACGATCATCAGGAACGTAAAATCAAAAGACAACGAAATGCAAAACTTTAGTTTGACCCGGTCTCATCCCCAAAAAGAAACATAAGTCGCGGGCTCACCCCCGATTCGAGTTTACTTCTTCTTGGGGAACTTTTCGGCACCGATGTCAGAACCACGGAGCTTGATGTTAAGCACACGCTCCATGGCACCGAGGACCTTCTGGTCGGGGGGCGGCGGTACCGCGCTCGAAGTCCTGGATGACGGTCATGGTGGTATTGCACTTGGTGGCGAGTTCCTTCTGGGTCATCTTGTAGCCCTCCTCGGTACGGCGCTTCTTGATAGCGTCAGCGACGAGGTAGCCGACAGTCTTGGGCTTGATGATGTCGTCGCTGCGGTCGACCTTGGTCAGGTGCTGGCCTTCGGGGGCGCCAGACTTAGCGGCCTGTGTGGAACCAGTTGGTTAGCAAGGCTGTCAGTTCCTTTGTGGAGAGTCTGCAAACGAGATTGAACGTACAATGTTGCCGGTGGTGAACTTCTTCTCTGTGCCGAGGACGAGGCCAGAACGCTGAGCGGCGTTCAAGGCGCTCTTGCCCTTGACAACGGTCTCACGAGGGGCAACGCCACCGCGGGCCTTGCTGCCGATCTTCGTAACGGTATCCCATTCGCTCATTTTGACGGTTGATTAGGTGTTTTTGATGGTTGGAGAGGCGTGTGTGGTGGGAGAGAGGGTGGGGGATATAACGATGATCGCGTGAGGTTGAAGATGCAATTTATACAGCACAGAAGCTTCTCGAGTTATGAGGGTGGGGAGTCATGCACTAGTCCACTTTAGGCTTAGTGCGGGCATAGCCATTGAGGGCCCGGCTTCTATGGTTAACTCCGTCTATACAGTACTGGGCTTCTTGGATATAGTGGCGAAGAGATCAGATTTTTTCTTATTCCCGTTCGTTTTATAGTATGTTATTACTAAAGTACAGTGATTGAATTATGGTGTTCTCCGTCGCCAAAGGGCGCTCGCTTGTGCGAAGTGGAGGAAGACCCTTGCCACATCTCCTATTATTGCCATCCATCAGCCATCACTCCTAAGACTCTGTATTCATGCCTGGATTACTAAGTCTCTCTATGTTGGGCATCTCTCTGCATCTTATTTTAGCCAGCGAATTTTGGGACTTCCGGTGTCTCAAAGTCTTGATCTTTTAAATCGAATTGTCGATTCGAGTGATCTCACTGACCCACTTGATGTCATACTGCCCTGGGCATCCAGTCGCGTATTCAATCACCACAATGTTATTAGGCTGGTTGAAGTATCTTGAGTAGACTTGCATAGCGATACTGAGGATTTATTCACTTCACCAGATGACTCATTGTGTCCAATAACTAACTAACATCTATCAGTCGGCAAACCCACGTCGCAGTCCTATTCGAGTCCCCGACTTCCCCACTACGAGGCTGAGCGCTGCTACCGTATATTTCTGCCTTGGTGCCTTAAAAATGACCACAAGTCTCACTACCTATTTACTATAGAGGACAGCCCTTGGTATGATACAAGCGATGCCCTATGTTTATCTGATTAACTTCTGATGTGGAGCTCTAAGGTTTAGTGCAGCCTTGCATTGCTGATCCGGTGTATGCGACCCTTCGGAGTAAGCTACCTAGTCCAGCTCCGAGCAGGATTCGGGGTTTCCAGATTTGGATCATGGATAATTCCATCGTAAGTCCGAGTTGTATGGCTCGGAAAGAATAAAGTATAAAGGATCGACACCAGTAGCCAAAATTTAAGCAGATCATCTCAGTGGATGAGAATCACATCAATTGACAATCTCAACACTTACTCAATACTGCTGCTTCTATATTCCTACTCTGCAAAATGTCTACCATCGCGAAGCCCCATGCACCTGAGCCTCAATCTTACTGCCTAGTAAGTCACTCCGATTGCCTTGGAAGTCAAGATACTAACAACTCACAGGACGGCCGAGAGGTTGATCTTCTGCATTACATCTACATGCGTCCCGACATAAAGGAATTGCGTGGCAACCCACAAAAGGTCCTCGTTGCGATCGATGAATACCACTCAAACCACAACATGCTCATCAACGTCGGCGCAGTCAAGGGGGCACATATCACCGGTCTTATTGCCGAGCACAAGCCATCGACCATGATTGAGCTTGGTGGTTACATTGGCTACTCGGCCATTCTCTTCGGTGACGCAATCAGAGAAAATGGCGGAAAGAAGTTCTACAGTCTAGAGAAAAACCCCGAGATGGCAGCTGTCGCGAGTCAACTGGTTGAGCTAGCCGGTCTGCGTGATTTTGTTCACATCATGATCGGATCTAGTGATGAACTGTTGGTGGAGCTTGTTCGTGAGCGGAAGGAGATTGATCAGATCGAGATGCTGTTCTTGGATCATTGGCAAGAACTGTATTTGCCTGACTTGTGGCTGCTAGAAGAACTAGGTGTTCTCGTTCAAAACAAGACTCTGCTTGTTGCGGATAATGTGATTATGCCTGGTGCTCCCCAATACTTAGAATGGGTGAAGGGTAGCCCGGCCCACAAGCGAGTGATGGTTGAGAAGTTGAACTTGGGGCCTCTGAGGCCTAACCCGAACTTGATCTATGAGACCGAGGTGCCGGTGTTTGAAAGTGATTGGGGAAAGGTATGTCTTGCGTCCTGAAGATCCTGTGAGACGGAATGTCACTAACGAACTATAGGATGGCCTGGCGATTACCAAGGTAGTTGGAGAGGTAAAGGCTTGATAGATTTCTACCTGTGATGTCTCCGAACCCAGTTATACATCCGCCCTCGTGTGCATCGCATTTGTGAAGTTTGGGCTCGAACTCAACCATCTACTCGATGTTGCTGAGTAGTAGCCATACCATTTTCTGTTCATCTTCTCATAGATCCATTTTTAAGTATTTTGGTCACCGTCTCGGGGACATCACGACCACGATATGTTGTAAATGCCATTCACGATCAACTTAGTGAAGATGAATAAATTCCACTAGTAAATTGTGTCGGTCACTCAGCTATGAGGAGCAACATATTAGTCATTTCAATGGGAAACAATTCGTGATGAAGTTGAACTAGCATTCCGAGTCCAACAATTAGCTCATGTATAAACCTTCCAAACCTTAACCGTGACCCCGCTTTTCATTCATCAGCAATAGATCTGGACCCATATACAAATGTTCTCGAATCCCCTGCATTACAAATCGTAGTGTTCTTGAGGAAGATATTTAAGCTGAAAGTGTGTCGCTTGAGTCGCTCATCTCTAACCCCAACCCTCCATCAAACTGGGAGTCTCTGAACAGAGTCGATTCTTAGCCATGACTGCTGCTTCCGAACAGTCCGCAACAACTCTACCATCTTCGCCACTCGCTGCAGAGCCCGGCCAAGGCAGTCGCCCATCACCAACAAGTCATATTCGCATCGCACGACCATCTAGGTCACTTTCCGCCGCCGAGCGCTTTTGGAAAGATGGACTAGGCTTGTCTGTGATCTGGCGTTCAGATTCGGCTGAACATGTCGAAGGTGGTCACGAACTCCTCATGCTGGGCTGGCCAGGTGCATCGTGGCATCTAGAGCTGGTTCAGGTACATGAGGAAGACGATGTGGACATTCACCCTCGCCCCACGGAAGAGGATCTTCTTGTGATTTACCTCGATGGACTGGTTGATCCTGCCACGGTAGATGCTTTGGTTGGTGCAGGAGGAAAGAGAGTAGAGGCGCCGAATCCGTATTGGAATACTTGGGGGGTGACTGTTGAAGATCCAGATGGTTATCGGCTAGTGCTATGTAAAAGGCAGTGGAGTAATTGAGCGACTGATGGTTGATGTGAAGAGTTGATTGTACATAATGACAGTACCGCTTCTGAGTTGACATTACTTTTTCGTGAAGAATCTCCCCGCCTAGCGGATATATACCAGAAGAATCATCGAACATGAATTATTGTCCGATCTTGAATATGGTTGGAACCATTTCAAGTAGCATCAAACCTAATCTGATCCGGATCTCCCCCGTCCAAGTATTGATTCCCCGCTGGGTTCCAGGTACCAATACGAATACGAGGCCAATCTGGTACCCTCGGCCATCAGAAGATAGGAAAGTTCGAGGTGTTGCATAAGATGATGAATCGACTCGAGAATAGTAGGCTATTTACTAAATTCATAAGTATGAGTTATGCCTGGAAATTTTTGCAGTCTGGTGGACGATTGGAAGTCTTGGCCCCCCAGGCAGACAAGACATGTCCCGGCTGGGCAATCCACACCTGGCAACTCCCCGAGTCTCCCATCTCCACCAAGTCACTTCCTCTCCTCCCCTGTCTTTCGATCTGAACCCTTCGCATTGATCGGGACAAAGTTCTTTTCACCTTCAAATACTGCAAAGTTTGCCTTTAACCACACACTGCGATTCAGCCCACCATGGCGAGCGAGTTCCAGTCCGCCATGACCATCCGGTCGCTCCGCATACTCAAGAATGTATGCCCACCCCCTCATCATCTCCGGTTTACCTGAAAGCCACTGTACTCACCATGAACAGGAGCTGGAGTTCCTCGCAGATTCCGCCGTGATCAAGCCCGATCAGCTCAATGCTATCCTTGCACAACTGCCCACCGAGACCGACGCCCGCGCTGCGGCTGCGCGCCAGAACCAAACACCCCCTTCACCATTGCAGGTTCAGCCCCTGCCTCAACCCGTTCAAGCGCAGCCTCCTCCCGCCCCATATTCGCCCCCGGTGACGCAGGCGTCCAATCTCTCGTTGAACGAGAAGGCCCCTTCATACAATTCATACGCCTCCCCGCCCCCGCAGGCACCACCTGCATACCCTCAGGTCCCACCGTCTTTGGGTTTCGCCTCCGCGATGTGGGCATACACTCCAACTGACGCGGGTGACCTGGCGCTGGCGCAGAATGATCGTATTGTTGTCCTCGAGCATATGAATGATGACTGTACGTTGGGAAGAAGTGACTCCGTAGAAGACTCAAGAGCTAACATTACATGCAGGGTGGCGTGGTCGCAATGAGCGTACGGGCCAGGAGGGTATCTTCCCAAAGAGCTATGTGACCCCGATCGATAACAAGGGAGGCATCACCTCGCCGCCCCCGCCTACCAACTATGGAAATATGCCTTTGGCTGTTAGCCAGAGCGGATCCGCGCCAAACACCAATGATCCGGAGCAGAAGAGCAAGTTTGAGCAGAATGGCAAGAAATTTGGCAAGAAATTGGGCAATGCAGGTATGTTCATGGTATATCGTTCTTGTTGTCGAGGAGATCTGACCATAGTCGCAGCAATTTTCGGTGCCGGTGCTACTGTTGGTTCCAACATCGTGAACAGTATTTTCTGAACAGGACAGTTATATTGCTTGTTTTGTGTGACCTCATTTTGCTTGGGATACATCGCTTAACTCATATATTTCCCACTTCTCATTGGAAAGGCGTTGGTGGAATTGTTTTCTTTGGATGGATTGCTTGTTGCTTAATACAATGTCCATTCTTCAGCTAATGATTCAATTCTCTGCAATTCAGATTGTGAAATTGGTCCTCGTCTTGCTGTCACTAGTTCTTGGGCAGCAAAATTAGTACTCTTATCAATGAATGATCCAGTATGTTACTTTGAGACTTTGTCTGATTCATAATTAAACTCTTAAAACGTCCGTCTAGTCCTGCGCACCATGCCGTGGCCGCGATGTGGGCCGCAATTAGCGTCACGGCAGGCGATGCCTCTCCTAGCACGGCGCTTAAATACATGCAGGAGCATGTCACGTACTTTCAATCCTCGACAAAAATAGCGCCAGTCTACCGACGTGATTCGTCATTGTGTCAGCTGGGCGGTTCGGATAGAGAATGCCCCACTTCCTTAGCCATCTGTTTTGACCAGCGATCTGCGGAATAAAATGGGCGCTGCTGCTACTAAGACTAAAGAAGGACCGCGGTAGCCCTTCAAATTAAGTTGTGTCTAACAATGCTGTTGTTTTTCCTGGCCATTTTATACTCATGGCACGTGTTGGGTCGTCGCATCTAACTATATTATGTGTATTGTTTCTAGCGCCGGGTGTTTTGGCTGATGGTTGGGAGGATTTTACCAATAATCTTGCAACGGACTTGGTATGTATACCCTGCAGAGTCTGAAAGTTCTCAGGGCATCAATTATACTGACATCGATATTACAAGGCCCCTTTGATTACCCTCTTCGGCGAACGTCTCACCAAACAATTTCTCTCCGAGTCAATAAGTCTCCTCGACAACATAATTTTCGCCCTATCACCACTGGGAGTGTTAACCGCCGTTGTCTCCGTAATCCGAGTATGCGGTGGTTCTTCCCTTCGAGCTTTCATCGGTAGAGCGCAAGAAGGTCCCGCTGAAGCTGAGAGTGAGCTATTACCATGTGTGTCGGAATCTACGGCTGAGCTATTCAATGAAGGTGGTATATCGCGGGTCTTTGGCAGACCTAAGATTGTGGAGATTGTGATGTGGGAGAATGAGGATCCGCAGGATGGTGAGAAGAGTACGGAGATTGGAACGTTGCGCGATGCTTTGAAGAAGGGCGCCTGGTCTGCTCAGGGTTCGGGTGTCTCGGAGGATTTTTCTGATCCGAGTCATTTGCCTGAATTGGATGTTCCCAATTTATCCTTGAATAAGGGAATCAAGAGACGTGATCAGTTTTGGTTTTATTGTGTTGCTGTGGTAGGTGTCGTGATGCAAGTTGGTCAGTACACCTCGGACGAGCCCTCTACTAGGACACTAGACTAACATATCCCTAGGAGTTGTGATCTATGCTGCAATCACTGTATTCATATTTCCCGGGTCATTCGAGAAAGATGGCAAAGCTGTCCCAAGCTACGCATTCCCCTTCTATATAATCGGGACTCTTTTCCTCTTTATAGGAATGTTAGTCTGTGCGATCGTCATCGAGCGCTCTTCTGAAGAGTATTACTTCAAGCCAAACAAACCAAGCAAGATATTCTGGCTACAACCAGGAAAGCAGAATGTGGGCGACCAAGTATTCAATGCATTCATGGCCGTCAAAGAAGGATCGAAGTCAACCATGACAACGAAAGTGGAGTACATCAAGTCAGTTCGAGTTCGCAGATACGACGAAAGACATGTAGAGATTTACATGACCCTTATTTCTACACTGCTGGGATTTGTCTTTCAATTTATTGGACTCAGAGGGTTACACGCTTCTGTTATTCTTGCTCAGCTGGGATCGACTTTGGTTATGTCTATTTTACGCACATGTCTTCGAGCGGAAAGAATGCCGCAAGACGAAGATAAGATGAGAGACGAGCGGGAGCTTACATCTCATAAGCAACAAGAGCTCGATTGCTTTGCGTTCCATCTCAAGGATATTGGGTCGTTTGAAGTTCTTGCGCCGTCTCCTCCAGAGACATCTTCAACGGAATCTTCAAGCGAAGTCTATCAACCACATGCATTTTTGGTCAATCAACTGATACAGACCAGGGCTCGCCTTGCAGAGTTGACAAAAAGTCCGAGCCACGGGTTGATGGTTGGATGGGACAATATGCCAATTCGAAAGGCATCCCAGAATCTCGCCCTTGTTATCGAATCAACTATGGACCTCATGTCGAGCTGGGGAGTTGATTTTGGCAAACCCTTCGAGTTTCAACTGAACATTGAGTGTCAAACTTCACCTACGGAACGCAATTCAGGCATCCGGGGAAACTACTCAATATTTGCCCGAAGATGTGGCGATGCGCTTAGATGGAGCATTGACAAGAATGAACTTGAGGCCGTCCTGGGTCTTTGGGTGTGGTCTTTGTATAAGTCTGACGAAGGTTGGAAGCAGCCGCTCAATCGCATGGTTGGGCTCACCAGAGAGGAGACGGGGAAGGAAGCGACATATCTCCTCTTTCACAAATGGATCTTCAGGCAGACTGAGGCAAGATTGGTTTCTTCAAAGATGATTGATCCATCACGACGTCTATTTGGGATTGAGTCTGACGAGCACTCTTACGACAAAGATATTCTCATTGTCAGAACAGACAATGCGATCGAAATCATGGCTGCTCAGGACCTCTACATTCGATTTCTCCAAGTCGCCTTCGGATACTTGATTAACCTTGACGGAGAGACTTCTCTTAGCACTGGGTTTCATAATACAGTGTTTGCTCATAACACTCGCGTGGATGAGCTTGTGCAATGTTTTGAAAACTGTCAGATGGGGACTCGGGAAGATGCCCTAATATGCATAGTTCCCGTGTTGAAAGCTCAACATGTCTTACCAGAATTTGCGGCCGACTCACCTACCATGAAGAGAGACATAGAGGGTTTGATTGCGAAGAATGATTGGAAACAAGCTCTCCATCTAGGGCTGTGGATCTGCGAAAGGTGTGAGGGAACTGACTTTGAGTGCTCAGTCTACGAGCTTGGTTATCTTTGTCGCCGAGCTTTGTTGGCCAATGATAAGACGGCTCAAAAAGAAGGATTCTCATACATCTGCAGGATTCTCAAGTCGGACATCAGAACAGATTTTCTTCGGACGCAAAGAATATCACCACCTTCAAGCTGGTCAAGGTCACCGGAATATCAGCAATGGTGGCTTTCATTCTCGAGCCAGATGGGATGGGTTGCATTGCATATCACCACGAATGTCTTTGGCTTGCGGTGGATGCAACAATTTCTAAAGCAATGTGACTCCTCCAGAGGATTCGAAGTGCCTGATCCACGGGACATGGACCCAGAACGAGCTCAAATTGGCGCTCGTGCTATGCAGGAATGGCTTACGTTGAGCCATATTGATTTTGTGCGTGATTTTTCTGGCAACGACGATGAATTATGCTTCGCATGGGCACTCAAAGGGAGACAATATGTTCTTGTATACTTCATCTTAGTGAGATGGGCTGAGCTTGGTGCTGAACACCCCATGCTCATCCGGCAGGCGTATATCATTGCAGCCCAGCATCGCTCAAACTGGGGGATCCAGGTACTTCGACGACAGGGTGCAGATATAGACATCCTCACTCATAGCAAAATGTCTGCATTAGTCGAGATCATAGCCACTGGAGATATTGAAGCTGCCAAGACGCTTCTTGACAACGGTGCAAATCCCAACGGGAGCGAGGACGCTCCAGAACGAAGACCTTTACTTTTGGCAGCCCATGCTGGCCTCACAAATATGGTTGAACTACTCTTACAATATGGTGCTTCGCTGGAGATTCTGGATAGCGCGGGACTATCTGCTCTCCATTGGGCTAGCAAGGCAGATCACCTCGAGACGACTCGGTTACTGCTGTCCCGTGGTGCGGAGGTGGACAGATTCGGATCTGATGAAAAGACTGCTCTTCACTCGGCTATGCTGGCAGATCAGCGTCCCATGGTAGAGTTGCTCATTGATAATGGGGCGGATGTTAACATACCAGAAGGAACCTATGGACAAACCCCGTTGATACTCGCTGCAAGATCTTCCTTCGTTGATCTTGTTCGTTTGTTGCTATCAAAGGGCGCAAATCCTCAACTTCGCGACCGAGGAGGAATGACTGCCCTTGACTGGGCCAAGAGCAATAGTTTCCAAGAAATTACTGCCCTCTTGGAAGAAAGAATGAGGCAGACTTCGACTACTATGAGTTGAATGAAATAAGATTGAACCTTAGCTGGCTAAGGGAAACACATGTCCAAGATGTCCACCTATTTGTTCCGAATATAGTCTAAAGCCGTTGAAAGGTCAGCTTAAGATTATTACGGCTTCTCCAAACACAGTCGTTTCCAAATTTGAATAAGGTGTTCTATATAGATGTTCATGTTAGTCTGTAGAAGGTGGGTCCCTTGTAGGTTGATTAGTCTTCATGCAGCAGCAGAAGCCAATTATACACCATAGGATCGCTATTCGCTAAACAACGCCTCAAATCATCACTATTTAGGCAATGACAAACTTTATAATTGAACCTGATCGACTGTTAAAAATTGTAATCATCAAGAAGCGCCCTGGGCTGAAACGGACTCGCAACGTGGGGCACACCAAAGTTTCCTTGGCCTCTTGGGCTACATCCAATCACATCTAGAGATCCACCTTGACGCTCGAGCAGCCAGCCCATTAGGTTGCGCAGCACCGAGCTGTAGGCGCCGGCTGGGATTACCATGCAGTAGTCCACTGTGATACGGTAGCAGGTGACAGACTGCCAATCCACGCATTGCTCCCTACCGAGGATCGCTTCCAATAGCTGCGAAAAAGGCTCCTATGCTTTTCATGCTAATAATAGGCCGCAAGCTCCCACCGTGCGAAGTTGGAGCTCATTTCTCTCAAATACGAGTCCCCGACTGAATCCTGATCTCCGCACATTTGATCGCAGCTCTTATTCTTTGAACTCAATGCATCGCGCGACGATTTAAGCTGTGAACATTTAGCAACAGAACGCCAGATCGATTTCAGCGCTCCTTGTCCATTGATCCGACCGTTCTGATACCCCGCATCAACGCCAAATGTGAGTTTCGGCTGTGTCCTCGCTTTTCAAGAAGGAGAATAATGACCTAACCATGAGGGATTGCCTCCAGTTGCTGTAGCAGTACATCATGTCGCAAACACATTATCCTCCGCCGCCAATGTCGGGTAAGTCTGCTGCAGTCATCTCCATTTCTACAAGAAACCAAACTAACATGCCATTCATTATACAGCGCCGGCACACGTTACATGTGAATAGAACCTGTCTGGCTTCAACAACAACCAACTAACCCTTCGACAGCATTTCCTCCTCCTCCACAGCCATCTCCTGGATTTGCGCCTCCAAATTTCAGCTATCCACCACCACCTAGGCAATCGCCCCCAGGAAACGGAGCTTATCCAGGGCCTCCCCTCTCTGTCAGCCCACCCGCGCCTAGCGTTAGTCCTCCAGTAGGAAATCCCCTAGTCAATGAGCAGCAACAGTATGCGCAGCAGAATTCGGCGGCATATCAACAAAATGTTGCAATCATGAGACCACCCTCATCACCACCACAGTCGGCTCCCATCGTCCAACCACAAATTCCTGGAGCGGCGCCACCTGGACAATTCGTTGGAGCTTCTGCTACTAATGAAGATATGGTTGGAACATTCAATGGTGGTAGCTATCGCATCAGCCATCGCGACTCGAACTCGCTTTTGACCTTGCAACTGGCAATGGGATGTCCCCTGACTGCTAAGCCCGGTATGCCTTCCTTTGAATACATGCGCTTGTTCTATATGATCTGACAAGTTGTTGAATAGGCGTGATGATTGCAATGTCTACGACCATAACCCTCCGAGGTACCGTCAGCTTCGGTTGGAAGAAGCTCATCGCAGGCGGCGAGATGTCAATGTCTAACTATACCGGACCCGGCGAACTCCTGTTGGCTCCTTCAGTCCTGGGCGATATCATTGTGCTGCGTATGAGTGGTGAGCAGGAGTGGAAAATAGGCAGGGATGCGTTTTTGGCTTCCACCGCAGGTGTGAAGCACAAATACCAAGCCCAGAGTCTTGCCAAGGGTGTTTTCTCGGGCGAGGGTCTATTCATTTACAAGATCACGGGAACTGGATTACTCTGGATGCAGAGCTTCGGCGCGATTATCAAGAAGGATGTAAGTTCAATCCACCCTAAACAGGCTCGTAAGATCCCATGCTGATACACATGGATGCTGTGTAGCTCAAAGATGGTGAGACATACTTTATTGACAACGGCCATCTTGTTGCTTGGAATTGCAAGTACAAGATTGAGCGCGTTGCCTCCGGTGGTATCATCTCTGGACTCGGCTCTGGTGAAGGTCTGGCTTGCAAGTTTGAGGGACCTGGCACGGTATATCTGCAAACGCGAAACTTGAATGCGTTTGCTGGCCAGATGAAGATGAGTACGGCGAGTGGTTAGCATGTTGCAGTAGATTGATAAAACTGTAAGCTGGACTTGGTGGCATATGTGAAGAAAGGATCGACTTTTCTATTTGAGATTGATGCGACTGGTTCGCTATGTTTGTGAAATACGCACAGGTCATCATTTCCCATCTTTCATTGGCGTGATTATCTCTTTCACCATGAACAGAAGCTTCTTCTATTGTCTGAAGCTTATTTCCATCTCTGCGGGCTCTTGTGTCTGCAGTGTGCGAGTAAACTGAGTTTCAAAGTGTGGCCTTCTGTGCATTATATGTGATCTTTTCAATACCTACCAGGTTACAAGTAAGGCGTTGTGTAGCCTCATGATAGCAACCCGTCATTGCTGCGAGCGGAGGCCTAATCGATCGCAGTTATCGTGTCAATTCTAAACAAACCCGCAGTATGCCATTAAATGCCAGAAGAAAGATTTTAAGAGGTCATAGCGGTCCATTTAATGCCAAACTGTCTCAATCCTTCATATCGTTCTCTCATTTCAAGTCCCATGCAGTGGAAAGATACAATACCAGGGAGTCTTTTTTTCATCAACCAAAGTCCTAGTAAATGACACGCCATAAAGAAGAGAAAAAACAACTCCCTCCACCATATGCCGAAACCAGCCAGCTCCACGACTCCATCTCCATTTAACCGACACGCTTTCTGCGGCCGACCTGGGACCGGAAACCGGTCTTGATAGCGGCGACCGAGCGACGAGATCCACAGGAGTTGCAGGTGATGAAGTACAGACGGTTCTCGCCCTTGTTGAGCTCGGTATTAGGGCTGCGGCAGGTCTTGCAGGTGACGTACTCGACGATGTACTATAAATGAGTTAGGAGACGTTTCAAATGGGGAAATGAGTATGTTGGGTTTCACGTACTTTCCGGAGAACGGACTCCAATTGCTTGCCTTGGAATCTGTACGTTGACGAAAAGAGCAGTTAGCATATCGAGATCAAGTATCAAGAGGTCATGCCCAAAAATATGAGGATAGGCTTAAATAGCCGTGCATGTGACTTCACGTACCGGCCCTTAATGACTAGACGCTTGCTGCCGTCCACACTACCGCTTGTACCCAACTCGGCAAACAGGAATTGCGTGACATGCTCATCGGAACGCTTCATACGAGCGCAGATCTCGGCAATGTTGGCAAAGACGGTACGACGGTTACCTTCGCGCAGGCACTGGGGTGGAGGGATCTTATAGGCCTTGGTGCCGCTGGAGAGCAAGTCGGGGTGGTGGCTCTGGACGAGGGTGAAGAAACGGGAGACGAGGAGAGGGTAGGGGATGACCTGGGTAGCGTCGTGTGCCCAGATACCAGTTCCAGCTTCGGCATCACCCTCGGGGAGGGACTCCTCGGCCTGCTCCTTGTCACCACCCTCTTCATCGATACCAGCCTCTGCGAGCTTGGCCTCGAAGTCGCCGGCGTCCTTCTTGACCTTCTTCTTCTTCTTCTTGAGGGCGGAGACATCGAATTCGCCGTCGGCGGTGGGTTCCTCGGCATCGCCGGTCTCCTTGCTGGACTTCTTGGTCTTCTTCTTCTTGGAGAGACCCTTGAACATATCGGTCATCTCATCGACCTCATTGTCTATATATGGATAGGGTCCGTTAGCGGGTCCGTTTCGACAAGCTTGCGGAGCTCGAACTGTGCGGGGATGGAATGAACTGCGGTATAGGATGGATTGCATACCGGCGGGCTTCTCGGCAGCCGGGGCATCTGTGACCTGGCCGTTGGTGTCCATGATGACGTCTCCTTCGCTGAAGGCGACCGACTTGCGCTGTTTCTGCTCGACTTCCTGTTCGGGGGCAAGTAAGGCACCAGATTAGCTATGAGGCCAGGAAAAAATGGCAAAAAGATTCAGATGAGCGCAGAAACTGATTCTATAGGATAGAAAACAGTCTCTTTTTTAAACTGGTGAAAAAGTGCTTCCGCGCGAGCTCGAAGGGTATGGGGCGAGGGGTATTGTGCAGTTTCAAAGAAAATGTGGGAGCGTCGGTAAAAAAAGAAATCGGGTGTAACGTACGGCGTCCGCCATGTTGGGTGGTTGTAAGATTCGAATCACTTCACCACTAGGTGGAGGTTGGGAGCTCAGGTTCCGTAGAAGGTAAAGTAGTTCGTGAAGAGGTCGATAATGTCGAATTTGATCGAATTCTGAGATCTCCGCCGCCGCTGGAGGAGGCGAGCCTGTTATCGCGGGACACGGGCACGTGACCGTGACTCAACCATCATACAAAGTCACGTGTGGGCCATTCCGGTTGGGATCAACGGGCAAGTCAACAACCAGTCCTCGACTGTATCACGAATAACACCTCCGCCTCGTCCTTGCCTGCAGATGCTATCATAGTCTGGGCAGTAGGCAGGCCGCTGCTCTTCAATCTCTCTTCCTCTCTGTCGCTTTCCGGTCCATTTTCCTCATAGAGTCTCGTCAACATGGCAACCCCTCCCCCTGCCGAGTCCAATCCCTCCTTCTCCATGTCCGCATACATGATGCCTTCGCACGAGAACTCCTACGGATCGGAGACCGACGATGATATTGCTTCTCTTCCCTCAGAATCAACGACGGATTCCGACTTGGAGACTCTTTCCGACGATGAGTACTCTGATGCCGAGGCGGAATGGCGGGAAAGCATTGAGCAATTAGAGCTGCTCTTGACGATGGTCCTGGTGCCATTTGTCGGCAAATATCTAGGCCGCCGCTGTGCCTACTGGAGTATGTGAAATGTGTCCGTTTACACTGGGGAATACCCTACTAATTTCGAGCTTTACAGGTTGGACAAGATTCATGCAATGGAAGTACCCGGTTGAGGTCGTTGTTACGAGCCCTGGTCTTTTCAAGGGCGCCGGCGTGATTGAAGCCGCCGCGAGCCTTTAACTCTTAGAATCCGCCATTTCATTGACAACATCCCTGACATCTCCGGGCTAGCATACCCCATATCCTCGAACCGCTCACCTCTCCTACACTCGAACTACCTACCACACCCCATCGCAGCGAGTGACTTACAATACCGTGTGTTTTGGCACATCTGGACAAATTGTCAACTACGGACTCAAAATATCAAATGGCTTTCATGCCTTCTCTCCGGTCAACAGCAATAACGGAAAACTCCCTCACCCAACATCTCCAAAGGATCCAATCTGGCATGGACAGATGCTATCACAAATCTTGCTCTAAGATTGTTCTATACCCAATCAATTGTCTCATTTTAGAATACACTTTCCCGCTTCCTACACATGTACATTCCTATCACAATCCAAGAGAGCTACTTTCAAACTCAACCTCCATTCATCGCAGTATTGTGAATCATATCCGCAACAGCGTGCGGCATACTCAGTATAGGACAATGGCCCAGCTCACAAGTATACGTTCGAACAACGGCTTCTCCAATAGCAGTAACCATACCCTGCTGTACCTCAGGGGCCTAGATGTACCCTGCTTACAGAACAGGTATGTTGTAGGAACGTACATGGGATACCGCTGTACGAGTGCATAACAACGATGGCCTCTTTGCCTTCTGTGGCAAACTGCGTCAAGTATCACTGTCATGTATCTTCCGCATCACCGGATACTGTTGTTGATGTCGGGCCACCGACTGATAATAATGTCATGGATTGGAGGGGATAACCTTGAGCACGGAGGATGGTAGCCACATTCTCAAAGGTATTGGCTTGGTGTCATGCGCTTGGGGTGAGGAGAGTGGTGGGCTTTTCGGACGACATAGGGGGTCGATCGTTGACGATTCTTTTTGAACTCCCGAGAGAAAGTAAGTTTAGATCTGATTGGTGCCAAGTTGGAAATGCACAACTATATATGCCTCGGTTTTAAGTCAATGCATGGAAACACGTACAGCCTTTGAGAGTCCATTACTCCAAATCTATGTAAGAACCACCCCATTCTCATCCCTTTGGGGATGGATTCTTATGCGTCCAGAAATTGGATTACAATTCTATCCTGGCCAAGGCTCGGGCTATCTCAGCCTTCTCCGCAACGTAGGAGCATTAAATGAAATAGTAGGCCTTGCTTGTCCGTGGGGGCTAAGCCGGATTCTTGGGCCGTCCATAACATGCTGCTGTATTCGGGGGCCAGGTAAATAAGGCTCCCTCATTCATGATCCTTCTCGCTGTGACTAGAACGATTGTTAAAAAGGTTATAAGTGAAATAGTCCAGTTTGGAGAAGGAAATCTATTCACTTGTCCAGGTTGCGAAAGTTGAATTTGAAATACAACCTACACAGGACGGACGGGGCATCCCATAACAAGACGATACCCCTATGGATTCAAGCATGACCGTGCTATTTTTTCATTAATGAATGAGTCTGAGAGCTAATTATTGACATGGATATGAATAAACCCCCATACTTTCATCCCGTTAAGAATATACACTGAGCCTAGCCACAAGGAGGAAGCCAGAGAGGAGCATGCTCCAACACTCATCTCTAATATTAATACAGTCTCTTTTGTGTCCAAAATCCAGGTGGAATTGGGGAACCCGATCCCAGGGCAGTTTTTGAAGGAAGATGGTCGCTCGGATGAGACTTGAGCAGCGCTTCAGGGGCTCTCACAACGCCCTCTCTACTCGAGGTAAGTTCCGATGCATTCATTTTCGTGGAATTGCCGTGAGAAGAAAATGCTATTGACTCTTCTCGTGGACGATGAGGAGAGTTGGCGAATGTTGTTAAAACATCAAGTCCAAGTTGATCGCACAACAACGTATCGATTGTGCCAACCGGCGATAAGTCTTGATTGTGGCTTTGAAATGAGATTGACGGATGTGACTTGTTGCATTCCACCAGATCCTCATTCAAAGGATTAATTTTGGTGCCATCAGGCTCGAATGTAGCGCAGTATGCTTCATCTAGTTTCTGGAAGAAGATATCATCATCCCCAACATCTAGTCCCGCTAGCCTTTGGTGGACAGGAGCCCGAAGTCGCGGCTCAGATAACAGGGGAACTTTTTTCGAGACATCCACCTCGTGGCTGGGAGACTGGTTGTGCCAAGAATGACGAAATACATCATCTGGAGATGCCTCTCTGGGACCAGCCCTGTTCTTGCTCTTGGATACAGCATCCGAGCGCTTCAATTGGGAGGCTGAGCCCTTTGTCGGGCTTTGCAAGGTTCCAGATAACCCCGAGAAGAACTCGGGAGTTTTGTGGATGGACACTCCACCAAGGGAATGCAAACCGAGACTCGCCTCTGGTTGCCAACATGCCTTTCGACTCTCTAGAAGACTCTTCAAATTCTGTATGTTGAAGTGTCCATTCATGGAGTCGACAGGTTCATCTTGATGACCTGACTTTTGTGGGGACAGTCCGACGTGTAGGATCTTCAGCAGACGATCCTCCACCTCTCGACTTCGCTGCGATCCATGCCTGTCACTGACAGACCAAGTGTATGGCGTCGGAGATGGAGGTTCCTGAACCGAGCGGCGTAATGGACTGTTTATATCATGGGCCTTGCCCGGAATGTGTTCCAAGCGATCTGGAGTGGTGGGACCTGCAGCTGGGAGAGTGGGAACGACACCATTTGACCCCGATGGATGCCATTGATCCCCTTGGCTGAATTGCACCGATGGATTCACGTTATCACCAATATATGTCTCAGTGCGCCTCAGCTTTGGAGGTTCATGGAAGTCATAATGGGAAACCCTCGGGTGCGTATGTTTTCCATCTGGCTTCTTCTGCAGGGGAGACTCATCCAAAGTCGTACCCTTACCTGTGCCTGTTCCCGGTTGGCCTCGTTCTTTGTGGGATAGGAACTGGGCCTCGGAAAAAGCAGAGTCGGGGACTGTTTGTTACAGTCAGTCAGCCATGGTCGCCCGTCGTTCCATATGCTGGACAACATACCATCGCGGAGTTTGATGGGAGATGATGCTTTGCCCTTGCTGAATATACCCATGTTCATGGTATTGCGGAGCTATCCACAAGGTCAGAGATATCAACTGAAGCTTTGTCCAACCAACTTACGGTCAGTCTGTCCCGAGCAACGTTTGTTGCATGAAATGCATCATTCATCGTATGCTTCCTGTTTTTCCGCGATCTTTGGACTCTGGCCTTGTGTGGCTGAGATGTTCGTTGTCTTGAAAAGCTCGGCCGCTTATACTCATATTTATCATCTCGAGTCTTGCGCCGCGGCCTCTTCTCGTACTGGTTCCCTGTACTATCTTGTTGGCCCTGTTGCCCATGGTCTGCATTGTCATCTCGAGGTCGTTTGTTGATCTTGGGCCAACGAATCGCAGGACCAGTATCAGTTGGCTCCAGAGCGGTGGAAAGTCCTCCATTGGGCTCAAGATCTGCGGCATTCAGACTTTCTGCATATCGTTCTTTGTCAGTGACCTGGCCGAATCACAGTACTCGGGAACATACCATAGTCCGGCTGTGATGTAGCGCCCTCGGGGACGTTTGCCAACCACTGATGGATCAATTCCTCAGCACCAGTCTCCATTTGGGCGGTTATAAGCGAGGAGAAGCGAATTGTGTCGCTTCCATGCACCAAGTCGGCAGGGGATTCAAGTACCCGTCGACATGCTCGGGCAGCTTGAGGAAGTCACGCCCCCCGCCGGCAACAGCATCCTCCTTCTCACCCTCGCCGTACACGCCATTTTTTATTTATTCTCAACTTAATCGTCTTTCAAGTTGAGACCATCTGCCAACGATGGCATCATTTGACGGTTCTTTTCTTGTCATTTTCAAGGACGCGCGCCAAGCTCCAAAATACGCTATTCTGCAGCACACTTAGTCCACATCATGCTGGCAACAGCAAGGGATCAATTTAACTTCTGGGGCAACGCCTCCTTACAAGGTTTCCGGCCCAATTCTTTTCCCACTGGACTCTGCACAAACTGACATTCTCTTTCTCTCATCATACAAAACACTGTTTGTCGGCGCTGTCAAGCCGATCCATGTGCGGATCTTCCTTCACGTCCGCAGCCTACCCGACAGACGGAATACGGCCCAAGCGGCTTGTGGGTCCTGATGCCCCTCCTGCACACACGGGCGAGCAATTGCGGATGATCATTGTGGTCGGACAGAATCCCAAATGGGCCTGGCAGGGCTAAGCCTATCTCCAAAGGTGTTGCATGGTGCATGGTGGCTAGAACAAGCTGATGGTTGGGTGGTGGGCCAATCCCCGGCCGAATGGGGGCGAGAAAGTCAATATTGCAGCTGTTCCGAAATGCATGGACAAACTGTGAGGTACGGGGGAAGAGTCTTGGGTTGTGGCTACAATGTTGCAATGTGCTGCTTCCCAGACTCTTGTCTCCTACTCTCTCTCTCGTGTTCCACCCAGTGTCCACCTATATTCAAGACAATCGTCGAGGACTTGTGCCGCCTGTTTCCACGCAATGCATGGAAAGTGCCCCGCCCCGCCCGCGATGGCTTTCAGGGTACCTTTTTGGTCCGCTGGGTGGTGGTTCTGGCACCACGCTACTACTGCCTGATATCTCCTATGTCGGACAACTTCCATCCAAGCGAGATTCCGATAGAATCCGTTCACGGAGGACCAGCAAAAGGATCTGCTCTTATTTTTGCTTTTTTTGAGTTGAATGTCCAGTCTCTGCAACCGTTGTAGATCTGGACAGGACTTTGTCGGGACTCCGGTGCCAGTGCAGAGGAAAAAAGATACAATGCAGATGAGGGGCAAGTACATTGACCATCAGCCGATGCTTGCTAGCGTTCCCCATCTCTCCAGATCCAGCCTCGGGTAACATCTGATTGACGGAGCGCATACTCAGACTGGCCGCCGGGTCCCGACAATCCAACAGTTCAAAGTTTAGACCGGTGGGACTGATGGGTTTAGGAGGGGGGAAGGTATCCATTTTATTCCCATTTGATCCATCTGATTTGGGCTTAGATAACTAACTAGTACCTCTTTTTCTACGCATTCCTAAACGGAATAAACGCAATACTAAGGAATACTACCAAAAATAATACTATTTCTACTGCTACATACTCTTACTAGCTAGTAGCTACTACTACCAAGTTGACTAGAGCTATCTGCAGGAAACTAGACAAGAAACACAGGAGTTAATTAGTTATTTCTCTTCTTACAGTCATAATTCCCCCCACTTGCACAGCTTAGCCACCTTTTTACGACTCTTGTTCATCACCTCTTGCTAGGTATCCTTCGTATCTCCCATACAGCCTTCTCACTGGTCAACATACCAACCAAAACCCTCAAGTCAGCATTATATTTCTCCATCTTGGACTATTATTGGTGCCAGGTGAGAAAAAACCCAAGGATGTGGAAGCCCTAAGGCAGTGTGATTGTTACACGGAGGGGTGGTTTTTGACTGCTGACTCGTTTCGCAACCACTAGGATTCTCCCTGCGCTTTCTCTCGGCCACCTGCTGAGGCACAACCTTTTCTTCTTCCCATTTCACTTTTAGCTTTTTACCCTTTCGACCTTTTGCTTTCGCCCCGGAGAAGCTTCTCAACCTTTTCTCCTATCTTCCCGTGAGTCTCGTCCTTCCTCATCTTCCCTTTGGGTCGCTAATCTTCTCTTCCTTGAAGGTTCTCTCTCTCGGTCACTTACGCCCTTTCGAGAGCAACTCCCGCCATCATGTCCAAGCTCTTTGTTCAGTATGTTCTCCTCCCCGAAATCTCACCCCCCCGCCTCCCTTTATTTTGCCCCCTCCTCACCCGAGAACTGTCCTCTTCAAAAAAAAATCCCTATGACATCTCCCATCGTCAACCTGAAATTTTGACAAAATGATTCAAATAACTAATGAAACATCTTTCACTATGAAGCGGCCTTTCTTGGCACACCAATGATGATACTCTACGCGAGGGATTCCAGCAGTTCGGCGAGATCCAGGAAGCTGTCAGTATTTATCTGCGCGACCCCAGCGCCCCGCACCCACTTCTCCTCCCCGAGATGGCAAAGTTGCAGAACCCAGAACCTAACCCCAGAATGTACAGATCGTCGTCAAGGATCGCGCAACTCTGCGCAGTCGTGGATTCGGCTTCGTGCGCTTTGCGACTGATGAAGAGGCCGATGCTGCCCTGAACGCCATGAACAACCAGGAGTAAGGCGAAATCGTTCTTATCTGACTTTATCGGGCTTGTTCAATTAATCGCATTTGGCAGGTTCGACGGTCGCGTCATTCGCGTCGACAAGGCCTTTGACCGCCCCAGCCGTCCCGATGGTGGTTTCCAGGGTCGCGGCGGATACAACCAGCAGCCCGGTAATGGCTACCAGGGCGGTGGTGGTGGTGGTGGCTTCGGCGGTAACGGCGGTGGCTACCAGCGTGGAGGATACGGTGGCGGTTATCAGCAACAGCAGCAGCAGCCCTACGGTGGAAACGGTGGTGGTAACGGTGGTAACGGTGGTGGTAACGGTGGTTACGGCGGCGGCAACTATGGCGGCGGTTATGGTGAGTTTTGATACTGTTGGAGCCATCTGCTGAAGTTCAGCGCTGGCCTGTGAAGCTCTTTCTGTTCGAAAATGTATCGAAACATCAAGCTAACCCCGAATTTTTTACAGGCGGTGGTGCCAACGCTGGCTACGGCGGCGGCGGTGGTTAGTTTACTTGCCTCTATCCCTGGCTCTTGCTGCTGCAAGATGATCACCTATACTAACCTATTTCTCTGTTTCCAGGCTGGCGCAACAACCAAGCCCCGGCTCCCGAGGGCAACTAAGGTCCGGTCCCATTTCCAGATGCTCGGAATACCCCCCTTTTTGACGTCTTTTCTTTGATTTTACACACGCAAAACTGCTTTACGACTGCTTTTGAGACGAATTGAGACGAAGGGAGTGACGAATTGAATTTGACAGGTTCGGGATCGGGATTCGGAATGCGATGCGAGAACTGGGTTATGGCTTTTTTTACGCGGAACATGCAAACAGATCCTCGTTCTAATCTTTTGTCTCTTTTATGCTTCCTCCGTTTAATCTCATATTATGCGTGCGATGAGGCACCGATGATCTCTTCACTTTCAAGCTGTACGGGTAAAGATGGATGGACTTTTTTCCACATCCTGGCTCTAGTTTGGTCTATGATGTGTCTTCTATGATATGATTTGTTATGATCTTGTTTTGATGCCTTCTGTCTTCTGGAAAGCTTTGGTCGGTCTTGCATGCTCCTCCTCTGTATTCTCATGGGATGTGATGCTTGTTTCAGTATTGAAGGAGGATAAATGTTTTATTCGAGCAAGAACCGTGCAGACTTGAGATCTACAAGCATTATTTTTATTTTCAGCCGAGTTCTTATTGCTAACAAACAGGCGACAAGCTCTTTCCCACTATTTATCATATTCCCCAACTGCGGAAATCAATTCTATGCATTCTATTCTATATCACTGCCACCGACAAGGGTCAAATTTTCCCCTTCGAAAACCGATCTATCAGCCTCACTCAATCCTATCCCCATGCACATGCTCCGCCGGCGACCGCGCCAAAGACTTCTTCACCTCCTTCTCCGCCTCCCGCTCCTCAACATCCGCCAAACCCGCAGCTTCAATCGCCCTAACCCTCTTCACCAAATCAGTAACATGCACATCCGCGGTACCAAGTCCAAGACCCTCCAACGCCTTCTCCAACAAATACAAATACTCCGTATTCTTCCCGCTCTGTCCATAACCCGCACTAATTACCTGCGCGACATCCTGCGGCGCTCGCCGTTCAGGCTCACGCAAGAACTGCGGGTTCGTCGGCTGCCCAATATACACCATACAGGTGATCGGCGTGGCGTGATTCGCGTTCTCTTGCGGGTCATTGGAGGGCCCTGTTGTAGGGTGGAATGGTGTAAAGCGTACGCTGTAGCCGTCGATTTCACGCTCGTCTAGGTAATCGTGGACTTCTTCGGCGTGCGAGGATGGGATGTGATATGCTGCACCCCAGACTTTGCCTGTTGAGGCGGACTCGGATTCTAGGGCTGCGAGCTATATTTGATGCCGGATATTGGGGCTTTGTTAGCGTGGTGTGGTGAAACTGGACTGGACTGGACTGGGACAGGCTGAGGCTGAAAGCAATCAATCCCCTTGGGCCCTTCGGCAGTTGAAAATGCCCATCCGAGCGCATTGCAAGATAAGCAGAAAAAGCAGGGCAGGGATAGGTACTATTGTCACACCTACCGGATCATCCAGCGTCTCCCAAAACCCACGCTCAATTACTGTAACGACTCGTCCCGGCTGCTCGGGGGTGCCCCGGTGGTCGGTACTATCATTCCATTTTCCCTGTTAGTCGGCTTCATGTTCTTTTTCCCCCTCCATGATATCCTATAGGACTGTACGTCTGCATGTCGCTGGGCTATCTTAGACGGTACTAGATACCCCTCTATTCAAGCCGCCTCCCCGCGCTCACTTTTGGGAAACGTACCTAGCCTGAATGAGGAACGCCACCCCGGGCTTGTGTCAGCTTGGATCGCTCTAGACCAGAAAATGCGCCAACCCCGCTACTATGGTACAATTGGGAGACAGCATGTACTCAAGCATGCGTTTCAGCATGTACTATATGGTAGGGTTGTTGGCGCTGGGTAAACCGGGTTTCGCATACCTGCCAGAATCGCCGCACATAGCCACTAATGTATCCCGGGACTCGCTGGTCTAAATGTTGACGTGGTTAGTTGGGTTTGGACATGATTCGAGTATCTACTGGTTCGGTAGATGAGCTCGTTTCGGGGACGGTGTTTTTGTCCAAAGGGTTTCAAAATGCCGTTCTTGCATACCATAGTGTGGTGGTGGTTTCCAGATCAAGCTTCTAGGGTTGGAGTCAGTATTTGGTTCTTTTGTTTCCCGACGGGAAGAAAAAGGCCAGGTTGGTTTTTATGTTGAATAGTTGTGGTTTGCCCATGATTAATGCAGCAAGGCCAATATTTCAACTCACCCATATCCAAATACCCAAAGATCACCCTTGGGAAAGTGTGTCTTCCACGTTCGCCCGTCCGGATGTACCTGATGCCCCTGCAAAATAGCCGCCATTTGGGCTGAGCCGAGTTATACCTGTTCGGTGATGATTTTTGACCAAGAAAGTCCGAGTGCTGGTCGATCGAAGATATACGCTCAATTCAGGAGCTCTAAAAATGCGGGAGCGATTTTATGTATGAAATCCCCTGGTAAGTGCAGTATAGTTGCGGATTTATCGGGTTCCTGGTGGGCGCTGAGAAATCCAAATCCCCTGGTTGTTTGCAGTGTTTGTTCTCCGTATATCGCAATTCTTGTGCGGGATGAGATGTTGCCAATCCGCTGACCGGGAAGATTCGACTGCACACCCTGGTATGTTCAAGACACTTGGCTATGGAGAACAAATTCGAGATGAAAATTTAGTCACCAAAAATCAAGCAACGCTTGAAAAAATACGGCACTGAGCGCGAGTGCGATAGCTCAGTAACTAGAGGACATGCCAGGTATTTTGCGAAAGGCAAGGTTATACTTCCTTCTCTCACCAGCAATGGTTCCAACAAATGCCAAAAGTTAAAAGACATATGCTCAATATGTAATTGATATCCTTACTCATTTCATCTGACCATAATCAGTTGACAATGAGCGGCAAGCTTTCGTATTTCCTAAACGTATCAAATACCCGATGGATGAGGGCAAATAAGATGTAGGCCTCAGCCAGAAAGCCCTGTAGCTCTAATTTGGCATCTCCTTCCCCTATCGTGATATCATAACGATCGAGTATGACGCTCGCAAGGAATCCAGCGATGTTCAACAATCTGAGAGGATACCGAGCCCACGGTTTGCTTTGAGCTAGGGTTACTTCGATGGCCAACAGAAAAAGGATAACGCGTACAGGCCACTGAATGCCCAAGCTATACAGTGCCGACCGTTTTTGCCTTCTATACCCGGAAACATAGAAATGCTATTTCAAGCCCTACCCCGTGATACGCTAAACCCAATATAGGTTTCGTGTAAATTACTGATTTTGTATATACATTGTAATAATACATAGGTTTGTACCTATCGGTATGCTTACAAGACTCTAGGGGCAGTAGCTTACGACAAGGAGGCTACATGGAAATCGAGAAAACTAGGCGACTGTGGGTGATCTGTCAACTTTCCTACTCTATCCCTCAGTTGCTTTACTGAGAGAGTCTGGCGCTGCCTTGGGTGACCTGGGGTCAAGTTTTGAGACAAGGCTTGACAGTAAGATTTCGTGGTCTCGCCATGTGGCAGTTTCGGGTTATTGAGCACAAGATCTTGCTTATAATAATATAGAAGGCTAGTTTGTGCCTTAATGGTTTATGGATCTCCGCTGTATAGATAACTTCATCACGGACAGCTTCTACTACATCCTTGTGACCTTCTAGAACGCCGCCCTTTTCAACGTGGGTTATTTCGGGCTCGACATCATGCTGTAGGGCAGGCTTTTCGGTGACGTATCGTGACGGGTGGAGGAGATCTTGCACAACCGAAAAGACTGCACGTTCTTACCTATGTTAGGGATAAAGCCCACTACACTACGCTACTTTTGCCATATCTGACGTAGTGAATTTCTGCCTTTGCTGTATATCATCTTACAATGGAAGGCAACCGTTTTCCTTGCCATTTTACAAGCCCTTTGAGTGCCTACAGCGGCCGGGTTAGGAGAGGTATGTGACGTCATGGTGGGTTGGTCGGGTATTGTTAGACATATAAGAGACTCTGTTATCACATGGTATGGGTCTATGAGGGCACTGGAATTCATCCAGTTCAAGAGTGAGTCACTACTCTAAACCCGCTTTACACCTCCGCCTGAGGGCATTTAGAAGCATTTCTGGCAGTTCCTCTGCGAATAGCCAGGAGCCACAGTAAGTATCACGAATTTCTAGCTACATAGAATCCCTTTGGAATATAACATCTCGTTACAGTAGACTCACGACATTTTAAAGCCAATTACCTGGCGGTTCCAATCAATCTGATCTATATCAAAACTCTCTCCAACCTCGTGACAACCTCATCATAAAACCTCTCGCTACATTCGGTCTTGCCCTCCTCAAAACCTTCCAAACAAAGTTTGACCACATCCCCAAAAATGTCACCCGCAGCAGCTCTCACCATATCTAAAAACCGGTTCTCCCTCAATAACATCGCCTGTACCTTCTTGGTTAGCCCAGGCCGGAGATATGCCTGCACATTTTCGTCCTCAATCCCTAATACTCGATGCAGCGGCATCCACAGTGCCGTCTCCAGGAACACAATACCTAGACTATAGATGTCAAAGGCTTTCTGAAATCCCCCAATACCCTCTGTTGCAACGTCGCTATGTACCAGCGGATGCCGGTACAGGTTATATAATGGGGTGGTGTCAGGCCGCTCGGTCATCTCTGTGTTGTGGACTGGGCGTGCGAGACCGAAGCCGCAGAGGAAGGGTGTTGAGAGATCTACGCGGCCAGGTTTTGTGAAAAAGATGACGTTTTGGCTGCGAATGCTTTTGTGGAGCCAGTCAGTAGAATGGAGGTGTTGTACGGCCGTGGCAAGGGTATGTGCGAGGCGCACACGCGCTGACAGGGATGGCTTTTCGTCGTCAAGGACGAGGTCGAAGAGCGATGTTGGAGCGTAGGCTGATTTGAGACCAATTGGGTGATGGAAGACCAGCCCGAAGCGGTTGAGTGGTGCGTCATTGAAGTAGCCAATGCAGGCGGGTGTGTGAAACAGCGCGGGCTTTTGGGCGCTACTGAGAAGGGCAGATAGCTTAGAGATTCGTGTCTGGATCAGAGGGTCGGGGTGGCCAGATTTTAAATTTGGATCGTAGTATTTCCATTCAATCCAAACCGGATTGCCTTCATACAGACCGCCTGAGCGCTCTATCTCCGTCGTCATGTAGGTTGTTGGGGAGGAGCGGAAGATGGTGCAAGATTCGGCGGCCAAAGGACCCGCTTCGATAGATCCGGCGCTGATATTCGAATCAATCTCTATTTTCAGCGCCTTGAAGCGCGCCAGCGTCCCTAGGACTTCTCTCTCTCGCTGAGACTCCGAGTTTTGCGCTATCGAGTGTTGCATAGCACCGGCGTGGAATATCTGGAGCAGGTGATCGATCTTGTTGTTCAGCTGCAAGACCTCTATAGACATGCGGGTTTGTGCTTGCTGGAGAGTGAACTGCTGTTGCGAGTCGAGCATGCCCTTCATGGCATCATTAAGTACACCGAGACGCGCTAACGAGGTCTCCAATCGCTCACGATCAAACATCGCCCACCGAATGCGCACTGGATAACGTCGAATCTTCTCCACGCAACTGAGGGCTTTGATTTCGAGCAAGCTTCTAGGGTACCGATCTCGGAATTCGGATCTCTCTGCCGTACCGTAGAAAAAGCCGTTATAACTGTCACCTACTAAAGATTGGTACGAGTCGCCAATCTTCCAGAAACAATTGAGGACAGCCTCTTGCTCAGCCAGGACCTCCTGCACGAAGGCTTCATTCAACCGCAGTGTTGCGCAAGAGGTTTCATTTTGCTCGGTAAGGTTGGCAATGTCGGCCCAGTTCAACAGTCGATGTTGCTCTATTTTCAGGCGGACGCGAAGATAATGGAACTGAGATGGCATGCCTTCTGCATCGGACAGGAGATTGTAGGCTGTTACGCAATGGTATCGTCAGCTAGTTAAATGACCAGGATAGAAGAAAAGCCAAGCCTAGACTGACCTTTAATGCAGCCTGAGAAGAGCTGGAACGTGAGCGAGATGGCACCGAAACTGAATCCTGATAAAGATATAGGGTCCATCGCTTCCCTAGTCACGGCTATAAGTTGCAATAGATAATGTTGAGACAAGCATCTCTACAAGTGTTGACACCAACTAAGCCCGATGAGGCTTAAATGAGGGGGCCCGCTCGGATCCCTTTGAATACTACTATGTACCACGCGTGCGCGACTCTTCTTTGAGGCACCTCAAGATACCCCGGAGTATGTATATGATTCCCAGATATTGAGGGATTATAGTAAACATATATACCGAGGCAGAGCTCTCTTTACGCGATCGGGACTCCGGATGGGGTGGACTCAGCAGATCGTGGAACGTCCCACGTCGACGTATGCGAACGAGACCCCAGATGGGCTAGATTGGGCGGGTCGTGGAACATCCCACGTCGAGTTTCAGGACGAAGAGGATCTCCCTCTATCTCAAGGGCGATTTCTTGGCCATGGGGTGAACGGAGGCGTTTTCGAAACTATAGTATGTGGAAAGAGAGTGGCATGGAAGCGACGATACTGTCGGCGGCAGATCGAGGCGCAAGACCTGCGTGAAATAGACATCCTGAAAAAACTCAGGAGTCGGCATATCATCAGCCTAATCGGCACATACACTCACGGACCATTCCTGGGGCTGCTGTTGTGGCCGGTTGCGGTATGTGACCTTGGGATGTTTCTCGAGGACGTGGACAAACTTTTGCATATCCCTGGCCCCGAGGCTCCACGAACAAACCATCAAACCACGTTGACACAGCGGCTACGCAGCCTAGGAATCGATACTCCAAATGCTGCGTCAACCCGGCTGAAACAATGCATCGGGTGCACATCTAGCGCAATTATGTACCTACACAATCGATCCATCCGTCACAAAGATATCAAGCCATCAAATATTCTCCTCTCTTCCGCTGGGCTTTGGGTGACCGATTTTGGTACTTCCACCGACTTTTCAAGCATTTCACAGAGTATCACGCAGAATGGCGAACGCGGGACCCCTAAATACTTCGCCCCCGAAGTCGCTCAGTATGAGCCCAATGGGCGGTCGGCAGATATATTCTCTCTAGGTTGCGTATTCCTCGAGATAATTGGGTTGTGCAACGGGTACTCGCTGGAATATCTGAAGGGCCTACGGCCGAATAAGGACCATTCGTTCCACGCGAACCTCGACTCCATCTTGCATTGGTTCAACTTCGGCCATATTGACGTCAAATCACCGGCAGATCAGCAACTCATGGCACTGGTACGAGAAATGCTTGCTCAGGCTGCTCGTGATCGCCCGACGGCAGTGAGTATCAACAGCCGCCTGCGCTTGATCGGTACATTGCGTAGACCGAGACCACCGGCACTGCTGTGGGGGAGCTGCTGCGCGCTCGAGTCGGAGTCATTGAAGCAATTCCAAGCCCGTCAAGTATCCTCTGTGACTATCGAACTTGGAAATACACATCAATTGGAGAACGGGCAGCATAGATGGAGTTTCTTCATCCGTGCACCAGCCGCGGAGGCGATCATCGCGAATGTTCATTATTTCCTAGTATGCATATATCCAACCCTGCTTCCAGATGTTTTCTCACCCTTTAGCATCCCAGTTTCAAGCACCCCTATACCGTACAGCAGCTACCGCCATTCGAGATAAATGGTGGAGGATGGGGCTTCTTCACCATCAGCATAGTAGTCGCTCTGAAACGAGGATATTTATGGGTATCTCCAGATGCAACACTTGGACTAGAGGACCATTCTCTTTTGACGCTTTATTGGACACTGAACTTTGAGCGAGAACTCACTTATAGTCAAGTTGAAGTGGGTATTTCAAAACCGTTGAGCGAAAGAGGCGCTTAGCGCGAGGTGGAGATCACATATTTTCAATCATAGTACGCTAGTTGTCTGTTTCACGTCCTTTGCATAAGATGCGATGCTTCAACGTGGGACGATGCAGTGGTGACCTTCGTTATGTTGGGATCTGTAACAATATGGTAAAATACAAACTCTGTATCACGGTCACGTTAGGATTGTACAGTTGTACCATTCAAACTCCGAACAACTGTTCAAATGAACGCTGGCTACATATTTTCTATTTATCATGTGACCACGGTACCGAACAGCATCTTCAGGTTTCCGAATACGAAGGCAATATCGGGCGCCACTGTATATCATATGAAGAATCATCTTACACTGCCAGGACTCGATGTTTCTTGCCATTTTGTAAGTGGTTAGGTGACTACAGTTGCAGGGTTGGGAAGAGTGAGAACGAACGACCCCTGGCGTGTTAGGAGGTAGATTTTTTTGGATATGGTTTATTTTGGACATGTAGCAGTACATGACTATACACTTTGATACTTTCATTGGTATTACCATACAACCCTGGAACAAATTTTTAGTACGGAATTAGCCGTATGAGGTTTAGTGCATCAGTTGATTAGGGTTTAAAATAGTATCTCTCTATTTCCAGATATGGAAGGCAATAACGGGCGGCACTGTACCAGATAAGCGTGCATAGATTCCTACTAAGGGAAACGTCTAGTAATCTAAGAAGCTGGAAATGAAGATCATGCAGGAAATCCAAATGCATGTAGAAACTGTGAAGATTGTCGCCGTACCCAAGATGGGAGACTTATGACCCCAGTCGTTATCGGGATCTTCGATATCATTCTCATTCGGCAGAGCAGGGATAGCGACCTGTGCTCTCTGTGGTTCGGCGGCGTTTGACTGGCTAGGACGGTTGTTGGATATTATACTCTTGCCGCACTCAGCTTATTCGCGCGTTAGCAACAGTCATAGAGATATAAGGGGCATCTTAGAGCCAGCACTTACAACCACCAAAATATTCAAAGACAGTGATAAGAGCTGCTGCTAATAGTATCACAGCTACGACTTGTCCAAATGACCAATCGCCTCTTCCGCCGCCCAGAAACATGGAAAGGTCAGCCCGAGAAGCATGATTTGGATCGAGGACAAATATCAGACGAAAACCCCCCAAATGAAGGCTGTAATCAGCCAGCATACCTGAATTAGGTCAGTATTTATGGTGAGGCTTGCTAGTGAAACTTCGCAGAGAACTGAGGTCCATCCGTCGATAATAAACCGCACCGTCAAGAATAGGGCAAGGAGGGGAGGGTAGATTAGTGAACGTTTCAAACTGCCTTTGCAGCCATTTCGAGAAGACCAGATGAACATAACACGTAAGATATGCCGTACCTGAGCACTAAGGCAGAGCCTGGCCCGACCAAAGATGTTCACGGATAGAGTTCTGTATAATTTGATGACCCGGGAGGTGAATCCGATCAAGTTCAACAAAATAGAGACCAGGTTCGACCAGAATGCCCAGTTCACGGCTTTGCGAGATGACAAAAATCTGTTATACCAGCTGAGACCGGGCTTTGGGGGCCGCGGTGAAACACCTAGATGACAAATTGCAGGGAGGCCTTGGTGATAATCGTTAGAGATCCACCAGTTGTTCGCAGTAGAAAACAAACCATATGTCACCAGTGTGGCTAGCGCACCCATAGCAAATAATCGCCACAAGCGTTCAGAGGTATGGCGAGAGAGATGATTCCATAGCAACGTTAAACATGCCAAGTGAGTGAGGCAAGAAAACCATGCCATTTCAACGATAAATTGCCATTGATAGGCCGCAAGGCTACTCTCAAGCTGGACATGGCCACTGGTCAGAATGGAAAAGCCCGTCAGGTTTGTAGATCGCTCATTGCTAGAATACACTGGACAAATGTGAGCGTTGTCATGTCTCATATGACTTCAAGGATTATTTCAAGGCAAATCACTTCGACCAGAAGCTTTTCCAATCGAGCACTTATCCCAGCGCTCATCCGGTGAGATCCTAGGAAACGTCTCAGAAGCTTCGTCGGCCGTCGCCGTAGTACTCGAAGGACGATATCATCGATTGGATTGGGACGAAATGACAGACTGTCTTGATCAGACGTGTCAAATGGGTTCCGGCTTGGTTGATATGCGATGAAATAATAGATCAAGATGATCAATAGAGCAAGGCTAGTAGTCGCAAGGTAGTTGACAACAACACCGATCCCCGTAACGTCATTGTTAATCGGTAGAGGAGAAGGAGCGGGTGCTGAACAATTGATACTAGGAGGTGGGGACATGGAGATCGTTGGCGTGGCTACTAGTGACTCGAGAGTGGCGTGGAAGCAGATTTATATTCCTTCCTGCGATCGCAAGGTGCTTCACTTTTGCCTATGCCCAGCAGCCAAGAAATGATCGATCTATCGAAACTCGTACATATATGCTGAACGGAACTTTATTTACAAGTGGCTTGAAGTTGTAAATAAACCAACGCCATCCATTTATTAAGGCTTTTCTATACCTCTAGGCCCTCGAACAATAACCGCATTCATTCATCAAATGCACCTTCAGAATTTCACCCACCCTAAGCCTTGCTCTCCTCCACAACAGCATATCGACTCCAACGCCGAATAACAGGACCATACATGTAAAACACATAAGGCACAGGGACCAGCAAAGCACTGATGCATCCGAGAATAGTAAGTGTCCAATGAACACCCATATTTTGATAGAACGGGATCCCAACAACCGTCATGCCACCTGCAGCACAATAGCGGGAGACTGTCATAAATCCCAGAGCCGATGCTGCGTAGACGCTGTACGAGTCGATGACATACATGTAGGAGCTGATGAAGACGCAGATAGTGCCGAAGCCGAAGAGGCTAGAGGCGAGTATGGGTGACCAGACGGATATCGACTCCTAGAAAATCGGTTAGAAATGAGGATCCTCTATAGGAAAATATAGGGAGATGAGGGCTACTCACAAAGTCAGTCCATCCCATCCAGAAGAGGCTGATCGGGATAGCAGGGGCTCCGAACATAGCGAACCACAGTCGGATCTCAGGTTGAGTGTGCACACCATCGAGGGCATGTGCATCGACAGCTGGATCAGCGCCATTGACTGCTTGTGCCGCCTGGGTAAACGCCTTTTTCGTCCACTTGTAGATGGGGAAGACAAGGAAAGTAGCCAGTGAGATTCCGACGTACATCGCAACCCAGACAATATTGGTCAGACCCTGCGAGAGACCATGCACATCGGTGAAAATGTAGGTATACCCATCGAAGAATGTGAATAACACAATATACAGGACAGTCATATAAAGCGATATCAACAAAATAATCGGCTCGTGGATGGTAATCAGGAACTGACGCTTCATTGCCCCGCTGATACGGCTGAGCAGCGCAATCTTCTCCATGTCCATTTCCGAGCGGAAGCGGTTATCGCCGGTGATTCTGCGCAGCTGCTTGCCCTTCCACTTTAGAAGAAGCGGCGAGTATGTCTCTGGCTGGAAGAGGATGATCAAGACTAGGATGGCGCCGGACATAATGAGGATGATCCATGCCGTCCAGCGCCAGGAGAGAGCATCTGTTTGACCCATATACGACGCAATGACTGGCCCAAGCACTGGTCCTCCGAAAGAGAGGATTGCGTACATGGGGAAATAGATCGTCTTCTCCAGCGGATTCCATAGATCAGCAATTGTCCCACCTGCACAGGTAAGTGGTGGACAACCGAAGATTCCAGCTAAAAAGCGGAAGGCCAGTTGAGCACCAATATTGGGTGCAAGTGCAGAGCCCATGATGAAGATCATAAATAGAGTCAATGACGCTGTGTACACCACATTGCGGCCTAAGATTTCAGAGAGCGGGCCGCTAACAAGAGACCCAGCTGCAAAACCGAGCAGATATACAGCTAAAGTCAAGAAATAATCAGCTCCCATTCGACAATCATTCTCAGATAGTTCATATACCAGTCACAAGAGATCCCACAACATCGCTCACGCCAAACGCCGCCGCATTCTGAGGTAAAACGGCCGAATTAATTGACGAGGCCGCACCAACTACGAAAGCCAGTGCCGAAACGAGCAATGTGGCGATAAGCCGGCTCGAAAAATTATAGTTCATCGGATTTTGTGGATCATCCTTGCCATCCCAGCCGACAATGAACAAATCGGCTGGCTGATTCGTCGACGCGAGTTGTTTCTGAATATCAACACCCGCAAGGGAATGCGCTAGAGTTGTCTTCTCGGAGCGCTGCGTTTTGGATTTCTCCAGCGATTCGGGATTTGATGTTACTGCGACATCATCGTCGCGGGTAACTTGATTTGCATCTTCGATAGAATTGACCGAATCCGAATCTGATGAAGAGCTCGACGTCGAGCGTGTTTTCACGGTGGAATCGGTATTGCGCTGTGTATATGCGTAGTCCAACTCGGCGCGGACAGAATCTCCCAATCGACGATACTGCAGATAGGACTGCATTTTCACACCTCGGGATTAGACTGAAATTTTGCGTACGATGGGTTGTTTTCTCACCGGTCATGGGAGTAATATGGACTCCTTCCTGAGTATGAGCGTCTAAGATATAGGGAGACCAGATTGGACAGAGTCAGGATTTTTTTTCGCGTTCACGAGCTTTTCGGTCTCTTCGCTGATAAATCTCGGGGGTATTGAGTCAGCGAGTCTTTCGGCGACATTTATGGATCAATTGAGGTTGGCATGACTCCGGGATGTGGGTCTCTTGCGTAGGGCCGATATTTGAGGTTCACGATGTCTCCGTAAGGGCAGGCGGGTGGAGCCGCTCGGCCAGATGTCAGGCCGAGATATTGAGAAGGCCTGTGAGGTTATTCCTACAGTGGAATTGTGGACGAAGAGCTCGTTTAGTGATATCAGACCAATAACCGAAGTGTTTTCGCGTATGTATTTACGCTTCCAGGATTAGTTTTGTCGCCGCCAAGGTACTACCAAGGCCGCATGCTGGCTGAAGGGGGATTTCCGGTCCATGAACCCCGTCCATAAACCAACCCGTCTACGATATCTACAACACCAAAGAGTCAACTGTGCCTCGATAACTTCATTCTTTCCATTATGTGCAAAAATAATTCATACTTTTGATATGTCGCGATGATGCAAAAAGCCCGCAACCCAATAGAAGGTCAGAGATGGATCCTTCACAAGACAAATGCAATGCGCGACTAGCCCTGAAGACAAGCTAACTCACGATGCGGAGTTCCAATTAAATACAAACACTAATCACCGAATATTAATACAGCGAAGAGGAGAGCCACGCCCCCAAAAATTGGGCTGTCCAAGCAAAAAAAGAAGAAAGGTTAAAAAATAAAGGGTATCAAAAATCGCAGCCCATTCCTGAGCAGAGACACTCTAAGCCTCAACCTCAGGCTTCCCCTCCGCCTTACGTTGGGACTCAATCAATTCCTGACGCGCACGCTCTTGCTCCTCAAGACCAGTCTTGCGGATAGTATGCGTCTTGGTCAATTCACGAGGACGAATGAACAGCGAAAGAACAAAGCCAAGTCCCGCCATGCAAGTGTAGAAAATCCACATACGGCTCAAAGCGAAAGTGAACGCCTCGAGGACAACCTCGCGCTGGGACTGAGTCAGGCTCTTGATGAGTTCCTTAGAAGAACCAGCGAAGGAGGAGGAGATTTGGGCGGTACGCTCGGGGCCAATAGCCGCGATGAGCTTGTCGGCTTGTTGGCCGATCACGTTTTGGTAGATGACTGTGCCCAGGACGACGGACATGGAGGTTGACAGTTGGCGGACGAAACCGAAAGTTGCGGTGGCGGTGGCCATGTCTGCGGGGCGGATGTTGGCCTGGAAGGCGACAAGGGGAGCTTGGAAGTTAGGTCCGACACCGATACCGCCGATGAGTTGGTAAATGATGATGCGGGGCCAGGAGGCGTAGGGCTTGAGATCGATTAGTAGACCGAAGCCGAGGGTCATGAAGAATAGACCGGCGACGATCATCTCGTGGTAGCGACCGGTTTTCTTCATGACGATACCTGTTGCGGCGGAGACGATGGAGAGCGAGAGGACCATGGGTAGGGTGTAGACACCGCTGAGAATGGGGGAGGCTAGTAGAACGGTCTGGAAGTAGAGTGGGAGGTAGTAGGCTCCCGAGATGAAGACGAAGCCATGGCAGTAGCAGACCATTAGAATGAGGATATTGTACCACTCGTTGAACAGGCGTGGGGGGATGATGGGGTACTTGGCGAGCTTCCATTCAGCGAGCATAGCCAGGATCCAAACGAAGATGCCGAAGATGATGAGGCAGATGACAGTGGCTGACTTCCAGGGGTAGTTGATGCCGCCGAATTCGAGGCCGAACAGGAACATGAGAGTGCCGCCGATGATAAGGAATGTTCCTGCCCAGTCGATACTGCGCAGGCCAGCCAGGAAGGGCGTCTTGGGGGACTCGATAGAGAGGAAGAAGAAGAGAATGAGGAAGGAGAATCCACCGATGGGCACTGCAGGGCTTGTTAGCTTGGGATCTCAGTACTTTGGCAAGTTGTACATACAGTTCAGGTAAAAGCACCATCTCCAGGTAACGCTGGTAGTAAAGGCACCGCCGATAATAGGTCCCAGTGCACCAGCAATCGCCCAAGTGGCACCGAAAAGCCCATAGTACATGGGGCGATCTCTATAAAAAAGGGTTAGCATTGCCGTAGTCAGAAGATGACCATGAAGTCAACATACCTCATACTGAACAGATCCGTCACGCTAATATTAGCCATGATAATAATACCCCCACCACCAACACCTTGAATAGCACGACCAGCCACAATCATGGCCATATTGTTAGCCAAAGCACAGATCAAACTGCCAACCAGGAACCACACATTCGCAAGCAAGATAATCGGCTTGCGACCCCAAATATCACTGATCTTGCCCCAGAGCGGAATACAAGCCGCATTCGCAAGAAGATACGACGACGCAATCCACGAGTAACCACTCTCCGAAGCATTGAAATCAGCCGCGATCGTAGGCAAAGCCGTTGAGATAATTGTCATATCCAGCGCCGCCAGGAACAGCGCCAGACAAAGCGCGGTCATCACGACGATGATCTTCTTTTTGCCCATCTTTGCTGCTTGCGAGGGTGTGCGGTCCAGCGGCGCGCCAGAGGCTTGTTTCTTAATCGCATTATCCTCGTCATCTTTTTCCGGGTCCTCAGCTGGGACGGATGTATCCAGGTCGTGGTCGTGGTTGTGTTCTAGCTCTTTCTCTTGCGCAGCGGAAGAGGGTGTCTGGACGGGAGATTTTTCCGATGGAGTCTGCGAGACGACTGTGTCGCCGCTCGACGAGTCGTGGTTCTGTTGCACGCCCGTCATCGTGGTATGAAAGCTGACGCGAAACTGAAACTGACGAAAATCTCGACAGTAACCAAGCGACAGAGAAAGGGAGAATCGTTAGGTAAAAGTTTCAAGCCGGGGCGAGATAGTCGCGGCCAGAAACCGGTAGCGCCTCGGTGATTAGAATCGATCGATCGGCGCGCAAGTTCTGCAAACAAACACCCGGTCACCACGAGGCTTTCGAGAAGGGCGAAGAGTCGTGTCAGAACTGGCAGAGCTGAAGGTTTATTCAAAAACCGTCAGCGAGGCAAGACTTGGTTTATATGTGATCTTGGCGCTCGTGTTGGAAGAGTCAGAAAGTCAGTCGGGGGAGGAAGCTCGGAGTTAATTCTGGGGCTACCAGAAGGATTCGGTCGGCGGAAGTTGTGGAGGCCGAAATGCCGAGAAGATGATGAGTATGTCGACACGTCGAGAGTAGATGCAACTCGGAGAACGATGTGTCAGAGATCGAGATCGGAGTCGCATAGATTATCGTGAGATAGGCTTGTAGCGGTGTGTCAAAACCTGGAATCGGGGAATTGCTTGCATGAGTCAATATCTGCTGCCGGTCATTCGCATAACTATGCGCATCATCGCCATGTGGTGTGACGTTCCGTTGGTAAAAAAAAGCAAGGGGGGGCCAAGGACTCGGCCCGTCGGACAACAACAGCCAATCTAGTAAGGTTAAAAATACTGAGAGATTGATAGACTGATAATTTCAATCTGATACTGCTATCCTCATCACTAGCTCGCTGTCTTGATACAGGCCTCGTTCACAAAGTACCAGATCAGAAATGTCGAATCTACATGGATGCTTGCTTCCCGTCCAAATCTGAGATTCGCAAGATTATGACCGGTTTCCAGGTCAAACAATCACTCCCCCTCCGATGGCCTAGTTGGTATTCACCATAAATTGGTGAAACATTGTGCCCTAGAGGCGTGGGCAAACAAAAGAAGCAGAAAAAAAAATACTGGACCAGTGTTGACGCTACAAGCTCCAGGGACAGCCGGGCACACTCCTAGGCGGGGGTGTATTATTTTTTCGAGTTTTTTTTATAATATTATATTTCTAGTAGAGAGATTTATCTTAGACCGTTATGTTAGATTATTTTAATTCTTTAATTTTATTTTTGACGGTGTTAGAGGGTGAAAAGGGGGTATAGTGCAGTATATCATAGCACCGGGGTGGGATGGCGATGTTCTTCGGTGTCCGTGGATAGCGACGCAGTAACAAGGGCGAAGTAAATAGGGGAGGAGAAGGTTGATGTTCAATTCGTGCCAGGGGTGGCTCGGTTTATTTCGAATCATGACAGGCGGGCTTTTTTCTGTTCCCAAACAAATGGGCCTACCTGGACGGGTAAACAAACAAGTCTATAATGTCTGAGAGTAGGACAAATCATTCGAGAGTGCTCCAAAGCGAAGAAGACATATTCTGACTATCATGCCCTCTGCGTTTCACTTGGCTTATACACCTAGGACAGTATTTATCTGGCCTTTTAGAATCTATATCACGGGGAAATATGACGACCGGAGTCCGAAATGTCCTAAGTTCCCTCGATTATCTACGACAAAAAGAACAGGAAGCTCTAGAAAGAAAGATTCTGAATTCGTAAAACAGTTTCCTTGCAAGACTGATAGACTGGACAACGCCCAAATCAACATGCGACGGTCTTTGACTAGAACTCTAGGACGAAGCAGACAGGGAAGAGAATAGGGTATGGGTATAATAGGGAGAAACGTCAACAGGTCGAGAACCAGGACAAGAAACGAGATCCAATAGCAAATAACCAGAAAGAACAAGCGCAATGGGGAATGCAATATAGACAACGAAGTAAACCATATGCAAGTGTGCAAGCACGGTGTCGCGAAAGCGTATTAATCCTGCAGCAGGATGATTTCTGCAACAACATCTCAGTTAGTGACTGCCGCGATTCGAGTCGAAGCATTCAACTCGGTTGGGGAGAACGTACCAGTCAGAAACTCCTCAAAGCTCACGGTAATATACCCATCCCGATCCTCATCATACCGCTTAAACACATCCGTCATCCGCTTCAGGCTGATACAAGCCTGCACAAACAGATCAAAGCTCATCCCATTCTGACCAGGACTCTTCGACGGCGCATTAACCTGCCGCGTCTTGCTTTCAAACGCAGTAAATAGCACAGACACAAACTTCGTCGTGAGACGGTATCCAAACGCGACCAGCGCATTCTCGAACTCCTGCAGGCTAATGCGCCCGCTGCGGTCCTCGTCGAACCGATCAAACAACTCCCGCCACGCTGCGAGATACTTCCATAGCGAAACAAATTCGTCAAAGTTGATTGTACCATTTCCGTTCCTGTCGAACATTCGGATCATCATCTTCACCGTGCGCGGGTGGAAAGATGTGTAGTCGCCGTTCACGAGAGCAGACCCGAGCTCTTGCTCGGTGAGCGAGCCGCTATGCGAGGAGTTGGCTGCGCGGAATAGAGGGAAGAGCTGTTGTGGGTCATCGGTGGGAGCAGTCAGAGGCGGGGGTTGGGGGGATTGCGGAGGGCGCGAGGCGAGCGGGGGTCTATTGCGCTGCTGCTGAGATGGAGGGGGTCCGAAGCCGTAGTTCTGAGGTGGCGGCGAGGGATGTAACGGGTGAGGTCGATATTGGCCTTGGTTTGGGGGAGGCGCGTTCGCGGGCGAGGGTCGGCCGTTGTAGGGGTTCGCGGGAGGGGCGTTGTTGTATGCGTGCGATGGAGGACTATTGGAGACAGGTACTCGGGAGGGTACTCCACCGCTAGACGCCGACTGTGGTGGTGGACGCGAGGGAAGCGGCTTTTGACTTTGACCGTGGCCTCCTGACATCTGCATGTTCCCTATCATCTGCGCGACCTGGCGACATTTGGTTTAGTTTGGCGGGGATACACGCAACAACATCTTGGCGGGATGAGGAGATTTACCTGCTCTGGCTCAGCGTGCCTATGTCATGCCGCAAGGTTAGCGATCAAAAACTCTTCCCAGATATATAGCTGGTGGTATGAACTTACGCTGGCAGCGCATCGGGATTGTAGCTCTTGTTGTAGGCCATGGTCGCCTAGCACTGACGCAATTACAAAGTGGAGCGCCAGACACAACCAGGGATGAGATCACCTTGCACGGGCAAGATATCAGAACAAACAATCAACCCGCCCACAATCCAATAAGTGGTAAACGGGAAGATCAAAAGGGAATGGTCAAGGGGAGAATGAAAAGAAATTCGAGGGGCCAAGTGGAAGACAAACGAAGGACAAGGTTACTCAGGTTCAAGCGGAACCGTGGGGCTCAAGACGGTTTTTAGTGTTTGCCCAACCGCCCAGAAAAAGCGAACTGGCCGCCAAGAGAAAACTGGAGCTTACACGTCTTTTTTTTTGCTTTTCCTCCACTTGTTCACCCAATTGTATTGATTCAATCAAATGCACATCTGGCTCTGGCCGAGGGATTTACGAATAACGAACCTCTCCATCCCCAGGGCCAGTTCAGACGGCTCAGCCCTATCGACGCGCGTGTTGCCAAATCGTTCGAAAGGAGTATAACTTCGCCGCGGAACTAAACCCCTGCAAACCCACGGGTCTCTCCTTCCAATTGGACGCTGAGCTCCACTTTGGTGATATATTTGGGATACGAGCATACGAGCCCCACGCAGTTTCCAACCGGGCAATTTCTTTTCCTCAGCTAAGCTTGCTGGATAATCATTTGTACTTCTGCAGCCTGCTGCTCCAACACTTCAAGAATCTCTGCCCACGCCTTGGCTTGGAATTCCTTTCCTTCGGCGCCCGCGGTGAGGGCTTTGGACTCACTACAAACTGTCAGGAAATTGCATCAATTGTCTCGTTTCATCGAGTGACTTACTCCAGATATCCATCGTTCCGCCAACATTTGCCCTGAGCCTCTGCACCTTGGAGCACTCCAGTCACCAACAGCCGACTGCCCTGTTCGGTCGTACGTGCAAAAAGCTTGTACATGATCCACACAAGCCACCGCTCGTAGAATCGATCATATTGTCGTCCAAGAGATGATCGGCAAAGCCCAGGACTAATGGTATTGACAATGACAGGTAGTGTCCCGTCATCGTTGCGAACAAGATTGGCGAGATTCTTCATGACATACTCCAGAAGCAATTTCGAAATACCATACTGTTTCGGCCCATGGAACTGATCCGCAGAATTCAAATGCTCCAATAACGGCCCCTCAGTCCGAAGACTTTCAGCTTTCACACGCACAAATTGTTGACTAGAAACGACACCAAGATGCGTCGGCTCTGTATCAGAGGAACTTGCTCTCAACTTGGGAAGAAGCAGGAGCGCCAGTAATGACGTTGACAACGTGTTGACCTGTAGAGTCTCCTCCCACTTCTCGGGTGACTGCGTATACTCGCGATTCCACAAGCCAGCATTAAGTAGTGCGACATCCAACCGCTGAAGCTCACTATTGGCGCGACTGGCGAAGCTTTTCACACTTTGGAAGCTGCTCATCTCGAGCTCCCAGATTTGAATAGTGTCGGGGCGATTGGTGCATTTCTCAAGCTCTAGCTTAACCTTGTTGCCACGTTCCAAGCTGCGGCTTCCAATGATTAGGGAGCCCACGCCGAGGTTGAGGAGCTTGATGGCAGCTTCATCACCCAGACCTGAGGTCGCGCCCGTCAACAGCACTGTCTTGCCGGCGAAAGAAGTGAAAGGGTCTGTTGGGGGTGTATACTGCATTTTAAGCAAGCGGAAAAGTCCCGCCATTTTGATAAATTTGGATCCTGTCCGAAGAAAATGTGTAAATGAGAAATTGGCTTGGAGATGAAATGATAGCCTCCGAGGACCGACTGAGCATTTTCACAGGTTGACTGCCTCAGGCTGATAACTTGCTTAGTCATTTATCCTGGCCGTGGCCCGAAAAGAACGACTCGATGTAGAAGGTTGACGTCTAATGGCGAGTCAAAGGCCACAATTGGTACGCGCTATGAAGGGAGATGAGTCTATGATCCTAGTATTGTTGAAGATTTCCAGAACAAATTTGGAGGATTTTCTTTGTTTCAAATCTCACTTTAAACGCGAAATCTACTTATACTCGTCCCGTATTTAGTTCTCGGATTCGCACTAATCGGAAGACCTCGATAATTTGCAAGTTCTCAATCGCCATATTCCCAAGTGCGTAGTCAACATATTCATCTCATGTATACATTAGTTCGGTCTCATCAGATTCATTCTTCTCTGTCGGTACAACTTGACTGGGATGAAAAATTGCAAAAATGACCATAACCAAAAACACCAGTGCGGTATCAAAGATATAAGCATAGTACTCAAGTACTCATGGCTTTGTAGGACACCAGTCTGACCTTGGACATATTCCACCACACGATACACACAGCGAACCATGATCAAACCGCTGGCAATGTAGAGTACAATCAAGTACCGATTCCAATTCACTGAAACAGTCATGGATGCCGAGGTAGGATTATCCAAGGTTCTTTTGTGGAATATGACCGAAACAACGACAAAGAATCCGAAGAAGAGGATCTGGAAAATTAATTTAACGATGATTACATTCTCTCCTAGCCTGAGCTTGCTTTCAGTCTTGGCTCCGGAGAGAATTCCACCACCTAATGAAGTCGATTTAGCAATGACTATGGTAAACCATAGAAAATAAAGCAAAGCAAACACGTACCACCACTCTGGATAAAGAATTCCAACACATCTCCCAGAATAAAGATCTTCGTCAAGTTTCTCGCAGGAATAATACATCTCAACTCGCCATCTGTCAAGCGAATAATGCGACCCAGAATCATATAGATGGAAGCGGCGAAGAGAGATGGCGCGATAAGAACGAAAACAGGCTCTGCAGGGCTTACGGCATGGTAGAATAATTCGGAGCCTGATGGACATTGACTGCTCGCGCTTGTGGCCCAGTTAGACACAGTCAGAACTCCTGCTCTTCCCAAACTTCAGTGGCAAGTTCCTCCAAAACAGAGTCGTCAAGGCTTATATCCATTTCCTTCGGGCTGCTCGGCTGGCGAAGAAAGAGCTTGTCGAACCCGATGATAAGGGGCTGGCCTCGGATGTAGAGATGATTGTTTTCCCCTTTGCTGATAGTAACAACTTGTGTGCGCTTAGGTCTATCATTGAAACGTTCCCACGACTCCAGCACGATCTGGGGCATGCTCCGGCTGATCTTGATGGTGATGACCAGTTGAACCTCTCCATTTGATTGGGTAAGCCAGAAACGAGCATCGGACATCAACTTAGAAGGCGACTCTGAAAATACCGATTCCACGACAAGCGTGGGCCATTTCTTCGTTCGCGCTCGAGGGAGTCTCTTCGGTAGAAACTGCGCGTCAGGCTGTTTAGCGGAGCCACTTTCTGCAACGCATGTAGCGGATCCAAAGGTTCGAAGACAGCGTTTGAGGCCCATAGGCTCAAGAGAATCAAGCAGGAGTCTTTCGAATACTCGTGGAGCAATTTCATGTGGTCGGGAGACAGTCATTTTGACGAGGAGGAGGTGTTGGCAAGAGTCGTAAGAGTTCCAGCAACGCTCAATGATTTTATCGTCCGAATTGAGGAAGTCGCGACTAAAGGCATTCTGGTTAACCTCGGTGAAAAGCACCCATTCACTGATTTCAAGATCTTCTTGCTGGCGACTTGATTCCATCTTTAAAAGGTCTCGAAATTGGCTGATTCCTTTGTATGGATATCTTCTAATCGGTGGTCCTAGCTCGCCAAGAAAGTTACCACTAGAGCTCTCGGTACCCAGCTCAACGTCCATATTTAGAGACATAATAACCGAGATTACACAGGGATCCTTTCTCGTATTGGTAGAGAGAGAGAGAGAGAGGGAGGGAGGGAGGGAGGGAGAGGAATGCTCCCATTGATTTCAGGGGCATTGGATAATCGATCCTGAGAATTGATTGATTCTAATGTGACGTAGTATAGACGTATTTTTGTTACCGTCTACGTAAAAGGTGAATAGAATTCAAGCTCCTCGAATCTTTTAATGCTGTACCAGGACCGAGATCATTATAAGTAGGTTTCGCAAGATTTCTATTTTAAACAGGGGGCCTTTAAAAGGCGACTAGACATACCGCCACTGGTCGGTCTCTTCGGTGGCAGGAATATTTGGGCCTGTCCTCAGCGCGTAATGGGAGAGGAACAGTTCCACGAGATCCCCCCTCTCGTTTATTTTGATCCCGTATAGCTACTCTTAAAGTCATGCTTGACGGGTATAGAGGCATTGGATGTGGGTTGATGCTCGCTTGTGGACAAGTCGTTTACGCACAACCCCAGTCATCGCTACATGGGGGAATTTTTACACTTCGATCCCAATCTTTGTTTGTTCCGGACCCTTTGTTGTGATTGGCATTGTATCATTATGCGTGCCATTCGAGCCTCGCCGTATTGGCACCAATAGCCGAGAATGAACCTTTACCCTTTGGTAAATAGCTATGCTTATTCATGTCTGAACGTGCTGACAATTGAATTCAGATGATATAAATTAGAGTGCTATTTACTTGCAAGCATCGCTCATGAGCAACTGTGGCCCTCCATTGGGATGACAATCTGCCATCAATCGCGCCCCGTTCCTGGATCATCCAAGTCACTCATTATTAAATTAAGCAAGCCAATTTTCTCGAATATCCCTCGGTCTGCATTTTCATCAGTGCATAGTTTTTATAGGTTTGACCTAATAATATCGATCATGCCTCACGTTACTACGGAGAGGAGAAAACGGGACGGGGCCCGGGGGACCGATTCATGAACAGATAATTGATGATGGAGAAACGGCTCTCGTAGTTGGTGGTTGGACCGTTATTTGCAAGCGCGGAAAGGGTTTCGGAGAGAGTCCGTAATTCTAGATCACCGGGTCGCGTTATGAGAGAAGAGCCTCAGGGTCCGGGCTGCAGAGCCTCAACCCGATTAGAAAGAACGGAGCTAACCGGTAGACTAAGGGCTTGCGCCTTGGCAGACCCTAGGCCTAAGCTAACTAACAAGCCTCAACCCCTTTTCAATTCACCGTAACCTCCGTCCTTGAAGGTTTTGTCCGTGTCTTCTGTTGCAAGAACCTGCCTGAAATGCCGACCCAAGTCACTGCAATGGCGGAGTTGATCAAACTTCCAGCTAGTGTTCTTATACACATTATCTCTCTACTGGACAATGATTCTGTCAAGACTCTGCGAATGACATGCAAGGAACTCAGCGGCTTTGCCAATCGAGTCTTGTTTCGAAGCATCTCGTTATATGACAAACATGACAGTTGCGGGCATTTGCAGTCCGTTATAATTCAACCTCATCTTCGAGAAGAGGTTTTTAAGTTGAATCTGCATACTGTAGAAGAGGACTACGTGAGTCTTTCCTGCTACTGACATTCATGGTCGATGATCTATTTGTCTGACTTTCAATCACTAGGACACTGATGAAGAAGAGGAAGTCGACCCTCCGCAAGGATGGCAAAAAATATTGGAGCGATCATCTGATCTGCCAAACCTTCAAAGCGTATCTTTACGTTTCGACAAGAAATGTGCCTCAGATAGCTCAGGAGATAAATTCGTATACATCTCTGCTCCTCAGACCGAGACGTATCGAGCAACTATCTTGCGATGGCTATTTGCAGGTTTAACGGACTTGCGGCAGCCGATACGAGAGCTTGCGATTCAAAATCATCAGAATATGACTCCTATATCGCGTAATGTGTCAAATTGGATGGACGAAGTTTTTCAGACGCTGGAAACTTTGAGACTCAATGTGGTGCATGAGTGTGACTTTGCGGCTCCTGAAAATGATATTGAGGTAAGGCATTCATTCTTTTTCTGCTGGTGAGATGATTCGATGCTAATATAATGGGTTGGTTGACTTAGGAAGAGACTGTACATGAATTCTTCAGACGTGCTCTGCCGACATACTGGCTGAAGCCCTCCATGTCCTCATTACGAAAACTTTCGCTCTATTCATCGCTTCCGTGGGGCTTCTACCCCAAAGTCAATATGGAAGGGATCCACTTTCCGAATCTCGAGTCCTTGACGCTGGGATTTTTCTCCTTTGCCGATGACAAGCATATAGATTGGATACTGGAGCATTCATCCACACTCAAGGAACTATACATGGACCGCTGTTTCATAGTGTTCTATGTTCAGATTCAAGATGATGACGACATACTTGAACGGACACCTCTGATCACTTCTGATATGACCTGTGATCCAGAAGAATCCGACAAACTGATCTATCACTATCCACGTCGGTGGCATGAATACTTTACATCCATCCAAAATGGCCTCCCCAACCTGTCTTGTTTCGGATTCGGGACTAGTCCGTTATGGGAGCAAAACAAGATGCCATTTGAAACGAAATGGAATCTAGCCAATAAATTGACGGAAGAACGCTACTCTCCATTCTTGGGCCAATTTATATGGTATCCGTTCCATCTTAGTTCGACAGTTGAGTGGCCGAACTGTGATCAGCAAGATCTGGATGCGCTAAAGGCATTGTATCAGGCAATTGGTCAAGGAACCAACTAGGGCTAGGCGATGGATGATGGTCAGCTATCTCGTTGCGTAAGACTTGATAAACAGATTCATCTTACTTATTTTAGCAGTGATAGGAGTGATATGCCAATGACTCCTCCATGACTATCAATTGAGTTCAGCACTCACAGGATAGAGTGTGCAGTGCAAATGTCTTCGCTCCAGCATTCGTCAATGAATAAACCAAGCCGTATATAACATCTCTATCTATTAAAAGTACTCTCTCTCTGGCCAGTAAGATCGGCATGCTGACGTACCCATCTTAAATCACTCTTCCACAGCTTTAACAATCTTCTTCAGCGCAAGCTCCAAATAATCCCTCGGCTGCGTGAACACAATCCTAAACCATCCATCCTTCTCCGACCCAAACAACGCCCCACTAGCTAAAAACACCTTCTCCTGCAACAACCGCTGCATAATCTTCTCTCCAACCTCCTCCTCCGCAAGTATCTCCGGATGCAACTCCCTATATCTCTTTCCCAGATCCACCCAAAGGAAAAACGCAGCATTACAACCAGTCGCGTGCTCGATGCCATTTTTCTTCAAGAATTCCACCGCGAATGCGTAAGACTCTGAGAGCCTCTTTTGGTTCTCTTTGATATATGACTCTGTGAACGCGTCATCTTCCAATAGACCAGCGACCATGTGATCTGCGATTCCTGAGGAATACGAGTAAAGCGATATCGCCCTGAGCGCACCGTGAAATTCGGCGCTGAATTGGGAAATTATCACGCCGAGACGGATCCCGTTTGCGCCAAAGTCTTTGCTCATGCCCCAAAGTACATGCACGAGCTTGGGATCAATGATATTGTTCAAATCGATTGAGAGCGCGGACTCGAATTTGGCCGGTGGAGGATACTCGTCCACGGTATTCTCAAAGACGGATAATGCGTAGATCTCGTCGCTGATCAAATGGATCTGATACTTCTGGCAGAGCTGCATCAACTTGATAATCACCTCGCGGGGGTAGCATCGACCCAGCGGGTTATGTGGGTGACATAGCATCAAAGCCTTGACTCTCTTCCCGGTTGATTCCTGGAAGAAAAGAAGGGCATCTTCATATTTCGAAACAGCCTCCGCACTAAACGGATCCACGTCGTCGAAATTCACAGGGACGACCGTTGCACCAGGCCGCGTCGAGAGATCAGGAATGAAAGTGCCGTAGAACGGCCTTCCAAGCAGAATTCCCTCTCCGGGATCCGCAAACGCCCACGAGACATGTTCGATGGCGGGGGAGACGCCGTTCGTAACGACTAACTGCTCCGCATCAAGCGGTGTGACGGGCTTCAAGTGGCGGTTTAGAAATTGGGCGATCGCGCGCCGAAGTCTGTTTGAGCCGCCGCCGCCGTCGTTGTAGGTGAGATATTCGGCTGGTATTTCTGGATTCTTGTTTAGGTATTCAAGAAGTTCGGTGTGCATGAGGGCGTTCTCTGCGACGCCGACGTTGATGTAGCCGTTTGGGTTGGATGAGGGGCACCAGGTGTCGACTAGGATGTCCCACATCAGGTTCTGGGCTGCTGCGGCTGAGGCATCTTGAGCACGAAGAGAGAGGGTAGAGCCTGTCTGTTGGGCCATTTTGATAGAGGTGTAGACTCTAATTGACTGGGAGAATCTGCCCTTGGAAGAGTTTTGCGCCGGTAGAGTAAGGTTTATGTGCCGGGGGCCCCTTATAGATTTCGGAGGTGTTCTTGGCCTTGTAGATGATGAATCTGGGTTTTATCTTTGCTAACTCGGTTATGAGTCACGACACCTTGTTGATGTTGAAGAAACCTCGTATCATTCAAAGTTGGAGAACCGGCTATCTTCGGGGTCCCTACGAGGGGTGGAGGGTCGGGAGTGGAGCCACGTTGGAGTTGAAAGTGCAGCGCTTTATCATTGCCATGCCGATAGCCATGATCAATCAATCATCTACAAAAACAATGCACATTTATTTGAGCACTCAATGCAGCATAGAAGATAATCAATGAAGCTTTTATCATCAATTTCGTTGTATATACATCTTCACAAACTAGTCCACCCATACTAATGCACACGCCATATGCTCCATAGTTAGCAACATTTCGGCTTTTGCTCGCCCAATCAGAATCCACGTCCACCAAACCCCGAACTCCTCTCCAATAACCTCCTCAACAGCTAGCTAGAGCTACATAGCTAGCTCTCAGGTAACCAAGCTCAACTCCTGTACCTAATTATTCACACTCTAGGCATTTAAGCACCAAAAGCCTGCTCCTGCTTCGCACCGTCCACAGCAGCAAGGTAACTCGGGCGGTCCTTAACGTAGAACTCAATATCGACCTTACCCCGCAGATTCGCCTCGCCACCGTCCAGGGTACCTGCCTTGATGCAGGTGTTGTCCGGCATCACCTCCAGCTCGGTGTACAAGCTGGAACCGCAGGTTGGGCAGAAGAAGTGCTTGTTGATCTTGCCGGAGGCTCCGACGACGTCGTAGGTGGTTGGGGTTCCTGTAGAAGGATGGGGTTAGAATTGGAATTGGCTATAAAGATTGTAAAATGGAGGAAGAGGGCGGGAGGGAGAGGGGTGGTAGATTGTAGGCTTACCCTTGGTCACTTTGAAGCTGTTGCGGGGGACGACGGCGTTGGAGGTGAAGGCACCACCGGTCCACTGCAGGAGGGGTTAGTTAGCATGGACAAGTATGATGTGGTAATTGGCACTGCAAATGGAAGTATACTGGGTTAGGAATGTGAGATGATGGAAGGAAAATGTCTTACCTTCTGGCAGTCAATGCAATGGCACAGCGCAGCGAGATAGTTATCGGCTATCCATCATCATCCATCAGCCTCTATACCACAAACACCCAATAGAAGAAGCAAATATCATCAAGTACAAACCTTCAACAGCATAGGTTACACCACCACACATGCAGCTTCCAGTAATAGTCATGGTTGCGGATTTAATATGCAAGTCCGTTCTTTTAGTTTCGGGGACCTTGGTAGAATCAAAGGACAATAAGCTGAAATCGAAGAGAAAGTAAAAGATGAATGTGAAGTACAAAGATTAGCTTTGAGTGCAGCCATAGCTCTCTCTTTTAAGTCTTTCTATTCGGCCTTCGATCCTGTTCTTTCCCCTCCCCCGCCCCCCACTTTCAATCACCGATCACCGAGGTCGAGACAGCCTTACGTAGATGTCAGGAGAGTGGCTTACGGAGTAGGTTTCCTTGATCATAAGTTTCCTGTCTCGGGCAATGAGGGGTCGGGGATTGAGGGGGTGGGCTGGATTGAGTTTGTGATGTATAACAAAGGCCGCGCTCCAAAGGGTTGCCGAAGAATACGGGCGATGATCAAAGTAGAAGATCTAGGTAACTACGGGGTGGAAAGATTACAATGGAAAAAAGACATTTCAAACATCAATATACTTGTCATTGCTGTTTCGAGTGCAAAAAAGCCTTATGTACAGCGTCCGAACACCCAACGCGTCAACGCCAAGTTCAAACCAATTCATCTGAAAAGACGATACAAAAGACAAATCAAGACATAATGACAGAGAAAAGAAATGAAGAAATGAAGGGAAATACATCGACGATCAAAGGATCAAAGGAAATATGAACAACATTGCAACGCATTGATAAATAAGCTAAGGAAAAGTAGAATTGATAGAGAATAGAACTTCGAGGTATCAAGATAGGGTATAAAGAGCAGCAGACCCTGGACTCAGCCAAGTTTGGAGAAGATGATTGTAGATGGTAGGTAAAGAGTGCAGAAGGTTCGGGTGAAGGAGAGGAAAGACATCAACCAGGATGTCTTCGAGTGGGATAGGTAGATTGGGTGACTTGGGAACAGCTTCTACATCAACATCGTAACTCCTCATTCCTCACCGCTAGGGCTTCGGCTTCTTGTTTGCTCCATCAGCGGGATGCCCGCCATCGGGACTCTTGCGTTTCTTATCCTGCTCATCTTCCCGCGAGAAACTCGGCCCACTTGGGACCGCTGGTGTCGGGAAGGTTAGAGGACTCGGCAAGAGGTTGGAATCCGGTCCAGAACGACCAAAACCCCATTCAGGGAAGAAGCTGGAAGGTGACGGGAGGAGATTATCAGAGACAAACCGACTCGGAAGAGCGGAGATTGGAGTTTCAATGTTGTTCGAGTTACTGCCGCTGTTCCCGGCGTTGTTACCATTGTTGCCGTAGTTCGTTTGCCCCGTAGCCCCGGGTGGAGGCGGCCGGGCAAACGGATTAGGTGGACCTTGCGCACCAGCACTGAGAATTGCTCCTGCAGACGGGGATGGCGGTGGTAGCACAACTCCGGCAGGAGGGTTGTCCTTGGCAGGAGTCACCGTTTTATTGCCAGCAGAGTCGCGGGAGGAGGATTCTCCCGTTGCACTACCCCGATCAGAGCTTTCGCTGGGAATCTGGACTTTCAACTGCGGTCGCTTGGATGTAAGAGCGCCGCTATTCGTGCGTGAAGGTGGCTTGATCTCCGCTGCGGATGGTATCGACTGTGAGCGCGGAGGCTCCGAGGCTGTACCCTTCTTTGAATTGCGCAGATTCTCCTGTGGGGGCTCTGGCCTCAACAGCTGGTTCCCTTGACCGGATGGAGAATCATAAAATCCAAATTGGCGCGCAAGGACGGACCCACGATCATCAATGGGGGTGAAGATGCTACGGGACTGAGATTTGGACAAGGCTCTTGGCTGTGGCGGCGACTGGCTATGTTCTGGCTTCATTCCACCCGCCGCGTTATCCTGGGAGTTCTCGGGAACCGGTACCGTTCGTTCTGAATGATGTTCTGCAAACGCTGGAGGCATCGACCCCCTACCCGGCTCCGTTATATAAGGCTGTTGCGGTACCTGCTGGACTGGACCATGCGAAACTGGCCTCATTCCCATTTGTTGTTGCGCGACGATCTGTGCATGTTGGAAATGTTGAGGAGCTTGAGGATGATGAACTGGCTGGCCTTGGGCATGCTGCTGGTGCATTTGAGGTGGTGTTCCTTGTGGACCATGGGGAGGATGACCGTATTGAGCGTATTGTCCGGGGCGAGGCTGATTCATTGCAGAGTGAACATTCGGGTTGTACATTGAGGGATTAGCCACATAGTATCCATTTTGAGGTGGAGGCGGCGTGGCATGACCATGTGGTCCAAGATTCGAGCTGACACGACGGGCATGGTTTCTAGACGATGGACGAGACACTTGTGACTGTGGTGTACCATGGCGCGTTATCGGAAGACCATTATGGACGATCGGGGGAGAGGCGGACGGGGCGTGATTGATGTGCTGGAAACCGGGCTGTTGGAGATGAGGCGGAACAACGGGATGAGGCTGCTGGGCTTGGATTTCTTCGGGTGCGGGAGTCGTCTCATCTTCATCATCATCGTCATCGCGCTTACCAGCGAAGTCATCGGGACCTTTGTGCTCATGGGGTGGGCCGAACTAGAAATAAAATAATGGTTAGCCAGTGATTCCGTGTACCATGTGCGATCAGACAAGAAATGACTTACATATTGATAGCGACCGAGAGCATCGTGCATGTCACACGAGGAGTATTCATAGAGTTTCTTGTTTTGGCCAAAGATAATGACGGCGACATCGACGGAACAAAGAACGGCCAACTCGTGCGCCTTCTTGAACAGTCCACCTTTTCGCTTAAGGAATGTCCTGCGATATAAAAGTCAGCATTATAATCAAAAATACTCTCAAAGTATATGGTCAACTTACACTGAACGGTTACGATCATCCTTGATAGCTTTGATCTCAATCTTTCTCCGGCCCATGGTGGGCAAGTAGTGGGCGCACGCTGCGCGCGACGGGAGGTGTCAGATTTACGAGCGAGTAATCTGGTCTCGGAACCGCGTGTCTCACGGGTACCAGCGGCTCGAGTCTTCGAGTCCTCAGCCCTTGAAATCCTTGAAGTTATTCCCACGCACAGAGGTATACCACGCGGAAACGGATGGCAGAAATGGTCGAGTATAGGTCGCGCCGCTCAGGGTCGCGGAATGGGGACGAGGTTCTGGACGAGGAATCTGAGGGCGCACGAACAGGGATGGGTGGAAAGGAGGGATCTCGGAGAAATGAGGGGAAAGCTGTATGGACAGGGTCTTGGGGATGAGGTTGATGGGCCACGAACCAGCGGCGCAGTACCGTGGAGTATATAGTCGAACGGAGGGGCTGATTGACGATGCAGAAAAGGTTGATTCTAAAGATAGAATCAAGTCCTTTTTGAAGGGGGAACAAAAGGGAAGGCGATTATGTCAGCCACTCCTGCCTCAGGCGTTCTATTTATACATTCGGCACCTCCCGTCACACTCCACATTTCAGTCACATTTCAAAGGATGAATGCTGAAGAGTATAAAGAGGAGACCAGAACTCGAGTGGATGATTCAAAGAAAGATGAAGAGATGAAATCTCTCCTTGGGTTTGAATGTATCTTTCAAGTCATTATCTCGAAGGTCGTCTACCATGCAATTACATTCTTCCCTTTCACCTAGTGCAATCTCCATTGCACTCCCAAATATATACTTCCATTGATCTATTATCAATCGAGTAATGGATCTTTATGTGTCGCAAGTCATTATCTCGAAGTCCTCTACAAAACAATTTTATTCTTCCTATTGACCCGATACAAAGATATACTTCCATTTATTCATCCATTCATGAATCTACCTTTTTGGCTTGGTATTATCTATTCTAGAATGAGAGTAGCTTTGAATCTATTTATTCTTGCACCTCTAAACAAAGTCCTTGTGTCTCGGGTCTGAGAGTCATAAATTAAAGGCCAATTCTGCAGCCAGATTTAGCTCTTAGATCAGAGACAATGACTTCCGACCGCGCATTCCCTATCATAGCCGCCGAGTTGCTCACTTTGGCACTCGCCTCGGGGAGTGGGCTTGGGGTATGCAATAGAGTGGAGCCGCTATTATGTACTCCCTACGTACTCCGTACAGAGTACACTTCTCGCATTTGGCATTTGTCATGAAGTCGGTCAACAGTAAACATCAATGCAAATAGCTATCGTGAGATTTTTCTCCTTTGATGAGTAGCAAGAGATAGTGAAAAATGTTGTATAGAACATGGCAAAATTCGTAAATCAATTGGTCCGCGCTGACGGGATCGATCGATCTATTGATCTATCGGTCGGATCAGAGTGTTGGGCCCGATCTCTGGGGCAGTTGGCCTGAGCTTTAGGAGATCGATGAGCATAGCGTCAAGCTGGTTGCAATTATGATTTAAGTTCAGTAAGATGCCTGTTACTCATTCCTGCTTGGTAAAGAGGATTGTTCTTCTAGAAGGGAGAATAGGCTTAAACTGTTGTAAACAATATACGATAGGTACAGTAGTGTACTGTGGTACAAGCAGGTACTTCCGCATCATCCAGTTTGTTTAGGGACTTTAGGTACCTAAGGGACGGAATCCAGATTAGATTAGCATTGTGCCGAGGAGCTACCTAATGGAGCTATGGAGCTATGCTCATGTATATGTAACCCTATCAACCAGATCTCTTAACACTACCTTAACATTACGCTTAATTCTACTGATATGTCTTGTCTATATGTTTCGCATCTTTTGTACATTCAAATACTGTTTGATCCCCCTTTTCCAAATCAAACCTCCGTGCTAGCATGCTCCCAGACTAGTCCATCCGGCTACCAAGTATACGAGCCAATCCCGCCAAGTGATTGGCCCAGACACGTTGGACCAGTCACTTCACCACTCCCCCGATAGCCACGATGGTTGGGCATCGCAAGACAGAAACAGGCAGAGATGCTTGTCATAGTTGGCAATGGCAGCAAATAGCAGGCAAACAAGCAAGCTGTCACTTCTCTGTCAGAATAATCCCAGCCAACACTACCAACAGTCCAACACACCTGGTAAACAACAGGAACGAAGCTAAGGTTATGCTCAAGACTCGCAGAACCCTGGGTCGGGCACCCGCGTTTGGAGATGATGATCGCCATCGGTATCATCCACTCTCCGCACACTCCTTCTCCCTAAGTTCCCAAGTTTCAACGGTCTCGAATTGAGTCTGGATGACGACGAGGGGTACGGAGTACACATCGGGCCAATTCAATCTTCCTTCCTCGTCTCTTCTTCTCAATTTCATTTGTTCGAATTCTCTCCAATTCGGTTCAATTGAGTGGGGCTCGTTCTGGGGAATTTGACTCTCTTCTTTCTCTCGTTTTTATTTTTTTCTTGTTCCTCTCGGGCGGTCTCGACCCACGATCCAAACGGTCCAGACGAGTTGTAAGTGTCAGTCAACTTCCCGCGTTAAGATTACCCCTGAACTGGAACCCTCCCTAAACTGCCGAATTTCGCCCTCTTCCTTCTGCCTGGGGCTTCTTGGGCAACATTGCGACCTTTCCTTCTCTCCTCTTGATCTCGTCCATTCCTTTCTTTACCTGCCTGTCGCTTCACGCCCTCGTTTCTGTTGTCGTGGTTGATCTTCTCCACACATCTGCATTCATTCCCACTCGCTCTGTCCCGAGCACAGACGATTTCCAAGACCAGGGGATCCTTTCGTGTTTGGCCTGAGCCTGCTCCGGGGCTGCAGGACATCCCGGCCGGGCTTGCTATTTTTCATTTCTCGTCTTTCCCTTGACTTTTTGGCCATCTCATTATCTGTCGGTCTTCTGCTTCTGCTTCTGCCCTCTGGTCCCGTTCCCGTGGAGAAGTCATAGCTAATTGGTCTTGTTGACGTTGCTGCAGAAAGGCCTAAAGAAAAAAAAAAAAGTACCTACTTTGCCCGCCACTACCCAAAAGAACCATAAAATCGAAAACCCACGCAGAAAGATCCAGATCCAGATCCTGACCGTCTCCCCTCCAAAAAAAAGGAACCCCGAAGCTTGAGCGGTCGCGCGCATCCGCCCAACTCAACATGCCGGCCTTTTTCTCGCGAGTCTTTCGTAGCAAGGACGCCAATGCTTCCAAGAAGCAGTCCAAACCATCCGCCGCCACCGATCTGATCCCCGCGAAGCCCAAATGGGCCGACGCCTGGCTACGGACAGAGGTTGCCCCCGAGGAGGTGCAAGACCTCATTCGAGGCTGTGCGCATGAGTTGAAAGCTCGAGGTGGGTTGGAATTCCATTTTCAACCATGTGGCGGTGGTGGTGCAACGCTCGCCATGCGCATTCTTCGGATTGCTGATCATTCGTCCGATTTTAGCTCTTGATACCCCATTCCTCCTCCTGCCATTCCGTCCGAGCTCCGATCCCAGCGCCGCCCGCACGTTCGTTCGCAACTATTTCAACCAATCGTTCGATAAGGGGGCACCCGTTAGTGGAGATGAGTTGATGCAGGAGTTGCGGCTGACGGAGCCGATGGTATGGCACCGATAATCTCTAGAAGGACAAGGGAGGATAAGCACATGGCTAATAATACTAAATGGATAGGTTCTGGCCAGTGTGATGAAATGGTGCTGGAGCCGATTGACCGGCGGTGTGGTTACATGGGAAGCTTATGAGCTGTTCAAGGTTGGCGAACAAGGTATGAGCCCTGGCCTTAGCGGACAAGGGAGAGATGTGCTGAACCTTTCTAGATTCGGATTTGGCCCGCGATGCATTCTCTACATTCATTCCCATCAGTGTCGACTCCGATGCTCGTACCAAGATCATCTTTGACTTCTTCGATCTCTTGGCTGCCATTGCGGCCCACGGCAAATCTAACGGTCTGGGAGGCCGTAAGCTCTCACGATATGCCGGATGGTGGGCGTTCGAGCACAGCGACACTGGCAATGGCTTCGAGGCCTCGTACAAGAACTGGGCTGCGTATGATTGATCCCTATACCCCTTGATATTACCGATCAGGTCAAAATTCTGACTCGAGAACAGTGCCGCCGATGCCACAAGCCACATGTTCTTTGCTTACCTTCGCTCTCTCACACCCGATATGCCGCGCGGCGTGACTGGTATCTCGTCGCTGCCCCTTTCTCTTCAGACTCTCGTGGAGGCCACCGAATATCCTCCCGAAACTCCAACTCTGCTCCAGGTTACCACCACTAAAGTTGTTATGATCGTCGATACCGTCTCGCCTACGCCTTTCGCTCTGCTGCGCCGGGCAAAGAACTTTGAATACCGCGACGAACACTGGCACCTGCAGGAATTTTCCAACTACGAGGATCCCGTCAAGGCACTGACGGACGAATGTCTGCGTGTGCTGAAATGCATTTCTTCCACTAACGAGTCTAGCGTTTCCAGCACGAAACAATCCACTAGCTTGCGCGACGCCTCGTGGTCCCGCTTCGAGGATATTGGTTTTGGCGGTTCCATCGAGTCGGATCAGGAAGATGAGGAGAACAGAGCCCCTGTATCAAGGCCGCAGCCGCTCAGCGGCATGAGGACTGCTCCTCAGTCGCAGGGTGGTGACTTTGGCCGCCCCACGACTCCATCCTGGGCAGATTTCATGTCTTCTGGCTTTACGGACGAGGCGGACCTCAAGGACCGAGTCGGTCCCCTGCTTTTGCCGCCAGACAAGGTTCTGCCGCCGATTGCGGCCACTCGTGGCCAGAGCTCGCAATCGCACAAGCGTAACTTGAATACCGAGCCCTCGCTCGAGCCAGCTGAGCTGGCCAGTATCAGCACTCTGGATATGGACGATTCCTTCTGGTGGGTCTGGATTACCAGTCTATCTGGCGACGAGCCCGGTGCTCGCAAGGCTGTGTTCGGTCGTTGTGCCCTTCTCGAGACGCGCATTCGAGACACCAAATGGCTCGTCCTGGAGGAGCAGGTCAAGGGCGCTGCCCCCGAGCCGGATGCTGGCGCCCAGATCGTTGAGAAGAAGCGCTTCTTCAGCTTTGGCAGCCGCAAGGGTGGCGCTGGCAAGTTGAGCCGTAGCAAGTCGTCGGCCAAGAAGGTTCCTTCGATTGAAGAATCATACCAGCGTCCCAACAACCTGGCTCAACAGAGCAAGACCAGCATTGGCCCTGACCAGCACAAGAGGATTCAGGCCGCCGCTGCCGCTCTCCAGAAGAAGCACCGTGAGCAGGAAGCCGAGGCGAACCAGGCCCGAAATGGCCCAGGTAATGACACTCGCTCGACCAAGACCAACTCTGTTATGACGCTGCAGCCTGCTATCGTGAATGAGGCCTCCTCGGCCATGAAGTGGGCTAGCAACTATGATAAGAATGCCTTCCGCGCTGCCTACTTGAGCAACAGCCGCGCCGGTACTGGTTCTGTGGCCGAAGGTGCCAACGGAGAGACCAATGGTACCCATGTCGAGCGGCCAATCACCCCGCCTGCTCCTCTCCCAACCAGCACTGCTAAGAGTGGCCCTGCGCCACCTCCGAAGGACACTGGCGCTTTGGTTACGCCTCTTCCTCCCTCCCCCGAACCTGTCAAGCAGGAGCTTGCCAACGAGCCTGTTCCTGTTCCTCAAGAGAAGAAGAACGCCAAGACTGTTGTGATCGAGGACCCTGCCGATTCTCAGCCCAAGCAATCGATTGACGAGAGTGGCAAGAAGATTAAGAAGAAGACTGGCAATGCCGGCTTCAAGAACATGTTCGGCAAGAAGAAGGTCGAGCAGCCGCAGCCGCCCATGAAGAGCACTGGTGCCAAGGAGACCTCCGCAGTGGCCGCTGCTCGTGCTGCGCTCGAGGCCAAGGCTAAGGAGTCCCGGGACCCCGTCACCCCCAAGCCTAGTGCTATCAAGAAGAAGCCAATTCCTGTCGCTGCGGCCGAGTCCACTCCCGCCCCAGTCCCAGTCGCAGCCCCAGAGCCCGTGGCCGAGAAGCCCTCTACTCCTCAGCATGCCCCCGAGCCCGCTCAGGAGGAGCCGCAGGCCCCCTCTCAAGTGATCCAGGGCAGCGGCAGTCCCCCCAAGACTCGTCGTGCCGTTGAGTACGACGCTCTCTCCCGTGTCGACACCAACGAGGCCAATGCCGCCGACCAGGAATTCTCCAAGTTCGACCACGGTCCTCTCGTTGAGCAACCCGCCTTTGTCCCCGAGGACTCGCCCGTGGACCCCGAACCCAAGGAAGAAGTGCTTCTCAAGTCGCCCACCAACGGTAATGGCCACGTCCATGAATTGAAGCCCGAGGCTGCTCCCGAACCTCAGCCTGTGCCTCAGTCTGGGCGTTTCACCAGCACGGAGGACCGCTGGGCGCAGATCCGCAAGAACGCGGCCGAGCGCCGCGATGCTACCCCCGCTGCCAGCGAGGAGCCCGAGGTGCGGACTAGCCAGTCCGAGCGCACTGACGAGGGCGACACCAGCGGCGAGGAGACCATCGAGTCGCGCGTCGCGCGTATCAAGGCCCGTGTTGCCGAGTTGACCGGTAACATGGAGAATGCTCGTTAAATCATATCCCCCAAAAGCCTCTGACAGAAACTCTATCATTTCCTTTTGTCGTCTTCTCACTTGTCGTTGACTTTCTCTTGAATACCTCCTCCCTCGTCTCTTGGCGCCCCAATGCTTCTTTCTTCCACCGTTCCTCGTTCCAGCATGCCGTCCTTCTTTACGCTGCCAAACCTCTGTTTCTTCATGTTTGCTTACCTGGGCTCTTAGAGCATAATACCTCTCGCATCTCTGCAGCTATGCTTTACCCAGGGCCCCGCTGGGAAGTGACCTCCCCCTTACGTAGGGAAATATACGAAAGGGAAGGCGAAGAACCACAGCGACGAAACGCCGCGATACGAATAACGGATACTTTTGTGATCTCTGCAATACCTTTTTTTTCTGATTTCCCGCTTCAATTCGTGCTCGTCCTCGTTCTCGATCCACTATTTGCGCGAGCTGTCTTTGATTCCCCTTCCCCCAAACGCCCAGACCGTGTCTGGACCGAGATATCCGGTTTTATCAACCGTATTTTCCTATCTCTATCCCCTCTTATTCCTATTGTCTATTGCCTGTCTGTCTTTTCTCTCGATCTGGACCTGCCATCTATGCCATCTTGGGCATCTTTTATTATCTACTAGCTAACTCCCTCTGCTTCTGCTTCGACTTCTGATTCTGCCTTGTGTTATTTTGTTTTGTTGTTTGTTCTTGCTCTATTCCCCTTTTCGCTACTGGGTTTTCTTATACCGGTGAAGTTTGCAACATATCAATATGATCTGGATTGAAGTGAATCATTATGCTGGGGTGTGTGATGTAGAATTTGTAGAGCTTGAATGGTAATATCTGTAGATTTCAGAAAGATCAAATCACCAAACTCATAAATCCTAATTCATGCCATCACGCACTATATCAACCCTCTAAACCCCCAAAGCCTTCAAAATCGCCTCACCCACACCAGTCGCACTAGCCGGGTTCTGCCCCGTAATAAGCACACCCCCAACCCCGGCAGTCTTCGAAACAACAACCTTCTCCCCCAAGGCTCATCAGCCTTAACATAGCCACCGCCCGAAACTCTCTGCAACTCCGTCTCCAGCATGAATGGCATCGCATCCGAAAGTTGCACCTGGTCCTCCTCGACATTCGAAAATCCGGTGACGGTTGCGCCGGAGAGCAAGGGCACGCCGGAGGGTGATGTCGCGTTTAGGAAGACGCAGGGACCGTGGCAGACGGCTGCGATGGGTTTTTTGGATGAGGCGAAGGTTTGGATTAGGGCGAGGGAGGTGGGGTCTGTTGTAAGGTCGAACATTGCTGGAAACATTGCGAAGTAGAGTTAGATTGTGGTAATTGGTTTAGGGTTAAGGGGAGGGGAGGAATGGTTTGGGGGAGACGTACGTCCATGACCACCAACGTAGAACAAAGCATCGAATTCATCGGCGCGAGCAAGAACGTCCGATAGCTTGTGGGTGTTTGTCCAAAGGGCCTTTTGCTCAGCCAGGAACTTTGTAGATGTTGCGTCGGACTTGAACATCTCAACTGACGATGGGTCTAGCGGGGCTTCGCCGCCCTTGGGCGAGGCGATGGTCAAGGAGACTTTATTGTGGAGGACTTCGTGGGGGTGGGCGAACTCGGGCTTTATCATGAATATAGTAGTTAGCAATTGATTCGTTTTTCATAGGAGTTGAGTTGAGGTTGTAATCCATTGCTAGTATGTTTAACAGTCCTGGATGGAGGGGTAGCTGCATACCAAATACCATCCCGTAGGCTTCTGGAGCTTGGGAATCTCGTTTGCCGAGGTGAGGACGACGAGGACTTTGGGTGCCATTTTGATTGAGGGTGAATTGAAGTTTTCTGGTTCTTGAAAAAGGGAAATAAAGTCGAATAAAAAAGGATCTTGTATGAGATAGTCCAGCTGGTGGCTTAGTTAAGTAGTAAACATTAGTTACCGAAACAGAGTTTTGCCGATATCTACATGTCGTCACTGCCCGGCCCCACTTTGCTGTTCTGGACGAGGGGCCGAGTGAAGAAGTTTATTTACTGTTAAGTGGCGGTGTGTATATGATGGGCTTGTAATTGATGGCTTTCACATGGCTTGTTTGGTGTGGTTTTATTAAGTACTTAGATAGAGGAAGAATTCGGGAGAATACCTCGGGCATGGATCGGGATCAAGATCGGACTCGATCTTTCGTGTAGGTACGTAGGTATATTATTGATATCATATTCTGTAATGCAGCTAACTCATAGCTACTATACACCCCTCTATTGAAAGTGTGGAGTTAAGTACACTATTACTAAGTACTGACTGTGTCAGATCAGCGTGCTTCGAACACGCCACGTTTTGGACCAAAACTGGATATTTGCATAAGCAGAGTCTATTTCCGAGTTTCTATTTTGGTCTCTTCGGCTAAGGTTACGGGGTCGATATTATTCTTCAGTGTAAAATGGTCATTAATATTATTACTATATCATCAGAGTCCTACATGCACACACGCCACAAATGCCAAGACCCAGTCTAGGACCATCTGTACCAATCCGTCTTTCCCACCTATTGAAACACGCATGCAATGCATTGGGTATAAAGCGCTGTCTCTCTCTTTTTCGTACCAGTCCCATCACAGGCCTCGTCTAAGGGACATACCGCAATCGACGGGTCGCCTCAGCAGCAATAAGGGCGCTAATCGCACCGATGAACAGACAGATCGAAATCGCGTTAGGCTTATCCTTATCCAGATTCATCCACTGTGTATCCGAGGCATCACTGTCCTTATTAGGTTGCGCACCAGGCTCCAAAAGACTAAACACGATCCAACTAATGAATGTGCCAACGAATTGCGGAAGCGTGGTATACACATTCAACACGCCAAGGTAAATACCAGCCAATTCACCAGTAGAAGGAATATTCGAGGCCTGATCTTCCTCATCGGTATCACTGTCCGAGTCACGATGATTCAACCGAAGCACTTCCAGCTCCGTGTCCGCGGCGGGATTGCGCAAACTTGCGGACGTAATCATGGTCACGCCTGAGCGGGTAGCTTGCGCTGACATCCCCGGGGCACCTGCATAGCTGTTCATGGTCAATTTGTTGATTTCCACGCCCATGAATGCGAACGGTGCCCAGCCACTTATGGCCCAGGGGATACCGCACATTGCGACGAGGAATGTTGCAAAGGCCCGCGAGTGCGCGAGCGGTGCGAAGATCATCGTGGCTGCGAACATGATCTGGGAGATTAACCAGGCTGTTTGGAGATCTGGTCGGACGGCGGTGATTCTCTTAAGAATCGCGGCGACACCGGGGGTGGTCGAGGTGTGAAGCGCGTGCGTTTGGTATCTGGGGATTGAATACAGAATGGCAGGAAGACGGAGCTGAGGAATGTAATCGAGGAGAAAACTGTCAGAGACAGACTGCCAACGCGGCCGACTTCGCCGAGCATGTCGGTTGTCTTCGTGACCTGGTCTTTGGAAACCTCGTAGCGGAAGTAGGTTTCGCCAACCCATGTTGTGCTATAAAAGAGGAATGGGAACCAGCCTGTGATGCATTAGCTTAGTACTGATTTGACGAGGAATCGATCAATTCGTACCAATCCAAGCCCAGAATTGAGCCCAGCAAATGGCCTGGATGCGAGGTGGGAGTTCCATCGTGGTTTTGAACAACTGCGAGATTGCTTGGATTGCGCCTCCCTTGCCATCAGAGTCCCTGTTTCCTTCAATCAGCTTGGTTATCAACAACCTTGTAAAGTTTTTGACCTACCTCGCCGAGATCAGAACGCGTTCCTTGACAGAGTAGGATGTGACCGCCACCGCGATAATCAAAGATAGAGCGGCGATCACTGTCATCTGCTTGAATTGAGTGTCTCCCAGAAGGCTCCCGAAAATGCTGACCATATCAATGGAGCCAATCACATAGCTGATTAGCTGGCCGATAGCACACATTCTGCTAGCTGTTCGATGGTGAGAATGTCTTCTACACATCAATAGGAGCCAACGTACCCCAGGCAGACCCGGCTTGTTGCAAGGGAATGGGCAGCGTATCCACAATCAAACTTCGACAACATGCTTGGACTGGCATATAATTAGCTTCGCTCGATTTCTTTCGGGAATTTGCACTCACCAACGTTGATGGAAAAATCAACCGCGTATATACTAGATACAGCCAACGCGATAGTGACACTTTTAGCCTGTAGAAGTCTCGCATTAGTTTCGTACTCTTACGCCTCGAATTATAATGTGCCGCGCCCACCTTCTCAGGCTCTTTCACGAACATGGCGACAATCTCAGCTGTCCAACCTAATACGATCAGACAAAACGCCACGACAAATGAACCAAAGACCATGAACGGTCTCCGCCGGCCCCATTTTGACCGCGATCGGTCGGCGATCACGCCAATAAGAGGTTGAATGATTAAACCGGAAAGCGGTCCGGCAATCCATACCAACGAGGTTTTGGACTTCGTCAAACCGAGTTGAAGGAGATATGGTGTGCAATCTATTGACGCGTCAAAAATTAGCATCTCCATTTAAGCAATTGATCAATGATTGCTAAGTTTAGTCACTTACAGGTCATCTCAGTACCCCAAGTGAACCTATTCTCAATGAAGTGTCCAGTCAGCCTTTGAACTTCAAGTCCCCGAATCTAGTTCATTCTCCTCCAATCTTTTCCTCTCATGTGTCTCATCCCCGGGCGATACGCACTGCAATCCCACCAGACTAAAGGTCAACAGCGCCATGCGCGTCGACTCGCTTCGTCCCTTGATGGACGGCGTTCCCGCCCATCGTGCAGCCTGCGGCATAATTGTGTCGCGCGTAGGTGCATGCGCCTTCCTCCCTCTTCTCACACAGAGCCGGTCGACTCAATCTCCAGGTTTGAGGCTCGAGCAGGCTGGGTGATCAATAGGAGTACGCGCAATCGCAAGTCGGCTCGGAAGGCTCCAGGCTGCGTTCGGGGTACGTCGAGAAGAGGCTTTCGAGTATTAGGAAGTCTCTTCGATCAGAGGGAGCGTCTCAGTCGTAAGGGGAACAGGGCGTGCTGCGCACGAGACTCGTGTGTCGGCGATTTTCTTTGTTGACTGGGCCGGATCCGACTAGGGTTGATTGTGTCCGCGGAGTGGCTCCGATGCACTCTCTCGGGGTCTATATCGGTTCCAAATAGGCTGTAGTCAGTATGTATTGAGATGCGGACTCCTCAGGAGATTTGTCTCGAGTACAGGTCAGCAATTGGAGAAGAAGGAGAGAAAAAAAGGACTTGGCCTGAGCGCCGCGTTCATGCGGGACCCCCAGCCGCCTTATCGACTTATCGGGGATTCGGTGGACAAGTTGGACCCGCCCAGGGGTATTTGGGCTGGGAAATGCCGATCGAGGTTCCGGTTTCAGGTTGATCACCAAGTTGACAGGTAGAGTCTAGACCTTCTATTGAGCTAAAGGCCGACATGATGTTGCCTATAGGTCTGTTTGAAAGGTACAATAATGCTCCATGCATTGGGTCTCCCGAGAACAAAAGGGGTGGCCTGTGTACAGTAGGACCATATGAAGGGTTGGGTATTGCTTATACAGTGGTATTCAAATGTCCGAGTCTAGAAACCAGAGAACCGGAGAGACGTGCTTCAATCACTCTTCTTTGACAGATCTTTATAAATGTCTTTTTTAATCATCTTTCTTGATGTCATGTATTGGAATGCTATGTACTTGCAAGCATCGCTCATGAGCACCTGTGGCCCCCCATTGTGTTGAATACTCACGGTTGAGTTTTTCGACCTCACTCCCTTAACACAGAGCGTTAAATATACCACATTCCATAACAGGAGGCGAGTTAATTGTAATCCAAAACAGCCGACATCTTTCTCTTCTCACCAACTCTCCGTTCAGGTACTTCCTTTGAGTGAGCACCCGCTCCTCGCCATGTCCAATCGCTCCATACTTATCGCAGCCAAGTGCGCTGATGCTTCAGAGAATTGAAATTGCCGTGGGCCTTCAAGGATTCCTCATGATGAGTGGGACCCAGCACCGCAGTCATCATCAGTCCAGGAAAACCATCGTCAATGGGTGATGGAGCGTGTCCTCGACCCGGGTAGGTACCACACCCTCATTGTCGAAAGGTCATGATAAATGATTGTTGTGAGCGGGCTGCAGTCTAGGTACGGTTTAGAAACGTAGCGGGGGTACAGATCCGATATCCAACCGCTGAGAGCTATATGAGAAAGAGATCCCTCCAATCATGAGCAACAGGACTGAGAATAACACAGCCATCTTCATATCCAGAGGGTTTCTTCTTTCTTCCATCGAAACAACTGAGGATCATTTTTGCCTGTACATTTCCTCCTCGTAGCTCTTCATGGACATTTCGTTGACACCCTTAATGGCCTCCAGAATGCCAAGAATAATCAATCGTGTTGGAATTTTTGCCAAACTTGTACTTGTTTTATAAGCACATCTCCGAGAATGAATGTGTGCTGGTAGTCTAGACACTCTCTCGGAAACGACGTTGTAGTATGTCGCTTTCAGGTCTGCCACAAGCATCCTATTGCATGCAGCATTGCAGGCGCCAGAGAAAAAATTCAGCGTCTTCTGGGCTCAGGTTCCAGCGCAAGCTCTTCGCTATGGGTAAGTCCCACAATCAGAGGGCCAAGCTTGAAGGGTTGCTAGGTACTGCCTTTGAGATTAGCACAAGAAACGGTGTCAACACTAGCTTCACCCATCAAAGATGGCCAGATAATTTCGGCTCCAGTCGAAGATAGAGCAAATGTAATAGGAAGGTCTTCAGAAGTATGAGGTACTATCTGAAATTACTCACATATCTAGTACATCCATGTGAAAGTATCATTCCTTAGCCAGAGATGTGTAGAAGTCGACTGTCGGTCTCGTGCTCATTAGTTTCTGGACCGCGGATGACACGGATTTTCTTGCACATCCTTCATCCAAGTCCTAGTTGAACAGAGTTAGGATTAGCCTTACACCATATACGAATGTAAGAACAATCGTACCTTTCTGTCAGCTGGCGCTGGTTGAATATAAACGAGGATCGCTCACGTAATAAGAACATGGCGATCTTGTTCGGAGGATAAAGTGGATAATACATGACACCGAGAACAGCCAGAGGAGAATAAGCAGTAGAAATGGCATGTAATTGAAGGGAGATCTCTGAGCCATGAACAGAGAGGATTCGATGCATTCTGTGTTGTTTTTTTGACATGTACGACAGGGCTGCGGTACTAGCGTTGGCATATTCTAGCCATATACGCCGAAACTGAAACGCGAACTTCGGATATCATCATCTCCTCAACCTAAAAGGTTCAGGACGGTGTGTTTTGCTGGCAGCAGTGGAGTGCACACGCCGCTGCCTTCGCCCATCGCAGTCTTCTGGATCCGCGCAATTTTGGCGTCCCATATCGAACCACCGCTGGCTGCATCACTGCTCAATTTTTGGCCCGGAGAATATCAATCCGCGCCTAAGCACGAGATCACATTCTGAAGCAACGGAGGTTGAGTAGAAGTAGACGTTGTCCCGACACGGCGACGATGAGATACTCAAGGACATTCTCCAGGTTTGTCCCAATAGAGGATCTTCGATCACAGTTATGGCAAGAGAGCCAACTACAAGGCCAAGAAGCCCCAATCGTGTTTTAGTCGAGTCTCAAACTTGGCACCGGCGTTGAATCAGTGAGCACGAACCCGTAGCGTAGATGCTTCCCCCAGGTATCGGCAGACCAGTGAGAGGACTTGTCTGAATTGCCTTTTCGGGATCCTGAACCCCCCCCGTCACCCACCGAGAAAATGAGTACGTGGTCCTCCTCCATCAGCGGGCTTCCATGGCCTTCATCAACAGGTCCGGCATGAAAAGAAAAGGGGAATGGCAAATAAATCCCCGGCAGGCATATTGCTCGCGCTGCTCAGGTAATGAGGATTGTCTGCCATTTTTTTCACCTTCCTCACGGCTCTTGTGGCCAGCTGAGTTGGATAATAGACCGTTTTCACTGCTGAGGGAAGATGTAAGTGAGAGAACACACGAGAGAAAGGAACTGATGTTGTAAGGAAGGTCACTCACGGCATCAAGCTTGTCTGGTTTTCTAGAAACCGGAATAAGCACCGAAGCATACAGTATCAGGGTATTATGCACTGAAGAAGAAGAAAAGAGTGGATATAAAATATATGAAATAAGAGTGGCCATGTGTGGTCATGTTGACACTCCAGAACGCGGGTACGGAGGGGATGGGGCTGGTAGAGTGAGCTTGGTCTTCAAATACCAGAGAATTATTTCAATTCTCCATAGTTTCAATACTCCTCGAGTGACGATATAGAGATAGACATCAACTAGGGCAACGACTTTGGGCCCATACTGAGCTGTGAGGATTCGGTGAAGTGAAGGGTGTACTGGGCTGGATGTAGTTCTTCGATAGTTAAGCCTTCAGGCTTCGCGACGTATGTGTCGGGGTTGGGTATAAGTGGAGAAGAAGGCGAGAAAGAGAGAAGGATATACAAGGTTGGTGGATCAACGTTGAAGAGTGAGGAAAGTGAGATCCATTTATAGGGCAGCCACTAGCACTGGCAAACAAAGACTTCTGCGGGGTCTGCCAGAAGGTAATTTCCATTGCATCAATCATTACCTGCGTTCTTGAAAGGCGGTTGGACTGGCGACAATGCTCCTTACTGCCTCTTCCAGATTCCAATCAGACTCTTTACGTAGTCATGATTACAGGGCTAGGACACACAGCTCATAAATAAGTATTCTTTTCATAGCATTGCGAGGCCGAAACCTTCTTCTAGGTTGCCGAATCGACGCAGTGGGACCCGGAATTGAGATTCCCAAAACACGTTTCAACCCCGTCACAACCACAGCTGACTAGATAATCCCCAAGATCTCTGATCTGAGGTCGAGCCAGTCGGTAGAAGAGAGGTGAAAGTGTGGAAGAGAGAGAGAAAAAAGAAAAACCAGAACAGACATAAGGAAAAACAAGCTTCATGAAGAAAAAGAAATAAATGGATTTTGTTCGCCTTCGTAAATCCCACGTCCCATATCGTCGTAAACAGCGCTAATGCCTATTCGCCCTCCAAGTCCCTAAAGTCGGTTGGGGGCGGATGTGGTCACTGGCCATTGGTAGCCAGCGGCGTCGCTGAACTTGTAGCCATAGGAGGCAGTGAAGTCGTCGAGGACGGCGGGACCACGGGAGCCTGCAGAAAGAGTGTGATTAGTACAATGAAAGCAAGAGCAAGTGTAGACGGCGGATCCGATCCTGTATCTTACCGTATGGGTACTCCATGGGGATGATCTCCTTGTTGTCGTCCAGGTAGTGCAGGAGAGGAGTGAAGATGCGCCAGGAGGCATCCAACTCGTCGTCGCGCACAAAGTTGGAGTGGTCGCCCTTGAAGGCGTCCAAGATCAAGGACTCATAGGCCTCGGGAATCTTGAGGTCAGAGAAGCGGCGGCGGTAGGTCAAGTCCAGCTCGGTAACCACCGTCTGCATGGACAGACCCGGCAGCTTGGAGTTCATCTTGATATAAACGGACTCGTTGGGCTGGACACGGATGACCAGCTCGTTGCGGGGGATGTCCTTGAAGATACCAGAGGTCACATCCTTGAACTGGATGCGGACCTCAGTCTTCTGCTCGTTGAGGGCTGGAGAAGAAAAAATTAGAATCAACTGCTGATAACAAATCCAGATGGATACATACCCTTGCCGGCCTTCAGGATGAAGGGAACACCATCCCAACGCTCGTTCTTAATGTAGGCGACCAGAGCGCAGAAGGTGGGGCAGCGCGACTCCTTGGGCACAGTGTCGTCCTCCAGGTAACCGGGCTTGCTGCCATCGAGCGACCGGCCGTACTGTCCGATGATCACGTTCTTGGGCTCAATGGCATCCATTGCGCGCAGAACACGGACCTTCTCGTCACGGATGTCCTCCGAGGAGAAGGAAATGGGGCGCTCCATAGCGAGCAGGGTCAGCACCTGCAACAAGTGGTTCTGCATGACATCACGGATGATGCCGAACTCGTCGAAGTAACCTCCACGACCCTCGGTACCGAAAGGCTCCTTAAATGTGATCTACTCAGGAAATCCACGTCAGAATTGATTATCAACCGCAAGATCGTAACAACTGCAGGAGTTAGCCATACCTGAACGTTGTCAATGTGGTGACGGTTCCATGTCGCGTTGAAGAACTCATTGCCAAACCGCAGAATGAGAATGTTCTTAACCATCTCCTTACCCAGGTAGTG